GAAGATTGGATTTTCTGGCGAACTACTACCATTATACTATGTTGTGGGATACAGAGTGCTATACAGAGTTCGAGTACAAACATCCAACTATCAAACTAGACACCTATATAAGGTTAAAAATTCAAATCCACCAAGAAATTCTCATACAAGCGCAAACCCAAAGCAAACAAACAAACCACCAATCAATCAATCCACAATATACTCCGTAAATTCAACCGTAGCTAGGTACTGTAGCTACATACATATCTACACACTAGCGACAAACCCGAGGCGATATAAATCAACATCCATCTTCGATATCAGCGGATCCTCGCGGAAAGACTTTGTAAAATCTCTTCTTTTTTCTTTCTCAAATTCTCAATGTTATGTCATATTCGCGTACACATCACATCACATCACATCACATCAAACACCCACCGAATCCGACCCATCATCAAACGCAAAATTTTTTTTTCAAATATCCATTACAACTTACGAGAAACTTGGACCTTGGGGAAGTATTCCCGAGTTCTTACGGCACAGTAATATACGTTCATGGGAAGCTTCATAGCATACCTAGCCAAGCATAAAAGTGCAACCGAGGTGCCGGGATCCGCTTGACGCCGATGGATGTGTACATACTCCGTACATACCTACATACATAGCAAGCGGCGCAAGATCCCGGAGGGGATTATTCGGATATTACATTGTGTTTGGGTCTTGGATGTGATTATTGACTTTTATTATGAAATATGTGTGAGTGAGTGAGAGTGAGTGGTGTGTGAAGTGATTATTCCATGGTGTGATTGAGTGACTTGTTGACTGACTAATTGGGTGATTGATTGACTGATCAAATGGTAGGATGGATAGAATAGATGGGACAAAGTTAATCGGAAATGAAATCGCAGGACCCTGAAAATTTTTAATCTTCCGGTTTCGTAAGTTCCGTAAGTTCCTGTGGTTTTCTTGATTTTCAGCAATTTGGACATCTATCTTGGACCTTGGTTCACCAGTTAGTTGTATTGCAACTTGCTAGGTATCTTGTGAATTATTTCACCTGTGACCATTTGTGTGGCAAAAAGGAATCAAGATATATTGGCTCCATATAAAGGAAGGGAGGTCCTTGTGAATGGATGGAGTCACTGGAGTGTGAAAGTCTGGTTCAAGGTCATGGTCCAGGTCTAGGATAGCGCAGCGTCATCGCGTGTGGACAAAGTATAGTAGCATAGAACAGGACAAGGGACGCGTTTTTTGGTCGAGCGGAGCGGCGCGGCATCGCGTGAGCGCGGGAAAATTGGTGTTACTACTCGATGTAGGAAAGTTCGTTATGACAGTATTATAGTCTTACATAGGTACAGAGTAGCTAGCTTAGATGGATAGGGTGGTTGGAGTAACGACATTTGGCACCTTACCTAGTACTGTAGTTATGAATGTGATGATGAGATGCACATGTCATATTCCACTCCCCCTAGACTATTCACAATCTTTATGTACCGAATTGCCGGGTCCATTCCATCAGTCAGTTCTTCATTATGAATGCTCATCTTGTCTTTCCCTGCCATTCATTTGATTGAAAGAAAATCCAAAATCCACAAAGAGATACAAGAAGTAAGAATGTCGCACCAGAACAATAAATGTAAAATCCAAATATTTAACGCGCCGCATTTTCCGTTGAGGATAAACGGTCATGAGGATGAAAATCGAGGAAGTTTGGTCCATTTTGGTATCAAATGGTTTACCTTTGGGCTGTTGAAGTTTGAAGGACCTTGGCGAGTTTGCATATGCGGGTCTGTTTGATTTCGAAGCTTTTGACTTTGGACGAGCTCTGAACTGGTAATTTACCGATGATGTGAATTGATTGAGATGATGATCATCTGGTGCAGATGTTTTGTGCATAAACTTACCCCAAGTCTAGTCGCAATTTGGTACGGACTGGACGATTTGAATGAATAGCCTATGATTGCCCAAAACCAGGCCCGAAAGAACACCTAGATTTTGACATCTTTGTTTGGAAAGCAGTAATAGTTTCAGGATTGAGTGGACCGGAATACTTCTATGGCATGGTGGCTATATCTCCTCCGTGGTTGTGATCACTTCTTTCGTTGGCGTTTGCCTATTCGTGGTGGTGCTTAGATACCTAGAGTGTGGAAGTTTATGCTTTGTGCTATGTAGGACCAAACACTAGATACTAGGGGATTGATTATACACTGACAAATCATGGATAACGGGGATGATGTACTGCTAAATGGTAGCTCAAGGTCCAGTCTGGGGAAGGTCGTTGATTGATTAATTGGATGCAGATCATTCCAATCCTACCGAAGTATTTCAGCGGCGTATTTGAAAATTGGAAGTTCCGAAAATGATAGAAAGGTAAAAAAAAGTACAAGACCCATGGGACGATGGTGATTCCCGATACAAACGGTTTGGAAGATTGCGCCAACATAGTACAACGAATTGGAATCATCTAATCAAATCAAACGGAGACTCCAACGAACTGGTGGCTTGAATAAGCTGGAGACGAGGAAGGTTTCCGCCTAGAAATTGTATCGCCTCCGTACAAGATATCTATCGTACCTCCTATGTGTCTCCGGAATATATACATAAACGGGTTAGATGATTCATTTGGATCTGAGCTTCACAGGCTGGGGTTTATTCTATCTTTACCTTTTTTATCCTTCTCTTGAAACGCGGTTGAGGGTGTCTCTGATGGTACAGAATATGCAAGATGATCAAAGGTCTGGGCGAGATCTGATTCTCATGTTCAAGGTGTTGCTTTCCATGGATTGATTATTGGTATGAGATTATCGATTCGCTCAGGTGTGATGCATTTGCCTTGTCCTCGTAATTAAGTCAATTGACCAATTAGCAGCATCTTCAGCCCTTCATCGCAGACAATTGGGAAATAGGGGAAAGAGGTGCATATCCTTGGTGAAGGTTTTATGTCGTTCCAGCATGACATACATATACCCCGTATAAAAAACATAAACGAGTTAATGATATCAAATCAATGAATTATGAACGAGATATATGAAATATATGAATTGATCAGGAAGCCAGTCAAAATGACTTAAAGAAGCTCGATGGTAATCATGGGTATTGTTTCCTGCATGTTGACATGGTTGATGCATGTATGCAGGTATTCTCAGGCGTGTCAATCAAGGATATTTGAATGGTTAGATTTCAATAAAAGTATAAGAGATTCGATTTATTTCCAGGATGTCTGGCTTTTGAGCTGTCGGGGTTCAGATATGACTTCTGGGATGAGTGAATGAAAGAGGTGCGTGTGAGTGAGTGTGTGTGATACGATGATACTTGGAGGTATGAGTGGAGTTAATGTGTTCCTATTTGTTCCTATAATAAATACTATTGAAGTAAAATGTGCTTGCTTTACCGTAGGTACCAGGTAGGTAGGTACCAAGTCAAAGTCTCTAAATTTATGTGGTGAGGGTCGATCGATGGCCTAGAAAGGTGCTCGAGTCGTAGGTACCGGTACTCCGTAGTATCATAATGATAATATTAAAATGCATGAGATCCATACAGAACCACACTCCCCTACCCTACACCACTATGACCGACGATGAGCTTATGCCAGTCAATGCTACACGAATAACCATCCATCGATCAGTTACCGCTTAGCTTTGGTCTCTCACGCGTTTTGGCGTGTGTGATGGGTAATGTCATGCTAAGATGCATCATACTCCTCCGTACACCAAGATTCAAGGGGACCAGGACCAGGACCAATATAGGGAATAGAGAGGTATGCACCGGAAGGAGGAAATACGTAAAATGGACCAAGGACCAATGAAAATGGTGAAAACGCGACTTTTCTAACCGGAGCAAAGCCATCAATTGATACGAAAATCGTGCCATTCTGAAATCTTGCTATGCTATGTATACCCCGTACTTTTGAAATTCCGAGGTCATTTATTTATTATTAGTCAACTGCCTCTTCTCGGCATGGCTTACAAATTCATTTCTTCCTACTAATAATAATTGTGCATACGGGGTACAATACCGGTAATACAAGAATAATCCTTCCATGCCTTCACTCGGAAGAAGAAGAAGCAGCATCTTAACCTTTCCTTTCTTAGGAATAATTGATGATAGAGCAAGCAATCTTTCTGTCCCTCTTATCCCTATTGAATATTGAAAATTGAAATCAATCATACCATTAAAAATGCTACTAAAGGCTCACGTCCGCGTTCGTGCTCTCCCATTCCAATTCATCAAGGATTCTTATTATTATTATTGAAGTACTCCGTACTGTAATAATGAAGACACCAGATGGGTAGGTAAGGTACTTGCTACATAGATCACACCTCATACAAGCCAACAGGGAAGAGCGCGTTCAATAAAACACACCAAAACACACCATTACCATCCAAAAATGCTCCGTACATCCACATCCATCTCCGTCTACATTCACAACGCCGATTAGGGATTTTTCATCTGATGTTAATTCGCCCTAGCCTTTAGGTACTAGGTAGGTAGGTAGGTAGGTAGGTAGGGTAGGTGTCTAGTAGGTATGTATTGAGGGAGAAAAAGAATTATATATCTATCGTACATAATAATAATTCCCGCTGCTTGTGGAGATTTTTACTGCCACCGCTTCTCTGTCTGTCTGTCTGTCTGTCTGTCTGGCTGTCTATCCATCCATCTGTCTATCGGTCTACTCTCTATCTTTCTCTTATTACTCTCACTCTCACCATCATCGCCCACTTCCATCTCTTTGCCCAAGCCCAGCAGCTACTTGGATCCTTCTCAATGCAGCAATAATTCTCCCGATTAACCAAACAAGGAAAGTCGTCAAATAAATAAGAAAAAGCCCGACCACACACACACCAGCCAGACCTCACTACTTCTTACTCAATACCTGCAAAAGCACTTACTCCACTTATACAATTCCCCCCCATGTCAAAAAGTAATAATCTCTAAACCATTCCTATTATGGTGTAGGAAGAGACCCTCTCTTAGTTCCATTTCCACTACTGCGTACTTTCTTACCCTCAACCTTCTCTCGAGATCCATTCGATCCAATTCTTTTCACTCACTCATTGAACTACACAAACCTCCCCTCTTCTTCTTCTCTCTCCAAATTTCTTCTCTCTTTTCCTCTCCTCCGAAAGACCCTCATTCATATATCAATTAAAGGGAATCAAAGAGGTCATTGGATAATTGACACCTTGTTATGTTGAAGCCCGAAGAAAGTTGAAAAAAAACAAGCAAGAATTTTGGTAGAGAATTGCTACATTTGCAGCTTCCTATGCACAACAAGATTCATACTTGAAACTTTCCCTCGACTGTCCATAGCTGTCTCTTTCTACGAGGAAAAAAAAGAAAGAAACTACTACCAACACATTCACCTCCCCTCAATCTTCGTCTCGACAATCACGAAGATTATTCTTTTCTGAATAGAATTAAAGGACATCATCGTCTAATCACTCAATTCAGCATCGAAATCATCCTCCTACTCAACCACCCCCCCTCCCACCACAACTTCACTACAATCAACTCTCAACTTTAACCTTCTCTCATCTCGACACTCTTCAGAAACAGATTCAATCCCCCCCAACAATTGTGTTATTTCTGCCAAAAAGTTTCGAATTTTTTTCTCAATCAAACTCTTCAATATTCTTCAATCTCCAATACCTCGAATTATTTTATTCTTTGTATTGTTCGGTTGAGGTAATAATTTTCAATAATCTTCTCAAGTGGCACCTCCTTCCGTTGTCAATCTCAATCTCAATCTCATCAACTCTTTTATAAGAAAGGAGTTTAAGATTTGACTCCACAATTGAAAGCCAAGATACTCGACAGTTCAAGGTGAGCATTGATCCTGACCCCTCCCCATCTTTATGCAATACCTCCCAATCTAAAGACTCGTTCAATTAAACACGCAAAATTCTTCATGAAGGGCATTGACTGACATATAACTCTTGGTTCCCCTTACTTAGTTAGCATTTTACATGCCAACGGTCGCGCATCTCACCTTAAACAACATTCTTCCACAAAAGCTCTTCGTTCCTCCTGTACCAGATACTCGGCACGCAATCACACCAGAAGATCAAGATAGTCAAAGATCGGAGACGTTTACTCGTTCATCCTATCTTAACTTCTCCGGAGAATATCTTAAACATTTCTACCGCATTATCCTCCCATTGTCTTCCATCTAAGAGGGATCTACCTTGGTGAGTCTCGAATCCTGACTTGCTCCTCAATTTACGCATCGAATCCCCCTCTCCCTCCCACGTTCTTGCATGACCCAAAAAGCATTCCCCTTGTCCACCTCTACATGATTGCAACATCTCCCTTTTCTCTTTTCTCCTATCTACTCCAATTCCGGCTGAAAACCTCGCTAATCCCAAAATTCACCAGATTTTTCTCCGATATCTTATAAAGTGATATTCACCTGCCGCCTCATCAATATCAACTTTGAGAGGTTCAGCTTTTTGCACTTTTTGCCATCTTTTTTTTTGGCCATTTACGTTCATTTTCGAATTATAGTTCCACCCCACACTCTCTAATAATAATTTATCCTAAAGTATCGTTCTATCGAACTATACAGCACATTCCTTTACAACCAACAATACAGCAATCCAGTGCCTATATCGAAAGCCACTGTCAGGTCGAAGCTCCAGGAGAACTTGACGTCCATTCCTTCCCTACAACCAAACACCACAATAACCACAACTCCAAATCACCTTCAACATGTCATATAGTCAGCCTTGTGACACGTTCTTCGTGGAGGATAATACTTTCCAACAACCATCACAACAGCAGCAACCTCGACCAAATACTCAAGAATATATCAAGATGATGGGTCGAAGGAGGCAGGAAGCCATGGCCAACGAATTATCTAGACAAGCTTGTGATGCTTACATGGATGATATTATTGATCACATGGCATCGATGGAGGTCAATAATTCTGCGTTGTACTGATTTCATGTGACCTTGTGCTAACATCTCCACAGGATGCGACTATGCCAGACGTTGCCTCGATAGAAATTCAACAAGAGATTCAATGGTTCATGCGACCTTATCTCATCGATTTCCTTATTGAAGCTCATTCTGCCTTTCAACTTCTTCCAGAAACACTTCATCTCGCCGTTAACCTCCTCGACAGATACTGCTCGCGTCGTGTTGTCTACAAGAGACATTATCAATTGGTTGGATGTGCTGCACTTCTCATTGCCGCCAAATATGGAGACAAGAAGGAGCGAGTTCCCATGATACGAGAGCTAAAGTCAATGTGCTGCTCGTTATACGACGAGGAGATGTTTACTCAGATGGAATGGCACGTATTGAACACTTTGGAGTGGATGATTGGCCACCCTACCGTCGATAGCTGGCTTCAATTGGCCTTATTGGAAGGACCTGAGTACGAAGATATGACCGTCGAGCACATGTCATGGTACATCTGTGAAATGGCTTTATACCACAAAGAATTTGTCTCGGTCAAACCTTCAGCAATGGCCCGTGCGTCTCTGGCACTTTCGAGAGATATCCTTGGATGCCCCGAGATGGATACCTATGGACAAGTCGATTCGGATTTGATGCTAAGTCTTTCTCGACAACTTAATCAACCATCCTCGGTCCTCGCAAGGAAATATGCTGCTCCACAGTTATCAAGAGTCTCCGAAGTGCTTCGACGATTCCTTCTTCAACAAGCAGCTATGAGCCAATGCCATGTCACTCCACCAACTCCCCCCGCTGAACCAACCGCTATTCAGAAGCCAGTACAACAACACGATGTGTACAGCACACCGCAGAAGGCATATGGACAGCATGTCGTCAATGGTTACCTCACACCGCCGATTACCCCCGAAGGAGAATATTTTGGTCAAGGGAATGGAAATGAAAATAAACCTTATCAGACTTCAGCACCTAGATGTCCGATCACACCAACTCCACAAGCTCAGATGCAATATAGTCAACAACAATACCAGCAACAGTCATATCAACAAGACATCGTCATGCAGTAACTGAGGACTCCTTGGAGTTGTTTGAATCATTCTCATCCTTGCATCATCTATGCCTTGATCTCGGAAATAATACCACACCATCCTCACATGTACCACAATTTGTATTGACTGTGCCGAACTCGTCGGTTATTTCATAGGCATTCGATCAGAAGCCTAATTCTACGGAATTCATCGTTTCTGTGTTCGGCATCAGCGCATTTCATCGACCTATTTTTCCATTGAAAAATATCTGGCATTAGCGAATCGTCGGTTTTTATTTCTCTTCAAAACAATCATCTTGTCGCTCTAGCGTTTTTTTATTTACAACACACAATTACAACACACACCGCGCTCTTCAGCAATCAACTTTTCCTTCTTTCCTTTTGTTTCTTTTGCGGGCGCAATCTACCTTTTGATAGTAATTGAAGAGGAAGAGAATGTGACTGGATAAGGAAAAATTAGGAAGGAAATGGAGTTGGTTTTCTGGGTGTGGATATTTTTCTTTGTTTCTGCAGGAAGTTTTTAGTTCTCTTCATACCCTTCTTGCACATTAAATTCAGATCAAATCAGGTCACAATCAATCAAAATTTGGGGCACGAGAGGATATTGAATGCATTCATTACTGACATGCATCCTTTCTTATCGGGGGGATGTTATGCTTCAGTAATGGGTGGATGTGGATAGATTGTTGAGGATCTATGGTGATGGAAGGATGGGAGATTCTTCCATGATTACTTAATAGAGATTGATTGATGGGGATTTGGTGGAGGAACTTTATTTTCGGGGTGGTTTTGTTTGGTAGGATAGGTGGCATGGTTGGATGGAGATACCCAAGATCAAATCAGAATAAGAATGGCTTGCGTGCTTTCCGCAATAGTTGTGGGGATTATTACTTGATATCCAAGAAGTGGTGGATGTGGTGAGCCAAGTGAAGGTAGTGGAGTGCATTGGGGATCGTTAGCATGGATGCATACGTGGATGGATGGATGGGTATAAAATAAAATGGATAATAAGATACCTACCTGATCATCATAATATTGTGCCATCTAGTATGAATGTATATTGTTTTGCTTTTGGTGAAGATGATGTGTGACTTTAGACTTTGTGACGTATGAATCTGTAATCACCGGTGATGATTGTAACAGCTTCCTTTATGTAAAAGTAAAAGTCAATAACTTAATTAATGATCAAGCAAACCTAATTACTAAGTATTCGTTCAACTTTCTCTATATAAAAAACACGGATAGATATCTATCTATTCATTTGCTTGTATTTTATCTCATCTTGATTTATCTTTTCATTTATATTATATCATATTTTCATTTCCTTTCTTTTCTTTTTTTAGTTCATCTTCATATCATTGTATACTATTTTATTTTTGAGTTTTATTTATATAGAGATGGATAGGTAGAGGGTAGGTGGTAGATGGTAGATGGTAGATGGTAGATGGTAGATGGTAGATGGTAGATGGTAGATGGTAGATGGATAGATAGATATATAAGGATAGAAGAGATTTGATGGTTTGGTTTGGTTGGTATATGGGTGCGTTGGTTGGTATGCGAGGAGGTGATGAGGATGGGGAGTGAAATGTAGATGGTAGATAGATAGATAGATAGATAGATAGATAGATAGATAATAACTAGATGGTAGGTGATATATAGATAATATATAAATAATTAATAGACAATATATTCTAGATATTATACAAGGTATAAAAAAGATAGATGAAAAGAAGGGAAAAGAATGAAAATAAATGCAATTTTTTTGAAAGATATAGGAAATCTAAAGATAATAAAACAAAGATTAAATTTTTTATAAAGAATAAATTAGATTATAAAGTAAAAAGAGGGAAGATGAGTTGTAGGATGGAGATAAGATGAAGAAAAGGAAAGAGGGAAGAAGAAAGAAAAGGAAATAGAAGTTTAAGTCTGTAGATGAATTTGAGTAGATGAGTGGATGAGGAGATGAGGGAGATGGTGGATGAGAAGGGAAGAGGAGTGTAGTTATTTGATTTGATAGAATGATTTATATTATTTAATATATTAATAATAAACAAATAAATAATAATAAATAAATAAATCTTGATCAGTTATATATTTATTGATTTATATATTTGATTATTGATTTATTATAATTTAAAAAATTTGATTTTTTATTATCTAAACATTTGATTTTGATTTTGATATTGATAATAATATTGACAGTTATTGATATATATTCTATAAAATAAAAATATAAAAATTTTAATTATATAAATGATATTAATAAAGATAATATTTATATATAAGTTTCATCTTATATAATAAGGATGAGAATATAAATAAAATAAGATTTTGTAACTGGTTAAAAGAGAAGAGATGAGAGAGGGTAATAGGATGAGATGAAGATAATAAGATATATTTAATAAACAACAACAGAAATTATATTATATCGATATTGAGAGTGATAGTTCGAAATACAAAGTTGAGAAAATTATTACGAGATTCGGTTTGGAGATTTAAGAAAATAATTCCGGGTTGGATGAAGTGAATGAGAAAAGTATAATATATAAATATATCTGTTCAATTAGCTGTATTAAAGAGCTGGCTAGAGTCATCATATATTTGTATGATAAAAAATATTCACTTGTTAGTTTTGATAGCTATAGCGAAGTGTTAGATGGAGGAGAGTGTTGTTCTATGAAGATATAGAGAGAACGTTACACTAGACTTCGTCTCTTTATTTATCAAGTTATAGAGAGTTAAAAAAAGATATATTTAAATTAATGTATTGTATCTTCACATTTTGTATTTCACTACAAAAGGAAACCAATTAATCGTCTTTCCATTATTCGAATTCGTTTCATTAGTATTTATTATTATTTTAAAAAAACCAATATTAAATAGCAATAGCACTTACTTAACAACTCCCCGATCCCTCCAAGCATTAGCAAAGCAACCACCCTTACAAAAATACCTACCAAAACCACTTACCTCACTTACCTCACTTACCTCACTTACCTCACTTACCTCACTTACCTCACTTACCTCACCCAACTCACATAACTCTACACCTACTCCTCCTCATCAAACATCTAATACATCTCCTCCTAGCCTCCCGATCTACACGGTGGTAGCGCGGGCAATTTTCAGGAATACAACGGGTACGACGTTGATAAGAGCAACGACGGAGTCGTCGTTCGTAGTGGGGACAGCTGAAATCGAAAATTATGCTTTTACACATTTTGATTGGTGGAAAATTAGTTCTGTGGGGATTTTGGGTTTGGGTTTGAGGGCTGGGGTTTGAGTGCTGGGATTGCTGTTGGGATTGTGACTTGGTTTTTTGACTTTGTGTGTGTATTTTAAGTTGCGAAGGGTTTGTAGAGGAGAGAAAAGAAGGAGGAAGGGAAAATAGGGGGGTTTTCTTATACACGAGAATGAATGGTTGTTGTTTCAGCATTCTTGTTTCGAATCTCCGTTTACGTTTTTGTAGATTTGGAGAATGGAGTCGAATAGAACAATGTACGAACAATTCTATTATTCTCGATTTCTGCCCTGAAGCGGAGAGGCTTTTCTAGAGAGTAGTCTTTGTTGAGGAAAGATAAGGAATAAGCGAACTGAAAATTCAAGTAGTCTGTCATCTATTTGCAGGTATTAATAACTTTACTTTTCTTTCTTTATAAACATGTATTGCACCCTTGTTGGAATGGAAGGAGCTTGAACTGTTGTATGGGTGATATAAATGGTAAAGCTATTTTGATACCATGTGTGTGGAGAGACAGACGAATGTTGAGAAGTGTAGAGAAATGAGAAACATTGAGGAAAGGGCTCACAGCTTTGTTCACTTCTGACAGTGTAATTATGAAGGAAGGATGCAAGGGCTTGCTGTGTTTGACTAGGAGTCATCACTAAAGCACTTGCTGATTTGTTGAAAGGAAAGTCAGTGTTTACTTCGATACGAGTAAAAAATACCAAAAGAGCAGAGTCTAGAGCAGAGGCTATCCCATATTTCCCATTCCACAGCATTCATAGGAAACCTCGTCGACATTCAGGACTTGTACATTAATATATCCTGAAATAGGAAATCAACCGTTTCCGCAATTTTCAACGCCAAGCTTTAGACATCATAACAGAATAGACAACGACAATCCATAAATATCTCCAAAGAAACGCACACCGGGTATTCGCTTTCGTATCCAATTTCAATTTCCATTCCCTAATTCATCCACCCCAAACCTCCAACCCATCTCCTTCCGTCTCTATCCCTTCCCGCACAACTCAAACATTTCCTTTCCATCCCCAAATTACTCACGGCACAAGAATGACAAACTTGCTTTCCACAACTAATACATCCATGATTTGTCTCCCCAGTTCCATGCATATTAATATCCATCATAGTATCTACATCCATTTCGTCACCGCCTTCTCTATTCGCTAGCGATTCATCACAATCTTCGCAATTGGTTGGTAGGAAAAGATGATGTGTGATAGTTTTTGGAGAGACGGATGTAGATGATGCATAAGAAGAATCGCTATCAGGTGAAATTTGACGGTTTGATGGTAATTGCCAGAACGAGTGTAGTGAGGCTTGGTGTGCAGGGTTATTCGGTGGGTGAGGTATTATTGTACGAGGAGAAATTGCCGATGGCGATGGAGGTGACATACAGCTCGTATCTATATTTGAAGGCTGTTGAGCGGAATAAAGGAGAGAGAGAGTATGTTCTGTAGAGTTGATTAATGCTTGCCACGCAAACGTTGGATTGTTGGAATCAGCGGACATACGATGAACAGTCTCTTCATTTGGTCGATTATCTCTGTGACGCTTCCTCGTACGAGAGGAAAAAAGATTTGGCGGTGCTATTGATGTGGAATCGATATTCATAGAATTGGCATTGTTGGAATGGAGGGGACTGGGTAGGAGTGATGAAGCGGTGGAGATTTCAGATTCGGAACGTTTGCGCTTGAGATACATCGTGGGGTTGTTGATCTGTTGGAAGAATTACTGATATAGCTGGGGACTTGAATATTATGGACGATTAGACGAATTGATGCATTGATCTGGACAGAAAAGGTTGGTTGATGTTGAATTGATTGATTGATGAAGGAATTATAAGAGGCTGGAACGCGAGATTCTGAATGAAACCACTTTACGCGAGGAGGTGCGCTAGCTTGATTTAGAAGACGTGGACTGCACGTTGTACCGATGATTCCCTTTGAGTTCAACATCAAACTTCAGTTCCTACACGATTAGTTGGTCATTTCCCTTTTCTACTTGAGTTGTATGTTGTATTTACTACGCTTGTGGCTAATTGATATTATATACTCTTTTTAATTCGAGCTTCCTGAGGTGCCCACCCTCTTCCCTTCACCACTTTGTTCCACGAGAGCTCAAGGGCTGTGGATAACTGTATTCCACGGTACTCATTCAATGTATGGCATCTATCGAACAGGTTGATTGAACGTACTAGAATTACCAATAGCCTGCCTACATGCTTAAAGCAGTCGTTTAAACAAGAACACAAACACGGAACTCATGAAGTTCCATGGGCTGTGATGTGAATATGATTTGTACGTTGTGGAAGATGTTAGCAATTCAAACATTCAAGTTCCTTTAAACAGCGGTTCCGTTATATTAGAGGGTCACAAATTTGCCTTCCGGCATGCCATGCTTGATTCTTTGATCTGAAGTATTTTCATACCTGGCCCTGGCTACAATGAACTTCAATCGACCAAGGAATCACAACATCTCAATCAAGAAGATTAGTTGGTGAAATCTGGAAGCAGGATCCCTTCGAACAGCTGTTATCCACCAAGCAAACTACGGGATCCCAAATCGGCCACTACAAATACTCATTTCTTCTTTGAGTGCATTACTCCATGCCATTCATCAACTCATCCTCTCGACCCCAAGAGTAAACCGCTGGCAACATCTTAAAACATCGGCCGTGATGGGTTTCTTGGATGATTCATAACTTCTCGGTCAATATAAGAATGATAATCAGTGCTATAACCTGACCAGATGGCGTCAGCCTTGATCCATGATTCCTCTTCGGCAATCTTATTGAACGGCTTGTGAGATCCCATCCTCATTTCCTTGGTGACTCTCGGGAGACACATAGCTAAATGATCAAACAAGCTGGGCATGATTTTGTATCACCGCGACAATTCTGTATTGCCATAGGGTTGACCGGCTCTAGCACGGCGCATCCTTCTCCATTCTGGTCCACTCGCGACTGTAGCCACTCCCCACGAGGAAGGCAGCTTCAGTGCAGATAATGCGACAGAACTTACCAGGCTATTTAATTTATCTGCTGCCTTTGGCGGACATAATCCCGAGTAGCTGGAGTCTAAATATAGTCTCGGACGTGGTGAGAGAGCGCCTCGAAATCACTTTGCAAATCCCACTAGGCTTGTACAATGTGATTAGATTCAAGACTTATCGTGAGTGATAAGCTATTACTACCAACCATACTGAACACCTGATCTCCTAAGATCTGAACATCGAAGATATATGTCGGATGCAATGACCCAAGTAGTCATCGTGAAGGTGATGGCTCTATTTCTCGATGATCCCTTTCCGTTTCCCTTGCAGCCATATTAAAGTTCGGGGACGATGCTTCAAAGATTTGAGATTATAAGAAAAAACTGATTCATTATGGCGACTGAGTCGATAGAAATTAATGGCTAGTCTTTGGCGTTATTTTATGTAGGGGACCGGTGTGAGGTGATAGAAAATATTCGAGCCACTGAGTAACCGCCGCAGCCACTCACCAAATTCCGTGGTAACAAATTCTCTAGGTGTCACATACTTCGAGAGTTCATCGTCCATGTCAGAAATACCAGGACAATATGCGGCTTCTGCATCTATGGAAGCAACTCCCGATGGTCCCGTATCCCAGTCAATATCCATGCCAGAGCGAATAGACCAATACGTGGCTTCGGTTTGATTTCCTTGTTTGAGATAAAGGCCACACTAGTACTGCTGCCGATATCATCTTCAGCTTTAACATTGCTAGAGTGGAATGCTCGAAGTGCTGCTGTTGGAATAAGAAACCTAAGAATTCCAGACTGTTAGCATGGATGATTGGGGTTCTATCAATCCTGCATGTCTTTAGTGTTCACTGCCTTTGTCTTACCTCTCTCTCTTGCTCACTTGCACCAGAAATTTTCTCTAGCTGCGATGGGCAGACTCGAAGCAGTCTGAACTTCCAGACATGCCGATTTTCAATGTCTATGAATCACAGAAAGAAGGAAAAGTATTTTATGAATCTTCGTACAAAGTTACCACGAAGATGTAGAGCAAAGACGTTTCTTTCATATTTTGTTGTAAGGGCGTCGTGGCGAGGAGGGTCTGCAAAGAAAAGCTAATCTCGCAAAGCCCGGTAGTTAGCACTGCCTCCTGCTAGTCTAGTAGGTCTTAAGAGATTACCAATTTCAGCCCTCTATGATGGATTGTATCTTGGATCTTACCTGGCTAGAAAACAAATTAGAAAGTATTAATAATTTGGCTATATGCGAACATACACTCTTATTATCTTTATGATGGTAATGGCTGAATAGACATCAATATTTAAATTTCAGGGGCAGTCAAATTAGGTTAATTTATAATCTCTTACCTGTATTAAAATCACTATCTACACCTGCTGCTTCCTGCATATCCATTCCTTATTTTCAGTATGTGCGTCGCACTCTCCTGGCAAATAAAACTTTCACACAAATAATCAATCTATGTTCTTCTATCAGCATAGTTCTGCAATCATTCTATATCCCTTTGTTCCTTCGCTGCCTTGAAGGGACCACCACCAGATATTACCCTCTCCGGAGCATGCCTTCTCTTTCCAACTCTTCAGCCCGCCTCTTCACCATTCTATCGTAATTATCCGCCCAAAATTCAATTCTGCGAAAAGCTGGTGGTGGTATAGTCATTTCTTCTGAAGAAATGGAAGCAAAACCGGGCGATGGTGCATAAAGGGCTCGAATAGCCGACTGCTGGTCAATGAACTACATCAAGTCTTTCGTAGTTGCTTGGAGTGTTGATTGCTTTCCAATAGCATCCGTTAGACCCCCGACAGTTTTGCCCTGCATGCGAAAAGCCCAATGACCCAATCTATCTTGCAATCGATTTTGCAACTGACATAAGCAGTCCGTATCGCCTGCAATATAGTTTCTTGCAGTATCGTTGATTGGTCTAGCTGTCAATGGTCGCCAGCCATGCCCTCTGAAATAATCTCCACCAGCGTCCTTTTCGCTCAGCCAATCATCCAGCTCTGTCGAAGTCATAAATTTGCCCCCTTCTTCTCTCATAGCTCTCATCAAGCCACAAATTCTTGACCTCTGTCCCTCGGCGAGATAAAAGCTCCATTAGCTGTACGTCGCGAACCTTGCCGATTTGAATCCCGAACTTGTGAAACAAGGTATCCCAATCAGTACGCACATCCCACCAGAGCTGAATTCTGTCGTGGGACTCTAGAACCTTCTTGAGAGATAGACCGTCCTTACTCTCACGCTCAAAAGTCGTTCCCTTAAGCTCCCAGACATCGAAGACATAGGTTTCGTTCATTGAGATTATGGTCATCGACAAAAATGATATGTCCCCGTCGCGACCAAAACCTCCACCGGGAATATGAACCCCATTTTCGTCCTCTGAAGGGGTACTTTCGCAATCGAATGCAAGCTCAACTCCATCCTTTAGTTGACAGAGGGCGGGCAAGAATTCATCGAGCTTCTCGAGTGTGTCGATCATGATTACTGGTTTCGGCTCTGCGGGCACCCGTTCTGGAAGTTCCTGATTCTCATAGTCCCAATCAATTTGTGCTCCATCATTGTCGCCCCATATGAAAGGAGTTTGCGTCTCCCATACGTCGTCTGATTGATGCCAGGAGTCATCTGTATTGGAATCTGTGGCCCATTCGCATTCGGAAAAGCTGGCATCCCACTATTCATCAGAAGTCTCGCTTTCCGAGCTACTGCCGCCCTTATCGTCGCCAGACAAGTCCTCTTCATAGCTAGAGTTTAATGAGAGGTAGTACGATCATGAGAGGTCCCACTCGTTATCAGTAAGCGAGTTTGTCGAGTGATCCTGAACGATCGGGCTGGTTGTGAGGTTGTTTTCGTTGGTAACAGACATGTCTATTGAGTAATTTTTCTAGTATGGAGGGAAAAGTAGAATATGTTGTGAGAATGGGAAGAGATGTTATCCGTTAGAGAGTTCACCCCATTATATGAGCTGGCCTAGTTCGTTGTTAGTGATCGCGCTAATAGAAGGCACCGTAGCATGGATAAGCCAATATGATGGTACCATCTCAGCCGGTTCCTAAGAGGATTCATGAATAATATTACCGTATTCGAGTGTCTGACGAGGTATAATATGGTACAGTGATGAGCATGACTTAAACAACCACGGTACACCATCACAATTCTCATTTTAACTGATTAGCGAGACCATACTCGTGTACGGCATTTGGTGTATTAGATTAGCTGCTAGTACTAGCAATGAATACATCAGATTGTTGAAACAATTATAGTTGTAGGTGTGAAGAGAGTTATCTTATTATTGGAGCTACGGTTCCTGATTATATAAATCTGCAATCATCGTACTTTCTATAATGAGTTTAACACGGTTACCCTTCCCCCCAACAATTTCGACCAAAAAACTAGTAAATATGAAGTTATTCCCGGCCCCTTTCTAAGCCTATGAACTTCTGCAAAACCTTGAGACTATCCCGGCTTGAATTTTGGAGTTAGCAGCCTCTTACCTATGAAACTAATAGTCCAAATCATATAAAACCAGTGCATTATATCCATATCTAGGAATTAACATATTATAGTTTTATTAGATCTTCGACTTGTTTGAAAATCCATCGATCGTATTGGAAACTAATATATTATAGTCTTATTAGGTCTTCGATTTGCCAGAAAAACCATCGACTTGTCGGGAACCATAATACTACGAAAGTATGCATACCGGAGCGAGTCATCGGCTACAGAATTTATTCGTAGTTGAGCACTTATAGGGATGGCAGACCTGAGAAATAACGAGGGGATCGAATTTGAGAGTGAAAATGAAGTTTAACGTACGTTGTCGATCGATAGTATATCTTCAATTGTGATACTGGCAGGTCGAATATAAGTAGTGTAACGTAGAATTCGAATATCTTGAAGTTAAGAACCCCCCAAAGAACCTATCTATCCCTATATAAATCACCATAAAAGGATTATATTTGTAGATATAAAGGGTTATCTTATCGTTGGAGCTACGATTATTGATTATATAGACCCATAACCATCATGCTTTCCACATTGAGCCTAACACTATACTATCTTGAACATTTAGCATAGCATGGTAATTAGGTTTTACGAGCATAGTGATATCGCTAATATGCAGGCGGGAGAGGCACAGAGAGAGGGTATTCATCACTACACTGGATGGGCACTACTGTCATAAATTCACCAGTATCGCATTGTACCACCACACTGGCTTTCCAAACAAGGACAAAGGTTCTTCCTACGACCGATCAAGTCATTAAATGCTTAGAATTTTACTGAGGAATCTGGGGTGTCCCACTATTCAAATCCGCGTTTCTGACTAAGATGTTGGTTAATCGGCTAAGAGAGCAAGATTGCTACTTTGGCTTGATAGCAAGCCTTCTTTTATGATCAGTCCAAAACTGATTAATTACGCACGAGGACGCGCCTCTTCTCAATATAACTCAAATCGTGCTTTCTATTGATTAGATCTTCAATTAGCTTTTACTTCTACTCGTTAGACGAAAGATCTACAAGGAGGTTATCAAATCCTTTGCGGTCGCTAACAGTTCGTTTAGGAGGAACGTTATTAAAGAGAATTTTAGGGCTGAATTTGACAGCAACGTGGGGGTTGTGATTGAGTACCTATTCAATGATTGGATTCATAATAAAAAGGTTCTAGTTGTAGGTGTGAGAGGGTTATCTTATTATTGGAGCTACGATTCCTGATTATATACACCCACAATCATCATCGTACTTGCCATATCAGGCTAACAATCAGGATAATTTGTCTTTTGCCATTGGACCAGTCGGATGACTTTCTCATTTAAAGTTTTTAATATAATAGATTTAGAATTCTGTTTATATTAATAATATTCAAATTCATGAAATCTTTTGAATTAGTTTAAACATAATATATAATTTCTTTTCAAATATTTCAATTACAATAAATTAAATAGATTAATTTTATCAAAAAAAAATATTTATATTTATATTTATATTTATATTTATATTAATATTTTATTTTAATAAAATTAATAAAAATTCTATTAATAATATTTTATCAAATTTTTTATAAAAGATTTCTAAAGATTTACATTTATATATATTTAAAGATTTTATAATTTAATTTTTAAATCTAACTTTTATTTTATACTAGGCCTGCGCCCCGGATCCCTGGCTTTCGAGAAAGTCTAATACAAATTTAAATTTTAAATATATATTAAAGTATAAATAGAATATCGGCTTATTTTAATAATTAAAAATTTAATTTTTATTTAAAAATAATAATAATAATAATAATAATAATAATAATAATAATAATAATAATAATAATAATAATAATAATAATAATAATAATAATAATAATAATAATAATAATAATAATAATAATATAATAAGTTAAATAAGATAAATTGAATGATTTGAATTAAATTGAATGATTTTAATTAAATTGTAAATTGAGTTGAAAAAAACTTCAAATCAGATTTGCTTAAGATTGTAAAGCTTATATCAAGCTTTTTGTTAGATTTTCTATCAAAGTATTTTAGACCAATCCGATTGTCAGAATTGTGATTCATTTAATCGAGTTTCTTATTTTCTACAACCTACACTAGATAAATTGCGGTACGCTACGAGTATAACAAGGTTTTGGTGTTGGCAAGCCGACAATCATCTATTCAATATCTATTATTCATTTATAATATCACTCTCACATCACAAGACAAGAACCAAATAAGATAGATATAATAGGAATCAAAACGATGAATTCCAAATTATTGATTTCTCTCTTTCCCTCCTCCCATCCTTCCCTCTTCCATGGTCCCTCCAAATCCATCATTCACACATACACACTCAACTATCCCATCCCATCCACAATGGTATCGAAAATCGTTAGCACATCCAGAAAATCCGGGCTATTCTCCCTATTTCCATCCAATCCAATCGTAGCCAGCCAATCATAGCCAATCCCATTCAATCCCCATGAACAAAGAGCCTCCCTCCAACCCAATAAACCGGTAACCTAGTAACCAGGCTATCATGCAAAAAAAATCATGAACTCAAATACCCCCTTTCCTATCACCGAAACATATCGTAAAGATATTTATTATTTAATGTTTTAAATAGTATGTATGAATGTATGAATGTATGTAAGAAAAAGAATCAAAACACCTCAAAACTTTAAACCGTCTCCCGATCAGTCTTAAGACGACGTTCGCGGCCCTTAACCGACCAAGGGAAATGAGCGACTGGAATAACGAAGAACGAGTTACTAGAAAAAGAAGCGGAAAGTTAGTTTTTAAATCTCCTTTGAATTTCGAAAATGTGTAAAAGAATGAAAACATACCTATCATCCGCAAGACCAGCCAGAGCATTATACCACGCCATAAATGCAGCGAATAAACCAAAATATCCACCAGCCTTGATAGCACCGGATAGTGCGACTCCCGAAGGACTAGCTCTCAAATGACCAATTCCAAGCATCAGGAATGCCAAGTCCAAGAAGAAGAAGAGCAGGAAAAATGCGACGGTGGAACGTAATGTGCAAACTAAAAGGATGGTGGTGAAGATAAACCAACCCATTAGGAAGAATCCAAATGCATTATTGAAATCGTTGGCGCCGGATCCTTCTCCCGAGTACGCGCTAATAATATCAAATCCACCAGGCGTGAGAACGATTGCGAGTGAAATCCAGAATCCCCCGAATGATGAAAGAGCCGTTGCACCGAAAGTGTTTCCTACAGCCATTTCCCTATATCGTTATTAGCATTCGGATTTTGGATACGGTGTGCCCTCAAACAAGGTATCATTCAGTACATACCACATTCCCGCAAGCAATTGAACAAGACCACCATAACCAAAAGCAAGAGAGATGACAATATCTGGTTTTGTAACACCGGCAGTTCCGACGTTGATAAGCGATAAGACGAAAGTAGTGAGAGCGAAAGCACTGAGACCCAAAGGCGCAGGGTTGGCGAACTTTCTTTCCGTAGTAGGTTTGTAAAGACCAGGTTGGAACTCTCCACCGAATGCTGGGAATCTAGCTGATTCTCCTGTATTCATATGCGCCAAAGGATTTCCTCCATAATCATATCCTCTTGGGGGAGCGGAATGGTTTATGCCAGAGCCGTTGACAAAGGCATGGTCGTGAGTATTACTAGCACCTGAAGTTTCGCTGGTGTATTCTTTATTGTATCCATTATCTGCGGTGGCGGTGGTAGCCATAACGACTTTGTTCGTTGGCGTTCCTAATTCAATATATGTTGGAGACAAGTTGACGTTTCTGATATCGTAGTAGAGGAGCTCAATTTGAACTTTCAATCTTTTTCGGGGGTAATCGAAAGTAGTAACACAATTAATAAATGAATCGACACGGAAAAAAGTAGAATTTCTGAGCAAAAGAAGTGAGAGGGGAAAGATCACCCGGATATATAGTGAATTCCCAAGCTATGTAGATGTAGGTACGTACATGGTACATGGTACATGGTGTTGAACTTGGGGGATGACTGGGGTAAGCAACTTTGATCATACAGTCCGGGGGATCTTGCACGTACCGCGGTCATTTTGCACAGAATTGATTGGATTGAGTAATCATGTCCAAATGATTTAAATTGGTGATAGCATTGGTCAATCCCCATGTTTTCGTCTTTGTCGGGTCTCCAATAGAACGTCTGAACTTCGTAATGATTATCATATCGACATGCCGCATGGAGTATCATGTTGGATCCTGGACCCCGTCATCCACACTCTGCATATCTCCTCCCCTGCCGAGAATCCCGGTTTGGGTCGGACTTACAGGACCTAGGTCTGATAAAAATCATTGTGGGGAAATGAAATAGGTTGTTGGCTTTGGGTCCTGCTAGGATTTGTCTCGCTGTTCGAGTACCTATTGTCTGTCCGTGGTGATGTTTTACTTTCCAGAGTTTCTCCTCTCCGGTTCGTCCAATGATGTTGAACAGGTGCTTGTTCTGCACTACCTATAAAGAGTCCTATTTCCGTTCGACCTCTCACAATGGCTGTCCCTTTCGAAAAGGATTAAAAATATACGGACCTTGTGCTGCAAGCCGCGACATCTGTCCTTTCCCAAGCGAGGTAGCAAAAAGGGAATATGTGTAACCTACAATTTTACCACTACATGTATCAATCAGCTCATTTACTGTGTGTTTTATTCTTAACTCAGCTGCACTGATATCCTGCAGTGGCCAGGCAGTACAGTAGGAGCCACGAGAGAAAGTTGCCCATCATTCACCGATTGATAGTAAACAATTGGTTCGAAAAAGACCACTAAAGAGCGTCGTTGATACCTTCCTACCTTTTGCTGGAAAGAAAGCTGGTCCAGAAGGTGGTTGGTCCTTGATTAGGAAATGGCGTCGGTGGTTGTAAAATTCCATAATCCATAATCCATAATCCATAATCCATAATCCATAATCCATAATCCAGCAATAATCCCACCCACCATTCCACATTCCGGAATTTTCTGATTTCATATGTTTCAAAAGCCAAAGTTATGACGACCAAAAGATTCAATTGGGACCGAGACTAAGCTTAAAAGGGTATGGAACGTGATCTCAACATGAATGTTTCCCCTCTTTGAACCACTTTTTATCCGAACTCCCTGATTGTCAGATCCATACATACAATCCATACATACAATACATACATACATATACCTTTTTTATGGGGTTCGTAAAGTTCAAGATTTCCGATTTCCAATCATACCATCGTCGCATGCCTTAAAAAGCTTGTTGAAAGGTCTGTGTGGATCAAAGTGGGGAATGGTAATGAACGATGAGGAGAAACTGGGGAATTTGAAGCGGGCAAATGTTGAGGCAAATGTTACGGCTGAGAATTTCTCTTCTCAACAATTTATTAGCATCCGCCAACTTGGGTATTAAGTTAATCTTCACATTACTCTCTACAGCTGACGAAAATATCAAAATATTGATTTCCAAGTTTATACTTCATATAACCAATTCCGTATCGCGATCAACGGTGTTTACCTAGCATTTATTGATAGCTGGGATGGTTCATCGCCGAGCTGATAGGGTGCTTTAGTTCTATGCATCTACCTCAAGGTAGGATTGCAGGTGCATGAAAACCCCTGGATGTGTCACTACAAGAGTACAAGCGTCAATCATAGAAGCCTTATCGAACGAAATGAAAAATATCATGAAAATGTTACTTTTTGAATATATAATTATTACTTGCAGACAGTTGATATTGCAGTGACACTTAGTCACACGATTAATAAATTATAGCTTTATTGTAACATCTTGTTATTTATTACATGGGCTATCTTTTTGCTTTACTATAACTAACCTCCATCGCTTGGGCATATCTCAACGGGTTCAATTATCCCGAGTTATCCATGAGAGCACACGAGCACAAGATCACGGAAAAGAAAGAAAACACAGGAGTTGCACACCGAAGGAATAGATTGACTCACATTTCAAAACCACACTATACGCAGTCCAACCTTCCCAGCTCGTATGGGAGGATTCACGACCTTCTATAATCTTAATTCTAGGCCACGGCGAGTGCGAACGGAGGCTCCATCTTCCACCCACAAGGAGTAACGGTATCCGTTCCATCAATGCGTGCTTACGATATATCCTAGCAAGAACCGTCGGACTGGAGCCAGAGCTGATTGTAACTGGTTAGACATACCCCGAGATGCTTACTTTCACTTCACCGCGTCAGATGAAATCAAGTGCCAGGCTGCCAGCTCAAAAGCTCATTGTTTAAACGAGGGGGGAACTTTCAACACATGGAGACGAAGCCATTCTCATTTCTTTTTTCCTAGTATTTCTAATCTCCTTCAAATGGTTAGTCAACGCTTTTACGTACGCGTCAGATAGAACGTTTACGGCTCAAATGGAAAATAGCACCAGAATGTCGGAATTCATCCCAAATCAACGGACACAGACATTCGTTTAAGAGAACATATACCGTAGCGTAATGACAGTAATATCTCCATCTTATCCCTGCTGACTCAAAGGAAAATGAAGAATGAAGAGATCATGGCGATCTGGGAGACAAGACAAAGAAACACAACTACCGAGAACTTAAATACGATGTTCAAAGTTTCTAGAATGAGGAGAAGGAATGGGGGGAAAAGTTAATATTTGATCAAATAAACATGATTATGTATTGTGGAAAAGTTAAGATTGCGGAAGTCTCGGTGGCGGAAAAGGAATAGTTTCGAGGGGGTTTTCCTCGGAAACTTTTCCGCTTTGCATTTCGGATGTTTCTCCTTCCAGATTTGGTGGAGTTATGAATTAAATTATTTCATACCAAGGATATCCTTACACGTGAAAAATCATGTGATGGATAGTTTTCTTTTTTTCTTTTCCTAATGAGCTAGGAAACCGCAATCATGTGCTCATTCATGAAATATATTGAGAAGATAGATTCTACCTACCTAATAGATTGATGATCTATCTCTTGATAATCCCCCGCAGAATACACAACAAACAAAACCACGCACGAGCAAATAACCTGACCTATCTCCTCTGCAGTAGTTTTCCCATCCCATCCCATCTCATATCAGCCGAGTACTACCTACCTACCGTTACATCGAACCCCCTCCGTACAGAATAGTTTCGAGCGATCTGCAGATACAATATATCAGCAATAATCCCCACATTCAAATAAAATAAATAGCCTAATACAACTCTACCCCACCTTAGCGAGCTAATCGTCGAAACACCTGCCTATCCATCTCATCTTTGCAGCTTCTCTATGCATGTTTTGCTGCAAAGCTACAAGAGCCCGGCAGTTTGGTCTCTTTTAATGGGGGTGAATGGTTGTGTGGTTTTTATTATGTACTCTGTATGTGGTATGTATGTATCTATATATGTATGTGTATGCACGGAGTACTACGTGGCCGTTTCTGAAGGTTTGTTTGGGAGTTTGGGGGTTTGAAAGCTTGGTGATGAATGTCACGAATCCATAGTTGTAGTAGTATAGATATCGGGGATTTAGTTGCTGATTACAAGGGACCTTTATTATATACAATTAGGATCCTAAAGGCTCTAGATCATTATATAAGAATAGGACAAGTATTCTAGCCAATTAGATAGGAGGGGACAATAGTCCTAAAGGTTATAGTATCCTAAGGTCTGAATCCTAAGGAAAGGATCCTGGGATTAGTTTCTTAGGACGAATAACCTAAAAAACCAGATTATGTGATAGTGTAACGTTCCGGTACTATCGGGCAGCGGCTGCCTGAGGTTCGTCTGGTTGGTAGTTATGGGTTAAGGCTTTATCAAAGGTTTTCACTTGAAAGTGAAATCGTTCCTAGATCAAGTAGAATATAAAGTAAACTAATTGATAGCTAAATTGAGTATAAAGTTTTTATATTATAAAATAACTATTGGTTTATGTCGGAATATTGTCACGTGATGTTACCCCATCTTAGTATATAACTGTCACAAATCACCTACATCTAAGATTATAGTGGTATTGTAAGTGTCGGTGATTTAACCGCCGACTACAGGGGGGTTCCTTATCACTACGATTAGAAACCTAGGAATCTTAGAATTAGTATTCTAGGTAACTATAATGTAATAGAACAAGTGTCCTAACTTTACGAAATAGGTTAGGATAAAGATTATCCTAGGATATTTATCTTAGAACAATTTTCCTAGGATATCAATTATCCTAGAGAGGGGATTATCCTGAGGTGATTACGGTAGGAAAAGATTGCTAGGATTAGTCTACCAAGATAGAAATCACGTGATGGAGTCTTTAGGAGCGTGGGCTTTTTTAGACTCCTTGAAGCCCTTAGGAGTGTAGGCTCTTCGAGGCTCCCAAAAGGGATTAGTATATAGTCAGAATAGTTTCATAGTTTAGGAGCTTCGTGTTCAACTTAGTTATCAATTAGTTTATCTATATTCCAATTGATCTAGTAACGAATTTATTTTCAAATGGATAACTAGTGATTAATAGCCTTAACCCACAACTACCAATTATACGAAACCTCAGGCAGCCGCTGCCTCGACCAGATCGTTACATCCTCATCCTTATTCTCATCCTCATCCTCATCCCTATCAAATTAAACTCTAACTCCAAAGCTTAAAACTCTATCAATTAAAAGTAAATATTATTATATCATTATTATCTTTTATATTGAGGAATCTTCAAGGGATCTATATCAAGAATATAAACACATATACTCCGTGAATGAGATATAATAAATAAATATCAATAATTATATCTCTGATTTCTAATATTGTAAAAGTGATAGATTGAGATATATATATCCTGATAGTATACTGTAAGAGGGAATTGAAAGAGAAAGTTGATTAGATTATATTGTAATATATTACTTATAAAGAAAACAAAGTTTACAATAGTTTTGAAGTTAAAGTTATATAGATTCAAATATATATATTTAGAAGGTTGATTATTGTAAAAAGAAGAGATAAAAGCTCTCTTTTTATATCTAATTACAAGAGATTATATAATTGACTAGTTAAAAACCCTTATGTATCTGGTTTATAATTCCAACTTTCTCACAATAACTTATATCAAGTTCTTGATAGAATCTTTTATATATTTTTATCATAATTATATAAAAGATCTATATAATATATACACAAGCCTCTCAAGAGAAACAATATTAATGTATAAGATAAATAATAAGTATACAAGTTAAATTTCCAAATATACACTTAGTATATAAATATATAAATACTAATATTAAAACCAGTAAATATATACACGAATACAAATTTTCTACTACGAATCAAAATCAATCTATCCCCTTCCCTCTATCCCCTTCTTAAAACTCTACATCTCCATCCAACTAACCACCCAGCTTCCTCACTTCTCACTTCTCACCCATCACCCAGCAACCGCTCACCTGTACCCTCCTCCTCCTCAACATCCAAGGGTAAAAACTTAATAATCCTCAGGAGAATCACACTCATCATCACCACCAGCATCAGCATCACCATAGAAACCACTAACGTCCCAAGGAGCAACACCAGAAGGAGCAGCAGCTTCAGAAGAAGACCTAGTCTTAGTCTTAGTATGTCTTGACTTTGTCTTTGTCTTCAAAGTTGTGGATGGGAAAGCAGTTGGTGCGGAAAAAGCAGCAGCTGGTACGGTAGAGCTTGGAACCGAGCTAGGAGTTTCGATAGGGGCTACTGAAGAGGATGGGAGAACAGCGTGGGAAACAACTGCTGCGACAGAGGGGGAAGCAGATGCAATGCTAGCTGCGGCGCTGGAGCTTGAGCTAGAGCTAGCAACGGAAGCAGCTTTTGTGGTGTTTCCGCTCAAAGTAGCACATGCGAATGACATTTTGGAAACGGGGGATCCGCTGTCCTTGGGGGAGCTCAAATCCCAGGTCATAGATACGTAAGGCCAGCAGACTTTGTCGGTGCCAACGGTGATGATATCACCACTAACAAAGGCCTCGGTTGAGACGACTGCAGATCCTACTTTGGCGCCGGTGTTGTCGATGACTTGGAATGAAGTTCCTGCGTATGTACCTGAGCAGCCCATAGGAACTGGTTGACAGTCTGGGGAACTGAGGGTTTCGTAGGTGACGATTGAGTATTGGGAGTTGACGGCTGCGATGTGAACGTTTTGGTGGTCTTCGGTGGAGGAGTATGTGATCCAGGTTACTTGGGAATCACCTTCTGCTGCACCGACAGTTGAAGAAGCTTGAGCACCAGCGAGAGTCTTTTTATCGGTCATGACGGAGATGGCGACGTTGTGGTTGAGCCATCTGGGTGAGCATTGAGTATATGGTGTTCCCATCCAGGCGTTGAGGGTAAGATCGAGAGCACCGCGGGATTGCCAAGCGAAAATGTATCCATCGGAACCGGGAATGGAGGCCAAGTTAGAGTAGGATCCGGACATTCCACCCATTGGTTCACCACTGACACCGTTGGTTGTGTTCTCGTTTGAGATCTTTTGACCGGACATGTATTGAGTTTCGGTGTTCAACCAGATGTCACCTTGATCTTCTGCGCAGACACTTGCGAATGGAGCGGCATCGGCGGCTTCGAGACCAATACCTGTGTTGTGAGAGCAACCAAAATCGCTGCTGGCGCCTTGAACCACTTGCAATTCTCCATTATCGTTGACGTATTGAATGGAATCACCGAAATGACCAGCATAATCAGTGGTATAAGCTGTGAAAATTTGTGAGAATTATACTTGACAAGAGGAGAGTGGAATTCATACCTTCAACCACGAAATATCCAGCGTAAAGACCAGCCTTGGCAGAGTAAACCAAATCACCATTAGCATCCGGAGTCGAGGTCAACATATCCGAAGCATGAACACCCGGACCGTTCAAAGCCGTCTCCCATGTCTTCTTCCCGTTCGTATATCTCATAATCGAAACGATTGGAGAGCCGTCTGTAGGAAGATTGGCAGTCCCGGTAGCATTAACCGTTGCCATCAAAGCAAATCCATCATTTTGAGCCACCAATCCGGCGGCTTCGTATGCCGTAACAGAAATCGCATCGCCGACTGCGGAGAAATCGGTCAAGGAAACTTGTTGAACGTGTACGGTGGCATATGTGTGATCGAGGTAGGCAAGGTAAGCAGATTTTCCATCCGGGGAGATCGAGAAAGGAGTTCGGCGATGATGAGGAAGACCAGTCCAGTAGGCAGACTTGATAGGATCGAAGCTAGCTGCCAAATTCAAAGAGTTGGGAAAGGTAGAGATGCTTGCATCTCCAAGAGCTGAAGTGATGCCGCTGGCAAGCACCGAGTAAAAGAGTGTGGAACGCATACTTGCGAAGATTTTCAAGTGTAAAGACTGACGTTGAAGAGCTTATATTCTCCAGGAAAAAAGATCGAAAATAGAAAGGAATGTGGGTGAGGAATGGAAGAATCTTTCAACAATGGGATGGCATTTTATATATATTTCCATTCGAAGCCAATTACCGCCATGCCTTTAACATGACTGATATGGTCTACTGAGACCGTTGCACCATACGAGTGGATAAGGGAAATCTTCCGGATTGGGCGCGCAATATAATTGACTTCAAGGGCGCATAAGGCGAAACCACCTTGAATGTAGCAATGATCTTGATTAGGGGTTTGTAGCTGGGGGTAAAATTGCTAAGGACTTGGATTTCCGATGAAACAGAGAAAAGCTTCGACGGCCGATGAGGCTAGGGTTGCGCCGTTGCCCTGTAAGGATGCCTGCTCGGTACTTGATTTGAACTCCGTAAATAAATTAACGGGCCAGTCTGCTGAAATTGCGGATTATTAAGGATAACTAAGGTTTGGTTATATATTGTTATTATATGAGGAGTTAAATTCATATTTAGATCTTAGTACCTGTACTTGATAGTAAATCGTAAAATCTTACATAACTAGGTAGCTAGAGCTTTCTCCAGATACCCAGATACCTCCAATGGCATAAATCAAATCCACAGAAAAAGCGTTGCTGGCTTCAATTTCAAGCGACCTTGCTATAAAATCAAAAAGAAACATAATACACTCATCTCGTCGTTCAGAAAGGGTCCATTCCGAATACGCCGATGCGATTTGAGCGCGTAGAACCAATCATATTACCAAATAATCAATTTACATCTCAACATCATCCATCCCCTACAAATTTACAATGAAACACTTCCCGGTCATCTCCTCCCCTTTTACTTTACTCCCATGAAGTTATATCGCTGCTTTATCATCACCGAACAAATCCAGGGCACATGATTCACAATTTTATCGTCTTCGAAGTTCGGACTCGTACTCGTTCGTTAAAGCAGCATGAAGACTCCATCTCCATTATGTAAACATATAGGAGGAGATCTTGGTGGGTCTTCATGTTTCATCTTGAGTATAGATGAGCCTGGATTTGGTCGAATGAATTGTTTTGGTGTTGATGTTGGTGCTGTCGTACGATCGTTGTATAAAGAGGATATGTACTACAGGAGTAGGTTGATTACATTAATGAAGGATCGCACAAAAATATCTAGTCGCAATGGAACACCCAAACGGGATCGATGTTGCCATGTAATGTCATGCATTGTGGGATTCATCGTGATTAACCAAGTTTCTCCAAAAGCCATTTCCGCACCATCATCCATGAATGCATCCATATGCCCTCACCGACGGCCTTCTCCCTTTCCAAGGGAAGGTGTCGGATACTTTCTACCGGTCGTTGATCCTCAATCTCCTTCTCACCGAACCAAGCGCCATGCAATCCATATGGGACTCGCTGCGGAAGCTGTATTTTGCAAACAATAGTTTTCATATCTCTTGCATCTATAACCCAGAGTTCACTTTTTGCTTGAGAACCTGCGACACCATACTCATCAAGTTGTGCTTCATCGAAGACATAAGAAAGTAACCAGCCATCATCCTCCGTTTTTCCATTTTCTCGTGGTACAAACCTGGATTCTTGGGCATAGAAACCTTCGGGGAGTTTGAAGATCTTGATAGGGTCACATGGGTCGTCCGAGGCCAGAACTTCCGCGACTGTTCGTCTATCGACACAACCTATGATGGGGATCTGATTGGTCTCTTTTCCACGCGAGATCAAAGCAAGAACGTCTACTCTGACAAGTGAGTCGATTTTCACAGCACGACCTAGAGCAGCTCCAAATGTGCTGTCTGATACCGAGCAACCATAAATGTATTGAGCTTCACTCATCGCGACGGAATCTCGTAAGGATGGAAATTCGAATGGTATCGACGAGAGAGCGAATTGGTGGCTTATAAAATTCCCCGCTTGAGTAAACGAAAACCGATAGTAATACAATCGGCACTGTTCTTCTTCTACTGGGTTTGTGATTGGGTTGGCTTTCGGGATAGGGGCTGCAACATCACCTGCGCTAAAGACTAGTGAAGCACTTGTCAATCGGCAAGCTAGCATGTTTACTGATATTGTTTCGTCTTCTTTGGTGAATGTATTGTAGACTGTTTCGTCCCAGGTATTGGCCGTGTGAAAGATGCAGCAGGCATTCGTTTCAAACCATCGAGTGTCTTCTGGCTTCCATCTGGAAAAGACGCCAAATCTGGATCTTCCAGCAGGATCATAAGAGACCACAGGTTCGTTGCGGACAAGATTTAGAGGATCAAGTGAAAGAGGAAGATCCATGATTATAGTATGACTAAGGGAGACTCCAAAATCATGCATCATCTTTGCGGATTTCACCCCGGGAACAGCTGCATTGACGAGCCGAGGAGATTTATTAGGTGAAAAATTATGCTGTGTGCTGGGTATAATAGAATAATGTACAAAAGGTGCAACAAATGTAGAATGAAAAAGTATAAGTTCGTTTGTGATAGGGTCAATTCGAGGATGTGCCGTCGTCCATTCTTTCATAAACCCGATGAGTCCACTTCCGCCAAAAACTTCGCCAGGCTCCAATTCCGTAACTGGCTCTCCTTCTGCTTGAACACCATTGTACCAGCCGACAGTTTCTAAACCGGGTAACGAAATGCGCATCGGTGGCCCACTCTCACATGTTGCCAAAGCTCTGCCATCATGATATAGAACACTGGTATTTGCTACACTTATTTTTGTGATGGCCTTTGCAGATCCAGGAAGATTGGAGAGGATGACAAGAAATATGGTTCGGAATATTCGCAGGATAATGGTGAGAAGAGTTGAAGCAGGATTGACGAGTGTGGCTATGCTTGGAAGTATAGGTGCACGGAGAGATGGCGTTGAGATGCTCGAGAGATAAGCATCAGTAAGAATATATTGATTGACGAAATGCGGATGAATTCCTCCATCTTTTTCTCTTCGAAATGCTACACCACTGAGCATTCCATCTCCGTCAAACCAATGTGCATCTCTACCCAAGTCTCCATTTGTCACTGGATTTCCTCCATTGCGTACATACTCTCCGCCCGCAAGCTCCTTTGGAATGATACCAGTATAAGTACAAGCCGTCAAAGGTTGTATGCGATGGATAGGTGCGAAGTTTCCATGGAGATATGGGTGTTGTTTCCTGAACCCTCCCTTTTTCTCATTGGCGAACGTCATGAACAGACGACCGAAGGCAACGCTATGTTTTGATGAGTACTTAATGTGAACATGTGGAAAATGGAGTTATTAGGTGAGGACAATGACTGAGTAACGTTGTAACTAGGTCGTCTCTGAAACAGAGTGAAATTGTAAATAGTTTCCTAACAGAATGTGAGGCAATATTACGAAGTACGGTAGGAAAGATCGATGGCTGTGCGGAAATAGACCAAGTTTTTCTTGCTTTGGAAATACCCTATTACCTGCATGGTCCATCAAATATTCGTGTTCCCAAGCATCTCGGGGGAAAGCTTCTAGGAAGTAAGTCGGAGCCTCGGAGGAGGTGGGATATTCTATGAGAGGCATTGTTCCTTGGTTGGTAGAGCATATGACGACAATTTATTTACTACTAGATATTTTCACTTCCTTTGGGTTACGACATGGCGGTAGTTAGAAGGTTGTTGCTGGGACATCGAATGACATGTGTGATTGGCACCAAGAGCAGAGATGGATGCGAGGGGGATCTAATCGAGGGAAGATTATATAATCAATGAGAAGTAATGACGACATAGATCTCCAGTTTTGCAGGGATTGTAGAGAAATAGACTCCGACCACCGACCCCGCAGCCGCCACTAATCAATGCAATTCTTCACACAATCGCCGGGAGGTATTATTTGACCATAGCTGCGAGGTAGTAGTTAAATGGTGGTTCTTCCAACCTGACATGGCCAAACAAGCCGTTATCTCACATGCACACTGCGCACTGCACAGGTCCGCTGGGTGGTCGGTGGGTACTTGGTCGGTAGGTACCTGAATCTAGAGCGTCGGACTACTCCCCTGCTGCCACTTGCTACTTCTGCGTAAATACCTGGTAGTTGTGACCCCGCTTCCCGCAATTACCATGCTAAAATGCCATGTCTGCCGGAATGGCCAATTCCCCAAATTCTTATTCCGGAGTACCGTACGGAGTATTCTTCCATCCTCTCCTTACTAGTTTTCTAAACTTACCGAAGTGCCCTTCTATTTCATTTTCCTTTCCTCTTAAAATCATTATGCTGATCTCATTACATGAGCTTCCACTAAGTCTTCTCTCCACATCGCTCCATCCTCTACTTATTTCCCAATTCGTAGCCCTTTTATAGAGATGTTTGCCTTTGGTAGATCTGCATTCTCCCAAATTTAACTTTACTCTGGTGTCAAAAATGGGCTTCGACTATGCCTTAGTGTTAGTACATTAATCTCAATATTCCCTGATGGAGCTGACGATTGATTAAGTCATCTCAAATATACCATTCCACCGGCCATCACCCTGACATTCGTTTATCGACCTTTCCTTCAACGTATAGATATCTATAAGATACTGTTTCTCATATCTATTGCTGTCGTTTCTACAATCCCTTGGGATTCATATCTCATCCACCGGAAAATATGGACATACCCATCCAATGTGATTGTTGGCCCCAAGCTGTTTTCAATTCCTGCTGAAGAGCTATTCTTTTTTGTGATACAGACATACAATACCACTCTCCTCTACTTGCTATTAAGCAAACCAATCTTTCATTCGACCTACCTTTGGTCGTGGGATGGTTTGGGTGATAGGCAACGGAGTCCTTGGAGTCTGCACCTTCATCCTAAGACTGCAAGGAAATTGGGTCAGCTAATCCTTATATCTCTCATTACAATCGGAGTCCTTCTCATTGTGCAAAACGGAAAGGGCACATATCTAGGATTGATTTTGACTTGGGCGGGACCATTCGCACTACTGTTATGGAGCCTATCCTACGAGTTTTTGATCAGACTACCCTATTCGACTACTCTATTGCCAATTACTTTACCCACCTTATATTTATGGGTAGTAGATACTTTGGCACTGAAGAGAGGCACGTGGACAATTGAGACAGGGACGAAATTAGGTCTGCAATTATGGGATGGACTTGACATCGAAGAAGCCGTGTTTTTTCTCGCAACCAACATACTTATTGTGTTTGGTCTTGTCGCTTTCGATCATGCACTGGCTATTTTGTTTACATTTCCAACATTGTTTCCGAGCGTTCCTGTATACCCCTCCCCAAGAATGCTTGTGCGCGCCCTTACAACAGACACATGCAAGTACGATACGTATCGGATAAGGGGTATTCAAGAAGCTGTGAACAGGTTAAAGAGAAAGAGCAGGAGTTTCTATTTGGCCAGCTCGGTCTTTCACGGTCGTCTTCGAATTGACTTGATTTTATTGTATGTATAGCATAGATATCCTAACCGTTTCTTCCAATCTTTACTGATGTGGTCTAGATACTCATTTTGCAGAGTCGCCGATGACCTTGTTGATGATGCGAATACTGACTCTGAGGCTCGAGAATGGATTACTAAACTCACACGCTACCTTGACCTGGTTTACGCACCAAAGGAAACCATCAACGTGACTGACCCGTTGCGGCCCCGCCTTAATACATACATTCAGGATAGCTTCCCGCCATCTTCATATTGGGCACTTCGGTTTCTACCGACTCACATTCTGTCATCTGCGCCTTTGTACGAGTTACTAGCAGGATTCAAGACGGATTTGGAATTTCATCAAGCGGATTCTTCCAACGAGGCCAGAGGATTTCCCATTCAAAATGAAGATGATCTCATTGCATACAGTGCAAGAGTTGCTGGGACGGTAGCTGAAATGTGCTTGGAATTAATTTTTCACCATACTTCAACTGCTATTCTATCTCATCAACGTAACGATCTTATCCACGCTGGCGCACGGATGGGAATAGCTCTACAGTATATCAACATTTGTAGAGATGTGACAGTGGATGCTGGGATTGGAAGAGTATATCTTCCCGCTTCATGGCTCGAGAAAGAAAGCTTGAAACCTCAACAGATTGTGAACAACCCTACTGGGCCAGTTATCGTCAAACTACGGGAAAGGTTACTAGAAAAGGCTTTTGCCATCTATCGGGAGGCTCGCCCTGCCATTGAAAAGATTCCAGGAGATGCCAAGGTATCAATGAGAGTTGTTGTTGAGAGTTATGTTGAGATAGGAAGAGTGATGAGAGAACGAGAATGTAAAATTACCCAAGGTCGGGCTACAGTACCGAAACTGAGGCGTATTGGAGTTGTTTGGAAAGCTTTGAACCAGCGTTGACTCTTTTTGAGATACCATTAGCACTGTTGTTGTCCAGCATACATACCATCTAGAGATACAATACGAGGAATTGCGAATCGAGGATGACTGGAGCTCTGTGGCTGCTGACTGTAATATATATGAAAGCTATGAAGTAGATAAAATAGGAAGAGTATTTCATCATTGTACGACTTGGCTTGGCATTCTTATCCGACGAGATTGAGCTTGGACCATTGTTAGCACTAAAACATGGGGATGACGCGTGGATGATGCCCAGTAAGAGAAATGGATGACACCTCGATCTAACACTCTCGCATGCAAGACCTTGCATTCGGTATCTACCTACTCGTACCCATTAGGTAGGTAATCACTTTTGTCCGACATGTGAATGACTTCGGATTTACTGGTCTTTGTACCATATATTTCAATCGCATTGGCAATCTATAATGGCGACAGCAGAAACAAAGAAGACTGCTATTGTAGTTGGTGAGTTCTGCTCCTACTATAACCACGCATCTTTTATTTCTTAAGCTCATGTTTTTCGGAGTATAGGCGCGGGCGTTGGCGGTGTTGCAACGGCAGCACGACTCGCAAAAGCAGGCTTCTCTGTCACAGTACTCGAAAAGAACAATTTCACGGGCGGTCGATGCAGTTTAATTCATCATGATGGTTATCGATTTGATCAAGGGCCTTCCCTTTTGCTTCTCCCAAAAATGTTCAAGCAAACGTTCCACGATCTCGATACTTCACTCGAAGATGAAGGTGTGGAGCTATTAAAATGCGAGCCGAATTACAATTTGTGGTTTGGGGATGGAGAGATGCTTGAGCTCAGTACGGATGCGAGTATAATGAAGAGAGAGATCGAGAAATGGGAAGGAAAGGATGGCTTCGAGAGATATCTTCAGTGGCTCGGAGAAGCTCATCGACATTATGAGTTGAGTGTGCGCGAGGTTTTGCATAAGAATTTCACATCGATATTCAACATGTTGCGTCCTAGCTTCCTCCTCAACATCTTTAATCTTCATCCATTCGAAAGTATATATTCCCGAGCTTCAAAGTACTTCTGGACGGAGAGGTTAAGGCGAGCTTTTACCTTCGGGAGTATGTATATGGGAATGTCTCCATTCGACGCCCCTGGCACATATTCTTTACTTCAGTATACGGAACTTGCTGAAGGCATTTGGTACCCGATTGGTGGATTTCATGCAGTTGTAGGGGCTTTGGTTCGAATATGCGAGCGATTGGGTGTCGATATTCAACTCAATTCACCAGTCACTTCAGTGCTGACTTCTCAGGACGGCAAAACTGCAACAGGTGTCCTTCTATCTTCGGGCAAAAAGCTCAACGCTGATATTGTTGTTATCAATGCTGACCTTGTCTATGCCTACAATAACCTCTTTCCTTCTTCCAAATCTACGTCTTATGCCAAATCTTTACAGAAGCGAGCCGGCTCTTGCAGCTCCATTTCTTTTTACTGGGCTCTTTCCAAACAAGTTTCACAACTTAATGCGCACAACATATTTCTCGCAGATGAGTATCGCGAATCATTCGACTCCATCTTTGACAGGCAATCTATTCCTGATGAGCCTTCATTCTATGTTAACGTGCCCTCACGAATCGATCCGACGGCCGCCCCGAAAGGAACAGATTCCCTCGTGGTTCTCGTTCCAGTTGGCCATCTTCTAAATTCCGCCACATCCAGCCTTTCTCAAGAGAATCCCGCTGCCGCAGCTGGCTCCGGCATTGCAAAAGAACAAGATTGGAAGTCTATTGTAAAGTCGACTCGCGAAAGAATATTGCAAACGATAGAGTCACGCACAAAATGTGGACCGCTCGGCCCATTGATTATTCACGAAGAGTTGAATACACCTATATCATGGGAATCACGTTTTAATCTGGACAAAGGATCTATCCTCGGCCTGTCTCACTCCTTCTTTAATGTCCTTGCATTTCGCCCAAAGACTAAACATCCCGAAATCAATGGTGTATATTTTGTGGGTGCGTCCACACACCCAGGAACTGGGGTACCAATTGTTCTTGGTGGAGCAAAGATTACAAGTACACAAATTCTTGATGATCTAGGGATGCAAATTCCATGGATGAACAAAGGCAACGTGGTTCCAGATGAAGGGGTTGTACAGTGGAAAGGAACGAACAATTTGGATCGAATCGTTAAAGAAAGACCAATATTAAGTAATATTGGGATATTCACCCTGGCTTTTGTGGTTTTGAGTCTTACGATCGCATATATTAATAGTAATTTGGTGGTTGTCTGGGACGAAGAGATGAAGAAGGGATGGGGAACTGGAAAAGCGACATAATTCACATCACCATATCAGATATCCATGGTTTGCGTTTTCATTCACGCCTCCACTTTCAAAGTCTCAACAATTCATAACTAGCTGGGGGTCAAAAATGGTTTTTTTCTCGTTTATATAGGGCCAGTGTCGGTAGTTTGCAGACCTAGAATGGTCTACTCATCTATGGTTTGTGTCATATCGTCGGGGCTACAGTGAGAGTCAATTCATTCAAGCAATATCTAGCTAATCGTATATTGAGTGTCCAAACGTCCAGTTTTAACTTATGGAGGTATCATAATGACTTAGTTGGAAGACTTTATGCCAAAGGATTGATCGGACCAATTGAGTAGTCGAACCTACGTCCGGTAACGATCTATCGGGTACTGATACTTTTGTGTCATGGAAAGCCCTTTAATCTCGACAATAAGACAATGCTAGCTAGTAAGATACTTTTGCTTTCGGAAAGGAAGGGAGTGGGTGGGAAGAAAAGTTTCTTTGATGTAATGACCTTAAGCTTTCCAGGGATGAAATTTCGCGTTTGCGCTCACTGTTCTAGAAGCGAACTGCACCTATAAAGTATACTCATCATCGATGAAGTAGCCCTGGAACATGTTTGGCTCAAATGAATACAAAAAACAAGCTTTCGCCTGTGGATCTGTCTGTGTGCATGAAATATGTTGATTTTCCGGATGTGTTTCCATAATGAGATTAGTAAACAGCCTATGTTTCTGTACGTCATTTGGAGCTAAGCTCCAATAAGCTTTTTGTCCTCCCGATGCAGAGTGTTCGATTAACAAACGTTAACATCAACATCAACATCAACGGGATCCTCGAAACCCTCAGACAATTTTCTTCATCTTGACATCACTTTTTTAAGATGAACCATAATCGAAATTTGGCATTGTCATCTGTCTCTGGAATTATTGGGTTCTATACACAGTAGCCAGTAGGAGAATTTGGGTAATTAGATACAGAACAGATATTTTTCATCATTTGGCAGCAAGATCTTATTTCCCTCGTTTTCGGATCAAAAAGTACTAGGTAGAGTCACATGGAGACTACTGTTGGATACACATCGAGCTTCAAATTGATTTTATTGTGTAATCAATGGCGTCTTGTCATGCAACCTCAGAGTTTTGAATTGATACAGATGACAAAAGTATCGGCAGGTAGTTATTGCTGATCATGGTATCATTTTGAGATGGGACATTTAGCTCATTTAGATATGATAAGATCTTTATTGAATTAGAGTAACGCATCCTTGCTTCCTATACATATATATAGTCCCATATTTCCAATTGTCCAGCTCTTCTCCGATGTCTGCTTAGATTTTGCATTTATACCCCTCTTCGTATTGTTCATGGTTGATAAAATTCCTCACTGAAATTTACACCTTTCCATCAAAATGATCGAGAAACGCAACGATGCGCTACGCACAAACCCAGATGTTTTCCATTATCCTACCTCTACCGATATTGGTATCACAAGCCGTGGAAGTGATGTGTACTGGGCCATAACTGCCGCAATGGCCTTCGCAACTATATGTTTTCTAGCATGGAGCTTCCGAATTCCACGCAGCAAGCGGATTTTCCATTACATCACCGCGGCTATCACTATGACTGCTGCAATTGCATATTTTACCATGGCGTCGAATCTGGGCTATGCTTCTATCATTCAGGAATTCCAACGCGGAAATCCTAAAGTTCGTGGTGTTACTCGGGAAATTTTCTACGTGAGATATATCGATTGGGTTGTTACTACTCCTGTAAGTATTCTCTGCTGGCTTCTCATGTGCTTGCTCATTTACTAATCCTTCCTCTTTTATTCTAGCTTTTACTCCTAGATATCCTCTTAACTGCCGGCCTTCCATGGCCTACAATCTTATTCACAATTTTCCTCGACGAGGTCATGATAATTACCGGTCTCGTCGGTGCCCTCGTCGCCTCCTCTTATAAATGGGGATACTTCGTCTTCGCCATGTTCGCCCTCTTCGGCATCGCATGGAACATCCTCTTCGTCGGTGCCCGCCACGCCAAAGCCCTAGGCACAGAAGTAAACAAAGCATACTGGACCTGCGGCGGCCTCACCATGTTCCTGTGGTTCCTATATCCTATCGCATGGGGTCTCTCCGAGGGCGGAAATATCATAGCTCCTGACTCTGAAGCCGTGTTTTACGGTGTCCTGGATGTGCTTGCCAAGATCGGGTTTGGAATTCTTCTCCTGAACGGTCATCGGAATATTGATCCTGCTCATCTGGGTTTGCATATTCGTGATTATAATGAGCAGCCGGTTTCGTTGCATGAGAAGAATTCGTCTGCTCCGGTTGCGGGTGCGGGTACAGGTGCGACGGGAGGCTATGGTAATACGTATAGTGCTCCTGGTGCTACGGCGGCTCATTCCAATGCTGCTGCTCGTGATGCGGGGGCCCAGCCGGTTAATTCGTCGGTTGTTTGATTGTTACTTGGTTTATCTAGTTGTCATGCTTGAGGAATCATGGATGGCTTTGGAATAAGCAATTCTGTTCTACATGGCGTTATCTACACATGATAATTTTCAGGAAAGATGGACAATTCGGATCAGAGAGTAGAGAGTAGAAAGTAGAGAGATTTCTTTTCTTTTACTTTTTCTTTCTTTTTTTCTCTTCTTTATATTGGGTCTCAGACTTGAAAATAAATTTTTGGGTTGTTGGGTCGGGGTATGTTATATATATGTACATGTGTATATATATGTGTATTTCTATTTTACTTCGGTACTTTAGGGTTTAATGATTTAATGATATAATGATACAATCTACTTAGATAAATATGTTGTGTGAATGTGTTTGCGGGATGGGGTGTATATATTTAGTGAATATGTAACCATATGGATTGATCAAGCGATGGGTATTTTTTTGTGTAGTATAATAAGTATGATAGGATGCAATGTAGTATAAGATTACATTGAAGGGAAGCGTGGGCGTCGGATAGTGAGAAAATGTTATTGCGTTAATATATATAGGTGTTTTGGGGAAAAAGTAGTGAAGAGGGTACCGAATATATATGATGGTGGAGTTTGAGGGGCTTGGTTATGTGAGGTGATACGATATCTATTTTGGATTTTGTAGTGACTTGGAGGTGCTCGAAGATTGTTGGCTAGGAACCCAACAAGGATTTTGAGAGATGTGAAGTCGGAGGGTGGTGAATATGGTCAAGCAGGGGAGGGGAGAAGTCGTGTTGTCATTCGTCGCACCCTATCTCTATGCGAAGGCGGGCAGTCTTCAAAATAACTATTTGTCTTGGGGATTGTTGATAGTATATATTTGCATTTTTCACAAGGTATTGATTGTCAAGTAAGATTAGCTCTAATTTTCTTATCACAGTTCGAACTGGGTATGGAAAAATAAATGGTAAAATCAGTTCGCTTATAATTATACCCCCTTTCGTCTAAGTTCTCTCTTTGCTGCCCTTACTTTCCTATCGCGAGTCAAGTAGAGTACGGTTTGTAAACTTGGATCAATTGAGCTGTATCTTTTCTTTTCCCTTCTGTCTCAAGAACTCGATTCGCAAGTATTTGCAAATATAAACATAGTGGAACAATCGCTTTGTTAACAACACGACCAACACATTACGTTGTTTGTTAGAATTTTATCAAAGAAATTTCCAACGCAAACGTCTTCATTCCTAGCTTGAAAAAGTACAGATGTGAGGATAAAGAAATTCAAAAATGGCTGTTTAATAGATACAGCTTTTTCTTCCAACTTAACCATTATCATAAATTTGGACACTTGGATTGAATCTACATATCAATTTATCAACACATACACGGATTTCCAATAGCTATCATGAGTACATTAGGAATGAGACCACGACGGGGACAGCACTCAGATTATGCAAGTCCCATATCGCCACGTGCCAGCACCAACAACACATGGGAAGAACAACTACCGGGAGATGCTCCAGAGAAGACCTCGGGACAAGATGCATTCAGAGCGCCAGAATTTCACGACACAGAAGAAGAACACTCACAAAACGCAGAAAGAACGCAAAATCAGAAACAAGAGGAAGATACAGAAGAAGCGATCAACAAATCCAAAAAAGAAGCAGAAGAAGACGAAGAAATAATCCAACAACTATTCCGATCATCACATCCCGCTCCTGATCCACACACACAAAAATCCGTAGAATGCGCAGATACATCATCAGAATCCATAGACGAAAGTGAAGAAGAAATCAGACAAACAATCGAGAATTTCAAACGTCGAGATGCTACCCGGAGATCTACTCGATATACAGGTATCGATGCATTCCGACCATCCGCATTGTGGAAAAGCAAAAGCGACACCCAAGCGCGCGAAAAGAAACTTAGATCCAAGTTTGGGGGGAAAGCAAAAACAGAGGGGACAAAACAACCACAGTCTAGCTACTTCAAATTCTGGACCTGGAATTGGCGCGGTCCAAAGCCTATAGACTTTATTCCGATTCCTCCTCCCTATCACCCTGAGAATCTAGAACCGGAAATCGTAATTTCGTATACATGCGGACATCGACTTCCCACACGGATCATTCCCTCATCCTCATCTTTATATCCACCTCCATCACCGAATTCTCCCTCGCCCTCTCCCTCCACCACCACCGCAAAATCACCACTCCCTCCACTTCCCTCCTCTCAAATCGAAATTCTGCGCGCAACGGCTCAGAAAGAGGGACTTCGTCATCTCGTTACACCGCAGGATAGTCTATGTCCTAATTGTTTTATATGGTATGAATGGTTTGTTGGACTGTGTTTATTGATATGTTTTTGGGTTCTTTGGGGGTATTTCTTTTCGTTTATATGGCCGGAGACGTGGTGGGTTTTGAGGAATGAGAAGGAGGGGTGGAGGTGGACGCCGAAGAGGTTTAGGGTTGTGGTTAATTTTGATACGAGTGGGGGTGGGAGGGTTTCTTACTGAGTTTATGAAGGAGGTGTGAGAGGTGTGGGAATGGGATAGAAAATATTCTTCGTGGTTGGAAGGAAGAGGATAAAATAGACGAATTTCATTCTAGATGTCTTCTTTTACTTTCTGTTTAGAGATTCAAAGTCTTTGCTTATCCCCAGGCTATTCATTTAATACATCAAGTAGGAAAAGCTGAAAAAATAACCTTACAATTCCCACTTAGCTTCGTCCTCTTCAAAAGCGATTACTTCCTGAGGCCCTTCACTCTCTAGAATATATCCCAACTCGCACTTGTCATACTTAACTACTCTTTCCGCCATGTCTTCGGTGTAAAATTTGTCGAAGCGAGGAGATAAAGCATCGTTTAGCGTTCTGACATTACCAGCTGGATGTAATACAGACCAAGGTTGTACACACGTATGTCCCTTGCATGATTTTGTAACCATGAGAAGAGCATCGAGGCGGGGGATTAGTTTGTCAAGATTGAGCTTGCTTTGGGCGGAGGGCTTCGTGGTAGTTGATGAGGATGGATATATATTGTTAGTTTGATGAGGATCGGTGGTCAGATCGTAGAGCTCGTGTTCATTGGTACACCAGACTGAGTAGTAGAGATTGTGGGTGTCGCTAATTATGCGTAGAGCTTTGTAGGTATTATTCACACCATAGTGGACTACTTTCCCATCATCAAGAGAAAATTTGCGGACCCCTTCAGGGATTGCTTTCCCCCAGAATTCGACATTCACATGTTCTTGTCTAGTTGTCTCGGCATCCTTGAGTCCTTGGGAATTGAGAGGGATTACGCTCCCGTCCAGATCTTGTCTTTTCCAGTCGCCATTTGCAATTTTGAGGATAGTTGGAGCAAGATCGGTGTGTGCGGTTACAATACTTGTTTCTTCCCCTTGTGGAACTCCAGGACCACGGATGACAAGAGGGATGTTAATATCTTCCTCAAATCCACACTCTTTTCCCGGAGCAAGACGGTGTTGAGAGATGTGATAGCCATTGTCCGTGGAAAAGATGAAATATGTGTTATCGAGTATTCCATAATCAGTTAGTCGATCAAATAGACCCTCGATAAGTTCATCTACTGCTTGAAGGGTTTGAAGACGAGCTCGGTAAAACTCATCATTGTATGCGATAGCTTCATCCGTGAGCTGATCTAGATGTTTTACCCATGATGCGCCGCTAGGCTGTATCAGAACGTTAGCTCCAGCTTCCTTCCACAAACCTATGACTTACCTTATCTGGATTGAAGTTTGCATTTCTTGGAACCGTTGCACCGGGAAATAAATGTTTATGTCTCTCGGCAGGAAGAGGAGTAGTCATCAGAATTCCTTCTCCTGGTTTAAATGCAGCAGGGTCAACATTTGAATGAGGAGCGATTGGCGCTGCGACTAAAAAGAATGGCTTCCCAGATTGCACTCCTTCGTCGAGCAATCCATATGCCTTTTGAGCGAGAACGTCTGTTGAGTATTCGCCCTCGTGACTTACAGGGGGATGCTCATTCCTTTGAAATGTCGAATTATAATATTGATATGTGAATGGATCCAGAAGGAAATCGGATGAGGTCCATCCGGCTGGATGTGGAGAGTTCCAGTTGTCTACAGTGTGATGATTGAAAAGTTTCCCTGTGTAGAAAGTGCTGTATCCAGCATCTTGAAGCCATACTGGGAGATAAGCATCGTTGAAGCCTTGCTCAACAAATTTCTGATATCCACCTATTCTGATACATCAGCTTCGAAAGTGTCCAAGAGACTAGGATAAACACTGACCATAAGGAGGTGATACATCCGTAACATTCGTGTTATGGGCATTCTTGCCGGTCCATAAAGTGACCCTCGAAGGACAACATATCGCGGTAGTACAGTAATGACGTTTAAAAAAGGTTCCTTGATCAATTATATGCTTCTTCAGTAAAGGCATATAATCGACTGACTGCATATGCAGGTCCTGATCATCTGTCAAAACAAGCACTATGTTTGGTCGCCCATCATTCTTTTGTTTAGTTGGAGCTTGCCTGGCAGCGGAGACTGTAGCAAGTACTAGAGCAAACGCTGATGGGAACTTCATGCTGAGGTCGTTTTCTCACGTTCCTTTAGTATTGTCTCTATGGCTCCCAATTCTCGTATGTCAGATAAAAATCATTGATAGCTCCGCGTGATGGTTTGGAGATAAAGCCAGCCAATTTGAACATGAAAGATGCGCCGGGAGCTACCATGATTGAATAAAATTCGACGCTTCGATATGAAGCACTTAGTACCGTTCATTGTGCCGCCAGAAAGTCCACAACTTGGCTAGCTGGAGATGGACGAGTAGGGGGAATATCATCGATCGACGCTGTTTTTAATGTTCCACATAATTTCCGCTACAGAACATGGCGAAAATCAACGGATTTGAGTTTTGCTAGCCAAGCATGTGCTAAAGCGGCCCTAACTTAATGTATGGCGTGAGATCCGTGCCTGTTTTCATCATCAAAATTGCGGGACCTCAGAGTTCATTCTACAGGGAGTTTCCACCTAAGCTAAGCCTCCCGAGTCCGACTTTCATTAGGTCGTTTGATATCCACCACTACATGTGAGATCAAATCGAACATCTAGAGATCTAGAGTAGCATGGTGGGATTTTTAATAGAATGATGAGCTTTTCAAATTTTCACTCCAAACTGATGCCGGGTAAATTGCTTGCATGAGAACCGTTTGGGTCAATAGCCTAGCGAACAAGGCACTGGTCTAGGCTTTTAAGTCGTCTTGTCGTCTGGTTAAACTTTGTCGACAGTAAGTGATTGTCATTTGGGAATAGCATTGGACTTTGAAATATGGCAGCACATGAGACAGATGGCATCCACAAAGATGATTCAAGTCAAGCTTCATCTAGACATGCGAATCCGATAAAATCGTCCTCGGAAACAGATTCATTACTTTCGCCAGTCACCGCTACCCCAACTCCAAATTATAAGTCAACCTCAACCTTTCCGGACGTCGAATCCGCACAAAATGTTCAAGCCGAGAACGAAACCACAGGGAGAGTCACGAAGAGCGCTGCTATTATAATAAGTCTTCTGCTAATTGGTAAATCCTTACAATTCTTTATTGAACTCCTTGGAGCTGATACTTTCAGGTGTTTTCATATCATATGCAGATGGCACGCTCGTTCTTGCAACATATGGTACCATTGCTTCCGAATTCCGGGCTCTCGGTGATGCCAGCTGGCTGACTACTAGCTATTCTTTGGCAATGTGCGCTGTTCAACCACTTACAGGCAAGATTAGTGATATATATGGACGAAAGCCGGTCCTTCTAATTTCATATGGATTCTTTGTGATTGGATGTGTCTTAACGTGAGTGATCTTTTCCGACGTCTTAAATGGCTGCGCTGATATTTTTCTATAGAGGACTTTCCCAGGCAATGTGGCAAACTGTGATGGGCAGAGTAGTAGCTGGTATAGGAGGTGCCGGTATGAGTGTCATGGTGTCTGTTCTAATCGTGGGTGAGTGATGAGAATTATACTCAAGATTTCAAGTCACAACCTAACATGTCCAGATCTTGTACCTCTGATTCATGTCGCTGCCTGGAGAAGTTATGTTAACGTCGTTGGGACCATTGGAAGGAGTATTGGTGGTCCCTTGGGCGGACTGTTAGCAGACACGATAGGTTGGCGGTGGTAAATATTCCATTCCAGATTAGAGTTTCCGGTAGTATCCGATTTTCTGACATCAGGTGGCAGGTCGTTCATCGGACAAGGACCTCTGATGCTTTTCGCTATTGTTTTGGTAGCATACAAACTTCCGGCCCGCTCGTTATCTGACGAGCCTATCCATGCCGATGACGGGGGTTCAAGGCTTCGAAGAATTGATTTTGTTGGGGCTTTCATACTGACTGGAACTATCGCTGCCTTTCTCGCCGCACTCAGTCTTGGGGGACAGGCACTACCTTGGTCTCATCCTACTGTCATCGGACTGTTGTTGGGATCCGTTCTGCTTGGCGCTGTATTTGTGAGTTACGAGGTCAAGGTTGCTACTGAGCCCATATTTCCACCAGCACTTGCGATCCAAAGAGATGTAGCAACATCATATGCTATCAATGCATTGCAGCTGGGTGCACAAGTTGGCGTAAGATCCTCTCTGTCTTCTATCTTTAATATTCTCGTTACTAATATAACAAAGATGATGTATTCCGTCCCACTTTACTTTCGCGTAACGCAAGGAAGCTCTAATACCACTGCGGGACTTCATCTCTTCCCTGCTGTATTTGGTAATACGACGGGAGGCCTCCTCGCAGGTTGGCTGATTAGTCGGTTCGTTCATCGCCATTCAATTACTCCCGTCAGATCATTCTAAAATTAGCATACTAACAGCCTCCAGTACCGGCCATTACAAATATCTTCTAACCCTCTCTACACTCTCATCCATATTCTCCTACACTATCCTTCTCACCACATGGCGTAGCAATAACCTTTCTCTCGCGTCCTCTCTCGCTATATTCCCTGGAGGGTTTGGCCTCGGAATAACAGCTGCCTGCACATTCATTGCGCTCACTGTTTCTGTTCAGAAAAAGGAGATGGGCATGGCAACCGCGGGAATGTATCTAATGTCCAGTATCGGTATGGTTGTTGGCGTTGCCCTGTGCGCTGGGGTCCAAAACAGTGCTTTGGGCGAAGCGCTTGGAGGACTAGGTTTGGATGACAGTGTGGTAAGGAAAGTTATGAGTGATGTAGGGAGCGTGAAGGACTTGCATGGAAATATGAAGCTGCAGGTAATAGAAGCCTACGTGAGAAGCTTAGAATCGAGTCACGCGGTGAGTGTGGGACTATCAGCGTCAGCGTTTTTGGTGAGTCTAGTGGTTAAAGAGAAGAAAATCATGTAAATGAAATTCCTAGCATGATGAAGATTATACTAGACGAAGAAAATCTATATTTACCATCCATCAATATCTTTCTGCTCCCACCTATGGTATATATATGCCGGCCAGGCCTAGCTTAACCTAACATTAATTCATGAATAAATGACATTAATTAAAGATACCACGGTGGCTCTTTGAAATACCACAGTTTGTGAAATCCCATTGGAAGGGAAGAGGAATGATACAAACTTTTGAGGAAGGTCAACGTTGAAGACTGGGTGAATCTGGGGTGGAAGGATGGACAATCATGGAGATTTTTGTAAGATTAGGTACGTGATGGTGATAGCTCCCTTGATTGAATGCGATTGTTCAGCACTATCCAACTGAGAGAAAACTTTAGTAGCAGCATTGAGTGACTATTGAAATCCTATTTAATGCCCGCTTTAAATTTAAACTGATGGGTGAGAACAGTAACAGTTTCGCGGTAACATCCCAGGCGAACCCGTTCTAGCTTACATAAACCTAAAAATTAATTAATAGTTGGAACGTGCACACTTTCGCGGTTCGACGCGCTAACCTGCGTTGCGCGTCAGCAATTCCACTGAGCGACCAAAAAGTTACTTTTTTCAATTCATAATTCATAACATAATACAAGATCCTACTCAATACATGTTCTTCTTCGTTGACTTCAACAGATTTTAGTCTGGCGCAATTAATTCAATATGGTGAAGAATAAAGAGAATGAGACGACCCCGGCTCGCCCTCCTCCCAGCTTGAAGAAACAAAATTCGAGCGTGGGATCGAGCAAGAATCAAGCATCAATTCTTGGATTTTTCTCGAAGAAACCTGCCAGTACTCCGACCAGGAAAACTTCCACAGACGCGCCTGGTGGTATCTTGCAACCCAATGGCTCTGCAAACAGCTCGAAATCTACACCGAAGCCTGGCAGCACCGTGAAGAGACCTCAGTTCAAAAAGTCCGTCCAGAAGAGCGTAACCCCAGTTCCAAGTAGCGACAACATTGAGCCAGCAAGCTCACAGGAGAACGAAAACGGCGGAATTCCAACAGAGGTAGATGATTGCTCGTCATCGCCTCCAGCACCTGCTGCGGAGCAGCTTGTAGATATCGATGGTTTAGTTCTAGCGAGCAGCCCTTCACGAAAGGTACACAATTTCCTTCTGAATACGCCCGTTGGCTCAAGCTAAAACTCTTATTTATTAGGCGGCGAAGAAGGTAGTTAGCTATGCCGAATCTGACGATGACGATGAAGATGTGACTCCGAGAACTACTCAACGAAGAAAGGGAAAGAATCCAATGATTGAAAGCGATGATGACGATGAGGATACATTTATTGGTGAATTATATGGAGCTGATGATGATGGTGAGCCTATCATGTTGATTTCTAGTAACAGTAACTCACAGATAATAGATGAAATGGATGATTTCGTTGTTGATGACGATTTTGATGCTCCAAGCAAACCTTCCAAAAAGAGAAAGCGGCCAACATCCACGACAGTACCTCGAAAGCGATCCAATATATCGCCAGTCCCTCACTCATTCAATGACGATGAGGATATACAAATACTAGAGGCTTCGACAGCTCAACAATGGAAATATGACCCCGAGAACATTCAACCTTTAAAAGCCAAGTCTTCGAGTATCCCGAGAACTCCTACTTCGAGTGGGAAGAAATTCAAAGAAAAGGCATCCAAAAGCGACCCAGATCAACGATATGAGTGGCTAGCAAATGAGCGGGACATTGATCGCAATCCTCCTGGCCATCCCGATTATGATCCTCGTACGCTATACATACCGCCAATGGCATTCAACAAGTTTACACCCTTCGAGAAACAATATTGGGAAATAAAGCAAAAGTGTTGGGACACTATTCTTTTCTTCAAGAAGGGCAAGTTCTACGAACTATATGAGAGAGATGCTACCATTGGACATCAGATATTTGATCTAAAACTTACAGACCGTGTTAATATGTCAATGGTTGGTGTACCAGAAATGTCATTACAGCATTGGGCAAACCAATTCCTTGCCAAAGGATACAAAGTTGCCGTTGGTGACCAAAAGGAATCGGCTTTGGCAAAAGAAATGCGTGAACGAGAAGATAGTGCAGGCCCCTCAAGCAAAGGCAAGAAACCTGATAAAATCATTCATCGGGAGCTATCTTATATTCTCACCGCCGGTACCTTGGTCGAGGGTAGTATGTTACAAGATGATTCAGCAACATACTGCGTTGCCATCAAAGAGTCCATCACAGATGATAGTTTGCCAGCCTTTGGAATATCATTTGTTGATACATCAACAGGCCAGTTTTTTCTCTCCGAATTCACTGATGACGTAGATTTGACCAAATTTGAGACATTTGTCGCTCAAATCCGTCCTCAAGAACTGTTGCTCGAAAAGTCCTGTGTTTCGACCAAGGTGCTTCGTATCTTGAAGAATAACACTGGCCCAACAACTGTTTGGAATTACTTGAAATCCGAAAAGGAATTTTTGACCGCTGAGAAATCCCGCAGAGAATTAGATTATGGTGGTTACTTTGCTTCAGTGGATGGTGGAAAAGAAACCTGGCCTGAAGAGCTTGAAAAAGCAAGAGATAACGATTTGTTGATTTCTGCCTTCGGAGCTCTTTTCCAGTATTTGAAAGTCCTTCAGCTTGAGAAAGCTCTTCTTACACAAGGTAACTTCGCTTGGTACAATCCTATCCAGAAAGGGACAACTCTTGTACTTGATGGTCAAACTCTTATCAACCTCGAGATTTTTTCCAACACATTTGATGGGAATACAGATGGTACCCTATACACACTCCTCGATCGTTGCACTACACCATTTGGAAAGCGACTGTTTCGACAATGGGTGTCGCATCCCCTGTCCGATATCAAAAGGATTAACGAACGTCTCGATGCTGTGGATTTGCTAAACAAAGATGATAACTTGAGTCGCTCATTCAAGTCCTCAACTTCTACGTTGCCTGATCTGGAACGTCTTATTTCTCGAATCCATGCTGGATCATGCAGACCTGAAGATTTTCTCAAAGTACTGGAAGGGTTTGAGCAAATCGAGTACATCCAAAAGGAAATCCTTGGCAATTATAGTGGTGGTGATGGCGTCTTTAGTCGTTTGGTTGCGACAATACCTAACCTTGCTGAACCTCTACAATGGTGGAAGAATGCATTCGACCGAAAAAAAGCAAAGGAGGACAAAATTCTGGTTCCTGAAAGGGGAGTCGAAGAAGATTTTGATGCGAGCCAAGACCGTATTGAGGAGATTCATCAAGAGCTGGCATCCTTACTGAAGAAATATCAGAAAAAGTATGATTCAAAGAAAATTGAGTTTAAAAATATTGGCAAAGAAATCTATCAACTGCAGATGCCGGTCTCTATCAAGGTGCCTAATGATTGGAAGATGATGTCTGCCGCATCCGGATTCAAGCGTTACTATTTCCCCGAACTCACCAACATAATTCGAGATCTTCAAGAGACTCAAGAAACGCATGGCCAAATCGTCAAGCAAGTAGCTAGCAGATTTTACGCACGTTTCGATGAAGATTATGAAATATGGCTTCAGGCTGTTAAGGCTGTTGCTCAACTTGATTGTCTTTTCAGTCTTGCTGCTGCATCCTCAGCCCTTGGTACTCCATCTTGTAGGCCCAAGTTCGTCGACTCGGAACGAAGTGTGGTTGAGTTTGAAGAACTTAGACATCCTTGCATTTTACCAAATGTGACGGACTTTATTCCTAATGATGTCCAACTTGGTGGAAGGTCAGCTAATATCAATCTACTCACTGGTGCTAATGCGGCCGGAAAGTCTACAATCCTACGAATGGTATGTCTTCTACTTTTTTTAACACAATGATCATACTAACAATCTACTTGTAGACCTGCGTCGCGGTAATAATGGCACAGCTAGGCTGTTACGTACCTGCCAAATCCGCAACACTTACCCCTGTCGACCGTATCATGTCCCGTCTAGGTGCCAATGACAACATCTTTGCCGCCCAATCCACCTTCTTCGTCGAACTCTCAGAAACCAAGAAAATTCTCTCTGAAGCTACGTCTCGTTCCCTCGTCATCCTCGACGAACTCGGTCGTGGCACCAGTAGCTACGATGGTGTCTCGGTCGCTCAAGCTGTGCTTCACCACGTCGCGTCTCATATCGGCTGTATTGGTTTCTTCGCCACGCATTACCATTCTCTCGCTCTAGAGTTCGATTCTCACCCCGAAGTCATCAATAAGCGTATGGCGATCGAAGTCGACGATGAATCAAGAAGCGTACTCTTTTTGTATAAATTAGAAAATGGGGTTGCCGAAGGTAGTTTTGGTATGCATTGTGCAAGTATGTGTGGAATACCACGGAAAGTGGTTGATAGAGCTGAAGTCGCGGCGAGGGAATGGGAATACACTAGTAGACTTGGAGAAAGCTTAGAGCGGGCAAGAGGAGAAAAGGGAATTTATTTGCCGTTGGGCGTGTTGAGTGATGTGGCTTGGTGTTTGAAGGAGACGGGGACGAAGGGAAAGAGACCAGAGGTTGAAAATGAAGAAAGTGGAATTAGTGAGAGGGGATTGGATTGTCTTTTGAGAGCTATTGAAGCTTTGTGAAAGTAGCGATTGTCAGAGACTAGGTTGCTTGTGCGAACTTAAGATAATGGATAGAAGGAATGCTATTTACATACGAATTTTATTGCCTATGAAGTGCTCGGGTAATAGTAGATACTAATGAAAGGGATCAATCGATGAGTAAATAGGAAATAGATAGGCGTTGCCGGCTCAGATGGGGATAGTATACTATTTAGCTAGCGGTTGGGATACTTGTATGTATCTATGAGATTAAAAAAAAAAAAAATTTTTATCAATATTAAACAACTCTATCTATCTTTAAATTCTTATTTATTCTTCTCAAGAATAATATTAAAAGTTATAAAAAAAAAAAGATATTCACCTCGAGTTTTATACACCTATCTATCCATCATATAACTAAGTATCTGTTATTAAAGCTCACTCTTACTTGAAGGGTATGTATATAGAGTAAATATTTCCCGTAGAATTTTTGTTTTGGAATTCTATAAGTATAGCATGGATTGTTTATTTTATTGTATTGTATTGTCACTGTGTTGTATTGCCTGCATACTTTGGCAAACTAAATAATTATTCGTATTCCACTGTATCGTGTGTATCATGCGCGAGAACCAAAACCAATTACCCAATACAAGTAAAAATGAAATAAATCAGGCTTCATATTCCATCATATTAGGGGTATCCATCATATCCATCATATCGTATCATCATAACCATCCATCATTACATTGTCCCATCAATTGAAGTAAGAATCTTACTTATTTCCTCCCCTTCTCGCTCCTTCGACTTCTACTCATTTCCTCTTCCCTCCTAATTTCCTTTTCTCTCTGTCGCGCATCTCTCCTCGCTTTATAGCCATCCCCACCCCCATCACCATCACCACTACCACCACCACCCTCCCGTCTCGATCCCTGTCGAATCACCCCTAAATCTCTACCTCCCTCCTCTCCAGGCGTAAGAAACTCCCCCTCAGCAAGCACCCTCCCGTCCCTCGCCAGCCTAACCTCCTTCCCCCTCTTATAACAATACCAAAAAACAAACAACAGCACAAAAAGCGCCAAACTAAGCAAAACATTCGTCCCCATAAAAGCCGGCCAGCGCAATTTCAACGCATTCACAATCGCTTTCAACATACTAACCACAGCACCCGGTTTGGTAACTAAATCTTTGAGGGAAGAAGGTGTAAGGAATGCTTTGGCCGCAGCGCCCATTCCACCAGCTTGCGCGGCAGATGCAGCGTTCGCGACACTGTGCGCTTGGGCTTCTGTAGCTACGGCTAGGAGTTCGGGAGCGAGAGTTGTTGTTACTTTTTGGGGGAGTTGGGTGATGAGTTTTTGGAGGAAGGAAGGCAGGGAATCGTAGGATTTGGAGAGGGTTCCTTGGGAATCTTCTAGTAGGTGGACGAGGTCATCGTAGGCGGTTGGTACACCGTTTATAAGATCTTTGAGGATGAGGGTGAATTTTTGGACGAGGACGGTGGAGTCGGGGGAGAGGGAAAAGGCCCGGTTGTTGGAGGCAGTTAGGGAGAGATCGTCGAGGACTTTGGTGAGATCGTCTTGTTCGCGTTGGGCTTCTGTGTCGGAAATGTTAGGGTCTGGTTGTAGACCTGGGTTTTTATCTTTGGCATCCTTTTCCTGGAAAGAAGATGTTAGGGCCTATTTGATCAGAAAGTTGAAGTTTCACACAACATACCTTTTTGCCTTTATGCAAGAAACTCAACTTTTTCCATTTGTTCGCCGCTTTTTCAGTATTGTCATCAACTTTCTCTTCCTCCTTACGCATCTTTCCCTTTCCTTTGCCCCGCACTTTATTCTCCTTATCCTTTTCAATAGTCTCTCCCTCACCATCCTCCCTTAAAATCATCTGCAACTCATTATCCCTCCACTCCCCAGCCTCGTCTCCCATTCTTCTTCCCTCAATAGCCCTCTCACTAGGTCTGACCGGTAACGTAGGTCTTCTCTGCGGAAGTGGAGGTGGAGTCTCCTCTGCACTTATAAACCTATGTAAGAAATACTCATCTTCCTCGTTGAGAATTGGACTTGCGCCCTCTTTTCTCAATTCCGCAGATGGACTTCTGACTGTATTTAGAGGGCGCGGACGTGAAGAAGCTGCTGGGGAAACTGGAACTGGAGATGCAAGAGGAGTGCTGGAATTGGAAGCGTTTCCCTTTTTCTCAGCTTGGTGTTTCTTGACCTTTTTGTAGGTGAAATATTCGAGCATGATTGCAATTTGACCGTTCTTCCTTCTTAGAATATGGGTATCTTCTTTGCTGTTGTCGTAGATTAATAAATGATGAAAGATATTGCACAAAAAAGCTGGATGTAAAAAATATCAAATATAATATAAAAGCATGGCCACAATCCAAGATCAAACTCTTACATACAACACATGTTTTCTTTATTCACTCATCCTCAAATGCGACTCGCCATGCTTCAATCCAGCTCCAGAAGTTCATCCCCAGCCACACGTCATAGGACAATCCCCTGCTTTACGCGCGAACTTGTTTTCCAATAACTTGAGCCGCCACAGCTTCCAGCGATATTTTGCACAGCCACATTTGTGAAGCGTAGTCCTCGTCACACAGGTGTACAGAGTATGTTTGATCTTCAAGGAGTAAAGAACTAATTTATTGGGCCTTAACTTTTCACCTAAATTCGAAGCGGAAAAAGTGTCAAAAGTAAAACACCAAAAAATAAAACCTAGGGGTATTTATTGATCGTCAATTTATCGGTTCGAGTCCACCCATATCGGTAAATTCTTCTACTCCTGCTATGTACCTACTACCTTACCTACCTGCCCCACATACAATCAACTTGTCCATCGCCTTCGCCAACACCCGAAAAAGTATCAACTCACAACATCACCCCCAAAATTTCATTTGACTCCTCTTAAAAATTTCACAACAAAAGACAGAAACAAAAGATTACTCTCTCTCCCTCGGGTGGGCTCGAACCACCAACCTCTCGATCACGTGATTCGTGATGTATTACGATTAACAGTCGAACGCGCTAGCCAATTGCGCCACGAGGGATATCTAACTGTTTGATGTAGAATGAGCACAGTGGGTCAGTATATAAATGCTACCATTGAAAGGCATCCAAATTCGACGATGCTTTCGCACTATATTATAATCCTAGGTAGGTACTTGTTAATAAATAATATCTCCAAGCAGAAATACAAACATACATCGATCATCCAATTCCATCATCCATCATCTAAATTCGAATTCAAAGTCCCAAACAAAACACCACATGTGCATCAAACTCCCCAACAACTAATTACTGTACTCAGGATGTTTCACTAACTACCACACTAAGGAAATTATAGATAATACTCTGCCGGTATACATAGATCATGCCTATATAAAAGTCATGTAATCCAACGAAAATGCATTCTATGAACTTTAAATAATAGCCAAGCCAATAACAGGAATGGTCTGGATTTTATTTTATTTTATTTTCAAAAAAGAGACTGGCTGTTACTAGACATTTTCAGGATACTTACTATAGATGTTAAACATTTTATTAGAAGGTTTCCAACCAGGAAGTGTGTGAAGGTGCATTATGAATCTAGTCTTATATTAATTATAACACCGTCAAAACGAGAATTCTGAATGTTATATACGTAGGTAGGTTTCAATATTTGTTGAATCGAAGTGTAATAATGAGATTTACTCCCATATCAATACTAAACGAAAGTGTTTGGCGAGTGATTGTGAGGTTGAGGTATAAGGGATTATTGATGAGTAGATTTGAGTCTATGTTTAATTTAGATAGCAGGCAGGGATTGCTAAACCGAGGATTTTTTTGGAAAATATTATTTTGATTGTTAAAGTTTGAATCAGGCATTAGAGATCATATTCTCATGAATCTGCACCCATCCTGCTGGCATCGCCTCGTCAAAATGATGCAGACGCAATTTAGGTACGTTGCTTTCGGTAATCTCCTATTGCATATATCCATCACTTCGCCCTTGGCCAAAGACTATAACCTAGTCTTACACAATCGGATTTTACTATACGCATCATAATTTTAAACATTATCACCCATGGGCGCCCAACCATCTAATCCTCCTCCCTCCCCATTATTCCCCTCATGTCTCCATGCTTCAGCGCCATTCTCATCAGCTGCTCCAACGATTAGATTGCTATCTGATTGCTCTTCGTAGAACCATGGACTCATCATTGGAAAAAACCAATCCTCATATTGCGGGACCAGAAGTTCTTCCCCTGTACTTGTTTGATCTTGAGGAACGGCGTTTGGATTACTCAATGTACTGGTATATGTTTCTGAGTGATATGGAGTTATATTCTGTTGGTGTTGTTCTGAAGAAGAAAAGTAAAAGCCTGTGGCTGGGTGAGGCGTAGGTACATCGGGGTGTGAAGGGTAAGATTGAGACTCTAGTTTTAGCTGTGAGGTGTACTGAGGCTGATTTTGGTAATTTTCAGGCTGATCTTGGGGATGCTGATAATTTAAATCTGGGAGATTTGCGTCGTGTTCGTAAAAGGGGGGAATTTGGTAAGGATCATGCGCCGTTGGTTGTACATTGTAACTTTGTTGCATAGACATAGGAATATGCTCGGACTTGTAGTTCAAGGAGTTATGATCGAATGGTCGCATTTCAGGTGGAATGTCGGATTGTGATTGTATCGGAGGAACAGGAGACACTTGGGATCTCGCAGAGTTTGCAGGTGATAACGAAACTTGTGGATCATGGGCCTGTGCAACATTAGTTCTTCATAGTCATCTCAAAGAATACCAATACTCATACGTCAGCAATGATATTGCTATTTACCTCCTCCTCCACTTTATAGTAGTCCTCCTCCTCCGATTCATCGCTCTCCGTATATAGTTCTTCAGAATCATGAGATGAAGATCGTGATCTTTTGGTATATTGCGTGGCTTCACGTTGTGCCTTTTTGACATGCTCAGCAGCGACGTGATTCATTTCTTGAAATATCGGGACTGCCGGATGGCTCTCCGCTGCACCACTATCTTCGAAGCTAGAAAGAAACGATATTACATCGTTCATTAGCTGGATATCATATTGTGCTTGTGGATCAAGAGGGTGTTCAAGAACATTTTCAAAAAGAGAGACATGTGCTGCAAGCGCGTAGTGAATAAAAATGCTAAGCCTTATGTCAGTATAGTTGAATTTGGACAAAAACTTCTACTTGCCGTAAAATATTTACTTCCACTGGACTTGACAATCTGAAACAATTATTCAGTAAATCGATTGTTTTCCTTGCTGCATTAACGCAGATCGCGGCGCTCGCATACACTCGTGGGTTCAATTTAGGATCTAAGTCGCTTTGAGGTTCCTCTTCATCCATATCCAATGGCCCTGGGCCATAATACAACGATACTTTGTGAATTGTAATAAGGCATTGGTAATATCCCCATTGCATGCAGACGGCTGTAACAAAATGGTTTTTATCACATTTTAGGGGGTAACCCGGCCGAACCTCAACTGGGATTGTCTCACACCATTGTTGGAGTTCATCATCCAGCATCCCAACTATTTTTAACCTCTCCGTTTTGGATTTTGTAAATGATTTGGCGGAATATAATCTATTGTAGATTCGACCCTGAAGTAAAGATAAGACTGCATTATGGCGAAACGTAACGAATCTTCCATTGAATTCTTCTGAATATTGGTTTTCAGGAGGTAAGTCAACTCCAATATCTTCATCATGAATCACCGAAGGGCGACCGTGACGAATGACTACACCACGTTCGATCATGATAGCAATCCAGAAAACGTTGCGTCTTTGTTCTATTTCAGCCTCATTAAGAACAGAATCAGATATTTTGCGATGGAGTCCTATGGCTTGTGCAAGTCGAACTGTTGCTGCTGATACTACAGAACACGGGTATACATCCGAGAGTGCGTTCAGCATGAATGCCTACCATAAGGTTAACATATACCGTAGAATAAGAATGAGAGCGAATTACTAAACCAGCCATCGCCTGTACGGCCATAAGGGACGGTGGTCCGAACTGTAAATGAACAAAAGTACTAGCTGCGTTCCGAAGCCATCCCCAATATGGCAAGCTTTCCAGTTCTCCGGAGCTTGAAGATTTTGGACTTTCGGGTGAACTTGCTGGCAGTTTTTCCTTACGTATAACCGAAGCAAGAGCAAAACAGACATTAAGGCAGGCGTACCAAGCAGGGTTTTCTGAGCATTTGACCGGATACTGGCGTGAGTATCGTTCCATAAACGTCTTCCGGTCGAACAGAGGAAGTGAAGGAATCAGCGTATCAAAAACAACTGAGACCACAAGTTATAATTTTGCGTTGATAAGGAGTGGCAGATGGACTTACATTCCAAAATTTGATCCGCAATTTCCCTAGGTGGAAGAGGTTTGTGCTTATGATCAGGCATTGCATACCATAGCGACGCTGGGACGGAGTATTGAGACATTCTTTTATGGTTTGCAACACCTATATAGTTCGCAAATTGGTCGTTTCCAGTCAATTTACTGACACGTTGAAGGCCATGTGGAGAAAATATAAAAAATCCAGAAGCGGCACCTGACGATATTTAACCAGAGTACCACTGAGCGTGATTCGGAATCGACTCACCCCAAAATTCTTCAACTCCGGTGTCACTTATATTAAGTGCAGAGAACTTTTCCAACATTGCAGCTTGATCATTTATCTCTTCTGATGGCTGTCTGTCACTGCGGGAAGCATCCACGCTAAGTCCGGAATTTGTCATAACATGCTCCATACGTTTCAATTTAGCTTCTAAGAGAGAAACGTGACTATTCCTATAAATCAATTAGATGCGCTGGTTATTGATTCAATTGTTTCGTACTTCTTTTTCTCCCTCTTTTTCCGTACCTTGGCCGTGACGGTACAATTTATCTCCCGTCCCTGGCAGCGATTGCATATTCCTTCTTGGTCCCATTCGCATTTGATCTGATGGACATAAGTAAATTCATAGGCGAAAAGTAAAGGAGCCTCTGTGATTGAATACCTTCATTCGCTTGCATGTGTCACATGCAGTTCCTGTATTGCGATCAGTCGGAGTTGCTCAAAGTATGCAGTGAATAGGCATTCAACGAGGACGAACTGTGTCGGGGTGTTTTGTTATCCATATCCATGCCATATAAATGCTCCAAAAGTGGAAGATCAATCCAAGGGTATATTTGTAAGTCTCAGTCAGGCCTGGCCTTGTTACAGAATGATGTTGACCCTTTTCGGAATCGGTTGCTTCGAAAAGTCTCAAAACAATAGAACTAATGGGAGGCGAGGCCAGAAAATGAAGAATATATATGGATAAGTTTGGAAGAGGTAGACTCTTAATTGCAAAGTTCAATTGAGCAAGGAGATGAAGGTATCGCAGTATGGAGTAGAGGTCATGGATAGTATCAGAAGGGCGACCGAATAGACTTTTTGACCTATCCGGTATCCGGTATCCCCGGTTGAGGCTGAGCTAAGGCACAATTTGGTCCCTTAGAGCTTCATATGAGGTAATTATAGCTAGCTAATAATTTGAAAAAGCAGAATGGGTTGTATGTGAAAGGATATGAGGAACTGAGCGGTGTTATTGTTCATTGTCTATTGTTCATTATCATACAAATCTAGATTTCATCAAAGCAAATGGACGATCAAAATAGAGTTTTCTTTAGCATCCCATTATAAGCAAACACGTTTCAAATGTCCTAAGCGCGTAATACAGATATTTACAGGGGTATTTTATCAAAATCCGTTCTTTTTCAAGTAATACAAAGATGATGTTATCATAGATTCGTACCTAGTCAACTTAAGGACATAATCGATTTGTAGGTCAGCAATACTCGGGTAGATACCCAGAAAGTACGGAAAGGCTGACACGCTAATATGCGCGAAAGAGGTCAAGTTGCGCCTAAGTGTTCATCCCGTCCGTCTAGACCAATTTTATATGTATAAAAGTCAACAAACGATATAACCCGATTCCTTAGCAGCTGGAAAGCTGAGCGGTGTACGTCATTGGAAGAATTAGCAAAAGTGGATCCTTTGGGAGGGTTTTATCATCCACTTTTGGCTGAATATATTATACAGTATCCACCACTTATTTAGTTGGATCAAGTTAAACCCATGTCTAGTTTATCGAGTTTATGTAGTATCAGCTCTCTTGGTTAATTAAGAGAAGGATCAAAATCTATTGGACCTCGAAGCAAACATACCCGATAACTAACTCCTCACTACATGGGAGCAGTCATGAAATGAGGAATGTAATTGTCTCCACATGCTTACGGGCTCAGTGCGCAAGATTACCACCATGGTGCAGCGCTAAATGTGGGTTTAGAATCTTGTTATACAATGACAGATTCTCAATCCATATTAAATATTGTTATTCTCAAGTGTTGTTGAATTCATTTCTAGATTATAAATATTTAAATCATTTTTATTATTTTCTTAATATATACTCTATAGAATAATTATAATTGTCGGCTTGCCGACACCAAAACCTTGCTGTACGCGTAACGTACCGCAATTTACCCGGTGTAGGTTGTAGAAAATGAGAAACTCGCTTAAGTGAGTCGCGATCCTGACAATCTGATTGGTCTAAAATACTCTTGCAGAAAATCTAACGAAAAGCTTGGTATAAGCTTTACAACTTTAGGCAAATCTGGCTTGGAGCTTTTTTCAACTCAATTGAAATCATCAACTTTATTGAAATCATTCAATTCAATTATATGTTACGAGGGTTGCGATCTAGATCATGTGGAAGTGGTTTATAATTAAGCGTCGAGTAGGGGCTAAAATAATAGTGATTGCAATTCGTAATTAATAGTAGTGAATACTAAATGATTGATCTTGAGTACGAAGTCTACAATAAGGAATCCTTTTTGGTTATATAGATCTCCGTATCTAGGAGCTGTAGGAGTTTTTGAATCTCCAATGCTCCATTGGAGTTGTAGGAGCCTTCGAATCTCCAATACTCTATCATATGATCCTTTAATTATATGGTTCCGTAATTGTTACCGAACTGGATCTAAGGCTAATAGGGCCTGTGTATAATTGTTCCCTATACGACCTTAATCCCATACTAAATTGATCAAATCGTATCGTGTAAGCATACGATCGGTTAGTATAAGATCCGTGGTCGTAATACTATATTAAAATCATTCAACTTTATTCGTTCAATTTATCTCATTCAATTCATCTTATTCAATTCAAAATAATAATAATAATAATTATAATTATTATTTTTTGAATAAAGTTTTTAATTTTCAATTATTAAAAACAGATGTATATTCTATCTACACTTTAATATATATTTAATATTTAAATTTATTATAAACTTTTTAAAACTTAAATTTTTATTAAATTTTCTCGAAAAGCCAGGGATCCGGGGGGTACAGGTCTTCAGTATATTCTTATAAATTAATAATAATAAAACTTTATATAGAAAAGAACAAAATAAAAATAAAAATGTGAAAGAGGGAAAGATTAAATTTCTAAAGTGAGAAAGTATAAAATCAAAGAATTATAATTTAATAATTATCAAATTTGAAATTATTTATATTAATAGTTTATTATATACTAAAATCTCGATCTATGATTTGAACAAATCACAATCTCGGAAATGGGATATTTACTGATTCGATGCTTCTATAGACAACTAGTTTGTGGTTTGTGCATAGAGTATTAAATTTTTTTTATAATTTCTGGTCGCGTGTGAGTGGTTCTCGGCAGCCTTCGCCGGTGGGCCTTTCCATCTCCAAAGCTCAATATCACAAGTACTATATAAACTCAAGTAGTCTGTTTAAGTCTAAATTCTTTTGGAGTAAGGTTATTTATCCTTATATATCCAGAATGTTATTCCCAAAAGGGGTTGGACTTAAACGGATTGCTTGAGTTTACACGGTACTTGTACCGGCAGTAAAGGTTAGTGATCCGGATTACCCCCAGACGTCAATTGCTCTTTGTGCTCGGACAGAACTTAATAACAGCTCATGTTTTTCTGGTTGGCAACTCATAATATGCATTTCCCATGCTTTAAATAGCTTAACGGTGGGACCGATTTTCATCAGCAATCTTTGTATGAATCTATACTGGTTCGGCCGAGAAGTATGCAGCGCATATAATGTAGCAAATGCTTTGTGATGATGGTAAAGTAAGAAAGACATCCTAACCTTATTAATCTCCACATGTGATATGTGCAAACTTCTTCGCCGCACCAATAACATTCCGGAAGACAACATACGACATTTTTGTTAGAAGCATTATCATAACCTGAGCAGAAACGATTGATGAGATAAAGAAGATTAAGTATAAACCAACTTGAAGCTACGCAGGCTAGATTCCTAAGCATATCCATGTCCATGTCCATGTCCACGTCCATCTTCATCTTCTTCTCGCTGCCAATAGCATATCTCAAATCCATCTTGCCTGTTCACTCGTCATGTGCAGTAAAAGTCAATCCGCGATTCACATGCCATGATGTGCTTATGATCATGATAATTAATCAACAACATCCAGCACCACTCAAACCCCCTGCCAAGCAAGCACAAGATTACCGAGTGATAATAACAAATTCAATACCAATCATGTAGCCCCTGCCAAGCAAACACAGAGATTACCGAGTGATTTTGTGTAACACCCCTACTAGCGAGATTCAGACATCAACTTCCTTAGTAAACATCGGAATACAGATTCTTCTCAATTGAGCAAGCAGTTCCGTTATCATTGCGTTCTTCACTGAGCTAAGCAAATATCTCCTACATTTGACCACGGAGTGGTGTTCTGGAATCATATGTTGAAAATATACAGCCACAGAACAAAAATTCTACAAAATCTTTCATCACTTCATTCGCAATAGGATTAGGATTGATGATCAGCATATATGAAAGCTCATAGGTATCAACTTACAAATAAACATGTTCCTCAAGTTCAATAATCTCCCGTCAATTCCCAATATAGGGTTTGTCTGTTAGACTTAAAAAGTCGGGCGGCTAAAAGGAGAACATTGTGTAGTTTGATTTCCTTGTGATTCAACATATAAAAATTTGAAAGAACTGATAGTGGGGTCGTCTGCCCCGGAAGAGTTTCTGAAATCATTCATCCTTCGTTCTCAAATATTCGTATTTGCCTTTGTTCTTTCTATTCCTTCGTCCATTCTTCCATCCATTAATCCATTCATCAATCCACCCATCCACCTCTCCATCCCTCCACTCCCCAAACTTCACCGTCCTCTCACCCCCTTCCCCTCATACCCAAAAACTCAAACCCTCCCCCACCGCCACCACAATCTACCCATCCACCAGCCAACCCTCGTTCGCAAACTCCTATCCTCCAAAAATATCAGCAACAATCCACTAACTACCCTACCTATTCCACTATCCACCCACCAATAAAATTCCCGTCCCCTCGAGCTCCAACCTATTCCTCTCCACCAAATCTCCCAAACGTCTTTTATTTCGCGAATGTCTCGCAGCGAAACTTCCATGATTATAACACAAGGCTTTTTCAACAACTAACCCATTATAGCTATCTATAACTTCCTCGTAGATACAGACCCGAGCAAGATGCGGCAGATATCTGAAAGAATCAATTGCAGCATGCCATAGGGTATCATGTTAGTTATATAATGTATCGAGAAATATCACCGAGTATTTTTTTTTCGGTGGAAATTGAAGAGTGGAGATATGAGTAAAGAGAGATAGATGATTGAAAGTTGGTATTGTGATTTTATGAAAATGATATAAATTATTCAATAGTCTAACATCCTCGAAAATCTACACATATGAAATTGGAATAGATAGACCAAACTCAAATCTAACCTAAACCCATTATACCTGTATACAAATACAAATAAAAACAAAATAGCACTTCGAGTCTTTCGAGTAAACCAAAAATTCATACACATATATAACAATAAATATACCATACATTTAAGCAAGAATCTCTTCCTATGTGCATATATAGCGGTGCTAGAGTCATGTTTAATCAAGAAAAAGTCGCTTAAATAGTAAATTATACTAAAATTATTAAGATTACAAAATACTAACCATATCTCCCTCAATCCCTCAACCCCCCTCCCCAAAACTAACCCACACAAAGCCCAACCGCCACCCCTCCTCCTCCTCCCCCCTTATCACCCAAAAATAACCTTTCCCCCCTAACTTTCTCACTGAAGTAAGTAAATGAATATTCGAACAAAGAGGTAGACCAACTGGACTATATAAAACCACCTAAGTAAAAAGCATTGGGTAGAAACACCCTTCCTTGCTGTTTCTTGTTTCTTCTTACATTGTGGTCTTAAGACCTAGCTATTGTGTATCCATCACAAATTTGATGATCGCCCACCCTAAAATCACAAAGAAAAACTTCGAATAATCCCATCGTCTTGGTTAAAATGTAAATTGAATTACTATATTAAGGTAGGTTTGATTACTCTACTTCTTTGGCAACTGGTATTGTAAGATCTTAGTATTATCTTTCATATTACATATTCCACTCCCTGAATACACTTCAGCTCGATCTTATACACACAGCAACCATGGTTTAAGGATATATATCCCATAAATATTGCCATTCCAATACATAGCACCAAAAAAACGCCATGAATGTCCACAGCCATACCCGTGCCAGTTTTCATATCCGTATCCATACCCATAAATTATTCTCTATTCCACTTCCACACATACCTCCAATTGCCCGCCGCCCACGAAAAACGCCATCGCCTTACTCATCATCCTGCACCAACTCCTTGATCTCCCCACCAGCTTCACCACCTCCCAAGCCCCCACCGTTTGCAGCCCCTCCGTTAGCAAACTGTAAATCCCTCTTTTTACCCTTCCCACTATCCCCTCCATCTCTGATCCAGAAATCAACTTCATCGACAATATCATAAAGAATATCCTCTACAATTTGTTCATCATATCGCTCGCTCGCTGCTCTAATACTGGGGAGAGAGGAGCCATTATCACTTATCATATCCACATCACTCTCTTCTGTACTTGAACCTGGTGGGGGATACCACCACTGAGGACCGAAGTTGACTTCTGCTGCGCCACCGCGGAAGACCGATACGGCGGGGAAATAACCAAGCATGCCATCATCTAGACCTTCCCTAGCACCAACCTGAGGTTGTGGTTTTGAGGCGGGTGGGAGGAAGGATAAAAGGTCCGTAAATGGTGTCCCAATTAACTTTCCATTTTTGTAGACCTTGATAGACGAGTGTGGCAGAGTGCGGAGAGCGGGCACAGGATGAGTTGGACCAGGATCTTGAATTGCGGATGAGACACCTCCGGTTGATGATATAACTGGCGATGGGTTCATGAGCTCTTCTAGTTCTTTGCAAGTGGAGTATTCAATTTGTTCAAAGTAGAGGTGAGTTTTAAAGCGGATAGGTACTCGATCTCGTATCATATCTGCTCGTTCCATTCCACCATCGTCCTCGTCGGTGAGATCAACCGCTGGGTTGTAATTTCCTTCGACGACTTTTCGATGCAACTTTTCAGATGGTAAGTTAATTTCTAGCCCAATAACATCTCCTTCGTGTATCGATTCTCCTGCCGGAAAAAAGTCCTTGGGTCGAGACATCCATACTTTTTGTCCAGCCACATCCCGGATACCATAACTATAGGCATCAAACCCTACTGGTGCATCTTGTGCTGCCTCCCTTCTTGCGAATCCCATACGAACGTGGCCATGCGACTCTTGAGCTGGTTCTCCTGCTTTAGGTTTTGATACACCACTTGTAATCTTGCATTCCCAATACCAACGACCCTCCCTTATGCCTACATTAGCCTTTGCCATTCTGAACCCCTTATCGGTTGTAATGTGTGTAGCCGTTTCATCCATCATCATATGAGGAGCCGAATCTTCGAAACTTAATCGAGCACCAAAGGGTTCCGTTTCTGTTTGTCGGTAGTAAAGAATGGAAGGGAAAGTCGGATCTGCTATACCGCGAGTATATCGGAAGTTCTTTTTGTTGTATACGCTGCATATATAAGCCTATATTTAAATACAGTATGGGTTAAAAACTTACTGGTCGGTAGTCTCGTGGAATTGAATCTCTGTACCATCTGGGGCGATCTTGGTATGGGAAGGAAGGAGAGTCGGTCCACGAGGAGCTTCAAAGTCCGGTAGTTTCGGTGGAGGGATCTTGTATCGTAAAGGAGTAATGCAGTTGATTGTGGCTTTCTTTCTAATGGAAGAGCTTGATTTTGGATCGGGTGTAGCTCTTGCACTCCCCTCTGGCGCAAGTGATCCAGCTTTCGATTCCCTTTTCTTCAACGATTCTTTCTTAGCCCTCGAAGCTCGTTCGCGAATGCCACCGGGTGTTTCTTCTCCAGTCTTTTGAATCTTGAATTCTGGATTGAGGGGTGACGATACTGCAGGTTGATGATCATCTTCGAGAGCGCGCTTTTGCGCAAATGCTGATAATGGCGGAAGGATTGGGGTATTTGCTGATGGTATTGAGCCTCTGCGTGGTGATTGTCCGTCAACTGACATTTTATATCCTGCGATCAAGCACAATGGTGGTTCAAAAAGTTAAGTATGATTTGAATGAATTATTGATTCTGCGAAACCAGAAATCTTGAAGCTATTACCATTGAATTGATCTGATTGTGCACGGACCAATAGAGCTAAATCTTTTACCCCACACCAGAAGCTAACTTCCCTCGGCATTTATTAAAGCCTAGATTTCTGACTTCACTTCAGGATTTTATTGATCAGCCATTGGCTTCACTAGTGAAAAAGATGGCAAGTCTTGCAATCTTCTCTTATAATTGGCGCTGTCTAGCAACATAAGTAATGCACACTCCTTTGGCGTTTAAGTAGATATGAAATCCTCCCATAATGCTCGCGGTCCCTTCCCACTATCCCTTCCGCTAAACTTGACGTTGGCGCAGTATACGCAATTTCTTTCTTGTAATATTGGGTGATGTAGACTTCCACTATTAGTGGATCTCTACAAATCCATATATTAGACAACATGTGTTAAAGTTCCCCCGTGTATCAGAGCATCAATCCCTCATGAGCCCTATATATCTCCGGACACATTAGGGCATCAACTTGTCCATATCTCATTGAAAGCGCATTTCATATAATGGAGATATATCATACCTACGGAAATAGTTAAAGTAGGCCATCATGTTATGTATGCAATCGACATAACGTCTTGGTCATCGCCATCGTCGTCGCTGTCATCGTCCCCATCCTCATTCCACGAATCTTCCTCGTCGTCGCTAACTGGGTCAGGTACATATTTGATTGGTTTGAGATTCTCGAGCTTTTGAATTCTGGTAGACTTTCTCGGTGGAGTTGGAGGAGGTTGTGTAAAGGCCTTTAAATGTGGTTAGAAAATGATATATGGGATCTAGTCGTGTAATCGCGAACTTACCACAGGCGATGCCACTGGCGTTGTCAATTTCTTTATCAAAAATTGCTCGAAATTTTTGAATTCTGTTTCGGTCAGAGCTTTGTCAAGATTCAAAGTCCAGTGCTTTGAGACGATGACCTTTTTAAGGTCGCGGAGACTAATGAGTTTGTCGAAACCATTGCTTTTATTGAATTTTCGAATACTGTTGTCGGTTTGATGCAGACGCTGTACTTTACGATGATAGTATGCTGGCTGGCCGTCGGATACACACGAGCGCTGCAATACAATTTCCAGAGTCTCAAGGTGTTCGCAAGAGGCGAGCAGTCCAAAAATAAATGAATCCTTGGAATAAATACCACTCCAATCGCATTTGAAATTGCGAGCGTTCTGAATCAAGGTTTGTTTGCTTTCTCTGAGACGCTTAATGGTTGGGGCACTCAGGTTGAAAGTATTCTTCCAAAAGAAGTGCATGCATTCTGCGTTAATATAGCGACAAGAAGCAATAAGGCCAAGCGCCAGACCCGATTGCTTGCAACCGTCGTCAAAGGGAAGAGCGCTGGGTATTAAGCCAGAATATGAAATCAATGCCAACTCGTAAATTTTGTAGCGCAACTCGATAGGAAGCTTCTCGAGCCGGAAGACTTTTCCACCTAAAGTAAGCCGTCAATTATGTACGTGTGAAGCATATGTAATTGGACGCGAAGTCAAATACATACTTGCAGCAAAGACAGCTCTATCTAACTTCATTTTGATATCTTCCAAAGACTTATGGCTAGCTTCGAAAACATTAACGCTGTCCGGATAAGAGGCCATTCTCGCCTCATTTTCCTCCGAGCAAAGGTCTTCATGCGAAACGGTATTGAGGTTAACAGCCTCGTATTTACCGTTACCAAGTTTGCGCATCATCCACAATCCATCCTCGATATCGTCACTTTCCAAAGTGATTGTCTTATAGATCCGATCAACAGGGTTTGTTACAATAGGCTCATTCGCCTCTGGCTGAGGAGCTTCTTCATCTGAGCTGACGGTATTCTTCTTCTTCATAGACAGCTTCGACTTTGTGGCTTTGGTCGTCTTGGTTGCCTTTGTTTTGGATCCAGGCGGCATTACTTTAGCAGTTCTTTTGAGGCGAGGCATGATGACTTCCCACTGTAAGTAGCATTAGCAGGGCCAAAGGACACAAGTAGTGAGGATATGTTGCTTGGGATCGAACGTGTCATCTGTATTCATACATTTCTTTTATAAGGAAGCTACAGGAGTTTTCAGAAAGCACATCCCATCAGATCAATATCAAGTCTGGGTGCAAGGATGAAAAAAAGCAAAAAGTCAAAGTGTGGAAAGTGTTTGCACGAAGAAAAATCTAGAATTTGAGTAGATAAAAAGATTCAAGAACAGGACAAGAATACTCACGTTAATATTCAAAGGTCGATCCTGGAAACAGAGAAAATATGTACCTCAACCCCTGACAATGTACTTGAAAAGAAGTAGAGAGGATCCAGTGGATGACAATCAAAGATTCAGTATCAATAGAAAGAAAGAAATTTTCTAAGATGGCGGTTGTGAAAAAGAAAGAGGATGGTTGTTGGAAAGAGGAAAGAGGAAAGAGGAAGGAGGGAGGAGATTGTTGTAGAATGTTTTGTTGTAAGTTCGGAGGAGTTCCAAAGTAAATTGATGTGACTTAAATAAACTTCAATCTGAGTGGGATTTTAAGCGCAATGCTGTGTGCAGTATTGGTGAATTTATTGGACTAACCAAGAAAATACATGGAGGGGACTTTGCCACCTAATAAATGAATGAGAAAGAAATAGTCCAGTTAAAATGGCTCATTGCTTCCATTTGAAGCTCATGGAATCGAAATTACCGAATTAGGCGATTATAAGAATTTTAGATACACAGTACCTGGGTACCTATCAAATAGTATGACATAACCCTTACCTATCGATACATGATTGAAATCTCGGTGCAAAATAGCTTAGGAGTTTCAAGAAAGTAAACCCTGAGCGAGTAACTGAATAATCAATATCATACCATCAACAATACTTTTCTCAAGAATCTCATCTCAAGTGACATATAGGGCGAATATAGACAAAGGATATTCATTTTATTACTACAAATATGAATACAAGAACTTTGATGAAAATATGGGTATAAGTTTTGTTTTAAAATTTATCATAATCCTCTGCTTTTAATCCAAATGCACCACCACATGCGCCTCTTAGAATAGTTCAATACACAAGTCCACTATTTCTGTATCAGTACATATCATCTATATCAGGATCGAAGCAAAGCAAAACTTACACTTGGTGAATAGCAGTTGGTCCCTCTTCATTGAAATCAACTCGGGATAAAAATCCCTTCGACAATCCTTGATCTACAACGAATATCACCTTGGCAGCTACTTGAGATCCCAAGAACACGGCCTCTTCATAAGTCTTCCACTCTGGGAAATATCCTGGAGGATTGGCGACCTTGATGCTAGTAGGCGACTGGGAGTGTGATGAATGCTGAGCATTTGCTCCACCGTTGAATGAAGCGATTGAATTGTTAGGATTAAGTGCAGGATTAGATGCGGTAGTCGCTGCAAGAAGTAAAGGATTGACCGCACTGGCTGAGGGTACTGGATGTGGTGTCGATGAGAAAGAAGCATTAGGTGTCATGGACCCTGTGCCAGTAGGTGTTGCTAGGTTTGATGGGAGTTCGCTCATGAACATGGTTGCAGAACTTGGTGAGATGAGATATCGGTTATTGAGGATTGCAATCAACGCATCCTTGAAGCCCCTAACCTTTGATCCTGACCCACAGATGATCAAAGAGTCCCAAGCATCTTGGCGTTTGGAAATATCGTCGACAGAAAGAATTGTCCTGTAGACAGTATCGGCGATGGCGTCCATGTAACTTTCACTTGCTGCTTGGAATCGTTCTAAGCCGATATCAATATCTCTCCTCATGCGGTCTGGGTGCTCATCTTCCCAAGCTTTCTGTCTACGTGCTGTCTTTGCTTGTTCACGAGCAACAGCTCCATCTACTGCAGCAGCCGGATCGGTACTTGTTGTAGCCTCAATGGGTGGTTCTGTGGTTGTGTCGGTAGTTTTATTAGTACAATCGGTAGGAGACTGTGCTCCTTCATGATTCGTTGTAGTTACTGGCTCAGGTGTCTTTTGGCGTTTTGCATCTGGCTCAGGAAGTGATGATTCGTAGTGGAACGTTGCGCGAGGTCTTTTTGAATTTGGTAACCTCACTGGCTTAGCTGCTGCTGCCTCCGCTGCCTCTTTATCCTTCTGTGCTTTTTTGGAAGCTTTTCCAGCTTTCTCCTTTTCGATCTTCGCCAGATACTCTTGGGTTTTCCCACTTGCCACAATACTGGCAACATCTAAAACGCCATCATCCTCTGTAGCATCAACGCCATTGATGGTATCTTCCTCTCCCACCTCAGTATTGTGCCCTGGTCCGCGAGGAGCTTCTGTAACCCTAACATTTGGCCCAGAAGAAGGTGCACCAGTGGAGGCCGCAGCGGCAGGGTTGCTTACCGCCTCAACAATCTCATCACCTCCCGGTAGAGGGGTTCCCGGAGGTAAGATCTCGCAAATTGGACTCCTCTTCAATTGCTCAGCCATATCCCTTGTAAAACCCTTCGACTTGAGTAACTCTTGCAAACGCAATGTCATAGCCTCTCCACCCGATTGTGGTACATTTCCTCTACCGCTTATTTGGAAATCTGTGACAGCAGTAACGTCAACCTTTTCAAATCCTACATCAATTACCGTTGAGTTTGCAATTCCAAATGCATATGAAGTTGCCAATGCACTGTCCATAATGCAAAGCGCGGGAGTTCTAAACTTTTCAAATATGAATTGAGTAAGGTCTTCATGATTCTTGGCTGTCCAAGCAGGTTGTGCGATCAACATAACAGGAGTATGAAGAGTTGGCGACAACTGATTGTGAACATGATGGAGAAAAGCGCAAAAGGCAGGGAGGTTCTCGATTCGACCATCTGAACTTTATCAGTACATGTAAAATCTGTAAGGAAAATCGCGCAAACCTTTCAATGGCCAAATAGCACCTTCGTCATCCTCAGGAACCTCTTCTAATTCCTCTTCCTCATCTTCCTTGTTTTCCTTAATTCCTCCCATCTCGGTATCACCATTTGTTGTAGCTGAGGCATCTTTCTTTTTCGGCCGAATTTTGTATGGCTCATATGTTTTCCCATCAGGAGCTAGGAACATACGTGTAGCGAGTCGTCGTTGTGGTGGAGTGAAGGATTCCGGAAGACCTAGTTGAGCAAGAGTAGTTTGTGAGCCTGGCGCAATAATAAGGATATGCTCATCCTTGAAGGGTGGCATTTTTGCGAACGGCAGTGGTTAATTCGGATAATTGTGGTGATATTTCCCGTCGGATTATTTTCGCGATGAATTATCGTAGTCAAATAGAAGTGAAGTAAGGCTGCGCTGCTACGTATGATAAATTTTGAATACGGTTGTTGATCTAGAATTGAGGTTGTTTCTGACGGAGACGCGACGTTCATTTGGCTGGTCCGAGCTTCACAGGACAAGGCTGTAAATAATCACATGAATCTTTGCACTAGTCTACTTTTAACTTAGCATCAAATCTCCAATGAACCACAACATGAAGTGGTAGTATTCTCTACTAGGTAGATATCATCAGTGTAAGAACCATCATGCGTTCGTTACACATACAGTTCATATTCATCAGCCAGAAAGACCTAATAATGCATGTTTGAAAACTACAGGTCATTCTACCTTTGCCACAAGTTCCATGCGTTCATTCCATGATCAACTTGTCAGATTCCGTGTTTCTGTCTTTCACTTGCATCATCAAAGGGGCCGTTATCTCAAGCTTGAGAATTGGCAATTATGCGTTTACTTAACTAGGTTAGTGAACCGCTGTAGATTTCCATCGCATGTAATTCTTAGTATTTATATCCAGTATTAGGCCTTTGAACAGACAACACTTTCTTGGAAACCTAAACAGTGGAGATAAATGAGCAGGATAATCATCTAAGTCTTTACTATATGAATGAGTCTTATGCATCTCCAGATTTATGGTCATTCCCCGAGCTGCCTATACTTTGGGACGGAAAAAGAAAGGTCCCAAGATATCATTACATGTAAATAGATATCTTTGTCGATCCAGGATGGGGTATAACAATATGTAAGTACAAGATGCGTGTGCATGTGTTTTCTATCGATTTTGTTACAGTTCTGAACTCCAGATGTTCCAGCGAAGCACGCATGCTGAGCAGGAAAATTGTTGGCTAAACGATCCGAATGGATCTGTTGCATATCTGAGTTATGGACAATCTTTGCACAGTATACGAAAAATAGATGAAGAAGTGAGCGCCGTGAGTTCTCTTGGCTATCTTGCACGTGAAGAGATGAGTGGTGGCTGATGGGGTGAGAGAGGATGTGAGAAGAAGCTATTTTTTGTAAGTTAGCTTTCAAGCACGATCAAGCTCTCAACCCCCTATTTTACCCTATTTCCTTACCCGCCAAACTACCCCTAGAATTCCATGCCTCATCCATCTTCACTCCGCTCTCCCTCAAATATTTAATCAAATTCATAAAGAAATAAAAAACCTACCTTATATCTCACCTTCACGGTCCCCAGAATAAAAATCCCATGTCGAAAATCATTCCAACCCTTACACCACAAGGTCTGAAAATCCTTTCCAGGTCCCAATTTCTCAATTAACCAACTCGCAGCACCATTGACGGCATTCGCCGATTGAACATAGTTGATCTTGCAATCGCCTTGGGAGTAATCGGTAAGGGATATCTATGGTATTTGGACGAATGTGAGTCATTGCTTGTAGAAGCGAAATTCTAAGGAGTGAGAAGCGAAAATTATGCGGGGTTGATTAAAAGGGAAGGTGAAATATTCATAGAAAACTTGATATTTGATGAGGACATACAAGAGTACAAATCAAACTCACGGGATACTATCCAAATTCCACATTTGGAAATGCTCTAGCCATTTTACCAAGCATGTTAATAAGAAGTTGAGGTTTATTATACGTTAGATATGTTGCTTCAGGATCAGGGTATCCCTCTTGAGAAATCATTGAAGCCATTTTGAGTCTGGATATGTTGGAGTTGTGAACTGCAACATGAACGACTCCGGTAGAGACGTAAGGCTTGTTTAGCGTACTAGCTCGAAGCTGCTTAGTCGAGAAGAAAATACAGAGACCTCGAAGCAAAACAACTCAATCAATCAACCACTCCATCGCCTTTCTCCCGCGCCAACATAGTACTCAGCCCGTCTTCCCATACAATCATATAAATTTACCCGATAAATAATACTCCGTTCTCTCCGCAACACCGGAATGCTCAAAACAGTAACGAAAATTGCATTAAAACACAAAAGAGCCTCTATAACACGTCCAGCTTTTGCAGCAGCACAATACTTATGCGAAAATTCGTTCGAGAACCGGATACTTTGGCATGTCCAGGATTCGAAATCAAATGTACCGCTGTGAGAGTGTGCGCGGTAACTGGGTTCGTATGTTGCTGGATGGAAGTATGTGAGTTGGAGATATAGCATTGTGAGGAAGGATAGGAGTGCGTTGAGTATTAAACCGCAGCGGAGAATCGAGATAGATGGGTGGGGGTATGTCTTAGGGTAATTAGCATTTTATTTTTAGGGGGGTGAACTATTGTTTATCTTACTCGTTTGCTGGTAGGCCAGGATGATATTTGAAATGCTATGCATGCTGCTGATATGAATAGAGATCACACCTCACACTTGAAGAAAGTCACGATTGACTCCAGTGTACGGATTATATCTACATCGATCATGTTCACTCCAACAGTTAAAGTACCATACCAAGGACTCAGCTTCCAGTCCCCGAACATCAAAACCTCATCAACAAACCAGCAAAACCGACATAATAACAAAAACCAGATAGTTTTGCAGCAGCAGCAGCAGCAACAGCGCAAGAACAAGAAATAAGCGAAATTCATTCCCAGTGCAAAGTACCCTTCCATGTGCATCCAGTGCTCTTAAGATAAAATCTCAACAGGTCGGGTCAGGTTTGGCATCGAACCATGGTGTGTGTTACATAATTATCAATAATCACCATTTGCGAAGAACCACCACATCACACATCTACCATCGCAAATCCTCACTGAGCCAAAAACGAACAATCTATTTAATGGCCAAATTATAAGCTCCATCATTCGGGGTATCTAAAACTTGATAACCAGCACCAGGCAAAGAAGTCTGCAAAAATAGATATCCACCCGCTGTGATTCAATTTTAGCTGTTTACCTGCTGCTCTCTTGCTCTCTTTCGATATCAATATTAAAATTGATATTAAATTAAAAATTAAAATAGAAATTGGAAAAGGTTAGCACATATACTCCTGAACGACAACAGCCGAATTCAGCTATCTAAATCTCTAACTACAGAATATAGTGGTGAAGGGAACGATGGATGGATGGATGGATGGATATTGAATACCTAGGTATATATATAGACGTGTAGTTTGCGCTTTAGTGGGTATCTAGCATCTATACCATTTACTTCCCGTCCTCCACTGGTCTATACACAGCTAGTAAGAAAGAGGATGGATGCATGCATGGGACTTCCCATAAGCTGATGCAGGCTCGGATTGTAACGTCAAATGTAAGATTACCGCGTAAGATTGACTTAACTGCAGCCTCAAATACAGTCTATTCAACGACCATCTCAATAATCAATCAATCCATCCATCCATCTTAAAATCTTGACTTGAATTCCATATCGACGAGATGAGGGTTCTTAAGATATTATCTTACATATATTTCTAACATGAGCGAGTGGATATATCTATAACAACTCCTCTACTCTAAAGTAAATACACTGATATCTCGCTACGATAATCAAGGATTCTTCATCTATTCATACACAGCATCTTTTGTTGTACCTTTCCTCCAGCAGATCTGGTCTTCTATCCCTCGAAGACACTATGTTGCAATTCCACGCCGAATTGATCCTTAGCCAAGAATCTCATCTGCTTTTCGAGATCATCTTCCATACCACCACCCCACCCAAGGAGCTGCCTGATCTTGCTTCCCCAAAAGGCTATATCGGTACTGAGTAGCACAAACCTAAACAAAAGATGTTTCCACCCATTGATCCATCTTTCTCTCCAACTCAAATCCTTGCTATCAACCAAACTGCGAGATGCCCAATAACCCGTCATTTTGATACGATTAACAGGAGAGCCGAGAAATTGATTGTTGCCTTGCACAATACGCATGTTGCGACCGATAAAGAGGAGTTCACGTGGGAAATTCTCTTCTTCGGATAGGACGTCCCGGATACCTTGCCTGAATCTTTCTTGGATTTCATAGTGACGTTCAGCAGCCGTTTTGCCTTCCAGATCTTTGGTGATGCGATCCTTGGTGCTATTGTCACCACCGTCATATGGGCGCATAAGAGTTGCGGATGCGAAAAGATCTGGAGCTTTGACGCCCCAAGCAGAGGTGATTTTATTGAGAGAGGCATTATCAAAGGTCATGATTGCTTTCCAAAATTGACAGTATTGGTGGCGGAATTCTGGATTCATATAAACGTATAGACCATGATCAATCAAGACAAGTTCCGGTTGACCATTAGGCTGCCTTCGGATAAAAATGTTTCCTGGATGAGGATCACAATGTACAACTCCCCAGAGGAACATTTGTGCGGAAAAGAGATCAACCATGGTTGTCATGACTTGTTTGAGACTGAGTCCTAGACCACCTTTGCCATTACGACCTCTCCATTCGCCGCTACGATCAGGCTTAAAATTATCATTTGCAAAGTTGGCTGGCGAAGGGGTTGATAGCGGGGTTCCTTTTGCTCCGGGTGAACCTTTGCCATATCCACCATGCCAAGGAGCAGTCAGGGCTTCTTTGTCCCAAAGACGTACGCCTTCGATCCATTCGGTTGTCATGACCCGTTTCGAGGAAAGATCACGGTATACCTGGGGAATATAAACACGACCGTTCAACCGTGGCTCACCCGCTACTAGTCGGGCCATCAGCTCTGCGTTATTTGCTTCATTTACAAAGTCCGTTTCTAACATTAAGCGTTCTGTAATGTATGGCACTAGACTGTATAAAGGAAGGTCGAACCAATATGTGTATACCTTCATCACTACTCTTGATATATTTGTTAGCAAAGCCTAGCTACTTCTGAATGCATTTCCAACGAAGACTCACTTGAAAGCCCACAGATCCCAACCCACTTGGCTAGCAATCTCTCGTTTCTGCACTTTGACTGCCACTTCCCTTCCATCAGCCAATCTCGCCCAATGGACTTGTGCAACAGATGCTGAAGCTCTAGCTTTGGTCTCAATAACTCCAGACCCGGGTTTGTTTGTAAAACTAACACCAAACACTTCTTCGGGGCTTTTGCCTCCAAAGTCTTCGCGGATAACCCTTTCTACATCCTGCCACGAATTCTGGGGAGCATCATCGAACATTCTTGCGAACATTTTCTGAAATTCAGGAGGTAATACAGCACTTTGCATAGCAATTGCTTGCCCGATTTTTAAATACAGCCCTCCATTCTGGTGTAATAGATTGAACATCCTCTCAGCATTTCTCCTATGTAAGTCGGTAATGTCACCACCAAGAATCGGATTGGGTCGAAAGTTAAGCTTATAATCGATTGCAACCAATATACCCAAGCCAAATGTTCTCATTGATCTAGTGATGGAGGATGCGTATAATTGTGTGTCTATAAGGTAGGCTAGGCCTGTCGCCGCTGAAACATACAGTAGCCTTCGTCCCCATTTTATTGTTCGAGGATATAGCTTTGGGGGTGCAGCTTTCCCCAACGATGCTGGTGATGGGGGCACGAAAGGCTGATACCTCTGCGCTTGCACTGAACGATTGGGAACTTTTGCATATGCATGGATTCCACTTGTTTCCTTCTTAGGTCGTAATAGATACTGGGTCGAACGTTTTCGTGATTGCTGTGAGATTTGATATGGAAAAGAGAGTGTATTCGATAATAACTTATTACATGAAGGTACAACAGGCCCCAACCTTCTGCCTGCAATACGCAGGTACATGTCTACCTACGTTGAAGAGGCGTTGTGAATAGAATACATTCCGGAAAGAAAAACTTCGAAAAGTCGATGACGGTAATATCGTGCAGGCAAACTAGTTGTTGACGCATCTTATCGCTGATAAGAAATCGGCTTAACCTTACCAATGAGAAGGACATTGACCTTTTCCGCCTGAATCCAATATAAGTGGCACTCCCAGAGTCATGGACTGGTGGACCCTTCCTATAGCATTTTCGGATGAAGAAGATGGAGATTTGAGATGGAGATGTTTCCAATAATAGACACAAGAATGAATGGTTACTTGTGTTCTTTTTTCTTCTTCGAAATCATTATTGAAGATGAAGGATGAAGGAAGGAACGCTACATTAGTAATGTTCTTCTAAGACCCCTCCTCTCATATCCTGGCGGTAATTGTAAAGTCTCAGCATCTTTTGCGCCATTCATCCGACGGCAAAGCCAGTGAAGGCTCGGCGACGATGTAGCTTCTGGTGTTCTTAGAACGACCTTCCGGCACTTTATTTGAAGAGGAGTTTTACAGGGACCGTTATCTAAAGTTCCCAAAGACCTTTTCCCACGATTAGTGTTTTACACTCAACTCGACGATAGTAATGATTGGCACGAATCTCTCATGTTGTTTCCCTCATGACAATTGAGCACCATAAGAGCAAATGCATGCCTCGACTGAACTGGACGCAGTCACACTTTAGGTTCAAAGACGCATGAATCCGGGATTGTGCATTTCCTATCGAAGCTGCTGCGTATTAATACTCTACGAAGTATACACTCGCTTACACTATCCGCGTAGAGGATCTATGACTCTAGATGTCGCGTGAAGTGTTTGAAGTTGTCAGATCTTTGGAAATGAATTTGTCCACTATCAGTCTGTTCCAACCTATAGGATATAGAGGAAGAGCCGAACGAAGGTTTGTGCTGCAGATGCAATTTAGAAAAATTCACGAGGCCAGCAAAACAGTGTACAACTACAATCAACTAGCTGTATGTACTCCGTATTTCCAGGTCCCAAGGTCCAGTCTCCTGCATAATCACAACTCGATGAATCAATATGCTTGGGTAAATTCCGGAAAACAAGAATGTTGTGAATTTGTTTTCAATCTTATGATTTCTCATTGACAAGTATGCGTGCCGGACATGTGCAGAATTAAAATCGATTTTGATCAATGTGGCTGAGCAATTACCTCCAGAATAACGGGACGAAAAGAATACCTCCCCTAAGTTTACGGAGTAGGTAGTATTGATTGATTGATTGATTGATTGATTGATTGATTGATTGAGACGAGACGAGACACTGTTTGACGGCACAAGCCTCCCAAGGAACGGACAATAACTCGAAACATCCACACAGTCGAGAAAGAAATCACCATATCGAAAAGTACCATCTTCTCTCCTACAAGCAATTGAAAACTTTGACGTACAATTGGTTTTCTTATACAGCTTTCTCTTCCTATTTTCTATTGTACAGTCATCCAAAATTGCCATTTTTACTACTTATCTACACAGCCTTGAAATCTCGGAAGAATTCAATTGTGGCTACATCGAGACCCAATCGAAAGACATTCCACGCGATATTCCCATCCCTCCTTCTACTGCGCCTAAACCAAAACCTTCACTTGGATTAAACCTACAACGAGAATAGTACGAGGAACCATTCTTGGAAGGCGTCGTTATCAACCCTATTAACCTTAATTTGGCCCCAAAAGTCTACAATTCACATGCACTTTTGCTTGCCGTTGTCTTATTCCCCGCCCGTTTCTTGTTTCTAATCTCCCACAAAGGCCATTCTAGGGAGGGAACTACAACAACTTACACTCATTGATTCAAGTCCTTGTTGTTCAAATTATGCTATTCTTGTCTTACTTAACTCACTGAAATTATTCCATTTATCGATGTTCAGTCAGGAGTGGAGAATCAATAATTACTGTCTACGAATTGAGACCTAAGGTACATTCCGCATCAGCATCACCTGTGCACCTCACCCTTTGATCGAAAGACCACGATAAGTGCCGCGTCTTGGAGACGCTGGCATACTCAATTTCCTACACATCTGGAAATCTCGGGAGATCAAGATGTTGAGACCGGCAACTCCATTAACGCTATTGCTACTCGCAGCATTCGCATGTTTGCTCATATCGATTATATCGACTCCCATCATCAAGTCAATACCATTGGCATCTTTCGATGGAGTTCAATTTGGAGTCTTTGGATTTTGCAAAGGAGACACTTGCAGCAGCATTGAAATTGGTTACAGTACCGGTGAGTTTTAATTCTCGAGAACTATTGTTTGGATGCAGGCTTCCGCGCATGGGTACTTAGCATGCCAAGTACAGGACTGATGTGAGATGGTTATTCAGACAGTCTTTACGATGCGAGTCAATCGGCAACGTTCGACCTTTCGCCAGGGGCCAGGTCAACGTTATCTGCTATTCTCATAGTCCACCCGGTGGCTGCATTATTCACACTTATAATGCTGGTGCTAGCCATCGCCGCCCATTTCCACGCACCTTCACATTCTCCTCGATACCTGTTGGGAATTTTTATACTAAGCATCTTAACATTAATCCTCACGCTACTCGCATTCCTCATCGATGTCCTACTCTTCGTACCTCATATGGCATGGGGCTCATATGTTGTGCTTGCTGCTACAGTTATTATTGCTGCAAGTGGTATTGTGTCATGCGCTATGCGCCGAACGTTGGTTAGTCGAAAAGCAAGAAAGCGTCGCATTGAGGAAAATGCAGAGATGAACGGAGAGAATTTCTACAACCGTCAAGGAACTGATCAGATCACCCCGGTAGTCACCGACACCAGTATTTCGAAAGGTCCGGCGAACGAAAAGTTACCAGAATTTGCTACGTTTGATGCGAATAACAACGACCGGACTAGCGATGAACGGATACCTCTGACGACAAGGACTCCAACTGAGAATTCTCCTAATAATATTCCCAGTGGATCTATCAGGAGCCAAGGAATGGATGGGTACAACGGACCACCACGAGCAGGAAGCTCACCTCTTGACCAGTATGGCAACTCGACAGTAATGATGCCGCCAGGAGGAAACGCATACGAGATGCAAAACCGGGATCATTCTGCTGGACCACCTGGACCGGCATTAAGCCATCAGTATTCCAACAACTCCATGAATTTGAGGGGAAGGGGTGGCATGCCACAAGGACCGCCAGGGAGAGGTGGTTATGGACCACCAAGAGGCGGATATAGAGGAGGCTATGGAGGACCTCCACCAGGTCCGAACCGTGGAGGGTACGGTTATGGCCAACCAAGGGGGGGTTATGGTCCGAGAGGCGGGTATGGGCCAAGAGGTGGCGCTTACCCAGGTTCTTACAGAGGAGGCATGAACAATGGAATGATGGCGATGGGTGGCGGTGGGCGAGCTCCTCCACCTGGATATGACGGCCGACGACCATCTGATCCGTCAGTGCCTATGGGTGGATTTAGGGATGCTTCTCCAGCGCCGCCTGGTGGCTATGTTGCATATAGGCCCGAAGAAACAAGACCAAGTAGCCTGCCTCGTGCCGAATCGCCTCCACCATTGGAAAATATTGAAAACATTGGCATGGTTGGTCAGGCAATCGAAATGGTCAGTAGATACTTCACCAGAGTTTTGATGCAAATACTAATTCAGCATTAGGATGCCTCGACAGGAAGTCCATCACATTCACCTCCAGGGTTTGTTGGACAATTTGGCAATATTAGTGATAGTGACGGTGATGTCGCCGGAATGGTGGGATTACAGCAGCAAAAATTACAACAGGAGCATGAGACTTCGATCAGCGAGACGAGTAGGTATAGCCAAGATGAGTAAGTGGTCCTAGATGGTCGAATTGCCAATTTCTAACCCCTTCAGATACGTACCACCAAGACAAGTATGGGCTGGACCACAAGCAGGTAGATCATCACCTTTGAACCCGGCCTCGAAACCTGTCGAACTTCCTCCTAGCGAACCTACACACAAACGAGGTAACTCGAATGATAATTATTACGAGGACGTTGACCCACGTTTCGCTGATCCAGTCCCAGCACAAATTTCACCCCCATCAGTTCCCGCCATCCAAATTCCTGGACATTCATTGAACAACAACCATGATCCCAGTTCTCATCTTCAACCAAATCCCTTGAATAATCTAGATGGCAACAACTCTTACAATTCTTTAGAGGAGCTCCAGTCGGGACAACGCTCCCCAGCTGAATCAGAAAGATCTAACTTTACGTCTGTGTCACAACGGGGGATTAATCCGAGATGGAATGGCGGTGCTAGTGGCTACGGGGGACCACCGATGCCAAACAGGAGAGTTGCTCCTCGGCGAGACGATGTGCTTTTGAATGATAATCCCAACTTTGCCTTGCCTATGGGTCGTGGTGGCCGAGGACAGCCTCGTGTTATGCGTGGTGGGATGATACCCAATTCTGCTTATCCAGGAGCTAGCGCGCTTTGAACTCGGTACTCCTTGTTTTGGGAATTTCTTGGCCGTTATCATCGCATCTCTTTTCACAGTTTCGCCGCCTACCTGGTGGCCTTGGGATTCGGCTCGTAAATACAACAACTTTTTTTTCTTTGTCGATATAGAGTCAATATGACCAGCGGCGTTGTGGTTCCTTCAAATTTCTAAAGCGTCATTTCATGAGACGGGCGGCCATTTTGGGCTGAGCAGCATCGCTGCCTTGTCCTTTTGTTCATAAAATGGCCGCGAACTTGGTGATTTATTTTCGACGATTATTTTACGGCAATTTTGTGTAGCAAGCCTTCACATATTGGCCACTGCTTTGAGGGAAAGGGGTCTTTTGCATTCAAGCGCATTTTGGAAGGAAACTTGGGAAAGTGTATAGCTGGCAGTTGGGTTATGGACGGCCTGGTTGAACATATGGATCAAAAGGGATGAGACTGAGGTGCACAGCAGTTAATATAACTGGAAAGTGCAGAAATTGATGTCGAGACCGACGAAAAGCCCGTCACACATTATCGTGGTGAGATGGATATTTGTTCCACAGCGCAAAGATACATAAATACTGTAGCAGAACGATTAATGCATATCATACTTTCCAAAAATTGAAAATTTATATGAATATGAATAACAGAAAATATTCTCAACTCCAAGTTATCTAATCTTATATTAATAAAGAATGGTTGTGAAAGCTAGAGATATTTTGAGCCCACGGGTTTTTGGAGCGACAGGTAACTAGGTAGTAACATGATAAAGGCTCGGAGCATAGCGTGTCACTAGCGGCATGCAAGAAATCCATGCACGGTACATACAGTACGGCAGATAACGTAGCACAAGTGAAGTGAGTGATGCATATGATATGATTGGCAGGAAGCTGAGCGGAAGGAGCCAAGAGAGATCAGCTGTACAGACAGAGTACGTAGTGGAGACGGGGACGGAGAAGGAGAAGGAGAAGGAGATGGGGGGGAATTGATCAATTATTTTCCGGTTTTATTTTCTGTTTGTTGGCTGTGGACTGACTGCTGGATGCAAGGTACGAGATACGAGTTTTGGTGTTTTGGTGTTTTATTGAGGGATGGGGGTTGGGGTTAGATTGCAATTGGTGGGCGCGTGGGGATAGTGGAATGGGTGGATGGGGATGGAGTGGTGTGAGCGATGGATGGGTTAGTGGACTTGATGGGATGGGATGAGATGAGAGAGGTGGTGGATTTAGAAGAAGAGGATGAGAGAGAGAAAGAGGAAGAGAGAAGGAAGAAATAGAGTAGTTAGAGTTAGAATTACATAGTATACATATTTTAATATATAGCAACTGTGAGTACTTTATAGCCTATAAAAATCAAAGAAAGAGAAAGCCACAGAGTACGAGGTAGGTAGGTAGGTAGGTAGTTGCAGATTAATTAACGAATTACGAGTTTAACCTACAAGATACCGAGTACTTAGCACCTCCTAGGTATATGATTATATGATTATGATACCTGTCCTCTGTACCCTCCTCCATCCTCCATCCTCCATCCATCCACGGAGTTAAAGATGAAACACTTTAAAACGAGATGTAAAATTTAGGTTTATGCTTATGCTTATTGGTGTACACTGTATTGGTGGTGCATTGGTGCATTGGTGCATTGGTGCTTGCTTTGAAATGAAATCTTTTATTCAGGGGCTTGCTTGTTTTGCCCTATTCGTACTCCGTATTTGATTGGATTGGATTGGATTGTGGCTTTTCGGGATTTTATTGGTGTGCATGGAGGAGAGAGTTACTGGGTACTCCATGTTTTGGGTCGGGAGTTTTATGTGGACGAATGGATGGATGGAGGGATGGATTAGGTGCTAGGCTAGGTATTGAATGGACTAGGTCCAGGGGGTGGATGGGGTTGGATGACGAGGGATTAGGATGAGGGTGAGCTCGAGGATGGAGGGATGGAGGGATGGAGGGATGGATGGATGGATTTTGATTGTCTGTATATATGCAATGATGGGATGGGTTGTGGTGAAGAAGGATCTGGAGATATGATCGCTGTGGGAGAGAAGGGTTGAAGAGGGAGAGGAAGAAAAGATGGAGATTCTATCTAAATGAATGACTGGATGAATGGGGATCGATAGGATGGACAGTTGCAAAATACTTGGATACCTACACATGCATATGGATACCTTGAACACTAGATAGATAGATGCTTGCTTGCTTGATATCTCTTCTTTTTCTTCTCGATCGGTTGGATTGGATTGGATTGGATCAAACAGAAGAACAAGTGATAAGTACAGCACAGTACAGTACAGTATCAAATTGTAATACAAAGATTCCTGATTCATAGAAATAACGATAATGATACTTCCTAGCTACCTAACGTTACCTAGAGACCTACGGATTGATCCATCGTCTTTCTTCATTGTACCTTGTATCTCCCTTTTGAATGTCATCAACAACAACACCATTATACTATGTAACTCCTATTTGGACTTCATCCATCGATTACACTATTATGTACCGTGCTTCTATTCAGTAGATCTACTATCCGTCAATTATCTACCTCCATCGACAATACAGTACGTACTTCAATGCACTGCGAGTCTACGATCCGCATCGCATCAATCTCTATATTCATTTTTCCTAATTTTGGACCTTCACATCAATCTCCTACACACATCTCCATTTAGTTGAATTACCGAGTACTTCTTCATTCAAGCACCTACCAATACAGCAATACAGCATTGCTCATTCCTTCATTCATTTATTAGGTTGGGAAGTACAAGTCAAAGCTACATTGAAACAGGTTGGAGCCGTTACAGCCTTATCAAGGATCTTCCGAGGTAATTGGGGCAGAATTGGGTCAATTGATATCATCGACGGTACGTTCATATCTATTTTTTAAATCAATTGATTCAAGCCCTATGAGAACTTTCATCTCTTGAGATCAACAATTCATGCAGTAGGGTACTTTGCTTTAAAAAGTCCATCTGGATGAAAATCTGTAAGGAGCCGTGGTTCATCTTATGAGTTCTTATGAGATATAAAGTTAAGAAGAACCCTACCTACCTACTTACCTAGGTATCTAACAACTTGTTCAATTTCATTCATTTCTCAAAAGAGTACCCAGCGAGAGAGAGAGAGAGAGACATAATTCAGATGATTCCCTCAAAATAAATCACAAACGCAATCGCAATCGCAATCGCAATCTCAATCTCAATCTCATTACAATCTCATTCTCATTCTCATTCACTGACCTGCCAAAGCTTCTTTCTGGCTGCCCAACACTCATTCATCTCTTTCAGCTTTTGTTTTCTTTCCAACTTCCAACCTTGTATTTATTTCCCTTAAATACATTTTATTAATGATCAAGGCATACAGGGAATTTTAATTCAAGAATAAGAATATCCATTCATTCACCCCTCTCTTCAAATTTCAATCAATTCAATTCATCATAAATTGAATAACCCAAGCGTTCCCTGTCAAATCTGCGACAGACACCATTGTTTCCATTAAACCCCGACCTACAAAGATGGTTTCTTCAATCAGACCAAGAACTCCAAGTGCTGGAACTTCTCCATCACATGGCACTGGAAGATTAGCAGGAATACCAGAAAACGGAAAGAATAATAACTCAAATCCCCCTCGTCGTTCCAGTCTTGGTTTAATACTACTTCGTCGTTCTAAATCAGGAAATTTAAGTTCAAAGCATAAGAAAGATCTTGCTCAAGTGCAAGAGCAACAGCGTGAAAGATTACTTCGCGAAGCAGCTGCGATCCCAAGATCTCCACCTCGTCTTCCCGATCTTGCTGAACCTACACATTTTCCTTCTTTTGGTGGTGAAGATAGACCGGATTCGGCAACTTCTGAAAAGAGTGGTCACGGTGTACGAAGTTCATCAATGGATCCTCAAGTCAGATCATACACAATGAGTAGCACACTTAGTGTGCCAGTTCCTCCAATTCCCTCGGGTGTTAGGAATGGTGGTTGGGTTGATCCTTATGCAAGAACAGAGAGCATGACACATCGTGGAAGATATAGTTATGCAAGCAGTGCGGTGAGCACAGTTAATAGTCCTCGCAGAATACGAAGACGCAAAGATCCTACCCCATTTAAGTAAGTTTCTCTCTTTGCTTCATCCTCACCTTTTATTAACATCCCTACAGTGTCCTCATTATCGGCGCACGCGGTGCTGGCAAGACATCTTTCATCAATTTCCTCAAAACATCCCTCGCTCTACCTCCCAAGAAGAGATCGAAACCAGAGCCATTGGCTGATGACATATTTGCTCCACGCACTTCGAAGTCTGGAAAATTCCTTTCACATTATCTCGAATCAGAAGTCGAAGGTGAACGTATTGGTTTGACATTGTGGGATTCAGAGGGCTTGGACAAAAATGTTGTTGACCTTCAGCTTCGTGAGATGTCTTCATTTCTCGAAAGTAAATTCGAAGAGACTTTCACAGAAGAAATGAAGGTGATGAGAGCTCCAGGTGTTCAAGATACACATATTCATGCTGTATTCCTCATTCTCGACCCCGCACGCCTCGACCAAAATATTGAAGATTCAAAGAATGTTACCACAAATGGAAATGGTCACTTTGGATCATATGGAACAGGCCATCGCTTGTATGGTAGTCTTGATGAAAATCTTGACTTACAAGTCCTTCGCACATTGCAAGGGAAAACTACTGTTATTCCCGTCATCTCAAAAGCTGACACTATTACCACGGCCCACATGACGTATTTGAAAAAGTCGGTTTGGGATAGTTTGCGCAAAGCCAATCTTGACCCACTTGAAGCACTCGGACTGGATGATGAACCCGAAAGCCCAATTATCGGTCAGAACCGCATCGACGAAGGAGATGAAGATGTTGATTCCGAAGAGGGTTCAGGTTCGGGTGGTTCTCCCAATTCCAAGCGTCTTTCCTCAGGTTCAATTCGTCGCCATAAACGCGAGTCGGAAATCGCCGAGATTCCATATCTACCTCTCTCGATCATTAGTCCTGATATGTATGAACCAGATATTATTGGTCGTAAATTCCCATGGGGTTTTGCGGATCCAATGAATGCTGAACATTGTGATTTTGTACGTTTGAAGGAAGCGGTGTTTGCGGAATGGAGAGGTGAATTGAGGGAGGCGAGTAGGGATCTTTGGTATGAGGGATGGAGAACCAGTCGTCTTAAGGAAAGGGAGGGTATGGCAAGACGATGATTATCTGAGGAATTGCTTGAGACATGTGTCTTACCTTTTTGGTGAGCATATGTGATACAATAACTTTGAAGTCATTTTATTTCTGCGAAGTACGCGGGAGCAGCATCAGTGCAATCTGCGGCAGAAAATGGTGTAGAAACTGGTTCAGCAAAACATATTTTCGATTTCTTCCGATACTTTGGACTTCAACTTCGATCACAATTACCTATTGTGTCTCATGTCTCGGACATAGTTTATTTTCTTGCACCTTTACAACTTTTCACGATGGATTTTATTTTCTTTATGTTCAAGTACTTCAGTCAATGTCAGATTGACAGGCAATGGATGGATGGATGGATGGAAAGGAGTGGATGCATACCCCTTTTTTACTTTCGATTTTCATTTTCAACGTTTTCTCTTTTACGCGCAGTTTTACTTCCACTGCATTATATTACATTTGTGTTGATGTAGTGGTTGTAGCTACGTTACGTTTATGAGGTGTTCTCTTTTTCTTCTTCTCGCAGCAAGGTTTATGATTTGATTTTTGATGGTGGGCAGTTTTAGGGAGGGGGAGGGAGAGAGATGATTTTTAAGGTTTCTGTGGATGGATTGATGGGTTGATGGATGAAGATTTCGATTTGTGACAGAGATAGATGGATGGATGAACATGAATGAGATACATGAGAGGAAGGAAGGCAGGGAGCAAGGAAGAAAAGATTGATAAGCAGAAAGACAGACAGAGAGGGAGAAGGGAGAAGAAATGAATGGAAGCAGAAATAGGAATATAAGACTGATTGCTTGATTGATTGATTAATGATTGATACCTATGAATTTTGAGCGGATGGCTAGCTGGCTTTGTTTATACTTTTCTTCTTGTTTTCTTTTAAAAATTAATTGCACTAGATAGATAAGTAGATAGTGATATAATGAATTTACTTTATGAGATTTCCTTACTATTAGATTATTAAATACTTGAGATAGATACTTTTAACGATTTTATTATATATTTGTATTAGTAATATAAATATAAATATAAATATTATTATTATATAAAGTAAAAAAATTTTCTTTTAAATTAAGTTCTTTAATTATAAAATAAAATCTCTCTTTAAAATAATCTCGATCTAATAAATTAAATTATTCAAATTAAATATCTGGAAAATAAACTATATTTTTCACTTGATGAGAATGAGAAGAGGTCTTGGCTTGATATAATATATTATAAGATTTTAAGATTATAATAATTTTATTTGTAAGGACTTTTTTATTTCTTTAAAGGAAATAAAATTTGAAAAGAATAAAGAGATATTTATAGATAAAAATATTTATTATTTTATTATTTATATATTGTAAGAAAGTTGGAATTATAAGCCAAATACATAAAGGTTTTAACTAATCAATCACATAACCTTCTATAGTTAGATATAAAAGAAGAGCCTTTTGCCTCTTCTTTTCATAATAATCAACCTTTTACATATATACATTTGAACCCATATAACATCAACCCCAAAACCATTGTGAACCCTGTTTTACCTATAAGTAACGTATTACAATATAATCTAATTCAGCTTTCTCTTCCAATTCCCTCCTCACAATATGCTATCGGGACGCACGTATCTCGACCTACCACTTTTACAATATGTATTTATATTTATAATTTATATATTATATATTATATAAGTTTATTATAAAAAAAAATTGAAATTATAAATTATATATATAAAGGTTTTAATTAATTAATTATATAACCTTTTATATATATATATATATTTAAATCTATATAATCTCAATCTTAAAACTATTATAAATCTTATTTTCTTTATAGATGATATATTACAATGTGATCTAATCAACTTTCTCTTTCAATTCTTCCTTATAATGTATTATCAGAATGTATATATCTCGATCTATCATTTTTATAGTATATTAATTAATGATAATAATAGTACTAAATTTGAAGCTTTAAGTTTTATTTAATCGGGTATCAAATAACGAGATAATTATATGGTAAGATCTTAAATAGTCTGATGTCGACACACTCGTCTTCTCTTATGTATCTTAAAGTTTAAACAGCGCCATTATACAGTGTATTGATACGAAAATATCTCTCTAAAGATCGAGCTCCTTTCTCGTTTAAATTTGTCGTATCAATATATGCATATCAATATAAATAGGGAGATTGAGAGGAGCGATAATATCGGTATGCTGTAAGGTTACCGACTATGTTCGAATTAAGACATATGGTTTTTTCACCGAGGAGATATATATATATATATATAATTTTACGACAGAGAGACTTTTGGCTTTTTCGTGGTTATATAGTGATGTAGATCTAGAACGAAATATTGATATGACTTTTTTAAACCTCGAAATTAGCTCGCTGATGCCGTTTGTCTTGTTTGGATGTGCGGCATTCGCAGGGTCTAATGGTGGAATAGTATCAACTGATCTGCGCTTTCTGGTAATCGTATGAACTGGTTGACCGATTGTATCGATATGGTAATGGCAGTTTTTGACTTTCTACCTCCTCCCGACTGCAAGCAACGTAACTGTTCAATGCCGTAGCAATTGGTCAGGTCATGAGCGAGTGGAAAAGATTGATGTCCTGGTTGTTGTTTATGAGCATGATGTTTTATAAATGGGATTCCAGTTCTCAATCATTGGATCTAGAGGATGTGTTGAGCAATTCATGACGTTGAGTCATGGGAAAGCTCAAATCGCTTGGAGGATCCTCCTTACCATGTCTCTCGAGAGGCTAAAAAGTGAAATGTACTTAGTACTTAGTGATCAGTAGTCATCGACTAAAATATTCGGGCTACTTATAAGACAGATCTTATATTTTCCCTTCATGGAAGAACGGAATCTTCAATAAAGTACTGTATGGATTCATGCAAACAGCTATTCGTCTGTCATGTCTGACTAGCTTTGGAAAAAAGGCTCCCTGTTTAATTAATAAGATAGTCCGATGTCAAGCAGATTTTCGTGTAAATTTGTTCAGATGCTCTTGTTTAGAGTAGCAATACAGATATCTCATTTCTATACAAAAATTAGCATGTCATCTTTTATACAGTAAGAAGGACATAACTACCCCCCGAGAATTTTAAGTACGCGATTAATTGGCACTAAGGGGTAGCTCTTACCCTCCATTTCCTAGGGAAGGAAACTGTAGTTATACAATACATCTCCTACCATTAGATACTCTTAAGCTCGCTTAAATCGTATCAAGTTTATTCAACTTCACAACCAACAGCCATCTCTCTACGACGTAAATCATTTGCAGTTGGAATCGGCCATGAAGTCACTAGTATGTTGCTTCTATATATACTGATGATGACAACATGAAACTTTCGCACTAGCAGAAGTTAAGTCGCCACTATGATAGAAATCTACGGTATGATGAGGCATTCCGTTATCTGAAGGATCTAGTCGTGCCTCACCAAGGTTGTCAGAGGTTAATATCCTCGCTTAGCTTTTTAAGCTAGCCCTCAATATTCTATTGAAGGGAATTGTGTATTTTGTAAGGGTCAGAGGCTGGAGGGGGTGGCTAGTCTAGCCTACTTTATACCGAAGAGGTCGGCGTATGACCAAAACTTTTCAGATGGTGAAGTCGAGTAGTGTCCGACTCTGATGCAGATCTTTGATGAATGGCATAAGAAATGAAGGTGGTTGTCGACAGAAGGGATTTCTAGAAGCCTCAGTCTACAATCACATTTCTTTTTAATGAAAGTCCTTGGTATAGTGCAGCGGAGCTTTGTAAGTGATAATTATTGTAATATTTATGCAGCGAGCAGATCCTGCTGGATCCTGACGTTGTCTTTGTGCTGACTCAGTCTTTATATGTTCATATGCCCAAATAAATACGACATGGGCCAATTGAGTGCTTGCATACCTAATCAGAACCAATGGCACTACACGCCAAAGATGGGAATCGCACAGCATCCTACTCCAAATGATGCATGCAATATCTGAAATTCAAAGCCATGGCAAGTGGTTAGACAGGGGACTCATCAATACTTTTCCATGAGTCCTCTTGTCTGTTGAGCGTCTGAAAAGTCGGGTTCTTGAATAGTCGTCAAATCATTAAGACGGTCGTATTCGTAGAAAACCAAGATTTTCCAAGCAAAATCTGGGCGTCTAAAGTAGAGTCATTCTTTCCATTTTAGGTATAACATGCGAGTCTCGGAATCGCTTGAAAGGTATCAGAGTGTGGTAATGTATGCTCAATTTCTTAGTTGCGACATAAAATTGCTTCTACGCGACATTTTGAAAGCCAGCTCCGCCGACTTGGAACAGCCAGGATCTTCCAGAAATGAAGCATTTCTTGAAGGTGATCTTCTTGTTTTGCCTTTACCTTCGAGGTATGCAGGAGTATCAACCAGTATCTATATGGTGGATTGTATAAGATGTTTTCCAGGAGCGTTCACCTCGCCCCGATTGATAGCCTATTGAGATCATTGATAGCTTCAAACATTCATATTGAACAGTAAGAGCTGGTCCCACTACCATGATAGCACATATAACCAGCCGCATGCTTTGGATCTTTCGGCGACAAGATATCTTCAATCATATACTACGACGGTTTGTAAATTGCTCGAATCTGAATAAGAGTGTACGATCAATAATCGATGATCTTTTATCATCTTGATTCTACATCTTGAAGCTCAAACGACCTAGCCTAGTACATACTTGGTATTTCTATGCGTACTTGCCAATTATGATCTAGGCTAGCCTTCAACCTTTCCCCTTATATTGTTATTTTAGGCAAGAGCAACTTCCCCACAAACCCGTCGCCCAACAAAAGATCCCATTTCCCAAATCTAGCCAATCATAAAATCAAGAACGAGCGGGAACACTAGCTTACTTTTCCTCGGTTCTCCAGTCTCTCAAATTGTCCATAAAGTCGACGTCTTCTATTTATCACTTTCTTAATTCTCTTACTTTTCCCTTTACAACCACCTCTTGATGTAGGTACCTATCTATAGATACCCTCCGTTCGTTTTGACCCATCTCATCGATCTTAACTGATTCTTTAAACTTCCTATACCTTCTCATATCTTCTCTCTTATCTGATTGAAGTATCCGATACTTTCAATCAAATTCCATATATTTTCCATTCTTGATTGTAGGTCAAGTCTAGTTGTTTTGAATCATCTACTACCTCTTCGTCTTCTCCACGCCGCTATCATAACAAACCATCTCCCGAGACACCATCTATACATATCCATTTCGACGCTCGTTGGGATCTTTCTAATATTTTATAATAGCGTCGGGAATTCCACGTTCTTTGTGAAATCGTCCTTGGTTCGAGTCGGTCGCATTCATTTTATCAAGTAAGTATGTATCATCTGTACTTGGTATTCACTTTCACCTTTTCTCATCCTCACTGCCATCATCCATAGTGAATTGCGCTATTATTTATCGATACCCCGCTACTTGCCTTTCATTCCACTTTGCCACGTCGCGTCTGTCCCCAGGCGAAATTGTCTTCTTCCTTCACTCATCCCATTTTGCTCTTCTTTTCTTGCTTCTGTTCCTTACCTTTACCTCGATCAACCTTGCACCCCTCCAATTACTCTCCTACTTCAATCATACGTTCCTGATTCATTGTTGACTTTATCGCTCAGATTCCACACAATTATCTTCTTAATTTCAAGGTACGTAGATGATCAACTGAGTCTCCGTGGCACCAGAGTTTTCTTCTCCCCTTTCCTCTCCATCTCTATTCCCTACACACTTTTTGAACTGAACCAAGTATTTACTTCTTTACAGATCACTTTTAAGTAAACATGTCTGCCTGGGGTACTGGGGATATGGCTGCTGCCTTGCCCGATGCAACCGAAACAACTGATGTTGCCGTTGTAGAGCGCAAGAACCCTCAAGAGGCTGGATGGGTCGTTGCAAAGAAGTACGACTACGAGACTTACAATAAGTCCACCAAGGAACAAGCAGAAGCTCGTGTAGCTGCTGCTGCAGATACTGGGTCTGATCCAGCAGCCGATGCAGATGATGATGCCGAGCCTGAGACACTTGCAGTAGGTGGTCTTCTTCCTGGAGAATGGGCCTCGAGTGGCGCTGTGTACGAGTGGAATGAGGAATATGGTGATGTTGGCCCTAGATTCCCCGATCTGGAGGATCAGTTATTTGGCAAGAACAACAACCATGTTCGTCAAGGCGTCAACTTTGAAAGGTATTTGTTTTCGTTTTTCAGGAGACAATAAAATGCTAATTTTTTCTTTTAGCATTACCACTCTCGCCGTTACCCAAGAGGGAACCGTCAAGATTGACCCCATCCGCAAGTTTGAGGATGCGGGATTGCATCCCGTTATGCTTGAAAATGTAAAGCTTGCTGGTTATCATGTCCCAACCCCTATACAACAGTACTGCCTCCCAGCAGTAAAGAAAGGACATGATGTAGTTGCTTGCGCTCAAACCGGTAAGCTGTAATTGGCGCTTCTTGCTAAACATGAACGACTTGCTGAATTCCAATGTTTGCAGGTTCTGGCAAGACTGCTGCTTTCTTGATTCCAATCTTGTCGAAATTGATGGGTAAGGCTAAGAAGCTTGCCGCACCTCGCCCAAACCCTGCCACTTATGTGCCAAGTCGAGAAAATTATATTAAGGCTGAGCCATTGGTCGTCATCGTTTGTCCCAGTCGCGAGCTGGCAACTCAAATTTTTGACGAGGCTCGTCGTTTCTGCTATCGCACTATGCTTCGACCTTGCGTTGTTTATGGCGGTGGTCCTCTCGCAGAGCAACTTGGTCAACTTGCTAAGGGCTGTGACCTGCTTATCGGTACCCCAGGTCGTCTTTGCGACATGATTCGCCGTCCTCATGCTCTAACTCTCAAGCGCCTAAAATACATGGTCATCGATGAGGCAGATGAGATGTTAGACTCTAGTTGGGAGGAAGAGTTGAAGCAGATTATGAGCGGTGGTGGTAAGTACTTCAGTTCTTCGTGTTTGTTTTGTACATTACTAACTTTGAAATAGACCAAGAAGAGGGCAACATCAATTATATGATGTTTTCTGCCACCTTCCCAAAGATGGCTCGTGATATTGCGAAGGATCATCTAGCTCACGATCATGTTCGCATTCGTGTTGGCCGAGCTGGTAGTTCTCACGCCAATATCAAGCAGGATATCATCTACGTTGAGCCGGCTAGTAAGCGTCAAGCTCTTTATGATTTGCTTCTATCAACTCCACCTGCTCGTACCATCATATTCGTCAACACCAAGCGTGCCGCCGATGAAATCGATGATTTCTTGTTCAACAATGATCTTCCATGCACGTCTATTCATAGTGATCGTACTCAACGCGAGCGTGAAGACTCCATTCGTGCTTTCCGCAATGGCAAGATGCCCATCTTGATCGCTACTGGCGTTTCTGCTCGTGGGTACGTATACCATTACATCTCTCCTCTTGCACATTCCAATATCCTCTTCCACTCAACATTCCTCTTCCAGGTCATTTACTAACACTCTCAAAGCTTAGACGTCCACAATATTATGCATGTGATCAATTTCGATCTACCATCTCAGGATCATGGTGGCATTGAAGAGTATACTCATCGAATTGGTAGGTTCCCTCTATCTCAACATGACTTTACAGCTGACTTATAAACAATCAATAGGTCGCACTGGTCGTATTGGTAATATGGGTCTTGCAAGCTCATTTTATAATGATCGTAATGAAGATATTGCCGAAGCCTTAGTCAAGACATTGTTGGAAACCCGCCAAGCTGTTCCTGATTTCCTTGAGTCATATCTCCCTGAAGGCTTTACCATGGATGGTCAAACCGGTGATCTCGCTACTCTTAAGTTTGAAGCCGATTCAGATGATGAAGAGGAAGGTGGTGAGAATGCTGAAGGCAATGCTGATGCTGGTGGTTCCTGGGGAACTGATGCTGCTGCCGGTAGTGCTGGTGGTGGTTGGGGTGCCGCCGAAACTACTAAGGCTGCTCCAGCTGGTGATGGTTGGGGAGCTCCAGTTGCTGGTGGATGGTCTTAGACCTCGGTTCTGACATTTATCTTAGATCTTCCTACTGGCATTTCAGATGTCTTTAGTAATCTGCTTCTATTTGTTCAGAATCTGGGAACATATATGGGTAGGGACAGCCTTGCTTTGCACAAGGACTCCCTTCCTGTTATGTTAAAATTGTATGCCTATACTCAGGCGGAGTTGCCTTTGGGGCGGGAATGGCCTTGCTTTGGAACAAGGATTTCCTGCCTGGTATGGATGCATCGAATATGGGTTCTTTGATTTAACTTTCTGCATGAAACAAAAATGGGACATTTAATAAATGACATTTCATTCTACTATTGAATGTGACTTCTTCGTGCTTTTGAAATTTGTGATGTGAAAATATCTCCGCACTGAATTGAACCTCACGAATCCTTTCCAAGTGGTAAGAGAATGTCTTGCCTATTCAATCGTCCGGAAAACGTCCCATTGAAGCCCTTGGTCCTTTGAATTTTTGAGAATGTTGATTGTTATAACTAGTTCACCGTTCAAAATAATAGGTAGAAAGATGGATATATAAATATTAAAAAAACATAGAAGGGTAAAAAGTAAAGAGTAAAGGACAAAAAATTAATAATAAAAATACAAGATAGGATAAGATAAGATATAAAGAAGATAATAAAAGGTAAGAGAACGTGTATAGATGATATATTAGTATTAGTGTGCTGGGGTGCTGGAGTACTGGAGTACAGTGGTAGTGGGAAGAAAGGGGGAAGGGATTTTGGTTGGGGGTGGGAAGAGATGAGAGAGAGGAGAGGGAGGAGGGTGTTCTTAGAGATATGTGGTTTTAAAGAGGGGAAAAGGGTGAGGAGAGTAATGTATGTATATGGGGATATATAGATGTATGAAGGACTACTCGAATAATATCGAAGTATGTATATCATATCACATCACACTCACATCACAGAAAGGGTTTTGGTTTGAAAAAAGGAAAGGTGGCGAATCATTTATCTACTAGATAGGAAAAGTCATCTCTTATATGATATATGATATTTATATCGAGTTCATGCTTCTTTCTTGATGCTATGCTATGCCAAAAGATGCTTGGTTCGCAGAACTGGAAAAAGCAGGACAGAACAAAACAAAACAAAATAAGACAAGACAGTGCAGAACAAATCAGAATAGAACGGAAAAGGATATACAAAATCTATCATTTCCTCCGCCTGGCCTATATCCAACTCCTCCTAACCATTCAACCTAGCAGCCCTAGCTCCCGGCCCAACCACAGCTCCCGCCTATCCCTCCTGCATGCATCCTCTAGTACATAGGTCTTTCTATCCACGCCCCTCCTAGCCCACCAACCCATGCATACCGCTCCTACGAAATCAAAATCTTAATCTCCTCAGCCGTCAATCCAAAGATATGCAAAAGATCCAACAAAGTATCACCATTCAATCTCGCCTGGGCTTCCATCTGCACCACAGGTTTAGCATTCCATGCGACTCCCAAGCCCGCTACGCCCATCATCAACAAATCATTTGCACCATCTCCAATGGCCACTACTTGTTCCAACGCTACATTTTCCTTCTTTGCGATTTCTAAAAGTAGATCGCGCTTCTTTTCCGCGTTGACGATGGAACCGAGAACTTCGCCTGTTAATTTATGGGTGTTTGGGTCGGATTCGAGGGTATTTGCAAAAGCGTAATCAATGCCCAAGTGATCGGCGAGCCATTGTGTCAAGGGTATAAAGCCACCAGATAACACTGCAGTCTTGACGCCCATTCTCTTTAGTGCGCGGATGAGCTCTGCGGCTCCTTTGGTGGGTTTAATCACACTTCTCAATTGTGTGAATATATCCGCTTCTACACCTTTCAACAACTTCGCACGCTCACGAAGAGATGCGGAGAAATCTAATTCGCCATTCATGGCGCGTGCAGTAATGGCAGATACTGCATCTTCGACTCCGATAGAAGCAGCGATCAAATCAATCACTTCTTGTTCGATCAGTGTAGAATCCATGTCGAAAACGACGAGGCGTGGATAGCGTCGAAGAACAGTGTCATGTTGGAGAATAACGTCGACGTTCCATTCGCGCTCGAAACGGTAGAGAAGCTCATGTTTACGCAAATCTTGAAGATCGAGGTATGTAGGATCGGGGATGGGCGAGAATGTAAGTTCGACTATGGAGGGATGGTCGGGATTATCGAGGCAGCGATGAGACGAGGAGAGGAAATCGGAACCCGATCTACTCGGTAGGGATTGAATGAGGTGAAGGAAAGATGTGAGGCAAAGCTGCGAGATATAGCTGCCGTAGAGATGATCCAGTGGTTCTGGATCTGGTGGTGGTGGCTCGAGTGGAAAATTAGAGAGTGTGCGAACCGGTGCAAGGTTTGGAGGGATAGCGCGCGAAGTGGAAGTTACGGACGATCTAGAAGGGGTAGAGGCTGGAGAAGGAGAGCGATCGTTTGGATAATCGGTGATGGAGAGACGAGGAGATTGCGTCTTGTAAATAAGAGTTGCGATCATTCGGTCCGAGACGGTATTGGGCGCGGGTTGGCAGTTCGCGTGTGACAGGGTATGATTGAGCCCGCTGTCTACAATCTTGGGAGGATGCTGCGGAGAGGGAACTCCGTTGTATTGGGTGAATGATTTGGTGGGTGATGAGATTGCACTTCCCTGGACACCCTCCACGATGCTATCGATACCATGATGACCATCTTGTTGAGGAGGACGATATTGTTGATGTTCTTGAAGGTAAGATCGACTGCGCATATTATTGCCCAAGCTAGGACGACCAGTTTTTGCTGGTACTTCCATTTCGGCCATCCTGCGCAGATTTTGGAGGTCCTGAATACGTTTCTTTTCTAACCTCCCAAATGCTGAGCTGGACTGGATGTAAGATTACTTAAAGGTCAAGTTCGTTGTGTGGAGGATTGATTAGAGTGGGAGCTTTCATTTGTCGTTCAGGACGCGAGAGAGGGGTACTGTGCTTTAGCGCTGTTGCAAGCAACAACGTTGGATTTATTTTAACCGATGTTTACCCTGATAAATGCAAGCTCTAACGTTGCCGGGCTCATTTTTGGAATAGTAAAAATGGAAGATGGATCATCCATCGATTTTTATATCAAAGGGTAATAATTACTGTAAATGTATCCAACAGCATTGGAACCTCCTAATAGTATCGATATTCCCAAAATGCGAAAATTTTGATCCAGATTCAGATTCAATACCTACCTAGTATCGCTGTGTACAATTAACAAAAAACTATCACATGTATGACTTACAGACTACAGCTCGGATCTAACCAACTTGTTTGCCATTAAACTATTAAGTTATAATAAATATTTAGGATTACTGTCATCTTGTCTGTTCTGTTGCGTTCTCTCCCTTTCCGTAATTGTATATGTATGATTTCTGTTCTGTCCAATCCATTCATCCTATCCATTCTCATTCTCATTCTATCCAACTTGTGACAATTTCCGATCTAGCTAGCTAACTACCTACTCTATTCCTCTCCCAAAATTCATCCTTTCCTCCCCGCTAAAACTTCTTTCCTCACAATATGCCAAACTCCCTCTCCCACTCCCTCCTACTCCTCTCCTCCTCCTCCCTTCTAGCCCTCTCACCCTTCTCTAATGTCTCTAATTCTGGTAATATAAGATTCTTCAACAGCGTTTCTGTTTCCGATGGCGATGGCGATGGAAGCGGCTGTGTCAAATATGATGCTTGACTTGAAAGTCTACCTTCTCTTCTATCTCTATCCGGCTGCAGATAACGTGGGGGCTGCGCATTAGAATTCGAATTTGAGCGAGATAATGGAAGAGAATGCGGGAATGCCGGCAATTCGGCCGGGTAAAAAGGTGGGGATTGGTGCATTGAAGGACCCTGGGGTGCGGTGGTGAAGGTGAAGGAGTGTTTTGGGTTAGAGTTCGGGTCTACGGCTGAGAGGGGGGCGTGCTGGTGATTTTGATTATATGTTGATGGCGCGAAGACGGGTGCGAGAGTTGGATGGCTGGTTAGAGGAACGTTGTGAATACTGCGAGCTGTGCTCGTAGGAACATTTTGAATGCTGCGAGCTGAGTCGTCTAGAGAGTGGTAGGATGATCCGGTATTGATTCGTTGTAGGGTGGGCGTTGAGAGGGATTGTTCGAATTGGGCGAATTGGGAGTAGGGGTTATTCGCGTTGTGGTTTGAGTTAAAGCGAGGATGTTGGTAAGGGGGTGAAGGTACCCTAGCAAGGGGTGTAGGGATCGTTGGGGTGGAAAAAGGACGTTCACGATCTTCGGAATGTGGTGAGAATTGGTTGTAGATGTTGCGATTACTGGTAGAAGAAGCTTGGCTGTGAGGGGATCCGTTGCGTGAAAAATCCAATGAGAGGCGTGGATCGCGTGAATAATCTAGTGAGTTACGCTGTGGGAGGACAGTGCCGAAAGAATTCTCTGATTGAGACCATGGATTGTTGGGGCTGGATGCAATTGTGCTAGTATTGAGGCTTGAACGAGGCATAGCAGTGGGAAGAGAAGACATGGATGGTGTGACGTCTCTGTTAGCAAACTTAAACCCTCGCCAAGTGTGCACATCTATTTCATGAGGTAGAAGGCCTATTTCGTGCTTGTCCTCTGCTTCTGGTGACAAATCGAGAGGCGGCGTGGGAACAGGATCCAAGGCCATATCCTGAGCTTTTCCTTTGTCCTTCTGTGAATATGGTGGCAAATGTTCTCGGGTTTGTTCTTCTCGTTGATGGCTAGGAGGTTTTCTTTCCATCCACCATAAGCCTCTATCACTCTTTTGTTTCTGGAGGGGGAAGTTTGAATTCATCTCCCCTTCTTTTGGCTGATGGACCTGGGTCGCTTTCTGCGACTTCGGATTCGTTTCTTTTGTCTCTCTAGCAGGGTTGTCGCCGGATCCTGGTACTGACTGCTGTCTGTGATGGCCCTTTTCCTTGATTGGAGATTCATCACGTTTTGGGAGAGGCTCTTGATTTGTGCTCTCGCTCATCTTTGATCTCTCGAACCTCTGGCTTTTCACACTTTTGTGACTTTTGTGACTTTTATGAGAATCCGTTCGTTTGAGTCCTTCGAGCTCTGGTATTACCAGTTTTCTAATTGCATCATCAACTGCCGAAAGCGCCTTTTCACTATCTACTAACACTTCCTTGCCGTCATGCTTGTGCCCCAAAACTATTGGAGGTTTGGGGTCTGCATCACGGCCTGAAGATGCTTTTGCGGCATCCTTCTCATCTCCATCTCGTTTTGGCTTTTCCTTTTCCTCGTCTTTGCGTTTCTTCTCCTTTTGTCCCTTTCTCAATCTCATTAAAGCTTCCACTTCTTCAGCTTCCTCCTCTTTTTTCTTCAGTGCCTCGGCTTCCTTCTTGACAGCATCATCAACCGCTTCAAACGCCTTTTTCGTGCTACTCTTTCCTTTGCTATGTTTCACTGATTCGGTCCTCCCAACGCTCTTTTCATCGCTGTCCCAAGGAACTTTGCCTGTGCCAGAACCATCCGAATTCTTCCTCGTCATCTCTGGCTCCTTTTTCAATTCTTCCATTTCGGGGATTCTTAGTATTTTGAAAGCCTCTTCCATTGAAGCCATTGCCTTTTTGTTTCCAACCTTTTCGTCCCTGCGCTTTGAATGTGGACTGCCTATTGAGTTTAACTGGCCAGGGCTTTTGGGCTCCCAGTCACCATCTCTTTCAGTTATATGTGAAAGCCTGTTGGGTATATGTTCGACTGGCCGCTCCGGTCGTCTTGTGGCTTGATGCGTCTCCTGTTCCTCTTGTAATGTCTCATACGTTTTGAGTGCTTGTAACGTCAGAGGACCAACATCTGTTCTTGGCGTGAGTTCGAGACTTGTACGAGGCGGGGTAACATCTCCTGGTAAAACGCGCTCAACCACTTCCTGCGCTAGGCCCTTCTCCAAGGCTTGTAAGGTAAAGGGGTCCACATCTTTGACTTTCGTAGGTTCAGGGCTAGTAGGCTCTAATGCGGTTTCTGCGTTAGGTCTCGGCAGCGCATGCTCAGCCAACTTTTGCTGCATCCCACGTCTTTCCCAATCAAGTAAGGCGGTGGGGTGTGAATCTTTCGGTTTTGTGGGCTCGTGTTTGCTTTCCGCTCTATAAGACTTGGGCTCAAGGGTGACCTGATCTGGATCAAATACTTTCTCCGGTATCTTGCTTCGGTTATCTCTGTTGTCTTGAGGTAATAGACCATTGCCTTCTATGATACTTTGCCGGGGAAGGTTCCAAGGTGCATCATCTCCTGCGTCAAGAAACTCTTGAAGATAATCCACAGACCCGCGGTCTCCTCTGCCGAAATCTTCATCACCAGCACCACTCAAGGCACTTTCGTATTCCTCGTGGGTCGATTCGTCTATCTCATCACTCCCAACGCTATCGGGTGGCGATAGCACTCCGCTAGCAATGGATTTGAATGAGGCAATGCTTTTTTCATCTTTGATAAATTTTTGGTGAGAAGCGTTGGATTTTGGTTTGGCTAATCCTGGTGGCGGGCGAGGCAGGGGAACATCAAATGCCACATCATTAGTTTTATCGTGGATGGGCGAGGATAATTCAACAGAGTGATTAGGATGAGTTTCCTGAGGATGCTTCGCTGGATATTTTGGTCCTGCTACCTGAATACCCTCAAGCTCTTGATATTGTCGTTCAACTAATAGATCGGGAGGTCCCGTTGCTCTTGCGCCTTCCCGCCCATTAGGCACTGGAAACGTCTCGGATTTGACGTCTCCCACCCAAGCAGCCACATCCCCAAGAACACGTCCCCTATTGTCCTTCGGATTCAAGCCGTCTATTGGGCCCATCGGGATAACTTGAAATCTACCAATGGTGGTTGGTTGACCATCCCCGAGCATTCTTGTTCTATCTCTTTCTTCACGCTCATACCGACCCAGCTCTTCCCACGCTCTTCTGGCTTCCTCCTTTATAACTTGGCTTTCCTTCTTAATCTCCTTCATATCTCTTTCCATCTCCTTGATATCCTTTTCCAACATCTCTCTGTGATTTCTTTCCTGCAAAAGTTCTACCTCTTTCTTCTGAGCGTCGTCGCGAGCATCTTGAACTTTTGCTTCAAGACGCACTTTTTCCTTTTGAAAATGGGTTTCCCAATCCTTCATCGTTTGTTGCTTTTGTTTATGCAGAGCTTGCTCAATTTGTTGAATGAGGGGTAACGGGGGTGGAATTTGGAGCGTGTCTGAATCTGGTCTACCTCGGAACTCCTTCGGCTGCTGCTGTTTTTGAACTTCCACGCCCAGCTTTTCAGATATTTGAGATAGAAGGTTTCTAGATTCCACGAATGCCACAAAAGATACCGCTAGATTTTCTGGAAGCATATCCCATATTAGGACTGGCAATGAGAGAAGAATAATAGTGGAATGGCTCGCAAATACACCTTCCACAAGGGCGAATTGTGCTAACGCAGGAAACTGCCGAATCCATTTATGCCAGGCCTCTACATCCACTAATTGATTCTCCTCTAATGCAATAGATATGAGCACGTGTGGCACCGCCAACTTGCCCTCTGGTGTCAAACCGTGCAAGTTTTCCGGGGAGTAAATATCTGTAGCGTCCACTGTCCCTGAAGACAAGGTGCCAGCCCAACTATTGCCTGAAGTAGTGCGTCGACATATTTCAATGCTTAGGGATTTGGGATCCTCGGAAGCGAGTATGTAAATTGGCGTCTTCCTGTTTTCCGGGTTGTATGGATCGCCATGATAAAATTTTGGGGGTTTCTCGTGCTTAAGAACAGAGAGAATCTCGCTGTGAAGCATAGCCGCTGAAAATGAGGACCGGTGCATCCATTCATCTAAAACGTGAAGAAGAGCATTCGTGAAGGAATAGCGACCTGGACCCGGTGCCCATGTTTCGAAATCAGTAGCAGCGATCGTTTCGATGACACCCGGTCCAGCAGATGGGGCTGCACCTGCAGCAGAGCAACAATCCAACAGATAGAGCACATCGGACTTTGACTCTTCGAAAACACTTTGAATGGCGGACCAGCGCACAGAAGCATGGGAGATATCCTCATTGCAAGACCAGGTGGCTTGTCGAGAATTATTGATGGTCGCGTGACCTCCATAGTAGATGATGATAAGGTTATCCTCCGTCCCATGCTTTTCGATATAGTTCACTGCCTATATCATGTCAACATCATATGGGGTGGTACCGAACGATGGATAACTTGCCTGCAACATAAGTTTATTATGCGAATGCGTCGATGGTATCGACCACGTATCGGTGGTAAAGCCGTAGCATATCTCGAACATAGTACGCAAAGCATTGAACTCCGGTTGGGCATCGATATCACTCTCCTCCCACTTTATCAGGACCACTAGAACTTCTGCATAACGTGACCGGCCACGATTGGGGAAAGCCCTCGCAGCAGCCTCCATTGGATCTTAGCATTTTGTACCGAGAGATAAGATATGGAAAGTTATTGGTGCACCAAGACCAAAGCGACGGCCATGAAAGAAAAGGACACAAGTAATACAAAAGGGAAAAGGAAAACATCATGGTCCGTGATACAAGTGAGTGTTTATAAATTGATTTACCTCTTCGACCCTCACTGCAAATGTCTCGAGCTCTTTCATGTGATATCTTGCACGAGAGATATCATGCGTGTTTGTGGAGATGGTTGATGGCGGTGAGCTGATATTATAATATTCAATCTTTTGAGTCGAAAGTCAGAATGTTACTCTTGTATAATGAAATTGATGACATGAAATGAAGCCTCACCTCGTCACTCAATAATTCTGGAGTATTCGGTGTCGTTTGTGTATCCTGGGCTGAGTCTGACATTTGGTCCATAACGTTTCGAGGGCGCGACTGAGGTGCGTCAAGCACCCCTGTGAAGATATATTTTCACTCTGGTGGTATATGAAATAGAGAGTGGATTAAAAAAGACTGGACGAATTTTGAAGTCGCTGAACTCTAAAGCTGCATCATTAGTTACACGTACGGAGGATGACTACGGGAATTCATGCCGTGAAATGCGAAAGAAAAGAAAGAGAAATTGAATGATAGGTTGGATTCGGGAAACTAAAGCTAAAAGGCAGACAAAATGATTCTGGGCATTCGCATAACCCAGACATAGCCTACAACACAACACATGCAGAAAAATCATCCCCTGTAAGATGTTGACATGTCAACAAGGGTTCATCCTCCGTAATCCAGCAATGGGACAATATGCCACAATCATCACCAACAAAGCACATTGACTTGGAACAAGTCGAGTAAACTTCCCTGAGGGGAGGGGGTTAACGGTTCGTGCGTGAACACCATGGCCTCTTTTGATCATGCTGTTGTACAATATGGACATAACTTCACATGGAGTGGATATGGATGAAAGTTCACAAGTGGATAAGACGATATTTCGTAAAGCTCGAGTGGGGTTAGACGGAAGTTAGAATGAAGTTAGACTATTAGAAGTGAAGGGGTATGGATGCTATGGAAGGGCCAGAATGCGGTCACCCTGCCCTTCATTTTGATCTTATCAGGATTCAGATGTAGACTTTTGCGCAGAGTACTCGTATAATCAGGTAGTTGACTCAGAGTTGGGCGAAAGCTCTCGACTATTTGCCATGAGGTTGAACCAATAGTAAAATGTTGCCATCAGGATACCTAGGTAATGAGTTGAACTGTGAATATTATATGCAGAGGCACCATAGTATAAAAGGTTGAAATTCCTGGTCCAGAGAATCTTAGAAGTCAGTGGAAACGTCCTCGTCTTTCCCCGCTCCTGGTGGAAAAGATTCCAAACTGATAGAGGAAGGTCGGACCACTCAAAGGGTAAGAGGGTTTTATCATGGATGGGATGGGCTATGCTGTACCCTGACATGCGTCCATACAATCAAGCTTCCCGTCGGTATAAGCGTAGATCATATAGATGATGTAAATATCGAATAATGCTGTGCACGCGACGAATGATAAAAATATGACCTGATAGAGTACTGCGTACTGTGTAGTAATGTAAGCAAGGTTGTGGTGTGCACGAAGTAAGTCTAATCGATTTCTATGGATCGTAGCCATTATTCGGACATTACATTATGGAGGAATGGATTCCCCAGCCATTTTCTTTTTCTTCCATGTTTTTCTTTTGGCAGCAGACCAAAAGAATTAGGGAAAGTTCGGCTCGGCTTGAGAGAAGAGGTTTAGTTGGGTTAAAAGCTAGGAACGGTGCGAGACGGGTGCGAGACGAGGACTACATACAGGGTAGATGGTGTAGCGGTAGAAGCGCCAGTGGTAAGGCTACGATTGCATCGTTCATTTTGAGACCACCAGCACCTGGGGTTAGGGGGTTAGAGGGTTAGAGGGTAGGTAGAGGGTAGGGGGTTAGAGGGTTAGAGGGTTAGAGGGTTCGAGGGTTCGAGGGTTAGAGGGTTAGAGGGTTCGAGGGTTCGAGGGTTCGAGGGTTAGAGGGTTAGAGGGTTAGAGGGTAGAGGGTTAGAGGTACAACGGATAACGTATACGTCCTACTGTACCTAGGTAGGCAATAAAGACTGCGATATAAATACCTAGGTAGGTAGGCATCCAGCGTTATCACATACCAACATAAAAGTATCTGCCCTGTCGACACCGTCATGATTAATCACTGTAATCACGGTACTCATCCTCGCATACCTATCAATCAATCATCTTGGCTATGCTCCCTCGACCATGCGCTGGGTCTGGGTTCATGGCTCTATCGACTAATGCCTAACTGTCGTCTAGATAAAACCTTAACTTTTGGGCCATGATCAAATCTATTTTTGAAGCCTCATCTCTCTCTCATCTGATTGATTTTTGCTTCTGCCATAAGGCGTTCTGCATTGCCGTCTAATTCCTGAATTTGGGCTGCCATTACCCTTGACTCTGATTACATAGGCATCCTCGATAGGATAGTCATCGTGCGACTTAATCGAACGAAAGACTTATCACGATACAATACAGTCAGGACCTGCTATTCTAACTGAATACAATCAATATATTTCGTACAATTATATATGAATCTATAGACTATCATGCCATGATATTATTTATTATTCACGCATGCAATCATATACACATATATCCACATTCACATTCACATCCACATTCACATTCACATTCACATTCACATCCACATTCACATTCACATTCACAACCACAACCACACAGACGCGGGACTCACTCACGCATTCATTTTCTACATATTTATTATTATCCAATTTGGATCTGATTGTGATTTGAGAAAGTAAGCTGAATTCGATTCGATGTCTTTCAATCTTCCAATCAACTCACCATAAATCGATCTCTCTATTCCCATTTCCCATTTCCCATCTCCCCATCCTAAAGCAACATTCCCCACGACATCGGCAAAATTGGAAACTTGAACCTCACCTATCAAACATCACGTATCATTTTCTAATCTGCCAACGTGTGAACGATCCCAGTATCGATCCACCACCTTCCTTCCCCCTCTCCACCAATTCCGACAGAGCTCCTCAAGTCTCCTGCCTTACACGCTCTTTTGCTTCTGCACTTAAACTCCCTCCACTTGCTTAACCCTTACTCTTGCGTGGTTTGATGTCATAGCAACCGTTTACCAACAACTTAGATTCATCCATTTACAAAACCCGTTGCGGCCTTAGTACTCACCGCCGTTCATTCGCCCAATTCGTTCCTTGTCGCCTTTGCTCCACATGCGTCGCCAACAAATCAAGTTTTAAGCGCCTAATAGCTCTCAATAATTAAGGTCATCTTAGCAATGCCTCACAAAGACCGCGATAACGATCCTGAGGTCGAAGACGAACAAATTTCATCCGAGAAGCTGCGTCACAGGTCTTCCAAAAGTGTCAGAGACCCAAATCGAAAGCACAAATCAAGATCGAGAACCATAAATCCCGAAACGGGAGAGTCTGTCAAGTCATCTCATCGTCGGAGGAAGGATAAAATAAAGGACGAGAAAAGTGAAGGAATGTCGGAAGTGACAACTACTACAATGGCGGATGTTGTGCCTGAGCTCTCGAGGACTTCCTCTACGCCAGGTGCATCATCCTACCCAACCTTCAATAAAAATTACAGTAAGGAGGCAGTAAATAGTTATGTTTCTGAAAGGCCTTCAAAGTCGAAGACTACACCTTACACACCAGAAGCTACAGATATCGACTCCGAGAAGCATAGATCGAAATCTACAGAGAATCTAAGACGAGCACCTTCCGCAAAAGGCAGGCCGCCGAGTCCACCAGATACTGAATTTACACACCGACAGAAATCTACATCTTCAAGGGTGAACAAGGTCAGGGAGGAGGGTTCCGAAATGTCCTCTAGGCCCAGTTCCCGAAGTTCGGAACATCGAAAGTCATCCAGGAAGGAAAAAGAAGACCGGTCCACAATATCTTCCAAATCTAGACAAACAAAGACTGGCACGCCACCCATGCGGACAGCAAGTTCAAGATCTTCAAGGACCGAGAGGTACGATGAGGATGACGACTCCAATATCACATCGGTGGCAGGCAAACGTCAACCACAACCTACATCCCGACGCAGGCCTACAAATATTGACACGGATTCCTCCCCAGCGTCGGCACAGGATTCTTCACCAAAAACCCCCACTCAGACTCCGCAATTCCCTCCTAGTACGGCTGATACAAAATCTATCCCATCTCCTTATATGCATTTTGATGCATCCTCTGTTAAATCTAGTGTGTATGGCTCTCCACGTCCTCCTCCACCACCCCCTCCCCCGAATTTACCATTAAACATCCCTAGCGTTGATTACCTCCTCCAGAATGGTGGACTCGTTCGTCCAGTTCCCAAGACTTTACTCTCCACCTCGTCCCATTCTTCCCCTCCCGCGGAAATACAGAAGATATTTGGGCCATACTTCAACACCCTGGACCAATACGAGACAGTCCTCAACAAGAGTGGGTCACTTGCCGTTGCTACAGGATATCGCTCTGTTGCGAGAAGATTGCTCGATCGGTTGGAAAATGTTTTTGCTAGAGATTTATCATCTGATGGTTGCTTGTGTGTTATGTGCCAGGATTTAGATCTTGATTCTCACGAGGGAAGTAGAGGTCTCTCATGGGGAGAGGTTTTGGAGTGGGTTAGTGGTCGACGTGAACTTCCTGAATGGCCTGCCTTCGACTTCTCGGCGCTCGGCTCGAAATCGGTCGATGATCTAGCTGGTCTTGGTATATCAGGTCATCACAGGCCCGGATCACCCATCAAGATCGATCCTGATGTTGCTGACGAATTTCGCGAACACTATCTACGACAATCGATAAAAACAAAGGCTTCGGTTGATAAATGGCTCTCAAGTTGTCCTGAGACGACATCTGCACCTCCTCAAGAGGTCGACGATGAAACTCTTTCGTTTGCTATACTGACTCATCTCAACCATCATGATCGACCTCTCTTCAACGCTTTGCTTACTGGCTCCACCACACTACAACCCGTTTCGCGTGCACCAACTCCCATGCGAAAGCCACGCTCGGATTTTATGATAAAAACTGTACAGTCTATGCAGAGATTGTATCGATTGCCACTTCCTCCACGAGATCCAGAAGTTGCTATATACTTGCTAAAGAACCCTCATATTCACAATCTTCTCGCAACTATATCTGGCATTGCACCATCTGAGTGGGAAATTTTGATATCTGGTCGATTTGATGGATTCTTATGGTCCGGAGCTGATAGTGAATTTATCGATGACTTTCCCTCTCGTGGGCCCACACCAAATGGCTACCGAGGACCATCACCTGTAATGAGAAACCCTTCTCGTAACAACACGCCATTTTCACCCCGGTCAGCAAGTTATGGTTCTCGTGGCCCTACACCATCTCAACAGTACAGACACCCAGTCTCGAACGATGAAGAGATGGAAATTGCAGTCCTGGCTGAAATAGAGCGTGAGATATATGTAGGAATGGAGGCTCTTGAAGATGCATTTGAGGGTTTACATCGAAAGGCTGAGGCTGTTCGCAAAGCTCTTCGTGAACGTGGTGTCGGATTGACAATGGCAGCAGAGTCTAGACGAACAAGTCGCCCTGAGATCATTGTTGGTACTCCTGGTCCTTACTCAGCAGGTTTGGGACCAGGATACGAGAGACCAAGTTGGGCAGAAGGGGGCAGCGAATTTATGAGTGAGGCTGATTGGGATGAAGATGAAATGCAGAGTGAATTGGCACCAGATGATTCTGCGAGTAACATCAGCAGTTCAAGACACAGACGACCCAAACGAAGAAATGAAAGACGAACCCCGGCATTGGTTGAAGAGGATGAAGATGAGGGTTGAAACCGACATATTATTTCACATGGATGCGATATTATTGATGATATGAAAATGATGAGATTATGAGATGGAGCTCTTACAGAGACGGATGAAATGAGATTACGATTTGTTTATGAAATGATATCCTACCTACAGCGAGAGTACCAACATGGAAAATAACGACATATGAAGGAGGTTGTTGCGAGCTATAGAACGACTAGTGGTTCTGCATCTGGAAAGGACATTATTACTCTGTTGAACAGGATATTTTGTGGTTTTATAGGTAGGCAGGTAGCTTGCAATGTGCAGATTCGCATACAGTGTGAAAATTGGAATTGAATGATGTAATACCGATCGATTAGTGGACATAGAAAATAGCATAGCAATGATATTATAACAATACCTCTAAACCATAACTCGAAATTGAATAATCCCACCTATGCTTCCATAGTATGTATGTATGATTACGATTATGATTCGCCCCCATGTTATTAGAATCTTATCCGCGCGCTAAAGAGTTCAGGCAGGCAGTTGGCTCCTGTTTGTCACTCTTTCGTATTCACCCTCCATCTAGCTACCTACCTAACTACATATTATAGATCTAGAAGTACGAATCTAGAAGTCCAGAAGGAAGGGAAGTCTTACCCTTTTTTATATATATAGATTGCCGCTAAGATAGATGGGCGCTTCCTACTCATGCTGGATGGAAGGTTGTTGGAGGTGTTAGTGTTAGTGTTAGTGTTAGTGTTAGTGTTAGTGTTATTGAGATGGTTGGGGTTTTGGGAGGTGGACGGGAGGGGGAGGGAAGAGGAGTATAATAGGTAGGTAGTTAATGGTAATTATAGGATAAATGTTAAATGTTACTTACTGTAAATATATATATATATATATATACTTTTCTCTATTCTAGGTAAGATTTTCTAAATATCTAAATATTTATAATAAAATATTTATTATTAGATTAGAGTAATTTGATGCGATTATTTAACTATTGATTTAATTTAAGCATTTGTTATATATTTATCTATGTAAGATTACGAGAGTGAGTAGGGTGTCTAATCATATAAAATATGAAAAGATGATAATGGATAACCTGTCAGTCAATCAACATCCCATCTTCCCGATTAGGATGCATGGATGAATATCTAAATGAATCAGGATCACAAAGCGGTAAATAAAATTCCCACGTCAGGGAATTCAAAAGGAAAAATTTGATATGGAATGAAATGAATGAAATGAATGAAATGAATGTTATGAATATATGTTCATTTCTTGTAATTTTAATATCCTGTGGTAGATCTACAAGGTAAACTTCACTTCTACTTGCCAGAACCTAGACCTAGAATCTAAAATCTAGAAAATACGATATATGTTGTGATTGAGTGTGAGTGTGAGTGTGATTATGGCTTTTCTGGTAATTTTTATATATCCTGTAGCTATGTAGGCTATGTACCTATCTATGGATGTACGTACCTACGTATATATGTACGTATACTCGTATATGTGAAATTATAGAATCGAGGCTTTGCTTTCCTTTTCTGTATGCGATTTCTTGATTTATTCTCCTGACTTGTTTACAGAGTCGATGGATATCAATGGATTAATAAGGTTATTAGGTGACGATAATCACTAGGCTGACCATTCTTAGTTTTGAGGGAGGCTGAAGCTCGAGATGGAGCTGGAGTGGGAGATACATATGGAGATTCATAGCTACCTAGGTAGGTAGCGAGGTGATTTAATTGAAAGGAATGATTTCAGAGATATATGATCATGGAGGATTTGGGGATACTTGTTATTTGCGGAGTATATGTATCTTAATATAATCGCATTTATTCGTCCTTTTACCTTTAAATTTTCTTGGTGTTGTTGTTGGTTGGTTTTATATAGATGTGGATTTTTACTTTTGTTCAATTAAGTCTTGATTATATTACTGATCTGGTTCTTCTGTTCTGACTTTAAAGAGCTTTGTTTCTTCTGTATATCATATCATATCTTCTCGAGTCTCCTATTCTTCTTCATCCGAATCTATCTTTACGCACGCAGCCATATATTTTATTTCTCCTCTTTCCAATTCCCTAAGCGAATGCGTGCGGCCAAAGTACCAACAAGCTTTCAATTTCATTCCTCGGATCCTTTTCCGGAGACTTTTGAAAGACATATAAGACTACCTTTCTTATCAACTGGAATGCATCATAGAAGTAAATGGTGATGTGTAGCGAGTGATTCATTGACATCATTTCTACTTCCTCTCTACTACTCACAGTATCTTAATTTCCATCTCTCCTTTCCATATTAAGGAGAGAAAGAGAGTTGAAAAGATATACGGACGGACGGACTATCTTTTTGGATATATATACTATATACTCGTAAATTAATCATCGTATATTCAGATCTGATCTCCTGACCTGAAGCTTACTTCAACATGGGTTTACGAGTTGCACAAAGTATGTATTCTTCAATCCATCCATCTAATCCCAATCCAATCCGAATTCAAAACCATCACAAATGACCCACTCATCTAACAAACCCCCCAGTCTGCGGCCTCTGGTTCTGGTTAGCTTTCGCCTTCTTCCTTTTCGTAATCTTCCACCAGTCCGATATCATCATCCCCTCACCCTCCTTACACCCCGATCCAAAACTCCATAATCCTAGCCCTTTTTCTCTCAGACCCCTTTCGACCTTTGAACGAATGGCTCGCTCCGAATTCGCCTGGCGCACCTCCGTACATTCCCGTCATGAAATGGCCGTCAAACATCCCTCTTACCCACGGATTCCCCTTTTCCCAGCCCAAAAACTATCTGATTTCTCAAACACACCTTATACGATTTGGGATTTCTTTCCTGCGTCGTGGACATGTCCGCATGATATTCAGCGAGTGGGACGATTAGGCGACGGAGGGAAATGGGTTTGCGGTATGAGTTTATATGAAAAACACAAAATATCATCTACTTCCAAATCAGCGAAAGCAGAGAAACAAGAAAAGGAAAAAAGATGGAATAATCATCTACAGTTTCGGCGTCAACGACGAATCAACCTTTGAAGAAGAAATGCTCTCTCGAATCCCCACCTCTCAAATCCACGCCTACGATTTCTCCGTCACGAAATTCGGCCCTCAACTTTCTCCCGCCTACGCCTCTCGAGCTCACTTTCTCAAGTACGGTTTGGGATCCACAGATATACCTTCCAAAACACCTCCTTTTTACACGCTCCAAACTCTCATGACGCAGAATAACCACAGCTATATCGATATTCTCAAGATCGACATTGAAGGATCTGAATACACGGCTTTGGATTCGTTTATGGATTTTCATCAACAGGAAGGTAAATTACCCGTTGGTCAGGTGATGATTGAGTTACATTTGGTGGATGATGAACGTGTGCATTTTGAGCGGTTTTTGAAGTGGTGGGAACGGCTTGAGGGGTTTGGTATGAGACCGACTTGGTTTGAGACGAATTTGTTGGCTGTTACGTTGGGAGAGGGGAAGACGGATCCTAGGTGTGTGGAGTATGTTTGGGTTAACGTGAAGGATGAGAGGAGTGTTTTGTTGGGGGAGTAGGGGTATGGCGTATTGTGATAGAGACACAGAGGCTGTCCTTTCTGTCTCGGGAATCTTGCTGTAGATGTAGCAAATGTGTGGTCTTGGGTCTGGCTAGGGTGATAGGGTATGATATATAGGAAATCTGGTCCGTCGGTTGGTTGAGACCGCAAAAGGAAGACGTACTTGTAAAGAAGCGAAAAATATTACATATAAAGACACTCTAAGCGGGGAATCTTGTGACATAAAGTGCGTGCCTTGAACGCATCATAGGGTTTTCTAGCCAACGAGTTCTATCGAAGTGTAGGAAATAAGTCTACGGAAAACTACATCCGAGCATCCTTATAACAACGATAATGGACCCACAACCACCAACGGAATTGCTCATGCTAAAACGACAAGTACCTTGCAACAATTCAATCACCTATCTCATCTACTCACAACATCTTCTTCCCATCCCCAACGCTCCTCCCCCTCACCAACGCCTCCAACCTCCTCAACCCAAACATCCCAGGCAGGACTAAATCGAAAAACCAACTTCCCAACCAATTCCTCGCAAACCAAACAATCCACGTCTTATTTCCCCTCCACAAGGTCCTCACACCCCCTTTCACAACCGCGTCCACTACTCCCTTTGCATATTCCGCATTGGGCATCGATCCTGCACTCTGAGAATGAACTACTCTTGTTTGGAACTCATCTTCGATGTCGAGGTAGAGGGATGAGGGGGGTAATGCGCGCGGGGTGCGAGCAATGTTTGATTGGACGCCGCCTGTTACGACGACCATTACGCGGACGGAGAAGGGTGCGAGTTCGAGGCGGAGAGTACGGGAGTAGGCATGTAGGGCGGCTTTGGAGGCGTTGTATACGCTGCCGAAGACGTAGGGGAGGATCTGTAGAGGTCGGGTTAGAATGTTGTTGTATGAAAGAAATTGGACGGTGAGAGATTGGATGGGAGGAATGGATGAACGTACTGCTGCTAAACTTCCAATATTGACAATGAGCCCTTTTCGTTTGATTAATAGAGGTGTAAAGACCTGGCACATAGCCATGACGCCGAAAACATTCGTTTCAAAACAATGTCTCGCATCGTCCAAATCTACATCCAGAGCAGGCATCGTACAATTTCTTCCCCTACAACGCAATACATTAGCACCACATCTCCAATCCCATCTCACCACACATCCCCTTCCCCTTCCTCAACCCTTCCCAAAAGACCCGTTTCTACTCACGCATTATTAACCAGAACATCCAAACCGGCAATCACCCCGCTCTCAATCAAGCCCTCTACATCCCTCTTCGCTCCCTCAATACTCTTCCCATCCGTAACATCTAGACTCAATGTCCTAATACCCAATTCCTTCAAATCTTCAATTTTAGACGCGGAACGCGCGCTGGCAATAACTATGTAGCCGCGCGAATGGAAATCGAGAGCGAGCGAATGTCCGATTCCGCCTGCTGTGCAACTGCGGGGTTGGTGGGTTAGTCGAAGAGAAGATGGTAGAGGGATAGAGGGGAGTGGTACCCGGTTATGAGGACGGTTTTTTGGGAGGTGCTCATCGTGTGCTTAGTGGGTTTAGTATGGTGGTTTGTTTATTAGTGTGGGTTGGGGTTGCAATGCAGTTGCAATTGCGGGTGAAGACTTCTCTGTGGGGAAATCGTGAAGGTAGGATGGAGTGGAATGTAACGCTACTAAAGACTACTCTAGAGAAAGGAAGGGCGTGAATAGGAAGCAAGGAGATGGATGGAGCTCTCACACAAAAGGGATATGCCTTACGCCAAACTGATATCTTGATGTGAAGCTTGGACTGACAACCAAACTGAAGTTTGTCTTGAAGCTCGAAGCTCGAAGCTCGAAACTTTTAGATAAGAAAGATTGAGGCGTTTCGTGTTTCCGCTTATCCTGTACGAGTTGCTCGACCTTTATGCAGGTCCCATCATCAAATCGATTAAATTGTTCTCCGGTGCTAATTAATTTTTAACATTTCGAGTCTGAAGTCTAGAGTAAGAATTGATATCTCTAGCCATCCATTATCTAATCTATCTCTAGATAACAAAAGTTGTAGTGTGAATATTCGACTCGTAAAAGAAAGCAAAACCCGCTTTCGAAATGCAATTATATGCAATTTCCATAATATATCCAACGCCAATAACATGCTATCCCAAACCAGATCCATTAACCATAACTAGATTACAATTGGGTATTTCCCCTTCTAGGACTTTCACTATCCTTATCAATCAAACATTTACTCTCAAGCCACCTCGCAAATTTCGTCGACGGTACGTCGATTCCTCTCCAAAACACATCTGCTGTCCACAATATGAACGGTCCATAAATCAGTAATCCTGCCGCCCAAACAGCATGTCTACCGAAGAAAGAACCTTTTCCAATAGTCCGTTCAAGCAGCGGTGCGAAGAACGGCTCGAGGATCGTAAGACAGAGGTTGTGGGTTAGATAGAGGGCATATGATATATTGCCTAGATATTGAGCAAACGGTACGTTGAAAATAGATTGTAGGCTGGGGAGTTGAGTACATGCTAGTACTATTTGGAAGGCCGCGAGACAAAACCAAACTCTTTGGCCTTTATAGGGCCTCGGGGTGTGTGCATCGAGGATTGACAGAAGAGGAACTTCATCGACATGGCTGTTTGTCCATGAGGAGATATAGAGGCCGCATATGAGATTGAGTATCCAGAAGGCCTTAATGAAAGTATTTTTGTTATATGTTGTCCTGGGAATTGTGGTATCGAACGCTGTAGCAATAGGAGATTCTGCTTTTTTGTCGTCGAATTCTGTGGTGGGGAGAATGGGAGAGGATTCAGGAGAGTTGGATGGTGTTGAATTGTATGATTGAAGGAGTGTGACTTCGGCAATGAACATTCCGCCTAAAAATTCAACCGTGTGTAATTGTGCGCTCCAGAAACAGAACGACATAATACACGCGAGAATCAGGAGTCGCATATTTATGCGAACATGAGAAAGTCCAAGTATAACAATAAAGAGAAGCATCGATTGTGCGAATTCCACAGGAATGGTCCATAAGGCTGGATTGTAGCGTGGCATGGGCCAAGAAGGGTCGTCCCATCTCCAGGATGCTTGTAAAAGTTGCCAGCAAGTTTCATACCAACTTCCAATTTGAGCCGTAAGTGATGATAAGGGAGAGCCGTATCGAGCTTCGGAGAGTCGGTAATAGACGGCTACAGACATGATAAAGAGTGTTATAATGGAAGGTAAGAAAAGACGAACTGCGCGGCGAAAAACGGATGAAGATAGTGTAGATGCGAGTGCCGAATATTGTTCAGAATGTATTTGTTTCAAAGGTTTGTAGGCCAGGACGAATCCAGAAATAATAAAGAATATATGTACCATAGGCCTGGCAGAATATAGTACTCGAATAAACGGAAGTTGTAGAGGTGATGACGGTGCCCCATCTTCATAAAGTCCATATGGCTCAGTCCACCATCCAATATTCTCCTCAGTATAATGTCCCATAAATACGATGAACGAAGCCACTCCTCGCAGACCATCGAGATATGAAGTAGGGTGTAACTTTTGCATCTTTGGCGAACCGGGTCGTATCGTTCTTCGTTGTAAAAAACTTGGTATACATCCATATGCGAGCTTTTGAAGTAAACGTTTTCCTGAACTCAAAAGGACCGTATAATCGGAATTCTGCGAATCTGTTTCCATCATTGCCCAGACCATTTGAGGTCTATATCCTTTGGCTACCATCATAATAATAAAAAAGTGCTGTAGTGACAATACCTGATTGTGCCGTAGAGCTAACAGTTGTGATGGTTTATGAAAATAGAGAAAGATTGACTCTCACAAAGCTCCAACACTTCTATGTGCGGTCTTTCTATCTCTGCAATGACATATAAGTATATCTTAAGGGAAACAGTATGGGCTGAAATATTAAAACAAAACGAAACAACAGGAAATTGAAATAAGAGATGTATAGTATGAGAAAGACAAGAAGGAAAATCTTCACTTGGGGAGAGCATGCACAACCTCTTTTCTCAAACCATGCAGCCCTCAAGTTGTCAGGTCCATGTAAAGCTTCTTTAGGACGTGATCGACTACTTTTGCAGGGGCGCGCCTCCGGGTGAATTTAAAGTTATATATTTGCAATTAGTCTTGGAATCAAGCGCCAAATTTACCCTTTTAGCTTTGGTCCCGTAGTTCATCCTTTCCTACTCGCTGCCACCCTCTCTCCACAGTCTTGCACCATGCTTGGAATAGTTTAAAATTTCCCTACGGACCACAACGGCACCTTGATCAGGTCACGCTTCTGGGTTTTGTCGACGAAACGGGCAATTTGTTTATACTTTTGTTTAGCAGGAAACATCCGTGACAGAATGCTTGATCGATTGAATCCATGATCTCCTACAAATCTGCAGAAGCACTGTTACAGCTTCTGCTTGAGATTCAATCTTAAAACTTCTAGATTCCCCTATTATGTTGGAATTGCGGCGTATTATAAGCAGTGCGTACAATAATAGTGATGACCCCAGAAACAATGACGAATTAGAGTAAAAAGAGTTTAGATACGCTGGGATATCTCCACCAATAGCCACATTGTGGCCATCCATGCATGAATCGAGATTTGGTCTGCTCAGAGTGATTCGATGATAGGAAATCAAAATTCAGGAGAACCTTGTTTGGTGGAGTGAGTGCGTGGGGCGCGGGAAAAGACCCTATCTTTTACAGGTTTCAGCTATTTGGGATTCTTATAATAAGTTCTAGAACTTGTTGAACCATTCAAAATTGATGAAGGCTTGCAATTGAGGTAATCTTATATTCTACTCTATAATTTGGCTCCTTACACTAACTCTAATTGAACATTGAGGTAGGCGAGTTAGTAACCGAGGTAATTCGCTAACCACCATGCCAAACGAAGTTTTTATCTAAGGATATTTTATATTTACTTATTATATATCTACAACTCAACAGAACAGGACTTCTTTTTGTCACATTAGGATTGCTCACCTGCTGCATATACAGACTTACTCCAATCCCTAATCATAGCAACTAATCTTTATAGCACAGTATATAAGGAATCTTCGGCGATGTTTACATCAATCAGCCTTCTAAACAAATTATTACGTACCGCAATATATTTACATCCACAATATATATATAATCTACCAAGCAGCCCCTGCCAAGATGTCAATTTTCCGACACATCCATTAATCTGATAATGCATATCACCTCACTTAAAATGTACTCGAGTACACAAATATAGCTGGCTGGCTGAATGTTCAATTCGTGCCTGGTTGATATCCAATTTGGCTCTATTAAGACATCTTCAAGTCTATTTGATACGAAACATCAAAGTTGCAACTCAGTATCCCGCGCCGAATTTACGGACCGCGCTTGTGGCGTAAAATATCGGCTCGAGAGTTTCTTACTCAGGCCACAGTGTCTCGAGGATTTGTTTATTATTTAGAGTAGGTCGGCGATTACAAGTGCTATTTCAAGATTTCCGTTAGGGGTTTTGATGCGAAGCGTGCCATCTTCGTGCTGACTAGAATCTGGCCGCATCAACGAACGATCAAATCTGGGGAACATACACGCAGTATATATTTTTTGACATATGGCGGTCGGTGCGGAGGTGATACTAGGTACGTTTCTCTAGGTATTCTTGTATTAATTGAGTCCAAGCTGATGACATGAGCGAACAGATACTGCCTCTATTCACTATTTGATCCGTACGTATTGGTACATCTAGTATTTAATTCAACGGATGAGAAGAGATTACAAACAGTAGAAGAGACGAAGGGATGCTAAACAAGGATATGTTGGCGAAGAGATGGTGAAAGCAAATGAATTCTGGCGCAAACAGACGACTGCAGATACGAATTGGAAAGGATTTCTCTTCATTCCATCCTTCGGAAACGGCAGCAAGGGGACAAAAATACTCAGGTAAGCTTATGATCGGGCGTCCTTTGACCGGTCGGCATCGGTACATAGTAGCATTGTAAGATGAATCACAATCATCCTTCTTACCTCTACGTACGCGTACATAATATCAATGGAACAGTAGCATAAAGAATCACTGGAAGCCATGGAGGAGTTTTCCAGCCACCTACAACTACAGAAGAAGATTTATCACGAGTGTGGGATGCGCGCCAATAAGTTCTCCTGCTGCTTTCCATCTGTTTTACACCCGTTTGTCTTACTTGCACAGCAAAATTTATGTTCATCCTCGGATATCCTAATGTATTCTCTTACAATATTTTATCTACTATTGTAAGAGTCAATCGAGGTTATCTTGATCAAACTTGTAACTACAATATTAAATGGAAGAATCGTTTCGATCAAAAATGTCCGCGCCTTGCGCCATACTAATTCCTGCTTCTTCAAATGGGAATCACAGTCACAATCACGACGCATTCATCGTTTTTCCTCATGAAGCTTTGGGATTAAGTTCATTCTTCTCTTTGTATTGGCCTGTAGTGACATAGAAAGTAGGATTCATATTTCTGAACTTCTGATAATAAATGCATTATTTTGCCATGGAACGCCTCGAGGGCTCGAACAAGAACCACTTGAAGGAGTTTGATCCATGTTCGATCAATAGTGCACCCGGACTGCCTGGAAGAGAAATTTGTCTACAAGCACATGGAATCAAGCATCACTTCGTGTGGAGATATGAGACTGAAATTTGTAAGATGAAGCTGATCAGACTATTTAATCTCAATAATGAATAACGAAGATAGATTCTACTAATCTCATCAAACCTATCCTCTAGCTACATGACTCATGTACATGCGACTCTAAATGTTTCGCTCTGTCTATCTAAAAGCCTGTAAAAAACGCCCCAAAAGTTGTCCATTTCAAATTTTGTTGATTCCAAAAGGCATGATCCAATCACGCCGTCAAATCCAATGTACGAATAATCAATCTACAGACGATCCAACAAACCGGCGCTCTCCAACATCAGGACGATTGAGTGAACAGCATTTCTGACACTGGTCTTCTCAATATCAACAGTGAAGTCGGCCTTAGCAGGAACCTCATAAGGATCATCAACACCAGTGAAACCCTTGATTTCGCCGTTACGGGCCTTGGCATAGACACCCTTCTTATCGATCTTCTCAGAGTGCTCAAGACTGGTAGCAACGTGAACGAGATAGAAATCACCATACTTCTCGACCATTTCACGAGCGTGCTTACGAGCATCTTCGTATGGTGCGATTGGTGCAGCGATAACGGCGGCACCTGAACGAGTCAACTCCGAAGCAACAAATGCAATTCGACCGATGTTGCGGGTTCGGTCGGCACGACTGAAACCAAGTTCGGAGGAAAGCTCGGCGCGGACGGTCTCACCCAATAAGAGTGAGACAGAACGTCCACCTTGTTGGTTGAGGGTGGTTTGCAAAGCACGTGCGATTGCGTCTTTGCCAGAACTGTGGTAACCGGTAAGGAATACAGTGAAACCTTGAGCAGAACGAGGTGGGTGAGATTCTCTAAGAACACGGACAACTTCTGGGTAGGAGAACCATTCTGGAATCTCGCGACCGGAGCGAAGTCTTGAACGGAGTTCGGTTCCAGAGATATCGAGAGTGCGGGTACCTTGTGGGACCTCGTCCTTTGGTCTATATTCGTCGCTATCTGGGAGGTAAGTCATCATTTGGAAAGGAACGACCTCAATTCCGAGCTCATCCTTGAATTTTTCAACGGCATACTGAGCATCGTATGGGCCGTAGAATTCCTCTCCCTTGCTGTTCTTTCCTGGGCCGGCGTGATCGCGTCCAACAATGAAGTGAGTGGCACCATAGTTCTTTCGGATAATGGCGTGCCAAACAGCCTCACGAGGTCCACCCATACGCATAGCGAGAGGTAGAAGACCAAGAACGGCCATTCCATTGGGGTATCTAGGAAGAAGTGCCTGGTAGACACGGACACGTGTGAAATGGTCAATGTCACCTGGCTTGGTAAGACCGACAACTGGATGGATAAGAACGTTGGCTTGGCGGGCTCTCGCAGCACGAACAGTCAACTCTCTGTGGGCTCTGTGCATGGGATTTCTAGTTTGGAATGCGACAACCTTGGACCAGCCGAGCTTGTCGAAGTGAAGTCTCATTTCTGCGGGGGTATCTTTCATGGTATTAGTAGTTTCCTAGAGTGCGAGGAAATTGAGTCACTCACATCTTAGAGCGACATAATCGTAATGTTCTAGACGGTTGATGGCATCAATCTTTCCTCCGACGTAAAATTCGGCTGCAGTGTTGTACAAATATTTGACTGCTGGGTGATCGGCATCACCACCAAAAACCTCCTTGGCTTCCTTCTCCCTGTAAATAATTAGATCTGCCTGTCCTGCCAAATCAGGCCGGGATAACACACTTGTTGGGTTTGTAAACATCTTCGACGTTGATAATAGCAAGGTTTCGATCGTCACGGAAATCGCGAATAGTAATTCTTGCACCTTCTTTGATTCCTAACTGCTCAATTTGTTCTTTGGACACATCAAGAGTAATTGGGATACTGAAGACGTTGCCATCTGCCAATCGGTTGTTTTCAACGACGCTGTGAAAGGTTAGACAAGAAATAGTATATTGGGAAGCGCAATTTCGCACCCATTGTAATCCTTCTCGTTCATGAAACCTAGCAGATTAAACGTTAGCAATTGACGCCAATTTATAGGAGTTGGTGTCCATGTTTTGGAAAGTGATCAGAAATCGCGGGGTCATTATGCCCCTCCATGCAAGCAAGAAATAAGCGGAAGCGACATACCTTCAAGAGGAGAGAAACCACCGCTCAAGATCAATTCCAGATCGCATAGCTGTCTTTCTGTGAGAACGATAGCAGGAAGAGTCTCGGCTTCTGCCGAAAGTTCATTATGTCTTGGTAAATCTCTTGCAAGAAGATCTCTGTTGCGATTGTTAGTTTGTTCGCATCCTACGCAATGAACGAAGTCATTCGTTTTGTCAAATGGCATTCTTACTTGAGGACACCACCATGAGGAGAATTTGCCATATTTGCGATTTAAAAAGCAAAAGATAAGCTGTTCTAGGAATTTGAGGGAAGAATTGAGGATATTAGAAAGCCCTCTGAGGTCGTAATTTTGTATGGAGAGAAGTGAAACGGGAGAGAAAGCGAGAGAGCAAGTAGGTTGGAGAAGAAGTGGGTATAAATAAGAGATATAGAACAGACAAGGACGATACTAATTCTAAGCTACTTATTAAAATAATGTGCCTACCAAGAGAATTAAATATGTTTTTTTTTCTTTACTAAAGCTTTCACTATCCTCTCAATCGCCTTGTATGGAACCCTATTCGGGACGAAAGTGACCTAGGGAAAATGACGTGCTCGGTAGTTCTTCATTACAAAGACGCGTATGTTAATGATAGTGACACGTAAGGTTATCAATCTATTAGATGTTTATATGGGGAAAGCGTTTGATAACCTTGAATGAGGTGAGAATGAAAGGATAAGGGGGTGCAAGTATAAAAATGGCTTACTTATACTCAGATACCTTAGGTGAAGCAACGAAGAGTGAAAAGCATTTGTCAGAAATGATCAGGAAACTCCAAGGAGATGGTGAATCGTAATACAAATAACAATTATAATAGATATCTAGGGAGTATTTAAATAGATATATCTATTTACCAATTAAAAGGAAAGGCACGTCTCAAAATCTTGGGATTTTTTGGATCTTTGAGCTTCTGCTGCCTGACATCTTGAATATGATAGGTAACGTTCAGATCATTGTTAACATTGCCTCTCATAGATTGACTGCCGAGGTCTTTTCAGAGCTGTTTCACGATACCAGTTAACCACCTAATGCTTGTTGGAACCCCATTTGATTTTCCTATTTTGACTGAAAGAAAGAAATATTCCTCCCCTTTCCGCGCGGCTCTTCAACCATGGATGGCTAGCTTGCTTGATAGATTTAGCCTATCAATTCTGTTATAAAATCATGTTTCAAACGTGCATCGTTTCTCCAGTTATCCGGTATGAAGTCAGAAAAAGGGTGTCTCGCTTTTTCATAAGGATCTTCTATATATGTAACAAAATTAAATATGCATATGCCACTTTGACCGTGATTCAAGCAGATTCTGAAACAGTTTCCGGATTTATACGCTCTGGGGTACTCTCGCTTCAGCTTCAGGAGAAGTACAGCAGGTATGATGCAAAAAAAGGAAAGAAAGAGATGTGAATGACGATGTCATGCCCTCTTCTATCGTTATCATCTTATCGTTATCTCCGTATGTTCACGGACAATCGGGTTCGGTATTTACCGTCCTTTATTTCGATGCTTGTGGAAGTTTGAAGTGACAAAACTTTTGGATTTGAGATCTCCCTCTCTTTTCTCCCGAAACGATATACTACAACAAAGATGTCAGTAGTATCAGGTTTAAAAGGCGAAGCTTCGCAACAAGCTCGCTCGCTGGTAAGTAATCACAAATGGTGCTACGGAATTGGTTGCCACTCAAAATATCACAAAGCTGTCGATGTCTAGTTATGAGAGAGAATGCGAGCTTGGCGTAGAACGAATACTTACTTCTGAATTGTAGTATCGACAATTACTAAGACAAGGCAGCCAATTCGCAGCATACAACTTCCGAGAATATGCAAAACGCAGGACGAGGGACTCATTCAGAGAACACAAGGATGTTCAAGATGAGAGGAAAATCCAGGAATTGATGCAGAAAGGACTGAAGGAACTACAGACCTTGAAGGTACGCTAAGTTACATATTGGCAAAGAAGCCGATACGCAGTTGGCGGACCTGTGTCGGTATTGGGAGTCTGGGATTTGTGGCGCCGTATGAAGGAGGCATGCGGATAGATGAAGCTGAGCATCAATTGGAGGTATAATTGCTGACATTTTACGCAACAGAGGCAAACTGTTGTCAGTCAGTTCTTCCAACTCGATCGATTAGTGGTTGAAGGTGGAAAGTCGGTATGTGTTTGAGGAGATCTTTTGTGACAGGAGAAGTGATGTTGATTTTCGCTACAGGGAAAGCAATCTGGGAATAGAAATGACATAGTGCGACAAAAGGACACAGGGTAAGGGCCTCTCCTCTGTAGGCGTCTAATTTGTGGCTCACATTACATAGATGGGACTGATGTAACTCGGATGATTGTGGATTGTGAACATGAGGAAGTGCTATGAAGTAAAGACGTTTGAGGGCATGTATCACTACACACGGGGTTCGATTGCACTTTGGTGTCTGTCCGGCGAGACATTCTTATACCAAGTAATTCAGGAAATATCACCTCTCAGCCAACGGCCCTGCTTAAACGATGCTTGGGCTGGTACATAGCTCATACAATCGTTCCATAAATGCACACCAAGATTCTTGTTTTAGGATTATGGGGGAGAGTTTGAAGCAGATATGGTACCTATTCAAGTCTATGAACTTTGGCTCACTAGGAAAACTGCCAGTAGTAACCCGCATGGCAAGACTTTCATTGCGCCGAATCATACATGGGTTCAGATAAAACCTTCAAATATGTCATCAACTTCTATAGATAAATTGAACTCGTGTGTGCCTTCAAGAATTCTTACCTGCTGGGTCTTTAGTTTTATCCCGGCCTCAAGTTGTTACTGTATATCACGTGATCGATACACCAATTGTTCGTTTGCTTTGAATGTCACTTCCCTCATTTCTCATTTCTTCCGCACTTTCCAATTATCTAGTAAAATTGGATAGCTGTAGCAAGCAGGTATGTAGATTCGAGTGAAGCGATTCCATTTTCATTCAATTGCATTCATAATTTTGTACTCAATCGCTAATATGGCTTTTACAGCTCTACATCGCGCAGCCTGGCGTCGCATCATCGAGTCCGAGGACGACTCTGAACAGGACCACGACGATACAAAGTCTCACAAAACTATACCGGGTGATAGTGCAACAGATTCAAGGTCCGGAAATCAGCGTATCCCATTAAACTCAGGCCCTGCCGCGTCTGAAGCATCTTCACTTACGATAATCACTCCGGTTCGCGAGTCAAAAATAGTAACATTCAAGCTTGACTCTAGCGTTGCCCGGATAATCGACTCTTCCTCAGGTAATTTGGATAGACCTTCACAAAGCGTTGATATGCCCGCTGTAAGTTATTACGAATTGCATTCTCGTGCGTAATTGACTTATCATTATACTTTCGTCTCATCTGTGAAGCTGTTATGTGTCACTTCCACGGGTTACTTGTTTAGAGGCTGACGTTTTATCTACAGTACCGAACAGGTGGAAGGCGGCAGAATCGCACGGGTTATGTCGACCATGATATACTCGAGGGTATTCCAGTAAGGCAATGGCGTCGCGAATACGTCACAGTAGCACCTCCACCTCCGCAGGAGAGCAATGCCACTCAAAATGATATTTGGGCATCAGAGCTTCCATGGGGAATGCCAAAAGACTCGCACCTTCTGCCACAACATAGCCAAGATTTGCTACGCGCCGCTCGATCTGGTAGGATATATAAACGACCTACTCCTATGGATGAAGAAGAACAAGAACTTGAGCCCACTCTAGGAGACAAGCCGGACAAAAAGGAGGATGAAATAAAGGATAGCGGTTTTACGGCTCGTGCCTGGAAGCAGATTCCTGGTCATCAAACGGCGTCGGATATGGACTTTCTGGCTAAAAGAAGGAAGGGATTAGGATCTGCAGTTCCACAGCCAGCTTCAATTCCAACAGTTATACAAACTACAGTCCGTAGGACGGATGCTGCAGGCAACGAGTATCTCGAGAAGGTTATTGTACCTCATGGTCAAGTTGTCGTAGGCGATGTTGTCTCTCAAACAACCATTCCGGATCCAAATGTAGTAGAGGGTACACCATTCCGACGCAAGGGTCCAGTAGGCAAGAAAGGGAAACGAGGTCCCGGCAGGGGACGAAAGAAGATAGTTCCTACTTCTACACCTAATGTAACAAGCGAACCATCAGCTCAGAATGGTGATGCAAGCACCTCTAATTTAGGGGCTGATGTAAGTTACCGACTAGTCCTTGGAAATTCTTTGCGGCTTTCGTTGACAATATCACAGGGAATGAAAATCGATGGTGAAGGCAATACAACACCGGCGAAGAACCTCGATACTGAGATGATAGATGACTCGAACCCAGCTTCGGATGACGATGACGGCGATGAAGGTGATCAAGCGGATGAAGATGATGATTCAGTTGATGTTCTTAACTCGCCATCAAGACCGCATAGGGACTCATCTCAAGATCGTAACATGCCGATTATGCAAGACATTCCAAAATTGAGCAGCACCGATATTGCGATGGGCGGCACTGACAATGACGGACCCACAAAATCAGATCTAGAAAGAGTAAAGGACGAAGGAAAATTCGGTAGTCCATTGAAGCAAATAGCTTTAACTACATCCACTGTCAATACTCCTATGGTATCGCCAACTGAGACAACCCTAAAGGAGCCCAATTTCTTCGCCGCAGGGAATACTGATATCCCATCAGCTCCTATTGAAAAGATAAATCAAGAAATGCTATCTGTAGCAGAAGTAACGGCCCCAATCGAGCTACCCCAGATTCCACCACATCCCACTAAAGAGCATGAAGAAGCATTCATAGAACTCCGTGCTGAAGAAGAGGAGGAAGAGGAAATGCTTCTTGACATTCTCGATCGTGCCGAAATTGCCGAAATTGCCCAGATTGGCGCAGCAATGCCGATAAAAACGGAGAGTCCAACTACTGTTCTTTCGGATCCAATCCAGGTTTCCGCCAAACCTTCAAATTCATCACCAGCTGAAGTGAAAAGTCCTCAAAACGTTGCAGTACCTTCCTCAATACCTGCTGTCGAAGAACCACCTACCGTATCTACTTTAGCCACGGCTTTTACTGATTCTTCAATCAGAGAAGGGCAGGCATTAGCTTCCACTTCTTCTGCTTCTCCAGCCAAGGTGGAGGAGCCGCCAATTGCCTCAAATTCACCACCTGCTGCAATATCGGAGGTTGTTGAGCCTACCGAGCCTAGCGAACCTACCGGGCCTACTGAGCCTACTGAACCTCCTCAACCAACTGAAGCTATTGAGCCCAACGAAGCCGCTGCATCACCCACTGGGCATACTGAAGCAGCCAAGCCAATTCCACCAACCAACTTAATCGAGTCAGATCAGCCAGGCGTGGCAAATGAGTCGATGGAACTGGAAATGGTAAATGAATCAAATGCGACGGACTTGGCAAATGAGTTGAACGTACCCTCAGGGCCAATCAAACCTGCAACCGAGGATGATGATGATGACTTTCCTGATTTACTAGGTGGTCTAGAGAGGAATCTCTATGGTGACTTGCAATCTTTCATTGCCCCTCCAGAATCAATAGTACCAGAAGAATTGGCCCCGTCAGAGCCTATAAAAGAAGATCAGGCATTTCCAAAGGAGGCGGGTGACGATTTAATCACAGAAGAGAAGGAGAAGGGTGGAGAGGTAAAAGAAGAGACCTCAACATCCTGAAATAATTATGATGGCGTGTACGTGCATTATGGATATGTTTGATGTCCACCTACCTATTGGGCTATTTTATGCTCGGTGATTTGTATTACACTTCTTGCAGCCAGGGTAATGCATAATGGCGCAACAGGCGCAAAGTGTATTATTATTGAGATATTATGGATATATTACTTCTGGTTCTATAATCCCGTTTGTTTTTCTGTATATACATAGGTACCTATATAGATCGGAAAACTATTCTCGTAGCCCTCAAAGTGAATTTTATTACTCTTATACCGTCTAAATTATCTCTATTTTACCTTTATACCTGCTGGATTCTATAATAGAGCTACTGAGATACCAATTCACTTCATTATGATCTACATTTCACATCCCAAACGTAAAAGAAAAGTTGAGAACTTTTGATTTGATTTGTATTTCTTAATCTTTGTGTGACTATTTCCTACAACCTTTTCAAATAACTGACTTCTTTCATAGCTCATTTTTGCTAGGTCATAAAAGCACCATACTGGTAAATGAAGCTGATATGCATTAATTGACATGATAGTCATTTTAAACTTTCCTCCATTTCTTCCATCCATACATAAAGAAAAAGTTCGTGAGAAAAAAAAGAAAAATAAGATGGTAAAAAAAAAACATTGGTTTCCATTGAATACAATCAAAATGTCAAAAAGAAAGCAAGTCTAGAAGCGAAAATTTGTGTTTGAGCTTAACGCTCGATGTACCTTACTCGATTCTCACCAGAATCAACGATGAACATTGCCAGCATCTCTGTGATGCTTTCTGCCCCATGTTCCCCAACCGTAATAATTTGGTGGAGGAGGTGCGTAGTATGGTGGTGGTGGTGGAGTATAAGTTGGCGGTGGAGAGTAGGAAGAGGTTGGAGTGGAAGTACTTGTGGAAGGTGCAGCACTTGAAGAGTCTGACGAACTCGTTGAAGAACCTGAGTCAGAAGTTGATGCTGTTGAGAGGATGGAGGAAGAATTTGTGCCGGCATATGTTCCAGTTGAGACTGATGTCGCAAACGTGGATGGAGTTGATGTTACTGATGTGATTGATGTACCAAAGCCACCTTCGAAATAATATTAGCAAGGTTTCAATGATCCTAATTTTGGATTTTAACTTACCTGAGGGCGAAGATGTAGTTGGTGAAACTCCACTACTTGTGTTGAACGAGCCAGTTGCCGAATATGATGAAAAAGAGGTTACTCCAGTAATTTGGCTGGAAGTAGATCCATCGGGATCGTAAGTGCTAGCAGATGAGGTTGGAGTCACTGAAGTACTGTTACCAATGGTTGTTGGGTTACCCGAAACCGACGATGGATTTGAACTTGAGATTGGTGAAGTTCCTGATGGTCCAGTTGGGCCACTGCTCAAGGTTCCATTCGAAGCAGTTGGATATGGAACTGACGATGGCGAACCAGAATCAGTACTTGAACTCCCCGTTCCTAGAGGCAATGTGCCAATGCTCGAGATTGGCGAGGTTCCTGTTGGTCCAGTTGATCCACTAGTCAGAGTGCTATTTCCAGAAGTTGGGTATGGAGCCGACGAAGATGGGCCAGAAACACTGCTCGAGACTGGTGAGGTCCCAGTTGGTCCACCAATTGAAGTTCCATTTGAAGGAACAGGGTATGGAACTGATGTTGATGAGCCAGAATCAGTGTTCGAGCTTCCTGTTCCTAGAGGTACCGTTCCAGTGCTTGATGGAAAACTCCCGGAATTGAGAGGTGTCGATGTAGCTGCACCTCCTGTACCTGTTCCAAGCGATGGGAGAGTATAATTTCCGTAGGGATAAGGTTGCGAAGATGCCGCCGAAGAACTAATGCCACCTGAGACGCTCGATGATGGCGAGCTGCCAGTGTTAAGTGTTGCAGAAATAAGACCTCCAGATACCGATGTGCCAGGGTCTGTAGGGCCTGCTGTTGCAGTAGCATTATAAATTGGGTAGGGCGCATAAGAGCCAACAGATGAATTAATTCCGCCTGATACACTAGAAGATTGGGAGCTACCAGCGCTTGGAACAGCAGAACTTGATTGAATCCCACCCGACACAGAACTTTGACTTCCTGTCCCTGAAGCTGTTGGACCATTTGTATATGGAGTGCTATTTCCATAAGGATAGTATGGGATAGATCCTGAAGAAGAGCTTATAATACCGGAGACAGAAGATCCAGACGTACCAGTTCCTAGGAAGGAGGATGTTGGTGCGGATCCTGTACCAGTTGGACCAGTGGTCGTTGAAGCATTGTTACCTGTTGGATAAGGGGCGCTTATAGATGAGCTAGAACCAATGCCACCAGACACACTTGATCCTGTTGGGCCAACTACACCACTTGAAACGGGTGTCGAGTTAATCGGGTATGTGGAAGTATATGACGGAGCTCCCGTCGACAAAATTATACTTCCCGATGAACCAGAAGACAAAGGTGCAGTACCAAGGTAGGTTGAACTGGCTAAAGTGGTCGAATTTGTATACAAAGGTGCAGAAGCACTAGAACTTGAAACGCCACCAGAGATACTTCCACTAGGTGAAATGCTTGTGCCAGTTTGATATGGGTACGTAAATGGCGCTGTCCCTGAAGAAGAGACCGAAGTCGTGGGAGCTGCTCCTGACGTCGAGTTTGTATAGGGGGCACTGGAGCTTCCTGGTGATGATGACGAGATGCCACCAGATATGGTAGATGAAAATCCAGAAGTGACAGGACCGGTCGCCGAGGCCGAAGTATTTGTGTATTGACCTGCAGATGATGAACTAGCAGAAATATAGGATGAAGGAGATGTACCAGTTGGGCCAACGGGAATGGATGAATTTCCAAGTGTATAAGGTGGACTGGTAGAACTGGCAGATGCGGTACTCGATGCTCCTGAAGAATAACTAGGATTGCTTGAGCTCTCACTTGAGGTTGTTTCGCCACTTGTGATGGTGGTCCCGCTATAAGGGGCGGTTGTGGTCTCACTCCCTGATTGGTAAGGGGTTGTCTCACCTCCTTGTGGGGTTGTTGTCGTTTCTCCCCCTGATGGAGTAGACGTTGTCTCACTAGCTGCTGGAGTGGTTACAGTCTCACCTCCTTGTGAAGTTGTTGTCGTATCACTTCCTTGTGGTGGAGTTGTTGTTGTCTCGCCTCCAGAAGAAGGAGCTGTCGTCTCACCCCCTTGTGGAGTTGTTGTTGTCTCTTCTCCTGATGGCGTTGTTGTCTGGCTTACAGATGGTACTGTAATGGTAGGAGTGATCGTGTAGGTCTGAGTATCGGTTACCGTAGAGCCCAAGCTTTGAGAACTAGTGACAGGGGAGCTTTGGCCAGCAGAAGATTCGGAGCCTGTAGGCGAGGAATATGAGGAACTGGGGGCCACTGAAGAAGTTGGGGCTCCACCTGTTGGGGAGGTGCTTCCTGTTCCAGTTGGTGTTGAGGGCGTGCTGCTACCAACATTTCCTGGAGTAGTGGTGGCACCAGTGTTTAAACAAGAACATGCAGATGAGATCCTTGAAGGTGAATCATGACATTGTGAAACATATGTAGGGAGATCTGTAGTGGCAGTATTCTCGGTCAAAGTATATGTGGCACAAAATGGACCAACAATGGAAGAAGATCGAATGAATTCCCGAAGACAATTGTTGTGATTGCAGTGAGCGGAAGTGGTGGTACTTGGGCTGGCAGAAGAGTATTCCGGTGAAGTGGTAACAGATGGCTTATAAGTGCTTGCAGATTTTGTTGGTGAACTGCCATTATACTCCGAGGAAGTTGTGTCTGTTGCTGTTGTTGAAATACCATCCGATTCCGAAGATGTAGTCTCTGCTCCCGTAGCAGAAGTTCCTGGATCATAGCTCGAGGCAGAAGCTGAGGGAGAAGCTTCTGTAGCAGAAACCGAAACCGTGATTGTAGAGTATGCAACAGTGGAAGAAGTAGCAGCCGAAGGTTCGCCAGATGCTGGACCAGTGGAGAAACTAACGGGAGAAGTGCCGGTGTAAAGTATACCACTAACAGAAGAGGCAGAAGCAGATCCTAGTTCAATTAGTAGGTGAATTGAAGAACGAGGTAAAGAGATTAAAGGCTGACCAATTTGAGTACTTGACGATGAAGTCTCTTCAGGGTCAGCGCTTGTGACAGGTTTTGTTGTGTAAGTAGGCTGAGGTCCATATCCATATGGTGTATAGCGATCTTGAATACCCTCCGCTCTCTCATAGATTGTATAATCCCGAGGAGCAAATGCATCTGCATTGGCATTACGAAGTTGTGGTTGAAGCCATTGTGGCAAAGCTCGAGCTGCAGGAACCAAGGCGAGAAGGAACACGCTGGACGCGAGTCTAGCGGAGATATTGACCTTCATCTTGATCTAAATGAAGTGATCGAGTCAGTGACTATCTAAGGGAAATCAATTGATTCTATAGGAATAGGGAGCCTTCTATATGTAGAAAGAGGGTTCAAATCATAATGCATACCTGAGATAGATCTATCACTTGACTTTTGATGACGAGGACAAACGAGTGTGATATCGCAAGAGCGGATAACAAACGGAGATTATTGATTCGGAGGACAGGTTGATCCTTATTATAGGATGTCTCTCAGAATATTCCCAGTCTCGAGTGACGGGAAGATCAATTCGAAACAGCTGAATCTGGAAGGAGATGAGATGGAGAGAAAAGAGATGAGAGGGGAGAAGATGTGGTGAGATGAGATGAGACGAAAACAAGTTGTGGCATGGGGAGTGAAAGATTGAAATATATGAGAAAGATTGAGGAGAAGGGAGAAAAAGAGGAAAAGCGCACTAGGGCCAAGGGCAAAGGTGAAGGGTGAAAGGTGAAGGGTGAAAGGTGAAAGGTGAAAGGTGAAAGATCAAAATACCTTATCGATCAAGGTGTGATCGTCAAGGTATGATCGTCAAGGTATGATCTTACCCAGTCAAGAAGTGTCAAATTTGATTTTGACTGCCATAATGCAGAGTACAATAATTAAAAAAAACCTAGTGAGTCTCTAGTACATACCCAGTCGATACCCAAACAGTAACTATTTTCGGAGACCCTTGATTCCGATTCGACTCGATCCACTTCCCGTCTCTCGGAAAAGAAGGAGTCAAGGACTCAAGGTACGAGGGCAATCAAGTCGGGGAGGAGGTAGGCAGGTAAGCGAGAAGAAGCAGCAAGCATCCATCATTTTTATGAGCTTCACCAATGAAGACGTCCTATCTTTCCTTTTAAAGGCATCATCCATACTACCATGCCGTTTGAGCTATCTCACAATAATCCTTCCACAGGTTACCCCAAAGATTCCACCAGAGAGGACGTCTGCATGGACACTCATCATTGATTGCCATGTAATATTCCATCATCATGGAAGACCACCAGAAAAATCTCAACTTGACCATTGCAAATTTCAAACCCGGGCTCCTTATTCATCTACCACCTCCTCCTTTACGTTTCATCAATGTTGTGACCGTACCATATGGCAATTCCGAAGTAAGCAGATGCTCGGAATGGAGACTCTTCTAATTCTCATAGATTGCAATATAAAATTGTCTCTCAAATTCAAACGACTGGTGACATACCTTTTAGTTTGTAGTTACACAACGGTTGGCTGCCTGCATTCCCGTCCATTAGGTTGGACAACGCAACGAGCGAGGATGCACCTATCCGTGACTTAGTGAGCTCGTTCCTGCATATGAAAATATGCCTCTCGCTCCAATTCCATATCTTCAATGTGAACACCCAGCTGTGTATACTCAAAGAAGTCGACTTGACATAAATTCTGGGGCCCGATTCCAAAAGAAAACTCGTATTACTAACAGCCGGCCTTGGTGCATATGTATCTCTGGCATCAAAACTCCGCCATAAACAAATGTACAGTTGATTGCGGATGCAATGCAATTTACCAGAAACCCCATAGTCGTGACTCGAATTTTGTGAAAGGTACGGAGATGTTGACACAATAGACGAGAATCTTGAAATTCCCGGAATGATATGTCTAATTCTCCCTTTACTCTAGAGAATGGCCTAACGGAATAATAAACTCACAAAATGCTTCTAGATGTAGATAGCTTTGGTATTCATATGGCTTTATGTGGCACAAGTTGCAGCAGATAACGCAATGGAATCACCCGTTTATTTGGATTTTGAAACGAATAACGCAAGCCATTAATGCCATTTGTTTGTTTTTTTGGCCAAGCCAATCCCTTGTTTCCATGTATTTCCACATCGCTACCAAATATACCAAGTTACCAACGCCATATTCACCGTCAAAGATCGACAGAAAAGCAAAAAAATGATTACCGACAACCGGAAACTGCAAGGGTCGGTGCAAAGATTAACTGTTGTGCTACAGGGGATCTTCCAAGCGAAGTCACAGAGTAACATTGAGATCGGCTCGAAGTTGCACTGTTATAGCCAATTTCGGGAGGCTGCAGAAAAGGCTTTACTCGGCTTTTTGAGTCTCCTCTGGAGCCCGGGGAGAAGAGATCTGAGTCATATTCATATCATTACCTTCGATATCGGCAGCCCACAGCGCTGCACCAACTGAGGGATAGTTAGTATAGTTTGATAGTAGAGCTGAGAGCAAGGGCAGTAACCTGTGTTTGTGAATGAGAATAGAATAGATGCAACAGGTACAAGTTCAAGAATAGTTGCGACAGTTCCGAATCTACATCAAAGTTAACAAAGTTGATTCTGTTTTGACCGATTATAAGAGAAAATTGATCGTCGTCTTGTTTTGTGATACCTGTCAAAAGCGCATTTACAGAAGATGCGTGCAGGAAGTAGGGTAAAAATGATAGGAGCACTGCACTTGCCGGGACACAAACAAATGCATTGCAGATCCAAAGGCTGTGCGTTTGATCTCTAGGGAAATATGAGGGGTACTTTGAAAGAATAGGAGGAGATGGAAGGGATAAGGCAAACTCACGATGTATATGCCCCAGTGTGTTCCTTTAACCATGCTTCTTTTTGAGCACTGGACCATCCCTTCAATTGAAAATACTAAGCATTTCGTCAGCCTGGGACTCCTCGCCTGAAAAGACATTCAAACATACTCTTGAATGAACCCCTTCACCCTTCTGTCGTCCTTGCAGACCTATAAAAATCGCCGTACCAACAACTGGAATAAGATTCAATGGCAGATACATCAGATATCTTACCAAGCCCTCAAAACTATACTTTTGACCATATCCTTTCATAATTTTGCCCAACTTTCTCATTGGATCACCAAATTTCCCTGATTTGATCTCTCGTCCACCTTGCACAACTTGTGTTTGACCTCTTGCCACCATCACTCCGTCAAATGTATCAACGAGAGCATCAGCAATGATGAAATTCTTGGAGAGCATGGTGACAATTGTGTTGGACTCAGAAAGAGTCAGTAGGACGGCGGAGACAGCGGCCAGTGGTCCATCGGTAAAGATTAGAATGGCAAGTTGTGGTAGATAGGTAAACATGAACATCAAAACCACGACGAGGACGGATAGGGAAAGCGTTGGTACGAGTTTTGACAAGAGCGGTTTCCATAATGTGCGATGCGAGATGAAGTAGAAGATTCCCTGTTGGAGTGCTTCGTTAGCTTCAAATGCGATAGAAGAATGAAGAAACCGTCTTGAACTCTAACGTACCTTAATAGGGTAGAGGTAAGCTCCACTGACTGCTGCTGAGCGCGCCAACTCCCTTGCTTTATCGAAATCTTCCTTTCTATTGTTTGAAAACCATTAGTGTTATGCAAAGAGGGGAATATGCTTTGGAATAAACCTACGCAACCTCTTTGGCTTTGGCGCTCGCTCTCTCCATTGAGCTTGACATTTTGGCGGTATCCTCAGGTGTGATCTCGGAGTGATGGGAATTTTGATGTAATTAACACAGGATTGTTAAGTTGTAGTAAGATTATGATATGACTATATGAGAGGAGGTTGTAAAAAAGGATGACAGCATTGTTGACAGTACCTACGTAGGTACTAATTAGATCAAATGCCATGCTTTCTTTTCCATGTTTTCTGGAATTCCCAGTAGTGTGTGTAGGAACACCAGGAGAACGTCTGAAAGAAGGTGTCGTCATTTAATCCTTGGCATTGAAGACCCACTTAAGCGGCGAGAACATTCCCCGCGGTGGCCCAGACCTAATTCGGCAAACTAAATTTTCAAAGTTCCATGATGTTTCGAGAATGCCCAACGCTGACCCCATCCTCTACCGAGTACTTCAGCCTATGACAAGCTCCATGACTTCCCCATTTGGAGCCCCGGAGTCATCCGCACTACCAGACAATCTCGATATCCTCAAACCCCATTTTCGTTCTCTAGGAGTTGATATTCATTCAGCCCTCCACATATTCCTGTCACCGCTTGCACACGACACTGATAGTGATGTCGCTTCATAAACTTCTACATGTGTGCAAGATGTGAGATATATGATTTGGAGTGTATAGAGACATAGGTTCGTCCCACTTTGTGGCCAGAAGTCTTGTCAGCTATTATGTACGATCTCTCGGGAGGTTGTCTCCAAGTATGCCTCGGGCTGATGTCTAAATCTTGTTGGGATACAACACGATAACTTTGAATTTAGTATGATCCGATAATGATGGCCTGGTGTCATTCCACCAGGATGACTGTTACAAGGCTCAAGATCTTTGTGTCACACTAATATCACATATGGCTGGTGATAGGTCATCGGCAACTTCAATCTCTCACTTCAAGACACATCGAGGCGATATCAAGAGTCCAAATTGCATTAATGTAACTTTCATTAAGTCGTTTTTGCTATAAAAATAGCGAGGCTGGAACCTCTAATGATAAGCATTAAGAGATCGAGCCTCCAAAAGGGATCTAAACAATCTAGGAACCATGCTAAGGTATCATATGTTTCCCTTTATTGCAACGCCTGCAACTCCAATGCTCATAACCCATGTGTTTCCCCCGCTATTATACCCGAAAACTCCAACCATGAAAGGCGCATTGTGCTGGAACCGAGAAGTGTCGTCAAAATGAAATATGTCAAGCAAAACAGCAAGTGCTGTTGATTTTAAACTCCGACGACAATATTCTCAATCTTCTCCTCGCCAACCTGAACCTTCTCTAGTGCTGCGGTCAACTCCTCTTGTTGTTGCTTTTGTTCCATTTCGTACAGGTACTGCGCATACTTTGATCGTTTGTTGTGAATTCCACATTCGGTCTTCTCAGTACCCTTCCATCTTCCAGCACGCTCATCCTCCCCCTCCTTTACTGGCTCGGTTGAATGCCAATCTCCAACACTCTTGTATCCACGATCCAACAAGTCGTTGTATGGAACATCGTTCTCCTTGATATAGTTTTGTACCTCCTTGAAACTCCATCCTGCTAATGGGTTGATCTTAATCAAGCCAGCCTCATCCACTTCGACGATGTCCAAGCTCTCTCTTTTAGCACCCTGACTTCTCCTTCGGCCAGTCAATACTGCAGCAACATCCAACTCATTGTAGGCCCGTTGTGCGGGTTCGACTTTGGCCACCCAGTCGTACAAATCAGCATTGGTCTTCCATAATTCCTTTCCATGCTTTCCCTCGAATTCTTCGACGGTTGGGCATCCTTCTGGCTTATAAACATGCAAGTTGACATTTGGATATCTCTTTTTGGTCTTCTCAACAAGTTCGAGGGTTTCGTTGAAGTGATACAAGGTGTCAAGGAAGATAGCGTCGATGCTCGGTAGTTCCGGTGTTTCCTTCTGTATTTTGCTCAACATATCAAGGGTGACAAGACCCGTTACTCCAAAAGCAGTAGTTTGATAGAGGTTTGGGAAAGTCATTTTAGCCCATCGGAGAATTTCCATAGGTTGAAGATTGTTGAGTGTTGAGTTGATGAATTTGAGGTGCGGCTTTGTGAGGACGATCTGAGGAAGGGAACTTTGAGATGATGCTCCAGAAGCATATCCAGACTCGAGATTCGAGGCAGATGATTCGCGGTGGACTCCCATTTTGACTGTGTTTTGTGATTGAACGAGAAAAAAAAACCTTTTTATTGTTGAAAACAAGTCGAGAGCCAGTAAACGAACTCTTCTATTAGAGTATTTGTGTTTTACTTCGGAAGATGAGGGTTAAAGTATAAAATTGACGAAGATGAAGATTCAGAGAGGAAAGTGATGTCAAAAAGGCAACGATAAATGGCACAATTCTCTGCTGGATGATGTGATCGAATTCTATTTCACAAGCTGCAAGAAAATATGATAAAGAGATGTGATTTGGGATGATAATATGTTGCGTATATTATAAAGAGGAGACGTAAGATCACACAATGCAAAAGAAGTTGAAGTGGGAGTGGAAGTAAAGAGAGGTTCGAGTACCTAGTATATACTCTCCTGGTATATCTCTTTCCTCAGCAATTACAACAGAAAAGTGGACCGTCAGACAAAAGCACGACATTCATTATTACAAAGACGGACTCCTCCATCATCGCATTACCGTGCCATAACTCCGTGGGCAGAAGTGAGTGCTGTCGTGGAGAATTTGAGAGGGACTTGTTTGCCTTATTTGCCTTATTTGCCTTGTATTGAGAATTTGATATGGCGTGATAGACGCTAGTAGGGATTTGACTCGAATCATCTTTTTCTGTTTGTTTTGTTTTACTGAGCGCTGAGCCACTTTACCGAATGAGGTAGAGATTCAAGAGATTACAATGCAAGAGAATGCTCTTTGTTTCTCTTTGGTTCCTGAACCTGGGGTCCTTTTTTGTGCGTGTCTATTTCAAGATCTTGTGATTTTTAACTTTTGGCGGATTATTTCAATGTGGCAAATTTTTACGATTAATATCCCATTTTAATATCTAGAAGATTTTAGGTTTTGGTTTAACTTGTTTCCACATCATAGTTCCTTACTTAATTCAAACCTCGGATGTTAAATTGTCTGAGATCAATTTTCTCGCATCTATCCAGGGTCCTTCGCTCACTTATTATTCTCAACTAGCCATATCAACAAGTCGATCCTCAAATCATCGGCTCGGTAATCGAGCTAGCTTCATTAACCCCTGTCGATTATTTCACTTGTGTCATCGTTAACAAAAAGCACGACATTTCACGTGATATGACAACTTCATGGCTTACAAATAAACAATCTTTTGCGAGTCTTATCTTGCTTCGGAGTTTGATGCTGAACTCCCGGGTCTACTTATTAGATACTACGCCGTCCGTTGATGCGAGAAATCGTTTGGATGGGCTGCGGGATATTTGCGATATCCGGGTCAGATTTACGGGTCCCTCAGAGCCTTTTCCTAGTGGATGATTCTTAAGCAAGAAGTGTCGAATGTCGCCAACATAGGCCCGTGGCTTTTTATATCTACTGCTCAGAATCAAGTGTCTGTTTTGCATGGAATAAGAATGGATTAAGTAATCATGAGAAATGCTGTGAACATATCCAAGAATATCACTCGATTGATGGTGTTGACGACATCATGTACTTATTCAATAATCAACACTCCGCTTAAAGCTAGGCCACTGTACCTTCTAATGATATCTTCCTACAGGTTCAGTAGTAAATAAACACCTCACTAGAAAAACGATACATTTACCAAACAAAGTACATTCTCCCAAATGCACTCGCTCCTTCTTCAACCCGATACCAAGGGCGAGAGCCCAAGCTTAGTTTCCGTCCCCAGAAACCCATGATCTTACCACTAGCGTTTGCATATTGTCCTTCGTCCCTGAAGTAACCTATAAGGTCAATACTAAGCATTAATTAAATAGCTTCCTCTCTCTTAAATCCGGTCAGTACGACGCACTCATAACCTTCGCAGATTAATCAATTCTGATATCACAACTCCCGGGACTGTAATCGCCAGTCAGCACAAAGTGATGTTCATGGCCATCTCCTGGTACGGAGTTCAGAATGATTATACAATTGATCGATACTTTTACACGAGAGCAATTTGGCTATGCTACCTCTACTTTCACGATACGCCTTATAGATACGACTAAATTCAATATGTAGTATATTCAACCTATAGTGAGGTTTTAGCAGCAACTAACTTCCTATCCGTTCTAGCTTTCAGGCAATTTCTGGTAATATATACCTCTACGCTAGATGCGATGCTAATATGGGGGGGCATACAAGTTCCTAACCTATCATAGAAAATTTCATCACTAAAGAAGTGCTTTCTTGGGAGGAAAGTTGCCAGATATCGTAGATTTGAAGTTATTGTTACACCAATGTTTTGACTCTTCTACTGGTGGAATTGTGGTTCGAACCCTGCGCACTCATTAGGAGCTACGTTGAAGCGTGGTACTGCTGGGTTGAGCGATCAAGACCCAGTTGTATTGGGTACAATCATCCCCAGCCGAAGTATACTCTAAGGTGCCCACACCAATGTGGACCATAAAGAGAAGGACTGGATATCACGATGATGCATCAGCTGCAGGTAAAGATATCCTTACGGTATTTTATCACGGCGCATCTTTGGTGCTACCTGGAAGGAAAACTGGTGGCCATAACTCTAGCGCAGGCAGATAGCACAGCTGCCCGAGTCATAACGACTTACGGGAGGGGATTGCAGGAGAGGAGAGGAGAGTCATTGATCTAATCTGCCGAAGCAAAACCACTTATCGTCTAGTAAAAAGAATAATGAGTATTTGATATATCTATCATATCTTCCCAGTGGATGCGGGGAAAGGAGAACTTGGAAGCAGGAAACGTGTTTCCATTTATCGATGCTGACTGAAGCCACAACAGCTGACAAAACAATGTCGTGAAAATAATGGCTATCAAAGTGACAAGGCTTGATTCACTACTCCTCATAGTTATTAAATATGAAAGTGCCGGTCGGCACTTTAAGTGGACTGGTGGTCGATACCAGTATTGCTATGATGATGATTTCGCCAGTGCGCTAAGCTAACTTCTTCCCCTTGCCCTTATCAGCCGAATTCCAAGAGCTTTAACTCATAAAAGAATGATAGTGGAATTTCATAGCACTAAAGGATATGTCATCATCGAGTTGAAACTAGAGTTTGTTGACGGCTCGCATATCTGGAGAGATTCAATTTGTTGTCCATGTGCGGCGACTGTATTCGAATCATGCCTTTCTCTAGCTAATCAACCTGCCCCTACCATCCCTAAAACCTTACCATTGCGGTCTGTTAACGGTGATTTGGCAGCTTGAAATTATCTTCCATTGACATTGAACTAGAGATAACAAGATTGAACTAAATTACATTTCCCAAAAGAATATTCATATTTTGATGAACTTCCTCAACACATTAGCTACAATAATCTCAGTGATAAGTGTCACAAATCAAGCCGCATCAAATATGACGATGCGCTGACATAAAATCCGCCGGCAATGTTCCGGTCGTGGCGATATCTTACATCCGCTAGTCGCATGCACAGCCCAGTAGTCCAAAGCTGCCGCGTTCCATCTCTCCTACTTTGAATATTCACGAAAAAGATCAGCCTCTTCCGATTCTGAATTACCTAGGGTAAACTAAGTCCCGAGTGGGAGGATCAACACGAGATAAAACGCTCGCACAAGCTGAACTAGTGTCGGGAAGATATAACTCGAGCCTTTATAGTCCAGGCTTCGTACTTGAGACAAGCCTGTGTGGCCGCCGCTGGGGGTTGATAAAATCTATCGGTGTAAGGACATGGATCCACTTGAACAGTTTAGGAGGCGACATATGGTGATTGCCCTATTGAATTTTCCCTGTACCTCCTCCTATAGACCCTTTAGCGCAGCAAGTAAGTTGGTTCAATCTTAATGAACTGTATATCAGAGTGTTTTCATAAATACAAACAACCATTAGGTCATAAACCTCTATTTCCTATCCTCGTCATGAATGCAAATGCGCCACACAACCCTACAAGCTTCAGAAAGTCATATTATTATCATTTTTTTTCAATTTTGGCATAACTCCTCAAACGATCAAAATAAGAATGGTGAAATAGTCTTATAACATGTTGCTTTTCAAAACATATTTCTGGTTGCAAAGGCCAAGGTAATCGCGCGCATACTCTAGACACATTAATATCCAACCCCATGAGCTCTATGAGATAAAATGGAGCTGAATATATATGTATAAAAGACTTCAGTTGACACTAGCTACATGTCAGGATAATCGATAGGACCTATCGATTGCATTGGAAAGACAAACACAGGGAACCTAAGACTTTACCTACAAGAGGAGTCCGAAAAGCCTTAAAAGCCACTGCAGGAATATAAACCATATCTATAGTCGTGAACGAAATCAATGTGTGGTACCCTGACGTTGCAAACAAATATGCAAGATGCCCTAATTCATCTGATCCAACGCAATAAAACTGTTTGATGATCCAGCATAGAGGGATAGTAAGGACGAGAGTGCTCTAATTCCGGAACGAGGTATCAAAGAGTATTTCTTCCTCTCCACGTTTCTCTTCCAAATAATTTGTCGACTGTAGGACTTCTCAGCATCCCCCCCAATATCTAAATATATTTTCTCCCAAAGTATTCAGTGAGCTCCCAACTCATCGAGTTTCATTAATCGTCCCCACTTATCAGACTACTCTCCAAACGACTCGCTTCTGCCGAAGAGATTGTCGCGCAGGGTTGGAATCGGAAGGAGACGATGTCTATTCATGGATGGTGCACAACAGTTTGTTGCAGCGCAGTTGGTCAAAGGTTCATTAAAGGTCGGCGATCATAGTAGTTGGGATTCATCTGACTGAAGGAAGATATCATATCGCAAGTCAATCAAGCAAATATAAAACTGTCGGCAAAGGTATTTCCGATTAAAGCACGCAAGTATCTGGCTTCTCGGCATCTGAGCGAGCGTCACAAATCGTCTTATCTGCAGGCCGTCCCGACGTATCTCGTATCTCTTGATGTTTTCCTCGTCGGCAAAGTATCCTAAGTTGCCAAATAGAGGTATGTTCCCTATCGATGGGGAAGACGCGAATTATAATTTATACCATTGGCACCTCACCAAATCATCTTTGCTATCAATTGATAGTTAATGGCAATATTATGGTATATCCTTGGCAAATCAATCTTTAGGTAACTAATCAATTAGGCGTGGACACTCCAATGGTCCGTCAAATATAGCATCAGAATAATTTCAGTATCATATTCAGTCCAGGAATAGTTTACCGCAGGGGTGTTTATTCGAGGTGCTAAAAGTGGCGATGATATAAGTGGCGCTTGAAGGCTCTAGTAGTCTTGGTCTTCGGCAGTTCAAATGGGAAAGGCAAAACACTTTTTGAAATTTGGTTGTAGTAACCACTTCATTTCTTTCATATTGCGGAGTGCCACATGGTACGTACCAATGATTTCCTCAACGATAATTAAGCGATATGCAGCTTGCTTATCCTGCAACGCCAGGGAACATGCATTTGTGTCAACCCGTTGCCAAGGCTGAGCACTTAGAAACTTTAAGCTATTTAAGGTTAAGCGATATGCAGCTTGCTTATCCTGCAAGGGGCCAGGAAGCGAAAGCTTTTCCTCTTCCTATGGAGCAATACAACGAGCATCCCTACCAGATTCACGATTACAGACCGCTATCTACTACGATGCATCGGCATTTCGTCCTCGGTAGGTCAGTTGTAACTTGGTTTCCAGAATACCCGACTCTAACAGTGATAACTAGGCCGATTGGTGTTCTGTATTGAAAGGAATACTAATTGTTTTGTAAAGTTCAAGGTGGAGAATTTACATCCGTTTGGCCTGCTATGAAGTAGGGAAATTTCCTTGGGTCACATATGGAGCCTTCGATATGTCACTATCTTGCACTTTTAGTATCGCCGAGTTAGACCGACAATGACGACGCTCAGTCAATGAGGATATCACACTGGAGAACAATAGAACTGTGTCTGTACAGAGATGTCCTCTTGCGAGTATAAAGAGATTAGGAGATCCCGCCCTTCTAAGTCATCATCCATCATTCACTTTTCCCTATTCGCAGTCGTTGTCCTTCAGCCATGTCTATTAATGCCACAATGCGTGCTGTCATCTGGGCAGGTGTGCCTTTCCAGATGAATGTTACGAACTTACCTATGCTAACAGTTCAAAGCCTAACTGACGCACTCGTCTGAATCACTACCGCAGCCATCTGCGGCACTGACCTTCACGTGTACCATGGAGTGTATGGCAGCAGCAATGTTCCTTATACAATCGGTCACGAAGCTATTGGAGTGATTTCCGAAATAGGCAGTGCGGTAACCGGATTTTCAGTGGGTGACAGAGTAATTATACCAGATGGTGTTCAGGATGGTCACATTGGCGGTCAATCCCATCTAGCATATGGTCTGGGTTCGGATTATGGCATGATAGACGGTCTTCAAGGTAAGCATACATGATCCAGCCTCTAAGATGTTTGTTTACTGACGTAGAATCACAGCTGAGTACGCTCGAGTTCCTTGGGCAGATGGCAACCTCATGGAAATTCCACCAAGCAATGGTACGAATCTAGACAACGATTATCTCCTGGTAGGGGATATCTGGGGAACAGCTTGGGGGGCTATTGACTATTCTGGATTTCAACCCGGGGACACTGTGGCAGTCTTCGGTGCTGGACCTGTTGGACTTCTTGCCGCTTACACAGCGATCCTCCGCGGCGCCTCGCGAGTGTACTCTGTGGATCACGTTCCCGAACGACTTAAGATTGCTGAATCCATCGGGGCGATTCCTATTAACTTCAACAACTCCGATCCCGTGGAACAAATTCTCCGTTGCGAGCCGCAGGGCGTGAGAAGGAGTCTTGACTGTATCGGTTTTGAGGCAATCGACCAACAGGGCAATCCACGTGAAAACGAAGTCATCATGAATATGGTCGCTGTAACCGGCCAACAGGGAGGCATCGGGCAGATTGGCATATTCGGCGCGTCAAACATTTCAACTGGAACTCCCCTTGCAGGCACTTTATCACACACTATTGACTTTCCCATGTCCGACTTCTTCAGCAAGGGATTGAGTATGAGAAGTGGACCTGTTGACATTGAAGCGATTGCTCCTAATCTCATTGAGTTAATTTCGAGTGGTCGCGCGCGACCAAGCTTCATTGTTAGCTCAGAGATCAACATTGAACAGGCTCCAGAATACTTCCGTCGCTTCGACGAGCATTTGGAGACCAAGGTTATGATTCGCTTTCCTGAAGCTTGATACAAATCACCCGAAGAATCCCCAATCACTGTTTCCATCAGTTATCCACGAGGGGATGAGGAGCGTAGGGATCAGTTGTAGATCTAATGTGGGACTACTTCCTTTTCTGGAATTGGTTTAGTGTAAGATTGGGTTACGTTCATTAATACGGAGGTCTATGTACATAGATAGGATCTTCTTTATGCGTAGAGCTTCGTGCTTAAAATAATAATTGTACTTAGTTAGATAGGTATGAGAATTGCAACATTGCAATCATTGATCGAATCCCTGCTTGAAGTCTAATTAATCGTGAAGCAAACCACTCCTCAAGCCCCTAGAAACTGAAGTGGAAAGGCTATCATACTCCATAATAGATAATAGAGAACGTTATATGTTGGTACAATCTATAATGCCACGGCCGGACTCTGTAAGCGAAGGGGCACTAAAATGCCACTAGCTGGTGCTAAGCCTCTTTAACGAACCATGCAATTGTGGGAGGGGGATGAGCGGGGATGGCAAACACCAAAATTTAGGCCGAGACTAATTTCTTCGCTAATGTAGATCTACACTAGTGCATAAGCAAGCTGCAGATTCTCTATATTTACAAGGTAGTCAAGTGGTTGTGGACGTCATCGCGAAAAGAAATAGCGAAGTACATATAATTTTACACTGACCTCTATCGTTCCTGCTGAAGTTTCTTGTCCAGCTATTAACTTTCTTTTCTATCTTTGAAGGCTCCACGACATATCAATATTAACAAAATCGAGTTTTTCCCTACCATATCAAAAATGGGAGAATATAAATGTTCTGCTCCAGTAGACTGTGAGAAGGAAATTAATATAGACAACCTAAAGGGAAGGACAGCAGTTGTAACTGGAGGTAAGTAACATGCGCTGGAACTGGTCATTATTCTAACAAGCACATAGGGGCAAATGGAATAGGTCAGGCTTATGTCAAAGCACTCGCTGCAGCGGGGTATGTGATCTGAAATCTAATAGTAGATCCAATACTAACACTACCGGAAAGAGTCAACGTATGCATCGGAGACCTTGATGCTGAAGAAGGCTCCAAATTGGCATTAGGACTCGAACAGTAAGATCCTCTAATCACCTGTCATTTGGTGACGATTCTCACATTTTTGAAGTGCGAAATTTGTGAAATGCGACGTTGCGAAATGGGATGACCAGCTTCGACTGTTTGCTGAAGCCGCGTCGTTTACAGGCAAAGTGGACTATGTTGTCGCTAATGCAGGAATTTGTCTTAATGACGAAACTTTCACCTTTGCTGGTAGGTTATTATGATGTTTCCTAGCCTCTCGCTAACTGATGATATTTGAATAGGTAAAGATCAAGAGCCCACGAAGCCAGATTTGACTACCGTTGATGTTAACTTGAAGGGGGCATTATATACTACCAAACTGGCGCTTCATTACTTCGTAAAACAAAATGGAGAAATCCCATCTCCACAACAGGAGGACACATGCCTCGTATTGATAGGTTCCGGAGCAGCCTTCCTGGACTGTCCCAGAGGCCCTGTGTATCCCAGTACAAAATGGGCTGTGCGAGGTATCATGCATTCTATGAGGAGAACAGCCTTTTACTACGGTAGTCGGGTTAATGTGATCTCTCCCTGGTACCAACACCCCTGAGCAATTACAGTTTTTCTTTCTTACTAAATGATTTAGGTATGTCAAAACCAATATTCTGTCAGAAGATGCTTTCGCGCACGTAGCCAAGTCTGGAGTGCAATTCGCCGAACCAGAAGACGCAGGAAGCTGCCTGCTACGTATCCTATCCGATCAGACGATAAATGGTAAATCGCTTTTCCTCTCGGCTAAGAAATGGGCATCTGCAGGATTTCTGGATTTAGATGTTGACGATTACCCTGGGAATGAACTCATTCAAGAAATTCAAGTAGACCAGATGAAGTCGGCTCCTGTGTCAGAAGGCCTTTTTCTACAATAAAGTCGCTAAATAAGCTTCCTCAGTTCCGTTAGTTCATTTGTATAGCTTTGAATCCCCTTCTTCCATAATTTGCAATTACTTTTGGCTGGCCTCGCGTGGAGTTGAGAATCAAAGACCAGGAAGCTTGTTCTTATAGGGAAGGGGCTAGCTGGAACTGTATCTATGGGCGAAGGACATTAGCAGCTATTAGAATTACATCAAATTAAGTCAAATCAAATTGGTCTACGGCAGCAGGGAGAACACCAAGAGTTTTGTGACACGTTCAACCTTACGATATGAACTTGTTCAAGTAAATTGGGTTCAACATAAGGTCTTACCTTACAAAATTGTCAGCTCGGAAGCAAATTCCTCCCGCATTGTATTCCGATCTCTTCATTAATCGAGTAAGTGGTCGCAAATAATCCCACGGGCACGGGTCGGGAATGGCGTGCTCCGGTGACGTAATACTAAAATACAAATGATAGTGTGTATCTTTAAGATCCTTCTACACAATTTTCAATAATTCAATGAAATGCATTCAGTCCTCGAACGGCATTGCATCTGCAATTTGTGTTCTTTATTGGAAGATTATAAATCTTCAAGATAAAACATACATTCATCTCTACCCCAAATTATCCAACTTCGAACTCAACAAAATCCTAAGGTTTGTGTAGCTATAGGCTGCCAAAGGTATAAAAGTACAGACACAATTACACGATATTAAATACGAATAAAGTCCTAACACTGCAACAATACTTCGCATGATGAGCTCGCAACGGTTGACGCTCCAGAGTCTTTTAATGACGGCTAACACTTTCATTGCCTTCTGAAATGTGACTTTTTCTTCGAAGTCTCAGATTAGGCTATTGTCACTACGTTTGCGATTATGGAATGTGGTTCTATATCAAGCTTGAGTGTATCAGGTAGAGGTCGTGGAGTTGTTGAAGATGCTGCGAACGATTTGTATTAGTTCCAGCGTCATATACCCCTTTTTACTTCGCTAAGTATTCTGGCGGTGCTTTTAATGGCCGATGAGGAACCGTGAAGATAAGCGCTCCCTTCCCACTCCCCAACCAAAAAAAGCTCAAGGTCGATTTATTTTCTTCCCGCATTTCTCTTTCAAATATAGTCGAGATTTTTGTTTCCATATCTATTACTCGAATATCAAGGCTTAGGTAAATCTGTGATTTATTCGCCATCGTCATTGTGCAGGGAAATGGAATTGATTAATGGTCATCAATTCTAGGATCTGATCGGGGCGTGTAGTTGTGGTTCTATCCGCAGTGGTTGCTACATGAGCGAAGCTTCGCTCAAATCCACTCGCTTTGGGTGACAGCTTCGGGCTAGACCCGGGCGCATCCGGAAAGGTAAATTTATAGGGAGATGGAGGACACTTTCTCGTGACGGTATGATATGATAGTAAGTCAAGCTTATATAGGGGGAAAGCAAGAAAGAAAACAAGAGAAACCAAAGTCAGGTATTCATCATCCTTTGGTATTTCCCGTAGCTTTGCAACCTTTTGGAATAACCTTCATACCCGGGAAGCGCTCTTGTAACGCTATCGTCAATTTCCTGCTCCAATCATTTTTTCCGGAAATATTGGTCCACTCGATCAAATTTCCCAGACCAGCAATCATGATTATGAGTACCTCTCATTGCTACTTCTGGTGACGGGAAAATACAGCATCGGAGGATTGATATTCGGTCGTCAAGAGATGCGAGGACAAAACTTGAACAGGATCAGATTTCCAGCATATTACAACGAGAGTTGGAGATTGTAGGGTATAGAACAAGATAAACGACAGTCACCATGCAGCAGCAGCGTGGAAACCCGTAAAGCGCACTTCCGCCTATGCAATCCTGTCAATACTTGGAGCTGGATTTCGTCGCAAAATAATGAGACGTCTGAGAAGCCTACGCCGTCAGCGATGATGAAGAAGGAATTGGGAATTTTGACCGTGTCATATGGAGGCTTAAGGTTCAGCACGTTGTTCATTATGCCCGTTCGTTATGATCTTCTATTCTTATACCCACCCAACTGTCCCATCTGCCTTCATCCTTCCTCAAATTGCACATCTTTATCTTATCATATTGTTTCCACCTCCTTCTTTGCGAATTCGAGCTGCTTTCGCAAGTGGTATCAAATAGACGTTGTGTTGGCGATTGCCACTTCGGCATGAATTTTCTTACCACACCCACGCTTGCATCCCACATCTATAATTTTTTGATAGTTGCAGATGTGATATCTTCTTTCGCCATATCGCTGTTGCGCCTCTTTAATTTGTACACATTGGCAATTAGACGGCATATCTACCTTACATACGACCCAACTGGGGCAATTTCATTCTCTTCCTCATACCTGGACATCACTCTCCCATCAGTTCCGTCTGCGTTAATTTTTGATATGCCGGACATACCAGATCCTAACTTTTTGCTTTCAAAAATTCTGCGTCTCTCATCTCTCACCCTCGTATGATATGTCGTAAATCGTCATTTGGCATACTGCTTTTTTATTCTTGCATTACGATATCCGCGGCCGATACTTCGTGAGATAGTCGTATTGTTGCTTTGAGATTTGTACATCGTTCAGTTATCTTCCCATCCGGCCGTATCCAGAGAATTTGTCAAGAATTCCTCCACAGATGGACACCGCTAAAATTCTATCTTAACCTAAGCGCTCGTTGAATAGGAGTATCGTTCAATGGTGGATTGGATGGGGAATAATTGATTTGATGGCCATTTCGACTATCACGCAGAACTGTCAACGTAGGTGCCTAAACTTGAGATAGACAGCAACTGTTTGTTTTCATACCGGTGAGCTGTTGAGTGAAATACTCATATAATGCGAACATCGTTAGATAGAGTGTGACTTAAGCGCTCATAACATACCAGGATATGAGGTAGTGCTAATCATTGTGATTCCGCTATCCTATATGTTGTTTCTTCTGCTCACTGCACGTGTGCTGATATTTCGTGTTTATCCGTGTCCTTCTCTGTAGTTCCACCCCCCCTTCTAACTCTGTAGGTGCTCTTTCTGTGCCTGATATGATTCCCTTTGTATTGCTTTGACTACTCGTGCATCTCAGGCGTTTTGACAATACATTAGAGGGACAATGCGAACGATAATGAGCAGTGAAATAGAGTTATTGTATACAACCAGGTATCTATCCATGAGAATAATAGCTTAGATTTCCACAGATTTCTCTACTGCTCGCTGCCCAACTTGAACTCAAGTTGTCCCCCCCTTTTGTCACGTTCGAGTTGGACTATTTTCTTTCTTCGCCGTCTAATGTATATTTATGGCATATAATCTCAATCTCCCCATCGTCCTTGGACCTTTGTCCATTCCAAACTCCCTGGCTTGTATATATTCCCGATAATCGAATTAGAGGGTGCAACTGTATGCTCGCATTATGCACTCGACTGAAGTAGAGTGTGCGAAGTGTGTTCCTAACAATAAAATATCAATCTGCATCGAGCTTTCGCCTTTTTTATGAAGGGGTAAATATATTCCCTGGTCGATAAGAGATGTGTGTATCTACATATTCGTGTTTCGCATAAGCTAGCCAGGGAAATAGCAAAAATGGAGGGAGATCAAGCATGTAACCGGGGGAATACCTATTCTCGAGAAGAAAAGGCACGCCACGTTCACTAGAGAAAAACTGGAAGCACTGCCTAGAATCATACTGAAGCAGGGTATCAACAACAACAACATCACTAATGGCTAAAGAGAGCGGTCCCTTCCAACTGCTCGTCGGGGATTGGCCAAGGTCCATGTTTTTGAAATCATGTGCCATATATAAGTAAACGTATCATGTCACTAACATTCTTGACCCTGGGAAGTACGGCCAAAATTGCCGTATTGAACAACTTTGCCCTTCTTTTTCTTCATCTCAATGTTCCAAGGGTCACACTAGCACTAATAAAATAACGCTAGTGATATTGACTTCAAGTTCTCGTTAACATAAAAGCTCCTGAATGCGCGCTCTCTTGAACAAAACATTATTACACAATACTGTTTGGATATTTGGAAGACCCCTTATAAAACAAGATTTCTCAAGCAGCAACCTTTTTGCTTGCCTACTATTCTTGTCAATTAACTTTTCAGACAACCGACTACCTTGCACAAGCAATTTCCATACGAATATCTTTACTTCCCACTCGTCTACTTTTCAGAATCATAGGCGACATATTCACAATAAATTGTGTACTCTTCCTTCAGTATCAAGAACAAATTTTGGTGAATAACAACCACTGTTACCGACGAGAATACCGACGCTCTTTTGTGAGAAAACAAATCAAAAAATTCGCCAGCAGAATACCAAAGGTTGACAATATTCTGGTACTATATCCATATCCTCTTGAGAGATATCAGGTCCGCTCGATGAATGAAGAGCTAACATTCTGATGCAGCGAAATACCAGGCAGTAATTCCCAATCAATTTACAAAAGAAACAAACTCATTTTGTACATACAGTCGGTAAGATACACCCCGCTCTTGATTCCCTCGTCATTCTGCCATGCAATGCATCTTACTCCTATCCCTTTGATACTGTTACACCTCTGATGCCCTAAATACTTCCACCAATTCCACTGAATGTCCGGCAATTTTCCTGCCTTATCTCACAACAAGTTTCAATTTCTATCTAACCTGCTTTCCCCGATTTTCACGAGTTGAAAGGATGGCCATGGAGACACTCCCTATACTGAGAGTTAGAACAATTAGTCTTCGAATCCTAACTGACCATTCAAAGAAGTAGAGGCAAAATGCCTAAAGACGCGCAGCATGTCCAGTTTCTCAACGACTACTACAATACGCTCGTCGACCCCAATATCTTGACGAAGCCCACCCAAGAGATCGCAGACGACTGCAACAATGCACATTTTCCCCCCACGACTCAAGGCGTTGATGGTGTTGACTCCCAAATAGTGGGAAGGTATGGTTTAATCCTTTTGACGCTGCTAACATCAGTTACTAAGCTAACATGCACACAGACACATGAGCGAATGTCGAAAGCGCGCCGCAAACCAATCTCGTGCAAAACGAAATACTCCGGAACAGACGCAGATCCTCGAAGCCGCGTATGCACTTGATCATTATCCACCTCCAGGAACGAAGATGATATTAATGTGGCAGACGGGTTTGAGCTACAGGAAGGTCAAGAATTGGTTCGAACATAAAGCTAAGGTGCTCAAGATGGCTGGCAAAGAACGAAAACATCCGGATTCGAGGTCTAGCAGACATGCGACTCGGATGTGGAAAGCATATGATGAGGATCGCGAAGGATATGTCAAAAAGCTGTTGAATGGTTCGATTTGCCCCGTGACCGGCGCCGATCTTACTCGACGAATGGGAAAGAATGCACCCGTAAATGACGCCATGAAAACTGTGAGCGGCCACCTAGGCCTCGGAGTCATGGCACCTGGACCAAATGTTGGATTTGGGTCTAACTATCAAAATGGCCAAGGTAACTTTCGGGCCATGCAGACTCTACCACATAACCTGATGAACCAGCATGGACAAGCTGGATCCCAGAATGTGCCGGCGCCACCGCACTATCAGATGATTTCTCACGGACAAAATGGCTTCCAGAGAATGCAGGCACCTCTACCCGACCAGATGAACCAGCAAGCACAACAAGGACCTCACCCGATGCCTGTGTATACTCAGGGACAAAGCCAGATGTATTCCATGTTACCGGCTCAGTTTATGAACATTGGAAACAATGACTTGACAGCAGGACAGAGCTATGCTGCGAATGGAAACGAACAAGCCGGCCAACAAATCGCTCAGCCAGGAGCTAATTTCCTAAATCCTAATATGCGACACCCACATCCTGCATTACTCAACGGAATAAACACTGCTGTATCATACCGTCATAATGGTGGCATGTCTGGATGGTCCAGCATTCCAAGTGGTCAACCAATGACTCAAAACTATCAGACTTCTCGAGGTCAGTGGCAGGAGCAGTATGCATCTCCCTATCCCCAGGTTCCAGTAAGTCACGCAGAGCAGCCGCCCAATAAGAGCTTGACCCAAACTGCCACTTCATCTGGAAAGAGAAAGCCAGCTCCTGTCGAAATCGAAATCGACAGTGATAAACATTCGAGTAAGCGACCTTGTCGTGCCTCAAAGCCCCAAGCTATTGCTTCACATGGCAAGAGAGAGTTCACTCCAGCTGATGGTGCAATGGACGAAACTGAACGTCCGAAAAAGCAACATAAAAGCATGAGACAGGTGTCCAGGACCAAGGGACAAATGAAGCCTAAACCGTCCCCAGAGTTTCTGGCTCAATTGACAAGTATAGCTGAAGGTGGTTACCAAGGACAAACATTCACGGCAGCACCCAATACAGGAATGTCCTTCAACAATGGTGACATGAACAGATGGTCACCCAATCAATCTCCCACCAGACATAATGGCTATGACAGACATTATGACGGAAAGACAACTGGAGCAACAGAGACGGCAAGTTCTAGCCATTTCTTTCATTTTATACCCTTCCTTCAGCATTTAACGTTAGATAAATCTTCTATCCTCTGCACGACTTGATTCTTTATGTATCTCCTGCATTTCTCATTTTTTTCTCTAAAAACTTCCGTTGAGGAACAATTACTGACTTTTCGATGCTGCAGACTCCTGCTATCTCAAAGCCTACCACTGCCACCCCAGAAATTGATTCTCGTCTTCTTGACCCTCTTCTTTTCAGTGACAATGAGAGAAAATCCGGGGAGGCACATGCAACTGCAAATCAAGATCGCAACAATTTCGTTCCACAACAGCAGTTTACCCATGAGGCACAGAAAGAGGCCAACCCCACTGTGCAAGGAAGAGTTCAAAGCCCTACAGCACACAACGCCAGTAGCAAAGGCAGAACCTGGGAGGCTGAACTAACAGCTCAATACCCCCCAACACCAAAGAATTCTTCTTACGAACAGAACGGAGTTCAGGAGCTTGAGTTGCAGGATCAAGCGCCCTCGCAACTGGAGTATCCTGTGAGCGTACAAGATGTCGAAAACTCCGACAATTTACTTCTCTCAGTGGAAGATAGTTCGTTTCTTGACTCCATTCCTATGGATGGGGAATTCGACTTCAAGTCTTCCCTGCGTACTTAGAGGTGCTGAAGGTGGTGCCCATGGTAATATACGGAACTGGGCTCGCAATGACTACAAATTTGTACCCGGCCAAGGATAATTGGCATAGATGGAGTGATGTGGCTGTATGGCATTCATTTTGTAGCATGTAAAGGGGAGGATGGTGATATAGGAAAGGATTTCTCTGTCTTGGGCTTGTGCTAGATTCGAAGAGACTCGGCGCACATTATCTCAAGTTCAAATACATGTGCTACAACAAGGACGTTGCGGGTCTTGTAGAAACTGCCATGATCCCTTTGCTGTATATTATCTGCAAATTTTACATAATTCACAAATAATTCCAATGTTTTGTTCAGAAATACAACGAGTTACCAAATGTAACTTCCGTAATTCATCATTGACTTTCAACAGTACGTGTATATATCTGCACTGCGTGAACCTAAATCCCAAGATAAAATCTCCAGAACTGTGGTAGCGGGAGACTTCTTTGGAGACTAGCCTAATGACAATGGTAGAAATGGAGGCAATGCCATAGAAAATCACCTAGCGGCCAGTTCTTATAACTGCAATATTATCTGCGAAGGAGAGTTTATGAATGCTGAGACGGCAGTTAGTCCTTCTTTTAGACAACAAACGCATATTAGGCCAGTACGAAAGAAAAGATATCTTTCCTTCGTATTGGCATAATTTGAAATTTTTTCACTCTCTGTCTAACCGCTCTATACCGCTCTACCTTAGCAGGCACAGACTCAGAGCTACAATGAGGAATAGCCTTGCCCAGCCTTATTCCTATATCAAAACGAGGTTTATCGTAAACCAATCCGCGAAGACTAGAGCAGATCAACAACATAGTTCGTCATGCCAAAGCGTTGTTATCTTAGAAAACAGAGGTGTTAGATATTCGGTAAGCGACAGCGACCCATGGTTATGTCTATCTTCCAAGAGCCTCCTCAGTATGTATCTACTTCACACAAACTCTCGTGAATAAATCTACACAGATAATGCCACACCGATACCACTTTTAGATTGACTTTGAACCACAGACTTGTCACAAAAGCTTTTCCGTACCAATACGAGGTAAAAATATGTGCCGAAGTTAATGGAAGAAATTCACCAGGATAGCGTTTTGCGTTGTACACAACCAGACCGTGAAAACGCTACACCAAATATCTACTTCAACATCGCAGACACTTCTCAACAAGGCAACAAACACATTTCAAAATTAAACAACATATAACAAGGTCAGTAACTTTACCACCAGTAACCACGCGAAGGACAATTGGATCTGATTTTGAAAGAAGTGCTAAGCTATATTGATAGCAAAACAAAACTCAGGAAAGGCATCCCAGCACAGATAGTCGATAGCAACTGACTGGGCTTCGCTGAACAATCAAATCTGTATGTAGAATTCCTATTACCTGCGGATCAAATCACCTTTTTGAAGAGCTGTTAAGTATTCAACTATACAGTCAAAATGCCAAAAACCGAGAAACACGTGGAGTGGCTCAACAAGTATTTTGAGAAGCACAATATCGAAGGAGATCTCAGGGAAACGAGCCAAGTTATTGCAGGTCAATGCAACGAAGAACTTTGTACGACGGAGTCCATGAGAGGACCGTCGCCTAGAAATAGGTTGATAATGATCGATGGCATTGACGCACAAACAGTCGGAAGGTAGAGTTTGCCTCGCTTCTTACAGTCGTTTTAAATCGAGGGCGATAGCTAATAGTAAATGCAGACACATGAAGGAACTCAAACAAAAAGCGCTTGGGCAGCCACGAGCCATACGTCGCAGCAAAGACGCTATAAGTAGGATAGAAGCAGTGCGTGCGAAGAGAAACCCGATATGGCCAGGTGACAGAATGCTTTTAGCCAAGTTGAATAACTCAACACCTGATAACGTCAAGAATTATTGTGAAGAAAAAGCCAGGCTAGAAGCCAAGTACGCGAGTGAAGCTGGTGGGCAGGCACTTGAAGACTGGGAGGCGGCGAAAAGAACAAGGAAAAGGTCCCACAAATATGCCGGCAAGATGTGGGCGGAGTACAACAGGCCAGGCAATAAGGATGTGTATTTGCAAAAGTTGGAAAATGGCTTGATCAGCCTCGAGACAGGCGAAACTATCAATGGAGACTCAAGCCAGCAGCGAGGCTCAGCGTTAAACCCGGCTAACGGGTACATTCAAAGCATACCCGACATTGTCCATGCATCCAAAGGTACCGGGCAAGCTGGTGTCGAAGGTACCAGAGGAGGTGCTGCCAGTAATGCTTATACGATGGGGCATGTCATGAGAAACGAGGCTGATTATCACAGCAGATATGACTCCATAGCGGGTTCATCTCAGTATCTCATCCACAAGCGGGGGCTTTTTCGATGCGAGGACGATGTTGAGCATGATTTCAATCAGAGATTGAGCCCCACTAATGGCAGTCTCAAAAGTTTTGACTCGCAGATGGCCTACAACTTCAAAAAATACCCAGCCTTCAATGATGTCGGATCTGGCGTATCAAAGCCAAGACCAGCTCTTTTGGAGTATAAAGGCTTCGATTTGCAGACCATGTCACAGCATGGTAGACCTATGCCGGCATCCATGCAACCATTCAGCCATGAGACTTGCACAAGCACCATGCTCATGGGCTTTCAACCAAGTCCTGTGGGTCCATCGAGCAACATGACTGACAAACTTTTAAGACAAGGAGGATGGCAATACAGACAGGAAGGGAGACCTGCCGCTGCCACCTTCGAGGAACAAGACAAGAGAGCAAGTCATGTGGGCCTTCCAGTTCAGAAAGACAGGTACGAATATCCGGAACCGAGCCAAACGCCGTTTACTGCACCATCGGAGAAGAGGAAACAAGGGCTTCTTGAGGAAGAAACGGTAGACGTCAGACCATTCAAAAGACAACGCCAGCTTGAGCCGCAACTCAGAACAGAGCAACAATGCGTGTCTGAACAACGATTCCAGCTTGAAAGCAAGTACAATGGGCACGACGGAGAAGGCTGTTTCGATGAGGAACTCGAACCAGAACTGGAAGATCGGTTTAACTTCAGCGGTGTCGCCAGTGGAGAACATACATGGCACAAATATGATTGGCACGGAGGTGACGCGCATAGAATCACCGCACTCGATGCGGAGCACCACAGCCACAGTATACCTGATCAAGGAAAAGAAATCGGCACCTTGAATGACAACGCCAACCCAGAAGGCAGGCTAGAAACTGGATCTGTCGCCAGCACAGAGAATCTGACACTGACCAACACAAATCGTTTGCCTAGTGACAAGCCTGAGAATGCTATTGCCCTCCCGGAAGATGACAAGGGAGACGAAGCTGCTAGGGTAATCCAAAGCACCACGGGTAATCGAGCCAGCATCGTCGGGAAACAAGCTACTTGCGAGGCAGATGTGCTTGGATATCTCCACGAAATGTCGAGTACTAAGGGATATACCAATGCCTGGTATTGCCAAGGGTTAGCTCGCAAATCCGAACCAGAAATTAAAAGCCCTTGGCAGTCTGGCCACCCTTTTTATGGAAATTTGCCCAGTATATCCGACTAGCGGCCCCACAAAAGTCAGGGGTCTCTGTTTTCAAGAAATGATGCCAACCCGGACAAACTCTTTGACTCCGATGCATACACAGCGAGCAGTCACCCATTTGTTCACTGATGGATGCAATTACTTTTGGCATGGCCAGCAAGGAATTAAAGCCACTGTACCTAGTACCCCGCTGCTCTTCATCACAGCCAGTGGAAACCCCAACCTTGACCTGGCTTTCTTAACCACCCTATCTCTACGAAAACTACCAAATCAATCTTGCGAGCTTAGTCGCAGCTTTCATATTCAACATTAGATGCAATCCGAAATCAACACCTTTTGAGAGAGATTCTAAGTTTGGCTTGCACAGCTGTCTGCCCGGTCAATCTTTTCTCCACTCGAAACCCATCTCCGTGCTATTTTCAATGTCTAGCCTAGACATAGCAATGGATCTGATGGCGGAGGAAGATCCCGGGGAATTAAAGATGGCCTCGAGATTCCATCCCATGGCCGCACCATGCTTTGCGATTGAGAACCAATCGACATCCAAGTAGCAGTGAGTTTCACGCTGAAGGTGGCGAGAGTCAAACTCCGGAAACCACAGCAGAGGTTCTTTCGACTTTCCTGGCGCGGTTGCAGAGACGTTTCATATTTCCAATGCCTCCACTCTTTGCTGACCCTAACGGATCTGTCATGGGCGCTGTCATAGATCCTGCCCGTATTTCCTAATGTATGCCATAGCTCCGCTATGTGTTTTCCTCTGTGGTGTTCTTGCATATTCTGCTTCCAAGTTTAATTGTCGCTGGTTTTGTGAACCCCTCTCTTATGGTTTCGGTGGACGGTGAGGCGTGCTACGACGCAATGAAGCTTCGCTCGTCCGTTTTCGTGGTGAGCATGGCATTCAAGCACAAGAACCAGTTAGGTAGTAAGGACCGCAGTCTTTCCCTGCAGAGATCCTCGAGGTTGGATCAGGGTGGTGCCACTGAATGAGGTAATTCGTCGCACAAAGCCGTGTTCGTCATTGTTTATGGTGAAGGTGGCCTTTTGAGGTCTGAGACAACTACTTTATAAGGTTATATCTCAAAAAAAGAACAAAGATCGCCATAACAAAGAATGTAGGAATACAAGTAACTTCAAATATATTCTGAAACTTTTATTAAGTTTAATAAGTATTATATTTAGTATTTTGATCTCTATATTATCAAATAGAAAACTGTATCGGTAAGACTTCGGATCCAATTCTATCTTCGGGTAAAATACTAAAGTTAAATCATCTAACAAAAATTTATCTGTATATTATTATTTATAATTATTTTATATTATCAATATTAATAATTGAATCTTATCAATTATAATAGTTCTATATTATATTTATTTATTAAATTATAATTCTTATATATTGTTTACTTTGTATAATTATAATCAAAGAATATATAATAAAATTACTATAATGAAGATTAAGTAGTTGAATTTACTTTGTAGATAATCTAATCATTCTTTAAACTTATAATCAAAAGAGTATAAAGGTGAAAATCTCTTATTTGCTTCGGAGCTAGACTTTAAAGGAGAAGTATCTCTCATACGATACTAATTAAGATCTCGTTGGGCCTAGTCTTCATATTCCCGGCAAGCTTTCTTTCAGAAACTTGAACCTCACAAAGCAGCCAAATAAAAGTCTTAGTACCGAGGCTCTTCGCCATTTGAAGTCTCTTCTAGAACTGTTACTAGATTCTAACATTACGATAATCATATCTCGTTGCAGCAGTCTCGGATCATCTATTATTTTTAACGTTGAGAATTGTGAATCATACTTTTCATGGATACTATGACAATCAGCGTTCAGGGTTGAGTATTTAGTGACCGCCTAAAGAATAAATAACGGTAGCTAATCGTTTATTTTGCAAAGTCTAAACTTCTTCCTTCGTCTCCTTGGCAACACCTAGCTTCTTTAACATTCCAATCTTTCCGATATTTCTGAGCCCAATGATAGTCATAGCTAAGGATGCCGCCATACAGCCCACGCAGAACCATTCCACAGCCCTTAGTCCTGCCAAAAATGCTTGCATCTGAGCCTTCCCTTCCTTTAACTCTTTTGACTGTACAGACTCCTGGATTGCCGATGTGATAGGCAGTGGCATGGCTCGTCCGATGGCGGCCATAGTTTGGAACATGGCTCCTGCTACCGATTGATCCTTTCGAGGGAGTGACTGAGTTGTAAAGAGACCGAGACATGGGTAAACTGTATCAGCACCGAATGCCGCAAGTGCCATTGCTGGTAAACCGAAAGCGAAGTATGATGTACTGGGAGGTATCGGAACGGCAAACAGAAGATTTGCAATCATCGCCGAGCCGAGCCCAAAACTGAGAATGTAATTACCATTGATTCGAGCGAGTAAGTACCCAGATCCGAAAGTTGTGAGAACTAAAGAGTTGTCAGAAATATTTCGCGAAGTAAGATCGGTCAACATACTACCAACCACACCCAGTGGAATGTATCGAAGAGCGGTTTGTAAAGGATCAAGAAGTCGAAAATCTTGGTAGCTATATCCAAATTAGCCATGATATCGCGGAGTCGGATTGAAGACATACTAGTAAGTAGTATAGAGGCAAAAATTGGTAAAGCCAGCCGAGAATAGAGTGATAATGACCATGGCAATGGAGAACTGCTTATGGTGGAACGTCGATACTCTCATCAATGGTTCTTTAGCTGTCTTGGTCTCGCGATAATGTTCCCACAGAAGAAATCCTATTAGTAAACACCCAGATATAACTATGATGGCAATAACCGAGGCCGCCTGCCACCCAGACGATCCTCCTTCTGATAAGCCAACGAGTAATAGAAGTAGACCTGCGGTGAATAGAAAAGCACCAATCCAGTCGACACCCGAGGCACGTACTGTGTCTTCCTCGTTGCCTCTAGCTGGTTCATTTGGGACCACAAATATTGCGCTTACGGCAATAGTAAGAGAAGCACCAGCTATCACGAAGAATACGACTTTCCAACTCGCCCATTGCGAGATGATTCCACCCTAGATGATGAATCAGAATCACAAGTGAATGCTGGAAAAAAAAGGGATACATACCATGAGATTTCCAAGAACTTGACCCATCGGAGCGCCGCCGGAGTAGAATGCGAAGCTGTAGTTTTTTACTCGTCCAGGTGGAATGGTATGCCCTATTATACCAATAGCTGTAGGGATAGTGACAGCAGAGGCAAGTCCGTGCAAAGCCCGCATTATGTATAAACAAACCTCAACAGGAGAAAAAGCCGTCGCAATACAAGTAGCAGCCGTGAAAGATGCACCGAGGATAAACAATAACTTCCTTCCGTACACATCTCCCAGTTTTCCCCAAAGAAGTAGGAATGAGCCAGACGTCAACGCATAAGAAGATAGCACCCACTGCTCCCGATCTTGAGGAATGTCAAGATCCCGAGAGATTTCAGGTAAGATGATGATGACTGCCTGGGCAGCGATTGTCTGAGGAGTATATATCAGACATCTACCCAAAATTCACGGTCTTGGTACTTACAACAAGAAACGTCGCACCCGTTAAAACAATAACCATAGGGGCTACTTGTCGTATTTTCACCTCCTTTTCCGAAAATCGTGTCTCGACCTTCACAACTGCTGGTTCAATTACAGTCTCCTCCGGTATACCCTTTTCAAGCACAACATTCTCGATGGAGATACTCTGTAGCTCATCGCCATTTCTCTGTGATATACTTCGCGCCATATCCCATATACAATGAGCAGGTATATTGCAAAGTAGTTGCGACGATAAGTTGCATTGTAAACACACATCTACTTTGTCCTTGCAAGCACATCACCGCAATCACCATCCAACCCCACTTTTGCGCTGCATTTAATCTAGGCTAAAAATTGCTCCTGCAGAGAACTTTTTTCCTATCATGGAAATTATTGCAGCGAGGAGCAGAGGAAACAAGATACGCGTTGATAGCCATGCAAGATTGTCAATCTTTTGCTTGCTGTTGAACATCCCTGATAAAGCAATGCGTTTGTCGTAAAATGCGACAATCAGACAAAGATGCCATGATTATATAATGAGATGGGAGGATGTCAAAGGTTTGTTGAAGATTATGCGCCGCTTTAGTACATTACCGATTATCGGTGGATGACAAGGCATTTCGATTCGAAGAATCTAAACTATAGACATGAATTTTTATATAACATGCAATGTGGTCTTCACTCCGTAGATCGCCTTTTCGATCTCTACAAAGTATCTCTATCAATTACCGTTTCAATAAATGCGCTCCTGATTCACGAAAGTTTATTGCCACAATGGCAGAAAGGACCTACGATGTTCGTTTTGTCAAACATTGCTATACGCCTGATCATGAATTCTTCTCACCATCATTTAGGATGCAGTCAATGCCTTGAATACACTTCAAACACCATACGAAGTCCTCAAGAAGAGATGGGAGGCTGGAATCAAACTCGATGAAGGAGCAAACCAGGAAATGAGAGAGCACCTGACTCGGATTGGATACACCGTATTTTTCAATCTCCCACCTTGCCTTTTCGTCGCTGACTCACGCCTAGCAAGATGATCTCAGACGATTGAACATCGTTCACGTTGCTGGCACCAAGGGGAAAGGGTCTACGTGCGCTTACGTAGACTCGATATTGAACCGTTATAGAGAGTCACGTGGTTTCCCGAAAAAGGTTGGACTTTTCACATCACCCCATCTCATCGCTGTCCGCGAAAGAATCCGGATCGATTCAGCACCCATATCCGCTCCTCTATTTGCAAAATACTTCTTTGAGGTTTGGGATCGTCTGGAAGCAGCAGCAGCTTCTTCGAGCAAACCGTTCGAGAAGCCTGTTTATTTTAGGTACCTGAATTTGATGTCTTATCACGTTTTCCTCCAAGAGGGCGTTGATGTTGCGATTTACGAGGTTGGAGTTGGTGGCGAGTATGATTCAACAAATATTGTGGATCAACCGGCCGTGACGGGTATCTCGTCGCTAGGGATTGACCATGTGTTTACACTAGGAGAAACGCTTGACAAAATTGCATGGCACAAAGCTGGAATTCAGAAGGCGTTAGTCCCATCATTTACAGTGCAACAAAGGCCAGAAGCAATGAAAGTATTAGAAAAGAGGGCTCTAGAGAAACGAGTGGAGTCTCTCAGGATAGTCGATTTAGACCCAAGACTAACAATAGTGAAAATAAAACCTGCGGCAGATTTTCAGAGAGGAAACGCAAGTCTTGCCATATGTTTAGCTGAAACAGTTCTGAAAAAATTGGATCCTCAGTTCAGCACATTCGAGAATTTCCTACCACAAAAATTCGTAGATGCTTTAGAGCAAGTTATCTGGCGTGGAAGATGCGAAACAAAGGTCGATGGAAACATCACCTGGTATCTAGACGGCGCACATACCGCTGATAGTATTGTAGTCGCGGCAAAATGGTTTAGTGACGAGGTAGCAAAAAAGTAAGTTTTAATTAACTACCTACCTTGAGCTCATGTTTCTAATCAGCTCTAGAAATGGCCCTCGAGTTTTAATTTTCAACCAACAAGGTCATCGTGAAGCCATAGGGTTACTCGAGGGTCTTCACAGCGCAACTAAAGGATCCGTTAAATTCGACCACGTCATATTCTGCACAACCTCAATCCAGAAAGAAAATGCATCCACAAAAGGTAAATAGCGCATCGCCCACACCAACGGAATATCTACTGATTCCACCAGATTTCGTCAATCTTTCCTACGATCCCAAATCGATATCTGAACTTACGATGCAGAAAGCCTTTGCGGAAAAATGGCGCTCGTTGGATTCAAACCCTGATACCGCTGTACAGGTTCTTCCAAGTGTAGAAGATGCGTTTGAATATGTGCGGGGTTTGTCCACGGATGATGCGCATGCTCAAGTTTTAATTACTGGAAGTGTGCATTTGGTTGGCAGAGCACTGGGGAGTTTGGAATCGAGGGATGCATTGTAGAGGATTAAAAGTAGTAACATGAAGAAGTAGTGGTGGCGAAAGACGCGCCTGTATCTCACTCAACATACAAGGTATAGGTCACGAAATATCCTAGGGTTCATGATTATATGTATATGATATTATTGTTCAACCAATATAATAATAATGAAGAAAAAAACTTCTTAATTTTTGGGTATACGCTCTTCAAAACTGCAAATAATTCTCTTTCTCCTCTTGAACCATACGTACCAGTATTCAAATCCATACCGAACACTGCACCAGGTCCTTCGATGAATATATCAACGTCTTTTGAGTTGAAACATGTAGGAACCACAAAATTCCCACGATAAACGCCTGTGGTTCCTGTATTTTCTGTATCACTAACGGGTATCGAACAAACTCCAGCACTATTCCACTACTGAGAGAACTTTTAAGCTTCTGCCTCTTTCTTACTTTGATATTCAAGCACTTTCATGAGGCCACCGACGAGATGCAGACTTCCAGTTACCAGAACAAAGAAACGTTCCTCGTCTTCGGATACCCTATGCGCAAGCTCTACCGCTTCTTGGATACTCGCATACTCCATACACATTGGACTACGATCCAAGCCTGAGTATAGTTTGGACGCCGACTTCTGTTGGCTAAGATCAATGATGCCACTGTCAACTTCTTCGCTCTTGAAAGGTATATTGGTGCAAAAGGTAGCGAAGTCAAAAGCTTCGAAAGATATATGAATGTTTTCCAGTAATGTCCGAATAAGAATTTCAGGATCACGGTCTTGTTGATTGAAAATTAGCATGCTTTTCGTGGGGGAAACCCCTTGCGCGGCGGCTTGATTGAGTTTGGAAGCGTACCAACGGCCAGTCTCCTTGATACTGTCCACTGTGTGCGCACCATCGATAAACCATGTGATATTACCAGTTACTACAACTTCGCATCTCCCAGCCCATTTAACTGTCTTTATCCCTTCCAAAATTTGACCTGGGATGGGTTGTCCAAGAGTGAATAGTCTAGAAGGGGTAGGCACATCTTTAACACGTCGATCTCGCAAATGTGAGGCCGCAACAGCCATTGCCAGACTGGCGTTATCCTTCTGAAAATCCCCCTCTGCCCCTAATTCAATGGTTCCATTGTCAAAGCCGGAATGTCTATTCACGACCTCCAATTTGACACCAATTTCATTGGCGCGGTTTTCTAGAATAGACTGTGCTGCTTGGAGCTGTGAAGAGGTGAAACACGGAATGTTCTTCTTCATAATGCCAGCCTTGTGCCAAGCTATCTTATCAATTGTGTCTCCCAGCATTCCAACATGGTCGATACCGAGTTTCGTGATCGCGGTGGTAGTAACTGCTTCAGCAGGCAGTATATTCGTGCTATCATATTCTCCCCCAATACCACATTCCATGATGGCGGTCTCCACGCCTTCCTCCATAAATGTATGAAGTGCCATGATAGTGAGATATCGAAAATATCCTGGCTTGGTTTCCGAGGACGTAGGATTCGAACGCAGGGTAGTAGATGCGACAGAAGGATCAGAGAACCGATCCCAGAGCTCAAAGAAATAACGCGCAAATAGAGGCTCTGATATTGGCGATCCATCTATCCTTATTCGTTCACGTACTGTCATTAGATGTGGTGAGGTATAAAGCCCAATCTTCCCTAGACCCTTCCTTTTCGTATCCCCTGGTACAACTCTAACGTCATTTTCTTCGCACCGATACTGTCGCAGAATGTTATCTATCATAGCACACACACTACCCTTCCCTTTTGTTCCAGCTACGTGAATACATTTTAATCCGCGCCTTGAGAAATCTCCGGTCTCGTACCCCGCCTTGCGTGTCCATTCTAGCATTTCTGGTATAGCATACATATTCATATCTTCCGAGGTCTTCGATATGGAGGAAACAATTGTTCGATTGGATTGTAAGGTATCTAACAGTGCTATCGCGTCCTCATAGGTTCGCCCTTTGGAGGCCATTCTGCTTGAGAACCGGATGTGATGTTGGAAACTGCGAGCATGCAGGAAAGGTTCAGCCACTACGTTTCGGGGCAAACGAGGGAACATAAGCGACATTGACATTGGAGCATTTGTGTGGTGAAATACTCCGGAGACATGTTATAATATTTAACCTGTCCGTATCTGTTCTCAATTGATCATTGCATCTGTTCGTTACTTGGTTGTGTACTTGGAGGGGTATAGTATTGTGAGCTTAGCGCAGAGATGCGCTTTGGGCAGAAATAGTTACGGAGCATAACCTTATCGATAAGGCGGAAGTAATAGCCGGGAAGTTGGTCTTATTCCCAGTTGATGTAAATCTTATTTCCGGTTTCAGTTTTCCAATTCTGGGAATTGATGAACACTTTTTCTCTTGGACAAGATTTCAGACATGCAACATAATAAGTCTGAGTGAATGTCACCGCTCCCTCGCAGAACCCCGCCTACTTTAAATCCATGATAAAACCGTGATAGAAAGCATCGCATAGCTCTGTTACAATTTGTCGAAAGCAATGTCTTTATACTTGCAGTAGGTAATAGTATTGCCAGGAGGGTTTTTCGACTCATTATTTTGGGCCCAGATTTGCTTTCGATCGTGCAAAGCTAGTGCTTTGAAGTCTTTGATTTAATGGAATATCATCAGTCTTGGTTTGGATAGTATAGATTGGACACGCGCATTTTTCGAAGCACAATCTAGGTTCTCTAAATACTTGTCCACAGTCCATTCTAATCTTACATGAAAAGTAAACAATCCGGCATATTTCATCCATTGTCATATCCAAAACCACATTGCTCCATCTCCAGAATTTGGATCTTCATCTTCCTCCTCAGTGTTATTGCTTCCTGGGGTATTGCGTCATCCTTATCGTTGCCGTCGGCAAGTTCATTATTTTCATCACAAGTACGCTACGAACTGACAGCACTGCGTTTATCTGTGTCAAATCAAAACCCCCCTCGATTCCAATTTTGAGTCAAAGCAACAGTCCCACTCGCGGTGGCTGATGCACGTACAGCACCGTTGGCAGAAGAACCACTAGCAACAGAGTCACCAGCTGAAGCAAGTCTATCAAGACCATGAACCTTTCTCAAATGATCATTGACTTTGTCAGTGCGACAAAGGCCCTTCCCGTAGCTTCGACGACATTCAACAATAGGGCAGAGATTCTTTCCCTGATTTGTCTGACCGCGCTGATGAACTGATGAGATATGTTCAAGATGATCTCCTGGGCGGTTGAACTCCTGAGTGCAAGTAGGATAGGAGCAGTGACAGCGGCCGGTGATTGGATGAGCGTAGGAAGGGGCGGAGTCTGATTGTTTGGAATGGCGGCTATGTTTGCACGGCTCAAAAGCAATGGGCCTGCAGCTGTATTCGATTGATCCGCAATAATGTCATGATTGTGGGCGGGAACCAATGAAAGCAAATCACAAGATTGTGCGTTGAAGCATGCATCGAAATCGACATAGTGACCAAATAGAGGAGTAAGCATAAAAAAACTCATCTAAGGTCCCCGCGCTCTTCATGTCCCATTTCAGAGTACAAAGATGGGCTGAGAGCTAGATAATAGGCTTGGTTGTATCGAGCACCTGCGCTCACTGCGCTGAAAGGGTGCTGCCAAGATTGATTTGGCAGTAGGCATTGCATCGGTGCCTCTGAGTAAACCATCACTCATAGGGAGCTGCGGAGGTTGGTCAAACGTGAGTGCCGACCACTGATTTGCATGGCCCATGCATAGAATTCGATTGGGAATCGGGCGATACCAATGTTACCAAAATAGGGTGCTTCACTTCGGGGGGCTTCGTCGGAGGTACGCGTGTCGTATGCAAAAGGAGAATGAAAGTGCCAGAAACGTTAGAAATAGGTTGGGAATGAGAGAGAGGTTATATGGTAGTAGCTTGCTCAGTATGGTGCTCAAGAGTTGCGCCCTTTTCGGGAATCCCTGTGGAAGCTAATCATGGAGATGAGGCTCTAGCAATTTTAGCATTAAGGCCTTGTGTAATAGAATACTTATCAGTCAAACGCAACTACAACGCTAGCTGTTGAGCCGAGCACTTGTACGATCCTTTAAATCATGGCGTCCTAATCTTTCTTCACATTACATCTCTCTATTGGACAGAATAGAAGCCGAAAGCAGTTATGCGATGTCTGTACTTCGTTAATTAAGATTGTGAATGATTTTAGATCTTATTGAAAGTGAAAGGTATAGTGGTTATCACTTGCTGAGCTTTAGATGACTCGAATCCATTATATATGGATTTAATTCATGAACAACGAGGTATGTATCTTACGTAGTGGCATCTTATCACCTTTTAGCTGTGCTGCTTCAAACATCCCGCCATATACACGTGACCTCGCGGCTAAAAATCCCGCTTATCCTCGCTACACAAGGACTAAATATAGATTCTTCCAAGAACTTGCTCCGCATTGCTCAAAACGCACTGTGTAAGAATGATTGGTTCAAAAGTTTGCTAAAAATTCTCTAAGCTCCGCCTTTGACATTATAATGTGAAATAATTTAGGTCTCTTCATCGAATACAGTCAGATATCCGGCATGGTGTAGTGGCTAGCATTTCCGCCTCTCATAGGAAGCGTTTACGGCTTCAATAAGGTCGCGGGAGACCGGGGTTCAATTCCCCGTACCGGAACTTCTTAAATTTTTTTTTGCATTTCTGAAATTCTCTTGGTCTTTCTGGTCATCTTAATATCAATTTTGTCGTTTTAGATGTCTATCAAGTCTACATACAATAGCTCTTACTCATTTTTTCCCCTGAATTTGAATTTTATATGTGGTAACAGGTAGACTATAATAATGTATGTATCTAATAAGCCTTATTACATCTAATCCACGAAACATTGCCCTTCAAGAAACTGGCGGTCCGCTTTGGAGGAATACACGTGAGATTACGTCTACTGATGTTCCATCACGTGATCTTATCACATTCATCTCCTGCCTCCTGGCCTCCACTGAATTCATCCATAACAAGGATTTCAATATTACCGGCAGACAAACCTGTGGGCACCAACTTGCCATTTCAGCTATCACAAAGCAAGGTAGGGAAACATAGAGCTTATGTTTCAAGCAAGTCCAATATCAAATGATTAAACCTATCCAGAGAGTCACAGCCACAACTAGTTATTATCACTAGCCACATTAACCCCACCACGAACGATGAACCCATTCCGAGTCATCAGATCTTTTGCAACATTGTTCACTTATATATATATACTGTAGTATATCCATCTGAAAAGCTCTACAACCTATCTGTCAATACAGATAGATGTAGGGCTTTTCTTCGGATTTCTTCAACGCCAAGTGGCCCAAGATATTGGCTTGAAAGAGTGTCGCATTGCATTTGTTGTCATCACACGCTTTACGATATCAGTGGTCTGTTTGCATAGAGCTCTTGAAGCCCATTACAACAGATTCTAAGAGATATCAAATACACCTCTATCCCGTGAATACAAAGTTCAAGCCGTCGTACACTTTCAATGCTATTTATATTTTATATGAAGTGTTTACGACGAGATGGGTTATGACCAGTTGTTGAAAATTGTAGTACCCACCTTTTAGACCTCACTGGGTTTAACAATTTCTGCTACCACAAACTCCGATACCTTTGACCGCCTTTTAAGCATGCTTCACAGTACCTAACCTGGGAGTGATGTGCTTTCTCAAATAGCCTGTATAAAATATCTGATGGCATTCTCTCTGTTCAGTGCGTTGGCATCGACCTTATTGGGTAATGTGTGGGGCCCGACCCGACCAAGTCAATGCATAGGGCAGCAATCTGCACGCATGGGTTTGGAGATGCGTCACATTCAATTTGACAGCCTCGTTATTTTTCCTCTCTTCTTTTCGAACTGAAGTTTCCTTCCTCAATTGTGAAAGGAAGTGCCTTTTATTTGTATTGCCAGCTGCATTTTCATAGTGACACCAATAACCCGCAGGTGATCCTCGAGCAATCAATCTAATTCGTGCTGTTCCTCAGCCCACAGTAAAATTCTGCAGAACAGTTATACAAAAGTTTGAACCCTTTCAAGTGGATACTTGTTTTGCTACTAAGAAACAAGGCTGTGGGATTGATTATCCATACATGGAGAACGCAGATGTGGCTGCCTCTGATAAGGCGAGAAGTTCAGAGCATTACTCAGAAATGGATCGCGAACATGCAACACAGAACGATATTTCCCAACGAGGTTCGAGTCCATCGGGAAAAGCCATGGATAGACAGCGCGAGGCTCAAGAATATATTCGCAATCGTCGAGCACAAGCGACGGTCGCAGATGAGGCAGATGAGAATGTCATGGTCGATAACGTTTCACAGTTCGGGCCACAAAATATAAGTAGAGAAAGTGAAGATGATGAACAAAAGCTACTTATCACATTAGCAGAAAAGTACAACTACAATTTATACTTAGTGAGTCTAACTGCATGGAAGCTTCCTAGGTCCCTACTTTGTAGCTTATGTGGTGCATAGACTAATGATGATTTTAAAGCCTCCGGGGAACTCTGGAAGTCCCATAATCGAGCATACTAATTACGCTGCTCTACTGCATCGCAACGCGCCATCTTCGCCACAAACACGTCAAATAACGGATGGGCATGACTCCTGGCACCACTCTCGTCCTAGAAATCGTTCCGGTTCTCCACAGGCCGAAGATCCCCCTCGAACCCCCTCTCCATCGATACGTCACCTTGACAATACGCAAATAACCCCTTCTCCGCCGCCACCTATTCCGACAGCCCCAATCTCCGATTTTCGTCCCGGCCCTATATTTTCTACTTCACATATGCCTTATCAAGCGGCAAATAACCCGCGACCTGCCTACGCAACAAATCTCAGGCAATATGCAGACAGGAATCGGACACCGGGCAAGAAACAAACATCTGAACGATCAGGGTTTGAAAACAATACGGCCAATTCCGAAACTCAACCATCCGTAAACAGTGAGTACAGAAATTTCAATACCCGAGCTACGAGCTTTGAAATATGCTCACACATTCACAGGTCAGCTCTCAGATAGATACAGGCATAATCAGATTGCCTCTTCCCCCCATCAAAAATCTCAGTCACCCCAGGCGGCACCGCCTACTCAATGGGCGGCACCTAAACCTGCTCGAAACAACGCCAACATTGTACAGAATCTACAAGACTCACAGGCTCTACAATTGGCGGAGTCTGGATCGCAACCTTCACGGCTTCATCCTGTGTCTTATCCTTCACAGTCGCGGCAAGAGGCTAGTCAACAAAATATAGAGCATGGCCATGATTCCTCACACCCGAACGGCCCAGAGCTCTGGAGCCATACTAATAGGCTTCCGCAAAAGAACTACCCGACTCCTGATAGTGTATCAGGCAATAGCCGGCGTCAAATGTCTTATGCGCAACAAAATAATGCCCGCGATAGTCCTAAAGCTTTCGGCCATGCGCCAGCCGGGCAAATTACACCTCTTCCACAGGGCCATCACGGAAACCATGGGCACGAAACATATGGTCCACACCACGAGCATGATATGACCCCCTCCAACTACGGTTATGATCAAAGTTCTCAAGGGGAATTTAGTCCTCGTATGTCTTTGACTTCTCCTGTTTGGCACTCTGTAAAATTGATACTGATTTTTTTTTAGCAACCACAATCCCTAACCAATCGAATTTCACTCCAGAATCTCATGGAAATTCTACTCGTGGTCATGGAGATGGATACAGCTCTGAACATCAGTTCGAACAATCTATGCACGGTCGTAGACCTCGTGAGTAATCTACCATTCATATTTAACCTTTCCTACTAAGCAAATCATCAGAAATACACGGATCCATATCATCGACAACTCTTCATCGCCAAAGTAACTTTGTCGACTGGAAATCGCAGCTCTGCCAGCTGTTCAATGCACCACATGATAGTCATGACGAAGATCTTTTCAAAATGTTGGAAATGACTAGGAGCAAACTTTTGTCAGATAGCCGTGATGCCAATCAAGAAAAACTGGCATTGCCTTATCATACGATCTATCGAGTCAGATGTCATCAAAAAGAGCTAAGCCACATGTTTTTGGATACTCCCTGGCTTGTCAAAGACAGTCCGACCGGTGAACATATCCATGGTAGTATAATTGTGAGAAACATTGCTCTGCATACCCAGGAATATACGAACTTGTCGTTCATTGTATACAAAGACTATGCCTGTTGCAGACCTAAGATCGATAAAATGAACACATCGGATTCGACGAAATCGAAGTCTGCATGCTCGGAGCAACCTAGTTCAAACGGCGAGAACGAACTTGCGGAATTTCTCGTGGGCGAGTCTGTGTGCTTGATCGGCAGCGAGCTATCCGCTGGTCTTAAAAGACTTACTAGGCAGAATATCCAGGAAAATTCATATTACCCTTCATTCAACGTTAGCACCGAGTTCAAGGCACCATATCCATGGTTTTACCACCAGAGAGCTCCTTTGGAAGAGCGCAGACGCCAGCTGAAACCTGAGCTTTTGGCTCGTGTAAATTCTTTTGTCGAATACGTCAATGAAAGCTTTGGGCCCGAATATGCTATAGTTGATACACTCCTAAGCCAGGGAAAAATCTCGCGCAGATACCTCTGCTATCTTTACGTAAGTGATTTCTGGGTCCCATGGCCATGTTGAGAATCGAAATTTAACTGACAGCATGAAAACAGAGCCCTGACGCCGTCATACTGCGCGCCGACAAAGATGATGAAGGAAAGAAGAAGGCGTATTTAACTAAATCATGGCTTTATTTACCGGCAGGAGGGAGTCCTAAAGGCAGTGGAGAGTCAGCTACCTTGACAACCTCCTTGCTCGTATCTTCCTGGACATTTGATGGCCTTTTTCAAGAGAACGTTGAATTAATCACGATTGATGATTTCAAAACGTCGGAAGAAGTAGTCAAAATCACGGCTCTGACCACTTATCCAATGCGCTACGCCGACCCCACCATTGGGACATCACTTAGAAAACAGGGAGAAATGTTCTGGAAATTCCGCAAGTCCTGCTACATATACTACAGTGATGAAGATGAATCGGAAGAGAACATTGTAGGCAGGCCCGATGATCAACTTTACATTTTTCAGCTGGCTAATATCACTTTTTTTCACAGGGGCAATCCAGGTATATGATTGATATCGAAACATACAAGAAATTACACCCCAAGTCTGCAGGGGCCAAACTACCCAATCGGGACGATTTGGGTCCTTTAGTGATGGCATCTGATATACCACCAGAAGGCGTTTTCACACTTCTTCTGCCTAGTACGATTATTGGATTCAACATGCAAGAAAAGAAATGGGGTTTGTTAAAAAAGACGCAATTATCACTGTCTTCTTTGCTAATTTGTTGCATTAGTCAATCTCGAAGTTAGTCGCATGTACGCGGTCAAATGGAACAAAGATGCGTTTGAGACTTTGGCTAGAGATAACGATACGAAAATCCTCATCACATCTCTAGTCGCAAATCAAATCAAAGACGAGCAGAGCCCAGGCCTTATCGGCAGGAAAGGAAATGGTTCAATCATACTATTACGCGGGTAAATGATCCACAAACTCGGACTTCTTAGGGAAAAAAACTAACAATGAACTTATAGCTCTTCTGGGACCGGTAAAACCCTGACAGCAGAAAGTGTTTCAGAGGTTGTAGAGAAACCACTCTACGTAACCTCGTGCAGCGAGATAGGAACAACACCAGAAGCCCTCGAGAAAGCCCTCGAACGAATCTTCTTTTTAGGAAGAGTTTGGAAATGCGTCATACTCCTTGAAGACGCCGAAATGTTTCTCGAGAAAAGGACTTTAGGAGATCTTCAACGCAACGCATTGATTTCTGTATTTTTACGGGCACTCGAGTCTTACAACGGAATCGTCATCTTAACGAGCTCGCCCATCACCACCATGGACGAGGCTTTCAAATCTCGCATTCAACTTTTCCTCCGCTATACCTCGCTGACTTTTGCTCAACGAGCTAAGATATGGGAATCTCATATCAAGCAGCTCGAGTCACTGGAATCCCTATTCACCCCCTCTACGATAAATATATCCGAGCTTCGAGCAAATCTATCAATGCTTGCGAAATACAAGCTTAATGGACATGAAATCGGACATGCAGTCAGAACAGCTAGACAACTAGCCTTGTGGAAAGGAATCCCGATGGGTTTTGAAGAGGTGCAGTATGCTGTCAGTGTTGCGGGAGGATACGACAACACAAATGATGAGGACAAACGAAACGTGGGAGAAGCAGTGAAGAGGGTTGTTGGGGATACAGATGATGATCCTTACGATGGGGTGGAAGATTTAATGAGCGTTGCTGAATTATGATTGACGAGTTATGATTTATGTATGATTTAAGTTAGTGAGCGTCTGCTTTGTGCAGAGTCCCCCTCTTTTCGACTTGTGTGTATGGAGCGCTGCTTTCCTGTTGTGCTTGCGCGTCTGAGTTTGTGGTTGTGGTTTGGATTTTTTCTGCGTTTTTCTGCGTATATACCATTCTTCCATGATTCTTCCTTCTGTGGAATTTGAATAGGGCACTAGGAAATAATGTATTAGGCTTATGTATATTTGTGCCTTTCTCATCATCTCATACTGAAGTATTGTCCCAAAGTCTATGGCGTTTTTTTGATCTCGAAGGTATCCAAGAGTGGTACTTACAAGGCAGGACAAGAATGGAACAATTAAATGCAGAGACGAGTCCGATTACGGTAGACCAACTCGAAAGCAATATGAAGTAAATCCATAGTCGTGCTGTTATGTATCAAAGTGTCATGGAAATTTGAACTGTTTGGAAAATTAAGCTTTAGTATAAATATCCAATATCGAAAGGATGCAATTATCTATATAACCTTAAATACAGTCTCTTCCTGAGACTAGAGTATCTAACATCGCAGCGCATCTAATGTGCAAATCTAAAATCCAACCTCTTACTCCCTGTCACCGTTGCATTCCTCTTATAAGCCTGCTGTTCCTCCGCCGTCATAGCATTCCAAACCTTATCTCTCTGCTTATTCCTCATCACATAATACACTTTCGTAAGTAGAAACACCACAATAGCTGCAATATTAACGATAATCAATTGTGTGTTTCCGCGATGATATAGCGGTTTATCATCTGTTCTATAGATGAAGTTTCCACAAATATTTCCAAGTTGTACTGCCATGTTGTAGAGCGCAGAGGAAACGGAACGAGTGCCGACGTTGTTGGAGTTTTTGGATGTCCATGCTACGAGAATGGCGTGGCAGTAGGGATAGGAGAGGAGCACGGTGACCAGTGCATAGGTATTCCAGGCTTGTACTCCTGAACCAGGCCAGAAGCGAAGTGCGATGATGCAAGGCAGGGTCCAGAGTGGCTGTATCATGGAGACCAGGGTTCTTTCATTGGTGCGTTCGGATAGCTGGGTGAGGAGAAGTAGCGTAATGATGTGAAAGACTGAATAAGGAATTGTCAATAAGCTGGTGTTGAACGTGCTGAATCCCAGATTCCTCAAGGTGAGGGAAATGTATGAAGAAGGTGGCTGTTGAGGAATATATGCAATCAGTCCAATAGCGTACAACGGCCAAAGATCGTAATCCTTCGCTGCATTCCAAAGTCTCTTTGGTGTAATGGCTTGTCGGTTGTGCATATCGCCTTTTGAGGGGTCATCTCGAAGGACTCGGTTGACGACGATTGAGATTTCACGATCAGTAAACCAGCCTTTGGGCCGGAACCATGTTTTTGTCTGCACTGCCGATGCTGGCATCATAAAGAATGAAGAAAGGCCAACTAGCAAAGTAATCAAGCCCTCAATCAGGAAAAGCCAACGCCATCCTGCCCATCCCGATACACCTCTCATGTGAAGTAAAGCATAGGCAAGAATCGATGTAATGATAGTGGTCGCGGAAAGTGTAGTCCAGAAAAAGCTGAGTCGAACAGGAAGTTCTTTGGACGTATAGAAGTATGATAACCATAATACGATGTCTGGGATGAACCCGCCCTGATAATTGGTGAGTACTGATGTACCAGGCTCGGAGTTGACGCGATTGGACCTACCTCAAGAAGACCCAGCATACTTCGTGTAGCATAGAATCCAGATTTGCCCTGTATCGCACATTGAGACATCGCAACTATCGACCAGAGAGATATTTGCATTGGAATCCATCTATCAGGTCCAATCTTCTTTGAAACCAATTGCGAAGGCAGCTCGGCCAATAAGAACGAGAAGAGAAAGATGTTGTTACCCAAATTGTACTCTGACAAATATTAGTCCTGGGTACTTCCTCATTGAAAGGAGTGTTTTTGTGAACGTACCATCTGTAGTCAAATTTAAGTCATTCAACAGATTATCCGCAACAGCCTGTACTAAGTTTCCACGATCGACTTGTAGACCGAAAAACATGACGCACTGGAACGATGTCAACAATGGCCTCACAGATTTCAGAAACTCAAACCTACAGCCCAAAGACAAACTCGCCAGTCCAGCCGTCGGACTAATCGCCGTTCTTCCTCCTCGGTCCAAGACAAGTTAGGATCGAAAACATGTCGACATTCGTACTGCGACTTTTCGTAGATTCTAGTCCAGTGGTCTGCTACATCCGGGTCTAGAAAAGGATTTTTCGCAAAGGCTGATCCATCTTCATCCGAGTCAGAGGTAGCAGAAACAAATGTTGCATGTTTTGCTGGAAGTGGGTCCCCAAAAGTCGTTACTTCCCCATATTGAAGCGTTTCATCTGATTTTTGGGTGGGATCGCTCCTAGATTCTGACTTGTCTGGGACAATCTTGGACATCTTGGATCGCAAGTGATTTCGAGCTTGCTCTCTCATGGAATTTGTATCGAGAAGTAGAAAGCTTGATATTTAAGTAATATGATGACCCGGGCATGGCTCATCTGCGATGCCACCTGCATTTTGATTGGCGCGAGAGGCCGAGGGGGTAGGGTAGTGCAGTGTGAGGGACTGCCCAGAGTCGACACTTATTGGGAGAGATCCACAGGAAATCACACAATAGAGATATCCCGGGTTGTAATCACAGCTAGATCCTCGTGGCGAAAACGATATAACACTATTATCCATAGTCTTGGGTTGAGACCTACCTCCCAGCTCGCTGGAATATTTTCTTTAAGAAGAGAAAAGGGATAAACCCACTAGGTTTCCACGTCTTTGGCACCAGATAAGCCCATGGCGTGCTTTTAGATGGCGCATAAATCAAGCCCAAAGTATACATTTTTCACTGTAAAGGCATGTCGCTAGACGTTGAATAATTATCCAGCGCCACGAGAGGCCAGATGCAGGAATTTGCTCCATAGTAGTCAATAACCCCCCGGGAAAATGATTTCATAATCACTAAATCAATGAGGGAATCTCTAGCGCACTTGTCGCCATCAAAGTTACTCCATATTTTATCCGTTTATCGATTGAAGTATTTCAATGTTCCGGCATTGGCCACAAACACGGAATTGTTATCAGTACCTACCTAGGTACTTGAGGTCCAATATGTTGTCATCTACCCCCTGGCTTTCGTGATCATTTAGCGATCGATTTCAACTTTGGGAACATCCAAGGAAAAAACAGTCGTGGTGAATACATAAAATTTCTGCCGTGGTGTGGACTAAGGTGCTACCAATGCTTGGCTCTCGCCGTCTTCTGCCAATAGTAAACAGTGAGCAGCCATTTCCATCGAATTTGACTCTTCTGTAAGTGTCCCAATTGAAGGTGGATGTGGTGAAGAAACATCTCACCTCAAATCACGTGAATTCCAAAGCTTTGGTCAATATCCGCCGCGCCATGATCTCTTCTCTTTCTCTTTTTAATAACAGTCTAATCAATTGCGTTGTTTGTTGTTGTGATATTTCAATTATGGCATTCGTCTCGAGCTATGAGTTCGATCTTATATGCTTCTATGGATATAGGCGACTAGACGGCAAATGACTCATTCACCGATATTTATGCACACCAAGAGGCAACCACAAACGGGCAACATGCATTCCGGATCCGTCGAACTGCAAGTTATGTTAAGTTGTATCAATCATTTTATTTCAATACTCATGTGGTATCTTGCAACTATTTACATTAAATGCCCAAAGCATCTCGTCTAGACTTGCTTTCAGGATCGAAGAAGGGCTTTTCACCAACGCTTACAGCTCTGACACCATATCTCTCACCCTGTCCTTCAAGATCATCCGTAGCTGTATGGAAAGTTGAACGATTATCCCAGATAGCTATTTTTATCAGGTTAGCTCAAATAACCTAACAATTGCAGCAAAACTTACCAAGATCATTCTGGTTCTTCCACTTGAACCGTACCTGCAAATCATGGTTGTCCACCAACAACCGCTTAAACCATTCTAACAATGCTTGACTCTCCCATCGAGTAACGTCATTGATGTGGCTGACATGACCTCCAACTGGGAAAACTGATTTCCATCCAGTCACTGGGTTAGTTCTCACTACTGGATGTACGGCTTTCAACTCCTTTCCCACATTTTCTGGAGCGCCTCTTGGCTTATCGTACAACTCAAACCCACCATTCGCTGCAGCTTCAATGAAGCCGGGTTGTTGGAACGTCACTGTCAGAGTCTCGAGGAATTTCTGATAAGGTTCTGAAATGCGGTCATAAATCTCATACCCACTTGCCCACAATGTGTCGCCTCCTGTTTTCGGGAGTATCTCTAGCTTCAAACTGGAATAGTCCGCTGGCTTTGGCTCAAAAGATATGTCTGCGTGCCATTTGGACGAATTTGAGAGGCCATTGGCTCGGTCAAATTTTGTGTTGCTGTAGAGTTTCTTGTTGAGAACAGAGTCGATGGTACTAATTTCTGGGTCTGTCACACGATATCCCTCTCTTTCAGGGTTAAGCAATGGATGAATGTGAAGACCCGATGTGGATGGTTTTCCTGAAAGGAGTCCGATGCGCTGGACGAGTTCTTTCTGTAAATCAGGAGTGAGATTGTCTTGTGCGCGGAAAAATACTACACCACGCTGAGATACTAAGCTGTTGTCAGTCTCCGCTCACTTGCTACACCCTTAAATTTTATGAGAACTTACTGGTGAGGGCAAGCTCACGTAGGAGCTCGTCCGCATTAGGAGCTTGTAACCATTCTACCAAATTGACATTTGGAAACTCGCGGCCAATAACAGGAGTAACATCAAAAGACTCAAACTGATCTAGGACGCCGGTGCTTTTTAGCCACTTTTCTTGAGGAGCGAAATTTGCCTTGACGTTGTCGTCGCCTTTGGTAGGGATGGGGACTGCTGCTGATTGTGCTTCTGTAGCGGAAGGAGCCATGATGTATTGCCTGTAGACTTTGTATCGGTTCTTGGTTCTTGATGGGGATTGTGCAGTATTAAAGTTGAAGTTCTTAAGCACAGCGAACTAGAGATCATGATGATTTTACGGAGGGGTTCGTTCAGTCTATGTATGCGTCCTTTAGATCTGCGGGGTCATTATCATTTTGACTGGTATGTTGCGATAATTTTATTTCTCTGTTACCGGCAAGGACGGCATATATGGCGAAATAAAGGTCATGCATGACGGGATATAACAGTCGAATGTCAATAATCTGATCTAAAGCCCTTGAGGGCTACCCCATTACTTGGATTGTAGTGAATTAGAACGGTCAAATAATATCATCCACAGAGTATTAGTGATCATTTTAGATGAGTGTAACGTATTGCTGCAGGTTCTATTCTGTGATGGGAGGACTAAATTGCGTGATACTCAGGAACAATATGATTGGATGCTTTGTATTATGTCGAGGACCATCACACTTCGACTGATTAGATAGGGTATGGAGACATGGAGCTTCGAGGCAAAGCAGAGTGATGGTTGATCCAGGTACACAAAGTCCTTATCATTCTAAAAAAAGATTATCCAGTAAAAGCATAGAACCATATCCAAGCGAAACAAAACACTCCCTCATAACTGTACACACTTGAGAAGTCTATTGCCGGTGGTTGACTATTCGGCCAATCGTACATTATACACTATACAATCTTCGTGCTCCAGCCCACAACTATACAGATGCTAATCACTGGGCTGCCATTTGTCTCGCATCTTTGACATCAATGCTGTGGAATACATATTCTCAAGATGGCCGGTAGACAAAATTACTAATTTCCTACCTACCACCCAACAATTTTCGCTTACGTACAGGGGTAGGAAGTTTGGAATCTATTGTCTAGTTCTAGGCTTTACATTTTCTAAAATTGAAAAGTCATTCGAAGTCTAGGCATTACAGTAGTCACAGACACAGAAAGAGGGATGTCAATGAGCCAAAGTCTTCAATGGCAGAGATCTGGATGGTTTCTCAATTGATTCAAGATGGAAGCGATGATTGACTTCCGAGGCAAGATGTATCTATTTTCGATTGTAACTCGTAAATCTATAATGATTCGCCTATGCGAGCACGCTCCAAATCCTAAACTCCTGTCCTCCTGCCTGCCAATCCATTTTTGGGGATATCTAAACGCCGTTCCCGTTGTACCAAACCCAAAAAGCCAAGCCATGTAGTGCACATTCCCACCCGGTTTTATATACAATGGTCATTATGCCGCCTAGTAAGAGGAGATTCGTTATGCCCTTGCAACGAACTTGTGAATTCAAGCAAATCATGAGCCCATCTACCCATGGACTTAAGCAACATTTCCCGCCATGCCCATAAATATTGCCTGAATTGCCATAGAGATCGACCAGAACCCCACCTTTTTTAACCGACGCATACGTGCCTGACTATCTACGACATCTTTCGCAAATGCTTCATATGTCTCTGCGGACATATCATCCATTAGTCCGCTATCGAAAATGGTCCAGCTACCATCGAAATCGGTGGCACGTTTCACAATTCGACAATTTATGGGAATGAAGGTCTTCTTCGCGTTGATATAGGCGACAATGGGACGAATAAGGGCTTGGTTAACGTAGGAGAGGTCACGGGTGAACAAGGGCACGGCTGCCTTCACGTCATTAAGATGGATGCGGAGATCCATGACAATGTAGCGTTTGTCGTCGTCGTGAGAGAATTTCTCCGCCAAAGCGTCGAGCTCATCAGGTGTGCCTGGTTCCCGGGTCCTCGTGTTATTCTCGAGGATATGAAAATATCGATTGGAAGTTACAGCTTCTTCCATGCGGTCGTAAAAGTCTGACATCACCTTGGCGATGCTCTCATCAGCTTCAGCTGGAAGCATGACGTCGGCAACAATGTCAACATTTCCTTCGTGAATCCAACCAAACGGCCCCTCCACGCCTCGATTTAAATGGTCAATTTTGAGGCCGTCTATGCGGAGGCGACTTTGCTTCTTCCAAGGGTTCGACCCGTCATTTCCGGAGGATTCGAGAACGTGCGAGCCAGCAAATCCGTGGATTTGTCGAGGGTGAATTGTGAAAAGAGATCCGTCAAAAGCTCCAGACATATTGCTTGCTGATAGAAAATCATAAAATAACCATTGTTTCCGCAGCTGAGGAAGGTCGCACGAGAAAACGCTCACAGAGAAGGGTCGGAAGCCGTTGGGCTGATGTATGGTAACTAAGAGATCCTCCAACTTGAAAGAGTCAATCTCAAAATCACCAGGGTTATGCTCGTGCCGAAATGATTTCGGATCAACGTATTCGTCACCCCAATGGACCGAAGTTCTGTCAATTACACCTCGAACACCCTTGATCTCTACATCCCTGAGAAGACCCTTACCATTCCACCATTTGACAAATGATAAAGTGACATTAACTGTGTCAAGAGTGACGTCAAATTGGGTGTAGTTTGTATCCTCCTCTTCCTCTTTTTTGCCCTCTACTTCTACCTGCCGTTGAGAGGCTGCTGCTGCTGCTGCGTTTAATGATGAACCTTTGCTAAATTTGGTTTTCCCTTGTCCCGGTCTCCTTGAGACAAACACATTCCGGAATGTGATTACTCCATCTTTCCATCGCGGCACAATAGCAGATTCGAAAACGACCTTAATACCTGCCGAATGTGTGAGATAATCACCAACCCACCTTGCCAATGTTTCTAATATACGTCAGTTATCGTGGAGACTCTCATGTGCTATATAGTACTTACCTTGAGCGACAACAGTATTTATAGATAGAATGATGAGAGAGAAGAAAGTCGTAGTCCCAATGAAAATCCAGGCAATATTCCCTAGGACAAACCATGAAACAAAAGCACTCCAATCATCTACATTCCAGGGTCGTCCACCTCTAATTGTAAACCACTTGAATCGAACCTTCAGCCGAGACCAAAATCCCGTTGCTGCAGCGAGTAGTTCTTCTCTTGTTGGCCGATGCGGCATCTTCGGCATGTGAGGAAGATTGTACTTGCTCGAGGCAGAGTGTGCGAGATTGGCATCCGTGACCGTCTCCTTCGATGGCGGGGTAGTTTGTGAGGGTTTGTGGGTCTCTTGAGGCGTCCCCCGACCATTTGATAAATTTGATGCAGAACTTTTGTTTCTTCTCGCATAACCTCTCTCCCTTCGCCGAGTACTTGAATGGATCTCACGTCGCCATGTGTATTGGAAAGACGAAGTCAAGGGTGATCTTCGTGGTGATGATGATGCTGAGAATAAGGTCTTCTCCACTGTACTTGTACATGATGCTATCGAGGGTGCTGCAGATGTACCTGAGCTCAAATCAAGGAAGAAGACCCCGCCATAAGCAAATCTCATTCGAACTTGAGACTTTAGAGGTGAACCATACAAAGTTCTGATTTTGGACTGCGAAAAAGCACGATGATTAGTACTTGAAAAAATCGAATTAGATATGAAAGGTCGTATAGGTTCTTTGGATGTCTTTGTTGCAGCGAATGAAATTGCATGATCCCAAAACTGGGACCATAACCTAGGTTTTATGTTCATCGACATAACCTCCGGTTCATCCTGAAAGATTTGCAAGACTGTTGAAGTCGTTGATCTTCTTCAATATCTTTGGAATGAAAATGAAAATGAAGGCACGCGAGAGATAAATCATGATGGCTTTTCCCGAATGCGCATTTTTGGAATTTTTGGCACTAATGAAGACGCTAGTGATCTTATCAGTAAATTCTATCGCATCCGTTTCCCCACCAAATATTTTTTTCCAATTTGATCGGCCGACTGCGAACATCAAAATCAAACATCAAAATCAAACCTCAAAAAACTAGACCCTCAAATTTTCAACTGCACAACAAACATTTTTCCGAGATTCATTATTGAGTCCTACATACACAATTTGACCAGAGAAAATGCCTGCACCAACAGCTTTGTTGAGGAAACAAGAGGAGCTCGCTGAGGCTTCTAGTGTACCATTGCCAAATCAAAGTAATTGAATTCATGCCCCAGCCGCTGCAATCATGGAAATAGTTGCTAATATCAGTTCAGACCAAGACGATGAGTTTCTATTAGATGCACCAGAAGTTACCTCGGCGGAATTGGATACCATCTTGCCTCCAGCCGCCGACGACAGTGAGATGCACATTGATGAAGAAGGACGACCTCGATTTGCACCAGCCAAGAATATTGTACGACTTAGAATCTATCAAATCCCCAGAATCTGCGCATGCGATTATTCTAACAGAAAAATAGGACCCAGCAACTCGGGTAGAAACCCGCAAAGTTCCAATTCCTCCACACCGCATGACCCCCCTCAAAGCCTCCTGGCCCAAGATCTACCCTCCTCTTGTCGAACATCTTAAACTTCAAGTCCGCATGAATATCAAAAACAAAGCTGTTGAACTCCGTACCTCCAAACACACTACCGATACCGGGTCCTTGCAGAAGGGCGAAGATTTCGTAAAGGCGTTTTCGCTAGGTTTCGACGTCGACGATGCTATTGCATTATTGCGACTTGACGACCTTTACATCCAGACTTTTGAGATTAAGGATGTCAAGACTTTACAGGGCGAGCACTTGGGAAGAGCCATTGGCCGTATCGCAGGCAAGGACGGAAAAACCAAATTTGCTATCGAGAATGCGAGCCGGACAAGAGTGGTTCTTGCAGATAGCAAAATCCACATTCTGGGAGGCTTCAAGAATATTCATATTGCAAGAGAGGCAATTGTCAGTCTGATTTTGGGAAGTCCACCTGGAAAGGTTTATGGTAATTTGAGAACCGTGGCGAGTAGAATGAAGGAGAGATTTTAAAATCTGGACTGCAAGATCTAGACTTACGACATGGAAATGCATTTGCTAGGCGTTGTGGTGGTGTTCGGGGGAGGGAATATACTGGGGAAAGCATCGTTTTGGCATCGACGAATGCATCATATGTTATCATTTGAGGTCATGTGGACCGAGGGCGACTCTTCAGTATTCACGAAATATCAGAGCTTAATTGGAACATTTTGTCCATAGAAAATACACGTATACAACCTCAAATAGGCGAGCATCCGAGGTTTTGAAATTCGGCTAGAAAAACTACTCCCTATATTATTTTTTTCTTACTACCCGGCCGTCCCATGTATTTTGAAGACACAGTAAGGGTGATTTATACAAATCGTTCTTACTGATAGAGTGAGCTATTGATAGAGCGCGTTTAAATATAGAACGTACTTTGTAGATAAGAATTTATGGCTTCGGCGTACATCTGCACGCTTTGCCATGTTTTTGTGGACCACATTCGTTTTAATGGGTTATATTTATGCAGGATCCCATGCAGGGATTCCTGAGTATCACGTCAAACATCATACTTTCCGTAATGCAGAGTAATAATGAGATGAGTTATTAGGTACATATCTACCAGGGATATATCTACAGAGTACGGTACGGAATCTTGGTGCCTGTGTGATGAACCCTGTATCTTAGAGTTTGAGGAAATTTTACATATCATTTGCTATCATTTGATCCCATTTCACGGCCAATGCTTGGTAATTTCAAAATACCTACCATTGGGTATGGTTGGATCGAGATTATGTTGTAGAGATACATCATACCAGAGATAAAGCAATAAACAGAGGAAAGAAAGCGACAAACGGTATCGGTAACATCCTATATCTGTAGCTTAGTATCTACTAGGTAGTGGTACTACTTTATTACTCCCTTTCCGTTGGCGATATGGCTAAATAACCTTGGGAAAAAAGTAAATCATCAACAACCAACTCGAACTTTTATTTGTCTCTCTCGTGCTGCATAAAGAAGTATAATTGATCATCCGCATTTCCCAAACATATATTTTAAAAGGAGGTTCCGAGTCCGTCCATCTGAAAGAGTAACATACGACTACCGCTTCCGAAAAGCCCGCTGCCCGGACCAGAAAAAAAACATGCCCCTGTTGAAGCATCTCCTTGTCATCTATTTTGTCTCTGTATCATGATTCTTTGCCATACCTTATCTATCGTGCACCAGTATCAACTTATTACGCAGCAGCCAATGACTAAAGATTTCTAATAAGCCTTTTCGACCCTCTCCAAGGACGCTTACTTATCGACAAATAAGCTTCCATTCGCCAACACGACCGGCACCGTGACTTGTAGAGTTTGGATGTCCCAACTCAGGGCCTCTTGTATACACAGCAGACGGAGTGGTGAAAGGTGACTGGTATGCAGGCGGCAAGGCTTAAGGCTGAATCGCAGGGCCGGAAAGCTAAGGTAGGCATTGATGGGCTGTTGGGGCGTTGGGTCGGCGCAAGGATGGCTTTCTGGAAATGGATGTGAGGGGCTAATACATTCAACTCACAGCTTGCCAATTCATATCATGAGTTATTGGAGTACGTACCTGCTTGTGCAAACCAGATGAAAACAAATACTGACAATGGCGCTTGTGCAGAGAGTTCTCGTCGAAAGACCTTCGTTCAGTGGGAAATTATACTTTAGGGAGGCTGATCGGGAAAGGGTCATTCGGGAAGGTCTATTTGGCTTCGCACAAACTCTTACATAGCTCTAAAGTACGTGCCAAAGGTGGGATTTAAACTCGCAGAACATCAGCTAATCTGCCGCTTTGATCTAGGTCGTACTCAAGTCTGCCAAAAAGGATGATTCGAATCTGGCTCGAGAAATACATCATCACCGACAATTCCTACATCCTCACATTGCTCGTTTGTACGAAGTAATTGTCACCGAAAACTTGGTATGGCTTGTGCTAGAGTACTGTCCTGGTAAGTGGCATGCATAGGCAGAAGGAGGTTATGCTAACGATGGTGTAGGCGACGAATTATATAATTATCTACTGAAGAATGGGCCATTACCGGTCGAAAAGGTCCAAAAGATCTTCACTCAATTAGTCGGTGCCGTCGCATACGTTCACAATTCATCCTGCGTTCACCGAGATTTAAAACTGGAGAATATCCTTCTGGACAAACACGAAAATGTTAAACTTGTGGATTTTGGGTTCACTCGTGAATATGAGGGCAAGGCGAGTTATCTGCAAACGTTTTGTGGCACAATATGTTACAGTGCTCCAGAAATGTTGAAGGGAGAAAAGTATGCCGGGGAAAAGGTTGATGTTTGGAGTTTAGGCGTCATTCTATACGCTTTGCTATGCGGCGAGCTACCATTCGACGACGACGACGATACTGTAACAAGGACCAGGATCTTGACCACAGAACCAAAATGGCCGGATCATCTCACAGCCGACGCGCGAAATTTGTTAGGCATTCTATTGTCAAAGAGGCCTCTAATACGACCTGCCTTGTCTGATATTCTCACTCATCCTTTTCTTGCTGAGCATGCGCCACAACAGCAAGCCATTTTGAAACTCCAGAGGGCGGCACCGTTCACCACGACATTAGAAAAGGAGACCTTGGAACGGATGCGAAGTGCTGGTGTAGATATCGACCAGGTTATTGAAAATGTACTAGCTCAGCGATGTGATGCTCTAGCAGGTTGGTGGGCTCTTCTGCTCGAAAAGGAAGAAAGAAAGCAGATTCGAAAGGAACGAAAACGCAAGGAACGAGAGGCGGAGATCCGGTCCTCAAGAAGACTGAGTGCTGCGAGTAGCCGCTTGGAAAAAATGACGCCTATTTTAACAGGAGTCGATGAAGAAGGGCAGCCACTAAGGATTAGCGACCCACCTAGGAGTAGAGGGAGGAAGGAAAGGCGAAGTGCCCATTATCCGGATCTGATCCTGACCGATTTACCTGGATTACCCGAACACTCGCAGTTCTCCTCACCCGATGTTCAAACGCCTCCTCCGCCGCTTGAAGAAGACAGTACTCGCTCTGCAAGCTCATCTCGACACCGGCGCCCAATTCCTCCTCCAAAAGAAGGCACTCTACGGAGTGCCCGGTCACGTGGAAGCACTTTGCAGCTGGTTACTTCTAATCATGATTTTCTACACCCCAGTACTAATGGCATTGCCAAACCTCCACAGGAACGTCGCAAGCGTCAGCATGCTTTCATCAATCAATTGGCACATTGGAAGCACTGGCTTCTGGACTCTGCCAGGCGTGCCAGATCACCTGGAAAGAAGACAAAAGCTAGTCGCTCAACACCAGATCTCCGCGAGAAGGCTGCTGACGACTCAACCAGTCCGAAAGACCCTAGTCCGCGACCAGTCACTTCAAAGTCACCTACAATGACACGTGCTCCCCTACCACAACTAGGTGGGCAGCCCCCTCTTGCAAGAATGAATGCGACGCCAAGCACCAAACGGCATTCGTTATCTCCCTCTCCAGTGACTCCTCGCTCGACTTTCCAACGTCGGCCAAGTAGTGGTTTGCGAGGAAGGAAATCTACATCATCTTCCGTTTCGTCTGTACGTAGTATAATGCATCAACACACACATTCAAAGGCTTCATCAACTTCGTCTAATGGATCTGGCTCAAAGATATCTCTACCTACTCGTAGCCCTCATCACTCCGTCAAAGTCCTGCCCGCCACCCCAACCCTTGGCTCATTCCCTTCCAATATTCGCGTCGTTCGACAAACTCCGCTATCGAGTTTCAACGAAGGTGTTTCATGGGGTGGTAACAATAGTGCATTCGGTGCCCCTCTTGTCTTCGCGAAACGGAAAAAGAATCTATTCAAAGGTCCTGCACTTAACACTAGCTCACCCATTGCATCAAGCAACGGACACGGCCACGGACACGCAAGAACAGGTTCGCATAGCCGAAGCGCCAGTTTAGCAGGCAGAAGAAGCGGGGAAATTATCCAGGAAGAAGATGAAGAGGAAATCGAGGAAGTTGACGTCTTTACTCCCGTTGTCGGCCCAGCTGAAACAGAAGAAATGGTCTTTATTCCAGGTGATATTCTAAGACTCGATGATTCAATTGAGGAGTCGGATAGAGAGAAGACGCCTACTAATGGAACTGTATAGAAGAAGATTGGAGCAAGAATGTTTTTGGTTAAGGGGTCAAGGGTGTATTGTCTTTTGGGGGTGGATGGGTTGGAGCGTGATTTTGATGCGATGTGATATGCATGTACAGATAGTGTACATAATTCTCTTGTACAATTTGTTTTTGAAGTTAATTTCCCTCGCCCATCTTACATCGTAGATGGCGAGCAACAAATAATGCATATGGATGGATGGATGGACGGACGGACGGCTGGAATGCATTGGTCGATTCATTACATAGAAGCGTTGTTTTAATTGTTTCCAGCACTTTTTGTTTTTTCTCTTCGCATACTCACATACTTACCTTTATTATTCTCATTTATTTTAAATACCTACTTCTTGTGTTTATTACTTCACAATGTCTCTACACACTATACCATTTATTTCTTTTGTCCTCTTTTTTTTTCGATTCGTGTTTGCTTTTTTTCATTCTTTTTTTCAAGTAGCAAGCTTTTGATTGATACCAATATTTATGTATAGTGGAGAGGAGAGAGGAGAAGAGGGTGGGTGGGGAGGAAGCGAGGGGGAGGAAGGGGGAAGGAAGGGGTGAGAGGGCATGAGTATAGAGGGGGGGAAAAGAGGGAGAGGAGAGAATAGAGCAAGATTGTAGCGAGACGGAGGGAGAAGAGGGAGAAGATATTATTATTTGATGAGGGAGAAAGGAAGATAAAGCGGAGGGATTGTATGTAGCGGAAGAACGAGGAGCGAGAGGGTGAGGAGTGAGGTTTGGAGACCAGGAAAAGAGATTAAAAGATTAAAAGATTTTTTTTTCCCTCGTATATATAGATATATATATAAATATAACCTTGTATAAATACAACAGGTGAAAATGATATATTTTATATATTATATAAGAAGTCAAATATTAAATATATATATATATATATATTTAATACTATTTTAATTTTCATCCATGACTTTGATAATAAACTTATATTATATATACACAGTTGCAAACATCTTCTCTCACTCACTCACTTATAAATAGTTTATTATAGTTTAATATAACTTAGCTTGATATACCTTAGATTATGATTTTGATTTCGATTACGCGTCATCAATCAATCACTCCTTACGAATAAATCAGTTTTGCACACACATACACACATACACACACACACAAAGACAAAGTTTTCTTCCTCACATAAGAAGTTTACCATCAACTTTTTTTGCATAATTTCCTGATGTGTAACCTATGGGGTATGTAGTGACAGAGACAGATACAGCTCACGTCAGCAATTAGAATAGATGCATGAGACTTATTTGTCACATCGACTAACGCCGGACCACCCATATCTCTCGCTGTTCCGGTCATGGTATTGAACCCCCAACTCCGTTTCCTACCCAGCCAGCCCAGCCACGCTAAGATGAAAGCCAAGAAGTACGTCCCAAAACGCCACATCATTCTTTTCTACATTTCTACATTGGATACTGCCTCTGCAAGCGATTGTTCCTGCTAGAGACGGGTACGGCACGTGGTGGGGAACTTCGAGATGTTCTTACTCTGTCGAGGCCATGCGGTTGCATGATGCGATGATGACTGTTTCTGGCGCCATTGTTGCTTATCGGCTGGGCTTGATGATGGTTTTGAGCTCGGCGACGACTCCGAGAGGCCGGCTCCACACGGATATGTCCATTAAGATCATCTCCCCAAGGACTCATATCCTCAGGGTTTTGGGCGTTCCTAACAGTGTTTTGATGTTCCGCAAACAACATGCTTATTCTCGGGTCGTACTGCTGAGCAACAGGATTTCGTCTTGATTGTCGACGTGAACCAAAGCCGATGGGGGTGTCTGATAAATCATCCTCAACCTCAGCCATTTCATTAGCAACACCAAGATTTTCGCCATAATGACTTTCTACGCTCGCATCTCGACTAGAACGTGATACACTAGGAGACACGCTCATTTCAGTGTCACCATCCCGATCCATATTGGTTGAATGGTCCCCGTCAGTGTCATAGTCGTAACGATTCTCGTTCTCGTTCTCGCCATGGTAATTGTTTGATCCATCATCTCTGTCTCTAGAGTAATCGATTGGTGTGGCATCCCCATCAATGCTTGAAGCATAATCATCGGGGAATTGTTCAAAGTCTGCGTTTCCATGACGTGGTGTCTCCGAGAGCCCTTGCCGAGACCGATCATCATCGTCTTCCGCATCGGAATTCGGGTTACCAATTGTCTCCGAATCGCTCTCGTCAGAAGCTCTTTCGTCTTCGGTTGTAGCATAACCACGATAATCATCATGAGGGATACCGTTGTTATCTTCATCATCTCCTTCATCCAACGGGCTCCAGCCATCTGATGCTCTCAATCTCATGCGCGTCTCATGAGCATCATCATCGCCAAACTCGGAACCATTTGTACTGCTACCATTTCCATCCTCCGAAATTAAGATAGATCTGGAGGGGTTTTCGGAGGAGCGGGTCCAGCCAGGTCGCGGTCGTCGACGGTTCGTAATCGCACCACCTTCATCCTCGGATTCATCATCTTCATCATCTTCTTCTTCTCCTTCCTCATCTGATATTATAGTAACCACTCTCCGATTTACCCGTCGTTGGTGGCTAATGGGTTGGCTGTCATCATCCTCTGGTGCAATAAAATCTTCAAGTGACCCAGCATCTTCGTCTTCACTAATGTCCTGGTTACTGGTGTCGGAATTAGTGGCATCTTCCGAGTCGTCCTCCGTATCATCCATAGAGAGATGACGAGCGTGGTAATGACTGAGAATATGTTGGTGAGCTGGACCACCAAAAGCATAGTGGCGGGCATTGTTGCGTATGTGGGCCGCGGCAATATCGGCGTCCATTTGATATTCGGCTCCAATCTCCAGCCCTACATCTTCATCGTAGCCAACGTCAATATCCGAAAGATCGCCATCCTCATCCATATCACTAAAACCGTAAATGTCGTCAAACTCCGCACCACAGATATCGCACGTTGGACCGCCCTCATGCTCATGCCCACATGAAGGACATCGCATGACCCCATCGGCTTCATCGCGCCATAATTCCCCTTGACGTATTGGAAACGAACCTCCGAATAATCCTTCTGGGCTATTCTTATCTTTTTCTACCATCTCAGTTACTTCGGCATTATTCAACTTGTGCTGTTCTACCGTCTCGTCATATGGCATTAATTGACCTCTATTGATAAATATCTCGACCAGATTTTTTACCTAGGGCTAATTAGTACACAAAAACTTTGAATATGACGTTCCCAAGACTTTCTTACAAGGAAGGCTGGAGCTGGTATCTGCTTCACCGGAGCGCGACATTCTGGGCATGTCTTCTTCCTCCTATTCGGAATGAACCATTGGCACAGGCACTATTTTCACATCAGCCCTATTCAAATATTCAAGTTCCTGAAGCCTACTGACATTATAACAGTATGTATGACCACATTGCAAGATCCATGGTTCGTAAAGTAGTTGAACGCAGATAGAGCACGTTAGGTATTTTCTCATGGACATTAGGTCCTCTTTGAATCCCAGAGCAAGCTAAAGAATACATGAGCCTGTGCCACAGAATGTACAACTCTCAGACGAACCTGTGTATTTTTTTGAACTGACTCTTCATCTTCCACGTTTATGATAGTTTGGACTTTCGTGGCAGCTGGTGTAGCCTCTCGACTTCTGACGGTAGACTCGCGCATGCGAGATCCATGGTTTGACGAAACTCTGGACATGGTAGGAGATGATGAGGGTTCCATGGTGAATTTCGGTATGGACAGTTTGTTCGGGAACAGGTTTTGAATCCCGTTCGAGATGGAAGATGAGGAGATGGGCAATCAAGCCAGCAATGAAAATAGGTTAGCTTCTCCGTTAAGTTCTTAAGAAGAAGCACCTTCTTTTGAAAGCGCCCCAAAGTGCCTTCTAGCTTGGCCTGTAGGTGGTAGTGGAAGAGTCAATGCTGAATTATGAAAGTCGATGCTGTTCACACAAATTGATTGCATCCCGCGAAGATAACCTTAGCCTTACTGCTGAAAAGACGGGGATAATGATCACGTGTGCTAGCGCGAATATCATTTAGCCCCATAACTTTTACCAGTATTAGCAGGGGTATCCTGGCCAAAGCCCAACTCACCGCCTGGACTGCAATATGATCCATACTGGCAGAATTATTTGATTAGTGGTAAATGAAGTGATTGACTGAAGCTATTCACACTAATGTTGAAGCTATTTACACTAATATCATCTCATTACACATTAATATCTCGTTCTATGGTTTGAACAAGCCATCGTCCGAAAAATGGTGCCCTTACTATTCGATGATCAGTAAATTACTATTGACTTATCAGTAAACATTACTGATCACAGAACAGTAATCAAATTAGATGGCTAAGCTACAATTCTTCAATTCTATACTTTCCGATTTCGGAAATTCAACCTCTCTTCCCACCCCCTCTCTTGCTCTTCTTTCCTCTCTTACAAAGCCTTACTATTATTAATCACAAAAATATATTATATTATTTAATATTTTAAAATTTTTATAACTGTTTATAATTTTAAATTATTAAAATATAATAACAATATAAATATATATAATATTTATAAAATAATAAATATTAATAAAAAATTCTTTTTTATAAATTATCAAAGAACACTTATAAGATATACTTTATTTAAAATCTAAAGTAATAATAACAATAACAACAATAACAACAATTTAAATATCAATCTCTAAGTACCTACCTACCTACCTACCTACATACCTACCTATTCAACCAATACAATAATATCACCAAGCAATCTTATACCAGTTCCAGCTCTCGAGTCTACAGAGTAGATCTGATTTAGTTCATCCTCTTTGTTCGTTCCTCCCCATACTCGAGCTTCTGAAACACTACTCCGTACACTACACTTCCTCACCACATTTACCGTTCTGTATCCCCGCACCTAATACAACCTGATATCGACATCGAATTGGTTCTCCATGAATGGACGCATATACGTGGCACCCATCTAACCAATGACCAATGATGAACAAGCACCCCGCACGAAATCTCCCACCACTCCATCTTCAATCTCAGCAAACAGTAGGTTCCTACTCTGTACTCTATATATACTGAATTCACAAAACAAACATCACCACATCAATCAGCATCAAGCAAGCCGGTGAAAAGTTCGTAAATACTATGTACTAAGAAGGGAATGAAATACAAAATATTTTGAAGCCAAAAAATTGTCAAGCAGGCAACAGATTAAGAGAAAGTATTTAATCTGCAAGTAGCACGCTCTTTTAACTTTAATCCCAAATCTAGAGAAGAATATTCTTCAATTCGGATTGATTGGCGTTAAAGAGGGAATATAAACAAAGGGAATTCGTATCAAGGTCATTAATAGCCTAGCCTTCATTATCTCCAACCACTCATTGGACTCTGGCCTTCTTATTAGGATTCGCAGCTTCGGCGCAGACTTCTTCCAGCTTTCCGGCCGTCACAAGTGATTCATCGACAATTTCTGAGTTGAGATGGGTGAGTTGATCGATTTCGAAGTCGAGGAACTTTTTGATGGCTTTGGCGCTGGTGGCACCAGCTTTCATGGAATCGCGCAGTTCCTTGAGCATGAGTCTGATACGGGCCTCGGCATTCTCTAATTGATATTCGACCGTTTGCCCATATAAATCGGAGAGATTGGAGACGGGTCGGACGGTGGTGAGGACAGTGTCATCGCGGACATGTGGGGATCGTGGACGGAAGGAGGTGACCATGGTGATTCTCTCTTGTCCGCCAAAAGCTTGCAGAGCTTGATGATCAATGTAGCGACCTTGTAATACTACAGCGCATCCCTGTACAATATCAATACACGTACTTAAAATTGGAATAACTGAGCAATCTTACCTTTGATGGACCACGGACTTTCTTAATATCACCATATCCAGTTCTCAAAGCAGTCTCGCCACCTACCATTCCTGTTGTGTCACTCATCATGAGAACACAAACGAATGGGTAACTATCTCTGTGCCAGCCAACGATCGGCTTTTCATCTTCCTCGCTGATCAAAGCACTGCTGTCATGGTCCTTTCTTTTTCCTGGAACAGACAAGTTGATGTGGCCAATCTCGTAGTCCATAACTGGAACAAGATCAACACCAGCGATTTTAGAGATAATTGCAAGGGTTTCGGGGTGTTTCCAAGCCTCGTAGATGAACTTTCCGTGACTTGTGGAAGAAGGTACGTTAGTCGAATGATCAATGCTAAAATGAGGCAATACATTTGAACTTACTCAGGAGCGTATCCACGAAGCTGTTTAGGGGCGATGTCTGAAGTGTAGCTGTATTTCTCTTGAACTTCCTTGTCGAAAATCTCTTCTCTCATAATGTTGACAGCCTCTTCGGTAAAGAGACGAAAAGGCTCGGAGACAGCGATTGGAGATACACCACTTGTGGCAGAATATCCAATCTCTTCCATCGAATGGATATAGCTAGGTTCTTCATATTGAATATGACTCTCGGAGTGGAATAGCTTTCCGACAGCTTGAGTGCTGTGCTCTGAAGCCAAATATTTGGCGAACGATCTTTTGAGGCTGTCTTGGGTTGCTTTAGAGGAAGTGTAGTTGGCAATTTTGGGAAATAATTTTGGCTCAGGAGTCCCTGGTTGGTAGCTCACGTCGATGGTTGCCATCTTTGCTGTGTTGATCTACGTATGTATCGGAGGAAGGTCGGGAAGATTCAAAGGCTGAATCGATTGTCGAAATTTTTGTTGGAGTGCTGAGGTGCTGAAGTACCAAGGTCGCGTGTTGTTGTAGTGTAAGGCTCTTGGACTAGAAAGGAGATTGGAGATACAGAGAGATCCAGGGCTGTTATTCAATACTACTGACTGTCAGACGAATACATAAAAAGAAACAAAAACTCGGTGGGCTTAGAGAGACATGTAGCCATAAGTAGAGAGCAGCCGTCGGAACGGTTAAGGAGAAGCGAGGAATTTAAGCAGAGTTTGACGCATTGCCAGCTCGATCACCACGTCTTAAGCCCCGGACTCAGTCTCAATTGATTTTGAGCGCAATTCACTGAATGCCTGTCTAAAGTCTAGATAGCACTCTTGAAAGATGTGAAGAAAGAGTCGGTGCAAGCAAACACATTCGTGCATGCAGACAACGCATTGGAACGATAATAAGGAATGTGGATATACTAACTAGCTAAATATATCTGAGGGGAATAGATAAGAACTTGCTAACTGAGCTGATGGATATTATAGCACAAAACAATAGATGATGTATGAAAGATGTTATGATGATTATTGTGAGTACTGGCTCCAGGGAGACAGTTCTTTTATATTTATGAGCAATGTTTCAATGCCTCACGCATGAAGTCCAATTCACGTTTGTGTAGTTATTTCTCGGTGCAACGGTTGTCAACCAACCATCACTTTACACTACCTACAATCCTCCGTGAGTTTTGCACGTCCTCGATGCTTCGATCCTGGCTGCCCTTGCTCAGCTCCTCCACACCTTTTTTGGCAGCGAGTTTTCCTTTCCCAGATTGCTTTGGACGGGGAATGTGGAGATAATTTCACGATAGCTTAGGTACAGTCGTCACTTCAGCGTACTCCTTATCGTTGGCAAATGTCCGGACTGGTCGATCGACATACCTAGGTCTAGCCCGAATAGCAGAATTGATATGTTCTACTAGGGCGTCTTAACATAGCATTGCTTCAAGGGGGTATGAATGCAGGGTACCATACACTTGCATGGAAAGTGTTTCTGCAAATGGATAGTGGAAACAACACGAATGATAGATGGGCACAAGATAACGTAGCGATCCAATCTTGGATTGGCCATAACGCCCAATCAGTGAGCTCCTCAGGAACGAGGGAATTATATACTAGTTCCATGCTCGAGCGTCATCAGCGATATGATTTTGCAGCTGACAATGTATAATTGGAGTACAAATTACCAAAGTTTAAAGGGCGGCGACCAATTGTGGAGACACGTAGAATCAAAAGTGGAGGAATTCGATAGGTGTGGAGGGCTAATGCATCACACGAGTTGATCTCAGACCACTGGAAATGATGACCCGAAATGGAACACAAAAACGCATATTAGCATTATCGGCTATGTTTGGCATGCTTCGCTTGATGCATTGAGCCGTTAGCAGACGTAGACATCTATCAAGAATATAGTATTCTTATTAGAGAATCCGGCAAAAAGACGAAAGACCGAAACATTAACAAGAAAAGAAAAGAAAAAAAAGACGCACTGAGGGGTCGTAAGTGAAAGTCGCAGTGGAGAGCTGCAGTAATAAGGTCGCAATAGGAGCAATAACATCGAGCTCTATTGTTTCTCTGTACCAAAATTAAAGGTTACCGTTGTACCCAATCCTGAACACATCCTGAACACGAACATAATGAGCTTCTTAATTGGGATAAGTTCGCATCTGTGCTACTACTAAAGTAGTATAAAGGTTCGTCTCAATAAACTACCGTTGGTAATCGTCCAAGACTGTTTAACCCTCCAAAAGCGATAATGTCTTGTGATCAACATCATCCCTTGACAAGAATTTGACACGGTCGCCATAACAACATTGGCAATGAGAGGATAGTTTGTGTGGAGGAAGGCCTTTGAAAGGAACTCCTCTACCAACAGTTGAAGTTCCTAGTAGATTGATTGAGCCTATTAACGTAACTGTAAATCTGTCGCGTAGGAACTTGACGACGGATCAAGTATGTACTTCGTATCCATTTTCAGTGAGTGATGTGGAAGATATTGAGCTGATAGCAGATCTTTTTCATTTGTCGCATATTGGGCTTCCTGTCGAAATTGGTGCAGCATACGTGTAATAAGCAACTTACTACTAGGTTATATCGCGGGCCTGATAAGATTGGGATGAAAATGAAGGTTTTATGAAGGAAGGAAGGTTGTAAGGTTGTAAGGTTGTAAGGTTGGAAGGTTGGAAACTTGTAAGAACAAGAGTACGTCGCTAAGAGAGATAGAGAGATCAATGGGAAGGCTTCCAAATTTACCGATATGTACGTCGATAAGAGACCCTTGCTCGTTGATAAGAAGAAAGAAAAGCACCGGTACCTATTGGCATGTGATTTCCCTCTCGGCTGATCGGCATCAGCGTCGGCATTGAGCAATGAAGAACCGCGAATCGGGGAATCGGGCAGTCGGGACTTCGGAAGTAAGACGCTTTGACTTTTTCCTGAGGATGAGAACTTACACTTACTCCGTAGAAGAGGCGAGCAAAAGATTCCAACCACCAACATCTCCATCTCATCTCAACCTGCACTACTCCCGTACAGCAAAATTACATTATGTCATCAGATAAATCTACAGATAACCCATGGAACCAAGAGACAAGTCAGAAATTTGAAAGGTATTGATAGGCCATCTCATTCATGTCAACTGACTGTGGCGAGAAAATAAAAGAATTCAAGACACTGATTTTTCCAATCAAGCAAACGTCCCGGCGAATACTTTGATCCTTGTCAAGAAGCTGCCTCAAGAAGTTTGAAATGTTTGGCTCGAAATGGAGGGGATAGAGATATGTGTACGGACTATTTCCAGTAAGCTTTTCCCCAGGATTTAGTGAGGAAGGAGGAGGTAGAAGTGCCGGTAACAAGTTCAGCTGTATGTGGATCCCTTGATATCCATTGATATCCAATGAACAATTGGGACTACAAGTTTCCTTGGGGTTGTCACAAGCTTTTACAAACTTTGGAAACTTCTTATATACAGGATTACGTACTGATTATTCGAAAGAGCATATCGAGACTGCAAGAAGCAATGGGTATACATCGAAATCTTTTCTCTCTCGGGTCAGCTAATCATTTACTGATATTATTTCTAGATCGAGCAACGAAAGGAGTCAAAGAAGAAAGCGGGGTGGTTTGCATAAGGAAACATTGCGCTTGTCTTGTATGTGGTATGTGATATGTGATATGTCGGTTTTTGAAAAGGTTGTAGGGGCGGATGTACTAGGGATGAGGGGGAGGGGTGAGGGGGAGGGGTGAGGAGGTGTGAGGCAAGGATTCGAAGCACCAAGACACTCCGCTCTCGAGATTAAAAAAAGGGGGGGTGCTCGTGTTTGATGCATTCGTTATTGATTGCAAGTAACCTTATTCTATAAAAGCATCTGAATAGACATTACTATTCTCAAATTCCAACTACTGCCGATATCTGTTTAGTAAGCATCGTTTGAAAGTAGAATACCATGATATTAGACAGTGCAATATAAATATCTTCCGCTTCCTGTATACGAGTATAGACTTTTAATCATAACTTTTCATTGTTGCTTGCCAATACGGTTTGCAAGATGCCTTGGAGCGCTAGGAATTTGGTGTTCTTTCTCGCTAATGAAAATCGAAAGGTGGAACCACCAAAAAAATTATTTGTTCATATTGATTATTGACTGACTTGTAACAAGATTGTGCTTGTTTCCAAACTTGTATCCGTGACAAGCCACTGCAACCTGCATCTGCATCTGCATATATCTAATTCATCAATTGCAAATCTTCTGAAGATATTCCGTTTTACTATTACCCTTGTGAGATATGGCTGACAGGTCACTCAATGATCGTCAAGATGTCCCCATTTGGAATGCTATTGAGGCTGGCAATTTTAAGCAAGCTCTGAAATTGCTTGACAAGAGGCTGGCCAAAAAAAGGACGTCTCATTTAGAGGTACGTGTAAATGGTGAGAATCACTTCAGATTAAAGGCCTCGTCGTTACGAATTTGATCATTCCTCTTCACGTGATGCATAATTATTCTACCTCGCAAATATAACTAAGCAACTTTCCAGGCATTCAAGATTTATATCAGGTCGCGGTCGTCTGTTCAATCAGAAAGAGATGTCGTACTCCCGCATCTCGAAGATTTGGTCAATAAGAAGGTTATTATCACGGATCAGGAAGACATCGATCTGTATGATGATGCTTTGGTTAACGCCATTCCAGAGGCGGGATCGATTTGGGCAAGGACAATTGGAGAGTTGCGATGGCAGTGTGTCAAGGCATATCCCAAACAGGAAGATTCTGCACTGAAGTCGTTCAAGGCTTGTTTGTCGGAACGCGATTGGGAACATGCTCAACAGGTATTTCAAGCGGTCACATTCTTCGCCACGAGAATGCTAATGAATGCTTGCTAGATTGCGAGTAGTCTTGAGAAAACATTTCCCAGTAAACATCAATACGTTTTCTGGAATATCTCTTCCTTATTCTTAAGATCTGTGAGTATTGGTACTTGGCAGGAACATATTCTAGAGCATGATCGCTTACTTGTAACCAGATGTCGACCGATCTGCCTATTGAAAAAAGAACTCTATGGGGCCGTTTGGCCTTTGGCCAGATCAGTAAACTTGCCACCGCTACAATACAAGCAGATGTATGTAAACTTCTGCCACACAAATTTTACTGATGTTGATAAAATTTATGATTTTAGAAGTCAAAGTCTCTTCCGACTCGCGCAATACATACACCACAGGAGTTGTTACTTCTACAACGAATCACTGCTGCACATGGTAAATTAGAAGATCAGTTAAAGTATCTGAATGAGCCTTCTCTCGGACCCGAGTCAATAGTAGCTAAAGGGGATTGGGAATTATGGAGAAATAAATTACAGCTCATGGAAGCATCTCAGCACTGGGAACAACTTTTCGAAACAACTAGTGGTCTTCTTAAACGAGCACGCACGAAGGATGAACGCGGGCATATTATCGATGCTAGAATGGCTGATTGGGCCGTATGGCAAGCGTATCTACGTTCTGCTCTTGCCTTGCAGAGCCCCTCGTAAGTACTATAATATCAAAAACAGGACAAAAACTTACAAAATCAGAGCTTTAGACAGTGTCTCAAACGAGATTGCAGCTCATCTCGATCCCACATCTGGAATCGACAAGACATGGAGACGAAATGCATCTTTAGCCTGGCTTGACTTTACCTTTAAAACTTCTTCTACCGCATTTGCTAGGGAGGATTCAGGACCAGACGTCGAAAAGTACCCTAGAGTGACTGCAATCGTCAAGTATTTGCAGGACTTTGGAGATGCCACCACAGCCTATAGCGATCTCAGACCTTACTTAGAGCTATCGCAAACAGATGAACGGCTTAAACTGCTCGAGATTTTTGAAAATGGACTTCAGTTCGGCAAGAAAGCCAAGGAAAATGATTTAGAGTCTGAGTTCGAAGCCCTGTCAATCTCTAAAAACGAAGTAAGTTGTACCCTAAAACCTTGATCCACCAACCCCTTTCTGATTTATAATATAGTTTGACAATGCAAATGATATGACAAGATGCGTTAATCTTCACAAATTGAATTACCTCGTAATGAGCAGTATCCCCGAGCATGAACGCCGGTCAAACCCACTCCACAAAGTTGGTCAACAGTCATTTATTTGCACGTACTGCTCCAGTCCTTGCGAAGTATACTGTGATGTGTGTCTCCAGCAACTCTCCAAAAACTCCATCGCGGCGTACACATCTGCAATGAGCGATGACCGAGTCTCTAAATCCCTTCTCCCTACAGATCGGCACCCTGCCGATGATTTCTGCACATTAGCGGCAATGTGCCTGATGAAACTCTCTCTCTCTGGCTCTAGCGATGTCGAAGGACCTCTCAATAGCAAGAAGATTGCTTATGCTCTCCAAGCAGCAGTATTCCTTGAATATGGCTGGTCAAAGTCTAAATCGAACTCCGACTTCGCACTAATTTTGGTAAGAATTTACTCTTCTCTCGGCTGCGGTCAACAAGCTATGAAAGCATACCTGCACCTAAGTTTGAAGCAGATACAGCTCGACACCCTAGGTTACATTATACTTGATAGGATCTCTTCCATGCATCCCCATCCATTTCCCACTGCCCCGGATGGTTCATCTGAGAATCTGAAGCCCCTGGACCATCTCAAGAATCAAAGAAAGATGTACAGGAACTGCCGCCATCAGGTTTCTAATAATACCTGGAAAGCGTTTGAGCATGGAAGTTACAACACAATATTCCAGTTCCAAGAGTTTTCTAACATTATTACAAAAACATCATCGGCAGTATCTTCTGCTGTAGAAACCACAAAGATATCGCGACTCTTAAAGCAGGACGCGCCCTCTGACGTTTTTGACATTCTTCGTAAGCTTGCCGCATCAATTTTTAACAATCAAAACATATCTAACATGTGCCTAGCAAAAAATCCGGAGATGCTAGATAAATTCTCAGACTCCAACGACTATACTTCATTTCCGGACTATGAGTCTACCTTGGGCACGGGGCTTGAGGAGTTGACCCGGTTTGCACCAAGTCCGTCTGTAAGTTTTCGTAACAAAATTTCGCTTGCACCTATTAATTCCGCCCAGAGCAACCGAAGCCGTGTAGACCTGCTTGTTGAGAAATTGATCTCCATAATAAGTCCCGAATCCACATGTACTCCAATCGACCTTTCGTCTTTCAGAGAGATCCTTTCTCGAGTATCAACTGAGTTGCACAAACAAGCAGGATCCATCAAAACCAGCCCAGACGGATCCTTCTTGACACACTCTGAAACAGCAGTACTCGAGGCATACACCGATCTCGCTTCCATCATAACCAAAGCCTGCGACCCCACCGCATCATCCGCTGCAGATTTCCAAACCTCGCTTGAAACCTCCAATAAATCCCTTTGCACAAAACTAAAACAGCATCTCTCCTTTATCGAAGGAGCTCAAAACGCAACTCCAGCTTTGTGGGACACTCTTCATATACTCTACACAGCCTATGATCTCGCATCCACCATCATCAATGCTACGAAATTCCTTTTGCAGAAAGATCTCAAAGCTCATAAATATCAGATAGAGCAGAATAAAGCTTTGGTCGAAAGCGCGAAATTGGTAATGGAAGCAGTAGCTGAGAAGTCGAAGGGAATTAAGAATGGATTGGATGAAAGTGGGTGGATTGATCGGGCGTTGGAAACTATGGAGGTTGGAGATTCTGGGGAGCAGTTAAGGAGTTTGGTAGGGGAGAATTTTATTGAAGAATGGGCTGGTTTTGTGGTAGAGGGCTGGAGAGAGTCAGTTACTGGACTGGGAATGTTGAAAGTTTAGAGGTGGTATGGAAGACTTGCAAGAAAAATTCGTGGCGATGCAGATACATGTCAAAATTACGGATATGCGATGACTTGTAGATGGACTATAGTTTGACTGTAGTTGGTCGAATTTTTCAGTCCTCTGCTCACATAATGTTCACGCATTTATCAAAGATTCCTCTCAAACTGATGTTCATATCACGTTAAATTATGTTCAATCCACCTGCACATAAGCACAGATTTATGTTAAAAAAAGCGCATCAAATACCATCACAACCTATCCTCCTCAGCAGCCTTTTTCTCAGCCTTCTTAATCGCAATTTGCTGTCGCTCCTCCCTCAAAGTAACGAAAACCCAGAACCAAGCCATCATTTCAATAAAAGCCCATGTGAAAATGATGGGGTTCTTGAGACCCTCGCCCCAGCCACCACTGCGATAAGAGCTACGGGAGGTGAGCATAGGGGAGGCGGAGGAGAATAGCCAGGAATACAAGGCTAGGCCGGCGGAGATGGAAAATCGGATAGGTGCTGCGGAAGGGCATGTTAGATATGATTTTTGGGCGTGGAAGAAAGAAGAAGAATAACGAGACGAACCTTGAGTTCCCCAGTGATATTGAGTGATATCTTCAGGCATGGATACGGAAACTAGGTCGGTGATACCAAGGAAGAGAAATACTATCCCGAGAAATGATATGGGTGCGGACCGGTGGTCGAACGAGCGTTCGTAGGGCTGTCATGTTGGATGTTAGTAAATATTTCTTGTACATTTTGATCGCGGAGCTTTGTCGCGATCATCAATTCATCGGAACTTCGGAAGTGGAAGTGAATCTTACCATTCCCATGGATTCACCCATAATGAAAACCAGCGACTGCTCAGCAATCGCAATAGGATTTGTTATGAAAAAGAATGCGAGGGTGATGTGGAAAAGAGATAGAGAGGTAATGATTGTTGCTCCTGAAATTATCCCCATGTTGGAAATGTTCTGCTCTCCGAAGATGGATTTGAAGTGAAAGGGGATAATGTGTATAAGGGTGAAAGGTTGGATGAGCTGGACGATTTTTTGGTCAAAAGATCACACTCATAAAAGCTCCCAAGGCCAGATGCCACCCTTAAAAACTTTAATTGATATAGGCGTTATAGTTCTTCCGATCCGAAGCAGGGGTATTTAGAAAATGTTCCGAGGTCCATCATCTCATGAGTTGCGACGCCTCAAAGTATCAGATGAGAAGAGACAAACCTTTTGCGTTTTCACAAGCCTGTCGAGATGGGAGAGCCTCAGTTGGAGGTTGCCAAACATATCAAGTATTGGCAAAGATGTTTGAAATCTCTATTACCTACTGCTTATACCAGCACCGATTCCACGCGCATGACTCTTGCCTTCTTCATACTTTCCGCTCTCGATTTACTTAATGTTGGCCCATCTACATTCCCAGAGTCGCAACGCAGGTCTATACGAGCTGGGATTCTGAAGTGTCAACATCCATTTGGAGGCTTTTGTGGTTCTACTAATCATAGGTTTCCCGATATATATTATGCGGATGTAGGGCAAGGGAAAAGGGATGTTGATCCTGCGAATTTAGCTGCGACATTTTTTGCAATTCTGAGTTTAGGTTTCGTGGGTGGATTAGTGGATGTGAAGAGAAGAGAGTGTTTGCGATGGATGAAAAGACTGCAGAGAGAAGATGGGAGTTTTGGCGAGTTTGTTACGGAAGATGGAAAAATACAAGGTGGGAGAGATATGAGGTACTGCTATGTGGCTACGGCAATTCGATGGATATTGACTGAAGATGCGCATGAGGAGATGGGAGACGATGACATTGATGTGGAAAAATTGGTAGAGCATTTAAGAGCTGGGCAGACATATGATGGGGGAATCTCAGAGAGTGCTCAGCATGAGGCACATGCTGGGTATACCTATTGTGCCATAGCATCCTTATCCCTTCTCAATCGGCTGCCGAAACTCCCCTCCTCGCAACCTACCGACTTTTCAAATTCAAACCCCACTTTACCTGGTCTTACGAACCTGCCGGAAACTATTAGATGGCTAGCATTAAGGCAGACATCGTATGATGAGGAAAAGAAAGGAAATGGAGATAATCATAAAGAAGCGGCACCGGACCATTATTTTGTACCAGATGTTGACTCTACATTCGTTGGCTTCAATGGGCGGTGCAATAAGCGGGTTGATACTTGTTATTGTTTTTGGGTTGGAGCTTCTCTAAACATGCTCGGGCACCGCAACGTTATCAACAGAGATGGATCTCGAAAGTTTCTATTCGAGAAAACACAACATATGATTGGTGGATTTGGGAAAACACCAGGAGATTTACCAGACATCTATCACTCGTATCTAGGTCTTGCTGCTCTAGCAGTGCTGAAGGAACCTGGGATTAAAGAACTCGACTCCGCATTGTGTATCAGTATGGATGCCAAAAAGAACATAGAAGAGCTAAGAAAAGCTGCATTAGTCCCTTATAGGACTTACTGGCTGCATGGATACAGTTTCAAAGTAAGGGAAGATAGCCCCGAATTTGGAGAAAAGATGGCGATGAATGAGGGACCGCCAAAAAGTCTAATAGATGCTTTTGAAGTAGTTAAGATAGCGGCATAATCGCGGCCTTGTATATTTATTGTAGTACTGTTTCTAATGATGATACCACATAAGTTCTTGTTTTTTTAGATGTATCAAGTCAAGAGGATTGGGCTTATGAGTTGGCATGCTCACTGATGTGTAAGCTTGCTCTCCACACGTGCTGCATTATTCGGCTTTTCATCGGTAGATTCGCTCAATTGTGTAATGTGAATTGTGCAATATCATTTGCCGAAGCTATGAGCTCCCTTCCACAGCTGTTTCAACCTCATCAACAAAACAACTATCTTCATCATGAGGCTTCTCACATTATCCCCTCTCATTCTCCTAATAAATGCGGTTTATTCATTTGACTCGCAGATTCCAATCATCGATGAATCATCCTCAGTCTCATTATCGCTCCTCAAACTTCACAAATCCCTCGTCGAAATTGAATCCACTTCAGGAAACGAACATGATGCCGGCGCATTCCTAATTTCTTATCTGAAGAAGCAGAATCTTACCGTGGAAATACAAGATGTGGATTTCGTCGAATCATCATCTTCGGAAAAGAAGCGCCAGAATGTGCTAGCATATATTGGAGACAGGAGACGAACGAGGACATTAGTAACATCACATATCGACACCGTGCCGCCTTATTGGCCATACGAACGAAGAGGTGATGAAATATGGGGGAGAGGAAGTGTAGATGCAAAGGCGAGTATTGCGGCTCAAATTACTGCATATCAGGACCTTATTTCGGCGGGCAAGATCGGTGAAGGGGATGTTGCGCTTTTGTTTGTGGTGGGCGAGGAAACATATGGCGCTGGTATGGGGCAAGCAAATGAGCTGGGTCTTTCATGGGAAACGGTCATTTTTGGCGAGCCTACTGAACTGAAGTTGGCGGCTGGGCATAAAGGCATAATGAGCATACATCTTACAGCGAAGGGCAAAGCTGGACATTCAGGATATCCTTCATTGGGAAGAAATGCCAATTCGATGTTGATACCGGCGCTTTATGAGCTAGGAAGAATGAACTTGCCGTGGAGCGAGAAGTATGGAAATACCACGCTAAATATCGGAAGGGTTGAGGGAGGCGTTGCCGCAAATGTTATTGCGGAAGACGCAATGGCGAAGATTGCTATCAGGATCGCTGCCGGTACGCCACAGGAGATACAAAAGCTAGTTTTGGATGTTATAGAGAAGACTGGGCAGGATTTAAAGGTCGAGTTTACTCAAGGGTATGGACCAGTGCATTGTGACATTGATGTGGAAGGTTTTGATACCATCACAGTCAACTACGGTACTGATGTTCCAAACTTGAAAGGAGACCACAAGAGGTATCTCTATGGACCTGGAGATATCTTAGTGGCTCATTCCGATCACGAGCATTTGAAAATCTCTGACCTCGAGGAAGCAGTTAAGGGTTACAAGAAGCTCATCGAGCATTCGCTGGCTTGAGTTATGTTATTCGGGGTATCCACAAGGACAGGGAAATAATATTTAATAATGAAGTACGAATATCTTTTCTACAATGGAGTTCTGGAACGGGAATCTGCTTCATCAAAGCCCTTCTAGGTTTCGAAGCAGAACCTATATCTTGTGATTCTTCGAATGAATGTTTGACTGTGAAAATTGGTGACAAGAGAATATTATGCTTATTATCGAGAGCTGCGACCAAATCTATCGTGGTACAACTGGAGTTTATCTTACATGGAAGGAGCCCTGACGCATGTGTATGATGCTTGCTCTTTCTCTGGACTATCATCTCTAGTTGATCTCGTATCATATCTTTGGCTCCATCCCAGCAATCGAACCATAAGTTCATATCAGGTATTAGAATTGATGCCCAAGGACTATGGATCATCATTTTCTCCGTTAGCCCATAAATTAAATACGGAAAACAAAGTCCAACTTTCATTCCAATTTACGGAAAAAACATACAGGCATCAGTATGTGTAGTATCCTTTTAGTTGCCCAATCTGTTATTTAAGATCCTCTAAGCATAACTGACTATTGGTTGATCATTAAATTAGATCCTCCCTATCTACCTAGGTATTCATTGTTTCATTTACTATCAAACAATGTCAAGATGAAGCCCCCTTCGAACATCGATGCAGTGGCCAAGAAAATCTCAGGGAGCCTTTGAAGTTCCAGCTTGCGAATTTTATAGGCAAGTAATGTTTAATCCATATATTAGCATCACCTTGCTTATTGTTTGTAGGAAAATGGGGCTTTTCCGGGGCTTTTCCGAGGCAATAGGTTGGTCGTCTCTCTAGCCTCTTCTAAAAGTACAACTGGTACGGTGACTCGTACTGTGTCCGAAGAACATCTACCCTACTATTCAGACGTCTTCGCGGATAAAATCAGCTCGTCACACGTCACGAGTGACAGCGATGAAGAGAAAGTCGAGACGATGGCGCTCGATGAGTGGGATGCCGAGACTTTCGATATGGCACTTCAGTGGATGTATAGTGGCAACGTCATCATCAGTAAATCGTCTAAACCTTTTGACCAAGTCCGATCGTATATTCAATTTTTTAAGATTGTAAAAGCATTAGAACTCGACGGCTCTCTCCAAATGGTAGAACAGAACCTTAAGAATACACTTATTGCCGCAGCGGAAAAAGAGGATGACGAGGATGGAGATGCATTCAACTGCAACTCAACATTTAAAGAAGTGCTTTAAGATGCTTTTACAAATCCTGTAGAAGAATCTGCCCGAGAGCTGCTAGCAAGTTTCCTCGCCGAGCCGTATGTCAAGCACCTGCTTACTGCTGATACTACTAATGCGAAATCGACGGCAAAAACTTTCAAGGATTTACTTAAAGAAGTTGATGGTCTGGGATTGAGGGTTTTGAGATTCGTAGCCTCATTGTTGGATGGTATGACGATGGGTAAGCTGGAGACTGGTGGCCTTTCCCGATTGTTTATGCGCTGTCCGTTGACGGGAAAGAGATTTGCGACGGGTAGCATGTTTAAGCGAACGGTTTTAGCAGCGCAGTAGGGTGGTTACTTGAGGTTGAGGTATCTGGATAAAAGGAATGGGCTTCTATAGTTAACTGGTGGATTTGGAGATTCTGTTTTGGGGGTTCATAGTATTTGAGGATGAGAGTTGAATTGTCTTGCTTTCATTCAGCGGTACTGCTTAGTTTTCATCTCGAAATTTCAATACTCGTTGGTTTTAAGATCTTACATCTGAGCTCGCCCTCAACATCTAATTTGATTGTGTGGCAGTATTATGGTGCAATAGATCCTTTGATAGGTAATTAATATCTTGTTCTGGGATTCGCTAGATTACTCGTAGACCTGAAAAAATGTTTTACTCGAGCGTTGTATTACTGGTATCTAGGTATTTAAACACTGCGATAAGTTGAGCAGCGAGCTTGTGATTTATGTGTGGCTAGTTGTCGATGAAGTTCTTAAGTACGACTTATTAGATCAAGTACGAATAGATCAATATACGCTTAGCGTCTCCAGAAACGAGAATAGATTGTTCTAATTTGGACTGACTGTTGACTGTTGGTTAAACTGTTAAACTCTTGGATATTGAGAGTAAGTGTTATGAGTTTATAAACTTATTTATTTCACTCTAATATATGATCTGGGATTTGAAGCGTGGAGTCCTCGAGATGTTCAGTTCAGTTCTTTTCTTGCAATTAATTGATAGATTTGATAGATTTGACGTTGGTGGTTTCTATTTTTACAGCCTTGATTTTGTGTCGATGAGGATAACTTTTAGGAGAAGAGTCTTGGGATTTTGTATTTATGAGGTCTGAGTGCTGGAATCTTGGCGTTGTTGGATTATTTGGTGGCTTCGTGGTCTTTTTGTAGAGGGAGCTATGCAGCGCTATTGATGGATGTGAAGTTGTTATATTGGGTTGTTTTGTTATTGTGATTATTTTATTTATGAGTTGATGAGTTGGTTAGCAAATGGTTTGGTAACCTTTTCTTTTCTTAAGAAATGTGTTCGATTTATCAATAACTTTCTTAGTATATCATGTCTAGTTCATTCTTGATAAGTAAGAAATCATCTTGTTTCTTAAAGAAGTTGATAGTATGGCACAATATGAGTGAGCCCCCTTGTAGCTGTGGTCAAGTGCACAGGCTCATGGTATGGATTTTCCAGGACTGGCATTATACATTTGTTGACTTAGCACGTATGGAAAGAGAAGAGCAGGAAAGACGTTGGAAGATTTGATATGGGTAAACCGGTGACCCTTTTCGGCATAGACCAATACAATCCTTCATAAAGTATACCCCGGAAGTTTTCTATTGAAGATGGTAAGTGGACGTGAGTTGCGGTCCAGGGACTTAGGATCACCACCTCAAGTAATACTGTCGGCAGCAGGAATAGAACTACAGCATGAAAAGCTGTCTTTGATACTGTAAGAAGTGGTCTATAACATCCGGTATTTTGCCTGCGGGTAAGACAGCTGGAATTCGTAAGGAGGTGTAAGCGAATTCCTGTTGCAATATGTTCATCATCACACTAAGTCTCAACTTATAGAATCGCTAAAAGGTCTACCAGAAATGATTCTGCTTTCAAATTTGTTTTCTTCGCGGCTTTTAGTTGGAGATGCTCTGACAAGTGTTATTGCCCCGATCACGAGTTTTGTAAATAGATACAGAACAAACTACCTTCGTCGGTATTGGATGGAAGGCAAAGTTGAATACCGATGTGATGATGAAATGCAATTCGCGCTTTAGAAGGAGACAGGATGGATGAGCATAAGCACAGATGAAAGCGACTTGATATTTTATCTGATGTTCTTGCATTGTGTGGTGATGGTGATGGTGATGGTGATGTTGAAGTTCTTTCCTTTCTTTCCTACCGTCAAATCATGATCAACAACATAGTTATAGTATTCCATCCTTCCTAAATAATCTAAAGGTTCACAATTCCAAACTGAGGTTGTATTATTGTCCAATCAGATGCGGGCATTGGAAATTCAGATTTGCAGGAAGCTTCCATGAATACTACCTACCTAAATATCATCTTGAAACCTCAAATTGAGTCCAGGCATCAACGTGTCGCGTTCAGCAAATCGAGGTCGGCGCTTCCTTTTCAAAGCTCAAGAACCTCACATTTAAAGTAAGTAGCCATCGAATCTCCCTTCTTTTTCACCATTTTAAGTTTTACTCGAAATGATCTAGAAAATGAATAACTCAAGATCTCCAGTTTTCGGTACCAGCTCGGTTCCCTCCACTTCAGGAGGTTACTTTCCTTCAGCTGCAGCTACAACTACAGTATGGAATAAAGCTCCCGTCATGTGCGACAATCAATCTGAGCCAGCCGGTCCGTCTTCTCTTCCTGCGTCAAAGAGTGTACAACTACATCCTCTCTCGGTTTCTTCAAGCAAAATATGTGATTTCAGCACAACTTCAACTGTAGTATCATCAGCAATGAATACTTCGACGCCGCTTTCTTCTGCTCAATCGGTTCCTCCTACACCTAGTATCTCCAGCGAAACGGGCGACCCGAATACAAATGCTACGTCGGCGAGGTTAAACATCTTTGGTTCTAGTTCATCTACTACAAGTTTCAACCATTTAAAATCCAGCTCGGTCAAGGTTGCTGCTGGCAATCCGGCAGTCCAAACTTTAGGGAACCTATTTACCAATGGTACGTTAATTTAACCATCAAGAGAATTTCAAACTTGAAACCAGTTCCTCCATTTCGGATATTGACTTTATCTTAGCATCACACAAATCAATTGATGCGCCACCCCAGAAACGCGTCAAGACCGCACATAACATCGCTGCTCAACTTCCCGCCAATGAATTCACAAATAAACTCGATTTGTTTCGCGGCCCCGAAGTTCTTGTTACTGCAGGTACTTCATTGGTGGTTAAAAGTTACCGAATACCCAGAGCATTACTCGTTCAAGCATCGCAATACTTCGAAACCGCCATCAAAGTTGAAAGTATTGGTCAAGTTTCACAGGAGATGCTCCAGATGGATTGCTCAACCTTAGCCTTCGATTTCGTTGTGCAGTTCCTCTATACTGGTACTTTTGTGTGCCCGAGTTTCATGGCAGAATCTGGATCAGAGCAAATAGTAAGTCTCCATGAGATCTTTTTAATGTTCAAATGTATTTGCATGATTCAGGTTGTTGAGAACATCATATAAGAAGGAATATTGGAATGGGATGAGTTCTCCAACATGCTGAAGCAATGCTAATCCCCTATGTTTGCAGACTATCCTTGTAGATTTTCACGAGTTGGCAGAGAAGCTTAGCCTTGATATCTCAGACAAGGTCTTGGATAATATCAAACAATTACTTGTAGATGATTATCGTAACCTTCTGGCGAAACATATTCGCAAGGCTATCAGCTTTCCAACTGGACATGGACTTCGAATGTTGTTCGCTCGATCATGTATTCATGCCTACCTTGAGTCTGTCAATCCCTCCAACGAGCAAGCCCGGACATTCATTTTCAAGAAGGAACTGGATGAGCTGGATGGATTTGCGGCGGACCTCATGCGTGTATATGGTGAGGTAGCAGAGAAACGTGTGCCAGCCAAGTTCGCTGAGTCGAGTGATCTTCTTGATGGCGAGACATTCTATTACTGAAGGAACAATGGATGGGGATGTACTTATGACATTATGGTTGTTTCATGTAGCTAATAACATAGGAATCTCTTCTGTCGCTTCAACAACTTTGAGCTAAGCATTGGGTTGGCTTGCGATGAATAATGGACGAGCTTGATAGGAACATGTGGGACAACCAGAGTAGACAGGTACTAGGTTAGCTATGTGACGTATCAGACGCATTAAATAGCAACTCTGTACAACGGCAAACTAAAAATGAAAAAGAACCTTGTTGGCCAAATAATTATTCGATGCTACTGTACATGATTAGCGTGAAATCAGAGCCTTAAAAGAACTTTATTCTTCCCTCCTCCGCATTTACCTTTCATCTCAAAACAACAATATCAAAATACCTTGTTGGCCACCAACCTCAATAACAAAACCCTTCCCGATAACTTTCAAGATTTCAAACTCAACTTCCATCAAGCACTTTGATATACAATATCAAGCAATCTTTCAAGAGATTCAATATCATATCATATCAAGAATCCAAAAGTAGAACATCATGGAAGACGAAATGTTTCATTTTGAGGAAGACGACGACGAATATCAAACCTCCGACGATGAATACAGCGACGAGTTCGAAAGTCAACCATGGGATCGAAGCAACAGGAGAAACAGAATTGCGAAATCGGAAGAACAGGCTTTGAGAGATATTCCTGCAGATGTCTTTTTGAGGTAATGTAGGATCTTATTACTTATCTAGGTACCGAGAGGTTGTTATAGGTTCTTATGTGCATTACATGCGTTTTTTGTAATATGTACGAGATGGTTAGAGATAGGATTAACTAACTTTGAGGTCCTAGCACGATCGATCTTTCAAGTGGTCCTACTGTTAAGATTTTTCTCGGTGCTGCTGGGGATGGCTTGAAACTACAAGAACAGCAGCAGCAACAGCAAGCGCTCATTCTACCTAAAACCCTGCTTTGTACACATTCAGCATTTTTCAATCAGGCTTTTAATGGTAATGGTAACGGTAATGAGGATATGAAAGAAAGTCTCTCCTTACCTCAAGAACTACACCTTCCAGGCACATCACTCACAGTCTTCCAACTAATCATCCAATTCCTCTCCACTAACACCTTCACATTCCCACTTACCATCACATCTCCCTCCGAAAAACAAACCCTATATCTCCACTTCTTCACCCTCTATCAAACCCTCCACATCCGCACCCCACCCCTCACACCCATCCTCACCCATTTCAAAACGCACCTTCGACACTCCTCTATCCAAGGCAAATTCCCCTCACGCACAGACATACAGAAAGCACTTCAACTCCCACGCTCCCACGAAGCTCGCAAACTATGTATAGCCGCCTGTGTAAAACCCTACGCGTATTCCATCACAAAGTCAAGTACGTGTTATGGACGCGCGCTGTTTCATTTAGAGGGATTGATGGAGGAATCGGATGAGTTTGCTGCGGAGCTTGTGAGGGGGTATACGAAGGCTGTTAGGGGGGCTTTGGGCGCTCATACTATTGTGGATCCGTTGACTGCGGCGCCGTATGTGATTTCGACGGGGGTGGAGTGTTTGAGGGAGGGTGGGGAGACTAGGGGGAGGAGGTGTGCTAGTCATTTGGAGGGGTTGTGAGTTTGAGTGGGAGGTTTTTGAGGTTTCTGATTGTGTGGGAGGTTTTTTTGTGGAAGGGGAAGGGACAATGAGAGTTTTATGCGGGGTGGAGTTGGTGGTTAAGGGGTTTGTAGGAATGATAGTAGGTCGATCAATGGTGGCCTTTAATCTTTAAGGAAAATGGATTGGTAGACAGAGAAATGGATATCCCAGAAATAGGTAAATAACGAATAAATCAACACATAAGATTACAAAACATAATTGCACCACAGATTACAAGCTTGATATCCGTATCCATGGAGAAGAAGAAGAAAAGAAGGACAATAAAAAAAACCCTCAAAAGTTACTCACCATCTACCCTCATCACTAACTACCACTATTAGCCCCACAACAGAAAAGAAAAAGCTCCTCTTCCTTTTCCTCCTCACACAAAATCCCATGGTCACTTCAAAAACAACAACAACAACAACAACCACAACCAAAAAAGAGCGAAACCCAAAGCGCAACGCCATCAAGTCCCAATGAAGCACATCAGTTTGTGGGGAAGGGAGTAAGGTTTGAATTAATGAATTAATGAATGGAGGCTTTGTATTAGCTTAGATTAGTCGAATAGATGAATGGATGGGTATAAGATTACTTGACGAATATTGAAATAATGGAATATTTGAATATTAGAATATACGATTAGAAGAGTGGTGGAGTGATGGAGGTATGTTGAGGAGGGGAGAGGGAATTATAAATGAACATTAAACATTAAATATTGAACATTATGAGCAGAGCAGAGTAGATAAGATTATAATTAACTATTTCTGCGTACAATTCTGCTTTGTTTTTGTGTAGAGTGTGGTGTGGTGTGGTGTGGTATGATCTTTCAGTAGAGTAAAGTAGAGTAGATTCTTCGGGATTGTAAGATTGCTATTCTTATTTTGCATGTGCAAATATGTTCTGTAGGTACCTACCTACGTAGGTTTGTGTGAAGTATAACATCATAAATTAAATCAGCCAACCCATTTAATATTCGATTCGGGGATTATATCGATATAAAGACAGCATAACTCTATGTTCCTTTCTAGCATCAGAATTACTTGTAAGATTACCGAGAAATGAATGTTCTGCGACCATGGAAAATCTCCATATATCATCATCACAGATCTAACTTCCCCTATCCTAAGCTTGCATTATCGCAGAACATAGTCATTCAGGCAGCAGTTATACTAGATACATACCAAAATTCAAACAATGCGCTTGAGGGAGACAGTGCTTACTGCTCATTCTTCGAAGCAAGGAAACTTCCTTCCAGTGCTGCTTTGGCAAGGCAAGCAAGACTTCGCGGACCGACCAAAGTTGCAGCTTCTATATTCTGGAATAAAATAATAACACTTGAATCGTATTGCCTAGCTATAGCTAGCTAGAGCCGGGTCCAAACAAGATATCCACCCGTACGTAGAGAGTAATTTCGCGCCTGTCAAAACCCATGGCCATTCCATTGTCCAGGAAACATCCTAATAAGTCCCCGACGAAACAAAAAAACTTCTGAAGCAAACTAATGTTCCGGAATATCTTCCTAGGACAGCATCACACCTGGTGCCTAGCAAACGAGTCCACTCCAATATCAAGAGGCTCAACTTCATCCCCCGGAAAGAAACCCGACTAATAATTCCGAGGTGATCAGGCACTGAAACAAACCTCTTGGCTCTTAATCTAGAACGCTATTCATATACACATTCATATTCAAATGAAATTCGAAACCGAATCTTCGGATCCTTCGAATCAATCCAAACGTCACTAAAGTATCTAGTATTAAAAGCGAAGGAGAAGGCTTGAATACAAGGCTGGGAGATCCATAGAATTTTCTAGATCTGCATCTGCATCTGCATCTTCAATCCCTCAAATGAATGAATGAATGAACCATGAGGCTAGAAGTGGAGTGAGTCGAAAAGCCATGTCAACTTGATTTTGCTAATCTTTTGAGCCGCCGCAAACGAGCTTTGCTAATTTGCTGGGGATCGATGTACGAATTCCGTAATGACAGAGGAAGATATACTCCGTAAGCAGTACTGCGCATGCTGACCCCCACAGATTGTTTATGCTTCTAGAGTGGGGGATGGAACGCCCAAGAAAGTTTCATGACCAGGTTGGCCCGGGTGAAATACTTCGTACACGTGTCAATTCCAAGCTGAAGGATCAAATATTAGAGCCTCTTTTGACGAGACCGCATATATATTTCTGGCTTGAAAGTTCATGTACCAAACCGAGCGTCTGTTTCTTTTGACGATTAAAGCAAGTTGTAGTGTTTGAAGAAAAATTCTCGTGTCGACCAAAAAAATCTCTTGCTGCCGTGAAAGGAACAAAATATGCAGTGACATGGAGAAGGTGGCCGCATCAAAAGCGGCCAGTATGCCAGCACCCATTTTCAATGTTATGTTATCGCATCCTTTCAAATTCCAGCATCGCCGAATACAAAGCAGACCGATTCAAGCCGAATGCATTCGGAACGAGCCTCATCAAGTTAGGAGAATGGAAAGCCAACTATCGGACATGTTGGTAACATGCTATTGAAATTTCCTTCTTTCATTAGAGCTCCACCGGCTGCGGCGTAGTGCGTGCTCTCCGATGTAAATCACGGGATTCTTTCCTGGAGGGAGGTTTAGAGCGAGGAACCACGTAATATTCCGCAATATATATTTATGCTTCGGAGAAGCCGGGCGGCGGGCGTTCTGTTTAATTTGTGATGTGATCAGCTATAACATCGGCACTGGCAGTGGCAGTGAAAAGGTAACAGTCGACGGTGCGACAAGAACTAGATAGTGGATCCGGGATACGGAGTAAGTCAATATTAGACTAAATGGATGGATGGATGATGTTGATTTCCGACATCATACCTAAATCTTTCCATGGTCCGTTTCAGTGTCAGTGATACTTACGTGAAGGAAGTGTTTGAGGAAAAGGCTGTGGAGACTCGATGATCCTGATTCGATAGATTTTTGCCTTTGATAAAGTTTAGCATCGTATATCGTATCCCCACGTTCTGGCTAAGTAGTTTGTAAATAGAGATTGTAAAGGTCTTCTTATCTTGCACGCCGGAACAGGATACCTCACATTGGAGGCCATTCATCATTTGAAAGGGCGTTAGCAATATCCCGACGAAGAGAATGTCATGTCTTCTTTCAGGAGAAGTAAGCAATTACGCCTCAATGCATCCGTGTCTTGCATTGATCCAAGGCCGTAACAATAATAGAGGTCAAATGAAGACATGGACCTCCTTCCCGATTCAATATTCTGTGCCTCCGAAATCAATCTCAAGGAGCTGCAGGGAGTTAGGTTAGCAGTTTCTGACTGACGGCCAGTCCGACTCTGCAGGGCCATAGCAATATTCCTACGAAAGCGATGATGCATCAAACAACCTCCCTTGATGATATTTATAAACCTCCATCAAATGATCACGACCATGACCAAATCTCACACGGCGCACCAAAAATAACGAACTCCTCCCATCGCAACCAGACAATAATCAATCCTCCATCCTGCAACCTCACCCAAAAAGAGTACAGGACTCCATACCTAGGTAGTCTCCCAAATCCAACCCCAAAGAACCCAAAAACCCAAAAACCCAAAAACACACCCCTCTCATGCCCGTTCCCCCTAGCTTCCCAGCCCAACCAATCACACCCCATCCTCGCCAGTACAATCTCCAATCCCCCGCCAAAACTCCACACACCACACATCTCAGCGCTTAGCAACGATCCCACTTTCCCTCCAAACCAATGAATACGCATCCACCACAGAAGAGCAATCCACAATCTACAAACCCAGCCCTGTTCTGTCTCGCACCCCTGTCCTGGCGAGTGTTAAAAAAGCTCCGAATCTGGCGGCGCTTAGATGCATGCATGCAATCAATCAATGCATGTTACTCTTTTTTTCTTTTTTTCTTTTTTTCTTTTCTTTTTTTTCTTTTCTTTTATTATTTAGCCACTCTGCTTTTGTCGATGGTTCTAGCCAATTGTTTTGAATGGAGGTGCTGAGATTCTGAGACTTGGGAATTTTTGGACATGGGGCCTTGGTTTGTTCTAAGTTCTAGGTCAGATGGATGGTGTGGATGGGGTTTTGCTGCTTTCCGTTAGTGTGCTTGGTGCTGCTTTGTGATTGTGCGTGCTTTTACCTGGGAGGGTTTTCTTTTGCAAAAACATTTACTAATAATTGGTTTCTATTTTCGTTGCTGCTAATTGTACCGAATGTCATGCTTGATTATCTAATTTTGGTCACGGCCATTCATTCCAGAAACGTTAACATGCAATGTTAACGAATGTTGTTGCCGGAGTGAGTCCACAATGCTACACGATGAACGAGGCGTTACTTTCTCAGCATGCCAATAGAATGATTGATTTTATAGGTAGGAAGATCATGCTTAGTCTTCACCTTGCAGCTCTTGACATGCACCTTGCAATATATATGGATATCTCATTCTCATCCCCCCAAGTGCGACACAATACTATAGCCCAAAGCTAGTAAAGTTCTGACTATAAACAAAATATAGCTACATACACTAGACTAATGACCAATACAGTAAGTAGCTAGGTAGCTAGCACACATCCCCCATTCCCGACCCCGTTCTTTAAACGGGAGTGAGGGACTGAACGAACGCACGCCACGGCTACCACGGGGGATCTTCCACCAGTTCCATTCTCAGTTTCATGACATGCGAAGCTATACGTGACTTCCGAACGTTAAACTTCAGCCAGCTTCGTAGCTTGCTTCTCGATCATGACCTCGTGGCTAATTTGATACGAAACATAGTCCACTCCACTTCATCTCACTTCACATCACTCCATGCAGCATGCAGTAAACAGATGAATGAATGGATGTACTCCGTATATGAAAATAGGCACCGTATGGAAGTGGGAAAGTGTGAAAAGAATCCGAAGAATCACATCTCATCTCATCTCATCTCATCACATCACATCACATCACATTACCAGTCGGTACTATTTCTACTTTTACTTGAATCTGTGACTTGATAGATGGATGGGTGGATGATTGTGGATATATGGGTATGGTATTGGTATTAGTGTAGAATGATATAGTATGGTATGGCATAGGATACAATACACCTACTATTATATCATAGGTACTAAAACTATACCTACCTAAGATAAATATACAAGATAGACGTCAATCAATCAATCATATCCATATCATATCAATTAGTTCATAATATAAACATAACCTAATCTAATCATTCAGTCAACCACCACCCAACTAACTAATCAACTCAACTACTCTACTACTCAACTAATCAATCATTACATCTACTACACCCTGTCACATCTACACCCCATCAAAAAAACATAAGACAATATAATATAATAATCATGATACACAATACCTACACAATACCTACACCATAAAAATCAAAAAATTAATACTTAAAACTATAACGTGATATATATATATATATAACATGAGTATTGGTGAAAATGGAGAGTTATTAATATATACACGTAAGGAACACCGGGAGTTATATTAAGATAAGATGGGCATGCGTACGTACCGCGACCGGTAGATGGCCATGGTTGCTTTGAAGCAAGGAGGAGACCCGGACGCTATCCTAGTTAATAAACTTTGATTGATATAGGTAGTTTAGTTCACTGGCGGTTTGTAGTTCTAGTTTTAATTTGAATTTCTATGATACTGTAGTTATGGTATAGATAATTAGTGCGGAGATGAATATATGTAGTAATAATAATAGTAATTGATTTTGTATTTAATTGTATAGCTTATACAAAACAATACACTATAGCTTCATCTTCATCTTCATCTTCATCTTCATCCCCATCCCATCCTTCCCATATCCTAGACTCCCTTGCTTGAAAATCTCCAAGCACTCGAGAACTATTGCATCCTCCACCTGAACTTGCCCGTGGAACGCCGCCAAGAAATTATACGCCAACAGCCAGCAAAAAGTCCCATCCACCTCGGAAAAAAAAAAGCCTGTCCTCCGCTCCTACTCCTGTACTTTGTAAAGTCCAAGTAAACCTCCGAATGCAATAGCCAAGCCGTATTGTAATCAAAGTGCGCTTGCTAGCCCCAAAGCCGCGCTATAAATGATGTTCACTCCGGAACTCCAGATGAGACTCCAGGCTATTTGCGCCAAGCTCGTACATTTTCCTCCCTAAATAAGACACGACCGTGTCATTATTGTCGTAATCAAGAAATGAAGCCATAAAGTCGTAAGATGTATTGATCTGTAAGTGACAACAGTATAACAAAAGAAATATGTTGTATTTAGTAGTGATGTTGATGTAGATGTATTTTTAAGGAATGTGTTGTATAAGGAAATGTGATAAGTGTGATGTCGCAAGGAGGGGTAAAATATTAGTATATCCTTTACTCCACATTATGGTCGACTTTCCTTCTCTTGCCCTTTGGTGCAGGACTCATTCGAGGTGTATATGTGACTGTGCGCGTAACAACTTCCCTAACCTGGCGGATGCTTGATCGTGTTTGCTTTTGTGGTTTTATATCAAAGTATCTTCCTTTGCCTCTCATCTCCCAATCAAATGGCGAACGTGCGCTTCGTGCACTAAAGGGAGAGCGTGCGCTTAAAGGAGAGTCAGCATATGAAGATGCTGGTGAGACTGGGATGCGAAGACGTCCCAGTATTGCAGAAGATGGCGCAGATGTTGGGTAGATGAACGGCGTAGGAGGGACAGAGCTGGCTGGTGATCTATGCGCATCGCAGTTGCACGAACAGTCGCTACTTTCACTGCTAGTCAAAGAATCGGATGAAGGTGCAGAGGTAGGTGTTGGTCTCGAACATTTAATCTCCGCAACGATAGGACTATTCATCGTCTTGAGAAAATCGGTATAAGCAAGAGGAGGGGTAATTGGAGTCTTGATAGTATCTTCTTGTTTGATGATGAAGTCGGCATAGCCGGGAAGCGGGCTGCGTGCGGAATTTGATAAAGCTGATAGCTCCGAGGGAAAAGTTGAAGACATTGGAGTCTTTAGTTGTGGAAGCTTCGGTTTGGATGAAGACATGGTTCGTTTTGGAGGAGGAAGAATAGGTGCGCTTGCGGCTGCCGGGGCAGAAGTTTTGGTTGGGGATTCCATTACTTGTAAAGAATGACGACGAAGATAAAAGGGTTTGCAAACAGCGACGACGGTAGGGTGAAGTCCGTAAAGAAGGTAGTTAAAAGTTGAGACGTTTTGGGACTTGGGGAAGTATTATAATGTGAATTCGAAATAATGTTTCCCCAGCAGCTGAAGCAAGGTAAGGAAGGTAAAGAAGGTAAGGTAACGAAAAATAGCGCGGAGAGGAGCAGGGTATGTCTGTAGAGAGTAGAGTATTGACGAATTTAGCAGCCAGTGCTAGATTAAATAGAGTAGGGCGCTTGGGGGTCGTTTTGACAATGAGCGTAATTGATGATTGATGATGGCCGCCTTGGTGGAGTCCTGGCAAGGTAGAGGGTGGTAGAGGATGTGGGTCGTGGGTAAGACAAGGGGAGTTAGGAATTAGGAGTAGTGGAGCCTCGAGCTAAACTAGCTTTTCTACTACCGCGCTGCCGTCAATTATTTTATTTTAGTCCTTCCAAAATGGCTTGACCGTCCAATCATATGCTGGGTATGGGATCCAACGTGGGAAATATACTGGAATTGGATAACAAGTAATAAAAAGTTCCGATGTATAAAAGCGGCGAGTCGTCGTTGTTTCTGGAAGCGAAAAAATAAAAACAATGTGACTTGGACAGAGTGACTGGGGGGTTAATAATAAAGTTGATCTGAGACTCGGAGTCTGAGGTCGGGAGAGGGAGAGGAAGAGGGAGAGGAAGAGGGAGAGTTCAAGACTGGGTTTTCTGATGACTAGGAATTTCGAAGTGGATAAGAAGGGTCAATAATTGATCAAGGAAGACCATCTACAGAGGGGGTACTTGAAGCCTTGGAGACTTGGAGATGGATGCTAACTAGACCAGGAGTTGGATTCGAGACTTTCGTAGTAATAAGTAGCGAAGGAATACGGAGTAGAATGATGATGGCAGGGTAGACAAATGCGAGCGATGTTATCTGATAGAACGTATGTATCTTGTGTAATGCAGCGACTACTCAGACGAGCTGTCTAGGTAGGTAAATGATGGTGGCAGTGAGAATCAGATGCGTACAAGGGGATCTTCAATGCAACCAACGACGTGATAGGAGGAATGTAGATGTCGTGAATTCTGATGAGTGGCTTCGAGTATGTAATTGTGTGTCCCGCACCAATATCAACCGACAAAGTATCAATCCTAAGACGTGATTCGCGTTTTGCGTTTGTGGTGAACTGCAGGAGAAGGAAACCTGAGAACTTGAGCGGTTGGAGTTTGCTTCGATTTGATTGGCTCTGCTTCGATGGGGTCACTTTGTGAAGTACGGAGTACGGGAGTATAGGCTATAAGCTATACTTAGAGCGGATGTTACGAACGGTGTCGGGCGTCAAAAGGATGCCTTTTAATTCGGTAAAGTGTCGATATCACTGGATTGTTCCAATAATTGATCTAATGATTGGTGCTTTTGTCCAGGAGGGGTGCGATAGTGATATTGGTGACAATGCTTTTTATTTGTTCTTTGGTATTGATGAATTGATGAAGTGATGCAGAACAGGACCGAACATCAGCGTGAGAATGGGGGGCTAAGTATGGGGGGTTGAAGTATGGGGGTGAGAAGGGGACCAATAGAGACAATATGTGGCCGGTTTCGGAATGAATTCACGAATGAGGTCCTGGTGAAAGTTGATATAGCTGAGGAGAAGAGATCGAGTTACAATTGATGTGCAGATAGATAACTTCATCAGTGAGACTCTCGTCCCCATTTTGTAATCTGTTCTTACCGCTCCTCTGCTTTCTCCATGTTACAATCCGCGCGCCCATCTAGATAAAACCCCCAATGCTCAATTGATGAAAATTATCGCGTCGTCGAATCATCCATACCAGAAAAGTTTTCTTCAACTGATAGCCTTACAATTTGGGCTCTTTCCGCGCGCCTGAGGGGGCGGCCGAGGATAAATGGAGCCGCCAGCCACGAGACTTTCTCAACAGTTGTTCGGAAAGTGGCTCAAGATATGAATGTGAATGGTTCCATATCACTCAAGCTCTCAAGCTTCTATCTGACGACCGGAACTCAATACAGCAGCGCGCGGTTCGGGTTAAGTCCACAAGGACGGGCTATTCTATCGAATGAGAAGATGTCACGGTGTAGTTTCTCGAAGACTTCTATACAACAAAGTAGTCAAGGGTTACCACTCAAGTTCCATGCTCCCTTGCTATCTCGCTGTCCCTATCATTCTTTAGAGCGATCAAACTCGTGCACTCAAGGATTCTGACATGCCTTATCTGAAGCTTAAAATGCTCCTTTGTAGCATATATAGCAAAGAAACCAATACGACGGGTCGATAGATCGTATACTATCTACATCGCGTGGGTCAAGTAGTGATCAAGGGACTATCCGCAACATGATTAGATGGCCTCAAGGCGGCCAGCGTTAATCATTGAGCATCATCATCTTCTCGACTCTGAGTAAGGATAGGGATCAGTATTTCGTGGGAATTGCCCAATCCTAGTAGTTAGAAATCATTGTAGCATGACTAAGATGGGATCAATCCGTTGACCGGGATACACGGGATGAGACGCAGGATTTAGTGAAATCTATAGTCGTTGACTCTCAAGAACGACAAAAGAAGAGGATTGGATTAATTCCTGCCTTTGATTGTATCAAGCGATAGTTCGGAATAGAGGAATTCCACAGATACCTTTCTTTTTTTTTTTTGGAATGATAATCTATTGATTTAAAATAGATAAACCATGTGATTATTATATCTCCTTGGATACTTTGATTGGTTCATGCAATCGGAAAAATTATCTATTTCAATGCCGATCCAGATGCGAAAGGTGTCAACCAGACCCGAATCCTCTGCTGCCGCGTATCACTCATGATCAGACAGTTCAAATAATAATTACATGATGATATAAAAGATCAAACAACCTTTTGAAAAGCTTAAATGGGAGACTCGAAAGCCCCTGGCAATCAAGTCTATCAATTAGCGGAATCAAGAACAAAATGAGTCAAACTTTCATTTTTGGTCGTTTTTAAGAGCCAACAATTTGCAGTAGTGGGATTTGAATGTATCAGTATGCCTTTGAGTATGCGATAGAGTCGATATAAAGTGTGATCTAACGGCGCCATGACAGGTGGTAGGATTCTCGTTGAGAGGATTCCAGATAAGCAATATTTCTTTTTGGTGCTATCACCATGGCCATCATCCAGTCACTGCGATATCATCACTCAATAAAGTTTTCGAAACGCCCTTGACTAGGCGTGGCAACCTTTCAATGCTCCACACATGCGAGTGATGTCCAACGATATTGACGCTGGTGATGACACTTCGTCGCAAAGTCAATGATTAATGATCCGAGAGAATGCACGTGGAGCGACTGATGTGGGTAGGTTACTAATCCCTTAGCATGTTTATTTTTGTGAGTAGAAGGAAGCCTCTGCCAAGTCGAAGCTCGCTGGATCATGTGAAATCCCAATCCATAATTCCGAGGCGGACATCACCAGCTCGTGTGATCCTTCAAAGTCTATTGAGACCCTCTTTTAATCCCGTGCAAAGCATATCGGGTGGGCGCTATGAGACTACAAAAATGGTTCCATATCCACGGGTCGTAGTTGGGCTCAGAAGGAATCACCCGTTCCTTAGAGTGGATTTGTGTCTGAGCCGAGAAGTACGAAGGAGGACAATACGGCTCCAGGCTTTGGGTTCTTAAAGTTTCTTTTCATAAAGTGGAACTCCCGCAATTTCCCTCACTGTATGTTTATATTGCCCTGCATTCGACTGAAGTATTTCAGTGACTTCCAATTCGAGGACTCATAAGAAAGGCATAACTTAATAGGATTAATCGATTCGTTCATCCGCTCGCTTCTCCTAGGACATGCCTTACATAGGAATCATAAAAATCGATAGATTCCGCACCTGACAGAAACGGGTTCCGTCTCGCTCTATCTCCGCTGCGCCGCACTCGATTGAAGTAGCTCGTTAACTTCCAAATCGTGGAGCAATAGGTGAAGGCCATAGCATGATAGGGTTGATTGGACCGAGAGACCGTCCGTTGCCCGCCCGTTCATTTCGTAATGTGCCTTACATAGAACTCATCAAATGAATAAGTTCCACGTCAGGCAGATAAGTACATATGTACTGTAGTTCGCACCTAGCTGTACTTTCAAATGTACCACGTAGGCCGAAAGATCAAACAACGATGTATTGTGTTGGCCTTCAAAACCTCTTTCCTAGGATGTTTTCACTCCTTTCCATTGAACAAGTAAGAAATTTATCTCTGGATAAGTAGGATACTTTACATTATTAGGCCAGCCTAGATGCAACTCTGACATACGATGCGAAAGTCAACGTGTCGATATCCCATCAAGTCTCAACATCTCACAATTATTCCGTAGATCCACACCGAATATTCTTATTGAGCGCGTCAACGACTCGCTTGACCACAAAAGGATATACGACGAGCCTTAGCTGCTGAATGGCGACGGTGAGAGCGATCGTGCGCCATGGTCACTTTACCCGGCGCCACCCGACTTTTCGTGGATATAGCCTATATCACCCTGGTAAACGGATGGCAAACAATCAAAAATGCATGTAAATATTTCCCAAGCTGCGGGGCGATATGGAGAAACCTGGGGATTGAAAAGCTTGGAAAGCTTTTATTTGTTGGTGAGGAGTCCCCAGACCAGGGTTAATGCTCAGTCCTTACCCTTTTAGGCTTTGTCTCCATCCCGCTTGCATAGGCGAGACCTCTGACAGCTGATGTTCGAAGACGTTAGTACCGCTTACCGACAGAGTGTTCGAGGTAAATATAGTAGACGAAGACTTTATACGGGCCGTGGTTCCGTATGACCGATTTGAACAATGTGCAGAGCGAATTCCGGTTAATCAAGGAGGGTAAAATAAATATAGGGAGTTTAATGGGAAATGTATATAATCCCATGTTTCCCTTGTGGAGAATCGCAGGTCGTGAGAGTGTAGTTGAGTCACAAGTGAACTCGTCGGCCTCCCTAGAATTTACTTGCGTGATCTGTAATCTTGAGGCATCGCAGGTTTTGTTACTGCAGTCAACATGGATTTCCAACATACGAAACCCACTTTCGAACTCGCGGGCCAGGAGTTTCCTCGAGTAACATGGTATAAGCAAAAGGGAATGAGAGGCTTGTACTGTTGTTTGATGTTCGTCGTTCTGACCTCTGCGACAAATGGATACGATGGCTCCATGATGAACGGTCTTCAATCTCTTCCCGCCTGGGAACATTGTGAGTGTTTTTGTAACGAACTGTGTAAAGTATGAAGCTTACACACGTGCCTTAGATTTCCATCCCACAGCCTCCCAACTTGGACTCCTCAACTGTATTATGTCCGTCGGCTCACTCGTTGCTCTTCCATTCGTACCATATGCTGCGGATATACTGGGCAGACGCACAGGTGTGATGATTGGCTGCGTACTCATGCTCATCGGTGTACTTCTCCAGAGTTTGGGATTCTCGTTTGGCATGTTCGTGGGTGCTCGATTCTTGATCGGATTTGGAGTCGCAATAGCACATGGTGCATCACCATTGCTCATCACCGAACTGGTCCATCCACAACATCGGGCCATCTACACGACCATTTATAATACAACATGGTACATTGGAAGCTTCGTCGCCGCATGGTTAACATTTGGTATGGAACACAGCTATAAAAGAAACATTTTGAGTTTCAGCTGACCTCATCTTCAGGAACGAATAACATCGCAGGAAATTGGTCATGGAGGGCCCCGTCCGTCGTACAGGCTTTCCCTTCCATACTCCAAATGACCTTCATTTGGTGAGTCTTTGCTTGTTGTGTTAATGGCCGAGTAAAAGCTAATTTAAGTCAGGTTCGTACCCGAATCACCAAGATGGCTCATTGCGAAGGGTAGAAACGAGCTAGCACTCAAGATTTTGGCAGACGTACACGCTTGCGGAGATCAGAATGATGAAGTTGTGCAGCTCGAATACCAGGAAATTCGGCAAACAATATCACTCGAAAAAGAAGCAGAGAGCAACCCATGGGCCGAGCTCTGGAAGACTCCTGGAAATAGACATCGTCTTATTATCCTCGTCTCCCTCGGTTTCTTCTCTCAATGGTCAGGAAATGGTCTCGTCAGGTGAGTTTGTATCAGTTCAAGGTATGCGAGGATAAAAATTGACATGATATTTTAGTTACTACATTAATATTGTATTGGAACAAGTCGGCATCCACAGCTCGACTACCAAGCTTTTGATCAATGCCATCCTTCAAATTGTCAACATGATCGTGGCTATAACAATGTGCTTCTTCGTTGATAGACTCGGTCGACGTCTATTGTTCATGGTGTCCACGGGGGGAATGCTTGCTGTCTTTATTGTTTGGACCATTTGCTCGGCTCAGTTTTCGATGCATGGAAGCGCCGCTTCTGCACATGCCGTTATCGTTATGATTTTCCTCTATTACGTGTTCTATAACTGTGCGTGGTCGGGGCTTCTGGTTGGCTATGGTGTCGAGATTCTGCCATACAACATCCGTGCAAAGGTAATGAATCCCTCTGACCTTTGCTAGCCATGCTAATTGAAATTCTAGGGATTGACAATTATGTTCTTGGCGGTCGACCTCTCCTTGTTCTTCAACCAATATGTTAACCCCATCGCTTTGGACCACCTCCACTGGAAGTATTACATATTCTACTGCGTATGGTTATCTTTTGAGTTCTTCGTCGTCTGGAAGTTCTACATCGAGACACGTAACACTCCTCTAGAAGAAATCGTGAAGCACTTCGACGGAGACAATGCGATCGTTGGTGGTCAAGCTGCAACCGAGAAGGCAAGAGTCATTGCGGCAGAACATGATCTTGCGATTGGTGGTGACACTGAAGGTGGCCTAGACGAGAAGGCAGGCGTTTACCATACAGAGGAGAGAATGGTTTAATTTCGGCGGTGTTAGTATGTAATAAGGGCGTGTATAGTTTGACTAGAACCGGATAACTATACTCGCAAATACAAGTAATTTTATATCCATTGCGTTCTCATTATGCTCTCACGAATATACCAGTTCGTTATGATTGATGGCGTACGATGATGTCCAATGTCTCTTGCCAAGCCCCAGGTATCGATGGAAGTACCCTCAAGAAAAATCTAACCATCAAGAGAAAATCTTGGTTCGTCTCCTGATCTTTGGTCCATTATTAAATATGTTTCCAATGTCATCCTTCGTGCTTCCGTGTCTCAACAAACATCTTCAATTCCGTAGCTGCATCCCTAGCAACATCCTCAAGCTCTTCTTTCGCCGTCAACAAAGGATAATATGCCGCAAAGCCCTGTAACGTTGTCCAGTTTCTATACTCACAAATATTCTTCTTGCCTTTAATAGGCACAACTTCCTGGACTCTCTCCGTGCCAAGAAGCCAATCGGGGTATAGGGTAGTCTTCGCCGCAATCTTCTTATGCACAGGATCCAGCAAAGTCAAGACAACAGGTACGCAACGGTCCTGTATATCTTCGACTCGAAACTGGACGGAAGTTAGTTGTGCGCACCTCTCCTGTCGATGGGGGAATATCTCACCGAATAAAGCCCCATCGTGCCCACGGCGGGCATTTTATCCTGACCAATATCCCATTTATATTGGGAAAATCCACTTCCATATCTTTCAAATGAGGTGATTGCATTGAAAACCTGGTCCGCAGATGCGTTGATTTTGATGCTTGCATATGTTGTAAGAACAGCTTCGTCTTTCCTAATGGAAGGTGTAGCAACGAGATGTTTTTCGTCAACATAATTTTGAATGAGGAGGACAATGATAACAAGTAGACATAGAATCAAGAGAGCTTGAAATGAGAAGATATAAAAAGATATCCCCGTCATAATTGAGATATCTGACTAGGTATTTAGGTAGGTATCTGAAGATAGAAATATGAAGATAATTCACTTGTCCAAAATTGATTTACTTGTAGAGATGGAATGGAGTGTAGTGGAGAGAAGAGAAGTGAAGTTGACGGAGAGTGAGGAATCTTCTTTTGAGCTTTAGTGAAGATCTCATTTTCCTTGTTATTTGCCCATTATTCCATATTACCTAGTTTAAGCATAAGTACCAAGGCAACTAAGAAAAACAAAGAGAATATACAATACCGTCTACCTTTGACGCTATTTGGTCTGCGCATGTTGATGGTAAATTTGTGATAATTTCTGTAGACCGATAGACCGGATTCACCGGACAATTTTACATAAACTTTAACCCCTCTACTAAATCTCTCAATGATTGGCTGACATTAGCTGACAGATGTAAATCATAAGTCCCCAATCTTCTTTAAGTGTTCTTAGCGCCATCTTCTTATCCAGCTCTCCACTTTGAGATTAAAACTTAATTGTAACTCGAGTAATTTATTCGTTAGTAAAAGTTAGATACATGTGTTATCTTCAGCAAGGTTGTCAATAACTTCGTTTTTACATCCGATATTACATACATTCAATCTATCGTCGCCGCATTCGCATACATTTGACGGATGCATACATGCACACACACATGCACATATTCATTCATTTGGACCCTGAACATTCGCTCAAAACAACCTCAACAAACCAGACTCATTGGAACCATTTCATCACCCCACTATTGTATCTAGCCCGGTCCAGCCCACCTAAACAAGATAAGATTGTAAGTGGAACATTCGCACAATTCAAATAATTCGAGAAACCATACAATTTCAATCTTCAATCCTTCAAACCTCCCAGCAGAATTGCCTCACAAATCGCAACGCGCAAAATGGATACATCCAAGGTCTCAATATTCAAGACATACGACAAGCCTCGAGGTCAAGGAGGCGCGAGTTCTTTCGCGACCTTCATGATCATCGGTCGTAAGTTTTCACTCCTCTATCAGCTCCCATCTCAATCCAATTAACACATCACAGCCGTATGTTTTTTCCTCGGCATCCTTTTCTCCTCATTTCCCTACGACTATCCTCTCCTCTGGACCACTGAAAGCACTCCCGATGCCTATTACAATTTCATTGAAGAGCATCTAAAATTCATGCATGCATCCCCGCCAATCATCCCACGCATCCTACACATTGTCGTCTCGGTCGGATTCATCGGACTCTTCACCAAGCTCTTCAAGCCTTCTGAAGCTAATCTCCTGTTTGATGGCGCATCGCTCGTTCTCTATGTCGTGGGCGTCGTGGTTTATGTTACCAATATTGTAAAAGGCATGCGCATTGTGACGCTTGGATTATATGGCGAAGCGGGTGCGCCAGAAGGAGAAGTGGGAGTTGGGAGAGAAGATAGTTTGAGGGTTTTGGCGGCCAGTAATACGATTTTGGCGTTGGTATTGGTGGGAGTGTTGGTTTTGCAGGCGGGTCAATGGTATGCGGAACGGAAGGATCAAGACGAGGCGGAGAAACTCGAGAAGGAGGAACAGGAGAAGAAAGAATTGGACAAGAAGCAAAGGAGTGTAAGTGGGCATGTCACCAGATCTGTTTCGAAGAAGAGACAGTGAGGGTCTCAATGGGAAATTGTGTATCTACGGTGGAAGGGGCATTGGATCTAAGTGTAGTAATATTCTAATTCGCTTTACGCGAAGTAATTTATTCCCAACGAAAGCAATCTACTTATCACCTTCCAAAATCGTCCTTACCTAAGTGTTTTGTAACGTTGGCTTTGACAAATATTGGCCCATCTTCTTACTAATCTAGCATGATCCCTATTATCTCTGACCAGTTCATCCCCCTTTCTTTTATCTACCTAACCATACAAATAGAAGCCCTAGCCGAGCATTTGGTATCTTACAGAATCATCATAATTCTCGGAATACAAGCAATGGAAATATTACTATATTTCAAGTATTCATTGATGCCTCATGAGGTCCGCTACGTAGTAGATTATTATCAATTCGCTTTTATTATTTTTGTTATTTATTTTATTATTTATTTTATTATTTATTTTATTATTTATTTTATTATTTATTTTAATAAGTCTTTTTTATTAAATATATTATAAAGTTTTTTATTTAAATTTTATTATTATTATTATTTTGTTTAAGATTATTAATTATAAAAAGAATATTCAAGAATAAATTAATTAATAAAATATTAAAATTAAAATTAATAAAATTATAATCAAGAATATTTATTATAACTATGATTAAAATGATTAAAATTAAATAATAAAAACAATAAAAGTGAATTGACAAGTGACCTGCTACATGGCCGACCGTAGCCTCACATCGTATCACATCATCCAAACAAACTTCAATTTTACTTCAGTGTTCATTATATTATATTCATTACCATCTACTAAAATATCTCAAATACCTCAAATATCCCAATTCGCATCCGAATTCCCATCCGAATCCCAATCTCGATCCCAAACCTAACCCAACCCAACCCAACCAAACCAAACCAAACCAAACCAAATGCCAGCCAGTAACCAATAAACACATTGATAAAACAAACGAAATGACTCCTATGCATGCATATATGCTTCTGGCTTTTGGTAGAAATATAACGCCGTATTTCCCTCCATATTTCCTTGCGCGGAAATTTCCAAGTAAAAACTTTGGGTAAAAATCCAAGTAAACTAAGCAAAGTCCTTTATTTTCGAGTTGAGAGGAGGGATGGATGTTTTTATTTCCTTCTCTGCCTATCTCCTTCTATACGCTGTGATGATGCTCGTAGACGATCGTACGTGAACAAATGAAGTGTTGAGAGAGGTAGAAGCATTGGAAGAGAAGGCCCATATCGATCGAGTGTTCCTCATCTGAATCCATCAATAAACAAACAGAAGACAGCAGCAAGCAAATCACAAACAACCCCAACCCACAATAAAGCCAAAAACCTCGCATCACATCGCACCAAATCCCATCCCATCCCCACTCCTAAATATCCCAATAAAGATTCCTCTGAACATAGAATTCAAAATCCACCACATTCAACTCACCCCCACCATCAATCCTCTCCATAAACCATCTTCGGCCCTCAAATTCCAACTGTCTAAACTCTTCCATCCCCATAATCACGCCCTCCGCATTCGCCATCCCCACCGTCTTCCAATTCTCCTTCCCAGGCTCCAACCTCTCGTTCAGTTCCTGATTACTCCGAGCATGTGCCCTCACAACCGCAAACGCGTATTCGAGTTTGGGGAACTGATTCAGGATATCAGTGAATACATTGTCGAATTTAGTTTTAATAGCACTTCGGGCCCAGGTTCGGAGAAATTCGGGACTCATGTCGGAAAAGTTGAAGTCCTGTGGGAAGGGAAGATCGAGATTGATGCCAACGGATCGGATGTTGGTGAAGAATGGGGGAAGGATGTCGGCAGTGGGGAAAACTGGCTCACCCGGCCTTGGAGGACCATTGGGTGTCTGTATGATGATCAGCCAGCCCACGAGACTGCATTCAGAGACCTGGCAATACATACATGTCTGCGCTCCCGATACCGATTTTGTAATTCCTCTTCAGTAGCCACCAATTCAAGTTTATAAGAGAAGTTTTTCGACTCTATGGGACAATAAACCGGCTGAGGACAAAATGTCTCGTCTCCGAATTTCAAGATAAAATCATCACTGATAGGATTAACGTAGAAATAATGAGCCACACACGTGCTGTAATTTTCATAGCCTGGGGGGATTCCAATATCTCGGGGGTTTCCATACACATCGACGGGTTCTAAGATTTCCAAGCCGTATTTGCGAGATTGATGGCATGCGTGCATTAATGCTGGTGTGTGGGGACAGTTGCCAAACTTGAATTTATCCCGTTCAAAATTCATGATGATGGTGCGTCGATCATGCAGTGCCGTGAATTTCCATATACTCATTTGAAGTTCCTCGGGTAATTCTCCGAACTTTTTAAAAGTAAGGGGAGTACTTCTCTCCTCAAGTTCGATATAACTGAGTGACATCGAAGTTTCCATACTGTGTTCTTCGGAGGAGGAAGGAGTCGATATATGGGAAATGTCGATTTGCTTATCGAAGTCATCAAATCCATCAAAGTAATCATTCACGCTGTCCATGTTATTAGAGTGGCTGACGTCCTCGTGATTATCAATATCCATATCGTGGTTGTCGCTTGAGTGGATGAGCTGAGAATCCGCCATTGTTCAAGATTTATAAAACGTATCAATTTGAGATGGGAACACGAGATTAAATAGTGAATTAGGTAGCTTTTCAAACTAAGGAATATGACCTAAGACTCTCCACAAAAGATTTTAGCCAGTGGATACCTAGTGATTAGGAAAAGTTCTAGAAATATAGGGAAATGGAACCTTCTTGCATTGCGAAGTTTTGGAGTGAATGATTGAAACAATTGTAGAAATACTTGGCTCGGCTCTCAAGCGTCAGTGAGAAGTTTACTCTAATTTTCTTTGGGGAAGTTATCTCATCATCTTCATTTTTCATGCGATGAATGAAATTATAATCTATGATAGGTGAATGTGTGCAATACTAAATTAGGGTAACTAGCCTAGTACTACTACTACCACCACCACTACTACTACACTACCACTACTAGGAGAGACTACTGGAAAGCTGACTCGTTCACAACCAAAAACAGCAAACAGCAGAAACGGAATCATATAGAATTACTCATTCAGAAGACCTTCTCAAAGGAAATGTAACTAGGTACTTATGAAGAATATACTAGGTGCATAAATCTACCTGGTAACCCGATTGTAACCTCACGAGCAATTATGCAGGTAATTTTGTCACACGGGTTTGGACTTTGAAACACCCCTTTTAACATGCCATCTGTAATCAAGGAGGCATTGTGGTGGTAATATACGCCTGCCTTATCCCACCACCTTTGTACTTGGTAAAACAAACATGAATTCTACAAGCGGCTCGAATCGACGACGTTAAAGACACCCATCCACCATTTGGTAAGGACATGAAACGAGAGCTGTGGATGAAGAGTAGGTTACTTAGTACCTGCATATATTTAAGTTCACCCTACTGGCTCTAGAAGAACATACCGGCGGCTACCATTAACATCGTTGATATCCATATCGATGACATAAGAGCCACGTTGCATTCTCATCACCAATCAGTCAATGCAAACGAAAGAATAGTGAAACCCATGGGAAAATATATAATTTGATTTGTTGTATATTGTACAGCTTTTACTAATCACAGCCCAGTAGAAACCTTGTCTCCCACTTTGATGACTGGGAATTGGTGCTCTTTGGAGGGCAAAGATGATGGTATATGACACATATGAGAGCCGAAGAAAACCTTCGATTCAAACCTACGTGTCTTGGCCAATGTAACAAAGGGCTCCTCGTTCTTTTCCGCAGTATCCTGATCAACACATATCATATGACAACGCCGACAGGACCCTAGCATTTGATAACTTTCCGAACCAATGCGTAACATCCTCCAATGATCCTCGCTATATGAATGCTGACGATCACTGGGTTCGGTTGATGCCAGTACAATATTACCTCGAAAGACAGATGCTGAAGCAAGCTTGCCACCACTCTTGGCTATTTCTTCATTTAGCAGATCGATACTGGACCTATTGATTGCAAGTATGGGGCTTTCATTTGACAGTAATATCGGCCGCTTTCGATTTTCACTATCAGAATCGGGCGGCGTCGGAGGGCTAAGAGAAGATTCAGTAGTTGACTTCTCATTCGTGACTGGACGTTTTAGTTCTTGGTGCTGTCGCATGTGTGCCTTTGCATGTCTTGAAGAAGGGCCACTTCCACCAGCAGGAAATCGTGCCAAAACACAAGGCACACCCAAAATCTTGGAGAAGAAATCATTAATTTTATGATTAGAGTAGGTCTGCGCCACGATAGCATCTCCACAAACTCTCGATGATAATGAATGAATATTGTTTGGAGTTTTGTAGAATGATGGGTCAGAAGATAAAGGGACATTGATCTCATTCGCAAGACTAGAGGAGCTTAATCCTCGATATCGAATTTTTAGCAATCCTAAATCAAAATCGATTGCTGGTTTGATCAAAGCCATTCGTGGGTAGCGCTTTTGACTTAGCGCTTGCCCTGTGCCTTGATGAACAAGGCACCATTCCCTATCCCAAGCAAGGCCTTCTGGTCTGACTTCCCAAGAAGTTTCTTTCGGAATCTCAAAGCCACCACAACTTTTAATTGGGTAGATTGTAAGACTTTCGACATACATGTCAACCGACCTAGGAGTGGCAGTGTCCTCATTAGTAGAGGATACGGCCGTTTGGTCCACGAAGAACTCTTCCATAAATGAAAGAAACATCTCAACATCACTCATCGTGCTCATAGCTCCTAAGCTCACGCGGATCATCCCTGTAATCTTACCAGCGTAAATATCGGTCTCTCCCCCACATCGGAGACCAGCCGAGAAATTCCTTTTCGTCTCCCACGGTTGAAGGTCTAATGCTGATGCAACACCACCAGGATTACAAAGACCGCCAGTCCGGATGTGGTACTTTCTAATCGAAGCCAACCTCTCGAATTCGATATTGGTTACCCAGGCCCCGAAGCTGTTTTTGACGTTGAAAGCTATAGTAGGTCCTTGCACTTTGGAGGAAGTTGAGTATGAAAAGCCACGAGAATAAATCTCACACACTGGTTCGGCATTGGAATGTCGTAAAGATTTCAACCCTTCGTACAGTTCTCGTGCAAGAAATGTGGTATGATTTGCAATGCGCTCCATAGAACCATACAGTGATCTATGGACATCTATTGCGGCTTCCAAAGCCATGATATTATGAAAAGGTAGAGTACCATCCTCTAAGGTCTCATGGAATGACTGTCCTTTCGGTGCATGCCATTGCTCTTTCAAACAGACTACCACTTCAACTGTTCCACCTCCAAAATACTTTCTCGTTTGAAGTATCGACCCAGAGTCTTTCCGCACGATCAATGCACCTAGATCAGGAAATCCAAATATCTTGTAGAAGCTAAGAACTGTAAAATCTGCCGCCTTTCTAGCATCACTCAAGTCTAGCGGAGAAGTAGAAACTAGGGCAGAAGCATCTAGTAATGTATATGTGGTTGACTGAGTCCGACAGGTAAGATCCCGCACCTTTTCCGGCCAAGATAACGGTAGTCGTCTACCATCTAAGTTTGATTGTGCTGGATATGCGAAAAGTCCAATCTCAGCATCATGTTTCTTCGTTACAAGATTTTCTGACCCAGATAGCCAAAGCTCCACAGCATCATCATCTAGACAACGACTTGAAGCAGCATCTTCTCTCACTCCAACAAGACTAGTGTGCGAGTCTTGATGATACCCATATAAAAATCCACCTGGTTGACTTCTGAACGCATCCATAACAAGTTTAATTCCAGCCGTAGCATTTGCCACAAACACTAAATCGAAGTCTGCCGGATCGGCATTAAAGAACTGTAAAACACTCAGACGAGTATTCTCAATGCGCGAAGTCGATAACTGTGAGGATGTAGAGGCAGAATGTGGATTCCCGTATAAGTTTGACATCATATCGGCCATATATCTCTCCATAAGGGACTTTGAGTAAAGAGTTGTACCGGCATGATCAAGGTAAACGGCATCTGGAAGTTCTATTAGCATGGCATATACATATTTCCAATTTTTATTACCTTTGAGCATGGGATATTCATGCTTCCTGATTTCTTCTACTGCCTTATTGTACTCCATATTATCCTCAGCCATGTTTACACAAAACAAACTTCATTAAATACCAAATATCACTTCCTCGCGATCAAGGGGGATCTAAAAACGAAGCAAAAGACTTCCAAGAATAAATTTGATTGTTCATTCTCAACAAGTTGATAATAAGTATGATATTGGAGATGTAAAGCCCCAAAACCTCCCCGCATCAACAATGATAGGACAGCGGAGTTGGCCGCCACACCAAGATCCATCTGATCGACTAGCTGCGAAGAATCGTGATGCCTGAGGCCAAATTGCGGACTTTGCGGACCCTCATACAATTTTTTGGATCGCGAAATATCTCCTCGAGAGCCAGAAGCCCATCACCCCTCCAAATATGTTCCGCTCGCGCTTCCCACGGATAGGGCACTCTTTACAGAGGAACTTCATCAGGAGTCTTAGCCAAAGTGTGCCTCCATTGAGATATGATTTCACAAATGGCATTCGTGAATTCATTGGCCCGCAAGCTTTCGAGCTCTCGTGGACGGCATATCAAAAGCTTATGGTGGACAAATTGAGCGATGCAACAGCAGGTGGGTTATTTCTTATCATATGAATTGTGTTGCAGTTGGTGGTAAAATCGTTCAATCTGCGAGGGAAGTTTTCTCTAGAAGTACAAGTTGCGGGACTTTTCTTGGGAACTGCGGCGATTTGTCCCACAATATAACTTTGTCACTAATAATTCTAAAGGTGTTCCTCACCTCGAAGCAAGACATCCCAAGGAAATCGCCATCATGACTGCGCGTGATCCAGATCAAGCGGCAATCTTCAACTATGCATCAATGGCATTCAACAACAACTTCTTCTTCAACTGCATCCAACCCGACCCCACCAGTGAACCCGAAATATCAGAACGACTCCGACTCGCCATCGAGGCCTCATTTTCCTCTGTCGATTCGCTGAAGAAAGAATTCGTCATCACAGCTAGTAAAATGTTTGGGCCGGGATTCGTATGGTTAATTAAGGACAGATTCGATAACCTTTCACTATTGACTACGTATCTAGCGGGTTCACCATTCCCTGGTGCACACTACAGGAGACAAACGAATGATATGAATACCGAGAGTGATAATTTGACAGAGTACCACAGACAGAGGTTAGCAGGACCACCTGTAAATACGGTTGGAGCACATGGAGCATTGAGCAAGGATAGAAAACCACCGGGAGGAATCGAATTCACGCCCATTCTGTGCGTCAACACATGGGAGCACGTATGGATTCCCGATTACGGAATGGGAGTCGATAATGTAGGAGGAAAGAAAGTATATGTAGAGAATTGGTGGAACGTCATCGATTGGGCTGTAGTAGCAGATAACGCATCCTTATCTGGAAACTCATCCGCAAAGTATGAGCGGGAGTAAGATTCTAATGAGATTTTACCCTGTCGAAGATACCGAGGCCGAGAAAGAGAAAGCTACGCTGCTGTGGTATATCTGGGAGATGGCGTTTCAAGGCATTGGATGTACTATATGTGAGGTCTCGACAAAACTTGCATTTAGAAGTAAGTGTAGAACAAGAGATGACGGACCAAAAATACTATTTGTTTATAACTAGCTCGATTGAAGAAAAAATAACTCGGCATAAACATGCAGAATGCTCGCTCATTCTGTATTATTCGCTTCTTCGATGGAAATTCTATTTCTCCACGAGCAGATCCGCAAACCATAAATTAAATTAAATATGCCCTTCCCCTCCATCCATCCTCCATGTAGATAGATATAAAGGAACAGAAACCAAGGCTGCAATACTCGGGTTTCCACTCCACTCCACTCCATTCCTATCTTGATACATACATACTCTTTCTTGTAAGCTTCAATAACTTTTTTTATTCTTACCTTTTTTTTCTAATTCCAATAAATTCAATGAAAATTTTCACGATCGATGTAATCTTATGATCGTGAGTAGGTATCTGGAAGTTATATAGGTAGGTAGGTAGGTAGGTAGGTAGGTGGGTGGGTGGGTGGCATGTGATTTGATTGGTATGACTACCTACCTACCTATATAACTTCCAGATATTTATTTATGTAACAGTAAATAGTAAATAGTAAACTATCTATTTAATAAACTATTAAATGTCGTGCTATTGGTATATGTAAGACTTATATATATATAAATAGATAAAATGGTGAGTGCAGGTGTATTTGACATTTAATTTAATATCTAACATCTAGTATCTATTTAACCAAAACGACTTTAAAGAAAAGGGGGTATATATTTTTCTATCCTATCCTATCCTAATATCCTATCCTATCCTAATATCCTATCCTATAAAAAATCCCAGAGGGTATGCAATCTACCTACCTACCAACCTACCAACCTAATAAGTATCTACAAAACAACTCCCCCCTCCCAAAAAATGAATATTAAAGTACCATACTACCGTACTATAATACATATAATATATGCCCATCCCACCAAATTAACCAAACCAAACCAATCCCACCTATACTCCAATCCGGCTTGCGGATAATATGTAACATTGTTCTTTCTTCCCGTTTATAACACCATAAGCCCATGAAATCGTAATAGGATAAAATGCCCACTCCATCATCATCTATACATCCAAATCATATCATATCATACCTTCCCCATTCTCTCTCTTTGCGGTGGACTAGGTGTGTAGGCTGTTTCATTCCCTCGATAAACATACGCTTTTCGCCGGAAAGAAGAAAAAAACAATTAGCAACCACACCACAAAAATCAAAAAAGGTAAAAAGAATCAAAACGAAAAACAAAAACACCACAATCTATCCCTCCCTATCTTTCCATCCCTCCCGTCTAGACAAATTATCTTCAAGAAGCTGATACTTACGTTGACCCTTTTGCAATCCCGCCAATCCACTCCTCTCCATCATATCCGTAAATGTAGTTTGATGACTTCCTCTCCCCTGTATACCAAATGCCGGTGGGACACCAAGATAATTTACATTCTGTTGATTTTGTTGATTCCTCGCTTCACGAAAGGAACTCGCGGTATCGGCATCGGTAAAAATGTTTATATCTTCAAAACTAGGTTCGCGTTGTGAAGGCGGGGTGACGGGTCGGCCATCGGGTACATGTGTTTGTTTCTGTCTTTGTATATTTAGAGGGATGGGTGGTGCGGGAGGTGGACTGTTTTGAAATGCCATACGTGGGCTGTTGGTCATTCCTGTGGCGGTGGATTTTCGGAATAGTGATCGAACACGGTTGACGGTGTTTTGTCTTCGAGGGGTACCGCCAGCGGATGTGGAGGGGGTTTGAGGCATTTTGCGAAGGAAATCGGTACGTATGTCGCTGGTGGGGACGGGATCGGATATATTTCCGAAAGAGGAGCCACTTGTGCGGTTGTTTTCTTTGCGTCGACCGAGAAAGCACACGCTGAGAAGGGCGAGAATGACTCCTAGAGCGATGCCAGGGAAAAAACCTACGAGGATTGCATCAAGGGGAAATTTGTTGCATGTCTTTGGGATGATAGCGATAGGTGTATCGGTTGAAGACGCAACCGAGGTAGAGGATGGGATAATGGATAGTGAGGGATTGGTTGAGGTAGCGGTTGCTTTTGTACCTGAGCTCGTCGCTACGGATGATGTTGCGCTGGCTACTGCAGAACTCTGTTGTTGACCTGGAACGGAATCTGCTTGATCGGCGTTCATATGGCAGTTACCATTCACGCAAGTATATCCAAATGGACAGCAATTGCTACCACACTTTTCTAAACTCGCTGTCAAAGCTGTAGTTTTGAGTGTATTATCAGGATGTGCAGTGATATTTTGCTGAGTTATGTCGCAAGTAATGGGTTGGATAGTGGAACAATCACTCCCACTAGGACAGCATAATAAGGTGGTGTTCTGTGCTAAAGCTATACAAGTCGAAGTAGAAGGGCAGCAAAAGTCTGAAGGTAGCCCCACGTTTGTACATTGTGTGTAACTCGATTGTGGACATGTTGCCCGCTCAAAGATGGTATTTGCTTGTGCAAAGGTTGTGCTGAAAAGATAAACAACCGTCCATAAGGAATATTTGTTGACTCGAATTCCCTTCATATTTCCAATGATGTGTAATGCTACTTCTCCCGTTGAAAATGTATCCAATCCTGATTTATATGCTTGAAGTAACGAGTGCTGTGCTTGAACAGCAAATTCAAAAGCTTCAATGGTATGAAGGACTGATTAGAAATAAGAGTAGAAGGTACAAGAATCAATGTAGAATGTTGATGATCATAAAAGCATAAAAAGGGGAATCACCACGAGGATGATTTGTTAAATGGAGAAGGAAACAAAGAAAGATAAATTTAGAGTCACAGTTCTCTTTTCTCTTGAAATATGAACAATGAAAGTCAAGGATTCCAGAAATAGCGAGGAAGTTTTTGAATATGAAGAGAGACCAGACTTCCTTTATTGCCTACCAGACCAAGCATCTAACTTCGTCATATAGCGTTTTGTAAGAGACTTCTTCTGCTTTGGAAACACTTTGTTCTAGACGACTAAAAGGCCTTCAACCATACATTCTCCTCTGACCGCACATGCCCATGTCCAAAGGGTCATTCACGCGTCGGCCGTGTACCTTCGAATAGAATATTTAGAAATAATATCCATAACAAGATACAAATCATCGTACTGGCCCTCACGACAGCGGCTGGCGACAGTAAAAATAAATCATTGGTATAGATTGTACCGAAGCCAAGCATTTGCAGAATTCTAAAAATGAGCCAATAGCTAATTAGGGAGTACAGTCTCTCCATCTTGAAGCAATTGGAGAACGAGAGGCCATCAAGCGCTGAAAGGAAAGATTTGTTGTCGAAGATTTGGCGCGAATGACTGGTGAGTTTTCGTTTGGATGGATTGATTGGATGAGAAGAAAAGAAAAGAAAAGAAAAGGGAAATTGACGCGCTGGTTTGAGTTTTTTACAGTACGGCATGTACTTCTTTCCTCTTTAACGTGCACGGTGCAGATAATAGATAATGAGGCCAATAGTAGGCGGTGGGAGATGGATGAAAGTCACGAGGTTTTATCCTCACTTCATTTTGGGTGAAAGGCTAGATTGGAGGGAAGAAAGTTTAAAGCAGGTAAATACCTAGGCTTTGATGATTGTTGATATGGATATACCTAGGAAGTTTGGATCCATTGAAGGGGAAGGCAGATAGTAAAAGAGGCTTCTTTCTCGTAAAGATAGATTGAGATTAAGTCCGTGTGGTGAACACACAAGACGGAGGTTGTATTATCACAACGTGATAATATCACTCTACCGAACATGCATCATCTCTAGTCTATAGTGTACGATGGTCTGGTACTCAAAAATATGATAACATCGGTTGCGCCTCGCAGTCTTCTGTGTTATTGTCCTGTCCCGACCGACATATTTCATGGATGAACAGCAGCCTGAAAGAGAAATCTATACGGATGACAATCGATACAGAGAGAGTATTATATATTGTGTAGATGGCACGTAGTAGGTCAATCTATTATTGAAGAAACATCCAGAGCAGGTTAAGTAGGTTTCTTTGGTAGACTTAATTTACAAAACACGAGTTGTCCATCCACCAAGTTTGCCGTTTCTATTGGAGCGCCTCGCCGTTAATCCGGTAGGTGGGTTCAGGGTTGGAGTGGAAGTGAGAAGTAGAAATGGAAACAGCATGCTGCTAATTACCAGTTACGGAAGCACACAGCACATGGCAGGGCAGGGCAGGACAGGGCAGGGCAAAGAGTTAACTCTACTCACCACCATGGGATGAACGAGGGAAGTCTTCCGGTCCTTGTACCTCCTTTGCAACATCTGTGGACACTGAACACTGGACACTGGACACTGCAGACCCTCCAAGCGTAAATCGGTCGGCACCATGCTTTTCCCATTCTTTTTCACAGTCCAGACTACAATGATAAGTTCGGAGTTTCCGTCTCCCTCGATATTTCGCTCACCCGGGGCATGCAATGATCATGAACTTCTCCTGATCTTCAACTGTTTCCCCGTTCCGGTAAAAGGTAATCAAACGAAATGAAAGAATGTTCTGAAATAACTTAAGCTTATGACTAGGATCGAGGTTCATGCCAAGCTGGGAAGATTCATTGATTGGAGAGTAGAACGTTTGTTAGTCAGGAACGGAACCTTTTTGTGGATATAAATGGATGTGGGAGTGGAGGTTTCCAATGTAACTACTAACTACTGGCGTGCTAGGGAATGACTACTAGGTAATTAAGGTAGCGGCAGATTTTGTAAGGAGGGAGAGGTCCTTGTACTCATCTGTACTTTGTACTTCCGTACATCCCATCCCATCCCATCCCATCCCATCCCATAGAGGTCGTGTAATTATATACATTTATGAATGTACGAGTTGTGATCTTGTATGCGCTGGCTACGATAAGATGATTGGATGGGACGACAAGCATCAAGGCTGATCATAAAGACGCTTATTGGTGCTTTAGCTAGGAAGCTGCGACCGGATGTCTGACGACATAGGTTAATTAATGCTTTAACATAAAATTTAATAGCGGAAGGGAAAGAATCATAAAATCCGATAAATTCTTCATGCGAATTAATCTGCTATGTCCCCATACAAGATTGACTGCCTACTCAATAGCCCGATAGCTAATAATACCTACATCCATCTCAATTCTCGAATCGTCCCAAACATTCATTCAATTGAAATCATCAATCCCCATCTTGAACATTTGATTCATCTTTTGGTGCATCATCCATCGTTCGCCGTAGAAGCTAAGCCTAAAGTGTAGTGGCTTAGCATCTCTTTCCGTCAAGGTAATACAACTTTAAATTTCCATCGCTTTCCAACTTTCCCCTATGTTTTTTTGGAAGCATCCCTGAAGCACATCTACCATCGATTTGTCCCACGATCCACAGAAGGAGAGAAACTCAATGGAGCAAATACGACTTTGGGAAATTAGATGAATTGATTCATGGTCAATGCAATTACTAAGTCAGGAATTATGCTGTCATCTGCATCAAGAGGAGAGGAGAGGAAGGAGATCTATTGGGGGAGGGGGGAAGAGTGTGGGAGACAACACAGAGGGAGCGTGAGAGAGAAGAGGGAGAGAGAGGGAGATGAAAGAATCATCATGATTGTATGTGATTCCTATCTAGGTATGTAAAGATGGTAAACACCTGCTAAGAGAAAGGCTAATATGTCAATCATTATGAAAATAATATGCAAGTTCATGATGCTATCTATCTCTCTTCTCCTGTCTATTTCGTGTTATTTTCTACCAATCAATCAAAATATCTTGGCTTTTCATGGAATTGTCTCTTGGTACACAAAATTTAAGATTTACCGGCTGTTTGTCACTTGGGCGGACACTGAAGAGCCGCTTGAATGGTTAGTTCTGACTCTCAATCATCTCTCATCCCAACTTCGGGGTTTTACCCATGTTCATAAGTCTTGGAACCCACTCGCAGCCTCTAGTTTAGCTTGCCGTCTTTGATTATCTCTCCGCGTTCTCATTTATCTCCTGTCCTCCCACGTCTATATCTTTCCTCTTTCCTCTTATCGACATCATCATTGTGTGAATACCTTCATTTGGCTATTTTCACATTCTTTTCGTCGCAAAACAAATACACCTACCGCTTCACTCTTTCAGCGGGCATTCTTTACGAGCAACTTTTACGAACGACCCTGTGGAAGGATATAACCTTACCATAAGACGGTATAATACACGACATAATCTATCACCGACAAGATGAAAGCCGGAGTTATCGCAGTAGCGGCTGCCCTCGCGGGTGGCGTTACTGCTAGGGACCTTGGGAGAAGACATGGTCATCAAGATTTCCATGGCAGAGGACTATTGGCAACTGGAGCATCATCATCCGAGTCATGTGGTTGCACAACTGTTTGGTCTACCGTCACTGGTCAACCTCAGTGTATGTGATATTCGTATATTCATGGAGTATGTTGTTACCGACATTTTACTGACATCTTATCTTAGTATACTTCCCGCCTGCTCCTACCGCTGGCTCAAGTGCTTCAGGTTCAGTCCCATCTGGCCCAGCAGGCTCTGTTCCATCTGGCTCACCAGGTACACCTGAGGCTTGTGCAGCTCAATGTAGTGTATCCTACGACAGCTGCCGCAGTGCACCAGATGCAAACCGATCCAGTTGTGCTTCTTCATACGCTTCATGCCTCGGATACTCTCCATATGATAACAATGGATCGCTCGTCACTCCAACTGCTTGCTCCAGCCAAGTAGCATCATCCACCACCGTTGCTCTGACCACTTCAGTTCCAGCAGGTTCAGTTCCATCTGGCTCACCAGGTACACCTGAGGCTTGTGCAGCTCAATGTAGTGTATCCTACGACAGCTGCCGCAGTGCACCAGATGCAAACCGATCCAGCTGTGCTTCTTCATACGCTTCATGCCTTGGATATTCTCCATATGACAGCAATGGATCCCTTGTCACTCCAACTGCCTGTAGCCAAGTAGCATCATCTACCGGTGTTCCAACTGGTTCAGCTCCCGCAGGTTCAGTCCCATCCGGCCCAGCAGGCTCATCTCCATCCGGCCCAGCAGGTTCAGTCCCATCTGGTCCAGCAGGCTCAGCAGGTTCTCCTCCAGCAGGCTCATCCCCATCGGGATCGGCAGGTTCCCCTCCAGCAGGCTCAACCCCATCTAGCCCAGCAGGCTCTACCCCAGGAAGCTCTACCCCAGGAAGCTCTACTCCAGGCAGCTCAACTCCAGGAAGCTCTACCCCAGGCAGCTCTACCCCAGGAAGCTCAACTCCAGGAAGCTCTACCCCAGGAAGCTCAACTCCAGGCAGCTCTACCCCAGGAAGCTCTACCCCAGGCAGCTCAACTCCAGGAAGCTCTACCCCAGGAAGCTCAACTCCAGGAAGCTCAACTCCAGGCAGCTCTACCCCAGGAAGCTCTACCCCAGGCAGCTCAACTCCAGGAAGCTCTACCCCAGGAAGCTCAACTCCAGGCAGCTCTACCCCAGGAAGCTCTACCCCAGGCAGCTCAACTCCAGGCAGCTCTACCCCAGGCAGCTCTACCCCAGGCAGCTCTACCCCAGGCAGCTCAACTCCAGGAAGTTCGACTCCAGGAAGTTCGACTCCAGGAAACTCTACCCCAGGAAGCTCTACCCCAGGCAGCTCAACTCCAGGAAGTTCGACTCCAGGAAACTCTACTCCAGGATCATCCGCCCCAGGAGCATCCCAAGGAGTTTCAACTACCCCTAACCTTCCAGCCACGAGTGCAACACCCGCTGTCCCAACCCCTTTTGCAACCACCGCCGCAACTCCAGGTGTCTACACCATCCCTGCGACAACCGTTACTTTGACTGAGTCCACCACTGTCTGTGGTGCTACATCAACTGCTCTTCCAACTCCAGGAACCTACACTGTAGGAGGTGTCACTACTGTCGTAACTACAGAGACAACAATCGTATGCCCATACGCTGCTATCACAACCACAGATGGTGTTGTTACAAGCACTATTTTGACAACTACTTATGTTTGCCCAGCCGCAGGAACATACACAATCAACCCATTGACCACTACCGTTACTGAACCCGCCGTATGGGTCTACCCAACCCCTGCTTCCTTTGCTCCAGGAACATACACTCAACCTGAAGTTGTAACCACCATTACTGAGACTAACGTTGTTGTTTTCTGCCCATACTCCTCTTCAGCTTACACAATTGTTGATGCAACATTACCAGCAAGCACATATGCCCAAGCCACCACAGCCCCAGCTCCAGTTTCCACTTCCGTTGCAGTCCCAGTCGTCGCACCATCCTCAAGCGTTGTTCCCGTTGTTGCATCTTCCGTCGCATCTTCCGTCGCATCTCCATCTGCTTCTTCTTCGTCCTCTTCCGGTAACGGAGGTGGCGTAGGAAGCAGTGGCAATCAATGGGCCATGACTTACTCACCATACCAAAATTCCGGAGCTTGCAAGACTGCCGACCAAGTTTCTACTGATGTAGCTCTCATTGCTGCCAAGGGTTTCAAAGCCATTCGTATGTACAGCACTGATTGCTCAGGACTAGAAAACATTGGTAGCGCCGCTAAAACCGCTGGTATTAAGTTGATTATTGGTATCTTCATTAGCGAAACTGGAGTTTCCGGAGCTGCTAGTCAAGTTACTGACCTTATTGCTTGGGGACAATGGTCTCTCGTTGAGCTCATCGTCGTTGGTAATGAAGCTATCTTCAATGGTTACGCATCTGCTACCGAACTTGCTGGGTTCATCAGCTCCTCCAGCTCATCCTTCAAGAGCTCTGGATACACCGGTCAAGTTACCACCACCGAGCCCCTCAACATCTGGCAAGAATACACTAGCACTCTTTGCGCAGTCGTTGATATTACTGGTGCCAATCTCCACCCATTCTTCAATGCTCAAACCACCGCCGAGAATGCCGGTAAATTCGCTCTCTCCCAACTCGAGCTCGCTGAAAGCATGTGCGCCGGAAAATCCGCAGTTAACCTCGAGTGTGGATGGCCATCCGCCGGAAGCTGTAACGGACTAGCCTGCCCAGGTGCTTCCGAGCAGAGCATCGCCATTGCAAGCATCGTCGAATTGTGCGGTGGACGCACCACCATTTTCAGTTACACCGACGATTACTGGAAGGCACCTGGAGCCTTCAATGCCGAACAACATTGGGGTTCTATCCACCTTTTCTAGATATCGGCTAGAGAACAGTAGAATTCTACATGTATGACAACACAAGGTCACCTCATAAAAAATTTTCCTTGTTTACATCATCATATCATACCATATCATATCATATGAGGCATAGCATAGCATGAGCGAGCAAAAGGCATTTTACGTACGACTCGGTAGACAATACTAGGATTGAGAACTGAGGACTGAGGATATATTTATTTTTCTTTTATCATTTTCTTTTTTTTTCGCGTGGCTTGTGTGGCCTGTAGAGCTTTGGGTTGGGTGTTGCTGGTTGCATTTTTTGTATTGCGCGTAGAAAAGAGTAACTACTATACATAATATTATATATACACATATACACATACATACATACATATAGATAGATATTGAAGGCTTAAGTCCTGGCTCATACTATATTTACTATTTGTTTATTATTAATCGATATTGTTTAGTGTATCTCTTTTATTGTTTGTTTTGAAGATTAAATTACTTGTGATTTTTATAAGACTATCTTAGATTAGATATTGATATAAGTTATTTAAATATATTCTCTCTTCCTTCCTAATACACTTCACGAATACAAATACAAATACAAAACACATTAAAAACAAATAAACCACAAATAAAACATTACATCACAAGATAATAACATAATAATATAATATAATTAATTTCTACTCCATCTCACTCCATCTCACTCCATCTCACTCCATTCCACTCCAATATAAATGCCATAAACCAATTAATCAAGTACTTCGTGAATGTGTATACGTGCACCATCAATTAATAAAATGCAAAGTACCAAAAACCAGGGTCCTAAGACTACAAAACAGAATTACGCCATCATTAGACTATACTATCGCCCCAAAACTTGGCGATGGAGGATTTTAATCCCATTTCCTAACCACGCAATGCATTATGTGCGCTCAACAAATAATGAGCAAGTCTAATCCAAGTCAATAACTTCCAACCGGATATCACTTTCCAGCCCCCTAACTATCGGTATAATCATCATATTGATGTTGCTGCCAACGATGATTCTCCTTGTTCACCGAGGTATTTGAGTTGACCCAACTTGAGTTACTCCTTAATATTCTTTCTTTCTCAAACTCTTTCCATCGCTTCATAGTAATCTTTGAACTATCGAACTCTCCCTCGTATTCAATTCCAGCTTTCTTAGTCTTTTCACCTGCAGTCTTACGAGTATCTCCCCAGGAGAAATCATCGAATTTCCAAAAGGCGTATGACGGTAATAAGAAATTCCAAATGGGTAAGGAGACGAGATAGATCATCATCCAAAGAACGTAGACCCAACGATGAGCAGTTATAACAATCAAAACTGCTGGCAAACCAAGAATCAAACCTAAAAGTACGAGCGGAATAATTTGCACAGGGCGACGAATAATTGAAATAATTACTAGGAAACGGTTAGTCAAATGTTACAATGTCATAGAGAATGGCTTACTTACCGACGTAGATTGTGAAGGCTATAGCTGCTGGAAGAACCAAGGTACTGACAAGATCGATAAAGACGACGAATTGCATACTGAAGCAGAAGGTACCGCAAAGATCTCTAACCAAAACCAATTCCATCAGATTGTGGACAGTACTGTTAATCCATCTACGCCTTTGTGACATGAGAACCCAGAGGGAGTCTGGTACTTGAGTTTTGCAAACAGCTTGTGGAACGAATACTTGTTTACGCTTGGGGAAAGTTCGAAGCATGAGCGTGGAAAGGTATCGATCCTCTCCCAAAAGCAACAAATTCTTCTTGTGTAAAGTATCCACCACGTTATCGGAGTAATGTTCGACGACATCAGGATTGGCCAAGATAGGTACCCAATAGTTGCCACCCTTTGGAGCTTTAATTCTGTACATGGAGAAACAACCTGGAAGACAAGTAACCCCACCAAAGATCGACTCAAAGGATTTGACAGAGTGATGTGAAATGAAGTATTCGAAAACTTGAATGGCGGTTGTGAAACTAGCACGTTTGTTCGCAATCTTTGTCTCGCCGCAAAGTCCCATGATTTCAGGGTCCTTTACCATTGCTGATACCATGTGTGTCAAACTGTCGGGGAACACCTTTGTGTCTGCGTCAACCATGAGAATAACTTCATACATATCCGGAAATATACCAGTAATTTGATAGAATCCATTAAAGATCTCAAACTCGAGCTCAGTCATACGTTCATCAAACATGACTTTCTGTAGGAAAGACATCAAGATAATTTGACTATCACGCTTGCCTCGGTTTCCAGGTTTGCGATGTGTAGCTTCATCAGGAGTGCCACACTTGACGATACACACCATTGGAACTCGGATTTGTCTGTTGGCGTCGATGGTAGAATCAGCACCATAGTCATAGAACCCAGCATAGACCTTGGCCATGTTGTGTCTTTTGGATCCTCTTTCCACTGCAACGTAAGAGAAAGCCGGGACTTCTTCTACAGGAGTTACAAATTCTTTCATCATACCAAGAACAACATCAGGCGTTGACTTTGGTTCCCCTTCACCCTTGATGATACCATCACAAATAACTAGGATAGTTTTGTGACTGTTTGGATAATCAGTTGTAGCGAGAGAGTCGAGAGTCGAACGAACACCAAGTTCACCTTCCGAGTAGGCGGTCACTAGAAGAATCGCGTGAGCCAAAGGGAATCCGTATGGTTCCCACTCTTTTGGTGGTTGAGGAACTACTAGCTCGTGGACGAAGCTTGCAGGGTTAGGTCCATCAAAGTCATTTGCACCATCTGTTCGCAAAAGGCTGTTTCTGCTACTGTTCTGATTTCGGAACAAGGGGTTCGAAGGAATCAACTGAGCTGTAGAGTTTTGACTGGCCATGGTTGTAGGCTGAGGGCGTCCAACGCGAGATGATCGGTCAGCAGCATAAGGATTTGAGAATCGAGAAGTCGTCGGCAAAAACACACTGGCTCGTTTGCTTGGCCTTTCAGATCCTGATCCGGGAGCGGAGCTACCAATATCACCGGCCATTCTTACGGGCGCCCGGTAAATATCATCGGACCACTCCTCAATCTGTTGTTGGCGCTTCTTAGGGTCGGATGACTGAGAAGTTTTTGATGCAGCGTATTTGGAAGCAATGAACCATTGGAATATCAACGCTAACACGAATTTAGTCAGGACGATGGCAAGAATGAATGCCAAGGATACATAAAGGACTACTTTGGAAGCGATACATCCAACAGTCTCGGTATCAACACTTCCAACTTTGATAATCTGCTCGAAACATTGCGCAATTCTCTTGTCCTCTGATGATTGGAATGCGTGTGTAACATCCCTACCGCGTACCGCTTCGTTGGCGGCGGTTGTAGTGTCGGCGAGGGTAGTAAACCTGGATGGAACAGTGACTTGCGTGGTATTGAACCATTTCAGGAGGTCCAGATCAAGCACGTTGCCAGAGTATACCATGAGGTTTCTCGAAGAATTCTTGATATCGCCCCAAGTAAAATAGACATCCCCAGCACTATTGAGCTTGTAAAATGATGAGCGTGCCTCTGCTTGTAAATGGCATGCGTATCCAAAATAAGCACCGGCGGTCTCATTTGGGGAGCTTGAGCCATCTTGGTTGAAAGCATGACAAGGAAAGTACCATGCAAGATCCTTGTCAGAATTGGTTGGGACGTCTGATCCATCAGCCAAAGTAATCAGGCCTTTACATTTGCCATTGACATTTTGGAACAAGAAGCTTCCGTCCATACCCCCATACTTTTGAGGCAGATCATATAAAACATTCGCACCAGATGTGATACCTGTTGCAGCAGGATGATGTGATTTGGTGAGGTCATATGCGCGACCGTGGAAGATCATATATCCGGAATCGACGTGGTTGACTTGTAATCGTAGACCTCCACCAGTACCACATACTGTTGCCGTAAATCCAAATGTCAAGAACCCCACAAATGCCATGATAGACAGAATTATGCTGATCAAACCCATCTTTTCTCTCCAGGCTCTTTGCTGTGCCTTGGACCCAAAACCAAAACACTTCAGAACAAAACCTGGACACCAGAAAGTTACAATGGCACAATAAACATTCCACAGACTAGGTGGTTTCACAGTATCGAGGGCCTTCTGCCTTGCTTTCTCTTCTTTCGACATCTTCTGCACCCTCTCTCTCTTCAGCTTGTTCCCCCCTCGAGACTCTGAAGCAAACCCTGCCTTTTCGTTTGAAGCAAGGTCTTCTGGTCCAGCTCCATGGCCGCGTCTGGGACGTTTTACCGGAGGTGTAATATCGGATTCCGCTTCTCCCGATGTTCGCAGGCCTGATGTCTCTGTGTTTGCAGCATCTGCCTCTATATCTTCCATCATTGGATCGTTGCCAGTCGTTGAAGGCTGAGTATCCATGTTGGCGGCATGCTGGCGATAATGGTAATTGGGATGGTTTTCATCGATTCTGTTACGTTCCGGGCGGATGAGACTTCGTTTTCTCGACATCCCAGTCGCCGGTGCTGTGGTGCGCGTTGGCGAAATTGGATCGCGAGACATTGTTGGAGTGAGTGGCGATGATGCTGTATCAGAAAAAGAAGATTTTGAAGGTCGACTTTCATGTGTAGGTGAAGCTGCTGGTAGGGTGTAATAGACAGTTTCTTCATCTTGAACTTGTGCGCGCCGCGAATGACTTCGATAATGTTGAGATCTATTTGATTCACCATGATCAGGCCGCCTAGGAGGAGACATGATTCTATTCCAGTATAATTAATAAATGTGATCAGTGACTCAATTGTGAGATGCAAATGGATATCTCCAACTACAATCACTTCGGCGCCTCCGTCACTGATGGGAGCGGTTAGAAGGAATGAAGCAGCGGTAATCAAATTCCCCGGGAGAAATTAGATGGCCGACAACAAATGCTGTTTCGGCAGAGCAGCTTTTCAATCAGAGTGACTGTGAGGGGCAAGCATAACTTGGAAAGAGCATTAGGAATATGGGGAAGCATACATTGATAGCGGTCAAACAGTGGTCAAAGTTGTTTTGTTTTGTGCAGAGTCGAGGGATTGCTGTATTATCCCTGTTTAATGGTGCGGGTGGTTCCTTGGTCGACCAAAGTCAAAACAAAGTGGCGCCGGTATAGAAGTCCATGTACCGATATTCCTTGGAAATAACGAATGAAGGTAGGTACCGGTGAAGTGATTTAGTCGAGTGAATAATAAAACATGTGCAGGTCTGGAATATCCCAAATCCAAATGTGTATCGGGATGAAGATGGATGTCAAGAATTCTCGATGGCGCAAGGGAGCAGCGCGTGTTTGGATTGAGGAGGCCGGTAGGTGAGTCTTTTTGGCAAGAGTCTATTTCGCACTATCTAATAATCAATACGAACGATTTTCGCCTTCAGATCCTTCTTCCTTCTTTAAACGAGTGATGAAGTATTTTTCATTATGCCGGTGAATTATGATTTTAACTTATGAAGTTGGGTGAGATTGGAGATGCTGAAGTAAAGAAAACGAATGATTTTCTCCTGATCTCCCAAATGGAATCGTGATGAAAGATGGAGTGAGATCTACGATGAGAAAAAGGATGCAAAATAAATGGCTGTACTGTCCTCTGTAACGTTATCTGCTAGCAACAGGAATAGGCGAATAGAGAGAGCGCTTTGGAATGCATCAAAAATTGCTGTTAGGAATACGATGCGGAAAGAAGTTTGGCTTGTGATATCTGTTCGGGACAAATATCCACAAGTTGTGAAAATTCAAAAGGTCATGATTGGTCGATAATCAATAATTCATCAATAGAGAATTCCTAAAAATATACACACAGAGTAGGTCCTGTACCTACCTAGGACTTGTTTGCGTTAAGGAAGTTGCCAAGGGGATCCAAAATGATACCTTGATGCATGTAGGAGTGTCCCTCCTGCGTACTTGTTTGTGTACATCTATCTACCAGGTATTATGTGGAAGCCATTGTAGAGTATTAGCAGAAGCAGATGAACTTGGAAAGAACTGCTCAACTTAATTGTTCTTCTTCCATATAATAAAATCCTCCGCACATCTGTGCATATCATCTTATCATCATTCTCGCCTTGCACAGACTGATCAATGCAGCTTCGGTTCAACGGTCTCATCAACTTTCTTGTGTCACTTCCATTCGCATTGCATACGGAGCAATGTACGCATAATGCACCTGCTGTGGCCTCCAACGTTGGAAGACTTAGAGTGAGGATAACAATTCCGTACATTTCTCGGACGCATGGATCACCATGGGATTGTTCCAATGATTAGAGTTTCATCACGAGATCACAAGATATCCAACAGATCTAATGCCTGTTCAATTCGACCAAATAGGCACAAGGCACAACTCGAGGTCCCACCTTGAAGAGACAAAGGCCAGGGCAAATACGAGCATGAAGCGCCAAACCGATTCTACGGAGTAAAACCACCGATGATGCCACCATCTTCAGTTCGCTTCATCTATGGCGTGATGATACCTACCACCTTACCTAGGTTCCAAACCGAAAAGAGCGTAAATGGCGAATAAAGGAAGGGACCAAGTACGTATTCAAATCCTCTTCCTCTCTTCCGACCTCAGTTGATCCCAGTTGTCAAGGGGATATTGTCCTTGTTTATATAGAGTAGACCCCTTAGCCAAGAATTTTACTCTGTACACACTGCACAGCAAAAAGAGGGAGGGATTCTCCGCATCAACATGGAACCATGTTACCTCTAGATGCCACATCCCATTTGAGGAAAGTGTGCTTGTGAAAGGTTAAAATGCTATTCAATGTTTAGCATCCTTAGCCGCCCTATCATCCTCATCACCCACTCTTGTTGACAAAAGCACGGTCGGATATGGTTGTTATAAAATACGGAGTATTGCAGCTATGATGATATGAGCTAAAGATCTATTATCCAACCTAATATTGTAGCCTCCTTGCAGGCTTGCACTAATCATTTCTACTAGGCAAGGGCCGAAAGCGTTATTCAAGACTTTGGGTTGCTGCTTGTCGGCATGACTACAGCGAATTTTGAGAGTACTGGTGTACTGGTGTACTGGTGTACGTTCCTTCGTAACTTGTTTCTTCTAGAATCTAACTACGCCCTATCTATTTCTCCCGGCTGCGTGGGCCAAATTCGTAACTCAGCCTCCTGATGTGATGGCTGCTATGGCTGATCTCAGCGCTTGAGACTTGGTGTGCGGAGTTGGATCCAATTCAGGTACACTGACTGACCTAAAGCGTGCTAAGGATGTAAATAACCATTGGCGGGTTCAATGTTTAATGGTCTTGTTTGAGCCTCTTGGGTCGGAAAGGGACACGGCATGAGGGGAAAAAAAGGCTACCTAAAATTCCCGATATCAATCTCAGATTTTTGGCTGAATACAGTTGAAGACGTTCTGAGGATTGCTAAGGGCCATAAATGCCTACCTACTCCTAGCGGGAAAAGCCATAAATCTGTCTTAGAAAACATTCAGCCTTTTTATTTTTTTTAATGTTTTTTTTTTCACGGAGAAGAATGATGCTGGGATGAATAATCAATGGAGTGGAAATGCATCAACATGGGTCCGTAAAATGTATTGCGCGTTTTGTACATGAATTTTCCACTTTTTATCGATACTTCGATTCCGGATGACTTGGAAGATTTTTCGAAAATTGGAACTGAGATACGATCAGATATAATAATACCTACATATTGGATGAGCTAATTTTCTATCTCCCGCATCAATATCTAATACAATCAATGTCACAGATAGAGGTGGATGTCCTATATGATAAATTATTTAAATTATTTAAATCATTTAAATCATTTTCACTCTATCTACTGATTGCTGCAGCATCGATGGCTGCAGCAGAACCAAACATGTCCATTTAATTAATGCTGTATAACATGAGAAGACCAGTTGACATCTGTCATGAAAAATTGGTAACTCGTTGGAATACCACAAGAACCCCGGATCGTCCTAACCACCATCTTGGGTACATCACATCTTGGGTACACTACGAAAGTTCCAAAGCGAACCAACGAAACTTTCACGTCTTGACCGGGATCTCATCGGATTGTTTTATATTATTACTAGAATTGGATTGGAAGAAAAGCTTCCCCGCAGCTCAAGTCCCTTTTTGACGTCTGGCGCCTTTGACCTTTTTTCCAATTATCCACAATATTTCGCAACGGTCTACTAAAATAAGTAATGTGAGGGTTGTACGTACCTCGTAGCAGGTAAGTACTTGGTATAAGTCTTACTGTAAGACAAAATCGCACCAGACGGGTTCAAGCATCGTAGCACGTTATGGACCTTTTCCTAAGTAGAGTACATTAATAAGTGCACTCACTGCACCAAGTGCACCAAGGTCAATCAATCACTTCAGAATCAATTCTCTATGCACGCAGGGGCTCCAGGGTTTATTTATTAGCTTATCAACCGCTTCTTTTATGGGGATTCAAATAGTGTACCGTACTATCGTCGTCTAACTGTACTCAGGTATGACCACCCGGAAGGCGAGGAAGAAGGGAGGAGGAAGGGTCGATCGACGACTCTGTTGAGGAAGACTTTCCAGATGCTGACGTGCGACAACAGCATTCCTGCATCTTCATTCCTCTCATCGCGCGAAAACCCAGTCACAGTCCAGTTCAACCCACAAACTTTGCTTCCATACCTAATCCATCTTATTGTCAACAAAAGGAACCCTTCTTATGCGACTCTCTCGACCATCGGCCGCGCTTCCCTGTCCTGTCTGTACATTAACCCACCAAAAATTACCCTGACTTCCGGCACGCATAAATAAATTCTAGGGTCACAACAGGGGTAGAATCCTAAAATATATTATTGTTCGCAGCTGCATCCGACCAACTGAGTTGTTTGTTGCCCTTTGAATGCTTTGAATCCAACAAGAATAAGGCTACCACCACGGATACATTCTTTCCTTGTGCTCGAGTCAAATCAGCCTGGAATTTGAGGGGAAGATTGTGAAATTTGATCATTTCATCATACAATTTAGAGAAGGTTTCACTGGTAAGATACTACCTTGTACACTCACATAATCTCCATCCAGAGATCTATGACACCATGTCACTCAATACTGATTCACTTTTCACATAGAGTAACCTTTCTTTCTCTTTTAGCAAGATCAATCTGCCGCGCTCGTTTGCCTTCTTTCTCAAAGTCTACGATTACACACAAGTGCTTCTCAAACATCCTAACAAATCAACCCCCTTGCCACATCTTCGCAACTCTCTCCTCCTACCTCGGGAACAAAGTCATCTCACAAAAAGGCGCAGCTGAGTACCCAGAAAGCACGGGTATATTCCATACAACCATCTGAGCTCGTCCGGCAGATTTCGAGTGGAGTAGTGTCAAGTGCGGGTCGAAGGTCGAGCAGTACGGGATTTGACCATGTCAACCCAAGTTGCAACCCCCTCTGGTCCAGAAGGCTTCAGAATCGCTTCCCCTAAAGGATCGCCTGCTGGATATTTTGACGGAGAAGATTCGAAAGAAAACAATACTGGGCGAAAGTCAGTACCACCGTCATCTCCTGCTGGAAGAAGACAAGGGTCGCCAATGACTCCCACTAAAATAAATATCCAACGACAGTCCCGTCAGTCGCAGATCGAAAACGAAAATCCAGCTCTCCGAGAATCACAAAAAACACATGAAAATGAGAGTTCTCAACAACCAAAAACCTTTATACCGATCACTTCTGAAATACCATACCGGACACCACCGCCACCACCAACAACTAATATCGAGCTTCCACAACAATCGGAATTGAGAAAATCTGGGGAGTCGTCTTCGGCATCAAGAACTTCGTCGGAGAATTCAACAGCCTACCCGAACCGCTTTGGAAATGGAATTCCTGAACGGATCGACGAAAATGAGGTTGATGCAAATGAACAATCAGTCCCTCACCTACAGTATTACCATGAGAATCTAAGAACTCCAAATTATCGAGCTTCTATGCCCGTCGGCCCTAGTTCGAACGATTTTACGGAAGCAGGCGCCTCGACGACTCGCCACTTGACTCCCAATTCATATGCCAGACATTCTTCTAATAATTCAAGTCAAAGACCATTATCTGCGTACTCTGACCTTGGTGATAGAGGGCATTCACCAGTCAATGGTCCCGGCTCACCAGTTTGGAATGGACGTGCGGGATCCGCTAACTCCGGGAGGTCTCATGACAGGCCAATGTCGTATGCGGATCTTTCTAATATGCCCTACACGAGGCAACATGCACCAGGCCCGATCTCACTTGACAATTCACAGTTGAGGACAGTAGTAGGATCCAATGCGTCGTTACTCAGCGCACAAAAGACACTGGAGATGTATCGGCAAAACGCAAAGAAATCGAGCAGTTCGGAGATACAATATTCCTTTGCCATATTTCTAATACAAGCGGCTCAAGAGGCCGGTCTGAATGTAGAAGAAGATACGCCGCGAAAAGCTAGCCCGAAGCCTGGCCGTAATAGCCCTTATATTGAAGGCGAACCGGCCACTCCACAAAACCTGCTACGCGAAGCTAAGAGCATTCTACAAAAACTAGCCGACCGAGGGTATCCATTTGCACAATATTATTTAGCTGATGGTTATTCTTCTGGGCTTTTTAATAGAGGAAAACCAGATCACAATACAGCTTTTTCTCTTTTCGTTTCGGCAAGCAAGCACGGCCATGCTGAGTCTGGCTACCGTGCCGCGCTGTGTTATGAATTCGGGTGGGGTTGTAGAGCTGACGCTGCCAAAGCAGTCCAATTTTATCGAGCAGCGGCAGCTAAAAATCATCCTGGTGCAATGACTCGTCTTGGTCGAGCCTGTCTCTCTGGCGACCTCGGCTTTGACAGATACAAGGAGGGGCTTAAATGGCTGAAACGGGCCACTGAATCAGCAGATGCTCAGTACAATTCAGCACCATATCATCTTGGAGTATTATACGAGAATGGCTATGGGGAAGATCTTTTCAAAGATGAAGCATATGCAGCTGAGCTGTTTACTCAAGCAGCAGAATTGGGAAACGCGGACGCTTCTTTCAAATTGGGTGAGGCATATGAACATGGAAAACTTTCATGTCCACGCGATCCAGCTTTAAGTGTGCATTTCTACAATGGATCTGCGGAGGCTGGTAATCCCGAGGCTATGATGGCACTGTGTGCATGGTATCTCATCGGTGCGGAGCCGGTACTCGAAAAAGACGAGAATGAGGCATACGAGTGGGCGCGACGAGCTGCTGAGACGAGTAAGTCTTCTACATTATTTATTCATCAACCTCAAACTTACCATTTTATAGATCTTACCAAGGCAGTGTATGCTGTGGGATATTTCACCGAGATGGGTATTGGTTGCCGACGCGATCCGTTGGAAGCTAATGTTTGGTATGTGAAAGCAGCTGAATGTGGCGATGAGCGCGCGAAACACCGACTTGCCAAAATTAGAATTGCGGCATCAGGAGGCACGCCAATGGAAGTCGCGCCACCCAGAAATGGAGCCAAAATTAAAAAGAGTGCTTCGGCAGTTGACAAGCCAGGGAAAGATGACAAAGAATGTGTGATAATGTGAAGCCGGTAAAAGGAATTTCATTCTTTTGGGAGAGAGAGAAGCAAAGAACTCTGCGGAGTGCAATTAGGTTCAATCACTAATAATTGTAGAACGTTGAGAAGTAAGACTGTTAGTCTGAAATTTAATGTGAGGAATATGGCCCAGACTGTATTGATAGGAAGAACCTAAACCTATTGGCTGTGGATGTAGCTGTAGGGAAATAGAAGGGGCTGGATGTAGTAGGCATCTCGCAAGATAAGACTTGAATGGATCGCCCGAAATGCTTTGATTTTTCGCGTTTGATACGTTGCATGCGAGGCGGGCGTTTTATTATTTTACATAATGAGTGGCGTTTTTGGTTTCTTCTTTTCTATCATGGTTAAAGGAGATGTGTGTATGTTTTCTTCTATAGCACTGATAGTTTTTATATTTGATCGAAAGGAGGGTGCATAGGTTTCAGAGGGAGCAAAGTAAACTTTATTCAAATAGTGAAGGGGAAGAGGAAGAGGGAGGAAGCAAGGAAGAAGAGAAGAACCAGGCTAAGAAGCACATATTTGAATAAGGGGAAATGATAAGGGTAGGAGGGAATAGTGTACTATCGGTTTAATAGTATGCTCGATTGAGCGAATGGGATTGGATTGAAAGGGGGGCGAGGGTTTGGGGTGGGAATGGAATGGATCGCAATGGGATGGGATGGGATAGGATGGGGGATTTGAATTGGAATGGATAGGATGGATGGGTCGATGGATGGATTGATAGGTGGATGGAAAATGATAGGGTTAAAGTTAAAACTACCTCGACCTAATGAAATAAAATGATATATGTAAATCCTATTTAATTTATTTATGTATACACGCTTTTTTCTAATGGAGGTGGTGTGGTGATGGTGATAATAATAAAGACTCTCGTTTATAACTTTTATCGGCTCAGCTAGTCACTTGTCGCTTACCACGTATATATATATATATATATATATAAATATAGAATTATTAAGTGATTAAACTTAGAGATATAAATAAATAATTATTTATGACATATATATATATATATTGTTTATAGGCTTTGAAGCTAAAGAGGAGAGAGAATAGAAAAGTGAAAATAAAAAAAGTAAAAGAAGAGAGAGTTAAGAGGGGAAAGAGAATAAGAGGGAAAAGGAGGGAGAAATAATAGAAAAGAGGAAGAGGGGAAAAAACCAACGAGGGACCATACCCGCGGAGAACCATGACCGGTAATCTATATTCTGGTTTTATTCCCCTCTTTCCCCTAGCTGCAGCCGGATGGCTCACTATCTAGGAGTGTTTGAGATTAATAGTAGATAGCCCCGACTCCCGAGAAACATATCAATTCCTATCGATACCCTGATAAAGGTTTAAGGAAGGTTATCCGACCGGACCCTGCGAGACTCCAAATCGGGACTCGAAGATTTCGGTTCATTGGTGTTGTGATTAGGTAGGTAGGTATAATAGCTATCTGTAGATGCTGCTGCATAATTACAGCGACACAATATAATATAATAGCGATATGTAGGTATGAATAGACGAGCAAAAAAAACCTTTTCATTGCTCTCAAAACTGCGGTTTTGGGAAGATCTCGCTTTTGGGAACATCTAGATCATCACGTATTTAGATCTTGGTGTTATATTTCTATTTCCCGTTTCTTGTCTTAATCTGTAGATTGGTTACATGTTTGTTTTTCTCTGGAGAATAGTAGATACCATGATATCGATGTGTTTCCTTCGAAAATAAAATAATATGCAAGGTCTTACTAGTACCATGCTAGTTACAATTGTGATGATCTAGAATATTCAGCGCTATCTAGTTGCTGTAATGAGATATATCATCGCTAATAGGATTAATAATGAATGGTATCCAACAATGGATAAAGGCCACTCACTGCTCTAGAGGAAAAATATCATCTAATTATCGTCCCATCGTTCAATGTAGTAGATGCAACTATCAACGCACTTAAACAAACATCGAAACGCAATCAGCGCATTGATATCGACATCCGTACTAGTCACTCGTCTTATCTAGAAAAATAACCAAAAAGGTTATTGACTAACCTTACATTGTAAGATTATATAAATACAACCAATATTCCATAAAGCTCAGCAAGACGTACGATAGTCAAAGGAACCTAGTATTGCTCTAAAATTCCCAGATGGTAACTAATAGTGTAGAATATAGACCACTGCTTTCATGAAAGTCTGCTAGGATTTGTGGTGCTGCGGGAGCCACGATAATGGTTCCTAGATTGCTAAGACGAATTAGCAGATGAAAGGTTTCTCGGCAAAATAGACATACACACACCATTATCTCCGTCAGAGAAAGGACCACAACCATGAACCACTTGTAGTGTAGAGACCAGTTTAATGGATTCGCAGAATCATCCGGCCCGTCAAAGTCCACGACGTTGGGACCCACCTCATTTTCGGTTGGCTCCTCATGCTGTTCCTGAAAAATAGGTTGCTCTGCTTCCTTACCCTTTTCAAATTCAACCTCAAATTGCTGCGCAACGTTTCTGGATATGGAAGCCATTTTCACTTAGCTAACAAAGTCCAAAAACAACACTAAGTTGAGGCTTTAGGAGGGTGGCAGAGAGCCGTAAATAAGTGGCGATCTTTCTCCGCAGCTTCTACGTATCAAGGCCGATTGCTCGGCCAGGCTGGGATTGAGATATGCAGGACACCATTATAGGAGCTTTCTCTAAGCTCGGCGTAGATCTAAAATCGAGACGTCAACGTTCAATTGTAATGATCATGAAGAATGTCGAACACAGCAGCAACGATACCTATTTTTATGTTAAACTTCTTTTACTTCCGAGATCTCAGTGTTTTCCAAAGCGGCCTTTCGACAGTCATTGTGACCTTTTGATTCCCGCCTGCTAATTTGCCGATGAGGTCTAAACAATAGATTGCCGGTAAATATTATACTGCTGCATGATTTTTAACCACACTATGACTTGTGTGGCCAGAAGTAGAAGGCCATCCATTTGCTTCTGGGCCCCAAAACGAACGGTTCACCCTGCAGGGGCCAACGTTGATTAAGGATAGTAGACATCTAGCCGTGGTAACAAGAGCGATTGCTGCAAGCGGAATTGTACTTCGTGAATCGACCTATGTGATCGATATCAGCATTCATCGCGCAGATATACCATGCCCCGGACATACCTGACTCAAAACTGCCCAGCCGGGAAGACCGTGATCCCTAGAAAATGACCAGACCATTCTGGATGCTGACGCAAGACCGCCAACCGTGGTTACGAACTGTATGACAAGAATCACGGCAGTGGCGCCTACTGCTGCGGCATTTCACTGGAAGACATTCGCAAATGTTGGAATGGACGGGTATGAGCTTCCCGCGCAAATTGCCGGATCTTCTGCACTAGCCAGCACAATTATCATCATGCCAATGCTAGCGAGCCATTAATCACTAGGCTGAAAAATATCGCTCGGGGTATATTTAATGAAGCTTTCTTGACTTCTTCAGACATATGTAATTCCGATTAGTTAATGCGTATGCAAAAGTAAGTTGGCCGCCATACATGCACTGGACCATCCGTTCCTGGGATTAAACTGTCAGCACAATATGAAGGAGTAAAATAAGAGAGACATAATTTTACATACCCACAAATGCTAAAGTATTACCATTCATCCCAACAAAGACAGAAAGGGCTTGTGTGCTCCATCCTCCTTCATTGACAAAAGTTGCGAAGATTAGTTTACGGAACCACGAGGAGATAGGCAGATGAGTGGTATTGCGATGGCAAAGAACGCAAGTATATGAAGAATGAGAATGAGTGTTTCCAGCAGAGGAAGCATTTGGTTCAAAATTGTGTTCATGGTGAAGCAAATCAAAAGAATTGCCCAGGAGACGAAGGTAAAATGACATCCCAGAAGTCCATATTCGGGGTTGTTCAGGGCGGCCAATGTCAATATCATACCACTTCCAAAGGCGGATGCAGTAACGGCGGCAATCCATCCGATGACGGCGAGCCACCCTATTACTGTTCAGCCTGGGATTCTTCCATCCGGCCCAAAAGACATCCCTGTAATGTAACTAAGGAAGTTCTTTGCCGATGGCGGTGCTAGTACACTGACCCAATGGTACTGGCCGCCGGCTGTAGTGATCATGGAAGATAGCTCACCAAGCACAGTAAACACGGACAAAGTTCCCAGCCATACAAAAAGAATTCCATATATCAACCCTGCTGGGCCACCAATGTTCTCATTTAATCAATTAAGCATTATTAACACGGGTAAATGCTTACTTCGCGGTCCCTAGTGCAGCAAAGCTAGGAAGTTGTCAGCTGTTGTGCTGCAGTGATTCCTGTGGCAGAGACTCACGCAAGTTCTCCTTCCCATGTTGCCATTAGTCCGCAAGAGAAACTAATCATACTGATCAACCGATGTTGCGCTACCGATGCTCAGTCATTATATTTAGTGTTTCAGGCTTCGAAAGCCCTTCCTTACCTGGAAGACTTATTTCTTTCCAGCTCTAGCAAGTTCGTTCTCATTCTTGGGATTGCTATCATCTGGCAAACCCGGCACCACTTTTGCCGTGTGCTGAGTTTTTCGGCCATCCATAGCCATCAATTCGTGATCAACGGCCATTCTGCTGGCTGAACTTTGTGTGTGTAGAAGAAGTGTAAAAAGACATGATACTCTAGCTTGAGATTGCCGCAGTTATCTGGACTGTGTGCTATGGAAACACTGAGGATGTATTCTCCAAATGTATACGCAGATTTGAAATGTGCCTTCTCCAAGTTAATTGTGAATAATCTATAGGTTTTGATGGGTATTTTTTATATATATATTAATAAGTGATTATTGGGTTATCATTTCATCAATCTATTATTTACAATTTGGGTTGGGTTTTCCAAAAGGGAGAGTATTGAGCAAGTTTAGGGTTTTATTGACATGACATCGATGCCTCTCGTCAACCTGCTTCGCGTGAGAATATCCATGGTACTGCCCATACTCAAGTAAATTTAGTTTATCGCTACGCCGTTCATACCTCATCTAAGCAAATTCGAGAACTAGGATGTCCATTCTCAGCATATGTACACCTAAGACATGCATTTCTTCGGTGGATTTATCTGACTTTTCCCTACGATAAAGAAAAAAGGATACTTCTGAGCATCACACGACCTGCTCTGACTCCTTATGCACTCTGAAATTACCATTTTGGGAGCCCAAATTTGGAAGCTAGATGCTGGGAGCTGCTTTGGGTTGTGGCGAAAGATAAGAAACGTCCTTTTTGAGGCACCCTTTCATTATGTGCTGCATTAGAACCTACAGCCAGGAACGATCAAATTTGTATGTCACAACGCTGGGGTCTGGAAAGGCAAGTTTAAAATTGGCATTCTCGTAGCAAACTCAAGGAATCCGGTTACAATTTGGGGCAACAAGCTAAACCTAATTACCAGTAATTGTCGTTAAAAAAATTGCAGGACCTTAGGCATTAATCCGAACCGCTTCGTAACCCCGCTGCTAGCCTTACCTGATGGAGTACGAGCTTTTGTTGGAGCGAAGCAAAATTAGATGCAGGATGTACCCCCGCGCCGAATCTTTCAAATACCGTGATCTTCGCTAGATTTCAAGCAAACTAGACGCACTAATGAATTACGGAGTAATACACCAGTTCACACCCTTTCAGTGCAGTCTTAATTTATTGCTTTTTCGATGGTAGGGATTAAGGACGTTAGAATTTCTATCCATCCTTTATTAGTCACGCGTTTCAGTCTCAAAACGGTAGGTGTGATGTTGAATCTTGCCCCGGTTCGTATATGCTTGCCGAATCTCGCTTACAAGAGGACCAATCGGATCTTGGAATATTGATAAGCTTTCAGCTTGAATTCGAACATAAGCGTTGAAGTATATCTCCGCTTGATGTGCTGTAATTTGATGGCAGAAATCCTCTTTTATGTATGATTAGTATAATGCGACGTGATTGCTCACTGCATATGCAGGTGACAAGAGTATCAGACAGTCATCATTGAATTAGATATACTTGGGGTAGTTCGGACCATAGCGATTGCTTTTGTGGAGCAAATTCTGCAATGATCTTCACTTAGGGGGCATTGTATTGTAAGTACGTACCGTAAGTGACTAACGACGTCTCAAATCAGGCAACAAAATGGATTGATTTTAACTCCTAAATAAAGTCCACTCCGACTCGCTGGTCTCCCTCACCATCACGACACTACCATCGACTGTATTTCGCAAGCTGCAGATGTACCTGGGTATCTTGACCCTGATGTCTCAAATTCAAAGCTGCGCTTTTCCTCGCATTCTTCGAATCTAGACTGTCGTTTTAATGATATGTGATTGGCTATGCTGACTTTCTGCATCCCACGGGTTTTGATTTTGCATTATCGTTTCATACCGGTAGCAGAATGATTAGTATTGCTTAATTGCCCAATAGCATGTTTAGAGGCAAACCTATTGTCCTGCCCGATAGATGCAGGGTTCTGTAGCTTGTAAGTATCCTCGGAGGTGATCTCATAGCCATAGGAAATGTTGATACCTCTTCGGCGCAGCTCGTCACTGCAGTAAAGCCCGGATGGTAAAGTGTCAAGCAGTGGGCGTAAATAAAGCACACATGACGTGACAATGGTTACACAGATTGAGACTTGACTGATGATTGTCCACGGCCAGAGATTCTCGGATTTTATGGGCTTGTTGAAAGCCTGCGTAAAGCCTAGTTGTACGCAAGAGACGATGATATCTCTAGACTTTCCTTGTTAGCGAAACTCCTAGATAGTAGTCATTGGATTTCTTACAGGCCCCGAGAACCAAAGCAGCTCAAAACAATGAGTCTTTTCTTGAGACTCATCTGTAGGTTCCGCATCATAACCACCTGGAGAGCCACCAAAGCAATGTCTGTAATTATATTCAACGCCGCGACTGAACGCCAAAAGGCCGCCTATCATCATCAGTATTATGTTGAAATAAGCGATTCTGAGGTTCGACTTACTCTATCATGGCAGACGCCGTTAATCGAGTTCCGAGGTTTCGGGAGATTGCATTGGAAAGCCAAAGCAAAGATAGAACCAATACACCAAGTGCTGATCAAGCTCTCCAATATCGTTTTTATTCTGGTGTGAATCACATTTGGAGATATGCTACAAAGGTCAATGGCGCAGCGATGTTAGAAGAAGTGTGTCTTTGAGTGACTAATGAGGAATACTTACACCACCAGAAGATCCAAACGACTTATCTTATACAGTTTTTGATAGAGGTCCCTACGTACTGGCGAAACACACTTTCGTATGTTAAGCGACTACAACCTTTGCAGAAGCGAACATTGAGCCTTGGCCGCCATCTCCGATGTAAAACTTCAGAACTACATGTGCGGCTAGAGTTGCATATGCAGTGGACCAACATAATGCGGGCTCTTACCAACAACACAACCATGTGGGCTCAAGGGGACCTCGTCGGTGAAGTTTTTTATCTTATGATGCATCTGAGCTTCATCTTATCGGAGAGCCATGTCGCTATTAAACTACCGGGGTTTCAAAGATCTGTGGAGAAACCATTGGCGAGAGACTTCAAATCTCAATGAGCTCTTAATATTTGCACAATGGGTTATTTGCATTAGCGTGCATGGTTTCTTACTTGCATATGTGCCGAAACCAAAACGGGGAGGCGGTGAAGAATGTATCACCGAGCAAAGAAAACGGAGTTGACGTGGAAGGCACAGCAGGATAAACAGGATTATGAAAGGTTACATGCTTCTCACTATGGTTGAACGGCGTAAGCACTAACGAAAAGTAGTCAGGAGGACGTTCTGAATGCCGGCCGGATTCAACTGGAACCTTCGATAAATAATTTTTGACCGGGGTATGTGTTCCTTACGCTGCGCCGCCGTCACTTATCAACGAAATGCAGCATTTCAATGGACCAATCCAACAGTTGGTTCATGAAGAAATGATGTGTAAATGTTACTCTGTTATCGCTACTATATCCTCCTATCAAGGCTTTAGTAGCGAGTGCGCGCTTGGGAAGGCAACATATCGGAAATGAGTGGAGTTAGGTTTCCTATCTTGCAGGTGATGGGCACAATTCACATGATACTTCCTTTCTTCGCCATCAGAGAAGCACGATATCTTCTGTGATTATCAAAATCCCTCATAGCTTGCAACTTCCACCATATTCGATCATGCAGTTTCTATTTTCCAGTCTAGATGGATCTACGCCGCAAAATCAGCCTCAAAGCCGTTATCACTTCGGTTAGCATTGCATCAGACAGCTGTAGTTCAGATCCAAGCTAGGCCAAATTGTGATTTATTACGACGTGCTTGATGGTCACTGGAATTCAAAGCAGATTCAAATGATAGGGACAAATCTCTCAATAATGGAATTTGAATTATAGTTACAAATTACTTGAGGAAAGGATATGCGCGAACACGACTGTCCGAGATATCCAGAAGTGAACATAACCAAGTAACTAGAGAGTAAAACAACCAAACTTCCACATCCGCCCTTGCCTTAGTGTAGTTCGTTCACGGTTGAAACGGGTCCACGTGGCCATGCTTCTCAAAATACTCTCTTTGGATGTCATAATACGGCGACCCCTCGGGACAATACGAAAATCTCTCAAGAGGGTGGAATACCCGGTCGTAATCGCTAAGTTGCCTATAGCAAGCATTTTGCTCTGGAGCAGTAGCCCAGGCCGTCAGTTTGTTCCAATCGCGACATTGCCTGACTTGACCATCTCCAATGTCTTTGACATCTGCTGGGATCGGCATAGGAGTGTCGTCAGCGTAGCACATGATGTCTTGTCTCAACGCGTCGAGGCAATGGTACATGTGAAACCAGTCTGCTTTTGTGTCAACACCACGCTGCAAGTCGACAAATGCCCGTCGTATCGATTTCTGAGCGGTTTCAGTAAGAGATTCATATTGGGCCGCAAAGACTTACAAGACAGTGCAGGTCATGAAAACCTTTCAGGATATACGTCCTCTTGTCGTTATCCCACGGGAATCTTGCTGATTCTGCTAGACCATGCTGTTCGACAAATTCTGGCGAAAGAGCAACAGTGATAGGGTCGATATTGATAGATTCCCAAAGCTCATCTGCGAGTGTCTCGTTTTCGCCCCAATAATCCGAAGTTGAATGAAACACCAGTGGCGTGTCTTGAGTTATATGGCCTATGACATCCTTCATAAGCGTGTGTTATGCTATCGACACCCCAGGTAAAAACATACTATAAGAATAGGTAGATTCGATGATGCATGGCATTACAGCCCGATTCTTTTGTGCTATAAGAACAGCATTGAGCAAAATAGATGGAACTAGGAGCAGGAAACACATCGACCCGATCGAGCCTCCATAGCGTGCCATGAAATCTCTTTTGGGATGAGATGGAGAGTGGGAAATTGGCTCTTCGTCGACGAATAAGTCATCATTGGAGGGAACCTGGAGGTATTCCTTTGACATGATGAATTTTTCATAGAAAGAACCCGCGGCAAATGAGTACGGAGTTGACTGCCGCTAATCACTTCATAAAAACAATTCGAACAACCGGTATATAAGAGTACCTATCAGCAGACTAGGCAAATTGAGAGACATTAATGACAAGGGTAAATGGAAGATGCTTGCACGAATAGCGTCACATCGCACATGCAGATGAGTGGGCCGTACTTTTTCGTTATCAGCTCATTAGCCTGTTGTTGTCGAGGTCATGCGTATTTGTACGCAAATTGCAAATTATTTGCATTATGTTCAATAGTTGGAATGATGTGCGGGGTATTTTTCACTCACCCCATATTTGTAATGAGACTGTAATGAGGCAAAAGCAAGAAAAACCCCACGAATTGCTGCAGGGCAAACACTTCAGCTACTGACTTTTGTTATTTTTCATACCACTAAATCATCAAGATTTCCATCAAAATGTCCACCTTCACCATCTCTACCGCCAGCACGCGCGCCGGAATCGACGCCGTCGCCCTGCTCGTGCAAAAAGCCAACCGAACACCCTACCGCCTCTTCGTCGAAATCTAAACTCTATACGCCACGGACCTCCCCACCGCCATGAAACTATGCCAAGAATAGTTTTGGAAAAACCATGGCCGCAATCCTGCTAGTCGCTGGATTACCGTGCATCACTGTGAGAGTGGCGAGTTAGTCGGTGCTGCTAATTGGCTTATTAATGAGAAAAATGCATTCCGACGCCTCCGCCTAAGATTGAGGCGACGTGGAAGCCGGAGGGTGAGAAGAGGGAGTTTGCAAATTTTGTTTTGAGGCAGGCAATTTTGCCGAGATTGAGTTGGATGAGGAGGGGGTTGTGTTAGTATGTTATGTTTTAATTTATTTTCGAATCTTTCTTTTATGGCTAGTGAACGATATTAATCACCAAAATTTTCAAATAGTCCTTAACATACTAGCCACTCATCCCTCCTACCGTCGTCAAGGAGTAGCAAGCCTCCTGGTGCAATTTGGAGAGGAAAAAGCAAAAGAACTCAACTTAGAATGCTGGAGCGAGGCAGAAGGAGGAGCCGGACGAGAAGGGGCTCGATTCTTGCTTGAGAAACATCGCTGGAGACCTTTGCTTAAATATTGTATTTACGGAACCAAGGAAAACACGAGTGAAGAGTGACAGGAATTATGCCATAAGTGTTTACCGCAGGAACAATATGCGATGGTAAGCTGGACCCACTCACTGAATTCTCCTTCTTACGATCTATTCCCGTCTCTTCAATCTCACAATCCGCTTCTACACGTCCTCGTATATCCATATGCCTTTTGTTTCTTGAGGACTACTTTACCCCTTGACTCCTTCAAAAATCTTTCGTTGATCGACAATACTAACTTCTCGATTGCAGTGGAAACCAAAAGGAGGCGTGTGGACAGATGACACGGTAATGCCCTGGGATTTAGGGGTAGAGAACTGAGTATGAGGAATGAGGATTACGCAAAATAGATGATCATCTCACAATGCCCGCTCTTTCTTATAACTTTAAGAGAATCAACTTTAGCAGATTCCCCTACATCAACATAATCTCAATGTATCTAATCTAAAAATGAAGAAAGATACAGCAAACTATTACTTGGACTTACTTAATCCAGGTTTTAACATTATCAAGTAAAAATCACACAAAGCCGACCCCTTTTACAGCTCTACCCATAAAACAATCAACATCAACAGACTCCCCTACATCAAAATAATTCCAACATTACCCATCTCACAATAAAAAGAAAAAGATATCTCAAATTCAAAATCACTCTATCTACATTTTGGTTTTCAAGTACAGTACCTAGATAGATCTATTATAGAACGCAGCGTGATATTTTTATTCCGAAATCAACTAGGTAGATTCCGAAATAGGCTAGCTCATTGGCAAATGCCCTAGCTCATTACTCAATGCGCCCCGTTTAGGTAAAAATGAAGCCATTCGCAAATGAACTAAATTCATATGAAAATAAATTTTGTCTTTACCCTTATCTGCAACCCTACCGTCGCCCCCACCCTCATTTTTAAACTTCTCGTCGCCGCCCAACCTCATCGGGCCCCCAAAACACTCTCATTTTCAACCTCAAGATTTATAAGAAATTAAAGTCTATATATCTAAATTTAAACCATATAAAAATTTAAGCCCTATTAAAAACCAAAATCTACAAGAAATTCGAAGTTTAAAAAGATTCAAAATTTATAATATAAAAAAAAAACTATAATAAAATAATAAAAATATAAAAGAAAAAGAAAACATTATCTCAGTACGTCGTTCTGCCCCCCAAGTTTAGCGGCCACCGCATCAGGCAAGGTGCGTGCACGGGCCGGCCGCCGCTTTCAACAGCTATAAAAGTTCGCGCTCCCCTCTCGTTAACCATCTTCTTCTTCAACCCTCTCCTAACACCCGTTGCTTTAGCTCGGCAGCATGTTCTCGAGTTTGGAATAGAGTTGCTTCGTCGCGAACGCGATTTGAAAGAAGGGGAGGGGGGATGAAGAGATTATACGCTACGCCCCGCTGCTTGTGCACCGTTTCGCGTCACCTTGCCGGATCTCTCCTGCACAACAAGGCCGACCGTACCTTGCAAGCTTTGCTGTGTCTTAACCTCTAGCCAGGCAGCACAGAACACAGCGTTTCCAGCTCACTAACCAAAGTGCCCTTGTACAACCCTTCCTCCCAATGTATAGTTCGTAGCCGCGTAAAGAATCGACTCGAGACGCATCGGATGCGCCGGATCAGAGTCGAGAGGTGCCGTAACCCCTAGTAAGAGCATTGTAATCCCGTATTATCGTCCTTGGGCCCGTCTCTACGGCAGCGCTTCTCTGGAATCCGCAGAAACCTCCACGCCATGTCCCCCTGCACACGCTACAATGTTTATTAGACCTCCCGTGAACCCTTTGCAGTCGCTCCTCCCCTTTGCATCCTCCACTGGACTCAAAAAGACGCTGTCTGATCCGCTCCTCCACACCGCTACTCCCCTCAACCATCTGTGAACTTCCGGCAAGGTATACCCGTAAGCCGTACGAATTGTTGGATTCCGGACTCTACTCGCGACACCCCAGAGGTGTCCTGTCGACCTCCATCTACGAAAGCTTCCTTCGCAGGCTCTGCATCCCACTGCAGACTCGTAAGGGCTGGTTCTGCTTAGGGGCTCACGAAACGCAAGTCACCCATCAGGCTCTGCACCCCACCGCAGACTCGAAAGGGCCGATACCGCTTTGAATTCGTCACTCGTATCTTCGACCGTCGGATGGTTTTCATCTCCGTTTCGCTGGTAGTCCTCTGTTCCGGGCTCGTCGCGAGCGCCTCAGCGACGCTCAGCTGCGCGTACCTTCGCTCCAAGTACTGCCTCCGATTAGTGTACGATCACCACCCAGCTCCAGCGACTCTACTTAGCTCTCCGATAACAAGATCGAAGGTTCGTAGGATGCACCACGTACAGGTGAGAGTCATCGCATCCCTGTAACTCTTGGGAGAAGCACAGTGTCCTAGTATCCGAGATCACGTGACGGAGTCCATGGAGCCGAATTCTTGACTTCAAAGGGATCCAACGGCGTTGGTCTTCCACTCTTAAGTTCAATATACTTCGTTCGTTCAACTAGCTGGAGGGATAAATGACTTATTCTCGGATAATATGCAAAATTACGTGTCACCCCCATGACAAATAATCGCGACACTTTGATAGGCCTCGGCAAATGAGAAGTGTTGTGATTTTTTTGTCATGAAGTCTTGGCGCTCTAGGCAGCAATCTACTTTAGATAGAAAATTTCCCCACCTCCCGTTTATTTCGTTCAACCTCCATTTTGTTGTAATCATGCCTCAATCCCCACCCCCACTCAATCACGATACAACCAGAAATACGTTGCGTACGCATCCTTATTTTGACAAGACGCCTTGTGACAAATGGGATGTTGTGGACTTCTGTGATAAAATATACAAGGAATTGGGCTACGTGAAGTACAATATATCCAATGTCCACAACTGCTGGCGGACGTCCATACAACACCTACAGAATAGCGAGGATCTCAAAATTGCTGGGATGGCTAGTAAACTGCGGGCGGCATGGGTTCTTTCAGTAGGTTGATTCTCCGAGCTACAAAACTAATATCTACGCATCATCTGTATCGCAGGATGCCTTCGTGGCGTCCTGGTCAACGGTACACCGAGGCACATATCGCAGCCTGCCTTCGCGGCCGACTGAGAAACGATTGTGTACTCTTTGGGTGTGGCTTCTTCGCGAAGACCCCTCGCTCCTGGGTTGCTGTTGACCTTCGTGGCCATCAGATTCACTAGCCCAGTCGAGCTTGATGTTTGTTAATAGGCATTCTTTTGGCAGAGCCCGAAAAACGACCAGCAAAGGGCCAAGAATTTCATCAGGTCAATAACGAGAAAGCGTGGACGACGCAAAGTCGCCAATCATGGGCCTACTACTATCGCTATCAACCAAAGTAGTATTATGTTGAATTCGTCGCAAACAGGAACCACTATTGTGTTAGTGTTCCTTCCAAGGATAGTGGAATAACAACCATCGTTAACAATTCTATACGTGTAGTGGAGCTTCTATCTATCAAGATGACCCAGACACAAATTGTGCCAATTCAGAAGCTGATAATGATCCCAATAGTCTGAACGCGACTGTTGACTCCAGCCTCGACAAGCAAGACTCACTGGCAATGGAAGTCTCCGACACGAAGAGGCTTCAAGAAATCCTTGGTTGCTTGGAGGATTCTCGCATGACCCTTACTAATGACAAGAAGGTGTTACTCACTTATGGCAATGTTTACCTCCAAGATATCATGCTAGATTATGCCCGACGCACTGGCAAAGTTAAGCCAATTCATTTTGGTATCCTGGATGCCGAATCCATCACGACACTGGATCTCATGCGAGAAGATTGTGAGCAGATCACAGACTGTGTTGAAGAATCACCGCTCCCTAGGTTTCCCCTGGAGTTGCTTCAGGCCCTCGAGAAGTATGAGAAGGTCAGTCAGTACTTCGCCTTTAGGTTTTCGGAGGACCGATAACTGATGATTGATGACTTTGATAGGCGAATTCCTATGAGCACTCATGCCAAATCGAACGCACAATGTCTCATAGGGGTGATAGCAAATGGATCGGTGATGTTTCGTGCCACATGTGAATTACACGCCGTCTTCGCCCTATATTATAGGCTGATTTTAGAGCAGTGTCCGGCTTTTAGAGAACTCCGGAATGATCTTGGATGAAGAGCTGAGTGAAGGGGTTTGGGATTGTTTGGTTTATCCTCGCTTCCTGGACGAAGTTTTCTGTGAGATTCCAGAGCTTATCCTTCAACGGTAAACCCTTATCCCAATTCTCTGCTCTTTTATTTGTCTGCTTTGGCTACTAATCAACATCGTTGCAGCAAAGAAATTTCTCTCTCAGCAACTCGCTACCAACCGTACTCCTACTTCATCAACGAACCTCGTTACGATGCGATCGCACGCCGTCGTAAGCTATCTGCTGACGGCAGCTCTCAATCTTGTTATGAACTGCTTGTCTTGGAGACAATTCGCAAATGGGAAGGGGAACTTGCTGCGAAATGGCTCAACGATTTTGATAAGCTTGTGGGTGGCTTGAGAGCGATGCTGTGCCACATTGGCGAGCTGGTAGAAAACGACCCTACAGTCATGAAGAAGATAAAGGTGGTTGGCATACTACAAGCTGGTTAGGATATTGTCTGTTGCTTAGTACTTCTTTGCTAATCATGCTAGGCCGTCGATACCAGCTTCTTATTATGTCTTGTATTGGCAAGGACGTATTTTACTTGAAGCGTGGTCATATACATGAGCTTCCGGGGGAGCTTAAAGATATGAAGAAGTTACAATACATCTTCGCGTCATACTGGAAAGCACGGGTATGCACCTTGGTTCCCTCGTTCTGTTCGAAATCTCATGCTCTTTGTAGGAAATTGTTCGATGTGGTGTTCGGCTTCTGGAAGAATTTTTGCAACAAAATTTAGAGCAGGATCAAAAGGCTATAAATATTTTGTCTCCAAACTTCCTTTAAATTTTCTTTGGTTGATAATCACAATATAAATGAAATACATAATGCAAATTATGTTTAAAACTATGTTATGAACCATAGTACCTGAGGACCTTAGGCTCAATTGTCAGCAGACATTAGTAGAACCTCGGGGACGGAACGATGGCACGTGACAGATAGATTGATAGAAAGACTGTCGAGCAGTTTATCCAACAGAGAAAGAAGGTCTATATAAGCAGAATGTATTTCCTTAGTATATGGAGCTTCGTGCTCAACTTAAATAGTAATCTCAACCATTAGTTACTTGGTTACTTCTCGATTGGAAACAATTGTTCAATCCCCTGCTTGACTGCTTCAATACACAAACCCTACGGCACTCTACCACATCCACGTGACTAGAGAATTGACGGCATAACACTCATCCTGAAGTCTATACTGTACAGAGCCTCTAACTCTTGTTCCTTTAAGCTCAATTACTTTTTTTTTATACGCCAAGGTATCTCTCTGATCGTTATTCGGTCTCATTCTCGTTCAATTGCTGCTTTAAATTTCGCAACTGTTCTCCTATCAAATGTCCCCCATATATCTATTTTTAGTAATATGCAGGCACTTCTTAGTACCCAAAGAGCCGCTCCCTTATCCTGCTACTCTTCACCGGTCCCAAAAGGACACTCTCGCGTCTCTATGTTCCTGTGAGCTACTCCCCTAACTATCTGTAAACTTCCATCTCTGGTATACCCGCGCCGGCAACGGCTCACGGCGACCTAACGTAGCTCAATCGTCGACTATCTGAAAGAAATCACTTAGCCACCAACACCTCTTGATGAATACAGTACTTGGTCGAGGAGTACCGTCGCACAAGGTGTGGTGGGTACAGGTCAACCATCCTCCCTATTTGTGGTGGCGAGTTGAAGTAACCTTTATGCGTCAGTTGTCCACTTGTACTGTCCAATTTGTGATCTCTTTCAATGATTCAGAACATACTAAACATTGCTAATCCGTGCTGCGATAATGCGCATTAAGTCATTTTCCCGCATTGATGAACAAAGTAGGAAACTTCTAAAATAATATATTATCTAATATCCCCATGATATGTCTTGGATAAGTTTATGTATTTGTATTGTCTATCCCGGCTCACAATTCTGAATAGATGATAGATTAAATTGGCTTGAATGAAGTATAGTCCATCACTTAAAAGTTGGCTGGCCTCTAAGAAAATACACTGCTGATTTCCTCTCACGAAGAAGCGATAATACAAGATAATATACTAGTGAGGATAAATATTCTCAGGGTCGAAGCTCAGGGTCGAAGCTCAATCCCATGGGCTCTGGCTACATGGCTCTTAAAATGTATCAAATTGTTGAGAACCAGCCCCTTAGCTTTGCATATAGGATGGTGGCAAATAAAAATTCCACTCACTGCTTGATCGCGCAAATGAACATTCTCAACATAGTCCCACATATGAGCAACACGACGAAAGGACCGCATCCGTTGTTCATACGAAAGACGGTCGTTCCCGATGCAAATGATACATTGGGTCTTCGCACAGACCACAGGAAATCCATCCGGTGATTGGGAGGAAGCCGGAGCAGGAGACTCCTTTTTGTCTGTATCCTTGAGGATTAAAGCAAGCCGTGGCTTGCGAGTTTGGAACTCTTGTCGAGACGCGAGGGCGACCATGAGATTGATAGCAGAAATCTTCCGAGAGACAATATCTTGTTGATTCTATTTCTTAAAGAAATCACATAGAATCCGTTGTAATTGATTTCGTTCATTGAGTTGGTATTGGACAAGAGGCGTATCGTCCTCCTTATCCCCACAGCCTTGCCGGATTGCCTATACAATTGCTTTTTCATCATCTCGTTATGAACACGAAAGAAGTAATCCTTTCGGAATTCCTTCTCAATCTCGTCTTTCAGGTTTTTCTTAACATTCGTAAGGTTCTTTCGAAGATCTTCGTGCTGCTTTCGAATCGTTTGCGACGCGCATCTGATGAACTTAAAATCCCGCTTGATCTGAGTTTATAGCTTCTTGAACTGTCGCTCAAGGTCGACGACATCTGGATCTACAGCCAAAAGTGATTTCATCATTTCGGTCGGAACTTCCTTAAGTACACCTAGGTTACATCGAATGCTCATATATATAAAAGCTCGAGTAAGCCCATCATCGAAGATCACACTTTCAAGAAAAGCATCCTGTATATTGAATCTGACGATGTTGTTTATGTAGGCCCCGTTGAAGACTCCGGTGAATGGGTCATGTCTCATGACCTGATCACGAAAAGCGTCTGAGGCGACGCCTAAAATAGCTGTTTGCCTAGAGAATTAGATAAAAATATCAAAAATTACATACCATCGACTGCATTTGCAGTTCCCCGGCGAAAGCAATAGCTTGTCAACTTGTTTTCAAAGCCAGTATCCTTTCCTAAAAGGTCAATATAAAAGGCATAAATCGAATAGATCATTGGTTCTGTCTTTGACTTCACCCAGCCATTAACGGAACAAACAGACCTTCGGAAGATTGGTCTTTTGAGCCATTCTGGCTTCCAATGTACCTTCATAGCTTTCATACCCTGACCTCCAAGGTCCGTTGTGAAGAAGGGTTCGGCAAATGTATAGCCATCGACGAGAATGGCATCATCACGGATCGCACGTGTCAGAATGTGAAAGATCGGACAAAGAATCGGTAGAGGATTTTCCCGGAATAAGAAGGTCGTGCTGAGATGAGTTAGCCAGAACTTCGAAGGTAGGAAGGAGCAACATACGGTTTGGGCTTATTATCGACACCTTTATGATGCCGTAAGTGAACTTCCATGGCAAGAAGGTCTCTCCCCCCAGGCCTTGGATTCTGTACTATCCAGAGGCAGATATCCTCATAGCAGAGTGCTTTGTACTGTCGTATCGCCTCACCAAACTCGTCGTGTTTAACACTAGTGCAAGTCTGTGGAACTGATTCTCTAGAGCCGCTGATCTCAATAGTAAGGCTCTCGTCTGTGTTCTCTGCCATAGCAATATCTGTCTCATCGGTGCTGTAACCGCTATTAGGATCACCTCTGCAGTCCATATCGTCGTCAAGCTTATCGTACTCAGAATCGTCGGCATCCTCGGTGTCGCTCTTATCGTCGCAATCGTGATGCGATGATTCTCGAGGTTGCACATCTTTATCGATCTCTACCTTGCCAAGAGGATCTTCGCCAGCTTTGCCCTTTGATGAATGAACAAACTCTGTAGGTCGACCGCCAGTGTAGGATTGAAACAGCATTATAGTGGCTACATCATGTCGGTCGTCCTCGGTAGGAAAAACGGATTCATCGCGAGCCCAATACTGAACAAGCAACAGAAGTAGGTCATCTGGTCCGGCCACTGGCTTGGCTTTTGCCGTAGTATCCAATCCAAACTTATCCTTTAGTGTGCCGTTGATATACTTCGCGAGATTAGTGTGAAAACACAAGAATAAAGTATAAAGGAAAGATTTTAATGTACCTTAACGACCTCGTTCGAATCATTCACATTTACAAAGGTGCTATTAAACCGACGATAGAGCATCTTAAAATCCCGTCAGTATTGATTAACAGACTTTCTCTTCCCCTTTTTTCATTTCTTCATCAGATATGTTTCGCAAACCCAATAAAGAAATAGCATCATTATACCTTTATCACAATTTTGTGCTAGGATAGCTGTTCGCCAATAACCGATACCAATATGATTGCAATATCTATATATTCTTCATACTAATGAAACTATAAAAGTGAAAGATTTTACATACCTAATAAATTTCTGTCTGATATAGTAGATACTGGCTTTTGTATTTTCGGCATCAAATAACTGCAAAAACTATATACTGTTCAGATCAACCCGCAAAAATCGATAATCCTCTCCGCTAAGCATCTTCTTCCTCCTTTCCTTGAGTATTTTGTTGTTATCGTTGCATCGTCTCAGAACATTCTGAAGCGTTTTGAGCGTGTCCTCCGCTGGAATTTGGATGGTAGGCGCCATGGTTGATCGAGATCGGGACTGGACGAAGATGGCAGATTTGTACTCGAAGGAGGCTCGTAGATTATCGGAAACGAACAGTAGTAAGGGACACTTGTAAATTACTGGAAATGAACAGAGGGAGATATGAGGGAAGAAAACAAAGTAGGATTTCGAGGATAAAACTGGAAAGAAATAGAACACAATGAGAGTAGATTCTATAGTTGTAAATAGTCATAGTAAGTGAGCGGGCACTGCAAATATTTATAACACAGACAGCCATCAAGGCAGAAAGGACAGGCAAGAGTTCCCATAGTGGAGGAGAGAAGAGATGCCAAAATAGGACTTTGGGTCAACAACATGTTGGAGGAGCGCTTTTTGGGATGCGGGTTTCTGGCATGGGGAAGTTTAGTGTAATCACGTGCTCTGTAGGCAGGTTTACCGAGCGGTTGAGGCTGCGTAAAACAGCGACAAAACCCGCCAAATACAGTAGCTCAAACCGCCGTACTTAGACGTAAGATATAATAAAAAAGATCAAAAATGAAAACAAAGAGTAATGATAAGATTATATATACATACAGATAAAAGTAAAAAAGAGAATGAAATTTATTTTCATACAAACTTGGTTCTTTTATAAATACCCTTGATTTTTCCTATTTTGATATCAACTAGCTCATTCCGAAACCCAGTTCACTTCAGAATGGATCAAGTTGATTTCGCAACCCTTATATTGTCGTAACAGATCAAAGAACCCTAGAAACTCCCAGTCTAGGAAAATGATGAATTTTAGAAGATACATATAGATATATATACATAGCGATACATTAGCTTAGACATACGATATTTTCGCTTGTGACATATAAACATCGCACTAGCAGCTCCACTAGGAACCATACAGCCATCCAGCATACCTCTCACTTCTTTGTACATAATTGACAACACACATAATGCATATTAAATAAATCAAGCAGCTCGAAAAATAGAGTGAGATCCGCTGGAACAATAACTTTTGTATATTCATCCATGCCATCGAGATTACTATATACGATTTCATTTCATCCCGCTGCATTCCAATCCATACCACAGACATTCCCTCAATCCTTCCGTCCACTTAAAACTCTCCATGTACTCCCGGCTGGCAAAATCCATAATCCATTCTCACATCTCAACCACAAATTCAAGTTCAAGCCCTGAAACTTTTTCCTTCCGAGTTCCTACTGAAGATACCTGACAGCTTCTCCGAAGATGCCTATAGATTAAAGAGAAGTAAAATATAGACAAACTGTAATGCTCCATATGCATTTGAATTCCCATTCCCATTCCCATTCCATATACCATATGGCCCAATCTCATCTGTACCGAATCCTTCCAACCAAACCAAAAATAATGCCCAATAAAATCGCTGAGGGTGAAATTGAGCAAAAAAGGACTCGCTCCCAACTCCATCGCTAACTTAAAAAATTCGTAGTGTAGCCCATATTAGAGACCAGGATACAATATCTGAACCTAAGATATGTGCCCATGTCGCAAATAATTGGACCCAAATGGTATTCATCATTCCATGCAAATGTTTTCCCTCCCAATATGCCATTCATCCATCCCACATGCCGAATCGCCAAAGATGATGATGAATGACTGACTCCAAATAATGCCAAAAGAACAAAAGAAAAACGCTGCGTTAGCTCTGAGAGCTGAGCTGGCTGCCGGTGAATTCGAAACTGAATGAGAAGGAATAAGGTGAAGGTAAAGGTTTTCGATTTCGTTAAAAGGGAGGAAATCTAAGCAACACCCTTCAATTACTTGAGGTATTATTTGAAAATAATTGCATAGACCCTCGAACAATGTAAATACTAACTCTTGACCGATATTTTTGGCGTATCGCAATGCTTAAAATAACCCTAAATCTGTTAAAAGAGCTGCTCTTTTCTCTCTGCGCTTCGTAGTGCCTCGTAGTTCCAGTGGCTCCTCCAATATGTCGTCGGCCATACTGGTATTGCCAAAGTCTCGTTTCTTCCCCGACATCATAAATCGAATTTGTTCATCTTTCCCACACAGGCCTTCGGTCGCAAAATCGCAACGTTCGAATTCCATGATTCCACCCCTCAATGTATCGCAATTTGCAATAACCAAGTCTTGACCATCATTGGTGAAATCGAAACCTCCAATCTCCCCTAAGAAGCTGAGAGTCTGTTTACTGGCGAAATTTTCAGCATCTATGATATTGACATAATCCGCTGGTTCTGCTGCGACCAAAATCGGCCTACCAGTGCCCAAGGGAGAAAACTTGAGTTTCCTGACGCCAGCCATATCTGCAGCAATACTTGCTACGGGACGATTCCAATACCGAGCATCCCAAATTTTCACTTGCATGTCCTGGTTTCCGGTGGCTACCATCCATCCGTCCTCAGACCAGTCACATGCGAATCCGAAGTCAAGATGACCCTCGAGTTCTTGTAAAACTTGCCCTGTCTCGGAATTGCAGATCATAACTTTGCGAGTATCGCCGACCAATACACGTAGACGTCGATCGGGTGATACGGCTGTGCAGTTCATAGCATGATCATAATAGTGATTTGAGATGAACTTATTAGTTGTAACATCAAGAGTTCTCACGCCCGTATCGTTTGAAGCAAAAGTAACTAAAGTTGATGATGATCTCGAAAGATGAACTTGGGCATGGTTTGTTATGTCGTTGGGATGTTCTGTGATTACGCCTTCAATGTGTTTTGCGTCCTTATGGGCCCTGATATTAACCAGAGCGTATTGCCCCTCAAATCCACCCGCAACAACAAGCTCGTGTCCGCTGGTCAGAGTGGAGATTTGGCATCCATTGAAGGTGGTATGAAATGCCGATAGCCTTGGATTTCCCAGATCCATCAGCATACGGGGAGTGGATCCAATGGTGGGGTCATAATGCAAGACCTTTGTTTTTGCAGCGTATGTTACACAATTTTGCGAGAGGCAGCTAATTAAGTTGCGCAATTGAAAATGACGGATATGAACGTCATGTTCAAAATCCATTCGCCGAAATTTGAAGTAATTGTCGCAGTTCGGAAGTCTCAAACCTATCGGTCGCGGCTAAATTCTATTAATACAATACCTATGCTAGAAGCACGAGTGAACTTACATAAAGCAGTGGGCGGTTGGGGTATATGAGGTTGGTATAATTCTTATAGGTAGCCCGGCGCCTTTGCCTGGCTTCCAGTCGTGTCACACCTAAGTCTTTCCAATCGATTCTCTGAATATCACAGTCATCGCCCTGAAGATCACACCTTCGCATGGGCATAAGATCTCGGGCAAGAATATGACTAGTGATAGCAGCTTGTGAAGGAACCCCCCTTTTGGATTGCCCTGCGACTTTGCGGGGTACAGTTGTTGCCCAGTCGCTAAGAAAGTCGCCGAGATTCATGTTGAATTGGTTGTCAACTTGAGCTACGTCAGCATCAGTGTCAAAGTCATGGTCAGCATCATAGTCAATGTCAAGGTCAATAATATATTCAAGACCCTGATTAAAATCAGGCCCCTGGTCATTTGATTCTGGCCCAGCGGATAAAATAATTGGCGTCTCCACATTTAGGAGTGCTAAACCCCCTTCTACTGGAAGAGGAGGATCTGGCATAAGGAAATCATTAACAAATGAAGCAGGGGATAATGTACTCTGATTGTGATTTATGAACGTATCATGATGTTCATCTGAAGCCGACTCAAAATCACCATGTTCCTGCCCATCCTGAATATGTTGCAGTTGTTGTAAAACTCCCGACATTACAGCTGGGAAATCCGTAGTACTATTGGCCTCGAGTAAAGGTAAAGGTGTATCTCCCTCATGTTGGGATGAGCTACCCCCGGGTCCTGATGGAACATCCAATTCACCCAAGGATGTTTGTGTAGAGAAAGGATTGGTTAAAGATTGAATTTGAGGATGATGATGCGGTCCTACCAGGTTATACTGGCCCATTATCTCAGAACCTACTGCCTCCATTGCAGTGTTGAGCTCTTCTGCATGTGAGGCTATCGTTGTCAAAGGCGCTCCTCCATCAGACATATCCTGATCTGATTCTTCCATCATATCCTCGGGAAAGGAACGGGTTCCTGGTGTATATGCTTCGTTAGGGCCGTTGGGGATCATACTTGAATTGCTCGTCGGTGTTGCCAGCGACAAAGGGTGATTTGTATGGGGAGTTTCCGGTGCATCTGGTAATATGCGACCACTGGATGAATCATTCTCGATATTGTCTGCCGAACTTCCGTAAGGTGGAGTCAGTGGAGTTGGAAGCATTGCGCCGTCGTCTTCTCTGCTACACACAAAGGGTCGGATATCATAGACAGGAAGGTCTCGCGGGGAAGTATTTTGTGTCGGAGTAAGAGGTTATTGTGGATGAGCATGAGCATGAGCATGAGAAACTGAGCACAAGCTAGAAGAAGTAATTTGTGGCAGAGTAGGGTACCGGTTGAATGACAATGACAGATTTGGGATCCTTGAGCTGTACAAGATGCGCGATGCAATGTGCGATTTGGTGTTACGAACATGGGCGGCCTCGGCCTGCCGAATTGGTAAGTGTGTGCTGTAACTAATGACGAGATTAGGATTGGATTTAGAAATTAGGCTTGAGTAGCCAGTGAGCAATGGGGATGTGGTGGCGTCTCTTACGGTTGAAGTGGGTGTGGTGGATGTATGTGGTAGCTATAGGAAAAAGAGGTTGTAGTGTTCAAAATTGGATTAGTTGTATTATTAGTTGGATGGATGAGTTGTGTGTTGTATTATTATGACTATTATTATTAGCATTAGAGTGGCATGCGGTCTTCAGCGGATCAATCCACAATTGGAAAGTGTTGTGTGTGTGAAATGGGGGGTGAAATAATGTGTTGTGGGTGCCGGATAGTGGGGTTTATGGTTTATGGTTTATGATTTATGATTTATAATTTATGATTTATGATTTACGGTTTACTTATCTGAATTTAGTTTCCGATGATGCTTATTAGTGGTCAGGTTTCTGGTTGGTTGTTGAACAAGTGTACAATGAAGTAGCATAATAAGAGCGTGGGGAGTTATTTTTATGACGAAAGAGTGAATATATATAATATATAATATTTTATTAAAATCTCCCGTTGGGCCTTCTCCCTATGACTTTTTAACAGCCAAGAAATCGGGTTAAATGTGGTATATATCCTTTCTTCCGAATGGATGATCAAAACGAAACAGAACCCCGATAGAGAATACGAGGAGGCAAGACAACTTGGAAGGTAAAGAACAGGTACAATTAAGGCAATACAGTAAGAACAAAGTAATCCTAGAGCCAGCTTGTTTGACACCTACCTATTGCCTATCTAGTCACAATGAAAAAGAAGAATTGCGCATAATTCTAATATGTATCCCCAGGTATATATGTACATGTATGTAAGATCTTACATGTATATAAAATTCGCAGCAAGAGAATATGAAGTACTCGGTGTTCCCCATCCAATAACCACCCTTCTCCACACAAACAACTCTATAACCCTACCAGAATGCACATCAGTCTGAACCAAAAATGCTGTTTTTATGGTAGATAATGTATCCAACAGATATGCGAGATGATGATTGAAGGATTAGGAGAATGCGAAGCGGAATTCAAGACACAATAATAAACTCGTCCACAGCATAAAACCGCACCGGCACGAAAACTTTTCTATTCCTCACCTCCTCTCTCCATATAAATTTTGATATCAAGAGTTCCTAGACTTCTTTCAATTGTTATGTTATAATGTTATCATGTTAGATATCATGTGTTCCGAAATGGGATTGGATACATTATACCAAGCCGCTCCTGTTGTCCGCACCACGACCGGAATAAATGTGGCAATCGGCGAAAGAGAATGGTGTATTCTTATATCGTGCTTCGATGCCGTTATCGAAGTCTTGTCAGTGCAGCTATCAGTCTCTGTATAAGCCTATCGTATGTTTTATATACTATCACACCATATAGGTGAGTCCGACTATCAAAGTACACGTCTTGTCTTTATTTTCTCCGAAGTTCGCAATCAATTAATAACTATTAAATCTACCTAGCTATGCCATTCTCCCGCGCATTTCCCCATCCGCCATTCCCCATGAAAAGAAAGAAAGAATACTATCTTCTCATTTCCCCGATGGTGTGCGTTGCAGATGCACGATATGCGGTATGCAGTATAAACGCATACGGAAATTCCTGCATGAATAATTCGTGGGCGCCTTTTAGAGTGCTGCGGGTTCAGAAACTATGCCTGCAGCTGTAGAAAAATGATGGGACGGCAACCCCAGCTCTCGGAGTAAAGTTGCGAACGCGTTGTGCAGCTCCTGTTGTCGTATCACCAATGCACCTTAGGGACTTACGGATGAATGGGGTGGAGTGGATGGTTACACTCGTACATGATAAAACCTCATCATCCAACACATGACTTTGTTAGAAACGTAACCTTTTCGTTCTATTCAAACTTGGAACGAAAGCAAAAATCCAGAGGAGAATTGACTGCTCATGTTAAGAAATCCCTCTAGATTCCGCAATTGTAGTATTTGTGATAGGAAATACCTCCGGTCATCTGTTGTCTTCTTCTTTTCGAGAAAGTCATCTGCGAGAGTTTGCAGCTGGTTGGTTGGACAAGAGGGGGATGTCTTTGGATTCTCAGCCACGAAGCATGCTTTTAATCATAAATCACATTGTTCCATTTGGAAGTGTTCATAATACCTGCCTCTTCTTCTGAGACAAAAGGTTGTCAAAATTGTTTAAAGGCAATTATCAATGCTTATTCATGCGTTCCGTTCTCGGTATTGAAAACAAAAATGATAGATTATATTTTCCGGCTTTAACCTACATATTTGAGACCTACCTACGGCTTCCCGCATGAAACCAGAATGGCTTTCGGTCGGTTCATCATATAAAGTTTTCGGATTGTCCCAAAATTTACCATAGATCGAGATTGGGTCAATTCCGCTCCCAAGCGGTTGAAAGCGTCGAGGGAGGAATTGCAAGCACCACCGCAAACACCCGTTGTGGAAGGAGCGGTGTGGGGAAAACCATGGGGGACATCAAGATATCTTTTCGTTTTCTTCTGCATTCCCCCCAATCTCCTCTTCGCTTTCGCTTCATTTCCAGTATCGAAAAGTCCGCTTGAAAGAGCAAAGCAATACAACATATCCTTCCATGCTTTCTAGGAACCACGGATCTAAGCATTGGTCTATGATAGGATACTAAGGTACATGAGAAGTAGTTCATCTTTATGCACCGAAATCCTTGTACTCATCACGTGTGAAATATTTCCGCTGAAAGTACCCGATGGTACCACAATCTCGGAGCAGGACTTCGGGTCTTGTTACTCGAGATCCGAGAACTCGGGAAAAGCCAGGTAGAGTTGTCGAGATCTCGGTTGTTGGTAGAACAAGAGAAGCACTCGAGAATTCGCCTTATCATTTCGTGCTATGTGAGCCATTTTTAGTGATGTGGTGTATTGAACTCTCTTTTGCTTTTCGTCAAGTCTCACGTACTTTTCTGCGCTGTTTGTGAGGAGAACTTGAGCCGCGCTGCATGTCAACGGTCAGCCTCGCGTGGTACATGCTTTGTTTTCCCTTTAAGCCTCGAATGATCTAGCCCCAAAATCATGGCTTGAGCCCCGCTGCAGATCTAGAGACTATGGCTTGAAGTGTACATACTTGCGATGCAATCTTATTTAATTACTTCTTTTTGGCGCATGGCGTGACTTTGACCTGTGGTCTACAACATTTTTGCTTTTTTCTAGCCTTACGTTTCAGCCCTAAGCACCCAGAACAATTCTCTAGTGAAGAAATTCGTTGGGGAATTGGCAGAATCCCGTCTCCAGCATATATGCCGAGCCGATACAGCGCAATGACACTTGTCTCATCTGAGGCTTCCAGCCACTTTTCCGAACCGAGACAATTGCAGCACACATATTCCGCATTCGTCATCTGATCTTGTCTGAATGTCAAGGCATGACTCAAAACCAATCTTTGGACGTATTCCGATTGGTACTCCGGTGCTCCTCCATATAACCCCCACCCACCCTTGTTCATTATTGTCATCTTCACGCCCGCTGGAGGAAATGAGTAGAATGTAGAACTTTATGCTTTAATTAAATGGCTAAAGTACAGCAAATAATTTTTAGCAAGATATTCTGTTATAGCTTAAAGCGCAATATCCGCTATAATCTTATTCCTATCCTCATTCACCGACGGATATTCTGAATTGCTACAACCACACTTCCGAATCTAGCTTGGCAATACTCCATGCAAAGATTTATCCTGAAATGGCAAGGTGATATCATTCTCACCTTTATATTCTGTTTCTATAAAAAAAAACATACAGGACACTATGTCCGATTTAGTAGTCTATGCAGTTTTTGCGACGAACGGTGTGGTGATACAGTTGATCACGGAAACCCACAGGGTTCTCAGGCACCATTTAGCAATGATGCCTCGGTGCTATAAAAAACTAGACATTTTAAGATCAAGACGCGACTCTAAATAGTTTAAAACAAGTCTAGTATTATTAAATTTCTTAATATGGTCAAAAAAATCTCAAAAATATATACAAAATCTATGCTTAAAATATGCTCTCTAAACCACTGTTTGATGCATAACATTAGCCCTATAACTTTCCGACCTCTCCAGCAACTCCTCATGCGATCCCTGATCCACACATCTTCCCCCATCCACCAAGAAAATGATATCTGCCTTTCTAATCGTCCGTAAACGATGAGCAATAGCGATAACCGTGATTCCCCTCGCGGCCTTCTCAAGTCCATCTTGCAAGAGCTTTTCCGACTCCGCATCTAAAGCACTAGTTGATTCGTCCAGAATCAACAACTTAGGCTTTCGAACAAGCGCGCGAGCGATTGATAATCTTTGTTTCTGTCCCCCTGAGAATTGGTTACCGTTGGTTCCGCAAAGAGTCTGGTATCCATCTGGTAATGCTGCGATGGTATCATGGATATTGGCGAGTTTACATGCAGCGATGATTTCGTCCATGCTTACTTCATGACCGGGTCTGGCTCCAAATCCTATGTTGAACTCTACAGTTCCTTCAAAGAGCACACTTTCTTGTGGTACTAAGGCGATAGAATCGCGGAAGGCGACATCACGGTGCTTGGTCACATCGACGCCGTCAATGATGATGGATCCAGTTTGTGGTGTGTATAATCGTTCGACCAATGAAATGATCGTCGATTTACCAGCACCGGATGGACCAACAAGAGCACAGAATTTTCCCGGCTGAATATCAATGCTCAAGCCGTTTAATACTTGCATGTCTGGTCTAGCAGGATATGAAAAGTGGATATCCCGGAGTTGAACACTGGAGGCTCCAGAGGATGAAATCGGGGATCTCGTTTCGGCCGTGGCCTCGATGTCAGTAGATGGTAGATCCTCTACATGTCCTTGCATCTTATCCGAACCGATTTCAATGAGACTCAAGATTCTTGCCATGGCCGCACGAGCATTGGAAAGTTCTGGTGCGAGAGCGAACATTTGGCTCCAGAGTAGTGCGCTGACAAGGAGGGAGAATACGACAATAAGGAATTGTGTTTGTGTGTAGTTGCCCGCTAGAATTTGTTTGGCACCCCACCAGTATGCTAGTGCATTCACAAGGTTGCCAAGGAAATAGGTCGTCGCCTGCCAAAGACTTGCTAGGATACTAACTTTGAATGTCTCCGTGCGAGGCCCTTTCAAAGATCTTCTGTAAGTAGCTAGTGTCTCTTCTTCAAGCGAAAGAGATGCAATGATCTTGATGGAGGTAATGGCTTCGACACCGATGTCAACTGACTGAGTGTAAGCATTTTCGTGTCGATCCTCAAATTGACCAAGTACTCGAAGTTCCATCAGTCCAGCTCCAAGTAGGAGTGGCACTAGAGCTAAACAGACCAATGCTATCCTCCAGGCTATAATGTGAGTCAAAACAATTGCTGCGATGAGATTCACGGAAATGGAGAATAATGTGCCAATGACGGAACCGCTCAAACCAGCCAGAGCGTTACCATCCCTGGTAATATATGAGAGGAGTACGGCTGGTGTTCGGCCTTCAGATTGATGCCATTGAAGATCTTGTTCGAACAATGATCGAAACGACAAGACTCTCACCGTAAAAACGATTTTCTCGGAGATCCAGCCGAATCCTGCCCAACTGACCAAATTACCAAAGAACTCAATGATCGCAAGGATGAAAAATAGAAGTCCGTAGAAGTTTCCTCGAGAATCAATATAGCTGGCGCTCTTGCAGGGATTCAGACTTCCAACTGTGTTTCCGAAAATGACGGCTTCGCCAGAGAAAGCTCCGCCAACAACAACGGCACCAACAAGGGAGATGAATATCATAAGCAAGTGTGGTCGCAGTGCTGGAGCATAGCCCTTCATCAGAGCCCACAAAGATTTGTTCGGAGTTTCAGGTTCTTGTTCTTCCTCCGGCGAGTCAGTGACGGCTTCTTCCTTTGCTGAGAATTCGGGTTTCTCCGCATCCCCAAGAGGGGCGCTTATCAGGCTGCTCTTCTCAATATCGCCGTCGGTAATTGAAGTTGCTGCGGATTTGCTAACACTATCTATGCTAGCTCTTTCATTTTTTCCGGATCCAGATCCAAGGCCTTGCAATTTGACTAGATCAGCGTATGTTCCATTCTTGGCCATCAATACCGAATGGCTTCCCTGCTCCACGATATTACCTTTGTGCATCACGATGATGTTATCTGCGGTGGTGATTGTTGACAGACGATGAGCAATGGTGATCATAGTTCTACCACTGGCAATCTTGTTGATGGCCTGTTGAATACGTTGTTCACTCCTTGAGTCCAAAGAGGCTGTTGCTTCGTCCAAGATAAGCACAGCGGGATCCTTAACAAGGGCTCTAGCAAGAGCCACCCTTTGCTTCTGACCACCGCTTATCAAGCGTCCACTGGAGCCAACGGTAGTTCCGTATCCATGTTGCAAGGCAGCAATGAAGGAATCTGCATCTGCAAGCTCTGCGGCTTTTCGAACTAAGTTGACGATTTCGACGATTTCCGGAGTTCGTGCCTCTGCAGCAGCCATGAGATCTTTACCCTCCCTGACCTCGTTTGCTAGATTTGAAAGCTCTGAGCTGTTGAGTGCTGTCTTTAAATGCGCATGATTAGCATGGCTCGAGTTTATCAAGCCGTGCGCGATATTTTCCAAGAGTGAACGGTCGAGGAGAGACGGTTCCTGTTGTACCAAGCTAAGGTAACCTCTCAAGTCACGGGCATTAACCTCACGAATATCCTGACCGTCGAACAGGATTTGGCCATGCGTAGGGTCGTATAATCTTGTGACCAGACCAGCGACAGTCGACTTTCCACTTCCCGAAAGACCGACAATGGCCGTGCTCTTGTTAGCAGGGATGGAAAAAGTGATATTATCCAGAACTCTAATCTCAGGCCTGGAAGGATAGGTGAATGAAACATTCTTGAACTCGAAGCCTCCCTCAGCCTGTGGAAGGCGAATACCCGAATCGGTGGTGCCATCAATCAGTGGTTGTCGATCTATATCTACACGTAGCTTTTTGTACGAGGCGATAGCTGCTATAAACAGATGGAGGAAAGGCGCAACTTGACTCAAAAGCAAAGTAGCTGTTATCGTGTCAGTGTAACCCTGCAGAAAAATTCAAGTCTTACTAACCTTCGACCAGGATAAAGATAACTGTAAAAGTAGCTCCAACGGTGACGCCTGCAGTGTTGTTGCGCACAGAATCTGCGATACTTTTACTTCCTTGCCAAAATGCTAATCCGTTGGCAGAATAAGCAACGAAATACAGGAATCCGGATTGTATACCAATCGCCGTTGCCTTCTTCAAGCCTTCAGTCCTCGAAGCTTTAAGTGCAGCAGAGAATTTGTTCTCCAATCGAGAATTTCCACCAAAAGCCTGCACCACAACAATGTTAGAAAGCGCCTCCGAAGCAATCGACGCGGCGGTAGCTGCATGGTCTGACATAAGTCCAGAGTATTTCTCGATATAATAAGTTCCAATAAACGACATCAAGAAATAGGCCGGAATCAATGACAGTAGCATTGCTGCAAGCTTCCAGTCTTTGATGAAGGCTACAATATAGGCTGTGACGAAAAAGGACAGACTGGAGAGGACTATGCCCACTTTCTCCGAAGTGCCCGATCGAATAGTCTGAACATCACTATTCAATCGCGAGGCGACTTCTCCAGGAGGCAGATTATCGAAATACGACGGTTCCTGTCGAAGTAAATTCTGCAAATAACGTTCGCGCAGTCTCTGGGCCAGTCGCGCCCCGTGAAGACTCCAGCATGAAAGATGCGCATAGATGAGAACGAATTGGGCAATGGCTAGGTATACGATGATTGCGATCTTGCTGTTGATTCCACTTTGATCCTCGCTGTCTGAAGAGCCAGACGACTCACTACATGTGGCTGCATTGAAATCGTCGAGGAGCTGACCAAACAGGACTCCGATCAGTGGGAAGGGAACACCGGCTGCGATGGAACATATCACACCTAGCAATAGCGTGCCTTTATCGGTGGTAGATGGACTACCGGCCAGAAGTAGGCGGGGAAAGGCAGATATTTTCTCGGCCATGGTGAAGTGATTTGCTTGAGCGGATGAAAAGTCTCTCAATCAGTATGTGCACATTCCTTTCAAACTACCTATTATAGAACTTGTCTTGTCTCGTCTTGTGGTTTAGTAGAAATGATGCTAAGAATAATAATACTTCCACTATGCGACTTAGCCCGACATCGGTCTAGACATAGGTAGTGATTCATCATTGCAAGAATGAATGCCACCTACACTTGTACATGTACCTTCAATATTAGTCAAACTTTTCACGATTAGTCTTTTTTATTTTTCCATTTTACCGGGGCCCAGACAAGACAAGGAACTCGAAAACTCGAAAACAGATGCATTTCTTGCTTGGCAATTCTGCGGCGGCTCGAGTGGGTGTTGAGGATCCCTCCCAAAAAAGTTAAAATTTTTATCAGATTATCGGATCATCAGATTAGATAATAATTGGGTGGTGAGGTGGGGTCCCACTAGCGTCTACTTGTACATTGTAGTAGAAGTTCACTAAAAAAATACCACTCACTAACAGAGACCCACTGCCGAGCTAGTTGGAGTGGGATTAGCCGTAGCTTCTAATAACTTCCTAGTAAGGTTACGTACGGAGAATGCACCTAGTATAGTAGGTAATACAAGGGAATACATAATGATCCACCTAATGACCCATGGACTTACGTTTACCTGTTATGTAAACTTCAAAAAAGCTATTACATGTGAACAAGGTGATGGATGGATGTACCAGAACCAGAGTACCCATTTCCGTGTAGAATTCGTCCTGAAGGTTATGGATGAATATATTTATGTTTCCGGGGATCCTTCCCTGCGAAGTTGGGAGGCTGTGTTTGATAGAAATTCGAAATTAATCGGCTGATTTTCTAGCTACTGACTTCTAAGTTCTATTACGGCACGGTGCGGTGAGGAAAGAAAGATATAATTGCGTCGGTATGTACGTCATAAAGTTAAATATGATGGAAAATCTGCGAATGTGAGGTTGCAATTGAGCTGAAGGGCCAAATTACGGTAGTATTATTGTTGCTTCTGATGATAGCATCTGATACTTGGTGAAGAAGCACCTTGAGTTCACTGGGCCACATTAGAAGAAACTCGCTTCTCACATATCCCATGTGTATCTTTATTTATCACCTGTATATAAAATTGATATATATATATATATATATATGCCAACCCATTTCAATCAATGCAACTCACTATATCCAACCCAAAAATTAAAACATTTGGCCATCAAGCAACAATCCTGACCGACTATTCGCCAATTCCTGAATAGTAGCAGCCAATTCATCAAGAACCGTATCCACAAACATTGAATCCCTTTCACTTCCCACCACCCCAACATACATTTGCCCTTCTTTAACGAACGTGACGGCCTTAAAAGGGGTAGCCGCATCTCCATGCGGATTGAGAATATCCACCTTGCATTCCCCTCCTGCAAAATGCATGGTGTCGAAATCATCCCAGTCCTGATGATGAACAACGGAGTCGAAGAATTGTGCCTCAGAGTCAGATGACCACTGAGTGCACTGCTTGGAGATTTTATCGAAGCCGAGGAAATCATAGGCAGCAGATTCAGCACTTTGCTTTTGGACACATCTCAACAAATTCATGGCTGTCCATTGGGATTCGAATGAGACGCGAGTTGGTGTGAATTGGTAACATGGACCTACAACATTCTCCGCACCAGCTAGGTCAATGTTCCGTCCTGAGGTAATGCTACCAAATGTTACATCTGGTTTCTGGAGACGACGTGCTAGCACTAGTGCCCATGCTGCAGTAAGCAAGTTTGCCGTAGTAATCTCTTCGGGACGTTGAGAGACATCGACTGATTTTGCTTGGAAGACTGCTTTGTCTGTAGGTTGTGCTGATTTTCCCTTCAAAACAGATAAAGATGAGCCATTGAGAAGATTGCTCCAGTAATTGATAGCGGTAGTTCGTGTATGCGTATTGCAAATTCGTGCCATGTATGTTGAGAAAGGTTCAAAATCGACGACCTTTTCTCCTTTGTAGAGAACTTCCAAATCTCGGAGGAGTATGGGCAAGGAAACGCCATCATACAGGGCGTGAGACAATCCTAGAATGAGGCATTCTTTACCATCGCTGCCTTCAGCATGTAGTATCTTGAGGAACGAGGATCCAAGCTCAAAGCCTGATTGAATATCCGTCGTGCAGAGTTCCTTGGCGTATTGCTCAATGTCCTTGTTGGCCCGTAGCGTAGTGATATCCAGCGTATCTAGCTCATCAACGGCAACTTGAAAGAAGTTTGATTCATATTCAATGAAAACGGTACGTAAGATTTCATGAGTCTCAACGAGCGCTTTGCATGCGCGAAATAGTTGTTGACGATCGATTCTTTCGTCAAAGTACAGCATAGTGTATTGTATTGAGGTGCGAAGTGATTGGATAGTTCCTCTTATATCCAGGGCTTGAGAGTCGGTCACTGGAGACACATCTCGAATAGACCAGTTTTGTTTTGCAAGCTTCGGCTGGACAACATCTGACAAGAATGACTTGATGTCTGAGATGTTCAGTGTCGAGAATGGCTCGTAAGGCTGAACCTTATTCATCGATACTTGGCCTACTTTTAGTACTCTGGCAGCATCGCCAAGACGCATGTGTTGAAAGATATCGGCCACTGTTAGGCCATGGCTTTGCATACGAAGACTTGACACCAATTTCATTGCCATGACAGAGTCGCCACCAAGACGGAAAAAGTTATCATCAACATCAATTTTTTCTGACGGGATTCTAAGGATATTGGCCCATGCAGCCTGGAGAATGTTTTCTGAAGGCGTCAAATTCTGTTTCGCAGAGTTGTTTGACCAGATCTCTTTAAATCCTTGACGAAGCTCGGAGAGTACGGTTCGGGGAATTTTTGAGGCTAACTGATTTAGCAAACTATGATCAACGTCTTTCATTTTAGTCGGCATTTTGTCAATTACGATATACGCAAATGGCATCATGTATGATGGGAGTGAATCTTGAATGAATTTGTTGAGTTTTTTGAGTGGTAGAGCAAGGTCCAAGGAGATCTTGGTACAGATGGTCGCCTTGAAACTTTGTAAATCCGAGGCATCGCAAATTATTTTATGCTCTGCTAGCAGAATCTCAACATATTCGTCGGAAGACTGCTGTTCTACGAAGACCAACAGCTCTTGCTTTGAGCTTTGTTGGGAGTCATCTGGTAATGATTGATATACTGCCGCACCGGCACGCACCGCTTGTGGAAGATATTTGGCCAGATGGGCTTCGAGTTCCGTGATATCTATTGCATGTCCTTGAACCGGCATAACATTCTCCTTTCGACCAACAAATACTAAACTTTTGTCTTGTAGTAGTCGAACCATATCGCCTGTGGGTTGCACTCTGCCAGTTCGACCGCCGTATGTAGAACTTCCAGCAACGAGCCAGGACGGAGATGCAACTGTCTCCTCCGCAAAGAAAGCCCCTTCAAGCCAGAGCTCACCAATGCAGCCAATAGGCGACAGTAGAGATGGATTCCGTGGATCACATACCCAAGAAACTACCGCCGGAGGATAAATTGATCCTTGCTTGATGCTTGGACCTGCTCGAATCCTTTTGGATGACTTATCTAGGGATAATGGAGGAGTTTGGTTCCATTGCCAGATTTGGTCTAATTCCGCCTCAGGAAGACATGATACCTCCTCGATCTTTCTAGAAAGATCTTTGGTTAATTGTGAACAAGCCATTCTCAGTTGGTGTAGCATTCGTCCCATTTGCGAGATCTCAACCAGGCTGCTATCAAAATTTGCGCAGATCCTGAACCCATTTTTACGTATTCCACAGGCCAACATTAGCGGATAAGGGTTGAAATGAAGTGATTCAAGTTCAACATCCCCTGATTTAAATCCGAGGTCACTTCCCACGTATTCTGGCTCCGAATTGATAACCAATCCCGTTCCAGCTTCGCAAGCATGCTGAGCATCTTGGCTGACTTTTCTAATATTCTGCATCCCCATATGCTGATATGGTATGCGGGCCAGCATGCTTTGTTGCACACTCTGTAAATAAGCCTCAATAGAGCTTGATCGGCTGACGCTTATGCGAACAGGTACTGTTGCAATTAATGGACCAACAATACTTTCGACGCCCTTCAACGAGATATCTCGACCTGCGAGAGTCTCGCCAAATACCACATCGTCGCTTCCTGTATATTGCGAAGCCACGAGCGCCCATGCACCACGAATTAACGTTGCCATTGTGAATGGCGACTTGGTGCTCCTGTCAAGGGTTATGGTGATCTCCAGATTTGCATCTGGAGTTGGCAAGTAGTCTCTAGAAGGCAAACGTGGAAATTGTGGTCCAACGGCATCTTCCAACTCACGCCGCCAAAAGTCTTGCATGGCGACTTCATCAGTATCACGCACATATTTGACAAAGCCACTCATATATGCCTGCATCTCGATATTTTGACCTTGCAAAATATTGCTGACTGCCTTCAACAATAACGGCTCTGACCATCCATCGTAAACTACGTGATGAATAGTCCAGACCATGTATCGGTTCTCATCATCTGGCTGATTTAAAATAGCATATCGAGCTAAGCTGTGTCCCAAATCCATTCTCTCGTTGCGATCACTTTCGAGATATTGCTCTAGATTAGTTGAAGTTCTCCAGGAGATGCCTTCTTTGAGGATAACTTGCTGAAGGCCAGGCTCTTGAAGTTGAGCCACCCGAGTCCGAAGAATAGGAATTGCCGCAACGACATCCTCCCATGCTCTCTTCCAGACATCAAGGTCAATATGTGATGGAATACATGTGACTCTCTGAGCAACATATACCTCGGTTGACTTGAGCGCAAATGTGAATAAAGACTCCTGCGTAGGTGTACAGGGATATATGTTCTCGATGGCTGTCTGATCTGTTCCACAGATCTGTGATGCCTCGAGACAAGCACTTTCAGCAGGTTGAGAAATCATTGAGAACGCAGGTGTTTCCTTCTCTGCTTGTGAGTTGTAAATGTGTAGGACTTCAGCCATCGCTGAGAGCGTGGGGTGGCCAAAAGTATTGATGACACTGAGTTCGAGGCCTTCATCTCTACAAACGGTTACGAGTTTCATTGCCGCCAAAGAGTCTCCACCTAGTGCAAAGAAATTGTCGTCGAGTCGGATGGATTCTGCATCAAGCTTCAATATCTGACCCCAAGCCTGTCGCAAACTTTTCTCAATGTCAGTCAACTCCCGAGAGGTGTTGTTGTTACGGGCTGTTTCTTCATTCACGTCCCTCAAGTCTACGGTCGCACCAAATTGCCGAAGTCGTTTCCGATCAATCTTGCTTGAGATCAGAACGGGAATGTAGTTGACTGGTATATACGCGGTTGGTATCATGTATCGCGGTAAAACCTTAGTCAATTCTGTATTGGCTTTTGATAGCCGTTGACTCAGCTCCTCAGGAAGCTGAATTGATGTTATATCAGTACTCTCTTGTCCCTTCTTTTGCTGTAGACCGATAAATGCAACCAAGGTAGGTTGGTCTCCAAGCCCCTGGGGCACAATCACCTCGGCAATCACGCTGAATTCTGAAGGCAACCTGGCCATAAGCTGACTTTCAATCTCACCAAGCTCAACACGCTGTCCACGCAATTTGACTTGTGTATCTTTCCTTCCAACGAACAAAATGCCTCCAGAACCGTCAGGATCGTATTTTCCGAGATCTCCAGTCTTATACAGCCGTCCTTGACGACCAGGATATCCGTTGTGACCTGCAGTCAGCCACGAGGGATCTTTGATGAAAGATGCTGCAGTTTTTACAGGGTCATTCAAGTAGCCTTGTCCTACAATTGGCCCTTCGACGAGTAATTCGCCTACAGCGCCGACTGGCACCAGCTGTTCATGGTCGTCAGGGTTGGTAATCCATATAGCAGCTCCGTTTCCTTCTCCAATGGAGATATAATTTCTACCAGTAGCAGTGTCGCTGTTTATGGTACACCCGATGGTACATTCGCAAGGGCCGTAGCCTATAATAATCCTGGTGTCCTGGCCCCAAATGGTAACATCTCTGACTGACGACGCCTCTCCTCCGAGTCCCAGACCGCTAAGCGATTTTATGACATCGGAGTCCAGAATTCTAGCAACTGATGGGGTTAAGCCTGCATAATTGACTCGCATTTTCCGCATCACTCCATTTATGTCGTTCAGTCGATCCTCATCCGACGGTATACAAAGGCATCCACCATTTCCAACAGTCAATAGCATGCTGTCAATACTGACATCGAAAGCGTAAGCTGCAAAATCAAGAACCCTGGACTCTTCCGTATAGCCAACTGCTTTCGCTCGAGGAATTGCGCTACTTGTATATGTCTCATGAGAAAGCATGACTCCTTTTGGGGTACCTGTGCTGCCAGAGGTGAATATTATGTACATTAGGGCGGATGGCGGTACAGCTTCTAACTGTGGTCTAATTGGTAAATTCGAAAGATGTGTGAATGTATCTTCTTCCACGACTATCACCTTTCCATTTGGAAGGATCGACTTTGAAAACTCCAATTGATCGCGAGACGTTATTATTACTTTTGCGTTTACTTGTTCTGCCATATTTTGAAGGCGGGCAAGAGGAAGCGTTGGGTCAGTCATCAACAAAGTCGCCCCAACTTTCATCACCGCAAGTACGGCTACGATTGTCCATCTTGATTTCTCAAAACACACAGGTAGGACATCATGTAAGTTGACACCCATTTCTCTTAAAGAGCACGCTAGGAAAGTGGAATATTGATCGATTTGAGCGTATGTCAAAGTACCGTCCCAGGAATCGATTGCTACCTTTTCAGGTGACATTTTAGCTCGTTCAGAAACTATGTCGTGCATACAAGAGCTGTAGGTTGGAGGAAGTTGGTGATTCCATCGCCATATCTCGTTCAAATCACGTGTGGTTGGGCAAACACAGTCTTGAATAACAGTATCAGGATTTGAAATGCACAGTTTGATAGTATCGACGAGTGTCTCGACGAAGTGTGTAACTGTAAATTCTAGCATGGTTTCCGTGTACCATACGGGTCGGATTTCCAGAAGGTCATTGACGAAACGTATTTCGAGGTGGAGAATACCCTTTTCTCACCATAGTCAGCGATGTGGTAACATATATGGATCGTGTGCTCACTTCATCTTTCTCCTCTTCAGACGTTTGGCATAAAGCACTAGTACTCAAAAGAAGCGAGGCAGGACTGGAAATGGCGGCATCCTGACTTGATGCAACTCTCGAGATATGATATGAAATTTCCGAAGTAGCTTGTCCGACAGTATTCTGTAATCCCGTCGTTACTTCATCTAGTGAGAGACGCCCTTTCACGAGCTCAAGCTCGAAACTATCCTCTCTACTTTTGTAAGCCCAATCATAAGATATCTGGCTCCCTTCTTCCCGGGTTCGTAAAAGCACGATGAGCCAGGATAAAAGCAGAATTTCCTCTCTCATGCCCGTAGGCGTTGTTATATGATCAGAGGAAAGACTGTTCACGTTAAAAGATCTAAAGCCCTCACCATCAGGCCGACCTGACAATAAATCAACAAATCCATTTTCAGGTGAGTGTTGACCTTGGACATCTTCGACATGTACAAAACCCATTCCGTCGATGGTCCTGGCGATGTTCTGAGATTGGGAGATAGAGTTGAATCTCGACCGTGCATTCTATTCAGTACAGATCTGCACTGGTACGATTGGGTTGAGATGGTATCTGTGATTCGAATAGTTGGATAAATTTGTGATAGCAAGGTTTCTCCATTGGAGTGAGTAGGATTGCAAATTAAAGCCACTACTCTATACCGAGCTATTACGGCATGTACATAATGTAAAATCTTGAGCATAAAACCAAAACCGAGATCGGCCATCATTCATCTCAAATTGGACATAACAGATCCGGACCAGGTTGCAACGATTTAAAAAGCCTTGCAGTTGTTTGATTGGTATGATTTTAATCCATCTGATAAGATGAAATGTCACAATGTCACTTTTCCTTAGCGGTTTCCACTAGTGGGTAATCCAGGATTAAATTTTCACCTTGCCGATCTCATCTGATCTGATAAGATAGTAATTAGCTAGTCTCCGAGTTTAGTTCCACTTTATACGAACTAGATCAATGACGCGGCGACGCCAAGCTAGCCCTGGTCCTTTCCGAATTTCAATACATGGATGTTTTCTTATTTCTTGGGGTTATAAAATATTATCAGATTGATCTTTCTCCATACCATCTGATAAGATAAAAATTAAAATACTCCGTATATACTTCTGAACGCTAAGTTCCGGATCACTTATTCCTCACTCCCCTGCTAGCACTTGACTTCAGAGCAAAATAAAGTCAAGATTGATTAGATTTTTTATCCATGTCATCTGATAAGATAATAATTACATACTTTCTCCACCATTCCTTGGCTTCCCCACTATGGAAATTTTCTTTACCACACGAAATAAATGGCTGCTCGTAAACAGCTCTAAACGACACCATTTCTCCTTCCTGAAAGAGATAGCGCTGCAAAATTGTTAATTGCCGTCAAAGGCCACGCCCTCTCACCAGTCACAGCTTTGAATTTACCCACTTCGGCGGTCGTTTGTCCACATACGCCTGAATACCTTCGGCAAAATTGGGACTTTTAACCAGACGGGGATACCATTCATCAGCCAAAGTAGAAACAGTATCCTCTACACTGCCAGCTTCCCAACCCAATCTAATACCCATACGACCAATAATTAACGCATCTGGGCTATTCTTGCACATGTCTTGAGCAACTTGGATTGCAACGTCGACAACATCGGTACCAGAGTCTGCTATCCGAGTGATGAGTCCCCAATCACTCAACGTCTTGGCACTTACGTTTCTACCAGTTAATACCAGGTCCGAGGTGCGCTGCAGGCCAAGTGTGCGGACTAGCCGTGGTAGACACCCTGCCACAGGGACTATCCCACGCTTCGCTTCGGGCAGAGAAAACACGGCTGTGGAGGCAGCGATTACGACATCGCAATTTGTTATCATTTCAAAACCCCCTCCCATGCATATGCCATTGACTGCAGCAATAACCGGCTTTTTGCCACTTCGACGTGGAAGTCCTGCAAGACCTGGTGCAGACATGTCATTGACAACCCCTGCCCTGTTCATCTCGTTCCATTCTGTTCTTGATTAGTTCTCGTGCAATCCTGAGAGATATTTTGATACTGAAAAATGAATGGACAGCGGAATCTTCTAACCTTGCAGATCGGCCCCAGTGCAAAATGCTCTTCCCACGCCTGTGATAATGCCGACCCATAAGCTTTCATCTTGATCAAAAAGCTCCCATATTTCTTGGATTTCCCGGCTTGTAGCTTGATCGATACAATTGAGCTTCTCAGGTCTATTCAATGTAACCTGAAGGATTCGCTCTTGTGGAAAAGAGACTTTGAAATATCGAAAATTTAAGGGTCTTGATCTGAGAGACATGTTTAAGTAGATCTGCGATATATAACTTGTCACTGTTACCAGCCACGGAGATACACCCACAGGCAGAAAGGACAATACTGTGACTATTTCACCAGCTTCCCTCCGTCAACTTTATAACATTTCGTTACTCAGTACATGTTGTCATTCGAACGGTATACGTAGGATAGACGGTGCATCCCTAATTTCCTGTTTAGTCATTTCTTAGCTTGTGGTCCTAGAAATCTTTCTCTCGCTTCGGTATCCCTGAGACTCCATTTGAAGCATAAGTACTCAAGTACCTAGCCTGCAATTGCGGTGTAGGAATGCCGCGTGGAAAAAGATACGGATACGCACTATAACGTACAGCCCTGCAGCCAACCTGCTAGGTCCGAGTAGGTCCTTTCATTTGGTTGGAAGTGGGGTAAGTATGAGGTAAATCAGCATATTGCATTTTTCTTTCCCCAGAGTAGAATCCATGAAAAATATAGAGTCTTTCTTTTAGGTTCCTAGACAGAAAGTTAGAAATTTTGCCTTTTGTTATCCTTATGAGCGGTGTCAAATAATCCTTGTTAAAACAACATATTACCTAGGAAATTAATACTCCTGTACATAGATGATATTGTATTCTTCGGCGTGCATTTTACATTCAAATCTCTTCAATAAGCCGCAGTGAAAGTCTCGTATCTCTAAATTCTTAATAAACTTCAAATCATTAAAATTGCGAGAAAATGGCACCACACAAATACCCTCTGGTGAAACTACCACACCCTTTCTTAACCACATATCGTGTAAACACTGTTGCCGAAACAACACCAGCCAGACATACCTTGACATTGGATAGTCAACAGCCCCCGGCTGGAAAACCTCTACCTCAACCACTACACTCCGATTCTCTCTCATGGCTTGATTTGGTATCCAGACCTGAAGCTGAGTGCCCGCCTCCATCTGATAACACCGCCTGGGCAAGAGCATGTCGAAGCCCACAAACCATCTTTCAATGGACGGGAACCAATGCGCCTATTTTGGGTCAAATCTGGAATTTGGTTCACGCAATATATCTCGCTCATCCCACTTTGGAGTATTTTCGACTGACTCTCCTTGGATCTGAGAAGGAGATCATTCGGAGCGAGTTATTATCTACTGGTTTAGGAATTGACCATCCAAAACCATGGCAATTTTCAAAGGCGGCAGCAACCGCAGCAGCGACGGAAGAATTATTAATTCTTCGAGGTGCATTCTGGCAAGGAGCAGCGTCACCATTGGGTCCTCGTCCCATCTGGGTAATTGGAGATGGCACCGATGGTCCCATTCGAGAGCCTCTAGCCCAATATCCTGTTATGCCTGAAACCCACCAACTTACCATGAAATTTCCCGAAGAAGCTGTCTATACTCGCCATCCAATACGTCGCCCTAAACCACATCCAGGATCCATTTGCTACAGTCGTTATATCCCCGAATTGGACGAGCATTTCTCTCTTGAGGTGGTTGATTGGCAAAATGATTCTCATTTGAAACTCTTCAGCACATGGCAAAATGATCCACGTGTTGCTAAGGGATGGAATGAAACGGGAACTTTAGACCAGCATCGTGAGTATCTACGCAAGTTGCATTTTGATCCTCACGTACTGTGTCTGTTTGGGCGTTTTAACGAGACCCGATTCTCCTATTTTGAGCTCTACTGGGCAAAAGTAAGTCGCCATCTCTCCTTCTGTAATCTTCCGTTAATCTGACCTTTTCCCCGCAGGAGGATCACTATGGTGCTCACTACAATGCCGGAGATTACGATCGTGGACGCCACTCACTCGTGGGGGACGCCTCATTCCGTGGCCCACAGCGAGTAAACGCCTGGTACTCGAGTTGTATCCATTATGTATTCCTAGACGATCCACGAACTGCAAATGCAGTTGGAGAGCCGAAAGCCACAGGTGCCATTATTTTGTCTTATGAGAATGCTCAAGGTCTTACCATTGGGAAGTATGTTGATTTGGGACATAAACGATCTGTCCATTCAATTTGTAGTCGCGAAAAATGGTTTCAGCTATGTCCTCTATTTTGGGATGGAAGGAACCAGCCGTTGGAATCGGCGGATCGAGCAGCTTGGAACGCGAAGTTGTGAGTGTGCTGTTTGAGATGATGGGGATGATTGTGTATATATTTAATTGTTTAGCATGGGACAGAGCGAACTTCATTGTTTATTTACTCGCGATGGCTATGTAAGATATATTTTGATAATGAAAATAGCCTTTAATAGAATGAATAAATTTATTCGGCGCAGCTAATACTCTCTCAAATAACATCTCTGCTTAAGCCCTTAACGAAACAACTGTTTCTTGCAATCAGTCCACCTATTTATCAATCTTGCACCACAATTAATTTCACAAACGAATATGTTTGATTCTATAATTTTAAGTGGTCAGAACAAGTCGGGGCATCGTGCCAAAAGCAGATGAAATGTGTATAGCATCAAAAAAACCCTCAGCATCATCTTGTACGTAATTAAACGTCAAAAAACCCAAGCACTCCTATCTCCAGATTCAAAATCTCAAGAAGAATGAATACGAATGCGATTACATGGCGGCCATTCAAACAAGCCACCCTTGTGTATGCCTCAATGACTCCAAACCCAAGAAAATATTCCATCAACGAAATGTTCTTAAATTGCAACAGGATAGCTAGTACAAAAATCCCCAACTTTTTCTCTACAATACCAGAGCTCCGATTGCAATCCCAAGTACCAATTTCATAAGATTTCCCTATAAACCACAGAAATTAGTCCCAATCCACTTCCACCCACTTCAAACAACAAAAAGGACAAGTGAGAAGAACAACATACCATATTATCCGCTCTTTTCCCAGCCTTACTACTCGCCTCCTGAAGCTTCGCCATCCCAGTAGGTGTCCCAATAGGCGTCCCGGTTACAACCACCGTAGTCCCCACCGTCCCACTCGCAGGCAAATTTGCACTTCCCCCCAGTAACGCACTATTTCCCATCGGTCCAGCAGTCTGCACACTCTGCTGCTCACTCTCACTAGAGCTCTTACTCGCAGTGCTACTCCTCACCGTGGAAGTCACCAGACCCGAAACACCTACGACGGTCCCATTAACAATACCATTAACAAGCGTCTCACAATTTGCGTCCGAGTCACAGGTTGTGCTGACCTGTGAGATACTGGAGCTTCCGCGACCGTTTGCGAAAGAGCTGGAGGATGAGGATGAGGAGAATGAAGATGAGGATGATTGGCTGTTCGATAGATCTGTTGAGGGAACGAAGGATTCTGCGTCCGGCATAGACGTGACATCAATGTTCAGGGAGGGGAAGTCAATGGATTGGACATTGGCGAGGAGAGCGATGAGAGGGATGAGAAGAAGGTGGTTGGGTTGCATGGCTACGATTATAGTTGATTGAGTGTCTTCTGAAAATAGACAGAATGGAATATGATGGCTGACTGGAGTAAGTTATTTTGATGTCGTGTAATTTAAAAAGACTGTATGAAATGAGCGACTGAATGAGTGAAGTGAGAAAGGATTTTGTCGTGGGATTAATCTGGCACAGAGAGGCAAAGTTCCGGTAAACAGAGAAAACTTTTGCTCCGTGGAATGTAAAAGTGAGTCCCAAGTGACAACAGCATTCCTGGCAGGGTCATCCGAAGAAAATCAGCAATGATGAATGATAACCGAATTCGCCAGGAACATGATCATCTGCTGCCTATATCATTACATGCCTGCATTTCGGTGAAGGATGCTAGAATAAGAAAACAAAACAGTCATATCAATATTTTACCATTTTAAACCAGATTTGGGTGAGGATTTTGTATGATTATGTAAAACGACGAATCGCTTTAACAGTTATGCTACGTAAGTATACATTGACATCTTCCAACTCAACCTCAAACGAATCGCCAGCTTTAACATCTCCAATATCAAAAGTCTCAGATCCTACTAATTCCGCATAGGCATCAAAGAAGTTCAGTTTACCCCACGTGCGATCAGACCTAGTCTGACTAACCCTAAATCGGAAGGTGGGAGGAAGGACAGCCTCTTTAAAGCGCCATGCGCGGACTAAGAAATGACATAGCCAATGTCTAATAGAATCCCTATTGCCTTGTTTGATCATCCTTTCGCGGGCGTCAAGATGCGTTATTATGCGATCAAGCTCGACCTTTGAGAAAGGAAGAAAGTCCTCTTTGGTGTTACCTCTGAGATCATGCCCTAAACGTGCTTCTTCCCGAAGTGTTGCTTGGACTTGCCAGTGGAGTAATAAATCTCCATATCGGCGCAGTGGGCTTGTACATTTAGCCATCATTTCAACGCCAACAGCTACATGCGGGCCCGGTATGGTGGATGGAAGTATTGAGCCAAGTAGTTGAAAATATTGTATAGCAATACTGACCGGAGGATAGCCATGTTCGTCCAACGATGGTATTACGACCTTCCTGTAGAAATCCAGTGGATTTCTTTTGCTTAAGTTGCGAGGAGTGATACGATAAGGGATTGGAACACCTCTATCGTGGCACCATTGCGCTGCAACTTCAGCAGCGATTAGCATAAGTGGTGCAACTGCGTCTATTCTCGATCCAGGTTTGATTTGTTCTTTCTGTAACTGGATCGTTTCCCCTGTGGGTGAGACTGACACATCGATTTGGGCAGAGTTCATGGAGACACCACCCTTGGCTATACGTTGCTTGAGCCGAGCATCGCCAATCTTATGTAGTAATCGAAGGTCCTCTTTGTGCTCCTGAGAAAGCTGACTGCTCTGAAGCATGTTCCTCTTCTCCGAAGCAGGGCTAATGGGCAAGCCAACGGTGGCGGTAATAGTTCTTGTTTTAGAACTTTGAGAATTGCCTCCAGTAATGACTTCTTGAACCACCTGTGGTGTCATAAATTTTACATCTAGAATGGTGCGCGGAGATATGTGTGTCTCCAATATATCACCATTCAAATTCATCTTTGCGCTGAATGTTAAAGACGGACGGCTCGTGTCGAGACTGAGGTTATCTTGCACGAAATCGGACGGCAATAGGAAGTGCACTTCATTGGGCGAGTAGATCGTTTCGGTTCGATTTGAAATTCCATCCGCAGCCTCACCCTTTAATTCTAATCGTGACGCAGGATCCGCTGCATGAACATGAACCCAATACTCGTCTGGTGTTTCAGTGCGCTCGATGGACACCCCATCATCAACCTCATGTGCATTTGCAGCATCAATACAATAAACAGGTAGATGGAAGTTCTTTCGGAGGGCCGACATGCTGTCAACTGAGGTAAAACAGTCTTTCTGAGGAACAATGTTATAGCCGTGGTTGTGAACGCGAAGATCAAAGGCTACTCGATTTGCTGTAGGACTAATCTCACCAATTTCTTGCAAAAAAGTCCACGCAGTGCTTTGATCTAATTGGAAATTCTCGTATCGTTCTATGAATCGAAGAATGGCTGACCCCGCTGCATTGATTGTAGAATTGCGATCAATGGTCCGGAAAGCCGCCCATGATTTTATAAATTCTGTATATGGTGAAGGAGCAACTTTCCGTGGAACCTTGTTATTATCCTCCGATGCAGGCAGCGTTTTGATGGTACCGTGAATTGTGAGTTGACGTGATTTGCGACTCTCATCTACTGCTCCCTGACAATCTTTCACCCATTTCAATAGTGAGTCTTTTTGAACTTTTAAGCTCGTGGCTGGAGCCTTTTGATACTTGCGAACCTCCTCGACCACATATATGATATTCTTTACCTCTATTTTGGAGCTAATTTCGTACTGCCCGCCGGTTCTAGTTGCGCCTCTCAGTTGTGGCCGAAAGCCAATCTCATCGCGCAAAAGAGAACGATGTAGAGCATACAAAGCTGGGTAAGAATGCTTACCATCCTCTGTCCTTGGAATGCTTTGTGGAATAACTTCATTAGCTAGCTCGTCCAGCGTAGCGTACCGAAAAGATTTATCTTTAGCAACAAGACTGTGAGCATGATCAAGCCTGGAAAAAGTTCTTTGATAAATCGCTTCAGATTCAGCCCAGAACTTAAGCATCTGATCCAATATAGGCTTGGTCACTTCTCTAGAAATTTGTGGCTCAAGTTGGTTATTATTTGAAGTATCCAATTGTTCAGTTTCTAGCGAGGGTAGAAATGGTCGAATTATGTCCAGTTCATCATTCCCAATGAAGCCTGGCACATAAAAGTGTGTGGATTTCAAAGAGCCCTTCATTAGAACACCAGACATTGTATAAAACTCTGCCAAATTATCGACATCGCGTATATATATCGCAAGTTCCTGTCTCTGCCCTTTGCCACTAATCGGCTTATGTTAGTCCTGCTACATATGCAGGGAACGACAGAGTGGGTAGACACACATAACTTCGACAAGATCACCAGGAATTAGGAATCCCCGCCTGCTTCCAACATCGACCAAATCATCAAACCCAACATTATGGATATCATCATTCACCACGTCCTCTTCGTCGTCAATTTCGAATTTGATGTCCTGGATTCGAGAGCTAGAATTTTCCACAGTACCAGGTGAAGCATTGTCATTGATTGTGACAGGAACATATTGGCTAGCATTCTCTGCTTCCCACGCTCTTAGCCGCTCTCTAATGGGCACCACCTCTTCCTTTTGTGTGGGCAAAACATCAGACGAATTGTGAGGTTGGTCATTTTGCGTGTCTATTTCGGCTCGTCGCTAGGAAGTATGTTAGCGGAGTAGAGTAAATAATAGAGAAAATTCTACACACTACATAGCTGGTGCTGAATGACTTCGCATCTCGCCTTAATGGTGTCTGCTTTGACCTTAATTGACCATTTTTATCCGAGACTTGGAGGAGTTGTCGCCTTCCAATTGTTGCTCCCGTATGAAGGTTTGCAAGGCAATTCCAGCATATTAACGATTGCACATTTCGTCTTGGAAGTCGGGAATTCCTTAACATGGCGTCTAGACACTATGGCAATGGCGTGTAGATTTTGGCAACATGAAGATAATCCATCGGCAAAATTTCTCCATTTGATTGAGATAACCGTTTTACACGATGTTATCGCGTTCGCACGTGAAGTGATTAAAATATGGCCCGAGCGTTCTTCGAGAGTATTTATTTTCTACTGCATGATCAAAATCTTTCTTTGTTATCATACCCATATTCACGTAGACATTGAACTTTTCAGAGCTTTCATATCAGGTAAGATCTATTCTCATATGTCACATTATTTGAAACATTCCATAGCATCCATTACATTACACTTGGTATGATGAACAAACTTTAGCATGTATTACCTGAAGATTTATCGTTTCGGCGAGATTTCACTGTGGTCTACACCAAGATCTCTGACTACTACTCATAATCTTTACATATTCGCCTTTTGGTTTTATCATGGCATATAACTGATGAATTCTCTCATACAGATTTTTCCAAAATAATGTCTCACTCCAAAGGAGGACAATTCACCATTCTTTATTTCGCTACAGCTAGCTCATACACATCGAAGGATTCCGAGGCTTTTCCTGCACCTCTACCTCTTTCGCGACTATTTGAGACTTTAGAGCATCGCTACAATGGAATGAAAGATCAGGTGTTACGCAGTTGTCTGGTGACTATCAACTTGGAGTATATTGATATCCCGGTGGGAATTTCTGATAGTCCTGAAATAATTATCAAAGATGGGGATGAGGTTGCAATCATTCCACCAGTGAGCTCTGGATAAGGTAGTCAGATTTGGGAGCCATCCTGATCTACGATGCCACTTATGTTCCGTTCTAAACCTCTGAAGTCTATTTACTAGCATGCCATATTTGATTTTTGTGTTCTTCATCAGTACCCCCTAATATAATCAGTATTTGTTCTTGAATTCTTGAATATTTCTGCTCCTCATGTGGCACCGGAAAGGACCCTCAATTACATTGTGATCATGGCACTTGAGGAGATTGGCTGGGCGAGACGTTGGAGGAAAATAGCCGTCGGCTAATGGCCCTGCCAGCATATCCAACATACCCCCTTCGAAGTTTGTGGCTCATGGGGGCTCCTACACTACTCGCGCAAGGCTTGATGGTGGCCAGATGTAGGAGAAGTTTTGTTCTTCACATATTTAAGGCTTACAAAACGTCTGGATTTTTCTCGTGAAGCCACATATTGAGGTGCTCTGTGGGGTTGGTACCAGGCGGATAGCGACTTGGAAGGCTGTGACTAGGAGGAGGTAAGCGGACAGCGCGAGGACAGTCGGGAGAGGATGTGTGTATGTGCAAGGGCAAAAATTGAGGGAATATTCCATATGAAGTGATGAGGCAGGGAAAGGGTTGGATATGATATAAGGATGGTGGGATGGTAAAGAGGGGAAGAATTGGGAGGGGTATTTGACAGGAAAACCAAAAAGGTCTTGGAGATTTTCTTTTATTTGCAGGAGTGGGAGGAGGCGGGCGTGCTTTAGTTAAGAATTCAAGTACATCTTTAGTTGTGCTTGAAGGGTTAGAAAAGGAAAGGCGACTTAGAAGCTGGTAAAACACACAAGATGACCTGAGGTGAACAGCTACCAGATTGATTTTTGTATCATGTATTCATAGCCGCTACAAATCGATTTGCTGAAGATGGCTTGATTCAAACATGACCTAATAAAGGGCGAGATTCTGGGGAAGGATTTTCTTGAACCACTACTGAGCGTTTTCTTCTCCAAAGCCTTCTTTGATATCGCCCCCAGACCTCCCACCACCCTCGATTTGTCTCTCCGTTTCCCATACACTTTATTATGAGAATGACGAGCCCCATTGCCAAAAGTGTCCCATAAATCGATCCCAAAAACGTCAAAAACGTGATTCTAAACAACATATTAGTCTCGAGGTAAAAGACGTAGAATCAGTTAAATTTACGTAGAAACATGACAACCGAAAGGCCTAGCTCGCAACTCCCATCTTTCAGACCAAAGGGGGCAGATATCACTGTTAATGATAGGAGCGAGGATTTGCATTGGAGATATGTTTGGGACGCAAGTAGATGATACAGGACACCACGAGCAAGGACCTATAGACAAACAATCCCAGCAGTCTTGATGACCCCAGCATTTGTATAGCAAATCATCGGAGGATTCATTCTCTATGGATTTGCTCGATATGTTTGTGTTCATGATGAATGTATATTTTGGTGGCTTGAAAATAATCGGATTCACTAGTCTGCGGGTTAGTTACCCCGCAACTCGGAAGACCAAGGGTTTCCGACAAAGCGAAGGTCAGAAATATTAGACGACTTGTATAAAAGATCTCACATATCAGAAATATATAGAATGGTACAAGCTGGTTAGCTGTTTACTTGAGAGGTCGAGGTGTCTAGTTCTCAAGCAAAGATAGTAGGAAAGAAGAAAACATCTGAGTTGAGCTAGCAACTTAGGTAGATAAAGTAGACGACGATAGGAACGTGAGCTGTATGTGTCTGGATTATTTGTGTCCCAATCCGTATAATAACACAGTATTGATTTTACATTTCGGGAGGACTAATCATATTCCAGCTTTCAATATCTAAAAATAATTTGTATTTTTACAGTTCATTCGTTGTCATAAGTGTATATGCTTAAAATGAGGTGTATATGATCTAAAGTCTATCTAAAGCAATTATGTTAAGTACGATCGACTATTTGTCACCTACTAGGTACTTGTACTACAAATTAATTTGTATGAGGAGATTTCACCATCCTCATTGATTAATTTATGGTGATCAGAAGTACTTACTATCTAATATCTCCCTACCTTTCACTCGTACTCGAATGATCTTTCGAGAGCCACAAGAAGCTGTTGTTATATATATTCTTATATTATCAAAAAGTGGTATGAGAAAACAAATTGTCACTTCCTCAACTACTAGCGCCAAAATTTACATCAACGGATCTTTTTCATCGCATCCACGGCATCACAACTCTCCGATCGGACAGTCGGCACGAAATCAACAAATCTATGATCTAAATGGAAAATAATCCTGTAAACTTGGGTCAAATTGATCCTCGACTTCGAGATGAATCTAACACAAATTCATTTGCGCAATCTCAACAGCATCAACAGCCACAACCGCAACACGAAATTCACAACCTAAACACTCAAATTCCTGCGAGCACACCTCGATTATCTGGTCCGTCATCAACAGAGCTCTCGCAGCTACAGCAATACCATCAACCTATCCACGATGGAGGCCAACCTCAAATGTACATGCCTGAAACCCCGCAGTCGGTGGTTCGTACACCGGACGATGGGTCAATACTTGCGGACGCGTCGGTCGATCCGAAGCGATCAAGAGCTTGCGAAGCTTGTCGAGGATTGAAAGTCAAATGCGAACCTGATATGAACAATTTCGAGGGTCCTTGCAAACGATGCGCCAAAGCTAGTCGCCAATGTGTTGTTACTATACCAAGTCGGAAGAGACAAAAGAAAGCAGACAGCAGAGTTGCTGAATTAGAGAAGAAAATTGATGCATTAACAGCTACATTGCAAGCAACGAAATCGGCATCTCTACCAACCACACATGGAGCCGAAATTGGTCTTGAGGATCATGGCCAGCATATTCCACAGAGGCAAAACCCATATGAGCAAGTCACAAATGGAGGATTTGGATCCCCTTTTCCCGGTCATTCCGAATCAAGGTTGAACCCGGCAGATTGGTCCAGCTATCCTAAAGCTTCCCAATCCGAGAACCAAACATTATCTGCACCCCCGATGGTGATGGCCGGGCAGAAGCGAAAACACGCCGAGAGTCGAGATGGCACGCCGGCTGACTCTTTCATGACTTCGGGTATGGGACAGAAAACTCCCGACCTTAATCCACATCAAGCACTTTGGCATGCCACTCAAAAACAAACTCCATCCCATGAGTATGCGGATGTGGTGGATCGAGGTCTGGTAACAGCCGATGTTGCTACCAAAATGTTCGATTGCTATGTTGAAAGAATGGTTCACCATATGCCTGCTGTTGTTTTCCCTGCAGGTACCACTGCAGCAGAAATTCGCAAAACGAAGCCAATATTATTCCTAGCTATCCTCAGTGCCAGCTCGGGCACAAACTACCCATCACTGCAGAAACAGCTAACGAAGGAACTGATGAGTATCTATGCAGATCGCATCATTTGTAGTGGCGAAAAGACATTAGAGCTCATCCAAGCTCTTCTTATTAGCACCCTCTGGTACTGGCCACCGGAACATTTCGAGGAGCTAAAATTCTACCAGCTTATTCACATTGCTGCAGTCATGGCAATTGATATTGGAATGGGTAAGAAGGGAAAGGGTGGTAGGACTGATAAAATGAAAAGTGCAGGATTGTGGAGAGATCATCCGTGGCGAGGAACACCTTATCCCGATCCAGAGACCATCGAGGCAAGACGTACTTGGCTGGGCTGTTACTTTCTATGTTGCAATGCAGCTATGGGCTTACGCCGACAAAATATCATTGGTTGGACCTCATTTATGGCGGAATCTGTTGATATCCTGGAGAACTCCCCGGAGGCAGCGCCTACAGATAGAATCTTAACCCAATGGGTTCGTAGCCAGCGGATTGCAGAGGAAGTTGGAATATCATTTTCAATGGACGAACCAGGTGCGAACATCAGTATCGCCGACCCAAAGGTTCAGTATGCCCTCAAAGGTTTCGAACAAGAGCTTGATAAATGGAGCAGTTCAATACCTCCTGACGTTCAAACACGTAAGTGACAAATTATACACTAATTAGACATTAATTACTGACACAGTCATTCAGCATCCTTAAAACTGACTGAACATGTAATCAATCTTTATATGCATGAAGTGGCTATGCACGTCGATCACAACGTCGAGGAGTTTAAGCCACCCTTTACTGAAGAGACGTTACATAGTGGTCCAGAAACCACAGATGTCTTAACTTCAGCTCATATTGCTGCTCTCTCTTGTTGCCTAACATCAATCGACGGTATCTTTGAGACTTTCCTGCAGTTTGATGTTGAGGTTATTCGATGTCTTCCCATTGCACATTTCGTTAGAGTGGCTTATGCTGTTGTGGTACTTATCAAGATGTATTTTGCGGCGGCCAATCCAAACGGTGAGTTGGGAAAAGTCTTCATCAAGGACAACATGAAAGTAGAGCATTACCTCGATGGTTTAGTCGAGGTCTTCCGTGCCTCTGCAGCAGATGAGAGATCTCGACCAGCAGCAAAATTCTTGATGGTTCTCATGATGTTGAAAACCTGGTTCCATCGCCAGCGAGAGGGCAAATCAACTCCTGTACACAATACAGAGCTCTCTGATTCTACAAAACCTACTGGTGATACTTCTGGAGAAGGCACAAATGAGACGGATCAGAATGCTGCCCAACAAATGGGATCACAACGTAACGGGCAACCGAGCTACAGTCCTGGTCCTGCGAATACCCCACTGCAGCTTCTTAGTGAAGTCGCGACGGGCAATTCTGGTGGTCCCCGTCCTGAAAATCAAAATCAAAATCAATATGCGGTCCAGCAAAACGACTGGCCAACACAACAACAGCAACAGCAGCCATATCCGAACTACGATCCATCTCTAAACCCTATGAACGCTCAAATACAACAAGGCTATGGAGACATATCAGGAAACATCGACCCATCTCTCGGAATGGATCTTGGTTTTGCCATGGGCGAGGGATTCGAGCAGGCAATGGGTATCACGTTTGGAGTCGGCGATATCGGTAACTACTTTGGCGAAGATGTTTTTGGTCAGTTCATGGGAGGCAACGTGCAGGGATTTGACGGGGGAATGTAGCCTTTGAATTGCTGAACATCCATTCTTTTGATAAGCACTTTTTCTCGGGGTTTGGTGTCTCATGGTGGGATGTTCTCACTGTCTTTTGTACTTAGTTTATTTTTATGCCATTTGCAAATAAGGTGGTAGGTAAGATATAAAAACAAAAAAGTATTTCTCAGACCGAAGTTACTGGTAGCTGGGTAGCCTATTTGATAAGCAAGTAGCTTCAACGCGAAGGAACCGAGGAGAAAAAAGAGAGAGGGGGAGCAATACTATCTATCATCATCATCATCATCATCATCATCATCATCATGATGAAAACAGTCCCAAAATCTCATATGATTCATGACACTTACTCGCGTCGTTAATCTAATAATAAAGTATCAAGATACCTAGGACTTACCATATTACAAATGTACCATCTTATATGAATGTTGATTTTCTCTCCTCTATATATCCACTATACTAGGCTATACTAGATAGGTATCTACACCATGTGAAATACAACAAGACCGATCATGAATGATACTGTCTGTACCCGTCAGTATTGGTATCCCTAGCCTTATCCATATCCCTGTCCATATCCCTATCCATGCCATCCTATAAACACCTTACCCTTCCCAATATATATAAAAATCGTTTCGTCAATGCAATGAATGAATACCATCCATGTTAGATTCTGGTTATGCATGCTATGCTTGCTATGCTTGCTATATGATAGATAATATAATATCTTATGAAATAAATATCTTAACACCTTTAGAGAGAGGACTTGCATCTCTCGAATGTCTCATGGGTAATATGAGTAATATGAGTAATATGAGTAGAGTTATCACCCTGACCTCCCTTTCCTTTCCTATCATAGCATAATCTTGGACTCCATCTTAGATCTCAGCATTTGGTCCGCTCAACAGCTTTGCTAGAATCTCCACAGAGAGAAAAAAATTGCACCTGAAAATCTCCTCAATATCCATACTCATCATGCTGATGCATCGGACATCTTCCTGGGTGTTTCTCAAACCACTTTCTTATACAACTTAAATGAAATCTACAAAAGCATTCCAAACGTCCCATTTCGACCCCCGGTTCGTATTCTTCCAGACATATTTGGCATTCGGCATCGTCTTGGCAATCTTTTTCCGTGGCAACATATGGAAATACTCCTGTGCGTCGAGGTTGAGAGGGACCGCTCGATGGAGTTGATACAAGAGGATGAGGTAAAGCTGATGTGGAAGAGGCAGAGACGCGAGAGGAGCTCGATTGCGCTGATGTTTGGGTGATGGGTAGCGCCGGACGTGTAGTTGATGGGATTGGTGGAGTAGGTGTTGAACTCGGAGTACCAGTAGAGAGTCTAGATGTGGCGCGATTAATACAAGAAATTATATGTTCAGATCGGAGAGTTTCAGAATTAGCGAGGGAGGTAGAAGGCAGTTCATGGTGACAAATAGGGCATTCATCTTCCTCCTGTATTTGAGGTGGTCGCGGTAGAGGACGAGAACGTAAATCTTCGCCTGACACGACGTATCGCCTGCCTGCGGTTGGTACAGAAGCGTTTGGCGGGCTTTGAACACTGGGAGAAGGGCCTCGAACATTTCTCAGGAAGGTAAACTGTGATAAAGCTTTAGCAACTACATCTTGAGTCATGGCCGATTGACGACTTACCATATCTTCGGTTGTATCTCGCCCCGTTCCAGTAACTGTTGAGCTTCTCGAACGTGTAGTTTGTCCGGAGCTCAAAGCTGCTTGCTCCCTGTACCAATTCTGAAATTCTTCTGCTGTTCTACGATTAGGATTCATCCCAGCCGACGAGTACCGACTACTATGCTCACGGACGGTATGTGATCGATGGTCCACAAGTCGAAACCCTTGGCTATCACGGTCGAACACAAAGCTGGGAACAGTAGAACTTTGTGTTCGACCGTGATAGCCAAGGTTGGGTCGAGGCTCCGTAACAGAGCCGGTCTGGTTAGTTTGAGGAGGAGCTACATTAGGATCCGGTACACAAGGGTTACACAGGCGAACTCTATCTCCTCCACCAAACTCTAAAGTATTCGTGCGTCCTTCACCCTGTGGATCGTGAAGGCGATTATAAGCGACAGAATTGTATGGAGCGGGATGATCTGGAGGTTGCACGATGTACTGATAGGGAATTGTGATCCGGTGCGGGGAACAAGAATTGCAGACCACACGGCCGCATTTTCTAAACAAATTAATATGGTGAATCAGAAAGGGGCCTAGCCAATGTAGTAAGAGTTTAATTCACATACCGACAGTGATGCTTCCTGTTTAGCCAGCCAAACGAAGTATGGCAAATAGGACATTGGGTAACCTCCGAATCCGGTTGCCACCTGGGGACTATGACCTCGCTCCGTATAGGTTCTCGATCTCGCGTCTGTCGCTGTGTAACACCTGAGGAGGACCGGGATATAGTGCGTGTGCCCTCATCATCTGAAGATGAACTCGCAGGACTAGCTGAGCTTCTTGTCGGCTGCTCTGCGAGAGAATTTGTGGAGGATGATGTACGTCTGCTCGGGAAAGATTGAGTTGAGGGTCGCCTCGATGATGATGATTGATATGAAGGTCTGCGATCAAACCTAGATGACGCAGTGTTACGCCGAGAAGAGCTAGCCGAGCTTAGAACTCTATCCAGCGTGGTTGACATGTCTGCTTGATAGCCAACGGTGGAAATACTGTGACCTGAGCTGTTTTCCCTTACAGGGGCTTTTCCACGACTCGAGTTTTGTCTTTGTCTAACACTGCTAACCGAAGCCCCCTCACTGGAATTGGAACCATGACTTCCTCGAGTCATTTGAACGGTTGCCTGGTCATCCATAGTCAGTTCTGATGCTTCTGCATCTCCTTCTATTTCAGTCTGTCGACTGCTCCTTAAGTTCACTCGTGATGCAATTCCGGCCTCAGATTCCTCGCCCGGCTCAACCATTACCTGACTATTGAAGTTATCTTCGGAAGAAGAAGGGCCCATAAATCCTAACATGTGCGAGTCCTCGCCTGAGTCACTACCTTCCGTATAGAAGTGAGAACGCGGAAAACGACTGGGACTCTTGATTGGTTGAGTCCCTGATGTGGGAGGACCGGAGAGATTGGAACGGCCCCCTACAGAAGGATCCCACTGCTCATCCATCTTCGCCGGACCTTGACAAAGCTGTTGATCAGGGCGAGTAAGACGACAGTGCGGAAAGTAGTTTTATATTAGCCCGGGATCGTATATACCTTCAGATATTGTATTATTTGTGAATAAATGTGTCGTTAAAATTGCGGATTCTAAGACCGTAGCGAAAAGTAGGAGAACGGGAGTAATGTCCGATGCAATAAGACCTTCGCATAAACTCCTCCTAACTCCATCCACAAAGACCGATCTTCGCTATGCAGGTAGGAAGAATGGCAGAATGTCGTCGTCTCAAATTTCCAAGTAATTCTCGAGGTCGAAGCGTGGTGAGTTGTATTTCATGAGATCTAATATTTATTGTATTAACAACCCCATTCTCGTACAAACACCCAGTACATGTGAATTATGAAAGCCGAGAACATCCACTATAAATCTATCAAGTACTCACCACATCAACCAGCCGAGCTTGACACTCAATGCCAATCTCGAAATAACGCCGCACATACGACCGACAAAGGATGAGGATCCTGTTGGCGATGACAAGCAAGCCCACGACCCTCTCCTTCTTCTTCTCGTCTATTCCCTCTCCGAGTCCCTCTCCGAGTCCCTTGGTCAATATCCGAGTGTCTCTGAATGTCGTCGCGTAGGACGAATAAACCGTTTAAATTTGCAATGAAACTGTTGATAGTCTTTCGCGCAACTAAAGTATCGCACTGTTATACTGAGATGAGAGGCGTTTGACCAGTGGGAGTTGTGGTCGCTCGGTATTGTTATCGCGATAAGAGCAGCGAAGCTAACCTATCGGCTATTCCCGTAAGCTTTGAAGGAACAGGGAATAAATATCCTTGGCTTCGTGGTGCTGGTTACAATAATCTGATATTGATCAATATCATGATATGGTTGTGGGAAAGTTTGGAAAACGGGAAGCGTCTTTGTTGCGAATACTGAAAAGGAACTGCAGCTGAATATTCCGTAGTTTCAATATGCCGAAAATCATTCATTTACAAAACAAATCAATTCTATACACACCCTCCCTCGTCCCACACACACTTGCCTGCCAATCAGCCGCTCTACACGCCCGTCGGTGGATCAGCAGACAGATGATAGACATCAAAGTTCCCAAGTGTTGCTTGACTACAAATCACTAATCGTCTCAGGGCTCGGGTGAGGTTCACCAGCCTATGGTTGCTACTCTGTATGCCACGCAAGCAGAAAATATTAAGTGACACAAATTACACAACGTTCAGGGTCGAATAAAGGAATATTTATGTGAATTTTGGTATTAAACTGTGGTAATCGCAATCATTGTGCTAAAACTTTAAAATAGTTTTCCTCATCTAGTCTGTATGGTACTAACTCATCGTATTAAGAAGCCATGCCAAACCATCAAACCGTAATAATTCATGCGGCATGGTGGATCATATAAACAGGAGATCCACTAAGGCCATCGCTCAACGCAAGCAGACCAATAAACCCCTTAATGCTCCAACAGTCTCAAGGATCCTTGAACCACAACATTCTCCAAGATGGATCCGGGAGGAATATCGATAGTTTGTCCCTCAGTTGCTACAATGATAACGGTACCCTTGAGGGTAACACCTCTGCCAAGGTTAACAGCACCAGTGATGGTCAAGTGGTCAAGCTCGAGGATTCTTGGAATGCTGCTGATACGCTTCTGGAAGTCAGAAACTTTCTTGAAGTCGTTACCGAGCTTGATCAGAGGAGCTGGACCGAAACGGCTGGGGTCAATTTGAAGTTGACCGTGCTTCAATGAGTACAAGTCCGACTTGACAAGCATCAAGTCAGAGCAGGTCTTGACTGGCAAGAAACGTCTACGGGGCACGTTGACACCATGGGCGTTGTGGAAATGGCGGATGGCAGCTCCGACGGCAGTTTCGAGCTGAACGATTGAGACATCAGACTCGCCCTTCTTGTCAGCTGGGATGGATTTGTTGTTTGGGATGATTTCCATCTCGAGCTCGTTGTTTTCGACAATGCGCTTGACAGCTTGCAAGTTCAACCAGATGTTGTTGGTGTTGAAGTACTTGAATTTCTTAATAGATTTGAACTCGTTGGTATGCTCTTTTGGTACTTGAGCAATTTCGAGGAGACGGACAGAACCTTCATAATCGATGATGGTACCACCCTTAACATCGGCCTTGGTCTTGTCGGTCAACTCCATGATGTACTCAGCCTTGGTCTCAACCATGTGCTGCAAGATGCGAAGATCGACGACAGCACCCAAGTTGTCAACGTTGGAAAGGAAAACAATCTCAACACCTCGCTTGATGAGAGTGTCAAGGATGCCAGAGTTGTAGAGAGACTCGAAAACATCTCCGTGTCCTGGTGGGTACCAGTCAGAGATTGGTGAGTCGAAAGACTTTGGTGCAGGAAGGAGCGAGTCCTTCAAGATTCTTGGGTATCGAGATTGGTTGAATGTGAGAATGTCAATGTTGTGTCCCTCATATTTCTTGATAATGCTTGAGGTATCATCATCAGTGTTGAAAGAGTTCATCAACACGAAAGGAACATTGACGTTGTATGTGCGGTTAAGGTATTCGATTTGTCGGACGGAAAGATCGAGGAAGGACATGCCATCACGGACCTCAATAACTGATTTGGGACCAACACAACCCATGGAAGTACCGAGACCACCATTAAGCTTGAGGACAGCCAATTTGTTAAGGAATCCAACAGACTCGGAGTTTGCAAGCTCATTGTAATCGACGACTTGGTTCTGGGCAGGTGGGGCAATACGGTCCCAGTCACTATTGTTTCGTTAGACAATATATAACCGTCGACGCGGAGGGGCTGATACTCACAGCTGGTTTCCCTTTGCCTTGTCATTTAAGTATCTGCGGAAAAGAGCGAAGAAGTTGTCCATCTCAGTCTCGAAGAGCTATAAAGCGTTAGATATATGCTATTCATCTGCGGAAGAGTGCTCGGGAAATACCTTCTTCTCTTCGGGGTCCGAGACGGTGTCTGCCAGGCTGTTAAGAGCATTTCGCATTTGACTAGCAGCTACAGATGTCGAGGTGTTCTCGAAAGCCTGGTTATTGTCTGTTAGCCCGACTGAACTTGGAGGTTTCATAGTAGCGGGTTTATTGAAATATTGTTCCCTGGGTATGGAAGAGAAGGAAAAGGAAGGATGTAATTCGGCAGGCGGTGGGTTCACATCGAACTTTGACTCATATTGTATGTTGACTTCAGGACTGTGATGATGTAGCACTTTTGCTCCTTCTGAGCCGGTTGCAACATGCATGCAGATTCCAGGTAAATACACACTCCATCTTTGAGTCATTTGAAGATTCAGTAAGTTTGGTCATCCACTAGATGATACAAAACTCATCTCCTGCCATTATATTCTATGGGAGCAAGACTCTTTTGAAGTATGGCGTCTTGCCCGTTGGCATTGGTTTGTTTACACCAGAAGGTTCTCTCTTCTGCCATTTTGAAGGGCGAAGAATCGGGTCCCCATAGATAATCCATGACCGAAGAGACGGTGAAAGTTGAAATTTCAGGAAAGGACAGCACATACCATGTGTGATTGTGTTTTGCCATGGTGCTTGCGAGCGAATTCGCCGTTATCATTTGGAGATAAGGTCGATGGCTTGAGGTGGGAAGGGAGAGCGCTTTTCAAAGCTTGTGCCATTTTGTATTATGATTTTGAGGATATTCGAAGACTCGTAAAAAGAAGTAAATGGATGGGTATGTTGAGGAAGACAAGTCGAAGCTTTCTATGAAAGGAAAGAGATGCTTTGTTAGCCGACATGATCAACACGGTGAATTTAATTGACATAACAGGGAAATGTGGTATGAAGGTGTGCCCCGCCAATGCCAAGACATGACAATTTGACCACTTACTCAAAATGCAGCGAAGGTATTTACACGCAATAAACACACCAAAAACGTAGAATGAAGAGGGAGAATATCAAATGGAAGAAACGACTTGTGGGAATGGTTTGTTGTCCCCTTTATATATGTGTTTAGCTAGCAGTGTTGGTAGTAAACAAATCCATCTCCTAACTAAAATGGTTCCTTGCTGGTTCTTTCTAGCTTCAAAATTATGGATCGAAATAATTATGATCGGGGAAAGGTTGAGGGGCTGGGCTTGTGCCTTGTGGTTAGTTTTGGCCAATCAGAAGAGTGGCTTTCGACTAGGATCAATCACTATTTTCATCTCATTCGTCCTCTCGATGAAATGTTGTTGCATCTGGCACCCAAAGAATCCACGGTTTTGCATGAAAATTCATGTTGTGGCAAGAAAACCCATGAAACTCAACAGTTACAGATCATCTAGAATTACATGTGTTACTGGTGCTATTGGTGTTACTATCACCTCTCCCCGGTTTTTAGTCGTGGTACATTCTCTTTGGACGTGCTCTTTGGACATTCTCTTTAGCCATTCTCTTTGGAAGAGAATGTACCCCGTGTCGGGCACTCTTCTCTACAGATGCAATTTTAAAGCTTCACAATTTCACAGAAGTTTGGTAGCAAATTTCCATATATAGTCTCACAAGCTACAACATCTGAAGTCTTAGAGTAGGTAAACTGGTTCCCGCCAATTTTAGAATATTTATCGCGGTCAGATACCTCCATCCATAGATCTAAGACTGAACTATCATTTTACTATGGAGACTTCAGCTCTTGTATCCACATTAGCTTCATCTACGGGTCTTCCATTCTCTGGGTCGAAGAGAAAAAGGGGTTCTAAACGCAGATATTCAACCAACTTCAAAAAATTACAATTTTTCGAGAGTTTATCTTGTGCCATGAATGAGCCGCAGGTACTATTTGAAAAGGCTGAAAAGGCACACTTTACACAGCCGCTTTACCTTGTCCGGTACATTAGGAAGCCACATATCAGTAATAGCCCGTTTAGCTTCCGTTCCATTTTCTCAAGAATACGAATCGTCAAATTGATTTAATGTAGCACTTTTCAAGCAGTGCTACCTAACATCTCAAATACAATTTGGGCATTCCTTTATCCTTCTTGTCACATTCAAAGAAGCAACGACAAGCTTTAGCCTCCATACAATTTCCACGTGTGGTTCTCAACGTCAATATCATTTGCGTGTCACACAACCTTGTTTGGAAACGCAGCTGGCGCCCAGAAATGAGCGATTCTAAGTATTGAGCATCTCAACGTTTCTTCATGTAAAAACATGTTTGTCTACCGACATACAGAGGTATATATATTCAGGCAATGTCGAACGCAATATTACGCAATGATAAGCTGAGGTAGCATCAATACACGTGATAGTCACTATCACAAGTTGGTCACAGTATTGGGTTCTTGATAAAAAGGTTTTGTTGCATATCGCATTTCAGGATGAGACATGCATAAGTATCCATCGAATCAACAGATAAGACGAAGTCGTGCATGAGGTAGCTTCATCACGTGGGGCTGCTTTTTCATTTCAAATATTGATCCTTTTTGCTTCTAGCCAATGCCACCTTGAGGTGGAGATCTCAAGACCCTAACAAGCTCTCACTACCAAGCTCACCTTCATACGAGAACCTGTCTTTAATACGAAATGGTCGTCAAAATAATTCAAATCGACATGCCCCGGACCGATTGTCCGTAGGTCCAATATCGGTTGAGACATTGAAGACGTGTTCTTTTCTATGTTTGATACTATCAGACGTCCCAGACGTCCCCCAGCACAGCACATACAACTTTCCAGCACAGCGCATACAATTTCCCCCACAACCGGCCCCATCAGAGCATACCGTCTAAAAACTCACATACAAGAACTCAGACTAAGCCTGTTCCGGAAGAGGGTCGACAATGTTCGGAGTTTTCAAAAGTCCTATAAAATTCGTGAGATTTCATATATTTTATAGGTCAGCTGATATCGGATGATCAGATATTCCGAAATGAGATTGAAATTCCGATCTTCAATCCAAAAGGACTTCATGTGAGTTCTTGTTCGTGAGTATCACCACGATGTTGTTCTATATCCTCAATCCACGACCATGATATAGGAGATTCGGTTACACCTTACTTCTGACCGCTGTTTTTAATACCGTTGGAAACAACAATACGGTACGGTAAGCGACCAATGTGTAACGTCTACGAAGTATCCCTCCATGATCCATCGTATACGGCAAGGCGACTTCACCGTCATTAAGCTTTCTGGAAAGACCCACTTACGTACTTCTGTCCCCCTATGATGACACGGAATCACAACGTCTTTCTAGAAAAGAAGACATTTAGATACTGTAGTTACAGGCTCGTTAATCATCCCTATGGGAACAACCTAGTCATGACATCTCCTAAAGTTCTGGAGAAGAATGCATCCATCCATCCAAGTAAGTACGAACTTCTCGTTTGTCAATCACTTCTCCAAAACCCCTATCCAGTATCGGAAGAAACAAGCTACTGGTATTTAACGAGTGTATCCGTCCACATTCATTCATACATTCATACATCCACACATACAAGTCCTCTTGTACGGTTAATCCCTAAACCAAATCAGAACAACTCCAACCCATCCTCCCATTCCTATTCATACCCGATCACCATGCCCATTCTCATCCTCATTCTCCGACATACTTCCCAACTTCCAACCTCCAACCTCCAATCTTCCAAAACCCCCCATCCAGTGCACCACCAATACCCCTCCGTACCTACCAACCCACCCATCTACCCAGCTACCTACAAATCAGATAAAATGAATTAAAACATCATTCACCATCATCCTACAAACCACCCAACAACACAATAAAGTTAAATAAATAAACCACCAACCCAGATCTTATACATTATTCCAAACTCCTCAGAATCCTAACTTTCACCAAAACTTAAACAGGATCCAAAATCAAAATCTATATCTGAATCTAAAACTCCCCTCGCCTTCTCAAGTAAATAGTAGAAACTAGGTATAGGTATAGGTATAGATAAATCTTACCCCTTCCATAACATATCCATATATATGGATATATAAATTATCAACACACAAACAAACTACTCTAACGGGATTTTCTTATTCTCATCCTAGACTTGTTCTGTTGACTTTAAGTTTTAGGAAGTCTGAGATAAATGTAAGAACTTGACAAAATAATCCAGTCAGTCGTTCTCACGCAATCGTTCTCTCTCAGTCGCGTACCTTCGCACTCAATGAATGGCTCGTGGTATCAAAACTAGGTACTTTTCAATGCAAGTTTTAACATGTTTTTGTATTTGATTCGAGTTGATCTAATCTAATCTGATCAGATCTGATTTATTTCTTCCCTCGTACAAGGAACTAATCATGAATGTCTGTATGTCTGTATAGATAAATACAGATACCAGTGCCAGTGCCAGTATCAGCATTTCTCCATTCTAGCCCATTCCATACCTTCCCATCCTATCCCATTCCATCCGTACCCATCTAAATCAAGCACATTGAGCACATTGAGCATCAACATCATAATCGACGAACCCAGCCAGCAATTGTGAATTTATAGCGACAAATACAATTTGCGATCCAGATCCATGTGTCTCCGGTATGATAGATATATCAAAATATAACCATACATACTCAAACTTTCCATCGATTCGCCTGTTCAAACTTCTCATGCATCCATGCATATCCATTCATGAGCACAGTAATTTTTCATAAAAACCGTTCATATTTGATGTCGCATGGTCAAGTTCGTAGTCGCTATGTCGCCAAGCCTGTCGAATCGAGCTCTATTCCTTTCCATCTCAAGTGCCATGCCATTATCATTGTCGTATCATTTCATTACGTATCGTAAAAAGTAGTTTCGGAGGGATCGGGCCCGTTCTTCGTTTTCATCCATCCATCCATCCATCCTTCCTTCCTTCCATTGACTCTCTCAGTGCTAAAAGTGTATTCTCCCGGTGAAATACAGCACCACGACCACGGCAGCAGCCACGATAATAGCCACCAAGAATGTGACTCCAATACAGATGAAGCGACATCGACGTTTCTCCTTGTACTGCTGATCTAGCCAATCTTCACCTCCGCTACTTCCACACAGTATCGTCAGCAAAACTCCTAGTTTCCCTTCTTCCGTGCCCATATATTTGCTTCATCTCATCCAATATCCATCCGTCCCTCCATTCCATCTACCTTCTCCACAGTCCCCACCAGACAACCCAGAACAAAAAGAACAAAGAACCACCTACCCATAAGGATCCTTCCTTCTCCCCACGCTCTCACTAGCATACCCACTCTCTAACTCCTTTAGATCCACTTCCGACATATGTACCGCTGTCGAGAACCTTTTCCAGAACATCGGATCTCTTACTAAACCCATGCTACTGGATTGCATCGATATGGGTCTTTGCGAGACCTCTTGTTTCAATGGTGAGGGACGATGCTCCCTCACTCCGAAATTGCGTGGTTTGCCTCCCATTTTGTAATGCTAGATGGAAGCCTAGTATAAAGATCGTGGACCGAGGAGGTTCGCTGAGGCGGTGAAGTGGTGAGGAATATATTTTGATCAAACCAGGAAGATCTGGAAGTAGACTTTTATGCGATCGGTTTACAGATCGATAGGGTTGTATTTTGATTTTGAGGGTCGTGTGTCTTTTGGTATTGACGGGGAGGAGTTATATGGAGTATGAAAGTGAATGAGACTGGAGACTAGTCCGGCCAAATCCAAATATTCAAAGCCACACAAAGGAATGAGCCGTGAGCCTTCTCTGAATATTTCAAAGGTCAAAAGAGTGTAAATGATTCAAGCTCCGTTTCACGGGGATCTAAAATCTCGAAAATGTAATGACGGTAGGACAAAAGAGTGAGAGGTTTAGAAAGCTTCAGCTTTCAATTTGGCATTCCGATATCTGTAAATAGACAATGAACAGAAGACAAGACGAAACAAAACAAAACAAAACAAAACAAAACAAAACAACATCTGGGATGTGATTGAAGTGATTGTTTGTAAGAAGAAATAAATCACAGTCCCATAGCACTTAATACACCATTATTAGAAAGTTACAGGCCTTTCTCATACTCACTCACCGTTCGAACAGGAAGGAACCCTGAATGCGAATAATTTACAAGTGAAGAAAGGTGCAGACATCAATGCTTGGACAAATAAAGAATAATAGAGCGCTGCTTTTATCGCCATGGTCCGTATCTCACGGCACAAATTAATTCTGACCTCACATGACACATAGAGATAGCAGCAGCCTAGAAACAAAAGCAGCACTCGACACCGTTGAAAATAAAAGTCCAGGCCATAAACCATTATCGCAGATTTACAGACGTAGGAAATTGGAGTGGAGCCATCCCGATCAAATGGCCCGATGAGATCCAGTAGAATTTGACTCAGAACCTCAAATCCACCAATGATATCACTGGGAAACATATTGATGATGAAGGTGTGACGTGACACCAAAAATCAATAAACCTCAAACCTCATTTTTTATTGTTATGTGCATGGGATAATGCCGTAAATTCTAAATTCAGGAGGAGATATTGGACGGTAAAGAGTTTTGCGAAAGCTGATGCTGAATAGCTTCAAGCTAGCGGAAAGAGCTTGAAGAAAGGGGCATCCTTAGGGCTTCTGGATTGTCAAAGCGCCTACGAATCATTGGAATGGCCTGTGAGCTGGCACTAATATAGGGGAAGGACAGGACATACGTAGCACACATCACGACTGAACACACTAAAACTCGTCCTAAAAGAGCTAAAAGCACTGTAAACAAATAAATAGAATCCTTCCAATTTACCCATCCTATCCTATTCCACCATCTTGTCGCTATCGCTTACGACCTTGGCACCATAATCGGCACCATACCATCCATACCATCGCTACCATCCCTACCCATCCCTACCCATCCCCTACCCATCCCCTACCCATCCCCTACCCATCCCTACCATTGAATCGGCTCTCACCGGCTCCCCAGGATCTTTCCCACCCGCCAAGCCCGTAATATCGAGCTTCCCCCCATCCGAGAACATGGGTAGCATCACGCCCATCCCGTACTGGCAAACCAACATCCCACCCACGCAGCAAACAGCACAATGTCCAATCTACCTGCAAAATCTCTCCGCGAAAGACATCAGCATAATCAGCACCCCAGACAGCAATTACCAGGTCCTCTCATGGCCAACCGTGCGCCGAATAATTTCAGACAACCGACTCGATCTCTTTCAACGCAAACCCTCCGATCTACGACGATATCTAGAATATTGCTATAACATCAAACAGAAATATGGTTCGGTTATGCGTTACATGCTGGATGTGAAATTACAATGGAAAGAATCAGAACTGATAGCGCAAGATGTGCCATTTCGTAATGAAGACGATTTTAAAGTATCAATGAATGATTGGCCCTATGGCATCGATGCGAAAATCGTCCATCTAGTTGTGTGGACGAAGTTCGCTTTGGAAGATGATCCTGAAACGGGTGATACGAGGGATGATGTGAAGAGGGAGATTGATCGATGGGTGGATGCCGTTTTTGGGGAGAAGTGTGGGGGCGAGAATGTAAGTTACTCTCTTACTCCGGTTTTACCTGCACATGCATGTAAGATTCTTGTGTATTATCTTGGCTTTTCATTCATGGCTTGCATTGACTGATTTTGCATGGGGAATCACGTTGACATTGGAAGGGCGCTAATGAGAAATTTCGTATGCAGGTGATCTGGTTTAGGAATTGGAGGAGCTTGAAGTCGATTCATTCGGTGGAGCATTTTCACGTTATGCTCTATGATCCGGATTCCAATTTTGTAAGAGAATTGACCAAGGGAGATATTTCCAGTCAGGAAGCAATGTAGCGAGCTGGACGCGGGAATAAGTCATGGGGAAAGTTGCTGGTGATAATTTAATGCGATTATTCAGCAGTGGCGTTCAGTAAAGAGGTTATGGAAAAATTAGACGGTAAACAAAAAGTAGTCAGATAGAATGCTGCAAGAAGTAAGCCCGGTTCTTCTCGTAGCTAAACATGGAGTTTAATCTGCACTTTTAAAATTTGGACCTATTCACAGTTTTGCTGCCATCAAACATCCGCTTTTTTGTCGTGGCCATGACTGCCGTGTCCTTCCCTGCTTTCCAATACTATCAGAAATGCCGCAACCGGAAGCTCAGATATGATCTTCGTACATCTTGCACTATCCTAACGCCATAAATACCGAATTTGCCATACGCCCATGTGCGAGCTATTCATACACCATCCGAAAGTCCTGTGCTAAGCATACTCTCCAGGGATTCCCAAACCCTCTTCTCTCTGCAGCCTATATGACTCTTCTTGCTCCCTCCTCTCGCGAATCTCGTCCTCAACATCTTGTTTCCATGCTGCCAAATCGGGTGGGATTCGCTGGCTTTGTACACTCGGTGCATGTTCTACAAAGCGCAGCTGTTCGTGAATGCTCGACACAATTTCGTTAATCTTTTTCTCTGAATTATGATTCCTTCGGCTTTGGGTTTGGCCCTTGGCACTTAGCAACTCGGTCAGGTCTGGATATAGGGATTGATCTCGGAAATGATTGCGGTAAGGTGTATGCAATGGGATTTCCTCATGTAACTTTGCACCTATTGCGATACTGGTCTCATGTGTCCAAGCACGCGCAACATTCCGGGGTGTGTAACCGCCTCCGCCTACAAGCATAAGAGGTATACCTAAACTCTTGACATATTCAACACAAGCGCCGTGGCCCTGGACAAGAATGTTGAATGTCCCAATGCGATCCCCTGCAAGTGAATCGGCTCCACATTGAAGGACTATGGCACTTGGGCGGAACTTTTCGTTACATTTCGAGATGACTTGCTTGAATACCCTTAAATATTGCTCGTCATCGATGCCATCGTTCAATGGGACGTTAACGGCGTGGTGAGCGCCTTGGTTGTTTTCATGTTTGGGGCCAGTATCATCTAAAGCGCCCGATCCAGGGAAGAAATTTTGTGGATCATATTTGTGAAATGAAACTGTCATAACTCGACCTGTTGACCAAAAGGCTTCTTCTACACCATCCCCATGGTGAACATCTATATCGATATACAAAACCCTCGGAACTTTTCTCAAAAGTTGAAGTATGGCAAGAACAATATCGTTCACATAGCAGAATCCTGAAGCTTCGGCCTTTTTGGCATGATGTAAGCCTCCAGACCAGTTTATGGCAATATCTGACGTCCCGTCGCACAGGCTCCGAGCAGCATCAATCGATGCACCCGAGTACATCGAGCAGTAATTGAAAAGCCCATCAAAAACAGGACAGTCATAACTACCAAGGTTGTATGGTTTATTCTCATCATCGTCTGGTAGACCTACCTTGGCAGTCTTTAGATATTCAAGATATTCGTGAGTGTGAAAATCCTCTAGTTCCGCCTGGGTTGCTTTCCGTGAAACATAAGTATCCATAGCGACGTGCATACCGTATGCCATAATCAACCCTTTTGCTAGAGTCAAACGCCACGGCTTCATGGGATGACTTCTGCCGAAATGATGTTTCTCGACCATGGGATTCATGTGAAACGAAACATTATATCCCGTCGGGCGAACGATTCCATTCTTTATAATTTCCTTTTTGACCTCCGTAAGGTATTTGAGGTTATCACAGTCATCTGGTTCTTGTAGTGGGACGCCCCATTCCTGAACAATAGCGTCCATCGTAAAATTTATCGAGGGCCGTGAGCGTTGATTTGAGATTTCAGATTGCAATTGTCGTGTGAGTCGGCACAATGAAGATCATTGAGCAAGCGGGCGGTTGTGGATTTGAAGTATCGTGCAAATTCCAGAGAATGCGTTCTACGTCTGCATGCGAATTAGCAGATATTAAGAGGGCGAGAAAGATGTGGTTCGCTGGTAGTTCTTAATGGTCATATGGCGTACATTTTCTCTGGAGCTACTTAAGAAACGAAAGGCCGATCTGTGAATCTGCTGTTCAGCTAAGCATCTGCTTGAAGGTAAATTTGATCTATGTTTGTTGTGTAGCTTGGCAGACAGACAGTGCATAGAACTCGAGCTATGCATCCGCGGCGAAATATGCCCTTTCCTCTCCCCTCCTCTGGTGAGAATCGCAATACTGCAGTTCTTTCTACGAATGGAAGACTGAAAACGGAATTATAGAATCTGTATATCTCCTCGAATATAAATTGTACTGTTGTCCTCTGTTCTAGAAATTGAATATTGGGAATAAAAATAATTATAGAAATTTAGACAATAATGTTTTCATTAATAATGAAAGTAGGAGCTCATTGAGTTCGAGCTCGATGGTTCCTGCCCTGCAGAAGAGGTACAAGATTGGACGATTCCATGCTTACTAATTAGTTTCAGCCTTAAAACAAGCACTGTGGACTCTCTTTCTTTAATCGTCCCAATCCACGGCTCCCCCAAACAATCATATCATCCCACCTGCACTTTGGTACTCCGTATGCGTCTCGTATGCATTCATGGTGTTCACTTATAAAGCACAAAGTCCAAGATTCGAGCTTTAACTCGCTCCTTCCGCTCCCTGCCCCTCGAATTATTTGTAAAATAAGGAAAATTCCCAATTTTTTTCTAATCGATTGGGGCAAAAGCGCTGGAGCCACCCTTCACTAACTTTATACTGTCCAGATAGATTATTGATAAATTTTTAATCATCGATATTTCTAACATAATACAAGGTAAGCAAACTGTCGCAACTTCAGTTTTGCATGCGCAATCATTCCTATCAAAGGCATCATACTTCCATGATACCTACAACTTCCCATTCGTCTTTTGCTCTTGCTTCTTCGTTGGATATCGTATCTTGCCTCCTTACATAATACGTTTGCTGCGGGATTCCCGTCAACGTTAATAACAATGCCCAGAGACGATCTTTCTATCGATTTTGTCCCCAAACACAGACACAATATGCCACAGATCGATCACTTAGATACAGCGGGAGTTCTGGATGATTGGATCAATCGTGTCGCGAATTTACCCCACGAAATTGCCTTTAAGCAAGATGAGATAGGAGAAAAGGATAAAGCTGTGCAAGAGTGCCTCACTGTCATCGCAAGGCACGATGGCGCTCTCCAAAAATGGACCAAGGCAAACGGGGCAAACCAACCAAATCCAAAGGAGCCAGCATTGAAAAAGATAATTTTGGAGAATTATGAAAGAGCAGAACGCCTTCAAGATGAGAAAATTAAGCTATCCAAAGAGTTAGAAGCGCTTGTTGAGGGGCACGTTCGACGACTCGATTTACAAATCAAAGGATTACAAGAGAGGGGAGAGTTTCCACACGATCCAGATCTGCCTTCTCTACTACGACCACAACCGATTGATCGCATCCGAGACACGCATGGCACCACGAGACCATTGGGTGAACTCATAAATTCGGCCTCCTCTTCTCATGTACGCCACCCGAGCAATTCTAGGATATCCACCAATGTCAATCAGTTGAACGGCGCAACGGTGTCTTCTGCTCCAGCAACGCCAGCCGCCACCTTACTTCTACAAAGACAAGCTCGGGAATCATCTCTTGGTGCGATCAATAAGAGACCAAGACTTACTGGAGGGCTGGGTACTTTGCCAGCCGCTTCTAGCGGCCTTGCTCGCCATTCATCTATGACTCCTGGTACTCCCCGTGGAGGTACACCATCTGCCGTACGCGGTGGCAGTGCGGGTCCAAGAAATATGCAGAAGAAGAAAGTTGCCCCGCAGGGCAGCAGACAGAGTGGTGCTCCACGCAAAGGCAAACCTGGAAAGTCTGGCCTTAGCAGGCTAAAGCGTGGACATAAGAACTCGCCGTCTTCTGCAAACGATAGTGAGCTTAGTGATGCAGAATCTGGTTCTGTTGAGGAAGAAGAGGCTGCGGGACGTCAAAACAAGGATGCTGATGCAGACGATGATATGGTTGATGTTGATGATGAAGAGGGCGGAGATGATAAGAAATACTGCATTTGTCACAATATCAGCTATGGAGACATGGTGGCTTGTGACAACGAAGACTGTCCGTATGAATGGTTCCATTGGTCTTGTGTTGGCGTCAAGAGTGACCCCTTGGGCACCTGGATATGTCCAGTATGTACTCCTAAAATGCCTAAAAAGGTTTAAAGAATTGTTTGGTGGGAGGCGTTCCGGGTCATCAATGCGGATTTGCGGGGCCAAAATTAGATACAGAATATCTACGGGTAAGGCTACGGATGAGGGGCGTTTGTAGGTAGCTACTAGCTAGAGGTAGCTTGGTTACTCTAAGATTCGTGACTTGCTAAAGATACACTTCAGCTAGACTAATAATATCGATAATATTAACTGGAATGGTTGAATCATCAGCTCTATACTGTATTTGGGCCTCTTACTTAAATGCTAATCTTAAAATATCCACATCGGATGGAAAATAATGAAATAATATATTCGCCGTCGCCCTTACAAATTTTCTACACCGCCTTAAATATTCTGCCCATACCCCGCCAACGACAAACATATCCCCTCCTTTCTTCCTTAATTCCAAAGATTTATTTCCATGTTACAACTCCATATGTAACGTACGTTCCTTCTTCAATCCATCATAAATTCAATTAAAATTTTATAATGGAGTCACAGTAAGTTTTTTCCGTGTTTCTTTGTTTCCATCCTGAACAACAAATATAGCAAGCACCACAATAATCAGTCATAACATTGATATCCCCTTCCATTTTTTTTCTTGAATGGTTCACATTGGTCTCTATCATTTTACAAGGCAGCTAAACTACCTACTTTCTGCATCTACTAACTACCTATCTGTTCAAGAGCCGATCCTAGGGATCCTCCTGCAAATCCCGGTGAAGTAAGCTCCAAAAATCTACCTGCTGCTCAAAATGAATACTGACAAGAGCAGGATTATCTATTTAATTTAGATATGTCTTGTGATCTCATGTCTGAATGGGACATCCAACAGGCTCGTGAAAAGCCTGTTGCTGTCATTGGGGTCAAAGATGCGCAATTATCTGCCCCTGTTGGAGCCAACGCATGGGGATGGAATGGGGTCATGGCTGAATGTCCAATTCAACCGATTCTCGTATCAGTTTCTGTTGCTCTGCGACGAGCTTTCAAAATGGCATCTGAAGATGATGACATTACGGAAGATACTATCCATTATGGTCGTATCAGATCTGCAATCCTCGAAACTGTCCACAGATATAACACAAAACTCAAACCAGACAATGCAGCGGAACTCTCTATCAAGAATATCGTAACACATCTTATCGGTGCTCTTACCATCAGGCACCACTTGACAGTTGGCAAAAATGTCAATTGGTCTTCAGTCAAAGTTATGCTTCCAAAGTCATCTTTACATGGTGCTGGGACCAGTCTCACAATGCAAACTATTTACAGGGAAGAAATATTGGAAGACCAGGAACTGGGTTCCCCGGAGAGTATTGGCGTTATGGGACGTAGTCTTAGCCTTCGAATCCATGACCTTACAGTTCCCACCCTGATAGGCATGCTGGAAAAAGAGCGCTTCAGGAAACAGAATGTGATTGTGAATGTTGAGGTGGACCGGTGGCTATGGTATGGAGATTCACATTGGGATATGGAGCAGATAATTGTGAAGGTAACTACTAGCCAGGCGCATTTATTGCTATGTATTTCTCACCATGTGTACTAACTTCACCTTGATAACTCTAGGCGATGGAGGAATCGTCGTTCCAGACTCTGGAAGCACTTGCAGAGCACATAGGCAAACTTCTCACCAGATACGTTTTGATTCCTAAAATCATCGGAGCAGTCAGCACAGCAAGTTCCGAAGCTGCCAAGACGTGGGAAAGTTTCAGCGATGACTACAAAAAGGTTCCATGGGAGGAAACGGACGTAAAAGATTTCTGTTCGATCGTTAATATCAAATTGGAGAAGCCAGGTATATATATGGATACCATACCAGGTGTTGAGATGTCCATGGACATCCAACCGCAGTCCAACTCGCCATATTTTTATTTGTGGGAAGACTACGAGAAGTTGAAAATACCTGAACGCTCTTACAATGGCACACTCAAGGACTGGATTGCGGAGAATTACCCCGACGAGCCACTGGCATACCGTAAGCGAAAGTTAGAAGCCTCAGAAACCGAGCCCGCTAAGTCCAGAAAGACTACCGAAGAAGTCAATTCTCATCCATCATCTCCCAATCCTACAGCCTCCTGAAAGTTGCAGAAGGGGGTCAAAGGTGGCTTTTGCCAACATCAAATCCTCCGGGTTCCAACTCTTCTGTCTTGGATTCGCGAGCATTGAAATGGGAGCGCATGGATGTCAATAGCGGTTATTTCTTGGGATGAGAAAATCATCTTTTAGGATAAGTCGAGTTCGCATCTTCATGTATTGATCTACTTTACGTACTTTAGGTGCAACGCTACGGAAACATGTGCCAGATATCCTGCTCATGCTTAGATTAGTGTAGTATTGCACATCATTGGATCAAAAAAGACAGCTCATTCATTAACTATGCGACAGGTTTCTTGTGACTACTGATTGTGTATGTTTCTTACTATTGCGATTTATGAATGGACATCGAGTTATGAGTAAGTGCGAAATAAGGATGGTTCAATATTGTTTTGAGGGAGCTTAGATCTCAATGTCACCGATTTAAGCTCAATGGAACATTCTCCTATGTCTACGTATTTAAATTATTATTTCTACCAGAGTATACCTAGTAACTAACAATATCTATTATCTCGTTGATAAACGCCTGGAAGATGGTGTATGTAAACCTGTATGTGAGTTTGTCTGTCTCTCTGTCTGTCTGTCTCTGTGTATATGTGTGTATAGCAATATCCAATCCCAGCAACCCCGCTTTGCAGACAAGAAATGAAGTAAACTCCTTTCCATGCATCGATACCACAAATATTTCAAACAGAAAAGCGACCATCGTCAGAAAAATAAAAATAAAACATAACCTATAATCTTTCCGGGCTCTGAGCACCAGGCATCATTACCTCCGTTGCTTGTTCGGCCTCAATTTCCAACCCATCTCTCTTGATCGTGTATGCTTTCCATGCTACAAATGCACAAAGGATAATTCCTACTACCAATGCTGAACCCATTAGCATCGCGTTGATGGGAACTGGGTTCCCGTCGAAAACTTTGTGGAGTAATGCATCTAATCCGCTCTGACTGAAATTGAATAGGCCCGCTAGACAGATGATCAAACCGTATACCGTGCCAAAAGTGCGAAATCCGAAGACTTTGGCTGAATAGTCGGATACGGCGGTATAGTAGAAGGGACGGTAGAGAACGAAAAGACAAATGTTGGCATATGCGGCCCAGGAAAACGGGAGCATGCCAAGGACGCCAATGGTGGTAGCGATTGTTACGAGGGAGGCGAGCACAAACGGGGTACTCATGTTGTCGAGAAATACACCAATGAAGGGAATGGAGAGGACACCTCCTAATGGGAGAGCCAGGTCGAAGAATGTGTTGACTTCGACGGCTTTGGCGTAGGAATGAAGGAGATATTCGTATTGTGGGCGGATAGTGGCGACGAAGAAATTAATTCGCGTCATTTGGATGACGGTGAATAGGGTGATAAGGACGAACCATGGAGATAAGATTTGTTGTACGACAGTCTTGCCATGTAACACTCCATACACCCCGGAGATTTTGTTCTTGCGTTCTTCCTGTTTGACTTGCTTACTGCCTGGTTTGGTGCCCAAAAGTTCGGTTATTTCTGAGACGACAGACTCACGACGCTGGCGACGCTCTTCGCGAAGGAGAGCGGTGGTTTCGTCCATCTGATCATCGAAAACATCGTCGTCTTCAACTTGTTTAACCATTTCGCCTACGGTCTTGTACGATTGCGAAGGCATGACGAATATTTGTGCGAGAAGAATAAAAGCCGGAACGAATAGGTAAATGAGAAAAAATTGTTTGATATGGAAAGTGCCATCACTCCATTGGTATATGATTCGATATGCAAGGAAAAGTGCGCTAGAGGTGTCGAATGCACCTTCAAACTTGTTAGGATGATTCAAAAATAACGGCAGGATGAACATTACTTACCGGTCAACAGAGCCAAGATCAAGCCGGAATGCTTGGGAAAGGTATTTGAAAGCTGGTAGGAGGTGATCAAAAAGAATGCTCCACCAAGGGCCAACAGTAAATATCCAGGAATGAAGCCATCGAAAGGCAGCTCCCCAGCGAAAGCAAAAAGTACAGTACCAACGGCCAAAAAGATGCTTCCTATTATACCGGCGACTCTTGGGCCATAATTATCCAGAATAGAGCCAATTGGTAAAGCTGCAACGTTTGTGCCAACCGCAGCGACAGTGAACATCAAGTTCAAACGAATCTCCTGCTCAAAACAAGTTCGTACCCCTTCTCCCAATTCATCTTCCGTACAATATTCTTGATATACACCTTCGCGGATAAGGACGGGTTTGAGGGCTGCGTAACCGAAGACGATACCGGCGGCGAGGAGGCAATAAACTACTGCGATTGCAACTTGTACTATAGTTAAAGGAGGTCAATTAGTATTTTGTCGCACAATAGTTCTAGAACCTCAGATGAAATAAATCAAGCGAACGGTAAGGATCCATTCATATGCATCCTCCGCACAAAGAGACCTCACTTACACATTCGCTTCGCTTTTGAGACCTCAAACGCCGCCACCGTTTCTATCTCCTCCGCTACATTTTGCTGCTGCTCAATTTCATCCCCCCAGTTTCCAGGCAAGGGGCTGAAGCTCAATTTCCTGCGCTGCGTTGCCGCGGGCGATCTGCCTCTTTCCGGCGATAGAGATTCGAAAGAAGTGACTCTTTGGGAAAGCGACATAACTGATCCTACCTTGTTCCCAGTCGATTATGTGCCCGCACACGACTTATATAGGAAGAAAAGGCGGTGGCGCTGTGAAACCTCGTGGTCAAATCGCCGAATATATAATAGGAGGATGAAGTTGCGGGGTAGAAATCTTTTATATAATGGAAATTGGAATTGTGGCGGGGAAAAGCTCTAAAATCAATGAATGAGTGATCCAAAAGTTCCAAGCTATGGCGTCAGAGATTTAATTCCTCCGTTAGTATCAAGGCACAACTAAACTTTCTCAATTGGAGCGAAGAGAACAACCCTTTTCAATTGAATTGTGTCGACTGTGGGCAAGAAAGAAGAAAGACGCAGTACCACGAAAAGCAACATAATTTGTACAATTGATTTACAGGAAAAGTTTTATATCCAGGGACAAATTTTGCAGCTTCAGTTGTTCGGTGGTTGGTAGAGAAGGAGTTAAGGCTTGGGTCGATTATCTGCTTTCAACCCTGCACTTGCATATGCTAAGGGCCACCTTACTGCATTAGCTGATTAGACCTTGATCTATGAATTTTCTCGGCGGGAATTTTGGATATTGAGATTTCTTTTGATAGGACTTCCTCGGACTGCTCCGAGAATTTCAAGGGAAAAACAAAATCAATTATGCCAAAGATGGAAAATGGTGTTGGAAAAGATAGTCGCAGCGGAGGCAGGCGAGCAGATTGCTAAATCATATCTGGACGTGAAATGTTTACTTGATTTTGATTTCTTCTTTCACATAACATGCTGAGCAAATCTTTTCACACATTGGAAGGCAACGAAGTATCAATTTGACTACCCTTTCTATGGATCGCTTCTTCATTTCCTCTCAATCGCCAATGCAATTATCTACTGCACTCCATCCAATCGTACATCCCTCATTTATTCCCCCGAGTGCCTCAGAATTTTTCGCATTTACGCAGATGAGGAAATGTCCCAATATTAAGTACGATAGCTGCAGTCAAAGGAGATTCGTTAAATTGTAGGGAATAACGCACAACAATGAGCATCGGAACCCACTATGGTATCTTCATCTCCTAGAAATTAAAAGAAGAAAAAAGTAATATCGCTCGCAAGATTTTGACCACTGCCACCTCTCCAAACCACACAGAAAGGACGATTTCGCTCCCTAGGCTCACCAGAAAATGTACCATCCCTCCTAAACCGCCCGCAAATATCATCGGTTGTATCCTCTCAAGAAGTATGCGTGCCAACGGGTGTGATATCTCTGCTGGTTCGACCAGTTTCTTTCTTGCTGAGTAGACTTCTTCCAAAACCTGAACGAGTCCTTGGACTCTCCGATCCATTTTCGGTAGAGCTCATGATAAAATTAGATTTTACTGTGATATGACCTGCTCCACAGCGTATTTGCTTCTCTTGCATGGTGCCACTTTCATCGACCACCAGAACTCCGTCGCCGAGATCATCGTCCGAGCCGAAAGTGTTGTGTGCCTTGACTGAGACTTGGAAGGTCGCATCTGCGGAAGTGGTGCATTTGAAGCTTTCTTTCTTCTCATTGAAGATCACGGTACCATTAGGTGATCTAATATGATCAGTCTTGTGGATGACTTTAGACTTGGGACCAAGCGTTTTAACATAAACCATAACGCTTGAAGAGGGTGGAAATCCAGTTGCAGACACAATTGTGAAGTTTGCAATACCCATAGGACCGCCACCGGGAGAACCAAACATACCAGAGTGCCCCGAGGCCGCTCCGAAGGACTTTGTTCGTCCATGATTCGCCTCTGGAGGAGTGGCGGGAGGCATAATCTCTGGAATTGATGGTCCTGAGCCTTGGAGAGTACTTCCGCGCCTTGAACTCCCATTACCATTCGTCACGGAAACATCGCTCTCTAACTCGGAATTAATGCTACCACCGTATACTTCTTCTTCGTCCTTTTTCTTGCTTTTGAAGCCATGTCGAATGAACGACGCTCCTTTGCCAACACCATGAGCGGCAAAGCCAACACCCATACCAACACCATGTGCGGCAAAGCCAACACCTTTGATGGGAGCTCCTGCGACTCCAGTGACAATTTTGCCTGGTGTGGCAAATGTACCAGAAAATGTCGAGCTTCCTTGTCTCGCCCTGGTCACGTAATCTGGGCGGAAAAGCAAGCGTAGACGGATGGACCCTGATTTGCCTTCCAAAGTCAAGTTCATTTCCTTTGACTTGAATGGCTCCAAAAGGTTTAGGTTGATTTCAGCCTTGCCGAGGAAGTCGGCCTTGTCACCGAAGTCCCAATCCATTACATTAACAGTAAATTGCGCCGCAGTCCTTGAGGGTACATCGAGCTCGAAGAATTCATTCCACGCTGGTTGTAAAGTCTTCTTCTGGACTTTAGTCTTGAATACTGAGTTGCCATTGAATTCAAACTTGCAATATGGATCAGAGTATCCGTTGCGGTCCGCAGATGGAAGATCAGTAGCATCCAGAACATCCACTCGAAGTTTACCCATATTGTTGATACTCTCGCTCGGGTCCAGATCCATCTTGACAGGGATATACTTAAGTGAGACCTTAATATTACTAGTGTGGCCTTCCTCATCTCGAAGCTTGAGTCTAGCAGAAGTATTAGTGGTTGTCTAATTTTAGGGGCCAGGAAGGCAAAAAAAATGTCAATGGAGCTTGCACTTACATGGTGGGATTATTGAGGCATTGTTTCAAAGTAGCTAGTGTCTCTCCAGTCAAGCGGGCGATAGTTGGGTCTTTCTTCTCATCTCCCTTACTCTGCTTTTCTCGGAGACGTATGGTGATCTTGGAGAAGTCGAGTTCACGAACAAAACAATCGCCAATCTCATCCAGTGTCATTCTCTTCGATTTTATGGTGGAGGATGAATATGACGGGAAAGCCATATCATCAACAACAACTTCGACATGAACGTGGCTTCGGGTCAGCTCGCAATCAATAATCTTGAAGATAATGAGACCGGATTCGTATTTGAGTAATTCCTCGGGCGTGAGATGAATCTTTGGAAGCTGCTTTTCTTTTGGGGTCTCTTCTTGCTCTTGTGCACCCTCGGCGAGCTTTGCAGCCATTGCTGACTCGCTTGAAGACCGGCTAGGCTTTTCTGAGCCATTCCCATTCTCCACACCATCCTTTGTGCCGTTTTCCATACCAGTTATGCGACCTCTCTGAGAAGAAATTTTGGCGGCCGCCTCCTCTTTAGCTGCTTCCTCATCTTCGGGATCTGCGATATTCAAACATGGGTAGAATGCTACAGTATAATTGAGTGTTCCTTTTGGGTTTCCCTTGCCGTGCACGCGTAGTCCACTAGCCTGTGGAACTTTTTCATCATGTACGACATATTCCCCATTTTCACGCTGTTTAATATATTCCGAGGCCAGCACTTCGACAGATCCTAAGGTACGATCACTGTTGATAGTCTCTTGATCCATAACCTCCAAAGTCAACTTCTCCCTAACACTGTGGACGGGCACATATACAACTTCGTCGAATTCTGGGTTGAGATTATTCTGGAATGTGACTGTTCGAGCCCTCTCTATTCCAGATAAGAGAACCCGGACGTAAGGATCGGATTTACCGAGAGTTTCAAGATTTCGGAGATCCTGCGCATTCTTAAAATGAAATCTCATGACACCAATAGGTGTGACATAACCGCCAGTGCCTGCGCCCACACCTTGAAGTGCGATTGGTTTCCATTGAAGCGTCAACTTAGCTCTTCCAGTATTCGCTCCAGCAAGTGTGTACCACTCTTGACCCTTCTCCATCAAGTTCAGCATGTCGTTGAGCTTGATCTGATACGTACCAAGGATAGGATCAGTGCCGAGTTCCCGCTCATCCTTAATAACAAGACCGAAAGTAGCAGTCTTCCTATCGGTGATGAGAAGCTCCTTAGATCCATTATCCCAGATAGGATTGTTCGTCCTCTTCAATTTCCTTGTAACATGGATCTCCTTATTGTTTAGTAAAAGTACAGCATAAGGGCTGAGTTGACCAATAAGACTCTTGGTACCATCGAGATCTTTAGCTTGTTCGACACAGAAACGAGCAATACCTGTATTAGACTCAGGAGGCGGCTCAGTCGTGCCATCTGGGAGAGTGCGCCCTTCCAGGACGGGAAAGAATCGTAAATCGGCAGACAATAAACCGCGTGGCTTGCCGTTTGCCATTACTTCAAGCTGTTCGTTCTCATATTCTGTGACCTCTTGCACCCTCTCCAATGGGAAAGTGGCAGTACCGAGTTCTTTATCCTTTCGATATTCGTTGTAATCAAATATAGCCATAGTGAGACTCTCGGTAAAAGAAGTAAGGATCACGTATTTTGTTTCAGCCCATTTAGGATTTGCGCTTTCCTTAACGATCTTGGTTTGTGCTAGAGGAGCACCGTGGTTGATTGACAGGACAGTATAAGGATCAGGCGTACCAGCAAACTTGTCCGGATTCTTGAGGCCCTGAGCTCCGTGGAGAGTGACAGCCAATACACCGATAGCCTGATCAACAGCAGACCCAGACAGCATTTTTGCAACTTCAATTGGGAATACATTTGGAGCATACATGATCGGTCCAATATTCGCATGAATCTGTTCCAAAATAAAAGTCTCAAGACCAGGAATGAAATTAATGTCAAACCCCAGAGTTTCACCTCCAAGAGGTTTACATACATAGTCGATTGCTTTTGAGAAGTCAGTACAAAAAGTTCCATAAAGATTAGATGAGATATAGAGAATTGATATCTTAAATTGCCCAAAAATAAATGTGGATTGCTAGGCGTTAAGATGGGATGTGAGGTGTTGCAAGCTTGACGCCAATATGCTATATAGACCGCGAGCTCCCATGCGAGGGAAAAAACAAGAAAGTAATACTCACTAGGTTTCTCCAGGAATGATATTTCGATCTTTTCCACGTGAGGAAATGGAATCTGAAGCTTGATCTTGACTCGCATGAGACCCGAGAAAGCCATGTCCTCCACGATAACATCTAAGCCCTTACTGATCATTGCCTTTCCAATCCTGATTTCAAGGACAACTTTTGGGTTGACCTTATTCTTGATTTGGCGAGAAGTCATGTCTGCATGATCATTTGGGGTGAAACTGAACTTCCAATCCATAAGTACTATATCGTCCTCTGCTTTGGGGTATGTCTTGACGTGTTCCAGTCGAGGTGGCTTGGTGCCCAAAGTAAAGGTCTTCATACGAAGACTATCTAAGAACGCTGGAGTTGCTGTACTTAATACTTGATCAACGGAATTAATAACTGTCTCGGCCAACACTGGCTGGAAGATTGGCCAAAATTTGACCATGAAGCTGTTCATCCATTCGAGACTTTCTGTGTCAGTTTCCAGTTTGTTTTTGGCAAGCTCCCGATTGATATCATCCCGAAAGTTGCGTCTTACTCGACGTATCGACGTCCTGTAGTATGTCCCGCAAATCGCCATGATAATAAATACCCAGCTGAGACCTCCACCAAGTGTGGCCACGAACCATGAAGAGAGGCATGCAAATATAATGACAGCGGTATTTTGATACCAATCTATGGCAGATTAGCAAAAGAACCCAAGTAGGCAAACTTTCGAATTACCTCCATAAAATTTATCTTCAATTTTGCCTTCTATCCAGGTTTGGTGATCCAGAAGACTTTCGCTTTCCATAAATTCGCCAGATTCTCCAGAGCCGAATCTTGGAGCCCAGCCAGCTCTTTCAATCCAACGGGCATCTTCATCCTCATCGACATATCCATTTGCTACTGGCTGGCCTGGTTGTTTGCTATCTTTTACAGGGGGGGCAAGAGCTCCAGCCGTAGACGGGGGCGGTAGGTCGTAAGCTGCTGGCGCACCGTCATCCATATCTGTCGCGATTGCGACACCTTTTGACTTGCGTTCGTGATGAAACCCTTCTGGTACATGCTGCACAGATTTCTATATTAGTAAAATGCGCAAAGACTGGGAAGAATACAACCTACAGCCCTAGCTTGTGCTGCCTTCTCCTCTGGACTCGCATTTGGGTCGAAATGGAAAGCTGGAACGCCTGCTTTCTTGCCCTCATTGACAATCTTTGCTTCCGCGTCTGCTGCTGTTACCGAGCTATCAGGATTTTGTGCTGCTTCCACGGCACCCTGTGCTTTGAGCTCCCCCTCCAATCCCCTCGTTGTTGACATATTTGCTGCGGTTGTGCTGTTCCAAAGCAATTAGGTTTGCCGAGTTCTAAAGGACACTTAGAAAGTGCTGGCCTCAACCTGACAACGACGATGTGTCGTTAGAAAAAGTATCTGGCAAAATAAGAAAAGAGAAGCTCTTATTTGCGAGTGTTGACTTAGACTGATTTGACGGGCAGGGGAAGTGGGCTGGGCTATGAAATAATGGCGGGAGGGCTAGAAGGTATAAGCTTCGGGAGACTGAGATAGGTAATTGAGTTCAATTAAATGGACCAATCCGAGTCACCTAATGAATTGGGTAATTTAGTGGTAGTTTGACGAGTGATGAATCATGAATCATGAATCAACCCTTAAAATGGCATCTGTTGTATTATGAGAATATTTTGGAAAGAGGTTGAGATGCTAAAATGTAGAAGGAATTGGTAGCTAATCCCTCTGTACCATTAAAGATGACAGCAGGCAAATGCCGAAAAAGGGTTAAAAGAGTTGAGTGAGTGCTCTGCACAGTCTGTACAGTAGAGGAAATATTCACAGTCAATCCTTGGTTTTGGACTTCTTGTTTGTTTCCTGATAACCGTGTGAATGAATGGTGGAACGTGGTGGTTCCTTGTTATTAAGGAACATTGTAATTTTGAGTTGTTTTCAGTCATCAAAATATGAATGTTTCTTTTTCTAACAAGTACTTATTATTATCTAGGTACCTACCCTACCTAGTAAAGTACTATGGAGTAAAAGTAGCTGCTCCTCACTCCATTTATCCATGGATCTGTACTATTGACTACATGAGGCAAGATCTCAATATCATATCAATCATACTACTTTGCGATCCTTGTGTACATCAATTCACAACCAGCCCGCCAGCACTAGGTATTACGTTGCTTGATGTATGGTGGAGGTGGCATCTTCCTCCCCTGGCCGCTAAAGAACTAGAGAATTTCAGCAGTACAGGGGATGTGAAATGGTAGAAATGGGGCCGATAGGGTACCCAAGGTTGTTTTATCGTCATTCGAATGTCCCATCCATCCAATCTGGTACAGCTTGGAACGGCCCAGTGTGGTAGGAAATTGATGTGTACGGAGTAACCGAAGTACCAAGGTCGTCAGATAAAACCCTTTTCACAAATTAAATATGTGATTGAATGTCAGAAACATCTTCCCCTTCCTACTCCCTCTTGTTACCTCGGTGTTCCTGTCATACATTGCCTGTGTGCATAATCTCCATAAGTATCGCAGACTGGATATAGTAAGACGGCCGATGCAGTAAGGTAGCAGCAAAGTTGGTCCAGCTGCAGATATTCGGAAGACAGTGGAATCCGTAAGCTTGGAAAAATCGGGGTTGTTAGCTAGTGAACGAGTTGTTGGTGTTGGCGAATTTTTGGAAATAACGTGTGGCTGGAGAAGCGTGGCATGTACTGGAGTGAGCTGGCGGGGTTAGATATGGGGATTCTGTGTTGAATGGACACAATCTCTCAAATACCTGCCTAGTACCGATAGGTTGATTCTCTCAGATAGGTTGATTCTTGACTCTCAAATAGGTTGATCCTTCCGGATGAGTTGAATCTTCTACATGGATCGAACCATTTAGATGAAGTTGAATCTGTCACAGAGGTTGGATCTTTCCAACGAACTGGATCTTTATGAAGTTAAATCTTTCAGTCGATTTGGATCTTTGAGGCCAATGATGGCAATCCAAGATCAAGAGATAGATACTTGTCTCAAGCTTCTCGTTGTTAGCAAGCTGATGCACCGCAGAGGACTGTTCGTTTCACGTCGTCTGCAGTGGTAGTCTGTCTTATTGCTCTTCATCGTTGGTAATCTCTTTTGAATGTACCAAGTTCAACGTTGGAGGGAAGGGAGAAGGCGCCATTTTGTAGAAGAGCTCTGTACCTGGAAATGTTGATACCGGAATTTGCATACTCCGACAAAAGTTGAAAAGCATAGTCGGGATATTGAAAATGCCGAATGCTAATCCATTATAGATCTTTTCTAGAAAAGGATTTGGTCAAGTTCTTATCAGTAAGTCTATACGGGCATCTAGCCTTGCATGAAAAATTCATTTAGTTGAGTTTCGTTGCTAGACATACCGAGTACGGAGCATATACGAAATTTAATCAGCATCTATGTATCTCGTAAACTAATTCCTTCACCTGCATTGTGCATTGAAAGCATGTGCGAAATTCATCCAATCGAGCTTCCGCCACATGCACAAAATATCCGAGAAAGCTTAGAAGTCAGCCGGTGTGTAGCTCTGGGTCGAGTTGTTGAATTGACCTTCACCTATAACCTTACAGCATCAATACCTATATATCTACATATCTCCTGGTCATGATCTTGGCTGGTTGGCTTCAATGTGAACGGATCTTTTTTATTTTCCATTGACACATAACGATCATCTCTTCTTTGTTCGCCGTGTCTCCACCCCCCGTTGAGGCTCATTCATTCTTCGGAAACTTGATACATGTCGCAGGGCCATTACACTTTAATTCATACGAAGTACACCGATCAAATGAAAAAACAGAGTTTCCTGAAACACTTTTTAAGTAAGGATCCACGACGCCCTTGTTACTGCAGCGATATTTTGGCTCTCAACTTTCTTGGCTGTGCCTCATTTCGCGGCAATTTTGTTTGTAGGATAAATTATACTGACCAGATAAACAACCCTGAGGTCTTGGACGCGCAAGTGAATATTGTCAAATTTATTTCGTTGTAATCGCAATCGCAATTGCATTTAATCCTCATTATCAATTCACAATTCATCATTTTAATAATATTCATTGATCCATTCGTTTGAAGTTGGACAAATACATTATTTGTTGCTCGCTGTTACTTATCGTGTGCGTGATTCCAATCTCGAACTGTTCAGTAGATCATTGTCAATGAGAAGATGGAGGCAACGGATAGGAAAGAGCTTGAACACAAGCAGCTCAAAGGTCGATTGATGGGGAAGTTATTTGGCAAGGAAAAGAAACCATCCTCGGCAGAGGAGGTGTCCGACTTTCTTCATGGACCTATCGATAAGGTGTACACGGCATCCTCTACTGCAGTCTCGGATACCCCTCCTCAACTTCCTATCCTCGACCGCATTGATACATCCACTGCACGACGATGGCCCACGGCGGCGGAAGTGAATAATGCTAGACGGAATCGATCTGTGAGTCCAAAACGGAGCAGGAAAGGGTTGGCTGTGAGGTTTACAGAAGCACAACCAGAAGTAATTGGCGAAGGAGGTGATGAATGTGCTTCGCCAACAGCGGAGATTGCAGAAGCGCTGCGAAGTCGAGCCGCAACGATCCCTCAGCAGAGACGAAACGCCTCACGAGGGCCTGCTGATAAACTTGGGGATCCTGATATGTTTAGACCAGGACCTTTGCGACGTATGCAGACAGGCTTCTCAACAACAGCAGATGATGACTCCGCGTCAGACAATGAACCTGCTCAGCCTTACAGAAACCAAAGGGGTGAGGCGAGTTATAATGGTAATGCAAAAACTGGATCGCGCAGCTCGTTCAATGGCAAGGCGGAAGCGGCGATGCGTGCATCAGAGGGCAAAGCATTGGTAAGGGCGGTCTCGGGACATTTTACTGAACGGGATCTCGCGCTGGCAGCTTTGACAGCAAATGAGAATTCTCCCTCAGCGGAAACTGTTCAACTGAACACGATGAAGAATACACAATTAGCCTCCTCGCCAGGGTTGCCGGCGAATTCATTTGGGAGACCTGACACGCCCAGCGATAGTGGGAAGTCAAATCCCCCTGTTGCCGAGGAGAGTCCTTCATCACTTTCAAGGACTTTCGCTACAAACAACGCCAGTGCGTTCGGAAGTCCCCCTCCCCAATCACGAGCCCCAACATTTAATCTGAAGGATGCTGCAATAGCCGTAGGAGATGATGCCCTTAATGACTTTGCCAGGCGTACATCGCATCTGTTCACGTTATTTAGACTTTCAGCCGAGTCACTGAAACCACTCACATCATGCTCACTAGAAGAGCTCGTCAGAGGTGGGTTATGGTGGTTTCTCAAAGGACGATCCGAGCTAGAAAGTAGCATCAGAGATCGGTCAACAACTCCAGAAGCAAAGCAGAACAATGCAATGGCTCGTCAGCAAGCGTATACAAATTTGGCCAAGGCATATTGGCTGATGGAAAAGATTGCTCCCAAATGTCCCGAGATGACCAATCAAATAAATGCAGATAACATCATCGATGCCTTGGAATCACGTCAAGCAATATTATCGGGTTTAAAAAAGTTAACAATGGTAAGCGTCATTGAACATAGTGTGAGCTAATTTTGCTGACAAGGGAACGCAGTCTATGAAGCGTAACAACATTCTTCCGCCATTGGATGAGGACGCACCATTGCTTCAAGGTACTGATAGTCAAATATGGACGAGAGATGAGGGCGACAGATCATTGCTATCACTACAGCGGCCCAATACAACGTTGACCTTATCTGGAGCTCTTCCATTAGGTGATTCAGGCACGAGTTTTACGTACGGGCGTCACTTTGTGGATGTCTATCTATTAGAGGAGGCAGATTCACAGCATTATCGTTGCCCCTGCGTTCTATCTATTGTCCGAGCAAATCATGAAGAAGATTTGAGTTTTATAATAACCAACCAAAGTGGCGCCCTAAAGCTCATTATTCAGCACGACAAAACCCGCGGCCCCACGTGGAATGATGTGTCCTGGGTACAAAAAACCAACTCACTCAACGTTAAGCTTCCGAGAGGCTTTGAGCTTCAGGTTAATTGTACGCAACAGGACTTTAGGAGTCTCAGGGGCTCTTACGACTTCCAAAACAGCGTTCGGCAAAGTCTGGCCCGACTCGAGGACGAGGACAGTGTTTTCGAAATGACCATCAAAGCTTTCCAATGCTTTGGCCAAGAAAAGCAAGCACAGTCATTCCCAGCAGAAGCCGTGCCAAACTGTGAGGTGAGGTTATTTGAGAAAAGCATTGTCGAAAAAGCGGCTACAGGTCCCAGAAAAATGCATAGGGGATTTCGACTTGCTGTTATGACCGGAAAGATGACCAAAAATTTACGGGGTATTGATCAAGATGTCTCACCTACGATACCCATTCAATTTAGCCTTCTGCGAGGTGATAATGGTTACCCGGCACTTCTGTTAAAGCTTGACGGTGGAAATTCTAGGTCCTCTATGGTCTTTACATTTGAAGAGGCAGATCAGAGAGCTAGGTTGCACGCATTGCTCACCGGCGGAGTAGTAGGGCGTGAGGAGACTGTCTATGGTGAAGCTCCAATTCGATCGTTTATCATTGAGGAAGCAGGAGGCTTGGCACCGCGTCTCGGGGTTTTGGAATGGCAAAGTGTCCGGATAATCAACGAAGATGCCATTGATATACAAAACACCAAGACCGTTCTTTCAGAGCACCTACGAGTCATCATGGATTTCAAAACAGGTACAATCACAGATCGGTTTAATATTGGACCTGGGGAGTTGAAACTTCGACTTGATTTACACCTGACCAACGAATTGAAGATATTGAGACAACCTCAGCACGACATGACTATAATGGCGACTCAAGCACAAACAGCGAATCAGCCCCTGAAGGAATTCGCTGAAGTTCTGGGAACGATTGCGAGAGCTGAAACAACCCGCACTTATGTGTTTCCAAGCTTAAAAGAGCTTCATCTTTTTCAAACAGCATTGACAGGATTTGTCGTTGTTTTTGATGGCAGGGCATCATCCTTCAGCATTTCGAGACGGAGAATGGTTGTACCCATTTATAAAAAATGGGATGCTTCCATAACTAGATTGCAATTGGTCCAAAAAGAAAAAATCATACAACTGCTTGCCTTTTTTGAAAATTTCAGTCACGGGGACTGCATGGGCTTCACTTTGAAATCTACGGATACGTTTGAGAGCTCAAGCAAGAGCGGAAAGTTTTCCTTACGCATTGTTGACGCGAAGTTTTCTATGCCAAAGCCTCGTGGTGACGGACAAGCGGCCTTGGATAGTGGTTTCGTCAACTTAGACGTGAGTCTCCTCTTGCTATTTTCCTTTTTTTATAAGATGCCAACATTATTCTGCCACCACGAACATCAATAGACTAATATTCCTCAGATGCCTGATTACCCCGGCGAGCATGATGATATCACAATAATATTTGACACAGAAGCAGGTATGTGCGATGTTTTATTCCCATTAAATTTACCCATGCCACAACCTGAACCCGGTTTTCCGGCTTCCTGGTAAAACTGTTGTTTATCTAGTCCAATTGACCAATGACAAAAGAACGCATTGCTTGCTAACACTTCTATTCAGAACGCGATGCATTTACTAAATCATTACCGGCACCTGTAAAGGTAGCTTCACGAATTGGATCAGTGAGGAGATAAAAGCAAGCTTTTAGACATATGAGGATTTTTGCGATAAAGGGCACATGTTATGAGGACGCAAGGCGCACGGCGCATAAATGGAATTCGAATATTAGACATGGCATTACGGAGAGATATCCATCATTGCGCTGGAGTTCTTTTTTGTGGAGTCTACTGGCATCATTGTCGTAAAATCGACATTTATGTGGATACCCCCGGTCTTATTTTTTTTGGGACTATGGGGACTATAAATTATCCATTGTGACCTTGAATTGGTTCTAGTCTTTAGACTTTAGACTACTCGTGCGGCCAGAAAGTATAGAACACATTCCTATATAGGCCTAGATTTTCTGGGGAAAAACCTTAATATGACCAATGGAATCGACTTTTTCTCTCTTTATTAATTGGGTCTCTAATGGTTCTCACAAGCGAACGGATGTGTCTGTAACAGGTACAGCCTCCAAGACTTTGACTGCACTTTACCTGCATTAGCGGTAGGGCTTGGTATGCCCGATGTGCTAAAAGTCAATATTTGAAGGCTTGTATTTATAGAAAGGGGTTCAACTGAACACACTGGCCCACTAGACACTTAACTCTAATAATTTAGATGATACACTAACTACTATATAAACTCAGTAGTAAGAATTTATACTGAGTCTCTTTTTTGATATAATATAATTATAAAAACATAAATATTAATTTTGAAATAATTTAATATTCAAAAAGTTATTGTCACGATTTGAAAATGTATGTAAGCCGATTGATTACCTTGATTGGCTTCTCGAACGGCTAGCGCTCGAGGCTGACTCATATACCTGTAATTACCTAGCCTCTTCCGGGTTATCGATCTTTCAATCACTAATTATAGATTCTAAGAAACAATTGAACCTTGGTTTTCTAACAGTTTATAGCAATTGTATTACAGAAACCCTTATATCCATCAATATTTATATCTAGTGAAAAACTACATCTATTCAATTCAAATAGTTTTTTTAAATTTGATTCAAATCATTTAGTTCAATACAGAACAAGAATAACACAAAAGCACAACAGACATGTATACGCCCTATTTTCTCCTAGGTACACTCTTTAAAAACCATCAATCTTAGACATTACCAATCCTCAAATCTAGCAAAACGAATGCTACCGCTGTATTCAGCCCTCCACTAATACTGAAGCTTGGTGCTAAAAGCACTAATAATGACTGGACTCGATATTGACCTTAGACTCCGCCAATCCTTATACCTATAGTAATACGAAGGCGATCGCATTTAGTATCAAGATTTCCATCGGTATTGAACTCTAGTGTTGCAAGTATTCGATTGATAGTTATAGTCGTTATACGGTTAAGATCAGCAGGTGTTTGAGGAAAGTCTGAAATTTGTTCGAAAGTATCTGTATCGACCAAAGAAGAAAGCCGTTTGTCAAGGTAAGATATCGTTGAATTTTGTGCTCGAGATGCAGAATTGTAATCTCTAATATTGAGAGATATAGATCAGTATACATAATAAAGAAAGAAGAGAACAACAACTAGAAAGAAGGGAACTTACAAAGCCATAATCCTCCTCTCTAGTCCATCAAATCTTCCATCAATCCTTTGCAACCTATCTTCCATTTGTATTTGCATCCCGTTCATCTGCATTCCTGTCCGATCCATCTGTGCCTGGATCCCATCAAGCCAGGCAGTTACACCTTGGATAGTATTCAAGATATCAACTCCTTGATTGGATACAAGAACATTTCTTAATCTAAGACATTCTTCGACGACTATACCGAATGCTTGTAACAATCGATCGAAGTTGGGAACTTCCATTGTAAGCTAGATAAAATATAAATTAGCAAATTAAATACATACGATAAAGACTACCAGCATCAAGCAAAAAGTATACATACCTAACAGAGAAGAAGAGGTTCATATTTGACGATACTAATGGTTACTGTTAGATATTGCTGATGATACTGTAATGAAGAATATTATAAGAAAGAATTGTAAGAACATTGAGATGCTAATCGAGGAATTTATAGAGAGAATGTGTACTGTTTTGTTTATTGATGAGACAATCTATATATGTAACGTTTGGGTAGGGAAGTATACGGGATCTTGCGTAGATGGCCCTAAGGAATCCTGCAGACAATCTTGTCTTGTAAGGCATACAATATAGAAAACACTCTGTAGTGTTTATGAAATTAGATCAATACAATATAAATCTCTACAGCTAATCATCAAATAAACGATTAATTGCCTAGAAAATCGTCAAAACAACATATCTGATATGCATGTTATCCCTATGGAAGTATGCTCCTTTCAACTCTCTTTCAACCTTTCAACTCTTTTCAATCTCTTCAAAAATTGTAAGTAATTCATGATTTCATCAAACAATAAGCTAAAATGATTAAAGTGAAGTGAAATTTGAAAAGGTAGGTTTGGAATAAAATAGTTATACTATATTTCGGTAAATTGATGACCGTGAGGCTTTTGGAAGGGAAGGGGAAGAAGGGGGAAAGGGAGAGGGGAGTTGAATTTCCGAAATCGAAAAGCAAAGACTCGTAGTTTAGTCATCAAATTTGAAGCTACTCACACTATTATGAATCTATTCACACCAAGATCACATTACACACTAATATCTCGTTCCATAATTTTCACCAACCACAGTCCCGAAAATGGTGTATTTACGGATAGCATATCAGTAAATTACTGATATCATGCTTCCATAGAATATTCTATCCGATCAATAGATGTGATCAATAGAGAAAGCCTCTATTTTGGGAAAGGAAAGAGACTAGTCAGAAAAACAAAAGCCCGATACCTAGGTATAACCAAGAAAGAACATTTGGTTCTAGTGAATTGTGGATACCCGCAATTACGAGATCTCATCCACGTCCAACTCCTCCAGCTTCCACAGCCAAATCTCTATCGTTTTCTTTCAACATATTTTTGTAACAATTCCCATTTATTGGTCCATTGATTTTGCCATCGACCATTTTCGGGCCTCAGTAGCGCTTGCCAACAAAATACACGTTAGGCGTTTCAGAAAAGAACCAGGCATCATCACATAGTGATTTTGGATTTCTGATCAAGCTAAATCTGGGTGATTTATTTACCAATAGGCACTCTCGCTCATTTGTGACGGCGACCTCATCATCATGGCTTTCTGAAATATCAAAGCAAATCACCATTTCGTATGCTTAAGGCTCAATCAAAGTTCGTCGCTGAGTACGGTCAGTCGTGCTACCAATGCCAGGAAATTCGAAATACGAAGCTCAGGTCATTCCGGATCCCTATGCTGACCATGATCGAACGAGTCGTTCGCATACCACAATCATAATGTCTGCGGACTGCCGGGAACTAGAGATGGAGGCGGCGCAATTTAAGGGCGAACCGTACTTGCACCGATCGTATTCATCGCCTGGAGCTTCTGTTGATGAGAAAACGCTTGCCTCTCGCCCTCGCTCTAGAACTTCCACAAAATTTTCTTCCGGTGTCTGGGGAATGCTCGTTGTGTTGATATCAGCCTTCTGGGTCGCTCCTGTGTCAGCTGTGTTTATAGAGTTCTCAAACTGCTTGGAGGAGAGCTACCAGGGCAACTATCCTTATCAGTTACAGTTTGTTCCATACTTCCTATGGGCAGTATTCAATACCACCGATTCAACTCATAACCTCGCGCTCCAAGTATGGGGTGATGTTAAAGGGTCTGGCCCAGGGTCGTCAATAGTGGTTCCACCTTTATCCAACGACACAGCGTACTGGCAAAGTAACTCATCCGACACCTACAATGGCAAGATTGCCGATGAGCCAGATCCAGCATCTCAGAAACTTACAACGCTCTCTAATAAGGTCACCGTGCTAACCTATGAGCCTTTCAATCAATATGTAGATTTCTGTGAGCAGCTAATCAATGGTACATGTCCTCTAGGCCCTTCTTTTAATGCTTCAAGGTAAGCTATGGCTCAAGATCTTGCATGATGCTCGAATAATTAATATGCTCTAGGTGGAATCCATACACTTTTCCTTCTTTCGGGTTCAATAACAACTTCTACTCCTCATATGCTTTCACTTCATTCAGTGCAACAATGGTCATTAAGAATGGCGATACTGCTGCTACTTCTATTGGATGCGTATCAGCTGACATCACGCCTGACATTGGAAGCAGTTTAGCTGGGGTTGTGAAGTATGTCCCTATGGTCGTGCTCGTGTGTGTCGGGTTTGCAACTGCTTTTGCAGGCATATACAGCCCCTGGGGCACCAATGATATATTTCGATGGACGACAAATTATGGCCGAGATGCTGACCTTCTCCGTTTGGTCACCCCTGGTTTTGGCGACTGCTTACAATATATCCAATTTGTTGTTCTCACCGGAGGATTGACACTTAACTACCCTGGTTTTTATCAACCTATCGTTAGTAAAGTTGCTTGGTCGTCATTGATGTTCAATGAGAGCTTCGTCAGCAACACCTACAAAGAGGGCTTGGTAGACGGTATATACGTAGTGAACGGAACTTACGGTCTCGATCGGATGCGACAACTCATTGGAATGGGAGAAGCCGACGATGTCTGGGCCGGCATGGCTGTCTGGCTTTTGTCTATCATTGGGGTCGTCCTCGTACTTATCCAGGTCGGTTTCGCACTGCGGTGGATGCGGAGACTGCTTATGGGTACGCAAGAAGAGGATTTGAGGAAGAAAAATATGCCATTTTCGGTTGGAAATGTGATTCGGATTGTGTTTAACTATTTCTTACTTCCCGTCGTTGCTCTGTCTATGTTTCAACTAGTTGAGGCTTCCAGCTCACCAGCCTATACGACCGGCTTGGCTTTAGTTATGCTAATCGTGATTGTCGTTTTTGCTATCTATTTGTTGTACCTCATTGCAACGGCAAGACCAAAATCCTACCTGTTCGATGATCTTCCCACGGTGCTTACCTACGGAGCATTATACAACACATATTCGGACAACGCGGCACCTTTCGCCCTCGTACCAGTACTCCTGACCTTGCTTCGCGGTATCTCGATTGGAGCTGTTCAACCTTCGGGCATTGCCCAGCTCGTTCTGCTTGCTATTTGCGAGGTCATCACGATATTGGCATTACATGCCTTCCGTCCGTTTCATTCTCCAACATCAATGAATGCCTACCACACATTCTTCGCCGCTGTACGCTTTTCAACCATTTTGTTAATGATAGCATTCGCTCCTTCACTTGGTATTACTGAAGGGCCAAAGGGATGGGTTGGCTATGCGATTCTCCTAATGCATGCTATTGTACTCATCCTTGGCTTTCTGCTAAATGCTATCCAGACAATTGTTGAAGTTGCAGCCAGGCTTGCGGGCGCTGGAGGCGATGAGAGCGGAGCAGCTAGAGGCGGTCTTTCAAAGGTATTCGGTATGCGGCAATTGTCTAGAAGATTACCTCGTCGGGACGCCTCATCGCGTCAAAGTCAACTGTCAAGCGCCGCTATGCTCTCTGAGCAAGACAGAAAATCATATCTGATCGAAGGAGGCAGGCTTCGCAGTCAGTCGGCCGGCAGTGCTGGCATCTTGCTCAACAGGCAAAGTGCAAATCTCGATAGTATGGCTGTAGACGCCTTCGGTGCCATGCCCGCGCATCATGTCAGCAGCGGTGCGCCGAGCTCTTATACTCCAACAACACCAGGAGAGGCAAGCACGTTTTCATTTTTGCCATCGGCTGCAGCGCCGAGCGGTCGGGGACGTAATAAAGGCCCCATACTTGGTCTGGACACAACCGATGCAGCTGATCCCTACTATCGCCCTCCCAGATTCCGCCGACCGACGGCAGATGCTTATTCCCCAGGAGCGAGGAGTCGAGGTTCGTGGGCTAGTGGTGACTGGACCAATAGACGTTGGAGTCAGCATGAATCCCCACCCGCCGATCCTGATGCAATTGAACCATTTGAGGGTCCTTCAATTTCCGGACGTAACAGCCCGTCCCAACAGCAAGCGTTAGATGGTGCACCACTAGAGCTTAACCGATCAAAAGCTGATTACACTACAAGAGAAGTGGACTTCTACTACGGGGTCCGTGGGCCTGCTTTGAACGCCGAAGCACCTAGTCGAAGAATAAAGACTGGTCCGACAGATCCCACAGGAATTCCTGCCTCTGCGGCGGGTTGGTTCAAGAGCCTCTTCAAAGGCAAAACGAAAGAAAAAGGTAAAGGCTTCGAGGTAGTGCGGAGCTCCAGGATGCCACCAGGAATGAGCAACGCAAGGAACGCACCCGGCGATGAGTCACCGCCCGAGGGGATTCCAGTCGCCACAGGAGCGATTCGACATGGTCCGATTGACTCTGACTCTGATGGCGGACACGAGCGAGTTGGCTCATCAGGAAAAATTGGCCCATCGCACCTGGACGGAGCCGATGCCGACGATGGCGAATTAGTCAGCCCTATAGTATCGGATGATGGACGAAGTTACCATGATGACGAGGACGAGTTTGAAATGACTAGGATCTCTGATCTTCCTCCCTCGTTGCAAGGGCTGAAAATCCCCGAAGGCGGTATGGAATTGCCTAGTAGATTTCCTTCCAAAGCTAGCTCAAGAGTACCCCATGGTTCGCGAGCCGGCGACCCAATACCACACATGTCTTTAAGCTCGCCGGTCCGAACACCTACAGTTCCCCGAAAGAGTTCCCGCCGAAAGTCACAGAACACAAGTGTGGATTTAAGCCTTCCAGGCAGTAGCCGCCACACACCTCAAAACTCCCTCATTTCACGACTTCCATTTGAGAGGTCGAATTCCGATAAGCGACATTCTGACGCATCTGCAAAATCCAGCATAGCACCGAACGATGGATATGGGCATTCTCGAAACACTTCATTTGGCAATTTTACAGAGGCGTATGGGAGTGATCGGCCAACAAGTGTAGGATATGTTTCTCAGCACCACATCCATACCATCAATCCGCCGGAGAACAACCCACAATATCTCGGCAGCTCGGCTGAACTGGTAGATGGAAGAATTAGTGGAGGATCATCTATTGATCATCCTCAATGATAGAAAGCACTTTACACGGATGTTTCACTTTTTTCACTTTACTAATATGCATTTGATCGTCATACGAACGAATTTCCTTGGTCAGAAAAGTCTCGTGGAGTTTTACAGCTTGTATGTATTGTAGAAAGGACCGGAGTAGCATGGCGACGGAGGACAGCGATGGGACTCTATGGTTGGCGAAGGATATCTGATCGTTTGGAACGGATCGGGGAAGGAGAAGGAAGGAATTCCCCCAAAATCAGACATATAATTTACGTAGTCTGTCTATACATTATCTTATGTTCGCGGTCCTTGTAATAATAGGCACAGTAGAGGGAAAGGATGGGCCGACAAAAGGTGGATGTGTGTGTTAAAGGAGGCGGCTTTAATAAAAAAGGAAAGGAACGGCTGGGAAAGAAAGGCAACAATTACCCATGGATTGGATTGAGCCGGAAAGATCGTGGATGGCGGAGATAGAGATACGGATAGGAATATGGGATATGGATAAATTAATATATTTTGGCTTGTAGTATATGCTTTGAATGGATGAATTTTGAAAGTTGTGGAAAATTGAGGGGTGAGATAGATGGACAAGTTGAATGAATTATTCAATGTTTAGATAGGTATCTACTCGATCTGGATCAGCAGATGGTTTCTTGATATCGGATAGAGTGATGTTATATTTCTACAGTAGGTGAGGTGTGGTGGCGTTGAGATTGAATCAAATAGTTAAGTTGTGCATGGTTGGTACTCGAGTATATTATCATTTTGATTTGATAGTGAGTTGTTCATCTAGGTCGATCGGTACCCAGACACTCGTCTCGTACGTCTGTATATCGTATAGATTAAACGAACACGGTTTAGATTTAATCGTATTCGCTTCTAGGACTTCCCGCTTTTATGATATCTAAGATTACCTAGGAACTTTCAGAAATGTATATAACCTTCAATCTAATTTGTATTGATTAAAATACGAAAATTTTTATATTTATTTGTTTATTTGTTACAGTATAATATTATATATATATATAGTAGGTATACTCTATAAATGGACTAGGAAAGCACCCGTCATTAATTGACCCCGCAGTTGGTGTTGATGAGGTACTAAAGCATTGCACGTTCTTCTTTTTCTTTTTCCTTCCGGGGATGATTCTCCTGAGATGCAAGATGGGATTGGGTTCAGGTCATTCGGATTATATCATCAGGTTTGTGTTCTAGATGATGTTTATTAGTAATACAACACTAAATGGATGTTGCTGTACTGCTAGGCAGCAGACAGAAAGTGTAATCATACCGATTGGTAATACTAACAGTACTCTGTAGGTAGATAATACTTTGCTTATTGTTACCCTTTTCAAAGGGGTACCTAAGCTTTATGAAAGACAAGTAGAATAGCTAAGTTAAGTTATAGGCCGGAATCTGGAAAATTCACGAGATTCCGATGACGAAAGAGATTTTTACTTCGTAGGCAGCAAGGACGGAGTATGGGCTTTTTGTTAGGTTTCCTAGCCGTCGCCACGCATTTTCCTAGTAGCTTTTTAATAGGTATTTTATGTATAAATCGATAAAGCCTCATGGTGCGAGGATATATATATATATATATATATATATGATGATATGAGTACGTACTTCCTATTACCTACCGGCATGAGTACATACATATATCATTCTTGGCTACCTACATATTCACCATCACAGTCACACTGAGCGCTACCACTAAATCCCAAGTTTTTGCTTACTATATTTAACCCCCTGTGACGTTGCGTGGTTTCCCCTCCATTCAGCACATTTTTTTGTACTTCCTGCCGGTAATCTAACGAACCTTTTAAAGGTCCACCTTGTGTTTTTATCACACTTTTGATCGAGCCATTTACAACAACGACATACCTTGAGACCCTTCAAATCATTTACACGTTTCAACCCAGCTTCTCCTTACAACTGCAAAGGTGGTGGATGCCGAGATTTGATCTTAATTTCCTGACCCATTTTCGGAGAAAAGCTCGATTTACATTCATTAAATCGCAAGGATGGTTAGCTTAGGACATGTTCATCGTAGGCAGTCTGGTGCAAGTATGTTTTTCTCTCGTTGGAATGTACTTTACCGATATGCTATAATACTCTGGACTGAAATACTCAAATTGGATAGACATCATTAATAACAACATGGGAATTCTAGGCAACCGGTCTTCCGTCGATGAATCGAAGACTTCCGATGCGGAGGATGAGACTACCGTCGTTGAGCCAGATCAAGGAAATGGTAGGACCCATGACATTTGAGAAGGGAGAGATCTTGCAAAAGCTGACTCGGAATGAAATACAGTTCTCTCCCACATCATCTCACAGCTCCGTCCTGGAGCGGATCTGAGCCGCGTCGTTTTGCCTACTTTTATTCTCGAGCCGAGGAGTATGCTGGAAAGAATTACGAAGTGCGTAGATGCCGGGGCTTCGGAAGAAGAGGAAATATGAGAGGCAGGCATGCTGATGGTGTATAGCTTCATGGCCCATCCCGAAACTCTGCTTCCCATGGCAGAATTAGACGATCCTTTGCAAAGATTTGTTTCAGTTGTGAAGTTCTACTTGAGTGGATGGCATATTAAACCTCCGTAAGGCTAAATCCACCAATTTGAGGGGGGTAGTTGTGCTAATGAGATTCTGCAGAGGGGTTAAGAAACCGCTCAATCCTATTCTCGGCGAAATTTATACTTGCTACTGGCAATTTCCAGATGGCACCAAGGGCTACTACATTTCTGAGCAGACCTCACATCACCCTCCCAAGTCGAGCTACTTTTATATGGCGCCAGAGCATAACATACGAATTGATGGATGCTTGAAGCCTCGAAGCAAATTCTTGGGCAATTCTGCGGCCAGTATGATGGAGGGCATTGCTATATTGAGGTTTCTGAATAGAGGAACTGGACCCAAGGGAGAACGATAGTAGGTTGTTACTGCAAAATGCAGGTTGAAGAGAATTTCTAGATACTGACTGGCTGCTAGCATTCTGACCCAACCCAATATGTACGCTCGAGGCATTCTGTTTGGCAAGATGAAGTATGAGCTTGGCGATCATAGTTTTGTGCGCTGCCCGGAGCTCGGATTGAGTGCGGATATTGAATTCAAGACGAAGGGCTACTTTGGGGGAACATATAATGCTATTGGGGGTACAATTAAAAATGACAAGACAGGGGAAGTTCTCTTTGAGCTCTCGGGTATGTGGAGTGGAGAGATGTTTATCAAAAACGTCAAGGTATGGTCTTCTGCAATCTTTGTGAATTTTGAAATTACTAACTATACTCAGACGGGTAAGAAAGACCTTTTATTCGATGCTACGAGAGCGAGACCATCACCTCCGTTAGTAAGGCCTTTAGAAGAACAAGAAGATCGAGAATCGCAAAAGTTATGGTTCAAGACGGCAAAAGCGGTCAAGGAACGCAACCACGAAGTTGCAACAGATGAGAAGACATTCATCGAAGATATGCAGAGGGATGAGGCAGCCAAGAGAGTAGAAGACGGTGTTGAATGGACTCCAAGGTTGTTTAGGCCAGTTAGTGGTGGTCCTGGCGGCTCCGAAGAAGGCGAAGAAGACTTGGATTGGATCTTGAATGCAAACATGTAAGTTGATAAAAGTCATTCTTCATATATCGTACTAATTTGGAACAGAAATGGCGCCAGTCCACAAGAACAGGCGGAGCAAATCCTCGCGGTTTATCCCATCCTTCCAGGTCAGAAATCCACGGAGAAAAACCCTATTCCCCCACAACATCACCAACACACAGAACAGGCCAACCCAATACCAGCACCAGTACCAGTACCAGCGGCAACAACTCCAGTCTTAGTATTGCCTCAGGAGAAGGACAAGGAGAATCTCATTGATCTAGGAAGTGACTCGCCAGCAACAGCTCAGTACCAACATGTACCAGCTGATCTCCACGCGGCCCAGACGCAAAATAACGGACAACAACAAAAGGATCTCGAGCGTATCCTCCAATCTACCAGTACAGTACAAGGCCAAAACCAAAGCCCATTAATTGACTTCCACGACGACCTAAGGAAAGATTTACCAACAGCTACTGACATTCAAGGGACGGCAGCCTCCACACTGTATCGACAGGACACGGACACTCATAGCATTGATGAGTTTGTAGATGCTGAGGGATGATTCGGATAAGGAGGACGAGGGGAGCATCAGATCGATCTGGACCCAAGCCATATGAAGTTCTAATGCAAATACTTCGAGCATCCTAAGCTAACCAGTCCCAAGTTACCTCCTCTCCTACCAACTTTTCCTTTCCCACCAAATTTTCCTTTTCCTTCCATGGTCGAATGGAGCAGGGCAGCGAATTACGCAGGCGCTTGCGTTTTCCAATTTCTGAAGCTCAGATACACTATTAGATTGGGCCGGCAGGCGTTGACCTCTACCTATGTTATATAAGTTGAGATTTTGTTCGGTCTATGGCAAGATGGCTTACTGGGGGCATGGATGGATGAATCAATTCTTGACATGGAATGCATTGATTGCATAGATGGGTAAACGCCAAACTAATGAAATATACACAATTTCCTTACTCAACATGGATCGGCTTTCACGTGAACAGATACACATGCTTTTGTTTTTTTTTTATGCGTTGATTATACATGCGCAGCTTCCTGCTGTCTTTCTTGCCTATGCTTTTGCTTTGGTGGTGTTGCCAACTTGTTGATATGAATAGATGACCATAAACGCCTGATATGACTATAACTTCATTGAAACCCCATTTACTCTCCCTAATCACACAAAGAATTCTCCTGCATGTGATGCTGAATCTTCGTTGGATTAGTCCACTAATTGACTGACCTCTTGACGATTTCGAATATACACCGAGATTGGCGCATATCCACTGGAGACATGGCATAATTTGTATTTTAGTTTGTCTGTAGGGTCGTGGAAGGAACACCGAAATAAAAGTCGGACACTTCGAGTATCCGTTTCGTATTTGAGACGGTATTCTCCAACCTAATCGCTTCTCAGTGAGCATTGCCAACCTATCCCAAACTCTCACTTTGCCCATCCACCTCATCCCGCCAAATAAACATTCCACCATCTCTAGATCCATATCATGCATATCTCTTCCTAGTAGGCTCGGGACTCGGACTCCTCGTCACGCTCCTCTCGTCTCTTCCCCTCATCCTCAACCACTTTTTCGTACTCAACTCCAACTCGCGATCCAACTCATCGCTTGGATTCTTGCGATGGATGAAATTGCAAAAGCCGCCTCGTACGCATCCCTCGCCACTATTGAGACGACAGCATGCTTCGCGGAAATCGGTGACAGGGGAGAGCTCGCAGTAGATGGGCCGGGCGGCGTACCAGCGTGAATTGAGGGCGTCGCATGCTTTTTGCGCGGAATCTTCGTATTTGAAGCGCGCATAGACGTTGCCGATTAGATCTAAAAGGAACGTGTTAGCCGTTTCTCTTTTTCTATATTTCTGGATAAATGAGAGTGGGAAGGGGAAAGAGACATACGATCATTGTTATTATCACACACGACAACCTCCTCAATCTCTCCAAACTTGCACATCTCGCACCAAAAATCCTCGTAGAAGGCATCGAAGTGATTTTGTAGCTGCGAAGCATTCATCTTGTTCTTGGGATCGTAGGCAGGGTTCTGGTAGAGGTTGGGGAGGAGGATGGTCTGCGAGTACGACGGCTTGACGTGTTTACGGGAACAGCGATCACCGTGGCGACAGGCGCCAATTTTGTAGTAGAAAGAACAGTTTACTTTATCGGCTTCGGTACCGAAGATGGATGCGAGGTAGTTGGCCATTTTGGATTTGGTGGGTGGCTGAAGATGTGAGGTTTAATCGGAATGAAAGCTGTACCAGTCGACACGGTTCAAGTTTGAGCGTTTGTTTGTATATGTGTATGTATGTAGCGATTAGTCGTTTTGAGGATAGAACTATCTTAAGCTTTGATAATACGCTCCTGATGTGCGAACGGCAGAGTAGACAATGGTGAGTATGTGTCGATAGCAAATTGTCTGTATAAGATGAGGCGCTTTATGACAATCGCGACAAGAAAGTTCCAAAAATCTAGGACAAGTCCGAGCTTCTTACTTAGCGTGCTTTTTTGTAGCTTGGTGTATGACTAATCAAAAGTTCGCCTGCATTCTCGAATTGGATTTCTAATCAAACTTCACTCTAATAAACTTACTTCACTACAATATCAGTCTCGTGGTTACATGTCTACCTCATGGTTCTGATCTTCCCATGTAGGATACTTTGAGTATTTGCCGGGTTGTACAGAGCTTTGATATGGTTCTCACAATGCTGTCAAAACTTTCGCTTGATTTAAGGGTACGCATCAATAGGTAGAAGCGACTTTCATCCGGCTTCAATGCATAATGTCAAGTTAGATGTTAATGCTTGGTAGTGCAGTACTGCATTGGGAAGAGTGAATAGCTCTTTAAGCGATGTGAATGGATAGACACTTCCTTCCCTGTGGGATTGGTTGTATGTAAGTGTCATAACTACCTAGGTTGATAATATATTATTTCCCAAAGCCTCTCTTCCAGCATTGGTGTCATCAATCTCGCCCGCCGAGGTCATCTCATTTAGCTTTTTTTTGGTCATGTTTATCTCATTGCAGTACAGAACCGGATTTTTCATGTCAAATGGTAGATATGTTCAATTCTGTGCTGGGTAGTCCCATTCGAAGTACTATGACATATCCTGCATTAATTTCAATAACCATCATCGAATGCTAAAATTGCAGACACTGTGTCAAAACTGTTCCACCGATTTTATCTCATGTCCAGACTGCCCTTAAGCAGCGTTCTTATTACATAATTCGCCAAATGCGGTAGCAGCCTTCTTGAATACATTCTTCTTCCTGGGTGTGGCGATTACAGTTTTCTGCTCGGCGTCCTTTTCATACCGTCCGAAGCTATACAATTCATCGTGAAGTTGAAGCTCCGATAGAGCGATATTGTCCTTGTCTATTTCTTCCTCGATGCGTTGGACAACTCTTAGCTCATTGGATTGTAAGCGACCGATGCCCTGCTCAAAGCGGATTTTTACGGCGACAATATTTCCTGTTGATCCTCCTTCACTCCAAGTGACCATTAAATCTCCTTTGCTCTCCGGAAAAGCCCACGGGTGAGCAAACATATGGGTAGTATATGCGAACTTCTGTATATGGCCCAAAGGATATGCCTTCATCAGTTCGACAATCTCGAAAGGTCCCCAAGGATTGATAGCTCGTCCAAACATTAGCTTGCTATCACCTGTCCGGGTGCAGCCAACGAAGCCAAATCTGTATGGTGAATCCTCTCCGAACAACTTTGTGTTGAATATTTGACCATGTAAGCAGTTCTTCAAGATTGGCCAGGAGAAGAAATGGTTTTTAACCCAACCTCTTCCACCACCCCAGTACTCCCAGCAAGCTCTTGCTTTTGCAAGCTCCAAAGGTACGCGACCTAGTACTACGTCATAATCTCCATTGTGATCGCCACCTTTGTGTCCGTAGGCGTATAAATATTTTCCGTCGGAAAGGACTGAGAAAGTTCCAAGTCGAGGCTCACTAGGCTATCATTGTCTTGGTAAGTTTCACTTTGTGCAGAGTTGATGACTTACATTGAATAGTATACGCTCACTCCAGCCAGCCATCTCACGCTTAGCTACAATAGTCGTCGGGTTGGCACGGTAATCAACCTCCACAGAGGCTATACCCACCGCTACGAGGACGGTTGAGCCATCCTTTTTAATTCCTCGGTATTCGAAGAAGGTCCATCCATATGCTGCGGCACCTGTTATAAGATACCAAGCAATTCCACCAGTGGCCCAAAATACCTTATTGTCGTTTTTCTTGTCAAGTTCGTCCTCGAAGCGTTTGAACAAACTTGGAATTTGTCTCTCGCTGATTTCAACGTTGATTGATCCTGGTGGCGCCAAGTATCTCGACATGACGGGATTCGTGGAATTGGTAAGAAATGAGAGCGTAGAATCTGTTTTTCCTAGAAATTGGCCTGCTGCATTGTGGCAGAATGTGTTGTTGAATTGGAATAGCACATGTCCGTTTGGCAGTCCGCTCGATCTTCCTCCCATTCTCGGATAGGAATTCCCACTCTCTTGAGTAATGTTAGAAATTTATTAGAATGTTAGTTTGTTAAATTTCATGGGTTGACTTACCGTCGTATAAATGACCTAGTGGGACAACATGCTTGATGATTGGGGGCCAAGCAACGTATTTCTGAATATCTGGTATTTCTCTCTGTGTTACTGAAGCCATTTAAGAGAAGCGATAAGCAGCAATTGATCTTTTCGTAATGGTTACTGGGCAGTGAGCTTTCTCCAATGGGTGGTTGTAAAAGAAAGTCGCAATTGTAGCTATAGGCGACGAATTCGCTTCCAACAGCTCCTGCCATGTTTGATCGATTTAAAGATGAATCGCAGAAAGATTAACCATGATGGTAGTAAAAAGTTAGGCAGCTAACTACCTATGCTAACAGATTTCCTCCAAAGTACCTGATCTTGTTCTCAAAACTCAATTGGGTCTCTTTCTTGCCATTTTATCTTTGCAGAACGAACTCATATTGGCTATAATTTTACAAAGTTGCTCTTGCTATACTACCCAAAAGAATTATCAGTCATAGGCTCAAATCCTTGAAAGACATCTGATTAAAGAGATACCTGAGATAAGTACAGATAATCCAATTCAAGAGATATACCTGAACCAAAGCGATATATTCACTATCAGAATTCGAAACAAGATAGAATCTGCCCAAGACCAGATGCACTCTATTGTCTGCTTTTGTTCAGATTCAGCCGGCACCAATAAAAACAAAGATAGCTCTCGATAATCCAAGTATTTCAGGATGCATGTGTATGATTGCTAGGATGAAATCGCAGATGACTTCCACTTCTTGCAAGGGCGTGCAACCATTTTGGAATGGAACATAATATTCCAATGATGCATGCATGTCGTTTTGGAAAAATAGCAGCTTCTAGACCACATAGGTACCTTTCAATTATTGTTTCGATTATTCTAATCATTAATTAGGTATGACAAGCAAGTAGATGTTGCACTTCTCCTCCCTTCCTGGCTTTTGGTCATTCCTGTGTCGATGCAATGAGATGTGACCATTTTTTACAGTTGTTGACCCTTGAGCATAGCAGAATCAAGATTGGAAGTGGCTGAAATCCAATAATTAAAGAGAAAGTAGGAGATTGGCACATCTTAAACAAGACTTCTTCGTTGATTCCAATCTAGCTGATTGCAGAAAATCTATGATTCTTGGGGCTCAGAACATTTCTCGACAATAGATCCCGAAAGCGGGCCTTAAGTACATGCCAAATATAAACCACGAATGTGGACGAAGAGAAGCGCAACAAGGGGATGCAAATTGGTAGTATGGTCATGTTGTCATGTTGCGTAGGAGATATTAAAAGGAATGAAAATAGGTATGAAAGAGAGGTTTATGATATTAAAATTTATTTAAAAAATTTTTAATAAGGAATCTGGAGCAAAGTCTTCAGGAAGAACAAGAACGTAGATCATCTTTCGTTTTGTCGATGAATAAAATGATACGTTCGAGGGCGGAGGCTATAAAAACTATGTTCGAATGTCCAACAAGAGGGCGGTAGGCTCTGGCAAAGGAATAGTACTTTTGCTATCAAATTAGTTCCTTTCATATTTCTCACCTATCATTATCGAAATACCATTGAACAGTACCTGACAAGAAAACTCCGTCGTTGAATTTGACTTCTTAAAGACAAGCGAGTCTATAATTGGAAATGATATTTAGAGATGGGTACCGTCGATTTCCTGCGATCCATCTTATTTACCAACGGATTCGACATATGTCGGATCTCCTTCAAGCGGAGTAGGTAGCTGTATCACAGAGTACATCTGAAGATAAAAAAATTTCATGATGTTTTGTTTTCAATCCGAAAGCATATTGTAACTACATTGCGGTTCCTTAGATACAAGAAAAGGCAACATGAATCTAACTAAAGGGTCCGTTTAGGTGTTCTTTAATTTAACGTATTGGCGAATCGAACGTCTCTTACTTGGTCAATTTGCAAGTTTCTGAAGCGGCTACATAGTGTTCGTCTTTGCGAATTACATGAACATGGAAAGCTGGTGAAACATCATTTATATTAGCAGGAATCAATCAATGCGTATATGTGTCACCTGAAAGTTGCACTGGAACTTTTTTGGTATTCTTGGATGTTTAACTGCTTAAAATCTACAGATATGCATCTATCTACTCTAGCTTTAAAGTCTCGAATTGCTTTATAGTCTCCTCAAAACCGCGCTGTTCAGTTTCAAGATCTGCGAGCTTCTTCTTCTCTATTTCTTGCAGCTCTTTGCTAACTTTCTCTTGGTATGCGGGATCATCAAGAATCTTTCTCTGTCTCTCAACACCTGCACGAGTCTTCTCTAGCTTTTTAGCTGCTTTTTGAATCTCGCCATCAATGTCTACGCGGCCTTTGACATGCAAGAAGACAGCGGCAGCGGAGGACACGGAGAATACCACACAACCAGCTGGGCGAGCATCGGTTGAGGAAAGTACTTCCAAGGAAGATACACCCTTACCGGACAAAGACTTTATAGACTGGACTTGAGATGTGACTGTGGAGTGGGAGGTAGTATCGTAGGCTTGAACGAACACTAGAGCATCATGTTAGTATGGATCCTTCTGTTATAGCCTGCTGATATCGGCTTACCTTTTCCTTCACCTTTGAGCGAATATTCAGACATCAAAGATCGAATACCTTTGGATACACCCAGAACGAGCTCATAAGCTGCCTCGGATGCAGGATCATCTAAGCCTGCTTCATAGACTGGGTATTTTGCAAGAACGATAGACGGGGTCTTGTCTTCTGGACGTCGAGGAAGTCGTTGCCAGAGCTCTTCGGTCAAGAAAGGCATGTAAGGATGAATCATGGTCAAAGCACCTTCAAGAGCAGTGTACAAAGTGTCAGTAGCAGATCTCTTCTCCTCTTCGGTGCCGTCTTGAAGAATTGCTTTAGAGTTTTCAATGTATACATCGCACAACTGGTTGTACCAATATTGGTAAACAGCAGTTGTTGAACGCATGAATTCACGGTCTTCGAGATTTTGGTTGATTTCTTTCGCAGCCATGGTCATCTTATGCAAGATCCAGCGCTCAGACAAAGACTCCTTGCCTGTGAGCTTTGCAGTCTCTTGCGGAACGAAATCGGCAGGCAATTTGCCAACCACGTATTTTGTCGCCTGATAGATCTTGTTGCAGAACTTTCGGTATCCGTGAATGACTTTGATATCGAATGCAATATCCCCGCCACCAGTCGTGTAGGACACCAACGCAAATCGCAAAGCATCAGTACCGCATTCTGGAATTCCGTCAGGGAAAGCGGTTTTCTGATACTTCTTCGCCTTCTCAACTTCTGCAGGGGCAAGGTTACCGACCAAGAGCTTGGCATGTAAATCCTCAAGACCGATACCTTGGATTACATCTTGAGGATCAATGACGTTGCCTAATGATTTCGACATCTTTCTACCATCAGAGTCTCGAACCAAAGAATGACAGTATACTTCTGTGAACGGCACCTTGCCAGTCATCTTGATACCAAACATAATCATTCGAGCAACCCAGAAGAACAAAATATCCCAGCCAGTCTCGAGTACTGATGTTGGGTACAGTTTTTCGAAATCGCTTGTCTTGTTTGGCCAACCCATAGTAGCAAAAGGCCAGAGACCAGATGAGAACCAGGTATCCAAGACATCCTCGTCTCTCTTGAGTGTGAAAGTCTTACCCGAAAGAGCCTTCTTGGCCTTGGCTTCTGCTTCCTCTTGTGTTCTGCCGGCGAACCACCGATCACCATTACTCTCATCATTCTCATCACCTTCAATTTGAGCAAAGTACATGGGTGCTTGATGGCCCCACCACAGTTGCCTGGATAAGCACCAATCATTTATATTTTCCATCCATCGAAGATAACTCTTCTCGGCTGATTCGGGCTTGATCTTGATCTCGCCAGACTTCACAACCTTGATAGCTTCATCTGCCATTTCTCTCATCTTCATCCACCACTGCGGCTTCAACATTGGCTCAATCACGTCCTTCGATTTTTCACACAGCGGGACAGTCATCGGATTGTCTTTCTTATCGACGTATAGACCAGCCTTCTTTAGGTCTTCCTGGATAGTGTAACGAACATCGAAACGCTTTTGCCCGGCGTAAGGGCCTGCATTGTCGTTCATCTTACCATCATCGGTCAAGATGTTGATAAACTCAAGGTTGTGGCGTTGACCAAGAGCAAAATCGTTCGGGTCGTGAGCTGGGGTAATCTTAACAGCACCGGTACCAAAGTCCTTTTCAACATAGGTATCGGCAACGATTGGCATTAGGCGTCCTTCAATGAAAGGATGAATGGCATTCTTTCCAACAAGATGCGTGTAACGAGCGTCGTCAGGATGGACTGCAATACCAGTATCACCTAACATGGTTTCAACACGAGTTGTAGCGACCTCAATCTTCTCCTCAGATCCCTCAATTTGATACTGGAAGTGAACGATGACTCCAAATTCCACTTTCTTATCGTATCCTGGCACATCAAGAAGTGTGCGGCCCGCGAGTTCTTTGTTAGTCACCTCGAGATTCGACAGAGAAGTATTAAGTTTTGTGCACCAGTTCACGAGTCTGTTGGCTCTATAAATGATACCCTCCTCGTGCAGTGTTACAAATGTTTCTGTAACAGCGGCAGAGAAATTCTCGTTCATCGTGAAAGCTTCACGGGTCCAATCGAAGGATCCACCCATCCTACGGAGAACGGCATTGATCTTTTTATGGTATTCATCCTTCCAATCCCAGACAGTCTCAACGAACTTGGGTCTTCCAAGATCATGACGAGTCTTTTGCTCGCGGCGCCACAACATATTCTCAACAACGCTCTGAGTGGAAATACCGGCGTGGTCACATCCTGGAAGCCAGAGTGTTGTCTTTCCATGCATACGGTTCCAACGAATGAGTAAATCTTGCAAAGCGTTGGGAAGAGCATGTCCCATGTGTAAATTTCCGGTAACATTGGGCGGTGGCTCGACGATTACAAAAGATCCTTCTGGTTTGACTTCTCCATCTGCGGTGAATTCTGGCTTGAAAAAGCCTTCTTTCTCCCACCATGAGTACCAAGCAGATTCAACGGCAATTGGATTATATGCCTTGTATTGAGGGTCGTCGAAAGATTTTATAACTGTACAAATTGATTAGCTTGTTACTTGAACATGGCTTTCCAATTTGATTGCCATACTCTTTTTTTCTCCTTCTGGAGTATCCTCGACGTATTTTGGCAAGACTTCCTCAGCAGCCTTCTTCTCGGCTTTGGCTTTCTTCTCCTTATTCTTGCTCGATGCAGCTGAAGCAGCACTTGCCTCTTGGGCTTGCTTTTTTTGGTCAAACTTAGCTTGTTTCTCTGCCTTCTTGCGTTCTCTCTCAACTGCGCAGCAGAGAATTAGCTTGTGAAACTCTTTGCACACAGACGGAACTCATACGCTCTTTCTCGCTTTTAACTTTCTTTTCTCCCTCACCAGCTACAGGAGCCACGCTTTGTCCTGGCACATGTGAACCTGTTGCGCTGGATTCTGCTGCATTTGCAAGTGCAGCTTTGGTTTCCTTTGAGACCGCAGGTGGCTGCCCTGTGACTGGACCGGTCTCTTCCCCCACTGTCAGTCATTTCTAGTCAGCTGTAGATTCGAGAACTCTATAATGTTGCAGTCCTTACTTGGATTGTACGATGCAGCGTTGGTAGCCATCCTGATAGTGGGAGTAAGATTTAAGATACTTCTGTAAGGCGACCTGCGCACACAGAGCGCCCTGAACAAAGGTCGAGACGTGTTGAAAGCGTCTTTGTGTTAAATTGAGAAGAATCGAACAAAGTTGTAGATACTTTGGGAATTTTTTTGACAGTTTCTACATTCAAATTAAAATGTGACTCGAACTTGGGTGCCACCCCTCGTGTGGCTTGTGACTGGACGGGCCCACTAGCCACACAAGGCTGACTAACTTTTCGGAGCTTCAACTTCCGATTCGATCACCTCAATGTTCGAGCCATTAAATATTGATAATACTTAATATTCATTAAGATCTCTAATGAGGTTGTCAATTTTGGCATGAGACAGTCAATATTTTTCTTGTAAAAACATTTATTTCTTTTAGGTAGTACTTGATCAGCCCGGTGGCCATTTCATTAATTCATTCATTCATCAGTCCCAAAGCTATAGTGCTTTATGTTATAAGTCTCTCAATTGATGTGTCCGCTGTGGAAGGGTGTATATATACAAGATGACAATCAATGCATTGTCGGAATCTACAATTCACCTCTTAGGTTCTTCTCAGGTTCTTACCACACCTACATCTCTCATCAAGGAGCTCATTGACAATGCCCTTGATGCCAAAGCTACGTGTATAGATATTCTTATTTCTCAAAATACCATTGATAAGATTGAAGTCCGCGATAATGGAGATGGTATTCAGCTTGGGGATCTCGATGCCTTGGGGAGGCGGGGTCACACTTCTAAATTGACAACCTTCACGGAGCTCAGGAATCTAGGTGGCAGAAGTCTGGGGTTCCGGGGAGAGGCACTAGCATCTGCTTGCCAACTTGGAGATGTTTCAATAACTACAAAAACGGATGGCCAGCCAGTTGGCACGTGTGTAAAATTGAAGGCTATGGGTGGAATTCAGTCACAATCTCGAACTTCCCATCCTATTGGAACAACGGTTTGTGTAATGAACTTCATGTCAAAGTTACCTGTTAGGAAACAAACCGCCTTGAAAGAAGCACCAAAGACTATTGGTAAAATTCAACAGCTGGTACAGAGGTATGCTCTAGCACGAGTTTCAATCAAGCTTACCCTCAAAATTGTAAAGGGTGCCAAGGGTGCATGGTCGTACGCACCTCGTCCACATGGTGGCATCAAAGATTCAGTGTCTCTTGTTATTGGTCGAGACACTGCTTTGCAATGTTCTGAAACGTCAATGATATTTTCTGATTCGCCTGACCTTCACGAGGGCTCGAATGTTCCCTCTGGTCTTGGCGCTGCAAATGGGGTGCCGGCTTCTCATTTTTGCCTTGAAGCTTTCCTCCCCCGAAACGATGCAGACCCAAATAAGTTAGGAAAGGGACAATATTTATCGGTTGATTCCAGGCCAGTAGCATCCGAGAAAGGGACCATGAAGAAGATCATAACCATTTTTAAGAAATACCTTCGAAGTGTGTTAACGGCGGAGTCTTCTTTAGAGAAAATCAAGAGTCCCTTTATACGTCTCAACATTGTCTGCCCTGAAGCAAGTTATGATCCAAATGTTGAACCCGCTAAGGATGACATCATCTTCGAGAACGAGAAGCTTGTGCTGGAAGCGGCAGAGAGGATGTTCAAGAATTTTTATGGAGAGTGTGACACGGTCATATCTAGACTAGCAAAGAACAACATTGAGACTAATTCCGCTGGATTTGATATCCTTCTTGCCCGAAACACTCAGCAGGATTTCCCAACACCATCAGCTATTGTCGACCCACCATTGACACCCAAAGACACTCATTTTGTCACTAGCTCCAATTCAATCATTATGTCCAACGTTGGTCCCGCTACTACTAACGATGCCTCCAGCATAGCAGAGCCCGAGAACAGTGAGGTATCTGAGGAACCAAGCGCCCTTCGGATGAATCGAAAATGGGGATGTGACATGTCTCAGGACTACACAGAATACACAGATGATTTCTGTCGTCGAGCTTCTGTTAATCATATGCAGAACCAATATAGCTTCAACAGCAATCAGCAGCCTATTCCCATAGATTTGAATCCTTGGATCATTGCTAAAATGACCGCTCCAATCCAAGATGAAACTGCCACAAGTTCGAGCACCATCAACACAAATTCAAGCTCGAATATACTGCTAAATTCGATAAAGGACGACTCTCTTCAAGTCATGTCACCCCGCCGTGTTACTGCTGCTGTTTCATCTCCGCAAAGCCGACGCATTGACAAACCCAACGCTAGCATAGCAGATATTTTACAGTCGCACTCCAACTTTAGGCGCCATGTTCATGAAAGCCGTATGCAATCTGCTGATTTTACAGATCCAATGACCCAGAATGATTTGCCCGTAATCAACCACAGGCATAGTCACCTGAATATTAACGGGTTCACTACGGCTACGAATCTTGTTGAAACATCTTTAATGTCGCCGCCAAATACGTCTCCAAACATGCAGCAGCAGAAGAAAACGGGGAGCCAAGGGCTAAATAAGCCCTTTATACCTCCTTTCCGAACGCCGAACTCTAGCGGTGTTTCTGTTGGCCTTGTTCAAACACAGCTAAAGCTTCCTCACCAGCCTTTTATCGTACAAAGAGAGGCAAGTGACCCGCCTATTGCCGCCGCAACTTCAGATCCGGAAACACAGCAGACAAACTTTGAGTTGGAGTGGGCTATGGACTTCGAACACAGAAAAGAGGACGCTACTCGCCGCCGAAGAGACGAGCTTCAAGCTATGCGAGAGTTATCTCAGCAGCAATCCGTTACGGGCCAAACCTCTTCCCGACAATCTCCCCACAAGAATCGTTACAATGCTGCTTTGGCCAGCCTTGGAAGACCCACAGAAAATTTGGAAGAGCGTTCTTCCGAGACGAACACTAGCGGAGTGAAGACTTCGCTTCCGGATAGTGACCCTCGAGGCTACTTGATGAAGAGACAAAAATCCTTTTCTGTTCTATCTAGCATTACAGGAGGCCCTCGAAAGTTGAAGCGGGCTCAAACTTTACGCCTTCCCCTAGAATCGATACCTGTAGACTTAGAAACCCGTCGTCTTCTCCAAACGGTCCCGAGTGGTATTGATAGTATCTCAAAGCTTGTCATGGAGACATCGAAGCAGGATACTTATGTTCGCCGGGGAATTCAAGCCATTGGCCTTGAGATGACGGCTACAGATAGGGAGGCTGTAGGAAAGAAATTGTATCAAGTAGTTGAGGCATGGATGAATTTAGGAAGAGGAGAGAAGTGCGATGTTGAATTTGAATTTGGTGGACTGGGTTCGCTTCATGGTGCTTGATTGTGTTGTAAAAATATGGATTAGGCGGGAAGGTAGTATATATGGCTTACACATGGCGTTTTGCTAATTCGAGATACCCATTTGCTTTCCCAGCGGTTGTTTTAATATAGATTATCAAAAGCTTTTTGTTGCTGTTGCGTTTAAGATATTTTAATGTATTCTCTATATAGAAAATATCGCTGCTGCTTGATTGCAATAAACGATTTAATACATACATCGAGTCCTAATGGAAAGTGACATGTTCTGATTTACATATACCTCTCTAACATTTTACTTTTCATCTGCCAACGCCTTAAAAGCTTGCAGCAAATCATCTCTTAAATCCTCCCATCCCTCAATTCCCACACTGACTCGCAACAATTTCCGATCAATAGTCGCATCCGACATTGCCCTCCATTCAATTAAACTCTCTACACCACCCAAACTCGTCGCATGATGGAACAATTCCAACTTACTTGGCAACTTCTTCGCAAACGCCTCTTCCTTCAAAATGATAGAAAACACAGGACCAAACCCATTTGGCATCTGTTTCAACAACCACCCATCCTTAATATCCTCCTCTTGCAAACTCGCATGCACAATCTTAAGCACGACTTTCCTCACCACCTCTGTTTCCGCATCATTAGATTTCAAAGCATCATCTAACCAAGAAACAATCTTTTGCGCTGAAGCCGATTGTTGCTTGACGCGAATTTCCAAAGTTCGAACGCTGCGGATCCCGAGCCATGCTTCCATGGATCCCATCACATTCCCTAGAACAGACCGCTCTTCTTCTAAATCACGAAACCAACCCTTTTCAATATGTTTGGGGTTCACGGCGAGAATACCGCATAGCATATCGGAATGTCCGCCTACATATTTGGTGCCGCTATGCATGATGATATCCGCGCCCCAGAGGAAAGGATCTTGAAGTGGCGGCGGACCAAAAGTAGCATCAACAGTCAAGAAAGCACCGCGCGAATGAGCCTTTTTGGCGAAGGCAGCGAGGTTATAGGCGGTTCCTAGGGGATTCAATGGCGTTTCCACATGAATGATATCGCCTGGTTGAAGATCCTCGGCTGGACAATCCAATGGGATTTTCTGGAGTCCGGTGAGCTTTTTGTGGATATCAATGACGCCATGACAGCCATGATATCCCTCGCCGATAGAAATGCGTTTTGGGTTGAGGTGAACTAAGAGCGCGTGGAAGGCGGAAAGACCAGATGCGTAGGTTAGAGTGGGGCCTTTGAGGATACTGCTGAGGATTGCTTCGAAGCGTGTGGTGTTTGGTGCGGATTCCCTGGAATAGACATGACTGTCCTGAGGGGCATGTGGCTATAGAGTGGCATCAGCATCATCCCATGGATAACTATGAAAAGTATGAAGAAAAAAAAAATGAAATCGAGAATAGATGGGTCATGTGACTGAATTGAATGCGGGGTACTCACATCCAGATCACTCACTGCAACGAGCTCATCTGGGTTATTGCTGTAGCGGAAAGTAGTTGATACGTGGAGAGGTGGTGCAACATCTGGACCTTTGTTGAGGAAATCATCTGCGTGGATGGTTTGGGAAGAAAGTGATAACGAGGAGAGTCCGTGATCGGGGGTGTGATCTTTAAGATCTTGTTGACCATTGAGACCGGGTTGGGAGGTTGCCATCTTTGCACTTGTAGTAGATGAATCCAAAATGTTGATTGTAGCGGAGGCAATATGATTACGATTGGGGTGGTGGTCGAGCGCGAGTATTTATATTTATGGAGGATTTGTTATCGGATTCCTTAGTGTCAAGTTGACGGGATTAAAAAACTGGATTCTTCCAATGAACGATTTATGATTTCAAAACTGTGGTATATTCCGTCATCAATTTCGAAGTACATCCAATGATTAAGTCTGAAATGGAATATGTGAAGGGATGTTGGATGTTCACGTGTTGGCAGACAATTGTATATGTTAAAAGGGCGTAACACGCCCTTCGCGGAGACAATCAAATCTCCACAAGTCAGTCAATGCTCAATGTTCTCGCTCCACATCGCTAAGGTTAAGTGCCCCTTTCGACCCAGATGCTAGCTAGCACAGATATTCGAGGACGATGAATCTATAGGAAGTGATGGAAAACTTTGCAATACAACTTTTTAACGAATTGGTTGTGTGATTATGAAATACAACAGCCGGTTTGATGAAAGAATGATTTCTCGCACCGCGATGGTTTCAATCAATCATAGTTCTATTGGTAAACAACTGTTCTGGTTTACCATTGAGCTTTTGACCGGTATCGTGGTATACTCGTAGATACACCAGTAGCATTATACTTCTTGACTTGTGTTCGGGCGACGCCTGAAGACTACACGCTTTGCGCAGGTGTACTGGGACTTCTAGAATAATAAAATTATGGAGACGGCGTTAGACCAGTCCGCTAGTTATCTACAAACAATGCGAACAACTCAAACACTAACCTCAACCTATACAATTTGTACATGCAAGTAACAGATCAGAAAGCCTCAGCACTATTAGGTATCAAAATATGAGACCATTTCCAATATCCTTTGCAGTTGCGGTTTCGTTCCATAATAGTTGTGTTGGTTATCTTGGTTTGGTTCTATTTCCGTACAATTTACCTCGCCACATCGGTTTGTTGGTTTTGACCACAAGGCCAGGTCGAAGAGGACAACAACTTTCTATAAGGCTGTACCATACCTACTCGCGCGGCTATGAGGATGCTATCAAGGAAGTACACACGATATTCACGATAAGAAAGGCAGATGACTTGAAAAGTAACTCAGCGACGCCATATCCATATATTATGGGGATCACCAGCTGGCTTGACTTTTGGTCTAATTATCTCTCTCAGCGAATGTTTATCAGTTACCAAATGTCCAAAACCCAACATGGCCTTTGGATGGCCTGCAATAAATGGTTTACCACCCACAGTTGGGTCAACAGATGGAAGGAATGGCCATGATCATGCATTTCTACACTGTGTTTGCGTGGCCGGATTTCTTTCTCCTCAAACCTATGCTCAATGCTCAAGTGAGTCAGTCAATTGCGCCACTATATAAAGCTGTACATTACCTAGCTTTCTCTCTAGTCTAGATTGAACACGAGCCCTAGTTGTTCTGTGTACTCTCGTATCTTACTCTCCAGCTTCTAGCTTATATCTATTTCTTGGTCAACGAGTAATTCTATCACATTTCTTTTGTCGCAATGCCTTCTGAAGATGCAACATACAAATCACCAAGACTCCACGACATAGATACATCATCTGCTGACGGTGTCTCTGGTCCGTTTTGGGATGCATCTGATCGTTGCTTCTGGCTGATGAACAATCGCCAAATTTACACCCATCCTGAAAACTATAGCGGAAGTTCTGCTTGTGCAACTATCGCCTCCGCTAATCCGGATTCTGCTTACCCATCTGGCTGGTCTAGGGGTCAACGTACACGTTCGTTATCAGGTTCCGATACTTCACTAAATTCAGCATCCCATGAATCCAAACGCATTCGTCCAGATTCCTTGGGCGGTGTACCTGTAAAGAGTACAGGTTCCAAACAGCATTCGCGACGGGGCACCCCAGAACAACAGCGCAGATTTCCACAGTATGACTTGTCCAATCTTCCACCCCCACCTCCTTTTCCTCCTCAACGATCTCACTCAGTCCGCTTTTCTCCGGACATATCTTATTCTGATGACCCTGTGAGAAACCGTAATCCAGGAGCATCCCAACCCAGCTTCCCTCAACGCTCCCAATCTGTCCGAATCTTCGGCGAGCGCGAGCAAATCTTCACTCGCTCCAGCAGTCAATCCCCTTCTAACCCCTCATCATCCTCTTCATATTCCCACCACAAACCCCTCCCTACTCGTACCCACTCAACCTCAACCTCAAACCCAGTAGCACCAACAACCTCAGCACTAAAACACACTACAACACACACCACAACCTACAGCACCCTCCCCCCAAGCACCCGCTACACACCCCCACGGTACCTCCAAGACCGCGAACACGAAGACGAAGATTTCTCCTCCGCCTCCTCCGCCTCCTCCGCCTACTCCTACAACAAATCCCCGACCTCCCCCTCCCACCGCCCCCGAGACCGCCACGAATCCCAACGCCTCCGCACACACCACCGCCAAATCGAATACGATTACGACACCGAAAGTGAGATAACCTCACAAAAAGAAAAGAAACTGAGAAGATCGGGATCGGGATCGGGACAGAAAAGTACGCGTACGGCGGAAGAACAGAAAAAACATGAGAAAACTTTAAAGAGTATTGGAGAGACGGGGAGAGGAGATATGGGACGAGCGGCTTTTATGACTGCTTTGCCTTTTGTGTGTCTTTTTGCGAAATTGGCGGCTTGATGTTTTGTTGTGTTTTGTTTTTGGTAATATGTATGTATTGCTTACGCTTCTTTTATATAAGATCTTAACTTATTTTTTGCTGGGGGTTTGGATTTGGTTCTGTCAGGTTAGGGTTTCTGGGGAATGGGTTGGCTGGGAATGTTTGTTTGTTTGTTAGGGGTTTGCGACTGATGGGAAGGGTTTGAGTTTGGATGTTTTTATATAACACCTGGCTATCGTGCAGCAGTCACACTTTTAGCAATTCACGAGAACAATAGCAAATAAATACATATATGTTAAGAAAATTTAGAATTATATTTCATAGAACCCTTATAAATCATGTTGATTCGTCCCGGATGTGCTCTACCTTCGCTACCTTTGTATCGAAATCTATGTCACTACTGTAAAGATCCACGGAGAAAACAATCAAAGAAAACCCTAGTGAGCATCCAGCATCATACGTTTTGTGCCTACCTTCCATCCTTCCATCCATAAAAAACGCCTTTTCTCGAATTAAGAATCCAAATGCAACTCCTCTCATCAATTTTCAATAAATTCATCCCATGTCTTACATTACCATGCATTTCGCAGAATGCTTTTTCTGTTGCGGCTGCACCTCCGAATTATATGCTACTGTCGCCGGTGAAGTAGCGGGTTGCGAATCCCATGTTACGTCTGTCCAGCCTGCACTACTTGCTGCGTCACATTTATGCTTAGTTCTCTTTGTCGTCATGCTCTTTCTCCAGCCTTTTCGTTTAGCATCCTTGACGTTTCGTGCCGCACTGCGCTCTGCTCTACTCGGTTGCCTGGTGATAGGTATTGGTGGTATGTTGTAGGGTGAGGTACCGCTGGTCGAAGTTGCGCTGTGAATGGTCTCGAGACGTTGCATTGATGGGCGTAACATGTTTGGTGATGCAAAGTATCTTTGCGAACTAGGGTTGGTGCGTTGGGAGGGAGAACCATGTCTGGAAGTAGGACGAAGACTTGACTCATCAGCGGAAGCTGATACATGAGTCGGTGAGGTAGAAAGGCGACTTGATTGCTCGGGAGCGGTACTTAGAGGTTTTTCGGACTGGTAGCTAAAGTTTTGTAGTGGTATGGAATCTCGAGGATTTGAGCCGGAACGACGTCGAGATGGATCTTTCAAGCTAGCCGGACGCCCACTGCGACTGTTAAAACGTGCCAAAAGATCAGCACTAGGTAGCACTAGTCCGGAGACTGCTGAGGCGCTATCCACTGGGGCATCCACTGGCGCAGAATCGGACCTCCTCCGAACAGGGAAATGTTCGTCGGTAGACTCTTCGAGACTGACCGGGTTGGAAGTAGAATCTTCCATCCGCGGGAATGTTGAGCTCTGCTGCACAAACGGTATATCGGAGGGCTTCTGTGCAGTTTTTTGGGGTCCCGTCACTGTAGAATGCAGTTCTAAAGGAGGAGAGTCGTCTCTTTGTTCTCCGGCTACAGCGGTTGTAGGTCTACTGTTTTGCATGATGGAGACCTGATCATCCACTGTTGTCGCTTCCCAATCTAACAACCGCCTGTCAAGAGTCGCATCTATGGGTTGAGGAATAGGGGAGACAGGTGATTGTAACGTGGCTCTCATAGCAGAATTGGGGATCAAGTCCGTGGTGTTACTCTCATCATTGTTGGGCGCATCAGGACCTCGGGAAGTTTGATGAGGTGAAGATCTTGCGAGGGTTGGCTGTGGAGTGCCGATTGGGGAGACATCATAAAGACTATTGAAGTCAGGTGATGTAGGACGCTCATCAAAGTTTGCAGTTGAGGGACTTGTCACGGGTCGAGCAACTTCATCATCTATGGGATTAGTTGTGGAAGGTGCAGTTGTTGTATCGCTAAGCGATCGCCGAAAGGGATATCTCTGCTCACGTAGAGCTTCGGGAAGAGGCCGCTGAAGCACCGGAGCATCTAATCCTGGAAAATCAAGGACTGTGGCCCGTTGAATATTTGCTCTCTGCAGGGATCTTGCATGATCCGCAAGGATAGATCTCTGGATGTGTTCAGGAAGTGGAGGGACCGGATCTTTTTGATAAGGAGGAGGTGGTGGCTCCCAATTGTCTGCATCACTTTCATGGGGATGCTCTTCACGACCATCGGCTCGGCGATATTCGATATGTTCTTGTATCATTGAACGAGGGTGTAGTCTTCTGTTGACTGCAGCAGCGGTGGCAGCGCGGCGTAGAGTCGTGCCCGAGCGAGGTGCCGCATTTGCGTAAGGGTCGTCAAAAGCTTCCTGATCGTCATCAATAGAAGCCGTTTCTGCTGGGTCGGACATGTTTTCTAGGTGACTTGTTTGTCTGGGCAAAGGAGGAAGGGGGATGTTGGCGCCCAAAATATGTGGTCCTGGGATTGGCGGCGGTTCCGGGCATGTCATTGTGGTAGTTGAACGAGCAATACTAGCATGATAACTCCTGCGCTGCGCCACTGTTCTTCTTCTGACAATAGCTACCTCGGTGTCCAGGTCTCTGTGTTCTTCCTCAAGAATTTCCGGATCGTCTCGTTGACCCACTTCTATGGTTGTTATGGTTTTTCTACCATTACTTGGGCCACATATGAAATCCAGTATACAAATGCGGCCGCCATCTACCGGGCTCATGCTATCATCCTCATCTGCGATGCATTGCCGTTTTACTCCTGGTGCAACAGCTACAAGTCTTTCACCTTGTAGTTGTTTTGATTCTTCTTGGACCCAGCTTAAGGCACTTACTCCATCTAAAGTGGTTATATGATAACCGTCAACAAATGTATTGCGAGATTTATCACAGAGGAGTTGCCATTGTGGGATACGGATATTGCTATGATCCAGCGATCTGTTTACAGAACGTAGCGATGGCGCGCTGTTTCGACGTCCAATTTGACTTAGAGGTGTCCCTGGTGCGGTTTCCCCATTACTATTCGAACTCACAATGGCAGGACTAGGATCCAAATTCTCCGGAATCCCCCAAAGCCAGATGCTGCCTCGACTATAACCTACTGCTGCCAGATCTCCAGACTTGTTTGCTGCGGCTTTTGATGCGGGTGGTTCCCCGTTGGGCCCCACAAAATGAACTTTGCCATTGCGTAGATCGTCCATCCTAACAGCGCGAAATGTTTCAAAAACCCGATCATAAGTGAAAGTCCAACTTGCTTCATCATCATGAGGACTGGGTAGTAGGACCGCATGACTGCAGTCTCGACTACCATTGGGGAAGAGAATTGACGTTGTCCAAAGGGCGCTAATGCTGTCTTCCGGAGAAAGGCTCCCGGGGTCATAATATGGCGCGGTCAAGACGACAGTACTGGGATTCCTAGATTGTAGTGTGGTTCCCAAGAGCAAATCAGAATCATGAGAAAATGTCAAAGAATCGACGCCATAGGCCTTTACAGCGCGACTTGTACCGATTTCACGCAGAGAGGTCAGTTCTACCCCAGAACTAAGGACAGTGGGTTAGCAACACTTCATTGAGGATGAAGAATATATCATAAGAAAGCTGATCAGAAGTTTTTGATATGGACCGTAGAAAGAAACGGTGTAGAGCGAGTCCCAAATGGAATGCACTTACTCATAAGCTGCCGCAAGAACCTGTCCAGTCGGTGAAAGGGCGATGGTCCTTGGTGTATGGTCCAGTGCTACGGAGCGGATGTGCTTTGGCGGCCGTGCAGTCAAGTCATAGAGGTTCACCTGAAGGTCGTTCGACAATACAGCAAGCATAGAACCGTCATCTGTAATTGTGGTAGCAGCTGGTCGTCGCAAGATTTTGAGTTCTCGTATGATGTGAACCTCCGGAGCCGTGACATCTATGATATGAATTCGAGAAGAATTATAGGCAAGGACCAAAACGCCGCGAGGAGAAATTGAGAAATGGCATGCTTCCCCTCCAGGCGCGCTGGACGAACCTATCGAGGTCGAAACCAAGTTTATGACGGTTTCTTGAGGTCGCAAATATACCTCAAATAGATTGCGCTTAACCTCTTGCGCAAAAAGAGCCCGCAGATGCGGAAGGCTATCCTCATCCTCCAAAGCTGGAATTGTATTATGCGCGGCCGAATAGGAAGGGCATTGGGTGAGTTGGTGCGAATAAAGGTAGGCTTGCTGTGAGATGCCCCTCCATCTCGAATTCAGTAAGACGAGAGAAGCAAAGGTATTGGCATTGGTAAGGAGCAAAATCCTGGAGTATATGATTAGAAGTTTTACATAAAATTCCTATTTGTTGCGCTCACTGTAGGATAATATCTTCGGGTAGCCTTTCAAATGCGGGTTTCTCCATTTCGGATGTCTCTGCCAATTGCTTCTCCGATCCCACAGAACAGATTGAGTATATTGAGGCGCTTCTAGAGGACATTTTCGAGATGAAATCTACTACTCTTGGTTCATTTGTGCGGAATTGAATTCATGTAGAAAAAGTTATACAGAAGGATAAATTTGGCTCGCGGATCCGCAAACCCGATCTCCCAAGATATGATGATAATTGAGCTTAATGCAAGATTGATAGGATGGAAAAGTTGGCCTGAAACATGGTGTAGCTCAGCCTCCAAAGCTATCTTCTTCTTTCTGAGTGAATATCAAATACAAGCGCTTTCATAAATATTGAGGTGGATTAATAAATGTAAGCAACAAATTGTCGACGAAGAATGAATGTCAACCGCCTAGGGACCTCGCGATGATCGACCTCGCATCAAAATACTAGTAGAGGGGAGCGCTCCAGCTGCCAATAATAGCACACATAAGAATTGGGGTAAACGAAGTATTAACGAAATATTATTTTTGACTATTGGCGGGGCCGAGGAGTTTATATCTTTTGAAATTGGAAGCTGAACATGTCTTGATCGAAATTGACATTGATTCATGAGGGTGCATTCACTCCTTAGGACCTATCTAGGTATTCTGTGTTAGCTGCAAACCCCTAAACTTTTTGCCCAGCTTATCAACAAACGTACGTCAAAGGATCAAATACGGGGTGCCTACCTGGGTACATACATTATTACGGCAAATTGAAGGATCCCATCTCAAATTGAGCACACAGAGAAATCCTGGACGCCCGAAACGGATCTTTTTCTATTTCTATGATTGAGAAGTGATGGCAAAAGTTGATGGTACAGAGTACTAGTACTACCAATTATCACATCTACTTGTCCAATAGATATTCGTTCGGGCTTGAAGCTTGCAGGCGTTGAATGTGAAGAATCTCCTTTGCTGGGCATGATATATGATATCTAACAGTTGGTCAACATTTGGATAATTACCATCCAATGAATGATGGTTGCACACAGAAGCTCCAAGGCCGGATAGGGTATCGGCGAAGAAGAATCATCTAGGAATAGCTAATAAATAGAGTCTAGCTTTAGCTACCCCCAGATAACCTTAGTAGGTACGTACGTACAGCTCTAGTTTGATGGTTCGGTGTTCTGACATAATTTGTTACATAATTCATTAGTAATTTATATGGAAAACTTTCATCACTAGACTTGAAGCTAAGCTAAGCAAATTTTAGCTTCGCAAGGCCCTTTTCTTGCTTTCCAATCTTCCAATCTTCCCATCTCCTCATTCCACCTTCCACCTTCCATCTCTCCATTTTTATGCTCATGAACAACCATTTCATTTCGTTCGCTCCTTCTTTCTATATATCATGCCACTACAACAAGACTTTGATTATGAGGAACTTACCAATATCTTAATTAACAACTTTAATGTTCTCGCAGATGAAGTTCAACTTTTAAGTGACAGGAAGACTATTTTGGAGCACAAGCTCCGGTATTCACATTCCCAAGTAAGTTTAACATACTTTATTTTCAGTCACGCGCTTCTTATCCTTTTCATGATGTACACAAATAGCTCTAGAACAAAGCTGCAAAGTAGCAATGCCGATAATCTACCAAATTTTCTGAATTTTTGACTCCATCCTTTTTATTCTTGAAACAGCTCGGTCGAATCAAGACTAACAGTCATCTTCATAGTATCAATCTTTGGCGGATAAATATGCACCCTCAGATCCTGAAATAGCTAGTACTTTAGCAAAGCTTCAACTTCCTCCAGATTCACAAATAACTATTCCTGATCGCGGGGGATTTGTTCCTTTGCCGCTTCGTAAACAACCAACTTCAAAGCAACAAACTGCAGTTGCAATAAGGGACGGGAGAAGGGCAGCGCAGCGGCTTGCAGCTATATCTGGAAAGTCTGCCGGATCTACAACTAGTAAAAGTATATCCGGTGGGAGTAGTAATATGAGATTGTCCGCACGCCGAACCTCCTTATCAACTGTTCTCGAACAAGATTTTACTGTGCCTGGAAAGAAGAGTTCATTGTTGTGTCCATTTGTAACTATGTCTGAAGGAACGAAACCCATGAAGAACCCAAATGCTCAGGATACCAGCACTGGTGAATCCGATCAACCTTTGACTCCCGTCGATACCCAAGACCCTACCCCCCACCACTCCTCAGATCCTATATGTGCGCAAATGTACGCCGAGACGATGTCATCTCAGCCCCCATCAGCAACAGGCCCTGGAGCTCAATGTCCAATTCGTTATCTTAATCAGCATTCACCTGAAGAGATAGCACGATACTTTGAAACACACAAACACGAAGTACCCCGCAGTCATGAGGTTTGCGTCAAGCGATATCAGCGAAACGAGGATGATGTGAGGATGCTAGATGCGAAATATGGAAACCTAGTGAGCATGATTCAGGGCCTTGGCCAGAAGCATCAGCCGATGTTACCTACAAAGGAAGAGCAAGAAGCGTACGAGGTCGAGCGTGCGTCCAACGAAAGAGTGGAAAACTGGGCAAATAACGTCAGCGTCGACGGAGATGAATTGTTGCACGAAACTCAATCTACTCCTGCAGACGACAGAGAGAGTCGTTTTGACAGGCCAATGAAAGAGGTTAGGGTTGGCGAATCTCCGAGCCGACCATGGGGGATTTCTGTTCCAATCTATGATCAACCGTCCGACCATAGACCTGTATCTCCACCACCGGCGCCTGTATCTGTTCCCTTGGACAGTTATTCAAAGCCTCCCGGAAAGTGTCCTTTTGGACATACTGCGGAATCGAATGCAGAACCAAAATTAACACGAGAAGTGCCCACGACTCCAGTTGAAGCAGGCAGGCCAGCAGATTGTCCTTTTGGCCAAGGTCAAACGGCCAAGGACGAAACACCCTTCACGAACTACAACGCACCGCCTGTATTTCACGACCGGCCGGCCTTCATTCAACTCGAGCAACTTCAGGCGCAGGGTATTGGGCCGAAGATGGTTTTTACAGGGCCCGTATTTATAGGGTATCCGATTGAGCAAGCAATGGCGTTTATGAAGCAGTATCAGGCACAGACTACAGAATGACTGATTAAATGATGTAACGAGGAGACATTTATAACGACTGATTTTGGTATTTACCTTTTAGCGATGGAGTTTTAGCGTTGCATATTAAATGGATGTAAATGTAAATGGCGTTCTTTTACAGGAGCACAAATATGTTTTCTGCACAACACACAGATTCCTGACCAAGGAAAGCAGCTCGGCAGGCAGGCATGCTAAGTAGTTCAAGAACTTTATAGCAAAAAAATGCAATACCACGGATCAAATGATCAGAAGAAACAGCCCAAGGATGCTACAAGCAAATATGTTCATTGAATCTTAGATGTTGAGGTCACGAAGTGTCTTTATCCCCTTTTCCCTTCTAAGTCGATATCTCCCCAATGCGAAGAAATATGAATAAACCATGCACCTTTTAATCATTGCCCCTCCTTTATCCCCAACGCCAAAAATGTAGTGACACCATCAAATCCGAACCCAAACCCAGCGCGTATCCAGCATACATGTCATACAACACACACCTTCCTGGTTTTCAAACCGCCAAAAACCTTACCCCAAATCTAAGTTCTAGTCGTCTTTCCTCCCCAATATCCGCCTCTTCATTTAAATCTCCACTCGCAAAAACATTTGCCTCTTCCCCATCCACAAAATCCGTGTACCTGGCTGGTTCATCGGTGTTGTCCCACAAGGATATATCATCGTCGTTCATCAGCGCCGCATCATCATTGTTGGCATCGCTGTATTCTGCTGCTACTCTTCTTCCGGCTGCCACGTCGCCATTGGCGGCTTCGAGCTCTTCTATTTCGAGTTCTTTCGCGCGCGCCATGGTGCGTTGGTAGATTATATAGCCGACTGTGGCTCCTAGCCCGCCTCCAATGACTATACTGGCATAGTTTATCATTTTGGTTGAAGTGTCCATTCCTTCATTGCCGGCGAGTGAACCCAAGCGACTGCCAATGAAGACGTGGATGAAGAGTTTGGGGGTTACTAAAGCAGTAGCAAGAGCGTAGTTGAGAGGATGTACGGTAGGGAATGTGGCGACAGCGGCATTTGAGAGGGAGTATGGGAGAGGACAGAGACGGATCATGCATAGGATCTTGATACCATCGTGTTTGAGCGTGAGGGCTAGGGCTTCGAAACGTTTATCTTTGCCTACCAGGCGATGTACGTAGGTTGAGAGGATGGTTCGAGAAGCTAAGAATGAACAGAGAGAGCCTGCTACTGTTGAGGTCGCCACTATAGCCCAGCCTTTGGGAACTCCATAGACGAAACCCGCAATGGTGATGGTAGAGGAGTAGCCTATGAGGGGCGGAAATGCGGCAACGAATGTCATGGCCCATAGAATCATCCATCCTCCTGGCAGATCCCGCCAGCGTTCTGCGAACGGGGCAAGACTAGCGAAGATTTGATGTTGATAGACCAGGAAAAGGGCGACGAGGACAATGTTTAAAATTGCTGCTACAATGGCAAGACATTTTTGTAAAGTAGAAAGGTTCTGCCATGCTGAAATGCACTTTCGTTGTAATTTATCTGCCTTGCGGAGAATTTGAGCTTTGAAGGATGTGGTGGGCTGGCTGGAGTATGGCGAGGCGGAATTGTATGCTCTTCGGACTCCGGAGGATATACGTCTTGACCATGGTGGTCTCTCTGCATGTTGAATTGGAGAGGAGGGCGGAGACGCGAGGGGACTAATAGGCAGAGCTAATGCTCTCGCCGTCGAGCTGTAATCGGCCGGCATTGTAAGAATGGTGCGATTTGTGCTTGTAATGTGGAAACGGAAATCGTAGATTGTTGATCAGGACTCGATTTCTATCGCGCACAATCGGAAGATTTAGGTGGTCAAAAAGGAGCTACAGTATGGTGATAAGATGCATTGATGATGTTGTCAAGGTGAGGATGTTGACCTGGTAAAGGATTTCTACCTAGGATGTCCTTTCCAGCGCATTAGGGCTGTGCTGGTGTGTGTCTGAAACGGAGAATAACGGGAATGCTCACCACTACTCTTGTAGCTTGGTAATCAAAAGATGAATGATAGAATGGACAAATGAACTTTTCACAATTATACAAACATGTCGATAGGATGGATATTGATTGTGCGAATTGAGATTGGAACCAAGTGGTATATGTATTTGAGACGTCCATCCTACAGTAATCCGTAATGTATCTCCAACATGAACGCCGCACTCTTGCTTCTACGTCACTTTTGTCCCCGGAAATAAAAGCTTCGTGGTGGCTCGTGGAGATGTCACATGATGAATTGATATATTCACCTATTAGATACCTAGGTAGTTATCAATTTAACAACATGTCGAAACATTGTAGACGGGGGATGTAAGGAGTAAGATCTTATGTTCGTATGTTATCCTAGGATTGAACAGTCTGTACTGTAGATACCTGAAGCCTGGAAGTGTAACCTTAGGTGGGTGGAACTGCAGTCCAGCTCAATCCCACTGCAGCTTGCATTTTGTCTGTCGTGTTGCGTAAAATCAAGTGCAAAAATAGAACATCTTGTGCCATACTCCGTACATACGCGAGTATTTGGGTGGTGCTTTCCTATTCTCTCGGTGTTTGACAAAGTAAAGCAAAAATCAAGAAATATTGCAAGTTCTTATATATGAATATAACCTATATAAATACTCGAGTACCTAGCTGATGGTGTATTTCCTGTTCATCACCACGCCCTACACACACCTTAGTACGTACCTAGAGAATATCGCAATTCTCCTCCCGTGCTGCTCTGTTCTTTTCCCTACTCACCTCACCGCCTGCATCGTTGACCTCCAATCAGCACATAATAACCAGTAGACACTAGCTGCTTCCCAGGTTCCTCCTATCCCGTCCTCTATCCTCTCCAGAAACATACAAATCACTACTACACATTTTACGGAGTACACTTGCTTAGCTCACTTCTTGCTGTACAAATCGAATGGCCCCAGCATCTCAACCAATCATATCACACTGCTTCCAAAAAATTAAAAGGAAACCCCGACCCCGATAGGCCAGCCTCATCACCTTATGGGGAGCTAGAGTTGCTGTCCGACATTCCAACCCCACGCACGAACTTACCTGTTGAACACAATTTCCAAATAATCCCCTTTCTTTCTCTTGCTGCCTTTCCAAATAAATAATAAATTCAATGTTATGACTGGAAAGATATACTCACCGAGTATTCATCTGACAATGTAAGAGCCTGGTGCCTTTGTTGTGACGAGCCTTTGCTAGGGATTACATTACCTTGCCTTATTACATCGTTTGAGGTGTCTTTCCCCCAATCGTATCAATCGCGAACTCCGGTCTCACCTACCTTGCCTTTCTTAACAACCCCCCCAACAACTATCCTTTTAAACTTTCGCACCTTCATTTTTTACTTCTACTTTCTGCGAAAAACATACTGTCTACAGTAATACAGTATTCTCACCCGATCCTTACTCAAGAACCTTTAGCGAAAATGGTGGCCGACGATACTTACGAGATCTGCCTACCCATCCTCGAAGATGTCACCCTCGAGGATGAAGACAAGACGGATAAATTGGAGGAGCTGCTCAAGAAAGAAACTACTATGACAGGGACAGTGCTGGAGAATGCAGTTTTAGATGTATTATGGCGATATCGCGAAAGCGCCGCGAACGCCAACTCACCCCCGGCAATGCGACATACGGTCCTTCGTCGACCATCTCCCGCTCCATGGCAGATTCCACGTGTTGGAACACCAGTATCTTCATCCCCTCGTCTTGGAGTCAGCCCTCTCGCTCCCCACGGGTTTATGCCACAATCCTTCTCTCGGACCAAGTCTATCCAGGGTTCTCCTTTCACCTCACCACGACCGTCCCCACGACTCGCGTTTTCCAGCCCTGCGATCCCTCATAGTCCAAACTTAAACGCATACGAGTTTCCGACCGACACTAGCCCTACGCAGGACATATATGGAGACTATGGAAGTGAAAATGTAGACTGGCTTGTGAATGATGATGCTGTTAGTATTACATCATCGTCCGTCGGAGGAAGCGGACTTAACGCTGCTGCTGCTGAATATATCTCGCCGCAACAAAACGATATGAGCTCCCATGAAATGTTAAGGTCAATTTTTGGTCCTTCTAAATCGGTTGAAGAAATCGAAGCTGCCCTTGCTTTACATGGATACGATTTGAGCGCTACCATTACTGCGTTTATGGATAGTCAATCGGCTGATGCTACAGTTCAAGCAGAAGGAGATGGTACGAAAGCTATCTTGATTGGTAAGTCTATGGCAGCGGATGTGCCTCGACCGAACACCCCAGCCGGTCAGCAACGAAGTGGTGTTGTCTGTCGATTTTGGCTATCTACCGGACAATGTCTACGTGCGGATTGTAGATTTAGTCATGATTTGAGTAACCACATTTGCAAGTAAGTTTCCCTGCATTCCAGTAGATTTACATTCCCTCATCCTTTTACAGGTATTGGGTCATGGGCAATTGCCTCGCGGGAGATACTTGTATTTTTAGCCACGATCCCTCATCATTCATGAGCAGACTCTCTCTCGAAGGGGGCAGCACACCCCCAACTCAGAATTCGCAACCCAGTTTTCAATTCCAGGATTATAATGCTTTCCCATCTCTACAACCAATGCAAGAGCAGTGGCCAAATTCTTATTCGTCGGCGAATGCCTTCAGCAACTATCAGCAGGGTGGCTTTACTCCGCCACCTGGCTTTAAAAGTCTACAAGGCTATAATAGTGATGGGAGTCAGCGGTCTCGACCAAGTAGTCGAGCTAGAGACGGCCCCACAGCTCCAGCTCTGGATGATACAGAGGCATTTCCATCGTTAGGTGCTGTGACTGCGAAGGGCAAAAAGCATCATGGGAAACGAGGTGGTCATGGACACAATCATAAAGAAAATAGCAGCCCAAGCTCTCTTGCCGATGTGGTGAAGCTGTCGCCTTCACCAGGCCCTGGTATGATGCAAGACAAGAGGAAAATCGGTAGAAACGGCAGCTCTAACAATGTCCGCAATGGCGAGAACAGCGCTGCTGCGCAAGCTATTTCACCACCTCAACATATTCCGTGGTTAGAAACCGGAGACAGAGCCAATAAAGCATACCTTAAAGCCAGACAAGATGCAATTAAGCATGGTGGTTTGAGGAACAAATTCTTACAAAGGTTGGTCAATATATCACGTTATACGAAATTAATATTAACAATTTCCAGTGCCGCCCAAGCTTGGAACCGTAATGATGCCCGTGCTGCAAAAGCACTTAGTCTTCGTGGTCAAAGTGAGAATGATCTCATGAGAAAAGCACACCGAGAGGCAGCTCGTGAACTTTACGAAGAACGTAACAAGAGCAATTCCCCAAATGCAGAGCTTTACGTTGACTTGCATGGTCTTCATCCCGAAGAAGCTGTCGAGTATCTGGAACGTGTTCTACTAGATAACAGCAGGGAATCAAGACCTGTATATGCCATTACAGGCACTGGTCACCATAGCAAGAACGGCAAAGACAAGGTTGGTAAAGCCATTCGTACATTTTTGAACGAATGGAGATACGCATACCGCGAGTTTTCAGTGCCCGGTGACAGAAACAACGTAGGTGGCATTTTGGGCATTGATGCTAGATCTTATGACAAGACACTATCTAGGGAAAGCAATGGAGCAGATGATGCAAAGGAAGAGATTGATATTTTGAGTCAAGGCCATGAGATCGGTGGCGGGAAAATCAAACTTCTAGTGCGAAACCAAGATCGAAATCAAGATGTTCCAAAGGGGCCCAGTGGTAAGGGCCGATGACCTAGAAATAAAGAATAAATAAATTATTAAACAATCTGAACTATCTATTTGCTCTAAATTTTTGCTTCAGCTTTCTCTTCCTTTATCTTCTTTCTGGCATCGATGATTTCTGTGGCTGTCACATCCTTTTTACCTGATATCTTCTCTTCAAGATGACCCGTACTCTGTAGTTTCGCAATGAGGTCATCATCACCAAAATGTGAGTTATGCTATTCTAAGGATTAGTTTCGAATGATATCACAGTTAAGAAACATACCTCAAATTCTGGCTCTTCCTCATATGCAATTCTAGCCGCATCTACATATTTCCAGTTAGTCATGTACGTTCGACCCACCACTCTACCTCACAAAAATTCTCCACTCACCAACTAAAATTCTCGCTGTCATCCCCCAGACTTTATATCGTGTTAATCCCTGCTCCTCTTGCTCATCAAGCTCCTCCGCAATAGCAGCCTGCCCCCCTTCCCTTACCTTTGGCTTCGATACTTTTTGGTTCGTGATCGGTACATAGAAATTATGCATACGCCACTTTGTATCGTGCCATTCATGCCAAGCTCCATTATACCAATCACTTTTCTTCCCAGGCAATAAAGATTCATCTTCTTTCCTTACCTCATCTTCGATACGCAAAAAATTGTGAAACGGCGCGGAAAATACAGCGGCTACTTCCCGTGCATCAAGTCTAGGAATCATATCCTCCTCCACACTAGCATCTTTCCCCCTCGTATCATCAGCGTGCAGAAATGCAACACAAGGACGCACGGCTAAAGCAGTCCTGGCGAGACTAGATGGTAATTGACATAAATGTTCTATCTTAAAAGGACTAGGAATCTTATGATCATATCTAGGAAGACCAATTTCCTCACTCGCTTCTCGTCGCGCAATCTCAAAAGGCGTCTCGGAGAGGGAATCGGCTTTTCCGCCTGGAAAAGCGGCTTGCCCGGAAAAATTCCGGAGCGTGTTCGATCGCATGGTTAGTACGACTCGGAGGTCTCCTCGTCGGTCAGCGAAGAGGAGAACTAGCACTGCGGCTCGTCGACTCACAGGGAGAAGATCCCATACCGAGTCGAACGGTGGTGCTTTGTAGGCGCGAAGTCGTGCCAATGCGGCCTTTTCGATGTGTTAATCCCGTTTTGTAGGTTTGTGTCACACGGATCTGGGATGTGGTGTGAGGTTACTTACTATTGAGGCCGCGGAGAGCGGAGCCATGCTACTTGCATCGAAGTATTGTGCTTCGAGCTCGCGGATGCTTTGTTGGAGTTCTGTTATCTCTTTCTCGTCTATTTCGATTGGGAGTTCTGGGCGTGATTTCGGATCGTGGATTTCTTCGTTCATACTCGAGAGCTGTAGTCGGCTTTCCTGTGACTTGGCCGATTACCTCGATTAGTACTCCGTAGGTATTTCAGCAGAAATCCACAGCCGAGGTCGAGGGTATGAAGTCATGGAGATAATGTGGGGTAATGCACAAGTATACATAAAACTGCATAAATTGTATAAACAATCCCCGCTGTCATCAACCTACAACAGCTTGTTGGTATAAACAATTCCTGCTACTTTTTCATGCACTGGTTTTTGGGTAGACCATCGGTGAACATTCCTTTGATCAACCATTTCAGTACAACATTTATGGTGCAATATAAACGAAATATGATGAAATATCTAAGTGTGAACTGGTGAGCTTCCATTGGTATTTCAGATTGCGCCATCGTCTTCTGGTCTTTGAAAAGAATGCTGGGATTTACCTTGATGTAGTTTTGGTTATACGTAACGATTTCGTTCAATTGATCTTATAAAGAAGGATAGTTGAACTTTTTGCTATTTAATGCTGACCTGTAAACTAATATTCGTTGATTAAACGCTCAGCACGCAGGTCTCATCTTATTATCAAACAACTTGCAAACTAGAAAACAGCGTCGTTCAATCATGCCAGCCGAGATTTTGTTCGCAGCATCAGAGCAAACAACATATAATCCCCATCCGGAGACTCCTAATCAAAAAAATCTCATTGAATCCAACGAAAAATACGCCGCAAATTTCACCCAAGGCGATCTAGAACTTCCCCCCGCCAAGAAATATGCAGTTGGTAAGATTAAATACTTCCATAGAACTCCCCCAATTCCCAAATCCTTCTAATACACGCATACAGTAACATGCATGGATGCGCGCATCGACCCCTCCTCCGCCTTCGGCATCGCTCTAGGCGACGCCCATGTAATCCGTAACGCGGGAGGATCCGCACGAGATGCATTACGCTCTCTTATTATTTCTCAGCAGTTGCTAGGCACGAATGAGATTATACTTGTTAAACACACTGGATGTGGGATGCTTAGTTTTTCGAATGAAGATGCGGTTGGGATTGTCAAGGGGAGATTTGGGGAGGAGGCAGAAAAGGAGTTGGAAGTTTTTGGAGGGGAGTTTCTCCCGTTTGCAGATTTGGAGGGGGAGGTGAGAAGGGATGTGAGCTGGTTGAGGGAGAGGAGGGTGCTGGCTGAGGAGGTGGGTGTTAGTGGGTGGGTTTATGAGGTGGAAAGTGGGAAGGTGAGGAGAGTGGTTTAGGGAAACGTTGTGGATGTTAGGATGTTGGGATGCGGTATGGAGGTGTGTGATTCGGGGGTCTTCTTTTTTTTGTTTCAAGTACTCAGTATTTCTGATTACTCCAACGGTTCTGAAGTATTCAGAGACTTTAGTCTTGTGATAGTACCGTATATTCATTCCCTCTCTGTACAGCATAATAACGATATTCCCCCCCAACTCCTTTACATTTCGCTAAATACCTACCTAACTCATTGCTACATTCCTGAAATACCATTTCGGAAACTTGAACAAAATCTCCCAATAACCCACAGCTATCACCTCATCCATCCTCCATAGTCCTACCATCTCATCTCATCTCATCCCATCAAATCCAATCCCCCAACCAAGTCCCTATCATCTCATCTCAACCACTCTAAATATATTTCTAAACCCTTTGGTAACCAGCACATACGACCATAGACTGAAGAGAATTGGGCATCCCGTCCGCTCTGCCATACACAAGCTTCAGATCGGTGGATTAGTAGTTGGGTGGGTGACCACCAGCGAATCCCCACTGTTGTATGTTTCTTTTCTCCTTTTTTTTGTTTTTGTTTTGAAGGTTTGGGTGTTGTCTATGATGATGGTACGGTATTTTGGAGGGCGACGAGGGAGTAGAGCACCCGGTGGATGATATGGATTGGATTTTGGGGGGTTGTTTTGGAGGTGTGGATTTTGAAAGGGGATAGATAGATGGGAGAAATAAGGGAGTAAATAAAGGACGAGTTGTAATTAATTGAGAAGATATTTGGATATAATGTCAGTTGATTTTTTGTTGTAGAGAAAGTATAATCTTTACAATCAATATATTCGGGTTTTGGATAGGTTTGTGTGATATTCAGTACGAGATCCGATTACATAGTTGAACAATAATAATCAGTATGCAAAGAGAAGAAATCGGGAGACTAGATTGGCGAGTAGTTAATACCATATAAACAGTATTCTAAGAGGTCAAGCCATCTATCGTGATGGATAACTTGTAAGACCGGCAGGCTTATAAGTTATATATTGACAAGAAGCGAGGAGTAATCTCTATGTAGGTATGTAACACATCACAAATTCTTCTGAGCGATTTGCTAGTTAAGCTTCAATTCTAGACGTCTTTTTTCTTTCGGTGACGCTGATTCGTTCCCACGCATTAACTGCATAGAGTGACCTATCTCTATCCACGTAGAACTCCCGAGTATGGAGGCGTAAAGGTAAGTAGGATTAGTCTACACTTAAGGAAAATCTTCTGGAGTAAATGAGTTTGCTATTTGATATTTGGTATGTCGATCATGAATTACGGGGTGGATTTTGTGCAAAGCGGACTTAATGTAAGATGATCAAATGGACTCACTCATTGTTCTGAACGGGTGTGACGAAAATTGTCTGATGTGAAATTGACGATGAGAGATTTTCTTGCTATAAAATTCTAGATGTTTGAAAAGAACTTATATATGTGGTACTCCAGGTATTTCTCCAAGCTACGGTTGCTGAGTACAGTTCTCTGAATTCATAATTCCTACAAGGAGATGCGGATATCCTCCATGTCCGTCACGAATAGTTATTTTATGAGTGGTTAGCTGTTTAAAATGTAGAAAGACACTGATGTAGAGCCTGAGGAGTATTACATATACTTTGGTGTGGATTTTGGAGCTGGGAGTGACATATCAAAATGGAAAGGGAAGGAATGTGAGAGTGTATGGCATGGATGACTTTGGTTCTCTTGATAGAATATAGTTGTTGAGGTAAATAACTCATCTAGTCCTAACCTCTCATCTACAATGCAAGAGTGATGTGGGCTGAGAAGAGCAAGGAGAGCGGCTGAAGGAGAAATAGCTCACGAGCCAAACTTACCGACGGATTCTGAAATCGTCAAGCAATAAATGAAGATTGAATCTTCAGTTGGAACAGATACAACTTATCTGATGTCACACTGTGAAACAATAGACAAATACACCTCACTAAGCCACCAACATCAAGCTAAGTAGCTAATGGGGCCATGCTATTTTCATATCCAAAGTGCTTTCATGTGTGAGTCTTTGCGTTGATCAACCAAAAAAGGAAATGAAAGAATAAGACACAAAATATGGATACCATCTTAGTGTACTTAAAATGGATTTGCGTGATTCTTAATTCCTGACTTACTTGCCATGTGATATATAGGACGATGTTGTATCGAGAATCTGGAAGGTGCAATGATGAGTAATCTATCATAAGGATTTTGAAGTGAGGGGTCGCAGAAATGGTGGCTGTGTACGTATGTACTTACTGTACATTTGGGGTCAACCATCGTGAGCCCTTGTTGTTAGATTTTATCCATGAAACTCGTGGGTATGGTGGGGAACGTAACCATGAACTGATGAGAGCCGTGGAGGATAACGAAGGATGCTTACTCTGGAGTACTTATTCATGAATAGTGATGATTGATGATGGCGATGGATAAGGGATTAGCGAGATTGGTACAGTAGAAGTCCACCACAACGGTAGATTAATGTATAATGTTTGGTATTGTGATGGCTCGAAGTTTCGTTCCATTGAGCGAGCAGCAACTTGCGGCTTGCCTCATCTACTGTCCCTAGGAGTATCTACACGGAGGATTCTACCAAAGAAAGGATTGGCTCCCGTTGAAGACGTATTGGAAAACGGAACTGCTGACGACAGCTTTTCCATAAAAAATTCGGGATTTTGTATGTTCAAACATGTTCTTGTGTAGTAGTGTTGAGGCTGGAGAGCTTGCTGTGAATGTAAGTCCTAGGAGCTGGTATAGACCTTTAGCTGATAAAACACATAAGATAAATCCAAGTAACGAATAACTCAACAGTCATTTTACTATTATAAGGACTCAGTAAGTATTTTATTGTCAATTGCTGTAAAGTTTTAGCACGGAAGCCCGATATGTTTAAAAACAGATGTCCAATCCGGAAGCTGAGTCTTAGCGGCCCTTGCATTAGTCGGAAGTACCTTAGTGCAGTGGATAGCTTTGCCACTATGATAATCCACTTTTCTGTATTCATGATTGGGTGGATCAATTGTTCATGGCGTGGGATACTTCACATTGTCTAGGTACGCAGCGAGCCGCGTACTCGAGTACCCAGGACTAAATAACCAGTTTTGGTAAGAACCACAGATCTGAGCTTTGATTTTGACTTGGCTTACCAAATAATCACCACATTTTACATTGTAATTTGTCATTGTTTCGAACCCAAGACCACCGGCGGGCTGGATGCCGAAAAGTACTCGAATTCTTGAAAAGGGGTAACTGTACAAGGGCTACGAGGGTGATCAGTCGATCATTGGTTAATTTATCTGTAACCCCCTCGTCAGCTGTTATCAGCCCTACTAGGAGTCATTGATAAGAAGCAAGAGGTATCTCAAATCTTTTCTTTTCAAACTTCACTCAAAGCTAAAACAATCCACGCAAGCAATAAGCAACATGGCACCACGATCAAGAAACTGTTTCTGTCATTTCTTCACGTCAAGTTACTCAATTCAGAGTGTCGCTGGTGATGGTAATCACAAATTCAGGTTCAGTGAGGAAGAGGAGGAGGAGAAGTTACAACATGAATCCGGTAAGTGACATATCATGTCGTATAACCTTACATACATCCTGGCGCTGTACAAGATAAGATTTCGGAAAGTGTTTCTGCACTAGTTATCACCTGTGTTTCCTTTCATACTGTAATTAGTAATTACTAGTCTTATCGTTCATCCGGACCTTTGCCCAACAACAGATAGAACTGTCACTCAACTCAGCCGGACATTCTCCAACCGCGGCTCCAATCCATCACGTACAGCGCCCACAATCATAACAGCCAAAGATCAGACGCCTCTAACCGCGACTCGATAAGCAAAAACTTTTCCCTGTTTGATAACAGGGGGCGGCTGCGGATACCCGAAACCCAATCAGAGGCCGAGTTCCTACAATTACCCCTGAATGAACAAACCACCGCGGGTAGATCAACTTGCATCGAAGGATTTCATAGGACGTCGCCATGTTTCAACTTTTCCATACCCATGTCATTGTTTCAACGATCCAAACAATTTTAGAAGCATCCCTGGCGTAAATCCTGCAGGTGCTGCATGGGAGTACAGAGTAGTACCCGTTCAAAATAAGTGAAATAGGATGCGATGGCCAGCTGGGCTGACAAGAAGAGTTTCTCAACTTCTACGTCTACTTTGTTCAATTTCCATAGTTGTAGCCTGGTGCTCTGCTATATGTAGACTTCCAATCGTCACTCCTTCAACGTTATTTTTCTGCATTCAGAATCACCACACTCCTTATTTTCGTTTATTTTTTTTTAGTTGAACTGGTTTCCTTATCAATTTGATTCTGTCATCATGCGATTTTCACTCCTTCTTTTGGCATCAACGCTGACTGCCTCTGTTGTTTCAGCTCAGAAGTATGTATTTGCGCACGTTGTGATGGGCAACACTGCACATCATACCACTGACGATTGGGAAAACGATATAAAAACTGCTCAAGCTGCAGGCATTGACGCTTTTGCACTCAATGTTGCCACTGGCGATTCCAACACTCCAACACAGGTCGAAAATGCTTTTGAAGCTGCCACGACACTCGGTAGTAGCTTCAAATTATTCTTCTCTTTCGATTATCTTGGTGGAAGTGGTGCTTGGCCAGCTACTGGTGACTCCTCAGTCGCATCATATCTCAATCAATATGGAGTTAGCCCTGCGTACTTTAAGTACAATGGACAAGTCTTTGCATCCACTTTTGAAGGAGTAGACAATGCTGGAGACTGGACTCCTGGGGGAGCTATCCGGAGCGCTGTTCAAGGCACGGCTGGCTCCATCTATTTCGTTCCTGATTATACGAGCTTGGGTTCTTCTGGATTCGCTGCCCAACTCAACAATGTTCAAGGTGCTTTTAGCTGGGATATGTGGCCTTCCGGACCAGTAAATATGACGACTGATAATGACCTTGCTTGGCAAGAGACTTTGGGGAGTAAGGCTTATATGATGGGTGTCTCACCTTGGTTCTTTCACAGCGACGCGAACCCAATTGCATGGACCTGGAGAGGTGACGATCTTTGGGCTGAACGCTGGCAGCAAGTCCTTGAAGTTCAACCTCAATTTGTCGAGTACGTATCTTCAATAACCTTATTCCCTCCTACTTTTAACTGCTTATCCAAACATGAAAACTAACCTCATCTCGCAGGATTGTCACTTGGAACGACTGGGGCGAATCATCATACATTGGGCCTTTGGTTTCCACCGATGAAGTCCCTGCCAACTCCCTCAAATACGTTGAAAATATGCCTCACACGGATTTCCTCACCCTTCTACCCTACTATATCAATCAATATAAGGGAATCAAGACGAACTCTACCACTGACTCCATGCAATATTGGTACCGCACTTCTCCTGCTGCAAGCGGTCTTGTTGGCGGAGTCCTTGGCAATAACCCCACTCAAGGTCAAATAGAATACAGCCCCAACACTATCTGTGAAGACAAAGTATTCTTCACAGCATTATTGCAATCAGCTGCCGATGTACACGTGCAGATTGGTAGCTCCCCAGTGACGAGTTATACTGGGTCGGCTGGTTTAAACCATTGGCATCAACCATTTAATGGACAAACTGGAAATGTAACATTTTCTATCGTCCGAAACGGGCAGATGGTGAAGAGTGAGGTTGGGACTGAGATTACGGCAACAAGTTCTCTGGAGGGCGGGCTCTCGAACTATAACACATGGGTTGGAGGGTTTTAGGCGGAATTTGATTGAGATGAGATGGAACAATGGGACAAAGGAGCATGGTGTTGATGAGTGATGATTATTTTGACATGGACTTCGATTTCAATTCTCTTTTTTTACGTATCGGACAATCTTGATGTCGAGGGGTCTTATCATGCCAGGTGAAGGTTTATTTTCACCTCACTTTAGAATGGTCTTGCAAGAGAAGCGGAAAATATGAACCCTCACAGTCGCTTAGAACCCTTACCTGGCAGTCCCCTCGATATTATGATTGCGCATTGGATGGCTATCTGTGTACCATCCGATCGATACATTACAATGACATTTACAGGATCAGGAAAGATGGGGCAAAACTGGACAGTTTGGTCTCATGGCAGAGCCTGGTTTTTCTTCCTTCACTCCTTTTTACACTTCGACTCGAGTCGTTGTGTCTATCTACGATAGACACTGAGGTTGAGCCTCTTTTCTTCTTTTATATACCGTTGCTTAGATACCAACATCATGTATACATACGCTTTCGGAGCATGGAGTACGGGCTATAGATTATGAGCTATGTTGTATTTAAATATATTTCTACCACCTTGTTTATTAGATCATTTGGAAAGATACCCTTTAGGCATGTACCCATTGCTTGATGATGGAACCTATGTTAGAAAAAATATTTACCTGGTTTTATTTTTGGCCTATATGTATATGTCTTATTGTATCTTGTTTTAGAAAGAGCCCGTATGTTACTTAGTTGATCAGTAGATGGATATAATTACTGACGGTTGCAACAACACGCAGCGCATCATAGGGTATCTTTGCACCTTATGGCTTTGAGGCGTTGCAGCTCCATGAGGATGGGGGTGAAAACGTCGGCCTCATGTAAAATATGAAATATGATATTCCATAGACCCCCATCTCTCCACTAGAAAAAGGTATGCATGATAATGTATGCTTTGTACTGTACACAGATTCCAGGTCTAGATCTCTGAATGTTTAATCCGAATATTTAGCTTGGATAAACTGTTATCCACTGGGAAGTTGTCATGGCTTGAGTGGAAAGATCGTCGTGGCTGTTGAGACGACTCGAGGTCTTGCTCTTTATACATACTGGTTGGTGATGAGGAGTTTTTGGGTGTTTGATGGTTGTAGATGATGTAGGTTAACCTTAACTTCGGATATTTAGATGGTCGGATCTTGTAGATCTCGTAGAGCGATTGCTTCATGAGACTTGTTTCATGTAATTGGCATTGCGAAGTCCTGTATATACTAGGTAGGTAAGTGATTTGGAGTTATGTCAGATTCTTAGGATATATTTTGATGTTACCAATTGGTGCTTGAACGCCGTAGCTAGAAGCAGAAAATTGTGGCTAGTGGACCCTAGTTTAGCTCAAGCCACACTACCACAAGAGCACCAGCCACAGGAAGTTGGCGATAAGCGATAAAAAAGTTATGTCAAAAAAAAGTTCTGGCAGTGAAATCATAGTTACAGCGAGGTCTTGATTTCTACTGTATCTCATCAAAATGCCGCCATCCCAACTTAAGAGGTTAAAAGCCTCTCTTCGAGAGCAAGGAATTGTTGGTCCTCAACAGTCAAAGAAACAAAAGAAACAGAATGCACAGAATGGCGCAAACAAGGAGAAGAAGATCAAGAGAAGCGTCGCGCTCAGCGGGATTCGTGATCAGTTCAACCCATTCGAGATCAAACAGGCCAAAGCACCGAAATTTGAAGTTACGAGCAATAAAACACTTAGCGGAAGGATCTCGAAAGGTATCAAGAAACCGGGTGTTGCGAGGGGTCTTGCTGAAGAGAATGTAAGTTCGTCTGGCGTCAAGTGTGACGACTGCTAATATTTTTTCAGCGCCGTAAAACTCTGCTTGTTGAGATGCAGAGCAGAAATCGAGTGGGAGGTATAATAGATAAGCGTTTCGGAGAAAATGACCCTTCAATGGCTCCTGAAGATAAGATGCTCGAACGTTTCACACAAGAGAAGCAGAGAGGCCACAAGAATAGCTCTGCGTTTGACCTTGAGGATGACGAAGTATCTGGCGAGCTTACACACATGGGACAATCACTTTCTCTGGATGGTCCTACAATCCGGGATGATTTTGACGATGAGGGCTTAGAACTGTCGGATGCTGACGACCATGAGTCGGACGAGGAGCGACAAGCACGAAAACGCCGCCGAGGCTCAAATTCTGAAGGTTCAGACGAAGATGAGGAAGGAAATTCTCTGCCTGAACGGAAGAAGTCGAAGCAAGAGGTTATGAAAGAACTTATCGCTAAATCTAAAATGCACAAATATGAGCGTCAAGCAGCCAAGGACGACGATGAGGATCTGCGAGAAGAATTGGACAAGGAAATGTCGGGCATTCATGAACTTCTTCGCGGCATGGCTGCTAAACCACCACCTCCACCTCCACCGCCTGCGCCACCTGCGGATATTCCTGGTATGAATCCAGAGCGGATAGCACTGATGAACGGGGGCGATCGAGCAAAGTTGGAAAAGGAATACGATATTCGAATGAGGCAGATGGCGCAAGACAAACGATCTCAACCTACGGAAAGATCGAAAACAGAGGACGAGAAGATGGAGCAGGAATCAAGAAGATTGAAAGAATTGGAGGCGAAGAGATTGCGTCGTATGGAAGGTGTGACTGAAGATAGCGATGATGAAGAAGATAATAAACCACGAAGAGCAGGCGATGAGGAGGAAGAAGAAGAGGAGGAAGAGGAAGATTACGGCTTAGGCGGTGGTATCAAAACCAGACCTAGTGCTGCGGAACTAGGTGCCGACGATGAGGATGATTTCATCATAGATGATGATCTCGTAGCGAGTGGCTCAGACATCGATGAATCGGAGGGCGAATCTGATGAAGAGGATGCGGAATCTGATAACGAAGACGACGAGTTTCTCGAAGGCCTGCTTACTGAAGAGGAGGCAAAGAGACCAGAGTTCTTGACCGGTGCAAATGCTCCTCTTCCTGAGGTTGAGATGCCTACCAAAAATGGTGTTAATGGTGACCTTGCTTATACCTTTGCATGCCCACAATCACACGAAGAGCTTCTACAGATTACCAAGGGTATCGCTTTGTTAGACCTACCAACCGTTGTACAGCGTATCAGAGCTTTGTATCATCCTAAACTCAACTCAGAAAACAAGGGAAAGCTAGGAAACTTCTCTGTTTCTCTCATTTCTCATATCTCTTACCTCGCAAACCAAGCCCAGCAACCCCCTTTCTCCGTTCTAGAGAACATTATCCGACACATTCATTCGCTCGCCAAAACGTTCCCTCTTGAGATTGCTAATGCTTTTAGACGACATCTCGACGAAATCAATCAATCGCGAGCCCTATCTCTAAAGGCTGGTGATCTCGTTATCCTGACGGCCATTGGAACAATATTCCCAACCTCAGATCATTTCCATCAAGTAGTGACCCCTGCAATCCTTACTATGGGACGATACCTGGGCCAAAAGATTCCTCAAACTTTGTCTGATTACACAATGGGAGCATATCTCTGCAGTCTATGCTTACAATATCAAAGATTGTCGAAGAGATACGTCCCAGAAGTGGTAGGCTTTATTGAGAATACTTTATGTGCTCTTGCGCCTAGCAAGCTGGCAAAAATTCCAGGTTGCTTCCCATATCATGAGCCAAAGAGCTCAGTTAGGATTGAGAAGGCCACGGAATCAGACAGGCAGATCGCCTTTTATGATTGTGTTGCACTGGAATCATCAGCAGATGACGAAGAGTCGTTAAAGGCTGCTTTGCTGGAGGCAAACATCAAAATCTTAAACGCAAGTGCCGATTTGTGGACAGATAAATCAGCTTTCACCGAAATCTTTGAACCAGTCTTGACCATCCTAAAACATCTGGGAAGCAAATCTTGCCGGTCGAAGCTCTCAGAAAGTAGTCAAGTAAGCCAACCAAAAACTAAAACTTCATACAGGTGCTAACAAACTCCCTAGACCCTCATCCGCAAATCCACATCCAAATTCCAAACCATGCTAAAGCTAGCGCATCTCGCTCGTCGCCCTCTCGAATTACATCACCACAAACCCCTCGCCATCAAAACCTCCATCCCCAAATTCGAAGACTCGTATAATCCAGATAAACACTACGATCCCGATCGTGAACGTGCCGAAACTGCTAAGTTGAAGGCGGAGCATAAGAAGGAGAGGAAGGGCGCCATGCGTGAATTGCGCAAGGATAGCAATTTCATCGCGAGAGAGAGCTTGAGGCAGAAGAAGGAGAAGGATGCTGCGCATGAGAAGAAGATGAAGAGACTTATTGCGGAGATTCAAGGTGAGGAGGGAAAGGAGGCGAAGGCTTATGAGCGTGAGAAGGAATGGAGGAAGAAGGGGAGGAAATAGATACATGTTCAAAAGGCTTGATCTAAGTGCCGGTGCCATATGCGGAAGCGTAAGCACGTAATTCTTGCACTGATGGTGTACATTTAGGATTTATAGGTTAATTACAAAGCCACGCATAAATGATAGAGATGCCGATTTGAAGGTTGAGAGAATAAGATTTGTTCTCTATATGCCTGCTTTTCATAAGATCATGCCTTGTTACTCATTGTATTCATACTCCGGTCATCATCATCGTTCCAGCACTCTCGAAAATCAATTTGCCTTCATTGCATCCATATGTGTATGGTCCCACCCTACTTAGGGTCCTAAATCACACTCAATTTCTCAATCTCCCTCCTCAACTCTTCATTCTCCTTGGTAATACCACTGTATTTATTAATCCAGTCAAACACCTCCTTATGCCAGACTCGAGAATTCTCAGGCTTCAACACCCACTATGACACAGCATTAGCGTCATTCACTGTAATAGTCCAATATACATCTCAGCGGAATAAAGACAACTCACATGATTCTCATCTGGGAACGTCAAAAATCTACTTTCTACTCCACGTGTCTGCAACACGTTAAAGGGTGCGAGACCCTCTGAGATGGGCAATCTATAATCCAAATCGTTATGGATAATGAGATGGGGTGTTTGCCAATTTGCAGTGTGGCTGGCTGGATTCCATTTCTGGTATCCTTCGGGATTATCCCAGAGTGTACCTTCGAAATCATGATGGGGGAAGAATAACTCTTCGGATGCATATTGGTTCAGGGTTGAGAAGACACCATCGTGGGTTACGAGAGCTTTGAATTTACGACCCAAATCGTGGCCTTGAATCCAGTTTACCATGAATCCACCATAGCTAGCTCCACAAGCTACAGCACGGTTGGTATCGACGTAAGATCTAGCATGGATTAATATTGCTCAGATATGTGGAAGCAGGAACTATGTTCTAAGAGCTTACAGGTTCTTCTCGATGTACTCGAATCCTTTCACAAGGTCAATATATGGTCGTCCTCCCCACTGGCCTTTGATACCATCTTGCAAGGCCATACCATAACCACTGCTTCCAGTAGGATTTGGAGTGACCACAACATAACCTTGTTCGGCAAAAACCGCTGGATTCCATCGCGTGCTCCATCCCTCATTCCATGCACCTTGTGGCTAAGTATAATTAGTAAAACATGAATATTCGTTGTCAAATGTTAAATTACTTACTCCACCATGAATGAGGTACGCAAGAGGATACTTCTTGTTTTCATCGAAGTTTGATGGTCGAAATACCCACGCGTGGACTTTATAATCTTCGGCTCCTGTGAACCAAAATTCATCGACTTGCTTCTGTGAAAGCCCGAAAGCTCTTCCCTCATCAGAACTAGATGAAACGGTAATTTTTTTGGAAGGTTCACCGGGGTCAATTATGGAATAGACACTGTTGTCAATCAAGGAATTCCCACTAAAGAATAATTCACCACTTGGAAGAACGTGCTTGTCCGTAACAGTTCCGTTACTGGTTAGAGCTTCGGGTAATTTTGTAGCATGGCGTGGAGAAGCTGGTAGCTTGAATAGTTTCACTCGACCGTTCTCTTCCGCCGTTATGTATATTTCTTTCCCGTCTCGACTGAAAGTAACATTCTCGGGTTTCAGGTCCCATCCACCTTTTCCGTCCTCCGTTTCAAAGAATTCTTGAACGTTTGTGAGGTCAGTAATATCAGGTATTAACAGAAGCCTGGTCTTATCAGTTTCGTACTGAATATCTGAATTTTGTTAGATCTTTGTCTTCTATTACAGTAAAATTTCGTGTCGCATACTTTTCATTCTTGTGAAAATCACCGACTTCGCATCTGGGGACCACACTGGTCCTAGACTGTAGCCTTTTAGATTGCCAGTCTCGACCAACTGAGGAGTAGGAGCTCCAGACTCTGTGAATGTCTTCAGGGGAATGTAGTATAGATCTGTCTTCGTGTAGTTGGCTGGGTTAATATTGGGATCTTTGGCAACAAAAACTATGCCGTTTTTGCTGATATCAAAATCTCCTGTTCCTCCAAATGGTGGCACTGGAGACTCGAGGGATATTTTATGGCCCGCTAAAGCGTTTACCAGTCCAGAAAAATGAACATCGTCGGAATCCCGGCCTTTTGTGATCGTTGCATACCAAATGGCATTCTTGTTTTCCGTAACCCATGAATCCCATTCTCTCACAAATAGCTTTGAGTATGCTTTAGCAGTTGATAGAGGCTTCTTGGCCGTCTCAGCATTATATAACTTTCCAGTTGGAGTCACCAAGCCTAAAAATAATGGAAATTAGCTATACCAGAAGCAATATTATATTCTAAAAGCTGATGTATTGTCCTGTGATGTGACTAAAACTGTAGATCATTCATACTGATCTATTGTTTCACATGGAGTTGGATTCTCAGTTGAAATGGTAATTCAAAACGAGAGAGAGGAATAAGTTTATAACAATTAATACACACCAGTAACAGCTATGGCCACAACGTCCGGAGCAAGAGCTGTAAGCTTTATGTTAGAGATAGCACCATCGAAAGTCGTGACAATCTTTGGCCTACAAGCTGTCAGCAAAAGTTTATTCATGGATGGATCAAGTCATGTCTACTTCTTTCCCGGATTGTCTGCATCAGCAAGCACCAGATGTGTAGATCCCTTCTCTCCAGACCTCAACCATAGCACCTCATTCTTCCATCCTAACCAAACTGGCTCACTGTCACTCGCATCATCGCTCAGAGTTGAACTTTCACCAGTGCCAATGTCTAAGACATTGATTCTGGAGCTCTTGGAATGGGATTGAAAAGAATAGGTCGATACGGTATATAACGCCAATTTACCATCTGCGTTTGGAGTTGCTGATGATCTCCGAGGTGTAGAAATCAACACCTCGGGGGTGAATATGGAAGAATTAACACGAATAGTCATGATTTGATGGTTCAAATTTGTTTTCTTCAAGATGAGAAAAAAATGTCAATGTTTCGATGGATTAATTGAAAGAGTACCTGATAATTGTAATGGGAAAAACAAATAGTTGGATATGGTGACTTCCACACCGCAATGGCTCACATGTGGAAAGAACCCCGCAAATATTGTACACAAACCGAAGCTAACCTTGCGGCATCGTTCCTGGCGGTGACATACGGCAGTACTCAGACTAATCTCTCGTATCTCGTGATCGATCATATATGTCATCATAACTTTTAACTCCATGGTTGAATATAATCTTGAATATATTTTTCCTGTCGGTGAAATTCATCATTGTTATTATTCATTAGTTATATTACCCAGTGGTCTTGTTGATGCAAGGGCTTGCTAATAGATGTATTTGCAAGGCGCAATATTACTAGAATTCTATGCACTCCCTACTCCCTACCTCGCCGGCGACCGAAAATAGTCCTCGTTTATTGATATCGAGTATCATTCCGAGCCTACCATTAAGTTTCTACAAACTACCTATGTATAGTTTTGTCTATACGATAAAAGCGATTTTTAATTTTAGTCTCCTTCCGTTTCATCTAATTATGTTTCTTTCTATTCATGATCCAATTGGGACGACCGTATTGAGGCGTGCACATCTATACCACCCTGGTCATGCATTTCGATGCTGTGCAACGCATCCTCCAGTATTGGAAAGCTGAATACGATCTTCTCATCTGAGGGCCAAGCCTATTGAGGATCACTTTCCATGTCCGCAATTTGGACGCAATAACTAATGATAGGGCTGGATTTGGTTGGGGTATCCATCTATCCCATACCTTCAAGCATTACAAGTATCATTTCTTACATTTTAATACCACCTTGTGCTTATATATTGCTTACTGTTTTAATAGTCGTGCTTGTTTTAAGTATGCTTGCTGTCCATCATTTGATTTCTTTTTCTTTCTTTTCTCCCTTTCTTTCTCTTTCTCCTCTTATTTTATTGAACTATTAGTTAAGTCTACAAATATGATAGCATTTCGAGAATTCTTACTCCACTTCACAATAATAGCAGTATGTGGAGCGGAGATTGTTTTCAAGTCTCCTTCTATGGGAGAAGTAGTCGGTCCAGGACCGTATAAAATACGTGCGACGGATAGTGGGATAGTACCCACCCTCGAGCAATTTGACCATGCGAGTTGGGAAGTGGTGCTTTTCACGGGAAACGATACCACTCCTGTAAGTTTGTTTCCGTTCTTGGAGATCTATGTCGAAGATCAGAGGGGGGGAAGCGAAAAATCGCATCGATGAACTAATGCTGAATCTTAAACACATATACAGGTTCAACTTTTTGATTATAAATTATCAGGATACAAAATGTCAGACCCCACAACTCAATCCCCTCCAGTAAATATCAGGAATAATTCAGCTCCAAGTCTGGAAAACAAATTGTAAGATACCTATTCTTGCCCTTCCTTCCGAGCACCGACCAATACAAGCCAGTTTCTTTGGGTATCGCTCTTACCTCACATCCAATGAATCTATTTGGGTCACAGCCTACTCTGACCGCTTTACCCTCACCAATATGACCGGTACTTTGCCTGATAAGGTGGTTGCCGCCAACAATAATGTCAAGTCCATGTCCGCCCCATATAGAACGATTTCATGTGGAGCGAAATCTGGAAGAGAGTGTGACCCAAAGTTATTAGAAAGCCTAGGACTGGGTGCGGTGACGGGAGATTCCGCAAGTGTCAGTAGCACAACAGCGACAACAGATACCACGGCAGCAACGGCGACAACAGCGACAACAGCGACAACAGCGGCAACAGCGGCAACAGGGTCGACCGCGATAAATTTGAACTCAACTGCGGGGCTAGTAAATACCAACACGACCAGCAGTAAGAAAATGAGCGGAGGCGCAGTTGCAGGAATAGTCGTGGGTGCTGTAACGGCGGTATCTATAACAATTGCGGCAGCTGTGTTCTTGGTGAAGAGAGCGAGGAAGAGGAGGATGTCGAAAGGAGAAATGATGATAAATGATATGAATGTGACAGGTCAGGAGCCAGGTGCATTCCACCAGAAGGACACTTATGGAGGAGTGACGAAGAATAATGAGATTAAAAATGCCAGTAGACGAGCAGAAATGGACAGTGACAGGACTTATGAAATGAGTGGAGATCATCATGGTGTAGTGGAGATGCCCGGGAGTTCGTGAGCTTCATCCACACAATCATACAGGTAGGATGGCTATATATCGGACTGTTACTCGTCCCATGTACTAATTATATGCAAGGGTCGATTCGTAGTCCGACGATAAGAGATTCTTGGGTTTAATCCATTGCATATATGTACTCAATCCACTGGGAACCTTGTGCCTACTTCGGGTATTGAACTATTCTTAGAGAACTCTTTTGAATAACGAAAACTTTCGGGTTGTTTTGAGTTTTGGGATTCTATTCAGCATCATTGAGACGCTGACTTGAATACCTGTGGATGTTTGGTTCCTCAACTTGAGTAAGTCATCTGAATATTGAACGGTACGATATTGAGGATGTAATACTTTCTAACACGTATTACTCTTTAGTATCTCTCCCACGTCTGTTTCTGTAACGCCAACGTCTTTTTGGGACAATAAGAGGAAAAATCGAGTAAACATTTTCGATATTGCTCAACTGCAACTAGGAAATGTCATGATTGACAAGGAGTTGCTGTATCGGCTTAATTCTAACAGCTAGCTTTCACGAAAACCACCTTCTTTCATGACGAATTCTAACGTATCTAGCTTTAAGTGACGCGACATAAATAATGCGTCATGCCGGTCTAATGCTGATGACTTTGGGGTTTGTGAGAGATGCGTTTATAACATGTATACAGGAAAGTAGATAGAGGACTGTTACGTTTACATAATTTAGATATCTTGAAAAAATTTGTTGATTTTTAGAAAGATTTTCTTCTGTTGTCTTTTCTTTTCTCTCCATCATAAGTAAATTATTCAAAGTTTGGCCTAAACCCCGCAAAGGATGATCCCTCTGACACTAGTACTTAGTCAGGCACCGCCCCACAATGCGATATGAATTGCCCTCCGTCACCGCTCGATGTGATAGATTTGTACCTAGCTTATGATTCTAAGCAAAATAAACTACTCCCGAGTATAACTTCACAATATTATTATTTCCACTTCTGAATGTAGTATCGCCAAATATGGCGATATTATCGCCAATAGGACAGGAGCGACTATTATTTTTAGGCTTGGGAATTACGACTTATGCTGTTTTGGTCTTTGTGCGTAATCGCCTTATCCATTTTCGGGAAGCAGCTACCATTCCACCCACCGAGAACAAATCGCATTTTATCGACCAGAAGACCGAAGATTCCTTAAGACTCAGTACGCTGGGAAAGTTATTGGACAATCCAAACTATGGAATTCAAGAGACTGCGTCCATCATTGTCTGCGAACGTGCTCTGCACAACGAATCCGCCATCAACAGCCTACTTCGCGAGATTAGTGGACCAGATTATGACCGACGGGAGAAGGCAGTTAGAGCATTTATATTGATTGTAAATGGCTGTATGTATTACTATTCCTAATACCTGGCGCCTCGAGTTGATTTAAATCTGTAGCAACTGTCAGGCGAATACATAAACCAGAAACATACGAAGCACTCGTCAAAAGTCTGGAATACTCTGTAGACGACTACGAGCACCATGAATACGATTCAGATTGGGACAACTGGCACCTTCGCGACATAGCGGAAAAAAGCTGTCTTATGATAATACATGAATTAATTTACAAATACGATGTCGAAGAACTTTTAAACGCCGGGTTTATAGAACGTTGGCTGGTGAAGGAGCCATGGGGTAGAACTGCAGAGGAACGTTCGAGTAATTTCATGGACTCGCTCAACAAGGAGAAGCTCTTGAACCGGGTGATCGTGCCATTGTTTAATAATGAAAGGGGCAGAAAAATGCTAGAAGAGGCGAAACTACTACCAGCAAGACCCGATATGGCAGTAAGGCATCTTGCCATGGAGGGGAGTGCGGATCAAGATATAGAAGATTTCGAAGGCATGTTTGCTGAGAGAAGACCGAGGGATCAGAGTACGGCAGAGGAGCATCTCAGAAGGCGTCATAGGGAAGCTATGGTTCTAAACGATGGCACAAGACCGCTTGAGCGAGGCGACATCTATGAAAATCAACAAAGACCTAGAGGATCTATGGAATGAAGTGAATTACTTTTTTTGCAAGGAGTAAGGTCACATAAAATTTAGGCTTCAGGCGAAGTCAGAAAGTTTGCTTTGAGCTCTCTAAACAGTCAGCCCGTGAGGTGCGTCCATATTCAATCAACGATATATGATATCGCCTCGCCCCTATGGTTTTCATACCAACACACTAACCTGGAAATAGCTATGGAAAAAATACCCTACTTTATGCACGTATACGATCTCACCACGGAGCGACAGGAGAACGACAGGACCATAGTGGTAGACTGCTTTACGGGAAAACCGAGCTCCTAAAATCCATCACCGAGGTTTAGTTTTAGCAAGGGTAATGCTATCGGATATCTCGACATTGCCAAAGCACAATCTATAACTTCTAGGCAGAAGCTAGGTAGAGCTATCAGAACCGAGAATTCACGGGTGAAAGTCACAAGAAAATCGAAGTCCTATAAATTATAAAAATAGTACCAAATTTTGATCACAGAACTCTCTACCTCGGAATACAACTTTAGCACTTTGCCTACAAAATACTCATGATGCTATTGCTTACCTAGCACCTTTATGGCTGTACCTGCGTTTGATTGCAGGGACCAGGGATGATCGTAACATCAAAACAAGGTCGGATAAGCAACGAAGTAATACTTAGTTTCTGAATTTCTTTTTCTTCCTTTTTATCGGTTGATGAAACAGCCAGCTATATTCTTGTTGTTGATAGTCAATTGGCCTCGATAAAGTCTTTATTATACTTCAACCCTATAGATTTTTGATATTATTGACTGACTATTAGATGTGATTTGTAACTCTTTGGAAGATTGATTTTTGGTATTTCGCTAGAAATAGAATATCTTATATTGGATACCCACCCACACTCTGCGATAAGACGCGCCTTCCAAGCCGCTGGTAAATTAAGTCAAGTTCATCACTTCAGTTCAAGAGGCAGATATGACAGAAGCAATAAAGCATTGATCACTTGAAGATACTGTAGAAGATCCTTTGAATGGGGGTAATATAAACCTCGAGGCATGGACAACCAACCGAAGCTTGGAGAAAGGTCAATAAGGCTTTTTTGGACAGTCTAATGATGATGAGGAAAGCTGCTTTATGCCCTTTCGAGGTGAAGAGTGGATTGGATCTGATTTACACCTGCAGAAGCCTTCATGATGGATCCACGCTTTGCTTCCATAGGAAACGATGGAAACATTAGAAAGCTTCACAGAAAAAGGAATGAAAGGAACCATAATTTGATTACATTCATGTCCACTGATACCATTGGCTACACGTCTATATTGCTAGACTTTGACCTTCTTTCACCCTCAGCTTCACCGCGAATCTGTGATACCTTCTATTGCAGGGATCGGATGAATGTGCCTATAAACAGGTGTACCGGCCTTGCAGCTCTCTCCTGCAGATTGCATTTGCATCTGCACTTACTTTCCTCGTTCTTGAGAGTAGTGCCTTATAGTCTTCTATCTTTTTATCTTCTATCTTCTACCTTCTACCTTCTGCCTTCTACCTTCTACCTTCTACCTTCTCCCTCCTGCTATTGATGAAGGAGTTACCTTCTACGTGCCTTCCATTTCTCTCTACTCTTCCCCACAAGTTCGTTCGTGCATTCATTCATGCTCTTTTCTTACTAGTATCTTAATATCATTCATTCATTACCTCAAGGTTACCTTACCTTGCGGATTCCCCTGTAACAACATAAGATCCAACCCATAGGACGACAAACCATCGACTCATCATTCAGAACTTCCATTGTTAATTAAGGCATCGAATTGAATAATCATTTAAAATTGTTGAAGTAAAAAAAAAATAGGAGTGAGCTGGATTGAAGGTGTCGCCAGATAATCAAGAACACTGATTGGTTGATATTGGTAAATTTATGAGGGGTGGTTATACAGAAAAACAAATACTATAAAGCGGTAACTTTCGGTGGTCTGCACAAATGTCGACTACAAGAATCTCAACTCCAAAAAGGTCTCCGAAGAAATCGACTTTCACTAAAACAGGAATTCAAGTCACAAAATCAGCTCCCAATCTCGGCGCCTCCTACAATTTAGCATTATTACAAGCTTCAGGAGCTACACCGGTTCCTGCACATTTTTCCAATAACGGTCAGGGTTTTGGTCTAAACAATACTAGATCGAAGCCATCTCGACAAGTCTCACTTGCATCCCTTACCTCAAATTCACTTGCGGCAATACCGGATGCGAGTAAAAGATACCCTCTTTCAACAGTTTTTGACGAGGATATGCCACCAGCAGACAACATGCTACCGTATACGCCTTCTCGAGTTGGTGGTGGGCCGGATGAGTTGGAGGTGGGTGACATAGTTGATGTTCCTGGTAACATGTATGGTACTGTCAAATTTGTCGGCAGTGTGCAAGGCAAGAAAGGGGTATTTGCCGGAGTGGAATTGGATGAGATGTTTGCTTCGAAAGGGAAGAACAACGGCGATGTTGAAGGGTGAGATATGCAAGCAACTACAGCTGTAAACAAACAGTGAACTGATTGATGGGTGATACAGAGTTCACTACTTTTCAACAACAATTGACGGTGCTGGAATCTTTCTTCCTGTCACCAGAGCAACAAGGCGCAGCACTCCATCTTCCCATGATGATTCTTTTCCTCTTTCACCGGCTTCTCCATCACTGGGCAATAGGATTGGCAGACTTGGATCAGACGTGAACACCCCACCAGCGCCTCACCTACCGAGGTTCAGTCAATCTGTTGGCCCAGGTAGAATCCAGAAAACTCGATCATCGATGGCCACACCAACCACATCACGACCAGAGTCTCCAGTACGAAGAGCAGCCGCTGTTAGGACATCAATAAATGCACCCGCGCAGAGAGTCACATCTCGATATGGAAGCCCTGCAGCAGCAAACTTTGGGCAGGGCATTAGAGGAGCGCAAGATGCTAGAGACCCAAGCAAGAAAGTCGGTTACGCCCCAAGAAATAGCATGAAGACACCAGTCCCTCCACGGAGTGTTTCGGCGCTTGGCACAGGGAACAGACCTGCAGCAATGAACCTCAGTGATGAAGATACACCTTCTGCCGGAATTACACGGACGGCAACAAACGGGAGCGTAAGCTCAGTCTCTTCCTTCAACGCAAAGTTACGGCCTGCATCAAGATCGGCCTCGCATGCGTCCCGAGCTACTGACGACGAGGTCGAGCGATTGAGAAGTCTACTGGAGGAACGCGATCGAGAAATAAAAGCGCAAGCTTCAATTATAGAAGACATGGAAAAGACCCTTAGTGAAGCCCAATCACTGATGGAGGACAACAATGAGAACGCGAGTGGTCATAGAGATAGCCGGGGAAGCATGGAGGACAAAGACGCAGCACAATTGAGAGCAATAATTCGTGAAAAGAATGAAAAAATCGCCATGCTGACTGCTGAATTTGATCAGCATCGAGCTGATTTCAGGAGTACAATAGACACACTTGAGATGGCTGGTGCTGAAACCGAAAGAGTCTACGATGAGCGCATGAGTAATCTTGTAATGGAGCTCAGGACCATGCATGAGAACAGTCATGATGTGAAGCATGTTGCTGTACAACTGAAACAGCTCGAAGAGCTTGTTCAGGAGCTTGAGGAAGGTCTTGAAGATGCGCGGCGCGGTGAAGCCGAAGCTCGCGGCGAGGTCGAGTTCTTGCGTGGAGAGGTTGAAAGAACTCGATCTGAGCTCCGTCGCGAGCGGGAGAAGACTGCCGAAGCTCTTAGTAATGCAAATCCTGCTACGGGTGCAGGCGCAGCAACACTTTCTAAAGAGATTGCACAAAGAGATGACGAGATCCGCGGTTTGAAAGCTATCATCCACTCACTCAGCCGAGATGCCATACCTGACGGGAATTTCTCGGATCATGAAAAAACACCAGGTGTTACACGACCAGGACTACATCGAAGCCGTACAGAAAGCGCTTCAGTTTCAGAGGAGGAGCGCCTTACCCGGGAGAAGTTAGAACGGGAAGTGAGCGAACTCCGTGCCGTAGTGGAAATCAAAGACAGCAAGGAAGAACAAATGGAGCGTGAGTTAGAGGGGCTACGAAGGGAAAGTGTCAGCAATCCTACTACTCAACGTACTAGTGCTATTAGCAGTGGAACTGTAACCCAGGATAGAAACTCTGTCCAAGATTCCAAAGGCACAGTTGGGAGCTGGCGGGACCGCGAAGGAGCATCAGATGTTCACCACCACAACTTGGAGTCAATGCCAGAAATTGACGGTTACTCTTCTGCGGCCGAGGATTTCTGTGAATTGTGCGAGGCATCAGGCCATGATGTTCTACATTGCCCCATGTTCGGTCCAAACGGTAATAGTAGCAATTCTAAGGATGAGTCTCCAAAACAGCAACGTACAGGAAAAGACGTTGTCATGGAAGGACTCAAACTATCACCCAAACCAGCCCAAGAAGAATTCGAACCAGCACCGTTAGCACCAGCCAAGAAGTCGCCTGATGACGCGCCTATCAAAACCATCCCTAACCTCATGGAATCAGGTGCTGCTCCAGGAAAAGCAAGTGGAGTCATCAATATGGACAAATGGTGCGGTGTATGTGAACGAGATGGACATGACAGCATTGACTGTCCGTTTGAAGATGCGTTTTAGGAGATTACAGCTATGTCTTTTTAGGATACACTGTCATACCGATGTCAATTTTTAATTTTTTTCCTTTGTTATTAGTTATGGCAAGGCCACATTGCATTGCAAGGAGTGTTATCCATCTGCAATATACCCTTTCGGTTCTCCATTCCATGTATATTTTCCATGCGATGAGTATGAGGGGGAGGGAGATGATATTTTTATGAGGCTTGGATGAGATGGGAACTGGATTGAATTAGAGGATGGGTGACGGGACGGGACGGAACAAAACATGGGTTGGACGTAATGATCATGTAGTATACTTTGTCAAATTAATGATCCCAATGCTTAGATTTAATTCTGTATTTCTCGATGAGAATCTCTCATATGCTGGTATATGTTAGGTTGGTGTTGGTGATCTATTACTAGGATGAAAATCATCATGTTGGTTAGTCGTTTGTGGGACTAATGTTACATAGATTTGTGAAGACTTTTAGCTGGAGAGTGTGCTGTGATTTTTCTTATGACCTTGATTAAATGCAAAAACGTTTATATCCCCACAGGAATATCTCAACAATACAAACAGGCAAACTTCCATAATGCTGTCATCATTAAATACGCCAATCTCTACATACATAAAAATTTTACAATTAATCAAATGAACGAACACCTATCTATCATGATGAACTCTCCTTCTCCTTCTCCTTTTCCTTTTCCATCCCAGAACAAGTAACCCTGACCAAATCCTCCAGTTCCGGGAGACTCATATCCTTGATACCAAAAACACAATTGTGCACGCGTTCGAAATTTCCACCAAAATTAAATTTTCTCTCATAATTTGAGGTTGCGTCTGTGGTTTCTTTAGATTCTTCCTGTTGAATATCCCATTCTTGGTTGGGTGTTAGGGATTGTGCGATGCAGAGGAGTTGTTGATGCGTGATATCGATATCTTTTATGCGGATGGGACGATTGGCTGTTTCGCGGGGATGGGTGAGGATGCGACGGATGGCTTTGGAGAGGGAGGGGAGGGTGGTGAGGGAGATGGGGTGGGTTTTTGAGAGTGGGGTTAGAGTTGCGCTGCGGGAGGGAAAGTTGAAGAAGAGGTTTTTTTGGAGGGATGGTTCGAGGATGGGGTTGCTGAAGAGGAGGGTGTAGCTTAGTGCGGTGTTGGTGGCTTGTTCTTGGAGGTAGGTTTCTATGGCCTGTTTTTGCGCAAAGATTGCATTGCTGCCTGTGTGTTGTCGGATTGTCGCGTTGCAGAAGTCGTAGCTGTATTCTGAGGGGAGGAACCGGTGCACGTGCGCTTGGATGCAGGCGTCTATGAGGAGTTTTTGGACGGGGATTGCGCTGGGGGATATGGTGGAGATGACGGCGTCTTGGTCGGTGACGGCGTGGGTTAGGGAGGCCAACGAGGTGTAATCCACTTGGATTACTTTGATGGCCGGAGCGAAGAGTGATTGGTAGGCGGTGGAGTCCCGGGTTAGGATTGTAATTTCGAAGAGTTCTGATTTTAGGAGCTCGTTGAGGATTGCTTGGCCTATTGGGCCTGATGCCTAGATTTTGTTATTTAAGGGTGCTTGTTGTATATGTATATAGGATAGGGGAACTAACACCAGCTATAGCGACTTTTCTAATGATTATATCGTATGTCATGGTTTGGATGATTGCGATTATTTCTCGAAAATAATGTGTATAATAGATACAACTGATGATAATTGAATGAGATGGAATGATATGAGATATTCAAATCCGAAATTAAATCACAACTTATTCTCTTTCCTTGGGCTCTTTATACCTACACACTTGTCATATATTGGGACTTTTCTCTTTCTCGCCCTGCTGATTATGGGCTGACGAAATCACACCACTGAGTGTTCCGATGCATCAAAGGCCAAGGCGATATCAGCATTTGATTTAAAAACTCCATCGCTCTTGGCCGGAGTGTTCGTTCATCCATTTGTCCTGAATGTTATTTTGTCAGAGTCTATATGGTTCGATGGATGATGGTGTTGTATCTTCCGACATTTTTTCGTGTACGGTGTAGAGTTCAGATGGATGGATCTGGCTATGTAAGGTTAATCGACTCGGTTAACCTACCCATCGCATAAATAGATGAGATGAAAGTGTTTTTTGGTTAATTGAGTGTACCGATGTAACTTATTACTCGACTAGAGTTTTTCATATCATTTTGCAATAATACAACTTTCTTTTTGGTAATGGCAAGTTATTTCTCACGAGACCCTCAATTGAAATCAATGGGCAGGAAACTAAACTACGCTGGATCTAATCTAATTAGGACTTCAGTCGCTCCTCCCTGCCTGCCTTCGAGGAAACGAAAACTATCATCTATCCTTCACTGACTTGTCATTGCCCATTCTGTTCCAAATCCTGTCGTACTTACCTGCCCGGAAAAGATTCAGAATGGAATTCATCTTTATTTACTCGTCTCACCCCAATCCTTCCATCCTTCACGATCCATGCCAGATTAAATCTTTCGACGAATACTTGTCAATTTCTCTCTCAGCTTTACAACTGGTGACACTCTTCCTTCGAATTTGCCAGGAAAAAGACGAAGGTTTCGTTTAGAGTCCTTTATTACACAACGGGATTGTACTGGCTCTACGGACGCTGAAAATCATATCAAGTTGAGCCGCCATGGGTGATATTTCCCCCGACGGCCTCGAAGACCTCAATGCGTCGGACCAGCCTTCTAGTCTTATATCCTCTCCTGATGACGAACCAAACAATCAGTTGGGTGATCAATTATTGCTGATAAAGATTAGGCATAAAAATATTATCGATGACATTATTTATCATCATAAGCACCCCGAGACTGAACGTTTGAAGTACATACTGGGCGAGTATCTCCGTGGAGATTCATATCATTATATCAGTCTTTGCCCTATTAATGGTGATATTGAAAACGCGTTCGCCTGTATCGAAGGACCTAATCTGTCCCCGTATGAAGGGGGCATCTTCTGGCTGCACATTTATTTTCCCATGAATTATCCCAGTCACCCACCGAAAATGCGTTTCTTGACTCCAATTTGTCACCCAGATATCGACGACAATGGGGAGTTCTACCTTCAAGATCTTTCGTTAGAAGAAGATGGATATGTTCCTCCTATTTATACGCAAGACATTCTCTGGTCGGTGTTTGAGATACTTGATGAGCCTGATTTTAAGGAATTTGAGTTTAAGAACAGTCGTATTTCTGAGTTTGATGACTTTTTGCAAAGGGCAGCGTTTTACACCAAGGAATATGCGATGGCTGACGAGCCAGATGAAACAAAACTGGTGAAAGATTGGCTGGAACATTTCGATCAAAAATCCGAGGTCATCCAAGGATCCGATGCTCAGGAAGCCGATGATGATGCACCCGCAAATGCTACTGTTGAAACATGCCGGATTGCTCTCATCAATTGGCGGCAGCAGATATGGGAAACGCGCAAAGAGGATCAGTTCAAGGATATTGAATCCATCATACCACGCTCTGCCATCATTACCATATCTAATAATCTGGATAGACTCTCCACCAACGAGGTCCAACTTGAGCAATTGGACTTGGAGGAATGGGATGCTCGTACGCAGTTCCTAGAAGAACATTCTGATTCCTCCATTCGGAAGTTGTTGAAGGACGTGTTCGATCACTGCGTAAACGTTGTTGTTCAGCAATTAGTGAATGAAAGAGAGGACGCCATGCAAGCTACTATGATAGAGAAACATGAGCGGACCTGGAATCCAATGTGGTTCAGATAATGATGTGTGTTCTAAGCATGAGGGGTCGAATTCTAATGTGAATCACAAATTAAACAAGGCGGGGATGCCACCAAAGGTTTCAGGAGGGGCAGGAAAGGCATCAGCACGGCGATATTATGGGTATGTATATCTACGAAGACGTAGTCAGCATGTATGGATACATAACACGACAAGGCGTACTGATTATAACCTAGGTAGAGTCATTTGTGAAGACACAGCTACATCGTTATACCAATGCGACACGGCCATTGATACGGAAACAAAGATAAAATATTTCTGTATAGGGTATCCGAGTCATATAAATATATGATACTTGATCGCATGAAGTTATCATTCTTGATTCATCGTCTTTTCTAAGTTATTGTGAGTTTACCTAGACATTATACATGAACATTGCACTCAAAAACCGCATCTAATCTAGACGCCAACAGCAGTTCAAACGTTCTACTCGCAGCTCGTTTCAAGAAACAAAAAATAAACTTCTGATTCTTGAAAAAGGCACTGCATCCATAGAACACTTGCCGTTCATCCATAAGCACTCTTTCTTTTCGACCCTCAGGTATCATAGAATTTTGCGAAGACATAGGAATATTCCGGTCATCTTCACAGATTAGGTAGTCTGACGGGAATCACCAGAGCGGCTTTTGTTTAAAAACTGGCAAGAATCTAATTTTAGCTCAGACTCCAAACCACTGGTCGTTGCATTACCAAGATTAGGACGGTGCTTCTGTGCAGCGTTTATTGTCGGGGATGAGGGACGATCCTATCCTGTTAATCGTATTACTGTTTATACATTAGCTTTGACTACTCAAATTCAATTACTCACTTTCACAACACTATTAGAGCTTTTCTCATCAGTAGCTTCCTGAAGACTGATGCTCCGTGCCCATAGTGATATCTTGGTATTTTGCTCCTCTTTTTCCGCCTTGGTCAATTTCTTTTCCTATCTTCCGCAGTTTCGGATATTCTTTTCACTATGCGGAATACCATCTCACATTGATTTAGTGACAACATGTTTTGAAATTAAATTATCGCTTAAGATCTGGGCATTCAATATCAGATTCTCGGTACTATTCTTTATGTTCTCGAAGCTCTCCTTCAAAGAATTAGAACACAGTCTACATGCCATAAACCCCACGTTTCGCTTTGTTCCATGGAGATATCACTCATCATGCAATCTCGGAAACTTTTCTTTTATTCTGGAATATTTCCGCTTCTATGCTTCATTTAGCACGAGGTTCCTTTTCGTCTTTGTCTCTATAATTTTCATATTAGTCAACGAGGTCAGGATGCATTATTCGGAAAATGCCTCTGTCCATTCCCCTCAGGATAGGTCACACGGGCACACCGTTTGCGTGCTTTTTTGATCTCGCCATGGCGTACTATTCGCCGTCGAAAGCCCAATTCAGGGCTACCTTGCCACCGGCTTTGGAACCCGGTGGGTGTTCTCTTGCCCATTCGCACTCTCAGTCTCACTTACAGAAAAATGTGCGTGCACACTTGGGACCATGGGCACAGTGGGGCCATACTTCGGCTTCTTTGAATGGTTGGGAAATTATGAAGCGCCCGAGATTGACGCATAGTGTTACGACGAGTGAAAGATATCACTTCAATAAAGAGCCTTTGCCGGCGATTCCTGGTGTTCTAGCGAGGAAGCTAACGAGGGGTAGTAGGAGGCTTGACGGGAGGTTGAGTGAGTATGGGGATCCTGTTCCGAGGCCTTGTATGGATTTTTCTGGTTCGAAGAGTTACGATGATGATATGACAAATGGAAGGGAAACGGTTCACAAAGTGGAAAGGACTCAGTCTTCGCCCGAAGCTAGGACTTTACCTCCGCCTCCTGATCCGCCCATGACGAGGTCGGCAACGAAGGTCATGCAGAGAACGGGCTATGATCCTACTATGGAGATAAGAGAGCGGAAGAGTCCACAGTCATCATTACATGTAGTCACAGATATATGTGACAATTCTGATAGCGATTATAGTCAGGAAGATTGCATGGATTCACCTTTAGATCAACAGGGCCATGTCATTGCTTCTGTTCCAGTTTCTCCGATGCAGAAAGATGAGATAACTTTCCACTCTCCCCAAAACAACTATAGCCATGCATCAAGTCCAGCCCCTTCGACACCGAATTCACTAGTGATATCACCGGAATATAGAGAACGAGTATCAATTTTTATGCAAGGAAAAGTACCAAATAATAATCAAGGTCCACCCCGCGTCACAAATCTTGAGGATTTGATAGATCAAGAAAGAATGAAGTGCGAACATCACATTAATCGTGAATATCCACTAAGATATGGTCCTCATAACGACGATATCGCACTCATGCCACTGCCGCTAGCATTGCCTCTAAAGCAAAGTCGAGAAAGTTATTTTAGCGATAGCCCAAAAGATTGGGAACCACGAACCCCTGTTGCTCCATTCTTGGGCAGTGGACAGCAGCAGAGCATGAATATATCCTCTAGAGTCTCATTTACGTCGTCCATGGCCACACGAAACATAACACCGACAGAAGCGAGTGACCCTCAAAGGAAAGGGTTTTCAAGTGGTAAACACCCCATGAAAAGTCCTTTTCCATTTCTCTCAATTCCAAAAGCACCAGACTCTCCAAAAGCCACAGGATTAATAGGGTCATTGGGTGAGAAGTTCTCCGGTGCTTTCAAAAGACTATCCGGTGGTACGAAAACAGTGTCGATTGAGAGAAATGGGGTGATTCTGAATGCTAGGAGAAGCGCGACAGGTCCAGATACACCAATGCCGAAAAAATCGGGGTTTATGGGCATTAAAGGAGCTCCGGTTGTGATACAGAAGGGTAGCGAACATTTTCATGGTGTGCTAGAGAAGGTAAAATTGAAGGTTGATAAGAAAGAGAGGAGGAGGAGGGAATTGAAGAAACAAATTATGGTTGTGGGGATTATGGATCAAACTCCAGGTTCGTTGCTGGTTTCTCATGTCTTGTTACCAAAGTACTAATTATTTTTTGTAAATAGATGGGAGGACATCTGAATGGCTTTGATATTGGATATGAAACTATGCAAAAGCCAAAGGAGTGGTTTGATTCACGACAGCGGAGCCTTCTCCGATAGCGTCGACCGGAATGCAGCTCCAAGAACCTGCTGAAGTTCTCCCTCTCGCATAGTACTACTAAGTACATGCGTTGAAAAGGTCAAAAATAAGCCGAGGTTTTGTTGCACATCGTTGGTTGTGTTAGATCGATAGATAGGAATACATAACTCCCGTCCCAGGTATATTCTGTCGGATGAGGTCTGTAACTCTATTGTATACTTACTATATACCCAAATGTTAATGATGATTTCGATACGGCGAACACTTCGGTCTAATATACTGTCGTGAATCTTTTGACCGAAACCATTTGACCCGGTCAATATATCAAAATTTGAAGCCATTGTCATCCCACAGGTGAAGAAATGTGCATGATTAATTCTTCCGCCGACGAATCATATTCTCTCCAACGTAAATAATGTTCCTGCAGCACCAACCCCGCAGCTTTGTGCAACCCTCACAAAAGCTTGGAATAATATAAGCTTCGTATTCAAAGTGCTCATGACTCTATCTCTCAGATGATGCTCTTGGAATTGTCTCCTCCCTGAGATATATTGATTCCCGACTTTACTGATATTTTTGACTGTTATATGATCAGGTCGGTGAAAGATGTCGAGGTAAGTTGTTGATCTCCCAACCCCCTCACGTGCCGTGAAATCCACAGTTTCACGGCTTCATCCTCCACATCCCCGCGCTTTCCATAAGCTTACCCCTGTCTAAACTCCACTTCTGCGTAACTAGCGCCGTAGTAGAAGAAGGGGTGCCACTTTCCGGAGCGAAGCTGAGCTGTTTGAAACAACCTTCGACTACTCTTTTACTAACTACAACAATTTCATTCAGTTCTTTTCATTCAAATCATCTCGAATCCATCAATAATATCATCCAATTGCCAATTATGGGTGGTGAAACTTTACCAAAGACAGAGCTTAAGAGCTCATATCCTCTCAGGTCCGAGGGACCCAAGGGTAAATTGATAGCTAATCTATACAAAGATCGAATTGGCCAATTCTATGCCGCTGGACAATATGAAGAGAAGAACTTACGAGCGTATGCCATCTGAATTCCCTCGTTTCTTACATTTGCTAATTGATAATTCTCGATAGAATGTTAAACGAAGGAGTCGCATCTGGGGAACCACATATCAAACTTTCGGTCTGGGATGCTCCGGACCTTACTCGACCTACTTTCAAAGATGCGACGAGCCACGACTTCAGATCAACACATATTGGTGAATCGTTTGGTCCTTCGTGGTCAACTCATTGGTTCAAAGTACAAATAACCGTGCCTTCAGAGTTTCTGAAAAAGGACCTGTTGGAGTTACATTGGGATGCGAATAATGAAGGAATGGTATGGACGGAGGATGGCAATCCTCTTCAGGGATTGACTGGGGGTGGCGAGAGAGTCGAGTGGATTCTGCCAGATAAATTTCGCGATGGAAAGGAACATACAATTTATATTGAGATGGGTAAGATACAAACATTGATTGATATAATTACCAATGCTAACGCCAAATATAGCATGCAATGGAATGTTTGGTAATGCCCCTGGTGGAGATTCCATTCAACCACCGAATCCGAATAAATATTTCCAACTTTCAAAAGCTGAGATTGTCGCTGTAAACGTGGAAGCCCGAGCTTTATGGATTGATATCTGGGAAATCAATGATGCTGCTAGAGAATTTCCATCAGATTCATGGGAACAACATAAGGCATTGAGGGTTGCAAATGAAATAATTGATGCCTTTGAGTTGGGAAACCAAGAATCGATCCTTAAAGGCCGAAAAATCGCACAAGAATATCTGGGCGAGAATGTCAACTCATCTAAGGTCTATGAGACTGGCACAACGCCTATCGTTTATGGTATCGGTCACTGCCATATTGATACCTGTTGGCTTTGGCCATGGGCCGAGACTAAAAGAAAGGTTGCCAGATCCTGGTCGAATCAATGTGATCTTATGGACCGTTATCCTGAGCATCGATTTGCTGTCTCTCAGGCTCAGCAGTATAAGTGGTTGAAGGAGTATTATCCTTATGTGTTTGATCGAGTTAAGGAAAAGGTTAAACAAGGAAAATTCCAACCTGTCGGAGGCAGCTGGGTCGAGCACGACACTAACTTACCCAGTGGCGAGTCTCTTGTGCGCCAGTTCTTGTATGGCCAAAGATTCTTCGAAAGCAATTTCGGAGAGAGATCTAAGACATTTTGGCTACCAGACACATTTGGTTATTCAAGCCAACTTCCTCAGCTGTGCCGTCTTGCGGGAATGAAACGTTTCTTTACTCAGAAGCTTAGCTGGAACAACATCAACAATTTTCCACACACCACATTCAACTGGGTATCTCTAGATGGTAGCCAAGTCATTTGTCATATGGCGCCTTCCGAAACATACACCGCAAATGCTGATTTTGGTGATGTAAGAAGATCAGTGACCCAGCACAAATCTATGGATCAAGACGAGACCTCACTTCTTGTTTTTGGAAAAGGCGATGGTGGTGGAGGACCAACTTGGCAGATGATTGAGAAGCTCAGACGTCTTCGTGGAATGAGTGATACTGTTGGACTTCTTCCAAGAGTTCATATGGGTGACTCTGTGGATGATTTCTTTGACCGCCTAGAGAAGAAGGTTTCCGAGGGTCAAGATTTGGTGACCTGGTATGGTGAATTGTACTTCGAGCTTCACCGTGGAACCTACACGTAAGTTTTCTTCTATTTGACAGTTACAATATTACATTTTATTCTGACATCTTCCAGGACCCAAGCGAACAATAAGCGCAACAACAGAAATTCGGAGATCATGCTGCACAATATTGAACTTCTCTCAACAATTGCAAGTCTTAAAAGTAAGGACTTTAAATATCCTAAAGAAGATATCGATTTTATGTGGGAGGCTGTATTGTTGTGTCAGTTCCATGACTGCCTGCCAGGATCTTCTATTGAAATGTGTTACGATGACAGTGATGAGGTAGGTGAACTGCACTTAGTTTAAGATTTGTACATACTGACGCGCAACAGCTATATGCAAAAGTATTCAAGGCTGGTGAAAAGATTCTCAAAGAGCTCTACAAGACCCTAGGCGTACTGGAAGCCGAAGAGTCATCCGAGGATGGTAAAATTGTGGCCCTTAACACCATGCCATGGCACAGAAGAGAGATCGTTCCGCTTGGTAATAACACTGCCGGAGTTGCTTGTGGACAAGGTAATCTCTTGAACATCAAGACTTTCAAGATTGCCGAAACACCAGAAGTTACCGTCAAGGAAGTCAGGAGAGGTGTTTTCGTGTTACAAAATGATCAACTCAAAGTCGAGGTCGAGGGCGGTGTTATCACATCTCTGTATGACCGACAAGCAGAAAGAGAAGTCGTGGCCAAAGGAGGCAAAGCTAACCAGCTTGTTATATTCGATGATAAACCACTTTATTGGCAAGCTTGGGATGTGGAAGTTTTCCACTTAAACTCTCGCAAGGAATTACCTCCAGGAGACACCAAGATTGTTCAAAGTGATGCCCACAGAGTTAGTGTCATGACCGAGACAAAAATTAGCGAAGAGAGCTGGGTGAGGACTCATATTAGTCTATCCGCCGCTTTCAAGGGTCAACAGTCTTATGTTGAAATGGAAAGCGAGGTTGAATGGAGGGAGAGTATGAAATTCCTCAAAGTCGAATTTCCTGTCGACGTTCGAAACACCGAAGCATCCTACGAGACACAGTTTGGTATCATTAAGAGACCTACTCACTATAACACTACGTAAGTTTGACTTCTCTATATCCTGAGGATTATATAGCTAACTACAGACAGCTGGGATATGGCCAAGTTTGAAGTATGCTGTCACAAATTCGCCGATCTTTCAGAGAATGGATATGGTGTTTCCATTTTGAACGACAGCAAATATGGTTTTGCTACTTCTGGAAATATGATGCGCTTGTCATTGCTTAGAGCTCCTAAAGCTCCGGATGCACATGCAGATATGGGTCGTCATCACATTCGTTGGGCTATTTTACCCCATCAAGGAGCTCTTGGCTCAACTACTGTTCGTACGGCATTCAACTTTAACAACCCATTGAAGGTCTGCAAAGCTTCGAAAGATACTCATGCCAGCGCATTTGAAAGCCCAATCAAACTTACCGGAGATCCATCATTGATCCTAGATACTGTTAAGCGTGGTGAAGATGATGAGGATGTCAGCCGTGGTGAATTGAGGAAGAGGAAGGGACAAAGTGTTATTTTGAGAATCTATGATAGTTTGGGTGGAACTAGCAAGGGCACGATTGAGACGACGCTGGATGTGAAGAGGGTCTGGAAGACCAATGTCTTGGAAGATGATGAGGAAGAACTTAAGATTAAGGAAGGCAAAGTTGATATCACTTTGAAGCCTTTTGAGGTTGGCACGTACAGATTGCAGTTGTAGGTTTGGAGTCGGATTTATGAAGTTATGAGAGATATTAAGGTGGGGGAATAAGGATGGGAATGACGGAGAGAATGATCGATTTGTCACGTAGATGTCATGATAGCCTTTTCTCTTAGTATATCAATATCGCAGCGCATTTTACAGATTGTTAATGGAGCGTCCAGTAGAAGTCCTCTTTTGGTGAAATGAGGCGGGAAGATTAGTATGTTTACTTTCACTTGCTCGACATGTAATGAAAAGCTCACTGGATACAATGGTAACTTGAGAAAGATACACCGCGATACAAGAAACCTTTGGAATGCATTACATATTTCATCTTATCTTATCTTATCATATCTTAACAACATCGCGAGCATATCTCATCAAGTGAACATAATACATAAGAAACGCCATACCCGTGAAACAAAACTCCCAACTCCCATGCCGCCGTCTCGTTCACTCATACAGCCCAATACCCATCCATAAGCATTTACATCTTAGCCAGCTCATCATCCCCCAAATCATCCATATGGACCCTCGCCCATGGACTTCTCCTCCTGAGTCCACGTCCCCATCTCCCCAACACGTACGGAATGGGCATTAACAGGATAGCTGCAAATCCCAATATGCTACCCGCCCAATGCACACCCAGCGCGTTGAACATCTGCGTTCCGAATAGGGGGAATGTACCCCCGATAATATTGCGCGCGAAACACACACCGGCCAATGCACTAGCTGCGTATACTTTGTATGTATCTTCAATGTACATGAACGTCATTTGGATAATAGTGTAGAAGGACCAGCCGTAGAAAACGGATGCGATCATAGGGACGATCCAGTGAATGTGGCCCGGTTGTGCGGACCACGCAAACCAGAAGAGGGAGATGGGGTAGACGACGGAACCGATCATGCTGAGTTGGACGCGTGCTTCGGGGATATTTTTAATGGTGCCGTCTGCAGCGGTGACGCGGCGGATATAGTATCGCTCTTGCCACATGTGGGTTATGGGACCGAGGAGGGCACCGACACATACGCCTAGGTTGGCGAGACCGGTTTGGATGGTGTTGAAGCCGTAGCCGTCGGCAAAGACTACGGTGAAGGCGCCGTTGAAGAGGAATGCTATGCCGAAGAGATATCCGTTATAAGTGGCTGTGAAGAGAATGACGGGTTCAGTGAAGAGGAGATGGAATGGACGGGTGAGAGCTGTAGCGAAAACCTGAGTGGCAGGCTGGGTGCGCATTTCGAGTGGGACGTCGAGATTTTGGTTTCCGGTTTCTTTGCGCAAACGAGCTGCGCGACGGCGGAGGAGCACAGAGTGCCGAGTCTCATTGAATGATAGTGACACGCACAGAAGTAGAAAAAAGGCGCCAGTGGCTCCGCACATGGCCCAAAGAACACCGTGGAGTCCGTGCAGCTGTGCGATGAAAGAGAAGACAAAGACCCCACTTGCTGATCCTCCGGCCGATGTTATAGTGTAGATCGCTAAGGGCATACCGGTGTGTTCGTGATGGAACATGTCCGCGATTGTCCCTCCGATATTCGCTGCGGGTTGTTAGATGAGGCCTTTGTAATGTGCTGGAGAGTCAGTGTACTTACTGATTGATGCAGAAGCAAAGAATCCCGTGATGAATCTCAGCACTATAAATCCGGGGAGATTGTCGACCAATGCAGTACCCAACAAAAGCAGGGTAGTAATGAAGAAATTGGTAAGGTACACAGGAGTACGTCCATAGTACTCGCTGAGAGGTGCCAAAAGCATAGGCCCGAATGCCAAACCAAGCACATAGGTAACCAAAGGAAGCGTAGCGACTTCAGCTGAAGTGCCGAATTTTCCCTGAAAGTTGGGGGTCGCTGGCGAATAACCTGAAGCTATCCTGGACAAGAACTGTTAGTATTTTGAACTGTTACAAAGGCCTGAGAATTATTTACCATAGGCAACTAAAATTTGCGATAGTCAAAGATAGAACAATTGACCATTTTCTCAATGATGTCCAGTTGAGCGGATTTTCGGGGTCGTTTGGGAGGAATTCAACTAAATCCGCATCTATTTGCCCATTTGCCCGAATATCATCGTGGCGAACATTGTTTTCCACCTTTTCGACATCGACGTCGTTTGGACTGAAAGGAGAGGAATCATGAATCTCTAACTGTCGTCCCATGGTTACGAATTGCCGACGAGGATAGTGTGCAAATTCGAAATCAGATAACACCAAGCATTTGCCAAGGTGTCAACGGGCATTGGCGTTTTATAGGGAAAGACACTATTAAGGAGTGGAAATTCTCCTAACGTATGAATCTTGTGATTCCACGCACGCACCTGATGAAGGGGAAAACTAATCAAGAAACGTGAAACCCCACAGGAGCGGATCCTCTGTGCCGGTGGATAAGGATAAATCCCGCCACTTTACAATTTTGAACTCCTCATGATGGGGAGTAATTGTTCTTATTTGTCAAGATGCCCCATTTCAAGTTTTCCTCTTCTTTTTTATCACCGATTCAAAGCTCGGTGTTTCGTACTCTCTAAAATCTGGCAGGCTGGCAGTTTTATAGTCTTGGCCGCAGGAGAGTTTTTATTATGAGTTATTTGCCGTGTAATAAACTAGGGAGCTACAAACCCACGGGGAACGAGGTGTGGGGGCTACTAAACTGCGGGAAGCTAGGTTCAAGCATTTTGATTAACTGGTCCAAGTAGCCGCAAGCCCATTTTTCTTCAGCCGGTGTGTATCATACACAAATGATTGGTGCGAAAACCTGTAGTGGCTTTGAGATCAATGCGCGGGTGGACACTTCCCATATCCCAATCTCGATGTTGAATGACCTACGACCTACCTAAATTCGTGATGAAACGTGATGAATTGTTCGTTGTTTTTGCACAGTTTTGTCTGTATCCAGAGAGAATGCGGGACTTCTAATTTCTACCCTTTCATCCAACGTTTGCTCGCCTTAAGAACTTCAAAGCTGATCTGGGCAAATCTTCGATGAATGGCGAGTCGCGATTAGTCAGTCTAGTTTATCCACCAGCAATCCTAGAACAGTGTAGAATCGAAACGTGCAGAGTTCGAAAACGCAATCAACATAAAATTTGGGGAGACCACTTGGTCAAACAAACAGTAAGAGCTCCCTACTAGCGAACAACTAGAACCAAACTAGCATTCCGATCTCTAGTTTCAATTGAAATTATAAATGAAATTGAGAGGCGAAGCAGATTACTGGATTACATTCAATGCAATGCGACAGTAAAATCGGCAACCTTTTTTCTCATCGTGGAGAGTCCGGGTTTGAGTCACTTATCAAGAGCTGGATAAACACATGACAGCATGTATCCTGGGACCCCACAGAGAGGAAAATTCCTGATCAGGATACTCCGTATACATGGGCGAAACCTATTCAATGATATCTTGGAAATTGAAATGGAGAGAATTTCCACAAAGAGTATGATAGTTCCACTCCGAGTATCAACCGTTTTCAATCCACACATGGACAAGTGAAAAACTCCGTACTGATTCCGGCCACGACATCCATCAAATTCCATGGGGATGTCTTGGGGAGCTATCCAGAATCCAACACTCCCACATAACCCACACCGATAGGTTAATTCCAAAGATTGATGCCGAATATTTAATCGTCATGGAGAGTAGGGATGGGCCATCGACGGTCAATGATCAATGGTAATCGCACATAGTCAGGGGAAATCATACCCGTATTTGTATTGAATTGTGTGACATGCGAGAATGAATTAATATAATTCCCTCGTTCGTCTACCACTGTGGGAGCACCCTGAACATGATTGTTAGCATTGAAACTTGTTTTCATGTCGGCGTGAACTTCTCTCTCGTACAATCGCACTAGTTACGTGTCAGTATTAACATCTACAACCATTGATTTGGCGACCTGCTGTGGTTAAACTAGATCTCTCATTATGGATCGTGCAATGTTCTCCGTTACATATTTTGCATCGCAATTAAGTCTCCTGTATACATTCGTGACACTGTGATGCTATTAGCGAAGAAAACCATAAACCGTTCTCATATTATCTTACATTGAGTCCGCAGAAGAAGCAGCTTTTTGAAACGCCGAACTACAAGCTTCCGTTAGTTGATTGTCGTAGAGATGTGTGAATGCCAATGTCATAAATTGTCCCGCCAACATAAATTGCCTCATCAACATAATATTAACTCAGTAACTTCATAACACACTAAGCCTATTTCGAAAAATGATCGCCCGTGGTTTAGGGTTCGGAATCTTCAAACTCCGATGCTTTTTCAACTTCTTTTTTATTATATTATATTTTTAAAAATATTATATTATTCAAATCTATACCAAATAAGCTTATAATTTATATTAAAAAAAATTTAAAATTTTAATTATATTATTTATATATTCTTTTTTATTTTAACTTATTGAGATTATATATAATATCAATAGTTATAATAATTGTTTTTGATTAATCAAGAATTAAATCGTGTGATATACAAGAGTCTTATAAGAGCTGAATAAACAAAGTCAATTGTATTCTTTAAAATCTATAATTGAAAAGCTATAATTTGTAGAAAGTATTTATATATATATACAAAATATTTATATAGTAATTGTATAATTATGTATATCGATTATTAAGATGATTATAATCCTATATTAAAAAGAGTAAATCGAAATATAATAATAGTGTAACGATCTGGTAGAAGCAGCGGCTGCCTCAGGTTTTCGTCTGGTTGGTAGTTGTAGGTTAAGGCTAATAATCACTGGTTATCCACTCGAAGGTGAATACGTTACTAGATCAATTGGAATGTAGGTAAACTAATTGATAACTAAGTTGAGCACGAAGCTCCTAAACTATGAAACTATTCTGACTATATACTAATCTCTTTCCTTGCATGCTAGCTGGCTAGCAGAGCTAGCACATCACGTGATTGATATTTCCTTTCCTGGAACACTTGTCCCAGGAGCTTTCCTCTAGGAACTATAGCCCTAGGATACGATATCCTCTAGGGTGATTGTCCCATTTCAGCCAATTAGCTAGGACACTTGTCCTATTCTAATATGGTTGCCTAGGATACTTATCCTAGGAATTCTGGGGCCCTACTATAATGAAAACCGTGAATCGTGACAATAATATTATTATAATCTTAGATGTAGATGATTTGTGACACCTGCTGTAACGTACAAGAGCCTCATAAGAGCTGAATAAACAGGGTCAATTATATTCCTTAGAATCTACAACTGAAGAACTATAACTCGTAGGGAGCATCTATATTCTATATATATATACAAAATACCTATACGGTAGCTGCATGGTTGTGCGCTTTCTTCCTTAAGGTGATCATAATGCCATACTAAAAAGGGTGAATTTAGAAAAATGTGCACAGACTATCAGCTCACCGATAGGAATTATCGATCAATTAGAATCACGTGATCGTCCTTTATACAAGGTCCGTGACAAATCGGATAAAAAGTATCACACTCTATATAATTGATTACCTTTATTTTTGAATTTGATATCAAGCTAATCCCAAAATAATTCTAGCCTTATATTTATCTGCGAACTCTTATTCCAAATAGGCTTAATGTGTTATGAAGTTACTGAGTTTATACGATATACAGATTGTGGCTTCTGTAACGAGAGTAATTTTATCAGGTCACATATACGCTAGTTTAGCTTAAATCTAGTGTTGAACCGGGTATAAATACCCTGTCAGACAGTGACGGTTTAGTCAATCCGTAAACAAACATTCCCCACTATAAATTCCTCGATCAACTTCATCAATTGTTCTTACAATTATTTCTCACAATACTCTTCATATAGTATCATCAAATATGAACCTCTTCTCCTCTGTTAGGTATGTATACTTTCTGCTTCATGACAATGGTCCTCATCGTATATATATTTGACTTGCTAATTTGTATCCTATCCAGTCCATAATGGAACCCCCCCAACTTCGATCGACTATCACAAGCATTCAGCATAATCTCCGAAGAATGCCCTAAATTCGTAAATATTCCTGCATTCAATCAAGGAGCTGAAATTCTCAATGTTCTCGCACGAATAAATGACCGGCTTGATGGAATTCTAACGCAGATGGACCAGAGATTTGCACAGATGGACCAGAGATTTGTGCAAATGGACCAGAGATTTGTACAGATAAACCAGAGATTTGATACCTTAGAGGCAAGGATGATCGCTTTGTAAGTTCTCTTCTTTTTAGCTATTGTATTGTTCTTTATTATATATACTAATCTATATCTCTCAATATTAGAAACCTTAATTCTGTAGCTCGAGTACAAAATTCGATGGTATCTTATCTTGACAGAGGGCTTTTTCCTTTGGTCAATGTAAGCACTTCCGAAAATATTCCAGAATTTCCTAAAACACTTGTTGCTTTTAATTGTATATCGAATGCAAATATCAATCGAGTACTTTTAGCATTAGGGGTCGGTACCGATGGAACTCTTGAAGCTAAACGCGATAGACTTCGTGATACTATTGGTATAAAGGTTGATGGAGTTTAAGGTTAATTTTGAGTCCAGTTGTTATTATAGTGCTTTTAGCACTAGGCGTCAATATTGGTGGAGGAGGCTATAAAAACTATGTTCGAATGCCCAGCAAGAGGGCGGTAGGCTCTGGCAAAGGAACAGTACTTTAGCTATCAAATTAATTCTTTCCATATTTCTCACCTATCATTATTGAAATACCATTACCAAATCCGAGGGAACAGAGAGTCCATCCAGTATCAGGGTTTGGACATCAAGGAGTAGATTTCGACTGCGGAGGCGATTGAAAATACCTCTCAAAGGACCGCCATAGAAGCTTTGAAGGAGTCAATATACAATTTACTGAGTTAGGAGTGGCAAGGCGAACTCGTCTTCAGTCACATTTTCATCCAATTGTACATTTCTCCAGATCTGTCCACCGTTGTCAATTGATCCAACCTCGGACTTTACCGACTTGACGTCTGAGAGCTTCAAATAACGGAAAACATGTGGAATCTTGTAAATGAGTTCTTTGAAAGATTTTGAAGTAGCTCCCAGAGCTAAAAGAGAAGAAACCGGGAGATGAGGTGTGGTTTGGTAAAGAATCAAAGTATTTGATAGTAATCGTAAGAGAGAGGTTGGCAATTTCTCTTTAGTAAGTTGAAATTCGCACTCCATTGAATCACCTACTGAGAATAGAAGCGATGTCCCTTTGTGTAAAAAACCCAGAGAACCCTAGGATGAATCTTTCGAAGGGAGATGCAATGAGAATATCTAGATCAGAAAATGAATCGAAGGAAAAAATGTGAATGCTATAAATGGAACTCACTTCGAAGTCATTCATTCTATTAACATGTCATTAGTCAGACAATGAACAATCATGCTAGTGGAAAAGCCACTGGTGTGGACACACTAGCCACAATCACAGTCGCTATCATGCCACATATCTTATCGATAAGGAATGCTACATGTTACAGGGATAACTCCGTAGAAGGATCCAGCATTATCTGACATATCATCATTGATTCTACAGTACCGGGCCGCTTCGCAAATTCAGAGTTCTTTTAATATTTGAGATACAACATAACGAAAAAGACGTTATTTGCACTGTCGAGAATAATCCATCTCGATTTACCTTACAAAAACCTCGCCATACCAGTTTTCTGCTCTGTCCACAGACAACATGGCAGCGACTCCAGACATCTCTTTGAAATGGTCATCAGTCTATAAAGTTGCCTCAAAAGACAGCATATCTCTGCCCGGTGATAAGATACTGTTACCGCAATCTGCTCTGGAACAGCTACTAGCAGCATCTACGGTTACGGTCAATTCTAACAGTCGCCCAAATAATGTCGCATTCGATCCATTCAATCCATATTCTTTAGCAGCCGCTCGTGTAGAACAGTCGCAATGGAGAGACACTCAACAGCAGCTACCTCATCCTCTCACATTTAGGCTTGTCAACTCAAAGAGTGGGAATGTGGTACATGCAGGAATCCGAGAGTTCTCCGCAGATGAAGGAGAAGTTGTCCTGAGCCCATTCTTGCTTGAGGCACTGGGAATCACTGCGCCCACACGAAAACCTACACCAAGACCCAAAGTCGAGAGCGGGAGGGGATCCCTTGATGCGCCTATAGACCTTACAGATAACCCTGCGATCGACCTTACGCGCGACGAGACGATAGACCTTACAGATGAAATTGAAGAATCTGCGCAAATCACCGTGCATGCGAAACAACTACCTAAAGGTACATATGTGAGGTTAAGGCCATTGGAAGCTGGGTATAATCCTGAGGACTGGAAATCGTTACTGGAAAGACATTTGCGGGAAAATTTCACAACTCTAACAAATGGAGAAATATTAACGGTTCGAGGATCAAAGTCGGAGGAATTTCGATTTTTGATTGACAAACTCGCGCCTGAAGGAGATGGGATTTGTGTTGTCGACACAGATTTAGAAGTCGATATAGAAGCTTTGAATGAGGAACAAGCCCGAGAAACCTTGAAGCAAATCATGGCAAAGGCAGAAAAAGCTCCAGGAACGGCCCAAGGAAGTTCTGTTGGTGGAGAAATAGACCTATGGAAAGCTTCGCAAGGACAGATTGCTGAAGGAGATTATGTGGACTATACTTTACCTTCATGGGATCGATCAAATGACCTTGAGATTGAGCTGTCGCACGAGGATGATGGCGATGTGGAGATCTTCATTAGCCCGCAATCAGCTCATCAAAGAGCAAAACCCCGAGAAGATGAGCATGTTTTTGGAGATTTCTCAGAGAATGAAACCAAGAGGGTCATCATACAACAATCAAACGTGGAATTAATAGGAGCTGATGCTATACTAATTTCCATATACTTCCGAGGGTGTGGAAGTGAGTCATCACAAGCGTTACGGAAATACTCTCTTAAAGTAAAATCGCTTGAGAAAGGGGCAAGCAACGGATCTCCAACTAATCCAGTTTCGCTCGAAGAAGATATTGAAATACATGGACCTGATGAGGAGCAATGTAAAAATTGCCATCAATGGGTACCAAAGCGGACAATGATGCTTCATGAAAACTTCTGTCTTCGTAATAATGTCTCATGCCCTCATTGTAACAACGTGTTTCAGAAAAAATCTCAAGAATGGCAAGATCATTGGCATTGTCCTTATGATTCTTCCTACGGAAATACACCAGCAAGCAAAACCAAACATGATTGTGTATTTCACGAACCTCGTCAATGTCCCAACTGTCCCTATGAAGCAACAAATCTTAAAGATCTTGCTACCCATCGTACGTCTGTATGTCCCGGCAAGACTATTCTATGTCAATTCTGCCATCTCGAAGTCCCCCAAGAAGGTGACCCGTTCGATCCGTCCCCTGAAAGTCTCATATCTGGGCTCACAGCCCACGAGCTCGCTGATGGAGCTCGAACTACGGAATGTCACCTTTGCAGCAGGATCGTTCGACTTCGTGATATGTCTACGCATCTCAAGCACCACGAACTTGAGAGGAACAATCGATTTAAGCCAGACATCTGTAGGAATGCCAACTGTGGTAGAACTCTAGAGGGTGTTGGTAAGAACGGGGAAGTAGGAGCAGGTTCGAGGATGGGTCAAGGACCCGGTAATGATTTGGGTCTTTGTAGCATTTGCTACGGTCCACTATACGCTAGTATGCACGACCCGTTAGGAAAGGCGATGAAGCGTCGTGTGGAACGAAGATACTTGAGCCAAATGATTACGGGATGTGGCAAGAAATGGTGTACAAATCTCCATTGTAAGACCGCAAAGGCTAAAGACGCCAACGGGCTTCAGGTAGCATTAGCGGTAAAAGATGCACTTCCCCTCATCCAACCATTGGTGGCGCAAGTTGAGGATAAGACCGAACCTATGTATTTTTGTGTGGATGAAGGAAATCAGAAGAGGAGAAATCTGGCGGAAATTTTGGCCATGGAGCCAGGAGGTTGGGATCTGGAGTGGTGTATTGCGGCTTGTGAAGCAGAAGGTCCAAACCTTGATAAGGTCAGAACATGGTTGAGTAATTGGGCTCCAAGAAAAGTATGATGGAAGTTAGATTCAGGTAATATTTAGTATGGTTAGTGGGGCTGGAGTATAGCATAGTACTGATTGCATAGATGAGGAGTTATAGTGGATTGGGACCAATATGATACCAATTTATAGGTCATTTATATACATATACAAACCTAATACTTCCCTTTTATTTAAACAGATGATACTCCATCATACCTTCAACAGTCAGACACTGAGACTAAAAAGTCCCTCCAGATATCCTTAGTATTAACCGAATATATTCGAAGTCATCACAAGCCCCAATACTCTAAAAATCTCACATCCAGATCCCTCTAATCTACCCCACCCCGGGTCCTAGGTGCCCCTATTGACCCCTTCTCCTACACCAAATCCACCAAATATCCTCCCACCAGCTGACATCATCCCCCCTTCAATCCACCAGTATTCCTCACTCCGTAAACTACATATCCAACCAATAAATTACTCTTACAGTAACTAAGTTCTAAGTTCTAACTCACACTTCCCTATTAATCGATCAAATTCAATTTCACTTCCACAATGAAGAGGACGGGAACGTAAGATTGCTTGTAGCTTTTAGTTTTAACCCCAATCTATCCAGAGTCTAGGTAGCTATCTATCCCATTCACCGGTTTTTTTGGATCTGGGAGATAGGTTTACTGGTAGTTGGTTGCGCGGAGGGTTCTTTTGGGAGGTTGTTGGGTGTGTAGATAAGTGTGTAGGTACGTAGATATGTTTCTTATGGGGAGTTTAGTGGATGGATGGATGTAGGATTAATAAATATTCCTTTTTTCTCTCCTGGGTTTCTTAATCAATTTATGTAAGATTTACTTTTGACTTGTTTTTGAATATTGTTTTATATTATATTATACAATCCTCATTCAATACTAGCTTTCCCCACCCGGGATTACAATTGTCTAATATGTAGTTCAGATTCCTACATTTTCCTTCTTGCTTGCATATCCCGGTATCCTGGGCGATACTTCTTGGATTATTATGATTCTTTTCTTTCTCATGCATAGGACAATTTTTGAAAGTGCTTTTCTGGTTGGTGATTTGGTTTACTGATAGATGTATAGATAGACACCATCAGTCTACAGATTTGTAAAGCTCGAGTCCTATATCAGAAGCTCCCGAGTTGTTAGTTACTATCTCGGCGGCTTTAACAATAATCCCCTCTTGGATTATAGATGCGCAACAGGATGGCTTGATCGTCGGTGCTTTATGTACTGCGCTTTACTTTAATGATGGTTTTCATATCGGCAGATGATAGGTTTTCTGCAGAACTAAAGGTTCGGTGATTCCCCTCAAAACACATCTGCGGATGCCTTTTTCATGTCACAAATATATTCGAATCAATGCAGATTCGGCACCCCGTCTCCTCGCACCTTATCCTCACGGCTGATGACCGTTCAATATCTAAGGACGACGCGGTCGATACATGAAGCTCGGCACAATATAACATTTCTAGCTATAGTAGGCTCTATCACCCCTGACAACTTGGAAGACGCGACTTTCGGAAATTGAAACGTGCTGAGCAGACTTCAGGGCAAAGAAAACCTTGAGTTACTCCCTCCCACAAGGAGTGGCAATGATCACTATGACAATTTTCCCCGTGAACTATTCAGCTATATCGAAAGATTACTAACAGCTTATACTTATTATTACAAGCCGCTCATTCTCAAGCTCAAGAGTTAAATTAGAGAAGCTATCCTCCTGCAGTGTGGTACAAAAACATATAAGTGAGAAGGCTGAAGTTAAGATCGATTGATTTGATGTGCAGCTCAGGATTTAGCTACACTTGAGTATGATGGCTTTCGCTATCGTGTCCACGTCCACGTCCACATCTACGATATCGTGTCTTTTCCAGAAGCTAGTGCCTATGAATCTGCCACAACATGAAGTTCGCACGATATTTAAAGATAGCGAACTTCGAAGGAATTGGGACTGATCCGCAATTGAGCAGTTGTGCATATATTCTAGCTTGTATCAATAAAGCAACGAGGATAAAAAAGATGTTGGAGGACTTTTGCCACGAGTAGGTTTTCCCCCAAAGGCATGTATGTGGATGTATATCATCTTCCTGCGCGTATTAACATAGGAGTTCCACGCCATAGCATTCACCACAAAGCATAACTACCCGTCGCACTTTAAATCCAACCAGATCGTTGATTTGCGAATGGTAACATTAAGTATACAGAAGCTGATGTAGTCCTTGCCCCGATCTGCTTTCTGCCCCTCAGCGTAGGAGAGTTAGTTACTATTGTGGTGTGAAGAGTATGGCCTATTCAGCAATCCTAACCTTGGTGACTCCAGAAATTCGGCAGTGACATGTGACTCAAGCCTGGCTCAGTCGCTGGGGTAGGAAAATACTTCATTTGTGGATGGACGTAGGTTCAAAAATGTGTTCCAGGTACATGAGAACTTTTCAAGTACTGTACAGGACCTTTGGTAGAATTCAGATTGGTCACTCAAGATTTAACCAGCTCCAGAACAAGTTCCCAAATTCAGATATAGGTAGTGTGAAACTTGTAGCAATAATGGAAGGGTTATCAACCGTTAGCCTATTTCCCCTTAATAGAATCGGGGTCTATACATTCAGTGGAGACTCATATTTGCACTTGCAACTGTCAAACGTAGTTTACTTGGATCTATGCTGCGGCTCCAGGATTGCAGTATAATTATAATCTTACATGAGCATATATAAGAGCTGTTGTGAAGACAACTGTGATGCATGCACAGAGTGGACGCGCTCTTCAACGTAAAGGAATATATTGATTTAAATATCCACGAGCCTTCCATGGCTAAAAAGAAACGCATCAGTTGTTAACAGTCTAATAGTTATGAATTCTGTAGGAAACCGACGTGATATCCTCAGTTCGCCCAGCCTCAATGTAACTAGCGCTCTTGAGCAGGACATCCACGTCGTCGTAAATCTTGAGAGCGTCCCGGACTCCCGCATAGAGTTCAGCCTGCGAATCAGTCACTTCAAGCGTCTGTTACGATTCGTGGATCCTCGAACGGTAAATAGGTTCGATCGAGAATGCTAAGAAAAACTTACAAGCTCTTCGCCGAAACCCCCGGTGATAAGCCAAGTGAATTTGGTCATGACTTCGTTGAGATTTGTTATTCGCGAGAATGATAGAACGAAGTGTAGTTCCTTTGAATGTCAGATGACTGAGACGAATTGGGGAAAGCTTGGAGTTGTTGGCCGAACTTTGGTCTCAGGGGATGGAATTAGGCTACGCCGCAAGCAATAAGTATGGTTCATGCCGTTGTGAACCTTTATTCCAATATTTGGGCCTCAATGTGCTGCAAGAAGTAGGTAACATGCCTCTCTTATGTCGGCTGTGCCCCATGTTTTTGAAAAGTGGTACACAAACACTTTCATTGGCTTATTTCAGCCTCTTCACTCCACCATCTAAAGTTTTCTTCTTTTCCTGGAGCGAAGCGGAAAAGCCTCCACGGCAGTGGCCAAGCGGAGCGTTATCCATTAAACCTTGATAAGAATAGGGACTATTCGAGCTTTATCCAAAAGCATTCATCCTGCAGAGCTTTTCGATTAAACCCATAGACACTTCGACACTCTCTGTCACCTGTGAGACACACAGAAAACTCCCCAGCGAAAACATGGGCATCCGATTGTGTCGCCACCAAACGAAAACAAACAGGTCAACCGGGAGTATCTCGGGAGTTCAACACCCCAATTATCAACGTCCAATGTCTCAATTCGGGCAGAAGTACCGCGAAAGCATGCCAAGGAAACACAACCCCGCAAACTCGAGCAGATCTACAACCTCTGACTAAAAACAAACAGAAATCTCTCATGCAAAGAGCTCCTTACTCTGTACAAAAGTTGAACCGACAGTCGGAGTCCATGCAATCATCCGGCGTGTGAATTAAATGAATGAATGTATGAACGAATGACCTCTGGCGTGCATGGTCTGGCCTCATATGAGTACTAGGTATTGATGATTTGACGAATAGCGACGATTTCTATCGTGGTATGCTTTTCAACTTTCCTCTTTCTAGCCAGGTTGCTCGATTGATATAGGTGTGATGATCTCATGCGCTGGTGAATGCATACTAAAATACTAAAATGTGCATGCTTGTGCAGTGAAGTGAGAGGGGATCGTGGGGTAAGTAAATGTTAGACTGTTAGTATCTCGTTCCTGGTAAACCGATGATGGCCCAGACTTCTATGTAAATAGGAGGGGATCTCTTCAAAGTTTGATTTTATCAAGTTCTTATAACTTTGAACCTGGGTGAAAGTAAGGTTTATCTTACCTCAATCTTCCATCAATTCCCCCACGTTTAGTTCGTTCAATTCAAGGAGAGGTTCCAGAGAGTCCTGAAATCACCATGAAGGTCTCCTCTAATCACCTCGCTGCTGCGATTGCATTCTTGCTCCCTGCAGTCAAGGCACAATGTCCAGATTATTCACAATATTCAACGACACAGCATGCACCACTCAGCAGCGGAAAATACGCTCTCTCATCGATGCGACCCGAGCCCGCATGTCGAACCTTCAACTCCTCGGTCGTGGAGCAAACCATCAACGATATGAAATCCGTAATCGCCGATCCAGACCTCTACCGTTTATTCCAAAACTCCTTTCCCAATTCCCTAGATACAGCCGTCAAGTGGAGAGGCTACGCGGCCAACAACTCGGAGGAGGAATTAACCTTTTTGATCACGGGAGATATCGATGCCATGTGGCTTCGAGATTCGGCAAACCAGATGCAGAGTTATTTGCCATTGTTGACGAAAAATTCCTCTCATGATTCTCTGGCGGGTCTCTATAGAGGTGTCATCAATCTCCAAGCGCGATACATTATCGAAGCACCATACTGTAACTCTTTCCAAGCTCCAACTGAGAGTGGAATTGCCCCCCAACAAAACCAGCCAAAGCCAGATAACTTTTCGCCTCCAAAATCTACAGATGTCGTCTTCGAATGTAAATATGAATTGGACTCTCTGGCGGCATTTTTGGAAATCTCTTCTGATTACTATGATGCCACGGGTGATATATCGTTTTTCCAGAAGTTTAACTGGGTTAGTGCTATTGAGACAATACTCTCCACCACCGAAGCCATGTTGATCGGAACCTATTCTACGAACGGCAGTGTGAATGCAAGTCCATACACATGGCAACGGGAAACCGTCAGTGCAACGGAGACGCTTGCCAACACTGGAGCTGGAAATCCCGTACAAGAAGGTACTGGACTAGTGCGCTCAGCATTCCGACCCAGTGACGATGCGTAAGTATTCCCTCTTCAACAAGAAGCACAAGATGCAAACTTACATATATCACTATAGAACCATCTATCAACTTTTCATCCCAGCAAACATGATGTTTTCCCGGTACTTAGAATCATGCAGTAAGATCATGACCGGTATTTACGGACAACAAAATCTCGCAACGCATATGCACGGTTTTGCAAGTAGTATTCGAGCTGCCATTACTAAATACGGTATTGTGCATGATCCCATTTACGGACAAGTATACGCCTACGAAGTCGACGGATTTGGTTCCTGTAAGTCAACATTTCTATTTCAAGTCGTGGGTTATGATTATTCTAATATGATGTAGCGAATCGTATGGATGATGCCAACATCCCTTCTCTTTTATCTGCGCCATTCTTGGGTTATCTAAGTGTAAATGATACCGTATATCAAAATACACGTAAATTTATCCTCTCGAAAGGTAACCCCTATTTCATGCGCGGTCCTGTTATTAACGCGTAAGTTCCCCCTCATCCTCCTCTTCCTTCCCTCTCCCCTCTTCCCCTCCCTCCCTTCTCCCCAAATCCCCACCTAACACCCCCACAGAATCGGCGGCCCCACGTCGGGCCCGGCCACGCCTGGCCCATGGCAAGTATAATCCGCATCCTGACCACCTCCTCCCCCGACGAAATCTACACCACTCTGAAAGAAATAATCAGTAGCACCGACGGCCTCGGATTAATCCACGAATCGATCAATTCGTTTGATCAGCATCAGTGGACTCGTCAGTGGTTTAGTTGGGCAAATGGATTGTTTGGACAGATGATTTTGGATTTGCAGAAGAGGGGCGGGGAGGTGGGTGGGGTTTTGGGGAGGAGTTTTCAGTAAGTGGGTGGGTTTTCCAGGGGAGTTTGGGTTTGGGATTTGGGGTTTGGGTTTAAGAGGTGAAGGAGAGGGAGGGAGGGAATTTGGGTGGGAGTGAGGGGAGGAAGGATGAATAATGAATGGATGGATGGATTTGCAGAATGTGGAAATACGTCTTGAGGGTTAGGTAATAGGTAATTAATTGGATTTGCTTGTCACCCACTCACTCACTCACTCTTTTACTTATGGTATGTAATGCCACTTTCGACTAGGGAACAACAGAAGAATCATTTGATATTCCAAAACTACGTTAGTGGGACGTGATTGAAATACTTCCGTGTCTTCACCACAAACACACATTCAATCTCGAAGCTATGGTATAATATCATTTCAAAATCCACTCAACAAAAATAACATTACAAACATCACAAATACGACCAGGAAAATATTTGGTATAAAATCATTCATTGAAAATCAGAGCGTTAAAGTCTATCTGTAAAGCAGGTCGCAAAAACAAAATCCCATAGTTTTTATCTTCCCTTGCCCTTTCTCTTACTACTCCCACTACCACTAACAGGTCTCCTTGAAATTACTCGCTCTCGCTCAGGCTCTCGTCCTTCTCGAAAAAGTGGTACTCCCCTTCCTAGCTCATCGCTTGAATCGGATCCCTCGCTGCTATCTGGGATTGTTATCACCTCGTTCTCTCCCCGTGGAGAAGTACGATGTCTGAGAGAGGAATCAGAAGGGATCCTATCGGCGGCAGGATAGCCTTGTGGTGGGCTACGTTTAACGGAAGTATAAGAAATATCGGTGGGACCGGGATAATTACGACGACCCGAAGATGATTGCGTGTACTGTTGCGTAACGGGCAAAGGCTGATCAGTGGTAACCTGGTAATCAAAGGGATCAGCGACATTGTATTGAGAAAGGGATGTCCGTTTGCTATTGGTAGGATTCCAGCTTTCCTCTTCTGGCAAAGAACGACGAGGACTGTTGGTATGAGGAGAAGCAGGCCGCATGCCGTCAGAGAAATGTCGACTCATACCTGGGGTTGAATTGCCACCATGGCGTGGTGATGAACGAGAACGAGATGTGTCCCTATCCGAAGGATGGTATGCACCAATTGGAGTATACGAAGGCCCCTGTGGTCCATCAACGATGATTCCAGGTCCTGCAGAGGGACTGTGGTGCGAGGAACCGCCCGATTTACTCTTCGATTTTCTTTTCCTTGGTTCACTGGTTGGCCTCGGGTCCAAAAGAGAAGCAATATCAACAGTTTTTCGGTCGCTGCGTCGTTTCTTTTCCGCTCCACCTCCACTAGATCCTTTTTCTTTCCTGGCAGCTTTCGCGGCGGCAGCAGCTTGCATACGGATCCGTCGACGTTCCAAGGCATCAAGTTCTTCTTGAGTAAGCCTCACATCTTGTCTCCCCTTTTCTTGAGCACGTCGAATACGAGCCAAAGCACCTTGGACTATTGCTTCCTCTTTATCCCCTCGTAAAGCCAATTGCCTGTCGTCACCCTCTTGGTAATCAGAATCTTCAGAGTCAGAATCGGACTCGGAAGATCGCTGAGACTCATCATAAGAATAACCCCTTCTAGGCCTCGTGTTTGAAATATCTATACCCGTAAAATGCAGTGGATCGCTTGCAAATCGTTTCTCACCCAAATGTAACCCAACTCGATGTGTATCTGTATCACCCTCACTATCAAGCTCCTCAACACGCGACTGCTGCCACTGCCCTTGATCCTGCTCCCACTGTCTTCTCCTCCTGCTCCCCTTCGCCCCTGATGGTCTTCCCCATTGGGGCATAGATTTGGGAGATCGCGGCCGACCGTCTAGACCGCCTCCCCGGAAAAAGCCTCATCGATTGGTTTGTCCATGAATGAGGCATGTCCTATGATGCTAACTCCACTCGCTCCAATGAGCCAGAGAAGAGTTGTGAATGGCGACGCAATGATTCCGAGAGGAACTGCGACGATTAAAAGACCAGTGTAAAGTTGCGAGGATGTAGCTTGGAAGCCAGCAACGTTTAAATCTTGACCCTCGAGCTTTCCGATCGCCCACATACCCCCAACGGCGAGGATGATGTCGAATAAGAGCAGGAGATTGGTGAGCAAACTGTAGATACTGAGCATAATAAATAATGCAAAGTAGTTGCTGGCGAAATGCCCAAGGTTGTAGTTGACTCTGGATTGAACTTCACCAAAGTTTGCCGGCTTGGAAAGGCGCTTGAAGTCGAAGAACTCATTTACAGGCTTGAGGTTGGCAAATCTGGTGGTCAGAGATTGTGCTCGCACACCAGAAAATCTGTCGGACAGATTAAACCTGGACGCGATAACGTCGAAGGGTATACTCATCCGTGACATTGTGTCGTTGAGAACGATGCAAATGCGTGAAGAAAGTTTGATGGATGTAAAGAGTCAAGTCCCAGGTCGCAGAAAAGCTGTTCAAGATTCTTGTATTTTCGACTTAGTTGAAGAATGTTTCGTAGGAGATTCGAGAAGTTGGAAAATGGTTCTTTTCCTCTTAGTCTGCCTTTTGTTTTTGAGATCTGTCAATATAAATAAAATTCTGATCAGCATCCGTCATCACAATAGGCAGAAGATAATAATCATGAGCCGGTACGAATTGAACGAAGTCAATTGGTTATGATCGAGAGACTTACGAATGAAATGCGGATGAGTGAATGAAGATTGATTTAATCTGTAGATCTTTTTGATAGTTGGTTGATCCTGTTGTTGTTTGAAGTTGTTGGAACTCTTGTGATAAATTTATCCCTTACGCAAACAAACGAACGATTGGCCCCTTACACCCCTAAAAGCCCAGCAGAGAGCTCCCGGGGAGATGAGGAATTCAAAAAGGCTCAATAAAGGAAGTCCGGGCGTTCAGCCAGGGGTAAGGAAGGGGTCTGAAACACATGCAGCTTCGAGAAGTTCCCTTTTAACCTCTGAAATAGAAGCTTTTGAAGGAGAAGGAGAAGGAGAAGGAGAAGAAGAAGAAGAAGAAGGAAAGAGAAGTGTTGGATATAAAAGTTCAAGTGGGATCTAAGCGGAGTAAGCAGTACAGAAATTTATATGGGTGCGGTGAACGGTTGGGACGCTGGCTTACGGAGTTCCCTTCAGAGGAAAGAGCACCGGTAGAAAATGAAGTAAGTATCAAATCGTGTACTTGCATAATGCATCAAGCTGGTAAAGGCCGTTCCTGTTCATCATTGGAAACAACAAGGCAAAGCAGCAAGGTAATCCCATACATAAACCATACACACCCATGCATAAACACATAAAACTATGCATTCCATCTTGTTGGAAAGTTGATGATTAAGTAAGCACTAGGACCATCACCAAACTCAAAGTCAATTCGTCAACCCAGCCAACCTGTCCAAAACAGAAATACCTACACATCCACAGGAATAATACTCAGCAGCAGTATATATAGCATACTTACAACTTCACATGAGAAATACATTAAAATTTTAATCAGTAACCAATTGTCTGCGTATCAATGTTCCCAAGTCTTTTGAACCTATCAGGGCAAGAGAGATCTTACCCCTCTGTCTTATGGAAAAGGACTGGTGGGCTCTAATCCACAAGTCCAGAACTAAGAAATTTAAGCGGCGCATTAGTTATCCTTACCGAATAAACCTCGCTGTCATCTATATTTCAAGAAAGTAGGATAGTATTAAATAACAGAAGGAACACATCTTCTGTGTGTCTTCTTTTTCATACTTTTCAATTCTTGTTCTTCTCCCTCTCCCTCTTCCTCTTCCTCTTCCTCTTCTTCATCTCCCCAAGATGAGAGGATCTTTCTATACCTTTGCCATATTGGCCTGCCTTTTGGCACTTGTCGCAGCATGGAGTAAAGAAGGTGAGTTGGCTTATACAGTCTATCAATATTCCACACCTCTGCCCAATTCGACACCTTGCGTCTTGTACTCCTTGAGATGTATCAATTGGCTCATTCATAGCAAATTATAGATCAGGAAATCTTTCGTCTGCAAAACGAAGTTGCTACCCATGATGGAGATGAGGTTACGTTTTATGATCTCCTCGACATTAAATCATCTGCGAACCAAGAGGAAATAAGAGCTGCATACAAAAAGAAGTCTCGTACTCAACATCCAGATAAAGTCAAAGCTCAATTCATTGCCGATAAATCCACAGGAAAGGGCGAAAAGTCCAAGAACAAGAAGCCAGGTGTCAGAGTTTCGAAGGGTCCTTCCCAAGCTGAAATCAAGGCACATTACCAACAAGCTAGCGATCGATTCACACGTTTGGGCCTAATAAATAAGATTCTCTTGGGAGAGGGTCGCGCCCGTTACGATCATTTTTTGAAGAATGGATTTCCAAAGTGGAAGGGTACTGGTTATTACTATGCTCGGTTCCGTCCTGGGTTTGGCTCTGTGCTTGTCGGACTCTTCATCTTCGTTGGAGGTGGTGGACACTACCTTGCCTTGTATTTGAGCTGGAAAAGACAGCGCGAGTTTGTTGAAAGATATATTTCATTCGCAAGAAATGCTGCATGGGGTGGAAATGCCAATCTTAATGTGCCTGGCCTCGATGGGACCTCAACGCCTGGAACAGATACCGATGCTGATGCAGATCTTATGGCCCAGCCAATGAACCGAAAACAGAGACGCATGCAGGAGAAGGATACCAAGAAAGACAAATCTGAAAAGAAAGTCAAGAAGGTCAAGGCATCCTCACCTGGAACTCCAACAACTATTACCGGACCAAAGAAGAGGGTAGTTGCTGAAAATGGCAAAGTGCTCATCGTGGATTCATTCAATAATGTATACCTGGAACAACCTGATGAGGATGGTAAAATGCGAGAATATTTGCTTGACGTAAGTTGATCTCTGCACGTTCAGGAAACATTTCACTAATTCGATTTAGCTTGATGAGCTTCCTGCCCCTACCATGAGAGAAACTGCTCTTTTCCGCCTGCCAACCTTTGCGTTCAACCAAACCATTGGTCGTTTCTTGAACAAAGCTCCACTTGAGGAAGAACATGAAGAGATAGAAGAAGTATCCAACAGCTCCGGTGCCGATGACTTTGAAGTTCTCGAGAAAGTCAAGACAACTGCAACAAACGGGAATGGGAAAGCAACAAGAAGGAATAAGAAGAATGGTCGCTGATACATGGGAATATTTTTGGGTAGAGGTTGTAACAAAATATTTGTAGTTTAGAAAAAGGTTCCATCATATTTTCAATTTAAGAAACATAAGCTCCAGTAGCCATGAAGTCAATGGCTGGTTGTGAAGTTCTCACCACACGATGCTCGGGTGTATAAAACTTCGCTATGTCCAGAGATGGTGATTAGTGGACGAGACGCAAATGATCTCTAGGTAGGATCACCAACATATTAACATTCACAATTGCAATGAGGAAGAAGACAATTGGGTCAGCATGATTCTTCTATTGATTGGCCTACTGTGGGAAAAGCAGCAGCTGAGCCTCGAATTTTTCACGTGAAAATACTCCCCGTGGACTTCCTTACATCTCATGTTTCTATTCAATCCCAGATTCGGATGTCAATGCTTATTTGATCTTCCTTAATCTTGGAGCGATATGCTTGGCATTGCGGAATTGTTATTATGCTTCTACTTGTTATCTCTCATACATCAAAGACTATCATGTGTCTTATTCATGTTTGTCTTCATGTTTGAAGGGCTTTTGCTTGGATATAATCAAGCAAAGAAACTAGTGCATTTACTGTACGGCGGACAAGCGCTCGCAGCTCTAGTGATTCCGTTCTAGAACGCTCTTGGTATCCTCTATATTCATGCTTACTGAAATTTCTCAGTTCTTACTCTCTTTTTTGAAGGGAAAAAAGCATGTGTTTTCCTTTTATTGATATTTAAGCGAGAGCGAAAGGGGTGGCCAATAAGTCTCAATAATGTACTCAATAGATTACTTTTTTTGTCATTGAAGAGACGAAATTTCCACTCTTTATTATATCTTCAAACAATCTGTATTTGGATCCTCTGAAATCTGAACAGGTTCTCTACTAGTGTCGGAGAAGTCTTCGGGGTCTAGAGAATGGTTTTTCTGTAAGGTAAGTGAATATGGTGAGAATCGTAATAAAATTTAGATGGGTTTCAGCCAACAAGGTATGAGCATTGCACATGGGACGAGACAGTATTTATGCTCAATTTGTCATTAGTTGAAATGATAATCTCACTTTGCCGAGGCAAGGTACCGCATGCATATCTTGCAAACAAACTGGAGATTGCCTCTTTCAACCTTGTAATGATCGATTGGTATTGAGCAACAGCTCTTATCATCACGTCTAAACCACAACATGCATATAAATTAACCTCCCTTCAACGGTAATTGTTCCGAAAACCTTTGTCGCTGCGAGCCCTTCTCTTTTCTCGCTTCCAATTCTATTGAGACCCTCAAAAGGAAAAACCTCCTCCTAAAATCTCAATAGAAATACTTTTCTTCAAAGCTTCTTTGGACAGCAGCGGCGGAGTTCCCTCACCTTCCTCTTGTTAATACTGAACAACGCAAAGTCCAATCATCTATAAATCACGTCAACTGCGGTGCTTTTGGCATGATACCTTTTCTCTTTTTCATTACCCATATTCAATCTTTGAAATTTTAACACCTACACTCACTGCTACAATACTTTTACCTTCAATCTACCTTCATTATGAAGTTCACAAACGCAATCGCTCTCGCTATCTTGGCTGCTACCGCCGCCGCCGTCGCCGTTCCTGAGCCATGGTGCGGAAGGTAAGATATTCCTTTTTCCCCGTCGATATATCTGTTACAGGAACATTATGCTAACATAAACTTTTAGACCCGGTCAACTATGCAAGCGTACTCCTCTCGCTGAGGCCGAGGCCGAAGCTTGGTGCGGACGCCCTGGTCGACCTTGCCGCAAGACCAAGCGTGCTGCTGAAGCTTTAGCTGAGGCTTTCGCCGAGCCAGCCGCTGAGGCCTATGTTGATGAGGCCGTCATCAAGAGATGCAACATGGTTGGTGGTGCTTGCTTCGAGGCTAAGAGACTCGCTAGAGATCTTGCTGAGGCTACTGCTGAGACCAAGAGGGATGCTGATGCTTTCCTCGAGGGACTCAACATTGAATCCCGTGAGGGTAAGATATAATTTTTCTATTCTCCCTTTCTTCCTACACTCTCCCTATACTCTTGTCAAGAAATATCTGCTAACATAATCCCTAGTTTCGGAGATCGTCGCTCGCGAGGCAGAGGCCTGGTGTGGACGCCCCGGACAACCATGCAAGCGCAACGCTGAAGCCGAATGCGGACGCCCCGGCCAATCCTGCAAAGAGAAGCGAAAAGCCGACCCCGAAGCTGAAGCCTGGTGTGGAAGTCCCGGTCAACCTTGCCGTGCCGTTCGTCGTGCCGCCGAAGCTATGGCTGAGGCGCTCGCTGAGCCAACCGCTGAGGCATGGTGCGGACCTTGTCGCAAGGCTAAGAGAGATGCATTCGCTTTGGCTTATGCTGCTAATGTTGCGCTTGCACAATTGTAAGTGGTTACCTACATACCATTGCGGGATTTGCGCCAAAACTCGAATGGATGAAATGCTGCCTATGGATTTCCGTCTCGTTTCTTCAACTTTCTAGTCGATAGATTACTTTACATCACGGCGATTCAGCCACGTATTTCTTAGACGCACCTTCGACTCACTTTGTTGCATTTCTTTCTTTTCGTCTCGTTCGGTACATACACGAGCAGACCACAGATAGCGCTAGACTTTTGCGCCTACATACACAAGAACTTCGATTCATGTTCCTTTTTACATTACAAATTTTGGCACTCTGGATTTTTACTCTATAAAAGAATGATACAATTTTTTTTCACTTCGCCGTCATATTTTTTATGGATAGGCAGATATCACTTTTGGGATATCATTCAACACAACATGGCTTTTGGGATCTTTAAAAGTAAAGCAAGCATGGCAAAAGCATGGGCCAAAAAAAAACAAGGATTTCTTAACTTCTTTCAAAAAACTTTTCAACATAACATAAAATATAGAGATTGGATACTACTGGGACTAGATCCCCTGCTGGATCTCTTCTTTTTTTTTCTTTAAAGATGAGAGAGAGAGAGGATTCGAGTGTGGGGTTTAGTGTCGGTGTTGTTTGATATTTTTGTATTATATTTTTACACTTTTACTTTTACATACTTTTGTATGCTGGGAAGGAAAATGGGATGGATGGATGGATGGATGGCATGGTTTTGATAAGGTTGGGTGTGGATTGCGGATTGTGGTTCGTGCTCGGCTTTGGATTTATGTCATTTTATTTCATTTTATTTTATTTTATTATTCCCCCCCCTTCAGCCTCTTGATGGGTTTCTGTGATGCTCATCTTGTGATTTGCTGATTTAGTCGTGTGATGTGAAATTATGGTGGTATGGTATTGGTATTGGTATTGGTATTGGTATGAGTATGATACACCTAACTCCTAACCCTATTCATTTCGCCTCTGATCCGACGGCAAGGTTTCTTTAATTTCTTTAATTTCTTTAAAAAAAAGTTCCATGATGAACCTGCTCACTACTTAATTTTCATTCTCTGTCTTGAATATTATTGCGTTTACCTCACTAAACTGTACACATGACTATTGATTTTCTTTGAATCTCCTCCAAGTGTTGGATGTCTAATTGTTAATTTCGAGTTTCGAATTAGCTGGTACTGATAATTATTCGAAGCCGGCCCGAAGCTCTTTCGACTGATATGTTCTCAGCTGAGACTTTGGTTTTATTTTCTCCAGAGTCTCGAGTGAGCTGTGGAAACAGGCTATGCGTTGGATTATGGAGCAGAATATTATTATTATTATTATTATTATTTTTTAGCTGGTTGTAGTGCTGTGTGGGAGCTCTGCAGTTGGAAGATACATACGCTATATCATTGTGTGGCTTGATGATAATCTAGATCAATAAGAAATTTGCTGTGCATTTCTCCAAGTTTTTGTTGCAAGATTATATTTGATCTCAGTTGTATGCATCTAACTGATGAATGAATAAAAGGGTGGGTGGATTCGGTAAAAAATAATTTAAAAAAAAAAAAGAAATTTCTTTGTTTAAATACGTATAGTAGTCGGCTGGGAGATTAAGCCAAAGCCATGTGACTTTTTGTTTTACTTGGGAAATGGAGTTGATAGATTGCTTTCTCTATATACCTACCTAGGTATGTAGATGTGTTAAGAGTGAGTGAGTGAATCGAGAGGCGAGGATATATGAATTGAATATCTTGTGAAGGACTTCTCATTCACTGCTGGGCTAGGGAATATTGTAATCTCCCTGCTAAATCGCATCTTGGCGCTAATAACAATCACTAAAACCTATTCACTATCTAAAGGGCAATAATTATGGAATGGTAGAAGGGATTTTGAAGAGCTTAATAACGACTTTTCATCTAGGTGAATGTGAAGGATTTCAAACTACTTTTTAATTAATTGGGCTTCTCATCACATTCCATTAGACGAAAATATAGAAACGATGTTCGACGGCGTTGTACTAAGCTATGAAAATTCCGAATAATGCAATGCTTCTCTAGAGAAGCAGACCTTATAATTTGACGCACTTAAGTTCAATGCTTCGAGTTATTACTAATCGATATCTTTGCATTGCGTATATACTCCATTCTTCCAATGATATTGTATGGATAACTAGTTGAAGTGTTACACTCATGGCGCATCGACGTTATTTTTGCAGTACATTGATTGAGGGCTTAGTACTCAAAGACTTGATGTGTTCGGCGGGAGTGAAGACGGCAGAAAGCTGGAACGGATTTGAGGAACGAATTCCCCTTGGGCTAACAGGAGTTGGAGAGGAAAGACTATGGATTGTTCCTATGCAATCATTGTAGATGTGATTTATACTACTGCTTTAAAACATACATTGCGGGTGACTAAATCAATCAAAAATATTTAAATTTTCAGATACAAGCCATAGGTTTCTGAACATCTAACATCCAACAATCAACACTGCTCACTCTAATTTCAAATTTTGGATAGTCCGCAAAGCAAACACTCTCTCCACAACTCTTCTCTATCACAATTCAAAAATCCAAAACAACAGCAAAAAAACAAAACAGCAAAACCTTATTAGAGTCCCGATTAACTTCTAATTCCATAACAGAAGATGAATACACAGAATGACTGCACAAACCATCCCAGGTCCCGTGTTAGCAGCTCTTGATTATTGGCGCAGGTAGAGTTGTTTCCCACTGCACCACAGGATATGTTCGGTGGGAGGGGTGCAAGAATTTAAAGATACAAGTGAGAGGAAGATATTTACTACTGAAGGTCATTTCCAAGACGGCAAGTCTCCCATTGTTTTGAGGTAACGGTGAGCCAGTAAAGTTCTAGGCGAGTTTTCCTATATCCGCAAGCCAATCCCAACTCATGATATCCTTGGTGCGGACCGAAATCAGAATACCCTCTGGTAAATTCCTTGTGGTTAGCCTTCTCGAATTTAGGACTTTTGGAGATATTTAGGGCCGTGAAACAGGGCGTTGAGGCCGAATTGACATTTTCCAATAGACATTGATGCTTTTCATGTGTATGATACATATCCTCAAGGATCTGCATAGAAAAAGGATTTGGTTGTTTGCTGGAACTTTACGGAAGGGGTATTCGCTATAATCGTTCATGATTCCCCAAGGGGGAAGCATTCGGTAGCGGTAACTGGTAGGCTGCTAGGAAGACGAACAAGTCATTGTTTGGTAATTTTATTTCAAACTTCCTTACCTCGATTTTGCATGCAGATGCTCTTGGATCTGCGATTAGCCCCTGAAAGAAATCTGGACGGGCTGACAGTTTTGATGTTTGATAGTGGATCAAGAAATGGTACTCTTGATGCAACTAGAACTTCGCATCCTCTGATAGGTATTGGTATGGTCATCCTTCGCACGCCGTAAATGTCGGAGCTATGGAGAGAATCTCACATTACAGATTGGCCTTCTTAGAATGCATAATTATCTTTCACATATCCCTAGGTAATGTCTTGCATACATCCATAGCCGTTCGCAGGTGATGAAGAGTCGTTGTCTCATGACGAATACTCGTAAAAGACTTGAGTTACCACATCGAGCAGAAGCTAATCTGAAACGTGCCGGGTTCGTCCATTGCAAAGTTCAGTGAGTCACTATTCTATAATAACTGAGAAGGATACGCCGATTGTGCAATAGACACATGGGAAAAAGTGAAGAGTCGAGTAATGAACGCGGATATCATACCACCTATACCGGAAAGACATCAATAGAAATGCTTATAGGAATCAGGTGCTTATTGAAGCTTGAAGATCGTGTATCTTTTCAAAGTACTCGCTTGAGCACTTGACATCACATTTCGGCGTTCTAGTTTAAACATAATTCTCATGCATTTGGTTGTATCTCTCAATCATAGGGCAGTCGAAACATTGCACAGAGATGGTTCATCAGACTTGACTGTGAAAGGCGGACGTCACGAAGGTAGGATAGCCATCAGTAACGAAAAATCTGGAAAGGGTGCTCAGCGCGAAAATCAAGACGCAGTAAGTGATATAACCTGATGGCCTTTCAGAAAGTTGTGACAGAATACATTTCGTTGTAAATTACACAGGTCATATTGTTTCAGCACGCGGGCCTCGACCAGTCCAACCAGTTTTGTTTGATTCCATTAACCCTCGAGACTTAAATTCTTCTCTGATGACTTTCAATCTTCCAACATTTCGTTCCTTATCTACTGGCGTAATACGTTTTCTGACTACACGGACGTTTGGTAAGGACAGTAGTTCCTTATCTTGTTGTAGGGCTTTGTTCAGGGTTGGAGGCTTAGGTGGCGTGATGAGGTGTTGCAAGAGCTTTTCTGCCGTACTGGAGGAGCTGATAACATTGTCCGGTATTCTTTTACCTATTAGTTGCATTGTACGTTTTACAACCTGTAAATTATTAGCAAGTGCCCTATCAAATACTTCATGATATGACCTACAGCAAATTTGACCGCGGGGTCTTCGAGAGAAATTTGGAGCCACGAATTTCCCCAGCGTGCGTCCTGTACTCTAGCCTTGGTCTTCAACGGGTCCACCGGTGAACGGTCCGCTGTAACATCTTCCTCTGATACCGTAGGAACTCCCTTTTCCGCAGTGTCGTTAATCTTTGGTGTAGGTCCTGGATGCAAGGGATCTACAGGTGACCTATCTGCAGCAACATCTCCTTCAGACTGGGTAGGCAAACCCTTTTCTGTCTTGTCAATCGAGGAAGTTGCAACAAGGCTAGCTTTACGTCTTTGTTTGCCTTTTTTGGGAGGCGCCAATGATTTAATTATCTGTTCCAGGGAACCATTTTCTAAGAACTGTAGGATAGCACCCGATCCCGAAGGATTGATTTGTACATTTCCAGTAAAATCTTCACCAGGCTCAGCCTGGGAAATTTCCGACAAGGGTCTTCCAGCTTGTTTAAGGGCGAAAACTTCGACAATAGCACGATGTAATGCTCTCGTCGCTTCTACAGAATCTTTGATCTTCGGAATGAAAAGTTTGTATGGATAGTTGGAATCTAACTCAGCGCCCCAAGATCCTTCGTAGCCACCAATCGTTTCTAATCCTATTCCATTCTCTGCTGGTTGATAATCGTAGGCATCCTCAGCTAATATTCTCTCCTTCCGTTCAAACTCTGGTTCCGTTACTTGTGCTGGTACCTGACTAGGCCCAGTATAGGGATCTACAGATGTGGAGGGGGCTTGCTTGAACAGGCTTCGTCGCACTCGCTCGCCCAATGATTCTTTGTCTGCCCGTAAAGAAGTCGAGAATGAAGATGTCTGGTTTCTGCATGCTGAGCAACGGTACGTATTTGAATTTTGTGAGATAGACCCTGTACGTAGGAGGCTAATTGACCTGTCTATTCTTGTTATTCGACGCATGGTGTGTGAATCGTTTGTTTGAACTGAAATGAGGCAGTTATTGATATCTCTTTGAGCTTGAACTTTTTGGATCGAAACGAACTAGTCTGCAAAAGTACTAGCGTATTTTGATTCCCACCTAGAACTATGACACTGGGGAAGAGCTTCATCTCATCGCGTTATAATTGTGGTAAACAACTTCAATGGGATATCAATTGTGACAAATCGAGACACCATTTATGTTGGATGATGCGGTCAACTTTTCTCTTCGCATTAACAGAATTTCACCAATATTTGAGTAACCTAAATACCAATTCAAAGCGCTTGACACATCACTAAGTAGCAAAGATGAGGGGAATATACTTCTTGCTTATATTGTGTACGTTAGTTCTTTCAACAATAGCAGCTTGTAAGTGTATGTCAAATATTGTTGCTTTCTCTAGCCACTAACTGTCCGTACAGCACCTCCATCTTTTTGCAAATGTACCTGCTTTACGAATAGCACCATCATTCCCTTGTCTTCTCATTCGAGCTCTTCATCTGATAAATCAGACTCCAAACACGACTCTCGTGCTCCAGCGGCGACATGTACTATGTGCAATCGAGCATTCTGTCTCGCCCAACGACTACCGATATGTAAAGAGGCCGAAGAGAAAGATGTATTCACAACATGCTTTCAGCGAGATAGCAGAAAGGATCAGATCGTAGTCCTGACATTCATTGCTGGTACTTTAGGCTTGCTTGGTTGGGCAGCGGTGAGAAAAGTTGTTGATAAAAGGAAAGGTTTACACGTTGGAATTGGCGACACGCAACCAGGATATACTCCCGTTGGAGTTAGATGATCACGCCGTCGGTAGATCAAAACGTCGAGGAGAAGTGCGTAAGTATGCATAGTTTGAGGGAACAAGGCATTTTCCTTCCAAAATTTGCCATATTTTTAAAGTCTTTTAGCTTATGACGGATTCAGCACATGAAAAACAATGCCGAGTGCCAATATGTCTCGATCACATGAAAACGGTCTTGAAAGACACAATTAGGACCCAACGGAGACACTGGTTCCTCACATCGACCTTTTTATCCCATCTGGCGTGGAAAGTACGATTTTGAAGCTTTTCTTCATGGACTGTTATTCGAGACAGACTGGGAAGGAACAATGGAAAGCACTCAATTCATGAATGCCGTGTTCTTTAAATTCAAGACTTGCACACACTATACTTCACATCCAAACACCATCAATTCACCATCATATCGAATAATTATACATTTTTGGGCTCTTATTTTTCACATAAGCTTTGCATATAATACCTTTGCACTCAGTTGCATCCAGAACTCCCCAACAGTCGAAATATGTCGGAGCAAGTTGCCGTAGAACCGTTCATATATTTCATCGAAAGATTTCGCGCCGCGATGGTGGCTCTGCTGCAAGGAATCCTTCCACCAGACTATCTTTTGGAATCTGTGGATAAAATCATATGGCACGCACTTAGAGAGAACAAGCAGGATTATACCAGTATTGTGTTGCAGGCAGTATTCCAGACCATAGGTGTTTCCCAGGAGCAGAAAAATAGGTTTATTCGGCATGCAGGATGGGCCAACCATATGTGGAACGTGAATGGCACATACCATAACTTTCACGAAGTTGTTAAATTTCCACCCACCAAGCCCATTTATCAAAGCAATTCATGGCACCAAAGGCGAGAAGATTCTTTGGAAAACTGGACGAGACCTTGTGCTGTTCAGCATAACAACATCGAGCAAAGACAATCAGTATATCTCTCCAACACTGTTCCACAATCACATAACAGCTATTTGGAAACGGGGAAATATCCAAAGCACGTTCACTGCGCAGCCACACCGGATGTTGCAGAGATGTATGTTTTAGAGACTCCCGCATCAGATTCATCGAGCCTTCTATCCCATACGATTGAATTGAGCGTGTCAAGACAAACACGTGAGCAGGATGGATTGAAACAGACAAGTGAGCTCAGGCGAAGTCTCCAGCGAGGAATACTCAAAGAACCCCACTGTTCTGTACAGTGGATAGAAACGCCAAGCACGAAGGAATCTAGCAATTTCTTGAACCGTGACCATAATAGACTTCTTAAGACAGTTGATCATGCTAAGTCTCGAAAGGATTCAGTTCTGCAACAAGAGCAAATATTACCCAATGACTTCCCCAATGACCTGGGCAATTCCTCAGGGATAATCGATCCACATCTCATATTCCTTGACGTCCAATGTAAAGGGCCTAAATCAATACGAGTTAACGGTCGTACATAGCTTTGGTTGCCGCAGACATGGTGCATCGACTTATCCAAATTATAAGGCACCAACACATATATTTCTCGGCAATCAATGAAAGATTTACAGCCCTGAATCATTTTTATTCCACATCACACCTTGTTAACAGGTTCCGGATCCTCCATTGCTAAGGCCTCCAAGACCACCTTTTCTCGACAACCATGTCGTTCATCTTCGTCCATGCCAGATCCGTCCATGTCAGATCTGTCCACCTGGAAGAATTTGATCCTTACCAAGTGGAGCTGCTCATGAGGCGTCACAGGCCTATCATGCAAACTACAGCAATATTTGATGGAACATAGAAAGGCTTTGGTTATATTCATTTAATGTCTGCTGTAATAGGAGTGATTGTTGAATGGTGTTGGTTTCATACTTAAAAGTTGGCACACCCCGTGGGAGGAAGCATCGAGATGTTTATATGGGGATGTATCAATAATCTTAATTTTGTACAGTAGCTTTCGCAGGTGGAGTATGAGCTTATAAATCATCATATTTGTCGTTTTCACCACCTTGTGTTCTTCCTGATGTGCTTAACTTCGCTCATTCAAGGGCCTCCTCCCCCGCCGCTTCTTTTCTAGCCTCCCATTCTGTGATAGCAAGCATACACCATTCCATTCTTTTCTTCCTTCTGTCCTCATCACTCACTGCTTTCTTATCCCGTTTGTTTCTTTTCGTCGTGATATAATCGGTGGCCTGATGATACTCTGGCTCACACTCTGGACATCCATACCCTGCATTTATGACTGTGCGTTTGAGTATCGATGCGCAAAGTGTGGTTTGAGATTTTTGTTGGGGATCTAGTGGTGGAAGAAGTGATAGATTATGAATTGCCTGCGGACAAGTCGTTATGGTTTGATTAGATGGAATGGGAGAGCTCGCATCGGAGGATTTAGATGGGATGATGCGAGTGGCGTGGTGAAGAGATGTTGTAACGTGGTTACATGTTTGATAATAGGTGTTGACTAATTCGCAGGTAGATGTTTTGGATGCAGTTGTCATGTTTAGTTGGTTAATTTGTTGAACTCTCTTATGGATCTGTGGTGCTCTAGGCTCTGTCTGGGCTGTTATTTATTCTGATGGCTTGTCAAAGAATTGATCATGTCCGGTTTCGGGAAATTCTGGGAATGGATTAGATTCGTTGGGTTGATGAGAACAATAGCTTTGTGCATATGGCTTTTTGGCTTTTTTGGCTTTTCGCTACTTTGTTCTCGAATCTGTATTTTACATTCATGGAGAAGATGCAGAAGATGAATTCCCAATGGTATGATTTGGGATGAGAATTAGTTGGAGCTGTTAAGATCTAGATTCTATAGATTTTTATGTTTTCTTACAATATTAGATGAGTCCCTTTCAACATCTATCTGAATTTACACAATTTATAAATATTATCATCCCGTCCTACTCACCCAAGCTTCTTTATAACCACTTTGAATACTTTTTAACATTGTATATCTCCAGTAGTGTTTTTAATAAATCAGGTAAATATATTCGAGAATATCATTATCCCATGTTGACCGACGAGAGAGAGAGAGAGATAGCTAGGAAGATTACTTTGCCTACCTTAAATTTTGTCATGTGCATTGAGGCCTTGTGCAAAAGGTCACGACAGCAAAGCCTGTGCTTTTCCACAAGAGGGGATTACGCTCGATGGAATAGGTATATCATTGTGATATAAAAACTTCCTGCCTAGTGAGATGCAGTCGAGGTGATACCGGTGGTAAAGTAGGACATACCATAATCCAAAGCATTTCTAGAGCGAAGCGAAAAAAGCCTCCACGGCAGTGGCCTAGGGGAGCGTCATAGGATCTTACAAACAGGAGGGACATTTGATGGTATTCATGCATTGCCCATTATTTTAGGGCATCGCATGAAATCTCAACCTCTGAGGGTTGACTAATGTGAAAGTACAAGCAAGTAAAGTGCTGCTCTGATTTCTATACAATAGAACATAAGATATCACATCTCATAATATTCATGAATTAGGTATATAAAATGTTTTTAATAATTATCATATATTTTGAATTTCTGAAGGTCGAGTAAAGTGAAACGTAAAAAGAAAGTGAAGCGTGAAATTCCGCTCCGTGATAAACCGATTTCACAAGCCGTTTCCTAATTAGGTAAAGGCTCATTATCTCCAACCGGGTTAAACTTCTACCTTTTTCACGGGTATTCTGACCTACTGAATATCTACGGCTTTCTTAACACAACCTACCAAAATTCTTCAATATTCTCTAATTTCAAGATGCTGGCAAGAAACTCCGTCAGGTCGGCGCAAGTATGTGAATTTGTTAAAGAATTCTAATTCTAATTCTCAATCGCATATTCTTAGTTCCAAATCATTTCTGTGTCTATGTCTGTCACAAGCTAATATCAACTTCTTATCAGAGTCTTTTGCGAACCGCTCACGTCGCTCCCACTAGAACTTTCGCAACTGTTCAATCCGACATTTTCAAGCCTACAAAGTATGGTGGAAAATATACTGTTACTTTAATTCCTGGTGATGGTATTGGAGCCGAGGTTGCCGAGTCCGTAAAGACAATCTTCAAAGCAGACAATGTGCCAGTCGAGTGGGAACAGGTTGATGTGTCTGGTGTTGAGACAGGAGACAAACACTCCGAGGATCTTTTCCGGGAGTCAATAGCATCCTTGAAGAGAAATAAGCTTGGTCTTAAGGGTATCTTGCACACTCCTGTCGAGAGATCCGGTCACCAATCTTTCAACGTCGCACTTCGACAAGAACTAGATATTTACGCATCCATCGTCCTCATCAAGAATATTCCAGGTTACAAGACTCGCCACGAGAATGTCGATCTCTGCATTATTCGTGAGAACACTGAGGGAGAATACTCTGGATTGGAACATCAGTCGGTTCCAGGTGTTGTTGAATCTCTCAAGATCATTACCCGCGCCAAGTCTGAGAGAATTGCGAAATTCGCATTCAGCTTTGCTCTTGCCAACAACCGCAAAAAGGTCACCTGTATCCACAAGGCCAACATCATGAAGCTTGCCGATGGTCTTTTCCGTAAAACCTTCAACGATGTTGCTAAGGACTACCCCACTTTGGAGACCAACGATATGATTGTCGACAATGCATCTATGCAATGTGTATCCCGACCACAACAATTCGATGTTATGGTTATGCCTAACTTGTACGGAGGAATTTTGTCCAACGTTGGTGCTGCTTTGGTCGGTGGTCCAGGTCTTGTTCCTGGATGCAACATGGGACGTGAGGTTGCTGTGTTCGAACCTGGTTGCCGTCACGTTGGTTTGGATATCAAGGGCAAGGACCAAGCTAACCCAACTGCTATGCTCCTCTCTGGTTCCATGCTTTTGAGACATCTTGGTCTTGATGACCATGCTAACCGAATTTCCAAGGCTGTCTACGATGTTATTGCTGAAGGGTAAGAGAAACCGAAATCCATGAGTCACAAGTCTACTTAAACTAATATTTCTATAGAGCCGTAAGAACCCGTGATATGGGCGGAAACAGCTCAACTAATCAATTCACCCGTGCTGTTTTGGATAAGATGGAGTTGGCTGCATAAATTGGTGGATAGACTGTAAAAAGGATACCCTAGATATGGATGGAGGTGTAGATTAACGGGTTGAAGTGCATACAAAATATTATATCAACAATTATACTTTGACTTTGAGGTGATTCCTTGACGTTTTTATTGGGTTTCTTATACATACGAAGCTATCAAACTGTTTGAGTTAATTTGGAATTCAAAACTCGGACCTATTCCACATCTATTCTATGATGCGCTCGGAAGCTTTTCTGCTCATAGTATAGGCTTTAAATTCCGTTCCCTCTTCTCCAAAATCTTCTAGCCCCTCTTCTTCCACTGCAAACCCTTGCCAGGAGTCCACAGAGACTCCAACCACTCGTAGCTCAAGTTCAAGCTTATTGAGAGCGAGCCACGTGGGTTTAGGACTCACCCTCCATCGATATTAATAACAATCAATTCAATCAGAGAAACTAACGCTCCGCTGGCCCTCTGGCGGCCAAGACTAGAGGATGGTGAGATTTTGAATCTTTCTGGAATCTGGAAGGGGTAGAGTGTTTGCGTATTCTTCGTTGGTTAAGTTGGTATATGAAGAGATATGGAGAGACCTGTACTAGGCGAGTTCAAAACGGCTTGTTGAAGGTAAGATTTTGGGGTTTCAGTGTTATTTGCAAATATGAACTGCGTAGGATTGCTCATTGGAGTTTGTTATTACATAAATATGTTCTTCAAACTGATATCATAAATAAACACTCCATATCCCATCTCCCTAACGCCATTGCGTGCATATATACACACGAATATCCCCATCCCAAACCTTTTAAAAAGCAATGTTTCTTTTCCTACCCGTGTATTTACTCGAATTCTTGACCACCTTCCCTTTCCTCTCCATTTGTTCCTTCTTCCCCAAAATCCATGCCTTACTACCCTTCTTGACCTCTTTTCTACCCTTCTCTCTATGCTTCTTCCTCGCATCCAATACATCCACTCCATCCATCCCTTTAACTATCCCCGTAATATCCCCGTTGCTAGTCTCCACATCCCCCCCTCCAACCGTCAAAACCAAATACAACTTAGCATTTTTCGTCCCCGGATCATCCTCCAATATTCCCGCTCCAAAGCCGGCCTTAATAGCAGCCCCAGTTATCATAGTCCTCTGCTGATCATTCTTCGGATAGAATTGACAAACTGCTCTTCCACCTCTTTTTAACGAAGCATATAGTCCACCAAAAAACCTCGAAAGTCGACCCGTACTAGACACTTCGCTACTTTCCGCATTACACAACCATTGAATCGCACTAATACTAATCGCGGCATCGAAACTTCCCGCTCGAAATGGTACGCCCTGTCCTATGTCACTTAACATTAAATCGCCCTCGACGTCGCGCTGTAATGCTATGTCTAACATTGATGCGCTGATGTCCATTCCAACCCAGATGTGGGGTCCCCCTTCTTCTTCTGGGACTGCGGAGAGGATTTCCCCTGAGAGGCCGGAACCGCAGCCGATGTCTAGGAGGAGAGAGGGTGTTTTTAGGTCGAGGAGTTCGAGGGCTCGGTTGGTCATGCTGGCTTGGATGTTTTGGATTCGGGAGGAGGTCGTGTATTTGCGCGCTTCGGTGTCATTGTAGTGGAGGTCTGGGGGGCTGTATATGTGTTAGGAGGGGGGGATGGCGGTTGTCGCATTGTTGTTGAGAGGAGGGAAATCTTACAGTGTATCTTCTGGACGAGACATTTTTGTGAGGAGTGGTTGTGGTTAATTCTTTTTCAGCTTCCGTCTGGATTTGTACAAAAAGCCTACGATCGATGTTCAATGCTAGACTTTCCTGGTAGTAATGAATTGAGTCGTCGTCACACAAATTTCTCAATTCCAATTCTGGATCGAAATCAGAGCGTGCGTGCGATAAGAAGATAAAAAATTCTAGTACCAAATAAAAATATAGTGCCGAATATTAGCCGGCCAAATATCTGGGGTAGGTAAAGAACAGCTAACTAGAACCCCTCCCTATTCGCAACAGCTTTCCTTTGAAGAAACAATATGCAGTTCTCATAACATTTTACTGCCAGTTTTATCATCATGTGGATCTTACCTATTGTCGGATATCTGGGGGTAGCGGTCGGCTTTGGTTTCCTGACTACTGCTATTGGTAAGTTTTAAACTATTTTAAAGCCTTGGGTTTCTGGGCACGCGTCTCTCTCCAGATTTCATGGGAGATGTTATGTTATGTTATGGTATTTTGGTATTGATGCTGATTTAATATATGCTATAGCTTCAGGATTATACTATCTCTCCGAGCTCGTCGAAGAACACACGGTAATGGCAAAGCGTTTCTTGACACGAATGATATATGCGATTATTGGGCTCCAAACCCTTTTATGTGTAATCGATGGATTTAGTTTTAAACTAAGCGTCATGAGTATTCTTTCTCATTTGGTGTACTTGGGGAATATGAGGAAATTTCCCGTAGTTCACTTGAGTAATCCTCTGTTTCTCATTTCATGCGGTATGCTCTCCTCCCTTTATTTGCAAATGCAAAAAGTAGACGGATACTAATACTCAAGTAGCTCTGGTGTTAGTAAATCACTATCTTTGGTTCCGCCACTTCGCAGCTGGTCCTATTAGAACCCCTACTTCCATTTACGATACGTCCGGATATCCCGATTTTACGCAAATAGCTTCATATTTCGGGTTATGTGTATGGTTGACGCCGTTTGCGCTTTTTGTGTCGTTGTCTGCGAGTGATAATGTGTTGCCGACGATGGGGAGCGAGGAACCGAGTATGCCGGAGGGATCTGGGAAAGTAAAGGGGAAGAGAGAGGGAATTGCAAAAGTTATTATTGATTCGGTTAGGAATGGGATTGCGGAGTTGGGCAGGATTGCTGGGTTCTGGAAGGAAGATAGGGGGTTTTGATGGGCAGTGTGCCTTTCGATTGTATTATAGCATAGCTGAGATACCAGGTTTCGGCATGACGAGTTGTATGATTTAGTGTTGGACTTTTCAAATGGAGTTTGGGAAGCAGTAGGGCTGGGCAATTTTGTGAAAATTGACCAATATTGGATATTGTACTGTGGTAATAATGTGCAATATAATAAATAAGCAAGCTTTCTATGGTATCTTCCGACCAGTTTCCTGAACCAGTCCTCCATCTCCATATGGCCAACGCCTTGAATAAGTATATGTCCTATAAGTGAGTATGTGTATAGCAATAATGGATAGCAATGTTTGAATGTTATATGAAGACTTTCTCCTATGAGAATATCAGCAAGTACCCTCAAGAAGTTAGAGCACAACACGCACACATCTTCAAGCAGCAGGCTTGTCGTTGGCGAGGCTCTTCATAGCATTCAAACGACCAAGGAGAACAGCGTCCAATTCTCGAACCATGATCAAAGTGCTGCCCTCAATGACCGCCATGCTGTCAAGAATTTGACGCTCCAGCTCCTGGCGTTTCGTGTTAAGGATGGAGAGTTGTTTCCATTGAGCCTTTTGGATTTTACATCTAAATCATGGTTAATGACAGGTACAAGAGGTCTGCGTATGAAACCAAAACGAGAGTTAGAAAGTACAACCGAGAAGACATGTCCCATGCAAATCCAGATGTAAATAGAAACCCAATATAGCAATGCATCAAGGCTCAAACACACCTCTGAGTTTTCCTATTTTCATACAAAACACCAAGCTTCTTCTTGAAATCCTTGATGCGCTGAGCACGCTCATTTTCAATTTTGTTACGCTTTGCATCACGACGTTTTTTCGTCTGGAAATCATCTTGTCAGTTCAGAAAGAAGAAGGAGATGAAAGGAATCAGTACATCAGCCATCATTTGGTTGGCTCTTTGAACAAACTCCATTCCCGTGATTGAATCTTGCGAGGAAACGAGGGACGCTGCGTCGTCGTCCATGGTAAACCGAGGTGACATTGTGGGTGTATGAGGATTTGAGGTTGTCACTTGAAGGAATTAATACTCTGTGCGCGCTGAGATGAGGATGAGAGACTTTTCATGAAGTTGGAGTTTCGAGAATTTTTGAAGTTGAGAATGAGATGCATATGAAATTACAAGCTCCTCAACCCCAGCCAATCATACACTAGCGTGTTATCCTGGTACCCTACCCCACTAAAATTAACAAAAAAGTTCCCGACCACTTTTTCCTCGATTTCTCGATATTAGTACCAAAATATCCAAAAGTCCTCTTTTTGGATTCATCACCAACTACACCCAATCTTACCGCAAAGATGGGTCTCTCTGCCCCCAAGAAGTGTGTTCTCCTTCTTTTTACCTAATCATCAATTGATATCTATAATTCACAAACTAACTAACATTCCTCTAGCAAAATCAAACTTTCTCACGACCCTAATAATACTAAATGGTCTGGCAATACAGACAGTTTCGGCCATCGCATGATGAAATCGCAGGGCTGGACACCTGGCGAGTATCTTGGTGCGAAGGATGCCGCGCACGCCGAATTTCATACCGCTGCAAATGCGTCACATATTCGTGTGGTGATTAAAGATAATAATTTAGGATTGGGTGCGAAAATAGGAAGTGGAGTGGGCCACGGGGAATGTACAGGTTTGGACGTCTTTCAAAATTTACTGGGGAGATTAAATGGAAGGGAAGAGGCGGAGATAGAAAAGGAACAGAAAGGGAGGGAGGATTTGAAAAGGGCCATTTATGCGGAGAGGAAGTGGGGGAGTATTAGATTTGTGAAGGGAGGTGTGTTGGTTGGTGATAAGATTCAGGATTTAATCGATGGGGAAAAGGAGAGAGTTAAGGCTTTGGAGAAGGGGAAGGCAGCAGAGAGTAGTAGCGAGGAGAGTGATTCTACTTCAGATGAGGAAGAAGAGGAGAAATCCCCGGAACCTGTTTCCGAAAAGAAGAAGTCATCGAAACGAAAGAGAGAGGAGCAGGAAGAGGAAGAGAAGACATCCAGCAAGAAAAGCAAAAAGGACAAGAAGAGAAAGAAGAGGAAGAGTGAGGATGAAGACGACAAAGACAAAAGTGAGTTGAAAAAGTCGAAAAAATCTAAGAAGGATCGCAAATCGAAGTCGAAATCTATTTCCGAATCAGAAACCGAAACCCTAGACGAGGCCGCTATTAAAGCACGCAAGAAGGAAAAGAAAGAGAAGAAACGGAGAGAAAAAGAAGCAGCGACAGCAGGAACAGATATTGAAGAAACAACCTCTACCTCTAAATCATCCAAAAAGAAATCCAAGAAAGATAAACACAAATCATCCTCCACATCCGAGTCCTCCACCAAAGAAAGCACACCCGCAGTCACAGAAAGTAGCGGAAGACCAACGCCGATGGGTATACGTTCGATAAGAGCTCGACATATTGCACAGAAGAGGATGGCTAGTATGGATGTAGCGAGTTTGAACCAGGTTCGTATTTCCATTGTCTTTTTCTTCCGGATTCATTCCATTTTATACACAGAGTGGTGATACTAATCCTTCAATAGATTTTCATGATTAAGTCGCAGGTGTAATAAAAAGCATAGAGGATAGACTACCTACTAGACATGGACGAGATAGATGGAAGGTGTAGTAGAGGAATTGAATTGAGTAGAAGTGAAGGCAAGGCGAAGCAAAGTTGTAAATATACCAATTTGTTTAAGAATAGTTTTGTGTAGGTGGAAGAGTAGGAGCGGATAGATATAGTGATAAACTACTCGGTATTATCTATCTATACAGACCATTAGAGCCATGACAGGATAGTTAACACAACATCAAAATTCTACATACAACGTTGATATAAGATGTAAGCTTGCTTTAGCAGGCTAATCTAGATCTAGTCAAATGAATGAGGTAAAAATATATTTCCAAAGGTCACACATACACCTTAAAGAAGATCGATATTGGATTTGATATGTTTTTAATTGATTCTCCCCATGCCGACGTGAAAGTCCACCGAGAACAGCTAGCTAATTTTTCATGTAAAGTACAATTTTGAAAAAAGGAGAAGGTCGGCTGCGTACAAGGTCAAAACGCAAAAGTATCCCATCCCATTTCCATTTCCTTTCATTCATGTAAGTAAGCAAGCATGCCAAATCATCCCCTCCCCAGATCCCAGCGAAGTACAAGCGCCAGCAACATAAAAGACTTCATTAATCATCATTCTGGATCATAACTCATCCATCTTCCTTCCCCCCTCACACATTTATCCGAGAGCGCCGGTCTGCTCAGTCTTCTTCTCTGTATCCTCTGCTCCGTTAACCTATTCTGAAACCCAGCAAGCTTTGTAGCTAGCTTTTGCACCTCAACCAAGAAAACACACACCGAGAATAGCACGTCCAGCGCACACTCTGATATCCGGTCACCTAATCCTATATTCTTCCACTTCTCCCTCTACTCAGAGCTATAAATATTTGTGTTGCTCCCTCATCATGTCTGTTGGAACCCAATTCTGCAATTCCGACATTCCATATCCATATTTATTGAAGCGAAAGCAATTGCAATTATTTGCTCGAGAGTTGGAAAAGAAATTTCTTGTTCCCCCGATGACTGACAAATAGACGCCAAAATCCGAACGATCTGCTCCTGGTCATTCTTATGCTCTTGCTGGAGAAAAGACAAAAAGGAAATTCGTCTGCAGATACACATACTCAGTCCATGTAGAAATCACCCTTCAATATACGTTCTTGGAAGGCATCTGGCTGCCTTCGAGCGGGCTTCGGTGGAGCAGCTGGAGGGATAGCGGAGGTGGGAGGAGATGGCGCATCACTAATACTCTTAGCCCGCTCATGCATAGGCGCATGGAATCGTTGATTGTTCGGAGGAGACGTAGAGATGATAGGACGTTGGGATTGAGAGACCTGACTCTCTGCACGAGATCTAAGCTGCTCGGACCAGTTGAAACCGCCTTCACCTGGACGAGCAGAAGCAAAGTCAGAAGTAGTTCTGGGTTTTGATTGCGTGCTTGCCTGTTGAGACTGAGTTCTTGGTGGGGTAATTCTACCACCACCTTGAGAACCTGCTGGGATGGGGGATAATGTAGAAGTAGTATAAGAAGATGTTCTACCATTTGAGCCAGGGCTACCATTGCCTGTACGAACAGTTCGAAGTGCTTGAGCACCAAATGAGATACGGCGTGTGAAAGGTGTGGTTGGTGTACCTCTGGCAGGTCCCTCTTCATCATCGATCGCACTTTCATCAATGGATTCGGAGGCCGTGGTCGATACACTGCCGCGCCGACCACCGAAAGGAAATGCGGACTGTGAAGGGGATGCGCCTGATAAACCTAGAGTAGAAATTGACACTCGTCGCTTGTGATCTTGATTTACGGCTGTGCTAATGGGACCAGGGAAAGGGCCGACCGGAGCTCCGGCAGATGTACTATTTGATCGGAAGATGTTGGTGAAGGTTTGTGCAGTGATGGAAGCACGACGAGTTCTCGAAGAAGGATCGTTGGGAGGTGTAGTGCTACCGTTGTTACCGTTTGAAGACATGTCTGCGTTTAGATTGGAGCTGGAAAGGTATGAAATGTATTGGTGGTTGAGTATCGCGGCGGTGAAAGTGATATTGAGATTGCTGAGCTTTGACGGATATTGATTGAATGAGAGATTCTTAAGATGACCGTAAGCTGCTCTCTCAGCTTCGGAGTATTGGGAAGAAAGTGAAATATTTAGATATGTATGGTGTTGAAGGATCCTTTGTCGTTGGAGAAATCGATCTTTCGCTCTGCTTCAAATCGGTACAAACGGAGCTATTCCCAGGATTTCTTTGTTCTTTTCGGGTCTCCGGTGAAGTCACCTATTGGTAACTTTTTTTTTATCGCGTGTGGGGTAAAATCTTGGTCTTTGGTCTTGGTCTTTTGTGTTTGGAATTGGGGGGAAATGTAAATTTGAGATTCTACGATGGATGGTGAGGTTGGTTGTAAAAAGAAAATTCTAAAGAGAGGAAAAGTATGAAGGTTATAAGGAGAGGAGTGAAGAAAGTTGTAAGGTTGGTTGGAGTTTTTATGATTAATTTAGATTGAATCCTTAAATAGGTAATTGAAAGAGGAAGGAGGAAGGAGGGAGGAGGGAGGAGGGAGGAGGGAAAAGATAAGAGAAAACATTCATAGGAGGGGAAGAGGAGAAGGGATCAACTTTTGGGTAGGGGAAGTGCAGGGGACGTGAAGGGAAGGGAAGGAAAGGGACCAATGTGATTCGCTCCACATAGCTACATAGCTACACACATAATCCCTGTCTAGCGTCAGATCGCTAAGGCTTTCCCCGCAAACAAAACCATACTAAAACCTGAGCTATTCCTCTTTGGTATCTGACGTCGTTCTCTGACAAGGAACCTTGAGACGGTAGGTTAGCTCATCAGCCCATCAAAACACTCGGACTGTAGAAATGTTATTAATTGCTAAATATTCTTTGTAAGTCTTATTTATTACACTTCAGTATTATCTATCAAATTCCCCTGCCGACCGACACTTTGTTGAAATGGATGGGAAAGAAGAATCATCAGATGATTAATATCAGTAAGAGAAGAAGAACAGAAAGGGTTACAAATACATCCATCGGATTCACAAAGAAATCATCCCACATATTCCCTCCCTACTCAACTACCGGTGGCCGGTGGGGTGGTGGAGAGTGAAACGCCTAGGCAAAGAGGTAGAAACTACAAACGAGGTACCGTTGCGTGATGGTGTACAAGTACGATTAATCGTATGAATCTTCGTATGAAAAACATTCAACATGAACTTATCCTGTATGTCTCTCGTGCTTTTGGAAGAGGGCATGTTTTATCATTTCATCACAGCGGCACCATCCGAAAATCTTAGGGGTATTACTCTACGCGTTTCTATTTCTCATCGGCGCTTTGCTTAAGATGGTGTATGATGTATGATATATCAAACTATCCAAACTGCCACACTACGACCTAACCCTCCTCAAAAAGTTCATTTTAGTTTTGATTCGTGGGTTTTGTCAGTGTTGGAGGTGAAGCAACCACAAAGAACCATCGAAAACTTATCCAAGCTTGGACAAGCTTACACAACCTCACACAACCTTACACAACATCTCGACTTCATTCGAGAATTAACAAGAATCGTTCCCTTTTAACTTTTATTTTCTCTCGTACGATTGGTTCCAGTTTCCACATCTGCCGCATGGTATCATTTCAAAAACTACAACATATTCTGGTGGAGTTCTTCCCCTAGATTTAAGTGGTTCAGGAAAACATCTTTCACACCAAGTCAAGATAATCTTGCATGCATTTGCTGGTTTCTCATGCCAATCCATGAAGATATTCATACCTACTTCATGTGCTTTCCCATGGATCATGATGGATGATGTGTTAAGCTTTCTTCTCAATTTTGCTTGTGCGCGCAGCCCCGTCATCACTCAAAAAGACTTGTGGGAGGGATGACGAATGATCGGCAATTCTATCAACATTGAAAAAGGAGTATGAAAACCTAAGGAGCACATCGCGTTTATCCCAACTATGTTGAAACAAACGACAAGGAGAGCCCAACGTCTTCATTCATATATATCAAATCATCGATCGACTATTCTATGCGATCTTCAGGATCTTCAAAAGACCCTCAAGAAGATCCATGCTAGAATCCGTCAACGAGTGCCATTTTTTGAGGCGAAGCGAGAGTTGTTACGACTCAATTAATCCACCTAGAAGCCATTCAAGTTATTGGGTCGGCCTTGCTCGCACACCATCGAACTTTGTGCTATGGCTCTTGATTGCATGAACTCAATCGATAAGCAAAGCTTCCATTTCTGGAATGCCGGCTTTGGATTCCTCATTTTCTCGTGGCATTTGTGAGCACAAAGGCTGTTTACAACCATCCAATCATTTCTTGGAAGTATGATAAAACTACTTTGTCCTGAGGATCGTTCTTCAAAGAATTTATATTAAGATGAAGTCATCGAGGCCATTTCAATTCAATGATCTTAACTATACTGTTGTGATCAAGTCACCATTTCTCGGCGTTCCATTTTGTCTGTCCGAGCTTGCAAGGTGCTTTGTGTTCCTCTTTCTCACACGTGATCCAATCATCCACATAACCATGACCTGATACTAACCCAAGCTTGAGCCGCCTTCTTTGTCTGCTGCATATCTCTTTGTTTCCGAAGTTGAACCTAAAAGTTCGCTTATCCTCTTCATGCCAAGTGATCCACGTACACACACAAGAAAGTTCTTGGAGGGCCTCGCTTTGCATGAATCTTGAGACTATCGGTACATGCATCCTAGTCTAAACAAGTGGGACCTGAGTGCATTACAAAGATAAAGAGTCTAGGAATAGAAACTATCGGAATCAATGCATGATCTCCGTTCAAGCCATAAGCTATAAAGTTAAGGGCTAACGTTAGGTTCAGGGTTTCCTACCCCTTCCTCGAGACATGCCAGGGAATCTTCTTGGTTGATTCTCCCATGCGCCCCTGTGTCATGTTCATATTTATGTAAAAGTCTTCATACTACATTGATATCAACTCGCTTCTAGCACCGAGTCATTCGCATAAGCCAGACTAGCTCAACCAAAACATTGCTGTGAATGTGCTGACGGTAGCTTGAGAGATAAGGATTCCTATACCCACTTTTCAATACCCCAGAATCATCAAATAATCTATCTCGCATATTCACACTTTAATTTGGCAACAGAATCCCCACTCTCAATTCCAACACCAAAAAAAGATCACATTGCTCATAGCTGGCTACGCAAAGTTCAAGTGCTTTATCCTACCGCTCAGAACAGGACGATATCCGACCTCGAGTCTACATTGATCTAAATTCATGGTCACGATAAAATTAGCTTGCAAGCTCAAGAAAAGCCTATGACGTTGTCTTCACGACCAGACGAGAGGACAGAACTTACGAAGATGGCTCAAACTTAATGTTCAGTGAAAACCTAATGCTGAGTGGTATCGCAAACTGTCGTGTCTTACCCCGCATCAATAGTCACTATTTATTTCGCTCTGATCCGAAAACTTAATACTTCTCCTGATTTGCCGGCAGTTACGATTATTGGAACTGAAATGCGGGGGTGTTGATCTGAGATTTGCCAGCCAATTAATTATGAACCAATTTAGTCTAAACTCAAGATTCCACATCATACACAACGGTCCTTGTCTAGTATCGATGTTACGGTGTAAAATCAAGACTTCCTCAAAGTATTTGAAAGCTTTGGCTGCTCTTCATTTGCTAGTTGTATAACAGCATTAGTAATGGGGGTTAAGAATTGTGGTATGGCTCGGCAGTTCAGCCAATATCAAAAAGAGACATTTCGAGGAACGTAGTCCTTTAGAATACTGTTACGTTCTAGTCAAATTTATGTGCTTTTCTACTGGAAACTGTTTGGAATGTGCTTGAAATCTTTTTATTTCGGACAGTAATAAAAGAAATGCTGTGTAGTGAGTTATGAAAAAAATATTTAATGATCTAAAAGTAACAGAAATTCCAGTTCAACACTAAGAACCCTTACACACAGAAAGAAATGCTCACTACCAAATCAGTAGTCAACGAGTATTGACAAGATAATGTATGAAACTGAAAGATAAAACAATTACATCAAGAAAAACAAAAATTCAATTACAAAAAGGAAACCATATTCGCATCAGTGAACCAACCATCGCTTTCCAACACCAAAACAAGAACAAAGCTGATATCAGCTGAAGCGATGACTTGATACAACACGAAGTATCTTGTACACAAGGTGTACTTTCTCGAGGAGTTTAAAGTGAGTTCCTTGTTCTGGGAAACGGCTCACTCCAGATATTGTATAATTCAAGTGAACTGAAAAAAATTCAAGGAGCGTATAGACTACGCTGGCAGGTCAAGGCGAAAGGTGTCGAAATTGCCACGGATTGAAGTCCAGCCATCTCCTCAGCAATCTTTACAATCCGCAACCGAAGCTTGAAACTTCCTCTTTTTCGCCGGCGGTGTTTCGACCATTCCATCACTCGAATCTGGACCAGATCCAGAAGAAAGAGCATCACTCGTAACTCCTTCCTGAACCCCAGAAGCAGGATCAAGAAGATATTCCTTAAACTCCAAATCCATAACTGCATCAGATGCAGCCCATTTATCTGCCAATTTCTGCTGTGTTGCTACGAATGTTTTCACAACCGCATGAAAGGTGTTTATTTCTTGGTTGTGATTCGCACATCTTCTTTGCCACAATGATTGCATCGATGCTCGTTGATCTCTCAATCGTATATTTTCTTTCTTCAAGCTATCATTTTCCTTTTTCAAGCTATTATTTTCCTTTTTCAAGCTATCATTTTCTTTCTTCGCTCGTATATTTTCCTTCTTCAAGCTGTTGATTTCTTCAGAGAGCTTCGAAATTTTATCATCGAATTTGTTAGATTGATTCGATAACTCTGTATCCTTGCTTTTTAATTTTTCAAGTAATTCCCGAATCGTCCTTTTTGAAATCTCATACTGCTGAACTTCCCTCTCATATTTCAAATCACTAAACTCTACCTTCTCCAATAAATTCTGAATAGTCCTCCTCGAAACCTCATGGCCCTTAACCTCCGTCTCATACTTCACTTCCGCTACCTTCACCCTCCCGATCAATACCTCCTCGTTTCCTCTCACCTCCTCCTGCATATCCAATAACGCCGTCTCCTGATCCGCATAAAACCTCAACCGTAAACTCAATACCTCATTCATCTTCAATTTCCACGATACAATTATTACATGTAATCGCTCTTCCCTACTACCACAAAATGAACATAGAGATTGCGCAGCGAGATTCTCAAGATGATGTAGCGCTTCGCTTGGTAGTGAGAATTCGAGATGGGAAAGTAAATTGTTGCGGGATTTGGGGTTATTGAGGATGCGAAGACAGGAATCGGGAGTGGGGGGTGAATGGTTGATTTCCCATTGGCAGTTGGTGGGAGTTTTTATGTCGAGGGTTTGGAAGGCATTCCAGAGTTTTATGGGGGGCATTTTCTTGAGGAAGTTTTTTGGGGGTTTTGTTTTTGTTGATGGGAGGATGAATGTAAGATTACTAGGTATGTACTGGATAAATAAAATGTATTGATGTAATTGAAGAAAGAGAAATGGTATAAATTAATCGATACTTTATTTTAATCAACCATCTAAAAAATTCGATTTTATATACATAGGTATATACATATATATAAACCACACTCACACTCAAACTCACGCCTTCAATCTCCCTCCTCGAAAATCACCGAAACGACTAAAACCCAGCTACCCCTCCAGCTCCGGCTCCAGCTCCAGCTCCCCCCACCAAAATCCCAACTCAAAACAAACAACCAACAAACCAACCAACAGACAACGCATAATACCCCTCCACAGCCTCATAAGCACATAACCTCATTCAAAACCTCACAGCCTCAAAACCTCACAGCCTCAAAACCTCAATAAACCAACCAACCAACCACCCGTTACACAATCGTTACACAAATGAAAGATCTTACAAATCCTCCCAAAAATAAACCAAACGATAAAACGTCATGATGAGCAACTTATAACCATTAACACACCAAAATACCAATCAAAAGCTCATTCATCGCGAGTTCTGAAACAGCACCTACATTAGAGCAGGTAGGAGCAGGTCACGTTTCAGGTCTTAAGGAAGGGGGTACGTTACAAGAATATCTCAAGATCTAAAGATCTGTATCTCCTGATTTCATTTGGTTGGGATGATGGGTGTTTGTTTGGATGAGAGAGACTTAGAATAAATTGGGTGGTGATTCTGTTTGTATGTATGTATGTATGTATGTATGTATGCAGTGTGAAAGCACTACAAGTGTGCATTTAAATGCAGTGTGAATGAGGTTAAAAAATACGTCATTAAAGTAAGGAAGGTAAGGAAGGTTAAGGTTAAGTGAGGTAAGATATGTACTCCGTTTATTTCGTCACTTTATTTCGTCACTTTGTTTCGTCACTTTGTGATGCTATGGGTAAGTGAGTGTTGAGTGCTAAGTGCCAAGTACCTAGGTACTAACTACGAAGTAAATAGTAACGACTAACCACTCAGCCTTTTATAGCCTTAATTAAGGCTGTGTATCTACTAGGTAGGGATAACTATTTAGTAGTTGTTCAGCTGTTGACGCGATGCGATGCGATGTGATGCGCGGGAAAATTATTAATCTGTACGAGCTGAGGGAAGTAATTGGAGAGGAATAAGATGGGATGGGATGATGTTGAAAGGGAGAATTTAGTTTAGAGTGTTGAGAAGGTTAAGAAGGAGAGAAGTTTGATAATGATAATAATGATGATGATGAATGGATATACCTACAGCTTGATATGCGTGGTTAGTTTTAAACTGTTATTTTATATGTCCATGCTACCACCAGTACCTGTGATAATACATAATATAAACTCCATATCTACATTAAACCATACTCTTAATTTCTTCCAAAATCCCCAAAATTTCCTGTCCTTTCTGCAGCTTCTATTCATGAGACATGTTCACGATATAAACCTTAACTTCTTGCTGCTTGACATGCATTTAAACTTCCCACAACAGCAAGACACATAACCGGAGACACAGCATAAGAAATCTATGTCGAAGTTAGTTAGCACATCTCATTCTCACTATCGAAAACAAACAAAAAAACTTACAGCAAGTAATTTAGCAACTTTATGTTGATCCTCCTCACTAGCATCACTAACCTCCACCATAGTAATAAGTTTCACAGCCGAAGGACCCAAAGGCATAAACATCATCGAGAACCAAAGCATTGGATCTTCACCAACCCAATCCGTATTTTTCGCCAAATAGTAAATGATTCCCGTAGAAATAACCGGCCAAACTGCAAATCTTATAAAAAGAACATATAAGGTTGTCGACCAGGGTGTATCAATAGGTTGTTTGCCTTTGCCTTTCTCGGTGGTTTTGGTAACGGCTGAGTAGAGGGAAACTCCTGCTCCAACAACTGGTAAAGATACGAAGAGAATACCGATGTTTTCTAATGATGCAGTGAGCCATGCTGTGAAGATTCCTCCGTTGACTGTTTCGTTGAAGAATGAACGGTGGAGAAGAGGTGATAGTCCGACGATTGCACCAGCTATGGCACCAAGCAGAGGTGCGTTTAGAAAGTCGTAAAAGAAGAGTAACCACCATCTGACTCGATCACTAAGTTCGAACCATCGACGTCTGCTAACAATTGAAGAGGGACGCCTTTCGTATACGATAGCTCGATTTGTGTCTCGAGTAGGAGACGATGTTAAAGAAGCCCGTCTGGACGGGAAGAAAGAGTTAGATCTGCTTGAAATTGCGGGCCTACGACGGGGAGACAGAAGATTGGTATGTTCGGTAGGAAAATGTAATCCTTCACTCTCTTCTTCACTTTCACCTTCCCTATCCTGTTGTACTTGTTCGAGTGCAGATAAAAGATCTTCTTCTTCAGGCGGATCAATTGCGAATTCTGTATCCATCATACGAGGACCAATGGCAAATGTAAGACAACTTGAGAGAACGGAATAAACAAGAAAATATGACTTTGCCTGTTCAACTGGATTATATCCCGTTCCACCATCCTCTAGAATTAAAGGATTCAAAAGACCCGTTTGATCTAAAGCTTGAATTAACATCAAAGGATAACTCGTCGTATTATTGAACATAATAGTTGCAGTAATCCAATCTGGCATTCCGAAGATAAAATGAGCTCCTGCACCGAGTAGAAATGAAATCGTATGTGTTATGCACGCCCAAATTAGAATGACATTGTAACGATGTCCTCCACCAGCATGTAATTCTCTACCAATCTTAATAAATTCTAATGCAGGTAGAAAGAATTTGACCGAGATTTTCGACATCATCTTTGCGGACCGGCTATCGAGAAGTTTCATGTATACTGCTAGAGCACCGTAGAATATCACCAGAAGTACTGCCATACTTGCTTGGAAAGCTGCCACGAGGGATACAGTGAGACTGGAAGCCATGATTCGAGGATTGAACGATGAGAATGAAGACAATCATGAATGGAAATGGTTTTTGTTTGTAGTAGATCTCGGAGGGATTTTGACTAGAGGGAATTGTTTTCCGCAAATAATTACCCCAAATAGGTCCAAATTAGGAAACAGCAAATCTGGGTGAAGCAACCACAATGCTTTCAACTTGCCTAGTCACGATAAATTCGCGAGTGGATTGTGTATCGCGACTTCCATCACGAAAGGATTTCACGAAGTCCATCGGGGGATTACGTCAATCCATCCCCTTGACAGAAACAAACTCCACAGAAGGAAGGTAAGAAGAAGTTAGATCGAGTAGACCTTTAATTTTGATGCTTTTTGAATCAAAAATCATTGCAGTGATGCTGTAATATCCATCGTTCTTGAATCTTGGCCCACTACTTAACAGTATCTTGACGAACAAAATAACTTTGATTTTAAAAGAAAAGGCGTGAGCAAACGAACACTTGCGTTTGCTTAGGATCGGCCCTCATTACTGGAGGTCAATGTAGAGTTTGAAACGTCGACATATGCCATTCAGGTTAGGTGGAAGAAATCATATGTATCAATTGATGACAACTGAGCGTATTGACAGGACTACTGGTTACCGCTCCCGATTTTGGCCACATTTCGTAACGTCAGAACCTACTTACTAATCACAATACTGCCCGCCCGAAAGCTGCTTCTGGGGTTCTCTATGGACAACAATCAACGCGATGTGCAACAAAATAATTTGGTCACGTGAAACCACAGTACTTGGTGTGAGTTTTCGTTTAATTAAATCCACGGAAGCAGATAAGTCTGGGGACGTGGTGAAGAACTTCGCACCCAGCGCAGAAAGTATTAGTCGGTAGGTATTACCTAGTATTTAAGACTGATTAGATCCATTTTAGCTCTATTGTTCGATCAATATCCTCCGCAATGAGGCTATACAGGACTTCGATGTCCTTTGAGATCCGGTTGCTTGGCGTATACGTATTTCAACACCGCTTTAGAAATATTAGTTCAGCACAATCGATTGCACGACTAGTTATGCAACTACGCTAGAGTATCATACAAGATACTTTTATCCATTGACTATCTCGATGTCACCGCTTGAAACCATGATGAAATTTTCCCGTTCTTACATATAATTTGGTTCTCAATCAAAGTACTTCTGAGGTAATTTCAGCTGAATGTAAGAGGGGTGCATCGTGAATCAGCCCGTCAAACACAGGTATATCAGTAAAGAAGAAGTATCCAGCAAGATTGCAGGTTATGCCTCATACTGCTTTTAAGAGTTTGTGCTGAATCTAGTTTTGATATTATCTTCGTTTCGGGTTATTATGATCGCTCATCAATTTCGAATAAATAGAGATAATCACTGCAAGTACGGGCTATCACCATGGACGATGATGGAGAAAGCCACTACCAATTCATTTTCACTCTGCCCATAGAATAGGATGTGAGGCTCATGTAAGTCAAGGAAATGGCCATTTTCCAGAATTAGTTGACTGCAAAGCTATAGTTGCTTGTCTTCGAACAGTGCCCACGATAGGCCAACCATATATCCGATCTAGTTGCTTACCCGAAAGTAATTTACAACTACTCATATAAATATGGATTGTGCACTAAGCTCCAGTTTCATATTGCCCTAAAGTGCAGGCTTTTAAGCCTATACTTCAGGCTAGCCAGACGTGCAACAAAACATCCTAAATAGAATGATCCACTTGCATCAGACTGAATATTGGATAAGTTCGCCTAGGTAGTGATGCCAGCAGACAAATCTTCATTGAGAATACTTAGCATTCTATCGCAGATGTGGTTGTTTCGAATTCGGCATGCGCTATATCTAACTCAGCAGTGGCACTCGTTGCTGTTGCCCCGCTCAATCCTGATTTTCACTTCAAGACCGAAGCATCATGGTCAAGCTCCTTAGCCTCTTTGCTATTATCATATATTTGTGCATCCCACTATTATCTGAAAGAGGTTCCGCGTACTCTGCAAACTCCTCAATTGTTTCCTTATTTCCTATCCTTGAGTGAATCAAGTGGTTGATGTCGCTTACAAGATCAGGGAAAGAACAATGACGAAAATGAGAGCTAGGCCTCCAGGAACTCCCACCACTATTGCTGTAACATTATTTGCTAAAGCCTCCATACTAGTGGTCTGGATAGGAGGAGCAGATGAGGATGTTGCAATAACAGTGTACGATAATTTTTAGGTCCTTGATACTTGTAATCCCCAAGTTGAAGCCGTCGATCGCCTGGAAGCCGAAGCCACCATTGGTCCATATTTCATCGTTGGACTAGTCAGTCACACGTTGGGAAGTTGGTGTTACCGCGCGTGTAACATATGCGCACTTGAGTTCTTCCGAAACTAACAAAGCCGATGAACACTAAGGCTGCGTGTTCGTACTACGGCAATCAGTCCTCAAGCGGCGGCCATTTATCCATAATTTGTAAGCAATGAAAACAAGAAATAGTTAATGCAAGCCTAAATATGCCGATGCCGCTGGGGTAAGGTCCAATGTAGAAAAACTTGCCAAGAAGTGCACAATCGGTAGCATCAACGATAGTGTTATGACAAAAGTCCCAAAAATTAATAGTGTCTCACTACAGATACATCCAGACTCGGCTATTCGAAGAACATCAACATTGTCTTTTGAATAGCCGCATACTGATGAAAACGAAGTTGTCTGGCTAGCCTCCAATAGTAATACGCCAGAAATATACGCTGGAAGTTGGGTCTCACGAGTGAGAATTGCTCCTCTCCTGGTCCTGGTCCACAAGAGGAAAAGAGCGAATAGAAATATCCTTTTACCTAGTGGCAATCAACAGTTGAATTCATTTTTTAGTCCTCGCAGAAAAGAATGAAAAATGCATCCCTCAAGTCCCCTTTAATGTACTGGGATGTTAAGGATTCCATCTCACCCTTTATTACGCGAGTGGCGAAAAAGCCTTGATGTAATGTCATCTTAAAACGACTTCAACATCTACATCCTAACACTTGGCCCTCCTGGATCTGATGTGCATATTAAACGCCGCAATTTTGATAGTGCATCTGAAGTAATACCCGCAACTAGGTGTTTTTGTCTGATTATAGTATAATTCGTGTTTTTGAAGACTAATGCCAGGATCGAAGCTTTCTACATGAAAGAAAGCTGTGGTCGAGCATAGTATTCGATCTTCGACAAAGTTAAAATTTTCCTAGTCCTTCGCTCACTGTGATACTACAAGATCTGGAATCACCAGGATCGATAGCAAAGAAATGAAACGCGTCCTTCAGCGGTGAAAGCTCATACATACCAGAGTTTGACCAACCAATAACCAGGGACAAGTTAGGAGTACGACTCTAATTAAGAGGGTTACTTATGTTCTCTCGTATTCCTGGATCCGAACCTAATTTCATTGGTATAATCTTGTCCAATTAGCATTTCAGTGCAAATTTTATCCTATAAAGCTCCCTGCAGGACCGTGTGTATGTGATGAAAACAAGAATCATGGCTGCATATGTCTCGAAGTCGATTGATTTATCGTTGTTCACAGTCTAATTCTTCCGATATAATATGAATATAATATCAGTCCATTTATGCCTCGAATTTTACACTCCAATCTTCAATAATAATTCACTTGCACATTTGTAATTAGGATGTTCTTATCAGACAAGAATATTTTGCTGGCGGAGCTCAGATTTCTTTTCACTGACATGTGATGCATAAACTGGAGACCCCAGGCCAATTCTGGAAATCTGGATCTCTGAAGGGAATCCGTCTGATTTCTACGGGTGTAAATTCACCACTGTGATTTAAAGTATCTGCCTTATTTTAACCTCTTCCCTCTTGGGATTGTTACCCAACAACAACTTTTATAAATTACTGGGCTTGTCTTAACGAGGTGATTAGATAAACATCTAAGGATTGAAGAGTAGAACAGAGTGAAGGAACAAATGACAAGGTATAACTCTGGAATGCGGCCCATGAAGACTTTAGTGAATGCCTTATCCACTATTCACGGACAGCCGAAGAATTGCTCATTGGCGTCGCTAGGTTTTTCCTGATATGTCTTTATCTGAGCAGACTTTGCCCTGTTACCAAATAACTAGATGTCTTCGAAAAATTCCTACTATTGTAAAAGTGGTAGGTCGAGATATGTGCGTCCTGATAGTATACTGTGAGGGGAATTGAAAGAGAAAACTGATTAAATCATATTGTAATATATTATTTATAAAGAAAAACAGAATTCATAATGGTTTTGAGATTAAGATTATATAGATTCAAGTATATATATATAGAAGATTGATTATTTTGAAAAGAAAAGACAAAAGCTCTTCTTTTATATCTAATTACAAGAGGTTATACAATTGATTAATTAAAAACCTTTATGTATTTGATCTATAATTTCAACCTTCTCATACTATAGCTCATCAATGTATTTACGAATCGTCAGTGAATAGAAACTTTATAAAGGTTATAATATATAGACATTGATATATATAAAAAAGCTTCACTTTAATATTAATAGTTTAAAATTGATACTATATTGTATTCACTCCCCAGCTCTCGATTCTCAAAGTGGAAGCCTAGAGCTTCTATAAATTAAACTACTTGAAACTATTCTGAAAAATAGACGCAAAAACAGAAATGAAATAAACAAATATTTCTCGGAAGACATTAGAAGACTTCATTTGAATTGTGTGTTTTTTTCTTTTTACAATGCAAAAGCACTGGCAGGGCGTTGGGAAATGGATGATGGGGTGGAAATTAGAAATGAGATCTGTATTTTCAAGGTAGTTATGCTGGTTGGGAATAGTTGGGTTATCAATAGACAATGGTGAGAATGGTGAGAATGGTGAGAATGGTGAGAATGATGAGAATGATGAGAATGAAATGGAGATTAGGAATTATGGTGGCAAGGATAATGGTTGACAGGAAACGGTAGAAATAGCAACAGTGACGAAGGGGGAAAACATTAGGACAATCAGTCACAGAAACATACTCAAAAAAACTGACCTGTAGACCTAATATACCCGTACGATATCCACTAGTCTCTGTACGATGTACGAAGCAGAAATCCTGAACAAATCTTTTACTCTAGGCTGTTGTATAGATATAAAAGGGAGTAGAGTTCCGGTTGGGGGTTTTATATGTTAATATTGTATTTACAGTAGATTAGAAAGCAAAGGTGCTATTGAAGTATAGAAAGAGAGAGGATATTCACTCCAATTCACTCCAATCCACAAGTTTCCTAACCTTAGCATCTGATTTGGTCATGTCTTTAAAGAATTCATCAGCAAATCTGAGAAGGGAAAGGAAAAACTAGGATATAAAAGATGCACCCGATGCTAATTATTATCCTTCATACCACAACCGCATTCAACTGGCAGTATTTTTCAAGTGGTTTTTCGACTAGAGTGTACTTTTATAGGATAGATTAGCAGTGCGGATGGTAAACCTGATACCTCTCTAGACTAAGTAAATTCAAACTGACGAGAGTATAAATCTCAAGTTTTGCTGTCATATATATCAAGTTGAAAAATCACAAGAGATACTTATATGTTAATAGGTAAATAAAAAATAAGAATCAGAACTTTGACAATATCGAAAAATCATCAATGCTAAAACCATGAGAACTACTCATTATTGCTAGAACTTTCGGACCATACAATTAAGTCAGATCTCCAAGATCTCAGTGATTATCCGGGTAATGAGACATACCTTCTGATATCAAAGAAAAACACAGAATACCTACTAATAGCTAGTCTCAATTTTGCTTATCTGCTGTGTAAGTAACTGGCATTCCAAAGCTTGTTGCGTATTGCTTCAAGTAAGAGATAGTGTTTAAATACCTGTTGTACCAAGCGGTGGGTTTAAACTAGCTGTGTCCGCATTACTTGAGAATCAACTAGGGTATTTACCCCTCCCTTACCAATCCATTAAAATTCACCAAAACGCCAAGAATCAATAGCCTTCTTGATTCTCTGCATCAATTCACTTCAAAAGACCCACTTGTCCACCCATCTCCTATGATTCCCAACCTCTAGACCGCAAATCCCATCTATATATTTAGACAGCGGTGATTCCTTATACAAATTCTCCTTATAATTATTACTTCCTCTATAACAAAACTTTAAGATAGAAAACTCTTAAAGATATCAGAAAGACAAAGATCTAAGTCTAATACTCTACTTTTGAGCCACTCCTCTTTTGAGTCATCTTTTTATATTAAAAATTGTGATTTTCATTTATTAATAATTTTATAATGAATTGATATAATTAAATGACATTCAAATCATAGATTTATTATATAATTATTAATAGATTTTGAAATTTTTAGATTTTTTACAATTTTATTAATTGAGAAATTGAAAGTTGAAATTATAATTTTTAATTTATATAAGATTTATATATAAATTTAAAAACTTATAAAACTTGAATAATTATTTAAAAAAAAAAATATTATAAATATTTATAAAATCTTCAAATTAAATATCATATATATATAATAAATTAAAAATTTGAATTTTAAATTATATATAAAAATATTTATTTATATTTTTTAATTTTACAAAGATTATAAAATATTCTTTAAAATAAATTAATTTATTTAATTTATTATAATATAAATATTTGAAAAACATTTATAATTTATTTTTAATAATTTTTATCAAAAATTATTAAAGACTTTTAAGATTTTTTAAATTTATAAATTTTATTAAATTTTATTAATTAATTATAAAGTTATTAATATAAAAAGATAACTTAAATTAAAAGTGATTTAAAAATAAAATATTGAATTTATATTTTTTAAAATATATAAATGTAACGATCTGGTCGAGGCAGCGGCTGCCTGAGGTTTCGTATAGTTGGTAGTTGTAGATTAAGGTTAATAATTACTGATTATCTATTTGAAAGTGAATTCGTTACTAGATTAATTGAAATGTAGGTAAACTAATTGATAACTAAGTTGAACATAAAGTTCCTAAACTATAAAATTATTTTGATTATCTACTAATGAATGGAAAGGAGTTTTATAGAGTTTTAAAACTTCAAAAAGCTCCTGGAGTTCTAAGAGCTTTTCATCATATGATTGAATTTAAGGCTTTTCCTTTCCTGAAATACTTGTTCTAAAAACTTTCTTTTAAGAACCATTACTCTAGGATATGATATCCTTTAAAATGAATATCCTATTCTAATATAATTGCCTAGGATACTTATCCTAAGAATCCTGGGGTTTTATTTGAATATGATTAGGCTTTTTGAAAGGAATGGTTAAATCACACCCCCCCTATAATCGGCATGTAAATCATTGATATTAATAATACTATTATAATCTAATCTGTGAATCGTGACAATAAATCTTATATAAATTAAAAATCTAGATTTTAATTATTTATTTTTTAATCAAAATTAAAAAAAATTTGAAAATTTGAAAATTTATTATTATTGATATAATAAATCTATAAAATAAAATTTTATTTGATTTTATTTATTTATTATTAAATTATTAATAAATAAGAATAATGATTTTTGATATAAAAAGATGATTTAAAAAAAAGTGGTCTAAAATTAAAGTACTCGACTTATTAGTAAACCTCGTCGTCCATCTTTAAGAAACATCAAGTCACATGTAATATATATCACATATAATATAATCAAATAATTAATAACGTATTTATATTTTCATATCTTCTCTCTCTTTCTTTAAATCATCCATTTCTTCATCTTCCTTCAAACCACCTCAATCACCAAAAAAAGCATCAATCTTTCACTAAAAACTATAAACACCAAAAATATAACGCATCCAATCGAGAAAATAACTCCCTCTCCGATCCCTCGATTCGACAATCTCAAGCCGATCAGCGGCGAGAACAGCAAAAAAGGCCTTTAAATTTTTCCATGCCAGCCAGCCAAGCTAAGTCATCCATCTTTGACCATCAATAAAAAAGTATAAACTCCAAATCAATCAATCAATCAATCCATACCAATTCCATCAATAGCCATCATAATGAAAGGATCCAAAATGGAGGATATATAGAGACATATCCCCAGGTCATCACAAGTGATAACATTAAACCATCAACATGGATGAATGATGAATTGAGGTATTGGTAGGATCAAGAGAAGATATCCAAAAACTCCAGGTAACGAATCAAAAATATGAGGGTATATTTTTTCGTTAATCGATATCGGGAATATTCGTGTAGAAAAAAAAGCGAACAATGAATTTGGCGTGAGACATTAAAAAACAAAACTATCATCAAGCCGTAATAGAGGGATTCGTAAGAAGTGTGAAATATGATATGATGTCGCATCGAAGATTTCGTAAATGTGATGAGGTATTTTTGGAATGCATTCCTGGAAAAGATCTAGATGGTATTGATAGAGGAATGACGATTAATCAAAAAGTATAATCTCATCTAGACCCCGCATTCTTGTCTTATCATTTGTCCATTTGTTTGTTTACAGCAACGCTGCAACAACCATAATAAACAAACCCATTACACCATAACTTGCTTGAACACTTGGTGCAGCACCAGTGAAATCCGTAGCGAATGGAGGGCTGGCCGATGTTGTAGCTGCGATAATGGTTCCAATTGATCCTGTAGGTGCAATTGCCGATGTATTGTAGTTTGAGTAGGTTGATGTAACCGATGCGATGACCTCAGAAACTGTAATGGTTCGAGTATGAGTGGATGTTGCTGTGAAGGTTGTAGTGGAAGTAATTGATTGTGCGCATACACAAGCGACAAAGAGGGAAAGCAAGAATGCTGTGAGACGGTGGAACTGCATTTTGTATGTAGTTTATTGAAATATTCTTGGGTAGGGTTTGAATTTATTGACACGAAGGTATGTATATATGCGAGAGTAGTATGCGTTCTAGACTTTGAAGATCGAAAGGCAACGTAGGATGTCTTGAACAGATGGTTGTCTTGAGGAAGATATATATCAGAAAGATATTGATCAAAGCGCAAGGTCTTGTACTGTTTCGGCGGGAAGTGCTTTGGCTCAATAGACTCAAATGTGCAACAATAGAAACAGTGTTGGTTTGGTGAATCGGTAGTATCGAATGACGGTTGGGTGAATACAAAAGGTAGCTGCGCAAGTAATTTGATGAACGGAAGGTGCTTTCTTGAGATATACTATTCGATAGTGATGTAGACTTTGCCAACGAAGTCTGGTAATTCTGAAGCAAGCTGCAGGCAATGAATGAGTGTGTGTTGTTCGGTGCTAAGAAAGGAGAAAGGAAGGAAGTAAAACTTGAGGCGCAAGATGAAGAAGATATCTGAGCGAGCGGTTGAGGATGAGTGGGTCCCTGGTAGTTTTTCTGTTTAGGAAGTGACCATGTGGTCCGTGACGGGTGATGGGTGATTGGTGATTGGTGATTGGTGATTGGTGATTGGGAGGGTAACGCTATTTTCTTTTCGTTTCTTTTCCTTCCTCGTTGGATCGAGTGGGTTGACTAGGGGAAGTCAAGAAGCTTCGCCGGGTTAGTGAGGGAGATGGTTAGATACCTAGCAGATAGATACCTAGCAGATAGATACCTAGCAGCTATGCTTCTTCTCTTGTACCATAGAGGATCCTATCATTGTCATCCTAGATCAATCAGATCAATCAGACCAATCAGATCAATCAGACCAATCAGATCAATCAGACCAATCAGATCAATCAGTTCAATCAAATCAAACCCGTCTACGGAATAGTCATCAATCACTTTTCTCCTATTGTTCATATCCATTACTCCGTCCGTACACATGAACATGAGTGGGTTTCGTCACGAGCAAGGAAAAAGTAAAGTTTTTTGGGTCGTTTTTGGTAATACAAATGAAGGAATAAATGACATGGAATCGAAATCTGTTAAACAATTAAACAATTAAACAACTAAACAATCTCCGGATTTTGTTTTAATTTCCTAGTTTGTACCGACCGCTACACCGTATCTTTCTCATCCCCATCCCCATCTCCATCCCATTGTCATGTTGATAATGTTTCATTTCCCTCCCTTTCGCTCTCTTGGATCCATTCATGAATCGTGAAAAGGATCATGCTCGAGACTTTTCTTCGTGCCACTCCTCTTATCATCATCTTTAAACTTCAGTCTTTACCTTTTCTTAAAACCCTCGAGCTTCACCTTCACTTCCGTCACACTTCATCAACATCATCGGAACTCTTTGATCTCAACCTTTGGATCTTACCGTTCATTCAATCTCAATCTCAACTTTAATCCCCACAATCAACCGCAATCTTAAAAATTTGAACGTGAATACAAGGATGATTCAAGGGTTCAGCATCAAGCTAGTGACACGCTAGCAAGGATCATGCCGAGACAAATCTCGTTTGATAGGTGCTTCGGAACCAGGCGAGATTTTAGTGAAGTTTGGTACCTGACTTAGCGGTTAATCAATGGGTAAATTCTTTTAAATGTTTAGATTCCAATTGAGATTCAGCCTTACTAATTAGAGTGAGGAGTGAGGAGTGAGGAGTGAGGAGTGAAGAGCGAGGAGTGAAGAGTGAAGAGCGAGTTGAAGCCGTCGGAACCTTGTAAAGTGGTAAGTAAGTCGTGTCTGACTAGAGTGAAAAATGAGGTATTTTTTCATTGTGCATGTTGATGTGATTGTATTTTGTATATACAGGATAATCGGCATAACAACAACGACGACAACAACAACAACAAAAACAACAACAACAACACGGAGAGACTGAAGAAGGTTAGTTGAACACGTGAAATACAATCATTGGAACAACACTCCTTGGTTTCGGCATTTCGGGAAAGAATCACACTCATCCATACATCCAGAAAAACCCCCCACAGAAACAAAAGGAAATTGTCTTTGTTGTTCTCGCTGTCTCTCATCATCGTCAGCCACCAACCTTTACAACACCTCACTCACTGCAACGCCACATGTATGGATCAACCATTTCGTTCCTTTCCACCGGTCTCTTGCATCCACCGCCAGATCCCTACCTATACACCGCAGCAAAGGAAATCTCCGGTTGTTGATGAATGACATTTTCTCTAAACTCCTACGCGCGCTAAATCATCTTTGCTGCCCTTCATTTTCATTTCATCCTCCGCAGAATCTATATTTACGAGATGAGATAAGATGGCATCAATTTGAGCGGTTAAATGTTACCATATTCAAGGTACCAACTCTTTTGCATGCATTGCTGCAGCCCTGAAGATCCTTGAGGTTTTAACCAACGATAATCCTTATTGGTTGAGATGAGGCCGAGTGGAGATTACTAACCAACCTTCCATTTGTACACCTACCTAGGTCCGTACCTTTACTCCATACTCGAGTACAGATGTATCAAAATCCTCTTCCTGAATTCTTGACCACCAAAATCCATCTGGTCAGATAAAGAAGAAATAAGCTTTTCACTCACGAATCAATCAATTCATCTTAATCATCATCCCTCTGAGGATCAAACAAGTGTCACATCTCCAAAAAGCTAAGCTTTTAAATTGGAGAAGAAACGTCCTTTTCCTATCTATCCATCTTTCAAATCCATGCTGCGCCATGTGTTTCCTCTAATTCTCCACAATCTTGAATTAAACCCTTCCTTCCTCACATCCATCTCTAAAACCTTCCATTTTAACTTCAACTCCAACTCCAACTCCAACTCGTTCGTCTAATCCTGTCATATCAACCTTTTCCTTCCTCACATCAAACAAATCGTGTCATAATGAGGGGTCTCTCACTTGAGACCAACCATGTCGCACGAGCGTGCGATTGCTCAAACAAATGATGTATCAGAAATTTTTGCTTTCATTTATCGATTCATCTTAAGTCGAGATGAATTTATGAGACTGAGCTACTTTTGTTTAACCTGATGTTTTGGTTTTCCCCCTTCGTTGGACATCTAATTGATTTTTCCTTGGATTTCCTGGCATGAGCAAGATGGAAATTTGATGTTCATCCAAGTCCTGTGTTACGCCCTCAACGCACTTATTCCCGGAGTCAAGAACATGGAAATGAATTTATTGTTTCTTCCCCCATGGGATGATCATGAATGAACCCTCGTTATTTCACAATGTTTGATCTACAGATTAGACAGAGATCGTTCAGTTTGGCTCCTCAACCCGAGTCTTCACCGTCAACGTTGAATTGTGGCATAACTCACGTGATGTATTTGATGTTAAACAGAGATAAAATGTACTTACTTGATCGCCGGGTTTTCAGTATTGTAACATCACATTTTAGATTTTGATCTGTATCGAAATGTATAATCTTTTAAATTTTATACAAATATAGAAGATTAGCAAATTGTATGTACTAGTTTCGTCTCTTGCTAAATCTTGATTTCCGATCGCAAGAACAATGCCATTGTTCGGTTGTTGATCAGCTTATTTCGTCTTTGTTCTCATCAGGCCATAGAATTTGTACCGAAATTGTCCTGAAACTATCCTGGGTATGTGCGTGTCACTGTTCACAGGTATTGACAATTGAACAATTATTGGACAGAGGAGTCCCGTTTGCATAAAGTTACCAAATATTTTGGGTCAGTTTGAATTACCAACCCTCAACTCATAAAGAAACACTAAACATCTTATCTAGACTTACTCAGTAATCAAAATTACATAGTAAACTACAAAATCTCGTCAAGATGGTGTTTAAAATTCAAAAAGCGAGTCAGAAGGCGAGTAGCTCAATGGTCATTTGTAGCCAATGTGGAAAAAAGGTACCAGATGAGCACTCTCTCAGTCTTCACAAAATGGCTAACCATTCAACTGAATACTATCAGTGTTCAAAGTGTGATGCAACCTTCGAACTTAGGCCAGATCTTCACAAGCACGTCAAGGAAGCGCATGGAGAGTCCAGGCCAAAGTGCGAAGAGTGTGGCACAACCTACATTGACGAGAGTGGATACCAAAGACACCAGAAACTATACCACGGAAGTTTTCCATGCTCCTACCCTAAGTGCAATTTCAAATTGGATACTTTGGAAAGTCTGAACAAGCATATGAAGAAGCATCAGAATTTACCTAAATATACATGTACAATATGTGGACGCGAGCATCATTCGGCTAAAAATCTCCAGTTACACATGGAGAGTGTTCATGACGATCACAGCTGCAGGTGTACTGTAGAAGGTTGTGGTGCGGAGTTCGACCATCCATGTGCTTTGAGAAGGCATGTAGTTTCCTTCCATGTGAAAGAATTTGATGCAGAAAATACTTGCAAGATCTGTGGGCGTTGCTTTAAAGGTCAAAAAGCAAATCTAACTAGACATATGAATTCAGTTCACTGGCTGGAGCAGTTCAAAGCTAAGTTTGGAAAGGCACGCGAAGATGGAGAAAATGAAGAGGATCTTGAAAATTTCATTGCTCCCACTAAGCTTTCCACCCTCTCTCCGGCCGTCATCTACGGACGCCGCTCATGAAGAGTTGATAAAAAGGCCAGAATGGGAAAATGTAGTATTTCTGATTATTTTTCTCGCTATGCTGTACGAATTTATGGCGACACGACGGTAAGGATTTTTATCTTCGTTTGTTAAACAGTTGAGAAAACTTGGATTTCATATGTTTTGAGATTTATTGAAGTATTCAATTTCCTTAATATTAGAAAATGTTTTAAAATTCCAGATCCAACCGTCTTTTTTTAGTAGTTCTCTTTTTTTCTTTTTTTAAATATGAAATATAATCAAGTGATTATTTATTTCATAATTGATTCTAGGAAATATTTTTAAAATTAAAAAAAAATCTTTCTTTCTTAATCATCATTCCTTTTTTATATTATTTTTTTTATTAGTTTTTTATATGTTATGATTTTCAGATGAATATTAATTATTTAATATCAAGTTGTGTAAAAAAAAATTTATTTTATTTTATTCTTTTCTTAGTTTTATTTTTATAATTTTAGTTTATTATAACATATTTCTTTTATATATATTCTTGTATCTTTAAGAATATTATATTCTTTATTTTTTATTAAATTAAAAGATCATCATTATATATATAGATTGTATCTTTATTCTATAAAGTAAATAAAACTTTTGACTGACTCGGTATTGTACTCTGGTGAATTGAAGTATCTGATATTTATTTATATATCAAACCAAGTAATTGTAATAACGGGAATAGCGTTTCTGATTTTTACTTGATATTGAAATAATATCAATATTCTATTCTCGACTCAATACGTCATGAGGAACTTCCGAGTGATAGAAGAAAATTCTCGATAATTTGCTATTGATTGACTGTGGAGGAGTAATGATTAGTATATAAAATGATAAGATCTTATTATAATATAAAGATCCTTATCTATACTGGCGGTTTCCAATCCTGGTGTCCTGTATAAGAAGTATATGTTCTAATTGTGGTATACATAAAGAGGCCTTTTTGAGTGAGTCAATGCTTTGGTATTTGGTGTCTGGTAAAATATATGATTACTTGATTACTTTTCCTCGAGGTAGAGAGAAAGGGGATATATTTGAAGTTTGAAGGTGCTTTTGACCGTAGAGTCATTTTACTCATGTATATGGCTACATAAAAGCCGACGTATGTATTCACATCACAAAATACCTATCACTAATCGAGTTAATCAAAAATGCTAATTCAATTCAACTAATCATATTGAAAATTCTCCCAGACTTCACACCTTGTTCTACATCTACTTTCTCAACTATCCCCACCATACAAACAATTTAAGCATCTAAATTAATAACCTCAATTTCCTTCTTAACCTCATTTTTCACATCCGGTCTTATCCCCTTCCACTCCAAATCTTCATCTTCAACCGCCCATTCCACCGAATTATCCGGATCTCCCCGTATAAATTTACACCCCAAAGCAATCCCCAAATCCCCCGACTTCGGTAAGGGAATCCCCGCAGGCCAAAGCGCAGGCTGCGTAAGCGGCGGAGGAATACTTCCCCTATCACCCCAAATCCGTCTCCAAGGATGTTTAAACCCATCGCAAAGTTCCGCACTTCCGGCCTCTGGCATCGATGCCTTCGTATTCGCATACGAGGGCTTGATGTATTTGAAATCTGATGCCCGAGCCGGTGCTGCCATGTTCAATATCATCGGTTCGTAGATTTGCCAGATGGGAAAGAGATGCGCGTCGGGATTTTGTTGGAATTTCTTAGGCATGGTCCCGATTGATAGCCGGATGAATTTGTGCGGTCGGTTGAAATCTCCTCGTATCGTAGGCGCATAATGTCGTTCGGTTTGATCGACGACTGTTCCCCGTCTTTCGATTGCTCCACCCTGTGGTCGGTATGTGAATATTACTAAGAGGACTCCATACATATCTGCGCTTATTTGTTGGATGTCTTCGTGTCGGATCCCACAATACGGTATCCCTAATCTCTCTTTCAGATTTAAATTATTCTTGCCTTTTCGGGTTGTGTTTAGTTCCTTCACTAGTTCGTGCCGTGGATGCTGTTCATCTTCCAATACTCGATTCACATATGCCCTATGTTGCGCTTTTACGTGCGGCCATAATTCCCAGTTTCCGTATATACACCATGCCACTATGATCATATATCGTTAATATGCAATTCCTTCCTCAGGAGCAGTTTTAGGAGTATTTTACACACCAGCTCTATAGTACGAATTGGATATCGTCCATGTTAAATTATGCGCTCCATTATATTGCTCATCAGCAGGATAGCTCCGCACAATATTAAATATCGTATCTTCAATCAACGGAAATCCCTTAACCTCAGTTTCAATAAAAGGATTCAAAGCCCTTTTTTTCACAGTAGGTGTCACTAGTTGATATTCCTCCATGGTTTCCTGAAGACGCTGATCTGGCACTTCGTCGAAATCGCTGTCGCGAACTACGGGGAGTGGTGGAACTTTTTGTTCGTAGAATGTTGAGAGCCATTGCAATACATCGAATGGTGTGGGATCCTCGTTGTTTTCTCGACCCGCTTGGAGCGGGATGTAGTTACTTATGTCTCCTCCTCGGATGGTTTTCTGCGAGGGACTTTTGCGATCGAATGTGTAGTGTAAGGGGTAGACTTTTGACATTTTGAGATGGTTATCTGGAGATGGTTTTTGCTTTAATTTGAGGTTGAGGTTGAAGTTGAGGTTGAGGTTGAGGTTGAAGTTGAGGTGGAAAATTGTACTGTATGTATATCATGCACATTTTGATATTTTGATCATTGAAGCTATCTATCTATCTATCTATCTATTCTGTATATTTTCTTCTAATAAAGCAGTCTTTGTTTTTTTCTTCAACTACAGTCTTTCGGGGGCTTGAACATTGAATATTCAACAAAGCGAATCCAAGTCCGGTCTCTCCCCTTGTAGAGACAAAGAGTATAGGAAGAGCTTTAGGTGATGCATGCTTTTCTGTAGGAATCATATTATTGAAAAAGAATTCTCCCGCATTATCGAGATGGGATACTTACTGCACAGTAGTCTTGATTTCCCCTACACAACGCTCCCTTCCTCTTCTTTTCCTCTCCTCTCCTACTTCTAATAATTGAAAAATGAAGGTTTCCTATTTTGATTTTAATAATTTAGATTATCATACTCTTTTTTATTTTAGAACTAGGATAATAAAGAAGGAGAATGATTTTTTGAATAAGATTTTTCTGGTTTTAAAAAGCCAGAAAATAATAAAAATTTAATTACATTTTTGGATAATTTTTCTACTTTTTAATGGATTTTTAAATTATTCTTTTTCATTCCCAATCTTAATTTCAATTATTTCTTTCCATTCCTATCGTGAAAAATTTCTATCCACTCCTTCCTGTTTTTAATAATGAATTCCAATGAGCATATCCCTTTCTATAAGACAGGATAGGAGAGGAGCGGAAATCAATACCATGACACTGCACCTTGGGATTTAATTTTGATCTTACCATTCCCTATCAATGCATTCATTGATATGTATCATATTAGACACAATACGGAACATTACACTGTACACTTAAACGAAAAATAAATTTCTAGTTATAGAGTAAAATCAAAAATCAAAATATCCAAAAAAAACTTCTCAATAAATAAACATTTTTTAATATCCAAATAAAACTCCCCAATTTACCATCTCGGTGGTGGTCTCCCTCCCCTTCCGGCAGCAGGAGCCAGCGTAGCAGGAGCAGGCCTAGCAGAAGGTCTCCTCACTGCGCCTGGAGTATCTTCCTGCCTAACCTCCACCACATCTTCATCCGAACTAGAAAGATCATCAACAGCCTTCGATTGACTATTTTTCGATGGAACCCCACTAGTAGATGATTTCACCGGCGCTTTTAAATCCCTCCCATACTTAACTTCCTTAACTTCCTCAACCTCCTCATCCGAACTAGAAGGAAGATTAGTAACCGGTGTTTCACCCCTTCTAACCGTATCTCTTAAAATTTTCGACGAAACTGCCTTGGTGGATGATTTTACATCTGGGTTTACAGCTGGTTTTACAGCCGTCCTTAAAGGCATTTCATGTTTTATTTCCTCGGGTTCTTCGTCGGAGCTAGAAAGGAGATCGATGAGTGACGATTCCCTTTTTTTTCTCGAGGGATTTCTTGTTGTTGGGGTTCTAGGGGCCCGTGGCTCGGGTTCCCAACTGTGTGTTTTTTTCTGGTCGAAGGTTTTCCCGAGATCTTTGGATAGATTTTCGTTGGATGGCTGTACACCTTGCCCCTTGTTTAATGTCTCTCTTAGACCATTCGCAAAGTCCTCATATGAAAATTGTACACCCTTCTTCTTCCACTTGCCTAAAATATCTTCTAGACCTTTTGCCAATTCCTCGCTGGACGGTCGTAAACTCTTCTCCTTGTCTAATGTTCTTTCTAGAACTTTCAAAAAATGATCATATGAAAGCTGTACACCTTTCCCTTTCCAATTTCCTAACTTCTTTTTTAGATCTTTCGTAAAGTCTTCATATGAAAGCTTTGCATCCTTTCCCTTCCACTTGCGTAGCGTCCTCTCTAGATCTTTTTCCAATTCCTCATTCAATGACTGTACATTCTTCTGGTTCCCCTTGCCTAAGGTCTCGTCTAGATTTTTCGCCAATGCTTCATTTGACGGCTGTGCTTTCTTCACCTCTGCTTCTTTAGATAACCCTTGCACGGCTCTTGCTTCTCTTGCTCGTTCCTCCTTTGCCTCCCTTTCTTTAGCTTGTATCCACCACTTCACTTCCGTCGGATCATTCTTCCTTTCAGCCGCTTGTCTTTCTCTTCTCATCCATGTGTTCATTAAATCTATATCCAGAGCTCCATCCTTAGTATTGATTCCAAGAACCCTAGCTATGTCTAAATCCCATGGCCCCACATAAACAGGCTGAGCAATTGGTGGAGGGATTATAGCTTTGCCGCGTCCTCCAGGAGGTCGTTCTTTAGCTCTTCCTGGTTTGGGATCTATCGTAACACCATCTGGAAATGGAAATTGTGCCTCGGGGTTTTTGTATGGGACTAGTGTTTGATAATGATTCCTATTGATGATATGGAGGAAGATATGGGTGGCGCTGTATTGACCATATAGACCGATGGACTGATGATCTTGTGGTTTTTGTTGGGACTTTGGTATATCTTTCGGTATATCTAATTGTTCGTAAAGTACTATAAAGAGGTTGAAGATATCTGCTGTTACATTGAGAAGGTCGGATGATTGCCAAGCCTAAAACATTTATAGTCAGTACCTCTACATCGTCTGCCCGTACAAATATGAAGATTTAACTTACGTGTGGAGTACTTAATTGTTGCCAAATATTCTTTTTGGTTTGAGAACTTTTATTAGAGTTCAATCTCCAATAAAAGTCATATCTTGGGTGACCAGGATGAGTAAGTACAAATCGGAAGAAATGCAAGTGGCAAAATTTCACCCAATGCCAATACATGGCCGTTCCATATAGAGCCATCGAAACTGAAACTATCAGCACAAGTTCTTACAAAGAATAGCAATAGAATATTAAACTTACCAGCACCAAAAAAGCAATCTCCGCTATCAGGAATCTCCATATCATAAAATTCCTGGTCTCCCATGTACTTAAAATCTTTCACTCTTCTCCTGTTCTTAGAAATCCGCTCGGGCATTAGCCTGACATCCGGAACATCTTGAAAACTATCCGGGATACCATCTCTTATCTCTCTATCCTCATCAGCCTTTGGATTATTTTTCCATCTATATTCAAAGTTTCCAGGTCCGGGAAATCGGCTGCGCAAGGGGCCTATTTCGGGATTTGCAATTTTGGGAGCCCGAGCATCTTGTGGAGATAAAGGGAGAATTCCTGGTGCATGTGCTGGAGGACGAATTGCTTTTGGCGCTTGAGATTTTTCAATGCCCTTGCCTTTGTTTATTTTTCTGCCAATTTCGGAATCTATCTTTTGCTTCTTCACAGGAATTGATTCATGATCATCATCGTCTTCTTCGTCTGTTGATCGGTCACGTTTCCTTGCTTCAGGTGTTTCACCTTGTTCTAGTTCTTCTTCGAGAGGCAATAATCCTTCTTCGTTGTCCCCTGTCTCGGGCGGAGCAGGAGGCGGTGGGGAACGAGCTGGAGGAGGAGGAGGAAGAGGAGGAGGGTTAATATTAAGAAGCCGCCGGTGGGGAAGTTCACGCCATGGAGTCTTCAATTGCTCTTGAGTAAGCCATTGTCTCGGCTGTGTTCTGGGTTGAGCCGGAAACTTTGAGGCTAAAAAATGCTTGCCGAATTTTGTCCATTTCAAAGGTTGCGTCACCTCGGGTCTTTTGTATACGGGACGTGGTACGTTAATGTTAGGATCGCGTCTAAGGACGCGGGCGAGCTCCTCTTCATTCATGATGTTGTGACTGGTTCGAGTTCAGAACATTTGCATTTATACCAAATGAGGTTTCTTTTCTATGATTTTGAAAAAATCAATTTGGTGTTTCGTAATAATATTTCTATCGACTTTCATGAGGTTCTCAAAAGCTCTGATAAAGAGTTCATTGACGTGATTCTTTTTTGTCCAAATGGATGCTTTTGACGTTTCGGGGTGTTGAATGGAAAGTTAAACAAAGACATTTTTACCCGAATAAAAGGAGGATACAAAGGGTAAATATTTGGTAATTCTGGACCCTTCGTACAATGGATAACATGAACGATCTTTCGGAGCAAAATGTATTGCTTGAACTGTTGAATATGGCGGGAAACGGGTCCCCGATAGACGAAAAAGATAAAAGGGGTAGTCATGTCTTAGCGATAGCGCTTGCTCTTATTTGGAACGGGTTTGCTCAGAACTGACAATGACGGTGACGGTATAGTACATTAGGATTCTAGATGTGTAAATGGTGATCGAATCTGAAAAAGGAAATATCATACATCCATAAAAATGATGTGAGGAACACATAGAACTCCTTCATCTGAGTATGTACAGCCATTTTCCCCATAACCCTTTTTCTTTGTGATTCGAATAAGACCAAATTTAATGTACTATGGTTTTTGAAGAATGAGGGTCTTGATTTTGGAAGATTTTATATCAAGACGAGGGCTTTTTGTTGAATTTTGACCTTCGTTCGTGCATGTAGAACTATCTTCTCCTTGGACTTAGAAATCTGATCTTTCCCGCTTCTCCTTTTCAGAATCTATAATTAAGACCTTAGATGCTAGCGTTATTCACCACAAGTTAACTGTCGAGCTGCTATCACCTCAAAATATCATAAAAGAGCTCACAAGGTCATTAAAAATTTCATAGAACTGAGGAGGAAGCTATTTGAGCCTTTGGGAATTGATTTGCTCGATCTTGGCCATCGAAACGAACATGCTCCCTCGATTATCGTACTTTAGATGCTCATTCAGGACGTCCTACCTACAAATTCCTCTTAGTAGCGAGTTGCTTGATCGAGTATGAAAATGGTAACAGTACACCATAAATGATACAACTCTCCACCGATGTTAACAATAGCTTCAACGATTACTTATCTTTTAGCTCACTCAATGCCAATATATTCTTTGCGAATTTCATGCTCCAGCAAGCTTCGAGTAGGTTATTGAGTGTCAGAGCGGGGCATCAAGATGGCCGTCACGACAATATAAATACAAAATAAACAACGAAAACAGGACTCAAACGACAACAACTAGAAGGAAGATACAACCACACTCTAAAAAATTCAGAGATGTAAGTTCTTATATTCATAGAAGCATCCTCCGAATAAACTACTTCCACTTCTTTGCCAAAAAAGTGTTTCAACATCGCAGAGCACCATGCATCCTTCCATGTGTATTAAGCAACTGCTTGCAGCTCCAGGAACTATCTGGAAACGCTATAAATAATCCGGCCCCTGAGATATTACTTCAACAGTGGGGTGTAATGGAATCAACTGTGCAATAATTACGCAGTTATCATCCTCGCATCAGCTATTGATCTTTGCCATTCGCCGACAATTATCACTATAAATCCAAAGCATAGTCTCCAAAACCAAGAGATAATGCGCTATCCATCCATTGCCGCCATACTGAGCTCGCAAGCAGGTACCAAAGTCTAAAGCAACTCACTTAATATCGATATAAAACGCACCAGCTCCAATAAACTTCTGACATAAAATTATCATTAAACAGAAGTAGACGCTCTGAATCAGCTCTAAAAACTTGCAATAAGAAATTGGCACGATAATTAGCAAAATAAGAAATCTTTCCATTAACCATTTAATCATGAAATTCGAGAGAATTGGAAGTTTCCCATCTCAATATCTCAATTCATAACCATCATTGAGGTAGAATCACTAACCTTACCAAAACTCGTAGAAATATCATACTTAACAGCAATAATTACATCTTTTCAAAACGAAATAGCAGGAACTCAAAGGAGGTATTAGGATGATAATTATGACCTCATCCAAAGATCTAGAGAAATGCCCACGCTCCCCGAGATCCCAACATTCATCTACAGTATTGAACTAACCAGATACATGCAAATGTAAGATTATATCCATCATATAAAAGTAAACAAATCCACCGGCCCAGCGAGTCGAGCTAGAGAGCTTTAGAGCGGGATACACCAACTAAGGAGTCCCAAACCCGTAACTACCCCTATTCCCCTATCCTCACCCTCAATCCTCAACCCTCAACCCTCAATCCCCAACCCTCAACCCTCAATCCTCACCCGCCTCTCCATTACTCCATTACTCCGCATATCATACTCTACATCCAAACCCCATACACATGTAAGGTAAGATCTTACAAGCTCCATACACACAAGCTCAACCTCAACCCCAAGCATCCAGATTCCAAACCAAACCTCATGATCCAAACCAAACCTCATGACTCACGCTCTCGAGTCTTACTCAACCGGGAAATCCCTCCGCACTCCCCGTACCGTACGTAACCTTACCTTACCGTCCTTACCTAACCTAACCTAACCTTACCTTACTTTATCCCGAGCAGCGCAGCCCACCCCACTCCCAGCCACTCCGACTCCACTTGTTGAGGAAGCACCCCACATTCCACATTCCACATCCTCGTTTCTTTTCCCTTTTCCTTTCCCCAAGAAAAACCATGTAGCAAATAATTAAATTGAAAGAAGCAAAAAAGAACATGCAACAGGATAAAATATCATACAGAATATCACCATCTTTAGGAGTGAGGTGGAATAAAAAGTATTCGACGTCGGCATGATTCGAACATGCGCCCCCGAAAGGAATTGATTTCTAGTCAATCACGTTAACCACTCCGTCACGACGCCATTGATAATTTGTTCTTGTCTCTACACTTTCTAACAATATATACTCGCGCATTTATTTTAATCCTGTTTAAATACCTAGGATTGTAAAATTCGTGTTTGAAAGCTGATTATTGTCTCCCTCACAATTATCAACTCAAGAATACGACGGGTATACTTATTCCCTAGTTTCAAAGGGATGTTCTAATTTTTACCTAGATTGCGGCTTTCTTTGATGTAAGTCGTGAATATGATGACCGACTTGGCAGATAGGGGTGTTGAACAACATAAAGTACTACCATGATATAGCACAAGAACAACGCGGTAAAGTCTGGGTAATACTGTAGGTATGATGATGATATTGCATTTTCAGTCATCATTATTGCGTCAACACCACCGTGCTGAAATACTACCCTACCATATATACCATCCTGCCCATACATACAAAGCAAGCCAATTTGCACCGAAAACATTTATCGGAGAGCACCAGCTAAGCACCAAGCTATCCTCCCAATCCCCAGACCGGTAAGCTAACAATGCTATGCACCAGCCGAACCACCATAATACACCTGAATTAGACGCAAAAATCAGACCCAATGCCAATCTATCGATACGCTTGCACAAACTAAAAATCAAAGGCTAGCTATCCTTCTCCGTGTATTAAAAACCCCTAGAGTAAGCTGCCTGCCGGTATCCCATGCCTGTGCGCGTGCCGAATGCAAGGAAAGTGAAGAAAAAAGGACAAACTCCGAATGCTTGTCGCCCAATGCAAGATCTCTGATATCCTGTACGAGAATACAATGTAAAATGGAAAATCCAAGTCGTGAATTGAAACGCGATAATGCTCAACGAAGAGGTCATCAACGTACGAATTCATGTTGGGAATAGAATGTTAAATGAGTTCAAACCCATCATCTTCAAGAGGCTCTGGCTCCTGAGCTTTAGTATTCGACTTACCATCCCCACGAGCGCGGGAGAGTGCCTTAGATCTTGGACTCTTTCTGCCTCTTTGTCTTTGAAGAACAGTTTCTCCCTCGGCATCCAAAACTTCATATTCACCCCTAACGATCTTCTCGGTTTGCTCATTGACCCATTTCTGCTCTGCGAGATCCACTAACCCACTCAAATCCACTCTGTTATTTGGTGTGTCTTTTCTATCAAAAGAGTAGAGAACACCTTCATCACCAGCATTCATCATTGCGGTAGCGATGGATGGAGATGTGTTATTATAATGTGTGGGAAGAAGGTCGAGTAAGGACTTGGAAAGAGGGTGTGAGGAGTTATCTGTAGCCTCGATATGAGCATCAATCTGTCGGGCGATACGGGAAGAAGAGGTAGGACCGTGGTCGTAGGATGGGGCCCCGAATGGCTTAGGAGTGGTATTAGAGTTGTTGCGCGGATGTCGGTCGCTATTGACACTGGAAAGGGCATGAGTCAGTTTCAATTTCTTAGTCTTGGATAGTAGAATGATAAACATACATTTGACTCCACGATTTTTGAGGTCTAACCTTCTCCTTCCCCCTGGAAGATTCACTAGGACCATCAGTCGAGTGGATGATAGCCCTATTGACGCCAGCAAGCGGACGAGTCCCCATAGCCCATTTCTGGGAATGATCCTTATCACGTTTGAAGCCCTGGGCCTCAGATCGAATATCTCGGCGCTGAATAGGAGAGGTTGGCATGTTGGTAGTGGCAGACATGTTGTATATCTTGTTTGTTGTTGGCAGATGGATTTGTATAAAGGAAAGTTGTATGAGTGTAAGTGTTTATTGAGCGGCGTGTCTTGTATTGGATGGTATCAAAGTAGAGAAAAAGTGATGGTAAACTTTTTCTTTGTCTTGATTCTATTCCTTAAAATAGATATGGGATATCTCCTTTTCAGGATGCGTTGACGTATCTATCTTATGGTGGTATTATTATTCTCTGGTTTGAGAGGGGATAGCACCGCGAGGAAGATTTGTAGGATATAGGGAAAGGCAGTTGATTAAACAGAAAGGATGATTGATTAAAGAGTAAAGTAGAAGGAGGTTCGTAAGAATGATGATTCAGACTTCGTCCGAATGACTGTAACGAGTAGTTGCGGCACGGGGGTAAGAATCACACCGTTCGAAAGTAGAAACTGCGAATCAAAACACAATTAAGTGGTGAATGGCAAGAAATGATGCAATTTGGGTTAGACTTTTGATTATTCAAAAGACAAAGGGATGTAGTTGTGTTCAAACGAAGTGAGAAAGAAGGTGCTCGGTGTGTGAGTCAGGCGAGGCTGATTTCCGATTATTGATAACGGATAAGTGAGGATAAAGAAGGAATCTTCTGTATGGAAGGTTTAATTATAGATTAGGTAGATGTGTAGATGAATGAAAGAAAGATATGATAAAATGATAATTGAAAATACCAATGAGCTGGATATTGTAAATGTCTGTATGATTCTTTGATTGATTGATGGATGGATGAAGGAAGGAAGAGAGGGAGAGAGAAAGAGAAGGTAGATTAGATATATGGGATATAGGATATTACGTGCATCTCTCTATCTTCCTGCACCCGCCAGCATCATTCCAGCCATGTCAAACAACAACAAAACAACGCAAACAAGGCGTAATTCCATGTATCCCTTCACATTCACCCAATCAGCTCAGGTAGATGGCTTCCTGGCGGCTGACCTAGATTCACTCGGCCGTCACCGGACCTGGAGTAATAATGGAAATTGTACTCGGTCTTCCTACTAGATACATGCATACTAGGTAATAAGCCTTCTCATCGTCACGTTTCTCGTCTCTCGTCTTGATTGACTGGTTGATTGATCGATTACATGACTGCTCGATCGTTTGCATCACAATTGCTTCTTATCAAGAATAGGGGATGAAACCGGATCTCCAGCTTACCTTTGTTGGCTGAGTTGGTCAAAACCTTAAAAGCGGTGCAGCAAAGCAGCTGGAGCTCGAGTTTCAATCTCTTATCTAATGTACCATTATCTTGTGTACTGGTTTGTGCCTAGGTATGATTACAACATCATCGCCAACTCTTATCGCTTTGCATAATCATGAAGGGTCCGGATTCATTTGTGCCTGCATATTTTGTTAGTTACACCCAAGTCTTTGATGAATCTGCACTCCCATCATTTCATTCGCATTCATTGATTGGTGGCTTTGAAAAGGAATACTTCACGTGACCAACGAGAACAACATATTCTAAGAACAAAACTTATCTGGCTTCTGGTTCGATAATCCGTTTTGAAATGGATGATGCACATCCATCCTACGTTAATTCACATCCGCATCATTCATGAACAGAACAGAGTACCGTTATTACATCATGATTATTTGATTATCCCAAGGATTCTTCTAGCCCTCACAGCCCTCACAGCCCTCACAGCCCTCACAGCCCTACAACCCGGATCTACGTCAATCAACAAATCAAGAGGTCAAATCATGATCAAGTTCTACCTTCCTACCCTTCTTCTGCGAGCATAACCTCATGGGTCAGAAGATTCAATTCATCGGATGGCAAATCAGGAAGATTACTCCACGGCTCTAACACGCCCAACGATTGGACGTCATAATCGATCTGCGTAATGACGCTTTCGGCTGATACTCACACGCCTCATGGCACTGAGACATGTATCAATCTCATTTGGGTCTTTCGATCGACTTAATGGAACACCTGCATGTGATACCGAAGGCATGCACTTTCTCGCTCACGTGAACAAGACCCGGATACAAAACACATGCCAAGAAATAACAAACTATTGACATTGCAAACGATCGGCAAGCTCCGAAATTATGTACTAACAAGATGTAATATATACAGAAGAACTATGAGACTTTAAGAATGACAGACAGAAATGACAAATTTGAGCTGCTCCTTAACCTTCCCACGGAGCAACAATCACAGGATTGAAACAACTGGCCGAACTGGATCTTTCGATCTCCCGAATGCGAATGTGTGGTCAGTGGAAAGTGAAAGAGCATCGTTCCCAGAGTGTGCTAGCCTTGCAAGAAAAGTATCTACAAGGAGCAAGAGACGCCACCACTAGTTGGGACGTTGAGGCAAGAAGAAGAAGTCTTTCCACCCGTGACCGAGACCCCGCTCCATGTCCACTATTGAATGTTAGGATCTTTCAAGTATCATATCACATGAGGGAACATCACGTGAAAAGGGAGATATGACTTACGTTAGTGCAAGAACCACTTCCACATTCAATGTAAATGTTGGTAGCACCGGACTCAACGGTTCCAGTGACTCCATCAAGGATGAATTTACTAATGGTAACACCGTTGGTTGGGCTACCTTCCTTTCCATTATAAGCTTGGTTGACAAGAATACCGTAGTCGGTAATGCCGGAAAGTGTGATGCCTGAGTAGGTAACTCCAGAGACGGTTCCGCTGTCACCAGAAATGGTCTTGATGCGGACACCTGGAAAATGTTATTGTTTGGTCATTCGTTTCCTTGATGGAAGGTAACTTACCATTCTGCGAATTCTTGATTTCAGATTTTTCGAAAGTGACGGTCTGGACAATGTTGTCGTCTCTACCACCGACGGATCCAACGGAAAGACCGTGTCCACCAGAACAGACACCCCCTGAGAAAGTAATGCCCTTTGACAAATTAGTTTATGTTCAGATCGGTCAACGAAGGGTTTGACTTACTGTTCCTGAGTTGATAGCAACACAATCATCTTGATTGTATACATTAGCACCAGTGATAGTAACAGTGGTGCTACTTCCAATATCGAAACCATCAGTATTATGACCAAGACTACCAGTATCACCAGCCGATGCATTGATGGTGACATTGTTGATTGTCAACCCATTAGCGTTATCAATACTGAAAACTTGGACAGGTGGGTTGAGAATGTAGATGTTCTCAATAGTCGAAGAGATCAAGTTGTGTGCGGCGAAGAATTTGGGCTTCGTCTTTCCTCCGTTGGAACCTTTTCCATCCCAGTAGGAAGCTCCTTTACCATCGAGATAGGCACTACCACTTTGAGTGACGGTGATATCTGTTCCTGAAACAGATACCAAAGGACCAGACCATTCTTCGTAGCCGAATGTGGTGATACCTTCGAAGATGACCTAGCAATCGGTCAGTGTGGTGCAAAATTCAAACACGTTGATATATACTCACTTTAGTTCCTGAGGTTAGGCCTGTCAAGTCCAAGGTCGTGCCAGAAGGGACTGCAAGTGCTGATAAAACAATCGTAGCACAAGAAGCCTTGGACTTGCTTGCCGCAGCAGCTCCTGATGAGCCAGAAAAGGTACAGGTTGCTCGCTTAGCAAGATCTGGAGCAGCCGTTGGTGCTGGTGCCGCGGCGGGAAGAGCCGAAGCTAAAGCGGACAATCCTCCTAAGATGAGAGAGGTAGAAAGGTTAACCATGTTTGCGATATGAGCCAAGGAATTGAGAAAAGAGTTATGATGATCAGTGTGGTCTCTTGGCTTCGGAGGCGACTCCTTGGCTTTCTTATATCAATTGTTCCCCCCTTGTAAGAGTTCGCTTGGAAAAAGCTTCGCGCTGGAAACCCCCGCTCATCACTCTTAGTGCTGGAATAATCTTCAATCTGATAATTAATTTGTATCCCGGTTCAATGCATGGGAATGGAATATCTAGATTGTCAGGAGTCACGTTCTGTGGACACTTTAGTCGTAATCAGGTAGACCCATATTGGAATAAGGGGATCAATCGAGAGTATTACAGTAGAACCTCGTTATACCGGAAACCATTGTACCGAAATCCCATATACACTCTTGAAGAACATCGGATTAATTTTTACGATTCTGATATTAAAAATTGTAGGGAAAAGGATCGAGTAATCTTCCTATGATTTATCACATAATTAATTTATAAAATTTCATCACATTGACCTTGAGATATTGAAATTGGATATTAAAATTGATTGTACAAATTTCATTGATACGGTTGTCTAATTTTGATACACCGATATAACGGTTTTACTGTGTCTGCACTCAGGTGACGTGCGAGATTATCAAGGTCCACCAGAGAAAGAGGTTTGCTCAAATGGTTAAAGGCACCTAGCTCAATGGACTTATCAAAAGGAAGACATTCTTCCGGATCTAATCTCGTCGAAGTCCTCGTCAAGTTCGGCGCTAGACCCGCTTTACTTTGACACGCAGCACATGCCTGTCAAAAACATAGCTGATAGGTGGACTACTTAGGGCCACTACTTAAAGTTTCCCCGGATTTTGTAAAACTGGTTGCGGGTAGGCCACGAAAGACCCCCCCTCTCGTTTCTTGGCTCACTTCTGTTCAATGTTCACAAAGATTTTTCCCCGCAATGTTATCCGCAGTAAGCTTCTGCAACCAGGGTTTTTTTTTTTTACAGATATGATTGCCGAGCTAAATATGTTGCTTTTTGAAGAAAGTGAATGAAAGATGTTAAATTGTACAGTAGGGGTATTTTTAGATGTTGTTTGTTATCGTTTCGCCCACTTTACGAGCGTGATTAGGAGGGAAATGAGGACATCGGTGTGAAAAATCTTTTTCCCTCACACCATATACTAATTGCAGAATGAATTCATAGAAAAGTCAAAAACATGCTGCAAAGTGTGGCGTGGAAAGCCTGCGAGAGAAATTCATCAATGTAGCGATTGGTGGAGTCAAAATTGTCAGGAAAGTTTCTCGAATGATTCCTCCAAGCAATGATAAGGATTGGAATCCTACCTACTGAGTACATACTTCCAAGCCACGAGGCCACGCACGCAACCACCATGGGCTCGTTTCAAAATAAAGAAGCATTAGGAAATTAAAAAGGAGAGTAGTAAATGCCGCGAATTAAATGAGGGATCAAGCTTTCTGCCATCTTTACTACGGATTTTACCCGGTGCGGCTTTTCGGTACGGTGGTACTTGTGCTAGGCTAGAATGTGTGTCACGTTCGACCTAAATAGGAGCCACTATTCCCCTTGCAGTTTTCCCTCTTGGTGGTATGTGCACAAGAGTGGAGTGTGATGTACTTTCTGGCAGCGCGCCGCATGAGCTACTAACTAACATGTTCATATTCATGTTCATTTTTATGCCTCTAGTATCTGGGGTTTGTGTAAATTTCGGAGGATTTTCCATCAACGGTGTTTCGTCCCGGATTTTCGGAGGATGTTCCTTCTCCAATGGTGCACGAACGTTGCGTCCTTTATCATATCTCCGAAGTTTCACCACACCATTTTTCCTGGTGAGGTTATCAGCGGTACGAGGACGATTGGAAATTTTCCATCCACTCCGCTGCTTCTCTCACCCGAAAATAGGAAATAGCAAACAACCTTATTTTATAATAGGAAAGCGCGTGTTGGGTTGATACGGTTCTGGATAGGCATCGGACCCAAGCTGTGAAAATAGTCTGCTAATGTACCCCATGTTGTCGTGCAGGGAGAGACAATAAACTAACAATAAACTAACTACAGGCCTCTGACATCGGTGGCTTTTCTATCCGTACCGTAAATACCGGTACATGCTAACCGCATTCTAAATCTAATTTCAATCATGAAGGATAGCGATAGCTTGGAAAGTTGTCACTAGCCTACGGTATAACACCAGTCTTATCTACACCGGAGTACACTAAATAAATCCATTCCATTCTTTGGACTTTCCTAGGATTGAAATGAACGTAGATTAAAAGTGTTTATCTATTTTAATTGATGCCTTCATTTAGAATCGTGTAGGGAGTTGGATGTTAGGTGAAGTTATACGGTGAAGTGTGCTACGTATGCTCGTAGATCAACCTTACAGAGGCGGAAGTAACCTTCCTGTGGGCAACGAAAGCACATACCACAAAATAAAACACTCCAACAGAACAGTGGCCCATGTTTGTGGAGTGTGACACACTTTCAGCAGGATGAGTAAGATGATTTCTAAGAAGGCGTCGTCATCTCTCCGGTCCGAGTACCTGATTACGGATCACTAGAATCCACTTTTTGCGGAAGATATATCGGACCGATCAGCTTATCGGTATGTGGAGTACGTACCGTAGCTCTCCATCAGGAATCGAGCTCTCTTATTCGACTGACCTCTTGCTGCTACCGCCACTCTAAAGATTTTGAATGATATGAGTGAGGAATGGGTCCGAAAATTCCGCACCGAAATTCGCCATCAGAATTAAAATTAGACTGTGATATTTATTTATGATATACTTTCTGGCCGTACGGGTATCTAAAAGCTAGAGGAGCTCCGGCCAGCCAGCTAGTCGCTCCATAAATTAAGCTTCCATAGCGTTGTATTTGGAAGTATCTAGCGATGTTTCCATCGGAGATAGATACAATGGAACATTTCCCCCATTGATTGCAGGAATGTATATCCACCTCGAACCCTTCATGACTTACAAGCTACCACACTTTGAAGGTAGATAGTGGATATATCTAAATAGCAAGTGATTCGTAGCGCCGTGATTGCAGCAGGTAACGCACTACGGCTTATCTGATGCGATCCACGTTGTGTACCAATCTTTCGTCTCAACTACACTACCATTCTATCGCAACCTGCGGATATCTCAATCTTAGATACTGGAACATATGCCGCGCTCTCCTCAGCTTCTTCAAAGTGCATTGGCCAACTTCTACATCTTCATGCAGGTTCATCACATTCTCTTCGCCGTTTACTAGCACCTCATTGCCGAATCACCACTGGTATATCGCTGACGCCAAGCAGTCGTTTTACAGATTGCAATTTGGCGGTACCTGCGCTATCACTTGGCACTGAGGACTACTGCACGATACTTGTAGATACTTGCTTGAAGAAGACAAAATTACTTTTTAGTAAGAGGTAGGGGGGTCACCAAAACCAAATGCTGAGATGACAGTTTCATCCACTGTTGAGAACTAGATCATTCACAATGTAGCATGTCAATGTAGAATAGTAATATAGCGTGATAACCTAGCGTGATACCGTCCACATTCAAAGTAACGAACAAAAATATCATGAGATTAGGGGCAAATAGCCTTTCTTGAGGAACGAGCCGCACTGCTTCCAAATGTGTATTAAAGTTTAGTGTTTCGATCTGTGGTTACATCTAGACTAGGATCTTGCACGAGTTTCCTGACTAGCATGATGTCCTTGGTTATTGGTTGAAGCAAGTGTGGGATCTGTTAATCCTGGTAGTATGTAGTGCGAGGCAGTCTCACTTCTCCCTTTTTTTGCCCCTTCGGTGTGATCGCGCACTTTGGTGTGACTGCACTCCGGTGTTAGAAGGACTATGAGTAGTCCCCGGGAATTAACTTCGCTACAATCGGGTTCTAGAGAGTCCGGATTACAGTTGCTGGTGGAAAGCTTTGGGTTGAAAAGTTTTGACTGGTTTTATTATATATAGATTTCATTGGAATGTTCGCGGAGTTGATGAAAAGATACAAATCATTCAAATACCTAAGGAATATCCCAACATTAACTGAAGATTTCACATCCAGTATATGCTTGGACTAGCAAATAAATACTGGCACACTCGTCATTCTGGCCAAACTGGGCGCGGGAATACACAATCATTTACCAGCATTTCACCATGTGGTCTTATGTGCTCGAGTAATTCGATGCAATCTCTTACCCCCACGATCTCTCCCTGTCTACCTGCCATATAGATTCAGCATGATAGCAGTTGCAACACGATGGAGACTAGCTCCACGACATCTACTGCTGAAGAATGATCCAAGGAGGACTCTCAGTACCGTCGGAGTTTTTAAAACCGGAAACTTTCTTCTCTTTCTTCGGTGAACAATCCTGATGCCAAATGTATAGATTCGATCTCTAAGGACTTCAAGTCTTCGACTTATGCCAATATGAAGGTATATTTGACTTACTTGCATGGGAGCACCAAATAACAATCCATCAAGTATGAGGGAAATTAAATCTGCTATTTTTTTTTTTGAGCATCACACCTAGTTTTGGTGAGTTCAGACAAATGATTGAAAGTACCTTGATATTATCTTCGGATAAGTTGATCTAAGGAGTTTTCCTCGTCGTTAAACGCTTTATGAAATTTCTTGATAAGTATAAAGAGATATCTCTTTGGTCTTTTTTTCCCTATATAGATGGATGTTCTGTATGACGTATGGAAAATGGCCGACATGATGAAGGTATCAAGGTATAACTATGAAGACAAAGGATTTAGTTTCGGAGGTATTTGCGCTTTACGACTACTCTCTCGTCGATGGCTGTGACTAACGGATATTTTATTTTTTGGCTTCTGCAGTTGGAATATTGCGGCGGATGGATTTATATACATCAAATGGCAGGCAATTCCCTGGTATTTATGGTAAGCTGCCAGTTCTCAGGAACATTTCTTTTTGGTAAACGGGAATTCGCTAAAGTATATTTACGTTAAGATCATAACTTCTTCAACACCTCCCTTTGATAGGGCCTAGACAATGCCCAGCGGTTTTAAAATTCCTCTTCTTACCAGTAACTTATGATCTAACGTTCCATCTTTCTACATGCAATCTGGCAACTCACTGCCCGGACGATTTTCTGGTAAAACAAAGGGCTTGAAATCACCATTCCCTGGCAAGCTCACTTCAGAATATTCTCCTCATTACACAGTTTTCCTAATGGCACGCATGTATGCTCCGAATAGTCCCTAGATTTTACATACTGTAGACATTGCTTAGATTAGAAGGTTTACTGCGAGCGAAGTCGCTGGCGCATGGGACATTGTGTCACTGTTCTTAAGAATGTATTCTTCGTCTACGATGATATGTCCGGAAGACCTTCAAAGTTCGTGTTCCGCTTGAAAGCATTCTGTTGTGCTTTGCTTTTGCTTTGCTTTTGCTTTTGCTTTGCTTTTGCTTTGCTTTTTGCTTTTGCTTTTGCTTTTGCTTTTGCTTTTGCTTTGCTTTGCTTTTGTTTTGCTTTTGCTTTTTTTGCTTTGCTTATGGTTTAGTGAGGTCTTTTTTGATTTTCTGGATGCAAAAGGGTCGGTGTTGATAAGTGAGATCCTAATGTGATTTTTGGTGTAATGAACACGGTTTTATGGGTGCCTGTCTCGCCTTCTTCTTCTTCTTCCTTCTCCTTCTCTTCTTCTTGTATTGAATCAAAAATTTGGCAACCTATTAGCCAAGCCCATTACACGTTGATTTTTCGTCGCAGCAGTGTAGAGTAGACTATGGATCAATGCCCGGGCTATCATCATTCACAATGGAGATTGGGGCAGGTAATCTCACCTACAAAAGGATTGCAATCGCGTAGTTTCTTGGTGCTTGAAATTCGACACTTGATCATGGAAGGTTTAAGACTGAGGTTCTTTCTGCCCATAACTCTTAGGGTAGAATAAATCCAGTGCTGGACATGAGGAGATGTAGGAATTTCGTAAAGTGAAGAGAATCAGAGGTTCAGCGGGACAAGAAATTAAACTCATGGAATTCTCGGATGTGTAAAATCCACACTACTTAATACACTATTATTTTACAGGTCCCGTTAATAATTAATGCTAGACTTTGTATTTGAGCTTGGATTTGCCATCGTCGCAAACACGTTGGTAGCGATGGGAGGGTGAAAGAAATGAAACGAGGGAAACCTCGTCAATATCGTCATTCAAGAATTTTCTCTTCACCATGTGTATTATATTCGAATTCAATGAGACTAATGCATCGTCACTATTGGGAGAATATAATGAATTTCAAGCTTGGCTTAGGTGAAATTTTATAATGGTCAGCAAACAGCTTGATTCTAATGACTAGAACCCCTTCAAGTGCGATAGACTGGATGGACGCTTGTGGGAATATGATCACTCGTAGAAACACGCCATTTAGCTGGATTTCGCACGAGGAAATGCCAATCCTAGGATTGACGCCGTCCTTAGGTTGGAAGTGAGATCGTTGGCCTATACCAAATTTACTCTTGCCCATGATATATGGTGGGTGAGGTTGGGAATGTTGTCTTTTTAACCGTACTCGGCATGTGGCCGCGCGATGTTGATAGAGTCCAAATGACTTAGTGGAATGAGCGAGACGGATGTTCAGGATTGCAAGCAACGGATTTTAGATGCTATGATTATTATAATGAGCGTTGTAGTGCTTATTGCTCCATATATTGATATCAGTATCCTCATATCCTATGATTTGGGACAAGCAATTCGGGATGTTGACGCTAGACTACCACAGCTATCCACGTTGGCGTCCAAGGAACTTGGAACATTCAACGAATATCTCAAGAATGAGGAGCGCAAGTACTTATGCTCTGTATCTGGAGATGTTGTTAAATTGCTGCAGGATAATAATGCAGGAGAATAAATAGCTTGGAGTTGGTCTAGTGAAAGTAGATGAGTTCAAAGAGAGGATGAAGTAGATTTAGAAATACAAGCTTAAATCAGATCAAAAGAGTCTAGATGTCTTGCACGTCTTGATACACGTTTTATTTCCACTGGGAGTATCATACGTTGATAATCCTGAATGATTTGCAATCTTAGCAATTAGTGAAATCTAAGTACTTTTATAATTGCTCTAATTGAAGTTTTTATTAATTCCGTAGAAACACGTGCTAGCTTGTCCTAGCCCTCTGCTACTACATAGCTCTCTTTTATTACAGCCTTCTTGAATTACAGCCCTCTCGAGGTACTAAGGTTCCAGGACTAAAAGGGTCCCGAAAAGTATAATGATATAAGAAGAACTTTGAACTTGATATAGTAGCTCAAAGGATTGAAATCTCTGATGTGGCTTAGTGTGATGACTCAGCAAAACCATTGAGCTACAAACTTCGTTCTCCCAGAGATCAAGCCCATTACAATAAGTTGTCTGCCACACACGTGCAATGTGATAGATATCATAAATGAGCAAGTTGTCTCCCAAAACTGCATTCAATAAAGTCACACTAGATGGTCCTCAATTCGCGTACACCAATCAGTATCTTGGTGCCCAACATCCCATTTTCAAAAAGGCATATCTTGGCAGCGATTTTCAAAAATGCCACTTTTTGCGTGAAAATCTAAGGTTTCGCAAGCGGCCGCTTCTGGGCAAGTGCTTATCTAGAGGCTGAAAACCCCTGGATTTTCGTGCGAATCCTCGGGAATGAACCAATCATATTAGATATAAGATATCTTAAAATATATCCAAGCAGCGAAGGATTTCTAGTTTGTAGCCGTTAATCTAATCTTTGAGCTGTCCCAAGGCTGCAACATATATTGCTTGGTATTTTTCTAAATCCCATCATATAAATCTATGGTGTTAAAATTCTATATCAAAATTAAGACAAGTTCTTGAACTCGACGTCTTGAGGCATAGAATTCCACGATATATCGTGTTATTGAACAGACAACATGGCACATAATTACGACCCTATAATTTCCTCTCCCCAACTGGAAATGCACAGCCCTATGCCACCCATCCAACCCTCATCACCCTCATCACCCCCACCAACCTCGAGCAACTTTTCCCACACACCCAGCTCTGCAACCCTACTTCCCCAAGAGCAAAATTACTCACATTTCGAAAGTCATTTTCATAAACCCGAACAATCTTATACAACTGTTCCCTACAAACCCAAGACGGGAAAACAATTTTGGCATATTTTACTTAAGAGTTTGGCACGATGGTTAATTACACTTATCTTGTGTATTGCTTATTTAGTCGCCTTGCGAGTTTGGAATCAAAAGGGTACGGTGACGGAAGCTTCAAAGAGGATTTTTAATGCTATTACCACGGGTGTTAGTATTGCGTTGGGTATTAATATTGCCACTTCGTTGAAAGATATGGCGTTAAATGCGCGTTGGCCAATTTTGCATGCGAGGAAGAGAAATCTTTACGAAGTAGGTGGGAAATCGCCAATTTTGCATTGGGGGATTGCTAATAGCATATTAGCTCGATCTTACTTTACATGCGGATAGTTTGATGGATCTTGGTGAATTAGCTTTTGTTTCGAAAAGACCTTTGGTTTTTGGTATGGCTATTTCGTGGCTTATATTTAATCTCGTAAGTTATGTCAATATATTTTCCGATTATAAGAGTAAATGATATTAACAAAAAGTAGTTTGTACAAGCAGCTATTGCAGCCATTAGTTTGACATATGGCTTCAATACCAGCACCGATAGTTACTTGTTCACACCCGGTAACCTGACGATCCCGGACATGGAGCACTTCTACCCACAAGGAAACAACACCAAACCCCAAACTGAAGATGAAGAATATACCGCCCATGCCTACGGTGGTTTAGCCTGGAATCTCGGAATAGGGGAGTCAATCATTGACCTACCCTCCCAAGGTGAACCTTACCAAGGACTAAACGGAAATTATAGTATATGGGAAGATCAGCACAGCAACAAAATGGTCTTCGTATTCACCGAATACTCCTCCAGCGCTTCCACTCAAAACACCGGTTCCTTAGGAATCTACACAAACCGCACTCTCCCCATGCACTACTCCTGTTCCTCGCACCGAGTAACGCAAAACGGCAACGGTGCATCCGCAGCCAACATAAGCGTGGAAGACATCGGATCCATATCCGTAAGTTCATTCGTAGCAAACGGCACGACATTTTTCACCGATTATCCTAATCTCTGTCCTGATATCCCCCGCTGTTCAATCATCCAAGCCTTCGAGGCTTCTGATACCGATCCATGGTATTACACATGCAATATCACGCTTGGAGAAACGCAGAATGATCCCAGAAATATCTCATTTGTCAGCGATGATATGGCATATATAGCCGCCTCTGCGATTGCCAATACGGGATACTCATCCACAGACGATTACCAACAAACTTTTTCCTATCCGCAGAAAACTATGTGGGGACTTCCTATTCGCGGCAATGTATCAAGAATGGGTATACAAATTGCTGCGTTCGGACTGAGTTCTATATCTGTCACTGCAGCTTTCAATCCTTCGAAATATTACGATGGATTGGAACCACACACTGGATTCGCACTGGCGATAAATCATACGTATTTTTTTCTCTTGATTGTGTTTTTGATACCCCTGGTGCAGTTTGTTATGTGTTTTATTGTGGCCGTGTGGAGTAATAGAGTCGTGGTTCAGGATAATGCGTATATTGGGATGAGTTTACTGTTGCGCCCCATTGCGGATGCGTTGTATGGAGTTAGTGAGGGGAAGGATAATAAGGCGTTTAGGGAGGCGAAGAAGAATGTTATGGTTAGGTATGAGAGGGGGGTTGATGGGAGGTGGGGGTTTGCTATGAGTTGATGTTTTGTGTTAGTGAGGGAGGGTATTTGGAATGAGATTGATGGAAATGAAATTATGATTTATTTAGCGGGGTTCTGAGAAGGCAATATAGCTACGATCGAAGATTTGGCAGTGATTATATATTTGTGTTATCATAATATTACTGCTTGAAAAGGGCAAACGCATATTACAGCTTTTAGTATATGATAATTCAGTAGCCCACGAGGGCCATCAAAATGAATGCATGAAACCATATCCATGAACCTCAAGACTTGAAACCCAGCAGAAGTAGTGAGCTGATTAACCCGTATCCAAATGTCAGACCCAGGCCCTCCGCAAGTAAGCGGTCGACTTCCACTCCGGATATTCCCACCTCCACTAAAGTCGTTTTTCCTTTCATATACAAGATCCTAATCTTCTCCATAAAGCAATAACCTGCATAAAAGCCGGGCGACGTGTTTCTAGCATTTGATCTCTTCTTTTTCATGAATCATTTCAGCTTCCTGGGTGTTCTTTTTTTAACCATCCACCAGTGAGCTTGACTGTGTCCGACAAGATAATATTTGGCTGATATAGTATTCGTCCAAAGCCTCCCAAATGTCCCCTGAGGTGAGTCGCCAGTATCATATACCTTTACTCACCATACTCCCCGTCAATCACTTCAACGCCAGCAACCATCTCCATTAGCTCATCGTCACCAGTATCTCTCTTCTTATTCTTCTTTCGTATGCTTTCATTTCCGCCACCTCCAGATCTTTTGGTCCCTTTTGAACTTTTGCCCAACGAAGCATTAATAACTCATGGGAGTAGATTGTGCAATCAAAACAGCACAGGCTCTGAATTTGACCTTGAATAAACCTGCTTTTGGAACCTTCGAGGTTCAATCAGACTATTCTCCTGGGACCGAGTTCTTAGACTACCTGTAGCTTTCCCACCAGGGGGTCTTCCTCTAGTTTAAGTACACATTTCTGACATGGTAATAGCAAGAATACAAGCATCATAGTCCGGGCCTTGTCGTTTTTTGCAAGATTATAAAAGTTGTGAAATAAACCTCCCGATTCACTCGCGCTAGTGCTTTTAATAAGATGCTTTATTTTTGAAAAAGACCTATCCATTTGTGCGGATTTCGATGGGATTTCGAAAATGTTAATTTTGGATGTGAAATATGGTTTTTTACGAGTCAGCAACACGACAACTCGACAGCACATTACGCCTGGCCAACTGAACGTCTAGCTCCCAATTAGGTTACCGCCTAGACACATCCAAGGTTTAATAGCTTATATTCAATCGAAAATAGTCTAATTATGGAATTCTGCTGATATATCGCCAATTTAGGCTTAGACGCTCAGCTGGCCAGTGGATTCTTCTACTGTATTCTCATGCACAAGGGTATTCTCCATACACGGTATTAGTAATCCATCAAAAGCGGTGAACAAAAGCTAAAGTGGTTTTTGACGCGAGCTGGAAGTTTGTCGCGTTTTCTGCCCAATTACTTTCATGTTAAACTTGGCTAGGTTGAACCAAGTCATATTCCTCCAACCACATCGAGTTCTCTGGGATAAATCGCAAATTTATTATAAAACTTTTTCTGCTTCGAGTACGACCTTTCTTTTCGCAATTAGAAGATGGGTCTCGGTGCAGTTGCTATTTCATCTTCACGATAGCTGCGATCTTGCAGCCATGGTACCGCCATCTCCATCTTCTGCAAAATCAAATAATCCTGAGCCGAGACCTCCAATTCCTGCTGAACCCGAAGCCGGTGAGCCTCGAAAGGCTTGGTTTCGATTTTTCTTGAATACCAACGAGAAATCGTCTCGAATACCTAAACCCATTACTCCAGACTCTTCTGCGGATCTTACCAGCACACCATCGACGACCAGGAAGAAAGTAGGCTGGTCTGAAAAGTACGACTACAAAGATCCTCCTAAAACTGTCACCGACAAACATATTCTATCCGCACACGCTATCTCACCACTGACACCATCAGCGGAGCGCAAAGCAACAAAATCAATCCTGAAGACAAACCATGGCCTCGAGCCTCTACACACTATTGTATCTTTCGGAGGTAGCGACACTGTATCAACCTCAAACTTTCCGTTACTCGACGCCAGAATGTTAGAATCAATCTCAAAACAATTGGCTGGCCAAGATAGGAGCTCGAAGCTAGATGCATACACAACCTTGTCGGGTGCCTTGAAGGCCTGCGACAATGTTCCGGATCGGAAGGCTTTATCGGACAAGATGGATTTAATACTACAATTCGTAAAACGGGATCTTAACGCTAAACATGAAAGTGGAGCTCTTGATATTCAACTTGCTAAAGAGGCGCTAGTGCTCACATCTAGCTTCCTTCATAAGAAGTCTATTTCGGACATGTTGACTCCCGATTTCAACAGCTATCTAGTGGACCATGCCCTGAAGACTTTCGAAAATCCTGCAATGTCAAAGGAGATCGCCAGACACCTGATGTTCATAATCGCACAGCAAAAGTTCTCGGCTAGAATCATGACTGCTGAGAGAGTAACGAAGCTGATATCCGCAATTCACAAAATTGAAGATTTTGTGCGAGGCAAAAGTATCGTAGAACAACGCATCAACATCTACCGAACTTTTCTTAGGCAATCCAAATCTTATATGATCTCTAATTCTGATTGGCTCGGTGATCTTTTCAGCGATATGCTCAGCAGTTACTCAAACATTCAAACTGCTGCTATTGCGTTTGGTGAAGAGGCTGGCCTTGACCTTGGGACGGAGAGCAAAGTATCATCAAAAGTCATGGAAATTTTCAAAGGATCAGATGGAAAAAATGTCAAATATATCGACTTTTTTGCGGACAGATTGCGAAAGATGGCAGCGAGAAAGCCTCCAGGTCCTACTCCTCGTATCTGGGCAGTTGTCATATTATTTCTTCGTGCTCGGCCCCAGCAGCTAGAGCACTGGGCTTTCATAAAAGTATGGCTTGATGTGATTAAGGTCTGTTTTAATTCTAGTGATCAGAATACGAGACTAGCGACAAATTTGGCTTGGAATCGCATGATATTTGTAATTGGTCTAGACGAGAAGGTCACTTCGAATATGATGCATACTCTCAGTCAACCTCTAATTGCACAGCTTCAAAGAAAAGATGTGCGCAAGGTCTCAAACCCGGACAATCTGTACCGCAAGTCAACCATCAATAGCATATACAACTTATTATACTACTCGGTGAAGCCAAATATAACCCAGGCACAACTTGATACATTTTGGGATACAAACATAGTTCAAATCGTCGGCAAACGACTTACACCCACCGATTATGTGGAAAATCCCACATCGGCTGGGCAGGACTTGAGTGATGCATGCAGTATTCTCTGTGGTCTATTCAACTCACATACTCAACGGCCATGGACACCAACCAGAGCTTTGAACCATAATCTTGTCACAGCTAAAGAGCTTCCAGGGCTCGATCCTCGATGGCTACGCAAAAATGCTCTTCGAGTCTTCCAAATCCTGAGCCCGATAATGGAGCTGCTCTATTGGGACTTTGCTATGTCCGAAAGCAAAATATCGCTTCTTTGGGAGACTTACATTTCCTCAATTTCATCCGCAGGGGCCAAGGAGGTCAAAACCTCAAATGACACTATGGCATGTCTTGCCTTTCTGTTCAGCACACTGTACAAAATCTGGCAGAAGGGACCAGACGGCTTGAATGCCCTGCCATCTCATCGCAAAGACGAAGCAGGGTTTTTCGCTAGTTTTAAAGCCATTGTCACTATTGTTATATCTGGACTAGGAGTATTGCCGTTCACTGAAAGGCTCCTATCTATGGTCCAAAAAGATGATTTTATTGTCGTCGCAACCCCTTCACATCGACCTGGAAAGATAAAGGGCCAAATCCGATCTCCACTTCATCATCTATTCCTATTGCTTGCTAGCGCTTCTCCAGGTGTTGAAAATGACTGTAAGTTCTTCGAAATGGCCCAAGCGATACTGACTCCGTTTTTCGACGCTCGACGTGTGAGTCAAGGAAAAATGGACCTCGTCAAAGACCTTTTAGATATTCTTCCCACCGACAACACCGCATCGTGCAAAGGCTTGTGGACCATCCTAGCAAAGTTTGCTACCGTAGCGATTAATTTCTGCGATGATAGTGTTGTGTCTAGTTCCATCCATGATGCACGCCCGCTTGGTGGTGAATATCGCAGTGTTGTAAAGATTCTTGATGCTGGGATCAATTTATCACCAAAGGAGCCTTTGCAAGGATGGGAAAAGCTTTTCCAAGCTCTGGTAATGTCTGCAACAACCGGTTCTGGGCACGGGGGTAGAGCTATCGTTGTTATCGAACCAATAGCCAAGACCTTGGCTTTAATTTGGCAGCCAAACGGCGAAAGCTGTGGCGAGAAAGCGAAATATTGTCAACTCCTAGTTGCACAAGCATCATATCCAAAAGACCGACAAGCCTTGGATGCCGCTCGTCGCCGTCTCTGGGGTAGCGCAACCGCTGGTCCAAGAATCGACATCTTCGACCCGTATTTCCATTTGTATGAATATGTTTCCCGGTGCTTAGAGTATTCTTATACCGAGCTTTCATCAAACGATCACCACAGCATTTGTGGCTTAGTCAGTGAGATTGAAGCACTTTTAGTTCGATGCCCGAAAGTTCTGTTAAGCGAAGCTTTGACTCGACTTCAAAATGGACTTGTTTGCTGGATACGGGACGAAGAGGGAAAGCTGCATGGTGGAAGTAATATATCTCGAATCGTAAGTCACCCCTTTCATATCTTTGAACACCACGGCTAATTGATGTAGGTTAATTGTCTCTGGACGAAGATCTGCTCATTATTGGGTTCTATCACCAATGATCCACAGGAATTACTGGCCAACCTAGAACCGTTATTGTGCTCTGGCTTGGGAAGCAAACGTGTGTCTATTGCAAACACGGCTCTCGAAATGTGGAAAGACACATTTGGTTCCTTCAACGGCGAATTAACATATCCGTCAATGGTCAAAGTAGTTTTGTCAAGGCTTCTTCCAATGGCTGATATCTCTCTTCCGTCATTCTCTGAAAGCTCCGAAAATCGGATATCTGACAATCATAGGCAGCTCCCCGCTTTTATTGATACGCAGACGGATTGCAACATTTCTGGTGAGGTCAACCTACCGGATCTTTCAAACAAAGCTTCTTCAAACATGATTCAATCACACAAACAAAAGATGATAGGTTCATCTCCACGAGTTGTCATTGGAGCCAGCAAGGCGGAGTCTCGAAAGAGATCTCGTGAAACAACCCCGGAACCCGGGAAAAGAAAGACAAGGAAAAGGAGCTCCGTTGCTAAATTACGACACGACGACTCTCAGATACAATTTGAAGCAATTGCAGGTTCATCACCTTTGTCGGAAGCAATATATGACTCAGATATTTTGACAGACCGGCAGAAAGAGGTCAGGGAACGACAAGCTGAAGCCGCAGCTATGTTCCCAGATATCAGGTCCAGCCCTCCGCCCAGCTCAAGGCCAACCTCCGAGCATGTTGATAACAATAACGAATTACCTTCACGCCAATCTGCTTCAAAACTACGCTTAGAGACACCAGCCAATAGTAAAAGACAAAGTACACCGGATACTCGAATCATCGAAAACCAGGATATTTTTCTTGCATCATCGCCCACACCGGCACGTCATACCCTTGCTTCAAAAGATATTTCTTGTCCTCCTTCATCACCGCCAGCCGTTGCTTCAAACAAGCGTTCGGCATTTATATCAAAGAATAAGAGCGTAGCAATCACATCTTCACCGCCACAAACAGGGACAAGAAACAGTGCTTCATGGAGTGCTGCGCACAAAGGCCTCAATCGGTTTGAGCAATCACCTCCACCACCTGATTTGCCAATGAGCAAAAGTGCTTCAGCGCCTCTCACTTCTTCCGATGAGTTCAATGTCACTTCATTTCCTAGTCACTTTCTGGAAGGATTTGATGATGATCCAACCATGAATCGTTCACTAAGCTCTTTTGCACAAAAGGTATTATATGCTTTTGATCCTGGCCAAACCATGTCTACATACAGAAGCACAGCTATGTCTTCGGGTGGAGAAGAAGATATGGACGTAACCATTGAACTTACAAGTAGCGAAGAGCAGGCTAGAGATAGATACCTCCAACAGTCATCCACTGAGAATGGAGCTAGGAACACTTGCGAGGCTCAAACAGCTGAAACGATTAAAGATCCAGTGATCAACAATGATTCGATTTTACCATCAACTCCAAGACGAAGCCCGCGTTGTGTGGCAGCAAAGAAACCTGCTCCAAATACTCCAAGAGACGTTGTTCTTGATGCTCGGTCAAGTGTAGTCTCTGCGGATAATGCGCCAAGCGACGATGAGAAATTTGAAGACGCTGTATCTTCTCCGCGAGCACTTCCACCTCGGATACAGAAATCATCAGAAGTGGTTTCTGTGCCAAATGATAGTTCTTCTCCTCTTACCGACCTTGATGAATCTAGTTTCTACAGACTCGCGAATTCTGTGGATCGCAAGTTGGCTGAGAACAGAGACCGGGCTGGTGGTCCGATACATGTATCAGCAGAGCTCGGTGCTGTATCCCTTAATGCTGTCTTCCCGGAAACACCTCATATAATTCCCGATTCGAAACGAAGGTCTCCTGTTCGCTCCATGTCTCGGTCCTCGGCCATCCAATCCGTCATCCCTGAAACTCCAGCACCACAGCCTTTGAAAGAGAATGACGGGGATGACATATCGCGTGAACTTGCAGAAGATAACTCTAATGCTGGTTCTGCTATCACCATAGCGCCCCATGTTGGTGATCAACAAGTACGTCGAATTAACACAAGCAAAAGTCCAAAGCCAGTTCGACGAAAGAATTCGCCAGTCAAAATGAGGATTGAAAATGAGGGTAGAATGGAAATTTCAGGAAAAAAGCGAAAGTTTGATGAAATTCTTGACGTTGGTAGTGCGGTGCCTGACAGTCAGGAGGCACCGGAAGATGGTAAGCGTGATATCTTCTTTTCATGGGAGCCAAAAAGAGTACTAAATATCGACACAGTTCAATCACTACCTTCGCCAAAGAAAAGGAAAGGTCGTCCAGCGAAGACGCCAGAAACTATAATAACAAGTGCTTCCGAACCCCAATCTACTCGATCCGAACGATCTGAACGAGCCAGTCGAAGAAATACTCGATCGTCACAGGCTAGAACTGTTATTGAAAATAATTCGAGCATAGAAGACCTACCAGAGTTTAATTCTGCTTCGAATGTCATGGAGACTAGTTCTTCTATAGTCTCAAACGACCGCCCTGCCATACCAGTTTCTGGTAACGAAGCTATTGACGACACGAACTTTGGTATACCAGAACCAGAGGAACAAGCGAGCCCAGTACCTGATCAACTGGACCCAGATTATGTAGAGGAAACTTTGTTACAATCACAAATAGCTGAGGAGATGCAATTTGGATCACAGGAAGCCACGAACGATCAACCGGAGGAAATAGCCAAAACTGCTTCAACCGCTCCCACATATCAGAATATCAAAGAGAAGTTATTGAGCTTAGTCAAAGATCTTGAGGATGCTGCTCTTAGCCGAGATGAAGGAAATGAAATGGAAGATATGTTTATGGATGCAAAGGTCCAATTGTATGGTGCAATTAAACGAGGAAGACAATTGGCTGATGATTAAGGAAACTTGCATTGCGGATGGCGTTTTGCTTTAGGTTATGGTTGGCTTACATATGTCACATGAAGTGATATAGATGACATGATTGCATGAAGGGGTTTAATGGATAATGTGTAACGTAGATAGGAGAAATAATACCAATTATGTTGCATATGATTAGGACATTATTGGTGTGTTGGATCATGCATTATATTCATGGACATTATACATACGTTCTCTGTATTGACTTTGTCGTTAGTCTCGGTGCACTTTGTCCTGAATATTTGTCTCTGTCTATATCACTCTATCTGCCTTCTTACCTTGGTCAATTAATTTTGGTGATAGTGAGCTCTCAGCAATATACTTATCTTACCTATCTTTGACCTTCCGCCCGCCCTCCTACTAATTCTGTGTATGCTTTGAGTCCTTGACCAATCATTATTTAGGCTGATCTCTTCGTAGCTTCATGTTCATCATCTACCCCACCTTCCACCTTTAGTCTGCCGTCCTAATTCGCCACTAGTCTATTTCCATCAGTCCACTGATGCTCCCAGCTGGGATTCCATGATGATCCTCTTGTTTCAGGTTTCTCGCTTACATCCCACATTCTTTTGCCGTGCTTGTAGTCTTAGGTAACTCTTGAACTTGGGTAGCTCTCGGACTCGTGTAATTCTGCCTACTTCGTACATTCATCCGCTCTTGTCTTGTCTTGTCTCTCTCTCTAACACTTCACTCCTCACCTGAATAACTTCACAACATAATCATCGTGTACATCTCACTATACTTTGTTCCATCCAATCTGCAATCACAAATCGAAACGTATAAATTCATCGAAATATCCCACCTTGTTGATAGCACTCCATAGCTCCTTTCACATACAATTTACCCCTCATTCAATCCGACAAATCACAACGCAAACATCAACTCAACAACTGCAATCATGGACCGACCCAAGAAGCCAACCGCTCTCTCTGCCACTCCAGCTCCCACACCCCATCCTCAAATAAACACCACTCATTCCAATTCACGCGTCTCGGCTGTCCTCCCCACCGGCGAATCAATTGAAATCCTTCTCTACGGCGCCACAATCATAAGCTGGAAAGATGCCGCTGGAAGCGAAAAACTCTGGCTTAGCGAAAAAGCTGCACTCGATGGTACAAAAGCGGTGCGCGGTGGTATTCCTCTAGTATTCCCGGTATTTGGAAAAGTCGAGGGTGAGGAAGGTAAGGCGAAAGGTGTTGATACTTTACCCCAACATGGCTTTGCGCGCAATTGCAGATGGGAGTTTTTGGGAAAGAGTACAAGTGAGAGTACTATTAAGGGACAGGAGGGTGGTAGCAGTGTTAAATTGGATTTTGGATTGAGTGCTAGTAATCTGCCAGAAGAGACGAGGAAGCTGTGGGGTGGTGAATTTGGTTTGATTTATAGTGTTACTCTTGGTAGAGAGAGTTTGGGAACGAGTATGGTGGTTAGGAATGAGGGTACCACGGCTTGGGAGTTTCAGATCTTGATGCACACTTATTTGAAGATTGAGGTATGTTTCCTTTACACTAATTTATTCATTCTGCAAATGGTTATGCTAATCTGCGACTGGTAATAGGATATTTCCCAAATCTCCATCAATGGTCTCGAGAATGCAACTTATGTTGATAAACTCACCGAACCAATTTCCACAAATACTGCTCCCTCCGAACCTCTTACCATCTCTGCCAAAACCGACCGTGTCTATACTCCAGCTGGTGGACCATCTACCGAAATTATTGTTTCTGAAGGAGGAAAGAAGAAATACACAGTTGCTAGAGATAACATGAATCAAGTCGTCGTATGGAATCCTTGGATTGATGCCAAAGATATCGGAGATTTCGCTCCAAAAGATGGATGGAGAACAATGATTTGTGTCGAAGCTGGATCTGTTACTGGATGGCAGAAATTGGAAGCTGGTGAAACTTGGGAAGGTGGACAAATTATTACACTTGCTAATTAGCAATTCATGAATGGGATGAATTTGATATCACGAATTTGATATCATAAAGAACAATGTTTTTGGGCTGGAAGGGAATCTTTTTTGGGAGGGTTGCGAGTTGAAGGTGCTTTACTACGCAATGGTATATTTGATGAAAGGGGATATTTCATAGTGTTAGGCTAGTAGAGATTTTGTTAGATAAATGAATTATTATGGTATTCATGATTTTAGAGCTGCTATGAAGTACTATTGACTTTGGATGTAATCTTACATCTACTTCTGGTCATTAGACTCGGGTCCTGTTGATCATTCAAGGAGTTGCAATCCATTTAATCCCAAGTGGGAACCACCAACCTACCAATATTATAATAGAAGCGTAGTCTACTTAGCTTCTTTAATCCAAGCAATCTAAACAATCCAAGCGATAGAGGAATTATCCTCAGATCCTCCTATAAAATCATACGAAACTCTAGACTAGATTAAATATATTTTTATATATAAAAATATTTTAATATATATCAAAGATAATAATATATATAAAAGAATAAAAATATATTTTGTAGTTTTATTATATTGTAATAAATATATTTCAATCATAAAAAGTAATTAATTAAATCAAAATAAAATTCAATATTAAATTTAATATTTTGTAATAAATATATTATTATTATTATTGTTTATTATATTTCTTTTATTATTATTTTCAGTCTTTTATTATTATTGATTGAAAAAAATATCAAATAAATTATATTTAAATATAAAAATAATTATTTTATATATAATTAGTTATTTAATATATTTATCATTTCAATAATTCAATCTTAAAAGACTTTTATTTTAAAATTGTTATTTTTATTTCTGAAGCTTTGAGAAAAAATTCATTTGAATTCTTTCTTTAAGACTTTATATATATAAAAAGTATTATAATATAATATAATATTCATATATTCACTAGTCTGTTTAGTCTGGTTATACTCTAGATTCAAAAGTACGAAAGCAGACGAGTGGATATAATTTATGATCAGCTGGCTAGTAGTAACTTGGTTGTTAACTCGACTGTTATTCGAATGATTAGAAACTAACGTATATAAATCTCGAGGTAATCATGATTCGGAGTGACACTGGGATAGCAGGTAAGATGTCTCAAGCTCAAGGATAGGCTTGCGAGTTGGAGATTCTGCGGCGGAATATTATGGTTGGGTTGGCGTTGAGCTGGGGTGGGGGGTGAAGTGTTGGATATTGAGTTTATATAATTTTAAGATTATATATGTGAGAGACTTTTATTGTTGTTGGGATTTTTCTTTGCTTGTTGTATATCTTTATTGTAATTAGATGTCACTTCTCATCTTTTGCTTGTCAACTTTCATATACGAATAGACATTATATATATATTTTCTACCCTCACAAGTTTATATCTATACTTTCATTATGCTACACCCGTTCTTACGTATCACATCCTTTAGAGACTGAATTTAACCTACTGTGCAGATACAAATTCTCTCACGCCCTACTACAGAATCTAGTACCTCATACTATGATACTGGATTTGAAGGTTTGAAGAAGTCTTTTAGGTTGGCTCTTTTATATACTGTACCAGGTGCCATGTACGAATACCTTCGATATCTGCGGAAAAAAGAGGGGATCCAGAAATTCACCGAGTTTGTGGTGGTGGATAGTATAGTGGGATATTGAAATCGAAGTAGCGAGGTGGAGCTAGATGCACATGATGGTAGATGATAGATGCGGAGCCTGGTGAATGAGAGAAGTAAGATCTAAGTATATAAGGAGTAACTTTGCGGAATTAAAATAATCAAGGATCTCTTGGGATTTGGTACTAAAAGCTTATCATAATATGTGAAGGGGCGGAGTTTATCTGTTTTTGTTATGTTAGTGTGACCCCTGTGTAAGTAACTAGATAGTGTTGAGTTATGTAAATATATATTCAGGTTTTAGTTCATCAAATAAAGGGAATACAATAGGAATAAGGACCTGATCCTGATATGCTATTGAATTTACCCCTTTATCGTCAGGATTCTTCTTCAAAAAGATTAATAGAGATTTATAATTCCAATCAAAAGCTCTTTATATTATTACAGAGATCCTTCCTGATCTATATATTGATTTGATACAACTCCTACACCTCTTTTCTTTAATCCTACAAATCATCCATATCCTACTACGTTTTCCAACTTCGAAAATACTTTCATTTGATTATATAACTTTCCTTCAATCACCCCCTTTAGGCTTTTCGAAGGCTACATCGATTGTCCTTTACCAATAATATATATATACAAAATCCAATCTCTTTTTTACTTGTTTTTTAGAGATAAATAGTTTAAAGCAAACTATACAATGTTTATAATCATACCAATATAATTCATATCGAATAATATACACCAAAGCCCTAATTCTTAGCATATATTTCATCTATTCAAAAATCATCCTTTTTTCCCTTCAATCTTTTATCAATTCCTTTATAATTCATCGAATCTCTTTAACTATCATCATAAAAGATCGATATACCTTCTCTTTACAAATAATTCTAAGTGAATTCGATTTAATAATACCTTTTACAGTATTTCAAGGTACACCCAAATTTTATTCGATCCAAAACCACGATTTTCCATTCCCCCTAACCTGAAAGACTCTAGCTCTACGAGGGGTACCCCAATTTTGATGAAATTCATGATTATCATTCTCATCTTGAATTTTGACAGCCATTTTGAGTTTGAATAGAAAATATTGAAAATTTGAATTTTGATGAATTATTTATAATTGAGGATTGAAAATAAGGTTACAGTTATTTCTCGATAAAGTGTGCGGTTAGAAGTTTCCAGAACTCTTATAATAATTAAAGATAGTTCAAAAACACAACCTTTCCAGAAAGATCGTCCCTCTTTCTCACAACATGAAAAGAAAAGAAAGAAACGAAAATGATCAACATTTATACCTTTCTCGTCATCTTTGATGTAGTTCTAGTTCAAGCCTACGAATCTATATCTTTATATCATGATCTACACTGAGATCTACTACAAATCGTATAACGGCTAATATATTTGTATAACCTAAGATTACATCAGTATCCTCTCCTCTAAGGGAATCATCAAACTTAAATATATAAACAAGCCCTTCCAATCCTTGATCGATCTCCAAAGTCTTATACTCCTTCTTTGTTGATTATACTAAGGACATAAATTGTATAGATACACTGCAAGTCGATATTTGAATTCAATTGCGTCTGTGCTAGCTTTAACAAACTGGGCGACGGATATCCGAATCCACTACTCATATCCTGTCATATATCCCTTTACCGCTGTAGTGCCTCGTAGTATTGCAGTAAGATTACATATCACTGTCGTTTTTACGATAGATAAAAAGATACAAAAACGTGCTATAACGCCGGTAAACGTGGTACTCTTGAAATATTATCACGTTGCAAGACTTATATTTTGTTTGGATTTTTCGTGAATTCCTTCCAATGGTTGTATGTGAGTATGTGTGTTGTTATACCTTTTTCTCAGGAGCTCTGAAGGTAAAATGGAAATGGACAAGGTGTAAAAATTTGAAAGTTCTCAAGCGATATTATATCGACGGAATCTCATCTCGTAAATACCATAAAAAACAAAAAGTCATGTTACTCCTAGACTCTTCTCCAGAGTTGTCTATCGTCTACGGAGTTAGATGTAGAAAAGATCGATCTAGGATCTAGTCAATCCTTATATAATCAACAAGTAAAGCTAGATTTTTTAAACTCGACCTCTCAGCAACACAGCGGTACATATTACGTTTGACTAGGATATATATTCATTTTCAGCACTAAAGGAACTTGAAGCTCATGAGGTAGTGAGGAGACACTACACTTGCGTCTAAACCTCAAACTCCAGACAAAACATGCACGCACATATTAAATACCATCTACAGTAAAAGCCCATTCCCGTTCTCACAACTTCAACAGAAAACCACAGAAAAGCCATACAAGCCAGCAAGACCAATAATCCACTCCAACTGCAACAACCATCCCACAAAACACGAAACCAAGCACAACCCCAAAAGATCACTATAGCTTAACCTAAACCGTTGAGATAAACCTTAACATCTCATCATCACAGACTCTAGAAAGCTATCACCAACCGAGTTCTCCATGCCCATCTCTCTCAACATAATGACAGTAAACTTATAGAGATTTACAGACCCATACATACTAAGAAACTGTATTTAGATTTTCGCTATTGAGATATTTATATATACAGTCCGTATATAGATATATCCATCCACCTTCCCGTAAGTCAGAAAAGAAATAAGAGACGAAGACATGAAGAAATAGAAAAGAAAGTGATACTACTATTCACTCCCTATATGCATCCAGGTCTTAAAAAAGATCCCTTAAAATTCCAAAAACAATAACTTTATACAAGTTATAGAATACTCTCTAGATCTTCTACTCAGTAGAATCGACTGGCTTTGCTCGTTCTTTTTTACAATCCATACATAATAAGAAAAGGAAAGGAAGAAGGAAAGACAAAAGAAATAACCACTCTTTCAAATTATACACATACATCACACATACACTCCTTTTAGATCCACCTCCAAATCAACAACCGTCCATTTCCCATTTCCCATTTCCCATCCCAACACCCATCCCAGCTCCCAACTAACCTACCAACACTATTTTTCTATCAGCCTACCATCCACCCCACTACCTACCTACGAACCTATCTATACCAACCTTACAACTACAACTCAAAACTTAAACCCCTGGATTAGTTATACTTTATTTCAATCTAGAGACTAACCACCCAACCATCGCAAATACAAATCATATAACTTATGATACCCCAAAGTAGCCGCTTTAATCGAAAAATCTTCTAAACGATCTAAATCTTGCGCACAAGGAATCTAACCATCTAATAATCATTTCCATCAATCAACAACCTTACAAATCAACCACAACATCTACCGTACCTTCACCTTTTAATCTTTCGACTTCCATCCAACCACCCTCTTCAACACCTACAATCAAACCATCAACACAACATCTCCTCCATTTGAAACCTTCTCCGGATTCTTCAAAATCTATTCTTAACTTTTCAATACTCTCATATCCAACCTCGCCTTTCTGTCCATCTTCATCCCATTGCATTCCAATATGATTTCCATCTTTATAAGCTTCTTCCATAACCTTCATTGTTTGCTTACCAGTTGCCGCTCCAAAATGCACTACCCTTAACTGACCATCCAGAGGTTGACTAGCAGGAGATATTGTGAAGGTTCGCTCAAGCTTGGATACTAATACTGAGAGAATATATCCGTGCTCTCTTCTTTGTATAAGCTCTTCCGTGCCATCTGATCTTGTCAATGTGACAGAAGCTTTATAAGCATGTGGTAGAGCTCCATCTTTTGGAAAAAGTAAATCACCAGCTACCAGGTGAAACCGCTTATCTCCATGTTTTCGATATTCGACTGTGTCACTATCGGCAACAAGAGTAGCATGGAGACCATAACTGGCGACGACTGCTCCATAGACAACATTATTTTTGAGAGGTGTCTCAGTTTGCCCTTCATTGGTTATAGTCCGTGCCCCAGGAGAGAATTTTACGCTGAAAATTGGGAGCGGTAAAGGTGTGCCATGGAGAAGTGTCCTTAGGCCTTGTATATAGATTGAAGGAATTGGCGAGGGTCGGTGCAAAGAATGGAATAGGGCATTTCCTGTCCCAAGAGGAAGTTGAGACAGTGTTGGTTTGACATATGAACTGTGCGCAGATTGTTAGTAATGAGTAGCATAGTACGGACATGCGGAGAAGCTCACTTTGACTTTTCCCCGCTCTCAAGCAGTCCATTTATGGTATCCACCATACCGCCATCACCACTCAACATTAATATCGATTGCTTTGTGCCCTTGTTTGCACCATCCAATAATGTCGAGCTTGCAAATGCCTTTACAGAATCTGCATCATCTGTCCTGATCAAAGTATAGCTTGTTTCCGGTAACTCGATCGAGTTGAGTATTTGATGTAATACAGCATCGTAAAAGTCCGGTGCCAATCCAGTCCCGGACAATGTCGAGATTAAAACATATATTTGGGTTTCTGCGGATCGAAGATATGTTGGCAAACTCCTAATCAGATAACTTTCGAGACATTCTTGGGGGAGGTTGGTGGCAGATGTTGTCTTCAACTCGAACGGGAGTTTTGTAACCCCTCCATCTTTCGGTAGGAGACTGAAGATTGTATAACGCGAGGTACCATTTGATCCCTCATTCTCAGTAACACAAATCACATCCTCCCCTTTGACTTTTCCCCCAGATACTCCGCCATCGAGTCCTACAGCTCCCGTCCATGTAAGATCACCATCCCGATAAGAGAAATGAACGGGATCGTCAGCAAGATAAGCATAGGTAGTAGCACTGCTCTCAGTAACTTCAGTATCGTTGTCGGAGCTATATGCAGCGTCAGAGCTAGATGAAGGTATAGAATCTGCCATATTGAGAGGACAATAGAATGAACCTGAAGATTGTTATGGAGTGAAATTCCATGATGGAGGAATGAGTAATTGTCGATTAATTTCTGAACATGGGGTGTGGTTGTCGCGATAACAGATGATGTGCTCAGCTTACTATATTTTTTGGTGGGGTCATAGCTCTCTTTTATGGAGATCACAATAAGGATAAGTGCAATTGAGAGCTTTATAGGGTATCATCTCTATAATAGCCCTGTAAGCCCTATATATCAAGCGCAAATTGGGGTTAAGCCAGACCATAAAAAAATGTCATCAAACGGATCCCACTCCTGATTAGACCATAAACCCTTTTAGCCGAAAAGCTTAGTAACCTCGGTAGAAGGCTTCTCTAGATATATAACGACCACAGTACATCACTAAGCCCAAGATAGACAACTACCGATGCGTCTAATCCATCTTTCTATCTGCTGAAGGTTGTTTCAGTGTATTCAATGTTTTAATGCTTTCTTGTATTAAACCTATCTTCATTAAATTCTAAGCAAGTACCTAGATCAAGTCGATGGGCGAATGGTAACACATGGAGCAATGAATGCTGGCTTGAACAAAAACATCGTTCTTTTCCCGGCGTGCTATGAACTCATCCGATCATTCAATCCCCTTCCATTTCCTCATCCTCTAAAAGAACCACACACCAGTACCCAATTCATCCAACCCCCTCATTTTCCTCTTCATCGCTTCACTATCTTCTAATCACAGCACCCGCATCTGAAATCAAGAACTGGTGCCGGTTCAAATCTCGATGAAGTATTCCCAAATCATATACTCATCTAAGTACAGTCCACCAGGTCTTACAAGCTAAAAGATCCAAGATAGTAGTATGAAGTCCTTCCACTTTTTCCATGAGAAACTCAATCACTCTACCCTCTTCAGCCAGATGCCCCAGGATTCTCTCCACAGATATACTTGACATTCATTGGTATAGTATCAATTTCCCATTCAAATGTGCAATTTTGGCAATGCTTAGTATTGGCTTAACGAACTGGAGAGAAAGACGCGGTTTATACATTTGACTTCAAATGCTGTCCAATCCTGGAGGATAAGTAGTTGTATGATCTTGTGTGCCATAGAGGTTTGATTTGGAGGAAATCCCGTTTGGAAATTCTTGTGAAGAACGTTGTTGAGTTCTCCGCTGTTTGAGAGATGCGCCCATAGTTCTAATCACCAATGGAAATGCAGCAGCATTGAGAGCAAAACTGGCGGAAAGAACATATCATCTAATTGGTAGATTTTTAAATCGATAGTGATGTAGGAACGTGCTCATCGTTCACTAGCATCCTATAGAAGTTGGACATGTTACCCTCATTGTTTATCTCTTGATCAAATAGTAATTGTTGCAAGAGGTATATCTTTGGTCAGCGTTCGTTTTTGATGTTGTACACCAAAAATTGTTGAATAAAAGTTGCTACTCAATTGGAAGTACTTTCAATATGATATGTCAAATTAAGTAATACGGGAAGAGGCAGTCTTGATTGACAACTCGATTGGACAAATAACAATGAGATTCATGCCGTTAAATAGAACCTGCTTAAGCCATAGTTCCAGGTTACCTGCATGGTCCAAATTTTCTGAATGTTCCAAACAACCCCAATATCCCAATATCATGTACCATTCGAATTCTCCAAACTGTTTGAATGTCCCACGTCATTCGAAAGCTCAGATCATTTAAAAGAATTAGACTAGTTTCAATCTCGTCAACAACTTCAATGTTCCAACTAATTTCAATTTATCACCTGGAATGAAAGGAATTGAAAGAAGGAAATCTCAAACTCGGTATCGTCGCTTCCTAATGTCGGTAAGTAAGCCTGGCCCTACAACTCTCTCTTTTAAGAGGTCGGGGTTATGCAGCCAAATCTTGGATGTTGGAAGCCTTGCTTTTTATCTTGCAATCCTTCCCGCCCATTATCCATAAATACCCCTTGATCTCATTGCTTGGAAGAAGGTTAGAGATTTAGTCAAATACTCCCCACCCACCCATTATCCACAAACAACAATTCGATCTCATTGTTTGGAAAAAGGTCAGAGATTTGATCATCATACATTCTATTACATAGTTACTGACTTCCGATTTTAGCAAAGACAAAGGATACCCTCCGATATCCTCCAAACTCCATCCTCTCACGGCAAAACCCTTCCCTGATCGAACTTTGCATTACTCAACTCAAAAGAATCTCGATATCAAAAAATGTGTACAGTGGTTTTTCCGTTACACCTGCAAATGCGAGAAAAATTCCGCATTTGAACAATGCGAGGCACGAATTGGCACCAACGTTAAATGCCACCCTGTGGGAAGGGAATTGGACCGGGCTATAGCTAATATGTGTCCAAGTCATATGGTCAAACCTGGCGAAGATGAGATGCACCGCTAAGAGCTGTTGTATCAGAGGGCGAATAGGATTGTAGAGCAGCTCTCATATGATTTCTCCGTCACAAGAGGAAGAATGATGGCTAGTGGTTGTGGAATTAGGCTAGGGACACGAACGCAACTAAAGAATTTTCCGTAAACACTAGCTTTGTTATGAAAACGTTCGCAGAACCCTGAGTTCGCTAACAAACCCCAAGAATTGAGCATCTAAAAGCCACTGATTTGTTCCATCATGATCGATGTACTTTGGTATCTCAACTCTTGCTCTCTGAGATACCTCACACTTGTGAAAATGGCCAATGTACCCAGAACTAGAGTAAACAGTATTCCAATCACAGTATCCACGTCTTTTATTTCGAGGGCCATGGTGACATGCTTGACATGAAACTCCCCAGTCAAGCTTTCCCATCCTTCGATCTAAGGAAGGAAACCTTAGCATTGGCATAAACCGATGGGGATTTTGGAAACGAGTGTCGAATTTCTGCAGCGATGGATGTGAATTTCGAATCGGACGAGGCTCTGACGGCTGAAGGGAAGACGTGGCTGGCGACACTGGTCTTTGATGTAGGTTATCGGTATCGTGATGGTGTGATTTGGTGGCGTTGGCTGAGAGCATGCGCACTAAACGCGTCCGTCTTCGATATGTTCTCTCACTTTCCGTGTATTCTCCCGGGATGCTCAATAACGTTGGTATTGTGCGCATCATTTTTAAATCCAGACCAAATTCTTTCCTTGCAGAAGATGCTGTCATAGATAATAGACTATCCGAGCTTGCCAAACAAATGAAGCAACATCGTTGAGCAGTAAACATGTCGAGAAATGGCCCAAATTGCCCACAGACAAAGCAACATTCCGTGCAGAGTGCCTCAAAGATATCCGAAGCAGTAAAGTGAACAGCCATGCGCGTTGAGAGCAATGCACGCAGTGCATCCGGACAGTGCTTAACTATTGAATTGTATTCGGGGACGCTGTCAACAAGAGCACGAGCGCGCCAGCTCACAGCTCTAATGTCTGTTAGAGATTGCAAGTCGAGTAAATTTAAGATCAGATGCATAATCTCGAGTGGAATACACTCTAAGCTTCCAACGGTAGACGGAGAAGCAGAGACCTGCGGGTGAAGCCGGCCATTGTCGAGTGGACAATTGCGTTGGAGGGATTCGGGCTGAATGGTCATTTGACTGAATTGAGGACGTATCCAGGTTAAAAGACGGAATTCATCTTTACTCAAACTCACAGGAGGAGCCATGTTTGATGATCGATGAGGAAAGAGAAGAAGTGTGTTCTGTCGCGGAAGATATAAGTCGACGTGACTCTGTTGGTTGCTTACTCATCAAATATTCGCGTCTTGTCAACTTGCCATCATACACGTGACGATACACAGCTTTTCGTTACTCGAGTATCTTCGTTACATAAAGTGCTGCTGGGTGTTAAGTTATTTTAACTTGAAAAAATAAAAGGTTTGAACTGGTACCTATCCACCAAACCTAAGGATCAAGGATGGTAGTCATAGAAAAGTCTGTATGGTGGCATTTCGAGCAACTATTTTATACTTATTCACTCCTACCGTATCAACACATATTTTTCCACAATCAACGTGAGACCTCTTTTTCCTTGATGTACTATTTATACCGAACTTTCGGAGCTTCGTGTTTGATCTTTCTTCTCCAGACATTTCCCCTCGACGTCTTTGAGAATTAACCTTTCGGCATATATCTGGGGAGCGAAAACGTCATTCGGATCGTCATTACAGGCTGCTCCAAGTCGGTTTTCACCTTCATGTCTGCTCGGATCATCGCCGTTATAGTATGACTCAGGCAAAGATACTCTTGACATTTTTGGATGGATGGTTCTGCGTCTATCGAGAAATCGATCTGAGCCCCGACATTAGGCAAATTTACTTAGAGTATGATAACTGTCTAGCATAGCTTTCCACAGCTTCTTTCAGCTGTCAGTGTGAGGCTATCTTGATGTGGGATCTGGAAGAAACATATCTTGATTTGGGGCCTACAAGAAACATATCTTTGGCGACGGCAGTACCTTCTCTGATCAGCGTCCAGTGATAAGCAATGTGTTTCTTGAACTTTTCGAAACGATGGCCAGTCTATCTAAAGAGTTAAAGATCATACCCTTGTGTTTTCCCCCCTTTTGAAGGCGTGATTTGTCTAACTCGCTAAGAGTTAGCAACAAAACAGCCGATCAGTGGCCTGCAACCTCCAAACCATGGATCTAGCCTGTCAACAAGGATAAGTCTGAGGAGCCTCACCAAGTTTTCAAAGGTTGTTTTACTACTCCGTAGTCTTAAATTACTGTCGAAATCTGGTATCGCTAGCTGTTGTTATTTGAGAACGAAACATCGGTATGAGCTTTGAGGTTTAAAATGCTTGGTCAATTGAAGCATTTCAGTCATTGTTGTTACACTGGTCCGTTACGGAGTACTTCTGTACCTGATCAGCGTACAGGCATACTCGCAAACTCCCGTCTTGGCAAGGCACTTATCCATTGAGATAAATGTCGTGGGTCCCTGAATCTTAACTGAATCTTAACTGAATCTTAACTGAATCTTAGATCTAACCTTCAAATAAACCAAGGTGACAATGCAGTAGCATCGAGACGACTCTGTGCACGCCTCAATCGATAGTCTATCGAAGAATCACACTCTCTGTTCATTTCCGCTGGCCATGAACTGCACGTTAGTATTCGATATTCCGTCCATGGGTGTAAGATTGAGATTAACCAGAGATAAGCAGTCACTAATCACGGTGACGATGTACCGCAATAAGAAATTGACTTGTAGAACCTTGAAATTCTGTCTTACCCCTGAAATGTCACAACTTTAATATATTCACTGACATATATATTCACTGGCATATGAGGATGCTCAATGATGGGTCGAGATCTACAACATCTTATCTTCCATACTCACCAATCCTTCAAACTCTCAGTCAACAGGCCCGCTAAAATGGACCCCCCTTTAAATGAACGTAGCTAGTAATCAACCTGAAGCATCTTAAATTTTCAAACCGTGAAGACTCTTCGAAGTTCACTCTGATTTGATTCTTCCTGATGCTTAATGTATACTATCGTGCCCACAGACAAGGGACTATTAAACGCTTCGTCACCCACGCCCGATTCATTCCCCATCGTCTCCACCTTTCTCCTATTCAATCAGTTATTTTCTCCCCCCATTTCCCCATCTGAAATTAGTCTGACCTTCATTATTCTAGATTTCAATCCTTATTATTCTTCCTTTCTTTTCCTTCACACCTTCATTTTTGGATCTTATGTTTTGTCCTGCAATTGCATTGCACCACCGCGATACGATACGAGTATTTGTTGTTTGATACAAGTCGAGTAACATTCACTAGCACCTCGGGAAAGCAACTACGGAAACCCCCAGGCGGAAGTCGCCATTACAGCCCGAAAGAAGCCCCCAAAATGCCTCGGATACCTGTGCACCGATTTCTCGCCATCGCGACAGTAGCTTTTTTTCTCATTTTGTCATACTATCACCAGAACGTTTCGCAGACTTTGGTACCTGCATTTAGGGAAACGCCAAAAGAAGAACATGCATCGGTACCAGAAAAGTCTTCAGCAGCTGCAAAGCAGATCGCCCAGACTCATGAAACACAACAAACCCAGGTCGCATCAGTGGAATTAAATATCACTGATGTTGATGATGCTGCGTTTTTGAGAGATGTCTTGAAAAAGAACAATGTCGAGATGAATATTAACTATGTCATGAGAACTATACGATATGTTACAGATGCGAAAGAGAGACCTTTGATGACGAACACCAGCCAGGAATTATTTCCTAGCGGGTGGAAGAGGGTTAAGCTTGATGAGGTAGAAAGACTTCCAGCCGATACATTAGAGCCTTTGGAAATCCACGTTATGAGAACACCACGACCGGACGAGATTGATGCTTCTGAGTTATTGTTTGGAGTTTCAACCACTTACAAGAGATTCAATGACGAGGTTGAGGGACCAATAAAGGAATGGGTACGATGGCTCACAGATGGAAATGGCACATCGAACGGAGCAGGTCTTGTTTTACAATTGCACGATACTAGCGATGAGCAATTAGAAGCTGCTCAGAAATTGCTCACCGGTGTTGGAATTGATGCGACTGTCATACATTCGGATCCTATGCTTGATATGCCGGGAAGATATGTCGATTTGGTACCACTTCTTTACAGCCATCCATCGAGGCCGAGCAGGAAATATTTGGCATTGATTGATGATGACACGTTCTTTCCCTCGCTCGGCGCATTGATGAAGGAATTGCACAGTTATGATCCGCACGAAGAGTACTATATCGGTACTCTTACAGAGAGAGTGGATTTCATCATGCACGATCGAGTTCCTATGGTAAGCACTTAAGATCCCTTCCCGTTAAGCTGCCACTAACAAAATATAGGCTTACGGCGGCGCCGGTGTATTCCTCACTCCTCCCCTCGCACACACATTGATTGGACTTCCCTGCCTCGACGTCGATGATGCCACCGGCGAATATACCGAATCCGGCTTCCAAGGCGATAGACTCCTCTACCATTGTATCAAAAACCACACCTCCATCACGCTAGACTATCTTCCTCGGCTCAACCAACTAGATCAATGGGGCGACCCAGCCGGTTTTTACGAAGCTGGTCATCAACCCCTTTCTTTACATCATTACAAATCCTGGCATCATGCTACTCCCGAGATATCTCACATTGTTGCCGATGCCTGCGGTGAAGCTTGTGTATTCCAACGATTCGGTTTCGACGGAAAGGATTTGTCAAAATGGGTCCTCACAAATGGTTACTCCCTTGCCGAATACCCAACAGGTATTCATTGGGATATGTCGAAAACAGAGAGTACATTCGATCTCGGCGAATCTGATACCTGGGCTTCTGGAAAGGAGGATGTGCGCTTGGCTTTTGCATATGGTGCTCTTCGTGAAGGATTGAGTCATACTGGCAAGAAACGGGCCTGGGAGGCTATGGGAGGAAGAAAGAGGGCGGATGGAGTGGTGGATATGGTTTATGTGAAGAGGAGAGGTGATCATAGGTGGATTGGTGAACATGAGAAAGAAGACGAGAGAGAAAGTTGTGTGATTTTGAGGTTCATTCCTTAATTTTCTCCTCCACTTCATTCCTGAAGTAGTGCGACCAGGTACGTGCGTGCATGCGTGCACAAAACTTTCTGAGTTTCGATTTGCTGGATTTGGGAAGTGTATATATTCGTGTGTTGCCAGGCACCTTGCATAGGGTTCTATTCTGTTCTTTACAAGGCGTTATTTGGATACAGGTGTATAGATTTCCCACGCATTGAATGCTGGGATAATCTGGCAGGCGTTTTGGCATAGATTATTTTAAGCAGCGAGATGAGGATGGCGAAGGGGACTGGATTTATCCCGATCGAATCTATGTGTATATGTATGAGGGAAATCTATGGTAGATATCTATAGACGGGATGATGAAATTTATGTTTATATAGATAGAGACAAAGATAGACAAATAGTAGTAGTACAATAGTAGGGAAAGGATAATACGATTTTCCCGGATTCTGAAACTGGGCACTAGTGTGCTCGATGAAACTTTTTGGTGTACATTGGATTTTCCATTTTTGAGCCGTCAGTTACGGCTGAGGGAAGAAAACGTAAAGGCAGAGACAGAGACAGGGAGAAGGGACAGTAAATTCTCTATGGAACATTGAATATAAGATAAGATTACATAAACCGCCACATCCCTATATAAATCCGGAAATTTCCAGACTCTTTCTTTACCCGCATCATTATTCGGGTACGAGAGAGGTGGGTTTCGGTACGTATGGTGTTGCTTTGCTTTTGTAGGGTTTGGTTGTTGTGTTGGGGGAAGTGGGAGGACTGGGAGCGCTGGGGAGCAGAGGATAGGGTAGTGTGTTTGGGGGTGCTTGGGTGGTTTGGGTGTGCGTGTGGATTTTTTGTGGTGAGAGAGGGGAATGGAGGGGAAATGGAGCGGAAGGGAGGGAGGGCGAGAAGTGTATGCGCTATTTGCCTCCTCTGCACCCTTTCAATGCTAAGGTTATCTTTCAGTCAGAAGTTCCTGGTACGAGTTGCGCTCCTTTGGTTCAGCCTCGACCCCTGCAGTAGGCGTGGCGGTAAGTTCATTCTGAAGTGCGATGTCTTTCTTTCTGTCTTTACCTCTACGTCTTCTGGGAATAGTTTTTATTCGAGCTCTTGCAGTCGTAGATTTAGTGCTTTAGTTTGCAGATCTTAATATGTTCATTGGTTTCCTCGGATTTTAGCTTGGAGCCCTTATTCTGAGAGCTCATTGCGGGGCTTGGGATAAGGTGTATATGAGAGTTCTCCAACATCCAAGTAGGATTCTAAACTCAGATTTACTGGTGTGAGAAATCGTTAATGCACTCAAGACCCCGCAAATCTGATTTTCTTGGTTACAGTTTCTGCCCATGTGTATTATTCTCGAGAACGATGGGATGCAATGTAAGAGAGTGCAAGAGTGAAGAAAAGATCAATAGGCCTTTTTTAGGAATATCTGATATAAGACGATTAACCTCTCCTCTCTTGATTAATTTCAGTCAAGATGGTTAGCGGGAGATGTTAGCTAACCAATAATAACTACTGATCCGCCCATTCGCAACATTAACTAACATAAAAGCTTACGCATTTGCTCTCTTGATTCCTTAAAACGCTCAATTTCATTTGTCAGCTCCTTAACATCCGTTCTCAGTCGACTGTTTTCTTCTTGCAAATTTTGTGTTCTCTCGATTTGTTTACCGTACCTCACATTTTGCCTTCTGGATTCATCCAATTCCTTACACAGGCTTCTGACCTTCTCATCGCTTTCCCGATTTGTGTTCACCAGTGCCTCCTTTTCTTTTGTGAGTTCTTTGATCACATTATCACGACCCGCGATGCTAGCTTGCAAAGAATCAACGAGGCGGGAAAGTTCGGTCTCCAATCTTGCCCATTCTTGAGCCTCTTTCTCTGACTTGCGTAGCATTTCCTTGTATCTTGTGACACAGTCTGTCGAGGAAATGGCCTGTCTTTGCAGTAGTTGTTTGATCTTGTCACCGAGCTTTTCGTCTTGCTCAGTGGGGCTCGCTGCTCCAGGCATCTGTTCCAGCTCTCCTGCTTTTGGCTCATTAACTGCTTGATCTGGAGTTAGCTTCAATTCTCTTAATTCAACAGCATGCATATTGTCTAAAATTGTACTAGAGATGGAGCTTGCGCCGCAGCCCCACGTAGATGCAACTTACTCAGTGAACAAACTCGAGACTTCTTACTGTGCCGCTCCTTATTGAAGGACTCATCACGGGATGTTCGCTTAGACGTCGCTGAGCTTTGAGAAGTCGGTAAGCTATGCGCCATGAGTTGGTTGAAGGAGAATAATCGCCTAGCATCACCAATTTGGGTAAATCTTGGATACCAGGAGGCCTTAGGTCAGTTTAATATTAGCTGTCGGCTCGTCCTTTCAGGCACCGCGGACTAGATGTCAAAGCCCAGCTCGGGTGCAACCACAATTTCGCTTTATCACAAATCAGTTTATATCCTTTTGTTTCTAGAAAATGGAACTAGAAGCGAAAGGTTCATTCTTAGGTAACAGGTTCACAGCGGTTGCGACCCGAATGTTTGCAGTTTTTTAAGCTACGCTTTTCTTTCAGCTAACAAAAATATATAACTTTCCAGAAAATTTCAGATATATTGATTATTTATGCCCGCTTAATGAAAAGATTTTCGACCAGCTCCTTCAACATCTTCTTCACGCGATTTCTCCAATCTTCCAATTTTTCAACTGCCAATTTTAGTTCATTCTTTTTGTCTTCGAGCTCTTGAATCTTCACAGCCTGGTCTTGCATCATTAGTTTCGCCGTCTCATTTCCCTTTTTCGATAACTTTAAGCTTTCCTCAGCAGTATTCGCCCTTTCCTTCCATATTCGATGCTCCTCCTTGAACGTTTCCAGTTCTTTCTTCAAATCATCGATTTCTAAATCTTGGGCTCTGATAACATCCTCCAAGTTGGATAATTTGAAGACTTTAGACACGATATCCGCGGTAAATTTTTGAAAGGAACGACTTCTTTCTCCGATGGAGGAAAACCCCTTTTCACTATCTTCAGTGGAAGCTGGAGATCTATTCGAGTAGCTCCATGAGATGTGCCGTTCGAGCTGTAATGTGTCAGCTGCTGTGGGACTGAGTCTGGTGCAACGAACCACACTTTGAAAGCTGCCGGGATATCGGTACCCAAGCGCTGGCTCTCCTTGCCAGGCTGCCATTGATTGGATACGAGGGGGTTTTGATGCAATCATTGGTATGATACCCATCCAGTTCGTTGCAAACGCTCTCTGCCGAATCATTTGAGGATAGATGCTAAACGAATACTCTGTACAGTCATAAATGCGGATGAGTTTGGGATAGGTTTAGGGTAAAGAGCAGAGGATTAGGATTTAGAGGGAATTTGTGCAGATAGATAGATATATCTACGCATACTACTTACATTTAGGAAACCAGAGCCGAAAGAAACCAACAGTGACGTAAGGTAGAGGGAGTGAAGAAAAGTAGATCTCTCAAGCACAACAGGGGTTCCACGGATATTTGCATCTTGATCGGCGCTTCAAGTGAAGGGTTTTGTCATTGGCTTTGAAAACTTCCATCATTTATCAGAAAGTCCACTTTCTGCCCGCACACAAACAGCCCAAGTTCCATCTTCATATCCAACTCTAACCTAACTCATTAAAGAATGGTTCAACAGCTCAGAAACTTCGCCAGTCAACAACTTGCGCGCCTTAATTCTCCAATCTTCCAGATTCTTAATCTTCGCCATTTTTTCTGCCATTCCTGATTCCAAATCTTGTACCTTTGTCTTCATCTGTTTTATCTCGCCATTGCATTTCTGAAGCGACTCTCTCAACTCGGAATTTTCCTTCTTTAGCTTGTCAATGTTCTTATCTCGAGCCTTGACATCATTTTGCAAACTGTCGACCTTTTTCGCTACGCTTGTTGCGGAAGACTCGAGTGCCTCATCTGTTGAATCAATTTTCTCCTCGATTGCGTCGAAAATTCCTTTGCCTTTTAGAATGAGGTCATTTATTCCATCGAAGATTTCTGTCTTCATTTGTTTGCGTCGACTTTGGAGTGCTGTGCTGTGTTAATAACTCTGCAATGTGGGGCATATTCGGTAGCACGAACCATTGGGGCTCTCCGGCTGCACAACTACTTGAGGCTTGAGTTTTATGGGAGAACTCTTTTTTCTTCTCCTAGGGACCAAAAGCTTGGATATTAATTGGGATTCATCGTCGGAATGAACCAGGTGTTTTACCTCGGTGGAAGATCCAGTCATTTTTCATTCAAGGGATCTTCTAGACGTCGGTCGGTTTTTGTTGAACTAAAAAATAACAAAGATAATGTCGAGGCCTTTCTCATTTATGAGCATTTAGAAGTACACGACGCCACTTAATATGAAATGTGCTGAAGACTCGCGGAAATCCAGGCTTAATATTATGCAATGCAGGTCCAAGAAAGCAAACGGCTACCGAGGAAAAACGTTATCACGACAAGGGGTCACGGATATGTGCATAATTGCCGCAACAACGATCTATCGATTATTTCTAGACCACAAACAACATGTCTGATATTTGACAGAGCGTTTGTCTTTTGCCGTCATAGTATAGCTTCTCCTCCAATTAGTATTTGCCGCATCTGTTTTCTCCAATCTTCAAGCCCTTTGAGCCTTGCAGCTTCTAGCTCCATATTCCTTTGCTCCAGCCTTGCAAGCTCCGCCTTTTCCTTCAGTCTCGCAATTTCATCATCACGGGTCTTGACATCCATTATCAAATGTGCTATTTCTTCCCTGAGTGCGGCTGGTGATTCTCCTATTTCTTTCTCGGCAACTTGCAGCTTGGCATTGAAGTCAACTGCCGAGTCCCGGTAAGCAATGACGATTCTTTTGAAGGATGCCAGCTCTCAAAGCCACAACATGTATCGTTAGAACACAATGTAATGACTCTGCGAATAGTTTTCAACTTGTTGTTTTTGTACTTACATTTGCCGGTGACGGCATGTTTTCTGGATTGATGATAACCCTCAGATTTTACCTCTGATATCTTTCTCTTTCTTTCCAACCGCGGTGAGCATCTTACTTCTTGTGCCGCAGTCATCTTGGAGAAAGATCGGCGGCCAAAATTCATGTGGTGTTAATATCGATATACTATAGCACAACAGATATAATAGAATGGAACCTAGGGCTACTACCACTAGAATGTTAAGGCTCAATAATTTTTCGATTGGCCAAAAGTGAGAAAATGATTGAAGGGCATATGCCCTGTTGGGTAAACGACGGAAAGCCCATGTACTACTGCTTTAGTCACTTTCAAATTTAGTTCCAAGTATACATCCGCGTAGTATTTCATCCCGGGAACAGAGTGCCAAAAGCAACGACGCCGCATTTGTACTGCGTATGATTCGATCTGCAAGCATCTTTACATAGTGATATTCCTCGACAATTACCGAATTATGCAGGCTAATATCAGAGCCAGCGGTGGAACAATGGTGGCGTTTTTGTTCGTAGGTTTGTTATGATTGTACGGCATTTATCTTGAGATATCAACGGGAAGGAGCTTTTCGATATGCGATCCTTCAAGTCCAAAAAAGCCTCCTTGAAAAAGCCGCATATAGTCAACAGCAAACAAAGTAGTGGGGCAGATAGAGGAGAAAAAGGTGTCACCTCTTCTGGTCTACATTGTACAACATACAAACGCTCTGGCTGTGATTCGTTGAGTCTCTACAAACCTATTCCTATTTTTGTCAAGCTGATCATTTGAGAATCACTGTTACCTGAGCAACTTAGGGATTGTGAAAGACGCAACTTTCCTCTAATTTATCGGACTGAGTTCTTGAACTAAAGACTGCCGCTGTCGATTGAAATTTGGTACGCCCCATTCCACACTGATAGAGCATCTTATTTGTCTAATATCTTAGTTAGAATTCTCTGTCAAACTTAGAGATGGATCGAAAAAATCCTCCAGATACGAAAAATGGAAATTTAAGGACCAATCGTAAGTACAGAAATTAGGATCGTTGCCCCTTGTCATAGTAGCTGAATCTAAACTTCCCAAAGGTAACAAGAGAGCAAGAACAGACGAGCCAGCGCAAGCTGAGCTTGATGGAGCAATGGCAGTCATAGAACATAACCTACAAGCGAAATCAAAGATGGAATCAGAGATCGAGAATTTCAAAGTACGAATCGAACAATTGAGTTCAGAGTCTAGCGCGGCCACGTCAAGATACCAGCGACTCTCTGATGAGAATGCGAATCTGCAGAGGATTAACCAGAAACAGGCCAGCAGAATTGAGAGACAGCAAGCTGAGCTGTCAAGAATCAGAAAGGAGAGGTCTGAGGAGTCAGAGACACTTTCTGCTGCCTTGGCTAGTTTGAACGACAATGTGATAGTGGTGGAAGAAAAGGTTATGCAACTTGCATCAATACTCAAGACTGCATGTGAAAGAAGAATAAAGGAGCTCAGAGCACAAATAGCGGAGGGGCAGAAGCGTGAAGCAAAATTAAGGGATTTTGAACAGTTTTGGGCCAATCTCAAGAAGGTTATGGCTGAGGCATAGGGCCTTCGCTGTGGTGTATTTACTTACCAATCTGTATTCATTTTAGAGAGCTATGCCTCTCCAGTCAGTCCATATATGTTGCGTCAAGTATTACGAAAATCATGCGGCGTCAAATTGAGTAATTCCTAAGTTGCATACGGCTCATATTCAAAAGAAAGTACAAAAATTTGATAAATTTCGGTCTAGTGAAATCTTGCTGTCACACCAATATTTTTTGTTATTCTAATCCCGCAATCCATGCAAGTACATAGAATCTCCGGGCAAGCTCGTCGATCCTTTTCCCAACAAAAACCCCCTACTATTGTTCTTCTTTTCTATATCTGCTGCTCATCATCCCTATTTCATCATCCGAGCTTTCCATATTGTACATCCAAGAGCAAAAGTCAACATGGCAAAGAAGAAGTCTAAGAAAGCTACCTCAAAGGTTAAGAAAGGTTATCATCAGAAGAAGGATGGCCCTTCAGATAAGGGAAGTACTACTGAGGTGTGTTCATGAGGAAGGTGTGAAACAACTTGACTATTCTAATCTATATCCAGGAATCCACTATCATCAGTGACGCAGATATTCAGAATGCTCTTTCGAATTTGACTTTGCAGCCCGATGGTGAGTCCAATGAGTCTTCATGCTTTCAACTCTTCTCGTCGCAGTCTTAAACTAACAGGACAAAGTTTCAGTACCTGTAACTGGCACGTCAAGTCACGCCTCCAAACAAGCTGAATCATCTCAAAATTCTTCCTCTGAGACGGCCAACACAGCTGGTGTCCAAGAAAAGAAGCCAACAGCAGCTCCACCTTGCGCAGCCGAGGCAGGACACGGCTCTAACCACTCGACTCGAAGTCGTAGGTCTTCCTCTGGGACTCTCTCCCATATAATATTTCTATTTGCGCTCCACACATCCACTAACAATATCCCCAGAAACCAAAGGAAAAGAAAAAGAAAAAGAAACCCCCAAAAATCCCAAAACCCATCACAACGAAGAAATCAACGAAAACCTCCTCAACGCACTAATCGCCATACAACTCCAATCCGGAATCCAATCCAAACTAGAAAATTCCATCAAGGGGCTAAACGAAGTAATGAAAGAAATAACCGATGCAAAAATACCTGTATTCAATTTCCAGGGTGCATCGACTTCGAGACCTTCGGTCGACCAATTAGAGAAAGAGCTCCATATGGATCAACTGCGAGTAATGTGTCGGGAATACGAGGAGGCGAGTGAGAAGAGCATTGCAGAGATACATAAGAGGAATCATGAGGTGCTTTGCAAATTTGGAAAATGGAGAGCTGAGTTGATTTTGGAGGCTGAGAAGTTTGATGAGATGGGACGAATTTTCGTGTTGGTTGATTGATTGATACTACTGGAGAGGGTTCTGGTGATGCGGTTTGAATTGTTTTTCTAGGGTTTAAGTAATATTGACGGGTACCGATGGTTTTTCTCCAGTCGAAATATGTGTTAGAAATTGAAAAAGATTAGAGTATTGAAAGATTTTGATATCGTTTGAATGACTCGGATAGTTTGAAAAGCTTACTTTTAATTCCCCACTTCATAAACAGATTTCTGGTATCACTTTGCGAAAGCATTTTCAAATTTATCTGGACGAGACTCCATAGCTCGTCTAAATCAAATTTTGTTCTCTTCCCATATTTAATCGGCAGCTATATTCTTTTATCAAAGAAGTAGTAAAGGCACTTGCCAGGCTATGTGCATTCTTATCGCGGTTGAGCTCATTTCATGCTTTGTAAAGTAGTAACTAATTATTTGCGCAATGAAGCCATGCACCAGATAAGTTAAATAATATTGAATTCTGCACCTAGAATTCTACTGGGGTACTCAAGATGACTGTACGATACAAAACAAAACACTATTTATTCATCTAGCATCCAACCTTCAATATCTATATATCTGCATCTCCATTTGTTGATGCTTGCATTGACTTGTATTCAGAGCGAACCCTGTGTTGAGATCCTCCAACGCATCAATTTCCTCCACGGCCTGGGAGATAGCAAGATTGTCTATCTACGCCAGATTGATTCAAATCTCCTGAGCCTCTGAAAACTCGCTTAGTAATTATTTCACTGAGAGGCTCTCTCATCTTCCGTTTCTCAGTAATACCTATAGAAGATAGGAATGTCTCGGCTTCTGTTTGTTGATTTTGAACCGGCGGATCTGGCATTGTAATTTCAAGGAAATTTTCCTCGAGAGCGGTCAAGTATGCATCATGAGCGTCATGTAACTCTTTTGCGACCTTGCGGCACTGTTCTTTAAGTCGTTCGATCCTCCTTTTGCCGGTAATATTGGCTTCTGGCTGTCCTTGTTGATAGCTTTCGCTCAGATCGTTGTTTAATGAACTAGCGCCTGGTTCCTTTTCAATCCTTTTTCTATCTTTGGAAACAGCATCACTGGAAGCGAGTGCTAAGGTCCTCTTTGTTAAGTTCAAAGGGTTTTGCTCCACGTGAGGATGAATAGTGCAGGGGACGCATCGTCGACAAAATAAATCACCTGGCTTAGGAGTGTCAATAATCGCATTGCACTTAGTCGCACAGCTCATGTGATATGCTCCGGAACATCTCATACATAACACTAATGGCTCAAATGTGTCACTTGAAGTACTTTTCTTATGTAGCTTATGGCAGATCTGACAGCATTCTTCTTCGGGGGGTGTCCCTAAAGGTGTCAGCAGATATCACTGTACAACCCCATACGAGAACATACTAAAAGCTCTCAAGCAAGAGCAGTTCGTGTCATTCCTGAACTCCCAAAGAACCTCAAGGGATTTAGGGATTGACTCTTTGTATGCTGATGACAATGTATTTGTGAGAATGCGAATTGCAGTGAAGGTTCGAGAAAAGTTGCACTGCTGGCATGCAATATAGATGCAGCAAGCAACAAGCAAGGCTTGCAATTTACCCATTGTCCCATCAGAGCAGAGGCAATCGTCCTTGGCTTCGGAAAGAATTTTCCATAGGTACTTCGCTCTGTCGACTACATTCATCGGAAAATTTCCAGCTTTGCAATCGTCTTTGATTTTTCGACAACCCATGAGAAAGGTCATTCGATGTTCACTTCCCAATATTTTAGCCTCCAGTTCCTACAGAAAGTTACCTCTGTTTGCGTATAATGGAAATATGGTACATACCTCATCGCTAATCGTTTGATCCGAGGAAGAGCTTGGAGAGATAGGACCCTCAGGAAGATCTTTCATTCCATTGCATTGCAACTTAGAAGAGCTTGATTCGACCAAAGTACTAGAAGTAGCAGGGGTTGCAGCGGCTCCTCTCTCTTCATTGTGCTTGGCTTCGGAAAAGTCCAATACTTTCGACTGCTTTTCCACACATTCCAAGTATTGTCTATAATGGCTCCCCGGGGTTGGCACAGTGCCATACCATTCGCCCAAAGAATTGACACCAAAAGATGCGAACTTTTCTCCGATGTTTTCATTCTGGAGATTAGCGTGTCTTGTTTCCTCCTGCGATCTCTCCAAATGTTGCTGCGACCGAACTGGTGGGATTGGCGGATGGAAAATTCCTAGCCTTGGAAAATTAGGATGGAGAGATACTTCAGGTGTACCTCTTGTTCTTTCATAATGTGAGTTAAAAGGATTCGGCCCCTTTGAAAGGTTCCTTGCGCTGTCCATGCGTCTATTTTGTGCCAACATAGAATAAGGGCTTATTGAAAGCGTTTGTTCACGGTCCGGGATTTCTTTCATTTCCATTATAGAAGTTTGTGTCTGACAATGCTAATATGCAAAACCAATGATGTAAAGAAAAACTTTGGTAAAAAATGAGGGTTATACTTTGTGAAGATCATGAAGATGAATTGTATATGTGTTTTGCTAGCTGCAAAATTACTCTTTGCGGTAGGCAGTGCGTGACCGATGGTCCCTGCCTTTTAATGACTTTTTGTCGACATGTTGAGATGGGCGCCCGTGCTATACTTTCCCCATCAACCCAATGTAGCATCTAGAGAAATAGTTTAACTCGGAGAAGTTTGATCTTGCTCGAAAGGGAATTTAAACGAGTTTGCTCTTCGCCGAAGATAGCTCAACCCAGGTTTCCCACATCTAAAACTTGACCTGCAATGACTCCGCCTTAAAGTAATTTCTCTCAATCCAAGCAGAGTTATTGAATTCCCCTCCTCTTCTATCCTGCCTTACAGGAAGGAATAGCCAGGGAAATCAAAATTTTTATGGTACTTGTGTTAACTTCAGCCAAATATATAGTACCAGAATACGAAGAATACAGCATCAAATTCAAAGATATAACTTTCTCTACGCGAGCTCAAGCCAAGTATCTCTCCAATCCAGCCATTCGCCCCAGCTAGCCATTCGTCCTCCTCTAATCCTCTAATCCTCTAATCCTCTAATCCTCTAATCCTCTAATCCTCTAATCCTCTAATCCTCTAACCCTCTAATCTCCCAACTCTCCAACCACCAGTCTTCAGAATAAACAACAACCATAAAAAAACCGCCTATTCCTATCCCATTAGCCTTCCAGCTCATCACATACACCCAAAAGCAAATCTCCCGACTGGTGATCGCCCCCCAAACTTATGGCTGTCCAAATTCTACACCAAACCCCCAAAAAATAAGACTTACAAAAAAGCCAACAACTCCGCAAACATATCCGCTCGATTTCGAGCACAACAAACGCATACTAGGTATCTCTTAAAAGCTTTTGTCGACTTATAAAAATCTTTTGATTTGAAATGAAATGAAGAATACTACGACACCACGACACCACAATACCGCGACACCACAAAACAGTATTACCCCCATTTCCCCCTCTTCACCTAATAAATACAAAAAGAAAAACCGCCCCATCAACATATATTGAAAGAATAAAACTATGGATCCGAAGAGACGAGAGTTTTTTTACACCGACTTACAAAAGAGCACATAGATCTCCCCTCCGCTCGGAGTCATAGACCTTCAGATACGAAGCAGAATAACCGTAGCGATATAAAAGAAGAACAAATCATATCGAATACCCAGTAGTGTGTATATATAGCTTTACAAGGCTTAAATCGAAGCGAATTGAAAAGGTTTTTTCCTCCGAGTTCTCTATTATTCTATTATCAAATCAACAAGACTTGATTGGTCAGGAAGTTTTCGATGAATGGCTGTTTAATAACTAAAATACAGTCCAGAGTAATATAACCATAACCCTAACCCTAAATCCACCTAATGTGCTTTTTGAGCATGCTAACGAATCATCTTCTTCCATGCAAAAAAAACACCCTAAGAGAAACTTAAGCAAATTAAAAAAAAACTGCGATGACCAGGCCATAAATGACCATTTTGAACGCACATTATCAGAAATTAAAAAACAGGCGCTGGTAACGGGTCCATGTTATACTATGGTCAACAATTGTAAGTAACTATTCCACCAAAATGATAAACAACCATTCAACCCATCCATACCATTCCCGAACCCGTTTTGGTATATGTATGCGGATAAACCCATCCATTTCACCTCAAACAATCAAAAGAACCAGAATCTTGGTATTGTTGTGCCCCTTCCGCTTGCCCATGCCCGCTTTCCCCAATGCCTCAATACCCACATTCCTGCAAACCCACAACGCCTACATGCAAAGTTAAACAACTTTCGAGCCCCGTGAAAGATAACAAAAGAGACTGAATACAGAACTTTGGTCTCGATGACCAGGTGTGTGCCGCGTAAAATGGTATCTGCGCTTGATCTAAACAAAAGGAAAATGTGTAATTAAAGAATGTGTGTTTTAATGGTTAACTTTTGGTGGTTGCCAACCATTCAGATATGCCATCAATCCCATACCAATCATGACAACACCAAGCATTGAGACATAAGGTGTCGAGTGGTATAATAAAGGATCGTGGCCAGTATTTTTTGAGGAGGCGATGACATGTTTGAGTGATGCATGAAGTTCATCTTTTTCGGATGAGCTATGTTTTAAACCATTTGGCCGTTTTGTGGGATGAAGTGCCAAATCACCCCCATTCACAGCTCCATTAATATGATTGTCGGAGTGTAGCTTCGATGGAGATTTGGATCGATCGGAAGAATCTAATTGTCTGAGTCGTTCATTCAAGCGAATTTTCTCAATCATTTCTGCTAAACTTCTTCGGTTGGTATCACATTCTGCCTCGGCGGTCTCTGCTCTCTTTTTATATGACTCCATTTGTGATCTCAGCTCCTGCATATCTGAAAGCATAGTTTCAAGTCGTTGCTCTAACCGACGAGATGAGTCGGCGATACCATTAGCATCAACATGTGCATTGACGTCTTTGTCTTGTGATAACACGTCTTCCGAGGGTGGTTCAAAAGCATCTTCGATAATTGATCCTTCCGTCCCGGGCTTAGCTCTCCCATTCATATTGCCCTCCGGAGTCTGGAGCTCTAGTCTTTTAGCCATTTCTTCCGCTGTTTCTCGTGCTTGCCGTTCCTTCTGAAGCATGTCCTCTAAATCCCGCATCCGAGCACTCTGTGAGTCGATCTCTTTCTTGGCTGATGCCAATGCTTCCACCAAAGTAATTATTTGACTACCTACCTCCCTGACCGGGGAGCCATTCGCCAAGGATCTATGTTTTTCAATATTTGCTCTTCTCAAAGAGGCAGTAGGTGACGCAGGGTCAAAAATATGAGAACGAGCAACATCCGGTTTTTCAGGAAGGGGTTGTTGAGGCGGGGGAGCAGGAGGGTCAGAGAATCGAGCTTTGCCTTCAGCTCGGAAGGCTAATGCAGAACCATTTGCTACCGCAGGTTTCGGTAGTTCTACGTTTGGCGCGCTATCAGGTTCTTTCACATTCTCCTTCGATAAGAGGCCACTAAAGAAATTGTCTGCTCGCCCGAGATCAGAGTTCTGTAATCGGGCCGTCCGCATTTCGTGCTGGACTATATGTTAGCTATACAATGAATCAATCCATGCAATTATGTGAACTTACAGAAAGCCTCTTTACTATCTGCTCTGTCGTAACGGGGGTTAACCAGAAATTCATCGGGCGTTGCTGACCCATGACACTCATTTGGCTTGCAGCTACACTACCTGGTGGCCCCATGCGGCCATTACTACCCATTGAACTTTGACTACTAGTTCTCCCTCTCATCATTGGTCCTTGGGATGGTAACATCATTGATCCATTGGCGGGATTTAAATCGCCAAAGCTCATGTCTAAAACATTATTAGTTGAGCCGGCAAAACCTGCATGTTCGACCTTCGCAGCGACTTTGTGATGTACGACAGTCTTCTGGTCCTCGCTCACAATGTCTATACCAAGCTCAAGATGATCTTGCGACTGCAGCTCATGTGGATCTGAGTCCTTGTTTTCGGCCGATAAGCGCGCTCCGTTGACAAAGGTACCGTTGGAAGACTTTACATCTCGAATCCATATTTTCCCACTTCGATCTGCCCATATCTCCGCATGCTGTCTCGATAGTACTTTCGAATCAAAGAAGCCATTCGCGGGCGACGGTACAGTTTTAGCATTTGTCTGACGTCCAATTCTTAAGCTGTCCGGGTAGAATGGTACTGATATTCTCTTGTGGTCAAAAGTGCCGTTCATAGACAGTAAGTAGAGCATCGGCTCCCCTTCTGAGGGTTGGCCTTGGGGTCTCATGGGTTGTGATCCGTTTGGTATAATGTGCTGTGATGGTACCATGGGAGCCGGCTGATGTAATGGAGTCATGGATGAACCAGAATTTCCATTTGTCAATGTCGATGAAGGTCGTGTCGTATTGGAACCAGTTATCGTATCTGATTTGTTATTCCATGACGGCTGCACCCTAGGGACTTTCTTTCGTGCTGCCGCCGTACCCCAATTGTTTGATTCGCTAGACGAAGACATAGGTACGCCATTAGTCTGTGGTGTTTGTTGCGATATCGTTGAGTTGGATGAAGTAGAAGAGTTCGAAGATAATGAATTTATCGACGAGGATGAGTTGGCGCGCTGGGCGCTTTTCCGTGGCATGAACATTCTGCTCACTTCGTCGCCATTTATAGCATTCATTCCTCCTTGGTTAACACTAGATCCCCATGCCGACCTATTGATCTGCGGGAAACTGGGTAAATTTGCGACTGCCGTCATCGGTCAAGTTTACTATCGGCCCTATTCTGACAGCAAATAGGTGTATCTCTGATGATGTTGATTGAATAAGATCGCAGGAATGTTGTATGTTGTTACTTTCCTCCCCCCATTCAACCTCAACTGCGACCAAGATCCCCGCTCCAATGACCCTCTGGTCTATAGTGTGAATTGCTAAGTATGTGCAACGTTCTATCTAACGGACTGGATAGAAGAGATATCGTATCGCACTGGATTTGTGATGATGGTCAGTAGTTGCCCAAGAAGAATTGGCGCCATGACGACCAGCGACAATACTGCGGAAGGGCAGTGCGAAAGAAGCGGAAACGCATCAACCACACTACTAAGTGGACTGTGGGCCGAAGGAAAAGAGTAGAAACACTTACATCTATGCAATGCAGGTATTGTAGGACAATTGCTGGTGATAGAAAAGGAAACCTTTTTCAATTTGATGTTGCCAAGCTGGAAAGTTTGGACATTTGGGTTGAGACACGCGAGGTATATGTTTAGCCAACCAGCGTTCGAGATCGGGGATAAGAGCACTTGCGCACGCGCTCTCTTGCAGATAAAAAGTCTCGATGTGAGAAGAAAAAAAAGGAAAAATTTGGATGTCGTAAGAGGGAAGTAGATATCTTCAAGACTATCGCAAAGAACTCGGTTTCATTTCTATGTGAGCCTTTCAATCTAAACGATTGAGTATAGAGTCAAATCATCAGATTTTTGATATAATCACGTGATGTTTTCAATGGCTTTTCACCTTTTCACCCTGAAGAACTTGGAAAGAGAGAGACTTCAGACGTATTAAAAGATTGGAATGTGGGGGTAGGTAGTAGACTGCTTGGAGATGGTCCGTGCATGGATGGATTCGGGAAATGCCGTTGACCATGATAGTTGATTTATTTATGTGTGTATGGCCATTGAAAGTTTGAAGCTCAGAGCTCAAGATTTTGACCTGATAACCCCACAAGTTCGAGGCACGCAGACAATTAATCGAATCTACTGGTGTCCTTACCTAGTAGTATTAATCTTCTTCTTCAATACCTACCTACCGACTCAAATATGCCTCCAGTACCGCAACCTCAAGGCCATCCCGGTGGCCAGACCATCTGGAACAAACGTATGACGATCGATCACTTTCCCCCTCTACTTTGGACTTATACTGATCGTGCTTCACAGTCCAGATGGGCGCTATGATGGGTGGCAGTATGCGACAATGATCTCGTCCATAGAAATAAGTTACTGACCATATTTAACAACAGCTGTTGGTGCTATCTTGGGATTTATGTATGGTATGTTGAAGCTGCTGCAGGCATCATGAACTTCCATTTTGACAAGATTAAAGGCACACTCACCATCATTAAATTTGGTCCTGGTCCAAATGGAGTCTGGAGGACTCTACGCACATATATGCTCACTTCAGGATCTACTTTCGGGTAATCATTATTATTCCTCTCTCCAAATCAACATCAACGTGCTAATAAGTTGCCATCAGATTCTTCATGGCAATTGGAAGTACCATTCGTTCCGACAGTATTGCATCTCCAGAAACATTAGCAGCATTTGATCGTGCGAACCGGCGTCCTCTTATTATGAATCGCCCTTACCGTCCTTCGCCAACATCATAGCCGGGCATGCGCCATTATGGGGTGAAGGGAAGCACGTCTACCTTGGGAGCAGATGGAAACCGGCGAATGCTTTGTAATTTCATGGCATATGTTTATACGCAATTGGTAAATGCATGTGGAATGTTGGATTTTGGTGTCTCGCTGCTCATTCTTTGCATGTGGGTGGAGTTGAAAGGGGTCAATATGTATCAACAAAATTTTCCCGAAGGCTCTTGTTTAGGCCTCTGATGGGATCGATTCCACAATACTCGAATCATACTACTTTATCATGGATTTTGGGTGTTATGCGATCTTGATTTAGGGGTTGTTACAACGTCTTCGGGTCTTTGTTGACCACCAGTATGAGGTTGTTATATAATGTTCGTGTTTTATATCGCTACCTCAATTATCCGCAATGAACAACCGCACGAGTGTCCTCTACGTTTTGTTTCCTTTGCGTGCTCTGGACACTCCCGGCTATTAGATGAGTGCGCAGGAACTAATCGATATTCACGGTGTCATTTGCTAACGATTAAGACACTTATTCGAGCACTCTCTGGGGAATCCTCAATTTTAAGCCTTATGCAATGGATGCAACAGCTTGGTGAAAATTTCAATGACATATTCTCACTACGGGATTCATACGCCTTCAAGAACGCGCTGTAACCTTGAACAGGTCGATGAAATTGCATTGGTCTCAGTGTTAACGAGAACTTTACTTCTCTTGTGAGGGTTCAGCTTGTAACACGAACTCTTAACAACTATGACTATGGCAAGTATATGAGAGAATCCTGGAGTCTTACCCCATTTCTCGCAAGTAATAAAAAAGTACGAGTTTCAATGTTCAGACGAAATACTATGGTCTATCTATGTACACGGATTTTATTGAGATTCTACAAGTGCATCGTTTTGAGGCACCAAACGAGGGACTCGGCCCCTTGCTTCTTTCTGATGGTGAAACCTCACTATGACTTTCGGTCTTAGTTTTAGTAGTCTCCCAGTAAAATTTGATTTCAGCTGGAATTCATCGATATGTTAGCTTTGTTTCACGCTTGAAAAGCCAAGGACAAACTCCCAGTATTTTCTTTTCGACCTACTCGGCTACGTCGATAAACATTGCGGCAAGCAACATTGGCCGGACGACCCATTGCCACGGGTAGCTCCGCAACCGTAGAAGTTCAGGAGTGACGTCAAGAAGTATTTTAGAAATGTATTTGAGTTATCCATTTGGAATCGTGATTCGCAGCCACTTCGTACTAACGAGTAGTAAGTGTATTGTAGAAAATACCTACTAGTCATCCCACAAATCCTCTCTTCGCTAGGGCCTTGGCACGTCCGAAATAACCAACTTTTCGATCTCTTTACGATGTGTAATTCTGGAACTGGTCCGTTCAAAACCGTATGATGGCCAGATGCCAATAAAATTTACAACACGGACGCTCTTACAATTAGTCCATGGAATTGTGCGTACCAGGTGATCTTGCCTATGAAAAAGCGGATGTCGCCACAATATCTTCTTTGCGTGAGCTCAACGATTCGAGTGCATGCGAAAACCACGACAAACCACGACATTGTGTATCAATACATCCACGACTCCTTCATTCGAGTGAGCTATTATGATATGGATACTCATTGGACAATATCACTATCGGGGTATGATACCTTAAAGCTTGTGCCATTAATCGTGGTTACCTCGTGGCAATAATGTGAGCTTGTACTGCAAGATTCTAATTAGGCTCAATTACCACCAAATACTTCGGGGACAGGTTTGCAGACTAATACAACGCTGACTCCTTCACATATTCCTGTTAAACTTTTGACAATGACTGTCCACGGCTAGCTATAGACAAAAATAGACGGACCCCGATTCCCCTGAATCATATCATTCTTAGCGGCATTTCCTACGCTCTACGAACTATAACCAGTCAGTTCCTGCATTCTCGACAACGGTATTGCCACAGTCATTGGTCGCAATTAGTCATGTCCGTTCCGGCATACACTGCTACCGATCATGGAGGACGTGATTTTGTTTCGAAACACTAGAATGATATCTAGCCATTCTTCTTTGAATAATGATCTACCGGTTAACGGAACAGATGCTGGGACGAAAATGGCCACTTACACAAACGAGATTTCCTCGATGGGATACGGGTCGGATAGATCTAGATATCCATCAAGCCTTTAATTTAATTAAGATCAAGGAGACATGGGGTCTTTTCTTCTTCTTTTCGTTCTAGGTAATTTTGTTGTCAGCCCAGATACTCTCCCTAGGAGTTATATTGGCTTATACTCCGTATTCTTACTTTACATCAGGAGCTTTGGCTGAATTGGAGATTAGTATGGGGATCCATGATCCCTACATCGCATCTAATTAGTGTTACTCGGTACCGTTAGCCGTCCATGCGTTTTCGTTAGTGGATAGCCATAACCTTAACCATTTGCTATTCGATCTAGCATTGATGCTGTGTACTCTTCTCTCTGTAGTTGTACAGAATGTGAAATGAGATATCGCAGTACATTGAGTACAACATATAGACTATCATGTCTTTAGCTCCATTAGGTTGGCTAATCTCTCAAAAGAGTCTTCCCGTACTCTATTCCTGCAATACATCTAGGATTTACCATATTTCTGAAGTCAGAATGAATCAAACCCCAGACTCAAATCAAGCATTTCCTAATGTCAAAGAACAATTTTTATTTGATTATTCTACATTAGAATTCAAGCCATTAATAAAGTGTCGGAAAAGCCTGATCTTTTTCAAGCTACATGGCGACTTCGGTCTGTGCAAATACTAAGGCAAAGCTCCGTCAACTTGGCATCCCCGGTAAACAATGAACCGCCTCCCAAGCTTTCTCCATATATAGTACTTCTTATCCCTTTTCAAAATTTACATCCCATTGACAAGTCTTCGTCCAATATCACTCAGACGATCACTTCAAATATGTCGTTATCCGGTTTTCTTAAGGGTATCCTTACCGGCGCCGCTGGAATAATCAACACTTTATCTCAGGATGTAACTAATGGGTAAGTCTTAGTCTTCTACTTAAGGAAATATTACTCAATAATTGTTTACTTATTAATCATTGTTTAGCAATTCTCTCTGGGGTACTCTACAGGCTCCAACCTTTCCTCCTTTTCTCACAAATAATCCTCTTCCAAATGGATTTCCCTGGGGTTCATTAACTGCAGGAGGAAATAATCCTTACACATCAGCTCCCTCCACAGGAGTTATCCGGTATTACGACTTCACCGTCACAAGAGGGACAATTGCTCCAGATGGATATGCCAAACAAGTCATACTTGTCAATGGGCAATTCCCAGGACCTGCTATCGAAGCCAATTGGGGTGATACATTCATGATCAAAGTACACAATCAAATTACAGGACCTGAAGAAGGGACATCATTCCATTGGCATGGCTTATTACAAAAAGAGACTCCATATATGGATGGTGTACCTGCTGTTGGACAATGTCCTATTGCCCCCGGTGCCTCTTTCACATATACATTCAAGGCCGACCTTTATGGCACTTCCTGGTATCATTCTCATTATTCTGCTCAATATGCTGGTAAGCTTGACAAATATTCTAGTGCTCCTACCTTCTCAAACTAACATTGATTTAGGTGGACTTGTAGGACCTATGATTATTCACGGACCAAGCAACGCACCATATGATATTGATCTTGGACCGGTTTTTTTGACAGATTACTATCATAAGGAATACTTCTCAATCGTTCAAGAAGTAATGGCCGGTGGTGGAAAAGGAAATCCTAGGGTAATGTCAGATAACAATCTCATCAACGGAAAAATGACATTCGACTGTTCTACCAAGGCTGATGGAGATAATACTAAATGTTATGACAATGCTGGAATCTCACAATTCAAATTTACCACAGGAAAGACACATAGACTCAGATTAATCAATGCTGGTGCTGAGGGTACACAAAGGTTTAGCATTGACGGGCATAAATTGGTTGTTATTGCCAATGACTTTGTACCAATTGTGAGTAGCTTCAGTGGGTTCGCAGTCACAAAATTTACTAACAAATTTAGAAACCATATACCACCAATGTTGTCACCTTAGCAGTTGGTCAAAGAGCTGATGTTCTCGTCACCGCCAATGCCGGAAGATCTAACTCAGCATTCTGGATGAGATCAAGTATTTCCACCATCTGTTCTTTAACCAAGCAACCAAACGCCCTCGCAGCAATCTACTACGACCGCGCCGACACAAGCAAATCACCCACAAGCACAGCATGGAATGCACCAGACCCAGGAACCTGCACAAACGATGATCTCACCATGACCGAACCTTACTACTCACTTGCCGCCGGCACACCCTCCACCACCAAAAACCTCGACATAAATTTCTACGTCAACGAAACCGGGACTCTCCTCTGGGAACTCGGCGGCACATCTTTCCGCGCAAATTACAACAATCCCGTCCTCCTCCTCGCCGACCAAGGAAAATTCAACTACCCAGCCGAATGGAACGTCCAAAACTTCGGCTCCAACTCCTCCATCCGCGTTATTGTCAATAATCCCACCCCCGCCGCCCACCCCATGCATCTCCACGGTCACAATATGCAAATCCTGCACGAAGGCCCCGGAAACTGGGACGGTGTTTCCATTACGCGACAATCGAATCCGCAGCGCAGAGATGTTCAACTCGTTAGACCAAATGGTCATATGGTGTGGCAAATCACGACGGATAATCCGGGCGTTTGGCCATTCCATTGTCATATTGCTTGGCATGTTAGTGGAGGTCTCTATGCGAATATTCTCGAGAGACCGGATGATATTAAAAATAATATGTTGATTCCTGCGGAGATGGCTCAGACTTGTACACAGTGGAATGCGTATACTAAGCTTACGGTTGTGGATGAGATTGATTCGGGGGTTTAGATGTTGGGATTTGGGTATGGGTGTGGAGTTGGGGTATAGGGAAAATGTTTATTTATTATCTTTTAATGATGAGTGGGGATTCTTGAGGGTTGTATTATATTGTGTAGATGGGGCTTAGGTTTGGCTTGGACTGGTCACTAGGGTAGGGTATACATATAGATAATTTTAATTTCGAGCTGGTTTGTTGGAAAACGGGAGAGGAGGTTAAAAAGTTGGTTGATTAATAGAATAACAGTATAAGATGACATTATCTGATTTACGATTCCAGAATTGTATAATGGATATAGAAGATTTTATATTTTTTATATTTATATATTTCTATTCTTATATTAGAAAAGTGAATTAGTTTATCATATCTTTTATATCTTTTATATATCACTCAACTTTTCATTTCATCCACGCTCAAAATACACAAATCCCACCCGTGCTACTTACGTGTCTTCTAAAGTGACGCGAATTCAATTCCCTTGGAAAGAGTCTGTTGATTCTGTATCTATTCGAAATGTTATTCTATCTTAAAAAAAGAATCTGGTTATGGTTCAAGATTGCTCGTTTTTTCTAGGTATATGCTCTGCTCCTTGTTTTGAATCCTTTTGAATCCTATTTCTAGGTAATGACTGATAGTAGTAGTAGTAGTAGTAGATTCATTACGTTAGTATACCGTAACTCAATAATTAGCTCTAAAATCACTTGTACATTGCTTTAAGATACATTGAGATCCTTCCACGCGATCAGTGACAGGATAGGAATCTAGATCCTTGGAAAATAGATACGGGCACGAACAAAATAGGAAGGTTTTGTGTGTATTGCGTTGCTAGGAGTTCGGTTGCTGAGAGTTCGGTTGCTGAGAATGCGAAGAAAGCTACGACTAAGACAGTACCAAAATGCAATACCGAATTATCCAAGGAAGAACAATTAGCTATATTCCATTTGTGGAAATTTTTTTGGGAAGAAGGCGCAGAACTCTGTGTGAGCATTTCAATATGGCTAGCGAGATGGCTCCAGTGTGAAAGATTTGTTCACAGCCGTATACAAATTTTGTCGAGAACTAGCTTATGGTCTCCGAGAAGCCAATGGAGAATAAATAGCCAGGAGAAACCTTCATCTTTGAAATGCCTGGTACAGGAAAATCATGTAACCAGGCTTTTATCTGGATCAGGAGTAAAGAATCAGAGGTACAGATGGAATATATCAAAACCTGAATGGGAGCGAAGAGATCGTTGGGTTGCGGAGAAACGGAGAACTATATTGGGAAAGGATGGTACATCATACCTCTCGTCACTCCGATAACTTGGGAAGGGGGCGGAGAATATTACCTTTAATGATTAGAGGAAGTACTCTGGGAGATGCAAAAATCTGCACATCAGTCTCTATCAGTATTTCAGTACTTTGGCTGCACTCCTACTTGTATCGTTCACCACAACTCCGTAGTCTACAAACAAAAAACTTTGGGAAATGACCAGAGGCATAGAATAGATGACAAGGGATTTAAGAGGTGCACAATAAAGTGGAAAAGGGTGATCTCGGATGATGGTGAAAGGCCGAGGGCTTCGGACATAAGCATTTTTCTCTGCCACATCCCTCAATCGTCATCAATATTGGTCCTAGCTTCATGTACTTTGCAAAATCCTTAGCCCCTTGCTTTTATCCGAGATCAGTTGTGTAGTAGTTGTCCAGTAGTAGTAAGAAAAAAAGAAGAGGGCTTCACCTGTATTGAAAAAAAGGATTAGGTCGAGCGTTGGAATTAGCTGACGGAGAATTTGGATCTTACCACACTTATGCATATATGCTCAATAGAAGCTGAAATCCAGATTCATCTCTGTACCTCTCAAATTTCTCATCACTGTAGCAATCTAGTACATGGATTCGAGAAGATCCGAATATCATATAGAGTGTTTGGTTCTACAAGAGTCCGGATGAACATAGATTACACAATAACTTCCATCCTCCTTCGCGTGACTATTTAGAGTCAAATTCATTAATCCTCGTAACATAAGTTAGAACAGTAACTAAAGATTCCCAGTCATTCTCCAATGAAGGATGATAATTTTATTCTCCATTCAGCAAAGCTTTATCCTTCCATGTACACTGGATTGAATCTGTCTCAATCAAACTTTCCTGGCTGAATCTGTCTTGACCTTGACAAAACGACGCATACCCCGCATTCTTGTAAGCTCTTTCATTTTATTGTCTATGTCTTTCACTCGAAGATGACGAAATCCACTAGCTGAAGGTTGGAATACATTCCTCCATAGCTCAAAGTATTCACTCCAGTTGCTTGTATTGATCACGGCTCGTAGAAGCACAAGTTATGCGGAAGGATATCATACAATGTAGTTCGTCGAAACGCAGTAGTTAAAAGTACCCAGATGGAGTGGGTTGAGGTTGAAAAGTTGAATAGGATAGCGAATTTAGAGTATTTGAAGGTGATATAGGAGACTAATCTGAAGAAGCTGTAAGAATTGTTGAGGGTGTGGGTGAAAGAATTGGATTCGAGATAATGGGTCGATATGAAGAAGTTTTGAAGGCTGTTGAAGATGATGACACTACAGGAACTTCATAGAAGCAGAACCAATCTCTTAAATTACTCCAATATATCCCGCTCTTCGACTTTCCTTTTTGAACAATATCCGAGTGGTTGTTTCCTGTACACCAAATTTCGTGTTTTCCGCAGAAAAGGGGTTCTTCACCCGTCAGGTAAGCGTGTGCCAGCGCCCGGCAGTTGTAGGACTTGGGCAGTGTGAGAGATGCCGAGGTGATGTGGTGGAAGATACGGAAGACTTCGATAGGTCAGTCGTACCAGGTTCTGATATATAAGGTGCAACATATGTAGGTGGTAGAAGCGATGGAAGTGGAAAATGTGGAGAAGATGGGAAAGCTTGACGTGCTGGATACCGAGCTACATTGTTGCCAGCAGAGCTTTGCCGGGGTACTTTGAGGTGGGCGAGGTGTATGTTGCCCTTATTTAAAGTTGAAGGAATTGAGATCAAGTAGACTCACATTTTGGGATTGAATGGAAAAGAAACACTTTATAATCTTCAAATTTTATTTATTAAAATTTAAATTATATAATAATTAAAATATTAGTTTTCAATTAACAATTTTGTTTTTTCCCAAATTTTCATTTTTTAGAAAGTTATTAAAGATTGAAATTAAAAAATTAATTAAAATTTTAAATTTTAATAATTTAAACTCTTGAAAATAATTGAATTTATTTTTTAAAAATAATATTTTTAATATTTTTTGGATTTTAATCTTTAATAAATTTATAAAAAAAAAGAATTTAAAAAAATAAATTTATTAATTAAAAGTTAATATTTCAATTATTATATAATTCAAATATGAATAAATAACATCTAAAAATTATTATCGGCTTGTTGATATTATAACCTTGCTATACACAAAGTTTACTTGGTGGGTCATAGAAAATGAGAAATTTGTTTAAGTGAGTTGCGATCCTGATAATCTGATTGTGTGAGATTTCCTAATAAGTTATTAAATCACTTAATTATATTAGCCGAACAAATCATGTGATGATCACGTGATATATCAGTAATATTAATATATATTATTAAATTTTATTATCATATGAAAATTCAATTATAATTCATATCAGATTGATTTATAAGAGAATAGAATGAAATGGAAGCGTATGAAATTTCTTATTTACCAGATTGAATATTATTACTTATTATTTCTTTTTATTATATAAAATGATCCTATAAGATTCGATTCAAATTGATCTTATTATTAATCATAAAATATACTAGAATCTTATTAAATACTATAAATACAAAGGTTTTCTTCAAAGAATCCTTTGAAAAACAAAGACAGAAAAAAGTAAAAAAAATCTCTACTTTATTATTCTGACTTCAATTTATGATCATATTCGACTTTACTCTATTGAGCTTAAATACGACTAAGTCTTCCACTAATAATATAAATAATATTATTATTTATTATCGACTAACCTCCTCCAAGAGATTGGTTTAAAATACTCTAATAAATAATCTAATAAAAAGCTTAGTATAAATCTTGTAACTTCAAACAAATCTGATTTAGAATTTTTTTCAATTCAATTCAATTGAAATCATTCAACTCTATTAAAATCATTTAAATCAACTTTATTCATTCAACTCAAGTTAATAATAATAATAATAATAATATTAAATAATATTATAAATAACATTAAAAATATAAATAATATAAATAATATAAAAGATTATAATTATTATAATTATTATTTTCAATTGAAAAATTTTGATTTTCAATTATCAAGAAGAAGCCGATATTCTGTCTCCACCCTGATATATATTTAATATTTAAATTTATTATAAACTTTTTAAACTTTAAATTTTCATTAGACTGTCTCGAAAAGTCAGGGGTCCGGGGGGCGCAGGCCCCTGATATTTTCATAACAATCTTAATTGCAATAAGGTTATTTTAATTTGAAATACAATCTACAAAATGAAAGATATTAAATTTTATATATTTTCGATTTCAAAACTTTTAGAATCTTGTTTTATTATTTAAAGATAGAACTTTGATATCAGGATTAGTAATCAACTTTGAACAACTAAATACTTTCGGAAACTAATTGAAGAAGACTTTCGCCCTGTGGCTCGTGTACGTGCAACTCTTAAAGATTATGCCCAGCGAGTCAGTATATACATACTGTATACCGCATAGGTAGACCAGATCAGAGAGTCAGGTCGATTATAACAGCTAATCCTTTGATCTCGTTTATATCTTGATATTCTAAGCTCATGAGGTTCTGCTGCTCTCCTCAAGCGCTCTGAATTTGACAGCAAAGAGTTTGAGGGCTTCAGTCGTTGAGATACTATTAAAGGGTTGACCCCGCCCCTCCTGAAGAGTGGTTTGTTCATCACTAATTTATTTTAAATTTTAATACACGGAGCAGCCACCCAGTGGCTACTGTGCTGACTCAGCACGGTATATAATTTTTACTATTTTTAAACTACCTATAATCAATTCTTCATCCGGTTTATTTCTTCATATTTGTATCTCAAGCCGATTGATAAGAGTTTCAAATGCTTTACATATCATTTTTTAACTCGATACGCCCGTAAAAGCGTCACGCCTGTCAGAAGCCAAACCCGTGAAAAATCTCAACTTGTATTTAACCAAAAGTGTTGAGCATTCAAGATTTCTCCATCTCATTACCTTATGACTTGAGGATCATAGTTGATTCTTGGCTGCGGGCCATAATAAATCACAAAAGATTGATTTTATGCATGTCTCTGCAGTGTTCCATATACACCTTCTCACCTGTGATGGTTTTCAAAACACCATGAGGTTCTTTTTGTTGTCGTGGTTGGATAGTGTTACATCGGAAAAGAGACTTTATCCGATGAACCCCACAACTTTACATGCAGTTCATTGGACTCCGGGATCAGGAGAACACTCGCTACCACAATAAGGTCTCACGTCTTTCGCACGTGTAGCTCAACGGTAGACATTGAGGTTGATTAGACTAAGAATTTTAGAGTGAATCACTATACTATGGACTATCAAGTGACGATGTCAGTGGATAGAGAAGATGATCATCACCCTCGGCAGTTTCGAATGAGGTCTTGATTACTTTAAATACGGGAGGTTCTTGGCATGTTCTTCCTACTATGTGTATGAGTTGCACGATCCCAGTGACTTCACTTCCAATCACCTTTCTTTCTTTTAACATTCACGAATTTCTAATAGTAATTTCGGGTCGTACTGCATCATTGATTGCCACCGTCCAAACTCAAGTAATACGGAACACACTTTTTTATTATAGAATAAGGTTGTAAGTATATGATTGGATGAATGATTAAAGTGGATTGACAAGTTGAAGATTTTGAATCCACCTTAACGAATTCCCTTACTCGGAAATAGGAGATTATATATATCCTTATTCAAAAGTGTTTGATATGTTCGGATTGCCTGAGTTTAGACGGTATGATCTTCCCCGTGAAAGGATGTGGTCTCATATTCTTATTTCACTCATGCGCCAAAACAAATCTAGCCTTTCAAACACGTCCTATCTAGGCAACTACTACGAAATCCTGTCTTTTTTGTCATAGAATCCTAGACTTGTCGACTTCTATAAAGTCCCTCATAATAGCCATTTTGTAATTCATTCCCTCAAGCTACCCATAGCGAATTCTTAAATCATGAATTTGGTATGGGCCTTTCCGCTTTTTATATTGGACTTCGTCCACGCCCAAGCAGATTATTCACAATATGTGAATGTATTGTAAGTATATTGAACCTTTTGATGTGAATAGTATCTAACAGGATAAGTACTGGAACACAAAATGGTGGCAATGATTTCCCTGGTGTCGCTCGACCTTGGGGAATGGTCAAACTTGGTCCGGATCTCCTTATCCAGGGTACAGACTCGTACTCTGGCTATCTTCCTAATGGGAATTTCTCTGGCTTCAGTCTGATGCATGAGCAAGGCACTGGAGGGGCACCAAAATATGGAACGGTTGCTCAACTGCCTCTCGTAGGGACAATCACAAACCCTTTGTCAGGTATAACTGTCGGCAGAGCAGTCCCAGACCAAGGTTCTGTGGGCTACTATCGTGCTCAGACAAGTGACAATGTTGTTGTCGAGCTTGCTGCCACTTCACATGCTGGATTGTATCAATACACATTCCCAACTACAAGCACTGCCAACAACATCTTGATCGATGTGAGCCATGTGCTCCCTTCGTTCAGAGGCCAAGGTTTGGGTCAAGGGTATGATGGAGGTAGTTTTCAAATATTTCCGGATGGACATTATGAGGCATCGGGAGTATACAATAATGGGTGGAATAGATCCCCCGATTGGACGATATATTCATGTGAGTGTTTAAGTGTCATACGATTCCTGATTCACACTGATGTATCAAGGCGGTTATTTTAACATAACACCTTCGGCTTCAAATGTCTACACAAATACTGGTGCTGGTAGTCTTCTTCAGTCTAATAAGTCTGCCACAGCAGCCAACCTGAATACTGCCGTTGGTGGACTTTATACGTTCAATACAACTGCGGTCGCCTCACGTGTTGGGATTTCTTGGATCTCCAAGGAAAAGGCATGTCAGAATGTCAACAATGAGATCCCACATGATACCAGATTTTCCACTGTCGTGTCAGACACTAAGTCTGTTTGGAATAACCAAGTTCTAGCAGGGATTACAACTACTTCTACCAATGCTACAAACCTTGGGTTACTATATACATCCATGTATTTCATGAATCTTCTGCCGACGAACCAAACAGGAGAAAACCCAAAATGGACTTCCACTGAACCATACTATGAAGATATATTCACTCTTTGGGATCTTTTTCGTTGCAGCACAGCTCTTTTCCACGTTCTTCAACCAACTGCTTACGAAGAATACATTCGTTCTCTGATTGAAATCTGGCGCCATGAGGGTTACTTACCAGATGCTCGCTCTTCTAACTACAATGGTCGAACTCAAGGTGGTTCCAATGCAGACAATGTTCTCGCCGATGCTTATGTGAAGGGTGTAAGAGGGCAAATTAATTGGGACGATGGCTACGCAGCCATGGTGAAAGATGCCGAAGTTCAACCAAATAACACAGTTCCACCTGACCCAATGGCCCCTGATTCGTCAACAAAGGAAGGAAGAGGTGCATTACCCGACTGGAAAAAATATGGTTACATCACGCCTACATATAGCCGTGCCGGTTCTCGAGCCGTCGATTACGCATACAATGATTTCTCACTGTACCAGGTAGCCAGTGGATTGGGGAAAACAGAGGATGCAGCGAAATATCTTGCTCGCTCGCGAAACTGGAGAAATCACTGGAATCACAATTTGACTTCCATTGGGTACTCTGGGTTTGTGGTTCCTCGCACAGCACCTAATTCTTCGACGCCTTTTGTGTCTGTGAATCCTTTACTTAATGATGGCTATTGGGGTGATCCATTTTATGAGGGAAGTTCGTGGCATTATTCATGGGGTGATATTCATGATATGGATACTATTATTGAATACATGGGAGGAGATGCCACTTTCTATAATAGATTGGATACTATGTTTACACTTGGAGCTAATCCTAATGACCCAGAAGGTATCATCTTCGATGGTACAAATGAGGTGTATGTCTTTCCATTTTCTTTATTTTCTCATTTGAGCCACAAAAAAGAATCTTACCGAGTAACTAACACAACCCAGTACATTCAATGTCCCCTACCTCTACAACTTCATCAACAACCAATCCCGCTCAACCTACCAATCCCGCAAAGTAGCCAAAACCTACAATCTCTCCCCCTCTGGCCTCCCCGGCAACTCCGACGCAGGCGCAATGCAAACATGGCTCATATGGAACATACTCGGACTCTACCCCATAACCGCGACTCCAAACTTCCTTATCACATCCCCCTGGTTCGAATCCACAACTATAAATCTCGGTCCCAATGACTCTGCACCATATGAGCGGAAAACTTTAACGATAACTAGTACAGGTGGTGATGGAAATGGGGATAGTAATTTTTATGTGCAGAGTTTGAGGGTTAACGGTGTGCTATGGGATAAGAATTGGGTGAAGTGGAGTGATGTTTTTGAGAACGGTGGTGTGATGGAGTTTGTGTTAGGGAGTGAGCCGAGTGCTTGGGATGAAGGTGGGGAGAGGGTTCCGAGTCCGGCGAGTGAGACGGCGGCGGGATCAGGAGGGCGGTTATGGGGCTAAAGGTATTTATTAGGAAGGTTGCTTCTTCGGTGGTTTTGGTGTGTATATCGGGATGCTCTTTGTTTACTAGACTGGTTTCGGTTTTGGAGGTGTTGAGTAAATGGAGGCGATGGTTGTCGCGAAGAGGGATGGGTTGGTGGTGCTGTAGAGGATACGGGGTTAATCTCCATCACCTAGAAGATTGATCCCCGGCCGATTATCTCGCGTAGAGCATTTGGGTTTCGTAGCCTGCTTTGAGAGTATCTGAATCTAGATTTTGCATGTTTGCGAGGGCGAGATGCGGCATGAGAAGGTTCTTTGGTTGGTTGAAGCAGATGAGGTTGAGACGAATCACACATTTATGTATTAACGCCATTGATGTCATCCATCGTGAGATTGCAGGTATGCTTCGGGATGTGTTTTTTGATATTATTTGTAGTCATATTGTCTGCAGTGACGTTGTTGGCAAGCTCCCTAGCTATCTGGGCCAGTTTCGAGTTTAAAACTAAATCATCCCTCAAACTAGTGGCATAATTCTTTGTAGCATCCTGAATGTTTCTCAGCATCTTCCGACCTTTCTTGTATTTGTCGTCACTTCCTCTAAGCATAGCTTTTCTGACCAATGTTTGATGATACTCGGTAGTTGTTCCCTCAAAAGTAGAATGATGAAATATATATCTAATATTGAAGTGAAGGTAGCAACATTGGCATGTTTTTCGGGATCAGAACGACCAAGTGAAGAAAGTGCCTCATTTCTACCACAAACCATGACTGCACCATCGTACACCGCTTTTATAGCCGCTTGCCTAAGATCCTTTCCAGGCCCCTTCCATTCTCTAGCAAAGTGAGGTAATGTAGTCGCATTAGTGACGTGTTTGACGGCTGCAAATTTCAACTCTTGCTGAGCGGGACATGGTCGGAAAGTGGCTAAATCATACCCTCCAATAGATCAGGTTATGCCGGTGAAAGACCATTCTTAAGACCTGTATTCGAAGGAATCAAGGCTCCGTGAAGCATGAGAACGCTTGATGTTGTATAGGTCGAATGTTTCGTCAAGTTAAAGAAAATAGGGATTACACAGATTGTATTACTGTCCAGCGATGCGTTTGCTGTTCAATTGATCTATGACCTGAAATGTATCATATTGAGGTTTTGGATCTGCAAGTCTACCGCGCGCCCGCCTTGGCTTGACAGCGCGTGCGAGACATGATTGTACAGGTACGGGGTGCATAAAATATATTGTTGGCGCTCAACTCATCGTTGGATCCCAACTCGTCGTCGGACCTCAACACATCATTGTTCATCAGCTTCCTAAAAAAGTCACCCAATAATTATGACGCAAAGAAGTTTTTTAGAATCTTTTCAGTGGTCTACCATCGAGGCAAATGATGACGACGAACTTATCAAATTCTACGTACGTTGTTTTGGTGTACAATTCCAAATTCAATATCGATTACATGATCTATCTCTTTCACCATATCTTTTAAAACAATTTCAAGATTCTCTTACACTTATGAGAATATATGAAGTTGGAGATAATCGAGATGCCAAAAAGGCTTTAGAGGAGATTCATCATCCCAAACAACCATTCGAAGAGCTTATAATCAAACTAGCTTCAAATCCATCATTTTCATATGATTATTTATTCGATTATCTTTTATTTACCGATTTTGATTCTCGAAGCTCTAGTAACAACTCAAAATAGCACTATCATCCAACCAAATTTCAAAGGCGAATTACCACGGCAATCAAGGGTGCCTATCGGTCAACATATCTCGATTAGGGGAGATTGGTTGAAGCCAGTGAAATCTTCAACTTCGCAGCAAATTCGACTTTTACCAACTTCATCAAATCTAGAAGAACATCCCTACCTTCGAGGTCCAACCAAAGTTATTGCTGACGATAATACGATATGCTACTATAAAGAGTTTCCTGCATGGTTATCACCTTTACGGACAGTCACTAAGGAAAAACCATGGATACACATACAAATTTCAGCTGCCATTGATGCGAAGAAGCTTCGTTCTGATATACATGTCTGTCGCTTGCATAGTGTTATTATTGACGATGATCGCGAAGTATTGCAGCATTGGCCTCATCCTTCGAAAGAGGATTTGTACAATAAATGGGGAAGGGATGGTGGTTATCTGGATTGGACAGGGGAGCAATATGCAGATCCGAACTTTAGTATGAAGCGCTTAGTGGGAATTCTACTCTACTATATTGACAACAAGGGCACACTCGAAGAAGTAGCGCCTCAATCTGACGACGAGCATCGATATCGTTGGGCTACCGAGCTTGAAAACATCGTTGGGGAATTGCATACTGCGGGTTTGGTATGGGGCGATGCTAAGCCAAGCAATTTGTTGATTGATCGAAATGATCAATTGTGGCTTATTGACTTGGAGGGAAGCTATACTCCAAGATGGGTTGATGAGGACAATAGGGATAGTCAGGAAGGGAACTTGCAAGGGGTAGAGAGGATTAAGAAATGGTTGGCTAAATGCAATAATAAGTCTACTGATTGTATTGGGTTTGGAAAGAATGAGTAGGCCTTTGTAAGGATAACAGCATTGGAAGTTTACATTTGCAAATGAAGTTCAAGCTTATCCTCACATATAATGTTCCCGTGATAATTCATTTTGAGTTGTAACTTTTGATCTTCAAACAGATTCAGTATTGGATTGATTTGCCGATCCTTCAAGTGACCTCTCAATTTCATTCCTTTCCGTCCCACTTCATTCTGCAGTTAATTCCACTCCATAGGTGCCTAAAATAATGACGCCCCAATAGCTGATATCCGCTAGAAATCAAAGAAAACTTACACAACTTGGAAAAAAACAAGATCTCCGTGTAATTAAACCTTTGCACCCGAAACAAGAAGCATGACCGCATGTAAAAGTAAACGTCCCAGCAGGGGCCAAGCTGTTGCACAAACAGCACGTCCAATTATATTGACGGAAAACCCTTACACGACAAACCGTTATGTGACAAAAGCCACGCACAAACGCGTAGCTGTCGTAAGATTGCGGCCGGAACATGGCTGCAAGATGCCGTGGGTATATACGGCGGCATCTCTAGCTGTTTCGCGTTGTTCGGGTATGGGAGGTATCCAAAATGATCGAAGATCGGGATGCCCCGCAAAGTAATGTCCTTCTAATAAATTGACACATTGTGTATAATCGAATTGATGAATATATAAGAAGTTTTTCGTGGGCAACAAAAATAGAAAGATGCAGGTAGCCTTTCTCAGTTTCCATTAGAGTACGATATCCTCCTATAAATCATTTTGGCTATTTTCGAATCATCAACTGCTATGCCTGGTGATTCGAAATCCGTTTCTATAACTTTCCACCAGAGATTCGTAGAATAATCTTGGACGATATCATTTATTCGCCTAGGGTTATTGTACTCCAACCCCTATTTGGACCCGAAAACTCGGACCAAGATGCTGACGAGACCGTGTCTGCACAAGAGCGAAAGTGATTGGGAGTGCGTTTGGAAATGTAGGGACCTCGCATCCACGAGAGAAAACAAAGGTCTGGGATTGGACCGTACCAATCCTACTACATATCAATAGCGAATTGCGGGGTTATGCATTAAGCCATTACGATCGCGTATTCAATGGTTTACAGAAAAGGAATCCATACATCAACATCCAAGTAGATACCTTCCTTCTACATCTTCACGTCCAACCATACCGTCTCTTCAACTACAGAACTGAGTTTCAATGACGATGTCGCGCAATTTGCCGTTAATTATAGCCCTCTAGTTTGTGACTGGATAATCTCCTCTAGCAACCAAAAGCAACCATTTGACGGGAACGATTACTACTAACTGGATTACGTGGAAATTATGGAAGCTTGCAACACCGTATAATTTCTGCATTGCGGAGATCAAAGCCTTGCAAAGGAAGACTTTCGCCCGCTGGTGAGCTAATTTGTTTTAACATTCTCTAAACAAAAATTTCGACGAGATTGTTGCAAATATGAGGAAGGAGTGGTTGAAAGGTCGTCCTAAAGGCCAACTTCTCGCATACTCGATTTTTCATCGTTGAAACTATCTAACTGTAGATGTTCTAGCTGAGTATCGTTACTTGGAGAAGGCTCGAATTCTTCATTTCCTTGCTGCGGCATCCTCATCCATCCGAGTTTTGGTATGTGGTGGCTGCGAGCATTCGTAAGGGTAGGCAGGGGCGGGTCTTAATATGTGCTGTTATACCACTGGAATGAGGTGATGGTCTCAAGAATGTTGATTTTACAATCATTTCAGTCTTGCTTAGTGGTCGGGAATAAATGATTTTTAAAGTATGAACCTTTAACCAAATCACTTTTGCAAAGTATGGCAAGAGAAGTTCCTTTACATTTGCACTAGAGTACAAAGAAACCCACATTTAGATGGAAACTTTATACCAAGGAATGATACCTGAAAGCTAGAAGTACCCATCACCGCTCTTATTATCATCCTTCATCCTATCATGGACTAACTCTATCCGCAACTCCTGGCTCCTCAAATGTCGAATCTTCACCCACTTTTTGAATACCGATTCCTCGTCCTTTCGTTTAACCAAAATTTAAACATCATTTTGATATACCAAAAGAGAGCGAAGCGTCTCCTCATAGCTGATATTAGAATTGTCAAGGAGGACAGACATCTTGATATTTTGTTGTAAGAATGAAGCGAATTTTACCATGAAAATCTACAGGACGTTCTCCGAGAATAGCAGATTATCACATTTCCTCTCAGCTTCATCCCTCATTCATCATATCATCCATTTCTTGCCGTGGGCCATCAAGTTTGCACTAGTCGTGCATTTGACTCAGAAAATAAAGGGTAAAATAATCAAAGGATAATGTTTCCGGGAGTATCTCGTGAGGTGGACTGGGATCGAGGAATTGCCAGAAAAATTCCAAGGTAGAGGTCGAAGGCATGGCCTATACCCCTTTCTAGTCGAAAACTTTGAAATATCGTGTACTTGTTTTGCTCTTAGGATGTACGAGGTAACTTTTTGGATGGGCATGCGCCCAAGGCTGCAACGTTCATACCTGGATGTCTGGGGGTCATTATTATAGCAGGCTGACGGGCAGGCAGCGGGGGTCGGAGGGGGGGGCCACGCCAATTTTGGGAGTAGAAACAATCGAAGGAGGAAATCGAAGTGATGACCGGAGAAGCGCTTTGATGATCGGAGGTTGATCTTAAGGGCTGAAGGAAAGACATTTTTCGTAGAATGAAAGAACACAAGGTCGCGATTGAAAGTTTAAACAAAAAAACAAAAGTGATGATTGAAGACTAAGGACGCAGAAAGTTCTTAGGTTGTGGTAGGTAGGGCTGTTCAAACAGCCAAGCAATAATTATAGGAAATAATTTCCATAGTCAATGCAAATACAAAATCCGTCATTATCCTACCTTATCCTAGGGTTGGGCTTTTTATCATTTTATATAATTCATAATGTGAAGCAAAAATTTGGCTTCTGTATGTAATCTAGCTCGCTTATATAAGGCCAATATGGTGGGGTAAATTGAAGCTATTTTGAGATCGTCTTGTCGTCGTCCTCATTTTTGAATGATTATGTCTTAAATGATTACTAAGCAAACAGGGGGCAAAATATTGAAGCTTTCTAATTGGGCAGTGCTGATCACGTGTGTAATGTAATCTATAATCTAGCTTTTAATTTATCTTATTCAATTTAAAATAATAATAATAATATTATAAATAATAATATAATAATATAATAATATTTAGTAATATTACCAGGGGCCTACGCCCCCCGGACCCCTGGCTTTTCGAGAAAGTCTAGTAAAAATTTAAGTTTTAAAAAGTTTATAATAAATTTAAATATTGAATATATATATTAAGATGCAGATAGAATATCAGTTTGTTTTTGATAATTGATAATTAAATATTATTATTATTATTATAAGAAGTTGAATAAGTTGAATTGAATGAATAAAGTCGAGTTGAATGATTTTAGTAAAGTTGAATGATTTCAATAAAGTTGAAAAAAGTTATAAGTCAGATTTGCTTGAAATTATAAGGCTTATACCAAGCTTTTTGTTAGATTTATTTACCAAAATATTTTAGACCAATCAAATTACCAAGATTGCGATTCACTTAAACGAATTTCTTATTTTCTATAACCTATACTGGGTAAATTGCGGTACGCTACGCGTACAGCAGGTTTTGTGTCGGCAAGCCGACAATTATCAGATCTATTTTTAAAAAGAGATAGTGAGGAATCTCAATAGGAGATTGCATATCTATGGTGGAAGGGGCATTGGATTCCGTCCTTAAGTTCGATATCATTGAGTGACATCGTACTTTCCATATTGTGATCTCCGGTGGGGAAGGAGCCGATTTGTTCATCATTCATCATCCATCATCGATCAACAGCTTTTTTTATATCCATTATTTCAACGCCAGAGACTTGTCAAGGTATGTAATCACATCATATTTATAATTGATCACTATATTCTATTACATGGCTTACACTCTGATACAGGACCTTATTATCAGCAGAATTATTTGTGAGTCCCACTGCAGAGGCCTCACTTCCTGAATGTCATTTATGCTTCATGGGTTTATTAAATAATTCATTCTCGATACTTGATCCTCTTTCCCCCGACTAATTTCCATTTGCTTTCCTCCAACATCATTCCTTGATAGACACTTGCTGACTCCTGGATTTAGCAAATAAAACTCTACTCCCTCTCTCAAAATGTGCGTGCACTGGTATGTCGTGTACAGTTGTACATGCCAAAAAATATGGAATTCGTTCAATTTCCATTAAGGAAGAACACCAACATAAAATGCAACCTAGTCAAGAGAGAGCAGAAAAAAGCGATAAGTCATATGTGCGCTTCTCACATGGTTAGGCCGGGAACTGACGAGAGGCGGCGTTAAGGGGTTTTGTGCACATCAGCACCACTAGGAGCATTGCTACTACCCTCCCCGACATCATTATCTTCTTGAACCATCGGACTGTTCCCCGGTTCATCACCAACCAACGCCCCGAACTTCCCACCAACTTTATTCTTCAACTCCTCAAAACCACCACTATCAACAATCTTTCCCTCTTCCATAACCACAACACGTCTAGCCATCTTCATCATCCCAACCGTATGACTAACAACAACCGTAGCCATTCCTTCTCTCTTCTTCAATCTCTGTACCGTCTCCCTTATCACCTCTGCACTACCACCGTCCAACCCACTAGTCGCTTCATCCAAAATCAGCAACTTTGGTTTTCTGACCAGCGCTCTCGCTATTACAATCCTCTGCGCTTGCCCACCTGATAGTTCCTGTCCTCCATCTCCTACTAGTGTATTATAACTTTGAGGAAGCGAAATAATAAATTCGTGGACTCCAGCGTCTTTTGCAGCTGCAATAGCTGATGGAAGATTAGCACAAGAGGAAGATTCTGGGAGACCATAGATGATATTGTGAAGTATTGTGGCTGGAAAGAGAATTGGTGTTTGTGGAACGAGAGAGATGAAAGCTCGGAGAGATGGAATATGACAATCCGTGATTGGGATACGGTTGAATGTTAATGGTGGGGGTATTGAAGGATCAGGCGGATAGAGACCAATTAGTAGACCAGCTACTGTGGATTTTCCAGAGCCAGATGGTCCGACAAGTGCGGTTGTTGAATTGGGGCCGATGGACAGAGAAATAGATGACAGGGTTCGTGTTTCGGGACGAGCGGGATATGTGAATGAAAGGCGGTTGAAATTAATCGGAAAGATGGTTGAAAGTCGTTCAGTTCCTTTATTTTCGTGAGAAGAAGATGAATCGAGATTAGCCAATTCGAGCATCTGTGTAGCTGTAACACGAGAAGAATTGATTTGTGGTATCATGGCCAGCATGCTGGTACTGTTAGAAATGCCGAAAAGTAAAAGATTAACCGTCTGGAGTGCAGTGGCAATACTAATCTCCCTTTTGGTGATGAGGACAGTAGCATAGTAGAATATTGTGGCAGTGATGAAGAAGGACATTGCATCCGTCAGTCCCCAAAGCAATCCGGAGTAGTTCGCTCGTATCAGTCCAACTTTATATAGCTCCTCGGTAGATTTAGTGTGCTTGGATTGGAAATATGTTTCTAGAGTAAATGCTCGTACGACTCTAATGTTGGAGAAAGTTTCCGAAAATATTCCAGTGGTCATTTCTGATGCGTAGTTGCACTTGTTTTCCCATTTTCCACTCACTCGATTGAAGGTTTTGGTGACAGCGAATATAACAGGTCCACAAGCCATAGAAACTAGTGTAAGTTTCCAAGTATTCACGAATGCCCATATAATTGAAATCAATAGCATAAAAAGTGCAGTAAAAACGATGCCAGCAAAGCGACCGACAAGGTTGCGCATTTCCTCAGAATTCCTGTCCAAAATTTCGTTTAGTCGACCTGGAGTATTTCTGGACTCTTCGAACCAGGATTTTGGTTGAGCAAGGATTTTCTTCAATGCTTCTACTCGTAGAGCACTCACCCAGGCTTGTCCGGCACGTTCTAGGGCATAATGCGAGCAAAAGCGTGCCACACCATCAGTTATTGCAACTCCGACCAGAGCAAGTGACCATTTTAGAGCGTTTGAGCTCCGATTCTCCGTTTGGTAAAATGTGTTGAGAAGGTTGGTGTATAGGATCGCGAATGCTGGTGTTGATGCAGCCACGATGAATGCCGTGATGAATCCACCCAATATGGTTACACGTTCCCTTTTATTAAGCATTGGCCAAACAGTCTTCAATATTTTGGTCAAAGAATCAGGCTTGATATGCTTCGTTTCTCCGTTTTGTTTAGGCTCGTCGGTGTTTTCCGCGGAGTCGTTGGAACATTCCAGTAGAGAATCCATTGTGGTGATTTGAGAGTCCCGATTCGTTTTGCCTGATGCTAAGCTGATGGACCGTTGAATTGAGGATTGCCTCTTGAATTTTTCTTCCCCGGTGGGATGTTCTAAGATGGAGTCGAACCTCGACTCTTGATATCTTGGCGGGGCTGTAGAATATATAGGCGACGTATTACCTGGCGCTTCAAATTTTTGAAACCTGGAGGTAGATGTCTGAAAGTCATCGAATCTTGAACGCGGTCTATCCACTCTTGATCCCCAAGTATTTTTGGAGCGCAAGTCATTAACATAGGATATCGAAGCATATCCGAGAGACAATCGCCTGTTTGACATATCCACAGAGCGATGATTTCCCGCATTTGGACCGTATAGTGTAGACATGGTGGACAAACGAGGTGTCAATTCTTGAACAAATTCTTCAAAACCCCCAGATAGTGGCGTTCCAGGGTCCGAATTCCTCCTCATGTCAGACAAGTCTATGGGTTGTTCCCAAGGCGGTTCAGGAAGTGGCGAAAAAGTTGCAAAGGTACCATTGGCTTTGGCAGAAAGCTTTCGTCGATATCCTTCCTGTACAACCCTACTTTGTTCCATAACGTAAACATAGTCATCGTCCAAAATTTGTGAGATGTCATGAGTCACAATGATTGTCGTTTTCCCTCTCCGCCATTCTCGAATATTATCCATAATCTTGAGTCTGTTGGTAAGATCAAGGGCGCTTGTTCCTTCGTCCAGAATTAGGATTGGTGCATCACGCAGTCTGGCTCTAGCCAGTGCGACACGCTGTTTTTGCCCACCACTCAATTGTCTCTCTTTCGAACCGATCATAGTATCAAGACCATCAGGAAGATCAGCAATTACTTGGTCTAAACTAGCTGCAGAACAGGCATTCATGATATCGGCTTCATTGGTTGCTCCTTCCTTACCGAATTCTATGTTCTTCCTAATTGTTTCATTGAAAACGACACTTTGCTGTAGAACAAGTGTGATATTGTGCCTCAACCAATCAGTATCGAGATCCTGTATACGATGGCCATCTATCAAGATACTGCCTTCATCAGCCTCATAGAATTTGAGCAACAAGTTTCCCAATGTACTTTTGCCGGAACCACTTTTGCCAACTACAAACGTAGTTTCCCCTGCGGGAAAGAAAAAATTCGTTTGGGTAAGGGCATTTTGTTGTCGATTCGAAGGATATGCAAAAGTAACCTTGCTTTGGTTAGCTGTGACAACTGATCGCGGCTACTTTAACTCACATCTTTGACTTCGATATCACCACTACAAAGTCTCGGTGTTTTTAATTCTTCTGTTTGTTTTGCACTTCCTCCTCGATCCACTTGGTTCATAATAGACTTGAGAGTGGCACCCGCAGACATCCCTTTTGCCAGGACAAGCCATTGTGGTAGAATAACTTCTATAGCCATCATCCCAGTCAGACAAGAATAGAATATCGTAAGAACTTTTCCAGCATCAAGCCCATCGTCGACTAAAGTAAAACCATACCCAAAACCTTGTACAAAAATTACTATCATGACAAACTTCGTAATTCCAAACTGAATCGCATTTGACCTGGCTTGAATCAAGTAATAAACGGTAGATCTTTTGATTGCCAGAAAATATTGCCATACTTCCTGGTCTTGTCCATTGAATGATTTGACTGTGTCGATAGCTGTGATGGCAGTATTAGTGAATTTTGATGCCTGCGACAGTTCTCTTTTTTGCGCTTCGATGGCAGGGCCCATCTTCCTGGAGATGAGATAGAGTATTCCACCAGCGATAGGAAACGTCGCTATGATTACAAGCGTTAGATTCCATGAGTAATAGAAAGCGGTTCCAAGCGCTGCGGTGGCGCTTGCTGTCTCGAACAAGAGAAATCCAAGAGGTTGAGATGTAGATAATTGAAGCTCTCGAATTTGACTGTTCCAAATTAGTATTTGTCTTGTTAGAGAATCGATGTATTTACGTTTCAATTCGAATCAATAACGATCCGATACCATCTTTACGTAAATCAAACCACTCCAAGTCCTTCTCCAACATACCAGCAAACATTTTCTCGCGGACGCTTCTCGCTTGAAGTTCTCCGAATATCATCCACGAGCACAGAAAAAGTCCCTCAAATAACCATACCGCGCCGCCGAGTACGGATATAGCTATGCACCATTTCGAGACTCGATGTAAGGTCTCTTGTGCTGTGATTTTATCGCTTCCAAATTGAGTAAGAGCACTAAAGATATTTCCATAGAAGATTGCTGATATCGGTTTCAAAACACCGCTCACAACCGCGAAAATAATACATACAACTATGTTGAATGTGTGCTTCTTTGTTGTGAATGTGAATAAAGATTTAAAAGATGATTTGATTTCTTCGTCAGCTTGGTAATTGTCGACAGTTCGCAGTTCAATAGATGAACCTTGATCGACATCTGCCATAGGAATGCGCGAGGTAGAATGGCCATGTCTTTTGTGGCTCTTCGAGCCTTTACCCTTCAATATTGTCATTGAAAAAAATTATGTGTGCAATGAATGATGTAGAAAACATTGAGAAAATTTGTGCAGCAAGAAGACAAGTTATTAAACACAATTTCAACTGCAGAGTTCTACCATCTTGGATAGTAATCAGAGGTATAATATCTTGAGTTAAGACCTTGAGTTGAGGCTTGATTGTGGTGCCTCTCCTTAGTATTGTTCGTTAAGCGAAGAGTGAAGAACAATACAGACATCAATGAAATATATGACCTTTGAAAAATATATTGTTCTAGAAACTATTCACTGCTTCTTCCCTCAAATTCAAACAGTAATAAAGTCTAGACAACGTAGATTAAGCAAAAATTTGTTGAAATCAATCAGGTGAATGACGTAGCATGTTTCAACAACGGCACAAACGAAAGTGATTTGAACTTCCATTGCCTTGATCTTGTAGAAGTGAGTTTTGTCAAAAAAATAACAATGAGTGCTCAAAACACAAGAAGATATCGAAATCATGTAGGCTAGAAATGCAGAATTCAGATGTAATAATGGTCTATGGCTGGCGGATTTGCCCTTCGAAGCTGCTTTAACAACACCAGTATGATAACTGAGGTCAGTTTCAATGTCAGAAATGATACACGTTAATCTTCGTCTACCAATAATTCTCTTGATGCGTGTTGTGAAACTGCGGAACACTGCAATGCAGTGGCATGATCGGCATGAGCTTTCCAGAGGAGGTGTGTGCATTGGTGTTGGTAGCTCTGAATTCTCCATATCCCTTTCTTTGACCCTTATTATAACTCTAAAGACAGGGTGGCACTTTACACCCCTTCGTAGGTATATTCAAATAGAGAAGAGCCAATGAGGTTTTTGGGGGTTATTTTGAAGCTCCATGATTGGAGAACAAACGGTATATTATTGTACCAGCAGGTACATGAAAATGCTATTGTTTCCAGTTTCGCCCTTTCCCGGGCTTTTCTCAATACACATCAAAGCCTTGGTCGTATTATTCCCGATGCCCATCGCTTGATGGAAATTCAATTCTTTGTGACCGTCTGAGCTAGGCAAAGCTTGACCGCTCTTATTTTGATCTGTACTAAAGCTATTCTCCACTAAAGTTCTAAGTATATGTTCAATCAAGATATTTGAGAGCGATGGTTGACCTGGAGTTTCTGATTAATTAGTAGAACGACATGGACTGGTGGTCGGCAGATCGCGCATGGTTAAATTCACGTGCAGAGTGAGGATCACGTGATACAATTCTTACCAAGGCTTTCTACTCTCGCCTTAAGTTTATTCTCACCTCAATTTCCTTCTTATCTCTTGTGCTTCTGCGATAACTTCCTATGATATTTGATATCACTTCAAATTGCAATATGAAGTATGCTTCCATATTGTCTTGCAATACGTATTTCGATATAGCCTGCAATTAAGTGGTTTACTTGAAATATACTCATGTGAAAGTCACGTTTTCATAATCTCGTTGTTGTCTTCATGCCAGCACTTTCAAGGCTGCACATACTGGTAGGGTTACAGTATGTCTATTTTAACACCCTATCAATTAGATTCTATTACGCTAAAAATATATAGTTGTGTAGCTGAGTCGTGCGAATTCGTTATACGCGACCATTTCAGCCTGATAACTCCCCCAGTCTTGTTTGAAATGAGGGGTACCTTGACAAGAGATGTCGGCATCTATCAATCATATGCAAATTGCAATACGAAAATGCCGAGAGGGTTAATATGGTCGCAGTTGGTTGCAGTCGGTTAGAGGTTTAAATCAACGACCTGCCATATCTAACAGTGCATTTCCAACAAGACCCGAGCTAAATCATAAAGTATTGATCCCCCGCATTATCTATTGGACATGCATCTATATACATAGAAGCAACTTAAGTACTTTGTCACAATCCTTCCCCAGATTCAAACAAGATTATAGGTTGCGCAGCAGATTGTCAGGGGGGCTGATCGGCTGATGATACTAAAGGAGTAATTGATCACCGATACTCTCGTTACATTAAGGTTCAAGCGATGCTATTATGCTTGAAATATTGCCATGATAAACTACTTCATCGGTACAAACGTCCGTTATCTTCTTCAATCAGATATTCCATGCATAGTCAAAAGATGGCAAGTGTAACCATGATTGAACCACGCGAGCCACACCAAAATGAATATTATTTCTGGATAATTTATTATCTACCTGCTGCCGTCTTTCTGCTTGTCTTTCTTTTCTGCTTGTACTTTCGTTCCTTGGTTATTGATCATGTCGAGGTTTGAATACTCACGAGTCCTGGCGGACGAAAAACTGGAGGATGAGCAGCCAGAAGTTCCTCGTCGAAAGTCTCTAGCAAGCGCAATATTTTATGCATTCGCTGGACTTGTTTTGTTTACTGCATTTACCGCATTGGTTGTGAAACTTTCAAATATCGGAAGTGTTCAGCCAAGCAAGGGGGCTCCTAACGTCAACTCCGACTGGGCATCCGAGCATGAGCATGAACATGAAACACGAGCAACAGGTGATCAATACCTCATAGGTGTCGGTAAGGCTGATATCACGGGGTAAGACTGAGTTCATCTCCTGAATACAATTGCCTTACTGACATCAATAGTCCTGTTGTCGAAATAAACTTTATGGGCTATGCTAGTCTTCCACAAGTTGGAACAGGACTCCGTCAGCGAATTTTCTCCAGAGCTTTCATTGTCGGAGATGTCAACAATCCTTCCAACCGATTCATCTATCTAGTTCTCGACACAGCATCTGGCGACACTGCAATTAGATATGGAATACTCGAAGGTGTAGCAGCTTTGGGTTCAGCATATTCAATCTATGGACAACATAACATCGCTGTCACAGGAACACATCAACATTCTGGTCCTGGAGCATACTACAACTATCTTCTACCACAAATAACCTCACTAGGTTTTGATAAGCAAAGCTACCAAGCCATTGTAGATGGCGCCGTTCTCTCAATTAAGAGAGCACACGAGTCGCTTACTACGGGATATTTAAGTAGCGGCGATACAAATATCACAGATGCAAATATTAATCGCAGTCTCTATGCATATCTTGCCAACCCTGCAGCAGAAAGGGCATTATATCCAGATAATGTTGATAAGACAATGAGTATGCTTCGATTCCAACGAGCTTCGGATGGATTGAATATTGGTGTCTTGACATGGTTCAGTGTTCATGGCACTTCCATGTTGGAGAATAATACACATGTCACTGGTTAGTTCTCCATTTACCCTGTTGACAGAAACACGTTCTAATCATAAGATCAGGTGACAACAAAGGAGTAGCAGCTTATCTATTCGAGAAAGCCGCCTTGAACGACCCCAAAGCTGCTCCAGGTTTCGTAGCCGGTTTCTCCCAATCAAGTGTTGGAGATAGTTCACCAAACGTTCTTGGCGCCTGGTGTGACAATGGCTCTGGTCAACAATGCACATTAGAAAACAGTACCTGTGCTGGTATATCCGAAACATGCCATGGTCGAGGCCCAGCTTTCCAAGCATTAGATTTAGGAGTTACAAGTTGTTACATCATTGGTCAAAGGCAATACAACGCAGCTCAAGCTCTTTACGTAAGTTATCTTTCTTTTAGACTTTTTACTCAAAAGCAAATGCTGATTTGTAAAGAACTCGTTGGATTCCGTTGGTACACCGCTCGTGGATGGTAGTGTAAAATCTTTCCATTTCTTTCAGGATATGCAGTATTACGATTTCCCACTTGCAAATGGATCGATTGCTCAAACTTGTCCAGCGGCTTTAGGATATTCGTTTGCGGCTGGTACTACTGATGGGCCTGGAGCATTCGATTTCACACAGAATGATCCAGGTACACCCAATGATCCTCTTTGGAGTCTGGTATCTGGTCTTCTTAGGGTGCCGACCGCTCAACAGGTATGTTTTTTTTATTCTGGTTATATGATTTGTGTTGTTGTAGGAGCTAATATTAATGTCTCTTAGGTTGCTTGCCAATATCCCAAGCCTGTCCTTTTAGATGTTGGTGAAATGTCTTCTCCTTATGCTTGGACTCCTAATATTGGTACGTCAGTTTTCATCCCTTTTCAATCAACATTCATCTCCCATACCACATTCCTTCTCAATCCGCCCCTATCTATCACTCCCTTCCCATTCCCTTCCATCAAATTACCCATTCCCTCAAACCCCTTCCCTCCCCACCACCAAACCCCACCCCACTAACCACTCACCCACAGTCGACATGCAACTCCTCCGCGTCGGGCAACTAATAATAATAATCTCCCCCTCGGAAGCAACCACCATGTCCGGGCGGCGCTGGAAATCCGCCATCTCAACCGCAGCCAGCACATCTAAAATCACAACCACAACCCCCAAAGTTGTACTCGGCGGTCCCGCAAACACATACGCGCACTATCTCGCCACGCCCGAAGAATACAGCATCCAGCGATACGAAGGCGCGTCTACCCTCTTCGGCCAACACGAACTAGACGCCTATATCCACCTAACCACCTCCTCCATCGGGTACCTCTCCGCATCCAATACCAGCCAGCCAGCCCCCGGACCCAGTCCCCCTAATAACGTCAATGCGAGTTTGAGTTTCATAACAGGTGTAGTATACGACAGCGGCTCGTTTGGAAGTGTATCCGTGCAACCAGCGTCAGCGTATAAGATCGGCGCGGTGGTAAATACGACGTTTGTGGGAGCGAACCCGAGGAATAATTTAAGGCTTGAGGGGACATTTACAGCGGTCGAACAGTTGGGGAGTGATGGGTTGTGGACTACTGTTAGAGATGATTGGGATTGGTCTTTGGTGTATACGTGGACGAGGGTGAATGGGTTGACGGGCACGAGTAATGTGGTTGTGAGTTGGGAGACGGGGACTAAGGATGGGACGGTGCCGGGGACGTATAGGGTTAGGTATAATGGTGATTCGAAGAATGCTTTGGGGAAGATTAGTTCGTTTACGGCGGTTAGTAATAAATTTACTTTGAGTTGAGGGGTTGGTTGAATGATGGAACTAAAGATTCTACGAGATGAAGGGTTTGAGGGTATATGAACGGAATGCGAAATGATTGACAGAGGAGGAGAAAGATCAGGAAATGGTTTCTTTATATTCAGTACTTTTGATGATTTATACTTCTACTATCTTATCATCATCCGAATCTGATGCAGGGTCTTCTGCATCCTGTGATGCCCAACTTCCTGCATCACCATTTGACTGTGATGAGAACGGCTTTGGAGATGAAGAAGGTTTGTCAGATCTCCTGGCCAAGGTTGTCATCCCTGAGTCCACTTTCTCTTCTCCCTCTTCATCTCGCATCAAAACCTGTACCAGTCTCTCACAAGCCTCTCTCATTTCATCATGATCAATCTTTAAATGTAATTCCCTTATTATTGGGTATACCTTGATCTCCCTCATGATATCTCTCCCCTCTCTTGTCGTTGTGAGTAACATCAATGTTTCCACATGTGTTTGCATGATAGTCGGATTACTGTCTCTCTCTTTATCTGGTGGTAAAAGTTGTAGATCTGGTAACATTGCCATAGTATCCTCCTCATCAAATTCCTCGCTACCCATGATAGGTAGCAGCAAATATGGTAATATGTTAATCTCATCCTCTGAAAGGAATGAAGGATGTGATTCAATTTCGAACGCAACATTCTTTATCGTCGATGCAACACCTTTTCGACGAATATCCGATTTATGTTCGGTGAAAACCGTCATTTTCGTGAGAGGTACAACTCCATCGTATTCCTGTTTTGTTAGGAAGTATTTCCTTCCTTCTTCGTACTTGGCTAGATCTGCGAATAAATATGCGAGGTAGTTATAATCTGCTTCTTTATTATATGTTCCATCTGCACCCTTCACGAAAAGGTCCATCAATTGATCGATCGCGCGATTGTTCGAAGTTAATTCTTTCGGCGCAGGACGTTCGAGGGTTATAATCTGTTTGAAATCGTCCCATTTTGCAAGATTCGCTAGCAACATAGCAATGAAGTTTGCATTTGGTTCTTTGGGGTTCTAGAGCAGAAGCGTTGTTAGATATTGTCGAGTAGGAGACCAAGGAGACTGACATACTGTTAATTTGCCCAGTAATGTATTGATGAACTCCTTATCGCTCGCAAGATATTCCAAAATGTCCTTGTCTGTCGACAGATTTATGAGAATTGTAATCGCATCTTTGGCTATTTGCTGTGCAGGCGTTAGTCGAACCTTCGCTAATGAAGATGTTTCGCGCGAGGTTACAGTCGTACTTTGTAGTCGCGGACCAATAATTTCAGGTCCTGTACTGGCAAAAGTTCATTTGTCTTGAATATTGAAGGCTGCGACAACGAATATGGTATCAAATTCTCGACGGCTATTGTGACGCAATCAGTCAAAAGTTTTGTGATGAGTCGAATATTGTGAACATACCGGTTGTTCGCACTTGAGTGTTTCCATGGGATATGAAATCGACAAGCTATGATAGTAGTTAGTAAGTATAGTTATGAATGTAAAAGTAACTGAGACTTTACCTCTTCTAATTCAGTCGGCATGTTGTATATTCTTCGAGTGATGGATAATGTTGTAGATGCCTGTGACGAAATTCTTCAAAATTATTTTTGGAGGGGTAAAATAAAATGCAAGTCCACTTTTCTGCCGTTATCTTCTTACCGCTTTTTTATCTGGTTAGGAAAATTTACGCCCGGTGAGCATCTCGTTAATTATCTAAAGTTTCATTAATTGTATTTACCGCATCTCCAGTAGATTCTTCAATCAATCAACTACTCCAACTTGGAATCCAAATTAAGGTACATCAGTTTTCCCGTTGCATCTCAAACACATCGTCAATTCCCTCAAAGCTAATCATTAACCGGGCTCCCAGTGAGTTCTGGGTGACTGTTCAAATCCCCGTGTGAGCTTGTGAACTTGTTCCTCGATATTGTTTTCCATCATCTACTCCTTTTGACGTATACTTGTTCTAACGGGCCAATTACGTTTAGATTTGTATACTACCAATGCATCGTGTTGCTGTCACAATCATCTATTTCACATCATCTCATAAAAACGCATGCCAAACACTATATATTTCGCACCACTACAAACACTATCTACGAGAATACTACAAGCCCCTCCGCCTCAATAACTACACTGCAAATCCCCAATCCTAAACACAGTTAATACCCAACAAACTCTTATCCACATTTGTACAAGTCCACGTCGCCTTTTTCTTGCTCGGTGTTGTGATATTGATATTTTGGGCCGAGATATTTATACAAGACTGTTTGAATTACATGTTAGTCATTTCTTACGGTGAGATAAATGAAGCGTAGGAGATCAGTTAGGGGGTATATGCAAAGTTTTGAATATTATGATATTCGATGTAGTGAAGAGAAAAACACTTACACTAGCACTACTACACACCAAAGTCCCAACTTTAGGATCATGTTTTGAACTAGCGACACCGACGAAGTTCTTGAATACGACATCTTGGATGACCATTTTTGTCTGATATGATGGTTAGTTAATTGTTCTTTAGTCTCATGCGAGGGAAAAGGATATGGTAGAGCGAGGCACTTACAGGGTAGGCGCTGCAATTTGCGGTAGTTTGCATATAGCAAGAAGTAAGTTCAATCGAGTCTATAGCATTGGCAATCAGTAAAGATACTTCCCCTTCATGAAACTAGAAGAATACTTACAATCATCATTAACAACGGTCATTCCATCATATGTAATATTCTTTACAACCCCACCACCTCCACCTGCCCCATAAGGTAAACTTCCATCTTTATTTGGCACAGCACCTGCCCAGACCTTGATTCTTGCTGCATCGCTAGCATTACTCAGTGTAGTATTGTAGACGTAAATATCTTCGACGATATCGGTAACTCCAACATATTGTCCTAAACTTCCCACAGATATACCATGCGAACCAGTACAGGCTAGGTTTTGGATGAGTATGGAACTGCTGTTGGGTTTGAATGAGACGCAATCATCCGTGTTGAGAATAGTCGAATTTTGGATTGTGATATGGGAAGAAAGGTAAGTATCCCATCCGTCTATGAGGGAAATGAGAGTTAGTACTCAATCTCTAGCTTAAATAGGGAGAAGAAGAAAACTCACCAGAGTTCTTCACGGGATGTGAATTATTTGTCACCGCCTTCAAATCCATCCCACTGATCAAAACATCCTTACTACCGGTAATAAGATTAAACCAATTCGGCGGACTTTTCATCTTCAAGTCGCTCATACTTGCCCCGTTCACCCCATTCATAACAAACAAGATTGGTCGTCCAAGAGAACTATCGTTTGCAGATGCATCCCACCAAGGTTGACCATTACCATCAATAGTTCCTCCTCCGTACCAGTTTATATCATTTCCTCCCCATTGCCAAAAGGCACTACTATTTTGGAAAACATATTTGAAACTGTTGGCTGTCCAGTAGGTTATGTTGGAAGAGAATTGGATGGTACCTGAGATTTTGAAGTCGATGGATTGGAGGGATTGGATGTCTAGGGCAGTGGAGATTGTGTAAAGGGTTTCATTTAATTGAACAATTCCGCCGTGGTTGCAGGATTTTATGGCGGCTAGTAAAGCGGGAGAATCATCACGTCCCGAACCCAAGGAGGAAACATGACAAGTGCGATTTCGAGGAGCGGAGAGGGCGGTAGTAGTTAAGTGAGGTTTGGAAGGTTGAAGAGGAGAGATTATGATTTCTGGACGTGAAAGAATTGAGAATGTACTTTCAACGCCGGAAGAAAGATTGGGGAAGGTGGACAGTAGAAAGATAGAGAAAAGACTGTAGGAATAGGAATTGAGATGCATTTTTGCGTCCGTTCAGCTATCGCAGATAAGGGATGTGAATGAAGTACACCGAGAATGAGAGAACAAGTACTAGTAGATATCTTTCAGAATTCTAAAGTACATACGTCTCCTAGACATGATCCTGGACATCGACATGTGCATTTCGGATTCTAACTCCACCGAAAGACGAGTTAGGACAATCTATATCGGCCACTACCTTAATAGATGAAGATTGGCAAAGCATATAGGCTAAAACCGAAAGAAAAAAGCATTACTCTTAGACATATCCTCACATTGCACTTGAAAGTTGAGGGGTCGCATTGTAAGTTAATCAAGTATTTGATGTATGTAAGCATCGAACGAGTAGCATCACATTATGGATGATATTATTCGTGAATATCTAGTTAACAACAATTGCAAGAAGTAACAAATAATAATTATAATAAATATTACAAGGTGGATAAAGCTTTTCCTTGAAAAATGCACACTTTAGCTGCATCCCACTTTAGCCGCATCCCACTTTAGCTGCATCCCCCCTCCCTCCCCCGCTAGCTTAATGTGGGGAGAATTAGTATCCACCAATAGTATTGTTTTCTTTCCATTCAATACATCCCCTCCATGCGGCCGCATGCAACAACTAATGGCCAACAAAAACATACACCATACACTGTACACCTCGGGGTAGAAGGAAAACTTACATTCGCGGCTCAAAATTCGAGCCTCATAATAAATGAATGACGTCGACTATTCACAAATTCCAACTCATCATGACCAAACCAAACACCTACACGAATCCCATTCTCCCAGGCAATCATCCCGACCCATCCATCATTCGCTCTGGCAAAAACTACTTCCTCATCACATCTTCCTTTGAATATTTCCCTGGAATCCCTATATATCATAGCACGGATCTGATATCATGGAAACTCATCTCGCATGCGCTAACCCGTCGATCTCAGCTCGATATTCGGACGCCTGAACCGGGAGGTGGGATATGGGCTCCTACTATTAGAGAGCATGATGGATGGTTTTACATTACTGCTGCGTGCTTTGATAGGTATAGGCCACAGGAAGATCAGAGGATTTGGCCTCGAGGATTTTATGTGAAGTGTAAGGCTGAGGATGTTTTTGGTGGTGAATGGAGTGAGCCGGTTTGGTTTGATGAAGTGGGGTTTGATCAGGATGTGAGTGATTGTTGGTTTGGTGATTCCATACCTACGTCTAAGCACAAAACTATGTAATAATTTGGAAGCTTACAATAAGACCAGCTATTTTTTGGCGATGATGGAAAAGTTTATCTATCAACCACCCGTCGCAAGCATGAGCGTACAACTACAGAATCTCTCAAGGACTTCGCTATTCACATTACCACTATTGATCTTTCAACAGGAGCTTCTACATCTGTACCCCAAGTAATTCGCTCCTCACCATCTGGAATTGCAGAAGGATCCCATATCTTCAAGCGAGGAAAATTTTACTATCTCTTCACTGCAGAAGGCGGAACGGAGTCCGGTCATTGTGAATGGGTATCAAGATCTTCGACTGGTCCCTTAGGGCCATGGGAAACCATAGATGCTCCATTATGGAAAATTGGAGTTGAAGGTGATGAGGTGGTTAATACTGGTCATATAGATATTGTTGAAGATGAAAAAGGAAATTGGTGGGCAGTTATGCTTGCATGTCGGCCTATAAAATTGGATGATGGATTCAAGACTTTTGCAAGCATGCCAGGCGATTATGATAAAGTACCTGGTGGTTGGAAATCTTCTATTTTTGGTAAGTTGAAGATAACAGTGCCAAGAAGCATGATAACTAACGTGAAATTCAGGGAGAGAAACCTTTCTTGTCCCTGTGACCTGGGAGGATGACTGGCCCATTGTCAATGATGGCAAAAAGATTACTCTCCAAGGCGAAGGCCCAGGATTATACCAATTAAAGCAACCTACTAAGTGGCGCGACGACTTTACAAGTCCAGAGTTACAACTTGGCTGGTATCGAAAGAGTAAGCCTACCACAACATCAACAGCGAATTCAGGACGCAAAAATCAGCTCATTTACTAATGATTTAATCCTTCGTATAGACACACCTCAAAAACAAGACTTCCAAATAACCACCCATCCCCCAAGTCTCCGTCTACACGGTAATCCCTACACACTCACCAGCCCAGCCAGTCCAACCCTATTCCTCCGCAAACAAACATCCCGCACAGGAGTCTGGTCCACCCGTCTAACCTTCAACCCCACAACCCCCCAAATGGAAGCCGGCACCGTAGTATACTGGAACCACCACACCCACGCCAGCATTTCCATCCACGGAAACCACTGGGCCAACTCCACCAAAAGAACCATCCAATTCCATCTCCTCATCAACGGTAAGGATAATTGGACTGTCATCGGAGCATTACAAAAAGATGATGATGATGTAATACTCTATATCTGGTGTAGAGACAACGGTTATATATTCGGTTACAGACCCTGCGAAGAAGAGGATGAAAAAGCTATTAGATGGTTAGGAGAAACAACAATCGATGAAATAACAACTGATCCTCTAATCGGAGCCCCGTTTACGGGTATGATGCTCGGTGTTTATGCAACTGGAAATGGGGATTCAGGGACCACACCCGCGGATTTTAAGTATGTGGAATTCGATACCGAGATGGTACCTGATCCGATTGTGGATCAACAGTTTACTTGTTGTGGATAATCATGATTCAGTGGTTGAGGTTGAGGCTGAGATTGAGATGTTTGAGTTTTCTGATGTTTTAACCTTTAGAATGAGTGCTGGCTGGATTTACCTACCTAGGTAGAGATAAAATAGATTATAATTGATGTCTAGCTAGAAAGATCTAAATAGAAGAAGAATATTTTTTTGTAATTTTTTTTAAATAGAATCAATAGAAATGAATGCTTTTTAATATCGAGATAAATAATCATTGACTAAAAAGAAATATAAGGATTATATTTTCACAGTCTAATTAAATTTATTTAATTATATCTAAAAGAAACCAGATTAATTATTAATTTATTCTAGAGGTATGAGATTTATAAATAAATAAATAAATAAATAAATAAATAAATAAATAAATAAATAAATAAATAAATAAATAAATAAATAAATAAATAAATATCTATAGAAGGATGTATATTAATCGCGCACCGGTGGGGAGGAAAAAATTTATAATAATTAGATATAGGATTTTTATTCCTTTGTGTGTATATAAATGTGTGTATATATAGAGGTATCATTTCATTCAGTAGATATCAAACCCGATACCCAAAGCATAACCCATGAAGCCAAGCCAAGCCAAGCCACCCAAGCCAACCCATTCCCCCTATCCTAAACCCAACCCCCATCCCGATATAAACCCCTAAACCTTCTCCCCCATAACCACATTCTCCACCCCCACCTCTCTAATCCCCTCACCCTCACCCTTACCCGCCAAACTCTCCACATGCTGTACATGCACATTTGCATTCGTGTTCTCAAGATCTAAACGCGCACCTCCTTTCTCTACATGATTTACGCCACCGAAAAGGACGTCCATTTCCTCGAGCATGATGTTGCGGGTTTCGGGGACGACGAAGATGACGAAGAGGGCGAGGAGACAGTTGAGGCCGCCGAAGAAGTAGAATGTGTAGCTGTGGAGGGAGGATGTTAGTAAGGTGCGATATGGAGGTAGGGAGAGTGAGGGGGTGGGGTGATGAGCTCGAGGGGATAGGAAGGGAAAGACTTACAAACTGGATTTTGCCAAGAAAACAGGGAAGAATTGATTAAAAATCAAATTCGAAACATTCTGCCACTGACTACACATACCCACTGCCTGAGCTCTCACATTCATACTAAAGATTTCCGATGTCCAAATCCAAGTTGTCGCTCCCCATGTAGGTTTATAAAAGAAGATGAACAAGAATAACAGGAACGTAAGAGCAATACCAACTGGTTGATCTTTCGTAAGAGTCCTCGTCGTTCCGTTAAGATAATACTCGTTAGGTGTCGCAATACCCACCGAAGCGAAAGCGATCATGCAAAGAGCCATACCGAAACCGCCGATGATGAAGAGAAATTTACGTCCGTAGCGATCAACGGTCCAGACGGCGTTGAGAGTAAAGAGAATACCACAGGTACCGTTGATAGCGTTAATGAGATTGATCGTTTCAGTATTTTTGTAGATACCCTTATAGATAGCCGAAGAATAACTGTTAAGACTTCCTTGACCAGTGAGTTGTTGACCTCCGTTAATTATAAAAGCAATCCACATTCTTTTTCGAACTGATTTATCCATCCATAATGCTTTGTAAGAACCAGTAGAATTTTGTTCCTTTTCATATTCAAGCGCTTCTCTAATTTGGAGAAGTTCATCTTCGACCTCTTGTTCGGTGTCGCGGACGAGGAGGAGGGATTTACGGGCTCCTTCAATGTTTCCATTTCGAATGTACCAACGAGGCGTTTCTGGAATGAAGGGGAGAAGAATACAGATGATGATTGGAACCAACATTTGGAAAATGACAATTGTTTTCCAATCCCATTCTCCGAGGGCGGCAGTGTGTTTTCCAGTGGCAAAGGCAATCCAGTAGGCGATGAACGAACCGACTGAGTAGAACAATTGCCAGAATCCCATGATTTTACCGCGAATCTCTGGCGGTGCAAGTTCACCAATGTAAACAGGACCAGCAGCTAAACAAATATCAGAACCACACGTCAAAAACATATCAAAACAGGACAATACGAACTCAAAGCAATTCCCTGTCCCAAACCAATAATCACACGACCACCAATAAAAGCATTAAGATCTCCTCTGGGAGCGAAACACTGCACGAAAGTTGCGATAATAGTTAACAAACAACCGATTCCCATTCCCCATCTTCGTCCGAGTCGATCAGCCTAGAGTGTTATTAGCATATAACCAGACTCGTCGAATCATATCTGGGAGATAGTTCACGTACGATTGGTCCACCGAAGAAGAATCCTGACACGATGCCACCGATGTTGTAAGATGTGTTTACGAGACCAATTTTGTATGTACTCTGATTGATGTTAGCATTTGTCTTTTGGCGACGAGAATATTTATGCTTCTCACTGGTTTATTGAAGTATGCAACCCAATGTTTCGAATTTTGACATGCGTTGAAAACAGATGCATCATAACCGTATAATACCATACATGCTGCTGCCACCATAGATATGTACCTAAAGAGAAATTAGATTTTAATTTCGAGTCGAAATTTGATGATTATGGGATGATACTAACCAATTGTACCATCTCTTATTGGTGGTGTTAAACATATTTGTGTTTTGTTTTTCGGATTTCTTATCGACAATACTGATTGAAATCTTTTGTGATGAGGTGAAGGACACAATTGAATCGAGGTTATCCTCAGTCAATCAATTGGCTTCCTCTGCTGGTGATATGAAGAAAGCAGGTACAAATGTATAAAAAAAGGCAAGATATAACCGATAATCAAGTGTAACGTTGATCAAGGGTTTGAAATGTACATGTACTAAAACTTTCCCCATGGGATTTCGACAACTATAACACGGAGTGCTGCGCCGTAGGATCTTTCTCACCGACACCAGGACCTCCACACGGAAATGACTGAGATAATAAATGCACCAATCGCCTTTGTTATTTTCATCTGTCTAGACGTGGCGGTCCAATAGACATGCACGTTCCTCGTTAGTTTGGGTCAAATCCTGGCGTGATCCTGGAGTAAAACTGGAGAAATTACCATGCAATTGTGGGGGACATTTCCACGCTCGTGGGGAAATTTCCCCAGATGAGAAATCTCCAAACTTTATGCGGCGCTCATGGCGTAAACCTCCCGCTTGTACACGAGTAAGCATACATGATACAGGAAAACATGAATTGTATTATTTCCACAATTCGTATTGTCGAATTAATCAAAGCACATTGAGATTTGGTAGCTTTCAATGTGCGGGGAAATACAAAACCAATAATCACAATGCAACGTATCCTGGCTAGATGTAGGGGCACCAAATCAGCCACCAAATCCACTTGAATTCTTCACGTGAGTAGAGACATTGAAACTCAGCTGAAAGGACATCAATAATCACCAACAATCAATCATGCATAAGGTACCAGGTCTGATGCGCTAGCATGAGCTAACCTCATGTCTTTTTTACTCGTAAAGTCGTGCTTTTCTTCCATAACAGCGCCAAGTGCTCCAGTTTTTCCGTTCTCCTATCCTCCATTTGCGATAGCCCGAGAAAGCCATAATCCCATAGAACTTTAGATTTTTCCAGCCACAACTTCATTGTTTTTCCGTCCGTGAATCGAATTCAGTAGGATTCGCAATTCAGCTTGGGAATCGCTCGGGTCAGGTATTGTATCTAAAAGTCCATCCTTGGATTGGAATCTTGTTCCCAGAGTTCTGATTATACCCCATGCACGTCTGAATTCATCTCGAATTGACACAATTCCATTATGAGTCACAGTACGTGCAATATTGTGCTCTATTTCGAATGGATCTTCGATTGCCAAAAGATATCGGTGACGGACCTCCTTGGTTTCTTCCACTGTCTTGGGAGCCTCCTTATGTTCCGCCGCCGTGGTTGAGTTGCTGGTATTCCCTTCAACAGTTTTGGGACTTGCTGGAGTTGGTGGAGCCGCTATTTGTGTAGTTTCAACGACCGTTCTGGCACCGACCCATCCTTTTTCCTGTTTGCTAAGAATTCCATAGTTTGAACGTAAACTCAAAACTTCACGACCCCAATCAAATCCTCTTACTCCTTGAACCGTCGTCATCAGCCCATTCTGTGCAAAGTATTCAAAGAACCCTCGGAGTAACATCCCTACCGAGTCATGATTTTGTGTTAACATTTCACGCTCAGCCAAAGATCTGATCTCTGCTTCATCTCTCCAAAATCTCACATCTTGACCATCACAAGTAGTTTGAGCTTCTTTCTCAGCAGGAGAGAGACATACAGGCGGCTCTTTGTTGACGTGTTGAAGATTGGGCAAGACTGGAGGTTTGGCAACATTTATCAGGTAGTGCAAAACCATCAGTACATAGCCGTAACTTCCCAGAGTGCCTCGATATGGAGTATTTATTCCACGAGTCTTTGCCCAGTGTTTCACAAAAAGTACCACCATCTTGACTCTTGAATCACATAGAGAGTACAGCCTGAGAAGTAATGTGTTATGTAAGGCCAAATGATTTGAGAAATTGATATCACATTGAATGCCGACCTTGTCCTTGGGAAACTCAAGATGATCCTTGTATCTATCCCGCGGCTTATTCAGTGATATTTGGGTCGGATCAGGAAGAGTACGCATGATGGCTATCAGTTCCGCTCGTGAAGAATCGACAGAAAATTGCCTACTAGCTAGGTCTCGCAAAACCGAGATGTATAGTTCAACATGGTGAATAGAAGTCTCGTCATAGATTTTAGATTCAAGGGCATGTTCGTAATCTTTGGCAAGTTGCAAAATCTGATGTCGGCGAGCTACATCTTTCAATGTCATTATTTCCTCCATACATTGCAAGGCTTCCCGAATATGGACATCATGAATGCCATCAATGTAATGCTTAACAAACCACGCCACAACTTCTTCTTCCGTTAAGTTGCGTGGCCTGATGAGGTTTTGAGGCAACCCCTTGCCTTCAAGATCTTCTTTGAGTCTTTCCACTCTCATAAAGTATTGTTGTGGACTCTCAAACATCAATTGCTCGAGACAGAGAAGGCGTAAAGAATGAATCCTTTTCAGACGTTCAGACGCGTTGTGAAGTTGTTTGTTGTAGATTTCACACTCAGTGAGTGGTCCTGTTTTGTTCTGCAAAACTTTCCATGCCTCGAGAGCGGCGAGAGCTTCCGACTCTTGTTTATCGGTTGCTTCCATTAATGTTCGCTTCTCCCATGCCATGGCTAGCCTCTCTCCTTCAATCTGTGTGCAAATTCCGTTTAAGGATCGCTGGACAAAAGGAATGGAAGGATCAAACAATGGAGAGATAGATGGATAACTAGATAGCCGATTGGATAAGTCCTCAGAGTGCAATCCAAGTATAAAAGCTCGACAAACTTCATCGAGAATTTTCGCTTCCCGAGTACTGAGCTCAGTGGAGTTTAAAGATAAATCGCGTCCACCATTTTTTCTCAAAGCTCGCTTTGCACAAATGTGGTAGTCAATGAGATTCTGGTGGTCCTTTTGCTTCAAGGTAATACCTTTCTTCTCACTTAGACTTGTATTTCCCGTGTTACCTGGATTAAGTTGACTGCTGGGATTACTCGTGGTTTTGGTCGAGAGTTTTTGCGAGTCTGCATCTACTTGGGTTGATTCCGGAGACTTTGTGGTGAGAGTTTCCAAGTGTTTTTCGTCTGGATCACCATCCTGACCTTCACCCAAGCCACTATCCCATTTTTTACGCTCTTCTAGAAGATCTTCCATTAATTTTGGGAGCGGTTTCTCGCAAAGCTTGATGATAGGAACTCTTGTTCGAGTGAGTAGTCGTGCGCCGTACCCCAAACTCAGCAACTTCTTCTCCAACAGTCGTGGTATTTGAGACTCCGACAACTCCGCAGATGGATTCGAGGAGGGCGTAAGAAGTGCAAGATCCATATCAGAACCTTTGGTTGCAAAGCCGGAGCTCAAACTTCCGTAACATTTCAGCTCGACAGTTGCAGCATCAAATTCTTTGTTACCACGCTCTTCTCGCTCATGTTCAGCAATTGCCGCTTTGCAAATCTTTTCAATGTGAGCCCGGAATTCCTCTTTCTTGTTTGCCTCATTAGTGTCAATAGCCACTTTTGGGACGCACTCTTCAGCCAATTTGTCCAAGAATGCGCTTTGGCCAGTCATTTCTTCAGTATTCGCTCCAAAATATCTCCGTCCTTGACCACCAGGATTTGAAGGACCCGGCTGGTACAATTGGCGATTCTGTGGAGGAGGTCTTGGAGAGAACGAATTGGTACCGGGACTTGTTTGATTCATATTTTGCCAAAAATGTTGCTGGTTTTGTTGATATTGCTGGGGGTAGATGGGCTTCTGAGATTGAAGGTTGGGACTTCCTTGATTTGAAAACCCACCTGACCTAGGATAATTTTGATATGGCATCTGAGGGGGATATGGGGATGTGGGCGTCTGATGCGAGAATTGCGGGGAAAACTGTTGCTGCTGTTGCATTGGTTGGAATCTTTGATTATTCCTGTGGTTGTTATTATAATGTTGAGGAGTAGATGGTGTTGATTGCCGCTGTGCCGAATGAGGTGTATAATTCCGGGGTGATGGAGCTGTTTGCTGACGATGCTGCTGTTCTTGCTGACTCGAGTCAATTGGAATTGAAAGTTGAGCATTCATTTGCCGTCTTTGGGCTTGATTCATCCTCTTCTTTCCAGGCTGTGGGGACAATGGAGTAGTGTTGGTAGAAACGGTTTTTACTGACTCGGCTGCTTTTGAAGCCATGTTGGACAGATATTCTTGTTGCTCTGACGGGCTAGCTCTGAGCATATGCGGCGGAAGATTGTTTGCAGGAGGTGGATGCATGTTTATGATTTCATTTTCCGTGGTGACATTGGCATTATTGAGAATGAGACCTCGAAGACGATCTTCAAGTCCATTACCAATATCACTCAGACCTCCCCCAGGCAGCTGCTCACCTGGCTCTTTTCCTGCTGGAAACATGCTTGTAGTTTAGGATGACAACCTGCAAGTTTTGAAAAACAGCAGAAATTAATTATCAATTTTATACCAAAGATTGATATGATGCTCAGTGTCTTTTGGGATGTCTCCTGACAGTAACCACAGCCCGAGGGTCAAAGGTATCTTAAGAAGTGATGAGTATCAGTGGAGATTGATCATGTGATGAAATGCTGAAGGTATGTTTATGTTTCCTATTCCAGTATCTTGGATGTACTCCGCAAATAGATGACTAGATGAATAGATAAATAGATGCACTATTGACACCTACTTAACCATGAAAGAGAGAATGAAGGTTGGTTGGTATTGAATATGCTGTTGATTGCTTTGTAAACTCAGTCCCTGATATGTGTGGGCTGATGGATTGGTGGATTGGTAGAGATCTAGGTTATCATGCCTTCCAGTCTCTTCGGGATAGAATGAGATTGTACTGAATTAATTACCAAGAAGAAACAAATCAGTATTGGATCAAATGAATGAATGAAATATAATCGTCGGCGATGACCAATGTAGGTATTTCAAAGAGAAGGTTGTGTTTGTTGAAAGGTTCTCCAACTCCCCAATGTACAAAACCCCCATCAATCTCTAAATCTCAGCCTTCCAAATTGAATATGGATGAATGCAAACAATATCATGAAGCTACGATATTTGGCGGCTTGTTACCAGGGTGGGGTAGTGTTAATGGCCCGATAATTAAGGCATAATTATCTGTACCTCGAAGGCTTATTATCTTACCTCTTACCCACGGCTGTTCCATTAATAAATTCAAATTTAAGACTTTAGCACTGGTAACCCTTGTACATACTAATGTTACCGTAAAACTTGCATGGGTTGCCGATCTTAAATCCATTATACCACTTTGGGACTAGCCTTGTCTGGCTGCCTGTCATTGCACCGATTGTATCTTGGATGGAAGAAACATATCAAGGTTATCAAAGTCAACCTACAAAGCAAATTTATTATAACAAAGGACAATCAAACTACCACAGACAAGGAAGAAATCTCCATCACCCAAAATCTATGCCACATTATTTTGCGACAACATAGAAGCAATTGAATACAATTTTTGATATTAGAGATACAACTTCTTTTCAGCTTCTGCAACCGAATATAAATCATTGAGCTTCCTTCCAAGGCAACCATAGCTCCTCAAGTTTGTCCCATAGGAGAGTAATCATATTGAATCTCCCAGTTCAGGAGACTTCTGCATCAGTTGTCTATTCTTCTGCGTGGACCGAACTTTGAACAGCCAGAACTTCGAGATTTCCAGAGTAACCATCCAGGATGTCTGCGTCCCCATCTGGCATGTCAAATGGACGAACTCCCACGCCCACTCCCAACAATGGAGGCGCACCACAATTTACACGTAAACCCAAGGCTGCCGATCCTCTGAGACCACGAAAGAAACCCGTCCGCCGACCTAATGTACCTTCTAAACCTCCCGGCGCGAACTTGAACGGCTTGACACCTGCTAGGCCCAATGGACCTACATCTTTAAACAACTTTTCCGGACCACGCGCACCAGGTCCTAGAGGCCCAATCCCTATCAATGGCAATGCTGCGCCTAGGCAAACATATGGTGGTTGGACACATCCTCCCAAGGGAGAAGTTATAGATTTCCCACTCTTCACTACCAGGAGGGCGTTGCGCGATGGATTGCGATACCATGCCATGAGATTTGCTGGGAAGAAAGAGGTTGACCCAACAAACCAGGACGAGTTCACGCGACCAATCTCCCTCCATCGCAGAGATCCTCGACAACCACCACCTGGTAAAGCATTCAAGGACGAAGACACAGTAATGGAGGATGTAGTCGATTCCAAGGAGAGAGAGAGACAAGAAATATTAAAGGCAGAGAAGGAAGCGCAAAAGGCTGCCGATCGTGCGCAGATAGCTCCTACTGGCAACAATGCTAACGCAGCAGCTGCTAAAAAAGCTCAAGCTTTCCGAAATGAAAAGACAACTCAAGTACATCGACTTGATAAGACAGCCGAGCAGAAAAAAGAATCTGATCTTAGATACGAGGAGGCTTTACCTTGGCACCTAGAAGACGCTGATAATAAGAATACTTGGGTCGGTAACTACGAGAGTGCTTTGTCGGGAGTCAATGTTATGTTTTACGCAGAAGGAAGTTCGTTCAGGATGATTCCGGTTGAAAAATGGTACAAGTTTACTTCAAAGAACAAGTTTAACACTCTCACAATTGATGAAGCCGAAGCGTTGTTGAGCAAGAAGACCAAGGAATCTAGATGGGCCATGAAGACACAAGAAAGAAATGAGGCCCAACGTGTGACTGAGGAAAATATCAAAGGGATGAATAGGCTGTATACTGTCAAGGCTGAGAGTCAAAGCTTCAGAGGATCTAGCAGGAATGAAACGAGAGACATTGATGAACTTGATTTCGATGCTGATGACTTATTCCAGGATGATGATGAGCTTCCCACAGTTGAGCCAGATAGGGATGAAGACACAAAGGACGCCCAAGAAAGAATTAAGCAAGATCAGAGAGGAGCAAACTTATTCGGAGAAGCAGATGAAGAGGCTGTGGAGAAAGACTTCATAAAAGAGGAGCAAGAGTTAGAGGCACAGAAGAAGTTAGGAAAGGGTGTCCGTAAGGCTTTAACCAAGCGGGAGAAGAATTACATTTATGATAGTGATTCCAGTAATCCATATGCTTCTTCAGATGTATGTATCTTGCCAATCCATCTGTCTACTTGCTAACAGTCTAAAGAGCGAGGATGATACCTCTGACGAAGAGAAGCAAAAGGAAATCGACAAGAAGAAAGATGAAGAGGCTAAAGCCAAGTTAAAGGCTGAAGCAAAGACTCCAGGAACTTTATCGAAGGGCAACAATACGCCTTCCGGTCGACCCAAACACACTGATCCTTTGAAGAAATCTAAAAGTCTCAAGAGAGCGGCATCTCCTAATTTGTCAGAATCTAGTGGAAATGAATCATCCAGAAAGAAGCATAAGAAGAAGCATGTTGGCTCATCACAACCTACAGGTATATCTACTCCAATTCTAGGTTCAAGGCCAATGTCTCCAATACCATACTCACAATCCCTTCTAGGTCAACATCAGAGAAAATCTTCTATCGTCAAGATGTCCGTAAATGCATCTGACCTTTCACGAATCAGCTCTTCGCCACCAAACCCTCATGGGGCAACAAGCGATGGAGAAGCTACAGGAGGTGAAATGTCAGATGGAGCAAGTGGAAAGAAGAAAAAGATTACTCTTCGTATGGGAGGATCATCACCAACAGCTTCAAGAGCTGCTAGTCCAGCCCCAGGTAAACCCAGCAGTAGCCGTGCTGGAAGCCCTGCTCAAGGAACTGGTAAGGATTTTCTTTTACATCTATTTTTAGAGAGTATTAATTAATTTTACTATAGAACCTACGGCACCATCTAGTTCTGGGCCTATTACACCCAAGGAGATTATTGCCGCTTTGCCTTCGGCAGGTATCTCTATTGGTCAATTGCTTGGACATTTCCGTGGTAGAGTGGGTGATTCTGATGGACAAACTACCAAAAAGGAATTCATGGCAATGATTAAGACGAACTCTAAATATGGAGCAGATAAACTTTTGCGACCAAAGGTTTAAAAAGTAGCATAATTTGTCCTACGCGCCGAATGATTTGTACAGGAAGGGTTTCGATGGTCGCAATGAAATTATAATCGTGTAGGGAATTTGCTTGTGGATGGATGGATCAATGGATGAATGGATGACCTGGATCATTTAATACCTTACCAAAAGGGTTTTGGTGATATGATGAGAGACATTAGTTGGAGTGGGTAAACAAACAAACATCTACGTAAACGAAACGAATTTGGTATAAAGCATGACACATTCATTCATTCATTCATTCATTGAAATGGGAAGAAAGAAAGCACAGAGAGAAAGAAAGAAAACAAACAAACAAACATCTTTCAATACCTAGGTACCTATCGAGAATATTGTGTGTTGTGAGGCTAATAACAACACAACCCAAAACAAAGGAGGATATTTTTTACTACTAGTGGTGGTGTGGTCTACGCCGTCGAAATGTAATAGGGGCCTTGGATCTTTTTTTATTTTACCTACCTGCGTGTTGGTTGAATGTGGGTGCTGCTACGCCATCGTATAGTATACATGAATACTATACATAATACATGATACATGCATGGGTTCCAAGGTTCAAGGGAAAGTTTATGTGTGTGTGTGTGTGTATATAGATTTCTTGAGGTTTTTAGATGCGATATGATATGATACGATATAATATGATATGATAGTGTTCGAGTGATTCATATTTGGGTTAGGTGATTTGGTTTGGGTTTGGGTTTGGGGTTTTCTGAAGTACTTATCTACTTAAGTGCCTAAGTTTTAATTTTATAGGTAGGTTATGATTAGGATGGAAGAAAGAAGGGAGGAGGGAGGGAGGGAGGGAAATGGAAATGGAAATGGAAATGGAAATGAGAATGGAAAATATACTTGGATTAGTTGAATGGATGGATGGATGAATGTTATATTTTGTGTATACCGTGATATCATATCATATCATATCATATCTTCATCATCGCCTGATCAGAATCATCAATACAATACGTACCTACCTACCTAGCTAGTAAGTAAGTAAATAAACAAGTAAATATCAACCCTAAGTATCCATCTGCCACTGAAAATCCAACTCCCTATTCCTCACCTTCCTATTCTCCCCCTTGAACCTCTCCGCCTCCCACCCATTCCCCTATCCTAGCTAGTAAGTAAGTAAATAAACAAGTAAATATCAACCCTAAGTATCCATCTGCCACTATTCCTCCTTCCTATTCTCCCCTTGAACCTCTCCGCCTCCCACCCATTCCCCTATCCACCCCATCCACCAGATCCATATCTATTCGGTGCCGCCGCATATACAATGGTTTTCCCGAACTACTCTTTCCCTTCTTCTCCTTACTTAAAAACTGCATCGCGGGATCATTCCAACGTTCTACTTCCTTCATTTCCTCATTCATCTGTATATCATCTACGCCTCTCGCCACCGTCATAAATCTCGCCTCATCTAATTCTTCTCTTCGTTTTGCCTGCGAGAGTTGTATATCCTGCGCTTCTTTTCTTCAAGCTCTTTGCGCGCTTTTTCATCCATTTCTTTTTTCGCTTCGGATCGTCGCATGCTTATGTCTATTCTTCGACCTGTGGCGTCTCGATACACGGTTTCTTCTACCTTGTCTTTGTTTTTGCTTTTGCTAGATCCATTCTGTGATTCTCGCGCCCATTGAGCGGCTTCATTGCGTTTTCGTCTTGCGGATTCTGCGGCGGCTTCATCGCGTGTTTGCAGTCCGCCCCGCGATTCCTCAATTGTAGGTTCTTCGTCTACATGTAAGGCGGCGGAATTCTCAGCAGCGGCTTCTTGAATAATGCGCTCTGCTTCTGCATTATCTTCATTTTGTGGTTGGAGAACTGGCACACCAAGGGTTTTCCAAGATGATTTTTTTGATTTGCGGAATTCGGAACTGCCGCCATGATTGGATATTATGGGGGTTTCGTCGTCAGAAGCTTGTTCGCGCGGATTCGACCAACCTGGTGCATCGTCGTCGGCGATTATGAGGCCAGTTTGGGGAACAGTCTTGCGTTTGCGCTTTTTGGTTGTGCTAGAGGAGGAAGAAGATGGGGTGGAGGCGGTCAGGTAGTTTTTGGCGAGGTAGGAGGAGAGCGACATATTGGGCTGGACTGTGTATTGTTGGGCCGGGCGATAGGGGAGATTGAAATGTGGAATTTTGATAAAGCAAGTGCCCTCAACACACTCCGCTTTGTCCGCTTTTGTTATTTTAGTACACTTATTTGATCGGTGCTGATGCTTGATGAAGGTAGATCGTTGATAAAAGTTAGAACTATCATGACCATCCTGACCACACTGCGTCAATGCGAGGCTGAGAATAACCTAGAACTTACAATAAGCCAGGTATGTAGTAGCCTCACGCTACCTGGCGTCAATTTCGCTTATTATACACTAACCTTAATGGACTAGCGCGCCATAGCCTTCTTTTAGTCATGAACGGAAAGAAAAGCCGCAGATCTCAAGCACTGGACCTGGACCTGGTGAACTAAACGACAACGGGAAGTCGGGATCATCTTAATTTGAATTCAGGGGAAAGTGGCGAATTGGAACTTCTCCGTATCTATTCTTAGACTTTTGCCTTTTTCATCACCAAACTCAACTCATCGATGGGGAGGTAAATGGTAAATTGGATACTCGACTACTTTCGTATGATATGAAAGTATCAACCAAATGATCACATGCTCACAAACTTAGTATTCCTGGTACTGTCCACCGATGCGTAAACAAAACATGTAAAGTTCATCCTTTTCCGAACTTCCCATCAATCTCAAACATATCTGCAAGGACACAACCGCTTTTTTCAAGGACCTGCAGCAACGGTTTTCCTTTCATGCGCTCCCTCGGCATTTGGTCTTCTGGAAGAGGTGGTCCGCAAGCTATTGGGAACGCTAGATGCTGTTTTTTCTACTTAGTGAAGTCTGGATCTTGGATCTGAAACACAAAATACTGAGTTTATACTCGAGTGGATGTTTGGACCCACTAGCACCTTTATACACTATATACACCTCTATACACCTCTGTGCACCTCTGTGCACCTCTACACATCTTTATACACCTTTATGCTGTATAACCTCAACCATTTCTAACCTGGTCATTCATTTCCAATAAGTCGGTGGCACGTGCTTGGCAATTGATTCATCTAATTATTTGTCTTTTACTGGGCCTGAAAGGCTCGAAAGTTTCACAATGTCTATACCCCCTGTTTTCTTCAAGCTTCGTCACAAGGTTGTAACCAATTGCATCGAGTGTTTTGGTACAATCATATTATATATCATTATCCACAATGGCCTCATTTTCATCTCAAGTCTCGATCAGACGAAGCCTATGAGAGCAAGTCGCTAGACTGTCTGGACCCTTTGTCCGAAGGTCCCCCATATTTTACAATAAAATATGGAGAAGAGATTCTTTTAGTCAAGCACACGACAGGGTATACAGGATGGAAAGACACCCTCATTTCGGAAAGTAGATCTTCTTTCCTCATTTGCAATGATTGACAGGAGGTTGAATACCAACCAAACTTTTCATGGGTTGAGAACAATATCTTCATCATCTTTAAAAGATGTTCTTCTCCCCAAACATTATTTTCCTTCCCAAGCCTGCTTTGCATTCTTTCCCACTCTCTTTACGAAAGGTCCTTTTTAGGCCTATTACATTCTTTTTTCCTTAATCTCTCATTTTAAACACATTCATTTTCATTTATTATTATATTAGTCTATCAGTTATGTTTTCATCGTCTCTAGGGACGGCCCTCGTCGGGGCAGTCCTTGCTACAAGCGTAGTAGCATACCCTCCAGCCTACGCACCTGAAAAATATGCTGATCGTATCGATGCTCATACTGGTGTCTCTGCCAGAACACTTCAAAACTTAATCTGCAGTCATGACATTGGTTGCTCAAAGCAGAATGAGGTTCTGTTAAATACGTAAGAATCACCAAGAATCAACCTCCTTCATTCATTGGCTAACAAATTTATAGTGGAGTCGATGCCTCATTGGATGTCTTCGGTATCCTTGATCTAGGTCTTGGTGCTGATATCGGAATCAGCTTCGGAAGTGCAACAGGAGTCCAAATCAAGTGTGTTGATTGCCGAACATGGGGTAGCGCCGTCGTCACAAACACAGTCGCCCAGATTTCCGACAGCCTTATCGAAGATGCTCTCGAATTCATTGAACATCCTTTCCAAACCATTCTAGAGGCCGCAAGCTTAGAATGTTTAATCTCTTTGGAAAATGTTGGAGGACATATCGAACTTGATGTCTTCGCCGCTGAAGCCGCTACCTACACGCTCAACATTTTCGAAGCCGGTCTCGTTGCTAACGTTTCTCTTCTTGATACTGTTTCCGTTGGTTTAAATATTTTCCTCGACTTGGTTATCTCCGTTGATGCAGAGGTCGATCTTTCTGCTGGTTTCGAATTCTCTTTCCCAGAAGGTGCCTCCCTTACTGTTGATCTCTTGGCCGGTGCCATCAAAAACCATGATTTTACTGGAGCCATCATGAACGACCTTCCAATCATCGTTCTTGCTGGTGAAGCTAAATTCCAAGCTGCTATTCGTGTAAGAATTGAGGCTGGTACTACCATCTCTCTCTTGGGAATGGAATACAGCTTTGAGCTTGGTGTATATGCTGATATGCTTCAATACATCGCCCAAATTGGCAGCACTGCTGATTGCTCTCTTTCCATCTCAGCTGAATGCAATGTTAACGTTGGTGCATATGCTTCTGCCGTTGCAAATCTTGACTTTGCCTCTTTCAGCGTTGCTCCAACTGCATTCATCACCTTGAATGTTGCTACTCTTGCACCAATTTGCTCTGCAAGACCAACAACTACCATTGCTTTGGGAGCTGCCATTACTGGTTCTGCTTCCATTGGCGGTGGAGCCTCGGGAGCATTATCTGGCATTGATTCAGGGTCAATCTCAGCAGGTGGCATCAAAGCTTCTATTACTGGTTCAAGCCCATCTTCATCTAGACACTACTTGAATGGCACTATCCCCACTGCTTCATCTAAAGGATCTTTGCCTAGCACAATCACTGACGGAGCATCATTGACAACTTCTACTGTTTACGCTACCCAAGTTATAACCATCACTAGCTGTGCCGCAAATGTTCTTCACTGTCCAGGAACCCTTGCATCCGTTGCAGTTATTACCCAAACAGTCGTCGATTACACCACCGTCTGCCCAGTTTCCGAAGCCGGACAAACCCCTTCAATCTTACCATCATTGACCCCCAAGGTCACCATCAAAGCTCAACCATCAGTCATCCCAGCCACAGTCACTCTTACCCCGGTTGCAACTGCAAGCACCTCTACTTTCGACATCCCAACTTCGGCAGCTGTAACTCCTGTCGGTCCTGGTTTCCAAACTACCAACTTGGCTTCCATCTCCTCAGCTTTGTCTACTGAACTCTTGGGTTCTTCTCCTTCGTCCCTTCCAGTTGGATCGGGAAGTTTGAGTGCTTCTGTTCCTGCTCAAAGTAGTGCTGGTGATCTTAGTGGTATTTCGGTTTTCCCATCTGGTGCTTCGCCAAGTGCTTCAGTCTCAGGAAGTGGTTCGCTCCCTTCTGTTTCTGGAAGTGGTTCATTGCCATCTGTTTCTGGAAGTGGTTCTTTGCCATCTGTTTCTGGAAGTGGTTCATTGCCAGTTGCATCCGCCCCAGGAAGTGGTTCATCCCCATCTGGCACTGCTGCTGCCACTTTACCATGTGTCTCATCAGGCCCTCTACTATCAGGACAAACTGCTTGCCCAGTATCCCCCTCTGCTCCAGCTCAAACTAGCGCTGGAGATCTTAGTGGTATCTCGGTTCTCCCATCTGGCTCTTCCCCAAGTGCATCGGTTTCAGGAAGTGGTTCATCCCCATCTGGCACTGCTGCTGCCACTTTACCATGTGTCTCATCGGGCCCTCTACTCTCAGGACAAACTGCTTGCCCAGTATCCCCATCTGGCTCTTCTCCAAGTACTCTGGTTTCAGAAAGTGCTTCATTCCCATCCGGGTCTGTCGGAAGTGGCTCAATCCCAGTCGCTTCAGCCTCAGGAAGTGGTTTATTCCCGGTTGCTTCAGCCTCAGGAAGTGGCTCAATCCCAGTTGCTTCAGCCTCAGGAAGCGGTTTATTCCCAGTTGCTTCAGCCTCAGGAAGTGGCTCAATCCCATCTGGCTCTTCTCCAAGTGCCTCAGTCTCCGGAAGTGCTTCATTCCCATCTGGCTCTGTCGGAAGTGGTTCATCTCCAAGCGCCTCAGGCCCCGCAGGTTCTTCACCATCTGGCTCTGTCGGAAGTGGTTCATCTCCAAGCGCCTCAGCCCCCGCAGGTTCTTCAACAAATGCTTCAGGGTCCAGCGGAATTTCTGCCACTGCTTCTTTGCCAGTCGTTTCGTCGAACGGTGCTTCCCCATCTAAACCCGTTGGAACCGGTTCATTTCCAAGTGCCCCAGCTTCTGGAAATGGTTCATTCCCAAGTGCCTCAGCTTCTGGAAATGGTTCATTCCCAAGTGCCTCAGCTTCTGGAAACGGTTCATTCCCATCAGGACCAGCCAGTATTCCAAGCCCGTCTAGCGCTTCTGATCTTAGTGGTATCAGTGTTACTGGAGGATCTTCTCCATCTTCCTTGCCATCTGTCACTTCGTCAGAAATCGAATACACCACTGTTATCGTTGACTCATACACTACAGTTTGCCCTGTCACCATGACTCAGACTAGTGGAGGAGTAACCAGTCTTTTGACCTCTTCTACTACTTCGACTGTTTACACAACTTCCACTGTGGTTGGTACAAGCACTATTACCACGGTTCCTTCTGGATTGTCCCCATCTGGATTGTCTCCATCTGCCACTTCTGATCTCAGTGGTATCAGCGTTACTGGAGGATCATCCCCATCTTCGTCTGAAACGATCTACACAACGGTTATTGTCGATCAATACACAACAGTTTGCCCTGTTACCATGACTCAAACTAATGGAGGAACTACAACTGTCTTAACTACCTCGAGCATTTCTACTGTCTACAGCACTACGACCAAAATTGCTACTAGCACTGTTCAAGTTCCTGGCCCAATTATTTCTTCCCCAGCTGCATCTACATCTGAGACGATCTACACAACAGTTATTGTCGATCAATACACAACAATCTGCCCAGTTACTTTGACTCAAACCAACGGAAGATCCACCAGCGTTGTGACTTCATCAATTATTTCTACTATCTTCAGCACTTCGACCGCTATCGGCACACGCACCACCACGATTTTACCTTCTGCAACTTCAGATCTCAGTGGTATCAGCGTTACTCAATCTGGAAGCCCTTCAGTTACTGGCTCAATTGTCTCTCCTCAACCATCTGAAACTGTCGTTACAACCGTCATTGTTGACTCTTATACTACAATCTGCCCAGTAACTCTCACCCACACTAGCCAAGGTACTACTAGCCTTGAGACAACCACCAGCTTGTCCACTGTTTACAGTACCTCGACTCTTCTTTCCACGAGTACTATCACCCCAACCCCAGTTGCCCCAACAACTGCTGTTTCCCAAGGTCTTTCCACACAAATTTATTCCACTGTCTCTGTCGAGTCCTACGTCACAGTATCATCTCTTACTTTGACCAAGACCAGCCAAGGAGTTACTAGCTTGGAGACAACCACTAAATATTCAACCGTCTCCCTCTCCTCGACACGTTACATTACCAAGACTATTGCCATTCCAAGTCAAGGAACTTCTTCCCCAGTCGCAAGCGGCTCAGTTATCGTTCCACAAGGCAGTGCCCCAGCTTCTGGACCATCTACCGGACCATCTTCCCCAATTGCAAGCAGCTCAGTTATCGTTCCACAAGGCAGTGCCCCGGCATCTGGACCATCTCCATCTCCATCATCTGCTTCCCAAGATTCTGGAGTAACTGGTTCTGCCCCAGCTGCTTCTGTAGTTTCTACTCCAGGCGTCCCAGCCGCTTCCTCTCCAGCCGCTTCCTCTCCAATCGCTTCATCTCCAGCCGTTTCCACACAACCCGGATCTGGTTCAGGAAACTCTGGTAGCCAATCTCCATCTCTCGTTGCTAGTTTGAGTGCCCCAACTGCTAGCGGAACACAGGTTTACAGCACTGTAACTGTTATTCCCCTTGCTTCTATTGGTTCTCAATCAGCCAGCTCTGCCCAAGGTTTAAGCACTCCTCCTCCAGCCGTTGGATCTTCTTCACCATTGAGCTCCGCTGGTATTCCATCAGGAAGTGTAGGTTCTTCAGAATGCGCTCAACCATCCGTCATCACCATTTCTGCTTCTCCTTCTTTGATCACTGTTGTAAGTTTTTTCCCATTTAGCTTTTTAAGAATTTTTTAATTAATCAATTATAGACTCAACCTGCCTCTATCATTACCGTCACTGAAACTGCAGGTCTTGGCTCGCCATCTTCTGCTCCTGGTTACCCAGGTTCCCCTCAAGTCTCTGCTTCAGCTGGAATTCCAGGTCAAGTTGTTTCGGTTTCCTCTGCTCAGGGCATTACAGTTGGTTCTTCGACTGGTGTCGTTCCAGTTTCTGGTTCCTCATCAACTGTTGTCATCCCAGGTGCTCCATCATCTGTTATCATTCCAGGTGCATCATCGACTGGCGTCATTCCAGTTTCTGGTTCCTCATCAACTGTTGTCATTCCAGGTGCCCCATCATCTGTTGTGATCCCAGGTGCTTCATCATCTGTTGTCATCCCCGGTTCAGGTTCTCCATCATCTGTCATCATCCCAGGTGCCCCATCATCCGTCATCATCCCAGGCCCGTCATCCACCAACGCCATCCCAGCCTCAGGCTCCTCATCCACAATCATCATCCCAGGCCAAAGCGGATCAACCTCGACCCTCATAATCCCCGCTCAAATAATCCCCACCGCAACCCCCCTCTACCCCTCCGGCTCCTCAAACAGCACATCCGGCTACTACGCCAGCGGAACCGTTTCCCTCTCCTCTTCCTCTTCTACATCCACTTCGAGCTCCTCTTCCTCCAAATCCAGCTCAACAGCCAGCTCCAGCAAATCCACCCAACAATCCTCCCCCTCCAAAAGCACAAACACTTCTCCCGCCGGAAGTCCCCAAACCGCTACTCCTAGCATGATCGTTACGGGCTCTGCTACTCGCTCTAGTATTTCTCTGACTTTCATCGCGGTGGTGATGGGTGTTATTGCTCTTTTGTGATTTGAGTGATGTTTGCATATATGTATGGAAAGATAGATGAGATGTACATGAGTAGTTGGTATCAAATGAACCGGGGATTTCATATGTTTGGATTTTGAACGAGAAAGTGGTGTTGATAGATAGATAGATACTGTTCGACTTGGTGTGCTTTGTGTACAGTATTTTTAATGTTAATTTTTATTTTCATTTTTATTTTGGATATATTTATATATATGTGTATATGTTATGCTATTATTAATCTGTGGATATAGATATAGATATAGATATAGATATAAAAATATAAAATAATAAAAATATATATAAAAAAAAAAGTTTTTTATTTATTTAATATGAGATTCCGTGGCTTTTTTTTTCTTGTTCGACTTGACTCATAGATTGATTTGAGTTTTTTTTTTCAATTATATTTTATTCTTTTTATATTATGATTTTTGATCCTTGATCTCTGATTAAAAAAGAGAATATTAAAGAGTTATTAGATATTAATAATAAAATAAAATAAAAATACAAAAGAATTTAAAGATATACTAGAAAAATCATAAAGAAGAATAAATTTAAAAATAATTGACTTTCATTTGTATTCACAATAATATATATCTCGAAGCATCAGGCCGTGAATACATCAACTCGTAATTAAGGTCAATTCCATTGAATAACTTGATATCACTATGTATATATGAACTTCCAAGAAAATCCTATCAAGTTTCAACAAACTAATGACGCCATTGAAAAACAATCCCATATCCCACACACTCCATAAAATCCCAATAATCACATTTCCTCCTAGGCCTAAGCTTAAGCGGCGGCAGCAACAGCTTGTTGAGCTGGAGCAACACCAACACGCTCCTTTGATAAGATATCTACGAGAAGAGGATTTGGTCTATTGTCCTTACCAGCTGGGTAGACAGCTTGGTTCTTCTTGTAGCTTTGAACATTCTCAATGTACATATCGAAGAGGTATGAAGAATCCATTGGTCCTCCCTTAGCCTCAGGATGGAATTGTGTGGAGAAGATTGGACGGGTCTTGTGAATCATTCCTATGGTACGTTAGTTGAGAGTATAACAAGCGAGTTCAACTATATTTACCTTCGTTGGATCCATCATTCAAATTGACAAAGTATTCTTTGAATTCGGATGGAAGAGTAGTCATATCAACGGCATAACCGTGATTTTGACTGGTGATGTGGCATTGGCCAGTGGTCAAATCAAGAGCTGGAATGTTGTGGGCACGGTTTCCGTACTTGAGTTTGATGGTACGGGCCCCAGCTGCAAGAGCAAGTAATTGATGTCCAAGGCAGATACCAAAGACTGGAAGTTGAGAAGACTCCATCAATCTAGCCAAATGGTAAACAGTCTCTTGACAATGAGTTGGGTCACCAGGTCCGTTAGAAATGAAAACACCATCAAAATGATGGGCGACCTTGTGAATTGGGAAATCGTAAGGAAAGACAGTGACGCTTGCTCCACGGCTGACCAAACTTCTCAGAATATTCTCCTTGACACCACAATCGATAACTGCAACATGCATATCTCCGAGGGTAGAGCTAACATGGAAAGGGGCCTTGGTGCTAACTTTCTTGACCAAGTTGATTTGTTCAGGATCAACGAAAGCCTCATCTTGATCGGCATCATATTCTTCACCAATGGTGATTCGAGCCAAAGAAGAACCTTCCTCTCTTAAGTAGGTGACAATAGCTCTTGTATCAACACCAGAAATAGCTGGGACACCCTCACGAGCACACCAATCACTCAAACTTTCCACGGCAGTCCAATGACTATACTTCTCAGCATAATCTGCAACAACCACACCAACACACTGAATGTTTGGTGACTCAAAGTATTTCAAGAGTCCGTGCTCATCTCTAGCAGATGATGGAACACCATAGTTTCCGATCAAAGGCTGAGTGAAAACAAGAATTTGTCCACGATAAGAAGGATCGGTCATGGATTCGGGGTAACCAACAAGGGAGGTGGTGAAAACGGCTTCACCAGAAATGTTGGACTTGGCACCGAAAGATTTGCCATGGAAGACTGGGCCATCCTATCAAAATATTTAGCCCAAATCTTTCTCCATACACCAACCAACATAACGTACCCTAATTGTGAATGTAGCTCGATCATGAGAGATAGGGGTGGCACGAGGACGGGTATATGGCATGGCACGACCAGCACTTCCTTCAATTGTAGCTAGGGATCGAGTTTGTTGTGCAATCCTTTGGATACCATAGCTTGTTGGCTTAAAAGCTGCGGGCTTCACGAATCGAGAGAACATGATTGTGTTTGTTTGAATTGATAAAATTTAAGTAGACGGTATGTTGGAGAAAGCTTTTTCAGTTGACTGAAGCTTTCCAGATGTGATCTATACCAAGAGTGTTAGAATTTCGGTGGTGCAAAGGAGTCGTAGGAGGGGTCATGAATAGGGTTATGTGCGAACCTGAGATATAATCCTACGAGAACATGTTAGTGAAACGGTTCTAGATTGCGAATTGCTACAGATGTTTTGCTTGATGAAGAGTCATCCTCCTCCTGTAATGGATAGGAGAGGATTTGGCTCCAGCTTTCAGACCAAACATAGGAATTGAGGATATTTTGAGGTTTGACTCATCAAGATAGACAAAGGACGAGAACATACCTGGGATGTAAAAACTGACGAGCGACCACTCATACGCGCGACTTTTCTATTCGTATTTGATAGATCAATAGATGAAGAAGTTTTGAAGAATTAAGTTGTAGCTGTTCAGACGCAGTCTATTGAAGTGGGAAGTGAAAATTGTGGAGTATATTTGGTGTGACAGAGTGAAGGAAGGTATCATGGTACAAGAGAAAAAAGATTCAAGTAGGAAAAGGTTGAATGCCGCTTTGTTCATCAAGGTAAAGCTAATGTTGTGTTGGAATTATCTGATTGGTCAATTCTGTAAGGTCATCGCAGGGCACTCTCATGAAGAGAAAATATTAAGCGAATGATGATGGACGTGAAGCTTGGAAGGAAAAAACGAAAAAGCCGATGACGATATTCAAATAGGTAATTAAAGTTAAAAATCAGCAAAAGAGCCAATGAAGAGCATCGAAAGCTTTCGTAAAACACAATTGATTTCTCACTCGTTTTGTAAATTTGACCAATTAAATTATAAATATCCATTATCAATTATCATTCACATCTTATCTCCCTTCTCATCTAGAAGTGGATTTCGTCTCTCGTAGGGCGTAGATCCAGCAAGGTAGATGGATGGATCGTAAAAGCAGCTTCAAGTTCTCATTGATAGATAGCCTGCATGAATATCAGTCGCTAGGTAATTAATTGATCATGAACAACAAAGTATCTGCTGTGCTTCCTTCCTCCTCCTTCCTTTCCCCTCAATAAGACATGAGGTGAAACCAATCATCGTTCCCCTCATGTCATAAATAAAATCATCATTTGTTCAATTGCACAGAGAGATACAATGACATTATGACACACTCTCATTCTCATACCACATCCATAGAATTCCAATATGCAGCCCGAGAAAATTTGCAAAGCTTTGTCTTGCTGCGTATAACATGGCCCATCTTACTGCTGATCAGCTCTGCTCTCCCTGGTCATGCGAATTATCAAATTGACAATCGGTACACAAAATGGGAAATACTTGAATATATGTACTATTACAATCATGGGATCTTCTCAAGTACACAACTAATCATTTTGAGAGTTGCTTCATATATCTTGTCACTACAATCACACCAGCTTACACTGCGACCGACATTAATTAGGCCTTTGATCTTTCACCAAACCTTCTGCTTATGTATAGGAGAATTTGCATATTAAGATCCTGCTTTCCTCTTTGCTCCTTAGCGACGCCTATCTCGATCTCGAGGTGGTCCTCTGTAGCTGTCATATACTCTGTCGACTCCTCTATCGTAACCTCTCTCACCTCCCCTACTTCCATATCCACCACCCCCACCACCCCTACCTGAATACCGCCCTGGTCGCTGATTTCCTGGTCCTCGATGACCTGGTGGAGGTCTGATGCCTGGAAATATCTCTTTTCCACGATCAACAAATCTATCTCCATCCTCAAATGTATATCTATTGATATCTGATCCAGTATGGCGCTCAATGTCTTTGGTGGTGATATCTGCAATTGCGTCTAATCGTCTATTGACCAAATCCTCTGATGCTGGCTGCCAGTACAGCGTCGGTTGTGTCGTGGTAGATTTGAAAAGCTCCGATAAATTTCGCGTTGGTGCAGTTCTTGAGCCAACGAAGCTTCTAGGTCCAGATGGTGCTCCTTCAATACCCCTTGACGGTCCTGCCGGTGCAGTGACCGGAATTGATTGCTTTCTTGCAGACATCGTTTGAGATTCCCCTGTAGATTCCTGCAACACGGCAGTAACTTGACGATCCCCATCATTTTCAATTTCCTCGTAGACTACCTCCCACTTTTGTATATTTCGTCCAGGGCCGGACGCTTGTTCTTGATCAATCCATTCCTTAACTTTTTCGTCTGGTATAAAATCCACCCATAATGCTTTACGATTTGGTTCATCGGGCCAGACACGATCATGCATTACGCTGCGTACTCTTGCTGCGGCAGAGAGCGTTTTGAATTGAACGAGCGCGTGTGTTCGAACGCGATCGATGTGGAAATGTAAAATCACATCTGGATCTGGTTCGCTACCAGGCGGAGTAGCAAGAGTGGTGAGGTAATCATGAAGTCGAGGCTCTTGAAGTGGTCGGACAAAGTTGCGAATATAAAGAGCTGAAGTAGCAGGATGAATTGCGGGAGTAATTGGATTGTATGATGATTCGTCTTCCACAGGCTCTTGTGAATAACGTACCATTTCTGTATCTTCATTCGCCTTTTGTGGAGAAGAGAATAGATTCTTAAATCTCGAATCGCGTGGGCGCGAAATTCCCGGTGAAGTTGCCACAGCTTCAGCGTTTGGTCGAGCTTTTTCGACATCAATATCCATTTTATCAGCTTCTCCCTCATTCTTATTCGAAATCGGCTGCTCAACCACTACTTCTTCTTTGGAGTCATCAGTAACCGTAGGTCCATCATCACCCATTGCCACCTCCTTTAGTTTAACGTTGACTTCACCTGTATCAACCGCATTGTGCTTCTCTACCCATTCTGCATCCTCCTTTGGAGTCGCAACTTCTTCAATAGTATCACTTGGTCGAGCACGTTTTCGAGAAATATCTATAGAAGTTGGATCTGGACTTTGTGATCTGCGTTTTCTCTTCTGTCGGTCCTCGATTGCCTCTCGTGGTTCAACGGGAAGCTCGGCGGAGCTATCACCCTCAGGCTGTTCGGGTGGCTGAGATGTAGCTTTCGAAGGAGGCAGAGAGGATTCGGTTGTATCTATAGGCTGCGAAGGTCGAATTTCAACTTGCTCTACTGTGTCATTTGAAGAAGGCTGCGCACTCTCTGGAACTGGGGTCGGTTCAATGGCCTCTTCCTTAAATGCGACAGCCGGCTCAAGGACGGGTTCCGTTTGATCTGCTGTGACTTCAAGAGGTGATGGTTGAACTTCGTTACTTTCTGGGATGGGGGTTGCTTGTGATTCCTCTGTATTTTCAATTGTCGTTTCCAGACCAATCTCAAAGGATGATGTTTGTGTGGGTGAGATTGTATCTGGAGATGTTGCAGATTCTGGATTTATTTTGGTTGCATCATCCTGAAGGGTCATATCACTTTCCGAACCATCTTCATTCTCTGCAGATGCAAGTCGAGCGACTAGAGCAGGCTTGAGACCGGTCTGCGGGAGACCTCGTTTCTTCAACTCCGCTTTCAGGTCAACGACCTTAAACTTATTCCAATCAGTCATTGTAGATGGTGTGAAAATCAGTTAAACAATTGCGCATTGCTGAAAAAGAGAATTGAAATTGATGGATAGTGAAATCAAGAAGAAAATAGGATTCATGTAATGGTATTCTTGTTGGGATGAGACTTTTCTTTCTTTCTTTAAACTGTCGCAAAATGAGAAATTATACCTGCAAACATTTATCAAACTCTGGAATCAAAACGCGTCAGGGTCACGTCAAACCCCCTGTTAAATGAATATGAAAGGATGGAACAGCCGGCCCGTGCTGTATTGAGAGTTGCTGCCTTATAGTCGAGGCTCTAATACTACATCTACCTCCAGTAATGGAAAACTCCTTCCCAAGTTTATTCCAACTCAAAGACATCTCACCACCACACAACACAAGTTTCAAGTAATGCATGCGAACGAGACGGAAATATATGATTTTACATCTATCAGAACCATGTTCGTCGAAATTCTTATTTTATCTTATTAGCACAACATGATACAGCAATTGCAGTTATACTGCATGGGCTATGTATTCTCGACTCTCTGATCCCATATTGCTCTTCGAGTGCTCACTCAAACTGTCCATCGATCTTGATACGGTGACAGTTGTCGTATTATTGATACGCTCTTGTTTGGAATTTTTTTCCTCATTGCGTACACTCACTTCTCTGCTTTCCCATATTTCTAGCCTATCATTAACAGTCAGTTGTCTATCTTCAAATACATCTCAGACTAGAGGCTGTGGGCATCTAATCTGAGAGTAGAACTTGAAAGGACTTACCCTATTGGTCTTCCGAAGACACCTGCATTTCCATCAAATATCCCCTCTCTACTTTCACTTCTATACGTTGAATTGTCCTTTTTGTTTCCAAATTTTGAGCCAGTCAGAATAGTGCTTAAGTATTTTTTCGGTGCCATCTTGTTTTTCGATTTCGTACGTTCCATGGATCCCGACCACGATCTGAAACCGAATAATTTTCTTGCTAATGGCCAGCACATCGGAATGTTGGTTATGATCATCACAGTTGATGCTTCTCTTATATACCACTTCATTCACTGATGTTAGTATTATACAAGAACTGACCAAAAGCTAAGCTTCACTTACATATGTCCACATTATTCCAAAGGGATTTGCGAAGGAATAATATTTATTAGCTGCGGCGGAACTGATAGCGAATATGCCTAGGGAGAAAACGCTTATCAGAAGAACTTTCCTGTTTTACAATTAGTACATTGCTCAAACGATTGCAGGAAAGACCTGGCAGGTCAAATAACGAACTTCAATGTGGGGAGTTGTGCTTTGAGAACTAGCGGCATAGGTATAAACAACATCATGAGATCTGAACTGATGTTAAACGTCGCATTGACTATTAGGTGATGAGTTGCTGCTGAGCATTGGTCTGTCATTTTCGTCAGTCTATTATCTTCCAAGGACAAATTCTTTGAACAAACCATTTGGAGTAGGAACTGCCCAATAGTTTGAGAATGGCCGACACCATACCCCAAAATAGAGAATTTCCATGACCACCAAGCTTGTACCCACGTACACGGCTACTAATTTCACAATTAGATTGTGAGGTTTGATACCTTCCCTGTTTCTCAGGTCAATATTGTTATTGCACAATGCAAAGGGCCGCCTACATCATCTTCAAATACATGCACAACAAACAAGCTTTGCCGCCCCAGATGGTCATGATCATCGACTGTTCCACCACAAGCACGAGTTTGCTTCCTTTTATACGCGACGCAATAGAGTCGGGAGTAAGCTATTGAACTTCTATCAGTTATCCGCTTGGAAAATTGGCCGATTATAACGCACCGTTGGAATATCAGATGGCAGTATGAGATTTGTGTCGTAATCGTACACTACATTCGTAGATACAACCAGCGCGGTATAGAAGAGCTATGGTTTATGTCAGATTCCGAAAATGTGGGTGATAAGGGAAGCTGAAACCAAGGCCCAACGGTTATGTGCGTGGTAAAGGAGAATGCTAATTTGAAATAGACATCACATACAAACACAGCGAACATGAGATAATCTTGGAGCTGATAATTCTTGATCGACCCGAGTTGTACCCATCTTGAAATGCTGGTAGGAATTGCTGTTAGTCTTATTCTCATGGAACGCCACCCTTCTCGCGCGTGAGATGGTATCAACTTCACATTGCAATACAATCCATTCTATTGCGAATTTGTGATAATACATACTATCTGAGGACCACAATTATTACCACAAACGAATACCAAATCACAGATTCCACCACCAAAGAATGCATTTTGTATTTTCGGGCTTTCTTCGCGTTCGTTTTGACTATGCAATATCCTGCTCAAAATTGATCTTCCGTCTTATTCATCCACGTATCGATGTTCGTATATCATCCTAGCCTTGAAAGAAATGTCGAGCGCATCCACTGAGCTCAAGTGCGCGATGGCGACGGTCCAAAAATAAATTAAGATATATAATATACAAGATCAAGCGTGAGGTAATTGGTAAGAAGGTCAAATATCATAGACGTAGAGAAGGGAAGTTTATGCACGTATCCAAAAAAAACTAGCACTTCTGCCAGGCTTCTTTCTTTGATGAAGTAACAAGTTACAAGGAAAGATAAAGAGGCAAGCTAGAAGCAATTGTGAGACTTCTAGCTTGGACGTCAAGGTTCGCTATGACTGGCTTCCAAGGCTGAGCAGGGTTATTTCATATGGCAACGCCTGTCTAACACGTGTGGAAATACTCGAGTATAAAGTTGGGGCGCTGCTTATCAAGGTTTTTAAGGACGGGAGATAGGGTTTTGGGCTGTGACCAATTTAGTTGATATTGGCTTGAATGACATGTTTCACGTTTCGAATGTTGTCTCTGATCGGGACCAGAAATACATACACCCATTCAACCACATCCTTATGATTGATTACCATAAAAAAATAATCCCAGACTGCATATTTCCTTCCTAATTCCCTTCTCCTTCTATGTACTGGTGTGCTCTCTTCCCGAATCCCAACCCTACACTTCCCCTATTTCTCCATACGAGTGATCATCTCACCCCGGTCCCTACAAGCTTCACCCACAATAAAATTACTCATCGTAGCCCCATATTATTAATATTCCAAGATTCCCAGCCAAGATGTTTACCTCTTTCCTCTTTCACTTAATGCACTTAATTCAGTTAATTCACCTACCTATGTAGTAATTGACACCATTCGCTTAATATCTTAATTTCTTATATCTTATTTCTCACCCCATAGTGACACAAACCTTCCCCCCTCGGATACAAAGTGTCAAAAATCAAGATTAATAATGAGATTTCATTTAACCATATATACCTCAACTCAAGACTCACCTAGAATTTCACAGTACTTGGTTTCAATAATTCGTCGTTGATTATGCGTGCTGTTGTTTTCAGGGGGCTTGCTTGTTTACTGCGAGGATAACGAGGATGGTGAGGATGAGGTTATGAGTTAGTGAGGTTAGTCAGGTTAGCGAGGTTAGGTTAGTGGGGTGGTGAGGTTAGAACTAATGGGGCTGATTAGGTTTGTTAAGCGAGGTTGCTGATGGGATGGGTGGATGGGTGATTGGGCCATGCAGCGACGCGGCCATTGCGATTGCATGGTTGCGAATTAGGTGTTGCGCTAAGGCGTGGCAATGTTACTGTACTGGGGGCTGGGGAATTGGGATTGTCTGTTGATGCAGTGGAGTGGAGTCGAGCGGTATATTGTAACTTAGTAAGCGTGTTGCGGGATAGATATAACTCGAGTATGCTCTATGGAGATAGGAAGTTGAAGATGGGACGGAACGGAGTTTCGGTTATGTGTGTGTGTAGTTCGAATTCAGGGAGGAAATGACATGTTAGGTGAATGGGCTGATCAATATTGAATAATTACCGGTAGCCTTATAATAACTGGGCACTGGGCAGGGTAGTCGTCAGTGGAGAATCCATTGCTATTAATATATTGTACCAGTGAAATGGAATTTGGATATATACGTAACTACAAACTTTTGTCGGGTAACGCGTCAATGGAATGGAATCTTATAAATCATGATCCGACATAACGTCACTGTCCGACATAAAGTTACTGTGCTGATCAGTATATCTGTATACCTACCGTTATACTTTTCCAATGCGACCGGGTTACTGAGTAGCATCAGGTTGTATCCGAAGTAGAATGTATATATGGAAGTGGTAAGTTTCCTGCACGACTACCTACCATTTCCTATCCGGTAACTATTTCTCGCTCGTTCATTCATTGAAGATAGTGTGATTCTTGTGCGGACATATGTCGTATGAGGCTAGACTGAGTTATGAAGGCATGCGTATAAATGAGTTTGGTTATAACTGACCTTGTAGGTTGGGCTGAATGTCTGTATCTGAAATTGACGTATAAACTTAAAATCAATATTTCAACGGTAGTTGGCGTGATGTGAAAGCTAAATTGGTTAAAAAGAGTTATACTCCACGTTAGACAATCCATCCGCACTTCTGTACCGAGTGGTCCGGTTGGTTCAATGTTGACTTGGACTAGCAAAAGATGTGGACAGTGATTTTTGAGGAGACCAGATTAAAGTGTATTGCTAATGCGGAGCTCTCTCAAGAATCAACCAGATTTAGACCACGGATCTATTTCTCACCATATATCTATTGGAAAGCGATGTAGGCATGATGAATCATCCGCATTTTTCACTCGCGTCCAAAACTTAATGTTGTTCCTTGTCTTATCCTCTAATTCGTACATATATACAACCTTCGTTTATGGCCGTTTGGTATCCATTTATATTGCGCCCAATTCCTTCAGTTTGGAGATCATTCCATCTACATCGTCGACTTTACCGCCTCCTTGTCTTGGCGGTGGTTCTATGTTCATTTGGTCAGTAATTATTCGGTATATCCTCCATGAATGGGCCAAAATTCCCAGTATAGGAGACGTCAACCTACCAATAACCTTCAAAGTCTTTAACCTTCTAGTACCATCCACGCCCCAATCACCTAAAGTAGATTTCTCTAACTTCTTCTTCTTTGCTTTCATGATACTCTGCAAGCTCGCATATCTCGGTTCATTCAATCTCAAATCAGTCGTAATAACCATGGGCAATTTGGCCCTCACAACATCCGTCCCCCCATCCACCTCCTTCGTGACCTCCACTATATCTCCATCCTTAAACTCCACCTTACTCGCCTGTGTCGCCTGACTCCATCCTAACAACCCCGCTAACATCTGTCCCGTCTGCCCCGCATCGTCATCAATACTCTGTTTCCCCAAAAACACCAAATTGCTCTTCTCCTTCTCCACAACCTTTTGTAAAAGCTTCGCCACTCCGAGTGGTTCCAGTTCTTCTCCGTCCTTTATCTCAACTAGTAAACTGCGGTCGGCGCCCATAGCCATGGCTGTGCGCAAAATATCTTGCGATTTTGTTGGTCCGGCGGAAAATGCAACGATTTCTTCCACGCCACCTGGTGCAGTTTTCTTCTCGCGGATTCGTACCGATTCTTCAATTGAGAGCTCGTCGAATGGGTTCATGCTGTGTTTGACACCATTGGTCTCAACGGCCGTCTGGGCTTTGTTGACGCGGGGTTTGACCTGTGGTGTTCGGATTAGTTTGTACTCTTTTCCTGCGCATAGAAGGATCAAGGGATTGAAGTTGGTTTTGAAATTGAAGGTGTTACGAACGGCATAGTCAATAACCCTTTTCACGGGTACCAAAATTCTTAAGGCGGACATGTTGGTGGTAGAGGTACTGAAGAGTTCGTCGATGTGGTGGAGGAATTTCAAAACATTGATGAAGGACCCGACCAGGTTCGGCTTAAGCTTTCTTTCCCCACACGCCAAAAATTCCGCCCGGTTCCTCGGTAGATTGTTGTCACGTGCACGGCTTTTTAAGAAATATCGGTCGTTTGTCTTGCGACAGCACCAATACTACTTCGTAGTACGAACTATGTGAATATCAAGCCGTTCAAGCCATGTCTATCCAGGCAATTGTGCGGCCTAATCTACGGAATTGAGGAGAGCATTAGCTCTCTTAGAGTGTAGCTCTGTGCGGTAAGACCGTACCGATGTTTTCGACAATACCACTCACTATAATGGACCATTAATGACCGATTAACGATCGTCATTATTGGGCCACTTCTATCAAGCCTGAAGAGTTTTGCATACTACTGAGGGTACCTGGCCTGGGAATTCATTAGCCGGTGGGTAACCAGAGCCTTATGCTCAACTCTTACCATCACTCGGCTTACTTATGCGGGAAACCTTCTAATTGGCATGATTACTCCATTGTCTGCAATTAGTCAGTGACATTGAGGTTCTGGTCATGGGTGCTAAAGTCAAGAGAATAGGCTAGTTGCAAGTTTTGACTCGATAAGGTTTTGCTCTGCATCCCGCGTTCCCAGAAGATCAAGTGATTTGTATCTTTCGGTGCATACTCCGTATATTGATATATCACCGGCATATTAACAGAATGTCTCGCGTTTATTTGGCGGCTTACTTGATATCAGCAACCTAGTTATGCAATGAAGCTCTTTTCAAATTGCTTGAGGTTCATTTGCCTCAAGACTTTAGTTTAATAACTGTAAAAACTACTCGCGGTTTTCAGGATGTTTACCCAAAGTTTCAAAATAAAGTTCAGCCAAGCTTATGCAGGATGTTCTTATTCGTGTGTCTATGGCCCTCAATTTCTATCATGGGTTCTCGCTTACTGCGCCACTTTGTTCAGCACAGTATACGCCCTAACATATTTTAATCCATACACTACAAGCTTCTGGGCCTCACAGAACAACACCATCCCCATGTTAGTGCTTGTTTAGAGCTTTCGTGATAAAATCAGATATGGAGAAGCACAGGCACTGCAAAGACCGTTGGTAAAGATGCGAGAATACATCCACAAACCTTCCTCAAGAGTATCTGATAAATGGGCAAGGATCGTCTAATGTGTATTAAGAGATGCATGTATACGCTCGCGCTAATTAACTACAATGCTTTGTTCCTTAAAAGATTTCCATAACTCATCAGACGTCCCTTCATCATAACATAACTCATACAAATTCTACCCAAACCCCCATCACTCTCAGAACTCCTAAACTTGATAAATACATCCAATATCTACAATCCAGCTCAGAGTTTAAATGTTGTAAGAATTCTGAGGGTTACTTCTGTGCTTAAAAAAGCGAGATATAGCTTTGGTGTGCTGTTTCAACAGGATCTTTGAAGTTTTGGCACGCTCGCGCTCTTCTTCTGAGTCGTATAACGATATCACATCACCATCTTCTTCAGGTGGTGAAAATTGATTGAATTTCGACGACTTTAAAGCTCTGACATGCTCTCGTTCTACTTCTGAGTCGTACAGCGAGATCTCATCACCAGATTCTTCAGGTGATGAAGACTGATCCGAATACTCAGAAGATGTACTCTCATCATCCTCTGGCTCTTTGAGTTCCGGACCGGAATAAGCGCCGTTACCATATATGAAGCGAGGATCACCGCTTTTGTTCTTCAGATGCGGGCTTTCAGGCCGAGCACTGTAGTTTTGGTCATGGACAGAATCGGGATGATTTCCTCGGCCAGAGGTTCGAGTTGTCGGGTATGTGACTTCTCTTGCTCGCTGAGGTAGCGGGGGTTTCTTGGCGTTGGCTCTCCTTCGTTTGGATCGATCTATTTTGTGAGACCGTTCCTTATCGTACTCATCGGCCTCATCGTACTCGGGCAGTGGTGAACTTGTTTGCCTCTCTCTTGTATTGAGTATGGCACCCTTGATTTCCCTCCGTTTGGATAAATCTATCCAAGGAAACTCTTCCTTGTCGTACTCATCAGCCTCGTCATACTCAGGAATTGGGGGTTCTCTGTGTCTTTCTTTTGCCATGATATAGGCTCTGTCCAGCTCTTTTGAAGTCTCTGAAGTATTTGGTTTGTATCGGAAGTTATCTGGTGTTTTGGTCGAGGAATTACGTCCTGTCGCTCGTTGACACTCGGAGAGCCAGTCATTGACGTCTCCAAAGTTCGCTTCCTTTGGTGATGATTCGTTTCCACCGGAACTCCCAAAGCGCGTGGCAAACTTCATCTCGTTCTGAGTCATATTTTTCAGCTCTCTGGAGGATTTGGGTCTTCTGGGATGAGGTGCGCAGCTTTCTAAATCAGCATCGTAACCATATTTGGGGAATCTTGGAGTGCTCGTGGTCCTATGCATTTGGCCTGCTGAAGGAAGGGCCAATCGCTGTCGTCCCTGGTCTTTATCATTCTGAAGCTTTGGGGTATCTGATGCCCCTTCCTGGCCATATTTCTCCATATAGTTGAGGAGATCTGGCATATGCTCATCCAGAAAAGCACTCGAGTAGCCATTCCTAATTGCTTTCCTTCGAAATTCTCTCCAGACAGCCTTGTCATCATTAGGATGAGTCGTGAGCACTGTTACATCATCTCTGAATCTGTTCGATTCTTCCCTAACTCTATTCTGCCGCTGTGAATCCGCAAACGAGCGGAACTCCTTTCGGAGCCCTTTCGTCTCCAGCATATGATTTCTCGTACTTTCTTCAACCTTTCCTAGCGAGTTCACCAGTAGCATACTAAGATACAATTGGATGCTCGATGCATACGATGCTACCCTCTGCCTAATTTCCGGCATATCTTTCATTGTAGTGTTGCCAAACATGATCTTCAGCCCTAGCCTCTTAACTCTGTTCCTATCCTCGGACAAGCCATTATACTTGGATAAAGACCTATCGACATCTTCCAGCATATCATAACATTCGTCGAGGATACCATGTAGTCGTACTAACACTCCATCGTTCTCTTGATTTAAAAGTGATGCTCGGTAGTCGGCACGATTTTGTAAGCTTTCCAATACAGTGTATAGATTTCCTAATTCTTTGGTAAGATGTGAATAGGCATCGCCTGCTTTTATTGAATTTTGGAGCGTGTCCCAGGATAACTGCGTCAAGGTTATGACCTGGCCGATTCCTAAATCAAGTGACATCTCGGTCGAATTGTATGGCAATGCTTGAGTATATGGTATTAAATGAAAGCAAAATCGAGGAAAAAGTAGCAGATTATATCTGAAAACGGATCAGCAATTATATGAAGCTGATGTGGTGTTGTTCAGAAGATAACCACCTGGTGAACTAATGGCGCAGTCATCATTGGGCCCACTCGCGCACGATGAGGAAATACTTGTATTGGCCAGTTACTTACCCGGCTTGGTTTCCGCCCCACTATTCAGACTCCCATCGTAAACGACAGCGAATGGAACATCGTATAATCTACCAAAATTGTGATTGTGAATGTGTTATGCATGGCTAGATATCTACAGCCTCTTTTACTGATCACATGAAAATTATGAGCCTCAAAAGAGTATGCCTAATGTATCATCCAGATTGGAAATTGCAATCAAGTTAACTCCAACCTCAATTAACTTGAGTGTATTTATCCAAGCATATAGGCAATTGAAATTCTTACCAATCGACAGAAATTAGCTGTTCAAAAAGTACCCGGACTACCAAACTACACTTAAAGTCTTCATTATTTGAAAAATCATTAATATATTAGAAAAGTTCTGAATTTCTGAACCAACTAATCCGATATTTATTCACACAATGAAGACCTACTTCACTTCATTAACACAGGCATTTTAATTTGATTCTAGAGATATGATATTATAATTAAGATACATCAAGGAAAAAGGTGAGGTGTTGGCAGATAAGAATTTCTTACCATATTACTTATCATATGCTTACAGGGCGACCAGCAGCATACATGAAAGAGAAGAGGACATAAGGGACTTAACAATGATGGCCCATTTGAATCCCTCGGGTACGGTGACAGGGTCGTTCCAGAAATCTTGGAGGTCATTTAAGAAACTCGAGCCTTATCCCGACTACCCGGGGTGAAGCCATAGTCATTTTTCCGCCATTCCCACGCTGAGATGACCTTGAACATCAACATGGCCTTCTTCACGATACATTTCCAAATCCATAGCATCTTTCTTCGCTTCCTCCTTAATTCTCTTTTCGATCTGCGCCTTGTTAGCTACCATTTCTTCACCGTAGTAGTATGCTTGAGCTGGGCAGCCAAGCCACATGAGATAGTCAACCGTACTAACGCTACTTTCCTCGAACCCGATAGGCTTTTCAACATCGGTTCGTAGTCGGTTGAACAGCTTTTCGTCCTTGATAAAACATGCTTTTTCGACCATCTTCACGCATATATGTATCCAATGCAGAATATCCTTCGGCTCGAGTGATCCAGGATGATGGCGAAACTCAATGGTGCGTTTTGGAGCATGATTAGAAAATGGTGTCTTGAGATTCCCTATGTTGAAGCCCAGACGAGTTTTAACTTCAGTGCCTGTCAGCTCCGAAATTACGTGCTGGTTGTTGACAAACGACAAGATGCGATTGAGGAATTCAAGGCGCGTAAGCTCAGGATGTCGAAGACCGAGAGTTGATTCCCGGAGGGGCTGACAGTATCTGTTAGCTACGCGCTCCTCAGGCAATATCAATAAGAGCTGGCGCTCATAGGTCCACGCAATGGCCATCAAATTGCGCAGTACGCGCCATTCGAGACCATAGTATGAGTTTCCAACATGAACATGCAATCCTGTTGTTTTGTCGACGCGAACTAAATAATTATTTCTGATAACTTTCAGTACCGTTTCCACAGCTTTTCGTGAAGCTTCATCGTAGTAGTATGGTGGAGATGACATTTCCAAGCCAAATTCCGTATAACGCCCGTCCTTGTCTTCTGGATCGCTTAGGCCGACAGTGACATCGGTCTTTAAAAGCCAATTGGTAGCTGTTATGTCGAGCGTGTCAGTTGAGCTTTTATGATCTACTTCCTGCACTATTGCTGGAATGCCAGCTTCCTTCAATTTCCTACAAATATCATAATTAATGGCATCATGGTCCGAGAGTATTTTTCCATTTACCTCACGAGGGTCATTTGGATTAGGGTTCTCTTTACCCTCATCCACAGTAGCTAAAATAAATTCAATTTCAACACCGAAAGTCAGGCGAAACTCTGCTTCTGGTGAAGGCTGTGCTGCGTTAGTTGGGCTAGCCATATTTTGGTTGATTCGATGATAATAGTGTGCGTGTGAATGTTATTGTGTCAAAAGGATCGGCAGAAATTTTAAACAGGATGAACAGGACATATATGGTGAACAATTTCATTGTTCTTTTGTTGATTTCATGTTCAGAGAAAACAAGGAGTCTCTGCCTGGTTCTCACAAGGTGATTTTCTATGTCAGGTACAAAGAGCACTGAAACTATTAATAGTTCCAGACCACCAATTTTAGCGGCAAAGCACTAAATCCTTTGTTCAGTCGTAAGTAAGACCAGTCCTCCGTTCCTTTCAGGCCTAGTATTCTTCGAAGCAAAATCGATGAGCACAGTCTAAGTCTTTCTGAGGCATGGGGTTAATGAAAGCAGAACATCCCTGGAGGCTGGAAGTACCTATAGCTAGCAACTAGATGTAGGAACTCAAAAGTATTTGGGAGAATTCAGTCGAAAAAATCTTGGAACAAGCTAGAAACTCCTGTTTCAAATATTCCCAAAAGTTATTTTGTAAACTAAAGGAATGATTGAAGCTGTTCATCATGATAATGACACCCGTCATAGATTTCATGGCTATCACTTGTGACAATGAGAATCCCGCAAGCTGGCGTGCTTTCATCTTGATGTGTCCTGGCGTATTCTCTCGCAGCAACAAACCGGTTTAAAATTCGATAGTGAGTACCAATTTTTTAAACCCGTTTAAAAAATTGAACTCAATTGAGAAATCCCCCCTCAGATATCCCCTCATGACATCAAGACATTTCATTAATCTTGATGATAGATAAGAAACTTGGCATTTCGCTACGACTAGCTACTGTAGAGATCCTCTTAGTCTTCTAGTCTAGTCCAAAAGACTACAAGACTTGGCCGATAGCAGCAAACTAAACTTCGGCCTCTGCTAAGCAACCACGTTGACTTTGTGAGTTTCAGGTTCCATGGCAAAGTCAAAAAAATCCAAGAAAGATCTTAATAACGGTAATATCATATTCCTTCTCAAAATCTAGAGCCGTCACGATCCTTAGCCATGATTAAAAGCAGAGAGGTTGTTTTCCTTTATCTTTTATGATATATCAGAATAAAAATTACGCTATTCTGCTAACTTTTCTCGAGCTTTCGTCTTCTCTTCACCCCAACCTCTGTGGTGGCGAGGTGTAAATGATGAGATATGTTTGAGTTCAATCGGGAGTTTATCAGTCGGTGGATGAAAGAGGGGTAGCGTAGGAGATGGAACGATTAGGCTCTAGTATAGGATAGTGACATATAGTTCGTTTCTTGGGATGCCACATATGTCCTATGCTCTATACTAGCCAGACTAGCTTAGTAAGAGGAGCGATCTTATATATGCGGATTGCCCATCTCTCATTGTAACTTAGCCCTTCATTCAACATAATTTATGATTCTCGCACACAAAACCTCAGGTGTAATAGTAAGAGTCGGTAAATAGAAATCACCGATTCTCAGGAAACTGTAAGTATTATAATCTAATTTTGATATGGTATACAACTAACTCAAACACACAGCAACACTCGTTCGCTTCAACCACTCGTTCATTTTATACAAAATTACGGATTTTTTGAGCCATACAAAAGTCTCAAAATAACCACAGTATCTTGAGATCATTAGCCCATAACTCTGGCTGTATTGATCACTACCAGCGAAAAAAGTACGGTTTATCCTTCCAAACTCGATGTATAAGTATCGCATCACTGACCAAGTTACAGAAACCAAAACAGAAGAACTCTTTAACTTCTAGTTTATGAACTGTACAGAAGTCGGAAGCATCGCAGCTATCTTAGGACCAATAATTAAAAGCCTTTTTTGTTGATAATCTACTCATAGCGAAAAAAGTAGGATTATCATTCCTACCCCGATGAACAAGAATCATCAGACTGACGGAGTTCCAGAAAATCAAAAGAGAAAAAAAAAACTCCATTCCAGCATGTGTAAAGAGTTATACATGTACCACAGATCATGTGGCGGCGATGGAACCAAACTCTGTATATGCGACAAATCATGTCCATATTACGAACCATACTTCGCCAGTACCTGCCATTCCGTCTGGATGAACACCGAAGATCCTGACAGAAGCAAGCAATGCCGCAAAAGAGTGATGGATGATGAGAGGGACAGGAAAGGTGCTATCATACCAGTTGCTGCGTGTCATGGCTGTCCTGGACACAAACATCATATGAAGGGTGCTGATTTACCACAACCTGATCCAAATCATCAATCAGCAAGAGCAAAAGAAGCAGCGTATAAGATGGAGAAACGGGAAACTATCATATCAAGGTATATGTTATAGAATCTCAGCGAACTTTGGAATTAACGGAGGAATTTTTGTAGAAATGATTACTACTTTTATAATCCTCTTGCCATCCTACTTTACATTTTGAGAAGAACAATTACCTTGAACTAGATACCAATATCAATAATAGCTCAGCTAGACAGTTTACTAGAGAGACAGCAGGGCTGGGCACGTGTATTCTATCCGGGGTGTTTGATTTCTATAGAATATTACCTTACTCTATAAAATATAATTTTAATACTTTAATTTCAGGCTACATTTTTTTAATCACTCATTTTAATATTAAAAATCACAATTTTTATTTATTAATAACTTTATAATAAATTAATTAAAGATTTATTCTTTTTAATATTTCTATTATATTGTAACGATCTGGTCGAGGCAGCGGCTGCCTGAGGTTCGTATGGTTGATAGTTATAGGTTAAGGATAATAATCACTAATTATTCACTTGAAAATGAATTCGTTATTAAATCAAATAAAATATACATAAACTAATTGATAACTAAATTAAACACAAAACTATTAAACTATAAAACTATTCTGATTATATATTAATAAATAGAAAGGAGTTTTATAAAATTCAAAAGCTCCCAAAAAACTTTTAAAGCTTTAAGAGCTTTTCAAGCTTCTAGAACTCCTCATTATATAATCAATCTTAAAGCTTTTTCTTTCCTTTAAGAACCTCTATTCTAGAATACAATATCCTTTAGAATAATTATCTTATTACAATCGATTAATTAAAACACTTGTTCTATTTTAATATAATTACTTAGGATACTTATTCTAGAAATCCTGAGTTTTTATCTGTAGACGATTAAGCCCTTTAAAAACAACAATTAAATCACACCCCCCAGTAATCGGCATTTAAATCACCGATATCAATAATACTACTATAACCTATACTGTGAATCGTGATATATATATAAAATAGATTAATTATAAAAATCAAAGAAAACTTAATATTAAATATTAAATAATAAATTATAAGAAATTTGAAATCTACTCATTATATATTATTTTAATTCATAATAAAATTTTATAAGAATTTTTTTTTTATAAAATTAAATATAAAATAACCTTTCTAGTATTAAATAATATTAATCAAAATTTAAATATTATAATTAATTATAAAATAATCTTAAGAACTTATATAATTTATCTTTAATTATTTTTGTTCAAGTGTTACATTTATATAAATTTTTCTTTATATAAAGATTTGAAAGATTTGAAAGATTTGAGTTGAATAAAGTTCTACATCAGATGTATCTAAGGTATTTATTAGTATTTAAAGGCAATTGGTGCAAGGTTTTATATTTCACCGCGATCAATGTATTCGTGAATGCTAAGAGAAAACAGATATCGAATATCTTCCAATCATATTATTAGGATTGCGATTTATTTTCTATTATCTAATGCTGAACCTTTTCTTCTTAGTTCTTACAGCCAACTATTTTGCACACAGCTAAAATGCTAAAGTGGGCAAGCCTTCAATCATTTTTGTATAAACTTAATTGATTTGTAGATACCCTCACTTCTTTCCGGTGTCAACTAGCTCATTTCGCAACGAATTACCCTTAACCCCAGCCTATAACCTATCCGGCACATTTTCCGTAGTAGGATGCAAGAATTCTGCGAATCTGTTTCTTCTTGTTAGCGAATCCGAATATCAAAATAAATGGGGTTATTGTTGTAGAATAAATATCATACTCTTCAAATTCATTGCCTCCATGGCCAATAATTATGGTTATCCAAGAGTTAAACCAGGAGTTTGAGTGCATTGCTGGGAAATGAACTTGGATCAGCCGATTATGAAATCTTTGGCCTCTGATGCACACGGGGAGATGGTAACAGATTTCTATATATATCAATAAAGTTCTTAGATATATTCTTATGCATAAACTTACTATTCGAATTAAACTTGTGGCATGGTTGTCTTTGTACATTGGAATCCATGTTTTCGGCAATTAGGTATATTGCAATTATACAACTGTTTGTTCCACAGAGGAGGAATATGCTGTAGTTTTGAATTAACCAAGCTACCTCAGTTACGTCAAGTCGCTCCAGATGCAGCTGCACAGTATAGTAAATTGCTGTGTACAACTGTAAATCCAATTTTCCGTCTTGGAGCTGGTGATTGTGAGCTTCTGGAGAAGTACATCTGAAGGGGAAAGATATATAATATCGGATCCCTGAAGCTATCATATGGAGACACGACTCTTCGTTCAATGCTGAACTAACTTCATTGATTACCGCAATTTTGTGTAACAGCTTCGCCTTGTTTCTGATTTGAACAGCCGTGCAAAGACTGTCGATGCTTGGAGGCATTCGACGAAGTCCGATAGTTGGCTTTAAACTTGGATCAATCTCAAGCGGGATCGGAATACACATGAATCTGTTATTGGCCCAGATAACAGCTTCGTCCAAGATGATATTATCATGGCGGAACGAATCTTTTGTCTCAGGTGATAACGCATCAGGACTAAGACTGCTAAACTTTGTTAATAGTCTAGAGGCGTGAGAATTAGTTCGGCTTGTGCTCTCGGAGTTGAATGGCTCATGTGGTATCCGGTTAGATTATCAACATCATTGGAGGCTCGCTCTGAATCATCAGCCGGTTTCTCAATGGTGGAAGATGAGCCGGTCAGATTGGTAGATTTTGATGACGAAGCTTCGGCCGAAGACGTTGAGGGCATTGTACGTGCAGTGTCAGTCTTCGCAGGATTTCCACTTCCATCAATTTCCATTTCTTCGTCATCACTAGAGACCAGATCAATGACCTCCAATTCAACTTTTTGGGATTGAACTTTTTTTGCTCGTGATTCTAACCACGCGAGTTTGAAGCAGCAAATTAATCTTCATCGACATCCATGTCATTGACAAACCTGTCCAACTTTGCAACGTCTAGTGGGAAACTGCTGTCTTAGAGACAGCTGCACAGCATAGTAACTTGCTAGCGATGAAATCCCGTTGTCTCTTTGCCTGCTTGATTTGTTTGCTGAGAGACTTGCCCTTGAATTTAGACTTTGGCTTTTTCTTCTTGCTTTGTGTTGTCTCTTTGTTGCCTGTCTTACTTGCTTGGACTGGTGGGGGTGATTGAAGTGGTAGAGTTGGCTGAGTTGTAAGAGAAGGCCTGCACCAGTTGAAATCATTAGTAACGATCATCAATACCATCTAAGTAGTACAATCGAATATGGATATAACCTTGTCTGCAGAGTTTCCAGGGACAGATATGCGGGTCAAGGAAACCCGAGATACTTTGGTCTCGATAACAGTGTTTAATCCGAATACAGATAAATTGAGTGAAACCTAAAGAAATATCAAGGAGCTACTTGCATGGTTGTAAATCGGCTGAACAGAGAATAAATGCTTCAAAACTTGTCTCGTTGTTCGGATTCGTATCGATTGATGGAGAGAAGACAGATGAGGACAAGATGCGAGGGTTTGATGGAGAAATGAAGATAGATTGATGAAAACAGATTGGAATGTATAAAATTTCGAAGGAAAATGAATGAGAGAAGGTAAATTTTGTTGTATCACCGAAGTCGTTCCTCGATGTCGGAGCAGTTAGAGGATTTAGTTTTCACTGCCAACTGATCAGAATATAATTGTTGGAATGAAATGAGTTTCCAATTGGAGAAGGAACCACGAGACTCGTTCTTCGACCAATGCACAAAACGAAGGAGCGACCAATACACAAAACGAGAGAGGGACTCACCTCTAAAAAGCCATCGACCTCGGAGGAAGTATGCCCGGAAAGTATGACGGAAAGGAAATGGTTAGTTGTAGATTCGAGATCCCCCATCGTGACCGAGGCGTGTTATACCTGTACTATTATCCCTAAACGTTGTGGATAATAGTACAGGTATTTCTGTGCGTACCATAGAATCGTCGATGGCAGTTTTGCGTCGTGCCATAGACGGAATATCAAGAGTTGTGGTATCATCTCTGTCATTGGTAATACTGAAAATGATTGTCTATTGGAAAGGAGAAACAAAATTTGATGTGAAGAGCAGGCTGTTTGTAAACGAATCTCCAAATATTTTTTTGAGATCACAAGATAAATAAGTTATATCTTTTTTTATTTTGTTACAATTCACTACAGCAACCACCTCCAACGCCTCGGTTATTTAAACTAAATTAGGTTTTTTTTTTTCAAATCAATTCTTCTTTGAGTTACTTTATTAAAAATCAAATAGTAACTTAAAATAATAAATTTGAATTGAAATAATAAATTTTTTATATTGATATTAATTAATTTTAAAACTTATATAAAACTCTTTAATAAGATTAAGTTTAAAAAATTTAATATATTATATTAATAAAATCTTTTGTAAAAAAAAATACAAAATTTATTATTGAATAATTAATTAATCTCCATTTCAAATATTGATAAATTAAATTCATAGACTCAATATTACAGATCTTGAACTATAAGAACAATCATATAATTCCTTTATCTATCGGCGAGCTGATAGCCTGTGCATCTGGGATCCGATTTACCCATTTTAGTATGGGAATATGGTGACCTTAAGATCGAATGTGTACAACCATGTAGCTACTGTATAGATATTTTGTATATATATATAAATGCTTTTTACAAGTTATATAGTTCTTCAGTTGTAGATTCTAAGGAATATAATTGACCCTGTTTATTCAGCTTTTATACGGCTATTGTGCGTCACACTCAAAGAGTTAAAATATTGATTTTCAAGATTTTTTGTAAAAAAAAAACCCGAAACAAGAGTAGTCTGAAAGTAGAATAATTGACTCAACTTTAAATACCTCAGAACACAAGAACAAACGAAGTGTGGTTATCTTTCGGTTTCTATTTAATATGTCATAGTCAAGGACCGTATACATCAAAAAAGGCTCAAAATGTACCGGATTTCCTGATCTCAGCAATGTCCCTCACGATTTTGAACATTTATTCTCGTTAATTACCGGCCTCCTGTTTCATGATTGATGTTCGTATTTGATCACTATTATCGGACTGATTTTTATTAGGCTTGGAAAGTCTGGCATACTATTGTAAAAGTGGTAGGTCGAGATACGTGCGTCCCGATAGCACGCTGTGAGGAGGGAATTGGAAGAGAAAGCTGAATTAGATTACATTGTAATACGTCACTTATGGATAAAACGGGGTTCACAATGGTTTTGGGGTTGATGCTATATGGGTTCAAATGTATATATGTAGAAGGTTGATTATTGTGAAAAGAAGAGGCAAAAGGTTCTTCTTTTATATCTAACTACAGAAGGTCATGTGATTGACTAGCTAAAACCTTTATGTATTTGGCCTATAATTCCAACTTTCTCACACTATCTACTCAGAGTACCTAGCTAGCATAAAATTAATCGACCATTGAGCATATTCACTGAGTGAGATTATCTATGTAATGTATTAAAAGCATTCAATTTCATGGTTATGACTTTTTTCTATCTAAAGAAAGACAAGGTGGCTAGACTATCTAAGTGTGATTACCCCGTCTATCCTTGCTCCTTGAGTTTCGACGTATCGATGACAGAGAAGCTTCTCATGTTCCTCCATGTCTCTCGCAATCCTAATACATGCCTTCGAACGTTTGGCAGCGTCAAATGCTTGTCTGATGATAGGTTGATCACGGCCTGGACATTGAATATCTCTGCTATTCGTAGTGATAATTTGAAAGGATGTCGTATGTGTTAGCATTACGGAATTGCGACCGGGATCATTGGTGAAACCGGGTGATTGGGTACGGATAGGATCTTCGAAAACAATATCAGCTGATCCTTCTTGTATAGAATCAGTAGTGTGGATATGAACTTTTGTAAAGTCGTGATCGGGATATTCAGTTCTCAATTTTCCTATTGTATATTTATACATTTTAATTTGTATTGTGTAATGGGAAATAATGATAATTGATTGTGGGGGAATATTGCATTTGAGGATGAAGTATTCGATGAGATTCATATTGATAGTTGTTGAGGTGAGGTTCATCTATGATTTCTTTAGTATCAATGGCTTCAATGAATAAATATGGCTTTGAGATAGTGTTCTTTGGGAACACTTTCTCGAGGACAAGGCCCTTAACACCTCTGCGTTGCATGTCTAGAATAACACTTGGCCAATGGTATGCTGTGAAGTAAGTAATGGCGTTTTGGGCAGTCTCACGTGCGAGTCCCTGTCCATGTGTTAATAGAGGTGCTTGTGGAGTGAGTTGTCGTATATACCCTAAAATGACCAGTTGCTCGACGTCAAATGTGGCAAGCAACATGATTAGACCGACGATGGTAAGTAGACCACCTTCATCAATAAACAGGTGTGAACAAATCTTTGACTCTAGGGTGGCCAGCTGCACTGATCTGAAGTTGGAATCGCTTGTCCTTTACTCCGTACTGAGCAGGATCAATTTGTCGATGATAGAGGTGACCATGTCAAGGGATGTTGAAGTAGTGAACAAATATTTGACTCTACGACTTGATTTGCAGCGCTGCTGATGCAAGCGATTGAAAATCTAGGTTGCTGAGCCAAGATGGTGACGATGACATAGGAAAGGAATTCTGTCTTTCCGACACCATGAAACCTCGGAAAATAGCTATAGTCTTTCGATGGACGTTCGTCGGAGCATTCTTGAGGTAATTGATGGCGGGAATTTGATCGTGTGCAGTGATCTTGGTCATGATCTCAGAGGCCAGCTCAGCATATCGATGCGAGACATCACACAATTATCGTGCATAAGTAAGACTTTGGGCCAAACTTCCATAGAATGAGACTTGATGTCACTTTTGTCGAAATTGAGGGAAGTTGAATGCAAGAAGTGATTGAGAGATTTGAAAATTCGGGATTCTGCCCGACTCTCATAATGATGGATCTATTGACGTCGACCTTTCAGCAATTGCTTTGTGCCAACAGCAAGGCAATCTGCTTTGATGCATTGATGAGAGGTCTCTGGGTCGATCGGCCTGATGGATGTACCTAAATCGATGGTGGGAGTATTGTGTTGAGTGTGAAGTTCCGAGACAAGTACCGATGGAATTCTCACTTTCAGTATTGGCTGGAGTGGTTCAAAGTTATCAGCGAAAAACTTATGCTTGACCACAAGACCATCAGAACTGCAATATTGTTAATCTACGGTGGCAGGTATTTGATGGAGAGGAATAACTGACCACTTGAAGATAAAACGAAATTTCGTTGACTTTCGTGTGAGAAAATGCCAATGCTAAGATCGACGCGGTCCTTGGATTGATAAACTTCTCGCGCACTGGCTTTGATCAAGTGTTGGTGCTGGTGGTATGACATTCGCACGAAAGGCGTTTCAAATAGGAGGAATTCCATCTGATTCTCCTTGTTGGAAATCCACGAGAAACTTGAAGAAAGCGGGAATCGGCGACGCACCGCAGATATGCGCGCTCGTTCTGATCGTTATTACTCATCTTTTCGATATCTTGAGACAGAAGAGAAGATCAATGAAAGGAGGATAATTTGTGAGTGATCTTAATCAGTATAAAATTCGATGTGAAGAGGTGTTGTAAAGATTTTGTTGTGAGAGTTGTGATGTGTTGTAAATTTTAAAAGAAACTGCGAGTTTTTGGATTGTTGTTGTGGGAAAAGAATAAAACTCTGATCGAACGAGCGACGGCAAGCTAGTGAAAAGTAAAAGTGCGCTGATAATTAGCCGAGGGCTTTTTCACACCAAGACTGGACTATTTTAATAGATTATGATAATTGTAGTTCTCAATAAAATTGATTGTAATCTTGTTTCAGTTGAAACCCTTTTAATTATGCACAAGGAAAACGGTTGAGCTTTTGTGAAAAAGACTCAGCTAAATCAGTTCGTTGTTACTATAGAAACATCTGTCACGGGATCACCATTCATTCATTCTTAACTTCCTCGAGCATCGTTCATTCATCCCATCATCTTCATTTACTTCACCATCCTCATTCACTTCACTCATTTCATTATCTTCACTTCACTGAAGTATTCGTCATCATCAAAAATCCATACAAAGCATTTGAGTCCTCATATTATTCATATTCTGGATCTAGAGGCGTATTTTTATGTTCACTTTCTCAAGATACCCCTTCCAATTCAATACAAACCTCTCCTTTCTTCCAGGTCTTCACTTCCTCCAATTTCGATCTTGTTCCCTTCACAATTATCTATGCCTTATCGTTCTCCCCTAGGCTGGAAACTTTGTGCTCTGTTACATACAGGATACTCTATTCTTGTGCTTTTCCCCCAATTTTTACAAAGATTTACATCTTTCGTCGCTACTGTTCTTGGCATAAAGACTATATGTCTGAATTTCTTGCTTCTCACCAAGACAATACATGTTACAACTGACTTAGTCTTCCACAGCGGCTGAGAAGTCCGGTGCGTTCATAAAAAACATGATAGCTGCAGTGAGATTTAAAGTGGTATTGCCTGTATCAGAAGTCAACAGCAAAACTTTTACTGTGCTTTCTATGTCTTGGCATTGGTGTCGAACCCTGCTCCGTTCTTCGGTGACCACTGTTCCATCTATTAGTATCTAATAGAGATTAGCAATCTACTTCCGTCCTTCAAGGCATTATTCTCGATTATTTTGACTTGTTTCAATATAAAGCAGTGCATCCAACTCTTTTGTTGCAGTACTGACACTTCGAGCGCGTGTGACGTGATGAAGTACTACAGTACTGATAGCATCTTATTAATAAATCGTCAAGTTCTGTGTTGTGTAAAGTGGGTATGAAAACTCATTTTTCTTTTGTGAATATTCCCAAGATCACCTACATCAGCTACAATATTACACAATTTAAGAAAGAAAAACTACCACATTTCCATGTTTCAGATTCAAGAAAGGAAGCTTGTTGTTTGTACTTAAATTTCTCAGTATAAGAAAGGAAATCTATCATACTTTTATTTTTCAGATTCAAGGAAAAAAAACCTGTCACACTCTGATATCTCAATTTCAGAATGGAAACTTATCAAATTTCCATCTTTCAGAATTCATTGCTACAAGAAGTTGGACTTCCACTTCTATTTTCCCATAGTGTTCAGGTCAGCAAAGGTATTGTTGACAGCTGAAGCATGGTTGTATGGTGTTTACAGTTTACTCTACCCTCCTCCCATTATCCTTCTTCTCCTACCCTTTCTCTCCCTTTCACCCTTCCTGGTTATCCCTATCGGTCTTAAGTCCATTCATGGTATTCAGGTCGGCAAAGGCTTCGTTGACAGTAGGAGCATGGGCGTACTTATTATGGTTCTCAGTTGGTTGTTAATTGTACGTCGAACGATCGAAGCCTCTCATTGAAGGACTTGGAAATAGAACTTGTAAATTTACTTCTTGGATTTGAAATTACGTCGAATTGGGAAGGCCAGGTATCATCAGTGCAAGCTTAATCTTCTTCCTGATCAAATGTGATACTCCCTGGAGACTAACTACTCCCTTGAGACTAATTACTATCTCGAGACTGGCCACTCTATTGAGGCTTGCTATTCTCTTGATATTAGCTTCCCTTTCCAAAATCAAATATATCGGGCTTGACCCTAACCAGAATTCGTCTATGATCAAGTTGACTACTCTCTTGAGACAAGCTTTCTTTTCAAAATTAAGCATATCTAGGCCTGACCTACCTAGACTTCATTTATGATCAAGTTTGCTATTATCTTGAGACTAGCTACTCTTTTGAGACTCGCTTTCCTTTCCAAATCAAAAGTACCAGTACAAGCTTGAACCCAACAAAACTTCGTCCATGATCAAGTTTGTTGTCAATAGCTCAAGTTCCAAGTTCAATCAATAGATCCAATTCGGATATCTTGGAATGGCAAGAAGACCCTATCTCGCTGACAGGTCCATAGGTCCATAAGCCCAAGGTCCGAATTCAATCAATGGGTGCTTTCGATGGTTGGAATGACAAGATGAAACGTTTCCATTCCTTTTATGCCCTAGCTGCTGCGGTTCAGACAAATGGCAACCGTGTTGAAATGGCCATTGATGGATTCCTTGTGTTGTCGAGTCTCACATAACAAGAAGTTTCTTTATTTCAATCCGATAGGGCTATTATTAATGGATTTCTTGAGTCTCACATAGCAGAAGTTCTTTATGCCAGGAATTTTCTTTGTGCCAACCCCGAACCATTAAACTCCTAGATCTTATTGTTGTTTTCGGTGGCTGTGTTCGAAGTGGGTGGTAGAAAGTCGAACTCTCATTTGTATATAATATCGGTTAGAATTTATAGTATATAAAGTCTAGAGAAAAGGGAAATAGAACTAGAAGGAAAGGGGTGGAAAGGAGAAGGAAAGGGGTGGAAAGGAGAAGGGGGCGGAAGAAGAGGAAGGCAAGGGTGGGGAGTGGAAGAGGAGAGGAGAGGGAAGAGTGGATGAGAAATGAGGGGAAGAAGGAGGGGGGGAAAAGTCTTTATATAAATATAATAATCTTTTCAAGATTATTTAAGAAATCCAATTTGATTATAAACAAGGTCTATTATTTATTATTAAATCATTGTTAAATATATTCTTTTTTATTATTCTTTCTATGTCTTTAAATATATTATTCTTTTAAACACTATTAATTAAAAAGAAAACGTACCCCGAATATATCATTGATATTACCTATTCCAAAAAAAATATAACTCATGCATACCACCAAAATTGAAAAGACTAGAAGATTCAAAATACCTGATACAGAAGTGATTAAACATTGAGCAGAGCTGGCTTTTTGATAAACAATAGAAGCAAGTGGAACGATAGTTACACTATTATAAACTTGCCCTTCTCTAATGGTTGGGTTGGTAGAATATAAACCGATAATAGTTGTCTTATTAGAGTTTCCTGATCCGAATTTGGATTAAGTGAATTTTGTATATTATACTTAAATCGCTGCTAAGGTTTCATCTCCAATTGTATCCATGGATGGGTAGGTCAGCGGTACCAAGGGATGATCACGTGAAGGACGCTGTACAAATGCTGATTACAAGCCTCATCCTCCACTTCTCATCCACATCTTACATTAAATCAGTACCTATCAAGACCATTCAACTTCTGTCTTTATGATAAGTTCTCATCGCGACCAACAACAATTGGATGCACCGCACGGCTCTTACTATTATGGCTGGCAGCAACTTAGAAAACGAGAGTTTTCCTAAAACTTCAAGCGACCATGAAATTACAAGCCTTTGTGAAGTGTGCGATAGTATCATTTTCTATAACACACACATTGGAGTTGTAATGGTATGTGTGCCTACATCTGATTTACCAGATGAGGAGATACTTAGCATGTTAGTGATATTGAACGGAGCTCAAGGAGGCTGCCGTCTTTGCGCTGTAGCGTGGGGCGTCTTTCAAAATTGGGGGGACGGTCGATACTTTTCTGCCAGCAATAAGAGCGATATGATATCTTTGACTGAGATTGCACAGAGTTACATTATAAGCTCTTTGTTTGTTGAACGTTCCACAGATATTATCCCAGGCTACTACAAGCTTTCTTGCAAAACAATTGTGATGGGCCCAGAGCGGGAGGTCGGAATCGATCTGATATTAGCTCTGGATGTAGTGAATGGTGGGCTTCTCTTTTATTCTGTCAAATTTATAAATAATAGCTTGAAGGCTATATATGGGGAACTTGAGAATATCTATTGATACTCGAACACAGGCTACCACGACTTCCATAAAACCTCACAGCCCTCAACTAGCATCGTCAAGCTCTCCGAGGAAAGATGGAAAAAATTCTGTTGCTCATCAATCGCGACATGTCAGAATATCCACGAATTATGCAATTCAGAGTCAGCGTCCAACGATTCTCCAGGCCGTTTGCCCACCCGCCTCATTGACCTCAAATGTGACCCTCCAAGATTAATTTCGTCGTCCAAACTACCATTAGATAGCTTGTACACAACGATAAGTCATTGTTGGGGCAAAACGCCGATTCTTACTTTGACAACTAAGAATTTTGGAGCTTTTCAACAACAATTACCCGTATCTCAACTCAGTCAAACGTTTAAGGATGCTATTCACATAGGGAAAAGACTATTGCGAGATTTCAATGTCCGATATCTTTGGATCGATAGTTTATGCATTATGCAAGACTCAAAAACAGACTGGCTCAATGAGGCACCACAAATGGCCCATATTTACGGAAACGCATTTTGCTGCATTGCGGCCTCTTCAGCGTCTGATGGATCAAAAGGTCTCTTCTCTTCAAGAAATTCTACAGTGGACGAGGTGCTATTCCTAAGGCATGATAGATCATATCACCCACAACTACCAAGTCCAGTGATGATAACGGTGCTGGATCGGACCAAATGGCATCAGATTATCAAGGAAGCACCGTTAAACCAACGTGGCTGGGTTGTACAAGAGAGGATACTCTCAAAAAGAACACTCCAGTTTTTCAAGGGCGAAATATTCTGGAAATGTCAGCAAAGTATGGCATCGGAGACATTTTCTGTCATTGCACCTGGTCTACGGATACACGATGATCATCTGATTTTCCCTCCGTCTCTTGTTTCAAACTTCAATTTCCGAAGCTTTTGGCATCAACTTTTGCAGACGTATGGCAAAACTGTTCTTTCTTACCCAGAGGATATACTAATAGCAATTGCTGGTGTGTCTCGCCACTTTCAAAAGTACTTACCAACGACAAATAAGCTATATTTGGCTGGTATGTGGTTCTTTGAGCTTGAGAGGCAGTTGGGGTGGTCAGCAACCCGGCACGGCTTCGGATCTGATCTCGATCATCGGGAGTGCCCTTCCAAATACGTTGCACCGTCTTGGAGCGTGAGAATAATTGGTTCTTTGATTTTGTCCTCCTCATTCCAGGCCTTGTCCTACAACTTTCCTTATCTTCAACATCTTCCATCTCAGGCTTCCTCCCTATTTTCAAAGCCTTTACTGGCAGGCACTTGCTGACTCCCCAATTTTATAGTGGGCCTCATCTACAGGTAGGTCAATTACGGCTCATTGGACAATGGGCGTAGATGCAGATGCTTCCATCAAGTGGTACGAATGGAATGAGGCAGATTACCAACGTCACATGGTTCTGGATATGAATCAAATCCAACCTCCGAGCTTCACCATAATCGAAGCTGAAACGAAAGTTCTTGGAGAAGACCCGTTCGGACCTGTAATTTCGGGGTTTCTCCGACTTCGTGGTCAATTGAAGATCGGACGGCACTCTTTCACGGCGTCCAAAAATAACACATTGACCCGGACTAAATATAGAAATGGTCACTTCATAGAAGTGATTGGATCTTCCTCTGGATCTGGGTTAATTTCTAGCATGTCTTTTGACCGTCTACATTCCGATGAGGAATTGAAGGAGATTAGAAGCGGCGTGTTATTTTTATTTCCCTTGGTATTTAAGAATCTCCGTAATGCGCGTGCCCTTATTCTCAGGCCGAGTGGAACAAGAAAGAAATTGGTAAGAATAGGCTGTTTATTTAGCATTACCAGTAAGTTTGCCATGGATTTTGATTCGGAGACTGATGCGCTGATTGGCGATGATATTTATGAGGAATCCCATGGCAACGGAGAGTATACCATCTGTATCATATAACCATCGTTTAAAACTTATAATCAATCTATGATTAGTTAAGCGAAATTTCCAATCCAGTCCGTTTGTAATTGCGGGTAACTGTATCCAACCTATATATTCAAACCGCCTGTCGACTATACTGATTGAAAATAGATGCGTGTAATTCAACACCAGGAATCTGGACCACTGCGATTAAAACCGTAAAAAGACAAAAGGAACTGCCACAAATTTCAAGAAGCGGGGCCGGAGCAGTATTCGAACCTCATGATGAACGCGAATTAGAATACACGCCGCCATGGGAATTCGAAGCGGATTTCATTTTCCCATGCATGCCACTACATGCTCTATCACTGTGTAAACCGCGAGATACACTAAAGAATTCATCTGGCCCTTGACGTGTATTCCGGATGACCGTAAAGTCTTCTACCATGCATGGCAAGAGACAGCGCTATATATGGTCAAATAAATCAACGATGCTCTGCAATTAATACCCTCACCTCACACAGCTGAACATCAGGACATCCTCGACTTCGTCGAAGAAATCGATATTACAATTGTAGCTAGGATAGTTATTCCCAAGCGGAGCTAAAGAGAAACCTGATTGGACATATAGATCTGATAATGAGTTATGCATTTTGAATGACGAAGCCGATAGGTAGGTCTAGGTCAATGTCAATGTCACTATATCGATATAAAGTAAAGTTCCTAACAAGACTGGTGGGTGGACGCAACTAATTATGCCGAGCTCAAACATTAGATGAATGCAATGTGATCATTTATCATTGTGTCTTTCTCGAATGTTCGTAAAGAAATTACTCTCATTAAGGTTACCCTGTATGACTCTCTACACCTTAACCTACTTACTCAAAATTATCCACACACAGCAACATCAATATCAACATCACCACAATAAACAACACATCACTCACCAAACATCTCAAATCAAAACGCAAAGCATAGACATCCACACATATAAATCATATAAATCATATATTCATATCTTTCTCCACCTATATACCCACTGCTCTTTAATTATCTCCCCAAACATCAAACGTCCACCATCAACATCAAACCTCAAATCTATAGCCGCAAATTCCAATAACAATACCAAATATCATCCTCCCATATATCATATCTCATCTGCATTATATACTCATAGACCAGCGGTTTCCTACTGGCCCTTGCCACTTCTGCCCATTATCTACAGTCTTCTTTCCCCAGCTCTGTGCCATTGTGCAACTATTCCCAATTCATCGTAACGGGTTGTGCTAGTCGCCTCGGGCTATCGCTTTAATATCCTCGCAGTATCCTCGCAAAAGAAAAGCGATTGATTGACCACCCAGCACCCCACCACCCAGCAACCAACATCCACCCAAAAGCCCAACATTCCGCCCTGAGAGAGAATACCCCCACCCAATCACTTTTGGATAAAGATATACACGCGAAGAAAGAGGAAGAAAGTATGCTGAATCGCACGTCGCAAGCAAAAAAAAGTCATCGGATCCCACCACGCATTACAATCCCCAAGGATAAGAATAATCTCTTTCACTCCATCCCGGTATAAAAACCATGGATGAAAACCCCGGCACTCACATCATCAAAATTAATGACGTCTCATCAAACCCTTCTTTCCCTTCATCTCTCTTCTACTTCTAACCTTCTTCTCTCCATCCCTCTTGACGTAAATAACCGAATTATCCGGATCAACCTCCTCACCACCAAACTCACTTCCAGGTCCGAAATCCGGTTCACCACCCAAGCTACCAAAGATATCTCCAATATAATTAGTAGCATTAACACCACTCTCAAAGGTAGAGTTCCATTCCTCGAGAAGTCCCTTGATGACTTCCGTACCAGCAAGATAAATATTTTGGATAGCGGGTTCGAAACCACCTTGGTTGGAGTACAAAAGGTTGTATTCGACAGAGGCACCAGGGTATGGACGATCGAAATCAGATGCTGTGCGCATGATGATTATGCGGGAGAAATCGACGAGCTTGAAGAGGGCTGCGCGCATGAGGGCGGAAAGTGTAGCGTTATCTTCTTGGGCTGTCATGCAGTAGACACCGGATCCGTTGGTGAGGAGTGTGGTTGTGTTTTCGAATGCTTCACCGAGGAGTGTACCAGAGTAGTAAACATCTGAGGTGGCGGTGTCGCACGTGATGATTGTAGGAGCATGGGTTGCTGCTTGATATTTATTGACCTCTGTGCTGTTTGTATCATATAAAGTACGGTAAGCGATTGAAGTCTCCGAGTCGTTCAAAGTTGCCTTTTTCGCGAACGCCACAGCCAAATCTCGAAGTGGTTCGTTGACTTCGAATACTTCGGTTCCGTAGATGTTACCGGGATATTGATCGGGAGCATATGAACCTTGAGGGAAATATCCAGTGGTGAAGTTCTCAGGTTTTTCTCTAGCGTCGAATTCATATTGAAGGGCTACTTGGATGGTATATTTCGAGAATGCAACATCACCGAGAGTGCCGTGCTTTGGGTTGATACCAGCAATTCCGCCAACGAGGAAATAAGTCGAGGTGAGATCAAAGGCGGAGGAGAGAGTCAAAGCGGTGATGGTTGATGCTGCGTTAATTTCGGATTCTCCAGTGGTGAGTTGGCAAACGGAACCGTCTTCGAGACAATGAGCTTGTGGGAAGAGAGGAGAGAAACCTGGAACGGTAATATTCTTGGCGAAGAGATTTCCAATTGAACCCTTGGTAAAGGAGTTTTCATACCAAATATCTGCTTCAGGTGTGAACTAAGAATTGGTCAGATGATATTCACACATTAAAGGTAAAATCGCATTTTCTCTAGATAAAAATAAAGCGAAAAGTATAGAACGAGATTAGATAAGACGATGTAAAAAATTACTTACCATAGAAATGATAAAAACCTTGGGTTTCACCACACTAGCTGTTGAATTGGTAATATCCAACTGAATATCCAAACCATCTGCCTGAATACTAACATGAATATCCTTCTTCTCTAAGGTAGTTTTCGGGAGTCCAAATGGTTTAGTTGTTGCAGCAGCAGCCACATATCCAACACCAGCCAAGAGGCTGAGGAGAGCGGAAGTACGCATTTTATCGAGGTATGATGAAATGAGAGGAGTAAGGTATTATTGGAGGATGTGTGAAGAGGATTTCACGGGAGTAGAGTATAGGAGGAAAGGGGGAGGAGGAAAGAGCACGAGGCGAAGATCTTTGGATAAGAATACTCAATGATCCAACTATCACTCAAGAGGAGGAAGGAAGCACGACAGAGAAGTTATAGAAGAGGTAAAGAAAAAGAAAAGAAGAAGAAACTCCTCCGAACTCGAGGTTCTGGAAGCTTAATATATTCCGTGGTACCTGCAGTGAATTCTTTAATAAGGTAAAGGTAATGCAATGCAATCAATGTACATGATCTATCTCGTCTCCACAAAACTCCTCAAAAACATGTTAATCACACGCTTCGGATATTCATCCATCTGTTCCTGGTTTGGAGGCTTTATCCAATAATCTTCTCAATTCCGTTGGGAAATGTTGACCGATTTGATGGACGGGAGCTGATCGATCTTCCTTGCAGGCATTCGAGAGGGGAACTGGGTTGGTGTAGCATGTCAAGACATCTAGATGTGGATAACTGATGTGGATATGAAAACTAGATATGGAGTAATACCAAGCTATTCCATAACAAAGTGGTATTATAGCAAAAGATAGCAAAGACTAGGTAGAGTCGATAAATACTAAATACGCTATTCAATACGCCCTTGTATTTCAATCCTCTTTCCAAAAGTCAATCCATCTCCGATATCACGACTAGGACTAGGATCCCTTATATAAAGAGATATACTCGAGTACCTTATCGTATTGCATATAGACAAGTCAAGACCGAGGTAACCATGTTGTGCGCACAAAAGCCTTGGAATTCCCTTGAGAATCTCACCGTCACGACCCCCATTCATTCTATTCTCCTCGTTACTCGAGTACATATACGGGATATTCTCCGTCTGTAGGAGCTCGCCAATTGAGTTCTTGGCGTGATACATGGCCGAGTTAATGAGGCTTGTCTACTTGTTGCTGTAAACAATGCATACAGGCAGAGAATCCGAGATGATTTATTTTGATATGGTCATCATGACATTATGATTCTCATTGTCGTTGTCGCGATATCATCAAAATCGAGAAAGAGAAAAGAAATGGGAATTATTTATTAATTCGGTTCCTGTTCCTGAATCCAAGTTAAACAAAACAGATCAACAACACATCATTCCCCTTCCAGGATAGTATGAGAAATTCTAGAAACTCTATTATTGAAATTCCATTTCATCTTGAAGTCATTTGTCCGTAAACAAATAACAACAATTAATATTCCCATCTCCCTTACTTTACATCCTCAATTCCGATTACTTCTTGCTTATCCCAATCGTCTAATCCATAGGTAATCCCCATGCTAATCAACTACCACCCAAGCAACCTCTCTCATCCTCCGCATTGATAAAATCCAAACATTGATACGACACGACACGATACGACACGATACGACACGATACCAACCGCTATACCGATAACCAACTCTTGGGATAAACTTCGGTGGACTCCGCTTTCACTACGGACTCTTTCACAGCACCACCCACAAAAGATAAGGTTGGGCAAGCAAACATCCATGTCATCCATCCATCATCTATATCCATATTCATCATCTATATCCATATCCATATCCATATCCATATCCATATCCATATCCATATCCATATCCATCATTCTCTAGGATAAATATCTACCTTCCTTTTTAGCACTAGACGTTACCTACCGACACCCGGTTACGTTAACGATGAGAATTCATATCAAAACATCATCCGAACGTTTGGGACTTTTCTATCATGTATCATGTTCTCTTTTTTTTTATATATTTCGTATCTAGGTATCGTGGTATCTATCTGACAGTTATGACCTACCAACAGTGGGAAGTGGGAGAGAAATCTATCAAATCCTATCCATCTTCTCCTTGCACTCCCGCCCGATTCAATCAATAGTCGCGTGTACTGTACGAAAGGAAAGAGCTCAATACCTCCAAAGCCCAATATCAATATCCAAGAATGCCAAGTCACCACGGCTCTTTCCCCGTCATTAACCAAGAACGTACGAGTATGACCGGTTAATTGATGAAAAAAAAAATCGAAAAATCGGAAGAATCAAGCAAAAAGCCTCGTGGTATCCAATTTGAGAGATTGAGACATTGAGACATTGAATTGAAAGATGCCTAGTTCTTCCCGAGACCAATCAATCAATCAATCATCCAATATAAATAGTTTGATTATGATGATTTGGGTTTGTGTTGCATTGAGGGAAGAGGAGAACTGTTTACTTAGTATTCATATTCAGTACAGGATAAAGACGTCTCGTCTCGTTGTTTGTTTTTCAAATGTGATCTGGTAAGATCTTATCAATAAGAAAGCAGTCATATCCAATATCATGTAAATGTGTTCTTGAAATCAATTATGATTTATGACTATTAGAAAAAGATCAATCAATTCATCAATCATCAATAATATCACATCACATCATATCTATCTATCCACCCACACCTAAGACTTTCTTTCCTCGTCAAGATAAGTCTTACCGGTACCAAGCAGATAGATATCCCAAGATCCCAAGGACAAGGTAAGAAGATTATGAGGTGTGAATTCGTTATCATGATCAATTTTAATCTTAATTCTTACATTTATATTTATATTTAATATCTGGCACTTCCCCGGCGAAAGAGTTCGGTCGACGTCGGTAGCTTCCGAGTTTCCTAGTCAACCCATCCCGTCCCATTTATCGGTGTCTCACGGGCTTCATTCATCATCGCCGTATCTTGATCATGTGAAAATGTTCTGTTTGTGTAAGAGATTGTAAATGTAATTATAAATTTTTAAATTTTTTTTTCAATAGTTGTATTTGTTGCTGAGATATCTATTTTATTTATTTATCTTTTTTTTAATCCAGAGGTCAAATAACATTTTTAATATTGTTTAATGTGAAACTTTAATTTATAAATAAATTTTAAATTTAATAATAAAAATCATTTTATAAAGTCTTAAATTTATTTATTATATATTAAATAAAACTATATATTAAATTTAATTATATTGAAAATAATTATTTTTTATCTTTTAAATTTTAATTATATATTTAAAATATTAAAATGATTAGTTATATTTTATATTTTTATAACAGATTATTAATTAATATTTAATAAAATTTAATAAAATAATTTTTACAATTATATATATCTAAAATTCAAAACTTTTCAATTTTAAAATTGAAAAAAAAGAATCATATGATTTTAAAAATATTATATAATAAAGATTATAAAAGTTTTTATTTTAAATATTTAAATAATTATATTTAATAATTATTTAATTATTAATTAATATTTTAAATATATTTAATTTGAAACCTTTTTTAATTAAAATAATAATAATTATTATTATTTTTTGAATTAAATAAATCAACCAATGGACTCAGTGAGAACCTCACACAACAGAAGTTTAAACACTTCCATTTACCATTTCCCCAACCGGCAGACATATTCATGAATCCAATCACGAATGCTGTCTATTCACAATCTTTTCTTTATTGCAAATCGCTCCCTAATCTGGAGAGTCTGTCACGAAAGCCTCTCATCCTGCAATTGCCTTAAAGCAAACATGCTCTTTGCAAATCAATAAAGGCCCTTCAGAATCATATCAACCGACTAATCAGTATGCACGTCATCGTGATTCACCACAGGGACAGAACAGTGGCCCGAAAGTAGAGTACTAGACTTCATGCGAAGAAATGGTAGCGCAAGTTGTGCACGTGAATCTTAACCTTACCGATTTTAGGGCTAACCTATTCTCTGTGAAACACTTCGTATATGGAAAAGGCATCAGTAATTTTTGGCATTGTTCCTTTCCAACCATCCCGACGATAGTTAAAACTCTTTCCATTTTAATCCGTCTCAATCAATGTAGGTCCTGGAGAAGGCACAGGCCTTTGAAGAGGTTGAAGGAGTCTGGCAGTATGCCTACATCACCATTGTCTATCGTATCGAAAATGATCTTTATCATGGGATCTCGAAAAATCGACAGCATTTTCACGAGCCACAATCTGTTAAACTGGAAGAGCTCGTCAGTTCGACACTGATACCTAGAGAAATCTAATGGCCCATCTTTTCATCACATTTCACGCAAGCTCTCGCTTCGCCGTCTGCTACCCTCTACGTTAAGCGTCCAAGTCTGCTATCTTATGATTACCTTCAACTTCACGGCAAACCTGCAAAGATCGGCGAGCGGGTTCTTGCAGAGGTTGAAGTAGGCAAAATCCTTTGATTAAACCCGCATCCAAATATCGCTAAATACCTCGGGTGCCTTGTTCATGAAGGACGTATCACTGGGAGCTGCTGGACCAAATATCATAACGGTCTCATGGATATTGTGAATCCAGGGCACCACATGAAACGCCGTGTCATCTGCAACGGTCACCTATTGAAGGACCGGGACGTATGGTTGAATGGTATTGAGAAAGGTATTCGACATCTGCATTCATTAGGTCTCGTTCATAACGACATTAATCTTGCCAATATTATGTTTGATGATACTGGCACTCCAATTATCATCGACTACGATTCTTACAGATCAATAGGCCAGGATTTGAAAGGAGCTGGGCGGATATACGAATAGTATGATGAGAATGTTCAGAAAAGTTTACCAAGTAATGATCCAAACGCTTTGGATGAAATACGAGTATGGTTAAGCAGAGCTCTCACAAGAAACTTCAAGTTCGGAGAATGATGAAAGAGTATTGAGGATAGGACACCTGGTTTTATTGGGATTCCATCAATATCATGCCTGCCAATGTGTTCTTGACTAAATTACTACCACAGGACCCAAGATTTTTAGGGTTCTGCGATATACCTAAAGAGAACAATTTGTAATAACCACCCCCAATATCAAACGACTGTAACCTGATTTTTCAGTCAGTACAAGTCTCGCTTTTGTTTGATAAGGGAGTGCATACCATTTCAATACGAAATTGGCTTAGGCTTAGGCTTAGACTTGACATACGAGCCAAAGCTGATGCAATCTTTGCTGCCACAACCGCCTTGTTTCTCTTGACGGCCTGAGTATTTCTCGGGTTTGAAGATACAAGCATCAACTAGCCGATGATAGTGCTATTGAAATCAAGGACCACCATCTTATACACATGTGAGAAGCGATCAACAATACTTGTAATAATTACCTGGGAATAATAAAAGGCACTGCGATTTTCTAGTTCGATATAGTAGTTAATTATGTGTGGATTTGAAAACGAAAGAATGGTTCTCTTTATGTTTGGAATTAGACTTTACTTCTGGAGGAGAATTGAGTTCTTTATAATTATGTTTAATTATTCTTTTAAATGGGTTGTTATTGAATGTTGGTTGGCAAATAGCAAAATAGACAAGCTTACAACCTTGCCGTCTGCCATTTCAATTGCAGCAAAGCGTTTAACAGGTGAGTTGTGGTGGTGAGGGACAATGTGAGTCTCGATAGCTATCATTGAGATTGGCAGATGTCGTTGCAGGGTAATATTGGTGGTGGCGATGAGAGGTCTACGTTGCATCTATTATAACTTCGATTCTATAACAAATACATACAAATAAATACATAAATACATTTTCTTTATTTATAAAAATTAAAAATAATATATACAAAACAATCAATGTATAGTTTTTATTAGTTTCGATTTATATTATATATAAAAATTATATATTTCTTTTAAAAAAAGAAGTAATAAATCAAAAATCAAATTATATTATTAAAATATTATTTATAAAAATAATAATTTTTATAAAAAAGAAAAAATAAATTATCTTTTTATATCTATTATAACTTCGATTCTATAATAAAATAATTAAAAATTATTATATATATAGTTTATAATTTTAATTGTTTTATAATATAAAAACCAAAACTTTTTTTATTTAAATATAAAACAAAGAATATGATTTAATATACATTCTACTTTAATTTTATAAAGTAAAATAAGGTAAAATTTTTAAAAATCTCAAGGGGTTACATTCGATGGTGAATGAAAACTAAGAATTATATCTTGAATTGATTATTATATTAATTAGATTAGATGTTTTTCTATTATAAATTCTTATATATCCCTCAAGGCGATCTTATAGAGACATCGTACCACTGCAAATCAAGTCTATAAGTAATAATATACTTGTTTTGACGTTATGTAGCAATTAAATGCTTGAAGCTTTCTGGGAATCTCCTTGAAACATTTATTTTTAAAATCCAGCGCTGTCATACAATGAACACCACTAATTGAACTTCACTCTTGAAAATGCTCTAAAGACAGAAATAGTATAGAACCTCACAGGAACTCCCTCTTTGAATCGCGAGAAGACTATGAGATGAGCGCCCTACAATAGAAAACAACTACATAAGAAATGCTAGACCCTTCCTAGAGTTAATGCTTTGCTGTTGTATTCTTCTCTCCACCAAGCTTTTCAAGACCGTACTAAAATCAACACCGATCCTCAAATGACGTAGTATCGAAGGGAGACAACTTCAGCACAGAGATGAAAGTCCTCCATATATAGGTAGCTTTCAAGATGCGGCCCGATCCTTTGGGCGAAACCCATGGACGCATGATTTGACGATTGGAAAAAGGGACATTGATTTTCCGGTGGTCATTCTTCTCTACTACTGCGCTGAGGATGACTCATCTTCATCGTCCCTCCAGGTGATATTACCGTTCTCGTCGACGTGGAAATATCGGTTGGATGCAGCAGCCAATGTCCAATATGGCCCAGTTAATCCACCAATGCCGTCTACTTGTCCAGTATTGACTTGGCCATTGGGTCCGGGAAATGGTGATGCTTTGCTTTTCTGGCGACTGCTACTTGTGGGCTCATCCGACGGAGGCGGTGGGCGAGCCTTTGCCTGCTGGGAAGCTATCTTTCTTTCTTCCTCGAGGAAGGCGTCCAATGATTTTTGAGTTCCTTTCAAGCGCTCGCCCATACCCCAGTCGATGATCTTCAGAACATATTTGAGGAATTGTGCATAATGTTCTGGGTCCTGAAGCAAAAAACTCCTAACCTTTCGCATATAGTATTTGAGCTCATCATGTTTCCAGGTTATGAAAAGTCGCGCCTCCGTGCCATTCATGGCGATGCTGAATGCAGCACTATCACTAACCCGGACCTTGCCCCCACGCTGCCTGCTGAGGCGTTCTGCGATGTTGACGCATGATGCAGAGCCTCCAACGCACTGATTCGTCGCCATCCACATACTTCCACACCCACTAGGACCATCACACTTGAACTCAACGATAAAGAACGGAAACATAAGGTTTTGACTGTTGGCTATGATTCCATCCCCGAAAAAAGAAAGTTGGGTTTGTTGCCGAGGAAATGATTCGAATTTCTTGTATCCATAAAGCATATCAGGTACGGGAGTGCTAACCCTGGCTATGGACTCGGAACACGGAACAGCATGCCTTGCCATTGGATTTCTCACTGTTCGTTGTAAACCGTCTGTTGGGGCAGGAACAGGAAAGACGTAAGTACGGAAGTACTCTTCCACATCTGGTTCTGAGGCACCCATTTCAAGCATTTCAAGCATTTCCAAATGTGTATTATGTTTGATCTGACCTGACGGTAGATGAGGTGAATCACAATCCTTGCTTACGAGATCAACAAGTTCAGCAATGTCTGGCGGAAATTCTTCGTAGAATGAACGTATGAAGATATTATTCTCCAGCAAGTTATGAATCCGGTATTGGGGACTCGAAATAAGATTCTTTCGACCTGAGGTAGACGAGATACCACTATGTGATGGTACGGCTGATGGTCCATATCCCAACGGTAGTGAACCGTTCGCCAGGTTTGCATTGTTCAAAAATGATTTGGCGGAAGCGGGTGCTGATGGCAAAGCAAATCCTTCGGAATCCCGTCTGTACTCCATATTCGACGCCGATTTTGTAAATCTCCTAGGTATAATATCGCAGTTCGAGTGACCAAGAAGAGTATCTGACCGGCAGTGTCTTTCTCTGTATAATTCCGACCCTGATCCTGAAACAGACTTGACCCACTGGGTAACAGAACTTTTGACAGACTCAGGACAATATATTGGAGCAAAACTCGAAGGGAGAAGGTTCACTGTGTCTTCGAGAAATAATGCGCGTGAATGCTTCGGAGGAAGAGGCTTTGGTTGTTGTTGTATAGTCTGCGCAAATTTGGTCATTACGCGCTGACTGGTATGAGGGGTTTTTGACATACCTTGACCTCCTGTTCTGCTTCTTCTTTCTCAGCTCGGAGTCGCTTCGTCGCGCCAGGCCGTTGTAAAGAGGGATCACACTCCTCGAAATCTGCGAATAAGCGTTTTTGAGGTATAGGCCGAGTAAACGTCCATCCTGTCGAGAAAGGGTCTGGCATTTTAAGATAATCTTGAAGAGTCCCCGTTTATCTATTTTGTATGGGTCTGATGTGTTGATAATCGATCTTTGATGGTTGCCTAATGTTTAGTCTGCCAAATTGATGTGTTTGCATATAGCAATTGTTCACCCTGCATAGGACGGGTTTGAGCAGAGTATAGGAACTTTGTGGTTGGCAAATATGATACGATAGGAATGTTTTTGGGTTGATATAGCGTTGTGGTCGCCTGCCCTTAATTCACGTGGGTTGGTGAAAGGGTCCACGAGTTCTAGTTTTAGGTTGCCATTACTCGAGTATCGTTATCCTCAGTAACATCAGCCCAAGGGAAAACATAACTTTGTGTTTCGTATAGGGAACTAATGAACGATCTACTAGAATTTCTTCAAACGAGGCTCGCTCAATAGAGACATTATTTACTAAAACAATAAAAATCTTTTGAACTTTTAAATACCGAGCTTTTGAGCGCGGCCTCTCGGCCCCGGAAAAACAATTCGCCTCTTCAACACACCTTGAATTATTTTTCTAGTTACTTTAGAATTTTTTTGTATTTGTTTTTCTATTATAGGTTTTTTTTATAAATAATATTATTAATTCTTAAAATTTATATTAAAAAAAAAAAATAATTATTATCAGCTTGCTGATATTAAAACCTTGTTGTATATAAGATTTATTCGATGAATATATAACGATCTGATCGAGGCAGCGGCTGTCTGAGATTTGTATAATTGATAGTTATAGATTAAAACTATTAATCACTGGTTATTCACTTGAAAGTGAATTCGTTACTAGATCAAATAGAATATAAATAAACTAATTGATAACTAAATTGAACTCGAAGCTCTTAAACTATGAAACTATTTTGATTATATACTAATCCCTTTCAGGAGCTTTAAAGAGCCTACATTTCTAAAGGCTTCAAGGAGTCTAAGAGAGCTTATACTTCTGAAGGTTCCATTATATGATCTTTATCCTGATAGACTAATCCTAGCAATCCCATCCTATTGGAATTGCTTCAGAATAATCCCCTTCTTAAAATAATTGATATCCTAATATAATTGTTCTAGAATAACTATCCTAGAATAATCATTATCCTAACCTATTTCGTAGAATTAAGACATTTGTCCTATTCTGTTATGATTACCTAGAACACTTCTAGAGTTCTTAGGTTCCTAATCGTAACAATAAGAAACCTCTTTACAATCGACAACTAAATCACCAACTGTCATAATACTACTATAATCTAAACCGTGAATCATGATACCGGTATTCTGCCTGCACCCTAATATATATATTCAATATTTAAATTTATTATAAACTTTTTAAAACTAAAATTTTCATTGGATTTTCTCAAAAAGTCAGGGGTCCGGGGGATATAAACCTTTAATATTTTAAGTATATTTAAAGTATATTTTTTATATTTATAAATAAAAATAAAAATTATTAATTATATAATTTAATAAATAATCAAAAATCAAAAATTCTTTTTATTAATATAAATTAAAAGAAAATGAAATAATTTAAAATTTAAAATTAATAAAACAGTTATAATAATTAAAACTTTTAAATAATATATTTATTATATTAAAAAAAAATTTACTAAATTATTAATAATTCAAAATAAAAATAAAAATATAATTTTATAATATAATTATAAATCTTATTGATTGAAAAAACTATTGTGAGATAAATCTTTTTTATAAATATAAATCTTACTGGCTTAAAAAAGCCTCCGGCAGGACGAGCTGTGAGGGAGGCCAAAAGAGTTTATATAATAAATTCAAAAGATAACATCAATAGCTATAGATTCAGTCAAAAATCTAGTTTGTCAGCACATCCATGTTCTTGCCCCTTTGATAGAGAATAAAGCCCACGAAAAACTGCCTCGGCTTTTGAGGCATATATTCATGTATAGATAAGTGAAGCTTGAAGACTCGTATTTATACTGGGGTTGAAAAATAGAAAGCCTAAATATCTAGGTAATTATTGCTCGTATATTGAGTGCCCGCACGTCCAGCTTTGAGTATCTTATGGAGGTATCATCATGACTTAGTTGGGAGACTTATACCAAACGATTCATCAGAGATCTCGACGCCGTTCTGGATACAGTTACTACACGGATATACTTAAACTATTTCGGTAGCAATTTAATTATGTAAGCAACGTTACCGAGCTACGAGTGGTGTCACGGTAGCTTATATAATTCGGTTCAATTATACTGAGTGAGGGGGTTACGGGTACTCTTATTAACAATCAATAAAATATCATAGTGGTTTATTTCAATCAACTACATTCGAAATTAATTATTGAAGTATACTTTCTATTGTTCCTAATTGGTTCATTAATATATTCAAGATCTTGAAAATATCGTACTTGGTAATTGATTCAATTGAAAGTTGAATAATGAGGCTTGAAAGCCCTGTAGTTTTAGTGACTCAGGGCCTGTAGGATAGCCTATAGCCTATAGCCTATAGCCTATAGCCTTGTAGTTGTGTAGGACAAGAAAAAGAGCCCTCCCTACTGGTCAGCCTTTCATGCAAGTATTCTACACAGCTATGACGACCCCTTTCACCAGGTTCGAACTAATTGATTGTGGCAGGTATCACCCGGGCGGAAAACGATCCGTGTGGGGACGGCAATATGTCATTCCCTGCAGAAACAGATCATCAAGCTCCCTCCCCCACGCAAAATCAAGAGATTTATTTCACTTGCCGTACGTACGCCATGGTAATTATTCCCTGTAGGCCCTGAGAATAACTTTTCGAGCAGGTAGCTTTTATTGCTACTTTGCTGTTATTGTTTCCTTGACAGCTACTGGAAAGCAGAACAACTACTCCATAGAGCTGCACTTATTTATCCTCGAGACCAATCACATTGCGTCAACACCACTTTCTGGCCATCACAATGCTATGTTTGAATTAGACAAGCAAAGATTCCGCTATCCGACCGAAGCCTGCATATAATATAATTGTACCATATCGGGGATACGATCAGCATCAATCAGCACATGCGGATATGAGGATTTTGCGTGGGGGAGGCGGGGAGGCGGGGAGGGTAGTATTTTGCTTATTTTGTTGCGTAATATAATTTTATTTTTCCAATCACATGGATTCTACGAGTTGCTGCCCTCTTGGTGAATATTGGCAAACGAAGACCACAATTTATATAACCACGTCTTTCTCTCCTCGTGTAAACAATATCTTGCTCCCATTCATCTCCCCTCCTACTTCATTTCTCCACTACTACTTCATCGTCATTTCTCCACTACTGCCACATTACATCTACATCACACCATTCATCATTTCTCCACTCCTGTCACCTACATTACATCTACATCGATCATCGCAAAGTCGTCTACATCACACACGTACAAGATTGCTTTTATAGCGTCTTTGTATACATCGTACAAAGGTCGTGTTCTTCAGTATCTGCCGTTTGGGAACAACCCTGCTACAGCCCCTGTACTCGGTGGTTAGGTTTCTCAGCATCTGCTGTTTGGGAACAACCTTGCTATAGCCTGTACTCGATAGTAGGTTCCTCGGTATCTGCTGTTTGGGAACAATCCTGCTACAGCCTGTATTCGGTGGTTAGGTTCCTCGGCATCTGCTGTTTGGGAACAACCCTGCTACAGCCCCTGTACTCGGTGGTTCGGTTCCTCAGCATCTGCTGTTTGGGAGCATTCTTGCTACAGCTTGTACTCGGTAGTTTAGGTTCCTCAGTACCTGCTGTTTGGAAACAACTCTGCTACAGCCTGTATTCGGTGGTTAGGTTCCTCGGCATCTGCTGTTTGAACTACCCTGATTTGGTTCATGCCAAAGAGTCAAGGCTGCTCTATTAGCCTGGGTGGGTGGGACACACGTCAAGTGTGGGGTCATTTATTCCCAATGCAATTGTCCTTTGTCATGTTCATCGCTGATCATAATTATAGTACACGGCATGGAGGTTCCGATGGAAAAACTTGGGCTGCAGAATCTCCTTCAGGAGAGTGTGTTCATAAAATGGGTTGATGAGGGTCATCCTTATACGTTGGGTTCTTGCTTAGCCGACAACAAAGAGAATACCAATCTTATTATGAAAGTGGTCTGCGATTCAGAAAGACGTCTTCATGTCTATTTCTCCCTCAAGGTGACTCACAAGCATACTGGCAAAGATCGTTCAATGGAGATGTTATTGGTTGTGCCGCCGCATGGTGACTTTGAATGTTCCTTGAAAGTTCTTCCAGTATCAGGCCTTGATGATTTGTCCTACCATGACGCACTTGCCCTCCACGAAGCCGGTATAAGCAATTTGGAGCGCATCATTGTCCTACCATTCGATCTACATTTTACAGGATTTGTCGTTAGGAAGGAGAGGGAATCTGCGACTATCTTACCTTCGAACTCTACCTCGAGCACATTGATGCAGAAACTCAGATCTTTATCTGTTACGAAGAGCTTTAAGGTTTATATCCGACCTTCCGATTACGCGCGGGAGCATTTGAAAACGGTTGACGAGCTCTTACGTGATAAGGGCGTATGGATCCGGGAACCTGACATGCTAAAGATATACTCTCAAAAAGGCATTATGCTAGTGGACTGGGCCCAGATTAAACATCAAAAAGTCAAGGGCAGACCACCGCCAGTGCCACCACACAACGCACACGATGCACAAAGGTCGACTGAAGTGCCGGTTCCTCGGTCACCATCAATCGCAGATGTAGATGCAAACGTAGATGTCGTACCGGCAACACCAAGTCTTCTGCCGGTGTGCCGTAGTATTTTCTCACCCGATTGTGAAGAGCCGTCAGGTGTCGCAGATGACTTGGATCTTGACGATATTTGCAAAGATTCAGGACATGTCGAACCAGATCTTGAGGTGGACTCGGATGAGGAATACCTTGCCGCGTTGAATGCTCAACAACTAAGCCAACAACTCAGACAAGACGCAAGCTCAGAGGCTCTTCGATTAGAATTCAAAGAGTGGTTAAAGGCAGCAACGGCAATAAATGAAAATGTGTACGAACACAGTCGACTGGCTAAAAAGTTGTTCGCTCTTGGTGAAAGTGTCCATACGTCTAATAGTGCGATGTTCGACGCTATTAGACCTTGGTGCTCTGCACTATTCTTATGTGACCCTACAGATTCAAGCAGACCAACGGATGAATGGTTTGTCTCGGACATGGCTGAGCTCATCAAATGGATTAACACATTTCAACGTGGCGCCGAGATGACTATGCTGATAAATGATTTTATAAAGCTTGGTAGTGCTGCTCGCGTATGTAACAAGGACGAGTATAAGCGTCATAAAGTGGACTTTCTGCTTCGTATATGGGTCGAATTTGACTGCTCAAGAATCAGTATCAACGGGGAGAGTAGGAAGGTCTTGTCCCGAAAAAGGAATATCTTGAAAACTGGTAGAAATGTTTCTAAACGAGCTAGAACAGCTGCATAATTATCAACTGTATTCTTTGTTGTACATACATGGGTCGGCGGATGGATAGCAAAGGAGTAAGGTCCATTGGAGTACCAGAGTCAAAGTCGGGAGCTTTCTGGGAAGAGAGCAACAAAAGACCTCCAGCTGCAACACGTGTGATGAGAAAACTGGTAGTAGTTGACTCATTGCGGACACAATCCTGGAGAGCAGCACGCCAATTTCCTTGCATCCATTTTCTCGAGATTGAAAGAGGCTTGCACCCGGAGCGGAAATACAGTGATCCGTGCGTAAAGACGAAGGTGTATTCACCCCTCCAAAAAAGCGTGGCCCCCCGCGCGTCAACCTAAAAAAGGCATTCAACCATTCACTCGACAATAACTTCAATCTGCTTTTTATGCCCCAAAATAAGATGTCTTCTACGGTATGTAGGATCGTACTCTTCCTGCTTGGGTCTATTAACTGATGGATCTCGAAAATCACATCAGGTGGAGGTACAAGTTCAGGTTCAAACGGCGTAGCCACGCATGCTCCCACATACAGAGATCAGTCAAAATTTGTATACAGCGCTGTCCCACGTATGTCTCTTCTAACATAACCTCATCTTAGCAGCAGTTCCTTGGTGGGGCTCTCAAGCACATTGCTCCAATTGTTTGGAACGGTTCTTGAAAGCTGGGATTGATACCAGATGTCGCTGGCAGGAGGGGCAGCGGTGTCATCAATGCATAGGCGACGGATGTGTTTGCATCGCTCTCAATAACGACTGTATTAGTGCATACATCATGTACACTGGGAGCTTGGGGGAAGATCCAGACGAGCTCGACTCGGGCACACGGTGGTACAAACGCAGCATGATCAACGCGCTAGAGAGAATGTTCGCAGACTTGGAGGAGTCACTTAAGGTTGCAGGGCCACAGCTAGGACTCACAGGCGCTACTTATACCGATTTGGGAGCAGGGTCCTATTTGCACTCTTTTCTTACCACTTGTGCTCAATATGGATTTACCTCTTCCCTTCTCCCTATCATTCGTTGTGCACCACTGTTCCCTTGTGCCTCTTGTAACTAAGTTTGTGAATTATATCCTTTCATTGATTTGCAGTTGCACATTAGACTTATTTCCTGAAAATCCATCTTCCTTCCACATCTGCCTTCCTGCTCCCCGAGCTCTTTGCAAACGCACCTGTCTCTTCTCCGCAGGCATCCTCAACCCCTTTCCCCACGACGCACCAGCCGACGCAACCGGATAGTCGTACACCGCATCGCGTACTGCAATTCTTCATATTCCAATCCCAACTCGTCGCAATTCCAGCATATCCTACCGCTCCTCTCACCGCCCTCCCTGTCTCCCCAGCCCTCTACCACATCTTTGGTGCAAGCCACACATGAAACAATTGATGGTAGCGCTTCTATAATGCTAGCACATCCAGCAGATCATCGACCTCTCCACTCATGGGTATCGCCAGTAAGGTTTATGAACTGTCGGGAATTCACCTCGACGGTTTCTCCTGCTATGAATGAGCCTCTATTATTTTTTGGATTGTGATGTAGTCATGTTATATAGTGGTGAAAGATAAGGAAGGATGGTGAAGGGGTTCTGTTGGTTTTGATAAGTTCAGTAATGAATGGAATTTGATGAGGAAATGGATGTTGAAGTAGATGTTAGATTTGTATTTTTACAAATGAAAAAGAAAACTTTTGTATCTTTTAAAAAAAACTTATTTAAAAAATGATTATTAGATAAATTTTTTCAAAATAATTAATTTTTTATTATAGTTATAATTAAAATGAAAATAAATTATAATTTATTTAATTTAAAATACTCTTTTTTTAAATAATTAAATTCATTTAATAAAAAACTTAATATTGTTTTAAAATTTAAAATCTCAAATATACTTAATTTAAACCTTTTTTTTATTTTATCTAATTTGATTCTATTTGTTTAATTTAACTTTATTGAAATTGTATTATTATTATTATTATTATTATTATTATTATTATTATTATTATTATTATTATTATTATTATTATTATTATTATTATTATTATTATTATTATTATTATTATTATTAATACCAACAGATATATATCTCTCTCTGTATCAAGTACTTCATTTTTAACTTCATTGCTACTAATAAAGGAGCTTCGGAACTTCTACTTATAGATTCTTATAATTCAGTTGTCGTCTTGTTGTTGGCATGGTAACCAGAGCCACTATCTCATCATTTCTCTTCTAAATAACACAGACATTACACAAAGTCAATCCCATTTCAACCCAAGTAAGTGCTTTGCTACGAAATGATGGAATCGACGCAGAGCGATTTTTCCAGCTTTGTTTATTCCTGGTTGGCAGCTACACCTGATTTGTTTGACCCCACCGACGTGCAGACCAGGCAAGCGTCATCTTCCGCTTGCTCTTTAGTATCTCTCTCTTCATCATCTCTTTCTTTAGCATCTCCCTCTTCCTCAGCTTCAATATGTCACTCGGCATCGTTCAAAGGAGAAGTGCTAAAGCGGAAAAGAAGTATGAATAACGAAGCGGCCTCAAATTCGGGCAGTGGAACGGCGGATGCCAGAGCGGTGAATAGCTCTTCCGAAGGGTCAACGCCCCCATCAAGTCGCCAGCGCTCTTCAAATCTGGCCCGCCAGGCACTAAATAAATTAAGACTAGCGAAACCGCCAGTACTACTTCGTCAGCCAGATGTCAGAGTCGAACAGCCCCCTGCTGTACGTCGGCTGATCATACTCATGACGAAAGCATCGAGTAAAGTGATCCCGCATAGTCTCCAGGTAGTCGTGTTTTCTCTCATTTTAACCCTCATATCTAATTGAAAAGGATCGAATTCGGGCAGTAGACCCTCACCGATTTGAAGTGTTCGAAGCATCAGGAGCGTCAGACCCTCTATTCGAAGATCCTGCGGCCGTGTATTCAGACTCATACATCAACGACCTTTGGCGGGCGGTAGACGAGGTATATAATGAAGCGCGCTTCTGCTCCGATCATTTCGTCGACGAAGCTGCGTGGATGCGAGTCGTGGACAAGGTTCTCAAATCCGCGGAGCTTGGCCAAGACTCCTCTATGCTAGCCCTGCTTAGCATTCAAACGCAAGCCATCGACCCCGTCTTCGTTCCCAAGCATCCATCTCAGGTCTTTGCAAAGAAAGTAGATCTTGCATTTATCTTCTCCCTCGAGCACCCGACTGTAGCAACAGCTATTGAGCCTTTGGAAGAAATATACCAAGGCATAGCTTTTAGCCAGATGGCAGACGCTTACACAAGTAGGGCGCCAATGGTTTGCTGCCTGGAGGTAAAGGCATGCGGGGGTGATTCAAACGAGGCTCTTTTACAGTTTGCGATTTGGTGTGCCGCAGGATTAGAGCGGCTGCGTGGATTGTGGGAACTTAATAGTGAAAGAGATCTCCAGGAGGAGTTGCCGCCATTTCTTGGCTGGACGGTCGTGGGTCATGATTGGAAATTTCACATTTCGTGGAAGGATTCAAATGGCCGTGTGGTCAGTTCCCTTTCTCCGCTCCATGTTCTTCTTACACATTGCTTTTCGCTTCATCGCTAACATTCAGCCTGCCTCACAGACTGTGTTTGGTCCCTGCTCATTTTTAAATGCAGGCACAGGCAGTCACGTTGAGATTTTTGTTTTGATCGCGTTGATCCGGCAGGTGAAGAGGTGGCTAGAGGAGGAATACTGGACGTGGTTGTACAGAAATGTGCTAGATGGGTTGAAGTGAGAAAGTTTAGGTGTATACAATACATCCTATAAGGTTTTGGTAGTGTCACACGATGTGACATAAATAGACATAGCACATCATGTACAGAAGAAGAGGCTCTCATTGTGGTTATTCTTATAAGGAGGCGATTATTTATCGAGTGAATAATAGCTTTAGCTTGTAATCATTCGTAGCTAGTCTTAGAGAAGGTCTTTTTTGAGTTCTTTTATTAATCATTATTCTTTTTTACTCTTATATTAGATATCAATTATCTATGATTTTATCAATAGGAATATATATAAAGTAAAGTTTTAATAAGAAGTCTACAGTGCCTTCGACAATCTCATCTCCCGGATCGGCCTGGTTTGATGCGACTTACGAGCTGGGGTATAATAATCCTGCTCCTCGGCGTGATTCTTTTGGTAGTTCTAGCAGGGCCCATGAGTCTCTTCGTTTTGATGTAGGAAGGCATATCCACTTACATCCTGCGAAGCCATTTTGGGTTGGAGACGGAGCTTCAAGTTAAGAAGTTATCCGTACACGGGAGCATCCGGTGGTTCATGAATATAAGAAAGAGTCCTAACCATGAGGCAGAGCCCACTATTATATCTTCGGGTTCGCCTTCTACAGCTTCGCCCGCGCGACCCTCGGGTTATTTTGTTTCTATATAGTATCTTTTGGGGCTACTATTGAGAGGTTATATGTACAATCACCTTTATTCCAAATATATGAACTAGTGTTATACAAAGTGAATACATGAAATTGCTCGTATGAGGAAATGTTACAAAGCTTTTCCTATCGAACTTTTCATTCCTAAAATCTACAAATATTTAACTATCTAGAAACTGGATGATATCTCTATATTGTTGCTATATGGTATACGAGTGAATCCACTCTGTAAAGCTGTTGGTGCCATTGTCCCGCAATTGAAAGAGGTCGTCGTTGATTTATCAGAAGTAGAAATATAAGTCTAGTACTCTACTTTCAGATCATCTCTTTCTTAGATCGTTCTTTTATATCAGAAAAAATGATTCTTGTTTATTAATAAATAAATATAAGTCTAATACTTTACTTTTGAGCTATTTATTTTTTCAAATTATTATTTTATATAAAAAAAAACAATTTTATTTATTAATAATTTTATAATAAATAAGTTCTTTATTTTATGTTTCGATCATTTTTTATTCTGATTATTTTTTATATCAAAACTACAATTTTTATCTATTAATAACTTTATAATTAATAATTAAAATTAGTTAAATTTTTAATTATAAATATTTTAAATAAATATAAATAAATATTAAAAATTTCAATTATAAATATTTTAAATAAATATAAATAAATATTAAAAATTTCAATTATAAATATTTTAAATAAATATAAATAAATATTAAAAATTTCAAATTTTTTGTGATTTTATTGAATAAGATTTAAAAAATTAAAATAATAATTTTATTTTATATAAGATTTATATATAAATTTAAGAACTTGAAAATCTTAAATAACTTTTTTAAAAAATTTACTAAAAATAAAATATATTTTATTTTAAAATTGATTATTATAACAAAAACTAATTTACAATTAATGATTTATTAACGTTTTATAATTTTTTATATAAATATTTTATTAATAAAATTTATTACTGTTAGTATATTATATAATCAATCTCAAAAGAAAGATTATATATAAAGAGAGTTATAAAATTAATATATTTTAATCTATACCCCTTTCAATATAAATAGATCTCTCTCTTTTAAATAAATAATAATCATTTATAAAAAAATATAACAAAAATACTATATATTATATTTGTATCATCGAAGTAATATCAATAATTATAAATTTATTATTATTATTAATTTTTAGATATATTATATATAATTAATAAATTTCAATATAAAGCTTTAATTATATTATAAAAGTGATAGATCAAGATATTATTATATTGAGTAATATATTCTGTATTATATATCTAATCACGAGATCAGTACAGTCATATAGATAGTTCTAAGTAATCTAATTAAAGCTTTTAGAGTTAATGGCTTTAGAGAATCTAATTAGAGTTATTAAAACTAGAATATTGTAAAAGTGGTAGGTCGAGATACATATATCCCGATAGTATATTATAAAGAAGGAATTGAAAAAGAAAGCTGAATTAGATTATATTGTAATACATTACTTATAGAGAAAAACGAGTTTACAATGGTTTTGGAGTTGATATTATATGAGTTCAAATGTATATATATAAAAGATTGATTATATTTGAAAGAAAAAATAAAAACTTTCCTTTTATATCTAATTATAAGAGATTATATAATTAATTTGTTAAAAACCTTTATATATTTGATTTATAATTCTAATTTTCTTATAATATAAAGGTTTATATAATCAAGATAGATTTCTTTATTATAGAGTTTTATATTCAAGATTAATTATTTAATATAATTTATTATTAGTTACAAATTGTATATCATTACCATCGCTACTTAAGTTCATATTTGATATTTAATTATAAACCACCTCGAGAGTCTAGAGCACTTTTATATAATCTAGACAGCAACTCTTATAATAGATATATATATTCTAATTAATCATATAATCTCTTGTAATTAAATATAAAGAAAATGAGAGGGTTTTTTTTTTCTAAAAAAAAATCATCTTTTATATCTTTATATTTGAATGTATATAATCTTAACCTCAAACTTATTATAAATATAATTTTCTTTATAAATAATATATTATAATATAATTTATTTAATTTTCTCTTTCAAGTTCTTTTTATAATATATTATTAATTAAAACCTTTATATATATCATTTGTTATTTCAAATTATTTATAATATTTTATTAATAATAATAAGAGTTCTGGAATCTACTCACTGCACACTAAGCGAAATCACACCAAAATCAACGATTTTTTCAACTTTTTAAACCCTTGTTATCTTTATAAAATAATAAAATAAATATATAAAAATTGATACATATATAGATAATTGATTCAAATATAATAAAAATTTAACGAAATATTTTTTATTATTTTGGTTTCAAAGTTATATATATTTAAGATTGAAAAAACAAAAAAGTTTAAAAAAATCATTTATTTTATATAGGGAAAAGTTCAAAAAAGCGTTACACGAATGAAATTTTGATATTTTTTAAATTTAAATAAATATAACTTTAAAACAAAAATAATTAAAAATAAATTATAAACTTTTTCGATATCCTTTTGTAGTTAATTATAATATTTGAAAATTTCATTTGATTTAATTCAATATTGAAAAATTTATTCGATATTTTATATAGGAAAATATGATTTTTGCAGGGATTTTGTCACGAATTTGAATGGTGTGCGGTGAGTAGATTCCAGAATTCTTACAAAGTATTTCAAAATCTATACCTGATTATATATCCCAATAAGAATATTCCAGAAAGACAGTTTTGTTATTATAAAAGTCTATATATATCAAACATTATCAATTTCTATATAAAAACTAATATAGCTTGAGCTAAACCTAAGGCTTCCAAGCCTCATTGCTTTAAGATATTGTAAATTTGAAGATATTTCTTACACCTGGCTATTATAATAAACAAAACACATCTCTTCCTTTCTTTATCTATCATCCATCAATATATATCTCATTAATCACTGGTAAAGTACAGGGGTAACAATTTATTCATATTACTAAATCGTCCAAGTATAGAGAAACACGACAATAAGATTGAATAGTACACGCAACGACGGATCAAGCGAAAAGCGCCATGATGTACGCCGGCCTTAAAGCTAGCCGCGAAAAACAAGGTCAGAAGTGATTAAAGGATTAAGATTTTGGGGGTTACTATTCTGGTGTTACTAAGGATTGACTCGATATATATCTGTCTGTTAATAAAAGATTAACTTATAAAATCCTATCAGCAAAGCCTTCCGGGAGGTTTTGAAGAATAAGATGCAGAAATGCTATTTAGGTGAAGAAGGAGCATCGTCACTTATTGTAATGATGATAATTATAGTTCTACTATATCTCGGTCTCTTTCCAAGATAATTTTTGCCACATTCTTGGTATACACGTTTCACTTCGATGACAGCTATGAACGTGGAAACTTCAGACGACCAATATCGTTCAGCCCTACGAAATGTCTAGATGAGAAATTGCGAAACAGTAGTTGGGTGGAGGTGGCTGGGATATTCAGCATGGAAAGGCAGATACCGCATGCGAGCGAAAAGAAATCTATGAACAAATATTTACCAGGCCTATGGTAGGAAGTTTAATGGGTCTAGAATTTCATCGACACGTGCTTAAACCTCTGCAGACACAAAAAGTGGAAGACCAAAAATCAGGCCTGTCTAACCTTTTAAAGTTGTGCCATCTGGGCAGTGTACGTAAAGTTACCTTCCATTTCGCAAAAGCTAAATTCGTTCCGGGAAATAAGAACTGATGCTGACTCAGAATCAATATGTAAGGCCAGAGCTTGTCAGATCAAATCTAACCAACAGCACATTAGATTCAATTCTTCCAGCCAGTCTTGCAAGCTGGGTAGCTTTCAATTGCCTCTCAGTCTTCGACGAGGAATAAAATAAGATTCATGATTGATATACAGAGTAGTTAGCTGGATGATATACACAATGCATGCGAACCACCAATGCAGCAATGAATACTTCTTATTGATGGGCGTCATGCATGTTACCTTTTGTTAAATTTTCTGAAGCGAAAAACACATATAGTCAAAGTACGGACTTGCCTGTAGCCTGTTTCATCGAAACCTTGTCGTGTCGAACATACATATTGATCCTTCGACACACGAAGAAAGACGGACGCGCAAGAGATTCATTATACCAGGGAGGAAATCCCGTGGAGCTCGGATTTTAGAGATGCCAGTGCAAGTGGTCAGAATTTGTAGGCCGTTCGGGGGCCTTTTCCCATTCCGCTAAAGTTGTACGGATCCTTTGACCCAAGACCTGAAAGTACCTGGTAGAGATCAGGATGGAAAAAGAGCAGGATTAAAAGCTTTGGAAGACAAAAGTTCTAAAATGAAGGTGTTTTGTGGAAGAACGATAATATGTGATCTTGTGCAACGATAAAAAAAGATATTGGAAACATGGAAGCCAGCGAAGCCCCAGAAAATGTAGGGAAAAGCATGATCAATACATATAATACCTGCCAAGTTAGCTCTTCCAACGATTTGAAGTCGAATCCAGAAATACGGTATGGTAAAACATTGTGAATAACCTCTCATTTTCATGCAATCAACTGTCAACCTTGTTTTACCAGGGATTGGTTGAGGCGCAGTTCCGCAGTACATATAAGCAGTTAGCTACATACCCCAACGTCAGACTGCGCAAAGACCAGATGTTCGTTTCTAGTAGTTAAAATAAGAACCGTATAGCACTTTCGAGGATTATTTAAATTTAGTTGAGGAGGGACATACCGTGGAAAATATCGGAAGGATAGAGGAAAAGGATCCCTAGATACCTTAGTAGCTTTCTCCTAGCATTCGCTAGCAAAGGAGTTTTGTTGGGGGTTCATGCAAATTAAATAAAACCCATGGTAGTATTGTTTGAATATGTGTAGCTATGAGTTGAAATGTATATTTTCGGTGCAAGAGAGGGAAAGAAGAAGCCCCTCGAAATAAAATTGAGTCGAGTAAGCATTTTACCATAAAGGGCACTTGCCCCCAAATTTAGATGACAGTTGAAACACCTAAGCGTCTAATATAAAACACATGAGAAAGTCCACGATTGGGTAATCTATAAGAATTGTTATGGATGATTGAAAAACAAACAACCAAAGATATTACTTACATACTAATTGACCATCTATTGGTTAATCGTTCTGTGACTAAGTATTTTCCGATGAAGCAAATGTATGTTATGAATAACTTGAAAAACTTATTCTCCTACGAAGAAATAGCCGCTTGCAACAGTGCATGAAAATAATGGAGAACTCTCAACCATTGAAATGTTTCAATCACATTCTTCACTTTATACTTGTAGACCTCGGAACTTTAGATTTGTACCGTCGCGCGTGATGATACAATCAGCTGCTCGAACCAGGTAAACCTTACAAGTTCATGGGAGCTTGTCAGCGTGATGATATGATGTTGGTCTGTGTAAGATGAACCCCAGGTAGATAATTGGTATAAGCGTTGGGTTTTCACCGATAGGGTGAGACAATAGAAAGTCCAGGTAGAGCGGCTGTTGGTACACAATTGTAAGATTTTACATGGGAAAGGAAATGTCAAGCAGTCTCTTCCATTCTTACCCTCGGGGGTGTTGACGAGGTCGAGATTTCCCTGAACCGTTGTGTTGGTAAAGTAGCAGGTTGCAATATCCAACAATTGTTTGGTATACGGCCTCATGAAGATTTCTTTCATGGCCATGACCATGGCTATGTAGAGGAAGAGTAAACTCTTATATTGCTTTGAAGATAAACACTGCCTGATGGATTGAGGACACAATTGGTCTTTATCCGGTTGAATTGCTTGTTTGTTTTGTTCGTTCGCTGTATGCCGTATGCCGCCTATCAGTGTTAGGCGCCCTGCAAATCCTATTGAACCAGACCTCGGATGAAGATATCGAGATCAGATGAACTGATATGACCTCGGGAATTTGTGGATATATTTTCGGTGATTTTCGGTGCATAGAGATCGTGTGGAGGTTAGTGACGAGTAAGGCACAGATATGAACAGGGTATGAAAAATAGATGCTTGAATCAGGAAAGTCGAAAGGGGTGTAGGGGGCGGGTAGAGATGGGATGAAATGTGTGTGATTTTCTCATCTGTGCACATGTGCATACTTAGCATGCATGTTGTGTAGATCAGTGTCAGTGCGTGCTCTTCAAGGGAAGCCAGATATCTCTATCCTGGTAAGTAAATCAGATCTGAATTGCTTGGATATTAACTTGTTCCCGAAATGGTCATCAAATAAATTGAGTCGGATTTAGTAGGAAGGAAGAGGAAGAGGAAGAGGAAGAGGAAGAGGAAGAGGAAAGGAAGAGGAAACGGAAGAAGCTCGAACCAACCGAGACCCAAATATCATCGATTAGATGTAACACGTGACATTTAGTTTTTTTGACATGCCATTGTGCACATTACACTAGAAGAGGTAGTCTTGATATTATTTTAAACGCGCGCATCAATTTAAACATTTCTTTCTTTCTTTCTTTTCATTCTTCCCCTCACTCAAACTTCTCCTCCTTTTCCTCTCTACCTACCATTTTTTATATCTTCAATTCATTACGAAACAGAATCATGATGATATGTTTCATTCACATCTACCCCGTAATCTACCAAGATCTACTCGAGTATCTATGTTTAAATACACACAGCCCTTGTAATCAGTCTATTAACCAACCCTTGCACTGATCATGATACCCTTTCTGTCTTCTCTCCTCCCCCTTGTCCAGATCTGTTCCCGTTTGATTCTATTTTGGGTACGCGAACGCTTCATCCGCAGCTTACCTTACTCGTTGGCGCCCACTTAATTTACGCGCCCATCAGATATATGTCTCCAGTATTCAAGATGAGACTACCGCCCAATGTCCTAAAAAGAGACCGGAATTCTTCTATTGACCAATATAATCATCTCTTGGTCATGGCCCCTCGATCTTTGGAGACTTGATGGTCTGTATTAGTATGTACGCGGCTACTAGAAGGAGATCCTAGTAAAGCATTTCGTGCATTTGCCAATGTTTGAAGATGCAAAAAGTTCGGGGTCGGATTTTAAAAAAAAACATCAATAGAATATCTAAAAGGTAAAATCTAAAATCAGACCCATCTTGTTTCATCATCTAGTCGAGGTCTCATTTATGGACGTTCAGCGTTAGTGAGGCTATAGACACCACTCAAATGGCCCCCAGCGTTATGACTTCCAACAGATTGTCGACTAGTCAATTCTGTATTATAAAGGTCGGTCGCTGGTACACTGGCTAAGACCTTTCGTCCTCATTCAGCATCAGCATCAGCATCAGCATCAACATCATCTTTTGTCTTCTACGAGTTTCCTATTGTCGTCTCGCTTTAGATTTCAATTCTCAGCGCCTGACACCATTCGTTTTCGTGTCAAGTATCCTCAACCTTTCCTGCCGGCTGGCCTGCAAGTTTCTTCTACATCTAATACTTAATCAACTCATCAATTGTTTCAGACCCTGTTCACTACTGAGTAGTATTAACCCTCCATTAAACCGACCTTTTAGAATGCCAAAGGAATTACGTTCATCTACCATGGATTACTATCGATCACCTCCTCTCACCTCTAACACCATCATCTACCCACCAATCAATTCTCGTCCAATGCCTGCTGCACCTTACTATGAACCACTTCAACATAGTTACCATAACATGTCCAACTATGCAACAGGAGGTCCTGTACAACAACCTCCTGTACCACTTCCGACTCAACATTATGTCCAGAGTACTCCAATGCCACCTTCTATTCGACCTTCATCTGGAGCATGGACACCCATTGATGATCGAACTTTGATACAAGCACGGAAGCAAGGATTGAACTGGCAACCTATTCAAGCAACTTACTTTCCAACCAAATCAGCCAACGCTTGTCGAAAACGTCATGAACGTTTAATGGAACGCAAGTCTAGTGATGATTGGGATAATGTCAAATCTGAGACCCTTGCGAAGCATTATATGGATATGCGTAAAGAAATTTGGTCAGGTTTGGCTGCCGCTACTGGGGAGAAATGGACTGTTGTAGAGCAAAAGGTATGTACCTCACGTATTTACCTAATATTTAAACTAACATGAAAAAGTGTATGTCAACTGGTCTTAAGAACATGCAAACATCAGCAAGAGCTTATGCTCGTCGCGAACGTATGATGGAAGCCGGAGGACAAGCTGGAAATGGAACGTATTCCGACCATACCGATTATGAAGTTCAAGAAGATAGTGGCATTGGCATTAACCTCGACGGCGATTATGATCGTGATAATGGTTCTGAAGTCTCTACTAATGACCCACTTAATCATAATCAACAACACTATTCATATGCACCACAAGTTCTTTCAGATGGCCGATCAGATGGATATCCCCAGACGGACCGTAACGATGGATACTCACAAGCGGATCGCAATGACGGTTACCCACAAACAGACCGAAGTCCATATCATCAAGATAACAGAACTTCGTTTCATTCTCGTTTACCTTCAATGGATATGGGCATTGATGCTATCATTAATCAACCATCCGGCCTCTAATCGTTCATCTTTATCCTAGAAATTTGTTTGATCGTTTCTATAATCCGCGGAAGAACGAGGATACTGTCTATTATCAAGGATTCTGGAGCATACAATTTCATAACCAAATTTTGGGAAATGATACCAGGCGTAATGGTTTATTTTGCTATGGGAAAGAGCAGGTTAGGAAGTTCTGGCGTTGAAGAAGGTGGGAACGGTTTCCAACTACACTGTTCTTTTACGAGTGTTTACACAATCATTTCAAAGCTCGGGTGGATTTCTTTTGTTGGTGTTGGAGAGATGAATATGACTTTTACGTATCTAGGTATTCTTACTCATCTTATTTATCATGTTAACATCTTTGGGGTTGGAGTATTAGGAAGGATTGCATGCTGGAGATCCGAATGGGCGGGTTTGCTGGAATCCAATCGGATCCTGTATTATTAGATACAGATTAATGTTATATAGGTATGGGAAGTAATAGATTAAGACGTCTAAATATATTAAATAAAAATACTATTTCTCTATTTCTCTATTTCTCTATTTCTTTATTTCTCTATTTCTTTATTTCTTTATATATTTCTCTATACACTCAATCATTAACTCCTCTCATTACCTACCTACCTAGGTACATGTCGTGATCATATCTTGATCATATAATATAATAGATATTTACCCAGCATTATTCAGCCTGAGTACCGCACCTGTAGTATGAATACCCTAAGATAGTTAATTACCTTACCTTATCCTACAGACCTACAGATCTCGATTAGATTGACATGGTGACACTTTGCTTTTCGTGTTTATCTCGGTATGTATGTTATCTTAGAGTATTCGGATTTGAATTTGATTGATTGAATGGATGGATGGAAGTTTATTAAAATTTTATAAAAAGCAAGATTATTATATTCATTTATTGTCCGCTTGCCGACAATTATATAAATATTAATAGATCTTGAAAGTTTTAAATTTTTTGTAATTTTATTAATCGAGATATAAATAATTGAAATTACAATTTTCAATTTATATAAGATTTATATACAAATTTGAAAAACTTAAAAAACCTCAATAACTTTTTAATAAAAATTATTAAAAATAAATTATAAACTTTTTTTTTCAATATTTATATTATAATTGATCTAAAAAAAATTTAATTTAAATGATTAAGTATAAATCAAATATTTAAAAAATATTTATTGAGGTTTTCAAGTTTTTCAAATTTATACATAAATCTTATACAAATTAAAATTGTCATTTCAGCTTTCAATTTCTCAATCAATAAAATTGATTAATAATTATATAATAAATCTTTAATTCAAATTTCAGTAAAATTTATTTATTAATCGTAAAGTTATTAATAATTGGAAACAACGATTTTTGATATAAAAGATGATCCGAATTAAAAAGTAATCTGAAAGTAAAGTATTAAACTTAAAGAATTTTATTTATTTTAATCAAATATCTCAATCATCGATACTCTATTAAGATTAATCTTAAATAGATAAATAGAGAAATGACAAAGAATAAAAAACAATTTAATTCCTTTAAAAGTAAATATAAAAGCCTAACGCAGATTATATCACAGGAAATGAATACACCTATGATACAAAGGAATGAATAATTCTAGTTAACTCTACGCGCCTGTGATATAATAAGGAATAAAACATTCATATCATCCATACTTCGATATTTCAACACAACAGCAATATAACAACGGATAGAATATTCACATCCTTTCCCACACAGTAAAAGTCAAGATCAAATACACACTCAATAATTAACCCTTAAAAATCCAGTACAAAAATCCAATATAATCCTCCATTTCCAACCCAAAAAACAAAAGCCTAATATAAAACTCCAACGCGTGTATATTCCGATTTTTGATGTCTAATTCCATAGAAAAAGAAAGTCCTGCCCAACTATCTCCCAAGCATCCACATCCACATCCACATCCATCCCCACCTCATCTAACCCCCAATCGCTCACCACCCTCTCCGCCTCCCTCCTCTCCACCTCCATCATCTCCATCATCTCACACCCCCTCCTCTCCTCCTCCCTCCTCTCCGCCTCCACCCTCTCACACTCCCTCCTCTCCTCCTCTTCCCTCTCCTTCTCCAAAGCAACACCAATACACTTATCACATCTACCACCACGCTTATACTCATTCTCAAATACAAAATATTTATCATGAATATTGCCCTGGTTGACAAATTTACATTGTTCGGTTTGGATGTCCAAGGTGATGTTTTGGCCGTTGTTGGTGTCGCACCAGCAGGGGCCTCGGATGATATGGTTTATGCACATTTTTAGATGGAGGGGGTGGAATGAGGGCTGGGAGGGATGGTGAGGGGAGAGATGAGGTTCACGATCTAATGGGGAGGTTAGCTAGTGTTTGGTACCTGATTCGGAACGAATCTTACACGATATGTAATAGGATGTAGTAAGCTGATAGATGGATGGTTTAGTTCGCGTGCTATCTTCGCTATCTTTATCCAGAAAGCGATGCGAATGACACAAGAAGAGTATCTCTTCGGTACGAAATATCCAAACCCTCAACAACAAATATCCAACATCAATAGTATGAACCGTTGTATTCGAAAGTCCGAACACAAGTTTAAAAGTCTTCGACTTTAACTCTTAGATACAAGAAATTATGCCATAAACATCAAAGTCCAGATCCCCACAAAAAGGGGAATCCAGTGTCTTTATACAAGAATGAGTGTAATGTTTCACAATCAATGATTACTTTTTCGATTAGAGTCACATTTACTTCTTCTTCCGACTTTTTTTGATATTTTTTGTACATAGAGCGTCCTAGACTCATACAATCATCACATTTGAAATTTCTTCTTCAGAGAGTCACATTTACTTCTTTCCCGTCTTCAAAATCATTTTAATAATTCCCTACAGAGAGCATCCTAGACTCACGTACATAGTAATTAAAACACGCATTCTTTTCTCTTCAAGGAATCATTTCCACACCCTCAACTCCGCAATTTTCCTCTCTTCAAATCAATTCATTTTTGCAATTTTCACACCAAAAAAGTACCTAATCCACCACAGCACAATATGCCCATATTCCATACTCCATACCCCATACTCCATCCATGCCATCATTTCTCTAAAGCACGAAAAGAAGCGAGATCAAGTAACTAAAACCTCCACACTCGCAGTTCATAATCTCCTCCAATTCACAAGTACCATAGTTCGATTCGATTCGAGCTGACGAGTATGCTGTGATGTGATGCGAAATGCGAACAATAATGAATATGTTGTTAGGTATCCAGCGAACGTAGTGTTATTGGTTTAGACATTAGGAATAGAATATGTGGAATTTCTTCAATGATTGTGTTGTGTGGATTGGATTGGATTGGATAATATGAATATGAATGAGTCCTATTTATTTTTTGAATCAACTTTGATGATGAATAATATAATGAAATGAGATCGGGGTTGATGGATGGCTGAGACAAGCTATAATAAGGCGAAATGAAGACATGGAATGATAGAGAGATAGAATACAAGGGGTAGTATATCTAACATTGAACGCCCGCTAGTACGTTCACATCTATACCAGATTGTGTTGTACAAGAAATGCAGCATAAAAAGTAGAGAGGTGAAAAAAATCTCTCAAGTATGCACAGAATTTCTTCCATACGATTTATCTATTCGCATTCGCTGCGACAAGTACTGGAACAGGTGCTTTCTGTCCAGGTAATTCCTCTTCATCCTCATCCACATATTCCCACTCCTCATCATCCTCCGTCCTTTGTCCAAAAATCACCGATAAAATTCTACTCCACAATCCTTTCTTTTCCACCATTGCCAAAACAAGTACAACTGGTAAATGCCAAACACTAGCCCAGAAAAGATTTTTCGCACTTCCTTTTTGACCCTCATATTTCCAGAATCTATAGGCTTCTCGCACTAGCCATATATTTACTGGCATACTAGCTGCTGCAAAGGTCCATTCAGTTACATTCGCGTAACAGAGGCCAATACATAGAGGTATACAGAGGATACTGTATCTAAGAGCTACACGGCCATTCATGGCTGGATTTACCCAGCATAACATTTTATATCCTGCCTCTTTGTATTCGTGACGAATAGACCAGGATAGAGACATGAAATGTGCAAGTTGCCATGAGAATAACAATCCTGCCAGTAACCAACCTCCGGCATTATCGGGTCCAAGAAGTAAATCCTGCCATTCAGGTGTTGATGAAGAAGAAAGATGCGAAGAAGTTTGCCCAGCTGCAGCGGTCCATCCCATAAGAGGTGGAATACCTCCAACTACTGCACCAATCCAGGTATTAAACACCGTGATTCTCTTAAATGGCGTATATACACCAGCATATAGCCCAATATTGAGAGCGCCTAGAAAGGCAGTAGTGGGATTAACTCCATAATATAAACCTCCCACTCCAATGACTCCACTTGCAATTGCGAAAAGTAGAGCACCTCCAGGAGATATAAGCTTCCGAACAAGCGGTCTATTCCGTGTTCGTGACATTTGGGCATCGAATTTGGGCTCATAAAGCATATTGAGGGTATTTGCGGAAGCGGCGCATAAGGCAGTACCCGTTGTGAGGAAGAGGAGGGTAAGTGGACTCAGACTTGGTGTTTCGAGGAGTGTAGAAGAAAGAAGTGATGGGACGGGATACAGAGTATAGGCTGAGCATGCAGTGAGGACGACGAGCATCGAGAGGCGGGGTTTGGTGAGTGATAAGAGGATTGATAATAGTCGTTTTATGGAAGATCGTGGAAGTGCACTTGCGCGATCAGCGTGGATCGTGGAGGAATTCTCGGGGAGAAATTCTTTATCGCTTTCTTGTTCAAGAGATTGTTTATGCCGCCTTCGTCGATGTGGTGGTAAGTCTTCTAATTGTGTAGTGGTCGGTGTCGCAGATTCCTTCCCAATGATTTTCGTTGCCCCGTTCATATCTTTCACACTGACTACATCAGCGACGGTACTCATACCACCCTTTCCCACATTCCCAAAGATATCTCTATTTGCAAAGAAGTATCCCGTCCCCAGTCTCTGAACCGCAGTCGCTTTCCTTCCATTAGTGTTCGAGAAATTCCTCCCCGCTCTTCGAATTCCCCTCAATTCCGTTCGTAGGGAACATGATAGGCATACATTTCCCAGTGCATTTTGTCGTAGTGCGCCGCTAAGTGTAGGAGACCGGACAATCATTGCGAGTATGATTGTCGAGCTTTATAAGCTCCTCTCAATAAGAGTTGTACGGAGTAGTGATTTAAGGAAGTAAAGTTACATGATTTCTCGGAAGTTACCGAACAATTCTCAATATGGGAGTGATTGGCCAATTAGATGGTGCTTGTTTTGAGTATTTGCAAATGAAGGATGAAGGAGATCTCTAGAAGATGTGATCAAAATATTAAAATACTCCTAATAAGGGAAAAGGATTCTATGTAGTTGTTTATCTGAAACTACTATATTGTAAAGTTCTAATGCCAGTTAAATCTAGATGCTTTCAAAATCACACACCGCCCGGCAGAATAGCTTCAAAAACTTATGCCCCGCAGTCTGACATTTGAGTCGACATGGATTATGAGCATGAAATTTGGTTTCGTCGATTGCGATTCCTCCCGCCTACCTATCTCTATCCTTTGGTATACACCAATACTTTGGGCTCAAAGAATGGCGATATTACAAATGCCACCAAGATGTCGACTCCCTATCAGATGCAGACTTACCGAGTGCCGGTAGCCACTGTTCCTTGGAGATTCTCAAGCACATACCTTTTGGTGATTCTACCAAAGGTTTTTGGTTATTCTTGAAGGCTTTTGCTTCTCCTGACATAAGTAGAGACTCTCGTGACATATGATACAATAATCTACTCGCAGGAATTAATACACCTGCCACACTGCCACCCATCCTTCTTCATCATTCCCTTCATCCTTCATTATATTTGTACATGTTCCGCCCGAGCCAATGGTTCATTTGTTCAAAACCCGTATAATAGACTTGCCGGAAACTGTCGTCAATGCCCATAATGTGCTAGAGTCAAACCGCTATTGTAGGCGTCTTTCGAGTGGGATGTGAGCTCCAATCCCTCCCTTCATGCTCTCGCATTATAATCCTGCCACACTCACTAATCTCCCTCCTAGACTCTTTACTATTCCACTCCTTAGTTCTAATCTCTTCTCAATCTCCGCATCAGGCATGCCTTCGGATCTATAAACCAGCACCGTTCGAATAGTCGCAACATCTAAATACTTCCTTCCCTGAAACCCCTTCCTACCAATCTTCTCAAAGTCCTTTTCTGCCTCTCCTGCTATTCTATATCTTGCCGTCAAAAGCGAAATCGCAGGATTACTTGTGGTTGGATAAATCGATTGCGAAGGTGTAGAAGCAGAAGGGACGAAGTTGCTGCTGGATGTAGTAGGATCTTGTCCTGAGACTTTGTTGAATGTGGAAGAGTTGGAAAGAGTAGGCGAAGGTGTAACAGGACCGAGTTCACGGAGACGAGCATCTAAGCCAATATCTGGATCGGAGGCATCGAAGTTTATAGCTATATGAGGCATTAAATTAGTATAATCATATGAAGCGAAGTGCAAACGAATTCCTAATGCAAGACCGTCCAGAGGATGGAAATGAAAGTGGAAGGTTAGAAATTCATTGATGGAATGACGAACATTGATTCCTTTTCGAAGAGGAGATTGTATCAGGATGACCAGACGGCCCTAACTTTGCTGCAGGATTTGGTCGATTTGGTTCTACATTGGTATGGGAAGATGAAGGAGGCGGACTTCTAGTTGGGTATTTGCGTGCAGTATTTGAGGCAGACAAAGATGCTGCTTTTGAAGCTTTAGCTAAGTTTTTGGATTGTGAAGCTCCCATATTCTAAGTTCTCAAAATCTTGAACTTTCTTGTCGTGGTGATATTGATGAAAATGAATTGTTGATGGAGCTTGAGAAAGCTCAATTGGATGGTGCGCTGATGAGCTCATGAATCCATGAAGCTAACCCGTCCAGTTATAGCGTAAAGCTCAAGCCTGAAATCGTAAGGCTAGGCTTTTCCGATTGGCAGTAAGATCAACGTCTAAAGGATTTATATCTTCAAATACTTCTCCCGAAATTTCTGCTCTCTTTTGCATCATAATAATACATAGTATTACTTTACAATCTCTGAAAAAGTGTTTTTCCTATATTTTATTTCTGTTTTCTGTACAAATTTTCTCTATACTATCGTAGCGTCCCTCGAACTTCAATACCCTTTATTTGCGTCCCAAAAGCGTACTGAGTCTCATAATTCAGACTGAACTGCTCCTCATCTCCAGCTCACTATTCTGCTTCACCGCATGAACCTCTTGAATAATGGCGCAGTACCTTCTTTGCAAGTGGGCATAGTATTGTGCCTTGTGAGATACCACCTCCTATGAAAGTATATCACGGTAGCAGAGGTGGAGAATCGAATCTCTACCTGAAAGTCCAGAATGAGTGTCTTCCAACATTTCAGTATTCCAATCTTGTTTGATTGAAAGATGATGTTTCCAATAATAATCGTCGTCCACGTTTATGGTCGAAAACTACCTATATAAGAGAATACTTATTAGGTGCTGGCAAGGTCGCATCAAGTTTGTCAGTGCAGTTTCTAAGGGCAAAAACTTTGAGCATAGTAGCCCAGGAGGCATAGGAAGAAATATCATTGGTTTTCCGACTGAAGTCTAAACTTCAAAATATGAGCCCCTGAAGTCACCGAATGAGCGGCCTTTCATCATGCATATCGTGACTTAAGATCGAGGACCGGAAGAGGCTTCACGTTTTCACAGTTTTTAGTTTGCTTTCGATATGCGTCCGACTTGATCACTTCCTTGCTGCCACATCCATAGTCATACAATACGCTATTTAAATCCTGCCATAGTTAACTGATTTTAGGATAGAATATTTGCTATCTCCCTCCAATGAAACGGCCCAAGGGATCATGGGCCTACCAGAAACTCCCATCTCTATTTATGGTTCTTTTTATAGATGGAATGGAGTCAATGGAGTCAATGGAGTCAATTGATATCGTTGTTACTTATATCATGTGCATCTCATTTTCAATTCCTGGGCTTCTAATCTCTAGGATTTAGAACCTATGTTATGTATGTATGCGTATACGATATTTGAAATATCCAAAATAAAAGTAACACTTATTTAAACTCCGCTGATCGTCCTTATACATCACTGACTTGCCGAATCCAAGAAGAACCGAACCTCTACCAACTAGAATGACCTCCATCGATTCTCAAATCACCACCTGTAAAATACATCATCAGCTCCAAGTTCGTCATCACCAGTACCAGTACCAGTACCAATATCAAATTAAGAGAGAGGAAAAAGCCCAAACTTACCAGTCATAAAACTACTAGCATCACTAATCAAAAACACCGCCGCCCCTCTATATTCCTCGGGTTTACTCAATCTCCCCAACATATTCTGTTTAGGCCATTCCGTTCTCCTCTCCGGGAATTTCACAAACAGATCCTCAACCATAGCCGTGACGATATAACCCGGCGAAATAGTATTGACGCGAATATTATATTCGCCCCATTCACTCGCTAAATTGCGGCCGAGTTGGAGAACTGCCGCTTTGGATGCGTTGTACGCGGGACATATGAGACCCTGTTGATTATTAAGGTTAATAAATGTTATAAAGAAAGAGGGGGAAAGGAAGGACAAACTCGATTAGCGACTGTGCCACTCATACTGGCTATAAGTACTATACTCCCCGCGTTACCGAATTTTATCATTTGTTTTGCAACGGCTTGGGCTGTCATGAATACACCGGTTACATTTACACTCATCATGAGATCCACGTCCTCGGCTTTATAATCCAGGGCTGGGGTTTCTTGTTGGATTCCAGCTGCTGCTATTAAACCATCCATTCGTCCTTCTTTCTGTGCTATTTCCTCAATTATAGAATTTAAAGACTCGACATCTCGTACGTCGATGCGGCGGTAGGAAAGTGATGTGCCTAGTTCTTTCTGTGCGCGCTCTGCGATGCGTTCGAATTCGGGAGAGGGATTTTCGAGACGGTCGAGTGCGTAAACTGTGGTGATGTGTTAGCTGCCAAATTTCATTTCCACCCATTTTCGAGCTATGTCAATAATTGAAAATACACACCTTTAGCACCAGCCTCCAATAATGCCTCTGCTTGTACCAATCCTAATCCTCTTCCAGCTCCGGAAACACATACTACTTTATCGAGCAGACTGAATTCAGGTAGACGTTTTATGGTACCTAGATATGCTTGATCGCTTTGTGGTGTCGCAGCTTTGTTGCCTGGTGGTTGGTGTGATTGAGGTGGTGGAGCTGATAGACGTGGAAGAACAGAGAAGCTGCGTGTGAGGGGACGTAAATTGGAATGAAGATATCGAGTTGAGATGCGGGAGACATTTCGTAGAGTAGACATGACTTATGCAGTCTGGGTTTTGATTCAGAGACGTAAAGAGAAATTTGAGGCACTTAGAAGAAAATAGGATTGATATGTAGAGGATTGGGAAAAGTAGAAGCTCAATTACATGCAAGATCAAAGACTAGATGGGAGAATAGTAAGCAAAAGTAAATTGCATATTAAACCTGCCAACCTTAGGTCCTTTTAAGTATTTGCAGGAGCTAGCAGCTGTACCTCGAGAAGAAGCTTCAATCGTTCCGGACCATAGCTCCCGAGTGAGCTCGGAAGTATGACACTTGGCATCATTACCACTGGGTAAGAAATAACGAAACCACCTACTTAACTTTGTTGCAGACATAACTATGGCACAGCTTTCGTGGTGCTTTGTGTGTCGTGTCGAAAGCTTCCATTCAAAAGCGGGGTAAATGATAACAAGCTCAACAAATAAATCATTCAGGATAGCATAAGATGTTCATGGTCCACCCTCATTCATTTAGGTCTACGGACTGGAGCTTAGCTCGGGGTAATGTGCGTGCCTCCCCCACGGCCCACCTTTTTAGTCTTTCTCCGCATTCCCAGCCGGATTGCCGGATAAGGTAAGCTGAGGGCGAATCAAGTGAAATCTTACAATCACGGGGGATTTGCATAATCAGCGTGACGTCGGAATACCTTCCAAAGTTGATTTGTTCATAGAAGTTTTCTATATTCGCAAATGTCATAGTCCAGCAATGTTCTAAGGAGCTAGCTCTAAATTCTAAAGTATTAGACCATCGACCAATGTTTAGACCGCTCATTTGAGTAATTGCTCGAAGAGTCTCTCGTTAGAATAGCATTCTCTCCTTCAACTTGTCATTTTCCACGATTTCTTTTTCTTTGCTAAGGAACTCTGGAATATCCCAGGTGCAATTTATATACCTGCCAGCTAACCATTCCCTCCTCTCTTGTGATAAAAAGCACATGGAATCACCCGCAACTTCCGGAGCATCTCGCAGGACTATTTAAATATTAGCAGAGACCTTGGCTTGGTCAATTTATGGCACGGAAAGCACAACTATACCTTTATGAAGATATGCTGGTAATTTCTTTGCCATTTCTGTATCGACAGCACCCGGATGTACACAATAAGCCAACATTCCTTTTTCTGCATACTCAGTCATCGTAAATTCGGTGAATCTCAGTAATGCAAACTTCGAGGTCTGATATCCACTAGCTCCAGGTCGCAATGAATTGGCTCCGGTACTAGCTACATTGACAATTGTCTTTAGTCCGCCCTTAAACATCAAGGGGAGAAATTCACGAGTCATCCAATAAACTCCACGTATATTAACTTCGAATGTCTGCCACCAATCATCAGGATCAGAATCAGTTATTGATTGACTGGCCGCTAGGTATCCGGCATTATTGATCAAAATGTCCAATCGTCCGAAGGTTTTCTCAACCTCTTGAGCTGCATCTTTGACGCTCTGGTGATTAAGCAAGTCAAGCTTGATTGGCAAGACCTTGGGAGAGGTCTTTCCTGCTGCCTTTGCTGCCCCCTGGATTTCTGTCTCGAGTGAAGAGAGATCTGATCGTGCACCAATTGCAATTCCTTCAGCACCAGCTTTTGCGAATGATATAGCTGTGGCTCTGCCGACACCTTTCGAAGCACCTGTTATAAAAACTATATGTTTGCTGTGGTCGGATTTTGTCGAGGAGTCAATGGCGGGGTAAGAGGTGCTATGCAAGGTAGGTGTAAAATTTTGGCCTATCTATTGTTAGAATAGGATGCAAATACTAGACCATAGGATTTACCATTTGGCAGAGGAAGAGGTGGGTATGACATCTCAAACTGTGTTTAGAAATCTGCGAATGGAAATCACAATGAGGGTAGAGATGTGAGAGGGAATGGGAAATCGAAAGTGGTACTTAGTCAGAGATAAATAGGAAAATTATATAGTGTGGACACAGCATTATGCAGAATGACCAATGTTGCATCCGCATCCCTCCGATATGGCAGGCTTTATTGTACTCATCTTTATGATCAAGCTAGTCGCTGCTGCTTATCCGTTGGTAGAGGAAGTTCTAACTAGATATTCCAAATGGGGTTGAAGACAACAAAGATTACGTAAGCATAGTCCCCACACTTCGGTATCATCACAGCAGCATCAAATAATGAAGCTGAGAAATACAGCACTTAGAGACTGTTCATGATAGTTTGAATTATTTTTAGGCTTGCGGAATGTATCTGATAATTGCTACTAAAATTCTGTCTTCTAGCTACCATCTCTATTCATCCACCAGACGTTCCACCAAATTGGCAGTATTGATGCTTGCGCTAGCCTTAAGCTTCCTATACTACATTACCAAATTATATACCATGATAGTACTATTCATGAGGTTGCTTATAGTTAAGCCAGTTCAAAATCGTGGAAGTATTGCTAGAATCTCTTTTGCTTTATGGAAAGCTTTGCTCCGATGGTCATGTTTGAAATATTACCACCCATAGGCGAAATATGAGTTGAGAATATATCATACTTAAACTTCCCAACAATACTTGAATAATATAGATCACTCAAGTTGTTTTCGATATTTACTCATTTTTATCCCTCGTTTTGAACTGGAAGCTGTGCTATCGCCATAGGGAGGCCGAATGAAGCCTGCTTCCCGAGGAAAGAATACTACGCCTGTTATATTTCTCCAAATGAATAGTTCATTGGAATTATACCACTGACAGTAATTCTCAATGGACGGGAATATTGCATCCATGGCAGAGACAAGGACATAGACCATGAATAGAAGCGGACTATTTCGATGTTAACTCATATCCTAAGACGTGGCAAGATTCAAAAGCCCGCCATTCTACAACTCTTTAGCTCTTTCACGAAAATTATTAAAAGATCATCTACGGTAATGGAACGGATGTGCTTCTACCGGTAGCTCGCTAAGATAAATGGTCCTTTTTATATATCAAACCTGGGTATCGACCCGTAATCAGCTTATTTTAATTCCTACGCATTAAATCCGAAGATACCAAAGAATCTGTTTCCTCGTACACCAAACGTGGATATGGATGGCTCATTACACCGCGCTTTCATTGAACTATTCTTGAAACTTTCATGGCTTTTCCTAGAGTGAAAATCATAGACGAGACGCGTGGTGACGAAGACGTTGCATACGCGGGACTAGATATATAGGAAGGCCAAACCCCATTACACGCACGTAGCTATATCTATCTCGACACGTCTTCAAGAAAAACTGCAAAAAAGAAAAGGTTTATTTTGATGTATAAGGTAAATGATCTCATATATATAGGGGCTCTCATGTTATCGCTATGACCACAGAGGAGCACGGAATGGGTCGAAAATCAGCTCAAACAGCCAGCTGCTAATATGACCTCCATAGTAAGTTTTTTAACGAGCTGAGATGCGCTTTTCACATACCTCTATTCCACTTCCTAACAGCTTCATTTTATAGAAATATGAACTGAACTAGAAGCCGAAATTTTTGTCATTCCATTCATTTCCCCAAGCTTTTTCTTTTGTCGGTCAGAATTCGGTGGATAAGATGGAGTAAGCGAAACAAAAGGGGCTCCGCTGTCACGGAAGCACCATGACTTTCAAGTATTGAACTTCGCTGCCAGTATTATATATGCTTACCTATAGAAACTGGCCCCCAGTATCATTAAAAGATGTACGGATTTGAAATTGAAGCTTCTTTAAATGTGAGATTATGATGTATTCGTATTCATTCCGTAACACAATGTTGATACTTCTTTGAGAAATCGCTTTCAAGGACATCATGATCTTCGTTATAATTACCCTTGGAAGTAAAAGGGACATCTATATAACTTCATTTTTATTGGTTTATCGAAGTATATTCCAAACTAGATATATCATCCTTTATTATAAAAGCTATAGTATACCAGACGGAAAGCAATACAAAATTCTCTAGCAATAAAGTCAATATTCACTATTATCATCAACCTGATAAGAGCCAAGTATAGATCAAAAGAATTATTCCGAGTTTTGAAAATCTCTAATAGTTTCATTCTAAAGCATTAACCAGATGATAGAAAGTCATATCACATCTTATCTCATCTCATATAATAGGAGGCGTATATACCACGAGATCAGAAACCAAAAACTATGTACAGTCTTGTTAAGTTCTTATTCACCCCTTCTCAGTCTTCTCAAACTCAACACTCTCAATACTTCTTCCGAACTCCAGATTCCAGACTTCAAGTTCCAACATCCAAACTCCAACATCTAGAATCCTACAACCTACAACCTACAAGCCTCACATTTCTATATCTATAAACCAACTACTAGCCCCTCAACAACCCAGCAAATCCAAATCCAAATCCCAATAATTCTATTGTAATCTCCTACAATCATTCTCTTTTCCTTGTATATTATGATATTTATTTATTAACTACCTACTCATATGATTTTAACATCTCAACTTTAGTATCTCAACTCTATCTCTAGTGAATTACTAGGTCAACAATTTCTAAAAAGTAAAAAAAATCTATGATTACCTAGGTAGATATGATGGTAGCCAGATAACCAACCAGTTATCCATAGGAAAATCCTTATGATTTGTTAGGAATACGAGATAGATATACGAATACTAGATAGAGATGAAATGAATAAAATGATAAAGTGAATTGAAACAACATAACAATATCTAAATTTTCAAATCATTTGTCTTTGTAATAACGACGTTATATAGTGTCAGCTGTATATCTAGGTATAATTAATAACTCGCTCATCATATAACGCTATGCGATTGGGTGTCAATATCTATTAATCTGAATTGATTATTCGAGGTAAGAGGTTATCATTGCTTAGTACCTACATATATATAAACCTTACATGCATACCCAGGTACATTACACATGTATATCATCTACAAAACATTAATAGTATTCCTCCTAGTAATAACACAACCACACTTCTAAAGCTCTCCCATACAAATCATTTCAGAGACAGAAGTAAGATCTTACACCAGATACCTAGGTATAATAAAGCACATTTTAAAGCGCTAGCCTATTATAATATAATATACACAGAAAATCCCCCACCCCACCCTACACACAACACAACACAACATCCAAGCAAAAGTACAAAGTCATAACTCAGGAACTAAAAGTACACAGGTACAAAAGCACAAGAAGATTTAAAGGAACAAACATCCTCTTTTTTTAAAAAAAGAAAAACCTAGTTCGAAAACCGCGAGTGATTATAGAATTTGCAGCAATGAATCCACCATACCATATCATAGCATCCATGAATTTCCAACTCCATTTTTTCTAATCACCACCCCGTGTATCAATCATATCATAACATCTTTATCTCATTGTGAAATCTCGTAAATTCGTGAAAAATATCTTGGAGGAGGAGGTATACCAAGCAAAGCCAGGTGGTCGGTTCTTGTAGACAGACAGACAGACAGACCGATAGAGCAGTTCGAAATATCAAGTCGGTATATAGGACATTAGTTAGATAGAGGAGGATTGTCTAGGCAATCTTTTCGTTTTCTCTGTAGGCTAGAGTTGGGGAAATAGCTTCATCGTCACCTTTTTCCATTGTCATCATAGAGCTGGAAATATGAGATTAGTATTGATTGAGGTAGTGGTTATTGTGTAAAGGGAGTGAATAATGTGGGGACTTACATTGGATCACCACGAGAATTGGCAAGACGTGTTTGATCACTGAACGAGTTTAAGGGTTCACCAGAACGACCAGAACGACCAGAACGACCAGTGCCACGGTTGGTGAAACGGGAACGGGTAGCAACAGAGAGGAATTCTCCCATGGCCTTTCGACGAGCAACGAGTTGATCCATCCAATCCTTTGGTTTTGGGCTTCCATTTTCCGTATAATTTGAGGGATTTTGTAGACGAGCGACCATTTCCGGGTGCATTTCAATCTCTTGTTTTTGGTTATCGAAAGAGCGAGCTTTGAAGATCTTTTGTACAATCTGCCAGCAGCAGATAATATTACCCACCCAGATAGCCACTGAAGATTCACGAATGTACCAAAGTTGATAAGTTGTTGTCATAGGGCTGGTGAAATTGTAGTATCTAAGAAATCATTAGTTATCGATCAAAAGTTGAAGCTGAATTAGAACAACTTACTTGTTTAAGATAGCAGCAAGGATAGTAAACAAAGCGAGGGAGAAAACAGCCATTAAGACAGCTTTGCGCTTGGGTGGTAGACGTGCAATATAGAACATCCAAAGAGGGATAAGGATCAAACCGAGATCAGAACTGATGTTGAAGACCATTTGAACGATAGAGTAATGCTGATAAGTCGCACATTGTTCATCTTGAACTGGAACTGCCCAATATTGTTGGAATGGACGGCAGACACCGACGTAGTAGACAAACATAATTACAACGTAACCAACAATAATATATCCCATGAGAATCTTGAGTGCCATTTGTAAATGTGGAAGATTTCGGCTTGAGCGAAGTTAGCTTCGAGGGTGGATATGAGATGGAACAGGTTGTAAACTTACCAAAGACGCCACAAAAATAGCCAAATGCAAACCTTGACACACCAGGTAGAAGCAAGCATACATTGTTCAAGTGGGATGACAATGATTGAGCCCTGAACGCGTGAAGCGACATCTTCAGGATCAGCTAAAATTGCAGATAACTGCTCTGGAGGGAACAAATTGGTTTCATAACGAGCGGAAACATTAATCAAGACCAAGAGAACGGTATAGAAGCACTTGGGATTTGTTAGAGATGGACTGTAGCAGAAGCTCGACATAGGAATGATCATAATACTTACCATCGTGAGACTCATAAGCCAATCTTCAAATCTCATCTTCGCCATGACCCAGGTGGCATTGAGACTATAGTGAAATTACGCGTCAGTTGGGTCATCACATAAGGAATACTTGATTGTAAGGAGATTTCAAAAGTATATGTGGATATTTACTTACATTCGGAAACCAAACAAGACAAAAGAAGGAATGACAAAGCCAATGGTATTGTGAAGAAGTTCAGCATTTGAAGGCGAAACAATCCCACGAGGAATTAAAGGAGCCATCTTTCCCTTGAGTAGGTAGGTATTAATGACTTCAGTATGGTGGTGATTGTTAAAGAATGTTTGTGACCAGACGAGGTTTGCTGGGAAAAGGTTGATTGATATATTTGACAGGAAGAGGTTTTCAAAAGAAAACTTCTCCTTGGCAATAGGAACAACTTGCAGAAGGAAGATAAGGAAGAGAAAGAAGAGAGGAGAAGGGAAGAGAATTTGAGGTTGAGGTTGAAGTTGAAATTGAAATTGAAATTGAAATTGAAAATAATTCAATTGAATTTGAAGACCTTCACCCTCTTGGTGGATAATATGAATAATACCTCTCTCTTCCTCCCGTCCCAAAATTGACGCTAGTACCAACTTTAAATTTGACACTCCGTCTCTTCATGAAGTCTGCTAATGGAAGAGGAAGCACAAACACCAGCATCCAAAAAGATGAAAAGGCGAAAAGCAAGAGATGTTCTTGAGAAAAGACAATTATCATCTGAAGAAGAAATTTCGATAATCTACGAGATGAAATTTGAAGTCTCACAACCTTATCCGATCTTGTCCTACTTTTCTTTTATATCGAATCTCCAGCGCTTGGCTATTTGGATGGCCAAGTATACAAGCATACAAGCATACAAGCATAAAAGCATACAAAGATACAATCTCGGACTCGAGACCTGAAGATGCAAGATGCCATTGTACTTCAACATTGAGCAACAGGCAATCTTATTGATCTTGTTATGCAGCCCTACTCTCCAGTTGATGTTGATGCCACCCCTCTGGTTCCTAATATTCTTCGGAAAGTTACCATATCATTGCTGACGGGTTCAACGATCTTTTCCCAGGATTGGCGCCACCAGTTCAGATGCAAATCATAACCTCTTCGACTTTACAGAAACCATTTCTTGATCATTGAACGGGAAATTGCATATTCGACCAAGGTCGCTACCCATGTATCATACGTTAGAGCTTGGCACAGCCGTGAAACAAACCAAGACCAATTCTGCAAAGGCGCAGTAGTTGTGTGAGGATAATATGCAGTTACCCGCAACAAGTGAGTTCTTTGGCGATTGTAGCGAGAGTTGTTGCTGACACACCAAAAACATTGTTGTCATCTTCTAGCAAGAACGATTCTGCAAGGCAAGCAGGGGCGTAATTACATACTAGGTAGGTAGAGATGCGCCAAAGCCACATACCTTTACATGAACTATAATATTACGAATTGAGCCTCTTGAATATCTTGATCCGCATTTCCGCAATCCACGAAACACAAAACGATCGAATTGCACGGAAAGGAGTGTCTGACAACGATCAGAATCTGGGGAGCTGGTAAAGTTTGTACTCACTCGCACTACATGACTACGATACTGTAGTGCTATTCTGGATCGCCGACCAAAGTACGGGATACCGATGATCCGAGAATGGCATACGGGAATGCTCCTACAATTGTCAAATCTGCATAGCTAGGTATAAGGAAGCATTAAGGACAATAAGAAATGTTTGCCATGCCATAGTTTGCGGTCGGATCCATAACTAAATTCAACAACCATGGAATGAAGACTTTTGAAGGCTCACTGACAGCCGTCTAGCTCAATTTACAACTCCAACGCTATGCTTCGTCCGTGATTGCCCATTATTTATAATCATCCACTTATATCATGCCACAGGAGTAATATATGCTTTTAATGCTTTCACAGCATCACCATCATGAGCCTTCAATAACTCTGTGGCCTTGATCTTTGTCAGTTCGAGTTCGTCAACCTGCAATAGCAATTCAATTAGCCTCGAACACCGAAATCAAGCAACGTAGCATAGCCAGAAAGCGACAAATTGGGATAGGAAAAGATACGGTGTGATGGACAGAGAAAAGCTTGTCTTGGGTGGAAGTGATAATAGCTAAGAACAAAGACTTTATTTCAAACAAAAGGATTCAACTCAAAACCAGTGCTCAATGTCAAATCCCCGTATAATAGGATCAACATACCAATAAATTAACATCAGCAGCTTCAACCTTCACTATCTTCTTCACAACCTTTTTCTCATCTCCCTTCTTTGCAACGGTTCCATTTGTGGCGCCTGCCAACCTATCCATAGCTTTCCGCACAGCCTCCTGATCTATCTCCTTTGTAGCAGTAGAATCATCTTCACGAGGAGCATCGAGGGAGGAAAGAGCAGCTGCTGCTTTCCGATCTTCTGCCGACTTGGCTATTGGAGGGATTTCATCATCTACATCGCCTGTGGTTGCACCTTCGACTACTGTAGGGGGTTGAGCTTCGGACATTGTGATAATAGAAAGATTAGGACTTGATCGACAATCGCTTGCACAGGGAGAATTGTCAGAATGATGTGTAAAAGGATCCAAGCACAAGTTGTTGCTTGATTAAACAATAAGTTTTGGTTTGGGCTGCAAGTTCCACATCTGTAGGGCTGACAAGGCCTATATCGGCAAACGTAGCCTGGATAAGTAGCCTGATAAAAGTCAACAAGTAACATTGTTACCTTACCACCTAGGTTAATCACAAGCTCGAGCCAAGATTTTAATTTTTATTATTTCACCCCGCACAACAATCACGTTATTTTTACAACTTTCTTTACTATTTAACTCAGTTCGTCGTCTCATTACAGCTTTGTATAGCTTCAATTTTTCTACTTTAGGAATTACATTACAACTCATTTCAAAATGCCAACCTTTGGTCCTGGAGCTGAATTAGGGATCAACTATGATGGAGCACCTATGGACCACCCCGTTGAGTCATTACCCCGCCAGGTTGAGCCATGGTCACCAAGCTCTTGGACTACAAAACCAATCAAACAAGACGCGATATATGAGGATCGAAAGGTTGTAGAGAAGTCTTTATCAAAACTTCAACATCTTCCTCCCATTGTCACCCCTACAGAAATTATTCGGCTCAAGGAAAGTCTACGAGATGTGGCTCTTGGAAAGGCATTTCTTCTTCAAGGCGGTGACTGTGCTGAACTATTTGACTACTGTGAGGAGAATGCAATTGAATCAAAGATTAAGCTCTTACTTCAGATGAGTTTGGTTCTCGTTTGGGGTGCCAACAAGAAAGTAGTCAGAATTGCAAGAATGGCTGGTCAATATGCAAAGCCGAGATCAAGCCCCACAGAGATGGTAGATGGCAAGGAGACACCATCTTTTAGAGGTGATATCTTGAATGGCTACGATGTCGAAGAGAGAAACTTAGACCCACAGAGACTTGTTAGGTAAGCATAAATCTGAGAATTATCACGGTACTTGACTGACTCACAGTAGTGCATACTTTCACTCGGCAGCCACTCTCAACTTCATTCGGGCATCTCTATCATCTGGTATTGCCGATCTTCATAGTCCGATGAATTGGGGTCTTGGTCACGTTCGGGATCCTGAGTTACAAGAGAGATACTCGAAAATTGTTGATTCCATCAGCGAGAGCTTACGTTTCATGCGTACTATTGGTGCAGATACTGCGGATCAACTTCGAGGAGTTGACCTCTACACCAGTCATGAGGGCCTTTTACTTGAATATGAACAGAGCCTTACTCGAAGACTTAAAGATCCGTCTCAAAACTCACAAGCCGATGCAAACAGCAATAAAAATATCGATCCTACTGAGGACGGAAAGGCATACTTCAATACATCGGCACACTTCCTTTGGATTGGTGACCGAACAAGACAAGTGGATGGAGCACATATTGAGTACTTCCGTGGTATAGCTAATCCAATCGGTGTCAAAGTGGGTCCCACGACTTCTTGTTCGGATCTTTTGGAGCTCCTTCGAAAGCTCAATCCAACAGTAGAAGTCGGTAAGATAACACTTATAACTCGTTATGGAGCTTCAAAAGTCCGTGCACTTCTTCCCAAACACATCCGAACAGTTGAGGATAGTGAATATGCTCGAAGTGTGGTTTGGCAATGTGATCCAATGCACGGAAACACAAGATCTACGTCAACCGGCATTAAGACGAGACAATTTACAGATATATTTTCCGAGCTTCAAGAGACTTTGGCAGTTCATCAAGAAGAAGGAAGCTATCTTGGAGGAGTTCATCTTGAATTGACCGGTGATGCTGTGACGGAATGCACAGGCGGTAGTGAGGGACTTGCTGAGGAAGATTTATCACTTAACTATACCAGTTTCTGTGATCCAAGATTGAACGAAAAACAAGCACTAGAAATGGCTTTCTTGATCGCAAGCCATTTCCGTGAGGGACATACTAAAAATTAGATTAAATGGACAAAATTTAGTAAGATCTTACATATTATCGTCGTTCATGCTGGGACTATCGGGAAGTCAAACACACTTCTTAGCGACTGTCCTCTTTCTTGTGTTATTTCCAATTCCTTTTTTCATCCTGGAACTTCAGAGCAATACTTTCATTGTGAATTTTGAGATATGGTGAGATTTGGTGATGGTGATGATGAACACAAGTATAAGTATAGTTTCCTGAATCCTAATGATGACGACAGTAATACTTTGGGATATAGCTTGTTGTCACTACCTATTGGCTAGTAAAGCAGAGAAGTCCAAAATCACAATTTTATTTTCATATCTCTACTTCTGACTCCACTGCTCCCAATGCGTAACTTCAACTTGGTGTGCTCAGTATATGCTGTCAAGGGAAGAGCTTGGGCTGATTATTAAATTCGCCTTCTTCTTCCGCCCTACCCAAACCCCTCCATCACGATCCACTGGTTTAAATGAATAGGGATGTAATCTTATCTTGGTTTATTAATGGTATTGTGTATTATTGACAGTACTCTGGTACTCCCGTTCATTCAGCTAAATATATACAGAAAAAAATAATACAAATAAATATGTCCTCTCCAGTACCCATATGCATGTCTCCAAACCACGCTCGAGCACTCTATATATATTAAATACAGGTACCAACAACACTAGCAGTGCTATTCTTAATATGAGAATATAAAGGATTAGAAGAACCGGCGCACAAGACGCCCTTAACAAAGACTCCTGCGACAAGATTCGCCGCAACGGGAGAAGTATGAGTGTGGTCATTTGGGTAATAAGTATTAACAACACTAGCACCAAGAACCGCATACTGGTTTGCGAGATAAGTACCGTGATCGATGAAGCTAGACTTGCTTCCCACGGTCTTCACTACTTCTTCGCCGTATCCGGTGAATCGGGGTGAGGTGTATGAACATGTGCCAGTCTCGCATGTGTTGTCGGGGGTAGGGGAGGATATGATGACGTGGGCTCCTTTGGCGACCATGAGTTCGGTCGCGTTGGTGAGATAGGTGGGGTAGGTTTGTACAATTACTCCGGCGGCTGTGGTGCAGGTTTCGTTACCGGCTCCTACACAATCGGAACGGCCGTTGTCGGTTGGGGTGAGGGATCCTCCGTCATTGTGTCCGAATTCAATGATGACGATATCGCCAGATTTGATGGTGGCAATGACTTCACCAAAGCGGTTTTCATTGGTGTAAGAACGGGCTGAACGGCCGGCTTTGGCATCGTTGACGACGGGGATTTTGAGAGAGTATGGGAGGTATACACCCCAGCCTGTATATGTTAGCTACAGATATTCATGGATGATATTTTGCGATTTTAACAGACCTTGAGTTCCAGTTCCGCCGCCTCCGAGTGCCATGGTGGAATCTCCACACATGTAAACTGTGGGTGAAGCGGCTGCTGCGGCACGTACTTCGGCTCTTGAATCAACGGCTGTTGGTGTTACATGACTGAATGGAACAGCATGTGCAGCAGAGGCCAAAATGGCCAAGAGGAGTTCTGAGGTGGTCTTCATGATGACTTTCTAGAATTACCTGGTTTCGAAATTGCGATGTGTTATGAAAGTAAAGGTATGGCAATGAAGCAGAATAATGCAACTCAGGTGTATACTCGACAAGAAATTGGTGAGAATGACAGAGCAGGTAGAAAACACGGATATACCATTGTACGTTATTTTAGGTAGAGTATATATAGCTAATATTTCCCCCACAAAAGAAAACATGATTCCACTCGGAAGATTTACGGAGTACGGAGTAGATGAAGAAACCCCTTCCATTCTAAATGGGAGCATGCAGACTCCATATTTGCCCCGACACGTTAACTGCCAAACGGAGTCGAGGAGAAGTATATTCCCCTCCCCCAATATTTTCCCGTCATGGGATACCCTTCCCCGCAGAAGCGCTCGAATGGGATTTATACAGCCGAAGCTAAAATCATCACAACGGTGTTAACAAACAAGCTTAGCCAAGAAAAGCAGGACGCTTTGATACTTCGAGTTTGAAATAGAAGATCGGACGGATTTCACCGACTGCTGAAAGCTAATTCGTGCAAAATAGACTGATTTGTCTAGCCATTTGCATTATTGAGGAGGCGGGGGAGGGGCGACTTGCTGCATTGTAGAACTACCGGTGAAGAAGAATTTCATTATGTAATCAACCCCCAGGCATAGATTTCTCGGAAGTTTTATTGTTCCGGTGAAGATGGAGTTTCGGAGATTGGAGGACTACTTGGTTCCGTAGCCAGACGTTTAACATTGATGAGAACCATTTGTATCCCGCGTTCGATATCAATGTCTGCTGCTTAAACTTAAATATGGAATGATAGTTGCATTTGGCTTAGGGTTTTGCAGCTAAATCCCCCTTCATTCTATTATATCAACAATTGCAAGAATGTGCAGGAAGTCCTTGAACATTGCCACTTTCCAACCGGAATCCCCGTACCTGGTAGTCAAAAACCTTAACTGGGACCTGATGATCTTATCTGAACTTTCTGTTCTATCCCTACCATTGCTGGCAGTCCTGGTGGACTTTTCGAAAGTTTAGTAGTCGTACAACTTTGCTTTTTCCCTCTCTCGGTTGCAGCTATCCCAACCCATGGATGCTAAATAATCTAAACGATACAAGTTCATCCAATTAGCGACAGGGACAATTAAACATTGCCAAAGATCCTTTCAGGCATGCATGGATGACATGCATGGATGAGAGCTGTATCTAGAAAGTCCACTTCTTTACCCAACTCCCTTTTGATTAAGATATCAACGTATTTTGGGCGATGTCGTGATTCCCTTCAGCTCTATCGTTCTAGACTTATCAATCCACTTAAGAACTTCGACAGAAGTTTTGCTGATCTGTCTTGCTAAATTCTAGAACATTAGGTTCAAATAGATATGATTGGCAACTTCAAGAATGCATGGCCAGCCATGCACGTGTTGTATGATCCTCCTTGGATGAGCTGAGGTTCGCTAAAGACGATTGTATTGGAGGGTCAAAACATGTTATTAAAAAATCAATTTAACACCTACTCAAACAACCCTTCGCCAAACCCAATTTTCTTTTTCGACTGTAGTTTACCAAACCTAAAATCATCAGCTTTCATATTAATTACATAGGTTCTAGCAGATATATTACCGCGGAAGTTTGAGGTACTTTATCCACTGGGTACAGCAAAACTCATGAATCCTTAGATAGATTCCCTATCTACACTTCTCATATCATATCATGTTGTTACTCCTTATCGAATACCATATTTCAGTCCAGTCGAGACTGATATCACACCACTTCCATACTTTTTCTCATCCAATTCCGCAAACCCAAATATACGATCCTGCAATTAACCAAATGTTGAGATCCGCCGGGACACACCTCCTGAAATTTACAAGCAGATCAGGGTCTCAAGGTCATTGATGTCCAAGAACCTTAGTTAACCTACAAAAGGACACTCTGCCCATTTTGATGCAAAGGTTCGATGAGCCTGGTATATTGCCAAGGCATAATGGAAGACGACGTGAATTCCTGGTCGAGTGGATTAAAAAGCAGTATGTCATACTGACGGTTAGCACATGAAGATAGTGAATGGATTGCATTTAGTGATGTCAAGTCATAGTTTTGATATTGATTTATCCCCCTTTTCGAATTCGTTGACCTATTTATCCGCGTCACCATATCGAATCACTCAAGCCATTCAAGCCGTTAAGTCTCACATACACAAAATTCAATTGCTCCTGCAAAGACAATTACTTTATATATAATGTATTCATAATTTTGTCTATGATGCACTGTTATAATACCTTCTTGTAAAGATATACCCACCCTCAACCATTGAAGATAACCGACAAAAACCCATAGAGAGCCAAATCCTAGAATTCCGCCAAGTTTGGTAAAAGCATCAGCTTCTCCAAAGAACCAATATCTAAAATCTATGAAGGCCTCCCTCGAGTCGTTCGCGTAGTTCGAGCAGTTGAGCACGCATAAACGGATTCAGCGTAGCAGGGTCAGGGTTATCAGCAGGAATTTCGTCAAGAAAATCCTCCAAATCCCACACGACGCCAACTTCAGGAGTAGCGTCGTCCTCGAAGTCAGCGTCCCTCCCCCAGTCTTGATCTGCATCTCCAAAAGCACCACCAATATCTCTATGTTCCACGGTCATGTGTTCATAACACTGTTCATCTTCTTCAAATGTATCAAGACAAATCCAGCAGATGTGGATACCGCATCCAGAACAAATGATGTGGTTGCAGCCTTCAGTCTTCTCCATGGTTGTTTTACATCTGGAACAATCCTTGCAGCCATTTTCAGACTTAAACCTCTCGAATGCTTCTTTTCCATTAGACTCTTGATATTTGTACTCACCACAAGTTTGACCCGTGTGAGACTCGTGACATGAGATACAAGTCTCCGTGAGACATTCGGCACAAGCACGGGACTTGATGGGTTGAGTGACTCGGTAGATTTGTCCGCAATCTGGCGCTGGACAGTAATGAAAATCCTCTGGATGTTGACGGATATATGAATGGAATGACGCCTCAAGAAGATCCTCGAAAGTACTGGAAGTCAGGTATTGTTGGATCTCCTCTAATGAGATAGTGACATCACATCCATCAGCCGCACAATTGATACATACTTCTTTGCTGCCAGTTGTGGTGGAAGAGCACAGACTTTCAAAGCATTGTAGACAATACAAATGACCACAATGCGTACGGACTGGAGCCTCAGCAGGACACCAACAAACGATGCAATCATCCTCCTTGGCGGTGTTGCTAGTAACGGCACTCTTGCGATTTAGGATTTCAATTGCCTTATGATAATTCTCAGGTCCGCCGAAAAGTAATAACTTCTTTGGACTTGATAAAGTATCAATAGAAGCAACATCTTTTCCAAGAGCTGATACGATCTGCTCAAATCCACCATTCAATATCCAGCGAAACTTGCTTCGACGGAGCGGGATGGCGTAACTTTCCAGTCCTGACGCAACCATATTGTGAAGTGTGCGTTGGGCGCGTTCGATATCCACGGCTGAACCACAAAGGCGAAGCTGTTTCCTTCTTCTATCGCGATAAATTGCTACATCGCACTCGTCCTCAACTAGTTTGAGCTTATTCAAACATTTTTGTTGCATAAAGTAATCGTTCCAAACTGTTTTATCGTCAGCCACGGCAGCTGTACCGATCAAAATCTTCTCTAGTTTATCCCTGGCTTTCAAAAAGTTCTCTCCAGGCTCTCCCTCAATCTTCAAAGACGTAAACTTCTGGGAAACATCAGTGCTTGGATATGCTCTGATTCTGATATGTTGCTCAATCAGTAAATTCTTTTCTGCCTCAATTTGCGATTTTACAGCTAAATAGATCTTTGCAATGACCTTGAATCGAGCTATAACGATTTGTCTAACTGTCAGCTTTCCCCTCCCTAAAATCCGTATATTTTTGTTGTTTAATTGTGAAATCGCTTCTCGAGCATCTGACTCATCCTGAAATCGAACTCTTACTACGACTTTCTTGGACAGTGGGTTTTGAACAGGATCCCAAGACTCCAGAGGGCCGATTTCCGAGCACAATCCCTTGACATAATTACGAATCATTTCGTCAGATGCTCCATAACTCGCTAAGCCAAGGTTCAATTTATCTGGCCTGTGTTTCTCATCCATTGTAGTCAAAATGTCTTCTTCGTCCACAAAGACTGGTAAGTTTCTCAGTATGCATAGAAACCTGTGGTTTTGGTCGGCTCGGAGATTAGAAAGAACAGATGAACACTTCAACTGCTCGCCCTCAACCCTGTAGCGGCCTTCATTAAAATTACTGCACGTCATACTGGCGGCATCCTCGTCTGCATACTTCAAGATTGCTGTCTTTGTTGATCGATACCAAGAGAAAACCACTTTGTGGAAGTCGACTCTGCGTGAAGTTCCAGAGGCGGAGGACAAGTGCGTAGGGACTGGGCTTGCCTTCAGTTGGGAGTACAATCCCAATCCACTCCAAGCCGACTCCAGCTCTTTGCTTAGAACTGAGCCTATCGTGGAGCATTCGAGTCGAAGGTATGCACAAACTAAGGGTGGAGTGCCTTTGCTAGTAATTCGAATGCAAATGCTAGATGTGTCAATGCCAACTCCACCCAGAATAGCCTCGATATACTCAATGTTGGCATTTTGTGGCAAGCCAGTGATTCGGATAGTGGTGAAATCAGATGGTATTGAAACTTTGTAGACTTGCCCTCCATCTCCAAATACTGCCAAGCTTCCAGAAATCGCACGTGTGATCATACCATCCGGTATTTTATCCTGTGATATATTAGTATAAACTTCAATTGATAGCCGAGTGGAGATGCAATCCATACATAATTCTTTGTGGCTGCAGGGGTTTTTGTCAAGGGAGCTGAAGTTGAAGGTGTGTTGATTGTGGTGAGAGAAACTAGCTCAGGGTTCCCGACTTGCGCGTTTCTTTGGTCGATCAAATCATTACCAGGCTCTGCTAAGGTATGTTTCCAGTAGCATTTGTTTCCTTTGGTACATTTCCCTCCGGTAAAGAAGCTGCAAACTCTCTTGTTAAGCGGATCTTCCGAGGAAGCTGCCGTCGTGGATACATGACTGAAAGGACAATCATCGCCTTTTTGACAAAATCCCTTAGCAAGGAACTTACAAGTAATCAGCTTTTGTGCTTCGGGGCGTAAGGGTCGTTTAGCAAGCGATTTTCCATCGTTTATATTCAACGAATTGGTAGACTGAGGCGCATTTGTTTCCGTGCTAACATCATGGCTGTATTGACAAGAAGTGCCACGACCGCATCCAGCAGGAGTTACAAAATACTTGCAAGGTAACATAGAGATTTGATCTTCCATTCTGATTGTTTGAATTCGAGAGTTGCTGGTGTCTTGGTTACTTGGGTTGGAAAGGGTGAAGGGTTGATTGAATGATGTTTTCGCCTAATCAGCCTTAACGCGGTGTTACAATCTCAGGCCAGTTAAGCTGATAATCTGAGGACGGGATGAAAGTGAGTATGAATTTGGTGAAGATTGTTGCAGTGAAAATGCAGAAAAAAAGACCATTGAATTCCCGCCAACCCACTATCCGAACAATCGATTATTATCCAAATGCCCCTTTGCGGTTCCACGCACCATCGTTGGATGGGATTGAAGATCAAAGAATCAAAGGCAAAGGGAGTCTGAGTGGTAAGCCTTTGCTGAATTGATGATATATGAAAGCAATGACCTTTTGATGAGGATTACAGTTCTGAAGTTGTGCTGCGAAGTAGTGAATCTGTTGGTTGGTGTTGAGAGATGAAAGAAAGGTGATGCATGAATTATTTTAAGGATGTATTTGCAAGAAGTTCACCAGGTAAGACAAGCGAGCGACCTTTGAGAAATGAGTAAGGAGTGGTGGAGAGCGTCTCACAGAATGCAACTTCCAAATTTTTGAGACAATTTATCTTTTCAGTCATCTTCTCTTTCCCAAAGTTCCCAAATAATTCTTATGTCAAACTTTCCCATTCTACATATCTTTCGGAGCCTGTGTGTCCCGATGCCAATAGCATCTCGAATTCCTCCTGCGTAGACCCAGGTTTCAACCTCAAAGGCCACTTCTCGACCAATGTATTCTTATTCTTGATTTTTAATCCTACAATTGGGCCAATTTCATTAAAACAACAATCTTTCTGAAACTTATCAAATGGTCTGTCGAAGTCCCGAAATGCAGATCTCGCATTAAGGTATTTGATAACTTCTGGATCCCATGTTTCTTGATCCATACGCGAGAGAGTAGCTACATCGAGTGACATGTACTTATTCAGTTGAACTATTTCTGCTTTGATGCTACCAATTTGGTCTTGTGCATCATAGGACTCGTGTACAGCGTTTAGGAATAATGCAAGGAGTGTAGCGTGTGGATTTTGCGATTTGCGCTTCAGGTAGGGACCAAATGTCGCGAGGAGTTTCGGAGGTCCAAGGTAGCCACGATCTCCAATATTTGATACCTAAGAACAGTTAGCAGTTGAAGATTTTCACCTTGAGGACGGGAAGATGCTCTACCTCGATTCTGTCAAAGAAATTCTCTCCAATACCACGCTCATCTAGAATACTTGGCAGGTCCATGGCATCAATTCTAAACAGTTGGAAACGGGCTTTTAAGTTACTCATTCGTTGGCAGAATTCTTCCAGTTGTTTGAGCACATAAAAGTAGATGCTACCATAGACATCGTTACGGGACGGCGGGGGTTTCGACATGAATTCATTGATAGCCCATCCTTCCTCTGGATCTGCAGAGTCCATCATTGGCCAAAAGTCAGTGCTTTGAAACATCGTTCTACCATGAGATTAGCCATCATGCCTCTAGAATGGATGGGAATTGCCTACGGATTTGGTGCATTGAATTCTTTACGAGAATTCCCAAATGGCAGTAGTATGCCATCAGTACGAAACTTGACAGCAGCAACACGCCAAGCAGGTGGCTTGATATAGAATGCTCGATCAATATAATCTCTTCTTGATGGTGCTAATGTAGTCTCTACCATCACTTTCTTCGCTTGACTCGTTGTCAAACCACTAGGAACTTTGAGAAACGATGGAAGAAGATCCCATGAATCCTTTGGTAAGGTCAAGCTCAGCTTTCGAGTGCCGAATGTCCAAGTCTTGGACTGTAGAGACTTCTCAGGACGGTCACGAACTTTCATACAAACATCTTCGATCAAAGGAAGGATTTTTTCTTGGAGCTTTTGCAACATTGATTCGGGTAAAAATGCAGAATACCAAGTATGTAACATAATATCGGCTGCTTCCATGGGATCAAATAAGAGAGCTGTGAGAAGCAAGATTGCGTTTCTCGCCACAATGTCAAAGTCCCTGTCGTTGATCACAATCTCGCACTTCCCCGTATACGCGACTGGGAGTCCAATCATGGATTTGACAACGTTTCTGATATCCCCAGATGCTATTCAATTGTCAAATTAGAGTCTCCTCACAGTTTCAAGTTTATCTTACCTGCAAACAATATATTGAATTCCTCTGGAAAGGTTTCTCCCTCATTCTTGCGACTCTGGATCACATCTACAGCAGGAACATTTCCCCACAGATACTTCTTACTCCCATGCTGAACCATAGTAACCCATTCATGGACTGGCGCACTGAGATCACCACCTGGGGTTATAAAAGTCGGCATTCGTTTCTCCACAGCCCATTGAGGTTTCCAGGATTTCTTCATAAGCGGAGATTGACAATCCTTTTTATGGAACTTCCAATGTGCGGCTTGACAATCTTTGCTGCAATACTGGACCAATAGGCACTTACTACATGCTTTTGATCCGGCTTTAGCACATGAAATTTTCCCATCGCCACCTCCAGCCTGGTCATTGTTGGCGCACATAGGCTGTGGAAATGTATATGTCTGAGTAGATTCAGCCATGGTGAAGGCACGATCATCAAATACCATGGACGGGTAGGGTAATACTTCTTCAAAAAATCAAGGGGCGCTCGCGGCCTTTTTATAAAGTTGCTCATGCTTCAATCTCGATTACTCATAGCAAAATATAAAATTGACTGGTCACACGGCAGAGACCTTATTGCAGGGTGCTCATTGGAGCCACCTCAAAGCGGGATGTAACATGTCAGGGATACCTGCACCCTACCGAACACAAAATTTTGTTCCCGTCTGTAAGCAGCACATTTAGAACTTTTGTTTGATACCCAAGGGCTCTAAAAATTTCTCTTAGAAGTAAAATTTTGTCTTATTGCAGCACTGGTTACGAATCAACGGATGGTTTCCAATCTGGAATATGAATCTGTGAGTAAACTTCAAATTCGATGTGACGTTGCTATACGAGACAATCGTCTCAACAAAAGTCGAGGCTCTATATCCTTTTCAAAAAATATACTTTGTTATCCTATTGTTTATATGTTATGAGCCCCTGCTTGATTTCATGATGCTATGGTGTGAATAATATCCTGATACCTGAAGTAGTCAGCTGAAAAAGAAGAAAGAAATGAGAAAAGATTAAAATACTCAAACTCTATATATCACAACTAATCACATGTAGAATATAACAACAGTAGAATCTCACATACACATGTCTCCTAAAAATAACCCTGATTCTAGGTGAACAACATTGAAAAAATTAGCTATGTAGTATATCCCATGCAGGTTTTCTCTCCTATACATTGGCTTTATGATACTCTTCCCTATCCAAAAAAGACTCAGCACACTCCTTTTGAGATGGATAGAACGCCCTAGAGGTAAACGGCTACATTAGTTATTCTTCTTATGTAGACGTTCAGCATGGCCTATTATGCCCGCTCAAATTATCTACTAAGATCCATTATCGGCAACCCGACTGAATCTAGAGATGATTACTATTAAAAGAACTTTTGTGATGTGAGAGGAAAATCGGAAATAAGACCCTACTGGAAAGCGCAATTTTGTAGTTCTCGCAGGATTCATTTCTTGTTGGCTTTCGGCATTCTTGCAACCCAATAGATGAAAAAGATAGCAAGCGTGTTAAAAACGACATAGACGACCATATAGGCTACATTTCGCCACGCATGTTCTGTTCCAGTCCTAGTTGCTGGAGTAATTGGTTTGTCTGATCAGCTGGGCAGTACAACCAATCCGTGGTAGCTGTGGGATTTCTGAGGACTCCGCCTGCATACCGCATGAACGGTCCTAGATAATTGATACATGTGGAATTGGAGGAAGGAGGATCAATGTGGAGGAGCTCTATCTCGGAGCATTCGATAAGTGTGTTGGCTAATCCTGCCAGAACCATACCATCAATGAAGTATGTTAATGGAGACGCTCGATAAACAAAGATCCAAAAACGAGGAAGGTCTTTTGGGGAAACGAGGATGCCAAAAAGTTTGATTAGTTCTGAATTGACTTTACGTAGTTTGGTAGCACTTACCCACAAAATACAAGAGAAAGCCAGAAGCACAGCGTGGAAATTTGTACGGCTGTCTCAGCATGCTCGATGCCTATGCCTATTGCCTGCGAGAAGGTCGAGATCCATAGACAAAATAGCCAAATGAGGACAAATACCAGACCTCCCCTTTCCACCGTTCCAAAGCTTGGATCACTATTGTGCCAGAGACCCGTGGGGTAATACCAGGATAGGAAGATTACTACGGAGCAGACCGTCTGCCAGAATAGTTCAACGATGATGTTAGTAGTTAGGAACGTGATCCAGGAGTATGATTTAGACTTTCTCTCGCGAGCTTCAAATAGGGCGCGGTTATTGGCAAGGCGTGGGATGATTTGTTGATCGAGGGTGCTGAAGAGCTGAGATATGAGGAAGATGGAAAAAAGGAAGTTAATGAAGCCTAGGTTCTGAAAACCATGCTCATAGTTAAAACGATAAAGAACATGAAGACGAGGTAGTTAAAAAAAGCGGAAGCGGTTCGCCGGAGATTCGTCATAAAATAGAGTGTGGCGTGAAACGTAACATTGGTGCCGACCTTGACCGGCAAATCGCAAAGAATTGCAGCCACAGCTTCCGTAAAAGGGTGATAAAAAGCGTATCGATTGTGCTTTTCCACAATAAGCCTTTGTGCCCAGATGGTTAAGACCTAAAGAAATTGGCAACGAGTCAGCCACTAGCCCAACAAGTAAGAGAAATTTGAGAGCCTCAAACAGCTTACCTCAAAAGCAGGTGAAAAAGCGCATATCATTAAAAAAAAAATATGAGAACGGCCCTCTGGTCCATGCTAACGCTTGTATCTGTAAGATCGTAATACACGCTACCGAGAACGATAGCAAGAATCGTGTTCGCGAAGACGATTGAAACTGCAGGAATTTAGTTGTTGCGTAGACGTAGTAGACCTTTCGGAAGACATATCAGGATCTGCTGGCTGATTCGAATCCGGTAAGTGGCTGAGCGATTGCTAGATTCTGAAATTAGCTCGATCAACTTTCTTGTTCCGAACGTTACACGAATTCTGAAAGTCTGAAACATACGGAGGACGACTCGAAAAGGGATGTGACTATAGGGCCTTACAGGTTGATATGTTGCCTTTTTCCCATGCAGGTGATGTGGATGAGGGAGAGGAGAAAACTAAAGTGGACGAAGACAGTGCTGAAGGACTGGTGACATTCATACAGAAGACATCGTTTTCACCTCAGACTGTCTCTGTATTTATTACTTAGGGAGCGCAGGAGGATGCAAAAGAAGAAAACATTATGAAGGGAGTCGTGGTTGCTCCGAGTCCTTTAGGCGTGAAATCACTCAGTACTGAGGTTGCCAAGCTACAATCTATTCCAAGAGAATAATAAGTAAGTTCTTAACACTTTCATGGTTTTTACCTTCAGCAGAGTAGAGTCTAGAAATCATATCACACAATTTATATGTAGGGGCAGCAAGTTTTTATCGCATTTATAAATTATCGCCTGCAACTGGTTCAAATCAACAGCCCCGGGAAAGAGAATCCTTCATAAATGAACGATTCCTCGGCAACGATATTACGCGTCGTCCTGCTGTCTTTGCCATAAATTGGATGCAAAGAATCATCGATTGGCTATGAATCTTTTCCTACTCAATCCATTATGATTACTTATCCCCAACATCCTCAAACTTGTAGCTACACTTCCCCTTATGCTTGTGACTGACTATGCAATATCCTGCATAATTTCCTATGGTTCTTCAGGACAATTTTAAACCAAGCTCTCCGCAGAGTTGTGTGGAGAGAGATTTCCTGACTGACATGTATTATGGCCATGGTCAGACGTATTCCCGGGCCTGACACTCTGCTTTCGTAGTGAGGGGGCACCACGAGACCAAATGGAATTGGCAGGTTGGGCTGAGCTAGGTCCGTAGTTGATTACTCTAGGTGGATATTCTAGCAGCTTAAACTCTTTAACATCTTTCACGTGCTTGAATTCCGGATAGTGAGTCTCTTGTGACACTTCCGCTGCAGAAAAATTGCAAACTGATGACAGTGATCGGTCTTCGCCCATTTCAGTCGATGATGTCAAATTCTCACTGACCAGATCGAACTCATGATTTTCATTTCTTCTGGGTCCTCTTCCTGATCTCGGCTGATTTGGTTCCAATTTGAAGTGGGTTGATGATTTGTTTCCGCTGCCCAGACTCGAGCGAAGTGACCTGATAATTGCGACCTCTGAGATATAGACTGTGACAAAATTCACGAAGCCGACGGTACAGCTGACGATGATAGCTATTTGATTTTCTATTAAGCAGAAAATAAGAACCAGCGTATATTTCCAAGTTACGTCATTTGTATTTAGTGCTTCTACTCTGTAGACCATAGACAAAACACTGGCGATGACTCCCCTATTCCGTTAGCTTTAGCAGAATGCTAATGGCAGGTATTTGCAGCACGACTTACACTAAAGCAGTGCTAAAGACAATCAATATCTGTATCTTCTTCCTTCTTGATAATTTGAGCCTCAGAATTACCGGAATAGGCAAGATGAAAATGAACAAGTCCAGCACGATGCCAAGTGCCGCTTGTACGACCCCCCAAACTAATTCCTTCTGTGGACGGTCAGAGAACAACACGCTGGTCCACGTTTCGCCCACCCGAGGAGCTGCCAGCAATGCCGACAAGGGAATATTAGTAAAATACAGTAGCCCGGCGAAGCCAATTCCAACTTGAATAGCGATGCGCATTCCATGTTTAACTTCAAAAATCTGGTGAAACAACAGGAAGATGGAAGCTTTAGAAAAGAAAAACACAAAACTGAGAATCATCAGTTGTGAGAAGACGATCTTTGGTTGCCGTTAGTCTCTGAACATGGAGGTTCACTGCGACGGCATTTGAAACTAACTTTGTTGTACGTGCCATTGTACCAGCAGGCCTTTACGTCCCATTGATGGCGGGCAAATTTAGTCTGAGCAAGCATGAGTCCAGTTTCAATGAGTGACAGAATCCATGCAACAATAATGAAGTCTATGTTTGTTAGTCTATCCATCCAGCCTGCAGACTGGGTAGTTAGCTTTCTTACAATCGCTCCACCACATTTTCTTTCTGTTGGCAAACAATCTACATGCTACAAAAATTATAGCAACAACGCTCATGATGACGCATACCGAGATAAGTGCCGGAACCAGCGTTTTAGGATTCTCGAAATTGCTGGTGGTGCCATTTGGTGGTAATCCCGCCGGAAAGATACACAGATCTAAACCAGGAGGAATATGATCCATGTTGAAAACGAACTTTAGACGCGTGGAAAGTCCTCAAGTATCGACGGGATGACCTCGAGACGCTATGTGAGACTACTTCAATGGATAACTTAAAACAAAATATGATGTTATCGAAAGGTGAAAACAAAAATTATAGAGGAGAGAAACTACTAGGGAGCAACTCAAACATGGATCTAATAAGTAGAATAATATCAAAGGCTATGTCAAAGCGATCTTTTTAACGTCTGAGAGGGAGCTGAAAATTGAATGAGTGCCAAGGGTCAATCATCTAGTTGAACGGAGTCAAGTCGTTTGCATTGCTTTGATTACTCTTTTTGTTCATTGCTTCTCACCACTTTCTGCCTTTTTAACTCTAGTTGATTACTAAGAGAACAGATAAAGTAGCACCCAAACCCGGATTTAATGATAATTTTAGCTCAAAATCAGCCCCCATCTCAACCCTCGTCGACTCTCCCTCCATCACCAACTTTACACCCACACTATACTCACATTATAACCACACTAAACTGCAGCCGTACCGAATCTAACCGTCATCTTCTAATCCAAGTAAGGTGATTTGTTGATGTAAGTCAGAAAGGTAGAGTTGAAGAGTGCAGTTGAGAATATAGAAATCCTACGGTGTCACTGGAAGTGGGGGATGGGATGGAAGACGGAGGCGAGAACCTTTCCGTATCTATCTATATTTGGATCTTCAATTGCAGATTTTTACCTGCAAGTGTTACCCGCAAGTACAGACTGCAGATTTGAGCCGTATTACCAACCTTGGCATCCAGGAAAATGGGAACTACGGTACCACCCCTCTCTTTCTGGTCACCATCGCATTTTATGGGTTCGTTATTTTAGTCTAGCGTGGCTTTGGATGAAGTTGTATGGAAAATGATAAGAGCTATCGAATCATTCAAATAGATGATCAATGACAGCAGTCAATGTCATCCGACAGCTTCCAAGAAGCTTTGCCGCATTGGATTGCGCCGGCCCGATTGATCTTTTGTCCTTCCTATACTTCTGGCATCTGACTCATGTTACATCATATAGCGTATATACGGCGTATAGTATGAAATATATTGCAGAATATCAAACAACTATCCAAGATTGCTACACATCATGTCGGTTAGATACTGGCAAAACTCTTGCTGTATTTGTAAGGAGATAGTTTGTTTACTTTATTATCAGCCCCTGATCTTATACTTCATTCGGCTCTTTTTATTTCACCGATTAAAAAATAAACTTTCTAATAGATATATTTTAAAATATCTTTTATATCTTGATTTTTATATTTTTTTTATTAAAATTATATCAACTATAAAAATATTAATATTATTAATATTAATTGGTTTTATTATATTAAATATAAAGAATTTAATCATATAATAAAAAAAAATTTAATATATTTATATTTTAGAATAAAATAAAATAAAATTAAATACAAAAATTATTCTCAAGAAAAAACTTTTAAAATTTAAAATAATTGTAATATTTATAATTAATGGAAATATAATTAAAAAGATTTAGATTATAATACTTGAATAGACAGTCTACTATAAACCAAAAGACGTGAAAGGTAATTACAAAGAGTATAATGAACACGAGCTTTGCAAGTTTCGGATAAATCGGTTCAGGGTAAATCAGCAAGCTAATTAATGGTTACTAAAGAGAAACTTATCGTGCATATGAAATCATGCCACACTTGTATGCAAGAAATTTCAGGCATGTAGGTGTATCAAATGACTTGCATGCTAGAAAAACCCCATTAAAATCAACTACATGCATGCAGTCATCAAGCTAGTCGAGATCAGACCCCTAATTCTATTACATGGCATTCGCTTAGCAGCTTATCGTTCAATCCGTTGGTTTGACAAAGCTGTGCCGTACACGTTGATCGTGGGAGTAAGACGGGAACGGATTGCACCGTTGGGTTGTCCCTTGAATCCGTTTGAAATTATTTCATCTCAATTTAAAATAATAGTAGTTGCAATTAGCTCTGCAACACATGTTTTGGGGCGTCAAATGGAGGAAGGTTTTATGATTACAAATTTCATTGGCGAGTGATATTAGCAGCCTAAGGTTAAGATTTTATTAGACGTATCGATTATTTGTGTGATCATCTTACTCGCCCCAACGATCTCATGTAGGTTACTATTTCAGTCAAAATCTAACAATCTGCTTGTTGAGATCAATTTTACAACAATCCATGACGTCAAAATGAAGACTTTCCTGGGCTCCAAACCAAAGGGAATATTTTTCTGTCAAATAGGGTGTTGTGAATATTTTCTGGTTGAATATTCATTATTGACCTTGAGCAAACTCCTCTGCGACCATATCCACACCTTTTGCAGGTGCCGAGTAGTTTACCTGCCAATTTCGGTTGTCTCTAGAAACATTTTTCACCTCCAATGTATCCTTAGTTGCCGGCATAGCTGATGTCACGGGGACGAATTTCCGAGGCTCCATCCACTTGCCACCCGTGGCTACAGGCTTCAGATCAAATTGAAGCAACAGCAAAGCCGTAAATGCCATCACCTCAGTGCTGACAAAATGACGGCCAGGACAGAGTGCTGCGCCACCACCGAAAGAGCGAACCGCAACAGGGTTTGCACTCTTCTCGCCATGCTTCCGTAGAAATCGTCGGTGATCAAATATATCCACAGTTGGTCCCCACACTGACACTTCTGTATGTGGAACTGAAGCGATAGTCATAATGGTGGCTCCCTTCTTGAGGAGATATTTGTTGTCGGACATGATATCTTTCATTACTACCCGAGCAGATATGCCGATGTGCCCGTAGCGCAGAGTCTCCTGCCATGTAGAGAGGAGGATGGGACATGCGGATTTGATGTTTGCTAGATTGACGGTACAGAGTCCACTATCATCAGTATGTATGAGTTGTTCTACTTCTTTCCGATAATCTCCAAGAACAACGGGATCTGAAAATACATGATAGATCACCCAAAATGCAGCTGGTACGCTGTTTGTCAAGGATGCTACCATCTGGCCTATTTCTGTAGCTGCTACATCTCTGCCTCGCAAACCATGATCTGTGTTATGCTTATGGCGACACTGAGCAAGGAAAGAGCCTTGATGATGGCCGTTTTCCGCAAATTATTTTTCGAAGGCGGGAATGAGGAGTTTTTCTCGTGCATGCAGAGCCTTGGGTGCCAATACGCTTTGCAATACTTTGAGCATGTGGATCTGGATTGTTGGCTCAAATTACTTTTGAGGACAAATTAGTAGACCATCAAACTAAGTAGTACATGTGGGAACTTGGGAACGAGTACGGACTTACTACCATGCTTGTTCGAGTGTAGAATCACGAAAAGGATTTTTGGGTCCAAATATAGACTCTGTTGTGGCCATGAATAATTGTCGACGAACCCAAGAAAACAGCTCAACTACAGTGGAGCCATTTTTGCCGAGTTTCTCCAAAGAATGCGACATTTATTGGATCGCTACACCATTGATAGCGTCAAGTCCTGGGCCAGGTGATAAAGCTGGTAAAGTAGACGGTACATATGTAGACAGTTAAGAATCGTGCTCAAACATCTTGTCTGAGCCGATAATGGAATTACCAGCAGGGCCAACGCCCATAACCGTGGCTGCCGCCCGAGCTTCGATAGGAGCAAAAGCAATAGTCTTTAGCTCGCGTTGTAGTGGTGGGATGAGTGATAGGGAGTTGATGACGTAGATGCGCTAGCCTAGCATGCGCAACGTGTAGATTGGGAGGCCAATATTTGCCTCTGAAAACCAGAAATTAAATGTCAGACTCATCATAGCATGATAGAAAGTAGATTACTGCTGGTTTTCTGCCTTCGCTGAGCTTCTGTTTTTTGAGTGACTGACCTTGGTTTCACTGCATACTTTTGCATGCCCGATATTGAACCAAGCAGTGGAGTTATAAAGGGTATCGTGGTTTCGATCGCAGGCGGCTCCTTCGAGGCTTGTGTGAAATGAAGAAGGGCAAGAAAAAAGACATATGTGGCGCCAAGAGCCAAGAAGGAGAATAAGCATAGAAGTCATGCTAAAGTGTCAAATTTGACCGACACGGTTCAATTCAGTCAATAACTATCCGCTGGAAAATAGTGGGTGGGAGGGAGCAAAGAGTTAGAGGCTGTATAATAAATCTTTATGTAGGTAGTCTAACAATCGTTTAACTGTGCCCCAAATACCGAACCAATCCTTCAGGGGCCCCGGTTAGCCCTTGCACCCCTAACGGCATTTTGGATCCGTGCTTACAAGCATCCATGGATCGGTACTCATGGCTAGCTTTGAGCTAATGTTACCCTTACCCCAGAATCTTCAGTGGGTCTCACTACAGCCACCTGTGGACTCCAAATACTTTTGAAAAAGTGGATGACAGTCCCTGGTCTAGATATTTGACTTCTGCTCCATTCCAGAACTCACTCCGACTTTACACCACTTATCTTTTCCAAGATCTTACATACCTCTCTCATATCCTCAATCAATGTGGTAAGTGCTGTGATTGGTGCGATGACCTTCATATAAGACTAATTAATAAATCAGGACTCTTTCAGCAGTCATTTGTCTGAATAATCTGTTCTTTTTTGGATGTAACGGATTCTAATCTTTTAAGAATTCATTAAAATATTAATAAACTCAAATTCACATCGAAGAATTTTTAATAATATTAAAATAATATAAAATTTATAATAAAACAGAATATTTCTATTTGGAGAATCAAAATAAATATTAGATAAATTATTTCCAAAAATATATTAAAAAGAATTTTTTTATATATTTAAGTTTCTTTTAATATGTAATTATTATAAAAGATATAATTTATATAAAGAAAAATTCCTAAAACTTTAATATTAATTCTCGAAAACTCAATTATTATTTTATAATCCTGAACAGATTTTAGATCATAATTATAAAGAACAACTAAAAACTCACAATCTTAATACATGACACAAAAATACAATACTCAAAACCAAACAAATAATAATTTCGTTAATTCCCCGAATGATAACCACAGCATCTCTACTCGAAATTCGGCTCGATCTTCTACTCTGTATACATCTAGAGGCTGAAGATATTAACCTGCAGGGAATAGACATATAAGCACAATTCTTCTGCTCCATTAGTCCAAAAATGAATTCATTTCTGTTTAGACAATATTATTAAGATCTGACACTTACAAGTCAATTCCTATTCTGCAGTAAAGTATGATTAGGAATCAAGTATACATAAACGTTAATAGTCATAAGACCTACAGTTATCCACACACGTTGTAGGGAAACGAGTTAGCGAGGCTAAGGTCTATAAAAATCTCATTGCAAGTGTTCTAGGAATAATTTCGAAAAGGGAAGGGGTCTAGTGCATCCTAGGCACCTAGCTACCCATGTTTCCAAGCAAATGGGTATAAGAGGGACCGAGGGAAATACTGCCTGACCCGAGCAAAACATTCTCGTTTGCTATTCCTATCTACAGTTCCAAATCCCCAGAACTTTTCACCATGAACTTCTGGGAATCAGTGAGAAGGTGCACTTTGCTGAAATTCTCATGGGTATTCGCTCTTGCATACTCAACATTGAACAAAGACAGGAGAACTTTACCAGCCCTTGGCATGATTCTTCTATTCCAGATCCTCATCAACTACACCTTGGCTACCTTTGAATGGCATGTGATCAATAGATTCCGCAAAAGTGATAGCGGTAAAGGACAATTGCCTCCTCAGTACCCGTCCCTCATCCCATACTTGGGAAATCCATTCTCATTTATATGGGATAATGCCAAATTTATCCGCCACGTTACGTGAGTAAACATTTGCATTCTCCATGTAATTCTCTCGCTGACTTGAAGTCTTACAAACCAATAGCTGCTACGACAGCAGAATGATCTCTTCGAGGGTTTTCTTTCTCGGCTTCGAGATTTTCCCCTTCCAAGACTGGCACACCATTGCCAATATCTGGAAACAACCTACACTTTCCAGCCCTATCTCTATGTTTGTATATGTCTTAAAATACTTCTTGGGGCTGCCCGAGAGCTGTATCCGTCTATCGTGCCGATGACTCTTGCCCTTTTCCAAAACCATGTCTAGACAGCAATGTCCTGGCAAAAGACCGGGTAGATCATATCACTCACCAGGGCTTTCACCGCGCATTAAGTGGTCCGGGCCTGATACCAACCTCCAGACGGTACGTAAGTGCACTTACTGTTAGGCTGGACGAAAAGAGATTCTCGACGAACTGGGCAGAGATGGAAGATTTCTCCAATTTCTTCCGAGACGTGGTTAGTTCGTCTCTCATCGAATTTTTATATGGACCAACAATGATTCGTCTCAACCCAGAGTTTATGAAAGAACTATGGGGATTTGATGCCAGTGTCCCATGGCTTGCTAGAGGAGTACCATCTTTCATTAAGCCGTCAGCGTATAAGCCGCGGGAAAACTGTGTTGCTCAATTGAAACTCTGGTATTCATATGCGAGAAAGCACTTCACTAAATCCAGCATCAGTCCCGATGGGGATGGGGATCCATATTGGGGGTCAAACCTCATGAGGTACCGACAGGAGAAGTTGCTAGCAGTCAAGAACCATGACGATGATGCTCTTGCCAGGATGGATCTCGGGCTGGCATGGGGGTAAATAACTTCTCGCATCTTTATCAATACCCAGGTGCTTTGTTCAGGCTGACCATATGGTTATTAATTAGTTCTGTCGGCAATACAATACCATGTGCCATGCTCTCCGCTTTCCATATCTTTAAAGGTCCCGTCCTTCTCCAACGAGTCCGTGATGAAGTCAAAGTTTCCCTCGGCGACCTCAAGTTACTTGAAATAGACCTCAACAAGTTCACAAAGAATCCCCTCCTCTCTTCCATTTACGCCGAGACTCTTCGCCTTTATATAAAGACGTACTTTATGGTTAGCTCGCCCCACGTTGATGTGAATCTAGGCAAATGGACTCTATCTAAGGGTCGTATCGGCCTCATGAATGCCGGTATCTCACACATGGACGACACATTTTGGAACTCACGCAATGGCGAATATCCTGTTACAACCTAGACCGATTCTTGACCGATCCAACAGATCCTGAAAGTGGGCCTGTAACATCGCTTATACGGGCATCTCCAGACTGGGTGGAGCCGAGACGGGAGGCTTATGAGAAAGCACGACAGACCAATCAGCCGTTCTTCTCGTTGGATGGAATAGAAGGAGCCTGGTTTCCTTATGGGGGTGAGCACTACCATAGTTTAGTTTTTTGCGATTGGACTAACGTACGTGTGTAATATAGGGGGATATTCTACTTGCCCTGGTCGCTTCCTGGCTAAGAGTGTTATACTCACAACTTGCGCCATACTGGCCAGAGACTACGATATTGAAATGCTTTCAGGGAACATCGAGATGAGTACGTGGAGATTTGGACTTGGCGTGAGGGGTTTGAAACACTCTCTTCCATTTCGAATCAGGAAAAGAAGCGCGCGCATAGCTGCAGGAATATATACGGGCACAAATATTTCGTCGGTGGTCTTGGTCTTGATCTAAATTTGCACTTAAGCCTAGTACCCCACTTTTAGACCACTCTTTTATATCAAAAATAACGATTTTCATCTACTAATAATGAATGATGTATCTATAATTAGGAGAGGTTTATCCTAGAGAACTTAGCGAGCACCACATCTGGGCATCATTAGCCACACCATTACTGTTGTTAGATAATCGACGGAGACACCTTTGTACCTTATATTTTATATTTTACACATGTTAGTAAAAATACCCCTTTGTAAATCCTTTGTAATTTTAAAATTAACAACTATTCTTCATTAAACTGATTTAGTCTCTGCTTCGTACTTGAGTGTTCCCGCTTTAATCTCCATTACAATGCCTATTGGCACACCGGGCAAATCATTCAACATCTTCAATTGTTTGAGCTTAGCCATTTTTTAAAGAATAACCTCATTTGTAGAACGGTGACGATATTTTGTATTGTTCTGTTCTATTCTGTTCCGTTTTGTTGGAGTTTGAATACTTATAACGATCATAAATTTCATCCATATCGACCTTTGCGCCAGTAAAGTATCACACCAAGAAGCCTACAATAATCCTGTTTGTAATAAAGATAGAATCTAACGTCTCAATCGCCCAATCCATTCTTGGTTGCCTCCAGATCAAGGATTGATTTAAGTCGGGGTGATCGCCGTAGTCTTTTCGTGTGAGCTGTATTGCTATCCAAATTATTGCTATCAGCATTCGTGCGTTTTCGGATGTTGCTGATATGAATAGGTTGTTGAGTGGAGGCTTCCCGTTCTTGTGCCTTTATGTTCGGTTTGCATTTTTTCTTTTCCGTCTTTCGCATGCTCTCATGACCCATGATATCCTGTGTATGGTTTCGAATGTTGGTGATTTGTGTGGGGTTTGGGGTTTCGATGACTCGGGTGTATTTCCGGGTATCAGTGGCTTGCGTGGGTTCTAGGGTATCGTTGATCTGTGACGTGCGTTCTTGAGTATCATGGCTTGGCGTATGGTTTCCAGAGTTTGCATTCCGTCTACTATTCTTTGTCTGTGTGGGAGCCTGTGTGTCGGTGATCTGCGGTGTGGATCCTCGGGAGTTGACATCCCGTCGAGACGTTCTTGCCCTCATCTCCTTCGTCTCCTTCTCCGTTCCCCTTTCCTGTGTATGTCCTCGAGCCTCGACAATCTCGTGTGTTTCGATCTCCATCTCCGGTATGCGCCGTTGTTGTTTCCTCTCAATTTCACCCCTCACCTTTTCCAATCTTGTCTCACACCACTCCCTCACAGCCCAAAAAGTTTGCTCACGATAATTCAAAACCTCAGAAACCCATCTCATTTCCTCATTTCCATATCCAGCCATCTCCATTGTGGTCACCAACTCAAAAAGTACCTTTCTTGCTCGGCGTTCTTCCAAGTTTTGATTAGACTTTTTGATAGTGGAATTCCATCTCGCCATCCTCGCATCGTATTCCCTGCGTAACTCGTTGATATCGCCACGACTCCATGAATAATTTATCGATGTAGCGCATTCGGCAAGAAGTCGCATGTGAACCATTTCTTTGGATTTTTCAACAGGATCTTGACCCCAACGACGAGCGACATCAGTTTCTTCGAGTGTGAGGTCCCAATCTAAAAGAGTTTGTAGAGGAACTCCGTTATTAGGATCATTCTCGTTGTAATCGGCCTTCAAAAATGTAACATCAGGCATGAAAATATCTTCAAATTTGGAGCGTTTTGGAGTAGTGGAATTGAAAGGTGGAGTTATATCTGGGGACGTTAGATGTTGTTGATGCTGTCGCAGTCTAATGTCGACATATTGAAGTTCAAGTGGAGGTGTACAGCCGATAGGACTTCTTGGTGAGCGAGGTGAGATTGATCGAGATGTGGAAGTATCCATTATCGCGAATAATGGTTCCAGCTTCATATTTACACTGACGTGACGACGTCAGAGGTGAACGAGCGAAGATCACGTGACAAAGGTGATATCAGCCGTGGCCCCGCACAAGACTCTACGCCCGCATCCCCAACAAGAATGGTTATGTTTACAAAAATTACTCAGCATCGACGAACCACAGAGGATCTACAAAAAGAGGCATCTACACATTCACTTATAAATATAGCTGGATTTCAGAAAGAGCGTGGGATTAGAAGAGCAGAGTGCCGCTTGGGAGTGGAGGACAGGGCACGGTATACAAAGTAAAGGATGAGAAGACGGGTGAATATTTTGCGGCAAAGAGTTTTGGTCAACATAGACATTTCAAGAAGGAACTGGGATATCTTCAAGCTTTGAGGCATGTAAGTAACGGTCGGCTTTTCAATCTAGCGAGCTCTCCCGGCGTTTATACTTCATCTTCCACCTGTACTTAATTTTTTTCCAGCACTCAATCCTATGTCTTGCTAACAATTTCTTTAGGATCATATCGTACAGTGTGTCGAATTTATAGAAAATGGAGGTGATCAACAAGAAATCAACATAATCTCTCTGTAATGGAGTTCGCAGTGAAAGAGCCCAATATTTGGAAAGAAGACGTTTGTCATTGTATAACTACTGGCTATATATACAGTCAGGTGCGCTTGTAAAGACAAAAGTGTTCACTGCTTCGAGCTTCGAACAGAGATATTACAGTATTTAATACCTGCTAAATAACTTGAGCAGTCTTCATCTATAGACATAACCCCAGCTAAAAACATCCAAACAATGCCCTTTAAAATACCAAAAGCTCGAGATATTAGAATTTCAAAAGGAAAGCAGTGTTGTTGGATGAAAGCCATCAATTAGCCTAGTCGCATTTGCACTTGTACATACAGATTTCGTTGTAAGCCCGGTCATATATTCTGGCACACGAGTGAACAATAACCGGAAGGACAGAGGATGAAGGAAGGATGAGTGGGCTTGGGATTTTCGTACAAAATGCTGTGATGTTGGATGGAAACGAAGAGAAACTGGAAAATGAGAGAGCTATTTGGTACAGATGTCTATCCTCAATTAGTATCAACATTTTCCCTCTTTTTTTTTCTTTTTAATAACACCAGTTTTAGTATGTTTTCTCCCCAAGAAGCTAATTCTTCGAATGCGCGTGTGCTGCATCTACTGTATCACAGTTTCATGGTAGCGTAGCTGATGTGTAGCATCGAGAATAAACGCTTGTGTTTTGGTACCCAGGCTCATCGGATTTTAGCATTGCAAGAAAATTCCCTGCTCTTTGCTGGGAAATCGTTAAGGACCTTGCCGCAACTGCTGATCTATCGGTTTTGGTTTGACAACTTTGGTGACGATGGATTTTGAGTAGACTTCATCGAACTCTGAAGTGAAATGGCAAGAGACAAACGCGATAGTAAATTGGCGAGTTACTCGTGTAAGTCCATTGATGATTAATATACCGGCAGTCATTGGTACTCATCGTTGTTCGTTGACAAGCCTTCATGTCGACAGTTTTCGCGGCGACACTCTCCTTTGGTATATCCTAGCCAGATAGCCTATCAACAGAATTGACAAATATTTTCGATAGAATCATATAAAGAAGATCGCAGCGACGTTGAGCTGAAGGAATAGATGTCTTGTCTACTTCTAACTGCCGACATCACGGGGCGACCCACAAGTTATGACTTTTTAGTGTCTGTCACGCCATAACCTCCGCATATTCATACAACACCATGATGATGATCATGTACATACCCAAAACAAAGATTGGCTGGAGTTATCGTGAGGGACAAATCCCAAGCCTCGGTTTCCATCGCGATTGGCAATCCAAGAACTTAATAATTGCGTGACAATATACCCATAATTCCGAATTCACAAGAGACTAGAACGGAATTGGAAGATAGTTCAAATGAGATTGGAATAGTAAATATACTCAAGTTTGTCAAACTTCGAGCGATTAGATTGGGTGAAGGTATTTACCACAGCATTCATTCTTCCAACAAAATGTCTTCAACACAAACATATGTGTCGCAATCTGTCAACCAGGCAATAACGCCACCAAAGACTCCGGAATCTCACGGGTATCAAAAAGTCTTTCACAATTGGCCTGAGCCAGAAACTGAACCCGAGGGTATCTATTTGCGCCGCGAAAAAAAAAATCGGGATCAAGAAATTGATTCAATTGACAATTCGAATCTGAATGTAGCACATCAAGAAGTCCTGCTCCTGCATGGTCCAAAGCAGAGATACATCCATGCGACGGAACAGCCGATACCTTCGTTAAAGGATGGCCGCGAAATGCTTGTTGAGGTGGAAATCGTGGGTTTGAACCCAATTGACTGGAAAGCTCCGTAAGTATTATTCACGTTTTGGCCCCCAATGATATTTTAACTGGAATTCATAATAGGGACTTTGGCTTTGGATTACCTTCTCTCCCTTGTATAAGTGGCCGAGACTTTGCAGGAAAGGTGGTGAAACCACCCCAAGTAAACTCCAGATTCAAATCTGGAGATATTGTAAGAATTCATGAATCAACAGTTTGTTAAAGCAATGACTGACAGTTCAAGGTTATGGGAATTTCTACGGATTATCGAGATTCACGGAAAGCTGCGTACCAACAATATGCAGTCGTGTCAGACTTTAATGCTTGTAGACTTCCAGATACCATAAGCCCAACAGATGCCGCACCACTCGGTGTTGCCTTTGTCGCGGCAGCCCTTGGGCTGGGTATATGTCTGGGAGTAAATTTCGCCGACCATGAGGAGACTCAAGGCCCGGATCTTTTGCGAGCAATTCACTCCCTATCTAGAGATTCAATCTCACAGGATGTGAGGACAGAGTGCTTTAATAGTATCCGAGAAGATGAGAGACCTGAACCTGGGGATTGGATAGCCATTTGGGGAGGTAAGGTGATTCTTCAAAAACTTTTGATAAGTGCTAACGGCCGTAGGTTCATCTGCTACAGGATGTTGCGCAGTCCAACTTGCGAAATTAGCTGGACTGAAAGTGATTGCTATCATAGACGTTGCTCGAAGTGGTGAGCGTATGTTGAAACATGGTGCAGATCTTTTGGTGGACCGATTTGATACTGACAGAGCGGTATCAATTGTCAAAGGTATCACCAAGGGAAAACTACGCTTTGGACTTGATACAAGAGGAAAGGAAAGTACTACTTTACTTGCACAAGCCATGCAATCAGAAAACGGCATAGAGGGGAAGAGGGCGCATCTTGTTGGTTTAACAGGGTTACCCAAAGAGCCAACGCCAGGAGTTTTATATCATTCCGTACCAATCAAGACATTCCATGAGGCACCAAATATTGGTGAAGAATTGATGATCTGGTTAGAAAGATTATTCAAGCACAACAGGATAGCGACACCTGAAATTGAGGTTGCACAAGGAGGATTGCAAGGTATAAATGCAGCACTTGATAGGCTGAGGGATGGTTCTGTAAATGGTCCAAGAATAGTCGTACCATTAACATGAAAAAATATTAGAGTTCTGAACTTTCCTCACCGCACAGTGTAACGCTTTTCACTTAAAACCTTGATTTATTCACTTTTTGAAATCCTTATTAAATCTTTGTACCAAGTGCCTGCGCCCCCCGAACCCCTGACTTTTCGAGAAAGTCTAATAAAAATTTAAGTTTTGAAAAGTTTATAATAAACTTAAATATTGAATATATATCAGAGTGTAGATAGAATATCGACTTGTTTTTGATAATTAAAATTAAATTTTTTTATTTAAAAATAATAATAATAATAATATTTTATATTATTTGTAATATTAATTAATATTATTATTATTATTATTATTATTTTGAGTTGAATGAGATGAATTAAATGAATAAGGTTAATTTATTTTAATAAAGTTAAATGATTTCAATAAAGTTGAAAAAAGTTTTAAATTAGATTATTTATTAAGATATTTTAAATCAATCAGATTATCAAGATCACGACTCACTTAAACAAGTTTCTTATTTTTTATAATTTATATTAAATAAATTATAATATATTATATAAATAGCAAGATTTTAATATCAATAAATCGATAATAAAAATAATAAAAATAATTCTATTTAAAGAAAATTAAAATTAATCAATTGAAATTTATTAAAAATTATTTGATTTATTTTTAATAATTTTTATTTAAAATTTATATAAGATTAAAAATAAAAATTTTAAAAATTTTGTATAAGAAAAACATTATATAAATGGAATTTTTTATTTATTTTTTATTTAAATAGATATAACTTTTAAACAAAAATAATTAAAAATAGACTTTAAATTTTCTTGAAATAATTTTATATTTAATTATTATTTTAATATTTTAATGGATTTTATTAAATATTGAAAAAGTTATTTGATATTTAATTCTATACAGGAAAATATGATTTTTGCAGGGATTTTGTCACAAAACATCACGTTGTGCGGTGAGGAAAGTCCAGAACTCTTACAATTGATGAAATATTATAGAGGTAACGTGCACAAAAAGACCTCGGGAATATTCGTTACGTGGATTAGATTGGATTAAGTTGAGTCGCCGTTGTTAGGCTGTCTAGAGCTTAACGCAATTACTGCAACTACCTACTCCGCACATGAATTTGTTCTTCGGTCTTATGTTATCAATCCGGACTATTGATACGCCATGATTACTTTTATGATGTCTTTTCGATCAGTTAAACCTAGGTTTGACGTGCAGCAAAGCTCTTGCACAAGGAGGGGTGCATATTGCACCATCCGTCGCCTAGGATATCGATGTATACTTCTTACCATGAAAACTCCCATCCGCAGCAATCAAAACTCTAGTTGAACTACGATCGGAAGCTTTTTTTTTTGGCAGATCCAAATGGTGTGAGTAACTATAGTGTCCCTGTTGAACGTCAGTAAGTATCGGGATAGCTATCCTTAGAGAGTAGCTGTATTTTTCCATTCCATTCGCTACCTCTGTTCCTCAGCCTTTCATTTCTCTTTTAATCACAATTATCGCATCTTATACCTTATTCCTCTTAAGATAAACATGTCTACTACCATCACAATCAGCAGCAATAGTCCAATTATCATTCGGCATGATGCACCGGTCGATGGTCATTCAGGCGCAATTACCAATGGATTTGCCAATGGTGATAGTCATACCAGACTCATTGAATACGCCAATAGTGTTACGACAAATGGGAACAATGCGCATTTTTCTGCGGAAGCAGGGCTCAATGATGCACCAGATCGTATCAAGTTCGCTTATTGGGTGCCCAATGTTTCCGGTGGTTTAGTGATATCAAAGATTCCCCAAAGAACAAGGTAGTCTTGATATTTTGTCATGAGATTTCAATCACTAATATTCATAGTTGGGATTACGAATCAAATGTGAGATATGCACAAACGGCGGAGGAAGTAGGATTCGAATATGCTCTCACTCAAATTCGATTCATGGCAGGGTATGGAGCTGTGAGTTCTATCAGAAGTTGTTTGCATACTATTCATATTGATCTGCAGTAGGATCATCAACACGAATCCGTCTCCTTCTCCCAAGCACTACTTCATAACACTAAGAAGTTGAATGTTATTGCTGCAATATTACCCGGCCCATGGAATCCAGCTGTTGCAGCTAAGCAAATCGCCAGTATCGATCACTACTCGAACGGAAGGGTATCTGTGAATATTGTTTCCGGGTGGTTTAAACAAGAGTTCACAAGCATTGGACAATGGTGGCTTGAACACGCTGAGCGCTACAGGAGGAGCAGGGAGTTTATCGAGTGCTTGAAAGGGATTTGGACTTCTCCAAAATTCTCCTACAAAGGGGACTTTTACCAATTTCACGATTATCCTTTGTCGCCAAAACCTCTCGATTTACCAGGTCGACCACATCCATTAATTTTTCAAGGAGGCAACTCAATTGACGCTCGAGAAAACGGAGCTCACGTATCTGACTATTATTTCATGAATGGCAATACTCTAGAGGGATTCCAAGAGCAAATTGCTGACGTTAAAGAGCGGGCGCGGAAGCTTGGTCGAGAGGATCAGATACATTTTGCAGTCAATGGCTTTGCTATTGTTAAAGAAACGGAAGAAGAAGCAATACGACTTCTATCTGAAATTCAAGGCAAGGCGGACAAGGAAGCTGTGAATGCATTTGCGGATGCAACAAAACAAGCTGGCTCATCGACAGAAAATAAAAAGGGCATGTGGGCCAATAGCAAATTTGATGATTTGGTGCAATACAACGATGGATTTAAAACAAAACTAATCGGAACAGCTGAACAGGTTGCCGATAGAATTTTATTGTTGAAGAGCTTAGGGATTGATATTGTTTTAATCGCATTTTTGCATTATGAGGATGATATTCAGAACTTTGGGGAGAAAGTTTTACCATTAGTTCGAAAGCTGGAGAGGGACGGAAGGGGAAAGGATGCAGAGGATGAAATTCGAAGGACTGGGGATGTTTATCGTACGAAACGATGAGGGTTAAGGAATGTCGTACTTTCGAAATCTGTATGCACCCTGTCACTCGGTCCCGTCTTGACACATTGATTAATTTCTGGGGACAGGACAGTCTTATGGAAGCTCTTGAGGACCTGAAGGAACCTCGTCCTTTGGAGTTTGCGCATAGGGATTTCGGCTCCACTAAGCAAACATTTCTTGCTGTTCAAAATTTACCGCCTCACTTTAGCGACTCGATTTCTCCTCCCAATATCGACATGAGTTCGTGTGTTTTGAGATATTTATGATGGTGCCTTTTGTCTTGTGGTCAGTCATCTATGGTCGTGTATGGTCGGTCATCTATGGTCGGTCATCTATGGTCGGTCATCTATGGTCGAGAAGTACTTGAACCCTTTCACGTTCTTTTTGATTGTACGGAGTATGTATACTTAATCCAGTACTTCGAATTTTGTATACAAACATACAAACGGATCATACCCAGTTTGTCTGCATCGTGCTTTGTTCATTCTACAGCTCAATGCCTTGGAAGTCAGGCCGAGAAAAGCGCACAGTTTGAGACATCTCCGATAACCGAAATTTTCCATCTCCGGATATCCACCGGAAGAGCTGAATGCCAGATCCGTTTTTTACAATTTTGGGATACTTAATATATACACAATATAGAATGGCAAGCTTATATATTGCTGCTGATTAATAAGGTGTGAAGCAAATACTCCGGGACTTAGAAGTCAAGATAACTATCTATTTCGATTTACTCAGAAACTGCATAATATTAATAATGATAATGATGATAACCACGAATTCGAGGCGCCTCTTCATCCCATCCTTCCCTCTCCTAGCAAAACCGAATTCGAATAGAGTTCTACGGAGAAGTGGGAGAAGTGGGAGAAGTGGGAGAAGTGATCCCGCACAGACATTGTACCTATCAATTCAACGACTTTCACCCCCAAACGTGCATCTTCCCGGCCAAGAGCCAAATGAATTCGTGGTTGAGAGGAAGTTTAATTCTAAGCTTTGCCGGATTTTGACTCTTTTCGCATCGGCAGTCGGGCGGGAGTCGGGACTCAGGGTTTGAGTTTGAAGTTTGAAGTTTGAAGTTCGGAGTTCTGCTGATGTTTTTTATCGAATTGTTGATTGATTTTTCAAGGTTTGTTTGTTGTTTTGCGAATTGTGAGTTCTGTCACTTGGGTGATGGATAACTGCCCAAGTGGTGATTCACCAGGTACGGAGGTGTATCCAGATAAACTCCACTGTATTAGGGCAACATCTGGCCGGTGCGACTCTAGTGGAGATATGTATGTTTCACGGTTTCACTCATACGATACGATAATCGAGCAATGATAAATGGACCCCCCCCTTCCTTTCCCTCCACAGCTAAAACCCTCTCAACGGGCGGAGTGAGTACAAACTCGAAACAATAAATGCAAACGCGTTTCTGTAAGACAAGGTTATCGTATCGTGGAATACGAAATCTCAAACTATCGACAATTCGAACTTTGATAGAATTATCCTTCACCTTTTTGGGTGAGGGAAAAGTATGTCTCTTTCTCTCCTTCACAATTTAGGTTTGGAAGAGGCTTTTGAGTAGATGTTGAAAAGGCCGAGACTCTTATTTGGACCACATGTACAGTCTAGTCTACACTTGGATGAGTCTGGACAGATTAGGGAATTATATATTAAGGGGGAAGAGAGCTTAGCTACCTAGTCATGGTAGCTGAAACTTACGGGGTAGTGCCGTTCTTTGTCATCTATCGGTACTGTTCTCCAGGGACTAGCATGAATGGACGGGGGTCTCCAAAAGTTTAAGGATTTGGATCTACAGCACAATTTGACACTCCATAATATCTCTGATTGAGTTTCTAGTGAACCTATCTTCGAGTTATCCCATCATACGATCCCTAGTTGGGTAAGGTAAGGGTAAGATCTGAGTAAATAATCTGGCATCTCTAAATTGCAAAGGATGGACCTGTCATCCAAGCTTCATTCTTTGCCCCGCTGATTGATGGCTTGGTCTACGGACCCCTGAGAGTATCATTTCAAATATATTAATTCTTTTGGTAAGATTACATCGATTTTCATTCTTTAAAAGGGTATTGGTTTCCTTCGGGTAGATTTTCTTTCTCTATTCTATTCATCATCTCTACAGTACCAATCAACAGTAGATTTTCATTCCTTTCAAGCAAAATCTTACCATCTCTCTCAACCTCAAACTTTAAACTCAATCAAAATGGTTTTCTCAATTAAGAACGTGGCTATTGCCTCTGCCTTTCTCTCCCTTGCTCAAGGATCAGTTGTTGGAAAACGTGCTCTCACCGGTCAAGCTACTTCTTATGGTGGCAATACCAATGGAGGAGCTTGTTCATTCTCTACCTACACTCTTCCATCCAATATCCTTGGTACCGCGGTCTCCGATTCCAACTGGTCTACTGCAGCAAATTGTGGTCGTTGTGTTTCAGTTACTGGTCCATCTGGTAACAGCATTACCGCTATGGTATGTATTTTATATCTCACCTTTATCCCGTCAATCAATCATGACATGCTCATCAAAACTAACACACCCTAGATCACCGACGAATGTCCCGGTTGCGGAACCAACCATCTCGATCTCTACCAAAATGCCTTCACCAAACTCGCCTCCCTCAGCGTAGGCATCATCAACGTATCCTGGAATTACGTCCCTTGCCCCATCACCACCCCTCTCCAAGTCCACCTCAAGGAAGGAGTCTCAGCCTACTGGTTCAGCATGCAAGTAGTCAACGCCGCCGAAGGAGTCTCCAAACTCGAAGTCTCCACCGACGGAAGTAAAACCTGGAAATCCACCACCCGTACCACATACAACTTCTTTGAAAACAGCTCTGGTTTCGGAACCACCTCTGTTGATGTCAAAGTCACCGGTTTGAGTGGCGGTACCGTTATCATTAAGAATGTGAAAGTCACACCCGGACTCGTCGTTACTGCTTCTTCAAATTTGAAAACCGGAACCACGAAGGCTAAATCTATCATTACGGCTACTTCAGAGGATTCGGATGAGTGTGATGAATCTTAGATACATCACTTCATTCATGTAATGATACACGAGACGAGGAATCAATCAATCAATCAATCTCATGAAAAATGGAGAAATTATACACGGCTTGCAACGCAGGAAGTGGTTAATTGTTTTATTTTATTGTATATAGTTTAGTTCAGGTTAGATTGGATTAGATTAGATTGTTGGATCGAGTTTCATGAGATGATGAAATGGTATGTATATATGCTTGGATGGATGGGTGGATGGATTTTGATTGTATTGTACTGTATTGAATTGAATTGAATTGAACGAAAGATTGGAGGGATTGAGGAAGATTTTAGAGTTGTATATATCTATTCTCATTTTTATTCTTATTCTTCTAAATATTTAAATATCAAATATTACATTCCAAAACTTTCTTTTTTATTCTTTGAGTTTGTAAATAAATAAATAAATGAAGCTTATATATCAACGGCTGAATTGAGAAATTTCTTTACTTCTTTACTCCTTTTACTCTCTCCCTCACTCTTTCCCTCGCTCGCTCGTTCCATCAGTCTCTATACTTTCTATGATCATATATAGTGTAAGTAGAAACTAATCATAACAATAATCATACAAGCAGCTCTTCCTCCTCTCTCTCATCCCCTCCTCACACCCCAAAAAACAAAACCCCCCAAACCGCCCCCTCCCCCATCAAAATAAACAACAAGCAAGGTGGTGTGGTGTAATGGTAGCACGTGACGTTGTGGCTCATCTCTAACAGGATATTCTCACGAAGTGAATGCATAAATGGAATGAAATAATGCATTTGAATGATATCCGTTTCAATCTGGGTTCGATTCCCAGCACCGCCATATGAATTTGGATTCGTGGATTGAAGATATTGGGGTGGTTTGATTCCATCTGTTTGGTTAACTTTTTTGGTGGGGAGGTGGTTTGGGTGGAGTTTTTGAGTGGATTTTGATGAGGGTGGGTGGAATGAATAAATGATTTGTTTTTGAATTGTTAATTTGTTGAGTTTATTAATTATTTGATTAAGAATGAAAATTTTTTGATTGATTTGTGAAGTTTTTTATTTATTTATATATATGATTTTTTTTTTTCAATTACAAATTGAAATTCTTATTTAAATAATTTTTTCTAATTATAATAATAAATATATATATAAATTATTTAAAACAAATAAATGGATTTATTTTTATAATAAATTAAATTCAAGTAATAAAATATTTTTTTATTTATATATATATTCTTGTGTTATAAATTATAATAAGAGAATTATATTTAAGTATTCTTTTTTAATCTTATTCAAATATTTATAATAGAAGAATTATAATTGATTAATTAATAAATATATCTTTTAATATAAAATTAATAAAAATAACAATATATATATCCTTGAGTAAAATTCACAAGTATTAAATGAAAAAGTATATTACTCGAATATATATTTTATAATCTGTAGAGATAGGCATTATCAATACTAGATATAAAATTAAAGAATGCATATAAATATACTACGATGAAGCTTAGAAATAACTAGTCATCAAACCGTGAGCAGTCACAAGCATAGATTGACTTTCTGTCGACATAGAGACATCTTCCTTGCCGTCTCAGAGATATCGTTGCTAGATATTTGACTACTGTGATAGTATATACTTTTATGATTAGACACTATATTCTATCCTAATAATTATTTTTGCATTACTTAAATGGCTGCCTGTAGTGGTAGAAGAATATCAGTATAGTCCAGCTCAATATATAAGTAGAAGAAGTAATTCTAGAATATGAAGAGCTTTGATTATTGATGATTATTTATTATCTTAATACAAAAATGCAAGAACATCTACATATAGCCTTCTCCCTCATATTTTGTCCAGTTCTCCTCAAGGTCCATAGTTTCTGCGCATACATCCTTTATACCCGTCGGTATATATCGAGGCTGGTGAGAAAAAGAAAAACTTCGGGGTATAATTATCTTCAATTGGCAATGTCCGTGGCATAATTAGAGTCCGAGGTATTTGAATGATACCGCAGTCAGGCGCTTCAGACTCATATTTAGAGATCTGTAATTTTGTCAACCTCAAGTTTCAGTGTTGCCGTTTTAAATTATACGATTGGTATCTGTTGGTATCACTTCGGTGATACTTATTGCAGTGCAATCGTATTATTGTTGCATTTGTTCATGGATGATTATTATCTATCTGGAGGAGAGGGACCTATTTATATTGAAAGGGGTACGGGCTAGAATGCACTAGCCGTACGGCTCGCTTTGTGTACGGCCTCCCTTTCGAGGTTGATCACATGATGTACCGACAGTATCACTGACAATATCAGAGAGGGAAATTTGTCTGTGGTCTCTAGAACCCCGGATGGAGTAATAGAAGAACTGCTCTCGAGGCCTCTATAGCTATTTTGAAGGTGTAGGCAGTACCGTACTTGGTAGTTCAGGTCTGAATCCAGGGATAAATTGACAGTAATTCGTTGGACTAACCATTCTACAGAATCGTGATAGCCATAAGTTCCATGGCTATGCTCTTGCTTTAAACCCCATGAGGGAAGTTAATCATGATATATATTTTTAGTATTTCTTCCAGCTAGCTTGGAGAAGAAGCAGTTATTTAGATCATTCAACCTGTTTGTACGCCGAATTCATATTCTGATGATTTATTGCTTCCGAGTATCCTTTGGGAAAAGTCTTCTCCGTACTTGGTATTGAATTCTCGCTGCTTTTTGTTCTGTTGATCAAGCATTGTGGGAAAATCCAAGTATGTTAGGTGGGTGTCATGCATAATCGTTTTCCCATTGTTTTCATACTCGATGAAGGTTTAGACTATCGTGTTTTCCTCGAAATTTGACTACCGAGATCGAAAAGCACTGTCAAGCTGATTGTTGTATGAGATGGAACGTCATATCTGGTTGTCGATTCTTTGGTATTTTGTACGTATCGGAAGTCAGAGTTTGCTGATGCTGCCATGTGAGCAATAGGATTCTGCACCAAATCATTCATCGCATTCTGTCCATGTGCTTGTCCTTTCATCGTCCTCTGTAAAGCTCCTCCGCTACCTGTAATAGTATATTAGTATGACCTCGTAAATAGTTCGGCTCATCTTCACTCTCCACTTAAACAACCATGAACAACGAATATATCCTTGATTCATTTATGACACTTAAGCATCTATATTAACCTTATTAGCTCATAAGATTGTTATCTTCCTCCATCAGAGTTTTTCTGCTGTCCCTTCTGTTTCTCTTCGGTAGAGAAATAAATACATTGTGGGTAGGTAAATATAATGTAAAGTATCAAAGCTAGGACTCCATAAAGACTGATATTGACATCAACCGGACCGCTTAACCCGAAACGTTTATAATCATCTGAACGTATATGGTATAAACGATATGATAGGTTAATATCGTCATGTCAACATTGTACATACTCACGGGTACGGCACCCTTGGTCACTTATATTAATCATCAGTGCAGTAGAAAAAGCCTACCAAGTACAACTAAATAGATTGATATCACCTCAAAATTCACCCTCTCTTTGTATTGGAATTTCCTTTTGAAAAAGTTTGGCTCAGCTAGCTACTAACTATCAACGGTTTCCACGCTGAGGACTTGAAGACATTACATCTTGTCGTCACATTCGAATCCATACCAAGATCAATAGCGCGGACAACAGCATCACCTCCTGTAACAATACTCTCTACACCGGTAACTCGTTATCACAGCGAGCTTCAGGCTGATCCCACCAACCACTGTACACATTGTCCTGATTTGTAACTACCAAGAACTACTACCTTAACTCGAAGGATAAATTCTTGGTGTACTGGCGCGCCAGTATCTTTTCATATCACCATCATACCACCACCTGCACCGAATCTCTTCTCCTCCTAAGATGTCTGCCCCAGTTGTCGACTACGACCATTGGTTCAAAGACCAAGAATATGGCCCAGGATGCTATCCCAATCTCGATGCTCTGATCTTCCTGAGACAGGCGGACCAATTATTGTACCTTCAAAATGAGCGATGTGAGTAGAGCTTTTATTTCAGCATATGACACATCTAAGATAAAACGCTAATTAATTTATTTCACAGTCCAAGCAGAAACAATGCGTGTTCATGAAACTGTTGCGCCAACTACAGCAACAGCTTACGACATCACGATTCTTAGTCGTCGAGTCCCTGGTTACTGGAGGATGATTTTAAGTGTTGCAAAAGCGGATCGTGCTTGGAATGATTGGTATGGAGACATTAATACTCCTCACTCTTTACTGGGTCGTTGGAGTCGAAGCAAGAGGATTCTTAAGGATCTCGTGATTAAGAATCAGCGTGCTGCAGATCTGGCTGCAGCTGAGGAAGAGAATCAGGAAGAGAATGGTGATAACCATGGAGGAGATGATGAGGACCAAAGTGATGACGAGGGGGAAGAAAATGGCGACGAGGACGAAGAAGAAACTAATGACTAAGAAGAGGATAAGGAATTAGATAAGGAATATATGTGCGGTATCGCGTGTCTCCTGTGGTTTCAGTTCTTTAGTCGTCATGAAAAGGTTTAGAAAAGCGAATACGAATCAACCTATGTCCTTACTTGAGTAATTCATAGAACTTGCTTCTCCAGTCTAATCTAAATAGCCACATTTATATATTCTATGAGTTGATAAAGTAGTTGATTCTTGAAGATCCGATTATTAAATTGTAGAAAGCGAATTAGACGATAGTCTACTAACAATAGTCAGGGTTGATGGAAAATACTCTAGGACAATAAGTTCTTTGATCGAGAGAATAACGGCCTTTCTGTATATCGAAAACAAAGATTCCGTGTATTTCCTTTATCTCAAGAACTCTAACTCAAATATCGTTGATAACTACCCGTGGAATATTGTAAAAGCAGACAAAAGTACTCTGATGCTGGGCATTGATATAATTAAAGATTGGACAATCTCAAAGAATATGGAATGTCAAGTCTTTGATGAGTAACCAATTTAAAAGAAGAAGACCTCCAGCCAGCTGCAGGACGGCGAAAGAAACCAAGTCCCAGGGTGTTATAAGGACAATTTTAAGAAGGGACCTATCTGGTGAAAGATGACAGGCTAACTCAGTATGCTGGAATAGTTAATGCTGTATAGAGTTTATGTTCAGAGCCACAACTGAGCCTCTAAGGATTTCCTTCAATTTATGTATTTTTAATCGTTGTGAAACTTTGCTGTGTTTGGACCTTCTCGGCAAGGACCACTTGGTCATTTTCTTGCTTATTTCTCTCGAGCACTAGCCGTCTTCCAAATAGTGAGTAATTTATTCCTATTAACATAACGAAATAATATGTTGAGGACGCTTTCACCAAGTTGAATTTTGGGTTGGAAACTTATGCCTAGCCCCTCATTCTCGAAAACTTGAGCGCTCACCTGTTTGAAGCCTAGATTATAGATCTCATGTCCTTGTGCTTGGTGGCAACTTATGACACAGCTTGCTTCATATACGCATGAATTTGGAAAAAAACTTGTGGGATAAACCTCGCGCAAGACTCGCTGCTAAGCTTGTGCGTTGATTCTCTTACTTTTCGCTCCTTACTAACCTTGAGATTGTCCATGGCCAGAAGATTAGATGATTTGTTACTTGAGACTTACGTCTTAGCAGCGATATCTAGTTGGGGCACGAGATCCATTAATTTCGACCTTAGATGCGGCGATGTGTTCGGACTGTCATTTTTCATCAATGTACTACCCTCCCCATCGTCATCAGCCTTTCCGGAAAGTTATCGAAGCTATTTGACCCTATTTTGATATAGAGAAATGATCCGTACCAAACATGAAGAGTTTGCTTGGGCTACCATGTTTTCGATGGCTGATAGCTGGCAGTTGAGATATGCCACAAAACTTTAGAGGCTTTGAGTCCCAGAGCAATATCATCTGAACTATCAGGTAGTATAATTTAGCAATTACAGTGGATGTTTGCTTTCGAGTCCCAGGGCAAACAGAGTAATATGCTTCAAGAAACCCCACTAGACGCCACATTTGGTGGAGATCTATGGACCATAAATATGTAGATGTGGAGGGAAGGACCAAGTAACATGAAAAGCGACAAGAAAGAATGAGGAAAAGAGTTGCCTTCACAGTTGACATGTTTTAGGCAATACCTGTTTGATCCTCAAAAGCTCACAGTACATGCTTGAAGGATATATCATTACCTGTGTGTATGGCGAAAAGTACGAAGAGTTGACATCACAGCTGTGGCTCAAATGAAGAGTGTGCAGTGTGATAGTATCTTTGCTCGTAAGAATATGCGTCAATCTCCATGCGATTTCTACGGCACAGTAAACTTAACAGCAAACACTGCATATATCAATCGGTATCCCTTCCCGTCATCGATAAAGATAGATGGCGAGTAGTGTCAACAGCTTGCCATAAAGGTTGTGTACTTGCTCAAGCACTTCTTCATCCAGTGAATTCCTCCCACGCTACTACAATGTAACACAACAATGAGTGAACATAGAGCAACTGCAGTTGAGCCTGTTAAGGAAAGCTCCGAGAGTGTGGTCTATATCGTTGATGACGGTGAAGTGAATTCTGATGACTACGAAAAACCAAGGTTGAGTATAGTTGTAATGGAAGAGGTATTATGAAAAACGGGTTTTCAAGATGATCATTATTGGAAACTGGCTAGGGCGATCACAGAGGAACAATGATGGAGGGGTAGACTAACACCCTGTGCGGGTCCTTGTCCCACTTTACTTGAGAGTAAATACATCATGTAAATAGGAATACAATTAAGAAATTTTCTTCAACAATGAAAACAACAACAACAACTACCAGGGGCTGTAACTCAGTGGTAGAGTGCCTCGTTTGCATGTTCAAGACTCCGAAAGGATTCCTTGATTCCCATCGATGAAGTCCAGGGTTCGACTCCCTGCCGCTCCAATACTTTTGCAAGTTGCCTGGTTGCAAGGAAATGTTGAAGATTGAAGGTTGAAAAAGTTCTTATTTAGATTTTAGTGTTCACCAATTAAAAGGAACATGATATTAAGATCCAGAAGCTCTGCATAGTTTTTCCTCTTGCTTCTCTGAAATATCTCTACTACTTTTGATCATTATTATTAACATGTAGATTTTTTTAATAATTAATTTTTGTACATATTTTTTGGCAAAGATTTTTCATGTGTGGTGGGTGGGGTTGGTTGCTTTGATATTTCGGAGATAATATTAGAAAGTATGATGTTGCTCCAAAAGTGGTCCGTGCGTATGTTCCTTGAATGATAAAGCTTAATTGATTCGAATTTATCAAGTCACATGATACCCCTCTAGCTTACAATGGCTACCTATTCAAACAAACATCCTTCCTCCTCAAAACATCAAAACATCAAACACCATCTTGCTTCTATCAAAACAACTGCTAGTGTCTTTTTTTATAATACGAATATCATTAAAACCCCATTAATCACACCTCCCAAAACTTTATCTGTAAGGCTCTTAATCCTTCGCCAACCGACAAGACGACAGGCAATATCGCTAGTGCTGCACGAAATTGAGAAACGGAAAATCGGGCGTAGTATTTGTAATAACGTTTGGAAATGATATAAATTGAATGAGGAGGAATATATCGAGCTATTACGTTTAATTCGGTGTGACAGATCTCTTCAAGGATTTGTAGAAGATAAACTTCGGTATGGATTACCAAAAACGAATATAAATATTTGACTAATCAATACAGATACGACTACTTCCCATCTACAAAACAACTTATTCTCCGAATGCCTACAATAGTACACGGGTATTTCATAAAGAGGATTGTAAAGGAGCTAGAAAAGCAACTCGAATCCATTGCTTCCAGAGGAAGTCGATCTGCCGAATTTGCCAAAGGAATAACATCAAATCGCTCGACAACCCTCAAATTAAAAGGCTATGGTAGACATGATCCTGATGATCAATTCGAACATTTGCTAGCACAGTATCCAGGTGTTGTAATTGATGTATCATTTTCACAAAAACGGAAAGATTTAAACCGATTAGCTGAAGCCTATATTCTTGGGTTCAATGGTAATATTTGTATTATGATTGGTATCGATCTAGAATATAGGGAAACTAAAAAGGTTACATTGTCTATGTGGCGGCCTCAAATTATAGCTAACGAAAATGGTGAGATGGAGCTCGTTGCTATACAAACAATAACAGATGAAGTCATCCGTTATGGAAATGGTACATGGAATGAATCCCCGCAAGCAGGTTTACATCTTCAACTGAAAGACTTTGCAATACCAGCCCTAGTTTCAAATTATGAATCTATAAACGAATCGATGAAAAATCCATTATTTATATCCGCTAAGTTTATGTGCGAATCTCTCGAGATTGCTGGGGCAAAGATAGCGATGATCGAGGCGAAGAGGGGAATCGCCCAGCCTAAGGGGCTATTTGTAAGAAAGCGAGTTCGATCTCTTACACCGGAAAAGGAGCTTGATGAAGATCGCCGGAAAAAAATTCGGAAAGAAGTACAAAAGGAAAAGGAGGGGATGATCCACAATATGAGCCTAGCTCTTCCTCTGATACAGGAAACACCTTCAACTAAAATCGGTGTATTAGAAATAAAGTACCCAATAGCCGAATAGTCAGGCCGTCCAAAACAACCCAAAGCGTTTTTAATCCCATCGTTCTTATCGGCATTAACAAACAGTGTCTTCCATATTTGGTTCCTCGCCCATGACGTTACTCAATATCATGGTACCGCATCCAGCCTACAGAGGACGTCAAGGAACCACATGCGACGCTCTTGAAGTAGCCGCTGATACTGATTGTGGGTTCCTCGATGCCAAGCAACCGGCTCTTGCTTTAGGTGCTCTCGCTCATATCGGGTTCTCATTATGTAAGGCTAGAGGCAACATGGGCGATACATATCATATTATCACGGAATTGCCATGCTCTATGCAATTTTCTACCGAAGAGTTGAGGGAGTTGGTGTGTGGAGGGAATGTGAGATAGTAAGAAAATCATCACAAGACAATGGGTTAGAAGGAAGCATAGTTGATGCGGGTTTTGGAGCCATCCGGGTTCATCAGAGAGCGGTTCTCTTCTGCTGTCCTAACTCGTGATTTGCAGAATCAAGCGATGGTATTTAAGGAGAAAAGGCTATGCCATCCAGAGACTTGATTTATTCACTGCCTCGTAATGACAAATTCCAACATCAAAACGTCTCTTCCCATGTATGCCGTTTCTTTTGAATTATGTCCGAGTTCCTCCCAAGTCACCAATTTCGAATTCATCTTCCATTTCGTTCCTGTTCCCTTCCCAACTTCATCCCACATTTCCTTCCAAGTTTGCGGGGAGTGCACGAACAGATCTATATTTTAGAGCCTTTGGGACCAACCACCTCCCGTTGCTCCGGCACGCCGGCTTGGTAACCCAAGATCAAACTCCCTGGACGAGCTCGAGGCGATTTAGCCAATTGCATAGCACCCTCAATTTGATTTTCGATTCCCCACTGATGAAAATCTAACCGACAAGGATAACATTCATGTTCCCTGTAACGCCATCAACTTTTCAACTGGTTACAACATGTCATCTTCGAAGAAATCAACCTTAAACCCATCCTTATCCTTGAAGAATTCGTATCCCAGGTCCCAGTGGTTAACTATATCTATGGCGTGAAGATTTGTGGTTGGTGCACCGTCGAGATCCCAGACTAATCGACGCAATTCTTGACCGTGGAAACATCCAATGTTCTATGAATGAGTCCCCGTTTTGAAGTCGGGCGACAATGTCGTTATAGACTGGCGACTGAGCGAGAATTTATCGATATCAACACATTTATGACATCGTGAGTCTTTACTCGTCGACCTCTAAGCATATTATTTTGCTTCTTCACTCTCCTCTTTTGCCTGATCTAAACTAAGTATTTCACAGCGTCAAAAAGCATGGGTGATTCGCCAATATCCATGCACAGGCATGGCTCGCTTCATGGATATCCTCTAGGGTGGGGGGGTATTACTATAATTCTCAAGGACTTTACGACACTAAGGAATCGTATTAGCTACCTAGCTTCAGAGCCTTCGATTATTGATCCAGGGATTTCTTACCTCTGGAGTGATCCGGTGGTCGATGTTATTCAGCCACCATTTCTACACTTTACTAGGAACGACAGTATCCATAAGATCCGATATCTTCTCCTCACTATCAGCAACCGTGGGAGGGGATAATATGGTAGCCATTTTCTCCCGAAGTCTGAGCAAGCAACGACTGAAACTCCAGTAGTAGAACAGCACAAAGATACGCAATGCAACGACTTCAGCTCTGGCAATTAAGTCGAGGAAAGCAGGCTTTTTATGTCTAAAATCGTCCTCCTTATCGCAAGGTTATATGCAGGATATCACGCTATGTCTCGTTCTGGAAAATCTTTAACGGTTGGTGATAGATCGAAGCCTAGTATGTATGGTATGGTTAAAAATATTCACTCAAGATGCACTGCGCCATAAATCGGTTGGCTGGGGACGAGATTGATATGATAAATCGGCAAATCGGCAAATCGAAGATCTTTTGATGGAAATTGTTTAATTTATTCATCATGTAATGTTACATCATTGATTCTATTTTTATACTACAAGAATTCCAGTAAAAGAAACAAAAGATTTTTTTGAGAAAGTTTATTGAACTTCATTAGGTTGGTACAGTTACTAGATTTTATCTAGCGAAGCATTCATTCATACAAGGCAATTTCTCCAAATAAAAAAGGGGGATTTCCATACATAAGGCAGTTGCAAAATCCTATGTCAACAGACTCATTCCTCTTTCAGCATGGTCAGACGACTGAAATTTCCACAGAATTTTGTGAGGTTTTGCTTGTGGCTCGGAGCACGATTTCATCGTCTAGATTATGTCCCAGATTCCTTACCGATCCATTCTTCAAAGAATTTTGGGAGTTTGACCGCAATGAAAAGATGGATATTGGACAGAGCGGAGAATACTTTCGGCGCTTTTTCCTTGAAATAATGGACGAGCTGAGGAAGGCATGCTCCGATGATTGCGGAACTTCGTTCTACAATGCACCAGACTACAATGGTAGTGTTTGCGGCTGTCTCACGTATCAGACTGGTTTTTCCAATGCTAGATCGGAGACACTTACCAAGGTGATCTCGAAAACCTTCTTGAGTACCAAGTTCAAATATTACTGTAAGGACAGCTCGAATTGACCAGAAGTCGTAGACCTGCATTGATTAGCTTGTTTTATACAATTATGTGATATTGAAGGGTTTATACTTACAAGATACCAGCGGCGAAGATTGAACATAATGCAAGTCTTGCACAGAGCGACATATGTAGATTCCAGACGATGGGCACCAGAGTTGCAAGAATGAAGAAGTCGGTCAAAACAGCTGTGATACAGAAAGTCGTCGTTGCCCATGGTTCGACGTCACAATATTGAGCCAAACTCGTGTCGCTAGTCCAGAACAGAAAGCCGAAAAATATGTACCACATTTAAAGAGAGGGACGAAGAAGAAAGCGATGGGCATAAGATTATTATCACGCATAATATCGTAGACTAGATATTAAATGTCCTATTAGCTGCATAAACTCGTCGGTACAAGAGAACCACGCTTGGTTTTATGAGGCTCATGGTGACAGTATGTATGTATGTATGTATGTATGAGTAATATAATGGTGGTGAACTGGAATATGAGTAGTGAATGAATGATCGGCATGAGAAAAAGATAGTCCAACGAATCTGCTTGACGGACTTCCTTCCGCTTGCCGATGCTCCCTCCCTCCAAGTAAGAATAATTAATTTCTCCTGTCCCAGGATCCTGCATAGTATTATATCCAAAAATCCTTTGTGACACTCCTTGGGATTTTTTAGCACCTAGATTTTCCGCTCACGGAAGATTCGGGAAAACTAAACTAACCATCTAGAATAATTCCATTTACACAGCTCGCATCAGCAACTGCATTAGAAAATTCGTTAGTCACAGATTCAAAAAGACCTTTCATGCCGAAGGCACGCTACCAATCCTAAGAAAATTGGCCAATCATCCATCCATCACCTTCAAGTTTGTTCTTTCTTGTTTTCCGAAAGAACCAACCCAAAATGCATGGCCAAGCAACGCTGCGCACATAGTTGCGATTAGTGGGAAGAAGGAAGATATAGGCGATGTAGAGAGACCCCCTGCGGGACTTACCGAAGAGGGAAGTTTTAATATTTTGGAATGCAATGAATGAATGGACTGAGAATATTTATTCGATTGAAAGTTATATATATATCGGAAGTATGATTGCTAAATTCATACCCATTATTGGATCTGTATTCTAACCAATTTCCGGAATTTGTGATGTGATGTCCGCATTATTAGAGTTCTTTTTGGTTCGTAGTTACATGTCTTTAAATGAATTGGCTCCATAGTGTTCGATCCAACAGCACACAACCTTAGATATGTATACTTTTGCATTCTTCCAACTTGGAACACAAACTCGAATGATTCAGAAGCTCTTTCCTCCATTTCAAAGCCCATTCCAAAGATACAGAAAATACAAAGTCAACTATACAGACGATACATGCCCGGCCGCCTTTATGAATCATAATACAGTAATTTGAACCTGAAAATAAGGGACGAAAAAATCCAACCAATCGAATTCCTTATAAAGGAGAACCCTATATATCCAACCCCTTATAAAGCTGAAAAACACTCTATAAAATCAATAATATAGTCGAAAAATTCGTCCCGTATAAAGAATTATCCCTTATAATCAGGTTTTACTATAACGATATAAATCTCCGACCCTTTTAAGCGAAGAACTATCACTGCTACACGAATCCTGCGGCTTTTCAGAAAACGAGGAATCTTTCCTCCGACTCCAAAACCCCGAATTACACTTCTTCAACATCTTCTTCTCCTCCGCTTTCCTCAAAATTCCATGAACGGTACTAGCATCTTTGCGGCTCCCTAGAACTTTTGACCACTCCTCTATATCCAACTCATATAGTTCATCCAACTCATGTTCGATGCTCCAATTTTTGACAATATCGTATGCGTTATAGTCTGGACGATTGCAAATCTCGACTAAGATTCTGAAGAGCCATATTTCTTGATCAGTGTAGTTCCAGCTGTTGAGTGGGATACTGCTTGTTTTGATGGGGCGGCGTCGTCGGCTTGATGCGGCGAGGAGGAGTTTGAGATAGGTGGGGTTGGATTCGGAGTGGTATTCTTTGTCGGATTTAATTTGTTGGCGGATGGTGTCTAGATCTGAGCTTGAGGTGTGCGAGCGCAGTTTTTTGAAAAGTGATGTTATTGGCATGTTGAGGTTGGAGGATGTGTTGTACTGAGTTTAATTATCTTATAGTTTGCTTTGAAGATGTATTATCAATCGTGCAAAAAAGTGACGAGAGATTGGATAAATGGTTCGGGATGAAAAGGAATGCGCTGGGGATTGTGGATTATGGGATATGATATAGATGGGAGACATGATACTAGTTACTGATAGTCTGCATAGAAACCGTCCTATTTCAAACTAAAAGGGCACTTAACCTTCGATAATATTGATACTTGGTAGTTACTAAGTAGTCTGAAAATCATAATGCTAAAATCAACACCAAAAAGACACTTGAGCTTCATTCTGGTGTCGTGGTATATATAGCTCAAGAAAGATAACTATATGCAGGATCTGCCCACCACTCAACTATCAACATACTGAAAACTACCTCTTGATCTCGATGCATGATACTATTTTGTGCTTAGTAGTATAAATCCAGGCCTAGATGTCTTGTAGACTTCTACATGATGATCATAGCAACGTACTAAACCCCATAAACTCCGTACTTATTATCAACGGTCGTTGATAAACTTTTCGACACGACTTCGCGCCAATAAGAATAGGTCTGTCATGTTATTCTCTTGGTAATAACATACAGCGTATAAAGGCGTGACTTTCCTACTACTTGCGGAAGTTGCCAAAAGCTCCACGTATTTTTTGACTTCAAATAATACCCTGAAGATTTGCGATGGAATTGGCTAACTATCAATGTGTAGACAGATCATGTTGAAGCATCCAGTATGGTGGAGCGCATTTCAAATCATGAACTGATTGAATTGATTCTGAAATAAGCGGTAGAAGTAAAGAACATCTGGACAGATAGTTGGAAGGCAAGCTTATATTCAAATAACCCGTCGTTCAAGTAGTATTGATTTATTACTAAGTATTATTTAAAATCTTTATATGAAATTGTTTTAAGAGAATTATTATAATATTTATAAGACTCTGAGGCTGGTTAATTGAGAATATACTTCTCGAGGAGGCTCGTGCGGTAGAATCACGTGATCATATCCGATTTAATTGAACCTTTGATGTTCTTGTATATAATTCTATACCGGAAGCATTAGACGCTTATCTTTACAAGAATTTACACTAGATTTGACTAAAATTGCATGGTGTTTTTGTATAGATAAAAACATCTAGTACTCTCGTATAAAAATTGAGCAAATCGGGGAAATTTTATCATGTTTATGGTAAGAGCTTACATCGGAGCCCAGTGTCACCAAGTTCCACAACTTGTATTCCCCGCTTCTCTCTCACAGATCAAGCACCATGTCCAAAGTTTTTCTGACCGCTTCATCTAATTGGATTCGTTTCAACGGTATTTGTCTGGGTCCCGAGTCCTGACATTGTCAAATCCTTCTCTTTTTCATGATATGACGTAGTAGATGGACCCCGTTGCATTTTCCACTCCTACCCTACTTTGCCCTAGATGCATGAATCTGCACGCCATGATCGGAAACTGGCTTTGTAAGATTACATGAATTAGATATTACATTGATTAGATATTACATTGATTAGATATTACAATGAATTAGATATTACATTGATTAGATATTACATTGATTAGACATTACATGGATTAGATATTACATTGAACCTATTAAATATAACCTTTGATTTAGATGCTATGTACTTCGTATATAGATTCAAGAATCTAAAATCGCGGGTTCATAGATATGGGAGTACAAATAACCAAGACGGCTCCACCGGCTCAAGACAGGCACCTTGGTTTAAAATTCTTGGAATTCTTGGAATCTTGGTTTTCCCACGCAACGAGGTTTCCACATTGGGACATGTTGAAGACTTAATGCGGGTAAGCTTAATAAACCACGGTCGAAGGGATTTCATACTTATGTAGTCGTCGGAGTAAACTCATAATCGATTTGATCTAACTATAGCTAGGGCTAATGCTTATGTATCTATCTAATGACTCTGCAGAATCGTTGGTGGAGTAGAACAAAACAAGGCTGGGCAGGTCAGGTCATTTGGAGATACCTCGCCTCGTGAAGTAGTGTAGTAGGTGTATGAACTCAAGATCCCTTGATTTTCTATTGTCTTCCACTTTTATACGCATCTAGTACATAATACATACATACACGCTTACTTGAATACAAAAAGCCATACGAACCCTTTGTTTATTTACTCTCTTCAATTTCAGCCCTTTTTCCATTTATCTTCGTTTCCTATTTATTCACCTTGCCAAGTCCTCACTACCACTGCGCTATTCATACTGGGGACTATTTTCATCTTGGCAAAGCTTGAATAATCTCTGGCCTTTGATTCCATACAAGCTGAAAGCTGCAAGTTACGCTCCTGGAGCATTGATCGACTTTTATAAGATAGAATCTCATATTCCTCCCTCCCTCCCTCCCTCCCTCCATCCATCCATCGCAGTCGCAATACTCCGTGCACCAAATCTTATTATTGCACTGCGCCTATCCCATTCCATTGTATTCGCGCATCGGCAACCGTACGTTGTATGGATTCACGAAATTAACCCAATTAGACGGTCTAGTTCGAAAATCATTTCTTGCGCCTCATGATAAGACGTCGACGACATATCTACCTACCTACCAATCCCACTTGTTCTCTCCTCTCCATTCAATTGGTCGGCTGAGGAAATAATATATCCTCTTCTTACATCCCGAGGTCCTTTTCTTCCCCTCCTCCCGAATTTGGTTATCACATCATAGTCTTGGCTGTCAGCTCATTTTCACAATCTACCGGTCCATTCAACATTGATGTTCTTCGCGTGAATTGCGCATTCAATTCACCGGAGAGACTGATATTATACTGGCGGAATATATGACGATGTCGGAAAAGGTCGAACGTCAAGCACTGGGCGATATGTCAAATGATGCTGCTCATCCAGCTCAGGAAGGCTCAGCGCAAACTGGTACACATCAAAACGGCACAGCTTACCCAGTCCAAGAAAAACCAGCGCAAATTGGTAAACAGCAAAATGGTGCAGCCCAAGAAGGTTCGGCGCAAAATGATGCACAGCAAAACGACACACAACAAAATGGTACACAACAAAATGGCGACGCAAAGAAACAACATCCAGGTCAATTGAAAGCAGCCAAGGAAAAACTTACCTCAAAACAACAAAAGTTAAGGGATAAGAACAACCCACCTGGTGGTTATGATGCGACGCCCGTTCCAACTGCGCGGGATGGTTATACCGTGCGATTTACCTTTCACAGAGCCGAGAATCTTCCTGCGTCGGATCTCAACACTCGATCTTCCGATCCTTTCATTATAGCCAGTCTGACATCGTCTCTATTGAAACGACACAAGGATGATCCAGATCTCGTCCTGCGAACACAAACTATACACGAGAATACAAATCCGGAATGGAATAAGACTTGGACGGTGGCTGGGATCCCCGGGAGTGGTTTCCGTCTAAAATGTCGTTTATATGATGAAGACCCGGCAGATCATGATGATAGATTGGGAAATGTTACAATTTATGTGGAATCGCTTGGTCCAAATTGGCAGGGTTTCAGAGAAAAAGCATTTGATGTTAAGAAGAGGATGGGTAGCAAGAGAGCATATGGTGTGAGAGCTTGCGCTGCTATGTTTGACAATAACGTACATATGGATGGTACGCTTTACTTAAGCGCGGAATGTTTAGGACCATCTGAGAAACCATATGGCAGAATGTATACAATTGGGGAAACATATTTCTTCAAGCATTATTCACCCATGATTGGAAGATTGGCTGGCACTAAAGCTCCTGGAAGTTCGTCGGATGGAAAGCCCCCAACTGAGAAATATGAGTAAGTATTTTATCTAATTACAATGACACGAATGCTAACAACTCAGTTTTCAAGCAAATCAAATACAACTTCAAGGTCCAGTACCTGCGGAATTATACCATCGATTTGTCGAATTTAAACCTTTCGTAAAAGGAATGTTTTCAGGAGCAGGTCTTCGAGGGCGAGTCTTGAACAAAGCCCTTCATCACCAACATGCCCGTGTATATAATTTCAGCAACAGCACAGAATATGGAGTGTTCCCGACCAAATCCCAAGAAGCCTCACTGCAATTCCTCAAAATGGTGCATTTTGACGAAGGAGGAAGAATATTCACTTATGTTCTCTCGCTTGATGGACTTCTTCGATTTACCGAAACGGGTAAGGAGTTTGGGGTTGATCTATTATCGAAACATACCATGCATAGTGATGTAAACATTTACATAGCATGTTCTGGAGAATTTTTCGTTCGTCGTTTAAAGCACCCACATCGATCGATTGACGATCCTAGCCAATCTAGTCACCCTATTGAAGAATTTCCCGGAGGACCACCATTTGAAGCTCCTCCTAAGGATCCCAGTCACTATGAACTCGTAATCGACAACGATAGTGGCACTTACCGACCAAACGGCTCCCTTCTTCCTCTCCTTAAAAAATTCCTGAATGAGAATTTCCCCGGTCTCCACATCGTCACCAAAGAATGCACGGATGAACATCTCCAAAAAATGAAACAAGGACAGCGAGAAAGAAAGAAGAAGGAAGGAAAGGAAATTAACATGGTGCAGAATTCAGATGATGATATTAGTAGTAGTGATGAAGATGATTTGAATGATTTGACGAATTCCGGACGAAGAGGGAAAAGTAAGAGAGAGAGAATTGTTGCAGGTCTTGAAGATCCTAGTCAAGCGTTAAAGGATATGAAGAAGGAATTTATTCCTGGAAGGGAAAGAGTCGAGAGAGAGGAAAATGAAGATATACCTGAGGTAGCTTGATCTTGATGATGGTTATGGTTTTGGTGGAAAGGAAGGAAGGGTTTTGATCATGTTTGTTGATTGATTGATTGATGCTCTGAACTCTTCTACTCATACAGTGAAGTGAAGTGTGCTTCACGATGGAGGGTTTTTATTAATTAGGGATGTGATGGATTTCTACAGTGCAGGGGAAGAATTAATGGATATGGATGGATGGATGGATGAATGGATGGATGGTGATATAACGCTGGGTATATATTATGCATGGTAGGTAAATGAAGAGGTAATCTTTACATAAACGTCTTCCTCCCCCTTACGGAATAAATCAACCCATCCACCCACCCACCCATAAACCCATAGCATAATTAACGAGACGACAACTTTTCTATTCTTTTCTTTTTATTCCTTTGATACCCTCTCCTAGGACCCATCTACTTGTCTACTTTTATTCTTTTATTCTTTTAGATTTTTAGTATAGTATAATATAATAAAATTAATATAATATAAATATTTAAATCTCTAAATATCTTTATTAATTTATGATTAATTGATTAAATTTATGATTAATTAATAAATAAATATATTAATATATAATCATATCTTATAATTACACTTATAATCAAAATCAGAATTATATTCATAATAAGAATCTATAATTACAATCCATTATATACTCATACTCATATCTATAATTATAATCTATTAATTATATATACTCATACCTATAATTATAATCTATAATTATAATCTATTATATATATATATATATCATATAATATAATACAAACAAAATAAAATAAAATAAAATACTATAATATAAATCTGTATTGACTACCTAGGTATCTACCTATCTATCTATACATATAGATACGTATAACACTACCGTCCATCCATCTACCATACATCTACCCATCCACCAACCAACTTAATCCCAATCCTTTTTCATCCCAAAATAATTCATGGTCATACTTCATACTTCATATTCCTATTCATAGTCATACTCATACTCCATTAATAATTAGGTATTCCACCCATTCTCCTAACCTATACTATCCAAATCCAATTCTAGTCTGCACGACTGAATTGTGTTGAGTGACTTGCCTCCTCCCTTCCTTACTTACTTGCCTCCTTTTTTCGATATTCCTCAGGCGATAATTTGGTAGCGAATTATCGCTTACTCACTTTACATAAGCAAACCCTTGTCCCACCCCCTAAGCAAGCCAATCACCAATCAGTCAGCCATCCCTCTCAGCTATAAGCAAACCCAGTCCAGCTTAATACAAAAATAAAATATTTCAGACCAAGAACACGAAAAAACGCCAATAATGCTAATCCCATGGTATCTCCAAATCATCCATCATTCATTCAACACACCATGTTATATCATACTATTCCGAAAATGCTTCACGAACGTTCCTGAATAGGTGCTTTAGCTAATCGACCACCAGCACTAACACGTTTTTGCAATCTCGCCTCTCTTTCCTTAAGCTTGTCTTGTTGGGTCATTGTGGTTGGCAAAGCTGCTAGGGTATCGCTAGTGCTTCCTCCACGGTGTGTCTTTTGTTCGATATACAGCGTTGCGCTTCGACTCAAAGGAAATGCAGGTAATATGGTCGGGATCTCAGCCCCGTGTTGTACGAGCATTTCAGCAATCGGAAATGGAACAATTTTTGCAGCATGTTCAACTCGAGTGGGCGATGCAACTTGTGTTGGTGATGCTGGATCAGCAGCAGCAAGAGCCAAAAACACTGAATGCGTTCCACGAGACCTGTCCGTGACATTAGGGTTTGCCTTGAGCGCTAAAGCATAAATCACTTGCTGAACATCATTCTTTTTGATTGCTGCAAGAAGGGTCTCGTCTGCCGTGGCATATCGTGAGAGAGTGGATGATATTGGTTCCACGAAGGCTCGATCAACATATTTAGCCGTGATAAACCTCAACCTTTGCTCCCGTGTAGCTTGGGGCGTAGGTTTTGTAGCTAGATCAAGTCTAGCCTCCCACACCATATTGGAAACGCGATTGCCAACTAACAAAAGTAGCTCGACAATGTCCGTGGTAAAGGAATTAATATCGAGAGTCAAGGAGCGTACTTTGCTGATATGTGTTCCAAGTGAACGATGAATACCACTACATTCAATACAAAGTATGATGGCCAAGTTGATCGACACCCACTCTGTTTTGATTCCAGATCCACAATCTGCACACCAGCAGTTTCCTTGATCCGTTTCTCGTAAAAGCTGTAGTAGTTTATCCGGGCTTTCATCAAAACTACTACTATTTGATCGGCCATACGCAGGTCTAGCACCAACGGTCGTTCTTCTAAACACATTGCTCGTATTGGAAGTGTTATTATGGTTTGACGAATGCCCCTGATTCATCGAAGAACTCTTTCCTGTCAATATCGAACCAATATCTCTTCTCATTGAATGAGCCTCGGATTGTGGTGTCAGAGCAGGATAGTCCTTCATGCCTCTACCCTCGACTGCACTCTGAAGTGCATTGTTGATAGCGGAAATCCAATTTTTCATGTCATCCTCTGAGGTTGCCTGATATACTCTTTTATACTGAGGGGTAATAACCTCGAAACAAAAACGACGCTCGGCATCACGAGCCTCACGAACAGATGCCATACGTAGGTCTATGGGTTCCATGTGTAGATCTAGACGCTGTTTCCAATTACTGTACTCGGAGAGTTTACCAGCATCCAATACGATCCAGAATCTATACAAGTTAGTATTGTTAATTCCATTCTTGACGCGTCTGACTTACTTGTGCCAAGCTTGCTTGTTCAGTCCTCTTGGATCAACATGACTGCCGGGCCTACTTAAAGCCCAGAGAAGACCTTCCTTACGTTGCGTGCCCAACTTTTCACTCGCCGTGATTTGGCTATGGTCTTTTTCTTCAAGGTCTCGAATGCCACGAAACCGAGGATTTGCGGCCGGGCTTCCTACTGGTCCACCATGTACGGACGAGAGGCTCCCAGGAGTCCTGCTGAACTCCGTCGTGCCTCCATTAGTGACTGTAGCAATCGTACTGTTGGTTGGTACTATCCTTAATTGATGTCCTGTGCTGTCTGCTCTGTTGAGCTCAGTATCTGAAGTATATGCACCATTGCCTGAGCTCGACGTGCCAGGTGCGACTGTTTCAACGGGGACTGTCTCAGGTTCCACATATGTAACAGTACTTTTTTCGAGATTACGTCGCTTTTCTTCACGTTCAGTCCTCTGGTATTGAAATTCTTTGTCCGCATCTTGCACTTCTGCGCTCAATGCTTCTAACTGTGGAAGCATCTGTTCTACTTTCTTCGCCGCTGCGAGATAGCTCCTTGTTTGAGCATCTGCATACTTGGTTAAATGAGACAACACTTCTTGTTCTTTTCGTCCCCCGTGTAAATCTTGCATAAATGAAGAATAATCGAAACGCTTCAGCTCGAAATTGCGACGTTTCGTTTGGTATTTGGTGTCGCTCTCCACCCGCTTTTTCTGCTTCAATGAGTCTTGACGCTGTCCCAAATATCTGGAGACATATGCATAATAATCTTTGCTTTCCTCCTCAAAATCCCGCTTCTTCGATTCAGCTTGCTTGATATCAAGGGTGTATAATTTTGCGAGGGGCTCTATAATGACTTTCTCAAGATTGATAGCGTTTTGCTTTTCATACTGTAAAATCTCCCGCGCAATTTTATCAAAATAATGGTCTAGGGCTGGTTTGACTGCGTTTGCGTTTGAATTGGACGCTTCTCGAAGCGCTTGCATAAAACCCCCAATTGCATCATTGCATTGCATCTGGGCGATCTGTGCTGCCTCAGCCTTTCTGAGAACCTTCTTCATCCGTGTGCGCATGTTTCCAGTTTTTTGTTCCAGAGCTTTCATAGTAGCCCTAAATAAAGGTCCATCTTCTGTGGCACTCATATCTTCGCCTGGGCGTTGACAAGACACATCGACCTTTGGTGCATCCGCGAAATGGCTTTGAGGGACAACGAAATCGAGGCTAAGAGGATTTGGCGATGGCGGTGCATCTTCAAACGAGTACGATAGCTCTTGCCCGCTCACGCGAGAATCGAGAGATTGAGAAGAGGGAAGTCGCAATTTGGGTGGCGGGACGAGATGAAAGGGTGGAGATGGAGAACCTGGCATACTTAATGGTTGCGTATCTAGACTTTGTTAGCGGAAGATTGGGACAGAGCGATTGTAGCCTTACTTGAAACCCAGAATGAGAAGCTGGCAAGGGTATTTAATCGATGCGCTCGCTGGTCATACTCGAGAAACTAGAGATTGTCAGAATGAGAACGTATGCGACTGAGTCCAACATACACTGCAATTATTTCTCCAACCACCGCCGCGATCCTCCGTTGGCTTCGGAGGTCTCCATTTCCAGGACCATTCGAACGATACCGACTGACTACCTCCCGTAGAATAATCCCCGACTAATTGTACATTGGCATTCTTGTGTAGATTCGGATCGGCATGAAATTCTCGAGTAACTAGATTCTCTACCTCTCGCGCTGTCGAAGCTGATACATATGTAAGGCCATTTATAACGGTATCCATCAAGCCAACTACATCTTTTGCGCCATTCGTCGCAGGCAGGAAACCTTGCGATTGTCGTATAATAAATGTGAAGTGAAAAGTAAGTTCTTCGTCATTGTTAACCTTGATGAGGAGATTCGGAGCGGCTCCAGGAAGTGTATCAGGGTCCTGCAGGATTCTGATCAGCATTGTTGGTAGGACAAATGCAATGTATATGTATGTATGTATAGTCATTACCTGAACATATTCGACCACAGAGTTATCTCCAAGGTCGCGAATCGCAGAGACTCTTGTTGCTGGAAATCCATTTGGAACAATGTTTAAGAGGGTTCTCCTCCGCTGATTGGTGATCGACAATGATGATACAGTTACTACCAGTATATCCAGATCAGTTCCTTCCTTCTCCCCAAACCTGATAGATATCAATGGAAGTACTAACAGCGATTTTGATCCCTCAAGTATAATGGCGCGCCATCATCCGGTCTGCTACTAACATTACCCATTTTCGGTGCTGGTATGTACGGTTCTTCCCTCTTAAGGGTTTACCCCACTAAAGTTATCTCGTTGGAAGTTGTTGCAAGAGATATGGCCCTTGCTCTTGACAATATTGTCGAAGACTGTAAAGAAGATAATGTTTTTGGCATCTAATCTGTATATTGGGATACTAAGAACAAATGTTGGAAAGGAGGAGGATCTCGGGGTTGTGGAGAAAAGAAAGAAAAAAAAAAGAATTATTAATCTTGCGTATAAAGGTTGATATGGATTTGGTATGTCTGTTCAGTATGTAGTGCCATGCAAAAGTCTAGGAGTTGTTAGATTAGAAGTAAAGAAAGAGTAAGGTTCTCGCTACTCAAGTAGGCACGGTGATGGAAAAGAGCAGCGGTTAGTTGGTTTAGTTCGTCTGTTTAAGGATCTTCTGTATGTGATATCTGAGTCGTTTTAAATATTTGTCTCATCAAGGTGGTCGCGCATCGATTGTTGGATTTACTTTGAAGAAGATCAGATATAAGTAAGGCTCAGAAGGATTATTCCAGTAGATATGTACTCGAGTAGATACTGCAGTATATGAGTAACCGAGGGATTGAATGAGTACGTGAGTGAGCGAGTAAATGAGTAAGTAAGTAGATGCGTCAATAGAATAAGATGAAGCTTATCAGCAAAGCAAGGATATCACCAAAATCTTATATATGTGATACAATCCTGTGGCATCTTTCTTTTTCGATTTCTTCGTATTACTCTCCCTTCGTGCTGCATTCCATTTTTCAACATTCAAGTATCCAAATCTCTCCAATATTGTTCACAGCCTCTTGTACATACACTAGATATACGATCTTGCGTGCTGACCAACAATGACAGGGCTCGCAATGTATTTAAGGAATGATTGTGGGGAGCAGACAGAGTCTAGCCATCAAACCGGGGGCCCACAGGCTTCAACTGGCATTCGGTAGTGAAGGTAGTCAGGGGATCTCTCGCAAGGCCAGCTGTGAAGAGTTGAGATTCTTGGAGTATGTTCCAGTTTCAAGGTTCGATACGAAGTCTTAGTCTTATGCATGCGCCTCGATATCTACCGGAGTAGTTATTTAGTGTACTCGTATGAATGAAGGCTGGAGTACAATTCATTCTACTCGAGTATCTAGCGAAGGGCAGAATGGTAAAAGAGATCCATGCGGATTTAAGCCAAAATTGATTATTGATTACTACGCCGCCAGCACGTCCAGAAATATCTTCATACAGAGTAACAAGATCTTCGTAAAATACCCCCTGCTAATCGATAAGCAATTCCCACCAACCTCGGTACGTGCCCTCCTACCACGGCTTGTCGATATCTTAACCTTCTCCACAAGAATGAACTTCCCCAGATTTCTCATATTTGTATTTAGATCAAAGAATTACCTCCCATCTCATCTATAGAATAAAAATTCCTAAACTTATTATTTGTCCCATATAAACCCATTAATATATATACCAACGAGATGACAACCCCCGCTTCATCAACTGCAGGCACCACCTTTGCCGATGCTACCAAGGTGCAACAATTGACTTCCCACACTTACTCTGCGAACTTTCCTGATGTAAGATTCTTGAATACATGATTATGGCTGAATCAATGCTACCTCCAACATACAAAATATCCATTTACCAGAAGAATCATACTGACATCAACACAGGACTGGTGCATAGGCACAGGTAAATAGACAATCACCTTACCGCCTACCAAACTATCCATCCGTTGTCTAATCAAACTATGTAGTTCCTCATGGAGGTTTCATAACCGGAGTCTTCCTCCAAGTCTCTACGCTCCATTTTAGAACCACTCTCTCCGCCCAAAATCAACCTAATCCCATAATTCTCCATCTCGAGTTCCTGCGTCGGACTCAAGTTGGTCCCGCCATCTTCACCGGTAAGCATATCCCGTGACTTCTACGTTTCAATATGATCATGTAGTTGTCTCTATTTATGTTCAAGACTGGCTTCTATGTACTAACTTTCATTCTAGTCCAAGATACCAAAATCGGGAGACAAACATCTATTCTTCACATAACCCTATCACAAGGCGACCGCGTAGAAGTAGTCGGTTATATAACTCACTCCAATACCACCACTGAAGAAGGCGCTTCTTCCCCTCATACTCATGTTCTTAAGCCTGCCCCTCTTCCAGTGTCTCTTCCCCGTAAGTATAGGCGATTTTGCCATCACAACCCCACAACAGAGCGATCATCAATTTTCGCTTACCAAGTCCGACTCCTCCCTCTATCAACACCTACCAACTCCATCCCCTTTCCCTATCAACACCTACCTACTCTATACCTCCCCCCCAAGTAAACACATACTAACGCCGAATCTACAGTCCTAAAAACCAACACCGACCCCAACTACCACCTCCGAGAATTAGCTTTCTCCAACTTCCGTAAAGCCACCAAAAAAGGTTATATGTACCTCCCCCGCACTGAACCATCTCCCAACATCTCAGACGAATGGATCCGATTATCCACTGGCGAATACGTAAGCACCAGTTCTCCATCAGATGCAGACTTGCCCTTCCCGTCCCCGTTCCTCCCATTCCTCCTCTACTCTCCCTCCACAATCCTAACTAACCAACAACCACCCCCAACAGTGGACCAACGAAAGCCTCGCCTTCGCCTGCGACATGTTCGCAATCCCCACCGAAATCCCCAATTCACTCAACACTTCCACACCCACCCGCACATCCCCCTCACCCTACCCATCCCCATCCTCCTCCACCCCAGCCCCAGCCCCAGCCCCAGTAGCAAAATACTGGTTCCCAACCCTCGTCCTCAACATCGATTTCAAAAAATCGCTTCCACAAGAAGGCATCGAATGGCTCTTCATCCGCGTCGAGCGCAAACAGATCAAGAACGGACGTATGGATATCGAGTTAACGGCTTGGGATGAGACGGGGGAATTGGTCGCCATTAGTAATCATGTTGCGTTGGTTGTGGGGTTGGAGAGAAATACGGCGGAGAGGGGCTCGAGTAAGATTTGAGATGTGAGATTTGAGAAGTGAGAAGTTAGATTTTAGATGTTAGTGAAGGTGACTGAGATGGGACTTGTGGGATCGGAATTTCTGGGATAGGAGATAGATTGGAGATTGAGACGAAACAATGTAAATTTGCATATAGAATCGCCGACCAAACATAGGAAACTGAAATAAAGAATTCAGATCACATCACTTGCTGCAACCACACCAATCAATCAGTCAAGATACCATAATCAAGATATATAGTATAGGTGAATTCCCAAAAATTAAGCTCTCAATCGTATTTCGCTATGTCTATCCATTCTCATGCTCATGATTAAATACGACTTAACGCGTATATTAAGACCCTCAAGTTGAGAAAGAACCAAAGTGACCCAAAGTGCAATTTAGAACCATCAGACCAGCAATGCCATTGTCCTCTTTCCCGTCGCCAATCTGACTTTATATGAATCCGAACCCCGCACGATTCGCTGCATCTATCCACTCAAGTTCCTAAAGCATGCCTGCATTCGGGAAGGGGCCACTTTCGCCTTTGGCAGTTCGTGCATATTCAGGTTTTGGGGACCGGCCGCATACTAGTAACTCGTTTGCACCTGACTACAGCTGCATGAAACCGACTGGGGATGTATTCTCATTTCTAGAGGATGCTAGATAGATTGAGATATGATAACTATAGCTAAAGCCCTTTCACATAAAATCCTCACTGCAGTTCGTCAGTATCTACTGTGGATAGTAAGAGATTACATAAACTTACTCTCCAAAATCATCGTCATAAGCCTGGGTATCTTTATGAGAGATGGCATCTCTGCTTGCATTCAAGGTAGTCTTGGTTTTTTGTGCTTTGGACTTCTTTCCTCCCTTTTCAGCTGCCTTCTCCTCCTTCATTTTCTCGTTACTCAAGGCCGTCAATGTACTAGCGATCTTTTTAATTTGATCACTGGGAAGATCTTTAGAAATCTGTTTGGTGAATTCTTGCAAGAAAATGATATATTGTGCCTTCTTGACGTTACTGGTAATGAGAGGCACAAGAGTTTCGCGGAGCTTCTCGAATTGGGGCTTGGTTTTTGGATCGAAAAGTGGGAGGGTTGTCAAATCAACAGTGGCTGCGGGGTTCTTCTCATCAACTTGCACCGCGTTGGCAGCACTTGTAGTCTTGCGAGAGTTGATACCAATGTTGCCAAAAAGGTCCTCAGCGTGCTTCAAGTCGGATTCTTGTTCAGTTCGTCTAAGGCGTTCTCTTCTTGTAGCCTCATCTTCACTGCTCTCGTCGCTATCTTCTGCCAGTTGACGTGCTCTCTCGGCCTGCTTTTCAGCGACACGTTCCTTTTTCGACTTCTTGTTCGCGGCAGCCAATGCATCAGCCTTTGCTTTTCTCTCGGCTTCGACCTTTGCCTTCTCGCGTTCAACTTCAGAGTCCTCGGCGGCACTCCAGGAATCTAAGACTTCATCATCATCCTCCTCATCGTCAAACTTTCTTCGGGTCGAAGCGGCAGTTTGTGCGGGCGTTGGATCGGATGACTCCTCGGAGGAGGATTCCTCATCTGTCCGGTAGAGTCGCGGTCAGTTCAGTGTATTCCTTTGCATTTGCATGGCGGCAAATCTTTCGACGAAGCTTTCGAAAGCCGCTCACAGATAATGACAATAACATTTTCAGAAGAGACAACGCCGCAGAATATGCCCAGGGGAAAAATAAAATATTCTGCCACTTACCCCACTTGTCAGGCATTTTCAAAACGAAATGCCCAGCGAATAGTTCCTTTTTATTGCTTTTGCTTTGATTGTCTCAAGTATTGAGTCTAGAGCCTCAATAACTGTGCAAGAATAGTTTTCCACTATGTGTTTGTTGTTCAAAGGAATATCTTTGGGAAAGGGTAGACAGATTATTGAAAGTGTGACTTTAGGTTTTGCGCCCGCACGTATGAACAGGGAAATTTATTAGTGGTGAGACTGATCGGAAGCGGGCCTTGACTAATACTTTTGATTGGTGCTTGACTTGACCTTATGATTGAGTTAGTCCATCAAACAATTCAATTCCGAGCTTTCACATCCGTGTACATAAAACATATACAATAGGAAAGAAATTGTATCGTTTTCTTTATATTCATCAAGTCAATAAGGTCCATTCACAAAGTAACAGTAACCTCATTGTAATCACAGCATAACGCACTAGTAATTTGATCAAATTGTTCTTCATTTTGTGATATCATTCATCATTAACGTCATGCTATGGCATCGCTCATTCCGCCTAACACAGTTACCTACCCAGCTTTACTTTTGGCGCAGTATCCTAAAATCTTTTACAAATTGACAGCAGTTCTGAAGTTCTCTCCAGCATAAACAGCCTTGTCACCGAGCTCCTCCTCGATTCTTAAGATTTGGTTCAACTTGGCCAAACGCTCAGATCTAGCTGGGGCACCAGTCTTGATTTGGCCAGCACGGAGACCAACGACGATATCGGCAATGGTGACATCCTCAGTCTCTCCGGAACGGTGAGAAACCATGACACCCCATCCAGCGGCGAAGGAGTCCTTGGCAGCTTGGATAGACTCAGTAAGAGTACCGATTTGGTTGACCTTCAACAAAAGAGCATTGCAAGACTTGAGTTCGATGGCCTTCTTGATTCTGATTGGGTTGGTGACAGTCAAGTCATCACCGACAATTTGGAAGTCGGAAGACTTGTAGAAGTAGCTCCAGGCCTCCCAATCATCCTCAGCGAATGGATCTTCAATGCTGACGATCGGGTATTTCTTGGCAAGGGTCTTGTATTGATCGGCGAGCTCGGTGTATGTGATCCACTTGGTTGGGTCACTCTCTGGGTTCTTGAAGTCCAAATCGTACTTCTTGGCATCCTCCTTGTAGAACTCGCTGGAGGCAACATCCATAGCGATGTTCATCTTTCCGGTGTAACCAGCAGCCTCGATAGCCTCAGTGATGAGCTCAAGAGCCTCCTCGGCGGTTTGAATATCTGGTGCAACACCACCTTCGTCACCGACGTTACCGGCGGATTGACCGTACTTCTTCTTGGCAAGAGACTTGAGCTTTTGGTAAACCTCAGCACCGTGTCTAAGAGCCTCAGTGAAAGATGGGGCAGCGCTACGAGTTATACATTAGCATCAGAATTGGATGTGGATTTTGTTAATGGTAACTTACGAAGGTACGATCATGAACTCTTGGAAGGCCAAACGTCCACCAGCGTGGGAACTATGCGCTATTAGCTGCCAATCGATGATCTTAGACACGACATGATGCTTACCCTCCGTTAAGAACGTTCATGAATGGGACTGGGAGAACGTAAGGCTTCTTGGTTCCGGCAAGATCGGAAACGTGAGCGTAGAGTGGAATACCCTATGAATTATTAGGCATGCAAATGATGATGAAAATGAGTCGTCACTGACCTTCTCAGCAGCTCCGGCCTTGGCGACAGCCAAAGAGACACCGAGGATGGCGTTGGCACCCAACTTTCCCTTGTTTGGTGTACCATCAAGGCTGTTCAAGAACTCATCGATCTTGGATTGATCCTTAACATCAATGTTCTCCTTGATAAGAGCTGGGCCAATGATATCATTGACGTTTGCAACAGCCTTGGTAACACCCTTTCCGTCCCACTTGCCCTTGTCTCCGTCACGAAGCTCAACAGCCTCGTGTTGACCTGAAGTGACATTCCTGTCAACCTTATGATATCCTAGTATTCGGGACGATGTACGTACCAGTGGAAGCACCAGACGGGACAATGGCACGGTGGAGACCAGTCTCAGTGACAACGTCAACCTCGACAGTTGGGTTTCCACGAGAATCGTAGACGGAACGAGCGTGGATCTTAGTGATAGCCATATTGACTTTCTGTCGAGGAGCTATCATTAGTATCTATCTAAGCTTGTAGATCAATTTGTATGAATGATGAAAAGAGCTCGAATCGTACCTTATCTTTCTTGATTATCTGGTGATGTTCTATACACTCTGGGTTAGTATTTATGCAGCGTTTGTTGATGGTGGAAAGATGGAACGAAGAAAATATGGCCAGAGATGATTATGGTGGGGTGAAAGTCACCAAATCTGAGCTTCAGTTTATAGCTTATTTCTCTGTTGATTCACATTGATCAAGAGAAGAAATGAAGCTTTTGATCGTGGGTACAAAGGATAACTGGAGGTAGAAGGGCGATGTTGTCTTACCTTGAGTTGTATGTGGCTTACAAAAAAAGAAGTTGTTGTGAGAAAGTAAAGATCAAGAAGTTGGAATCACAGAGCAGAACGAGATCTTTTTCAACCCCTCGCCCCACCAACGTGCCAATGCATCGTCCCCTTCCCGCCCCAGCCTGTAATCCCTGCTTACCGGAGTTACTCTTAAGAAATGAGTTACGCCGAGCTTTTGACTGGATGGATGGATATCAATAAATGAATGTCACCAACACATAGTTCTAACTAACAAGTCGACGATATTTGAGAGAGGCTCGTCCCGCCGCCTTAGATCTTAACCATTGACGGTCAGTGGGCGAGATTATTACTATTGTCAAAACTTATTATACTAGACATATCTACCAATATACTCGTAGCTTTTTTTTGGTCGTACTAATTGCGTCTCCCTCCGGTGGCCGGACCCGATTGAAGAAAGTTTCAAAAGTGCTCTTGGGTCCTGGGTCTTTGGTCGTGGTTCGTGGGTCTAAAAGATAAACAGCTAGCTGCCAAGGTGATCGATCTACTATTCATAGTCTTTGAAGTTTCTTCTGAATAGAAGATAGATAGTAGAGTAACATTGTCTACTAACTTAAATCGCGCTGAATGATCACACCATACTTTCATCGCTGTCGTAAGAGTCCAAAGCTCGGCACTGGAAGAAGGGCAGGATACAAATAAATATTGGGCTTGTCCAATTCTTGAATATGAATTGCTTCGAAAAGATATTGTTCATGCTCATAACAACCTCGATGCTCTTGAATGTCTAGCTGTAACACTCGGAGCTTGTAGATGATGTTGAAAAGGTTTCTTCCATTAATCTGAGGTATTTTGGGGACTTGGCGCCATGAACTTGTGCAGGAAATGAGCGCCAGAGAGGCATCATATTTCAAAGTAGATCATCTGGTACGAGGCGAATGTAATCGAAAACAGTACAATCACGCAGGCAAGATTATATTTGATCCCCGGCTGAGTTGTACATTCTGAGGTTGATTCAAATCTCGAACTTTCAACATGGGATCCTAAAGGATTGATCACGTGCTAGCTCGCTCCACACAGGCAACAAGAGCTTCGCATGCAACTTAGTTAAGCAATTGAGGAATCATGATACCTCTACTTCCATCAAACACACCTTCCACGCAAATCTGAAAATAAAACACATTTATACTCCTGACCTTTCAATCGCCTTCACCTAATCGAATTTGCACAGGTACCATTTAATTCCTTGCGGCTTTTAAGATGTCTACCAGCGGCGTTATGGATCGCGAGCATGCGCTGTCAACATTCAAGGAAAAGCTATTGGAGTCTAGAGAATGGGAGGCAAAGCTCAAGGCTCTGCGGTTAGAAATCAAAGGGTTGCAGAAGGACTTCGACCATACTGAGGACAATATTAAAGCTCTTCAAAGTGTTGGACAAATCATCGGCGAGGTTTTGAAACAACTTGATGATGAGAGATGTGAGTAGCCCAGTGGGAAGCTCCATTTAACATTGCTAATATGGGCATTTCAGTTATCGTCAAAGCATCATCCGGCCCCAGATATGTTGTCGGCTGCAGATCGAAAGTCGACAAATTGAAGTTGAAGCAAGGAACCCGTGTCGCGCTCGATATGACAACTCTCACAATTATGCGAATGTTACCTCGAGAAGTCGATCCCCTGGTTTATAATATGTCTTTGGAAGATCCTGGACAAGTGAGCTTTGGTGGGATTGGTGGTTTGAACGAGCAAATTAGAGAACTACGAGAAGTTATCGAGCTGCCACTTAAGAATCCCGAGTTATTCTTGCGAGTTGGCATCAAGCCTCCAAAGGGTGTTTTGTTATATGGACCTCCAGGAACCGGGAAGACTCTGTTAGCAAGAGCTGTTGCTAGCAGTCTGGAAACAAACTTCTTGAAGGGTAGGGACTTTCTCTATACATGTTGTTTTCACAGTTATACTAATATGCCGCAGTTGTTTCATCTGCTATCGTCGATAAATACATTGGAGAATCTGCGCGTCTAATCAGAGAAATGTTTGGTTATGCCAAGGAACATGAGCCATGTATTATCTTCATGGACGAAATTGATGCCATTGGTGGGCGTAGATTTTCAGAGGGAACTTCGGCAGATCGTGAAATCCAGAGAACCTTGATGGAATTATTGAATCAACTCGATGGTTTCGATTATTTGGGAAAGACAAAAATTATCATGGCTACCAACCGTCCAGATACGCTTGATCCTGCGCTTCTCAGAGCTGGACGTCTCGACAGGAAGATTGAGATTCCTTTGCCAAATGAGGTCGGACGATTGGAAATTATGAAGATTCACGCTTCCAGTGTAGTCATTGATGGCGAGGTTGACTTTGAGAGTGTGGTAAAGATGAGTGACGGCTTGAACGGTGCTGATTTACGAAACGTCGTCACAGAAGCGTATGTATTTCCTCGACACCATTACACGATAGCTTTGCTAACTTTCCCAGTGGTTTATTTGCTATCAAGGATTACAGAGATGCTGTTAACCAGGACGATTTTAATAAAGCAGTTCGCAAAGTGGCAGAATCAAAGAAATTGGAGGGCAAGCTGGAATACCAAAAACTATGATTGCTACATAGATTGTGTTTTAGCATGGCGTATCGCATAATTGAGGTTGGTTGGGCATATAGCTTGACTTTGTAAGAATATTACATGAAAGAGAGCTTCCTCGGAATTCCATGAAGTTGTACCAACGCGAAGACTTGCCATAAATAAAAACCTACCTAGTAATTTCAATCGATCATCCTTTGAGATCATCCCTCTATTGCCGCCCAAAGCCATATTCCATGTTCGCTAGAAAAGGGGGACTTCCCCGTTAGGTTCTTAGGGTTCCGGTATATCCTCGATGTTGGACCCTGTGGGGTTGATTGGTGGGGAGCTCGACCATTTGAGGGACGAAGTGGAAATCAACATATTGATTCGTCAGAAGACAATAAACTAGTAGGTAAAACTCACCCAGATATAAAATATGGTACCTGAAGAATCTGTATTTATCGGACCGGCAGAAAGGAAAATTCTTTTGGGCACATCCCAATCCTGATGGACGATCAGAAAGTGCAAATTTTGCATAAAATATTTGCTTGGCCAGCAGGAATATCACATCACAGCACGCAGCACACCATTTTGAAGCCAAAAGTCCCGCAGAAAGGATGGGTGCAGATTGTTGGCTTAGTTGGCGGTGATACGGTGTGGTTTGGTGGAATGGCCTGGTAACCTATAACAAGGGGTTTTCGGTTTCGTTGTTGGTAGATAGTCTCCAGCTCGTAGGTACTTATCGTCAGTTGGTGAGTTTAAGTGTTGAGTCGGGCTTGGATCTTTGGTCGAATTTCTTCTATAAAAATATTAATATTGTAGTATGATAGCCATGGTATAATACCGATATCCTCTGCCCATACACTCAAATGAACTTACCCAGACAAAAGGTACGGAGTATCACACCCACGATTATACGTCATGTCAAGCTTCAATGGAAGGAATTCATGGTGATAGAGCTACAATGCCCCGACGATCCTGCTACCCTGTGCCTGGAGAAGTTGAAATGTTGCTTTATTTAGATTAACCGGTGGGTCAAGTGTGTGGCTCATACAGCTTTAGCCTTAAGTATCCATTGAAGACTCCCTGTCAAGCCCTCTCTCAATAATTGATACGGGCGTATGTCAAGTTGGAACGAGGAAAACCAGACGAGAAAGAAGGAGGGAATGAATGGGCATGAAATGAATGGAATGGAATGGACATACAAGACCCAAATGATCAAGAAAAGGCGTTTTATTAAATTCCCCAAAAGCACGACTATTCAGAATTGGGTTGGTTGGTGTGGTAAGATTTTCTGAAATGTACGAGAGTTACAGCCTCAAAGATTCCCCAATCCCCCATCCCCAGTCCAGTAACCAAGGTTGTGCTTCTATGGATGTTTGAGATCCGCAGCCACGATCAATTGGCCTCGTATCATAGGGAGAAATTGAAGCTAAAAGACGAAAAGATTCGTAAACACACATGTATCGTATTAGTCTTTTCGTTAAGAGCCACAGGCGGTGGGGGTGACCTGGGTGACAACGTGCACGTTTACGTTCAAAGAATATCAAGCCCACCATTCATTCTTCTCTCCCTCTCCTCTCTCTCTCTCTCTCTCACTCTCTCTCTCACACACACTCTTCCTTAAAACCATCTACATCTCCCCCAACCGAAAGGAAAGGAAATCATACGTCCCATTTCCATTCGTTTTCTTTTCATACACAATCGTTCTTGCTTTCGATACCCTTTTTTTGCACATCCTACCAACATCTAAACTCAAACAGAAAACAACACATCCCTTTTTATTGCAACAATGTGGTATGTATATATATGCACCCAGAGATGCATACAGATCGCGAAGACAATTAAAGAATTGACAATCTAACTTTCTTTCACAGTGGAATTTTCGGATACATTAATTACTTGGTGGAGAAGGATAGAAAGTATATTCTTGATACACTTGTTAATGGTAAACTCTTCTTCCCATTGCCCCTCCTTCTGGATTGAGGTTGTTATTTATACCGCCATTTCAACCAACACATCATTCTTTTCCTTCACAACTTTTATCCTCTCATTGGGATCTGCCAACTAATTCCTCACAATCTACAGGTCTTTCGCGCCTTGAATACCGTGGTTATGATTCTGCTGGTCTCGCCATCGATGGAGACAAGAAGAATGAAGTCTTTGCATTCAAGGAGGTCGGCAAAGTCGCAAAATTAAAGGCTCTCATTGAGCAGGAGAAGCCAGATCTCACAAAGGTCTTCGACTCTCACGCCGGTATTGCACACACCAGATGGGCCACTCACGGACCTCCATCTCGCCTTAACTGCCATCCTCACAGGTACGTACAAGTATTGTAGGGTTCTAAACACTGCTGATTTGAGACTCGCAGATCTGACCCCTCCTGGCAATTTTCAGTCGTACACAATGGTATCATCACCAATTACAAGGAGTTGAAGACTCTGTTGACATCAAAGGGCTTCAAGTTTGAGACCGAAACCGACACAGAGTGCATTGCCAAACTTGCAAAATACCTTTACGATCAACATCCAACAATTGGTTTCACAGATTTGGCAAAGGCAGTTATCAAGGAGTTGCAAGGTGCTTTTGGTCTTTTGATGAAATCAGTACACTACCCACACGAGGTTATTGCTGCACGTAAGGGTTCTCCTTTGGTTATTGGTGTACGAACAGAGAAGCGCATGAAGGTCGATTTCGTCGATGTCGAGTACGCCGAGGATGGACCATTACCTGCCGAGAAGGCTTCACAAAACGCTGCATTGAAGAAGTCCAGCGTCGGAAACTTCCTCTCCGCCAGCAATGCTCTCGCCCCAGCAGACAAGTCCTTGTTGCACAGATCCCAATCTCGTGCATTCATGACTGATGATGGAGCTCCAATGCCAACAGAGTTTTTCCTTTCTTCAGATCCTTCTGCTATCGTCGAGCACACTAAGAAAGTCATGTACCTTGAGGATGATGATATCGCACACATTCACGAGGGATCTTTGAACATCCACAGACTCACAAAGGTCGATGGTTCATCCAACGTCCGCACAATTCAAACTCTCGAGTTGGAACTCCAAGAAATCATGAAGGGCAAATTCGACCATTTCATGCAAAAGGAGATTTTCGAACAACCAGAATCCGTCATCAACACCATGAGAGGACGTTTGGATGTCGAAAACAAGACAGTCACACTTGGTGGTTTGAGATCATACATTGCTACTATCCGTCGCTGCAGAAGAATCATCTTTATCGCTTGCGGAACCAGTTATCACTCATGTATGGCCGTTCGTGGTGCCTTTGAAGAGTTGACCGAAATCCCTATTGCGGTTGAGTTGGCATCAGATTTCCTTGATAGACAAGCACCAGTTTTCCGTGATGATACTTGTGTCTTCGTTTCTCAATCTGGTGAGACTGCCGATTCTTTGATGGCTCTGCGATACTGCTTGGAGCGCGGTGCGTTGACCGTTGGTATTGTCAACGTCGTCGGTTCCTCTATCTCCCTCCTCACGCACTGTGGTGTTCACGTCAATGCTGGTCCCGAAATCGGTGTTGCTTCTACCAAGGCCTACACTTCTCAATTCATTGCCATGATCATGTTTGCTCTTTCTTTGAGTGAGGATCGTTCCTCGAAACAGAAGAGACGTGAGGATATCATGGATGGACTGGGAAAGATCTCGGAACAAATTAAGGAGGTCTTAAAGCTTGATCAGCCAATTAAGGAGCTCTGTGCCCGAACATTCAAGGATCAAAAGAGTCTGTTGCTTTTGGGTAGAGGTAGCCAGTACTCCACTGCTTTGGAGGGTGCTCTTAAGATTAAGGAGATTTCTTACCTCCATTGCGAGGCTGTTATGTCTGGTGAACTTAAGCACGGTGTCTTAGCATTGGTCGATGAGAACTTGCCAATCATCATGATCCTTACCCGTGATGAGATCTTTGCTAAGTCTCTCAACGCTTATCAACAAGGTATGTCTAAACTCGCATTTTTCCTGTTTCACCGAGTTCAATTCTAACGTATCACAGTCATTGCTCGTTCTGGAAAGCCAATCGTTATCTGCAACCCCGGTGATGAGGAATTCAAGACCAGCCAAGCCGAGAAGATTGAGATCCCCGCTACCATTGACTGCTTGCAAGGTCTTCTCAACGTTCTCCCACTCCAACTCATTTCCTATCACTTGGCTGTTGCCGGTGGTCTCAATGTCGACTTCCCAAGAAACTTGGCCAAGTCAGTCACTGTCGAGTAAATGTTCATTTGGCATGGCATGATTATACAAGGCTTCTAAGCTCTATCGCTTTGGTGTTCTGCTAGACTTCAGATGCATTAAACGGAGATTAAAGGAAAGGGGCAGGGAAGGATGGGCAAGAAGTCTAATACACGTTTCAAGTATTTTGTGCTTCTTTTTTTTTTGCGTAGATAATGAGACTTAGCGAATTGTGGGTACCTAAAAATTAACGGGTTTGGGAATCTTTGATGGAGGGATGGTATGGTATGTGCTATTGTATGTAGCCAGCTGCTATTGCGATGGATGCGATGGACGCGATGGATGGGATGGATGCGCGCGATGGATATCTCTTTAAATATAGATATCATTTTATTTTGCAAATGAAGGATGATTTGATTGCAATTTTGCTCGGGAAAGTCAATGAATGATAAGACAAGCTATCTCTTCCTTTCTTTTTCTCGATAACAATAGAATAAATGGAAGAAGTACATTGTTAAAATTATAGTTCATGATAGTTAATGCTAAATGCTTGATGCTAACCAGAGAAAATATTTTTTATCATTAACAATATTTAGAATATCTATGTAAGTGCATCAAGAATCGGCATATGAATTTGATACATGGCGAGCCCAGTCCCCAATCCCCAGTCCTCAGCCACTCCTTACTCGCCTCGCCTCGCCTCCCCTAATGCCGGTGGAGATCTCCACTTACATGTTACCCTACTCCACCCCATAATCATATATTAAAACAGGTTCTAGAGCATCCCAATGACTTTTTTCAACCGCGTGCGCTGCATTTCCCATTCCTCCTACCCTGGCACGTCAAACATATGCAAAGGTAAAGGAAGAATAGGAACGAGAAAACATAAGACGAAGAACGCGAAAAACAAGCCAAAATAAAAGTGCATAACTGTGCAGAAAAGAATAAATCCCATCATCGCCGAGGTCGCTTAGCATAATCAGTTCATTCATTTGCCCTTCTTTTTCGGCGTTTTGGATTTCGGAGTGTTTGGTTTTGTTGTTTTGTTCTGTGGGGTTTTGGACACGGGAGTTTTGGATGCTGGCGCCTCCAGCTCGGGGGACTTGGGCTTTGCCAGTACATCCTCTGGATAGATGCTCTCCCCATCATTGTCAAACAGAGTTTGGTCACCCTTACCGCCCATCTCAATGAACTCGTTTGGATCTCGTTTAGCTGCCGGTGCCTCTTCATTCTTGGGTCCGTTTTGCAATGGTTCTTGTTGGCTGGCGGGTTGATTGATACAATGTTTTGCGTTTGGATTCTTGACATATACTTTGACAGGTTCTTTGTCAGAATTGATGTGGATGATTTTGGAAATCTTGACTTCGTTTATGTCGCTTAGCAGTGTTCTCTCTCTCTCTATCTTGCGCTTGCTAAAATCGAGATTTGCAATCCCACCGACTAGACCATCCGTACTATCGTGGAAATTAGTAGTCTTTTGTGTCATCCATGGATGCGCCAAGCACTCATCAACGGTGTAACGCTTCTCCGGATCAACCGTTAACATATGATCAATAAGATCTAGTGCTGGATCACCAATATTGTCCCAGTACGGAGAAGGATAATCAAATCTACCCATCTTGATCTGTGCTTTGAGGTCATAAGGATTGTCCCGAGTATATAATTCATCAGAGAAGGGTGGAAATCCACAGAGGCATATGTATAAAACAACTCCCAATGACCATATATCAACTGCACGTGTGTATCGTCGGCAGTTGTTGTCTTGAAGAATCTCCGGAGCCACGTAGCTTGGAGTGCCGCAGAGCGTAGTCGTAAAAGAAGCCTCTCCAATAATCTTTGACAGACCGAAATCTGCAAGTTTTACATGCAGATCTTCATCGGTCATTAAGATGTTCTCGGGCTTGATATCTCGATGTACGATACCACGTTCATGCTATTTTTGATGAGTTACCAGGATCAATAAATGGTTTGTTGCAAGAAAAAGTACTCACCAAGTACTTTAAGCCTTCAAACAATTGAACGAAGACCTTTCTTGTTTCTTGTTCTGTAAGTTTGCCCTTCTTAACAATCCAATTGAATAGTTCTCCTTCCGCTGCAAGCTCCAAAACGAGGTAGGTTGCATCGGGCTCATCGAAGGTGTCCTTCAAGCACAGCATGTTCGGATGGCTAACACCCATAAGTATTGCGATTTCTTGTTGTAAACCTTCGATCCTTTGCTTTTCCCCTGCCCCATGTTTTCTTGTAAATATTTTGACCGCGAAACGTTGACCCGTACACTTTTCCACGCATAAATAAACCGTTGCATAATGGCCTGACCCGAGCTTTTCTAGAACTGTGTATTTTTGCAAGAATTTGCTGGTCTCTCGCAGCTTCGGGTATCGAAAGACAAACCTGGCATCATTCAATATTTGTATCCCATCTCCATCTTCGAGTTGCCGACGCTTGTTTCGTCCAATAACACACTCGTTGACAAAAGTGCCATTACTTGACAAATCCTCAATGACGGCAACATTCAGACCTGCTTGATTCTCGGTGAACATGAGACAATGCCTATTTGAGACCCTGATATCATCAATGACGAGATCTAGAAAAATTATCAATATCACTCTTTCGTCTGATTGTCTGAATTATACTTACCACACTCCGGATGCCGTCCGATCAAGTATCCGCCCGAAGCGATTCCCTTAAACTTAGTGGCTTCATAAGCATCTTCTTCCTTATTTAAATCTTTGTCTTTACCAGGGTTCCCAAAATCACTGTTCTTATCTGGTAACGGACAAGCATTTCTCCTCCGTAAAACAAGGAGATTTCCGTATTTGTGATTGAGAGGCATCAAGTATCCCCAAACACCTTCTTCTTCCTCATCTTCTGCTGACAATTGACTCAGTTCTTGAGTTTGAGTGAATTCTTGAGTCTTTGCTTGAGACTTGGCGATGGGAGGTGAGAAAATTTGCGCCTTTGGACCGAGATTCTCAGTTGGTTCTGGAGTTCTATGCCGAATCTGACTCGGTCGACCCTCTGGAGGAGTTGCAGTACCCTCCCTCAAACTATTGATTGAGGAAGAAGATTCTAGATGTGTAACTGGCGAAGGGAGGTGCTGTTTATTCGAGATTGGGGTGTGACCTGGTTGTGAGAGTCTTTCGGATCGACGTGGTTTTTTGTACGACTCGCTCTCTTCGATCGTTCCTGCCTATGATGAACCAATACATTAGTCTTCCAGGCCTTGATCATCATTAGCAAGGAACTCATTTCGCACTCTATCTCGCTTTAAATTGCCTTTCCCTCCTTTAGAAGGCATCTTGGTATAAAATGAAGCTCGGTTTGATTTATGATGCGATTCGAGGTAATTGAGTTACTCTGAGGAAAGTAAAAGGTTAACTTGGAGCTGAGGTGTTAAATTTATGCCAAATTTGTAAGTGCATCAATGGAAGTACATGTATATGTAGCAATTCAAATTATTATCAATTTGTGCGAAGAGTATATTTTCTTTTGATTAGGGAGATGTGGTTGGATTCTGTCGAAATCAAACAAAATGGTTGACGTGAGAGCCTCCGCTAGCATTTGCTGGGGCTCGGGGATCTAAAAGCCAGGGACTTTCCTGCCTAGAAGCGAATCAAGCGATAGAATCAAGCGTTGTCGATCGAATCAATACATCAATACGGTACATCCAGACCATCAGACCCGCCAACCCATTCACTTATCGTAGAGAACATTAATAATAGAAGAAGTTCCCAGGGCAGCCAGCCATACAAACTCCGGCTGTAAGAGGAGAAGTTATCGCATGTTGGCTGAGATTAGCATCAACACACAAATTTACTTTATTGCTCCAATATCAACAATACCGATATCGAATCTCGACTTTTCAATACGAGTACCCGTAGACAGAGAACAATGGCAGAATAATAGAAAATATGTCTTTCCTTTCTTCTACGCACGGGCAGACGTCATCATCGTAAAATCACTTTTTCCCCATGCCAGAGTGGAACTGGAACTAAATCAATGTGGAGATGATATGATATGATGTCTAGAATGCCATATGGTCGGTGGAGTAGGGTTTCATTTATAAGTCAAAGCCGAAGTCATGTGTAAGATGGATTATTGATAAATATTGATCAGAGGACTACTGGACTAATTGTTCTGATACCTCGCCCTCAATAAATTCAACATCACCAGATTTGGATATCCCAAAAATCGCAACCAATTCTATTTACAACTGCTCCCTCCCGCATCTATCATTGGTCCAGTATAACATCTCATGATATGTGTATATGCTCATGTCTTGTGAGGATATAAGTGGTAAAGCTAAATCAGAGGTGATCTGAAAAATCTACCGGGCTATTCTAAGAATAGTCCCATCATCATTCGATACCAGCCAGGGCTTTACCTCAAGAGATACCTGATGATAGAAATCTCGAGAGTGCTAAGTGTCCCACGGGTCTCATGGCTTTCCTTTCGGTCCATGTCTACTTCTTGATGAAGATCCAAAGTCATACTTCGTCCTCATTTGACTTGGCGCTTGAAACATCGCGCTTCTTCTGACGTGAATAGATCATATTAATAATGGCCGTGATTTCAGCTTTCGAATCTGGTTTTTCTCTTTAGACCTTGCATGTGAGGTGAGTTCGGCCTGCCCTTATCGAGTCCTGCCATTATACGCTCAGCAGTGCTTTGTTGCCCCTTTCCGCTGGTACCGCCTGTATGTAGAGCTCCACCACGACCGGCATCAGCTGGGTTTGTTGCAGGTACAAAATCCAAAGCTTCCCTCTGACCTCGAGCCTTCTTTTCCTCCTTTTCCTTCAAAATCTTCTGTTGGCTTTTCGCAAGTTCTTCTTTGTAAGCGTACTCAGGAAATCCAGCGGGATTCCATAAGTCTTTAGGAAGGGTTGTTGAATATTGTTCTGCCTCGTCAATATCTGCAAAGTCCATGAGCTTCTGCATCAAGCTCGGGTTCTTGAGCGCCGCCGATTTTGCAAGCTTTTCATTAAAATGTGTACCCCGCTTCTTGAGTTCGAGGAAGTGCTTAAATTTCGCATTCGTACTGGCTACTGGTGAACCTGGTGGTGAAGGAGGAATATCGTAATTGGGAACTGTCGGGAGGGTGAGATCTCGTAATAGAGCTCGATTCGCGGTGTATGGCGATTGCGGTTCTCCCCCTCGTTCCTCATTCAATGCATCTTCTAGTTCTGGAAACTGAGTTGCCTCGACTGGTCCCAATTGAGGTCCAACGAGAGGATCGTCTGGTTTTGGATTGCTTGGTAGCTCAATCGTCCGTGAGTTTTCTGCAGATGGGGGCTCTGTCGCATGTGCCTGCACATCTGTCAAGGAGTTAGAAAGGCTAGATATCAAAGTGTAAGCTCTGCGTACCTTCCGTTGTAACATCTGTATTAGAATTATTCAACAGTGAACCTTCAGTAGTCTATGGCCTGTGATGTCAGCGACCATTTTTGAATGACAATTGCAATGAAAAGCTCAACTTACGTCTGAAGATTGCTGGGGAATATCTAGATGGACAGAGCCCTCCTCATCACTGCTTCCATAATCTACCAAGCCTGCCATAATTATTTCAAAGGAAGAATTGAGTTCTAGAAAAAAAGCAATTAATTAAATATAGTTCTTAATACACTCCGGAATACCTATAAGGCTCTTTCCCGAAGTTCGGCCTCAGGTTGCGAAAGGCGCGTCCCGAGCTGCCTGGAACAACGAGAGCTTCCTCAAGCTCCAACACTATCTCTCTATCAATATCAATCAATAGTATACCCCATGAACTTTCGAAACTACCACAATACTTCAACAACCATTTCAAATCACCAGACTATTTACACATCATGAATCACCTTCCACAAGCTTGGGGTCGTGTAAGTTCAAATATATACGCAAAATAATATAAGTTCGAGCTACTGACCATTCATTCAAACAGCCTAGAGATGATATCTACGGTGCATATGATGCTTCATATCTTCAACAAAACGGACCAAATCAGCACACTCAGTCACCCATTGTCACCGGTACATCTGTCGTGGCATTGAAATTCAAAGATGGTGTTGTAATTGCAGCGGATAACTTGGGTACAGCGCATGGTTGATTACTGCCAAAAAGACATGTTGCTAACATTTCCATTAGCATCATATGGTTCTCTCGCACGCTTCACAGATGTAAAACGTCTTCGCAAATTCGCAGATACATCCGTTGTTGGTTTTGGAGGGGACGTATCCGACATGCAATATTTAGACCGACTTCTTCAATCCCTCGATACCGAAGAGGCATACAGCGCTTCAGGCCACACACTCAATGCCAATAACCTCCACAAATACCTCTCCAAAGTCCTTTATAACCGTCGATCTGATTTTAATCCTTTATGGAACACTTTACTGGTTGCAGGATTGGATGAACATGATAAGCCTTTCTTAGCAAGCGCTGATTTACTGGGTACAACATTCTCTTCACCAAGTTTGGCAACTGGATTCGGTGCACATTTGGCCCAGCCATTGTTAAGAAAGGTTGCGCCAGATGAGGAGGCTACTGCGAAGTTGACCAAAGAGGCAGCTTTAGAGGCAGTCAAGGAGAGCATGAAGGTCTTGTTTTACAGAGATGCGAGGAGTATGGACAAGTATTCAATTGCGGTTATCACGAAGGACGGTATCGATTTGAAGGAAAATGAACAATTGGAGAAGCAGAGTTGGGCTTTTGGTAAGATTACAAGACTCAAATATTGCATCATGGCATGCTAACAATTCAATAGCTGAACAAATCCGGGGATATGGAACCCAGGTCAACTAAGTGGATGATTTTAATTATACCTTGCGCTGTAAACTAGACATTGATGACATGAAGCATATCAGGTTTTGAGGTGGCTTATTTCATGGTTAACAAATACCATTCTTCCCATCGTAAATTTCTTTTCACTCCAGTCTCTAATGTCGCTCGAGACTTGGTTGGTCTGCGTCTGTGCATGATATCGTGGCACTTCCTGAAAGTTCAAAACCAGTGCTTGTCGCCACTTGGGGGGATCTTATGGGTGGACTTCCTGCAATCTCGTTGTCAAGACACTCGAAGCATACCAACTGCTTGTGCCCGTCTATCATTCTGCGCCTTTCTTTATGTATACCTTCATAGTCTGTGTTAGCCCTCTGATACACTTCACACATACCTTAGAAGATCAACGGTGTAATGAATTTATTGTAGTGAAGCTCGTAAGTCGACATTGATAGGTCTAACAAATGACCAGACCTTACTTTCTGTTCAACTATTGTTCTACCACAAACTATTGTACTGTAAAGTAGCAAGCAAAATGAAAATACAGAGTGATGCCCCTGCTCAGATTGCATCTTCACGTAATCGTCTAGAAGTTGGATATTAAAGATTATTATCATAGAGCTTTTGTTCGACAGGAATAGCAAGTTGCATTCTCCAAGTGACATACACATGTCCTTAGCCCCACTTCGCCTCAACCCTCCAAAACTGTCACCGCTTCACTCTAATTGGTCAAAGCTTCCCTCGCCAAAAGTGTAGGGAGACATCGAGGCAAGCGACTCCTTACTTTTTGTTTCCTATAAAAATATAAAGATGTTTATAATATATGGTTTATTTCTTCATAAAGTTCATAGTTTTTCAATTTTTATGATTTCTATATCCCCAAGACCTTCAAATTCTCCTTTAAACAACAAAACCTTTAAAGTTTGATTCCTCGAAAGTCTATCTACCTACGTATACATACCTAGGCACTCAATATGACTAAAGTCCTCCCTTCGGAAGATATCATCCCCTCAGAAAATATCAACCAGCTCCAAAAATCTTCCTCGGATCTTCCTTCTCATTCTGTAGATATAGAAAAGAATTCTCACCTACCGCCTCAATCTCCTGATGATGTTTTAACAAATAATCATAAGAAAACTTCTCTGTTCAAAAGTCTAGGCTGGCTGGATCGTCTCCTCGCTTTGTGGATCTTTCTTGCTATGGCGGTGGGTATTATATTGGGGAATTTCGTGCCTAATACTGGGCCTGCGTTGCAGAAGGGAGAGTTTGTGGGGGTTAGTGTACCGATTGGTTTGTTTTTCTTTTCTTTGGCTTCTTTTGTGGAAGAGTGTCATGAGAGATATCGAATCGACCTGAGAAGATGATTTGGGAATTTGTTGGTATGTGTTGGATTGTTCTCCTATATGTGCTAACGAGAATATAAATCATCTAGCGGTATGTTTATTAGCAATGATGTATCCAATTCTCTGCAAAGTCAAATTTGAAACTTTGCACCTTGTCTTTCAGAAGAAGGATATTTGGGTTCAGATAGGATTTAGCTTGGTAGTTAATTGGATTGTTGCGCCGTTGGTAATGGTACTTATACCTCTCCCTTGTTTCGCCTTCCTAGATACAAAAATCCCATTCAAATGACTAACGATCCACAAATAGTTAGCGCTAGCATGGGCCTTCCTACCCGACAAAGAAGAGCTTCGATCCGGTCTAATCCTAGTCGGAATAGCCCGCTGTATCGCCATGGTATTTCTCCTTCTCCCTCTCCCTCAACCCCTTCCTCAACCCTAACATACTAACCTCCCCCAAGGTCCTAATATGGACCGGTCTAGCCGGCGGCTCAACATCCTACTGCGCCATCCTCGTCGCCATAAACAGTCTCCTCCAAATGATCCTCTTCGCCCCGCTATCCGTCCTCTTCATCACCACCATCTCCCACTCCAAACAGCACCCCCAATTCTCCTACCCAACCATCGCCTCCAGCGTCGCCGTCTTCCTGGGCATCCCCCTCGCCGCCGCAATCCTCACCCGTTTCCTCCTCCGCAACCTCACATCCCCAACATGGTACGACACACAATTCCTAAAATACCTCTCACCCCTCTCCCTCCTCGGTCTCCTAACCACAATCCTCATCCTCTTCGCCAGTCAAGGCCAACACGTTATCCAGCAAATCGTCTCCGTGGTCCGCGTCGCCGCACCCCTAATCGTCTATTTCGCTCTCATTTTCTTCCTTACTCTGTTTATCTGTGCCAAGATGGGTTTCGGGTATAAGATAGCCACGACGCAGAGTTTTACCGCTGCGAGCAATAATTTTGAATTGGCTATTGCGGTTGCCGTCGCTACATATGGTGCTGATAGTGAGCAGGCGTTGGCGGCTACTGTGGGTCCTTGTATGTATTCTTGAGATAGATGGGTGCTATTATGAGGATGCTTTTACTGATGTTTTCTTTCTACAGTGATTGAGGTGCCGGTTTTACTGGCGTTGGTGTATGTGGTAAGATGGATTGGGGAGAGAAGGGGTGGAGGATTAGAATCTGGGATGGGTGCGTCTTGGTAGTGCATATATGGTGGAGGAAATGGATGTCACTCTTATCCTTTGATCGGCCTCGCCGGGTACATAAGAGAAGTAATGGAGAACCTCCTACCAAATCTCGAAGTTTCAGGGGATAGTACATGTATATCTCACGATCAGACAATGAACAACAAGGACACATAAACTTCGGAGAACACTCCGCCGCACAGATGCTTGACGAAGTAACATCTCAGATATTTACTTTTAAATCTCCAAATATGTAATGCACATTGCCACATTGCCACATAATTACATGTATACATGATGACAGCCCTATCTATATATAGCAAGCAACACACCCAGCAACACCAACGCTAAGCAAACCAATCCGTAGCAAACTCCAAAAAAAAGGAATGTAGGTATTCATATGTATATTTCAACATCATTCATCGCTATCATCGCTATCGGCAATTCTCCGCTTCAATCCCCTTCCTCTTACATCACCATCCCTCTTCCTCGTAAACATATTTGGCGTCGCTTTTTGCCCGCTGCTGAATACGCTGCTGGATAGTGGATTTGCGTTTTTTCTGGTAGTAGTAGTAGTAGTAGTATCACCTCTGACGAGATCTTCAATGGTAGGGAAGTCACTATCCATACTACTACCACTTTCACTACTCTCTTGAGTCATCGTAGGAACCGTTCTCTTGGAGGAATCCTTAGCTCTAGCCATTTCCACGGCTCTTGCCAGCATTCCCCTTCCACCACCCCTACCACTGCCATTTACTCTCTCATCCTCCCATGTTTCCATCAGCGGCGGGCTTGAAGAAAAATTGGATGTCCCTGTTAATGGCATTTGAGTTTGAGATTGCGTGGGATCGATAAAATCCGCTAAACTTCCTAGATCCGAATCGTCATCCGCTTCTAATTCTTCCATGTCGCTCGTCCTATCGACTCTTTCACCTGGTCCTTCTTCATCGGAATCCGGTGTTGGTTGTGGGATTTGAGAAGACCGGAGATTGGATACCATGGCCATGGATGCGGTGCTATCCTCTGAGTCGGAGTTATCGTTTTGAATAGAACGATTATGACGTGGTTTAGCCTTCTTGGATGCATCCTTTTTACTTGCAGGCGTTTTCTTGGCCGCGAACGTCGTTTTGGAGAGTCTAGAAGATTTGACAACTTGTGCGGAATCTGCAGGTTTGGGGGCTTTAGGAGCTCTAGCGCGTACTTCCGCTTCTAATGGCATAGTTGGCATACTACCGAAGTCAGATGGCGGTTCATCTCCGTATGGCTTGTTATCGCGATCCTCGGGTCTTTGAAGTCTCGAAAGCTTGTTGAACAGACTGACACAACCTTTAGTGTATTTTCCATGTGGTACCTTGGCTGTCCGAGTTAGAGATCTTTGTGTGATTGGTTGAGCTGTCAAGTCAGGCATCCCGACTTCTTCCAGAGCACCATCCGGTACTTTCAGAAAACGACGATGATGCTCTGCTTCATCCTTCGCATTGAGTAACGCAGAGTCGAGCAATGGTACCGGCGCCAGCTCATCATCATTCAGCTCATTGGGTTTACTCTTGATGAAAAACTTCGTTAAAGGGCTCTCGGCATTACTATTAAGCTTTGAGGCTTTGCGAAAACCTGTCTCAACACCATCAGGCATGTGGAATTTTTTAACTGGTTTCTTCCTGGGTTTGGCACGTCTTTTAGGCTCCGGCAAAGATGGATCTTGAGTATTCTCCAGAGGAATCTCAATAAAACGTTTGTTCACCTCAGGCCTGACCTCTCTAGGAATGATGCGAGCCGATAAATCGTGGCGGAAAGTGAAGCGAGACCCAGAACTAATCATCCTCTGCATCTGCTCATAACTGTCCTTGGACTTCTTGTATGAATCTTCCTCCTTTCCGCGCATGAGAAGAAGAACGATCTTACCAGCCCTCTTTCTTCCCGTACGACCCATTCGCTGTAGCATCCTAATTGGCGACGACGAAGAGTCATAACAGACGATGAGATCGACTTCTCCAATGTCCAAACCCTCTTCACCAATACTAGTTGCGACTATAACATTTATGGCTCCTGCTTTGAATTTGCGAATGGTCTCCAGCTGCTTTTCCTGATTCATGCCTTCTGAGCGCTTCGAGTCACTTTGACCTACAAAGACAGATGCCCTAATCATGGGGCCATGTTTATTGAGTACACGCGCTATATCTTCAGCGCTATCTCGATATTCGGTGAAGACAATTATTCGAGTGCTTGAAGGTGGCATATTGTCACCCATTAATCCGGCGCCGGCATCAAGGAAATGATTCAACACCGTATCGCACAAATAAGTGAGCTTCGGGTGGCCAATGAAGTCTTCTTTATTAATCCAACCTTGAATCCGGTCCATCATTTTCTGGAACTCGGGGGAGTTGACTATTTGGTTCTTGTATTTCCCGCCTTTCTTGTTTCCCTCGACCTCCGCTCGGAAGTCCTTAATATTCGAGAAGAAAGGCCCAATTCCATGGAAATTGAGGAGTTTTATTGCATGGCCCATACTCGTCAACACCGTAAATAAAGCATTCATCATCCCTTTGACGCTCATTTGTGCAGACTTGCCTGCACCAGATGCCATCCACGCCTTTCTAGCTGTGAGCATGCCGAATTGAGTCAGTCCCATAGGATCTTTATTATAATAGGCTTTATGCGAGCATAGTAGATTGACAAGCGGTTGAAGTGCCTTGCTAAATAGTTCTCTTATCATGATTATTTCATCGGAAGGGTCTATGATGATCTCAGTGATGTCCCGTCGGTGTACGTACTCCTTGATGTCGATGGAGTCTTCCGTTCGAATCTCGACCTCTGCAATCTCCAAATTATCAATTACCTCCTGAACTGCTTCTACGCTTGATCCAGGGGTGGCCGTCAGAGCAAGTACACGAAAACTCTCGTTGAATCTTCGTAAAAACTGGACAACTTTGGTATAAGCGTAATTGCCAGTTGCTCGATGTGCTTCGTCAACAACTAGTAGCGCGATCTTCTTGGGATCAGCTATACCAGTCTTCAGATCATTCTCGACTGTCTGCGGCGTCATGAAAAATACTCTCTTTTCAGCCCATTCCTCGGCTCTCAGAGCGGGTGACTGATCTCCTGTGAGCATAGTCGTTGATGATCTCGGTATGCCCGCAGTCTCGAAGCAAGCTTTGACTTGCTGAGACACCAGAGGTTTTGTAGGCGCCATGAAGATTATTTGTGAATCCGTCGTCCACCGAAAGAAGTTGAGCATGATGGTTGCTGCTATGAATGTCTTCCCGAGACCTGTTGGCAGAGCTACCAGGAGGTTGTTGAAGAGACCTTTGTGTACAATAGTGTATTGATATCTCCGTTCTGCGCCGAGGTTATTTGGGTAAATCCATGTTTTGATAGCCTCTTCGTCTAGAGTATGATGTGTTGGTGGCTCTGGTACCTTATCTACCAAATAATTATGCACTTTTTTGGCCTGAGTGGACGGTGGTACCTGGTTCGGAGCACGCCCACCAAAGAGTGTAGTTTGGCGAAGGCCATTTTGTGGTGCAGCCAACCGCTGACAACGAACTGATTGTGCTAACTCCAATGGCGGCGATGAGCTTATCGTTATTGGACCACTTGACATGCGGAGTTGTGGCGGGCTTGGAGAAAAAGCATCAGAGGGCAGGTCCTCAAGCTCTCTAGAGAAATCGTATTGCGCGGCGGGTGGGGGTAAGTGAACAATGTTCTGCTTCTGAGTTTTGGCAGATTGAATCACAGAAGAGTCTGCTGGTGGAGACTTTGGCTCTAGCTCTATTGGAGGAGAGCGCCTAGGCCTTTTGTATATGGGCCCTCTGATTCTGTAAGGGCTCGAGTCGGGCATTCCATCTGCTTGTGTGGCGCCCATTATGACAGCCGCTGGTACTTCCTCAACACCGAGATGTATCCTGTATTTGGACTTTTTTTCATCTCCTTCATCATTATCGGTACGTGAAAAGCCTTGCGATCCACGTCGTCGCGCACTTAAAAAATCATCGTCGAGCTCTTCGGAGCCAATTCGCCTTCGTTTTCTGCGATGGGAAGAATTCGATGGCAGTGTTTGTGATGCTTGCGTTAAGGCTTCGGCCTCGTCCCAAACAGCTGCATCAATATCTCCATATTCATCGTCCGACATTCCGCCGCATATCATGTGTTATTATTGTGTTAATTGTTTGCATTTGAGGCTGTCGCATTTATTGATGTTCCCCAAATCGCGTTGCTTTTTCGTGATGCCGATTGGAAAGTCAGAACGCGCTATCACGTGAGAATTTATGATATATCATTATTTTTGGGTCTTTGCCGTGCAAACATTTTCTCTAACTTGGATGGGGCCATTTTCAACAGAATCTCATATTGCTTGAATGATGGAACAATGGATATCGCCATCAACTTAACTTTTTCCTCCTAAAATCATCTATTCTTCCGCTCATTTAGAGTGTACTTGTAGTTCATAATTACAAGCATTTCGCGCTTTAATTTACGAGGTGCACATTTCGATGTCTAATCTCAAAATGTGCACCAGACAATTATCAAGGTCTTTTGTCATGGGTTGACGGTTCAATAACATAGGCATTTCTTGAAATAAGTGACTTTCGGAGTGCATGTGTTTGTGTGCAGTCTCAAACTGTCTAAAGCATCAATTTCTCGTGACATTGCTGTCGTGTCCCTCAACAGATCAGGAATTCGATCGCTAATTTCTGCTCCATCATTGGGATTGTTAGCAAGCAAAGCACAGGGCGTTTCGTGAATCTTCCCAACTATCTGGGACGAAAATAAGCCGATGATCAGGAACAATAGGAAATATCCTCAAGAAGCCCGCTTTCTACCTCCGATTTCCCATCGGACTTTTGCACTCTACCGATGGGAGGAGTAAATATCCAGTTCAGTGGGTTATTCTCTGCCTTTGTCGAAAAATAGGAATAGATGGAGACAACTTGTTCGTCGTCACCGCCGTTTGAATCAATATGTTCTTATCACTAGAAGAAGCACCATCGCTTACGCACCTTTCCTGCAGTGTATTCCTCAATCAGTGGAGCAAAACTCAGGTGTCCTTTATCACCTGAATGCAGATCTCCGTGTTCGAGCGGTGGTAATATATCCTCCGAGCCAAGGCAAGTGTGTAGCTCCCGGTCGAATATTAAATACATTAGGTACCGTGAATGTATATCCGGTGCTGCGCCAACATCTCAGTCGGGATTTCAGCACTTTGGACAATAGGATAACTGTGCTCAGAGCCACATGTTTATCTAAATTGGTAGTACCAAGCACCAGAATCCTAAAATGGATCTTGGAATGGCCCCCAAACACGACATAAACTATCTGTATGCATAGAGGCTCCCTGCATCAGCTTTAGGATCTTGACTTATCCTTATCTGATAATTTATGCATGGTTACAAACTTACCTGCCTATACTCCCATATGAGATTAAGGTTCTGGTGCATGATCATCCTTCCCGTTAAAATCCTACATCTGACTGTTTCCCTCGCGGTCGGCAACGAAAGGAGCATATTGAGCCCGTCGGCTTTCTACATCATCCGGTAGTGCGGCCCGTCGCACACATTCCAAGATATTATCGCAAGTTGCTAGCTTCCGCTTGCATTCAAGATTTTCATAGGAAATGTTTCACGGCTGGGAGCGACCGAGATGTGGCACAAAGTGTGACAGATCATGAGAAGGCTGGCGAAGAAGACATGAAGCTCGTACCATGTTACCTTGACTGCATTTTTGACAGGTGTAGTTTTGACATGTACATCTTGACAAGATTATCTACTAAATCTAAAGCTACTTGTAAATCGTTGGCTAAATTCCAATCTACTGATCTTTACACGGTCAAATCTCCCAATGTAGCTAAAAACGAATGATTACGCTGGTGATGTTTCCAACTTTTTTTCGGAAAGCTCCCCTTGGGCTCCATTTTTCGAACTTCTTCCAACATTTGCTTTCTCCTCATCAACCTCTGCGAGCCCTACTTCTGTAGCTGTTTCTTCTCCAGCTGTTTCTTCCTCGTCGACCTCATCTCGTATCTTATAAATGATAACTGGCGCCGCTATAACTAGTGAAACAGCGAGAAGAATCCAGCAAATTAAGAATTCATTAATTGCAGAAATGTCTGAGTTGTTTATGCGATAACTGATAGCGCCACCCGCGGACTGTATGCCTTTGTAGAAGCCGATGTAGATTGATGCTGTTCGAGTACTACTCGTAAATTTCCCCAAGATCCTAAGACATGTCAGTTAATACTTGTTTTCAAACAATAAAATTCATGGCTCACCAATATACACAATTCTGCCATATTGCATTGAAAATTCCATAAGCCATATATAAGAACATTGGCCCAAGGTAAGCTGCATCATCAAAGTCCACTTTCTTGCCCTCATCGACGACATCTGTTTGAAAATAATGCCCTTTCTCCCACATGTATCCGCCAGCCCAAACTCCGAATGTCAGAAGTACAAGTCCAGCGACAAGTCCCTTCGCTCGACTAGATCGGCTCAGACGATCATTATCCAAGGTATGGCCCACAACTAGCGCACCTAGTATCTCCGATAGCCAGTAAAGGAAGTTGTTCAAAGCTCTGGTGCGGATATTGAATGTTTTAAGGTTGAAGGTGTTGAATTGGTATGGATAGCACCAATTTGAGGTGAGGAATAACGGGAATAATGGAATGATAAAATAGTCTTTGCGGATCACTTTACAGAAATGCATAAATTCGTTTCGCCAGTCTTTTTCAACAGTTACTGTGAGTTGAACACAAGACCCGTCTTCCCTTTTGACATTATTGGGTTGGCATAGGCAAAGGGCTAATGCTGTCCCAGCAAACATTAGCGCAACGATAGTGATGTATGTACTGTCAGAGGCAACATTGCTAACGCTCGTTTGTAGTTCTTGACATAGAGTGACCTTTCCACAGACTGTCAGCTTAGTGAGGTTTGCATGAAGGAATAAAGTTACTCACAAGACTTCCTATTGCAGCTCCGCTATTATATATAGCCCAGAACCAAGAGGTTGAACGTCCTTTTTGCTCGTCAGAAGGATAAGATATCAACATGGCCCCTTGTGCGGCCCAGAACGGGCCTGCACATGCTCCCAAAAATGCTCCCCCAAAGACCAAGAAACCTCGATTCTCGAGGTTTTTGTAAGCGAGAAAGCTTCCAGCGTACACCACATATGATATGCCACCGATAAACAATGATGACTTCAATCCAACTATGTTGACGATGAAGCCTGCAAAGAATCCCACAATTGCGAAACAAGCGTAGAGTGCGATGTTCGACTCATTGGCCGGACCAGGTGAAACTAATCCAGCTCCACCAAGCCCATTGAGAGCATTGAACATACCAGGACATAGCAGACAAATGATCGCAACTATCATTAACTGGACAGACGGGGAGGTAATTGGAGGAAGTTGTAAGAAACTGTATTTGAAAGAACGATATATCAAAGAAATTTCACCCGATAGACAAGGTGTCTCGAGGTAAGTTGAAGTAGTACTATGCTCATTGCTAGGTCTACTCGCTGTCTGAGATCGCGTGACACTCATCGTTTAAAATCAATACTTTAACACGATGATGAAAAGATTGGTGTTCTGAGGAAAGTTTAAGATGAGGAAAGAGAATATCATTATGTCCCCATGATCTTACTATATCAGGATAAGAAATAGTAATCATACCCCTCGTACCTGCCTTGTAATTATAACAGGGATAATATGAAAGTGGAGATACCAGCATAGTCTGTCAGCAGGCGAGTAGACATCGTATTTGCACACTTCAATCATACGAGAGTATATAATGTTGAGACCAAGAACTCTATTTCTATTTCTATCATGTTGCATGTATCTCTATAGGATCTCTGCGGGTTACCCCAGAATAGGCGGGAGTAACAGATTGGCCGTTGAACATCGTCACAATCGCTGTTGTACTGGAGAGAGCTTAGCAACGCCAAAATATGATATCGGCCCCCACTATCCGAAAGTTGTGTTTTTATCGTGCAGAGAAAATTTACGATGAAGCTTCATTGTGATCAACATTCCAAAAGGGATAAGGAGAAAGGCATAACGTAACCGGATACCTGGTAAAAGGGGAAAGAGCGAGGTTAAGATGCAGGTTGAGTGAAACAAGTCACGTGGAGTACGCGAAAAGATATTCCGTTCTACTTCATGTTACATCTGTCGAGACAACAATAGCATCTCGTCGATTTCTGGCCCAAGTATTTACGTCAGGAATGTTAGAAATCGTAATCCTACGCGATTTAGTGATTTATGCTCGGAATCAAATCCTTCTGCTTCTATTGCCCATTCTATATGCTTGTGCATTGCGAATCGTTCACAAGACTATCACTCCAGCTCAAATTGGTCAACAATACTTGAATACGAAGAGTCCCAATTATTCATTAGCATATCGACGACAGCCAAGCTCCCCTGCCCATTCTATAAAGTTTCCTTGTAGTCAGATCTGTTTTGCATATCACAACATATTGTATGCTTAGGCTGTCTGCATTCTTGAGTAACATCACTATGGGAGGTGAATCGGGAAAGCAACGTCGTGCTTCACCAAAGGAATTGAATCTTCTTTCCCCTGATACCCCGTACTTTTTGTATGCAGTACAACGCAAGTGAACTTTTAACAAAAAAGAAAAAGCACATGGGTCTGCGTATTGCTTTTGGCACGTGTGGAAATGTATGAAAGCCCGTCCACTCGGTTTCCATTCGCTTGTCATGTGGGAAGTTACACCATCCCAGTTTTTCACTTTATCGATACTGGTAATATTTCTTCGAGCTGCGATTTTTAGGAAATAGATACAAGTTTCCATACGAAAGGCTCTAGGCTGTTCCTGCTTGACAAATATCACCACGACCCACAACTTCGCGTCTCACCCCGTTTGTGGGTACTGCGGCATCAAGTTTATGAATTGACGCTTGAAAATAGAGTCAACTTAAAGTAATGAACTTTGCAGATGATTAGCATCTCTTGCCTTAAGCCCTCCTGTCACGACTTCTACTCCCGATCGTTCAAACCTGTTATCACCAGCAGGAGCTGTGCGGCAAAGGAATTTTGTTCCCCGCCCCGCCATGTGCTTCGTGGATGCAAGCGCGAGAGATAATAGCTCGGCGCATTATCAAATGGGTCTTGGATCGAGATAGTCAACATGCATCTCTTTGTGACACGAAAATCCTGAACGCCCCTTTGCCCTAGTCTTCCGTGCCTTCGAAAGACGAAAGTAAATTGGACACCAAATACAGTTCAGCAGCCCCTTGCAACTGTCACTATTGCCTCTATCTTCCTGTATCTTATATAACTCGAGTAGCATCGTCGGTGTCTCAGACTTGTTTTTCACCATTTCACAAACTTTGTGCTATTGCCAAAATACTTGAAAACTACCCACTTGGCCCCCAACTATTCTTCCAACGAGCAGTATGAAGATCTCCTCCTATGATAAAATGCTTCCAGCAATCCTCGTAATGAATTATCGCTATTATCCAAGTTCCACCAACTCCGCAGCTAAAGTTGGGGCGACTGCTTTTGCGTTACAAGTGATACGAGTTCTAGAGGATGCGGGGCTGTTTGGCGGGGTGATTCTTTATGATCGTCAGGATCACTTAGTGGCGCCAGTTGTACAGCTCATGACAAAGGACTCAACACCATGTGTCAAGCTATCTTTTAGCTTCAACATGAACACCGTACAAGTTCGATATGCCTTATACGCATCCACAGCTCTACTTGTTGCAACATTCTCAGAGAGCCTACCACCAATGCTTTATTACCAAACCGACACGCTCCTTAGATACCACCCGAAGCGTTTACCCTATTGCGTGACCCACCACGGTCCTTTCTATGGCGACTTTACTCGCCACTTTACAAGAGATCTCGCTGCTATAGCATATGGCTCTGAGAATAAGGCTTCTCATCTGGAGGCTACCCAAGAGGAGGGCTTGAGACATCTAAAAGCCTCTGATCGTGCCTATGTTCTACAGCATTCCAATAAACAAGGTGAATATCTCATCGAACGAGGTATTGATGCCATGCGAATTCGAGCACTCAATCCACCAATTCACTCGATGAAGATATACAGTCATCACAAAATGAGCGATGTCAAGGAACTTACATCCTTCTCATCGAGCAAAAGAACCCTGATCTTCACCGCAGTTGCTCGTCTAGATTACTTCAAAAACGTAGAGTTATTGATAGACTCAGCAGTATCACTTCTTGATCGTGGTAAATTCGTGCGGTTGTTGATAGTGGGAGGTGAAGGGATCTCAGATATAGCATCATCGAGATTATTAGCCCGAGTCCCACAAAAGCATATCGCTCATGTCAAGATCACTTCTAAAATCCCGAAAGACGACATGTATGCGTTGTTTGAATATGTACAAACACACGGAATATTCGTTTGTACATCGCGCTATGAGACTTTGGGGATCACGCCACTCGAGGCAGCTCTGAGCGGTGTGACCACACTGATGCCTGACTGCAACCTCGTTGAAGCTTCTCGCTATTTCCCTTCTCGCTATCGCTTCGATCCCACAGTATGCGGACTTTCGCGAGCATTGGAAGATTTTCTTCGGCAGGGGCTAGGGGTCACTGGCGCGGAACTGCAGCGTTTCATTAACAGCTTAATTTCAGAGGAGAGATTCGTTTACGACCTGCTGACTGCGTGGTCTGAGTTCTCGCAGCATGCTCTCAAAGTTTTAGCCACTTCAAACAGTACTGCTTCCAACAAAACCACTCGGCCATTGAAGATCAGAGGTCGGCGATATTCCATGTAACTTTTGGAAGTATCTTCTTTTGTATTTAGCCAAGTCCAAAAAGGCCTGTTTCCATGCGTTTCGATAGGTGTTTGATAATAGCAAAGCGGGGTTAGCAATAGTGATATATAATTTTAAAATCGAGGCATTATCTCGCACTTCTTTGTTTCTGTATTGATTGGCTATTGCCGATTCTCCATAAATTCCATATCAAGCCGTTTGAGTCGGTTCTTTACATATGATGTCACGTTATCATGGGCATTTTCGAGGCTGATCAAAATGGTGCTTCGATGAGATAGTTACAACAAGCTAAACCCTGATCGCCAACACCACACGTCAAACCCTAGGGTGGTAGTAATCAGAAATAGATAGAGAAGTATTCAACATGGAGAAAAAGAACTCAATAGGCCCAAGCCTATGAGCAAACTAGGCTAAACAAATCCTAGACATGCCTTCTACGTACCAATTGTCTTACAAGGCTTGTAAGAATGATAGTTCGCTCGATTCCGTGGGCATTTGAGCTGTGTCGAAGTACTCCCGCGGGATTAAGAAAAGTTCTTTCAGATTTGGAAATTAGGCATGATCAACAAGATCATTAACATACGTCCGTCTCCAGGATTGGGAAGACAAAACCAAGGACGTAACTAAATTCATCTACACGATTAGGTAACTCAGATGTTCGGATAAAAGTAATTCCTTGATGGAAGTGAATCAGCTTTGATTGGTTGTACCTTTCCAGGGATCCTGGCAAGTAAAGTTGCACCACCCGGAGACGCGTTCCTAGCTCTATGTAAATGTGTATCTGACGTTGAAGGAAGCGGGCTCGTTAAACATGAAATTCTGCCCTTGTCAACGACATAGGTGAAAACTATGAAATTCATCAAGCCGTCTTGGCTTTCTCATAGCGGTATGTCTGTTTGTTCGGTATTTGCATTGATTCAATAAAGATGCACCGGTCGTGTCATTTTATTGAGGTCGCGTTTTGGCTGACTCTTGCGCTCAATGCGCCTCGACATTTAGGAGAGCAGAGAGACCACGAAGTCTACAGTCTTCATGTATCACCCGACGGTAAACGATTGGCGACGGCTGCTGGAGGTAAGAAAGGAAATCCAGATTGAAATTGGAGTCGCTAGGAGCATAGCTGAATATCGGAAACAGATGGCCATGTTAGAATCTGGTCCGTAGAGGCAATTCTCGAAGCCGCTGGGGAGAACCCTCCTGCAATACCGACACAATTATGCCATATGAGCTATCACTCCGGCACTATACATACTGTTCGATTCTCTCCGAACGGACGATGGCTGGCTTCTGGAGCAGACGACAAGATTATTTGTATTTATCAACTGGATACACAACCAGCAGCTCATTCTGCATCTTTCGGTATCTTTGAGTCCTCAATTTGCGGGCAGGCAACAATATTTGCTGACGAGGAATAGGGACGAATGAACCACCACCTGTAGAGAATTGGAAAATTGTTAAGCGTCTCATTGGGCACGATAGCGATGTACAGGATCTCGGTTGGTCTTACGATTCTTCGATCATGGTATCCGTAGGGCTGGACTCGAAGATTGTTGTATGGTCAGGGCATACGTTCGAGAAACTCAAGACCCTCTCTGTCCATCAAAGCCACGTTAAAGGAATCACATTTGACCCCGCAAATAAATATTTTGCGACTGCTAGTGACGATCGAACAATTAAGCTCTTTCGATTTACCTCGCCGCCACCTAACGCTACTGCGTATGAGTGTATGAATAATTTTACTTTTGAGCACTCGATTGCGGCACCTTTTGCTTCATCACCTCTTACAACATACTTCCGACGATGTTCTTGGTCACCAGATGGTAACCACATAGCTGCAGCAAACGCGGTCAACGGGCCTGTAAGCTCTGTAGCGATTGTTAACAGAGGGGCTTGGGATAGTGAAATCAATTTAATTGGTCACGAGGGCCCAGTGGAGGTTTGCACATTCTCGCCACGTTTGTTTAGCAAAACCGAATTTACTCCAGAAACTACGGACCAAAACGGTTATAGCACACATCCTCTGGTTACAGTCATCGCATGTGCTGGACAAGATAAAAGTCTTAGTATCTGGAATACTAGCAGTTCTCGGCCATTACTAATTTGCCAACACCTAGCTGCAAAGTCAATTTCTGATCTTGCTTGGTCGCCGGATGGGCTCTCCCTTTTCGTCGCAAGTTTAGATGGAACTATAATTGCTGCACACTTTCTTAAGGGCGAACTAGGACATATTGCACCATTGACGGAAAATGAAAAGGCCTTGAACAAATTTGGGGGCAATCGCAAAGGTGCTGGAGTTGTTGAAGACGTTGCGTCGATTCATTTAGAGGAGATAAGCAGAGCCGACGAACGTCAAAAGACGGAAGGAAAAATGAGCGCTCTTATGGGAGGCTCCGGTCCTGGTTTGGCCAATAATGGGAACCTGTCGTCGACCCCAATGATTGGTATTATCAATGCAGCCCCAGCCACGAATGGCAACAGTCCCGTGCCACCGGCAGAGTCTCAACCGCCAGCTCCAGCCGATCCTAATGCAGAAAAATTAGATGCTTTGAAGCAACGAGTTACAATTACAAAAGAGGGCAAGAAGCGTGTGGCGCCATTACTTGTCTCCGCATCGAGTACAGGATTGTCATCTTTACCTCAATCTCAGCTCATGGCATCGAGTTCCAATAATGTTCAGAATGAAGCCCCAGTATCAATACTAGATCTTTCCAAACCTTATGATGGACTTCCGAGAGGTGGTCTCGCTGCTATGCTCTTAGGCAATAAAAGGAAAGCTATTGCTATGGAAGGTGATGAAGAAGATGATGATGAATATTCCCACAAGCGATCAACACCAGTCGTTGGACCTGTTCCTATAACAATCAATGGGGTTAGTGGGCTAGAGAATGCTTTACCACTACCACCCCTAAACGGCGTTGTTCCAACCCCAGAGTTCATTCGGCCAGCTGTTGTCAATCCATCGCTGTCGGTTAGTCAGGTGCGTTTGGCCGTACCAAAAATTAGAAGCCATGTGGTCAGATCCCTTAACCGTGGTAATCTAGCATCAACAAACGGTAATGGCGCTGCAGGGTCTGATGAGGGTGCGAAACTGTCCGAGGATGTTATTCTCGAAGCTCGGAATCCGAGTGTAACGGTGCCTGTTCAAGTTAAGGACCCGAGCCGAATCAGTACCATCAAACGAGGCATTACATTATGGCAGGATTTCCTTCCAAGAGCTGTCATTTTAGTTACGGGGAACAAGAATTTTTGGGCGGCCGCGTGTGAAGATGGAAGCATCTATACATGGACCCCTGCAGGTCGAAGAATATTCAATGCTCTCGTGACTGAGTCTCAGCCAGTTATCATTGAATGCCGAGGCTGGTGGTTACTTTGCATCACAGCTGTTGGGCTGTGCCATGTATGGAATCTGAAAACTCTCGCTTCGCCACATCCACCTGTTTCAATGGCCCCTATTCTCGAAATTGCCATGCACTCCTTGGGCACGCATACTACATTTGCTCCGGGTGTAACTTCAGCTCATCTCAACTCAACTGGACGTATCGTTGTTACATTAACCAACGGTGATGGATATGTGTACTCACCTAAAATGTTTGTTTGGCAACGATTATCTGAAGCATGGTGGGCTGTTGGTAGTCAATATTGGAACTCCAATGACTCCTCAATCAGTAATCTGCAATCTACAGGAGTCGGGCCCGAGAGTCACAAAGATGGCGAGATTGATAGCTCGAACTTATCAGCAGGCATCATTCCTCATCTAGAAAGACATACTACAGGCGAAGTGCTACTTAAAGGTAGAGCCTACCATCTCCAACGGCTTATCAAGACCTTACTCTCCAAAGATGGTTTTGAGGGCTTTGAGTCGGGCGTTAGTATTGCTCATCTCGAAAATCGCGTTGCTGCCGCCTTGCAACTTCAAGCCAAGGATGACTTCCGTCTCTATTTGTTCATGTATGCGAAACGTCTTGGGGCAGAGGGGCTCAAGAACAAAATTGAGGAACTTTTACGCAGCATTATGGGTGGCATCTTACAAGAAAACAGTGATATCTCCGCAGCTGAAAAAGGCGAGGGATGGATGAGTGAGGATGAAAAGTTGTGTGGATGGGACCGGAAAGAGCTCCTGAAAGGAGTTGTATTAATATTAGGTAAACCAGTCTTACCTTTACCCGTCCGATAATTGCAGAGTTCACATGCTAATACATTTCAACAGGAAAATATCGAGACTCTCAAAGACTTACGGTGCAATATGCGAGAATACTCGATATGGTTGATGAAGAAAATATGTGAGCAATTCTTGGTTATGGAAGGATGTATTCATTACAAAGGCGTTGTGGATGGGCACTGGGCTTGACATGATGGCATTATTGAATCTGGTGTCCTCGGTCCTGGCTTGGCAATTCGGCCCTTGTGCGAGTATCGTGTAATCATTGATAATACCCTGTATGTGATTTGAAAAGATTTCTGAGAATATCGTTGGGTGGTTGAGGTGTGTGACATTGTGATCCTGACACGCATATATTAGGTTTGTCCCACCGCGGCAATGGTAGAAGATGATTTCCATTGGCCACACACAACATCTTCTAAGACACTCGGCACGAACTAAATAGCGGGAACTGGACCTTAGACTCGAAAACACATGGTTTTGTTGCATATCTATATGGTTGCACAACTAAAATGGCGGGGAAGTTATTTAGTTTGGTGTGGGGTATTCGCTAGTGGCGGATGTGAGATATATATTGCTGGTGTGTGGTGTGCAGTATGGATGTGCAGGGTAAAGAAGAGAGATGTGATAGAAAAGATTTGGTTCGTAAGATGAATGTACGTGTGCATCAGTGGAATCATGCAAATGGTCGGATCAGAATGTTGTATCCAATGTTGTAGTCTTAGGTGATTAGCCTGATTATCCAGTCACTCACTGATCGCTATGAGATTGAACAACGCATGGTCTAGAGCGCAATTGAGGAAATCATTGTATTTTCTTACTCGAGTAGGTATTTTTACATTATATTGGGTAGTCATTTGATGAATAAATACGATGAAAACAAATAGACCACTATTTGTACAAGGTATTACGCTAGACTTTTGACTTTTTGACTTTTTGAGCAGCGCATGGGTTGAGATGAAATTCTATGGTGGACAACTGTAGAAAGTCTGGGGTTTGGGGTTGAGCGAATTTATTTCGGTTTAGATGGATGGAACTTGATTATGTAGTTTTTGATTATAAAAGGATGCGGGATACTTCACTTGCAGGTGTAGTTGATTGAGCGGCTTATGTTTTTGACCCCGCGTTTGAATGGTTAGTTAAATGGTTCACTTTATTATTTATCGTTGTAATTACAGGTGATCCTTACGAGCTCATCTTAAAAGTATCTGAACGCGGAGATGCCGAGTTGTTCAAGGTACTTACTTTACTTGATGGCTGATAGACAGATGTCATTAGCATCCCCGCGTCGTAGGTTCATGATACTTATTCCTTACGAAAGTAAGCCAAGATTGTATCTATTTTTCATATAAATGTTTTGTCGGGCCAATTTGTTTCTATAAAACTAGCCTAGGGAAATTGTATTTTCAATTTGAAATAGGGGGAATAAGGGCCCTACCGAGCCCCTGAGTCTTTTGATAAATGTCATGTACATAATGATTTCTATGAGTATTTCTGGGTATAAATATATACTCTAGACCAGTCATAAAGTGCTTCATCTTCACAGCAATTCCATACATTTTCGAATATAGAAAATTGCAGCGCTGATGTTCAATTCCTTACATCCAGCGATATTTTGGACTATAAAATAGATGTAAAGTCTTCCATGGAGATGGTTTTCGAATAGCTCGGCTTCAGTTTTACTACTCTATTCTCCACTACCTAACCTCCCACATCCTTCCAAATTTCATAGACAAATCCAATCTATACCTCCTCACTCCCATCCCAGCCCCACCACAATCCTATAGAACAAAAATACCACCCAATCTCTCATCATGCCTTACATCACCTACGCATCGACAAGCTTGATACTATCTCCCTCTACCTCTCTTTCTCTTCTACCACCATAACACCAAATATAAACCCACTCACTCATCAAGCACGACTATCAATAATCTAATATTCCTTCCGCTTTAGCTCCTGACAAGGCAGAGATCAGTCAAGCAACCAGCACCATCTATCTATCTATCTATGCTTTAATAATGTAAATTATCGACATAGACTAACATAAATCCCACTCGCACCATCATAGCACTAGCACAACCCAAACCACACCAACATTGCAACCTCAGCTAAAACCAGAACCGAACAATCTTCGACGCGCAATACACGAGTGTGCCATTTTGATTCCTACATCCTCTATGCTATATCCTACATCTTCATCAAATAAATGCAAAACCGCATCCATCCCACCATTCCAGCATCCTTATCCAGCCCTTTAGCCCTTCAGGACATAAACCCCCGATAACAATCACCATAATGGCAAAACCCATAACTTCCAACGGAAATAACGAAAACTAGTTACCAGAATGAGAGAACCCTTCATTGCCGCCTACAAGGATTAACCCACATCATGAAAAATTCGTACCGAAACTCCAAATTGATGATACAGTTTCCAATCCGATATTTAAACCACAATTTCCCCGAGAATTTTTCTAACATGACATGCACTTTCCCTCCCTGGTAATCCTTCCCGGTCTCTTTCGTTCGCTGTCTTATTCTATTCGATCTCCTTGACTCGGAAACCATGGAAAAATGCCCGAGTCAGGGTTTCTAGGCCGGGACAAGTGATGCGCCGTGGATGGAATATATAAACAAATTTACTGGTGTTATTTATGACGATTTTGATCTTGTGCTTAGTGGCTATGAAATCATTACACTCTGGATTTTGAACTTGAGGCAATTTTCGCCTTTCTACAGTGGATTGATCCATCACAATCTCCAATCTCCAACGACCTTGATGATGAGCGCATTTTCGGAGCATGACATATGTTTGTCATGATCACGATAGCTCATCGTTTCTCTTGCTTCAATCACCTTTGTCTTCTCGTTTGCCAATCTCTTAACCATCTCAACATTAAGTCGATTAGATCAATTTCCGCGGTAATTCGTGATGATCGTCTCCCACATTCATCGCCCTGTGCTGAATACAACAGTAATCAGCTGACCTTTCGTTTGACTTCTGCTTAAAGCCAGCCCTAACAACACTCTGGTATTGCATGCAATGATAGATATATCTATAAATGCCAAGTCATTCCCGTCAAATGGACACTCTAATGACCATCAGGTTTAGTCGATGATCATGCTATTTTGATGAAACTCGACGGCATGGCGTTGCAATTCCATTCCCCAGACAGATACTTTCGCCAAAGTTCAGAAGAATCAATCGTCTGCTGAAAAATATCTCTTTGTCTTGGCCTTCCCCTGTTGCGCTTTTAAATCTTCTGGCACAACGGTGTGATGTACAACATGAGGCCTATAAATCGCATCTACTGGTGGCATCCTATATTACCCTGTTAGCATACTCTTTTACACTGGTCGTAACCTCTATTCTACTCGATCCTCTTATCTCTTGACACCTCCATTCTTGGGATCAAAAAGGACGCATTTGAGTGAGATTTGAAAGATGGATTTGGTTAAGGCCGGAGAAAAAAAAAGAATAAACCAACCAATCATCCAAACTTAATGGGAAATATTCATAAAGTGCTTCCTCGTTATCCTCGGGACTACCCACACTGATCGCTTTCTTCGAAGAACCGGTCCTCGCACTCACTCCGCCATCTTTCTCCGCATTACCTCTCTGACCTCCACCTCTATCCCTATCTCTATCGGAAAGACCCGATGAATTCCTAGACGAAACCTGGGAGTTCGTATATCCCGTGTCATCATCAGCTAGAGAGAGGTCTATTGGGGCTGCAGGGTTTTGGGTCGTAGATCTAGTAGTTGAAGAATCTACTTTCCAGCGAGCTTTGGGAATTGGGGGACGATTATGAGATGAATTCCTCTTTGTACGTTGTGAAGGCGTTGGTGGCTGCTCAGGTGTTAGAGATGAAGATGCGAGACTGGTAGGCCAATCAGGTAGTAAGTCTAGTGGTTGCTGAGAATAAGTTAGTTTCATATTCGGAAAAACAAGGTGTACTAAAGGGATGAAAATGTGATGTGACATACTTGAACAGCATTCGGAGCGTAAAAGCGATAGGAAGACTGAGAGGTTGCTGGATCAACTTTTACCGTCGTTCCAACTTCGTTGCTCATAGTCCTAGGTTTTGATTCTCCCTTCTTATCACTAAGAGGGACGTCTTTCCTGCTATCAAAATTTCTCGGACTCCTTCCTCTCACGATAATTGCCCCCGATTGAATCTCAGCCAACTTTATCTTTTCCCCGGTGGCTAATGTAGCCATCAAATTAATTTGTATAACATAATGTTGTTGTAGTCCTTTCCTTCTTCCATTATTTGCTGTCGCATGTTTGAATTGCAATCGCTTCCACGCCATAGGAATAGATACACATGTAGGATCCAGCTCCGGACTGATGCCCAAGTCCAAGGGCCACTGAGGTGGTGCAGCACCAGCTCTGTCTTCAGAAGTCGTCACATTCGCCGTCTTCCATGGTACAGTGATGATCTCCGTGCTCTTTCCCTCAATGCTTTCTAAAGCAGATATCGTCGCAATCAAATTATATATTGGAACATGTTGGCCCTGGTCATTTATTATTCTCGTAATGGATCTCGATAAGATAATGTTTCCAGAAATTTGAAATAGATTCCGCCGATAACAAGTCAATTCCATGGGTCTCCCCGCAGTTTCACCCCCAAATACATCTTCGGCCACAAAGAACATTCCGTATAATTCTGCAGTCATGGCTGGCCAAGTCTGTCCATTATCATCCAAAATTGGCGTTTTCATTATTGGTGCGCCAAAGCCTAGTAATTTATTATCGGGATCGCTAGAATTGGTATGGCCATTATTTTCTGGGTTTGGGTCATCAAGAAGTGATTCGAAAGGTCCAGCGTGATAGGAAAAGGGATCTTCGAACGTAGTGGAAAAAGCTTCAGATAATTCGTACGAGGGTGTGAATGGTAATGATGGCATTCCTGTGTTTACATCGTCCCTTCTCCTCAACCGTTAGTATATATCCTCTTCCATTTTCTATCCTTAAGAACTCCTCCGGAGCAAACATACAACAACCCATCCGCCTCGAAATTTAAATCATGTTCAAAGGTGTCCATATTGAATTGATTACTCCTTGAATCCGGAGCTGTTAATCGTAGAATGTTGTGAGATGAGGTTGACGATGAAATGGTCAGAGTATCATAAGCTGCCATGTTCGCAATCTTATGATTTGAGAATACACAAAAGTGTTGACTTATACGGAGACGAGAATAGTCTTGCTAGCATTGTAGAAAATCGACACTCGAGCGGTTGAGAAGTATAACTTCACCTGTTTGAATCAACAAGTGAAAATCAAGGATCTTAATGGTTAAGTTAAGCTCGGGCAGGCAAAGAAGCCGCAACTTGGCTGGCTATCAGTTCAAGTTAGCGGGGATATGTGATAGGTAGGATGTCGTGGATGCATCAGAGTTCCTCTTGAGGATTTGAGGTTAGCGAGAACTTCTCGGTGGTCCTAGATACTAGATAGTTTTGTATATGACAGAGATGAAAATGAAGATTTAGAAACACTGAAGTGAAGATCTTACTTTCATAAATGACTATGGCTGCTAGTAATTAATTAAAGTTTGATTTTCTATCTCCCCTCCCACTCCCACGCTCTTATGGAGTCTTATCGGCATTGTGGAGTGTACCTTGAGATGTGCGGCATATCCATGCTAGGCCCATGCCAAATACATATTAAGACCAATCAGTAGGTAGGTAATAGCTTCCACATTTCCCTAGTCCCTAGCTTCCTCCTCCGAATTTTGAAATTACGACTGTTTTATTCTTCGATTATTCAAATACACGAACGAGACTTAGACGAAGCGTACCATCACTGCCGACTTCCGAGTTTATGATGTTACTCCTTCTTACTCCTTTCCATTCTCATTATACTGCTTTTAGCTCATGTCTAATCATACAAGCTTCCAATACACAATACAGGTCGCCGCCAAAACTAACAATATAACAGTAGGGTTCAATTTCATCTCCACACTGATCACGGCTGACTTTGGCACTCGTTGGAGATGACAAGTAATTCGCGATTTAATTGGTTCCGAACTCATGGTCACAAGAGCTACGTTCCCCAAGGTAGATGCTTAGTCCCCGGTAGTAATTTACTTTGCTTTTACGCAATTGTTGTTCTCCCCAGATTCGCTCCGTGATACCAATTTGCGTTCTTGAGGATTTGAGAGGAATTCATCCATCGAAGTAAAATCTTTGGGAAGTATCATTCATGTCATTTCAATACTTTATCATGTCCAGGTAAGGGATACCGGCAGGCTTCTAAAGAAGTTCTAGCTTGCACGATTAGGGAAGTTGGCTTTCGGGGAGCACAGCCTTTGCGATCCCAACCAGTCATTAACTTGCATTACCCGTTGGAGCGCCAGCATTTGGAATCAATCTTATTGCATCCGGGTCGTGGCACAAAAGCCTCTTATCAGTTCATGCTTTGAAATGGAACTGCGTTTTTTAGGACTTTACCTTCCAATTCCCCCCGAAAATCCTACTCAGCCTGGCATACAACCTCAAGTTGATATTCCAGTTTGTTCTTTCGTTTGGCCTTTTCGAGATGGAGATGCATGTAGTCGATGGGACTGTGTCGGTCGCTAGGGCGAGAAACGGGTATAGCTCTGCACGAATTGTAGGAATCGTGCGAGTACTAACAGGTATACAAGTGATTGCCTTTAGCCTTTTTACAGAGGAAAAGGCCTAACCATTTTCTAGCTCACAGATAGATCATATTTCTATCTGGAACGGTCAGCTAAATGATGTAGGTTGTCAGGCTCGTCTGAATATATACAGCATACCCAGTGGTATCAAAACAACTCTCCTGGCAAAGAGTGCGAATTATCCGGCGCAATGGCTATGGAAGAGCAAATTAGAAGGATATTTCATTTTAGAAACACCCTGGATATCAAGAAGAAATCTTCTGCGGTCAATTCTGCTCATTTCGCAATGGTCTATGACCCCTTTGTTGTTGTTGAGTAATGAATGATATCTTCTTGTTAGACTGTTGCTATCACGAATTCGCGACCAATTTTCAATTGATTTCAATTGAGCGATAAATCAATTATTGAGATATGCAACAAAATCCGGGAACTCGGCTATACCATACCACCGAAGATGGGATTCCACAGGATTTTCAATTCACTTTCGTTCTCGCTTATTGGATTCGAGTGAAGGGGGCGTCTTGATACGTTGAGTGAATGGTTTGGTTTCCATCTGCATATACTGGACATCCAGGGTTAGTTTAATATTCAATATATCAATGTAGCAGCCTAGAAGATCATTCGCTGTATGATTTGCATGAACATATCAGTATGACATTCGCTTTGTCTAGTGCACTCCCCAGCTTCCCTCTCGCACCTACTTCCGAACATCTAATTAACAATTGAATGTAGAAAAATAATAGAATCAAAGCAAATTATCATTGAACTCGAAAGCTCCATCAATTTGCTTCTCATATATAGATAGGTAGGTACTGTCATTAAAAAGACCCAGGTATCAGATCCACAATCCAAATATCCAAAGCCCGTGCAAAGATCAACCACTTCAATATAATATGTTTTCGAGATATTATACAATCATATTCCACTGTTTCGCAAAAAATAGCGATCAACCTTCCAATAGCATGCCTTATATAACTATAAATCAGAATTGTGCTACTCTCCGCCTAGTCAACACGTGCATACATATTACATTACATTACAAACCAAAATATCAGTCCATACATACTCTAGTCATCAGGCGATCAAATATATTCAATACAACCCTAGAATTCAACAATCAATAAGCAGTATTATGGCTACCTCGTACTCCTTCATATTCATTCCCTGCTCTACCACAGAGTACAACACAATGCAGCGCAGTACACATACGCGAATTATTCATCACCAAACAAAAGACACTAAATACCAAAATGTTTGATAGAATAATGCACTGTTTAATTTAATGCATGCACATCGCATCGCGTTGGGATCGTATGTGGTATGCAATCTATATTGTAGTACGCAAAAACGCAAGGATATTGACTCGCCAAAAATAACACACTTATGTGTACCCATCCATCTTTGTCTTCATCATCGCATTATCAAAATATTCATCATGACTTCGTAAATTTCCCCCGTCGTCTCTCTATCCCGCGGTCCTCCCAAGTTGAGGCATCTCCAATCCTAATATCCCTCCTCCACAAACCTGGGCCGTGATAACATATACCCATCGTAGCGGGCGCCTTGAGACTCCTCGCTACTGCTAACACTCGTACTTGGGCTTACCAAGCCACTGCTCCCGGCTAAGGCCGTCATATCCTCATCGATACCGGTAGCTAGCCTTCCATTACTCCTACTTCCTGTTCCCTCAATTCCGAATCCGGTACCACCTCCAAGTCCCATACCCATGCCCATACCCATGCCCATACCCATGCCCATACCCATGCCCATCCCTATGCTTCCTATACCGGTGGGTAAACTCCCGCCTACAAATCCCAATGGGTTCCCACTTATTCTCCTTGGACCTCCACTGCCTTCCATTCCTTCTCCCACACTGCCCACTCTACTCAAAGCCGGCTTTTCCGGTAATCCCTTCAATAACCCCGTACTCGTATCCAACATTCCCATCGCCCACCTCGTCAATTCTCCTCCTTTGCAGCTAACCCCTAGTGTCCACCTGTACTCTCCCAACCTCCTTCTATACCACTCCGCCTCCTCTCTTCCCGGTGCCGTAGCCCACAACAATGAGCCAAATGTTCCGATGAGCGCAAAATTCGTCTTACTTGCAAAATACCAAAACGCCCTCAAATGACTCGTCGTAAGTCTATTCACGAAATCCATGGCGGATATTAGGCGGGTTTTGGCTGCGCTACGGCAAATATGCTGGACATATGGATCTACTTGGGGAGGAGACGATTGCCCTTCTATTTTAATATGAGTATGTGAGGAGTTGGAGGGAGGCGATAAGGAACGGATGATGCGGCGATGAAGGGTAATTTCCGTGGCAAAATACGCGAGATGCAGGAATCCGGTGGAGGATAGGGATAATTTCGACGTGGGGGGAGCGTCCATGCGGAGACAGGCGGGTAGGGCCGCGTACCAATCTTTCAGTTTGAGCTGGACAGGTTTTGCAAGCTGGAGAACAAGGCTTGTGCCCTGTATCCCGGCACTGGTAATATTAGACATGGCGGATAACGTGTAGAAGGTATCTAGAACCTCGGAGAGAATTTGAGAGAGAATGATCATTTGAGTGAAAAGGAGTCTGCCCCGTTCGTATTCAGTACTCTGCTCATCATCAGTCTCATCATGTTCGACATCGGGAAAATCGTTCCGGGAAAGTGGGAGAACAGCCCAATTCGAAGCGAAGATGTGGGATGGACGTCCATGAACTAACGATCCCCACTTATCCTGCATGTATAAAGCCCACGCAAGACGTTTGCGGAGTCCGCGTTCCCATAATGGGATTTTCCAATTCGAGCAGTCGAGATGGAGACCTAGTTCTTGGGAAATTGCTACAAGTTGTGCGGTGGGTGCCCATTGGTCACCTTCTGGCGCTTGGGATAATAAGAGTCCCGCTTGTACGGTTGACAACTTGGGCCGGTTCATAGCATCTGCTAATGTGACTCTCGCTAACCTTTCCAACTCCTTAAGTTCGGGCCTAGGGAGATGGGCAAGTTCTTCACTGTGGTCCCACCAATTGATCGCAAGGATATAAACGGCTGCCAAAAGAGGTGGTGAAAATTCTCGGTACGATCTGTTGTACTTTTCCCAAAATACATTTTTCTGAAGGATAGGAAAGTTTGGATGAATGATGCGAAAATATAAATCAAGCAGTATGGGACCATGTGGCGCCACTAGATCTTCAATCGCATCCGCATCCTCAATTTGATGTTCATGACCGGGAGTTCTATGATCCGGAAGCATCAAAAATGTATCATAATCGCTGACTTTTCTTAATGTTCCTCTCGACAATAAACTCTCGTCTTGTGGATCAAATGTTGAAAGATCAATGAGTGAAGGCTCGAAATCTGTAGTTGGGCCAATATATTGACTATATCGGTCATGTTGTAGGCCCAGTGTTCGCTTTAGTAAGGTTGGGCCCCCAATGTTTGCCAGATCTTCCGTCAGCGAATTCGTGGCACCGGTGCTAGATATGCTAGCTTCGTGGGGTCTGGACCTTTCAAAATTCCTGTCTGGAGATCTATTTGCCATACTTGTTAGCCACGACTCAAAACACACGAAATATTGAACATGTAATTTCAGGTACCTTCTTTTAGCAACAGATTCCTCTTTCCCCTCCACATTTAGCTTCCTTTTCCTAGGTTGCGGACTTGACACGAAAGTACAATCCTGCGAATGGAATTGACAAAGAACACACGTGGACTGTCCCTCATTGATTACGCATCTACTCTTCCTCCTCCTACAAGCATCACAAGGTCTATCCTTTCGACTTCTCATGTTATTTCCCAAGTCCATCGATGCCACACTACTCGTGCTCGTTGAAAAACTAGAAATATCTCTGCCGTTTGAAGAATCGATTGGAGTATCGAGTATTGTATCTGGATGAGGTTTCTTAGAAGCAATGGCAATGGGGGCAGTACGTGCTATAGGAGTTGGGGTCGACATGATGGACACTGGGTAATAAGACTCCTTGTGGATCAGTATCCGTCGAAATTTCCACCACCAGGTTCCGTAAGTGCGTGAACCCGATGACCTGCTCTAAACCCTGGGGTTGGCTCCGCCAATATTGCTGCTGCAGCCAGGGAGGATAGATGAGATATGGGGTTTTTGGTGCAAATCCCCTGTCTTCGGAGAAGCGCGATGTGATTAGGGCCGAAATTTAGTAGCGTATGGGAATGGTCTAATGACGAGGAGAACTGCCTCGATCGGGAAGTCCAGCAAAGATAGAAGATATGATATTCCAAAAGACGTGAGTGGCTTGAAGAGTAGATTATCAGATACGCTTATCGATGTCTCTCTCCACTCTTTTGCCTGTTGAATATCCCTTATATGCTTGAGGCCCTGTAATCTGTGTGTATTCTTGGAAGAGCTTATCGGAGCTTGAAATGAAAAATTGTGGTGTCGTCTGCACTGCGAATCTGCAAGTGCCCGGTCTGTGTTGAACGGGTAGATAAGAAACCTTGGAGAGCCAACCACAAATAGAATGTCTTTACTGATAATGGTAAGAGGAGATTACTGTTAAATTCTTTCTATCCCTTTTAAGTTTATTCCTGTCTGTCTGTTTGATGGATTTATGTTGCCATGAAGCTTCGAGAGAAATACTAATAATAGTTGACTGAATTCAGTGACTATCACCGACTGCATGCACCCGCTAGTGATTGAAGGAGAATGAGATGATTGATAGTTTTCCACGTCATTGGTGAGGGAGAGGTATTAATAGTAGATTACTAAAGGTTTTAGAAGTATTGAATGACATCGATGAGAAGAACTTGGAGGAAAAAGGAAGGAGCTCAGGAGATATGGAGAGATGAAAGCTCAGATCTGCATTTACTAGAAACAGTACTTTGGTAAGAGAAAGCCTAGAAGCCGATTTGATATTGGTCAAACAGAGAGCTTAGTTACCAAACTAGAAGGCAATAATAAGAGTAACTGAGTAAGTTGAGTAACTTAAATGGTTTACAGGACAAATAACTAGTTGATCCCGCGTTGTCAACACGTTTTTCCAGGTTCCAAGACGTAGCTCTGGCGTCCTTTTTTCTTCATGCCTCAAGATAAGGCGAAAGGAACCAATATAAGATTCGATATCTCTATCAAACATAAATAATAATTTTTACATTAATCTAGTAATCCGTACCTCGCATCTGCATTGCCGGTGCGATGGACCATCCACATCCAACCCTTGAAGCATTTGGGTACACGACATGTCTTGTGTCCCAGGTAGGCTTGGTTATTCTGGCCGTTTGGCCAGTGTCTAATGACTCTAGTCATCAAAAATTCAAAATAACCGACTCTTGTACGCAGAGAATGGAAGTTTTCCGGCTTCCCCTACTTGACTACTCCGAGCATATTCTCGTTTGATGGGATTAACTTGTTCGGAGGCTTACGCTTTGATCAGCTTGAAGTCCTAGAGACTGGATTAATAGATGGTTTTAATGACACCAGAATATGCATGAAAATGCATCTTCAACAAGCCATCCACGTGAGTTTAGCCAATCAACATATCTTATACGTAATATTTGGTAACCCTAAGCCTTTTATTGGGCACATTTAAAGAATTACTTAAATTTATGGAGTTTGTAAATTGTAACATCCCATACATCCAATTTTTAATCAGCTACCGTTTTCCCTATCTCCACCACTCAACGTCCAGCATTCCTTATCATCTTCTTAAACATCCTATCTCGGTGACCCTTGTTGCTCTCGGCAGCCCAAGTTATGATGCTATCTTGATTTCTGTACATGTGCTAAAGTTGCTCAGCCACTTAGCCAAGATATAATCAAGAGAGCTTTTGCAGAGCAACGGATTAGGTGTTATGGGGACAATATGGGCCCCATAGGTACTATCCATCCAGACGATGTTGATATCTAATGATCTAATCTAACCATGATCTGCCAAACCCCACAACACACGACCCCTCTAGTGCATGATTATTGCTAAAGGAAACCTTCAAAGCCCTCTGAACCCTGGTACCGATTGGTCATACATGATTCCAAACTTCAAACGTCCATCCATCTACTTACTTCATGAGTCCATGCCAATCCAAACATATCAATTTTGCGAGGAAAGCTCTTCAGGCCCTTTTCGTGGATGGTGCAAATTCTTATGTAATTCCGACATTGGCACACATCAGAATTGCACGTTGAAATACTTCCGTGTCACATAATTCGGGTGGCTTTGATAAGTTTGATTGCGAGGAAAAGTGGGATTTTGGGGGTTGTGCAGTGCGCACTGTGCAGATTTCCAGATTTGCAGTCCTATCCTCATGCGCGATCGGAGGACGGAGGTACATTTGAAATGATTACCGGCATAAGGCGGTGAGGTTCTGGACGAAGTATCTGCTTTTCATTGCTACTGCATTTCTGCATTACTGCATTGCTGACGGTACATATCAATCTCTTACCTCATTTTTTGGGTGGAATGTCACTGTCAGTCAGACTCGGAAATTGCGCGTGGGAGAAAACGGAAGGTTTTGCGGAGGAAAGAGCGGTATGTTTTCGATAACCATGTTTGGGTTTTGGGGTAAGTGGAAGTGATTTGACAGGAAAATACTATGGCATACACATATAACATTACTAAAGCAGTGCCGATATGTTGCAATGGTGGCTGCCAAGAGAACCGATGTGGAAGATATACTTCCGAAACGCTGATCCGTTGTACGTGACACCTTCCGTGACGCTTCGGAAGTAAAGATGCTCAACGACATGAAAGACTTTTCATTCGTCATGCCATCATTATGAATTTGAGACATCAAGGGAGACTGTTGATCCCCGACAAAATCAACAGCGGGGTGTACGTGTACCCCGCATTCATGAATCACGATAAGCAGTCTTATCGTTCTAGACCACAGCACTCGAGGCTCATTAGGAGGCTCAAATAAACCGACAGATGCAGTCTCTGACTCAGGGTTCTTATGGTGTAATGGATGATCTGACGGACGATAAGGTTTCGGGTGCATAGATGCGGGTTGGGAGCAATTTAGACCTATGAGAACCACGATGCGCTCTTAGTGGGAACTATCCAAACATAGGTGAATTACAAAGGACAGACGACTGAGGTCCCATTGGAGCCTACTGATGCTTTCCTGTTCCTCAAATCGGCACGTTTATTGCAGGCAAACAGCTATTCCTCATCTATATGTACTAGATCACTGGAAACACTTGAAACCAAGAGCTTTTGATTCTGACTTTTTCAGCAAAGAAAGGTTCTCCAAAAGTTGAGTTCGCTGAAACCTTTCACCATAGAGGAGAATTGTAAAAGAACGGAAAGTTGAAAATTTGTAAAGAATATTTAGGTAACAGGATTGCAATCACTTGAGGCGACCCAGAGCAAGAAACTTGAGTACTACTCGCAACGAGGAGTCCAACGAGGTAGGATATCTTGGAAAGTTCTTCTGGTTTCGAGAACAAGTCTTGAGCACTAGCTCGTTTCCCTTTCCTCGCTGAAGATGTAGACATCACTCAACATCCCGATTTATTATTTTGTTGTGAAGAAAAATCTAGAAAGTGTAGGAAAGGTGAAGAAGGTGAAGAAGTGGAGCGAAGAATAGGTATTTAAGGACAAAAATCCCCAAGGGGCGCTAGCTGATAGACGTTCCCGCCCCTTTCGTATTTCGCTTACTTTTTCATTGACGCGAGCGATTGCGTGATGATGTTCCACTGTCTCCTCATAATCTATATTATATTGTATCATCGTGTATATTAACAGGTATGAGATGGAAGGCAGTTCAATTCAGTTCAAGACAATTGACGAATTGTGCAGGTAGGATCCTACATATGTGACGACAAATAAAACCTGTCAAATCTTCGTTCCAGACTTTATATTTTCGAGTATTCATCCAATATACTTAGAATATAACATCGAATATACATCAATATTCCGATGAAAAACCAAGAAAGACCAGTGAGGAAAACATTATACAGGTTAAAATTTCAAGAGGTATCACATTGAAGCATGTAGAAAAATGACGTAGATATAATTACAACAACAGACCTCTGGGGAGAAATGAGATGGAATTAGGGACAGGAACATTTACAACACTAAGCTATACCTGCTGTTTTCTTTTCGCTGGAGCTCTAGGAAAATTAGTGTCCTCGAGTAGTCAAGGCATGAAGGGACAGGACGATGAAGGGTTTTTGTTTTTCTAAGCGATGATATCTACGAGGGAAAAAACACAACTTTATCGCCACTGTGCTGAAGGAAATTCTGTAATGCATTTTGAGCAGGGAGTGTCAGGCTGCCAAGTTGTTGAAATGATTTATCAATCTAAGTTCTTGAAATTGGTATGCCAAAGCAACACAATATTCAATGTCGTATGTTTCTTTTCTAACTCATCTCTCATCTCTCATCTCTCCCGTAAATGCCCCATCTATGACTCGGCCTCTGAATTTCTCTCTACAGCTGCTCTTGCTTCTACTTCTAGCGCTCTCCTCTCCTCCTCTGCTAAATCTTCATGAGTCTTGTGCTTTCCAAAAAATGCCAGCAATGATAAATCATAAGTAGCTTTGAGCGCCCCTGCGCAAACAAATACAACCCAGAAGAGGTTCCTTCCAGCCAACACACCCGTGATTACGGGGCTAAGACTTTGTGCAAATGTCTTCACTACATTTAACAGACCCATAACTGCAGTGCGTTCGTGTGGATGGACTACCGCTGCGAGAAAAGCTGAACGTGGTGCTACATCCATACTAGAGGTGGAGTGTCGGAGGATGAGAAAGGTTATTGCTAACGGCAGATTAGAAGGAAGAGGGATCAAAGAGAGAAAGATAGACGAGGGGAGATGTGTGAATGCCATTGTCTGTTGGGAAACTTTATGTTAGAAGGGTGTGCACTATGAGGGCAATTAGAAGAATATACCTTAACGTTTCCAAAACGTTTTGCTAGAGACGACGCGACTAGCATGGATCCAGCTGATATGATACTCGTGATGGAAAAGAGAGACCCTAATTGCCCTTCCTCGATGCCGAATTTTTCGTGAAAAAAATAAGTCACCCATGAGCTGTGATAATCTCATTAGTTTGACGAAGCGAGCGTAAGAATAAATAATACTTACAGAGGTATGAGGCCTGATGCAAAAGAATCAAGGCCAAAAATGAGACAAAGATTTAATACAAGAAATTTGCTCTCCTGACTTATGTTGGGCAGCTTCGAGGCAAAATAGCCTTTCTTTTTAGTTACCGCCTCGCCCATTCCATCACCAAGCAAAGGGGCAGTTTCTGGATCATTAATAGACTCATCTTTCTTCTCAGCCTCGACAGCTTGGCTAAGTGCCACCGAGAGTAGGAACTTGATGAATCCAAATATGGTATAGCTCCAAAATACAGCTCGGTATATAAATATATTCGTCCAGGCCAGCTCATTCCGAAGATAATTAATGACCCAACCAGAAGCAATAAATCCGCACGCCTGCCCGGCTGTTCCTATCAAAGAATACCATGCATATATGTCACTCCGATTGGATGCAGCAGTAAGTTGTGCGAGAGTTGACTCTTCAATTGCTCGAAATGGGCCGATTTCATTTCCACTTGAGATATATCATATCAGCATTTCTGAATGGTAAGTAGAGTGGACAAGAGGAGTACACACCTGGGACTAATAACGCCCAGAACCGCAGCAGCAAGCAGGACCCAGTAGTTCTCACAAAGCGCAAAAACAATGCCGCTTCCCATCATTAGCCCCGACCCCACCGCCAAGATGGACTTCCTTCCCAGCGCATCTGCGAATAGTGTAAGAACGAAGCTAATTAATGTATCGCCGATCAATGTCAAGGTCATAAAAAGCCCTATCTTCGTCTTGGAGATGTCAAGTGTGGAGAGGAATTCCACGAGAATTAGGGTCGCTGTAGCATATGCGAACATTCGAATGAAGCGCTGAAGACATAGGAGCTTGGTATCGAGGGACGATTTGTAGAGAGTAATGAGGCCAACCTCGTCGATTAGACGATGGAAATATTTCAACACCATTGTGACCTACAATTTAGCCAGTCGTGGGCACGCAGGAGGTGACTTGAGCTTCGATTTTCGTGTTTTCGACGTAGAAAATCAATGTGAAGCTTCATGCAGCTAATTTCTGACCGTCGATCAACAGATAAAAGTAGAAAGAGCAAAAAAACCGACTGAGAAGAGAAGATAAGATATATTCAATATCCCCTATACTTAGCTAAGAATTGATCAAAAGTCCAAATGAATGTAGTCATAAGGTTATTTATTTACATGGCTGATGAGTGGACACGACATACCGCTTTTTTGTATTGTCGTTCATTGCTTTGTCAACACAAAAGTTGCAGCTGGATTAATTAAGTTAATGCAGCTGCGTAAATATTATGTCGCAATATTAGCACCATCTGATAAGATTGACAACTAGAATTCACCGACAGAATCTTTTGAATCAATCCTTCTGCTGACAGATGGTAAATACTTCATGAATTGATATTCATTCACAACATCATGGAAATAAGCAAGGCTTGTTTCATGATGAGGTTCTTGATCTATGAAAAAAAGTGGCCACAAATCATGAATGAGAGGAATTTTGCTTCGGAATCTCATATAAAGGAATCACAATACCTATTCCATCATTGCCATTTGGATTTCAAGCGTGGATCTCGAGGTAGCCCTTGGCTCCTGGCAGTTACCTTTCAGTAAGGGATGTTCTTTGTGAGACATAGTCCAATGCGGAAACCGCATGCCGAAGATATCTTTGTTGTAAAATCAACAACATATCGATATCCTCATTTGTCCTCCAAGTTAGTACTTGCTAAATTGTCAATTTTCAGTCATCATAATGGCGCCGAAGAAAGATACAGCTGTCACTGGTACCAGAGCAAGGCTCCCTCGAGCAGCAAAGGATAAACCAAAGGAGTTACCTGAATCCATTCCAAAGACTACAACCAAAACAATCAAGAAAGCACAAGGTCGTCCAAAGAAATCCATTCCTGCCAAAATTTCCACCCCAGAAGCAAGTCCAGCTCGCGATGCTAAAGGCAAAGGAAAGGGGAAAGGAAAGGGAAAGGAGACCGGCGTAGTAATACCGGAAGTGCACACAGATTCTGCTCCTAATGATGAAATAATACGTCAAGAAGCAACCTATCCAAATCCATTCTCTACAGGAAGCTACCGCAGAAATACTGCAGCTTTACTTTCTCAATGGGATTCTACAAAATCACCTGTTAATCTTTCTCCAGAATTGCGAAAACAATTCGTTAGTGAGACGCCAAAGTCCAAATCACAGAGGTCTGCGAAATCTAAGCATGATAGAGCACATTCGGCGTCGGGAAAAGGGCATATTGTCATACCCCCGCCAGCTTCGAAGGACATGGGTGAGCAAACCTCTCAGATCTTCGATGCCAACAAACAAAGCCGCCTGAACTCTTTAGTGGCAGGAAGGTTTCCCGACCCGACTTATCCTCGGGCTAGTATATCTGATGGGACAGAACATTCACCCAGGTTCAGATCGGCAATGGGGTTCAGATACTCTCCCGGATTTGGAGGACCACGAGGCTTCAATACAAGCCCAACTTATCAATTTGGCTTTAATCCGAGGCGAAGTACATCTGCAATACCTGGGGTAGTACCCTCGGGGCCGTTCAAATCAGCGGACCTAACCAATTCTAATGCTGATGCTGGTCCAAGTTCTCGTGGCGATGGAGCAACAACCGGGCTTTCATCGTCTAGACCTGGATCCATAGGTGGACCGCCAGCACATTCCGTGGAATATAACCCTGAATATTATAATAAGTTTTCGACAGATCAGAAGGATATTATGGATTTCAATCAGAACAGATTCGGTAACTTTGGACAGAATTACAAATGGTTCGAACCACGAGCATTACCACCATGGGGACAGCAGGGAACGTTTCTTCCTGGGAACCCACAATACCAGAATCCCCAGGGAAGACCAGCTTGGTATAGTAATTGGAATGCGTCGCAGCAAAATTTTCCTTGGATACAAGGTTACTCCTCGGACCCAATGCCAGGTTACTCTTCGACACCAGGCTACCCTCCGATGCCACACTTCGAATCTATTCCTGCACATCATGAATATCAAGCGCCTTCCCACTCAGCACAGACGGGTCAATCATCTACTGAGGAGAGTGCCACAGCGACTACCAATTTAGAGACACAAGGTATCAGAGAAAGTAGAATGACACGGGAGAAAACCATTTTTGTGCCAGGAGGAAAGATAATAAAAACAACTACCACAGTATTCACACCCACTGATGAAGATAAGAAGAAGAAGGGCAAACATGTAGAGAAGCCGCCAGAAGACAAAATTGGCATAGTAGTGGTAGATAAAGAGGGTAATGTTGATGTTGAGTCTGGAGATTGGCTGGAAGGATTCAATAGAATCGAAGGATGGGAAGTAGACGTTCTACTGGGCCAACATAAAAGATGGCGACTGCACAGAAATCGGAATGCAGATACAGGAAAGGGTGTTGCGAACAAAACTACGCCACAGAGGAAACCTACTGCTCCATCAATATCATCAACCTCGCCCAAGCTTCCACAGCTAATGTCTCCCGAGCTTGCACAGCCAAGGCCTCCCACGATGAGAGCGCCATCACCCACTCTAGATTTCATCCGCTTTGATTTTCCACCCTCCCAGAACACGACACCCACCCGCCGCACACGAGCAACAAGAATATCAAAAGCAAATCCTAATTCCACCAAGAGGAAAACCTCCCCAAAGGCTAAGTCCAAAACACCAGCACTTAAACCTAAAGCCGGCGTTGGAAAAGTCACCAAATCAACTTCAGCCCCGACTCGAAACCTTCGCTCCAGCACCTCACCTTCCAACACAAAAGCCTCTGAAAGTAAAACCGATAATAAGCCCAAGGTCTCTAAGTCTAAACCCAATTCTGCAACTTCCAAATCTAAATCCGCACCGGCCAAAGCAACAGCAGCAAAACAATCAAAAACAACCCCACCACAATCTCAATCTCAATCCCACACCATCTCCGGAACCTCATCCGAAAACTCCACAACAAAAAAAGCCTCCCCAGAACCATCAGGAAGCACGTTTGATCCTAATACCACTGCCCAAAATCCATCAACATCTCAACCAGCGCCCTCACAAAACCCCCTCTCCAACAACCCACCGAATACCCACATTCCCCATCCAAATCTCAACCCCAACCCCAACCCCAACCCCAACCCTAGCCCAAGCCCCCTTCCCCAACAATCCCACACCCCTTCTAGTACTGCCACGCACAGCTCCACCTCCACCTCCAACCACAACGCTAACCCCCACCCCCAAGAATTCCCCCACAGCACCACAGAACTCCAGCAACAAATCGAACAATGCCAAACCCTAGCCAATCAAGCCGCAGAAAATATGGATGGATTGCGCGGAAAAGGCGCGGCAAAATGCGCGAAGAATTTTGAGGAGCTGATGAGATTTGTGGAGGCTGGGCGTGTGGAGTTGGAAAGGAGGGCCGATGGGGAGAAGGTGGTTTAGATTTTTGAGCTTTGAGTTTTCAGTTTTGGATTTTGGATTTTGAGAGGGTGTTGGGGTTGGGGTTGGGATGTAGAGTGGGATTGTACCGTTTGTTGGTTGTTGGGAGGATTCGGGTAGGTTGAGTGGATTTGTTGAATGGATGGTTGGTTGTTGAGTTATATGAATGGTTTTATTTTCGGGTATGTTTATTTTAAGTCATTTTGCAATGAATAGCGCGCGATTTCTGTGGAGGATATAATTTGTGTATGTAGGTATAGCTATGTCATTGATATTTCCAAGTCCTGTTTGCTACCTAGCTTATCTACATTTCTCAAATCCGAAGCATTTCTTATGTCCGTGTTCTTTTGTGTGCATGTCCATATCCATACCCGTATCCATGCGTAATATTGATTTGTTGCCCGAAGAATATATGTACGTATCACGCACCTAACCCCCTGATGCTTATACCACGGAGGAGTATGAAACTCTTTGCCAAAAGGAAATTTGCCTGACAAATACTAATTATGCGTAGGAAAATCAGATCTGCCTCCAGGTTTTAGAACAAGTCCATGTGATGAAGAAAAACATCTACGACAAAATCAAGATCAAATTCGATTTCGAAATATGTTTAGTACATGCGGTCGAACTAAAAGGATTTTGCTAAACCATAGCTAAAGAGCGGAACTTTTAGTTCGATAAGCCAAAAAAAAAGAAAAGAAAAGAGCCGACTACTGAAGCAATGCATCAAAAGCCATATGAAACATAAAAATTGGAGCCCGGACACCCTATTCATAAGGAGGAAGAGAAGACCTCATCTAAAGGTTCTTCTCCACCGTAACCAACTCCCGAAAGCCTTCCTTCCATTGCGCCATCTCATCACTAGTGGGATGCGGCAATGGCGCACGACCATATCCTCCATAGCCCAACCAACTCTGCATACCAGCCTTAGTGCTCACGATACCTCCCTGAATAGCCGCCCAATCACCTTGAGCAACGACTTCCTGAAGTTTCTGGGCCTCCTCAATTTTCCCTTCGTGGTATAGTCTAATGATCTCGATGCATGCTTTCGGAGCAATATTTGCTAACCCGGCGAGGATCCCATGACCACCGCCAATAAGACTTTGTAGAGTGAAATCGGCACTGCCTCCTAGGACCAGGAATGGTGGGGATGCGGTGGAGTGTGGCTTGCATGTTTTTGTGGCTGCCACAATTCGATTCAATTTGCCAGTGTTGCCACAAGTGAGCTTCACCCCCACAATGTTGGGATGGGCCGATAATTGGATGATGACGTCTGATGAAAGATCCATACCGGAAACAGCTCCTGGATAGTTGTAAATTAATAATGGAATTGGAGATTGATCCGCTACTGCAGTAAAAAATTCGATAACGGAAGCAGAGGAAGGTAAAAACAGAGGCGCATAATACGAAGGTGGTAGAACAAGTGCATAATCTCCTCCAGCCGCAAATGCCTCTCGGCAATATTGAACCGTTTCTCGGACAGATTGTGCGCCACAGCCGACAATGATAGGAAGATGTGCGAACCCGGCAGAGTTGAGCGCGGCACGAGTTGTTGCCGTAACCGTCTGACGCTCCGAGTGAGTAAGATTAACAGCTTCCCCATTGGAACCCTGAGTGGCTAGCCCGGCGACTCCTGCTTCTGCAAGACGAATCGCATGACTGGAAATGGTTTCCATGTCGAGTTCTTCTGTGGTTGGATCGAAGAAGCAAACTGTTGGGACGTAAACTCCAGGAACCAGAGGGCGGGCCATGTGATCATCAGCCTCTATTGAAACGCTACTGTGTGAAGTACTGTACGGGGATTCGTCCACAGAATATATACTATTTGCGTTGCTTGAATTTCCCACGGTGGGGTTGAATGGGGGGTGAAAAGACATGTTAAAATTTGTTGAGGAACTCCTTGCTGGCAACGGAGAATCGTTATGTGGTGCCATAGTGAACATGGAGTTATCAACGTGTTTGAGCCAACAAGGCGATGTTAAATGGTATATAAGGAAAGGTTAAGCTGATTCTAACTTGAACGTCAAACCCAGGACAACATTGACCTAAAAGAAGGTAAATCTATTGAAATGAAGGTATCAAAGGTATCAGTGTGGGTAACAGTTGGATATTAAATATTGATCTTTTTGGTATGTTCCTGGTGGCGTATACGGACTACTTTTTTGTCGCATAGTGTGGGGGTTGGGAGTTTTCAAGGAGTAGGACCCCTCGTGGCATGGATCGCCAGCCATAGCCATCTTAGAAAACGGTAGAGGAAAGTAAGACCAGATACAAATGCAAGATGAGAGATTTGTGGAGCGTTGAGCAGGTACTAGCCTTGCATATCGCTAAGGAAGGTATCGTGAAATCCGTATGTTACTTCTCCATTTCGACGACGACAAGGGAGTAACAGGTGACGGCAAGTCACGGCAAGTAACCCTTAATCTCCCGACCAATTACATACGTAGCGGAAGAATATAGGAAATCCTGATATAGCAATTAATAATTGATTTATTGCGTCCGCATTATTGATGTGCTGCACTTCTCCATTTTTGATTAATGATCATCAGCGACGTTGTATTTTGCATTCGATTAAGAATGGTAAAGAAGCCTTTCTTGGTTATGTCTGCTTGCCAAGAGATGAAATGTAAGGAAGAGAGAAAGTGCAATCTCTTGACCCGTATTCCATTACATGTTGGGCGCTCCTTGCTCCCTCCTAGACGACCTCTCCTCACCGCATACATGATAGTTCAACAAATGAAGGTGTTTGTCCAATAATTTCTTGCAAATCACAATTGCTTATTTGCATCATGACCTGGAGAGGCTTTCCACCACTCCGAGTACGACAATGGAACAGGACTGCAACGGATTTGGCCGTTAGCAATTTCTGAATCTTGATTGATGGCAAAATAAAGAAACAAAAGCCAGCAGGAGCTGGAGGTTCAGAACAGTCTCACTCAGCACCCAACCACACCACAATAATCAGAGCTGAGCCCTTAACTTTTGGCCAAAAGCTCTATTGGGCTAAAGAAAGCACACCTATAGACGGGCTTGCCTCTCTTTCCTTCCAGATGTATGTATGAATGTACGTATATTGGCCTCTCATTGATTTGTACTTGTCGCTGCAAAGTAAAATGTCTGCTGATATGGTATAATGACCTCGAACATAAAAGATTGCGGGGTTGAAGGACCCTGGCAATGTAAGATCAGTGCCCAGAAGGCTTAGTTCACCTGTGGTTGATACAAAGTATCCAAGATCATGGTGTTGGTAACATGTTTGGATAACCGTTTCTTGTTGAGATTCAGTAAAAGGGCGTGGGGGTGAAAGGAATGAATCAACAGTAATAACGTACTTGGGCCAACGAGAATCTAAATTTTTCCATGATATCTTGGCGCACATGACATTCATTGACTTCCGGTTTCCGTGTTGAGCCATCTTTCCTCTATGATCACGAAATGTCAAACTATGAAGAGATGTATCATATTCTCGAGAGGCCATGTTAAGATCTTACATAATAGTTCTACGAGAACTGGCAACTAGGAATCCAGAGACGACATAGTCAACGTACAATCAGACCACGTTGTCGCCTCTAGACTCCTTTAGTATCTGCTGTGATACTTGATATATAATGCATACCAATAATGGAACGGTACCACGACGCAAGATCTTACCTTCGCTTGATCATTCAGCGCGTAATGCTTTTTCGAAGCCTGCACAGCTGCGCAGTCATAGAAACCTCGGCATTTGAAGCGGTATTGCCCACGAAATGATGTCGATAAGAGGCAGTTGAACAGGCAAATCCCGTGGGTTTATTCTAATTCGTTTCTCACCGATTTGCCCCTACTTGCCCAATTGGATTCGCCAAGCAAACGGCATGAGAAACATGCTCTTATTCCCCTTTTATCATCGATGATGATACTTCGAGCTGGGCGGATTCAAAAGTTTTCAAGGCCGGTAATGCAATATGACAATCCTTACAGATCTTTCGAGTCTAGAATCTCAAAACTGTTGTCAGGCATGATAATAGGCGTAGATACTGTTCGTTTACCAGGGTAGTAGAACTCCTGAGTACATGTCCACAACCTTGGCACCCCGTTTTCAGCTACTTCCGAACACAATTAAGGTACCATGGCATGTGGACAATAAGGGCACAGCTTTTCATCAAGGAGTTGCCGACACCCCGAAGCGATATGTACGCAGTGTTTACAGGTGCATCTGGAAAGTCGTCCTACTATCGCGTCTTCTTCATTGCACCAAGAAGCGGGGTCTAGCGCCCTTTCTATTCGACGATAGCTTTGTCATATTGACGACTTCCAAATCCATAACTTATCATCGGCTCCAGAGTTGGAGTCTTAACTAGGAAGAACGACTTTACATCCGGCTGGTTCAATTATCTGCCCCGTTATTCCATGTCACACTAAGCATCGGTACGGGCCTTCCCCGAGTTTTACCAACAGGATTCCGGTCATCTTACGGACACGGGAAGTCTACTGAACCGCATAGAACGAGGATGTACTCTGTATATATCTCCGATTCAATACGCGTCTACAGCTAGACGCGTGGATCATTACCGATCTAATTTATCCGGCGACGCGCTGATATAATGACGCGACGACGCGACGGTATGATGACGCGACGACGCGACGATACAATACCTCGCATCTTATTCTGGAATTCGCGTGGGGATCTCTTCATATACACTACATTTGCTTTTGATGCATTTGCTCCTTGTAGGGGTCGTGCGGCAGTAGAGGAAATGTTTTTTGTTCAGTCGCGAAAACTATTTCTGGTCAATATGAGTATCTTTAACCTCATGAGCTGCTCATTTCATACACACGGCTGCCTTGTCCCATTTTGCTTCATATTTGCTGCCGAGTAACATCCTCACCTTTTGAGCCATCATCATCTCAGATCGTTTAGCAGTTGCTATGGCTGATAAATATATATATGATTATGGATCGAAAGTCTGCTACTAGACTTATTCACTGCCCTGTTTTGGGTATTCTCCTTATACCTATATATCATATCGCAAGTGCTATCTCTACTATGCAAGGAATGTTAATTAGATCTTCCCATCGAGCGTGTAGGGGCAGCAAATATGGTTATTTGATCAGCTCACATGCGTCTAGTGGTTAGGGTGTTAAGACGCCTGTTTCGAATCGGAAAAGCTCTACCGGGTGATTTCTCCTCCCGTGGAGCGGCAAGGTTTAGCCAGTCTGAAAGTGTTCATTTATCTGTTTAGTTATTGCAGCAGCGAAAGAGAAAGACTTAGCCAGTTAGTGGCATCCAAGTTTTTTGTGTTGGTTGGGTGATACCAACAATGAGGCGAGGCAATGCGAAAATATATTATAGGGCAACAGTGATGAAAGGGATAGGAAGGTGGTTCTTTCATTTACGCGAATTTGGGACGGGAATACTAGACTGATTGAGTGAATCCTAAGATGAAATTGAAGATAAAACACAGTGTTCGTGAATTATGAATAACCGTTAATCGTGGATGGATCTTTTTAACTTGGCATTTCGATGATCCCACAAACAGAGCTGGGATGGTAATCTTAACTTGAAGTCAATATCTATCCCTCTAAAACAAGATGACACATTTTCTACCTGAAAGAGGCTGTTCCTTGCTCGCTTTTTACATCTTCCATCCACTGATTGTTTCCAATAAGCTAATTCTCCCAACTATGAATTCCACAAATCTAGGAGCCAATTAACCCTAAAATACTCAAGAAGATACATACATACTTTCGAACCTTTCACTCCAACACACGACCCTTCACCCTTCACCCTTCACCCTTCACTCTTTACCCTTTACCCTTTACAATCTGCATCCCAAACAGAAAACACACATAAAGCACCAAACCCCAACCTCCTATCTAGCCTTGCAAATCCAAATCCAAACCCAAATGAATAAGCAATGATACCTATCTATCTATCTATCTATACCCGCACCAAAGATTCCGCCCGCACAGCATCATGTTGCTAGTATCAACTTACATTAGAAATTGCAGATTAGAAATGTATATGAGCACATGAAGAACATAAACCCCACGAATACTAGGAGGTAGTGGTAGCGAACAGAGTTGTCGAGGAAGGGTAGATAGAGTAATTTGACAGGATAGACAGGATGAATAGCCGCATAGAAGACGAGCTAAAGCCTCGGAATGATTTGATGGCAGGGCTGTTCATTGCGAATGGGAGCGCGCTTAGGAACTTTATGGGATGTTATTCGGGGACTTTTGAAGGGTAGCTCGAAATTATTATACATATCACGGAGAACGATGTAATCATGGCAGTATGCAAGGCAATCAGAAAAGAAAAAGCAGAACAGATTCAGGTTAATTTAATGGAAGAAAAGATCCGCCATGTGGATTGAATTATCGGTATAACTTATCATGAGAAGTTCATTGCATCATTAAATTATTAATGTTCACACTAGCTAAATGTACAGGGCCCTCGTTAATCAACCTCAAGCATCCCAAGCTTCCACTTCTTTTTCCCAATCATCTACTGCATCCTGTTCTGCTTTCTTCTTTTTCGCTGCCGTCCTGTTGCCCAAAACTGTGAAGCTGCTTTTAACACCTATGTCGGGCCTCACCGGAGCTTTGCTGTTACTGCCTCCTTTAGCCACCTGACTCCATCCTCCACCTAAATGATCATCTTCCCTTCTGATTACATTTAAACTCGAATCTACACTGCAGAGAACAACTGAGGATGCAAATTCAAGGGCTTTAACTTTTTGACGAAGGCCGTGCTGCATGGCATTTAATGCCGATTCGACTTTGGTATGCCAAGTCTCGGAGGGTTTTCCACGAAGGACAACCTCACTGGAAGGTAGGAAAGATACCTCAAAGTCGAGACCCGCGTTGACAAAATCAGATGAAAGGTCGGCGTGGATCTCAGCAATAGTTAGACCAAACCTGGGGTTCAACAATAAGAAGGCATTGAACGGCTCAGCTGTAGCAACTAATCCTTTCGAGGAAGGCGCAGCTTCTGCAACTGTTACTGGCTTTACTTTGACACATTGCGCCAAAGTCTTTAACGGCGCTGAGACAAAGCGTGGCGTCTTAAATATTGAAACGTGGCGATGTGGCTCTGGATCTTGACTTTCACTATCAAGACCATAGTCTTCCGCCAATGAGTGTATAAAAGCTCTATGATGAGGTTGCATCGGCTTGAACCTCAATCTTTTCTCCGACGGATCCGCCGCAAAAACACGGAACTCGCGTTCGTAGGTTTGACAAAATTTGAGCATGTCCTTGACCATATCTAAGGTCTGTTGTGAGTATGGAATGTGATCGTCCATGTGTGTACTTGGATCAATGTTCAAAGCTGCGGCAAGTTTTGCATTGCGTTGAAGCTTGAGACACTCGTCATTACAATCCAGTGTCTTCTTCGAATTACCCTCGCTGGTTTTTGAGGCAAGGCACTTGACAGCTTGCTTCTGATGCTGACATTCACATGTGATAAACGTCTTGCCTTGGCAGGGTAAAGTTTCCTTACAAGGGTAAGGTGCATGACAAGCGTCAGTACAAGAGTGATCGCAAACGGTTTTCTGCCTTCCACATGCTTGACGACATGGCGAAATTGCGTCTTCACATTGTCCAGGACGGTGACAGAGACTTTGACAGGAATGTATTCCACATTTTAACTTTTTCCCGCATGGCAAGCCGCACCGGACTTCGGTAAACCAACAAGGAATATTCTTCAAAGTCCGTTTGCCACAGATGCAGGGCTTCTCTACAAGGAATGGACATTTCGGACACGATTCATCATCGAGGTGGCATTGATGTTTAGTTTGTGGATGTCCACATGTCCTCTCTCTTGTACAATCAAAACGGCACTCAGGCGGCTTCGTCCCGCAAGGCATTGGAGGTTGCAAAACGGTACGGCCACAAGCGCAGCTGATTTCTTCAAAGATAGCTTCACGGCATGATCGGCAGGGGCCTTTGTGGCATAGTTCTGCGCAAGCATGGTTGCCACATTTGAGTGGCCGTCTGCAGACTTTAAGACAGATGTGTTCGGCCTCAATGTTCTCTTCTACTGGCGGAGCATTCAGGGCACGATGCTTGCGTTTCGAAGCTTGTCGTTCACTTGCTTTCTTTTCGCCAGAACAGCATCTTTCACCACATTCATGTCTTCCGCAGTTGAGTGTTGCTCGACATACTCTGGGACACTGAGGCTTTTCATCCGTTCCTTGATGGCACATAGTGTTTGATGTTGTCCTGCCGCAGCGACATGCAATTGTTACTGACTGAAAGCATGGTCGGCACTCGCCATCATGACAAATGCCTTGGCAGGTGTGTCCGCACTTCAACGGCAATTCGCATTTCTTTTGACAATGAGGAATCTTCTGTGTACAATCGGTTCGTGGTGTTTGAAGAAGTGTAGAAATGGGTGTTTTGCCGCAAGGACAAGTCGTGACAACATCGGGCGAAAATGGACAATGTGCAGGTAAGATGTCTTGAGGATGGCATCTACTCTCACAATAATGATCTGGTTTACCACAATCATAAGGTCTCCGACATTCAGAGCCACAATCGAAAGATCCAATCCAGGTCCTCGAGGTCGAGCTCTCACTATCGAGCGGACTGGTTGGTGCTTGACTTTCACGCTCTTCATCGCGTTCCCAGCAAGGTAACGTTTTTTCGACTTTACCACAATAGCATGTAGATTCAATAAGAACTTCACAGCTGCCACAGAGGCCCTCATGACAGCTTCTCTGACAATTGTGTTCCCCGCATGGAAGTATGTCATCGCAGATTTGCCCACAACTCCATCCACTCTCGTACTTCGTGTCTAAACATCTCCTTGAGACAGTCTCCTTGCCACAAAAGCAAGGAAGGGAAGGTCCCATATGAGCGCAAGGCGGGCAAGGTCCAGCATGGCAGATAACGTCGCATGGATGAGGACAGTGTCCGCTCCGTTTCTTCGAACAAGTCTGACCACAAGAATGTGGTGGTAATCCAGCTTCTGAACGTGGTTCAACCTCCTTCTCACACCAACAAGTGTACGATATTGGGATGTCGTCTTTAGGCAAATTACAACCAGGACATCTCCACTGTCGCGGTGGAGGCAATTCTCCATTCTCAACTGCCCGTTGTTGATGCGTAGATACCTCGTTCTTCGACCACTTTTTAACGCACGATAAATGTAGAACCGACCAACAAGTCTTACATGTCCATATCTTGGAATTTGGTAAAACTTCGTTGGTGCAAATCACGCACTCGTATTGACCATTTGTAATATCTTCATGTGTTCGGGTACCAAGATCTGGAGCTTGGGATTTCGACATTCGACGTGCGCGCGGAGCTCGAGACGGTCCAGCTCGGCTGGCAACAGGCTGTCCGGGCACAAACAACGGGGCATCTCCAGCCAGAGAACCAGCGTCAGACGTAGGGTGGGTATGAGAGTTGGAGGTCAGTTGCCCCCCAAATACTCTTCCATTAGCCATAGGGCGTGTACGAGGACCCCCTCTTTGACCACCTCGTCCAAACCCACCTCTTCTACCATGACCTCCTCGATTGTTTCCATTCGGATTTCGTGGATTTGATGGGATCAAAGAATCTGAGCCGGATAGCGGTGCCACAGAAGCCGGTCTGAGAGCTAAAGAGCCATTTGGTACTTGTGCCGTTGGGTTTGGAGTACCGTTTGCATTTGTATCTGCTGGTGCAGGTCCAGCATTTCGATGGCCACCTCTTCTTGGGCGACGAGGCCGTGGTCGAGGAGGATGATTGGAATTAGGAGCTGGAGATGTCTCTGCAGCAGCCATTATGTGAGTATGCGGAGCTTGAGATATTCTCTGAAATCTTTGATGTGTGATGTGGTAAAATCGTTCGTTGATCAGTGGCGGGGTCGTTATTTTTTGGTTTACTGCAGTCCAAGGTAAACAGATTTGCGGGAACTTGCAGAATGTGGATTTGTTCGTGAAATAGCAAGTAACTTGCGCCTTCAGAATACGGCGACTTCGAACAGGAAAGAAATGATAAAAAAAAGCTCAAATGATATAAGTTTGGTAGAAATTATTTTCTATTTGTAAAAAGGAAAGGGTGCTCTCAGCGCGAGCAAGGCTGACTTTATGTGGGAATCACTGAAGTCCTCAATTGATACTAAACTCATCAACTTAGCGTTCATTTGGTCCGTGCAGATAAATTTGTCAGCTCTAAGACTCACACACATTGTTGACTCATATTCCCTCATCATCTCGAACATACTCGAGCAGCAATATGTTTATTGCATGAGATGACTCCGGAGCATCGAATGTGGAGTACACTTGAGCTATGAACAGAGCAAGGATATCACTGCCCACCGTCGCAATCTCCAATACGAGTAAGCTTATAACAAATCTTGAATGGAAGGTTTTAGGTTTCGGTAGCCTTGTTGTACAAGGCTGGGTGAAGCCTTATATCAACCTACATTTTGTTTTCGGCTATGATACTCGTTCTTGTTTTGGCTGTAATGGGAGATCGGGGCACGAGTATCTCCATCTGTTTAGAGGCATATTGCTGAGTATGTATTTATTCTCCAATAACACTCGAGGGCTGAAGTTCTCCACTCAGGTACCTAGTGTATAGGTAGAAACACAAACGACTGAGCTCCAGTATGACCTCGTTGCGTAAAGGAATAGTGACCAGCGGATATCCCATATGAACATATTCCTTTTCTTTTCAACATTCGTATCTCGTGATTCCCTGTCATCTGGTGTGATGATATATGAATAATAAGTCCAATTCACTTTGTAATACTCACCCCTTTCCATTTTCTACCGAGCTTTTCTCCTGCTTCTCCTTTACCAACTCAATCAGATATCTTTCATATTCAAGGTAGAAATCTTCTATACTCTTCCAAAAATGTCGCACTCTATCACCGGCACAGCCTACATCCTACCTACCTCCAAGGCTTCCTTCTCCGCATCCTCAAAACCCGTTACGACTTTCTCGCTCTTTTCGGTTCTAACCCCCAGAACTTTGCCTTCACACATACACTCACTGTCTCCCATCCCGACGTATTATCGAACTAACTTTTTTTCATCCATCTGAATCATTCATCTCCATGTACTCTTCTTACATTCCCATGGTTCTCCATCTCACCTCCGAATCACGTTCCTTTGCCCTTCACCACTACCACTACATTTTCTCTCTCTATCTCTGATTCAGCCTCCGGAGGGATAGTTTATTTCATTGGATAGACGCTAGCCAAATCTACAGTCCTGATTGTACGGCTTGGGTTGAGGAAATGGAAAATATGTTAGGATCAGCAGGTGGGAAAGATGGAGATCGACATTGCTTGCGTCGATTAAGATATTTATTCATTGGGGAAGATGCTTACTCTCAGCTGGCTATCTCATCCATTATTCTCGGCTCCTTTCGTCATTTGAAGGAGATTAGGATAGTCACCAAAGATGAGATACTACTAAACCGGCCGTAGAATGAGGCCAGTTTGCCTATAGATGAGCCCGAGGCTGAAGGAGCCGAAGGAAGATAGAATGAAGAGCCCTTCAATCGGATATTCTCATGTTCGCCGATAATACAAAGGTCTGCGAATTGGTAACTCAGATGGAGCGTTTGTAATGGAAGAGAAAAGAGAACGATTTGCCGTTAGATAGTGATGGAGTTTGAATCTTGATGCATGAATTATCTATCAAGAATCTGTTATGTCCCATTGATCTATCCATCCCAGGGTCCCTTGGTTTCCATACCATGTGAATTTTCCACCGTAAAGTTTTAGTCAAGATATGACAGAGATATCCAAACCACCCCTCCAGGCTCAAGCAGATTCAATGGGTATTCCTTTGTCCTCTAAATCTCGCACCAGTATTCCAAATTTCATTCATTTGCCACACTATATGTTAATATCCTCACCCTCATCATCCTCATCCAGTTCTTGTGTTTGCAATATCGAGAATCAAAATATCTGTTGCTCCCACGTCTGTCAAATCATCCATAACCACGGCGATTTTCTTCTTCTCAACCATTGCACTAACTGCCACCCACCCATCCTCCTCCAAGGCGTTTATTGTGGGTGCTCGTTTTCCAGGGGTAATCTTAACTGCATCTGCGAGGGCCGTTCGTTGAACGTTATACTGGCACAAGACGTATTTTTGTGCAGTGATGACACCTCGAATGCGAGAAGCAATGAGATCTACTAATGCTGGGTTGGATGGGTTCTTGGATTTAACTAGAATTGCTGTACTCGATACGACTGTATCAATGGCTTTTAATCCTGCTGCTTTCATCGTTTCGCCGGATTCTAACAACTTATTAGCATGAAACTTTTAGAGCTAACCATTTGTTTCTACTCACCAACCAGATCCACAATTCCATCAGCAACTCCAAGGGCGCATGCAGCCTCAACGCTGCCACTAAGCTCAATAATCTTTGTCTTCAACTTGCGTCCAGAAACCGCACCACCATCTGCCTCGGCCTCCAAAGCTCGGAAGAACTCCTCGGATAGACTAACAAAACTGGTACCAATATTCTTTCCAATAAGGTCTGATGGCTTTGTATATGGCCCCTTCTCCGGTACTTGTACTTGTAACTTGCAAGAACCAAATGCTAAATCCATTACCTCCACACATCCTTTGTCCTTACCCTCCTCAACAGGAGTTGTGGTTCCTGACTCCGACTTCACTCTCCTCTGGGTTTCGACCCCAGTGGCATGTTCCGCAACAGTATCTCGTCCAGTAATACCAAGATCCACTCGACCCTCACCAACAAACGTAGGAATATCGGCAGCAGGGAGGAAGACAAGCGCAATTGGTAAATTCTTAACCAATGCTATGTCAAGTCTTGATTCACGTCTAAACTGAATATCGGCACCTTCGAGTAAGTTGAGTGCTGCTTGTAATAATCTTCCCTCTACGAGTTTCATTAACCATTAGACTCAACTATAGAATTCGGTTTGAGTGGCCATGACTCACTTTTCGGTACCGCGAACAGTAATCTACCTTCTAAGCTTTTGATATTGTCAGTGAACGGTTCGTACTCTTCAATCTCTTCATCTGCAATATATAACATCTTGAGGACTTTCATTGTGACTTTCTTTGAACAGTCGGAATTGCTAGAGTGTTTTCTGCCAAACTGTGCGAAACTCACAACTCCAACCGTTGAAATAGGTTTCAATGGCAGCCTCAAGAGGGAGAATGTATGAGAAAGACAGTACTTACTGGTTTACGAGATCCATTTTCGTTGAGGGTGTGAAATGGAAAAGTCTCTGTACAATGTGAAGATATATTCACTCCGATCGCGGGGTATTCACTCGAATCACAAGCAGAAGCAGAGGATGTTGTGTTCGCGGGTGACTAAGAATTGTTTATTGTTTGTATGTCTTTGATAGATTGGAAAGAGATATAAATTTGGAAAATCCACGATTATTGGATAATATAAGAACGAGACAAGACTTCACTTTAAATATGGCTCGTCGATGTTTTGGCGCAAACTCCTTTATAAAAAAGTTACTTCAACATCATCATTCTGCCCCACGTAAAACAACAGGTACTTTCGGTGGTCGGCGCTTTCTCTGATACACTAGTCCCAATACAATTTAGCGCGTAAATGCTCCGGGGCTCGACACTAAGAAAATTAACGAGAATCTCTTGCCCTAAGATTCCGCGAACAGGCAAAAAATTATCACCAAATTCACGTCGACCAGTAAGACCCAAGTCAATTTATCAACCACATCCCAAAATCCAAGCGCATCAATTCTGTGAGTGACTGAGGAGCTCAACTACGGCTTCTGAATCCTAACAATTCTTAGATTGCAAAAATGGATGCATCAAAGGTCCCCGTCAAGCTCGTTAAGGTCACCCGTGTTTTGGGCAGAACCGGTATGTCGAAATTAGAAAAATATACGTCTGCGAAGATAAAGGATGAAATTCTGATCAAATTTAGGTTCCCGTGGAGGTGTTACTCAAGTCAGAGTTGAGTTCATGGATGATACCACCCGTTCCATTATCCGTAACGTCAAGGGCCCAGGTACGATTTCACGATTACATTTTTGTCCTGCAATTATATTACGACAGCGAATTTTAGAGAATGAAGATGCTAGGAGGCTAGGAAAATTATAGGCTAACATTTTCAAAATAGTGCGCGAAGATGATATTCTCTGCCTACTCGAATCCGAGCGTGAAGCTAGAAGATTGAGATAAATTGTTGGTCATGGTCGGTTGATTGGAGCAATGGGATTTTCTTCATTCATGCAGGTCTTTGCTACGGCTTTGGACTGAAATTGCGTTTGATGGATATGGATGAATAAGTTCAAGGAAATACTTTCACCACAAAATAGCACGATCGATGAATTCCCGGTACCAATGTTTTTTTCGACAATATGCAAATTTTGAGACGTGAGGATTCTTGTGGCCTCGGGTGATATGGATTTCGCATTATTACAACTTCACACCACTTTTTTGAAGGATTGGATCATGATTATGGATTTGGAGACTTTAAAATTATTGAGAAAGTACAAGCGGGGATTTCTGCCATTCACTATCTGTTCAATCTATGCCCCGCATTCAAGTATGAATTCTGGACGTCAAACTTTGGTGATGGAAATTTGAGCGAATTCCTCCCATGCTAATTCCCATCTTTACCCATTCACTTTTCCGATTGCAACCCTGGAGTCTAAGTTCATTTCGTCTTTTCGAACACTTCAGAAAGTAGCAATAGCTAGGCGTACACTAAAAGAAGTACATCTGTTATCTCCTTTCCACTTCCCTGATTTTCCATATCAAACACCAACTTATGCATGAGTACTTCTACCTGAAAGTTCATGGATATTTTCAAACTCCACTTTTCACTATTAATCTTTGTATGTTCACTTTACTCGAGTTAATTTCGACGTATCGACCATTTGGACAATTCAATTCTTTGAGATGAATTACGATTCTTTAGTCACAAGCCAGAATATTCAATTTGACTCACAGTACGGCATATTGTCATTCAAATAATCATATTTTCTGCAATTCAACCATCGCCGTTTTCTAACCAAAGGACATTCAAACCAAGCAACAGTTTTACTCGCATCTAAATCTAAACAAAAACGAATACAACAAACCCTCGAAAATGTCTTCTCATCCTTTTCCTCATGCAATCACAATCTTGCAATCCTCTTTACAAGAACAATCTAGACAAACTGGACAACTTGAACAACATTCACCAAGTCAATCGCAAGCTGGACCTGACCGTCAATTTGCCCTTCTGTCTTCGTCTCCATCTCCATCTCCACCTTCAAGCCCACCGCAGGCCAATCTCGCAATCATAAATCCAATACGACATTTCTATTCTCCTCTTCTCTCTTCTCCTCCGCTAGGTTCATCACCTGCTACGATTGTTTACTCACCTCTTTCACCGCACCCGGATTCACAATCACAATCACAGTCGCAGCCACAGTGGGAGTCGGAGTCAGAGTCTCAACAATTACTCGCCCCATTACCACCGCCACCCTCACCAGCTTCTCATAACTCAAAACAAGCACGGCAAGCTCGATCTCTAAGAAGTAAACGTCGCTATCCTTCTCCACCACCGCCGCTACCCCCACATCATCACCTACTAGCCCCATTTATCCCTCCATCTTTTTCTGAGAGCCAACGTCAACATCAACATCAAACCCCAATATCAGAGCATATCCAAACCCCAACCCAAAACCCGATTCCAAACCCCTCCCTAAACCCCACACCCCTTCCCACCTCGACCACCTACACCACAACATACTCTCTCTCCTCCCCGCATCCAAATCTTCCGCCTTTCCCCAATTTTCCCATATCCTCTTCCCAATTCCTTCCCACCTCTTTCCCATCCTACAATTCCTCCTCCTCCTCCTCCTCCCCTCCTTACCATTCAGACTCCTTTTCCTTCTTAATACAAACACCATATTCACAATCGTACAATGAAATCCAAGAACTTGAAGATCTAAGAGTTCGTCGTGCAAAATTGTTTTGTACTGTGTTTACGGGGGTTTTGGTGTTGATGCTTATTGGGGTTGGGGTGGGGAGGTGGATTGTTTATGGGTAGGTGGTTATGGGTGGGGCTTTGGAGGGAGAGAGGAAGAGAGGAAGAGAGGAAAGAAGAGATATAAAGGATGGGGGATGGGGGATGGGGGTGGGTGATAGATTATAAGTAGAGAGAGGGGGTTATAGATTGATTTTCTAATAAAGAGTTAATTTATAGTAGTCGTAGTAGATTCATAATCGATTTGATCTAACTATAGCTAGGGCTATGTGGACTATGTGATAGGTCAATGATATGTACAGTATAGGTTGTGTAGGAAAAAGAAAATTATGAATAAACAAGCAACCTGCAATCCCTTGGAAGATATCCGAGCTGTTTATGATAATAACCAATTACTTCAATTATTTACAATCTGTGATAAATACAAAACTGAAGACGATATTTTTGGTAAGTCTTTTGTTTGATTTCGGATTAGTTAGTAGGCCTTGTTTGCCTAGTATGATATAAAGGGTGTATTCCCTGCTCTCCTCTCCTCCTCATATATATACAACAATATTCAGGTTTGCCATTGTTATTATCGTTACTATTGGTGATGGCTTTTTTGTTTCTATATAGTTATGATCTCCTGCAACCTCCTGTAGAACACATATGCGATATGACTCAACCATGTTTGTTGTTTTCGCTTGAGACTTTCGTCTTTGTTTGGATCAATATATAAACGCGTTCCCTTTCCCACTTCCTTCCATCCTCCACTTCCTTCCATCCTCCGCTTCATAAACTCTACCCCTCCTACCATTCAACAATCCACACTTATTTATCATAATTCCCAAACAACGAAACGCTCGTACTCGTATACACCCCCGTTCCCGGCCTGTCGCAGCGCCAGACCATAATTGTTACATTAAATGTCTATATAACCTCGCTATGAAGCCTGGTTTGACCTGTATACATATACATAGTAAATGCCCCCGTCGCCGCCGCAGCAAGGCGTCGTATCTCAATGTAAGGACCCCTTGTTTGTATAGCTTTTAATTTTCGCATTAATCTGTTATTTAGATCCCTGCTAGCTGTATGGAGCAGGTCCAGGCCGCTCTCCGGGCTGCCTCAACACCATAATGAACCTCATTAGCCCATTTAACCAGCGATTTTGGGTTTAAACATAGGAAACAAACAAGTAAGGAGTGTGTTGTTGATAAAGGCGAATCCATTTGCTCCCGAATCAATGAGTGTTCTTGATCTATAGGTATAGCCATTCTTGGAAAGGGTATATGGGAGAGTCAGTGCTTCTCCTCCCATTAGTTTTGTTAGATCAAGAAATCTCATATCTCGTATAGCGCTTAGGATGGAGACGGAGTCTAAGCGTCTTGTTTTAAACGCTCTTCCTCTGCTCCTCTACAGCTTCGCGGTCTGGATCGTCGCTGGCATCATGGTATTCTTCTTCGCTCGACTATATCTGAAATAAACCATAAATTTCTCTCCTCTTATAACCCAAAAGTATTGTCGGAATCAAAAGGGATCATAGAAAAATAAGGCAGAACACCAGGGTATATAGTAGCATCAAATATACCAGTGTTAGATGTACCCACACAATTAGCTAGAGTTGACAACTTGGTAATTAAACGTTTGTGTTTGTGCACATTCGAGTTTATCGTATTGCTGTTTGTATCCATTGTACGAACTTCCACTCAAGTATCTTTGAAACTCTTCTAAATCATAGTTTCATTGCTGACTTAGTTCTCGAGCATTCAAGTTAGCGAGACGTTCCTCATCCGAATCCACATCGAAGTCCTCTGCCACATATCTCAAGTCCTCTTCGATATCTAACGACTCTTCGATGTTAGGAGAGAAAATGCTATTTGGTGCCGGCATGAGGTTCGGGCTAACTGGAGTACGAGTCGGTGTCTCCGGAATTGTTTCTGCAATCGCCGCTTCGATATTATGATTGGTGTTTCCCTTTCAAAAATGATTGGTGGTGACCGAGGAACCTACACTTCCGGAGATGGCTGAGTATATGGTGGCGGTGGTGAGTGTTGTCGACGAATCTACTCCATTCCACTAACATAGCCCCTTGTTGAATATACTTCTCCTTTATGTTGGTTTCGCGTGTATCGGTATCAGTACAAGTGTTGCTTAAGTGCGTGCGAAGCTTTTCTAGGCCTATCTCCGCATAAGTGCTTTGACTGATGTATATGCTAAAGATCGTTGTATTAGATAGAGATTCAAGGTTACGAATCAACTTGTTTGTGGTCGTAGTGCTGGGCCTAATAATCGGAGCAGTCTTCTCCTTCGTAATGACGAATCCCTTCGTAGTTAGATTGAATTGTAAAAGGAAGAGATGTTGTGAATTGCTTAAACCGGCTTCGTGAATGGCAGAAGCGTCGTGAGATAAATCATCGATGCTCGATATTGGACGAGGCGTAGAGGCACTTGCGAAGTCGGCGTCTGGAGGAACAACCAACGTCATTTCCATTTGTAGCTTCTTGCCAGCAAGCTTGATAGACACCGTAAGAGAAAAGTGAATATGAATATGTTCTCTCGCATCACAATGTGCAGTCATAACAAAGTTTGGATTGTGCTTGTTATCATGTGAGCAACTGATTGATCTACCCATTTTACAAACACTCTCTCGTTAAGGAGCTTTTCTAGCTGAAGTTTCCCAATCGGAACCGACATAATTTTCCCTATAACTACAATTAGCGATGAAATATAGTTAAGAGAATGATTGCATTAAAAAAAATATGCTAGACCACATTTTACGTGTAATTCCCGACCCACCCAGGCTATAGAGCAGCCTTGACTCTTCGGACAAAATGAAGGGTAGAAGTGATCAATAAAAGCTAGTGAATGAATTGTGTTGGAGCTGTGCTAAACAGCAGGTGCTGAAGGACGTAACCACCGCCAGGATGTTCTAAATAGCTGCTGCTGAAGGACGTAACCTGTTCGGAGAAATAACAGGCCGTTCTCCTCCGAATAGGTACCGCCGCCAGGGTTGTCTAAACAGCAGATACTGTAAAAAACAACTCCTGTACACAACACAATACCGTATAAACTCAAGAAATCTGCTCCACACTAAACCCTTTCAGAATAAGGTTATTTATTATTTCCTATTTCCGGGTGGAAGAATTAGCAAAGTAGAACGAAAAATTTCCACTTTTACAATTCATCCAATAGGTATAATAGCCCTCTCCACAAACCTTATTCTGAAAAGAGCTTATTGTGAAGCAGATTTCTTGAGTTTATACGGTATAGGAGCGATTTTGTTGGAAAGACTGTGCTTGTATGTTCGTAAAAGACGGAGATAACGATAGAAAGACCGCGTTTGTATAATCGTAATAGATGTTGTGCGGTGGAGATAAAGGGATATATAGATGGCGATGGAAATGAAGATGGAAGGATATAAAGACGGCGATGTGGAAACAGAGAGAAAGATAAGTAGGTAAGGTAAGGAAACATACTAATAAGCGAGACCAACCAACTACGCGTCATTTAAAAATGCATAGAAAAGTAGTCAAATGTTCCCGTTCGTTCCCCAGCAATTGCCAATTGAGTCCATGTACAGATAAATCAATTATGCCAATCCAGGGTTCGTGAGATCGAAGGTACCATTTGGTGGTCTTATTCTGCTGATCTATCACCTAGTTAGGCCTATACATCCGGCTGACCAGCAGGTTATTTTCAAAGGAGGCTCGAACTACTGCCCCACCACCATTCATCACCACTTATCGAGAGGGAGTACATAACTTTATGCTATGAAAAGTATTAAATCCAACATCATCTTTATATTAATAATAAAATACCTTGAAAACCCCAAATTCTGTTATATTCAAAAGAAGCAGAACACTTTTCTACACCCCTGAAAACTTGAAACATAAAACTCGGCCTTCAATTGATGATTTTATTCTATATGAAAGGATTCGAGGAACTTTCCTAGATCGACGTTATTCTGTCACAGCTAGGGCAATGGCTTCCGAACGCAACATTTGACCTAGATGGAAAAGTAGACAAATGTGCAGACGCGGAGAAGGATCAACGGTGCCTACCCCTCTTTATCGAGTTGGGCATACTTAAGAAGGCTAGGAGAATCTCCTTCGCTTTTATAATTGGAGGAGTTTGCCTAACTTTTTGCAGATTCGTTTTCAGCAGACCCGATTCTACTCCCGACCCTAGTCAACGTCTAAATCCTGGATCGATGATACATATTACCAAGGATGTCAAAATTAGTCCTGTGCTATATTGTCTTGTCGTTGTAACTTATTGATATGGTTGATGATAGGAGGGCGTTTCGGTCAAGTTATCCAACGAGGGGAGTTCATGTGATGCAACAGCCGCGGCGTTGTAACGATTTTCGGTGGTAGCAATCGGGAACGGCAATATATCGGAGGCGCTATATGTATTGAAGGGGAGCCAAGACGCATCGAAGGAAGCGAGTTCAGACATATCGTGTCTCTGCTCGCCTTGCGGTTAGAAGGCTTGCTAGGATTGCATCATCCATTTTGAAGGATCGGCGTCTATCAGTGAAGTTAGCTATGATTTTTTAGATGAAATTCCACTTACTTAAATCACTAACAGACAGGTATGATATATCGGTAAATGCTGCCGTCGTTGATTGCTCAAGAGCTATACCTATCAGTACAGCGGCTTACATAGAAGAATGTTGTTTCCACATTACCTGCAGCCGCACTTAATATATCCATCGCGCTTTGATCATTTATCTATACATCATGAGCCTTGGCTAAACTCTTCAGGAATCGACGAACTCGTACCTTCTGAATCTGGAAACTGTGTGCCTTGGGTTATACTGATCGCGGGAGCAGCTGCTGCAGATGCGAACGGTTCTTTTGAAAGCCCAGGTCTTGGGTGCGAGGAGTGCTCAGTTGATGCCGCGGTTGAATAATGCCATTTAAACGGTTGCAAAAGGCCTGCGCGAATCCTCTCATCAAGCCCAGCAGCATGCACCTTCTCAGTCTTTTTCTTGATGTCCGCTGATTGAAGGAGTGCAACAGTTTCTTCGTGAGCAGCACCCTTTATTGGTAAATAATCTTCCAAGCTATTTCATTAAAGTGTTGTATTAGTCTAGAAGAGCACGTTAAAGCGATCACACTTACAGAGGATCACCTATCGACTCAGGAAGTAAAAACAAACATCCAGGGTTTCCAAGAGAGTGTTACGACAGGTAACAATTAGGTCACGGGATTAGTAATAACACGTGATGCGAGGATTCGAAGAGCAAAAGCAGAACCGTTGCCCGATGGCAAGAAATGTGGTTCAGTCGCCCAGCCACTGTTGGAATTCGAGCTGAACAGCTTTCGGGAGGCGCACATCTTCGGCGGTAACTTTCACTAAAGGTCGCAACTTTGGACTTTCTAAATATCGCAACTTTGAGATTTCTATTGATCCTTTTGGTTGCTTGGTTTTCGTCGGAGTGATCGTGACAGTTCGAAGAGCCTTTTTGGATGCTTTTGACAGAGATGGTATTGCATCGACTAGTACCTTGAGAAGCTGGAGCGCAGGTCAACTGCGAGCAATTAATTGCAATGGTTGAGAAGAACTTACCTTTTTATCCTGCAATATATCATCAATTGTTTCCTTTTGAAGACGCCTCAATACAGTAGTGCTAATTTCTGCTCCCATGATGGCTACGTCGGAATGTAGAAGAAGGAATCGATTGTTGTTTTAGAGAAAGCGAAAACATGAATGAGATGGACTAGGTTTCCGCAACAGGAGTATTGCTATGATAATTTGTTGCAGCGCAAAACCCATCTATCCAAAGTTGAATCAAGAACAAAAGTTTGGAGGCCTTGGTATACTGCGCTTTTACTCTCACTTTTCTGCGAGCCAATTATTCTTTTTCCCCTCTTGGACAAATAATCTTTCTGTGGACAACGATTTTCTCCGCGTCACATTTGGAAAACCTACACTAAGATAAAAGCATGAACTAAGAACTATTCGCATAAAGAATCAGGTATATACCCATTCATCTATTCGTGCTAGTATAGCCTTGATAACACCAATACATATCTTGCTCCTCCAACTGCCTATATTTCTCCCTCGACAATATAGGCTCTTTCAACTGCTTATAGAGACCGACGAAATGTATTCTACTAGTTTCAGTGGCTTCAACGGGTTGATTGCCGGATTGTGGGTGAAAAGCTGAAATTTGGCCTAAACGGTCGTGAAATTCATCATCTGCCCAGAATGTCAGAAAGACAATGACTTATATTTTGAAGGTAGTACTTTACAGAGAATTATTATCATATATGTATGCTAGGGTTTATCTCAATGTTACTAATCACCTTGTATTAAACAATTAAGCAGCAGATAAGTAAGAACTTTCGTAAATATATAATTGTCGGCTTGCCGACACCATAACCTTGCCGTACACGAGGTTTACCTGATGGATGATAGAAAATGAGAAATTCGCTTAAGTGAATCGCGATCTTGATAATCTGATTGGTCTAAAATACCCCGGTCAATAAATCTAACAAAAAGCTTAACATAAACAAACCTTACAACCTTAGACAAATCTGATTTAGAGCTTTTTTCAACTCAACTCAATTGAAATCATTCAACTCTATTCATTCAATTCATCTCATTTAATTTATAATAATAATAATAATAATAATAAAAATTTAAATAGTTTAAATAGTTTAATAGATTGAATAAGTCAAAAAAAGCTTTAAGTCAAATCTGCCCAAGGTATATATGGCATATATAGCTTGTAATACCAAAAGAAATCTGTTTGATGAATTATTACCAATTAAAACACTCAGATCGCGATTCATTTTCTTAACCAATTATATCGCAACCTTAAGCGAACCTCATTTTCACGGTATATCCAGTCAAACCACCGCCTTGGCGGGCGTACAGGTACCATGGTTCAATGGGGAAACGTCCTCTAAATCGAAATTTGGGATCGTACAAAGATATTGGCAATGCTACACATCAAGGGCACTAGGCTCTTGCAATAAGTAATGTACTTGGTAGGATTAATCTCAAGGTTTTCTGTCAATGGTAGGATTGTGTGACAGACACTTGTTGTAGCCTGTATAGGAATGAGTGGAAGATAAGCATAGTGATTGTGGCGTTATACACATCATGTAATACGGTACTGGTACTATTCGATTTCAAGCATCTTTGGTATGCAGGTCAGAATAAGATAGATGCGATCAATACAGTTGATGCTTACTGCCACCGGCATAGATGCTTACTATTCGTGTAACCGGTGTAACATATGGAAGAAATGGGATCAATTAAGCTTATTCTCCATCCGACCACGGTTTCATTCGCAACAAATGATGAAATCCTTTTTCATCATATACGGGGAGACCATCTACTTTATGTATGACCAATTCTTGATCCGGTCATGGTTCCATTCTCTTTCCTCTGTCGTTCGCTCCGGCTTCGACTCCGACTTGGACTTAGATTGGGGACTTTGATACAAGAATGAATTTTCATAGCCATCTTCTAATAATAAATCAGTTGTGAGAAAATACGTGGTGGAAATGGTTGGTAGTGAAATTGCATTGTATTTTATCTTAAGATCTTACTTGCATGAAAGGAAAGACTGGGTGAGATGCGAAAGTAGGAACTGATTAGTTACCACAGCAGTTCTGGCACAAGGAAACTATTACACAAACGCGGAATGGCAGTTCAAGTACGGTTAGGGTTAGCCAAGTTACCAAGCCGATTGGCGAAGAATAAGAGATAAAAAATAAGGGGGTGGATATTACGGAGGGAGGACTGTGCTTTTATCTATATTAATTAATATAATTGTGATAAATAAAGTTTTAAAGATCAATATTATTCGTTTCAATACATTTTTCAAAAAATTGTACTTCCATTAGTTTTAATTGATGCCCGAATATATAAATAGTATTTTGACATTATTAATTTATCACAATCTCGCTATATGTGTAATTATATCCATCTAAGTTTTTATCAAAATGTTGATTCCGTGTTTCAATCTCTCGAAATTCCAGTAAACAATTTGATAACAAATACCTGTAACCATTTTGTTGAGAGAAGGAGGGAAGAAAGGCCATCTGTATATCTGCACACATGTAAGATCTTACGAGAGAGTAAGCTTAACCTTTAAACCCCACACCTATTTATTAGCCTGGGCAGCCAGCGTGAATCTGGATTCCGTTGTAGTCATCCATTCTCACCAGAGCCTTGCTGTCCATTATCGTTTGTACCACTTTCCGCCTCTCAAGTCATATTTTGGTCTCCCATGAATTTCACCCACGCCATGATGGCACCCTGCTACCCACACCCTTCACACATTCATATATATGATCTAACCACCACGCTAAATCTGCCATCCCTCCATCCTTTTTTAACCTTTAGCTTTAATTTTAACCTTCTGCGCCACGCCCGAAAACCTGCCCTGGAATTCGTACTCTGGTCATACGCGTCAAGTATCTATTGGTTCAAACAAAGTACATATCCGGCTGCCGATATTTTAGCCGTGATTACTTTAGTCATCTAATGTCCGACGCACAAGTACTTTTCTAATCCTTGGCAGCTTTATACTTCAGTGCCGGTATTCAACGACGGTAGTCTTTGTCAACCTATTTACCGCGTTCACTCGTACCAAACACCACCTGCCTGCCTCTCACTCACCTCCGTATGTCCGCATATAGTCATGCTGATCGCTATATGCATGTGATAATTTCATTTTTTCTTTTCGCCAAAATGTGGGCAGCTTACTGTTAAGTCTTCTCGAGTGCCTAGCTGACCTTTACCCATGTTCAACCTAAAATGGATCAACGCAGTCGAATGCCCATACGAGCAAAGATGAGATTTTTTTGATACCAATAAGCTGCATAACGTAGGTGTCTCACAATTTAGATTTACTCTGTATCACCCACATTAACGCAAACAGTTATCGATCATTTCCGTGGCGAACTCGAAACGAGGTGCTAAAGGTACAGGCTGGGACGCTACAGCATGGAGAGAGCATCATTCTTCGGAGGAAAGTATCTCCTTGGGAAAGTATGTCGGTGACGCACGGGATTTATGTGAGCTGTGTTGCAAGTGTAACATAGAAAATAGAACGTGTCAGATTTGCAAAATGGGTTGGCTCTCGTTATCTTATGAAGAAGGATTGGAAAAGTCATTTATGTCAATACTTTTCTATTAGGCTAATGCTGTTGATGTAAGACTTTATCCGACTACTAGTGACTATACTTCCCCGGGGCTAATCTTTACCCCTTGTATTCTATGCGAGACTCAGCATTTGGGACTTTCCAACTTCCACGCCCTAGCTGCTGTTGAGACTCCAGTCGCAGCACTACCTTTCCCGAATTTCTAGGCTACATTACAATACTGCCACTGCACATACCATGAAACTTTCGACATTCCAACGCAGTCTTAAATATTCAGCCTTGGAGCCAGAAGAACGAGCAAAAGATGAACGGGCACAAAGCCGAAACCCCGAAATCAAAAACAAGTGGAAAATTCCCATGATATCTCTGACCGTTTTATTAGCTGTTTTGGTCGGCTTCTTCCTCGGAAGAATATCAATGAGGGTGCAAAATGCCAGAGATTTGTTAGGTACTTCGGCTATCGCTCGAGAAGGTCGACCATTACCATGCTAACATGTGAGCTGTAGAGCCAGCTGGCGATCACGTCGAGACTTGGGTGTATAATAGAACATTCTCAGACCCACCAAGCCATCAAACTGAGTCGGCATGGCGTTCGATTTTTCCAAGTATGTTTAATATGTTTAATATGATACATATTCAATGTCTCTAGTTTGGCTCTAACACGGGATCACAGAAGGTCGTGGTTTTATCCACCACCGATCTTTAGCACCGAATATCTCTGGTATAGCTGTGTTTCATGAACTGCACTGTCTGGTAAGACGACACCAGCCAACATTCCTCTTCCTGATTCTCATTCTCTCTTTGCCCACCACTCTCACATACACAAATTTTGTCTTACCCAAGCTTACATTTAGCTCTTAGAACGGTATCCGCCTTGCTTATTATGCTGCCTCGACAGAGAAACAGGAGAAAAGCGAAGTTGGCAGTAGTTCTATATCCGGAAACGCTCATTCGGGCCACGATGACCCTGCACACATCCGTCACTGCTTCGACTATCTGCGGCATGCTCTGATGTGCGCTGCTGATACCAACCTCGAGCCTGTGGATTGGAAGTATGGTGGCGTCACTGGATGGGGATTTGATAGAACCTGCCGAAGTTATGATGCTGTAGTGGCCTATGCAGAGCAATGGAGGACACATTCCGAAGCAGATATCTCTTGAACACATTTGATATCACTCCTCATCCTTACGAGAGATGAGACAAGTACCCAAATCTGTTATCAGTTTCCTACGTGTTGACTGAGAGATCAAGTACAAGAACGAATTATCGTCATAATAATATATGAGAATTTACATTTCTTTAACGGAGTGTCTAATATCTGGGTACAAGTAGCCCTGGCTCTGATAAGTTAACACTTCTATCTTTGATCCAGCCACTGAAGTTTTGCCAATTGATGCATTGATGAGGGCCTATATCCGTGGTAGTAGGTACAAATTCATCCCCTTCCTTGAGCCACTTGTATATTGCAAGAGATGTGTCGCCGCTGCGCATGGCGGGGAGACGCAGGCGCTCGGTGCGATGGTCTGATCCGTGTGAAGTATTAACGGCAATACTCAGCTTTACACGGATTTTCTTAGATATTGGAGTTGAAAATGCTCAAAGACGAATTAATTCTTAAATAAACTTACGAATATGGGCTTCCCACTCCTTCAACTCAGTATCGCTTGGCCCTTTGGGATAAACATAATGGTCTCTATATATCCAGTGACGGATTCGTTTCTAGATTTGACATATTAATTCAAGACACAATGATAAATAGTACATAGCAATCAAAGAAAGAGCAAATTTGCTTACAAGGCAATGTAACTCGTGGAAGACTCCGGGTCGGGCGATATAGGGTTAATGGGAGTGATTCCATTCCTATCGCTTGCAGATCCTCAAGTTCCCCTCGAATGTCGTTGTCTGTTGATGAAATGGTATTTTAGTCACAGGGTTGTTTATAATTAGCGAGTGGGATAGGAGTCGGAAAATGTACATTCGAAAAGCTCGTGCCATGCCGCATCCAATTCCTCACTGGGTGGACCAGCGTAAGGACTCGATCTGAAACCGGAGGGGAATTTCTGTACTTCAAAAACTTTAGCCTCTTTGGCTAGATCTGATTATGCAAAATAAGAAGAATGTGTTAGCACGCGGAACGAATGGTTTTACCATATCATGATTTTATGGAGAGTTCTCACTTACCTGGAAGCAGTTCTAGATTTGCGGCATGCCGCTGGAATCTCGTGCCTGAAGCTACGAAGAGAGAAATAGCAGGAATGTAACTGATCACTAGTCCGACCGTCAACAAGATGTGTGAATTTCGGTAGCGTTTTGTCCTGTCCGAGGCTGGTCGATATTTTTCTGCTTCGGTAGCAGATTCTTTAGCGGCATGGTGTGCTTCCCTATCTTGTGACAATTCATCCAGAACCTCAGCTGAAGATAACAAAGGCTCCTCCTGATCCTTTCCCATCGTTGGTTCAAAGGGTTTTGGTCCCAAAAGTCTACTTCACCGAGGAACGGAGTACGACCTTGGACGAGTCTTTGATATTGATCAAAATTCAAATCACTGTACGATGATTGTGTAAGATGATTAGATCAAAATTTGCATTTCTGACAAGCGCATAGTAATCACGGTAGGGATCTTTCACTCCACCTATTGTGTTGACAGCCTCGTAAATGATCACTTACGGTACCCTTCGGGCTCATCGGAAACGAAGAAGCTGCAGTCCTGAACATCATTTATTGCCTCAATGCTACATAATTAATCTATTGTGCAGGGATAGGTGCAGAATTCTCAAAAAGGCTGGTGTTCCGACGTGATCGGTGTAGGTTACATTACTCACAATGCAGCAACTAAGCATTTTGTTGGCAATTCTGGTGCCTCCTCGCATAACATTCTCTTCGGGGAAAATGGACGAGTATAAGTGAAATTTGCAAAATTCAATACTTCTTAGTGTCCGAATAACTACTATAATAGCTCTTGGCATATTTTGCAGTGGTCCTTAAGCTCGTAATAATTTTGACTAATAAGATCCACACATATCTATTCTCAGTATAGTATCCCATACACAACAGGATACCTCCTCTCAAGTTTAACTCGGTTCAACATGCTTTCTTCCACGGCCCTCGTAGCGTCTATAGCCTTGTCCATCATAAGCAATGCACTAGTGGCCCCTCCAGGTATGTAGTGATCAAGAATTTGTATTTTATGTAGAGCGATATGCTTCTCGTGGGCTCTCTTGGTCCATACCCAGTACATACGAGGAATGTTTGAAAAGGCCGCGCGGAAGGGACCTGGAATTTGTTGGAGTCTGCTATACACCCTCCCAAAGGATCACAACCAAAGATAATAAAAGGCGTAATGCTGTTGCTGTACCACCAATTGGAGTTTTATCCATCATGATTGAATGTTTAATATATAAACATCAATTGATTCGCTTCGAGGCAGAATTGACAGAACAGAACAGGAAGTCAGAGATCAAAATGAAATCAAAGAAGGCTGGTAAGGTAAGGTAAGGTAAGGTAAGGAGGGTTTGGATTTGGGCGATAAAAGTTGAAGATTGAAAAATGTCAATCCAATGTTCAGGTTGTACAAATGACAATGAGGAGTTCTGGAGTAGGTACTACCTAATAGAGTAATTCAGGTAAGAATCAAATTTTTTGTTGATTATTACTACCATTTCCATTTCATTATAATTACCATTATATTACCATTGCCAATGCCATTATAATTACCGTCAAGGCTACCATTATCAGCTAATCCATGCTCTAGGTAATTCTTTTCTGAGTATTCGAGTACGTTGATGGTATTCCAACAGTTTACTAACGCTAGCATAAAAAATGACTTTCCTTACCTATGCATCTATCGTCTTCGCAATACGGCAGATGAATGAATGGCATTTTTCAATTTACCACCAAAATCGTCTCCACTTCATTCTTGAACCTTGGACAGAGCTTAAGCTTAATACAGAACTGAGGGGTTCCAAGGCTTGTTTTACCAACGGCTTGCCCAACGCACTGCTGGCATGCATATTTCCACTGCCACATTAGGACCACTTTCTTTATCAAGTAAGCCTCTCTCTTCTACCTAGCACAGTCATCTCGCAGATGGGGAAATGAATAATATAAATACCTCCCAAGTATAAATTCTTACATCCATCTAAAAATGATAGGCGGAAGAACTAAATCGTCGGAAAAGCGTTGGCCGTGTATCCCTTCTTGTAGTTTAGACAGGTAATTTCAATCTATTTTGCACGTTGTTACCAATAATTGCCCCCGTAAAGCACCTTGTCACTTAAGCACCTTCTCTCAAATCCTCCTATGTATCTTCATCATCTTTCTTTGCCTGGTTGCTCAATATGGAAGGATCGGCTAGTCGTATCGCCACTCTTTCGGATATCATAGCTAGCAACACAGCGAAGCTCGATAAGTATCTTCAGACTAATAAAATTTCTCAGCCATCGTTGGATGAAAATTGCTTAGATTCTTTGAATCTACCCCGTGACATCTACGAAGCTCGCGCAGCAATTGTTGATGCGACATTAGAACTACGCCTAATATGCTTGGGCCCCAGAGAGACATGGTATAGCCGTCGTGTACGTCCATTTCAATACCAAATACAATTCCTGGCAGAGGTGTCTACCTGCTAGTAGTCCTAGTAATTCAACGGCCGTGGATCATGCTCAGCATTGTCAAATGACGCAAACCCTTGATTGATGGACCTCTATAGGCCTACGAACTAGCATCGCTGTATTTCGTCTCATCTTTTGATGTCCCATCACTGGTTCCAATCTCAGGTTCTGCCACTTTTGCGGAGATAGCTTCGCGGTGCCAGTCTCCTGTCAGCAAGGAAATCGTTAAGCGTCTACTTCGACATTCCATGACGGGAGGAGTCTTTAAGGAGCATGAAAATGAAGTTGTCAGTCATACTGCATCGTCGAGACTTATGGTAGAGGAGTCGAACATCAGAGACTGGGTGAAACTCGAAGCTGACGGCGTTTGAGGCATGGCCGCAAATGTGAGCACTTTATTCGCTGTGTATCCACAGACTGACGGTTCTACAGATTGTGCCCACGTTGAAAAAATGGCCGGATTCATCAGATCCTAGACATACAGCACAAGCCTATTCCTGTACACTTTTAAGTTCAACTATACTAACGGGCCTGTTCACTCGTTCATAGGCGTTTAGCTTAGCTGCCGGTACACCAGGTTCCTTTTTATGAAGCAATAGACCGTAATGTTGAATTGGCGAAAAGATTCGGATCTGCGCTCGTCGCAGAAGAAGCAAGATTTGCCTGTCTGCTAGGCACCTGTTCACAACCTACCCATGGTTCACAATCTCAGACTCCTCCACCATGGTTGATATCGGAGGTTCCACGGGAAACGTGTCCCTTGAACTCGCTTGAGCGCTTCCCGACTGGAAATTGAAATTCGTTGTCCAAGACAGGAAGGAAGTGATATCTTTGGTGGACCAAACGGCCGTGCTGGCAGACCTCAAATCCGAGGTTAAAACATCCGTTGAGTTCATGGAACACGACTTCTTCAAACCACAGCCTGTGAAATGCGCCGATGTGTACTTGCCGAGACTCATACTTCATAATTGGTCCAACAACGATTGCTTGCAAATTTTGCGGAATTTAGTGCCAGCTCTAAAACATGGGTCCAGGATACTGGTGAATGAGATCGTCATGCCTGATTGGAGAGAAATTGAATGTAAAAAAGCAGAGTCGAACATTCGGTATAATCCATTCAAGCCTCTTCAGGAAGCACATAGTAACACTAATGGATGAACCACAGACTGATGGACATATTCATGTTGATGTTGTTCAATTCTCAAGAACGTGACCTCAAGCGCTGGCAGGAGCTATTCATGAAAGCAGATCCCAGATACTGCTTCAACAGTATTTAACGTAGCCCAGAGTCCCTTTTGTCCGTCATCGAATTTGTTTGGGGTGGCGAAGCTGATAGTCAGAGGATTACATACAGCGACGGCATATCTCAAGAACACGCAAAAGAAGAGGCAGTGGAATCATTACTTGTTGAACGTGAAACTGATTATGGAGGTAAGTCTATAGAAGCTCTGTTTGCGTTATAGAACAATGGGGTACAATATATTTCGAAAATATGATATGCGTATGCGTTAGCAAGTAAGGGAACTTGTTCTATAGAAAATCAAGAGTTACCCCATGACAGGTATATATTTAGACCATGATTTGCCAATTCAAGGGTGGTGATAGGAACCGTACTAGAGTCTTACGATGCTGTAGCTTTTAGCGCTAGAACTTTCAATTAGCGGAGAACGTCTTTGGCTCGCGACGACAACAGAACATGCAATATATATAGTGGCGAATCCAGGGAAAGAAGTCTGCGGGCGAAATTAAACTCTTTAAATCTTCGGTGTGAAGGCAACCCCTCACCTCAAAAAGATATCAAGGTCCTGCGAGATAGACGCTGAGCCAGTGCAGTAATGATGATCACAGTGACTATTGACATAAATAGGATGAACAACTAAGTCAAAGCAGGGAAGGGTCATGATTGCTGGTGCTAAGCGGGTGAATGAAAAAGAGTTGCATGAGGTTGATAAAAATTGTTACATTGCAGAAGTGCTCTCCGCCATATGAACTTGGGGATCCGACCCTACCACCACGAAATCCGCAGCAGAAATTAGCAAATTCGTCTGGTTACTTCTGCATACCAGTAGAGAAGTACGACTGCTTCTTCGTAACAATGAGATGGGCAGCGAAAAGAGCCATCTTTTTTTAAAACAAAAACAAAATATATCTGTAGTTAGAGCATTTTATAGGGCCTCGAAAATGGCATCTTCAAGCACACTTGCACCTAGCTTATCTAAATGCAAGCCTTTTGACCTTGGAGGAGAGGAGAGGGTACGGAAAGACGCAGGGGAAAGAAATTGGGTCCTCAACAAATGACCCATATACACAATCCGAATCATGAATACACTGAATAATGGGCCTGGATAGATCAAAGTATCTGGAACACGAGACGAACATCACGTTGAAGCGCGCCTTTGTTTTTAAGAGTAAACCGACTCTTCTGAAGATCCTACAAGAAAACTTTTGCTTCTATTCACCCAGGCTTTGATATAAAACGTCAACGATGTTGAGACTTCATCACTTGGAAACTCATTGTAAACTACAATGAAAATTCCATGATGATGATAAGGCATGATCCAAATAAGAACAACCGAACCACTGAAGGAATGATTGATATTCCGAACAAATGAAAGTTAGCATCCTCATAGTGGATGTAGCAAAGCACCATAAATAGATATCGAACTACGTACACTACTCAGGTACTGCGAGATAATGATAGCCGTATTTGTTGATCAAATAAACTATTTATGAGGAAGATATTGACAAGTCTTGATTTTCAGCCGTTAATATCGTTCGACCAAAGACTTACTAGGACCTATTATTATTGACAAGACAATATCTTTTCGGTTTCATGAGGAGATTTATTCATAACACGGCAAATGTGTCGAAGATATATATAAACATAAGATACATATTTACACCCGAAATATGGAAGAATAGGTAAATCTATTCAATGATTAATTACCTGAGAATTAAGATTGTTATGGTGTAACATGTAATATATAACGGAATTGAGAGTCATGTTATCCCGGTTATTCATTCTCAACAGCAACCAAGCATTATCTACATACCTAAACAACTTTAAATATCCTCAACAACAGATTGTGTACTATCACACCAAAATACCTCATGATACACAGGCATAATAACCTATCATAGCCATTTAGCTGCACCTCACTCCCTTCATCTACAATATGTCATTCGGAGGGGACACCGGACTTGATTCAACATCGTCGCCCAATATCGTCGGCAGTGGCAACAATGGCGAGACAACCGGAAGGCCTACAACTCCCCAAGATGCAGCCACGAAAGCAGTTCACGACGTTACAAGCTCGGAGGTGATTGAATCATCCAGCTCTTATATCTTTTCTATTAATGAAGGGGAAGCTAACTATATTCATGATGTAGATTGGAATATCAACCTTGTTGAACCGGTTGAAACAAAGTATTGCTTCCGCAAAGGCATTTCCCCGCCCCCGAACTTTCAACGCCTGCATAGATATGGAGCTGACGTCTTCGAAACAGGAGTTCGCACTTTTCCTCAAAAAAAGGTCTATAATGGAAGAGGAACATTCCAATGGATTAAAAAAGCTGTGTAAGGCAACTGGAGATAATATTCGCAAACCAGAGCATCGCCATGGTTCGTTCCTGCAATCGTATGAAGAGATTCTTATCATACACGAGCGAATGGCTGAAAATGGGGCTCAATTTGGCGTGTCTCTACATCAGATGCATGAAGATCTTATTGAAATGGCTTCGAATATAGAGAAGGGTAGGAAACACTGGAAAAATACTGGCTTGGCAGCAGAGCAGCGTGCTGCTGATACGGAAGCCGCCATGAGAAAGTCAAAGGCGAAATACGATAGTTTGGCGGATGAGTACGACAGAGCTCGCACCGGAGATAGGCAACCGGGAAAGATATTTGGCCTCAAGGGACCTAAATCGGCAGCGCAACATGAAGAGGACCTTCTCCGCAAGGTTCAGGCTGCAGATACAGATTATGCAGCGAAGGTACAAGCTGCACAAAGCCAGCGCTCTGAGCTCTGGTCAAAGTCAAGACCCGAGGCGGTGAAAGCGCTAGAGGATCTCATTCAGGAGTGTGACTCTGCATTAACATTACAAATGCAGAAATTTGGTAAGGAGTATGAAAGCCTGGCTTTTAGACGCACATACTGATCGCATTGACTAGCATCCTTCAACGAAAAGTTACTTCTGAGCAATGGTTTGAACATAAGCCCTATCAAAGCCAAAGAACTAGGGACCTCAAATCGTAGTCTCCGTGAAGCCGTTCATGCCATCGATAATGTCAAAGACTTGAGCAACTACATCAGTAGCTTCGCCGGTAAGGTACCATCACGGGTCACGGAAATAAGATACGAGCGTAACACGGTCAGTTCTGAAGATTCTTGTTGATTTGGACGAAGCTGATGTTGAATACAGGTCTTGCAACCTGCAGCGAATATTGCCCAACGACAATCAGACCCGAACGCTCTAAATTCTCGACAAGGACCAGGAATACCACCTCAGCCATCTCATCAAGTGCATGTGAGCCAAACCTTTAATCAAGGCACTTCCCAAACGCACCAGCACGAAAGAAGTTTTAGCCACGGCCCATCTCTATCTCAACACATCGTTCCACCTGTTGCATCGCCCACGGCGCCAACATCTACCTCCCCTGACTTCACCACCTGGTCACCTCGTGCAGATGGTCCTCCTCAAATCTCAACATTGCCATTTCAGCCACAGCCTCAGAACGAGATAATTTTGCAACAGACACCGCCAAATCCTATAACTCATGCTCCGTCATCCCATGGGCCGCCTTTGGCACCATTATCTGGACCAGGACCTCCGGGCTCAGGCAATAATACACATTTAGCGCCTTTAAAACCAGTATTTGGCCTTAGCCTCGAGGAGCTTTTTGAGAGAGATGGCTCTGCTGTTCCTATGATTGTCTATCAATGTATTCAAGCAGTTGACCTCTTTGGGCTCGAGGTTGAAGGCATATACCGACTATCTGGTACCGCATCTCATATAATGAAAATCAAGGCGATGTTTGACAACGGCAAGTTGAGCAATCAATTCCGCAGTAAAAGTGACTTTGCTGACAATTCGCAGACGCATCCAAGGTGGACTTTCGTAACCCTGAAAGCTTCTTTCACGATGTTAATAGTGTCGCTGGCCTTTTGAAGCAGTTTTTCCGAGAGCTCCCAGACCCTCTACTGACCAGTGAGCAATACCCCGCATTCATCGAAGCCGCAAGTAAGTCACCTCGCAAGTTCACTCCGACGAATGCTTCTCTACTAATGTGAAACTAGAGCATGATGATGAAACAGTCCGTCGCGACTCCCTTCATGCCATCATTAATGGCCTCCCCGATCCTAACTATGCTACTTTGCGTGCCTTGACTTTACATTTAAATCGAGTGCAGGAGAGTTCAGCATCTAACAGGATGACTGCAAGCAACCTGGCAATTGTATTTGGTCCTACTCTCATGGGAGCTAATTCTGGGCCAAACATACAAGATGCTGGGTGGCAGGTTCGCGTCATTGACACCATTTTGAACAACACCTATCAGATATTTGATGACGACTGAGGTGGAGAAGAAGGTGATATAATCAGCCACGATGTCCATTAAAAACGCCCAATGCCATCGATTAACCTGCCTATGAAGCAGAAACAAAGGGAAAATGATTTCTAGCGCCAATATCTGCTACGCTGACAAAACCTCCACAAAAGCATGTTGCCGCTCTACTTCGGGTGTTATAATTTTGAGGCATAGGCTCAATCAACAACATGAATTCACGGTCTATCTAGCCAGTCTACGTTGGGGTGATTTACACCGTAAGGGTATCTGTCATAGGGCTCTTGTGCTCAGCTCTAATATCGATGCCAATGCAGATGTTGAGTTAAAGGGTGCACATTTTCAAGACTAGTAATTTCTGGATTATGATGACATTACGCCACACGTGGTTTCTAAGTTCACTAAATACATAATTAGACAAAAGCGTGAAACAGTACTGATTGAAATACATTATTGCTCCCTCATCAGTCCACTCTGTATCTATTATACGTCGGTTTGTGATAAAATTATGACAGGCTGCAGCTCTTAATTGACCCCTTTTCTGCTCGCAAATAGTGTCAGGCTGAGACTTGTATCATTCTCTCCCATGTTAGGAGTCGGCTCTCCTAACATCTCCCAGCGCTTCATCGTAAAAGGAAATGATTGGCGGCTCGATTCTTTTGCGTGGTCGGTATTTGTATTACTACCATTCCTTCCAGCAGTTGCAGTTTTCAAGAAACCCCTTTGATAAATATGCAGCCAGTCAGATGGAGTCGCCATGATGCTATAAATGTAGCTAATAATCGGGTTTGAGGACGCTTCGCGGGAGTTGCGACCGCACTGCAGGCGAATATCATCAGGAAGTACATCTACCATACTTAGAACAAGGTCGAAGCACTGCTCTAGTGGTAGGTCTTCTATGTCTGTATGAGCTTTGAGGACATATAAGTCCAAAAGGATTGCTATCAGGATCAGAATAGCTCTTCCCCGTTGCTCATTGCCGGCCTTGGAATGTTCTAATGCTACTGTTTGTGAGGCTGTGAATGACAATAGCAGCGGTAGCCATTTCGTAAAGAATGCAATTTTACAACCATTTTGTTGTGTGCTAGCAATATATTGCGAGGCGCCGCTGAGTAAGTTTATGATGTCTGGAAAGCAACTATGCGGATTATATGGCGCGTTTGCTTTTTCAGTATACATCTCGTCTATGGTTAAGTCGAGGATGACCAACAAATTTTCTGCTTTCGTCAATTGGTGGCCTTGCCTCAACATGTCGTTGTAGCCTGAGGCTTTGGCAGCATGGAAAAGCGCAAGCAATTGGTTCTCGGCACCACGTCGTAAGTATTGTATGGTAGCGATATCTAATGATGGTATAATGCAAGCCCATGTCGTACCTCCTGTCATTATAGCAGACTCAACGGCACGATTAAGGTCATCGAGCTGAGGAGAGACCATATTCCTAGGAGTGGATTGGGAGCTTTTCCCAGAGCAAAAGGTAGACGCCATCTTCAATTGGCAAAATGGTAGATTCAGATAATTCGCACATTTTAGCGCATCACACACTGAAAAATTGGAGGTTTCACTCTGATGTGTAGGCACCAAAAGCTTGTTTATCGCGGTTACCATTAATTTGGAAGCATCCTCGTCGGTAGACCCAGGCGACGCGGAGTGCACCAGGATTTTGCCGGCCATATCACCACCAATCAAGACTAGCGTCTGAAGTATTTCATGCATGGCTGGACCACCTAAGACGTTCAAGGCGTGGAGGGCGTTGGATGGTATATCGTGGACAGCTGTTGAGCACATCTCGATTGCCGACCGAATGACCGTCAGTGTAAGTTCAGGGTTGTCTATTTGCATACGACTTTGCACAAGTCGGACGCGATATGCTTCTTCTGATGTCAGAATCTCCGGTATGGTGATTGGTGCCGCAATTAAAGCAAGTAATTCCGTGGCTATAATCTTGCCCACTTTTTGCGTTGCGCTATCCTCGGGCCTTTCATTTATTAAACAGGCATTGACCAGATCCTTCAAAGAGAGACAACCGAGTCCTACTAAGGGGCCACATATTTTCACCAAGCTGGGACGATGTTTCACATTTTGAAGGTAAGATATCCAGCTAGCCATCAGCAGATCGAATGGTTGTGGATTGAAGTCTCTTAGGGTTGTCAACAGTAACACACACTTCCGCTGCTGCTCCGGTGACTTATCCCATGAGATCGACAAATGATGGACCACTCTTTGGAAAAGCCGTTCCATGGTTCCCCGGTCAATACTGGTACCGCTTGCAAGGACCTTCTCAACTTCGTCTACGAACTCAGCGTCATTATTTTGTGATCCACCCGCCATATGATCCGATATAGGAGAACAAACGACGGCGGCACACTTCCTACCACTCAAAGCAAGTTGGCGAGTGAGCTGAGCGGTAAGACTCTGGTTGTCGGGAATTCTCGATGAGAGGCCTATCAAGGATGCCAAAATGACCCGCGGCATGATATCGCGATCGTCTGCAAATGAACGCGAACGATTAAGAAGAAGATCAAACAAGCCCTTAATTGCTCCGATGGCCGCAAATATCTCGGCGTGCATATTAATTGTATCGGCGCACGATGCAATAGTTTGAGGATCTCTAGATGCCGTGGCAATCTTTATCACATCGGCGAGCATAGAAAAATCATCTATAATTTCAAGATAGTCTCGCACGATGCCAAATGTAGCCGCCATAAGCACAGAAGTATCACGAGTTGCAGGTGATGTGCTATTCCATTTATTCGATACTGTACTTGACGGTAGCATCTGTGCTTCCACTTCATGACGAAGCCAAGATCCAATGTGGGACTTGCTTGCCCGATTTAATGATCTGAGGTCGTCTAAGCTTTTGACATTGTTTTCAACTTGGAGCGATCGTCGTTTTGAAGCTACCTGTATCCTTTTTAGTACATTGCTTATGATAGATATGCTGACGGCTATCTTGTGGTCATCAATGTCCACCGGGTAATCGGCTCGGCAAAGTAAAGTCCTGCGCAGCCCAACCATTTCTCCGCTCAAATCATGAATAGGAAGCTCTGCAAGGAGCCTTGTTCCACAGGGACCGTCTGGCGCCAGGTCTGAATGATCATGAATACCGCCACGGCTGATTAACCATTGAAGATATGTTGAGATACAAAAGTCGTTCGACCTGGCTAGCTCGGAAACTAAATGATAAAATGAAGACCTGTTACGCCCAATTTCGCAAGCGCTAGAGTCAAGGAATGACAGCATAGAAGCAGTTATGTCTGCACCCAATCTTCTCCATGATCGTATGATGCGGGCACCTATGAACACTTTTGCGTGTCCAGGCCTATAGCATGACGTCGACCAATCCAAAACTGCATGAATAAGAGCGGTTTTGTCATCATCAAGCTGCCAGCAAATATGTATGACCTCGGGCGTGAACAAAGTGAAAAGTGATTTATCTAGTATATTGATAAGGCGTTGTCGAGGAGGGTGCTGGGCTTCAGGAGCTACAGTGGTAAGACGTATATTGCGGCGATTGATCTCATCCCAGGCAGTCGTGAGACGCTCATCTGAGTTGCTTAGGTGAGCTTGCAGGATTTGCCTGTGCTTGAACCAGATTTCAGGACAAACAAAGTTATCCGGGTTCGATATCATCAATTTATTCAAGAGTAAACGTAGACGATCGTTCAAAGGTCCCAATATATCAGAGTCCGGATGCTGGATTGCCTTGAAAGATGCTGTCAGCTACAGAAAGGGAGCGGGGATGAATGTGATGCCATACCTCCGAAAACCGATTCAGCAGAGTAGTTGTGAATCGGCGCCCGAACCTCCGATACCTCAAAATATCTTCCCAATACACCTGGGCAATCAGCAACAATATTGGTAATTTGGCTTGAGAAGTAGCCTCGAGTGACGATAGTATCCAATCTATATAATGCTCGCGGTCTATAAGGCATTCGGCATGAAAATGTGCCGCCAACCGAATCCTGTCATGCCTGTAAGTAGATGCTCAAGAGCGGGTGAATGTTATACATACGCGTAATAGATCCTGCGACGAAAGTCCTTCTCTCCACATGATCCAATTATGCTTTCCAACACCTGTTCAACACAAACTGTAAAGTCTCTGACCCATTTCGCCTCACCTCCCATAGCAAAAGCACCACCCGCGCCTTTCCTCTTGAAAGACCTCAGTTCATTTGCCCCTACGCACTTGGCTAACCAGACGGCCCGCTCGATAGGGATGTTCTTGTTGAGGGAATGTTCCAGGAGCACCTTACCTCTAATCCCATGAGGAATTGATCGACTGAGGCGGCGGAGCGATATAGTCGGATTAGCTAGATCCTTGAGCCATATTTCCCTCTTCGTGTCCGTAACCGTTACACGGGGTGGCGGCTTGAAGGTTGAGTTCGCTGTGATATTTCCATGAGCCCTCCGCTGAGCTAAAACGCTCGAAAATAATGATGACAGTGTTTGGAGGCCACTTTTGTGCTTTAAAGATGGATATATAGAGGCTTTTGCCGAGCCAGTTTCGTTCTGTGACATTTGCGACTTGTCGAAAAAGCCTCCTCGGATGACAGCTTCGGTGAATTGATCTTCGGCATGGTTGCCGTTCCATGGGAAGAAATCAGCATGACCTTTTGAAAAGTTGTTAGAGATAAATCCGTTGCATGGAGAGATTGATCAATATGTGATTGGACATACCGTTCGGTGAATAAGACGGCGCAGCCGGCGGTATCTCTAAAACAAAAGGTTTGGGGCGAGCATCTTTCTTTCCAGAAATCCCAATTGATGAGCTGGGCTTTTCAACAAATGGGGGTGCATGTCGTCCGGGCCTAACAGGGAGAGGAAATGGTCTCGCAAACACTTGATTGTAGTTTTGGTCGGACGTCAAACTGGATCTGGGGGCTCTCGTGTGACGCACGTCGGAATGAAGCTGCGGTCGCCCGCGTGGAGGCAGAGTCTGCCTACTGGATCTTATATTGGACGGACCCGAGCCTGATTTCTCCGTCTGACTCGAACTTCCCGACTCATTGGAGATTTCTTGCTTCAGGCGCGACCCTCCTGTCCTCGAGGTTTGTCCATAACGCGCAGATGTCGAATCCGGCACATCAAGCGTTAAGTCTATGAGGGCTTCATTGTATCTTCGAGTCGGGGAGCTAGACGACAGGCTTCTTTGGGGGGAGGGTCTCGAGGTAATATTTGAATTCAATGATCTTTGCGACTGTCGTTGGGCTTGTGACCCAACGAGGGGTTTTGTGGTCATGATTGCGCCATGCCGTGGTCGACTATTGCGACTCGTAACGTGATAAAGTTCCAGGACCTATAAGACTGCGCAAGTGATATATATGAGATGTGTGGTATGTACGAAAATACTGTACAGCTATGTTTAGGAAAACAGCATCAAAAAGCAAATGCAATGGTTTTAATAATCGCCGCCGGGATCTTGATTAGATGTAAGAGTACCGTTAATGGGATGTCGCACAGGCGCAGTTCTTCACTTGGTAGAAGCTAAGGCTCTTATCGTGTGTAAAAGTAAGGCGGAATCGGAATTTATTCGTCGTATTATACCGTCTTGTGTGGTATGGCACGAGATAGCACTGGTAGAGAGATGTATTATACAAATGAAGATATAAAGTGAAGAAGAATGAATGGCCGTAGTAATTATATGTGTTAGTTCAGGTCGAGGGTGTGGGCGGAACAAGACTCAAACCGCTCCGCACAGCAAAGCCAACCTGTTTAATCCATGTGCTCCTCCCTACATACCTAGTAGCAATAAGTAGCCTTACATGATATACGAACTCGGGGCATAACCAATTTCAGCATCTCGATATCTACTTGAACTTTAATTCCATCGTGCGAACAAGGAATGAGCCAAATTGTTAATATCATTCATTCAGTTTACATTATAATTATAATACATTCAGCAAACAACCATGGCGACAAGGAAGGATATGCGACGGGCTGATCTCAGTATGCCTTTCCCTTTCTTGCTACACGTGTTAACTTACTGACGCGCCTCTCACTTCAAGTCATCCCCTACCAAGTTCCAGCTGCGAAAGAATCTCCCAGCGATTTCGGTGGTACCTTAGGCAGCACTCTGCCAATGGCAGCAATGTTCACACGTAACAAGCTCATCGGATGGTTCGTCAATTCCATGGATGTGATTCCTAAAGGACTATTTCGTCAAGGGACTATGTGAAAGCACGTCTGCTAATAAACGAAAGGGCTTCGGTTCTTTTCGCAGTTCAGAATTGGTTAGGTGAATCTTCAGAGACGAAGAAGGCTTCCTCCCAACCCGCATATTTATCGGTGGGAATGTCATGTAAGCAATATTCGTTCTCACGCTCGGATTTGCAACCCACGCTAATGTAACTGTACCGCAGTGATGGCTCTTGTTGTTGTAAGTTGATCTGCATAAATCGTTACGGACAGCGCAGCTCGCTCATCAATACTTCTCAGACTTATCTTCCAATGTTCCTTCCACCTCCTCCCGCTGCTCCAGTAGCTCAAGCTGCGTAGTGATGGCAGATTACGAATTACAGGAATCATGTTTTATATGGATGGTGGCTACTAATATGGACAGAAGTGTCTGCCAGACTGTTTTTCTCATGAAACTTATGGCAAACAATGCGCATTGAAGTATGAGAAAATAGAAAGGAAAATTATATGGATGAAGATAGGACAATGGGCGCCGGTGTGGATGAGCATGAAAAGAAGCCTGAAATTGCAGTGGATGGTGCCTCTTTAGGTATTGATTACACAAGGGGACAGATCAAAAGTTGAAGCAATGTCTACCTGGGTAGGTGTTAGACAAGTTAAAGCACAAAGTTTTCTCGCACAAATACTCGACATCAACTAATACACATTTTGCTCATTTATGAAGAGTGTCGGAAGGCAAATCAAAGGTGTATCAATGTATGTATGTATTTGCATAGGTTCAAAAGTGGTATAGAAAGTTGTGTATGTTTCTCCTGTACAGAAGCCGAGCAAAGTTTTAATGGTGTTGTACAGCTGTACAGCATCAATTAGTACAGTTGTACAGCATCAATTAGTACTGTAGTAGTCGACATACGTAGGTAGATCTCTGCCTAGTATAGTATCTATTGGAAGTCAGTATCTATTGTAATGCAGTAACAATTGTAAACAACAGAAAAGGGAATGGTAATGATATTTAATAGTAGGGCCCCTGATGATGGTACGGTCTGTAGCACTTTCTCTTTCCTAGCCAGGAAAGAATATGATCAACGCTGACTAATTATTGGACCCTTGATAAGGCTTTACGGAGATGGGGCCACAAGGCACTGAATGCTTATATAACCAATTCACTAATGAATGACTCCCATTGGATAAGTCTCTTGTAGCCAGTCACACACCCGTATTCTATGCACGCTTACCCAATTTAAATCAATCATATCGTTGAGCTTCGCTCCTGCGCCCCGCCTTCTCTTGCCACAAAACACACGACCCCCGTCTAATTTAAACAACAAATCCAAACTGCTTTCTGACACTACAACACTACATAACCCTTCCAAAACCAAACAACTTCTAAATAACCCCACCTTGAAAGTCGAACTCGAAATCCCAAAACGAAATCCAAATCAATCTATTAAATTCTTTAATAAGTTTTACACCCTTTCCATCACTTTGAACAGAATTCCAGTCCCAAAGACACCAGGCACACTCGAGTTTATGTCCATCGAAAACCTCAAGACGATCGGTATGCGCCCTTACTTTCCCCCTTTTATCTCTTCACTTCGCGGAGCAGCCATATCAGAATAATACTTCCTGGCACTTCCTTTATCGACATACCTGCTACCGACTTGTTTCTATGCTCATTTTTGACCGCTCGTGCCACCTTCACTAATATATCTCTTGTAGACTCCTTCGCTGAAGCCGATGCCGCCGGAGATCCAGGACCAAACCAAGGCTCAGGGGAGACAAAGTCGCCGTTGAAAGCGAACGATTCCTCCCCTACTGCAAACCTCAAGCTAGCAAAGTCCGCAAAGGCTGCTCCTGGTGGAACTCAAATTGAGAACTTGAAAGTCTTCGGTGAGATAACCGTTCCCGTCCTCGTGGCACATTCTCATCATTGAATATTGATGAAATCAATTACATTTCGACTTGGATCGTTTGGTGTTATATGAATAATTATATTGGGAATAAATTCTAACTTGTGCATATTTAGATCCCTTCGCTGAAGCCGACGAAGAACCTGGAGACCAAAAGGCCGCAGAATATATTCATATTCGTATTCAACGTATGTCGACTTTGTTCAGCTGTCCACATCCCTTGCAATTACCTGGCTATAAAAGGAAAGGCTTGTACGTCAGTCACTAACTCTTTATGATTACAGAGCGTAATGGTCGTAAGACTTTAACCACTGTTCAAGGACTTCCAAAGAAATTTGACCAGAAGAAGATCCTTAAGGTTATTAAGAAGAAATTCGGTAAGTTCATTATGCAACCTCACACTCTGAGATGTTGGTTGCTAATTCTGCGATGTAACAGCTTGCAATGGCACCATTGTCAACGATGTCATCATGGGCGACGTGATCCAGCTCCAAGGAGACCAGCGCAAAGATGTGCAAGAATTCCTCACAGGCAAAGAAGGCTTAGAGCTCGAAGCCAAGACCATCAAGGTAACATAACATTAGCTCCAATCATTCATCAGAATCCATCTAACCAAGTTGAACATTAGGTCCACGGTTTCTAAAATCCGCAACCACAGGTCCCGAGCCATCGCAGTCCCGTAAGCTTCCATCACCATATGTGGTTGCTTGCTCAATCCAAACCTTGCTGCGAATGACCTCACAAACATGTGGGCGAGACAGTCCCCATCATTCCCCGCATCTACGCAGAAAGCGCTAGGTGATACAAGGGAGGGCTTTGCAGATGGATGCTCCAACTTTGCTAGTTTAGCAGGGTCTTCATTCTCTTTATTTCACTAGTCAGATCAGGTTACTTAGTGCACCTGGCTGTAAATTTCGGTACGCCTCATGACATAGTTAAATGTCTAATCATACACGGCCTATCCGTTCCCATTGTGTTTCAGTTCTCCTTTTGAGCCGCGTGCCAGTGATTAGTGACTCGTGTATCCGCTAAACCGTCTCGTACTACGCCATCAAGTTTAACCCCATCCTGACGTACCCCCAGATCTCCTCTAGATGCACAATCAAGGGTAGGGGTGGAAGATCTGTTCTTGAGAGGTGCAGTTGGGTCAAGAGACTGACCATGCTAATGAAACTTGCTATTGAGAAGACGGAAATCGATAAGGAAGTCTCCTTGCGGATAGCGAGTCGTGGATGTGTCAAGTGGTAAAGAAAGGTCAATGTCTGCATCATGATTAGAAAAAGTACAAAAAAAAACAGCCTACACTTTTGCTGGTTACCGAATGACGGCACGTACACTAGCTATGCAAACCCAGGCCGGCAGAAGCAAGCGTGGATCTTCTGAGCCGCCTGACAAATACAGGATCCATGATGTGGTATATGCATTTATCAAGTTGATGGTGAGGAGGCGGACGATTGTTGCTGAATGGTAGGGTTACTCAAAGTTTTCCTTCGTCTTATATGGACATAACCGCATACCTTGAGGAGTGTAGTTAAGTAACCTGATATGTTAAGTGCTTAGTGATATGTTCGAGCTTTGGGCTAAGACTTTGGAGAAAGTTGGGAATATCGAAGGACTTCACATACCACCTAGACATCAAGCAGTCTGTAAAGAAGAAGGCAAGATAGGCGGAGGAGAAACACTTTCCGCGCAAGTTAGCATGATTTTTCCGTTCTCGTACAAATCTGTTTTATCACACAAGTGGAGGCTTTCAAATCATATTGAGGAATTTGGCCATACCCACTAACATCAAGAATTTGTGTTAGCACTGAGATGAAATCCACACAAGTTTCATATGGCATAGGTTATAAAGATGTGCTCACAAGAACAGCCAAAAAGACTTCAGTAACCCTGAATCTTTTCTCGATAGTCCACTTTGCTTCTACAGCATTCATCTCATCCCACAATAACTCTCTCATAAAAGTCAACGCACATCGTAATCCCCACCAAATCGCAGGAGCGATACTAAGCAATCGACAAAATAGGAGCGGAAAATGCCAAACTCTGGCTACGCCAAGAAGTACGGCGACACGAGGATGCAGAACGGAAGTCTTGTTATCCGGATCTGCGGGGTGCAGGTTTGGGTGATAAGGTGAGGGAGGTATGGCGGTATGTGAAATTTCCGAGCGGGAAGTAGAGAAGGAGGCTTGGTGCGAACGACGCCGGGTGGAAGCCAGAAGGAGAGGTGTTTACGGCATATGCTGCCGTTTTGCAATACTGGGGAATGGATGTGTGGGTGGATGTTTTCCAATCTCGAATCCTGTGTCAGAAAGTGGGACGAGACACGGGCGGCTAGGATGCAAAGGACAGTTCAAGATCCCGTACCTTAAGGACAATTGAGAGCAACTTTCATTTATCAATGTAGTGTAGTATGGAGTATAGATACCAGAAACGGTTTTATTGTGCCAGCAAGCACCTCCCTTCATTTCTATTCAGCCTCGCCAACCTATCTAGCTCCGTTACAAACCCCACAGCCACATCCAGCCACCAAGGCTGACGGAATATTCTGTGGTTGTGAGGTGAGGGGTGCAATCTTACGACAAATTCGCAGATACTGTTTGTCCTTTTGTCTCACATCCTTCGTATCGACAACCACTTCCATGGCTCAAGTTCTTCGCAGACATGTCTTTCCCACCGTTCGCAGGCCTTTCTCCTCCTCTAACCCTCGATTCTTCTCTGCCGTAACCCCTCGACAAGCTGCTCCCGCCAATCCTGCACAACACCCGGATCGTAGAATGCGCATGCAAGCTATATCAGGAACACGAATGGCAAATGACGTCGGCCTTCTACCTAGTACGTTCGTACCAATTGCTCTTTTCCACGCTCCAATGCCCCGCTCTAACCAAGTTTAAGACACATTCATAGCAGGCAGACGTTTCCCTCTCTTCAAAAGCCCCAAAAAACTATTGAAATACCAATGGATAAGATTGAAGACCAGAGTACGGGATATTCTCGCTACCGTCACATTTAAATGGATGTCCCCGAAAACCGGCCGCATACGAAGACAAGTGCAACTGAAGCGTGGTTCGATAGCATCTGCAGCCGAAGCTCTGTACAGAGAAATGTACCAAAATTTTGCTGCTGGTCACACTGGACGCTTGCGTAGAATGTGCGCCGATGGACTCTATGAAAGTTTCGCGCAACGCATAGCTTCACGGCCCCGGGGGCAAAAGGTTACATGGAACCTTGAGAAAATGAACCGCAGACCTAAGATAATGTCGACCAAAGCCGTTATGATACCTGGAGGATCGGGCAATGTGATACGACAAGCGGTGGTCAGGATCTCGAGTCGACAATTGATAACTTTGAAGGATAGTAAAGGGAGAGAATTACCTGGAAGTAGCGAGAAAGACATTGTGGAGTATGTGGTTGTGCAGAAGATTTATCGAAATTGGCAGGATACAGAATGGCAGGTGTGGGGTACGACAACAGCTACCACGTTGAAGAATATAGAGGATTGGGAGAAGATGGTTTAGAGGTGAGGGGTGGTGATTCAGGGGCTGTACATTGTGTATTTATCTTAGTGTAAGATATTGGGTGGGCTAGGTATTTGTATTGTACATGAAACTCTAAATATCCAACACCGCTCGAGATGAGTCAGTCTACCATTCCATGAGCAGATTTTAAGTTTCTGGAGAACGTGAAAGTAGCACATAGCTAAGGATATTGCTTTCGTCGAAGAAGCCATCACAAAAGAATCCAGATAATACCAAGGCAGTATATCTCTCTAGCAAAGCGGCGCCAACGCCAGTGAGTCCAAAAAGGCCAAGCTCTGATTTTAGGTAACCGGCGAGAGTCCTCTGATGGATTGTGTTATCAAAATATATAAGCTCCGGGTCTACATTCCCCTTTCTCCCTCTCCTTGACGGTTCAATCTTCATTTACCTCTAATAAAATCTGTCGCCCTTGTTCTTCAAATTAACGGCTAGCCACCATCCATCCGTTCTAGTTCTTCGAAATCATTCTTTACCCACTCTTAAGCTCCCTGCTACAGTCTTTCAGTCACCAAATAATCATCAGTCTCCTGCTTGAACATGATTTCTCCTATTTCTGCAGCTCAATCGAAACATAATCTTCCATCTCATGCTGTTTAATGAAATTGCCACGTATGCTATGATTCGATGTATCTTTTTAGCTTTGCGGAGCTATGTCTTGCTAAATCCCATGACCTCATGAATAGAATATCTTGTACCTAACCTCAAGCATCACGGAGCAGTGATCAAGACAGAAAGCAACTAAACACATGTACTTGGCCTGTGTGCTTCTCGAATTGGCTTATAGATGAAGAGCTACAGGACAGACGTACTTAGAGAGCAACTTTGTGCAGGGCAGAACCCAGGGTCACACTATAGCACTGACAGACGCAGCTGTGTTAATATTATAAAGGGAAGTTTGTGATTTACTCAACCTACATCTAAGTATACTTCAGCATCATGCTCAAAGCACTGCCAATCTGCTTTTCCGTGTTGCATCATTATACACTTCCATCACAAACATCACAATATTTGGTAACTATATTCACGATGGTAATACTTTTGTTCCCGTCTATCTAAGCTAAGATGCAACTGATTAATAGTACATGGTTTGTTCAAATCGAAGAGACTCTATCCTATGTCTATCTTGTCCAAAGGAGCAAGAGAATCAATAGGGAGCTGGCCACCATATAAATGGTAAACCAGGAGCCACAATGCCCTGCCATATTTGATTGATAGACAACAATCCTGTACAACAGTAGATGAAGCCAAATTCCTGCTAGGATGAAGAAAGAAATACCGTAAACTCCGTGAAATCATTAGTCGTAAACACGAAGACACAACCCGGACAACACTAATATTAACTGCGTACCGACAAAGTAAGAAAAACATGCCGCCCAAATGTCAAGAAGAATAACAAGTACAACCGTAGTGGAAACTGCGATTGATGGTCCTGACAGGAAGGTTTGGTTGCGAGTCAAATATTACTCAACAACGGAAGCATGCCCACTTGGCGTAGGAGTTACCGAACGATCATCGCGAGCCTTGTTACTAATGCCAACAGGCGAATAAGGGTAATGTGCTTGCTGAGACGCAGACGACTGATCAGTTGGTGGGCTCTGCATACCCCAATATGGAGCCGGTGCATATTGTTGGTATGGTGCATAACTGCAGTATGGTGATGGGGCAGGAGGACTAGCTGTTAAATCGGTTACCACTGCTGGGTTACGCATTCCATACCCAGGACTACCGGGGTAGCCTGGGTAGTATGCTGGCCCTGGCGAGTACGAGGTAGCACTGCTGTAGTAATGGCCTTGACCATCAGTGAAGACGGTTGAAGGGGCTGCATAACCATAGTATGGGCTATACGCAGCGTAACCATAAGGTGATGCATAAGGCATAGGGGACGTCTGAGCTGACGGAGAAGTTTGTTGCTCCACATGTTGATCGACACGAGGGGACTGGAACGGCCGAGCGGAGGTCGAAAGCTGTGGTCTGGAGGGTCTGCCTCTGCTACCACCATTTTCAGAATCCTTTTGAGCGACTCGTAGAGATTTTCCACCGAAAGTGAAACCATTCTATGGTAGAGTTAGAAGACCACAAGTCAGAGGACTTAATGGAAAATTGTCCGACTCACCTTCGCGTTAACTGCATTAACGACTGCTATGGGGGACTTGAATTCGACAAAAGCGAAAGCAAACTTCTCTTCTGCTATAGAGTGCCGAGTCAGCTTGGGAACATTCATTAACAAGATGGCAACTTACGCTCAAACTTAGACGCGTTCTCTCGCAGACTAATATCTTGGACTTCGCCATAGTGCTCGAAAAGACCTCGAATTTGTTGTTCTGAAGTACTCAATGGAAGGTTGCCAACGAAAATTGAGCGACGGTCGACATCATATCTCGCCAAATATGCCTTGGTAGCATCAATTTCTGCTGCAGGTGGTGATTGCTGGGCAGGTGTTGCAAGGCCTGCAATGGGCTGCAGCTTGTAAAGATCATGGTTGCGGAAAGCCTGTGAGCAAGTCAGCATGAAGATCAAGAGCAAAAAGTACAAAATCTTTACTGACAGATTGAGCATCTTGACCTTCGTCGTACATTTCAAATTGAACGATGACTCCTTCATTGAGGTTGAGTGCAGTACGCTCTACGTGAGAAGCAGTGTAACAAAGTTCGATCTTGCCAAAGCGCTGAAGAAGGTCTCTGACTTCGCCAGGAGTGACGACTGAACCATACTTGCGCTCAATGAAAAATAGACCTGAGAAGTGTCAGTAAAAACCTCGCCTCGAGGGAAAATTTCCTACGATGAGCCTTGGCCTTTTCACAGCGACATGGACGGCCTTTAATTAAACGGCCTCTGCCTTCCTTGATAGCTCTCTCGGCATGCTCTTGCTTCTATTAAAAGTTAGTTATAACCAGGAAAATGATATTATGGTAACAACTCACAGTGTATTGACAGAATGCGAAAGGCATATGCTTGCCGTCACGGCGGATCTTGACGTAGACAGGACCATATTCTCGGAAGATTTGTGTTACGGCCATTTGAAGGGAGTCTTCATTCTCAGATTGAAGTAGGCTTTCGAAGTTTAGTATGAATCACGATGAAACGAGAGAAGGGAGCAAGGAAACGCAGAGGAAGAGAAGATAAGAGACTTACTTCGCAACGAAAACACAGCAAGAAGGAGGGTAAACAGCTTGCGCATCCTCGGCCTTGACAACAGTGTAACCGCTCAGTCTATTGCCTGCGTTGTCGGTATCCTCAGAAACATGCTCTTGGACGTGGAAAGAAAGCTTGCGCTGAGTGTTACCGTAGTGGGGATCAACACTGCCGGTGGAGTTCGACTTCGACTTTGATGGTGACAACTCAGAACTGTTGCTTGAGCTTCTTGAGCGCCAAGGGCCATGAATATCTCGGTGAGAATGTCTTGGAGCCTTGGGAGTATGCTGGTCTTGGTTGCGACACTTTGAAGCATTCTTGGTTGGCGATTGGAATGGATCATCAACATTGCTCTGAGAACCATTGCGAACAAATGGTGGGGAATAACTGGAAAAGTCAGAAGCTGGAAAGTGATTGCAAATAATCGTGAGTTTGTGACTTACAGGTTGGAGTTTCTAGAACCAGTGGTGGAATGATGACCAGAGGATGTCACATTGTCTTCGACATTACACTCATCACCGATTGCAAGACGAGCAATGTTGTTAAGAGCTGCCCCTTTCAAGAATTGTCAGCCGGGGTTTGTGAATGATTGGAACGAGCACAGAAGGGGATTTGAGAGGACGAAACGCGTCTTTGGGATGCTGGATCAAGAGAACGCAAGATTTAAAGGGCAGCGTAATAAAAACGATGAATACAATTCTGCGAGCCTCTTCAGCAGAAGCATATTGAAAGCTCCCATGGTGGTGCGATTTGTGGTATGAAAACATGAAGAGGTGGAAGGATTGTGCGAAAAGTGAAAACAACATGATGCGAAATTGTAAAAGATGCTCGATGAGAGGGCACAATCTAGCAAGGAAGAAGGAAAAAGATTTACACTCACCCTCACTGTCAGGAGTTAAAGGAATGTCAGCATCGCTGGCAGCGGAGCTACCATATGTACTGGCAGGCGATGGCTCAATCTGAGAAGAAAGTGCAGAATGCGAACCTGAATTGGTGTAATCTGAACTGGACGTGGACGAAACTGAGTGCAGACCAAGGGTATGACCACCACCAGTTGAGGAGGGAGTAGCAGGCGACATGATGAAATAGAGCTTGAACACGGAGAAAAGAAAGTGTAGAAATTGTGAATTGAAAAGTATAACAAGTGTTATGCAGCTTTAGCTTAACAATTGTGCTGTGTTACGACTAACAGTGAGAGTGGAAAGAAAGCGTAGAAAGCGTTGAAAGAGGGAAGAGAAGGAGAAAGAGGGAGGAACCAAGACCAAGAAGTAAATGGGGGAAGTGAAAAATGTCGGAAGGAAGAGATTGTATGAAAAGAATCGGATTGAGAGGAGAAAATGGGGAGAGGGAGGGGGAAACAAGTGGTATGGTATCAAAAAAGTGTGTTTGTTTTTGGGAGGAGGCAAGTATCAACAGGATCAAATCTGATGGTTATTTATATGATTTCCAGAAAGTGCGATCGGCTTTGCCGTTTAAGCGGATTTAAGTACCTGGACAGACGAATAAAGGGCCGAATAGCTGATCAAGAGAGGACTGAGAGGACATGACGAGCGATATCTGCTATGGAAATTTGAAAAGGGAAGGAATCACCCACCGGGAATAAACATGAGTGCCTGCGCCGCCTGCTCAGAAGGGGAATTACCAGACAGATACAAAGTGATATTTCCTTCCTTCCTCCCTCCCCCGCCCCTTCCCTTGCCTTCTCTGATTGATCGATAATTGATCAAATCCTAGTAGATATCACCTTTCTATTTATCTCTCTCTCTATTCACCTCTATTCACTCTCTATCTATTTCCCTCTCTATCTAGGTATTTCACACCTCTATCTATTCACCTCTCCATCTACCTACGTACCTAACTACCCAGCCACCTACTCGCCTACTTCTTGACCTTGAATTAACCCTATATTAATAACATCACAGTAGCTTCGTCTGCTCGTCGAGAAGCAATCCCTACCTTACTAGCTCCGTTCTTTCCTTTCTCAGACTGAGCACCTACCTACTGGGTAGGTTGGTCGAAAATTTAATCCGAGATAGAATGCCAATTATGAACTTTTCCTGTCGAAAAATGATACCTTGAACAGTCTTCAAAGGAATCAATGTCTATTATCTACGAGGTACTTACTTGGTAGATATTGATTGTTGATATGTGTTTGCCTTGGGAAACATTTGACTACGGCATGCTTCCTACACTTCTCATTTTCTCATTCAAGAGATCATAACAGAGTACCTAGTATAGGTAGATGAACTCTTGCATCGACGTCAGGATAAAATTACTGACTGATGTCACATAGTTCAAAAGATCTCGTCGGGGTATACCTCATTGCTCTATTGCTTCCTATTTATTCATATGATACACTCATTTAGTCTCGCCTTCTTTCAGGGCGTCTTCCCATTTTCTGCCGGTCAATTTCTCAAATGCCTCTCGGTACTTTTCGGCAGTTTGTGACATAATCTCATCTGGCATTGCAACTCCTTGTTTGCCTTTAAGCCCCTCTTTCGTCAACCAGTTCCTCAAGAACTGTTTATCATAACTTTCTTGCTCCTTTCCAACCTCGTATTTGAATGCAGGCCAGAATCTACTCGAGTCTGGCGTTAAAACCTCATCTACGAGGACTACCTCGTCGGTCTCCTCATCCAATCCAAACTCAAATTTGGTATCCGCGATGATAATGCCTCGTTCAGCAGCATAATCTCGGGCAGTAGTGTATAGCTTGATTGCCAAATCTTCGATGCGCTGCGCATACTTCTCGCCCACGATCTCGGCTGCCTTTGAAGGATGAATATTCTCATCATTTTCCCCAGCTTCCGCTTTGGTAGAAGGGGTATAGATAGCTCCTTGGGGGAAGGCTTCAGAGTTTCGCAGGCCTGCGGGGATTTGGATTCCGTGGACAGTAGATGACTTTTGATATTCTTTCCAGGCGGAACCGGTTATGTAACCTCGTACGATGGCTTCAATGGGGAAGATCTTGAGTTTGCGGACTTGCATAGATCGATTCCGGAGAAGGTTGTGCTGGGATGAGGAGAGGGAGGAGGGAATGGAGAGAGTAAGGAAGTGAGTTTTGAGATCGGGGATCAACGTAGTGAGAACCTCAAACCAATGTGCAGAAAGGAGAGTGAGAAGAGCGCCTTTCGAGGGAATGCCCTATGCATATTGTAAGCTATGATGAAATAGTAGAAGAGGGAAGGCATACATTTTTCATAATCACGTCATAAGCTGAAATGCGATCTGATGCGACGAACAGGAGAGTCTTCTCGTCGATCTCATAGAGATTTCGAACTTTCCCTTCTGCAATTTTTGGGAGACCATCAAGGTTCAATGTTGTAAGAGCTGATCCTGTCATTGTGGTATGATGTATTATGAGATCAGTATATTGTAAGACTTTTATGTAAAAATGAAGTAAGTGTCCAGGGTCAAGAACACCCGAATTTATAAATTTTATAGATTTACCCCGACGTTCTTCCGAGTTACTCGGAGATGGATTAACCATGAGTCCTTAAAGCGGCCGATCATCCGAACTAAGATTACCAGCATGAGGAGAGGGGAAGCTCTGGAGCAATTATCAGAGCTTTATCAAGAGCAAAGTCCAGATTCCCAGATTCACATCAATATACTTCTCAACTTACGTTGCCCCTAAACGTCCAATATCAATCAACAACATTGCTTCAAATCGGAAACTTCAAGTGCCAACAATAACTACATAGTTTCTTAATTATACCTAACACTATTGAAAGCTTTCATTATGAGGGTCACTCCTCCTCTTTCTAAGGGCTTTTTTGGCCGAAGCGTAGATGAATTCAAACGGTTATCAATGAGTGGTGAGTTTCCGGATACCTAGCTAAAGTTTTAAACATCACCAAGCTTACTTTATCTAGCACTCACTGCAGAAGGTACAAGAAGAGCAACATCTCCATTGCATCTTGTAAATTTCCACAATGCCGAATCCATAAAAGCTTGTAAAGTCTTCTCGGACGCTGATACGGGAGGCTTTTCACGAGTACATTTCGATTGGATACCTCCCTCCGAGAATCCCAATCCTACTCCCTCCGAGAACAAGAATGGACACGTCAAATTCCATGGAAACATATCAATAGACTTGCCGCCGAACAAGCCCCAAATACAGCGAAGTGGCTATGCAGCTTGGAGGACTCTTGATCAACCATCCACAATATTTGGAAAAACATTATGGACCATAGATCCATATGCATTGCTCGCCCTGCGCATCAAGAGTGACGGGAGGAAGTATTTTGTGAACATACAAACGGAATCAATCGTACCTACGGATATACACCAACATCGATTATATGCGCGAAGGCCTGGGGAGTGGGAGACAGTATTGATTAAATGGAATGAGTTTGTGCGCACGAACCATGGTGTTGTCGTAGAACCACAAGGCGAAATGTTGAGGCAGAAGGTACGGACGGTAGGAATAGGATTAATTGATAGAGTTCCTGGTGATTTTCAGCTCTGTGTGGAGAGAATATGGGCCACCAATGGATTGAGTGAGGAGGACCTAGAAGAAGATGGCAGAAAGGAAGAGGGACAACTGAAGAGCAAACATGGCGCGAATATCAGATGGAGTGAGGAGAAAGCCGGCAAGCCTCCTTCATAACAAAATCTCATAATGAAAATTATAACTTTACTTGAGGGGAAATTGTTCTGGCTCATTATGTTTCACAATACCGGAACTGGAGGCTGAAGCTTTTGCTGCATCTACCAATTATATCTACACAATGTCTTTGCTTTGTTCGTGTAATAAATTTACCTACTCAAAGTGCTCACTGATAACCCCAATTGCCGTCTAAATTCCAAACACATGAATATAAGTTTTACGTAGCGATAAATCGTTAAATCTTCCGAAAGTTGTGCCATCAAACAAATATCATTCGCAATATTTAACCTTACTACTCCAAAGTTCCCCGCAATCAATACCCCTCGGGCAACCGCGTTCAACGCGTCTTCACTTCTTCCTTCAAATCTTTAAGGTGTACTAATCAACCACGACGGGGCTTCTCTAATTCAGATCCTGAATTTCTTTAGGTTCTTTTTCCAGCTTGTAATTTTCTGCTTCTAGTGGGATGTAACTATAAAGATTGGACCTTCAGTGTGCGACGCAGCCATTGGAATATTTTGTCATGAGCCGTCATTTGACTCCCCCCAAAATCGGGTTGCTCGTACTCATCGAGCTATACACAGATGGGATTGTTTCTACGTCGTCCACAATATCTTTACTGTCTTTCATCCTCGCACAATTGCTACCATCAAGCTCCGTCAAGCAACCAGGGAAAGTTTTCGCAACTCCACAGTACCCAATTCTAGATCTGGGGACCTTCGAAGCCCTGCTTAAGCAACACAATGCTGCTTCTGGACATCCCGGGAGGTCTTTATGGGATCACTTCCTTGCAAAGCTATGGAAAATCGACAGTCTAGATGCCTTGCATGAATTCTTCGCGAGGCTGGACAATCTTCTGGCCAAATCCCGAGAGGATATTAAGAAGGATGGTGAAATGGGCATTCCCCCACCTTCAGGGGATATGATATTACTATCTCGCATATCGCCGATCGGAAGCTTTTTGCGAAAAGCTCAGATCGAGTTTGAACGACTAAAGTTCGGTGATGTGCTACAACTTTGGACGTCTTTCATGAAATGGAGGCAACAGTCAAAGGGATACTGGGCCAGGAGAGGACGTGCAGTCGGAAATTGGCCTGGGGATAAAGTTTTAGCAGAAGGAGAGGAGGAATGGGGCTTTGATGAGACCGAAACTCTGGCTCATATAACCTACGGTGGTTTGGATGAGGAGGACGCCTCTGGATCTATTAGTACAGGTGATGTGGAAAAGCTCCTCGAATTTCACGTGGAACAAATGCAGAGTAAGTCTTTTCGGACCTAGGGCCTGGGCGTTTCTAACATTTTCAGAACTCGGTACGAGGATGCCAATTGAGGTGAAATCGAAGCTCAAATCCCTCCTGGACGACAGTATCATAACGCCCAGTTTGTCTCACTACTTGACGTTAGTACATTTTACCCCGTTGCTTTGCTTGTCATAAACTAATGAACAATCAGCTTCCTGGATGCCTGGAGATCCGGTGACTACCCTTCATCCTTCGATAGTCTTCATCGATACTTTGACTACACGATGCAAAACCGAGACCGATTGTTCTATCAATATGCCCTCATGAACCTTGCTGTTCTTCAAGCTGATTTTGAATGTTACGACGAAGCGGTGGCTGCCATGCTGGAGACAGTCTCTACCGCAAGAGAGAACAAGGACATGGCGTGTTTGAATTTTGCTTTAAACTGGTTATATCATTTCGGGAAGTCACATCCGAACATCATTGAAAGCTCCGGCTCAACGAGTATGCTTGGCGTTGAGAAGGAAGGTCTTGCATTCCTACGGATAAAAGCCAAAGAGACTGGTATGTGGACACTCTGGAGCTCTTCACTGCTCAGCGAGGCAAAGTTGACACTGTCAAATGGGGAGAGTGTGGCGACTGCTTTTGAGGGGATACTTAAGAGCTCTCATTTAGTGACCGAAAAAGGTATGAAGAGTATGATGGGACCACAAACCGCCATGCAGTCTTCTTTATGGGGCCGCTTAGGGGTAGTTTGCCTCTCCAAGCAGTATAGTGAGATATTTCTTCGATGCCATGCTAGGTACGGCCTATTTGATGACACTTTGAGAATCACCTGTAGGATAGCACACTATCTGATGGAACGTGGTTCTTATGAACAAGCAGCAGAGAAGCTGGAAGGCTTGGATTCCAACTCTTTACGCTCATGGAAAGCTAACCAATACTGGCTAAGATATCGTGGGATACTACGTCTTAAGAATGATCTACATACCAATAATTTAGAAGGAGCCGACCACATTCTGTCTCAGCTGCTTCAATGCGACGGCCTCGAAGCGGACTCGGATCTTTCCTTTGAAATCAGCACCCTTCATGTCGACTACCTCATTCGTCGAGCAGATTTTGGCGCTGCGCTGTCGAAAATGGAGCAGCTTGCCTCCTCGCTAAAAGAACAAGGAGATGATATTAATTTGCGAATCAAGATACTGACGATGAAAGCTCTTTTACAAAGTAGGACTGGTCGTCCAGAGAAAGGCTTTTCCGTAGCGGTTCGTGCAGCAAGTATAGCATGGCGAGCACGCTTGATGCCAGCGCTCTGGGCTGCCATGGCAGCCGTGGCAAATATTTTGGTTGCACTGTTTGAGTTCCAAGCTGCCTGTCAAATCGTCACTGCTATTATTCCTAGGGCTTTGGAATGCGAAAATTGCACACTTAGCGCCCAGCTCTATTCTTGCCTCGCAGATTCATTCATGGGATTGGCAGGCCAAGCAGCAGCAGGCGACCCAAAAAGAAGCGAGAACCTAACAAAAGCCTTGGACTTTCTTGATAGAGCTTTCAAAGAGTCCTGTGCCATCAGGGATATCAATGGGCAATGTGAAGCGCGAGCTAAAAAGGCCATGGTGATGATGGCTGTTGGTGACAAGACTCTGGCGAATGATTATGCTTCTTCTTTCTTAGGCCTTGAGCAGCAGAGAGATACAGTGCGTCTTTGATGTACATGTTTGGGTCCATAGTCAGAGAATCAAGTATGGGCCGGTCGAAGCTTGGTGTAAGAAAAGTCATAATGCAAATGATGGGAAGTATTGTTATGGTAAAAAAAAAACTAGACTACATCTAATGAATGCGATTCTATGTGCAGCCTCAGTTCCTCCCCAACATTCCCTCCATCGTTCAATAAAGTAGCATTGCAAGCACCATCTCCATACTGGTCAGTGTATTTAGTCCTTCTTGTGGTAGTTGACTTTTTCATTCCAGCTATTACACATTGTCAGCAGTAATCCCATGTACTTAATTAGCCAATTCGAGGTCGAGCTCTCTTTTCTCATAGTGGTTCCAGAGAAACTTACAAGAGGGTCTAGGAAAAAGGTCAGTAACGAAATCTCGCAGCAACACAAATAGGGGTGAGTGAACTTGCCTTATCTCCATCACCCCAGAAGAAGTTCTTAGTTCTCATGTTTTGATATGGGTATTCCGGTCTATCCTCCAAAGGACCCATATGTTCCCAATGAGCCCAATGCTCATCCCACAAGATCTTAGCATTGACACTTGCGATGATCAAGCAAGGAATCGTAGCACTGTCCCAAAAATCAGCCTTACGTTTCTTCCCGCCATATCATCGCCCAACCAGTCTTCCATAGGCACCCTCTTCCCCCCACCCCCACTTGTCCATGTGATGTATAGCTTACTAGATTGACAATTTTCTCCAGAGATCTGCAGCTTTTGTTAGCATTTCATGCCTCCTTCATAACTCCAAGAAGACCCGTCTACTGACCACTAGTAGCAGCAGCATGATCCTTAACGGCCTGACGCTCCCGGTTGAAAGCGTTATCCTCGGCGCCAGCGAAGGTGCTCTCGCTGCTGGCGAAGCGTCGTTGGAATGGAGTTCGGATGGATTGAGGGCGAGCGACACGCTGCGCGGCTGCTCGGGTTGCACGTGCAGAGAACATGTCTGATACTTAGTGGGTGCGATTGTGTTGTAGGTTATAGTGTAGTTATGCGCCGCGACGCTGTTCAATTATCGTATGTTACTGCCAATTTGAATATCTCCACCTTGGAAACTAGACCTTACTTTGGCTGCCTTAGGCAACACTCAGCTCGGTCATAAGCCACGGGCTGATATATCACGTGCCGACGTGAACATTGACGTGGGGTTGGCTACAAGAGTTCTTGCGCTACGAAAGTTTATATTCAGCGAAGATGAATTATTATGAAGCAACAAGATAGTAGTCTTTGCCTTTATAATTGTCCTTACTGCATATGGGCCCTATGGAAGTACCGTAATTGTTTTCTGTTTGTAGGAGATGCATTTGCAAATGTTGTCCGACATCTCTCTCTACCTTCAGCTTCACCATGTTGCCACGATCAAACAAGCAAGAAACAAAGATTATGGATCCAGAGACTTGGGAAAATGACAGCAACCGTGGGCTGAGGATAACAACCTGGAATGGTGAGTGCGTCTAGTGGTAACGTGATTAGGATTTACTAACACAAGGACAGTTAATGGTATCAGGTTGGTGATATGCAGTTCCAGAAAACGGCAAATACCAATGCTGTTTACCTTGGCGCTTGAAACTAATGTAGACTGGGTAGGAATCCCTTTAGCTACCAGCCATGGTGTGAGAAGAGAACATTTTCTGTGAGCAGTCACATATGACAACCATTGTGGAAATGTAATCTGACTCATATACAAGACGATGTTTGATATCCTCGAAACTGATATTTTGGTGATGCAAGAGACTAAAATCCAGAGGAAAGATCTCAGAGATGATATGGTCTTGGTACCAGGCTGGGATGTCTTCTTTAGCCTTCCAAAGCACAAGAAAGGTATGCTATTCTTATTGTTCCTTGAATTCAGAGCTAACGCTGGAATTAAGGATATTCTGGTGTTGCCGTATATACAAGAAATTCAGCGTGCGCTCCAATACGTGCTGAAGAGGGTATTACGGGTGTTCTAACCCCTCCAAATTCTACAACCAGCTTCCGTGACCTTCCCAAGGATCAGCAGATTGGGGGATATCCCACGAACGCTCAACTTCAGGACTACTCCCTCGACGCCATGACCCTGGACTCTGAAGGGAGATGTGTTATTTTGGAGTTTCCGGCGTTTATCCTTATTGGTCTGTATTGTCCTGCGAACCGCGACGAAACTCGTGATGAATTTCGGCTTGCCTTCCTAAACGCCCTCGATACACGGATTCGGAATCTTGTGGCTCTTGGGAAAAGTGTCTTATTAACTGGAGACCTCAACATCATCGGAGATGAGATCGACACAGCCAACTTAGAGGAGCAACTAAAGAAACAGGGATTAACGCTGGACGAATATATATCAACTCCTGCACGCCGTCTGTTCAATCATCTCTTAATTGGGGGAAAAGTGGTTGGGGGAAGAGATGAAGGAAGAGAGCCACAAATCATGTGGGATGTATGTCGCGGCTTTCATCCTGCACGAAAGAAGATGTTCACATGCTGGGAACAGAAGAAAAATGCCAGACCTGGGAATTTCGGCTCAAGGATCGATTATATTCTTTGCAGCGAGGACAGGAAAGAATGGTTCCAGGAGTCAAATATTCAGGAGGGACTCATGGGATCGGATCATTGTCCTGTTTTTGCCACCTTGAAGCCTAGAGTGAAGTTAGATGGTGTCGAGGTCGATATTCGTGACGTGATGAGCAAGGACATGTTCAAGAATGGAGTCAGGGTGCGGGAATGGTCGATAAAGGATTTGCTACCCACGTCTGCTAAGCTAATCACAGAATTCGATCGACGTCAGAGTATTCGTGATATGTTCACAAGGAATCTAACTGACTCTATGACTGCTGAGTTGCCTTCGACTGCGTCAGAGTTCCAAAATGGGTTGGAGGAGTTGGCACAAAAAGATGCAACACCCAGCTCACATCAGAGTGCCAAATCACTTGAAGTATCCTCTACTAAAACGGATTTTCCATTAGAGCCATCCATATCATCATCGTCGTCTGTTCCAGTCAAGCGGTCCTCCGATGCATTGCCACCAATATCACAACCATCCAAACGCAGTAAGACAGAAGGCAAAACAAGCAAAGCATCTTCTAGCGGAAAATTGACCAAAGGACAACCGGGAAAAGGACAAAGTAGTTTAATGGGGTTCTTTAAGCCTAAGACACCGCCAGCAGCACAGACACTTCCGCCATCGACGAGTAACCCTGCCACGGTAACGCCTGCAACTTTAAAATCATCAGCAGTTCGCGGATGCTCCGTTAGTTCTAGCACGGAGAATAGGTCTTTGGAGACCGCAGAATGCGCAAATAGCGACGAAGAAATTAGAAACTCGCTTATGTTACCACAAGATACAGAAGTACACGATCCCATAGTAGCGAAGGAATCTTGGTCAAAGCTGTTAACGAGACGCATTCCCCCCAGATGTGAGCATAATGAGCCATGTATTAGCCATATAACGAAAAAGCAAGGCATGAACCGTGGCAGGTCCTTCTACATGTGTCCTCGACCTCTGGGACCATCAGGTCAGCAAGAGAAGAATACAGAATGGCGCTGTAGTACATTTATTTGGAGTAGTGAGTGGAATGGGAAGGAAAGCTGAGGCTGGAAACAACGCAGAAGACAAAAAGTAGCACCTGGGATTGGGGCAAGAAGTGTATACCTATCTATCTTGTCGACGGCATGATGACATATTTTCAAACATGCACACACATCGACATACAATTACCTCAATACCTACATTTTTATTGCTCACGTAATCGCAACTGGGAAGCAGGAAGTAGGAATCGTATACCCTCCCTCCCCTAACCAGCAACAGCAATCAAAAGCCATTCATGTCACATACATCCATCTACATCCCATGACCAACTCTACCGCATCACCTTTACAAGAGTAATCTTAATTTCCCAGCCCCCTCTCAACCTCGCCTTTTCGGCCTTTGACAAGCCGAGCCCGCATCGTCGCCGCTTAGGGGAAAAAGAAACTTGCTTCTCAATATTGACCACGAACAAGATTCACCCTAATGGGGGACAACGACCAGCCGCCTGATTTTTAGATTGTAGCTGAAGCAAGCAAGAAAATTTTCACGCTCGATTTCAAAGATTTGAGATTTTGAAATGAATCAAGGGAATGATTATGGCTGCGATAAAGGTGAAGAGGAAGATGCTGCGTTTTGGGGGATGATAAATTCTTGTCAGCAAAGGCACTCGGAGAAAAAAAGAAATAGATGTCATAGTTACAATGGTCACAATGTAGGCAGTAACTAGAGAGTATTATGAAGTGTAAAAGTTCTATTCTTTTGTAATATAAAACGTGTGAAGCGTATATGTCAAAATCTAAGTACGGCTTCAGTTGCATCCATCCATTAATTAAATCTTTATTCACAATTTGTCCAGTTCACTCAATCTTATGAACGCCATCTCGAATGAACAACCTCATGAATATATCCATAAACTTAGATAGCCTATATGGACATAGAGAAGAAAAAAGGTAAAAGCAAGAAGGAAATATGTACAAGTTATAAGCGCAGCAATGATGAACAACAAAGTCCCGATTCCAATTTCTTTCCATAAGTCGTAAGTCGTGAAATACAGGCCACGTTGTGAAGAGCTGACGAGTTTGTGAGTAAGAGAGGAGAAAATACTTGGTATTACATCCGAGGAGAGAAGAAGTTGTAAAGATTCTATTGATATAAAGTTTATATTTATTAGTTTATTAATATAGGTCTAGTACTTTATTTTTTCGACCACTCTCTCTTTTCGGCCGTTCTTTTATATCAAAAATCGTTATTTTCAGTTATTAATATTTCAATAACAAACTAATGAAATTAATTGAAATCTTAATTATAGATTTATTATATAATTATTAATGAATTTTGAAATTTTGAGATTTTTCCCAATTTTATTGATTGAGAAATTAAAAGTAGAAATTACGATTTTTAATTTATATAAGATTTATATACAAATTTAAAAATTATTAAAAGTTGAAATAACTTTTCAACAAAAATTATCAAGGGCCTGCGCCCCCCGGACCCCTGGCTTTTTGAAAAAGTTTTAATGAAAATTTAAGTTTTAAAAAGTTTATAATAAATTTAAGTATTGAATATATATTAAAGTGTAAGTAGAATATCAACTTGTTTTTGATAATTAAAACTTAAATTTTTTTATTTAAAAATAATAATTATAATATTTATAATATTATTTATTATTTAATTTATTATTATTATAATAAATTGAATGAGATGAATTGAATGAATATAGTTGAATAAATAAAGTTGAATTGAATAAATAAAGTTGAATTGAATAAATAAAATTGAATGATTTTAATAAAGTTGAGTTGAATGAGTTCAATAGAGTTGAATGAGTTTAATAAAGTTGAATAATTTTAAAGTTGAATGATTTCAATAGAGTTGAGTTGAAAAAAACTTTAAATTAAATTTTTTTAAAATTATAAGATTTATACTAAACTTTTTGTAGATTTATTTACCGGGGTATTTACCGAGGTATTTTAAATTAATCAAATTATTAAAATTATAATTCACTTAAATAAATTTCTCATTTTTTATAATTTATATCAAGTAAATTATAATATATTATATATATAACAAGGTTTTAGTATTGATAAATCAATAATAAATAATATAAATATATATATCTTTTATTAAATATATTAAAAGAAATTGAATAAAAAGATGATTATTTTTATTATATTTTTATAATTTCTTATAATATTTTATATAACAAATATTATTTTTATATATATAATTTTGATTATAAAAAAAAGATAAAGTTTTATATATAAAAATTGTATTTGATATAAAATCAAAAATAAATAATTTAAAGTAATTTAAAGTAATTTATAATTATTATAATAAATTTATTATTAAATTTTATTAAAATCTTTTTTAGATATTGAAAAGATCTTGATTATTGATATAATACTAATTTAAGAATATAATAATTGAAAAAAAAATGAGTCTTTAAATACTTTAATAAAAATAATTATAATAAAATTTATTAAAGTTTTTAAAAACTTTTCACAAAGGATTATTAAAAGTATAGATGTATATATTTTTTAATATAATATTTGGAAAGCAACATTATATAGATTTATGAAATTATCAATAAATCATGTAATCAACCTCGAAATGAAGCCGTACACAAAGGGAGCTGTACGACTAGTGTATTCTAGCCCGTACCTCTTTCAATATAAAAAGGTCTCCCTCCTCTAAATAGATAATAATCATCCATGAATAAACACAGAAATACTACTATACATAACACAGTATCACCGAAGTAATACCAATAGAAATATATAAAGAAATATATATATAGAGTTTGATTTCTTTTTTGAAATTTTTTTGTGTGAGCAAGTTATCTATGTGCAGCCTCTTCTATTGGTGAATTTCCGAAAAGTTGATACACCTGGTTACTTTTCTTCGATCAACAAGGCAGTTTAGTGATAAGCCGGTGAAGGGAAATATACTATCAACATACCTCACGATAACTGCAACTCGACATGAAGGTCAAAAAAACAGCCTTGCAAATACGACGTGAAGCATTCTTCAGGAAAAAGTATTTATGGCGCACCAAATTACGTTCTGCTCGTTATATTCGCCCCGGCGCCCTTAGGACTTGGAAACGTGATGAGATCAATACGTTGGATCCATCGACTTTTTCGGACGCGACACCTGTGGAGCTAGCAGCAGCATTAGAAAAAGATGAGTTACTTAGGGGTGTGGAAGTGGGATCTAAACCAGTATCATCAACCTATGATCGGTTCGATCCGGGTGTTGAAGCAAGTAAGGCAATACCGTCATCAAAACCTATATTCTTTCTAATATTGACAAGCCGCGGATACTCCTGGAAAGCCATGCGAGCCTGCGTTTCTAGATGCCCTCGTCACGGACTGTTGCGTTTTGATTTGGGAATTTCGTAGCCTTTACAGATACACAGACTTCAACTCAATGGACGACCCATTACCCACCGAGTATGCGGAAATTTTCTATGATCTCAACACCGTATTTACACAATGCCGGAGGCTTAAAAAATCGCCTGAACTCTTCTCAACGCTAGTACAAGAGCGTCAATTCATGGAGAAGATGAGTCGTATAGCGGAAATTGTGGACCATCTGCGAGATGTTATAGTCTTGAAAAATGATAGTAAGCTCGCCAGGAACGAAATGCGAAAGAGGGAGAGAGAACTTGCCAAAGGTCTACCATTCTTTTATCCCGGACGAGCAGATGGAAGACACCCCTGGACTAGATGGCTGGAAAATTCTTTACCTGTGATGCCTCCAGGTTGGCTGGGGATTCAGCAGAAAATACCACATATTGGCGATAATATAATTCGAAGAATCACAACTATGTATGAACTATACGAAAGGCAGTTTACAATTGTGAGTATATCAACCATGTTCTATACACATAGAGGAAACGGATAGACTAATGTATTTTTCACAGGAGGGACTTGTTGATAGCGAAGTGAATGTAAGTTTGATAATATCAACCTGCTTCATGACCGAAAAATAAACTAAAACGTCATCTAGGATACCTTGGAAGATTTTCCTGCCCCAGGAGAACCATTTGAGCATATGACCTACTCGAAATCCTCAACAATGGCAGTAAATTACGTGCAGTATAGAAGTGGAGATAGGTCGGAGTTCGACCAAAATGGGATCTTGAGGATTGAGAAGTTAGCAGAAGCTGTTCAGCGGAGTTTCAGACGGCAGCAGAATCCAGTAATTGCAAAGAATGCAAATATGCCGTATCATCGATTTATGATGGGTTATAAGGTAGAAACACTAAATGGCGATGTCCAATAGACCGTTTAAGAGAAATCCAGATGTTCTCGATCTTCTCCCCAAAAAGCTTTCACTTTTGTATGTTTTACATTAACCGACATCCCTACATCTTTTATGTATTTTACAATCTCAAAAACCATCAATTATATAAATTAAATCATAGTTAATATGATTACACAAAACAATATAAAGTTTACACTGGTTTATATTTGTGAGATTTTCTAATAAGTTATTAAATCACTTAATAATATTAGCCGAACCAATGATCGGATGATCACGTAATATATTAGTAATATTCATATATATTATTAAATTTCATTATCATATGAAAATTTGATTATAATTCATATCAGATTGATTTATAAGGGAATAGAATGAAATAGAAGTGTATACAATTTCTTATCTATCAGATTGAATATTATTGATTATTATTTCTTTTTATTATATAAAATGATTTTATAAGATTCGATTCAAATTGATCTTATTATTAATCATAGAATATATTAGAATTTTATTAAATACTATAAATACAAAGGTTTTCTTTAAAGAATCCTTAAAATAACAAAATAGAAAAAATAATAAAATCTTTATTTTATTATTCTAACTTTAACTTATAATTATATTTGATTTTACTCTATTAAGTTTAAATATGATTAAGTCTTTTATTATTAATATAAATAATAATAATATTATTATTATTATTTATTATCGATTAACCTTCTTCAAGATTAAATATTGAATATCTATTAAAGTATAAATAAAATATCAATTTGTTTTTGATAATTAAAAATGATAATAATACTTTATATTGTTAATATTATTATTAATATCACTTCAATAATACTTATTATAATACAATGATATTTTTATTATATTTTATTTATAAATGATTATTATTTATTTAAAGAAGAGAGATTTATTTATATTGAAGAGATATAATCTAGAATATATTAATTGTACAACTTTCTTTATATATAATCTCGCTTTTAAGATTGATTATATAATATATTTATAGTTATTTATAATATTATTAATTATTATTATTATTATTTGTCACAGATCTTGTATAAAGGACGATCACGTGATTCCAATTGATCGACAATTCCTATCGGTGAGCTGGTAGGTTGTGCACTTGAGTTTCGATTTACTCTTTTTAGTATGGGATTATGGTCACCTTAATAACCTATGTGCACAACCGTGCAGCTACCGTATAGGTATTTTGTATATAAATATGGATGCTCCCTACGAGTCATAGCTTTTCAGTTGTAGATTCTAAGGAATATAATTGACCCTGTTTATTCAGCTTTTATGAGGCTCTTGTACGTCACAGTTATAAGGCTTATATCAAGTTTTTTGTTAGATTATTTACCTGGGTATTGTTACGAGGGATGCGATCTAGATCATGTGGAAATGGCTTAGATCCTCAAATGGTTTATAACTAGGCGTCAAGCAAGAGCTTGAAGTAATATCAATGGTTGTAATTTGTAACTAATAGTAAAGTATACTAAATGATTAATCTTGAGCATAAAGCTTTACAAATGAAATCCTTTCCTAGCTATATAGATCTTCGTATCGATGGGATCTTTGTCACGATTCACGGTTTAGATTATAATAGTATTATTGATATGGGTGATTTAGATGCCGATTATCGGGGGGAATGATTTAACCGTTGTTTTCAGAGGGCCTAATCGTCTACGAATAGGAACCCAGAATTCCTAGAATAAGTATGCTAGGCAATCATATTAAAATAGGACAAATATCCTAGCTAATCAGTTACAATGGGACGATCATCTTAGAGGATATCATATCCTAGAACAAAGGTTCCTAAAGGAAAGCTTTTATGATAAATATTCCAAGAAAGAAAAAGCCTCAAAATCGATCACGTAATGATGAGCTCTAGGAACTTGGAAAACTCTTGAAGCTTTCCAAGCTTTTGGGAGCTTTTTCCAAGCTTTTGGGAGCTCTTTCCAAGCTTTTGAGAGCTTTTGGACTCCATAAAGCTTTTGTTTATTCATTAGTATATAATCAAAATAGTTTCATAATTTAAAGGCTCCGTGCTCAACTTAGTTATCAATTAGTTTACCTGTATTCTGTTCGATTTAGTAACGAATTCACTTTCAAATGAATAACCAATGATTAATAGCCTTAACCTACAACTACCCACTATACGAAGCTCTACAGATCCCTTGCATCTAATGGATCTACTGGATCTACTGGATCTAATAGATCTAGAGTACGATTTCCTAGCTCCCCTAGCTCCTTAGAATCCATCATATGACTCGGATCAGACCATATTATCCAAGTTTGCTGAAGGTGAGGAGAGTCAGTTACTATATAAATTTGTAGACAAATTGCCTTGCTTTTCGACAAGGCCCAAGCTCATGTTGGTTGACTGTTACCTTGTAACAGGTATTTATCGGGGCATTTACCGGGGTATTTATCGGGGTATTGACGGGTGTGTTTACCGGCGTATTTTAGACCAATCAGATTATCAGGATCGCGACTCACTCAAACGAGTTTCTCATTTTCTATTCGGGTAAACTCGCGTACAGCAAGATTATAGTGTTGGTGCAAGCCGACAAACGAAAGAAATAAGAGATTCTTTATCGCTTTACTTATTCACTAAAATAACAAGCTTTTTTTCTTCTTCTTGAGCTAAATCTGTTAGCCAACTCTAGCCACACAAAATTCTATTAAAAGGCCACTGCTGCACCTTCTCAGAAACTTTTCAACAACTCTACAACAACAATACTTCAGCGAAACTTTCGGCTGCTTCTCCAATAATTATCTTTCCAGATACTTTTTCCTCAATCAAGAATCGTCATAATTTCATCATGACGACGCCCTTTGGGACGACGCCCTTTGGGACGACGATGCAGCACACCATGAAGCGGCAGCAAAGAAAGTTAACAACTACTCAGTACCGCGTGTCAAAAACAGCAACTAAGTGCAGAAGAGCCAATGATGACATACAGTCACCTACCTACCATACATCTACATCCATGGGTAGAATTGAGGGTGGTATACAAGATGCTGCAATGAATACGAGACAAACCGGGTGGGTCCAGGCTCCTCGGCGCTCTGTCAATTCATATATATTGTTCCGTAGTAAGTTTTCTGATCAACAATTATTTGCAGAAGACCAACATCTATTTAGCCTTCTATATGATTTTGACTATGCTTGGAAATCTTCCGCAAAAGTACAAGTCTTCCATCCTCAGTATCTTATGGAGAGGCGATCCTTTTCATACCAAATGGTCTATCCTTGCTCGCGCTTATACCCTTATGAGAGACGCTAATGTCAAGAGAACCGTCTCTGAATTTCTTGTTCTTGTATGTCCTTATATTGGTATCCTTGCTGTTAATGATTACCTTGTCAATCTCAATTGGACACTCGAAACAAATGAAGAAGGGATTGTCTGTCTTCGTCAAACTTTTCCACCAGATATCCGTTCATTTTCAGCACACATCGCTAGCACTACCTTAACAGATTTGGACATCATCACTTTCTATAACTCCCAAAATTATAATTGAGGAGAGAAGAAGTTGTAGAGATCCTGCTGTTGGACCATTTGCCAAGATTTTGTTGATGTGAAATTCATACCTATTGATTCATCATCATATGTAAGTCTGCACTTTTCGGGTTGAAGTCGTTGTTCTGTATCATTAGAGTGATCTATATGAATATTGAGTCCAAATGTATTTAGATCAGAATTATCAATATAGTTGTTGTTTGCAGTAGGAAAGCTGATGGAGGAGGTGGTGGTATTGATGTTGTCGGATAATTGATTAGTGGTTGGTTTGGTGAGCGTCTTCTTGGATGCACGTCGCTTCTTCTCATTTGGCTTCCTGGGAGCGTACTTGTAGGTAGGGTGAGCCCTCTTATGAGCTTGCTTCAACAGATCGGCACGAATCTTGTACTTCAAACGCCGCTCTGGAGTTTCTGCAGCCCACATGCCGGCGATAATCGAAGCTAGAAAAAAAACTTAGAAGATTGAAGTGAAGCATATATCAAATGGGAAACTTACAAATCTCGTTATTAGTGATACCTGGATAGGCTTTCTTGATGGGAAGATGGTTATCAGCACGATAAAGAATCCACTCATTGGCGGGACGTGGGATCTTTGGCTTGGGAGCAACAGGCAGGGGCAGTGATAGGTGCTTTTTCCCTAAGGCAAAGCAGGGAGCCACCCCAATATTCGTCGGAAGAATTCTGCAATTTCCATCCCATGAGCCGTTCATCATCCTTCGATGCTCGACATTAAGAGGCTCCAGACACAAATTGGTGAAGCCTGCGACGGCCAACATCTGTTTGTCCCCAAACTCATCCAATGGGGCAAGAAATATTCTGCTGACATAGGCGTCTCTGACGAAAACACCTTTCCGATCAGTGTGTTGCCTGTGATTGCATATTAGATAAGACCGTACTACAGAGCAGACGTTACATACTCATAAAAATGAAGCAGAATTTGACGTTCAGGTGTGCCAAGACCAAAGTATTCGGAATCCTGCAGCTCACACCATGGGTTGATGTCAAGTGCGTTATACAGATCCAATTCGTTGAAGAAAGTACGCATCGCATCATAAATCTCCTTCGACAATCCAGGAATGCCATAAGCTTCGACAGGTGTGATGTCGACTGCAGGATAAGGAACATCTGCGAGAGGAGTTTCAAGAATAGTACCGCGGTGCGGTACCCATTTACCAAGTCTGAGGGTGGACAGAGACATCCTCGAAATGTAAATGCGATAATGTTTTAGAAAAGTCTTGATGGAATGTTTCAAAAATAAAAGAAACAAGTGAAATACTCCAGTTTATTATGATTATCAAGGAAGATTGAGCAGCTGTACAGGTCAAAAAATTGTGGTTGTCGAGATATAAAGGTTGTGGGAGGAAGGATATTTTTTTATTGAGGAAAAATTTTAAAGAAAACATTATTGGCGGGATCATATCGTTTGAAAACCCACTAAGCGAAATTCAAATCAGAATCTGAAGTATTCTTTGTTGGAAAGTGAATGCAAATAAAGATCAGAATAAAGATGAAGAACTTGGTCTTATTAATATGAACACCTAGAACACAGAAACGATCAAAGCATCATGTTAGCTGCTCATAATAGCATAACTATGTAGATTCCATCAAATGAAGCTACAAGTCTTCCACTGATATATGAAGATCTCATATATACTTACACACATTCATACACGTTATCGTAATTGCAAGGCGCAGGAATGCAACCACAAACAAGAACCAATGTCGGTGCCGAGACATCGACGGGACGGTCTCAGATTAACGCAACATATGTTCTCAGCCATATGAATGACTTTTCCCGAGATTTCAAGAGGCCGGTTTCCAAGACGACAACTCCACAACCATTTTTAGGAATTGCTCCTGTGGTATATGACGTTTATTATCCGGTGATACATTACCCTCCCCAATGGATAGGAGATGAAAGGGAACTTCGGAAACGCAAAGTGAACACAGAGCAACGTCAGTCACAAAGGGAGCTATCAAACGTCGTTGGACACACGAATAAACTTGCGAATAGCTTTATGAAACTCGAAACAGGGCTTCTCAACTTGCGTTTCGACAAAAAAGGGTCAGTACCATTGATCAAGCAATTAGCTGCAGGTCAAAGAATTGCATTGCGAATTTATCTACAGAAGTAAGTAGAAACATCTTCGTCCCTAAACAATATTGATAAAAAGTTTCAGCGAAATCACAAAACAAGCAGCCGATTTGGGGCTGGTGAAACTCGGTGAATGCGAAACTTTGGCTATAAGAGATGTGGTGAAGAGCATGGTTGACCGTCGCCGAACAATTACTCAAGCAGAGAGCAATGTATTTGCAGACGAGATATTTGAGGACGAGGTCGAATTCGATAATAGGGATGAATCCGGAGAGGCACATATAGAGCCATATTTAAAGAGAAGTGAAGAGATACGCAACGAGAGTAAGCTCCTTCACATATGTGAGTGTCAGATTACGCTAATTCAATGCAGTCTCCGATCTGATTTGGAATCTACAATTCGATCATACTTTCGCGAGAACTATGTCCCATCTCCTTCCTTTGAATTACGACTCATGGAAAGAGAAGATTATAACGCCGACAAATATACGAAAGAGAAGGCGTATGAGGAGAATAAAACGAGTTGAAAGTGCAGGTAGACAGCACTAGGTTGAACTCAAATAATCTGATGCCAGTAAAAGGCTGACTGTGACCAGTCGTCATCCTCAGTGTTTTTGGGGTACAGGATCCATTCCTATCAAATAGTCCATCATTGCTAACACTTATACCCTTATAAAAGATATCGATATCAGAAAAACTATCTCTGATTACCTTGTCAATCTCAATTGGACACTCGAAACAAATGAAGAAGGGATTGTCTGTCTTCGTCAAACTTTTCCACCAGATATCCGTTCATTTTCAGCACACATCGCTAGCACTACCTTAACAGATTTGGACATCATCACTTTCTGTGGCTCTCGAGGCTACTTACCAACCGCAACCGCTGCCGGCATCGTTCAGGGCTGGAACCATATAGATCCAAATGTTGACATGTCTATCCAAGGTTGTCTCCCTGTCACACAACACATTGCTTCCACTCAGAATGCATATGGTGCCTGGGAGATGCCTAGAGATGCCATTGTTGCTCCACCCCCCAGGCCAGCTTTCGACCACCCACTTCCTTACACTCTATCTGCACCACCACCAGGTGCACCACTGCCCACTAGCACACTGCCACCACCACCTCCTTGGTCCACTGGTATGATGGCTGGCTACTGGAGTCAGGACAACGAGTCTATTGAGGTCAATAGACTTGTAACCCAATTCGATCGATTCGACCCCACCTCTTTTGGTGATGCAAACAACCCTTACGTTCCTGGCGTTGTCTTTCGACCATCAAGTAAGTCAACCTATTCACCCATTTGATTGTGCCACACTAATTGTTTTAGACTTCAACGAGGCATTGTCCCGTTCCCACGATAATCACTCCCCAGGATGGATTTAGAGCAAAAACTGGGAGTCGGATGGATGATATACTCATTGATGCAGCATGTTTTTAGATGGTAAACCTGGGACATTTATCCACCAATTCCCCAAGATCTTGATAATAATAGTTTGTACACCAATTACACATCAGGCTTCCTCGTTCTTATTTTCAGTACACAGTTCTCATTACATTTTGATCATAATTTGGAGGGATAGATACTTAAAAATGGCCTGCTAGGCATCAAGCTTGCCGGCATTTCAAAAGGTTCTGGTGCATAAAAATTTCTTCTTCCTCATTCAAAGACTTGCTAGAATCACTAAAAAGATCTTATGATGGAATAAAAATTATTACTCTGCTTCAACATTTTCTCTCCTCTTTCGTGAAACATGCTCAATGCTCAATGAAATGCGTAATAAGTATCGATCGTAGATGATATATGACACATCTTTTCATCCCTTCATTTCTTTTTCCAACACCTCCAAGCATGACATGTCGTAGAAATAAGCATGTGGAGACACAGGCACCAGTTACTAAACCAACAGATCACTAATGCAAGTACCAGCGTTCTAATGTAACATTGTGCTTACCCTTTATGGATCTTGGTCCGTCCGAAAGTGGGGAGTTGGAGCTTGGTGGGGACAAGGATATAGAATACGAGTACGAGATTTGGTACGAACAGCGATGACAAGCAAAGGAAACGATAGACTTGAACTTTATTGGTGAAGAGAGGGGGGGAAGTTGAATAGTCTCAAATACTTAATCATTCAAAAATGCTATGATGGCATTCGGGACTTCCTTACATTTGAGATCGCGAGGGACGAATTCTTGGCGTTGTGGGTTTTCTTAACACATAGAAAGTCTGTGAGACAATTCTCAGGTGATTGATCATACCTAGTACTAGATCAAGGGGTAATTCGAGCTGAGACCGGTAGAGATGGTGGTGTCTGACAAGCAACAAATATAAGTCAATCGATTTCTGATACCCCTAAGCAAACTGCGATCATGGAGATATCCGAGTTAAAAAAGTGATGTAAGAAGCTCAAGGTAATCATTTTGCCTCGGTCTCAAAAGTATTTCCACGGATGCCCTCCCTCCAAGTGTCATCGTCCTCAATGAAAGAACTCTTACCAAATTTGGATATCACACGCTTATTAAAAGAATCGCCCATTTACTTCTTCCCCTTAAAGTTTATATATACTCAACCGAGTTACGAGTAACCATGACCCAGCGCCTAGTCCTCCAAATAGGATATCTTTCGCATCTCACCTAATCTCTTCCTCGCCGCCGCGAGATTGTTCTCAAGTTGTAGGATTTCGACCTGTAATAAAAATCAGTAATGCTTCAAGAGAAAATCCCTTCAAGGAAACTTACCTGCTGTTCCATTTCCCTGACCTTAAACTCATGCGCCCCGAGCTTGGCGTAATCTTCTCCTTCATCATCTTGATCCCGGTCCTTGATCATACTCTGTACTTGTCTGACAAGAGTTCTGCAGGCTGAACCAACAGCTTTACTAGCTTGCTCCAAGCTCTCTTGGCTCTTGCTCATGAAACCGGCTTTAACTCTGCTAGCAGCGACCAACTGGGCGGTAGAGGCTGCAACGTCGTTAGAAGCAACGATGAGTTGTTCCGGACTGTTACGTCCTGAAAGAACTCCATCCGCGGTCTCAATCAACGTGTTTGTTGACGTTGCCACTGCTTTGGCGGCGGAAATGAGACCCTCAGTCCAGCGGTTGTTCTTCTTGTAGAAAGCGGTCTTGGAAGACGAGCCGCGACCAGCCTGAACAATCTCTTGTTGGGTAACTGTAGCTGCTTTGATCAATCTGGCGATAGCGTTCGTAACAGCAATGGCAGCATCAAGGATTGAATCGTGGATTTCGAGTTTGTATGTCGAGTATTGATCTTTAGGTTTGGACTTAAGCTTCGCCAGACGTGCAGCGGCAGCAGCAATTGCCTCAGCAGCCTTAGAGAGCTCGTTGTCTACCAAATCTCCCAAGTCGCCTTTATTATTTGTGAGTTTACCACTGTTTGGCGCAAATGTATCTGCAAGTTTGTTCAAGCGTTGCAGATGGATTTGTACCTCATTGTTGCTGTTGATGACCACCTCAGTTCGCTGCACTGGATCCATGCCATCCAATCGAAAGCTTTGCAACCCGCGGAAAAATGTGACAGTAGACTGCGCAGATTGACGTGCGCCATTAATAAGTTGATCAGCCTTCTTGTCATCCGTCGCAAGCCTCGTGAGACCTTTGGTATTGCTAAGCACGTCGGAAATTGAGCTGGCGAAGACATTGATGGTTCGAATGATCTCGGCATGGGTGCTATTCGGACCATCTGCTATGAAATTGTTGAATGCCGTGGCGAATTCGGTAGCACTTGCTGATGCCTTTTCGATCTGGGAAAGAACGTAAGATGGGGTTGCATTCTGATTACCAGCTTGCATGGTAGAATCGAGTTCGTAGAGAGCGTCGTCAACACGCTGAACTCCACTCTGAAGAACGGAATCGATGATGTCGTTGATTTTGTCAATATTAGAAAGGAGCATGGCATCAATTTCTCCATCCAAAGCATTGTCAGTGTCGCCTTTTGACATCTCGAGCTCATTGAGTCTGATAAGCGCATCATCCAAACTTTGCTTGTAAACCTCCAGTTCATCCTCCTTATCCTTGAGTAATCTTTCGGCATCTGAACCCCCTTCACTATATTTAGCATGGACATCCTGTAATGCTCGGGATTTGTTGCGAAGAGCCTCCTCGAGATCTGCCATTTCACGATTGTACTTAGAAAGCATCGTAGACAGCTCATTGCCCTTGCTCCGCTCCAAATTGTCAGCTCGATCGAGAGCCATGCGAAGCTCGCGTTTAAGCTTTTCGACTTCCTCACGGTTACCACCAGTGAGACGGTCTTTTTCATGCAAAGCCCTGTCTCTTTCTCTGATCATGTCTGCAAGTTCAAGATTCTTGGTCTTAATTTCTCGCTCAAGTTTTTCCCGCTTGTCAATGGCCTCCTGAGCTGAGGCTGCCTTCAGTTGAACGCTCTTAAATCTTTGAAGCAGGTCGAGATGTTCATGTCGTAATTGTGAATAAAGCTTCGCGAGTGCTTCGTATTTCGTCCTCCAAGTGTTAACTTGCTCTTGCAAAGCTCTGATCTGATCCTCTTTACTTCCAATTTGTTGTCCGTAACTGTTCTGCAGCTGCGCAAGCTCACCCTCCAGCGCCTTTATCTTTTGGTCGTATTGTTGTAACATTAGCTGATCCCTCGCGTATTGTGCTCGGGCATCGAAGTTCTCCCGTTCAAGTTCCGCCAGGCGACCATAAGTCTGTTGTTGGGATTGTTGCAGCATCAATTGCTCTTGCTCCCGCCTTTGTTGCTCAGCCAGCAAACGCTGCTGTTCTTCATAATTTTGCTGCGCTTGAAGTTGTGCTTGCTGTTGTGCCAGCATTTGTTGTCTCTGCTGTTCTGCTAGAACCCTCTGTTGCTCCTCATACTGCCTGTTTTGTCGGTCCTGTTCGGTCTTCCAGAACTCGCCAATTTCATCTGGTTCCTCCGTCTTGGGAGGCTTCGGAGGTGTGATTTGCCTCTCAATCTCTTGCTTGGGCCGCTGAGGTAACTTGGGGGCGGAATCATCCTCTGAAAGGAGATTGGGCGGTTCTTGCGGTAGCTTTGGCACAGTAATCAGGCTCGTGAGATACCGGAGATTGGAGCATTCGTAATAAAATTTTACAAGACGATAATGCTGGGAGTCATATCTGCCTCTCAAGGGCTCAAGAGCATCATCATCACCGGTTGCTGCAGGTCAAGTCAGAGGTGAATGGCTAGATGTGAGCTTTGTGACATACTTGTGTGCATAGCTCGCAGCATGCTGGTGATGAACTTGTAGATACCGTAACTCTCTTGTACCAAAGGAACCAGGGCGGATATCCTACATTCGTTGTGGCCCCCATTCCGAAAGTGCGCAAAGATCAGTTTCTGGAAGTGTTCGATTCTGTCCTGTAGAGTCATAAGATCTGAAATGGTTTCATAACCTTCATTTGGATCGTTGATCCCCTTTAAGCTGATGTACTCCTCATACTCGAATGTGCCATTAAAGTCAGGATGCTGTTGGTGGAAGCTCAATTTGGACAGCAAAAAGTTGACATATTCTTTTATCAAAGGTCCATAGCCCCGCATACCTTCGCCGGACATTCCCCTATTCAAACTGTCGAGCCAAGTTCGATTCGCCATGGCCTCACGTAGAGTCGATGGGTGGCCCTCTTGTAGAACCTTGTGAACGGTAATCAATGCCTTGAATGTCTGAACCTCATCTGCGAGGATAGGTTGTCTATGAGAACGGCCTGAAGTTAGCCACTTTCGTTTGCCCTGAGTTTTCTCATATCGCTGGAATCTCATGCTATTCTAGAGCTTGGTATGATATTTTTGGAATACATGCATAGATGGGTTTAGACTGACACTTTCATACCAGCCCAGAAGGCACTGGAGCTGCTGTGGTCCCATGTATACACAATACAGCTACGAACATGTTTACGTTTCGGCGCGGTCTCCTCAATGCTTGTGGCCTTCCGAATGTTGATCGCAAGCTCTGCCTCGGACCTGACCAATTATAACAATGTCAGTATATTTCATAACTTGCCAATAATAGGGGATAGGAAGCTCGATGAGCCCGAGATTCCCGCGGACTTACTTGGTATGATCCACGTTTCTGGCAGACGTCGCGTACGACATGATTAAGAGCGCGTAGAGCGCAAGATGTGCAGGAGAAAAGAGAGTAAATATGAAAAGTTGATATGTAGGTGAAAGGGTCGGAGATACTAAAGGATTGTAATAAGAAGAAGATGTTGTACCTTGATATTGTATATTGTACCGAAGCTTGTGTACGGGGTAAGTTTTGGTGGAGCTGCGTAATGTGGCGGCCCCGTACTTTATGCCGTGGCCCGGTGGCTGTGTAGGGTGTTATTTGTTATTTCAATTCGAAATGATGCCCAGAGAGAGATATCTCAATCTTCTCTCGAAACCAATGTTTTATATATTTGGTTCTGTGCAATATCGTTACAATAAATCCCATTCATAGAATATTTATCAATGTGAATCAGTCAAAACTCTACTTTAGTTTACTAGGTAATAAACCATCTTGCGCCGTGTCAACATTGCAACTAGATAACCTTGTGTTCATAAAATTACTTCATTAAATGCATGCATGGTCTTTCATAATTCATTTTATATCATTCCGTTCTACCTAATATCCGTATGAACCGATAACCATACAGCGCCTGCCAATGTAAGATAAGATAACCAACCAATTTCTTACGTCCAATGTGATCCCAACAGACTTGTATGTATACAGCGCCGTTTATGCACCAGACTTGCTCCACGTAATCAATATGACAGCCCAACAACATATTACATAGCTCAAAGACCTGCATCTTCATCGACAAAAGTACTTTTAGCCCGAGCTTCTTGCTCTTGTGCCGCCATCCAGGATGGCAATTTATGCCCGTCTTCTTCAGGGCTACTTGAGATAACTCGACGTGGATGCCGCCTCTTTGGAAGTTGCGGGCGCTCACGAGCGACGGAAGAGGCAGGTGAAGGGGCGTCAGCTTGAGCTTGTTGGTTTTCATCCATCTCGTCCACATCATCCACCCACGGTTGCATGTATTGTGGCGAATCTTCAGTTACCGGTGTTGTCGGTTCTGATGGCGCTGACACAATCAAAAGACCATCATCTGCAGTGTCCGCCTCCTTCCTAGAATTACGCCTAGGCAAAGGCGGTGGTGGAGCAGTGTGATGCTGGCGACCGGTTGGAGGTTCTCTTTCATGCCTTTGTGGCAAAACAGGAGGAGGCATTGGCTTCCGCTTAGGCACGGGGATTGGAGCCGTTTTTGTTTTCTTGTCTGGGAGAGGCAGAGGAACGCCGGGAGGAGGTAGCGGCTGTCCGCGTCCCATGACGCGTGGCTGGGTTGTTTCGGTTGATCCCGATGAGCTGCTCCCTCTCTGCTCGCTACGTCGTTGAATAGCATTCCACTGTGAAATATATCAGTCGCACTTCCATTGAATCCGAGCATAAACAAAATGAGTAGCATGTAGTGTTGTAGCATAGGCGCACTGCCTAAGCATTTCTCAAAACACGATGGATGAGAACGCTGAAAAGGACAACAATATAAACTTACTCCCCAAGTTTTAGCCGTTGCCGCTGCATTGGTGACAGCGGCAAGCGACAGTCGTCTGTTCTCCGAGGCTGAAGATTTTGTTGAAGATGCGGTATTCTCACGTTTTGGGGTGCCAAAATTTTTAGAAGCTGACAATTCTGACCTTATTGATGTAGTACTTAAACTTGCTGGACTTGTGGGGTAAGAATTGATACTAGACGTATCCGTGAGTGATGATGGCTCCAAAGAAACTTGTGGTATGGAATTGCTCATATCAGCCTTCTCGGAATGTGAGGAGTCCCGTGAAGATGATGAAGATTGGCTACTACTTGGTTTAAAATTTGTTGGTCGGTTGGGAGACCCAGTAGGACTCTGTACAGGGAGTTCCGTTTTGGCGGACAGTTTAGCCATGGCGGTTGCAGCGTGGTCACCTTCGGGAGGGCTCGAAGGCTTGAAAGCGTCTGCGTTTGTTATGTCAGTAGTAACGACGGGACTAGACGCATTAGCAAAGGATCCTGAACGAAGGACTCTTGGTTTGTCGCCCGTTAAAGGTCGCGCATCTATTCCAGTAGATGAGCTGCTAGGGAAAGGGTTGGTGAGGTTTGAAGTGGACTTTGTGCCTTTGCGTGAATGTATTGTGTTAGAAAGTTTGGTATCAAGCACAGGAGTGCTGTAACTCTTTTCAATCTGTGGCGTAGATGTCGATTCTTCGTGTTCAGCCTCTGAAATCTCTACCTCGTCCACGTCTCCATGCTCAGCGGGCACGGCTTCGGCTTCCTGAGAATGTTCCGCGCGCCGGTCATCTGCCCAGATTCCACCTCTCCATAGCTTGCCTACAGTACTGGCAAATGGCGAATCGTCCCAGTTTGGATAGACTAAACTTTCAGCGATAACTTCCTTGATCCTGTTCTCAATCTGACGAAGAATCAATGTGTATGTAATCTGTCGTGAACTCACAATGGGCTCTATTGTCATATCTATCTTTGGCATGGTCTCAAATGTAACCCATAGCCTATTTGAGGGAGGGGGCTTGATTCGAAGTAGCATGTGCCCCTCAATCTTCTTTAAGACAGCGGCTAACAATAGGTCCACTTCTCGAGCCTTAAATCGCGCGCCAAGCTCAAGACGAGCTATTGCGGCAACCTCGAGACGGAAATTGCCAGTGTAGCGAACATCGGCCTCTACAACGAGCTCTCCATCTACGGTCAGATCCTTCAAACGTGGATTCGTGATTACCGGTGCTGCCTCTCCCATATTTACGTTGCGGAGAGCGATTTGCCTTAAAAAATTAGGAGTCTTGACTCTCGATATCTTCTTTGTAATCTTCGTCCGAATAAAATCCTCGATATCTGGCGTCTTGTACAGCGCAAGAAACACACGGCCAACTAGTGCATTGATCCACCTTGTCTGAAGATGTTCTTCGGACGAATGCAGCCTTTGAACAAGAGTAATGATATCTTTTACATCGTACTGCAGTGGAATCGGCGGTTTTGGAGTCGAGTCCGAGTCTTGGTTTCGAAGAAGCGCGAAATAGAAATCTTCCTTATCGGAGCAGTTTTCGGAGAACAAATAGAAGGGCTGAGAAGGCTTGCCGTCGGCAGTTATCTCACCAACACCCTGTTTCCTTGACAAGCAAATAGCATTTCTTTTTATAAACAATTCTCCTTCTGGTGTAATATCATTCGGTCCCGAGTAGATGCTAACATCGTGATGTGCCAATGACACTACGTAACGAACTTCGAGCTGATCTTCATCGTCAAAAAGCATCAGATGCCCATGCCTGAACTAATCGTCAGTACATCTTATAATACATCAAAGGTATTTGAGCTGCCCATGGAATTACCTCAAGACCACATAAAACACATTCCCGCCCTTCTTCTGTGGTTTCCCCGCCGCCTTATTATCCAGCGGGCCGTTGCTAGTCTTCCTCTCGAACAGGCTTCTGTACATGCTCTGATAAACGCTGGGGCTGGGCGCAGAGACTGTAGCTGACCCCACGGGTGTTGCACGTTCTGGCGGCTTCCCGTTCACGCCGCCCGGTGAGTATTCCCTGGATATAGCGAAATACCCAGCAGCTACATCTGCCTCATGGTTGTTGTGAAGTTGGAATTTTTCTCCCAAGGATTTCTGTGCTGACTTAATAGCATCGGTATCATCGCCATGTCGAAGGATTGACTCATCAGCTTCTCGCGAATGGATATCATCGTGAACTGGGAATGTAGAGTATGCGTGAAGTAGTATTGCTATTACGACGAGGGGAAGAAATGTGAGACCACCTAAGCAATAAACAAAAAGGAACCATATTAAACCTTCCATTATGATATTGCCTTCATGTGTAAGGACGAAAGCTTTCAATTAACGGACCATCTCCATGAAATTAAGAAATAAATTGATGAGAAGAGCAGAAGGAAACAACATTTGGCAGCTAAGTTGTTGATGTTTGAGAAGCAAGGTCTCTAGAACATGTGGCGACGTCAAACCTGTGAACTCAATCCCGAGCGATCCTTGGTGATTCACGTTTCTCAGAATCCTTGAAAGGAATAATTTTATCACCAAATTGAAATAATTAAAAGTTGAAATTGTGTTTCGGATACAAGCTGGTCCTTCATGTAGTATCTCAAATCTGTAGGTTTGGGAGAGGAGGAAATATTGAAAATATAACTTACAGTAGGAGGTAATAAGTAGATAAGTACACCACTGGTGGTAGTTAGGGTTAGGAAGACACCGGCTCGGAGTCATGACTGGTGGATGGAGGGGAATTGGAGCTTGGACAAAATTTGAAAGAAAGCTCAAGTTGCGTACTGTATTTGTGAACCTCACCGGGGGTTTATTTTTAACCAGCTCCGAATGATGAAAGGATCTTGAGACACCAGTCATCAGATGTTCGACACATTTTTAACTGTCTAGGTACGTACATATTCCTGTCACTCTCATCAGGTGGTAGGGCCAAACAGATATGATATATGGTATTGCGGTGTCTTGTGACGTCAATTATTTACACCTACCATTTTATCACATTTGGAAATCACATTGTGAAATATTGATTTTAATTACTTTTATTGTGTTAACTTGTGTAAGTATAAAGTATGCATTTCCCTTTTCATGTGTAGCGCCTTGAATGCATATCCAGCTGCAAGGGGAAAAAAAGAAATAAAAATCAATCCAATATTCAAACACTGATATCCATCCCTTATGAGTTTCTTTGTGTTAATATATTGAGATAAAGTACCAAGGGCCTGCGCCCCCCGGACCCCTGGCTTTTCGAGAAAGTCTAATGAAAATTCAAATTTAATTTTTTTATAATAAATTTGAATATTAAATATATATTAGAGTACAGATAGAATATCAGCTTGTTTTTAATAATTGAAAAATAAAAAACTTTATTTAAAAAATAATAATAATAATAATAATATTAATAATATTTTATTGTTATTTACCGGGGTATTTTAGACCAATCAGATTGTCAGGATCGCGACTCACCTAAGCGAGTTTCCCATTTCCTATCACCCACCAGGTAAACCTCGCGTACAGCAAGGTTATGGTGTCGGCAGGCCGACAATTAAAAAAAGTTACACCTATCAAAACAATGTCGTTATCTAAATTAGTGTTGCATCTAATGGCTACTAGTCACCACTCCAAATCCGTAAAATCTACCTCTGTTCCATTAGTTGCCGACAGAGCCTGCATAGCTGGGACAACAAAGGCTCTTTCCGTCTTCAGCCGCATGCTCTGCCTCACCCTCGTATAAAATACAGGACAATCCTTACTATCGCATTTCACTTCCTCCAGTGGAGATAAGCCAGAACAAGTCTGGCAAACGCTCTGTATGTCTAGAAACTTCTTTTCCTCAATTTTGAGCCTAGTCTGCAAAGAAAGCATGGATTCGGAGGCATTTGAATGACACTGGGGACACAGAAACCCTTCGGTCTCAAGCTTGTCTTTACACACAAGACATGAAGATAATTTCATATATGACTCGAGCGTTTTCTTGTTGACGCCTAGCTCTCTTAGCGGTCCTTGATCAAAATTCATCTCGATTCGGCGAACGCGCTGAACTTTGGGCATCTCATCATACCAACTTCTGACATTGGCACCCATGAGATTGAAAATTCGTTCGAGTGGTGGAATAACGTTTTTAGAGATGTAATACTCCGCATCCAATTCGCTGTGATCGCTGTTGAGAAGATCTTCGGGTGCCACACAGCGGTCGATCAACCGGGCTCCTGGAGCGCCCGTTATGACCACATATGGAACTCGCTCACCATACTGAGGCTCTGCTCGTGCATCTTCCAGCATCTTTTTGGTGCTGATAAGAGCGCCTGGGGGCGGTGGTCCTTTCTCACTATATGTTCCAAGCTTGACTTCTCTCGCAAAGCAAAAGTCCTGGATAGACACAGAGCCTTTCATGATTTTTTCGCACTGCTCCTGAAAATAGGTCTTTACTTGGCTGAGGTCGGCTGTGCGAAAAAGTATCTTAAGAGCTCTCTCTTCAATCTTTTGCTCAGCTGGTGTTCCATCACGTCGTACCGTCTCAATACCTTTCGCATCAAAGTCCGGCTCAATTTGTGATTTACCTTCGTACTTGAACCCTACATATCGCTTCTTAGCTAGGAGCACGCAGGGAAGATACACCTTTTCGAATTTGAGCTTGATGGGACGTGGGTTCATATTGGTGACCGTTTTTGCAATCTCATTTCCAATATCGAATGCCTCATCTTTGCTGCGACCCTTCAGATAGACAAACAAGCTGTCCGTATCGCCATATACTACTTCTGCGCCCCAGCGTTTGACCGAGTGTATAAGTGCAATTGCCCTTTCCAGTGTCTCGCGACCGGTTTGAACAATGCTGTCAGCAATCTCTGAGCATGGCATGCGCCCAGAAAACGATGCAGATGTATATCCGTAGGTAACATTGGCGATAAGTTTCAAGGCTAGCTGCCTATTGTTCAATAATCTTTGTAGAGCTTTATCTTCCTTGTCAAGCTTCATTCCGCTCTTCACCATAACCCGCGTCTCAAGTATTTCTCCCAGCATTTTCGCTAGGAGAGACTTCCGGATGTTTGGTTTCGCGTACATCATTCCATTGGGAGCAATATTGGTGTGGTCTTTCAGCAACTCTAACAGCTTATCCTCCCGTGTGTATTCTGTGAAACCCATTTTATTGGTGCCTCGCCAGTTCATCACTCGTCCAAGGTAAGTCGAGTAGCAATAATTGTAAGCAATCATAACACTAGGGTACAGGCTTTGAAAATCAAGAACGAGCAAGGGGCTACTGTAAAATGCACTTTGAGGCTCCATAACGAGGGGGAGACACTCTAAAGCATTTTGGCCTCCAACTTGTTTTCGACTAGGAGATATCAACATGAAGTTCTCTGGTTTTGCAATGCGGAACATCAGAGATTCTACCTTAAATTGTGAACCACGAGAGAAAACTGAAAAGAAATCAACACCCAAGAGTCGTGCCTGTTCGCTTGTACGTGAAATTAATTCATTCTGCTCAAGTATTTCCAGATCGAGTTGGACACGTGACACGTAGTGCGTGAGTACTTTGGACAAATCTCGAGCCGTTCCATTAGTGTACCAGGTCCTTAGATCAGCCCATGTATAGTGAGGAATTCGCCGGTGGAGCAGATGAAAAGCCACGTTCTCTAATGTGTATTGAAGGAGACTGAGTTCAGCTCGCATGGCTCTCCAAATGTTGATCATATGTCGGCCGGTGACACGAATTGTGGATGTATTGTTGAATCCCCATTTGTCGTTGTCCTTGCCAAAACGGCCATGGGATTGGGCTTTCATGCGCGAAAACTCATCGCACAGATCGTAGTCGTATTTCATTCTTGCTCGTTCAATAAGATATCCCCAAGATCCACCGTGAACCTCGAAGCCAGTCAAGATATCTGGATCGTACTCCCGCACGATTCCTACCATGCGGATAAGTAGATCAAGTTCAGAAGATTCTGCGTGCACCTCGAATGAAACTTGATTCGATACTCTCTCAGAGATATTATTATTGTTATCTGACATGACCACAATCCCTAGTTGTGATGGGCTACCTTCAGTGGCTTCATCGTCAGCCTGAAAGCAGAAGAAAATACACTGAATCTCATCCTCTTCGGGGTTGGGGACAAAACTTCCTCGTGTATTAACATGAACTTCTAGGCTCATGACACTCATGTATTGAGCCTCACGTTGGATATTGACCGTCTTTTCATTCTGTGTGTACTTGAAACCATGCTTATTCTTTTGAGTTGGACCGTCAATTTGAGAAAGCTTTGCCTTCTCTCCACGATTGCTGACTGACGACTTGGAAGTTGTGCCTTTCTTTGATTTTTCGGATTTATTCCCCGGCCTTAACGTCTCATTGCGAGCCCAACAATGTACATCCGCATAAGTGGGTGGTGTTTCGGCAAAAGTCCAAACCCGGAGGCTACACTCGCGACGGCGATGATGGTAAACCTCCTCATCCTTGGTTTTGTCCGGAAGTACAATTGGCCTGAGCCCAAAAGTTGCATCTGAGGTCGCAGCTGGGTCAAAATCGGGAAGGAACGGTAAGCTCGTGCTTCCAAGTTTAAATTCTCTGCCCGCCCATTCCCTGGGGCGCTCAGGAACGTCTTCCTCGTTACTATAGAAAGCATCTTGATACAAAACTGTAGGTAGATTGAAGTTTGACATCGTTGACGAAACAAAATGAGCTGATGGTGGAGGTTGCTGGTGTGCTAATACTAGCGACCCAATGCCGCCTCCAAACCCGTCTTTAATTTTCATGAAAAGACTGTCCTGTGCAGAGGAGCGTAACCTTTGAGTTGGATCCGGCACTGTTGAATAGTTTGCCATGCTTGTCGTCCGAAACATGTTGTCTCCGGGTGATGGTGGAATAGTATGAAAAGAAACGTGCTTATTTACCATAGGAGTGTCTATATCTCCAGGGCACTGGCTAAGCTTCGTTGTTGTGCTAGAATCGTGCGGATCTTTTGCCACAGCAAAATTGAGCGAGTCTTGAGAGGAAAACTTAGCACTGGATGCTCTGAGGCCCAGACTGCTTTGCTGCTCAGTATGGCCATTCCTTAGCACTGGTGGTGTTGTAGGAGACAATTGTGGTGAAGAATGAACCATTATGCTCGTCCTCCGTCTCTTCGCATCCGCGAACTCTCGTTGTAGTTGTGATCCCTTGACTTCGGAATTGAGGTCTTCATCTCTATGATTGTGAGTGGAATCATGGCCAAAATGAATCCGATCGGCCGATTGACTAATTTGTGCACTTGTGAAGGAGTAATGACCTTCTGTAGCGGGAACTTTTAGACGGTGTACAAAGCTTTGATTAGTTTTGCTTTGTTCAAGCTGAACTGCTTGCTCATCTGATGTAGTAAATTCCCTACGAAACTCTTCACGAGATGTCACAGCAGTTTGAGGCTCAGATACTTCTTCGTCTACATGATCCCCTTTACGCTTTTGGGACAGCTCTATCTCTCTCATCACATCTTCATCGGAATCATAGTCGTCTTCAGTTCCATCTTGGTCTATTCCAAGTTCGGTGATGAGATTTTCGTCAACCTCACTTGCCCCGCGAGTATCATACAAAGAATGATGCTTCTGCTTCTCATACACGGATTGAAAAGCAGAAAGAAGGTTTTCCGGGTACAAGTCTTCCACAGACTCAAGGCTGGTTTTAACAAAAGTCTCAAAGGGTATTGATTTGACGAAATTATTGAAAGACGGTTTCGAGGTGTCGCCTCTGTTCCGTTCTTCTTGTATCAACGTGTTGACCATTTCCCTGTACTCGTTTTCATGCATCCATCCACCATCTTGGGAATATCGAGGATCTGCTGACATTGAAAACATTACTTCAGGCGGAAATGGGCAGCTACCAGCCGGTACATTTGGCATCTTAGACTTTCGGCGACGAGTCTCATCTTTCCAAAGGCCTGCCATACTCTGTACTAACTTTTCGTCGCTAGCATAGGAACTAGGGTTCTGATTGAAGTCATGGTGAAGAGGACGTGGCTTGATATTTCGCCTATTAAGAATATCTTGGACGCAGATATCTACTTCTATTGAACAATGGCTGACCCTGGGTAGGAACGTGTCATTCGTGATGAGTTGGTCAGATATTGAGCGGTCGTGCCAAAGATGCATTGACGATGATATTTCCTCATATAGAGGCACCGGACCTCGAAATGTAGCCTTGCTAGTATCAATGTATCCACATCCATACAAATTGTAGTCAACCATCCACTGTAGAAGAAATTGAAGATGTGCTTCATATGGTTGAAAAACTCGCTTCATAATAGTTCCTTGTCGCAGGAGGTCCGCGAGACGCGTCATGACCATGGGATCCAACATGTAAATCTTGAGATAGAAGCGATACCCAACATAGAAGCCGTAAAATGGAACCGCTTTTACTAAAGTAATACGTGCGACGAACTTGGCATTTCCATCATATGCATTGCGCCGGTAGCTCACAGCCAGAGCATAATCAATTGAAAGATGAAGTCTGTGAATATAACTTCCAACTAAAGGTGTGTCAGTAACGAGAACAACCCTTGGGATATCAACAAAGCCAAACCTTCGTCAGAATTGAGGGCACCTTCATATTCTATATATAAGTAAGGGAAGGCACCATGGATATGTGCGCAAACCTTCTGGCCGGTTTCAGTCGAGCCAAAAATCCTAATGACAGGTACTTTTGGCTCTTTACGAAGCTCAGAAAGTTGGACATTCCGTTTCAATTGAGGATCAAGCTGAGTTGGCGTAGCTTGATAATGATCGATGCAATTAAGACGTACCCGGAAGAGGTCCATGGCAAATCGAACGTCTTAGGAAGGAGGTACCCAGCGAGAGTCGAGATTATCAGTTTTCATGACTTCTCACTTCTTATTCTACATTCAAGTACAATAACACAATGCAGGAATTTACAGTTTTTTGAATTTTACCTTCATTTCTTTCTCATACGGACTTGAGTGGCGCGAACAACAAACGCGGAACGCCAAGTCACGGGGAAACTGTTCTAGGCTGCTGACAAATCAATAAATATCAGCAATTTTTGGTACGAGTGCACGGCCCTTTCACTTCGCGATACGAGTTCAATCAACCATGTTGATGATTATCTTATTATCTAGGTGATAACTTAATCGCATTTCATTATCTGCTCTTGTAACTTCAATTATTCTGACATCAAGATCTGGAGCACTCGGATTCCGGATTGGCCAATCACATTGGAAAGACTGACTCTTCGTTCGCTTTGTTCTACTCATAGACCAGCCCGTCTTCTAGCAGTGGAGGTTACAAATCTTCAAAATGCCTTCCCCAGGTATGCAGCCTCGAAAGCCAGAGCAATCTGCAGCAAATAAGGATCAGAATGAGTATATCCCGGCTTTCATTGCAAAGAAGCCATTTTATATAGGGGACGACGATAACACCGATTATCTCGAGCATCAACGTCTTCAAAAAGCGCAATTAGACCAGTCAAAATGGTATGATCGTGGAAAGAAATTGGGTCCGGCAGCCACCAAATTTAGAAAAGGCGCATGTGAAAATTGTGGGGCAATGACACACAAGGCTAAGGACTGTTTGAACAGACCTAGAGCGAAAGGCGCCAAATGGACCGGGAAAGATATACAGGCAGATGAAGTCATACAGGACGTTGATCTGGGATGGGATGCGAAGCGGGACCGATGGAATGGGTATGATGCGAAAGAGTACAAGGCTGTCACAGATGAGTATGCGCAGCTAGAAGAGTTGAAGAAACAAGTACAGAAGGGTGGTGAAAAGGATGGAGAAGAGGCTGGTGAGGATGGCGAGGATGACGGCGCAAAATACGCAGAGGAATCAGATATGGGCAGACATCAAAGTACATCAACGAGACAGCTGAGAATCCGCGAGGACACAGCAAAGTATCTTTTAAACTTAGACCTAGATTCAGCCAAGTACGATCCGAAGACCAGATCTATGGTTGACAGTGGAGCGACTGCTGATACGGCTGCTGCGCTGGTCGCGGAAGAAGGATTCTTGAAAGCTTCTGGAGACGCCGCCGAATTTGAGAAAGCACAGAAGTACGCCTGGGAGTCGCAAGAAAAGGCAGGAGATACAAAACAACATTTACAAGCAAACCCTACTTCTGGTGAGTACTATAGAAGAAAGGAGAAGGAAGAGGCAGAAGCCAAAAGACAGGCGCATAAGAAGATGCTTTTGGAGAAATATGGGGGAGACAGTAACGCTACAGCTGCAAAACTCAGGGATGTAGCCGTCATGGAGTCCGAAAAGTACGTGGAGTACGATGAAATGGGTGGCATCAAAGGAGCACCAAAAGCATCAGCGAAATCGAAATATCCCGAGGACATTTATCCCAACAACCATACCTCTGTATGGGGAAGCTGGTGGTCAAATTTTAAGTGGGGCTACTCTTGTTGTCATTCTTTAGTCAAAAATAGTTATTGTGTTGGGGAGGCGGGAAAGGCAGCCAAGCGCACAGCGGAAGAGATGCTCTCGGGCGTTTCTGAGGATTCGGATGGAGGGAAGAAGAGATGTATAGTTCAGGAGAAAGAGCCGGGAATAGTCTAATCATAATAAATCAAACATTTCAATGTCGCAGTTGAACTTAACAATCAAATGTCAACTTTCAAGTCCCACCACACTTTCCAATTTATATTCTAATTCATGATTTTCAATGTCACAATTCAGTTTGGATAATCAAACGGTCCTTCAGGCTTATATGCTTCTCAATATCGCAATGCAAGTCTGAAAATCAATTGTCCTTCGGGTTTGGATGTTTAGAATTTGGAAAGGAGCACTAATTATGTACGAGAGTGCGGTTTGTTTATTCATCCTGTACGAGCTAATTGAACATGAGGATATACGCTCCCCTGTCTGCTTTATGTCGATTCGATATTCAATCCACTTTTAGAATAATAAAAGGATAATATTAGCATCATCCTGCTTTTCTGCTATCTAGTACGGGAGGATATGAATAATTTGTACAGACCATGAGCCAACAGTTTGGAAACGCAATGTTAAGAAATCAAGCAAAAGGGGAGGCATCTGTCTAGCAATCAGGCGGAGGAAACATCCAAGAAGACGAAATGGAGGCTCGACCAATCCTTTCGAGATGAAAATAGAGTCCACGTGGTACAAGAATGTTTTTACCGGAGATGGGAAAGAGGATATCTACAACGGTTAGTGTTTTTTTGACAACTATCACTGAGTGATGCCACTGGGGTTAAGGAAGAATTGCAAGGATAAGGTCCAAATTATATTCGGTTGTTGGAAGAGGCTGGCAACAGAAAATATCGACTTTGACTTGTACGAGTTCTATTCAGACATTAAAAATAAACCCCACTCTCCCCCTTGCCCAATTCCACCTACCTTAAGTTGAGAATAGCACAAAAAGAGGCAATGCCATCATCTATTTTGACCTTGAAAATAACCTACAACTGTTGTCGATCCAAGTCACATATCATAATTGTGGATAATTTGTAAAATAACAAAACAATCATTAAAAAAAAGTACTCATTAATTCATCATGGAATGTGGCTTTCATTGTATAGCTTGACGCTGCAGATGCCTGCGTTACATGTTGTAACCTGCCCTAACCCCTGCTAAAAATTGTCCCTCATGATGTAAATAGGAAAGATTTTGGTATCAAAATGGTTCCTCTATTCCTCGTCCTCTTCCTCGGCATCGTCATCCTTCTTCTCGGAAGCCTTGGCCTTCTTTCTGCGTACACGTCCTGGACGTCCACCACCGAATGGCGAGCTCAATGCGAAGTCGATGTGCTTTTGGGAGTCGAGACGGACAACGAAGGATGGGACGTTGACGATTTGTTTACCGACACGGATGTGTCTTTGACGGATAAGGACACGAGCGTGGTGGATGGACTTGGCGAGACCGAGCTTGTAGACACAAGTTTGAAGACGACGCTCCATGAAATCCTCAATCTTCAAGGCCAAAACGTAATCGAGCTTCATGCGGGCTTCATCGAGGACGCCGACACGGACGAGACGACGAATGAGGGCGTTACCTTCGAAAAGTCTCTTTGGGTCCTTCTCGTCGAGGGTGAGCAATTGACTTAAAATACATTAGCACATTGTAAACTTCCACAAATCGAAAGGTTAAAGTACCGGGCAGCACGACGGATCTTGGAAAGAGTCAACTGGACACGCCAGACCTCACGCTTGTTGCGGAGACCATACTCTCCGACAATCTTCAATTCGGAGTCCCTAAGGAATAATCAGTGACATGAACAGAGCAAGCTCTAGAACAGTGGTCCACTTACAAACGAGCACTCTCGAAGCTATCAAATTGTCAGCATAAGCCGAATTGCGCAGTAGATTTATCGACAGGATACTTACGGACGACGTGGGACCTTTGCGGTCTTGGAGTATGAACGACTGTTCGAAGTATTAGCAAATGAACTGAATGGGCCTGATTGGGACTTGGGTTATGTTCCCAAAGTAATTCAATTCAGACCGGAGAAAGCCAGACAAATTCGAGATAACTCAATTAATCTGAATCCTCGAATTATGGAATTGATCTATAATACTCACGGGGCCATTTTGCTGATACGTCGAACGGCTCTTGTCGATTGTCGTGTGAGGTTGTTGATCGCGATTGTAAATTTTGTTCCAGTAATTTTTCGAGGTTCCCGCACGAAGTTAGGGCATTTGACCCGTGCTACTACCAAAATGGGAAGGCGCAAAAATAAGCGAAAAATTGTTGAAAGTTTGAGTTGCCGATACCAGCGTCAACTTGGAGAAGAAAGATTATCGACAAATTCTGAATAACTTCGACCTCCCCTCGAATACCCATCCTACATCGACAAAATGGGTCACCCAGCAGGTCTCCGCGCCGGTACTCGGGTGAGTCCTCAAATTTTTCAATTGTAGCCCTCTGAGAGGATTTCTACGGCCACGGCTTCGAACTCGATGATGCGACGATGTTGTGAAGTTTCCGAGCAATAACTAATTCATTTGCAGTATGCATTCAGCAGAAACTTCAAGGATCATGGTATGATCAAGTTGTCGACCTACTTGCGCCAATACAAGTATGTAGAAGTCCAAATCCTGCGAAGTTCACTTTGTCGCAAAATACTAACACATTCACAGGGTCGGTGACATTGTTGATATCAAGGCAAACGGTGCCGTCCAAAAGGGGTTAGTGAAAATCATCAATTACACCTGTACATTCTAGGAGGAATTGAAATAGCGTTCTGCGAGTAGAGGGATTATGGATCTGGAGGACGAGCTTATATACTGACTTCTGCTCTCAGTATGCCCCACAAGGTTTACCACGGAAAGACTGGTGTCGTCTACAACGTTACCAAGAGCGCCGTTGGTGTCATCATCTACAAGAAGGTCAAGCACAGATACATTGAGAAGCGTGTCAACCTCCGTATTGAGCACGTTTCCCTCTCCCGCTCAAGAGAGGAGTTCGTCCGCAGAGTCAAGAAGAACGCCGAGTTGAAGAAGCAATCGAAGGCCGACGGTACCCACGTTCACTTGAAGAGACAACCAGCCATGCCAAGAGAAGCCAGAACCATTTCGATGAAGGATAACGTACCCGAGACAATTGTGCCAATCGCATATGAGACGACTATCTAAGCTTTGGGCTGGGGTTTGTTTGGGTTTCTTTGCGGGGTATGATTCAATGAGGGTCAGAGGCTTCTAGCGTTGCATGATATAAAATAAATATATGCAATACCTTCAAGAATCTGATAGGTTTCCAAAAAGCGTCCGATATCATGCATGGTCATGTGTTTGCAGCAAGATTTTGGTGAACCATGAATATTTCCATTTCCATCCCCTTTTCCTTCATTCCTCACATCGTTTCGGAGCCGTATTTGTCACGCTTAGGTAGAAGGTTTCCCACTTCTTCGAAGCCCTCACAAGTGCTCCAAGAACAAGCCGAATCGAGTTTTGTCGTTTTGATCATCCAGAATCCCCCATGTTCTGGATGCAGACTTATTTGAATACATTACAATTTTCTATTCTTAGTTATTGAATTTACTGCAAAATGTCATTACTCACATGCATGATTATTACCTGGAAGACCATATCACGATGTCCGAGAAATCGGCATAGCTTTGTTTCACGTCCCTAACCTCTGAGTAAGTGATGAGGAAATGGATGTTTTACAGCACTTTTCTTCATCCTTGGCATCAAACGATTGTGATTTGAGTGAGGTGAGAATACAGAGTAGGCAGATGTCAGTTGATAACATAGTTTCCCCGAATGTGGTATCCAAGACTGTACTCCACACATAGATGGTGTCTGATCTACATCTGGCACCTGTCATGACTGTGCACAGGATGTAATCGGCAGTGGCCGAGGATGCGAGAAAGATCCAGCCGCGCAAAGCTATCCCATGGTGCTCAAACGTGCGGGGCGCACGGCATAGCCACAAGTAAGAAATTGATTCAAGCGCGTATTACTTGTGGGCCATCATTCAGATACCTAATAATAAGTATTGAAAAATTACCCAAGCGAGCTACACGAGATTTTTGGATCTTGCAAGGATACTTGCGATGGAAGTGCTCTCAAGACTCACAGAGAACGAGTTGCCATTGTAGATCTAGAATAGTATAGATAGATATTGAGGAAGTCATTTTATGGAGTAGGTGATTTCAAGGATTGCAAGGAATCTAAATGAGGGAAATCCGGTAAAGAAGAAATGTGAGACCAACAAGTTCGGGAGTCGCTGAGTTCAGACCTTCCTCACAAAGCCAATCCTTGGCTTTGTATCTTCATCTGATGATAAGCGACAGCTGACACAGTGACACGACACGACAACAGTAGGTAGTTCTAGGGTAGGGTAGGGTAGGGGAGTAGGGAGCACAGCACAGCGCAATATCTTGGGGGGCTTACAGGGATGGATTTATTATTGATCATCAAATAAATACCCAGGTACAATACTCCGTACTCGTTCGTATATTAACTTTTTGGAATCTGGAATGCGAAATCTGAAATCTGAAATCTGAAATCTGAAATCCGAAATCTGATCCAAAATATGAAATCTGAATCGGAGATCTTTCGTAACGACAAGCTGTGTTGCGTATAGAGTTTTTGTTTGTTCGTTCGCTCGGTTGCAAGATCTTGCATGTTATGTTCTCATGTTCTAATCATTCAGAATATATAACTCCGTAGACATGTTCCCCTCTCTTCAATGACCCCTAAAAGAAATGCGGAGTACGGAGTGCAGAGTGCAGAGTGCAGAGTGCAGAGTGCATGGTGACAAAAGCCCGAATTCGGAATAAGTCACATTACTTGCGCATTCAATCAATCCCTTTTTACTCCGTAGAGAGCGAGCTTTAAACTTATAAAACCTTGCTCTCTCTGTACAAGATGAAAGGGAAAAAGTTATAAATTAAATATGCCAACTCGATAGTTCCCTTTAACCCTCCCCCCCCTCCCCTTTCCTCCCAAGTGAAATTGCATCCTATTTAAATGAAATTTCAGCTGTGATGAATGTCTTTTGTATACTTTACCTTTTAGTGTTCGAATAATGATTGAACTATCATTTTCAAATTGTATACCAGGTATGTCTGTCTGTCCTTGCCTACCTGAGTAATTGATTCTCTTTTCCGGTTTCTATTTTCATTCTTTTGATTTTCTCTTTTCTATATTCTATTTTCTATTTTCCTTGCTTTTCCCTTTTTCTGCCCTTTTTTCACATGCCGTTCACGTAGGATTTTGATTGGGTAGTATTCAGCGTTTAAAACGTATGACGCCGCGCCGTTTTCCTTTCCTGGCAAATCTAGAAAATCTGATTATCGGGAAACTCAGAATCCGACGATTCATTCATTCATTCATTCATTCATTTTTACTTTTATTTCTCTCAACCTTTTTAATCTCTCAACTCAGCTGTCTTACAACTTTCACGATATAAACAATTATTATACTGCAGGACTTTTGCTTTCTCTTTTTTCTTTTTTCTTTTTTCTTCCTTTTCTTCTTCCTGTTCTTCTTCTTGTACTATTCCTTACATTCATTTCCTCCTTTTTTTCCCTTTTGTACTTTTACCACTTCAACACCTTTTTCTCCATATTCCACGATATCAATACGTAAAAGCATCAACCAAAAGATTACGAAAGTTCAATGTACCTTCCTGGTTAGGTACATTTTATCTACTGCCGCTAATCTACTACCTACTACGTAATAATCGTGAACTCCGATTTCTTTGGCGGCTTTCTAATCAGGAAACGAGGCTCTAAGCCTCTTCAAAGAACGAACCCAAATGTCCGAGTAAGCTACTTTGTATTCCTACTTTGTTATAATCATTTGCATTCCTTCATCACAATCAATTGAATGGGTCGGCAAAAATAATATTTTCAACGTTAACTAATAATGCAATCAATTATACAGCTTCATCCATATTGCTGGATGGACTCAATATAATCATCGTCGGTCATTGCAACATATCCGCTCTCTTTCGGGTTCATCTACAAAGACGATAACGAAGTCCATCTCTACTACCACCCTGCCAACAATGGCTACAGTGTCGAACGCCCCTGGATTACCTACACACAGGTCTTTCGCGCCTTACATGGATCACGAGGAGAACTTGAGCACTCTCCCAGACCCTCGGAGCAGAGTCTCGTCACCTACAAACGATCCGCCTGCTTCAAATCAGGAACAGTACCAAGAATTGAGCAATGCCCACCTTAGCGAGGAGGTCACGGCGCTGAGCAAGAAGCTCATAAATGCCATCAATCACCAGACAAGCCTCGACGACAGTTTAAGCGCCACTCGACATGAGCTCGAGGCCTCAAGGGAGCGGACGAAGCAACTTGAGCGGGAGAATCGAGAGCATAAAGCGCTAGTGTCGAGTGGAATATTGATACGCAGTTCGGTCGCTGAGGCCGAGAAGGCTAAAATTCTTGCCATCTTAGTAGAGGAGAAGAATAAAAGGAGGGAGGTTGAGAAAGATAAAAAGAGTATCGAGTTGGAATTGGAGAACCTCACTACAGCTTTATTTGAGGAGGCAAACAAGGTTGGTTTGAGTATGATTTTGCCTGATGATAAATGCTGACATCGACAGATGGTTATTATGGCTCGAGAGCAAGCACGGAAAGAGTATGATATCGTGAATAAGAAGAATGACCAACTAAAGGCACAGCTCCAGGAGGCACAGAATTTATTGAAATCGCAACAAGAGCAATTGGCAGAATTGAAGCAAGTTATGGAACACATGACCGAGGAACAGGAGGACCAAATCAACCAACCAAGCGGCACGGCGCCTTCGACCCCCGCATTATATAATTCCGATCCTAACGACGAGAAGACGAACAACTCAGACTCAATACAGTCTTCGTCAATTCCGGAGCCCGTCTCGCCTTCCTACCCTACGAGTTTTGTGCACCTTGTTCAACCCGTCCTCCGAACTGACCTTGGAGCCTACGATGATTTTATCTCTTTATTGCGGATGTCGAAGAATATTGTTATTAGTAGCCGCGCCTCTAGTGGATCATACGGAGCCATTGGTCTAGGATTGGGATTAGGAGCATACACTGGCTCAACCTCTTCTATCTCAACATTGGGCACATATGCATCTTCTCCCGCGACACCTACCACACCAGCTTCAAATGTGAGCTCCGGGTCACGAGATGGTCCCAATTCTTTGACTCCATTGAAGGAGACAAAATTCTATAAGCGAGCACTCGCTGAAGATATTGAGCCCACGCTTCGTCTCGACAACGCCCCAGGCCTCTCATGGCTCGCCCGAAGGACGGTCTTAAATGCAGTGTGTGAGGGGTCGCTGGTTGTCGAACCGATGCCTTCATCTATAAGGCCATATGCATTCCCGTGCTCTCTTTGTGGTGAAACACGAAAGGGTCCAGAACACATCAGAAACCATAGATTTCGAACGAGCGAGAGCGACAATGCGCAGAGATATCCCTTGTGCCTATATTGTCTAGGGCGCGTCCGTTCCACCTGTGGGTTTATGAGTTTCTTACGCGTCCTCAAAGAAGGTCACTGGAGAGGTGAAGACGAGGAGTCTGATAAAGCCGCCTGGGAGGAGAGTGTCAGGTTGAGAGAACGAATGTTCTGGTGCCGTATCGGTGGCGGAGTTATTCCCTGCGTGCAGTCTTGGAATCAGGATTCATCTCGGAATCCTCGCTTAAGTGATGACGAAAGGAGGCGCAAGCTCAGTGAAGAATCGGACAGGTCTATCGAGATTATACCTAGAGATATCACACCAACCAGCGAACTTTCACCCGTCAACATAACCGGTTTCGGGAGAAGGTCGGGAGACGGAGAGGTTCTTCCTAGCCCACTTCGAGAGGAAGTAGAGATATCTAATATTCCAGATGTTGGTTCTGAGGAGGCAACGGCAATCGCGACAGTATCCATACTAGAGCCGAAACCGGAAGAGCAAGAGAAATTCGATGTTGGAACTCCTGAGCCGAAACAGGAAGAGCAAGAAACAGAACAAGTTAGCAACGCGAAAGATGTTCATGATGCAAATGAAGAGGAACATATGGAACCAGAAAAAACAGGCCACACGGAAGAATCTCACGGTGCAGCAGACGATATGGTACAATCCAAGTCCTCGGTACAAAACGAGGAGCCTATTGAAAGCAATGAAGACCTTGAAAGGCTTCCAATCGCCATACCTGGGGCTTTTTAATCGCTCAATGCGAGTTCGGAATTCCTTATCATGTTACGATTAATAATTGTTGGGTTTGAATCTATATTGGAGTTCGGCAAAAGGAGAAATGGAATTCTGGCATGGTTATAAGGGCTCATTGCTGGCTAAATGCAATGGCGTTACTTTCCACGGGTTAATCGGTACATACTATACCTTGCTTATTGTACATAATAATGGGTTACGGCGGAAGACAAAGCGATGGTAGCTGGGTCCCTGGCGTACGTATATGATGCCAAAAAGTGGCTACGGGTACTATGGAACAAGATAAGATTAATGCTATAAGATAAATAGAAGAGACATGACATGGTTCTTCTGTGTGTGTTTTCCTGGCGAGATGACAACCTGGATTTTTAATTTTACCTTTCCACGTTCAATTCAGAGATAGATATTGGGTTTTGAAGAGGGCATTTATTTTTAGTTTAATCATCACTTAAGCACGTAGAAGCTGAAGGGACGTCCGAATGAGGGATAGATTCTCGGTTTCTCTAGATAATTTGTAATTTTTAATGTCTTCTTCCTTATAGCTGTGCCTTGTAGATGTGAGATCTACAACTACTATGTGTAATCTACTTGGAGCGTATCACTGAGTTGGAAAACACCTTGGTGGGGTGAGGTGCATCAATCGTGGGGTAAGGATATACATAAATCTCGGATATCGGCCAAACTAAGTTCCGTCAAGTATTTTTGGTCAAGTTGTTTACAGGGCTAGATTCCCTAGTGTAAGGCTGCTGGTCGCAATTCTTACATTGGATGTAGAAGTTAACCACCAGTTTAAACAACAACAGAAACAACACAACGAAAGTCAATTCATCTTCAGCAAATCCCTGCGCTCGATATGGCGCCTTCAGTTGCAGATGCTATCGCAGCTCTTGATGAAATCAAACCGCCTCAAGGGGTGGTACTACCACCAAAAGAAATCAAAGGTACGCGACCAAATCAACATTAGAAGCAGGTTCATCTAACACTACAATAGCTATCCTCGAGAAGACTGCAGGCTATGTAGCGCGAAACGGTATCAATTTTGAAGGTGAGGCACTCTTGAGGCCCCATCAATTGCATTAACATCAAGCTAATGATAAGTAGATCGCATCAGAGAAAAAGAAAGAACCAATCCTAAATTCTCCTTCCTTAGCACCAATGATTCATACAATGCATACTACTTATGGCGTCTCAGCGAGATTAAGGAAGGCAGAGGAACCGCCGTTGCAGCGGGCAGAGCTGGAGAGGCGCCCGCCGAAGTAGAGAAACCTCAAGGACCTCCTAAACCACCAGACTTCCATTTCTCAGCGCGCATGCCGAATATCAGTGCACAGGATCTCGAAGTAGTCCGCTTAACTGCATTATTCGTGGCAAAAAATGGTAGACAATTCATGACGACATTATCTCAGAGAGAGACGGGGAATTATCAGTTCGACTTCTTAAGACCCAATCACAGCTTACACAACTTCTTCCAGCGATTGATCGACCAATATACCTTGTTATTGCGAGCAAGTGGTATGGATGGAGAAGGGGGAAAGCAGCAGCAAGAGAGAATAAAGGAGTTACAGGCCAATGTAGATGATAAATTTCACGTTTTAGCTAGAGCCAAGCAGAGAGCAGAGTGGTTCAAATTCCAAGATGAGCAAAAGCAGAAGAAGGAAGAGGAGGTCGAGAAAGAGAAGCTCTCCTATGCACAAATCGATTGGCACGATTTTGTTGTGGTAGAGACTGTTATCTTCACCGAGGCTGACGATCAGACGAACTTACCTCCACCAACGTCACTCAATGAGCTCCAATTTGCATCTCTGGACCAAAAAGCACAAATGTCAATTAACTCGACACACATGCGCATCGAAGAAGCCATGCCTGGAGGTGATGGTATATTCGACGGATCATATGCACAGCAACAATATAACATGGCTCCACCTCCAGTACCGCAACCATCATATCAACCACAATACCAAGATCCTCGCCAGAGAAACAACGAAGATGAAGATGAAGAGGAACAGAGAATACGGGAGAGAACAGAGGCTAGAGCTCGTGCTCAACAAGCACAGGCTGAAGCTAAGGGTGGTGCCGCACCTATGAGGATAAAGGAGAACTACGTTCCCAGAGCTGCCGCAAGAGCTGCCAACAAGCAGCAAATGGCTCTTTGTCCGAACTGTAATCAACAGATCCCTTATGATGAGCTTGATGATCATATGAGAAGTAGGATAACACCAAAACCTTTTGACATACACCCAGGACTAACACTCTTGCAGTTGAATTGCTTGATCCTAGATGGAAGGAACAGAAAGCGAAAGCAGAGAGCCGTTATGCAACAACTAATCTTTCAACTCAAGATGTAGCCAACAACCTCAAACGCTTGGCAAGTCAAAGAAGTGACATATTCGACGGAGTTACGGGCCAGCCCATATCAGAAGAAGAAGCCGCTCGAAGGAAGAAGGCGGCGAATGGTTACGACGGTACTCCTTTGGATAAGACAGACCGGGCACGATATGAAATGATGCAAAATGTTAACGTCGAAGAGCAGATTCGGGCAATTCATCAGAAATTTGGTGACCGGAAATAAGGTCGAAGGACGAACTGAGCATGAGGATCTGCCCGTGTCTGTAAGGGCAAATGACTCTTGGAGATAAATCTGTTCTCAAAATTGTATGAATACGTATTAACACGGAAGGATCCCAAAATATAGGAGCATGGTGTTCTGGCATAGGGTTGGTATGTTTTATGTAAATTATGAATAATATTTATACAACTACTGAATATTCAGCAGCTGCACATCATATCGATGTTGCACATCCGTCCCCGGATAACTCGTTGAGCCTTCGAAGGGGTTATCGTCTGGTAAAGTAAAGCATACAAACCAACGAAGCGGATATCTCATTAGCTTCGCTGGCTCAAGGTACGGAATATGATATGATACACCTGTGAGCTAATCTTGACTATACTTCAACTTTTACCCGAGAATTTAGGGGCTCAAGGGGGGTAGTGATGTAGTGATGATATAAAATCACTCATCTACATCTTTTTTCCCCTTGGATCAATACCTGATTTATGCACACGAAGAGTCTTGCTATCCTCTTACCTATCTTTCCATCTAAGCAGAGTAGATTTTCTAGAGTTTCTGAGCCCTCGAGAAATGATGAAATTCAATGCAGAAGTCTTACCTAGCATACCCGAATAAAATTTGATTGAAAGAATTTGAAAGATTCAAATGTGTATTAAGCCTGTTGTAGTTGCGGCATTCCATGATGTTGTTATAATAATCTTGCAATGAATGGGATGGATGGATGTTGTTGGATGTGTTTGTTTCAAGTTGGGTTTGTGTGCTATATGCTATTTCGCTCATATCTCATTTATATACAAATGGTTTATGGTGAATGGATTCTGTGATTATGCTTTTTCATTTGGGATGGTGAGGATGATGTATGTATGTATGTATGTATGTATGTATGTTGCTCTGAGGCGCTGATAGGGTTAGTGGTATGGTATAGTGTAGTATTGGTACAGAAAAGAAGGTGAAAATAAAATAGTAAAAAGATTACATATCTAAGTATTATAAAGTACATGAATCCTCCGAGATCACTGATCTCTAGTATCATTCAGTTAGTTCTGCGTTTATTGCATGCTCCCCAAGTATATATATTGTTGTGATGTCATTAGTTTTTGCCGGCACGCGGGATGAGGGCGTGACGTTAGCTGGGGATCGAGAAATGAGAAATGGGCAATATATGATAATACGAATAGACACATGGGGAATCTCCAGGCTGGCGTCACGCGCCTAGCTGTTGTGACTGGGTGGAATATTTGATTTGTGTTCTTTACAGAATATAGAATTATGCTTCTCCCGGCGCCTTGGCATTGGGTGAAGTTATCCTTAAGCTCCTTTTTACGTTCATAACCATATATACTAAGTAAACGAGATTTGTTTGAGGGCTGGTTATGAAGGCACACCGTTCCTGGCTCGAGTCTCTTGTATATATTGGTTGGATGGTAAGTGTATGTGGAAAATGTGCAGGATGGGATTCCCTGTTCGTGAGTTTTTGTTCAGATTTATATGGAAAAGGTTTAGTCTTTGGGGACTCTTTGAGGGTTCTGGGCTTAGCTTTTAGTTTGTTGGTTAGATTTTTCGTTTCAGCCAATGTCTTTGGATGTGCTTCCCTTGAGATATCTCGCAGTATTCGATATTCGGCATGAGTCACTGCTTCTAGTTCCCCCGTTCAACTGATTATTCGGAAAGCTGTTGAAGATGGCGGAGCTGATGACCGGAGAGACGAAGTGTGAATACACGGGATATCATAACACCAATTGCGTCGTTGGCTATGTTCGTAAACATGACTTGTTCTCTGACTTCTATTTCTTTCTCCTTGACGGCCGACGTCCTATAATACTACTAACTTGTAAGAAGGAGAAGGATAGCTTAGGTACACAAAACCATAGTGTAATGTAACATTGCATTCGTTGTGTTGAGTTGACATCGACCAGATGATAGTATAACTGTCTGCTGGACTCTCGTGCATGGAGATGTATCAGATGGAGGAGCTGGGTAGTACATACTATACTATACCATAATTACTGATAGTTCCCAGCTTAGCATTGTCGGATGACTATATAGCTCGGCTTGACATTTTGTATTCGTTTCTTGTGCGGCTCAAATGCTACGCTACTCACTTTCTTGACTAAGATATATTTTTCTTCTCTTGCTGTGCCCTGTTGAATATGTCGTAGAAGCCCTTAGTAATCCCCAGTATGTTGGGGAGCCAGGCCCTTTAGTGTTAAACAAAACTGGGAGGATCGGATCCTGTCTCTAGAATTGTGAAAAGAAGCTCCTGAAAGTATGGGATAGTTCTTGATAATGAAGGGTCTTTGCTAGCAAATTGTGAGAACAAGGTCGTGTATGTTCGAGATACATTGGTATATTTGCCAGTATTTCTGATCTATTCCTCCATTCCTTTCTTTCCGTATATTTGTAGAAGAACATACTACCCCCAGTATGTGTAAAGTGCAGTCAACCAAGTCCGGACCTTTCAAATGTACTAAGTCTCAACTGAGGATATGGACTATCAATATAAGAAGAGTACACCGATAGGAAGAGTACATCAACAGAAAGAGTCAATCCCATCCGCTGAACAGATATCACGCTTGAGTACCATGATATACCCTCGATGATGGCTTGAAAAGGTCGGCACAAGTTACTGTATACCCCTATGGTCTCCGATGCCATCATATTTCATAAGTCTCACCGCTATGCTTAAAATCATGCAGGACATGGTAACTCTTTGTAACAGCCGGGGTTCAAAAGCTAGAGATGTTGTCATGCAAATTTATACTGCGTGTTTCCAGAAGCGCATACCCATTTCAAATGGATTTTTTGATGCAAAATCTCCCATGCTCGAACTGCAGTTCGGACTATTGAACGAACCCCTGGGATAGTTGTACTGAAATATTGGTGAATCACATGCCTAGCACTATCACTGCCACGTACATGCGAACTGCATAATACCAGATCAATGAGGTAGATGCCTAGGCAATCAACATACCCTCATACATTCATAGAGACCTGAAGTGGAGCTTGGGTGGCGCCATGGTGGCTGCTTCCCTTGCTGTTGGTGCCCGATTTTCAAAGTCTAATTCAGTACTTGACAATAATTCAGTCCGACTGAGCTCTTAGGATCCAAAGTAAATGTAGGAAATTTTGTGTTTTAACCATATGGGATATTTGATGGAGTCTCTTCAGATAATTCAAGAGATATTAAGAGGTTGTAAGAATGGACTCGAATTGCCGAGATCGGGCCCCTTCCCCATGGCAAAATGACATTTAGACAGTACTTTGAATACAAAGTCGTATCAGAATCTTCAAGTGTACGCTTGGAGTCTGTTCAGACGCCTTAGAAAGAGATCTGAATCCTACCATCTTTCTCTGAAAGAAGCCTGCAAGACTTTAAAGACACTTTTTGTGAAGTCATCGTCTAGTGTTAGTGTTATCAACAATAGTGTTTAATAATGAAACGAGAAGTACCATCAATACACTTTGAATCATTTAACAATATCAAAATCTCATGGACTCTACAATATGGCCCTCACAGTGAAATTTACAGCTCCTCTAGCCTGGGGGAAACACAGGCGGTGGTCCTCAGTAGTGGTCCTCAGTGGTGATAATATATTTGAGTTTGTATTACTAGACCTTGGCAAAGTGTTTTTCGCTACAGATTTGCTCGTAGAATGATAATGTATAAGAAGAGTTGCAGTACATAAATATAAAGCCTTTGAAAGTATCAATAGAACGATTAACTTCAAAATCTCCAAAATTAGCCAGCGTCTCCGAAACTGTTAAGTGTTGACTTCCTTTGCAAACCACGATTAAAACCCCTCGCTAATTCTAATTCTACCTGATACTCAACTTAGACACTTTGTAGTCCTCCAAGCTTTACTACATAAACTCACAATAGTAAGATAAGTGCGAAGAACAGATTCAATCATTCAAAACCTTTGGATCTAATAGCAGGAGAGGAAGATTCACTTAGATGTTAACAAAGACTATGGATATTGCATCAAGTGGTTGCCCCTGGCTGTGATCTCAAGGAAGACCAATGGAATAAAAGACATTAACAATGCGACACTGTACGGAGAGTAGGTCTGATCGAAAGCAGTATGCCGAAATGTATGATGGTTACGATTCAATGTAATATCACGGACTTGTCTATATTACATATCCTGCCAACGAAACCATTCAGCTAAAAGCTCTTGGGCAGGATTGGAAGTAGTTGAAAGGAAAGAAAGACTTTTAGATAGTTAGAATACCGTCATTCATGAAGTAGTGAAATAGTGTCTGTTCTGCCCTTGCATTAGATGCTTAGAGTATATAATAACGTTTTTGGAATGTGCCCCTTGAACATATAATTGGCTCATCCGAGTGGTTTTCCTTTAGACCCAGCCACAAATCACCTCTTGTTCCCTCTCTCCTTCTTCCATTTCTTCAATACAACCTTCGACCACAACCGCCACAACCACCACAACTACTTCCACACAACTACTTCCACACACCATACATCCCCCCGCCTCTCGCCACTTACCAACGTCGCGATTGCACATTCAAAATATTTTTACCTGTCAATTAATTCTTTAGCAATTTTACTATCGAGAATTGTGTTTTTCTTACTCATCAGTTTCGCTCTTGACTGAGGGAGCAAGCCACAGCCTGGTGGACCCTACTCGTCAACTTTCGCGTCTTCTCAACAACATACATTAATGTTACAGCAACAACGCGACGCATTTCGACCGATATGTTCTCTACTTTGCTAGATAGAATGGGCGCATCGTCTCTCTCTTCCGCCAAGCATGAAATAACGCGTGCCCCTTCGTCAGAATCAATCAATACCGCCATTACCGTCGACGACACCTCAAATTTAGATTCCTCATCCACACCTCCAACAAGCATTGGAGACAATGTTAGTGTCACTTCTGCCACTACTAAGCTTGAGTCTGCTGCCGACGAGGTCTCAATTGCCTCCGAACTTTTAGATAGACGAAGTCGGCGAGTACGCGCAAAGGTCGGGACCTACAATGTTAAGATTCTAAGTGGCACCGCTGTCCATGCACCGAGGAAGTTTTTGAAGAATAATGGCCCTCTGGACAGCGAAACACGGCGACAAACCATATTAGAGGGCGATTTGGAGGGTGCATTGGGTTCAATAAATACATCTACCAGCTCTATAGGGAAGAGTGCACAAAAACTGGTTAGTGAGGGGATTGATGCTCTGGACTTGTCCTGGTCGGTCGAAAAACTACCTAAATCAGGCAGCGACGTCAGCACCCTCAGCAGTCCAAAAACTACTGCTAGGAATGAGGATCGTTTTCGAAGGAAGTCTTTACGATCTACACCTAGCGAAACGGCAGCGGAACTCACAAAGAAGATCAACTTGTTAGGGAAGAGGAGTCGAAAAGAAATGGAAGGAGGCATTCAGAAGGCAAAGAGGGAGCTTAGGAACCTGGCCGATACGAAAGAGTTCGCAAAGATTGAAACAGAACCTGTTGTATTGGAAGTATGGAGCAATGGAAAACTTGTGCCAAAAGAGTCGGCAAGGAAGAAGAAGAAGGCGGAGGAGGCCCACGCCTCCGAACCTGAGCCTATTAAGGCTCCAACAAAGAAGGCAGCGCAAGGGGGGAAAGAGAAGGCTTGGTTGACCAAGGGACTCTACGCTGGGCAGGATCCGGCAAGTCTTGATTGGTTTAAATCTTCCGGAAATGCAAAGTCAGCTTTCAAATGGACCGAAAAGCCGAATAAAGCCTTGCCATTGCCCTTATGGAATGGCCAAAGATTACTACATGTTGGAAGGGACTTCAAATTACCGTTCGACATTTGCGCTCCACTTCCCCCGGGACAACCTAAGCCCACCGAGTGGTACAAGACTTCTCACAGTAAGTTTCATTGAATTTTCGGCCCTCTCATGCACTTGCTAATCCCTCACAACAGATCGATTCATAGGAGAAGCTGGTACAATGTGGAAGAAATCAAGCTTGTTTGATAGCTTCTTCTCTAAGTGTATCTGTAAACCCGACACAGGTTGCGACGAAGATTGCCAAAATAGGATCATGCTTTACGAATGCGACGACACCAATTGTGGCGCAGGCCGTGATAATTGCAGTAATCGTGCATTTGCTGAGCTCTTCAACCGTCGCAAAGGGAACTCGTTTCGAAAAGGTGGTAATAAGTATGAGATTGGCGTTGAGGTTATTAAGACGGCTGATCGTGGCTACGGAGTTCGAAGTAATCGCTGCTTCAACGCAAACCAGATTATTGTTGAATATACGGGCGAGATTATCACAGAAGACGAATGTGATAGACGTATGAATGAGGATTACAAAGACAACGAGGTAACCACTTTCACTTTCCAGAGAGAAAAACAATTTGGCTGACTATTACATAAAAGTGTTACTATCTAATGTCGTTTGATCAGAACATGATCATTGATGCGACGAGGGGAAGCATTGCTAGATTTGTCAACCATTCCTGCAGACCGAATTGCAGAATGGTGAAATGGATTGTGGAGGGCAAGCCGCGCATGGCCCTGTTCGCGGGCGACAATCCTATCATGACAGGTGATGAGCTCACCTACGACTACAATTTTGATCCATTTTCCGCCAAAAACGTCCAGGCATGTCGCTGTGGCAGTGATAATTGCCGTGGTGTATTAGGACCTCGACCAAAGGATCAGAAAGTCACGAAGGCTACCACCATCAAAGAGGTTGTCAAAGCAGGTATCAAGGCTGGCAAGCGAAAGCTTCAGCAGATGATTGGTGACGACGAAGACGACGATGATCAGATTTTAAAGAAGCGAAAGACAAAGGCGGCCACAGGAGTTAAGCAATCTATCTCTACAGCTACCACGAACGTTGCAAACACTGTCAAAAAATCAGTTTCCTCACGACTATTGAACGCTTGCTATGCGGTTGGCTCGAATAAGAAGACGATTAAAGCTAGCCATGCCAGAGCCCCACTGAAGACGTACGGAAGAAAGCAGATGAGGCTGTCGTCAAACCGCACGAGTCTGACAATCGTTTCGCCTGAAAAGAATCCGAAGGCCAAGAATACGACGCAGAGAGAAAGCGTGACTGGAGGTATGGTACGGAATGTGCGTTCTTTCGGACGGTCAGGCGTGTCTGATGATGCCAATGAGAGTACGATTCGGGTTGTCACTGACTTCGATGAGGACGTAGAAGAAGAAGAAGAAGATTAAATGAAGGAATTATAACCATGATCAACACAATTTTGGCTGCATTGTTAGGTGTTGCCGTTGCGCGGCGTGCGTGGGAAATGCTAGGATTGGAACGGGTATATGGACTTTCATCATGTTCGGGCTGGCATGGTTAAATCTTCAAAGACAGGCGTATGGCTGTCTTTCCATCATGTATGAATATCTACTAATAGTTTCTCAATTCGAGATTTGTACTTCAATCTGTAAAATTGTCTAATCAGATGGAAATGCATGACTAGATTGATTGAATGCAGCCACAGCCACAGCCACAGCCAAGCCCACCTATCCATTAGGTTTTTTTCAATCCAGATTTTAGTGCCGGATGCCACCGCCTTTACAGAAATAATTTCCAAAGACATCATAGAATAATTATCGGCCGTCCAGGAGACTATAAAACATTTATTCTAATTAAGCAAAATTTGATCAATTAGGTATTTATAATTTGCTACCATCAAATTTATGCTTAACATGATATCATTTACATAATACAACTATCCCTCAAAATCATACACCCGGCCACGGAACAGAGAGAACTGAGAAGTTCTCCCCACAAATAAATACACTCATGAATACCACAGAAAATCGCAGCAAACGCGCATTGCACGAGCTGCATTTACCACAATCTAGGGAAAATGGAGATCTGGGACCTTCACAATCAGGATTTGTGTCAAAAGTAGCAGCAAAGCCTGTCCCGGTTGCTAAGTCATGGGCGCATTTCGTTGCAGGAGGGTAAATATTGCCCCTCTATCATCTTGATATTTGATGTCTCAAGGTCCACCACTGACATAGTTTTGACTACAGTGTGGGAGGAATGACAGCCGCAGCTCTCACGGCCCCTCTTGATGTCCTAAAAACACGCCTGCAATCCGATTTCTACCAAGCACAACTGGCGCAGAGTCGTTTGGCCAAGGGAATTTCTCCACATGCACATCTCTCTCCAATACGCAGCGGGCTCTTACATTTCCGTGAAACCTTCCAGATTTTGGGTTCAGTACATAGAATTGAGGGATATCGTGCGCTGTTTAAAGGATTGGGGCCAAATCTCGTCGGCGTGGTTCCTGCGAGGTCAATCAACTTTTTTGTTGTGGGTAACGGTAAGAAGATATTGGCGGGATATAATGGTGGAGAAGAATCGGCGTGGGTAGTTTGTCTTGCGGCTGCTGCTGCGGGAATTACAACGAGTACGGTTACGAATCCAATTTGGTTAATCAAAACCAGGTTACAACTGGATAAGAATGTGGCGGAGAGAGCGGGAGATGTGGGAAAGAGACAGTACAAAAACAGTTGGGATTGTATCAAGCAGGTTGTTAGGGGAGAAGGCATACGAGGTTTATATAAAGGGATGAGTGCAAGTTACTTAGGCGTTACGGAAAGTACATTGCAGTGGGTTTTGTATGAGCAGATGAAGAAGAGCTTGGAGAGGAGAGAAGAGAGGATAAATTTGAGTGGGAGACCTAGGAATTTCTGGGATCACTCTGTTCAGTGGACTGGAAGCTTAGGAGCAGCAGGATTCGCAAAGTTTGTGGCAGCACTTGTGACCTATCCTCATGAGGTGAGCTCGAAATAAAACTCCTACCAATCACTAAGCTAACAATACATGAAGGTTTTACGAACACGCCTACGACAAGCACCTTTAGACCATGGACGCCCCAAATACACTGGACTCGTTCAATGCTTCAACCTCGTTTGGAAAGAAGAAGGCATGGTTGCTTTATATGGAGGCTTGACGCCACATCTATTGCGAACGGTGCCGAGTGCCGCTATCATGTTTGGCATGTATGAAGGGATATTGAAATTATTGGAAAAGCAAGCTTCATCCTAAGACAGCAAGGAGCCGAGTAAATGTACAACACATGAACAGGATTTTATGAAGGCGTTTGTATCAAAAATGCGGCATATGACGGCTATCGGGACTATATTATGCCACTTCAGGCTAGGACCGATCACATACAGTGTATATTAAGACATTCATGGCGCTTCGTGGGAATGGATGTGGTTAGTAGATCATTGTTATATTGTATTTATGTATACATTGTGCACTGGGGTGGTCATTCCACTCCAAAGACTTAAATAGACAACAGCAATTTTGCAAAGATAATAGACACGAGTTTATGACATCAGATTATTTGCTCTTTTGCTTGGTTCTGACATACTTAGTATCGCAGAACCCGCAACTAATATTGTGCAACCATAGTCTCCCCAACGAATGGAAATGCAGCCACCCACCAGCTAAACGCCCTTGGTATATGTGAGAAGATCGAAGTAAACTGTGGTAACACCCCCACCCCTTTTGATTATGAAAATCATCCTACTCCATCCCATAATTGTATACTATCTTGTCGAATTACAGGTTTCTGCATCGGAGCCTTTGGCTGGTGTGTACCATTCATTGATATTGCCTTTTCCATGCTATTTGGACGTCGTCTCTTGAGTTTTCGTGGAACATGTTGACTCCTCATTTCAGACTCTTCCAGGCCACTTCACCAAGCATTCCGGTCCCAGTTTGGATCTGCTCCTCATAGATTAACATGGCGCCTTCATTATAAATCTGACTCCATCCCCAAATTCCAAGGCTCCAAAGATAGAATAGAGACTCATAAATAAGTAAATCAAAGAACAAGGCAAACTCACCCTGCACAAAACTCGCCAAAACCTTACTACCCGTCTGCAAAAGCGGGTGTCCAACCACGATCTGCAAGAATCGCTCCAAACCCTCTCTCCGATGCTCAATTACATCATCACTGAATCTATTCGTGAAAACTTTTCCGGGTAGAGGGGGAATCGTCACGCGCGCACTTTCGCGCTCGAGGATGTCGCGAAAGTATTCGAAATCGCTGTAGCGGCGTCGCACGGTACTGTTGCGTAGTTTGAAGGCTGGGATGTTGGTGCTGCAGTTGATTTCATAGTCGGTGTACATGTTGCGGCCGATGCCGTGGGTTTGAGGGTCGGTGACCTAGAGGAGGGCAGTCGGGTTAGTTGGTTGCTTGTCTGTTTGTGTGTTTGTGGCGGGGACAAGTGGAGGCCCGGGTGGATGCTAGGCATGGAAAGGTATGGAATGAAATGAATGAAATGGGATGATATACTTCTATCTCGAGGAAGTTTTCAGGAGGTCCGTAGATTTCTTCAAAGCTCTGTTGGCGGGAATCAGGCATGGCTTGCATGGCAGATGGAATGCTAGACCTCCCTGGAGATGTAGGACTTATGGGAGTGGGAGAGGTTTGGCCAGTCGCCGGCGATCGTGCTGGCTGCGCCATTTTGAAGGTTATCAAGCTGTGAAGATAAGAGAAAGAAGTTTGAGTATTCAGACAAACCAAGACAGATTATGGGTAGTTATTTTGTCTCTCGGTATTTGTGATGTGATGTAATTATAAAATATGGCGCTGCAAGAATTTGTCTTGTTGATGAATTTCACTATGCGCTGCTCGTATTATGCGTCTGATGTATACGATGTTTATGCGCGGGAGGGTTATTTAAGTAATTAGAAGCCGCCTTTTTTATTAGTGTCTTGGTGGGGCAAATGTTGGGATTTTGGGGGTTTCCCCTCTTTTTACAACGAAGAACGAAGGCGAGGGAGCTGTGGAGGAAAGACATTGAAATATTATGAGGGACATACCTTATGAGGGTGGGTGACACAAAGAAAGTACTACAAACAAACAAGCAAACGAATAATGTAACCTCGAGATTTGAGATTTTGATTTCCTTTTCTCTGCTGTTGAATACATCATATCCTCTTGCTTCTACCATACAATTTTGTACACAATTCTTGCTCTGCATTATCTTCCTATTCTGCAAATCTTAGTAATTTCGAGCATCTCCTGCAGCTTCTCTATTCAGTTTTATTGTGCGAGCGCATTCTCAATCATCTCTGTGTTTTACCTGGTGAATTTCTGTGTTTGCATCTCGAGCTCCTCGATATCCATTCTGTCGCCATGCACGTTGTTAAGAAATTGCTACCATGGGCAACGCCACTTGTGAGCACTCCTACGACTATTTGGCTACAGAAAGTACCTAGCTAACAATGTCTAGCTGTTGCTCATTTTGACTGTTGTAGCTATGTAGGGAGCACTGAAGCACATTTTGATGACCACCATAGACTAATACCTGCCAGCTATTCCTACTCTCAAATCCGCCTCCTTTCACTTCCCATCTCACAAGCTCTCGCACTATTCACGATTGTTTTACCGCTTGTTACTGGTATTTCTACACAAGGTGCCATTGGTTTGATCCAGCGAGCGAACAAGAAGGAACAAAATCAACTCACGCTGCCACTTATTGCCGTTATTGGGTTTCAGTTGATCTACGAGACTGTTGTCGCTACTCTGGCCCTGACATATATGATACCACCCAATTCATTACATTGTGGTTTGGAAGATAAATGGCAGAAGCTCTTCAGCACGAAGAATGAAGCAAAGATTAAAGCTATTCAAGACACGTTGAATTGCTGTGGTCTCCATTCTGTGTTTGACAAGGCATGGCCATTCAGGAAGGATGTCCATGGACCTGGGAGTTGTGTGGATTTGACAAATCGCTCTCAGTGAGTCCTTTTTCTGACCCCACGATGACATATCCAGAGATCAAAGCTAATATTCGGCTAGGAGTTGTTTTGGGACTTGGAGACAAGCGGAACAGATCAACGCCGGCCTGCTTTTAATCGTGGCTATAGTTATTTTCATCATCAAGGTACGTTGCTTCTTTTATCGTATTCAAATGCCATCTACATGCAATACATGTCGCAACTTATAATAGATGCGTCTATTAGTATCAAACTTTCATGTTGTGAGTGGTGAGATAGCCAGATAGTTCCTCAAGGTTCTAGAAAGCCTCAGAAAATTGCACCCACACTTAAGCACATATTTTTATGGTTTCACTGGTAGCAGAGAATGCTCCGTCCTGCAGTGGATCTAAATGCATCAGTCATCATCTAACATCTTAAACCCAGGTGGTTTCCATCATAAATCTGCTCACCAACTCCTTCTGGAGGCGCTCATACTGGTCCCGACCGATCCACAGCATAATGGGTGGTGATACAGAGGCGCCACAGGCAGACGATAGGGCAGAGACCAGAGGGCTTATTGAAGAACGTGATGACGAAGAAGAGTCTTACCAAGATGAGCCCGCTGAAGATTGCCTCTCACCGTTCAATGGTTCTGGACAAGGACCAAGAGTCGAGCCTTCTCGCTTGTCTCAAAACTATTAAGCAAGCTTCTTAAGCTTTCAGGCATATAATAAGCTTAAGGGCGAGATGCGTGAGGCTCAATAAGAATCCTGGTGGATCATCTGGGGCATCGATATCCACTTGGGGCACTTTCTGGGTCGTGATTGATGATTGGAGAGGATCTGGGGGAGGGGTCTGAACGGGTGAATGGGTAAAGAGGATATTTTGCTAATGATATCGGGAAACGTTGTGATGTGATATGATCAGATGGCGCAGTTTACATTTTACCTTTCCGGTTTATCCTACGGCATGAGGCATCACCCCGTACGCATCTAGGCTTAATACATTAAGCCGGCACTTTGCCCGACTTAAACCCTGTACATGCATGCATCATGCCGATGCCCACTCACGTGATCACGGGCAAACCGAAAGGCTGATTGAGGAAGGGTAGATGAAAGAAAAGAAGAGAATAATCATTGGAAGGTGATCGATGGAGTCGTTACAGATATACAATGTTGAAATAATTTAGCTAATTTAGCTACTATGCGCTGTACAAAAAGCTGGCCATCTCATATTTTATATGTCGAGAGAAGTCCACGAAAGCACAGCACACGATAGAGAGATTTGGAAGAAAGAGGAAAGAGTTAATCCTCATCAGTAGTCGTGCATATTTGACTGCATACTCGACGTTACATTGCAGCCAAAAGCGTGATAGAAACTACTCGGTGAACTGGGTTTAAGAAGCTTTTCATTTATTCCCAACCAATCAAGAGATGGAATTGAAATTTTTACAACACATCTATTATCTCCCACCTCCCTCACTTGGGGGCTCTGGCAGTTTTTCTACTTTTGTTTTCTATTTGAATGTTTGAATTAGATACCTTGCGAGGTAGAAAGATATACAGCGGAGCAGCAAAACAGCTAAACCGTAAAATAGTAAAACAAACAAAAACAAAACAACAAAAGAGCATAACAGCATAACAACCAAAAACCATACACAAACAAACAAACAAACAAAACAAACACAGGATAATTATTCAACCAACCACCCACACACATCGGTTATCTCGTCGAAGAAAACAACGTCTTTCCCGGATCTTAGCTATACCTCTATCCTACTACCCCTACTTACATACTTACTTACATACATATACACACATACATACACACATACATACATACCTTACATACCTTACATACCTTCCGCACTCAAGGTTGGAGAATCAAACAATTGTCATTCATTCGCTTCCTTCCTAGAAGAAACGTTTTGGTTTGAGTGGTAGTTGTATTATGTACACCCAGGTGTTTTCCGTGTCCCCACGAGACCCAGTCGTGGTCATGGTTCTGGTCATCTCCGCATAGTGCACGTTAATATCCATCATTTCATCCCACTACCACCATACACGTACCGTACCGTATCTATAGTACGCTTTCCACCCCAAAAGAAGCCAAAGCTTATTAAAAAAAAAGGCCTTTTTCTCTTTTTTGCATCTGCACCGCCTTTCTTGTTCTTATCCAGTGTCAGAAGGTTATCGTATGTGGCAATAGATAGCTCTGACAGTTCACACAGATTGGATCCTTCTATCGCTCCCCTCATTCTTTCGCAAATATCCATCCATCCATCCATCCATCCATCATCCATCCATCCATACATACATACATACATACATACATACATACATACATACTGGCACAGTCCACGAAATCCAAGGATGACTTTGTCTCGAACTGCTTCACCGCAATGCTTTTGATATTAACATCTCATACACATTTCAGAAAAGGTCCTGGATAAGCACGCACGTACCGCACCGAAATTAAATAAACGAAAAAAAGGGAAGGAAAAATTAGGAAATACCTTGAGGATACCTACACATAGGCCATGATTGAGAAGTCCACTCCTCCAAGGGCTCGGGCCGAGTGGCCGAATCCTATTTCGCCGCAAAGAGTTCGCAAGAGGCCGCAACCGCAATCATCGCATACTCAACGTCGCCATTACAGTCCCAGTGCCTCACCACCTACATCCTCACACTCACACGCATCATCGTCGTCGCTCTCACCGCGATCTAGGAGCTCTTCTTTTCGACATAACCCTAGTTATCATATCCGTCTGGATACACGTCAAGATAGATTTTCGCCAGGGCCCAACTTCGACTATTTCGATTTTCAAGCTGCAGTCACTATCTCCCCATCATCTTCATCAATTGTTGGACATGCCGTTGGTATTACGAACGCTGGAGAAGCTGCTTTGAATTTGGCGGCGCAAACCACCTTTTCAGATATATCATGGATGACCGGTTACTCCACAGGACCGCTAAATACTATTCCACTCAGTCCTGAGGATACTCTGAACCAGGAATACTCGAACTACATTGGATCTAATGGCGGTGCTTCGTTATCGCTCCAGACTGGAGCTATGCCTGAGCTTTCCATGTCGTGGAATATCCTGAATTCTACTACACAGTTACCTGGAGTCTCGGACTTTGAAGATATTTGTATGTCGGAGGCTAACATGGGAAACTATGGAAGTCATGGAAGTATGGAGCTGGCCTCTGCTTCTGCCGTCTCGGCCACATCCGACACATATATTTTCCCTTTTGGATCTCCAGGAGGTGCAGGTCCATTGCTTGATACTGGGCTGCCCTGTATGTAACAATTTTGCTTACTTGTGTCATCATTCCCACATCTCTTCATTGTGAGATATCCTATTCGGGACAGTGTTTCACAGCATCTCAAGTCGAGGTAAACTACTTGCTGACGACGTTGCAACAGATTATTTAAACCAAAACATGACGGTCGATCAAACAATCCAACGCACCGAAAATCTCAACACCGCCTTATCTACCACTTCTGTCTTTCCTTTCGAGGATAATTCCGCATCTCTACCTTGGACTAATTTTGATGATTTTTTCTCCACAGAGCCCACAGCCCCTTCAGTCGCTCCACTTCTCGACACCCCGAACCTCCTTCATAGAGGCAGATACATACGTTCACAGAATCCCTGGAACTCGCATGATGCTCATGGTAATTTCTTGGGCGAGGATTTAAACTCCGGCGTTGCATACGAGCCTGTGTCGCCCCCACTACATTCATACGAACCCGAACAGTCTCCATTACATCTCTATGAGCCCGAACAATCTTCTTTACCCTACGAGATGTCATCCCCAGTGGTTAACGACAGCTTGATTGCACCCGGACAGAGCCAATCAAGCAACGATTTATATCAGCCAGAAGCAACAAATACCAATTGCTTGGACGAGAGTGATGCATCGACCTCTTATTCGAACACTTTGTATACTCCTTCCCATGGCTCGCCAGTATCGCATCATTCTCCGCATCCACAGGGCTCACAGTCACCGCCTTCTTCAAGTGACGTGGGTAATCATTCACATGTTTTTAGTGCCTTCTCCGAGCCTCAGAAGGCTAAAGTTACGAAGGGTCGTGTAAGGCCGTTGACGGATAAAGAAAAGCGGGAGGCTAGAGATGTAAGGCAGGCGGGCGCTTGCTGGGCTTGCCATCTTTCGAAGATTAAGGTGTGTAGAAGGAAATCCCCTCTACATATTAGGAAATGTTGCTGATTGTTTCTCGTCTAGTGCTCACCTTGTTCTCCTGGCTTTCCTTGCGAACAATGTACCAGGCTTTCTGGGAAGAGAAGGTTTTGTCTCCTACCATGTTTTAATGATCCAGTCGAAATGCTAGATAAGTTCTTAGTACCTGGTATGTTTTTGTGATGTCTTCAGTTGTGATCTCGGACTAATAAATAATAGAAAATTACTTGAGAATGTACACAGCTGAGAATACCAAGAGATTCATTTCAAAAAACGCAGATAGATGGGGAACAGATGAGATGATTGTGCGATTAAGCTGGGGATATCGAGTCCCACTAAAAGTTACCGTTGTCTCCCTATCGGTACGAGGATCGACTTCTATCTTTCGATATCAGCATCAAACATACATCAACGCATCAGGTAGACCGACTTTCACGAGAAAGAAGAGTCCACCACTTGGTATCCCGATTACGCCAATGGAGGAGAGACAGGATGAATATGCTCGATATATCAAGGCAATTGTTCAGCATGATTTAGATGAATATGCCAAGGTAGCATATGAACCGGGGGAATCAGATCTAGCAAAACGTATACTCAAGACGGTATGCCAGTTCTACACTGCTGGCGTGAAAGCCGATGACGAGGTAAGAGCCCTTCTTCTGAACGAATGTTCTCTACGCTGCATATTTTGTCGTTCTTGGATGCATTCTTTTGAGCTTTGGCTGCTGGCCGGTCTTTGTCTTAGATTTCTGGGCTTGCTCTTCAACCAAATCGGCATTCGCCGGCATTCATTCTGATGGTTCTAGCAGCTGACAACCACAGTACGAACTTCTCCGCGAAGCCTTAGAAATCCACATTGCATGCGCTATTCTTGAGCGAAGCTTAATTCTCGACGACGAATCGACCAATTTGGTAGGAGGATGCCTAGGGGAAAATTTCCCAGCAGACTCTTCTCCAAGATGTGCATCCCGTCAAATCAAAGTAGCCTTTTTCCTCTCGCAACAAGAAAGAATCAAAGAAGTCCTCAAGGAATGGGGCCAAATGATGTGGACTAGTAATCGAGCCACTGCGAATGAACGTAAATGGGCCATTGCGTTCAGCGTCTTACTCGTCTTGACACTCGTCATGGATAAGACGTTGGGTCTTTCATATTGCAAGTACGTCTTCCCTTGAATTCGATAGTCTCAAACCATAATGCTGATTCGTGATTACAGTGCCGAATCCAGAATCAAACATGGCGGTAAAGAAGCAGAGATTGAGCGACATGAATTCCGGGAGAGAGTAAAAGTGACACAGACAAACTTATTCGAAAGATGCAAAGAAATTCTTCATTCGAAGTTCAAGACACGAAAAGGGGGTAAAGAGAGTTTTAATCCCATTCGCGACGGCGATGGCGCATGGCGCGGCAAAGTTATCGATGAAAGGATTGCTGGATTTGTACATGATGTGAAAAGTGTGGTTCGAGATAATGGTATGTTTCTCCAATTTCTCTTCTCCCCTTTCCTCAGGTTCATTTCTGCTTCTGCGAGCAAATGGCCGAGACAGGTAGATGAATTGTCATACGAAAACAATGAACTGATCGTGAGACTAACGTTCTTCATTCGAAATAGAAACTCAAGTTCGGTCTTGTAGAGCTAGGGCCTCGAAGAATCCACGGGATGATCCATTGCCGTTGTCTCCGAAGGTCGACGAATCACCGTACACGGACGCGGCCCGGTTAGCCTGTGTATTTTTGGATGATTTTCTGGAACATTAAAATTTTGCGCTTCGGCTCCAGATGCCCAGGGAAAATTCCCCAGATTTATTGGCGATCCGATTTTGGCAGGTGCATGGGTTGGGTTTGGGATCGGGTGGACCGATTTGAAATAGAAATGTGTGAGAATTGGGAAGAAAGAGGGGTGGATTTGCTCAGGACAGGAACCTTGAATGAATGGGACCGGGAGTCGATTCGCGATGGTTCAGGGGGAAAGGGATGCTATTTTTGTATTTGATATGATGATCATGATCTTGATGATGAATGACGATGGGTAACGAACGATTCAGTTTTGGAGCACAAGCTTAAGATTACGACGAATTGGGAAATGAGTGTGCGAGAGAGAGGAAGAGGGAGAGGGAGAGAGTACGGTAGGGGCATAATTTTCTGAGGTCCGATCAAATGAGAACGAACAGATTAATGAATGAATTTGACTCGAAACATAAAAATTAATTGATGTTGTATAAATATGATGTATGTAAGTGTGTATTATGTAGTGGTGAGTAAGTGAGTGAGTGAGCGGGTGCAAAAGTACAAAAATACATAAGTAGAAATGACCTTCCAGGTGGTCTAAAGATCTAGACACTACACTACACTAAATCTAGACTTTCAACATTTCTTTCAGCTGAAGATCTAGAGTGGAAAGCATAAATTCTTGAATGGTGAAAGATGAGTGGTGGGTGAAGTGATGAAATGATGAAATAAATCTTCTCGCCATGTTACTATATAGGAAATAGGAAATAAATCGACGGGTCGATGTCGACGGGTAGCTAGGTACTAGGTTAACATGAATACTGTATTGGTTTAGATCTAGAGAATTCCTTCTGAGATACTTATTCTGTATAGTGTAGAGTGAGGGTAAGAGTAATCTGGTGGTCTTGAGATTTAAGACTTAATACTTACATCGATTCATCCCCTATACCAAGTTAAATACTAGGTAAGCACAGAATAGAGTAGAATTATAACCCTCCCATCTCATTCCATGCCACCCATCCCATTGGAGAAAACACACCCAGCAAACCGATTCCAGAGATATATCATATCTATCATAAATAGATTCATAAATACCTACCCAGGAGAAAATGCCCGGTAAAAAAGAATAGTTCGTAAGACATATTTGGCTAGATTGAGATCGTCATCGCTTGGAACGAACTTCGAAATCGCTTCAAGGCAGGGGAGGAATGAATGGAAATTGGGTGATCGATCGAGTGGAGAATATATACCCCTACTAGGTAGGACCTCGTAGGTCCCGGTTTTGGGGGAATTTGCTTTGTTATGGGGCCGGTGGGACTTTGGTCGGGGTTTTTTGGGTGTCCGGGTGGGTTTTGGTGGTTTGTTTTGGTGGTTTGGATTGTGGGTTGATGGATGGATGGGTTGGTAAATGGTATGATGGACTTAATGGGAATGGGGCAATTGCGATGCGATCGTGGCTTGTATCCTTATGTGGATGTGGATGTGGATGTGGATGCGAGTATGAGGGTGGATATTCAATCCTAGTCAAGACAAGGAAACAAGAAAGCAAGCAAGCAAGCAAGCAAGCACGGGTAATGATAGACAGGGGATATGGATAGGGATAGGGATATGAGCTCTAGAATCGGGACGGAGATATACAAAAGAAACATTCTGGAAGGGAAAAAGAAGCAGGAGAAGCAAGAAAGAAGGAGAAGAAGGTCAAGGGGTTGACTTGATTGGGTTAAGAATAGCATACTTATTTAGTTACTTACCTAGTACTTACCTAGTACTTACCTAGTACTTACCTAGTACTTAGCTTCCGTAGTTCCACGGAAGTATAACGGACTCGGACCTAGTCAATGTCATTCATTCATCTTCTTCCCGTACAATAAATGTACAGATACAGATGGATGTACGTACGTATCCACCGCGCCGGATGTCGGGATTGCATTTCTAGAGTCGGGACCTCTCTTGTTTGGTAAGTCTTACTTTGGCACGTATATTGGTACATTGACATGTAGGTATGTAGATAGATAGGAAGGTCTAGGACCTATTGAATGTTCGACCAACCGCACCGTAAAGTTAGAAACATCAATGCATGATTGACGGACGGACGGCACATTGATCACATAGGATTCCGGAACAGAGAGGCCGGGCATTGAAGCCATTGAAGAAAGGTATAAAGTATAAACCATAAACAGAAACGGAAACAGAAGCAGAACAGGGCCGAGAACACGCATCAAAGTCCGAGTGCTCGGTGCCGTCCGTACATAGAAACCAACTCTCAGATTCTCACATACATACCCAGAACATGCATATAACGGTTTGCGGGGGGGAAGGGGAAGGGAAGGGGGAAGGAAAGGAGAAAAGCCGGTTTACACATTAACCCGACAAGACAGACATAAGGCACATTCGGATTCCGGTGCCGGACAGGGAGTATCCTTTGAGGAAACTGGGTTTAATGTTATTTCTGTTTGTTTGGCGTTGGGATGGATGTACGTCCGTATGTGTGTACGTGCCGTAAATAGTAAAATAATAAATGTCATTTTTAGAATATTAACGTAAGGTTAATGTGGGCTGAGACTCAGAGTTCTCCTATCTGGAAATAGAAGAAAATCTTATGTCATCTGAGTCTTGTTTTGATGTGGGAATGTGGTAAGTAATGGTAATGGTAATGTGTTAACGTGGTGGTGTGGCAGTTAGTCGTGATAAGATGGTAAAAATATATCGCATCACGTAAGGCTGAGCTGGGAAAGTCGAGTGGATTTCGTGAATTGGAGTGGGAAAGGGAATGTGATGAAGGTTTGTACAATATGTATGTAAGATTTCAGATGTCAGATGTGAGATGTGAGATGGATGTGTCCGTTTATCCGTTAGTCATGCCGGGGAACTGTGTGTGAATAGAAGCCTTTGGATGCAGGAACCAAAGCATCAGTATTGTAAAAAGGGGATGTTTACGAATGAAATGTGACGTCGATGCCGCACTCAAAGAAGCGTCAAAACGTGTTAACCTTGTCATGTCAGCCCAAGCTGTAGGAATCCACCCCATCGCGGTAGTACTACATTGCATGTATGTGGTGCTGGTAAATGGTGGTAAATGTCTGGTAGGCTGTGTTCGCCATTATCATTTCTTCTGCTGTCGACCCTGCATGAGATGTAACCTTGCCTTATGGGATTTTTTTCAGGATGTCCTCAGTTGACGTGTTGTTGCGGCGATGACAATGCTGAGGGAGGGAATGGAATACCAAAATTGCTACTGTTGCATGCGATGTGATGTGTACCTCAATCAGCATACGAGGGAGGAGGCATGGCTACTCTTCACCGAGATGATCGCCGGTATGATCACCAAATATGAGGAGGTGTATCACAATAATCACGCAAAAATGCTGTGCAGCTGGAGAAGGGCGTAATCCTCATGATACCTTCTTTTTTCTTCCGTACCATTTTTCTATGCATTTCGGGGCGGCCTACAAAGGATATCTAGGTACTTGCTGATGTGTAGAGTACTGCTGCGAAAGATGTTCTACGGGTATGTACTGCAGCTGGCTTCATTTGACAAACAGGTTGTGATACTTGGAGAATCTCATTGACTGCCCGCCTCTACGGAACACCATAAGGCGGGAAGGGAAGATCGGATTGCTTTGTCTAACCTTGAGCCTATGCTGTGTAATGGATGTAGTTTAGATTAGGCAGGGTTACAATTGATAATGAACTGTGAGTAATAATTGCCCGGTCTTCCTCGGTCGGAGGATACGAGAAGGGATGGGAGGGAAAGACTAAATTGAAAGTGCCGCACAAGAAAAGTAGAGCCCGACCGACAAGGAATTGGGAGGAGAGTCAAAAAGGGTTCATGGATCTGGCCCATCCATTACTCACCATCCACACTCACGATCCACCATCATTCACCCACCCACCACCCACCACCCACCACCCAACTCTCTATGCATAATGGATGGTCCATGGTGGATGGTGGATGGTGGATGGCTTCATGTTCAAATCCATGCTAGCTAGCGGTACGGTAGACGCCGGTGGAACATCAGAATTATTAGAACTCGAACCATAGAAATCGTAATCACCAAAAACCATGACAAGAAGAAAGCTCGAAAATACTAGAAGGGGAAAGGAATGAACGAGCGAACATCTAAAAGGGATCTAGCAGGGTCTTACAGAGTCTAAAAGGGTCTAAAAGGGTCTAAAAGGGTCTAGGAACATAATGATAAATGCGAAACCCTCATTCGATCTACCAAGATTTGTTAGAGGTAAAATAGGAAAATAGGAGATTACTGATATAGTGAGTGATATTGCTCGTTTGCTCGTTTGCTCGTTTGCTCGTTTGCTCGCTTGCTCGCCTCGTTCAAAAGTAGATACCAAAATGTGCCAGTCCCAGTTCCAGTCCCGCTTCCAATTCCAGTCCCATTCCCAGTTCCAATTCCAGTCCCATTCCCAGTTCCATTTCCATTTCCATTCCCCTTGCCCTTCCCCTTCCCCTTCCCCTTCCCCTTCCCACTACATTCCCAGTCATCTCCATCCTAGTTTGGAGGGTGGATAACACTATAAGCTGATGAATCTGGCTTAGAAACCGTGCCTGGCACTTAGATAAGTCCACCGTAATACCCAGTAAAGTAAGTAAGTAATCCATCGATTTTCATGTTTCTAGAACAATTTATCAAAGAATCTATTTAAATGGTTCCCTAATTTGGCTGTTCAATTCTCCAATAATCAGACTGAGACTTGGTTTTGCTTTCTGATTCTGCTCTTTTCTTTCTGCTTTGGGATATTTGTCTTGGAGACAGACCATTGGGGTTCTTTGATCAAGGTGGTTCAGGTAGGTTGGTGGTGGTTGGTGGTGGTAGGTGGTGGTAGGTGGTAGGTGGTAGGTGGTCGTTAGGAGTAGGTATTCCATTTGGGCCCGGTTCCTTCTGATCCATGAATCTTATCCATGAATCTATCCGTGAATCAATCCATCCATACAATAATGACTTTACCATACAATTCACACATTTCATGCATTTCCTCCCCTGTAGGTAGAATGAGGAAATGTTTCCGATTTCCGTTTTCGTCAACGTTGTATCTTATGCCTGGCCTCATCCACGGCTCCAGGGACAGGACAGGTACAGGTAGGTAGGTAGGTATGCGGTACTTTTCATCCCTCACACGTACGTACCCTTTCATCATATCCCACATCCCACATCCCTCATCCCTCATCCCTCATCCCTCATCCCTCATCCCTACACGGTACACTACACTACACTACACTACACTACACTACACTACACTGTACACTCTACATAGTAGGCAGACCCTGGTTAAGAATGAAGAGTCAGAGCAGCCGCCGCATTGTGGCTATAATTTTAACATACGGGGAGGATAGAGTTATGGGTGACCCAAACACATGGGGCGAACAGTGGCGATGGAGCTGAATGAAAATAATGATAGGCTGAGGAGTGCCATCAACCCCCTGTAAAGTTAACTCACCCACCCACCTTGAATGGGCGTCAGGCAGTTAAATCGCTAAAGTGTCAGAGAAGCAC